TAGGTATGCATTTTGATAAATGTAGGCGAAGTTCCACGCAATGCAGTGAAGTATCATTTTGGGGCTTGGGGCTTGGTTTCGGTTTTTTTTCTCCGTATCTTTTTTTTTTTTTGACTGGTAAAAATTCCGGTTCACTTACCTGCCTGCATACCGACTTACCATACTTTACTCTGTATAGTAATAATGTGCCGGCTCTGCATTGTTCCTGCAGGACGAACGCTGCAGGCACAAAATTGGCATGCAAGGTACGGGTCGAGGAATAGGCCGAGAGAGGTGCGATTGGTGTGGAGAATCTTGGAAGTATGAAGCCCATGTACTTCCCAACAGGTAGTACATACCTCTTCTGTTTCTCTGCTTCCCCTTTGACAGGCCACCCTGACGTATTCCTGTTTCCAGCACAGTGGGAGCCGGGTTATAGGCCGCATAATGGGAGGCAAATTACCTAGAAGGCCTCTCGCTAGAGGTCTATCGAGCCGGAAGCCTTCCACGGAACTGCTATGGATACCCTGTAAAGTCGGAGGTCCCAGCAAGTCGTCTAGGCACCTTTGGCGGTGGAATGATCGTCTGGACTATGATAAGCTTCCTGATTCGGGATTCTCGTCCGATAGAAGGCCGCTCCACCGCTTAGTACCTACATACGTGCATGGCATACATGGCATAGTAGCAATATTCAAGGTACGGTAACATGAAAAATGCAGTACTGACAAAATGGGTCATTAATGCATATACATATACATGAGGACGCATACGTATGTAGTACTAGTCTATGTATACATCCCCGTCCTTACATGGACTATACATACACAGTATAGTGTGTATTAATGTATGTACAAGTCCACATACGTCCACTGTTGTTACATAAAAAGTGCTATACCAATGCATTAGTATGAGCACTAACATGCACGATAAAATAATGAAACGAACCGATGGATGCTAATGGTACCCAAACAACGCTCTAAACGGATAATGGTAAAATGCCAAAATTGTAGAAATAATGCAGAAATTATGTACCATGGCATAGCCCCATAAGAATCCCTCAACTTGGCTTACGCCAGGACCAGCAGGGAAAAAAGGCACTGTGAATATAGGCGAGTGTATCACCAATGCTGCGATCCCGCTTCTAGAGCGCGCTATGCACACTGGCGACCCGCTGCCGGATAAGCCGTTTTAGCAAGTACTTACCTGCGGAGGGGACCGCTTGGGTTGATCGAAGGCTTTTCCTATGATCGTCATATCATGACAATGATGAATACGATTATGATTCAATATTGGAAGACCCGATATGTTGGAAATCAACTGATGAAGAGCGGCGTGATTTGATTTGGTGTTGGTGATAATGTTGGCGATGGCTTAGCTTTTTCAAAGCAAACTGAGGGACAGAGAGAAATGAAGATGCTCGTGGATTACACGAGACGCCCACGTTGGCAGATACCAACAAATAAGAAAAAAGTATTCCTTTTCTTCAGTTTTCTTTTTCTTTTTTGCAGAGATCCCGAACCGCACTGCGGATGTTGGGAAGGAATTGGAGTCTAGAGTCTTCTAATCCAATGACTATGCTGGAAGAGTCCGAAGTACGAGAAAAGCCAAGGGACGAGTAGTGGAAAAAAAAAAAAATTGTCGTCCTTCCCTTCCTTCATGACGCGTCGATCGACTAACGCCGATATTACTTTTCTTGCAAGTGATGCAAGTGAGAATTGAAGATGAAAAAAAGACAAAAAAAGAAGCTTAACTCTTTTTCCACCTTTTCCCGCTTCATCACCTCATAAACTAGTGATGACAGGTAATGACAAGTTAATGATGGTAAAAACTCTAAATTCGTTCCATGACTTATCACAATTTCCTAATTAGGAAATATCACGATAGTTTCAATATTCTATCTATTTTCTTTAAAATCTCTAATCTAACACCTATCCTATCATCTATCAAATACAAGTCATCTTTATAGGCGCTACAGAAATCGTATCCATTGCTTTGGTGCGAAAGGCGACCCGTCAAGTTCTCCATCACATCTACATTTTCAGGTGATGCGGGGTGTAATCTCGCATGGAATAAAACGTGTGTGGCATGTATAGATGTATAGAGGTGCCTAATGTGATATTCTCTTTGACCCGACCATTACGAATCGGGACGGAGTATTTCAGGTATATCAGAATAAGGATAGACCAACGCCTAGATGCAGCCAACCCCCATCTTCCATCTCGATATTCGCGCCAAAGTAGAGGGAAAAAAGAGTCTGTAGCGCGTTCCATAAACAGATGACCCCGTCGTGATTCGACAGTTTGCTGTGACATAGTCTTCCCTAGGCTCTTTTCTGGATGAATGGGTTGCATTCGTGAGCAACTTGATATAGAGTGCTTGCATATCAGGAACGCGCGCGTCTTGGAGGATTTTTTATTTGCCTACTCACACAATTTTCGGGGGCTGATCCTGTGTTTCTAATTCTAATCCAATGTAACCGGTTTTAACAGATAGATTGTGAAGAATCTACCTTCGTTACAAGCTAATCTTTGCTCAATCTACCAATGCGAGGCCAGCTTAGGCAAAACATACATATCATTGGTCTTCATTTATTGGGACTACACACGTACCTATATCCAATACGATAGCGATACCGTTGTATTGGGCATATAGTGGTCAATTGGTAGGTTGCCTCTTACTGCATGCTGACCATGTTTCCATGCTCACCTCACCTAAATGAAATCTTCATACAATTATTTCACAGCCTATTAGTGGAATCCAATCATCGATTGTTTGAAAAAACTTCCAAACCAAGGACGGAAGGCATCTGGCTACCCGCATGTATCTTTCTGGAGGTATCCCTGGGAATCAACGTCATTACGTATATGGGTTGTGGGTGTAAGTGAGATGGTCTGTCTAAGCACAGCACCACCTAACTAAAGTCTTGTGTTGTTTGTCTCTTGCGCTTGGTCACGCTCTTCGGGCAATATGTTATTCTCGTATCCTCCCTCCCATTCGAACGCCATCGGCAATAGCATGCACATTACAATATGTAACTAGGCTATAGAGCATCTCCGCGCAGCCCAATAAACGGTGTAGAAAGGCCGCCCAAAGATTGAAAATTAAGCGCAGACTCATCAGTTCTCGCCAAAGCGCTGAAAAATGACGAATGTGATCCGCAGCGCAACGCCCGTCTGGCTGTACCTGCATTCCATCACGCTGTTTCTACTGGTCCGGTACTGGGCTAGGTAGCTAATGGGCTGGTGCAGAGGACTCCGCGTCGCGCGAGGGCTGGTCGACGGCGTTCAGCGACTGGCTGTGCAATGTTGCAACCGAACACAACCACCACGACCGATGCCACTTATGGCGAGTGCTTTGGCAAAAAAGACCGAATTATGCAAATTGTGTGGTTCGCTTCATCTAGTGGACCAACGGTCAAACCCACCAATCAAGAATGGCGGTCCGTGTATTGTACAATACCTTACATACGACCTAGGGAAAATATGCATGTTCCAACCATCCAAGAAAATCCTGAAAATTTGTGCAGAGTACCATCCACGATAATCAATTCCTCAAACAGGTTAGTGATCCCATGGAAAGGCCGCCGAAGTACCACTGTTTGGACTTCTTCGTCTCACTCGCCTTGTTCGGTAAGTGTATAATTTATGCTCAACGTATGAATAGCCAGATACGGTGCTGTATACCTCACATGCTAATGTATATTATTATGTACAAGTTGTTTAGGACGTTTTACCTGCCTCTTAGCAAGCACATAGGCATGACGAACAAGTAGGTAGGTACCTGGGTATCTACCTACATACAATACACCTACACCACAACGGACAACTCCTTCAACGAACAAGGATGGTTACCTACCCAATACTATACCGTATATACTATGTAAAGCATTTATCCAAGATACACACCTATATTTACATAAGAACTCAAGGAGAAGAGCGAACAAGATCCTAGTCAAGCTGCCAAATGCAGCTCTCCTACCGTCACTACTTTTTTCGGGTTCTGCATGAGAGCCCGTATCGTCTCTGAGAGATGGCTAGGCGATATGCAAGGTGTCGTATGCTTGCGCGTGCGTGCGTACAAACCAACGGAGTTTAGTGTACGTAGTAGGTGTAGGTAGGTATATGCACTATGCACTTGTACACATAGTACATACATACATATGTAGCAGTAGTTAGGTATACGACCAGTCGGACAAGGTTTCTAGTTGTCCGTCGAGAAGGGAATAAAAAAAATAAGTAGCTAGGTAGCCTGAGAGAAAAGAAGTACCGACCAATACGTGGTACTTCGAACATCTCCCTCCAAGCACTATCCAGATTTAGAATCGGCTCGGTGGCTGCGCCCACATAGTACCAGTCGACACAACCCACTCATCTCATGTTTCCATTTTGCCCCAGACATGCAGTAGGCAAGGTTAGCCAGTGGCCTGTCGACCCAAGCCGACCAGGACCATCTTTAGGGCCCCCTTGTCAGCTTTCCCCAAGTGAGACATACATGGGTGTCCTTGGGTGTGGTGGGTTCCTTATGGGTCCTTTCCCATTCCACCCGCAGGCCCTCCAGTGCCTATCGATGGACTTTTATCTGGGTGTCGTTGATCTGGCTGGGCTTCGACTATTTTACATTATCCTCTCAAGGTTCCCTTCAACCACGTTCATTACTCTCTTACCTAGTCCGTGATCGACATATCCGTCGACTTAGAGTCTGTTCTCTTTCTTCTTCATAACCCTACCGGTTCTCTTGTTTCTTCTCGTGACTCGACTTCTTTTTTGGAATCGTTCGATCTCGAACTTCCTGCCCTTCATTAAACAGTATACAAATTGCACCATATCACCTGCTTCCAACGCCCAGTTCCAGTTTACCTTGACGATAATACTTTGGGAGTTCATAGTCGAGAGCAGATTCATGCATAACACGATACTACACCGAGTCACCAGCAACTAAAAGATAGTCTTTTTGGGTATACCATATACCAGGACTACCGTTCATTCCTTCAGACAACCGGGAACCGAGACCACCATCATTAGGCCAATCGCCCAACAACTCACTGTACAGTACACTTATCAGTATACTTAATTTATAAACCAAAGAGAATCGGCGACCTTCGAAATAGCTTAACCTCGGCGCATAACATACAGGTTAGTTCTCGGGTTGGATATATGAGTCACTCATCCATAGGACTGACAAGTAACGGTGGTGAAGGTCACAATAATGGATCCCACTATGATAGCTTCGCAGATGGGGCCTACGTCGTTTTTCTATTACACACCAGACCCGAGCCCAGAGAACCGGCATCATGGTCACTTCAGCCAGCAACCGGGCTTCCAGCAGATGCAACAGCAACAAGTGTTCCCTGTTGTGCCCACACTACCATCGACGCCGATCTACTCGAGGCCGAACTCGTCTTGCTCGCAACAAGTGCCAACCAAGATCTTCAACGGTGTCCCCAGCAATGTCACACCCATGGCGTCGCCTCAGTCCACACAACGACCGGTCATTATAATGCAAAGCCAACCACCTAAGTTAATGCTCGAGACTGAGCTTGGTGAAAACGACAGCTTTTACTACCCAGCTACGCCGCCACTATCGACATCGGGAAGCTCAATGGGTAGCCCATGCAATGGAAACGATATGCTAGCAACGCCATTGAACCCGATGTTCTCTGGATTAGATGGATGCGAAATGGTTAAGCCCGAAGTTGAGACGATGCCAGAACATCTAGAGAATTTGGATTGGGCTAGTTGTGGATCACCTTCATTAACACCTGGTAGGTTTTTTACTATTTTCAGTTTATTTTTATTTGGTTGTTTGAGTTCGAAATTCTTAAACGATAATTGTTTTATTCCGTTTTATGAATCTTGGAAGGAATTGGGAATGGAGATTGTCTAAAAAGTTCTAAAAATACGAGGAAGGTGGAGTTGGGCCATTGAGTTTCAGTGCAAATTGGCGGGGCATTGGCTTAAAATTCACCGCTTATCTGCCTATCTATGTTAAAAGCTTAGGGGATAATTGGGGATTTGCTAACTTTATTTTTTTCTTCGACGCAGTTTACCTACAATCCCAGTCAGCAGACAACAACGCTCCCTCGCTTAACACCAGCATTTCCAGCGATCTTCTTTCGCCCGCTTCTTGCCCTTCGTTGTCCCCGTCTCCATCGCCTTATGCCCGCTCCGTCGCATCAGAGCAAGACGTGGACTTCTGCGATCCTCGGAATTTGACTGTTGGCGGTGTAGCTAACCCCACTCTTGCGCCTGAGTTTTCCGCCCCTGTCGCATTGGAGGAATTCAGGGGTGAAGCTGTCCCCAAACAATCGTTGCCTACTACCTTTGAGTTCCACCCTGAGATTCACCACGAATTGCCAAACTTTGAGGATATTTCCGACCTAGAATCAGAGGACGACTTCGTCAACCGTTTAGTTAACATTGGTGAGCAATCTGGTGCCGACGTGAAGAGATCACGATCGGACACTTGCTCTACTACCTTATCACTTGGTCACGAGTCGTTCTTGGGCGAAAGTGATTTTGACGCCGACGACTCATCCTGTGCAGCAACTAGCTTTTCAAGCTGCTCCGCAGACCCTGATTCTCACAAGGATAAGAAGGTTAAGAGATCAAAGAAGGAATCGCGAAAATTTACGCCAATCATGAATGTCGCCGCTGATGCCAGCACCGCCGAGGGCGACGAGCAGCAGCAAATGCAAGGTGAAGGTCAAGAAGACAACAGCAATGCTGGTTCGTCTGCGGATTCGAATGTGGCAGGTGCACCTGCACCCGCTCCTCCGAATCGCCGAGGACGCAAGCAATCTTTGACCGAGGATCCCAGCAAGACATTTGTTTGTGAATTATGCAACCGCCGTTTCCGCCGACAAGAACACCTAAAGCGCCACTACCGCTCTCTTCACACTCAGGAGAAACCCTTTGAGTGCCATGAGTGTGGTAAGAAGTTTTCCCGAAGCGATAACTTATCTCAACACGCGCGAACTCACGGCAGCGGCGCTATCGTCATGAACATAATTGACCCTAGTGAGGAGGGTCTTGATTTAATGCAATCCGGCGAGACGGACTACGCCAACTTTGGCAAGGTGCTTTTCCAGGTCGCTTCCGAAGTTCCCGGCAGCTCTAGTGATTACTCGTCCGACGAGTCAACTAGTGAAGGCCAGGACAAGAAGAAGCGCAAGCGATCGGATTAAAAGCAATAGAAATTCCTCGGGAGGGATTAAAGATAATCGGATATACAACGCCAAAGGGTCCACGAGGGATTTCAGCGTACGCCCGTTAATGACATAATGACTTTCACATACAAACATATTCGACATAAGCCGCCGGCTTTTTATACGTGGATCAGGTCTTCAGGCCTAGGTAGAGAGGACTCACAAAAGTTGCACTTTGATTTTCCGGCATCGACTTGTCTTCTTGTACCATTATTGTGACCAACACCCCATTTTTTCTTCCAATCATGACGACATAAAAAATCAGCTCACGGGAGCGGCAAGGCGACACCTCTAGGGATATAACGGTTTGGTGATGAGGCGCGATCGGCGGATTATTTGAACATACCATACAGAGGCGGACTTCAGCCATGGAAAGCAATGCAATACACCCCAGTTATTTTTTCGGCGGCTTATTCTCTACGTTCGTTGTAATCTCTAAGGCAGGGCGGGGCAGGACAGCCGTTCTAGTCGTAGGACACGTTCAGTGGAAGGGGGGGAAAGGAGAGGAAGAGGGGATAGTGAAGGATGTAGTTGAAGGGAACCTTTCACTGAAAATCCATCTTCGCGTGTCTAGTTTTCTCTTTACTCCGGTTTATTTCCAGACTTCGTTTATTGCGATTGCTTTCACGGCTGTGCCGGTCACAAGAAAGATAGCTCTCAGCATTATACCTCTGTAAAAGATAGGAAATTGATCTAGGCAATGGTTGTTTTTTTTGCGCCGCTACCAACTAATTCTTACCTGTTTTCATGCTGTAATTGTGACAATAATTCAACTCGTAATCCATCGAACATTGAATAGAGATACTCAAGTATCTAGGTACCTAACCTACCTAACCCAATGACATAATTCGATTGACATCTAACGACTAGAGGTTTCCTTGGAATAAGCGCTCTTTCCTAAATGCATAGCTAAACTTTAAGTGATGTTATTTGACCATTTCGTCGCTGTTTCCTCAGATATTAGGTAATAAGTCAGTGGACCCGCGGCCATTTCTTCAGTGGTGTCTCCAAAAGCTTACGCACGTTAAGGCGGAACTCAAAAAACTACAACTTCTACAAGTATAACTTCAATTAGGTACACAACACCAAAGATACCACTAAATCATACTAAATCAGCGTGTGGAGAGAAGCTCGTATCTTTGCCTACACGTGTATATACTGTGGTTGGACGCATATCATTCTAACGGAACTACGGCGGTGACAGCTGGATCTTAGAATCCTTAGCCGCTGTCTTTCCATCATCCGAAACTCCGCCAAGTCGGCGCCGTCTCTCAAGCTATCCGCATGAATTCGCTTGTTCGCGGCCCTAAATGGAGATATCTATAGATTATGCCTAACCATCTCTTTACTAGTTATACTAGTACTTCAGGCGATAGCTCAAAAGTACTCCAGCGCTATTTTCAAATATTCCACTCCACGGAACACAACACGCGAGGATCGGCTGAGATATAGCGAGAGCGACGAAAAAAAGTGAGGCGATCGAGCCGTATCAAAGTCGAGATTGTCTAGACTGATCTCGCTCGGTAGTGAATGATGACTCGCCACTAGATCGGACGACTATTTGATACATTTTTTTTCTCTTCCATTTATTCTCCGAGACTTTCGGTGTCAATTCCCCAAACTAGCACCGAATTATCCATGGCAGCAGACGGTCCTCTAAATGTCGTCGCTCTGGTGTCCGGGGGGAAGGATAGCTTTTACTCCATTCTCCACTGTCTGGTAAATGGGCATCGCGTCATAGCACTGGCCAATCTCTATCCGCCGACTAGAGCGGTCAGCGCTGCCCAGACTAGTAAAGATACTGCCACTAATATCAGAGCTGAAGTTGGAGATAATCTTAGAAGCGAAATCGATAGTGCTAGCACCACTACGTTTGGGATATCCTCCGACAACAATGTAACACCCCAGCAGCAGCGCGGCCCATCTTCGGAAACGAGCAAGCATGATAACGGCGATGAAGAAGATGAGGCCGACCTGAACAGTTTCATGTACCAAACCGTGGGGCACCAGGTCGTACCCTTGTACGCCCAGGCCACGGGGCTGCCTTTGTTCCGACAGCCTATTCTGGGCACTGCGGTAGACTATGGCATTAGCTACAAGGACCCTGATGGACAACATGAGCACGAGGATGAGACAGAGTCCCTCATCCCGTTATTACGCTCCGTACTCAAGGCTCACCCAGAGGTCAATGCCATCTGCACGGGCGCCATACTATCGACGTACCAACGGACTCGAGTTGAGTCCGTCGCCTTACGCCTCGGTCTAATTCCGCTCGCGTTCTTGTGGCAGTTCCCCAAACTTCCTCTTAATCCTTTTTCAGATCCCGCCGCAACCGCGACTAGCCTCCAAAATAGAGGGCCCGGTAATAACGACGATGATGCACAGTTGTTACGTGACATGGCAACGATGGGGCTGGAGGCGCGCATCGTGAAAGTAGCCAGCGCGGGACTAGGAGAGGAATTTCTGTGGGAGAATGTAGCGAGCGAAGCCACTGTGGCGCGTATCCGTCGTGCACTTCGTCGTTTTGGAGGTGATGGCGGTCGGGGTGCTGTGCTGGGAGAGGGTGGCGAGTTCGAGACGCTTGTTGTCGATGGACCGCCTGCGTTGTTTAAGGGCCGTATTGTGGTTCGTGATGGTGACAAGAAGGTTGTTCGCGAAGGTGGCGGAAGTGCATGGCTGAGCATTCCTGAGGCTAAGGTTGAGATGAAGCCGGATGCGAATGCGTCGTCCCAGAAAATAGATGATCTTGGCGTTCGCATACCTAACTTGCTTAACTCGAGGTTCTCGGTCGTTCTTGAATCGCTACGCGGCGATATTGAACTGAATGTGAATTCTATGAGTCTCTCCGATGAATTATCGTTGGGCCTATCGCCGTTGAAGCTCGTCAACTCGAACCCCTCTGGCGAGAATTGGGTCTTTGTTGGATACGGGGGAAGTGTCGAAAATCAGACAGCACGTATCGTTGACGAGATCAGTAAGCGATTACATGAATTCTCTTTATCCCCAACAGCTATCACTAGTTCAGTGATTGCGCTCCGGCGGATGGCGGACTTCCCAACTATCAACAAGCTCTATGGTGCATTGTTCCGTGAGCCAAACCCACCTGCTCGGGTAACGATCTCATGTGGTGAAATCATGTTACCCCAAAGCGCCGACATAACAATTCTCCTCACCGTGCAACCACAAATGAGGCCGCAGGATAGACGAGGTCTACACGTCCAATCGCGATCGTATTGGGCACCAGCTAATATTGGCCCGTATAGTCAGGCCATCGCATATCCGCTTCTTTCGGAAGATGAGGGTCAAGGCGGTGATGACCAAAAGCAACAACAGAGCGCGAATTCGGATTCATCTCTGGCGGTATCTATTGCAGGGCAGATACCACTGATACCCGCTTCTATGATTTTGCCCCCTGTGCCGTCGAATAATCAGGAAAGTAACCTCCCGCTACAAAACGCCCTCGCGTTGCAGCATCTCTGGCGCGTTGGTGTCGAAATGAAGGTTCAGTGGTGGAGCAGTGCCGTGGCATACTTCCCTCGCTCATCTTCCCCTTCAGAGGCGCGTCATAGAGCCCTACTTGCTGCCACGGCATGGGAAACAGCACACACAACTTCACGTCCCGGTCCTTCGGCCGACACCGACGAAGGGCCGGACCTTTGGGATCGAAAATATAATCCTATGTATATGACGTATGATGATAGTGGAGAAGCTGCTGCAAGACCAAGCCTCCCTGATTGGGAGGTGTTGAAGGATTTTGATGAAGATGATGTGATAGCACGGAGGCCAGTGCCATTTGTCTTTTCGGTAGAAGTTGAAGAGTTGCCACGGTCGGCTGGTGTTGAGTGGCACGCACATCTAGGATTTGCCAACGTAAACCCTGGTTCTATTCGCATGCATACTGTTGCAAGTCTATCGGCAGATCTTATCCTATACCACACCATCGTCGAGGCCTCTACTAGCGACGTGTTTGTTCAGACTGTTGTGACCTACCAAAGAGTTGAGGGGACATCTTTTGATGGTGTTGCAAACCGCTTTGCCTTAGCTGTGAAAGGTTCCCTGACTGGGCTATTAGCGAACACGAAACTTTCGGAAAGCGCACAAACTAATGAAGACTATCTCATTGCTGCAATAGCGGTAAAGCCAAAACTCACGTACATCAACCCTGAATCATTCGATCTTCTTAATGATCCATCATCATTATCAGATAAGGGGGGGATCATACCTTGCAGATCATTGTGGGATTCGCTAGGCTGTACTTTGGATGTGGTGTCGATATTCGAGACAAAGTGGACTAAGGCGAAGCTTTGAAAAGAGGTATAGGGTAACTAAAGGGTAGGATAGACAAAAATCTATCTAAGATATCTACGAATGAGCTATGATATGTGTTAGAGCAAGCGTTGCCAACTGTTTATTCGTTATGGTGTGAAACTCATTGAGTCAAATAAATGTACGCGTTGTGATTTGTACATCTCTTCTTTAATTCGTAAGTGTTAGGATATCGTCGACATCCTCTTTGCAAGTATATCTCCATAACATATTCACACGTAATTATCATAACATCACTTATTTAAATACCAATCATCCCATCATATCCTCTTCTGCTCCAGCGCCGGCGCCAAATCTTTCCAAAACTCACACCGTTGCCGCTGCTCCAACGGCACCGTCTCCATTGTAAAATTTCCGCCCTCCTGTATTAATAACCTCTTCCCACCTCCCTCTGTACTATTCCCCGACGTAGCACTCCCATCACTACTACCCCAAGCCTCCCACACCGGCGCCCCATCCGTCCGTCCCACAGACGGGTCAAGGTGGATCACAAACGAGATCCAGTAATCCATAACAGGCGTAACGACGGCCGCCGCGCCATCCGAGCCGGAGGTATAATAACTAGCCGGTCCGCCTCCGATTCCGGATATACTATCCGGACCGAAAACCGCCCATGATTCCCAGATATGCGGGACACCGAGTCCGGAGGCGGAGTTACTGGCGTCGAAGACGTCGTAGTGGTAGCTCCATGCTTGGGGTGTTGTAGTCGTATTATTAGAGGTAGAGGAATAGGAGGATGAGTTTTGCTGCAAGACGTAGGAATCTAGGACTAGACCTGCCGGGCAGATAAATGTAACTTCACCGTATGCGGAGGCAGCGGCGGGGAACCAGGGCCCGTGGAGGGGGAGGGGGGTGGATATGTTTTCGGGGTAGGTCGTTGTTATGGTGGTTGCTTGGGTGGGGGTTAGGAGGGGGTAGTTATCTTGTATGAAAGATGAGAAGTCGGTGCTGGAATTGCAGTTTGAGGCGAAGACTGTGCCTTCGTTTGTTGTGGATCCCATTATCATGGGTACCGGAGTGAAGGCACCCCGTGAGAATAGGGTTGTGGGGGAATCGGTTAGGAGCGTGCCGTCGATGGTGGGGGTCCAGTAGAATAAGGGTAGACCGGCGCGGTTGGGGAAGGGGGATGGGATGTTGGCGGTGTTTTGCAGGGTTTCGGTGGATAGGGAGCGGAGGCATGATAGACTGTCTTCGGCGGTGCTGGAGTTGCAGCTTGTGGAGGAGAGGACGCGGTCGTATTGCCATTCTAGATCCGCGACTCGTGGGTGTGCGGGTAGGAACACGGATTCTCCCACCGCACCTACGAATAGGTTTCGATCCTCTGGTTTGTTACTAGCATGCGAAATCAACATATGCAAAGCCACGGACCCGGCACCGGCAGATGCGCCGGTTATCACGATGTGATCTGGGTCCCCGCCGAATTGGGATATGTGTTGTTTTATCCAGTACATGACTTGTCGTTGATCGCTGAGGCCGACGTTTAGGTCACCGTTGGCGCGCACGCGGTCGCTGGCTAGGAAACCCCATAGTCCGACGCGGTAGTTGAAGTTTACGAAGACGATTTGACGGTTTGAGCGCTCGACTACGGTTGTGCCGTTCCAGTTTGCGTTGCTGTTTTTTGTGTAACCTGTTTGGAGTATTGATGTGAGTAGGTGGTAGATGAGGTTAGATCGATTTTTCGGGGGTAAAAGGGGTGAGGGAAAAAATTTGAACACTTTATATAAATATTTTCTTATTTTATTGTCTTCATTTCTTCATATGATCGTAGTAGTTTGGGTTCATATAGATGATGTGTATTAGGTGTGTAGATATACGTACCACCGCCTTGGATGAACAACCATACAGGCAACTTAGAGTCCGATGTGGCATTGGCAGGCGCCCATACGTTCACATAAAGACAATCTTCATCTTCGGCGCCATTGTCCGGGTATGTTTCCGATATGCCCAAGCAGATAGGACCGAACTAGATTCTCGTCGTGTTAGCCAGCTGATAGACTTCTACCTCCTCCTATTTCCTTCTTTTTCCTTCTTCTCTCACACCCATGACCACGGGGTCGGGGGCGCTATAAGAATAGGGAGCAAGAAACGGGCTAAAGGAAGAGGGGGTGGACTAAAAACACATACGGTATCAGCCACCTGATCTCCGGAGTTATCCATCTCCGGTTCAACCGGAGCTCTCCACCTACGCTCGCCCGTGGGCGGCGCCGCATACCTCATTCCAAGGTATTGTGCGACGCCACTATCACTTCCTACAAGCGAGCCCTGATACTGTGCATAACCTAGATTCACACGGGCCTTGGATTGGTTGGATGGCGTCTGCAACTACCCGTTAGCGTCTGTCTTTGTCTTATAAACGTGTCGGACAAATGGGTGTATTTAAGCTGGGAAATATTTACCCTCTTGGCCTCTTCGATTGCTTGCTGATGATCCCTCTCATGATCCCGCCGGAGAACCAACACGGGCGTTATCACCACGACGAGGATGACGACTATAGCGCCTATGGCTATGAGCGTGTAGATGGGCCATCGTTTGGCGAGGGGTCTGTTCAGCTTCATGGCGGCGCATTCAAAACAACAAATATGATATGCGAACTTTTCATCTGCCGCGAGAAAATATGATTTGGATTTAGTCCGGTAGGTAAGGTTAGGTCCGTTCAAATAGCAAGTAAGTGAAGAAGCTTTTCCCCAGATTCAGATTTCATCCGAATATCCAGCCTCGCTCAACTCAATCTTATATAAAAGAAAATCCTAACCCCGACGCTGTGATAACTCCTCTTCCTTTACCCCGCGGAATCGAATCACGAGCCGTACTAACGAGTTCAAGTTCGAGCAAGGGATCATAAGTGCAAGTCGGGGAAATCGACAATGTGTGATTCTGCGGTGTAAACAATAACAGGCTAGGCTTGTTCTCTCCGCATCCGTCTCACTGCTTTCACGCTACATGCTACCATGAGATGTACGGCTTAGCAGCTTAGTTATGCGTCCGAGTACATAGGTCCCTGCGACGTTACAATGTTACCGAGGTCAAGCGGGAGGAGGATCGCAGGCTGCATAATTGAGGTGACGATCCCCGCAGCAGCTCGTAGGTTGAAGACCGGGGTATCAATCGATCTCATAACGCCTTTCATCAGATAGAAAAACAAAGGGAAAAGAATAAAGAAGACAGCGGATGTCGAGTTTTCCATTCTAGAAAATCTCGGAAATTTCCATAAAAATGGAGATATCTTAGTGTCGATACTTAAGCTGAAGCGTATGATGTGATAAGTTGAAGATCAGACAAGGGTTGTATCCGGGAAGATGAGAGATGACGATGCTGATCTTCAGTTTCGTTTCTTCACCTACATATAAGCTGCTTACTCATTCATTCTGGGCAAAGGCTTAGCTTAACCTATCTCAATATCACATACACAATCTTGATACCGTTATAAGATATAATTGAACGAAGAAAGTATTCATCATATGCGCGTATTTATCTTAACGAGAAAACCAGAAGAAAAAGCGTTACTTCAACGAAAAACCACCCTCTGTACTCCAATGCCCTGCTGCTCGCATTCGTCTTCCAACTCAGCGTAGGGGTGATGAAAAACGTATACACGCAAGACGGCGAAGCCAGCCCGTATTAAAAATGCAAATGTCCATTCCAAGCCTATACCGAAAAAGACCATAACGCCCTAAGTCATTCGAGGGATTTTTCCATGCGGGAGGGAGCTGACCGAGAGGGAGAAATGCCAGCAGCTAGGAATTAGGTACCGTGTGAATATTCTTCTCTTCGATAAGGAGAAATGCTGTAAGAACAGAAATAGGATTCATCGCCTTTGATCGAGAAAATTTCATGTACCTCTTGTTGATCCCAAACGCCAAACGCAATATGCAGAGAACCGTGACCCGATCGTCATTGTCATCATCGTGAAAATAGTTGTCCGCGGGGTTCAATTATAGTTCGACATGCCGTAAAAGCCATAGCATCGAATCGTACATTATTCAATTCATTCATACCGAAGTTGGTGATTGTAAGACCTCAGCTTCCTATATCGCAGAGACCTTACGAACTGTCGAATTGGCACCGGAGTTGGTGTTGATGCTACCAACGCGCCCGCTAGTCTTTCGCACACCAGACTCTTTGGTACGAGCCGACTCGTTCGATCGCTTGCTTCCTCTGACCTTAGTCAATACACCGGAAGCGCTTGCTGATCGCGTTGGTGAGCCGGTAATGTGATCAACGATCGTCTTTGGTCGACTACATCCAACATTCTCAGCGTCGTTTGATGCGTCATTATCAATGACTTGATAGATCGTTGTCGTGGTGCTCTGACTCACGGACCTGATAGTTTCACTTCGGCCGGGTGATTGCGAGGCTTTTCGGTGGCTTCGCATGCGCAGATACGTTTCTTCCTCGGACTCACCGTCATTGGATCTTCTGTGCACGGAGGATTCGGATTTCCTCTCAGTTCCTTCATGCTCCTCCTCTACGGTAGGGTGTTGGGACACGCTTCGTTGGTAGGGGTGGTGGCGATCTACTCGGCTAGTCTTTCGAGGTTGACCTGGAGTCGGGGCAGGTAGGTAATCTTCCTGGGTACCGGCGTTTCGTCGCTCATCGTCCATCTCACCGAGAGGTGTACGGTTCGATGGGCTTCGGCTGGGGGGAGTGGTCGCTTGAGCGGTTCGCCCCAAAGAGGTCTTCTGCATTGCCCGTATCGGCGTACTAGGCGGCGGGTTCGCAGCGAGCTCTTTCCTCAGCCTTCTCTCAATTCTCTCTTCAATCCACCATTCCCGGAAGATTCCTTGGTTAATGTGTAGCCAGTGTTGCTGAGGTCCAACAACCATACCAGGACGCATGAATCGCATGAAAGAAATGATTTCGTTGGCGGTGAAGCCATGGCGGTATATTAGGTATGCTCCAATCAGGCAACCAGTTCTTCCAAGACCAGCTTTACAGTGGACCGCAATCCCCTTCTTCCTAACTGTGATCGTCTCGTGCGCAAGCTTGATGAATTTGCGAACGGTGCTTAATGGAGGGCAAGTACCATCCTCGAAAATCATGTCAAGGTGTTGGATACCCAAGGCCTCAAAGAATGAGGGTGAGTAGAGAGGAGAGTTAAGTCGCACGACTAACCCAATATTGCGTTCGGAGAAGTGCTTCAAAACGTTCTTGAATGGCTGTGGGAGAGTTGGATGAGCATCCAGGGCAGATAATGTTTTTGGCAAAGAAGCATACGCCTCCGATGATTCCGAGATACGTGCTGTAGGGGTGTGCTGGGGAGAAGCAAATGCGAGGAAGTGAGGAGTGATCCAGTTGAAGTCGCCATGTTCGACTCGTTCAAACCTCTCGTACTCATCAAGGTCGAAGTTATCCAGGACACAGCAACCTTCCTCTTTGGCTTTCCAAACACCGTATACAATGTCTTGTACTGTGATACCATAATCTGCCTGGCTATAACCGGCGTCTCGGAAGGGCATTAGAGGAGGGTCGATCTGCGCAATTGGTGCGAGGGCAAGGTGAGGTGGCCATGACTGAATCAAAACCATGTAGCATGCAAGTAAACAAGCAGCGTTTGCCCGGCCTAGTCAATATTTGTTAGTCGCTGTCAAATAACGGTTGTATTAGGAAACCTACTCCTCGGGTCCGCTCGACTCCAGAATACAATGGGTCTGTGTTGGTTTTCCTTCGCGCCAAGGACATCATGAAAGTGTAGAGCAAATCGATACAGGTGACCAATGTGAAGCGGGCCAAAGTCGTGGTGAAAAGCGTTGTAAAGAAGGGTGTCGTCTACAGTAAAGTAGTATGGAGGGTGTCGGTCGGACCGGGACGAAACAGGAGCAGGACCATCGACGGCTCTTTGCGATCGTTTGCCTGGCGAGCGAGTTGGAGGCTCAGGGTATGGAAAGACGGTTTCGGCGGTGGGAGGATGAAGATAGGATGCTAGGTAAAGGCGGTCTGCGTACGTTAGTAATGTGACTGGGAATGCCTCGGAATTCAGTAGTAATGATGGATGTAGGGTATTATAAGAGATGCCAGGAGACATTGAACCTCCGAATATGCCTCGCGCCATGATAAGGCGCAATATAATAAGGATTATAAGAGATGTGGTTGGTGGTTAGGATTATGATTATGAGAGGGAATGGAGGGAGAGGGATAAGATGATTAGGGGAGGTGAAAGAAAGACTTCCGAAAACGACAACAATGACGCACCTGGAATATATTCAATAACCTGGCCAGAGTTGGCACTTTTAGAAGGAGGCATCTTTATTAAATTCGATGCCGTCGCTTCTATTTTTGTAAGTGCTTTCGTCTTTCGGTCGCTCCTTCGAGAGTTTTGGAATTGGAATTGGAAGAAGAAAAACTCCTTCTAATGTTTACCCCCGGGCTAATAAAGTTTGATGGCTCTGCATAAACAAGCGCAGGCCTTGCTTATTATATAAACTCAATCGACTTTGGAAAACTTTATGCTATACGCTAGAAGGATCGATGCAAGATTTATCCGTCAAGCGAAAGAGTTGGATATGTACGATTCGATAATATATGTATGCATGCGAAGTAGCGGAGGTTGGGAGAATACGAGCAAGCAAATAAGCAAAGCAAGGCAAAGCAAAGTAGAGCAACGCAATGCAATGCGAGAAGAATAGAAGAGGTGGTAGAGGGTAGTAAAAAAATAGTTGAAAGTTGAAGTTAAAAAAGTATGTAAAGTTGGTAGTAGATCGTCAAGAGTGACATTCAAGGAGACGATGTTTTTGTATCATATTCTGTATTATTATTTTATTGTTGTTATGTTGGGGTAGGAGCAAGCAATGGCCACTCTTCCAGGCCGTTGCATAGCGGTCTCATTTGACCTATTGCCTAATCAGGTTAAGGTAAGCATGCTAACCCCTGTCCTGTTTACGGGTCAAGCCGTTGCTTAGCAACCGTCGGACCCCCATTGCATAGGTGGCTGAAACGCTGGACTTAATAAGCCCCAGCTGAATTCCAACCATCCTATCAATCCTTATCTTATCGTGATTTTCGGAACATCGAAAAATAATACCTGGTTACCCCTCCCTTGTCTCCCCGCATCAGAGCTCCGAACCTTGAAATATTATTGCTCATTACGCAATTTGCATTCCGCTCTGCTTAGCTGGTTTCCAACAACAAATCCAACTCACTACATTACGAGGCCCGCTGCGATCCATCTAAAAAGGGAGAAACTTACGTATCATGGCGGAGTCAACCGATATACAATTCCCTTGCGTATTGTATGTCAACATACTAAACAACCATAGCCAGTAAGCTAATCATACGCTTTAGAACACTCGAAGTGCCATTTCCAACACCTAGATTGGCATCTATTGCTCTTAGGTCACTGCAGGTCGATAAAGAGTTGTCCCCTCTGGTTAAACGAACATTCTCTATTGGTCATTCGAGTGAAGACGCCACCAACGGAGAAACCGAAGGCACTGTCTTACGAACCGAATATAAGGCTACTACCAACAGAATGCTTCGAGTAGCTGTCAATTCCTTCATGGATAGCTTAAACCTAGTGATCGAGGTTATGCAAGAACTGGATACAGATGTAATAGCATTAAATGATATTACGGCATGAAGGGGACTAGAAAAAATTCACCGTTGCTCATAAAACTAAAGAGCTCCGCCATTATAACAACCACACCTCCGGACCGTTCCGTTTCCGAGGAATGGAATGCAAAACTTCAATATTCAAGCTAGGGTGAGTACAAGTCACAACATGAAGAAACCTATTATCGTAGAAACATTTGCAAGTTCTAATTGAGTGGCATAGAGAAATATTAAACAAAAAAAATTATAGTTATTTTATTACTATTTATAAGGGGGATTTGGGTACTGATCGACTCCTAACGCCTTCCATTCCAGTTGGTTATGTTACCACCGTCACCATAGGTCTTCCGTGACCAACCTCAACCTTCCAACTCCGTAATGTGTTCCAATTTATTCGATGTCGACCTTGTGGATCTCAGTCCACTCCTTCTCGGACTTGGGAACAGTTACAATGAGAATACCATTCTCCATCTTGGCGGTGATACCCAGGCCGTCGACATCTTCCTTGTCATTACTTCCGGGGGGTGGTAGTCTGACGTTCCTCTTAAACATACCAACCTTTCTCTCGCTGGAAATTAATGACTGGATGAATACTTCGTTCCCTGGACGGTGGACAACACCCGAGATGATGACCTTTTCACCATCCCAATTCACCGCGATATCCTCTTTGAGGGCTCCGGGGAGTGACACGTGAAGGACGTATGCCTTTTCGGTGTTGAAGGTGTCGACGGGTGGGACAAAAGCCTCTTCATGGTTCTCAAACGACTCGCCCGTAGGGTCGTTACGAGTTCGGTCCATGTAGTCTCTGAAAGCCTGGGCGAAGGGGTGGGTAGAGAAAGCGTGCATCAATGGGCGAAAGTCCCATGGGCCACTATAGGCTGGAGGTGGGTTTCGTCCGAAGCGTCCACCATGTCCAAATCGACCTCCTCGTCCGCGGTGACCACCGAAGTGATGGGGGTGGCCGCGGTGGAAACCCGGGTGACGTGGGTGATTCGGGGCACCCGGTGGGGGAGGAGGAGGGTGAGGGTATTCCCCGGTGGGTGGTGGCGGGTGCGGGTGTGGGAACGATCCCGGAGCATGCGGTGGGTGGTCAGGGTAGTCTTCGTCGTCGAATGATTCGGCGTCCGGAGTGTGTCTCATGGTGTCAGGAGAACCCTCCGTCTCATGTTCGCCTTGTTCATCTTCCCTACCGGACTCGGGTACATCACGGTAACGCTGGAAGCTGTCTCTGTTAGGCCATCCGTGAGGACCCCAAGCTCCAGCTCCGCGACCCCATCCGTTGCCCCAGCCGTGGAGCCATGGGTTGTTCGCGTTCATTTGAGTAGGGTCAAAGGGATTGAATCCATGAGGGAATTGAGATCCGAGGTTAGCATGATCAATACCAACACCGGCCCTCATGCCTCCAGCTGGACCAAATGATTGCAGGAATTCCCAAAAGGGAGCCTGCTGGTTGTTATTGTTGTTGTTATGGGGGTTTGCCATATTCAATGATTCGTAGAAATGTGATTTAATTGTTGAGTGGGTTGTAGATTGAAGTGACATTAAACTAAACTATGGGGGAGTTCGATCTCATGTTTATATACACATCCAGCATAAGGCTCCAGGCCGGGGTGCGTAACGTACTTCGTGTCACGGCAAATGACTAACACTACTCAAACGTTCAACCTTACGACATACACAGCAGTCAGACATGCGTGCGTAACCAGAGCCTCGAACAGGTCGGAATACACTAGAAACTGTAGCCTAGCTATTACTATGGTATATGGTGTGTACAAGCATGATTTCGAGGTGTGTGTGTGCCACGCGTCCCCATGTCCTGAGGCGATAATGTCATGATTGGTTTGAGTAGAGCACCGAACTCCGATCCTTCCCTCCTGAGTGTGGGGAGACGAGGGCGAAAAGATATCGATAAACTGGCTCGGACATGGGATATACGTTCGGTATCCGAGTAGACTTCTTGGAATTGGTATTAGGGTCTGATGGTAAGAGTCATCGCTAAGTAGGCAATTTGGGACTACGTAGGCCACTAAACAATTAGGCGTAATTAGGCGTTCTTGGATAGGCAGCCGGCGCATTCGTAGGATTGACGGACTCGGCCGCGTCAGAATGTCGCCTCGCTGAATTGGGCGATCGGGTTCAATTCGTAGCCGATATTTAGTTGTTCGCGGCCGAGATAAGTTATTGAGGATTATGTCATTCTAATTTTACATAATCCATTGTGAATGCTGTATTTTAAGTTCGATATCGTGACTTTTTTTTTTTTTTTTTTATGGAATAGCGTCACTTAAGTGCAGACCGTACGAACTATACTGTCTTACAGCTTCATTCATACAGTCTACCTAGGTACTCTTTCATTCTTCTCCATTAGTCATTCACTCCTGCCACACAGGAGGGTGTCAAAAAAAGTGCCCACCGTAGTATTAATACGGCTTTCAACTGTGGTAAGTGGACTATTTGATTGGTTGAAAACTAGACAGTATCACACTGTGAGTTCTGAGACTTCGTATAGTGGGCATTTATTATGATGCCCTTCTGCCACAGTCTTTGCTTTTCTTTTCTTTTCTTTTCTTTTCTTTTGCTTTTATTTCTGCTGAGGCTGAAACCTGTGGCACTGAAATTGATTAAGTACCCGGGTACCTTAGACCTCACCCCTTTTCGAGGATTGAATAGAATCGTGTCAATCAAGTTGTAAATACTTACGTATCATATGAATTCTATTCAAAATCAGCATTTGAAGCTTGTAAACATGGTCGGTTTCTTTGCGACATGCTTGGTGCAAGTGAATTAAAACATTATCGTGCTGTGGCTGGATGATATGCAGCTGTATTTATAAGATAAGGGGCTTGCTTTTATAGGTGGTTGGTGATGAGTAGAGGAGCGAATAGTAAGGAGCGATGAGGTAAAACGTAACCGAGGCGTCCTGTAATGCAGGTGGGCAAGCGCATCCTCATTACAGAGTAATGTCTCTTACTCCGTAAAATTAAGAGTCCACTTTCAAAAGTAAAATCTCCTTCGCTTCTCTTTTCTTCAATGTCAACTTCGCCCGCATCCGACAACTTTTACTTCCATTCACCTAAAGGTAACATCGTCATCAGAACCCGATGTAACAAACCCTAGACACTATAATTAGAACCAAATAGTGCGATATGAAAATGGTTGTCTTTCCCATAATGCCTTTTCTTTTCAGATACCTTCGTTTAGGTATGTTCAATACCACGCGACGGGAAGGATTTCGACAGCCGTGCATGCTGCATAGATGTTCTGCCCACAATAAGCATCGTACCTACATACATGATGCCCTGCGATTGGCAAGTTTGGATCGATAGCCGCTTGAGCTAGGATGCCCCTGGGCTATGGGGCCACGGTTATGACGGGAACTTTTCTGGTGGTGGAATTACCTAGTCTGCCAGTATCCATCCTACATCCTTGTTATGTTCTCATGCCTTTAATCTATAGTCACAGGCTTCATTTTTGTGCGGTTCTGATGAACATTATCTGCTTACAATGCGCAAAAGGTAGGGAACAGCTGACTTACTATATCTTCCAACATGTTCCTCCAAGTGGTACTTTGAGGTGTCACGAAATACCTCACGCTTAATATCCAACAGATTAGGTACATGGCTTACACTGCCAGATTATTAGCATCATGCAGAACGACAACCAGAAAACCGGCAAACTTAGCCAAAGAAGCAAGCTCCCATTCATGTGAGGGAGCCAATACACGTCGCGTCCGGCAGCAAGGTCTGCCTGTCTGGTAGTACATTGGTTTGGTTGGGCGTCTGGAATCCCTTCTATTTCACCCATATTTCCAGAGCCTTAAGCGCCTACTTAAAGAGCAACCAATCACTGTCCCTGTCGTACAAGCTGCCAAGCTGGTCGATCATGGTCCACTGAGGACCGCGGGCAAGGGTTTTTGATTTACCCCCTCCATGACTATACCTATGGCCAAGCGGGTGGCCGCATATCATAGACCTCCTGTCCTTTTCTCGAACTCGTTTCACTCGTCGAATGTCTGTATTACCTGTGTCGTGTACCTGATCGCTTCCATTTCCTTAATCGATCTCTCCAGCGCGAGCTCTACAGCTTGTCAAGTAATCCAACGCCAATCATCGCAACCCCTCACCTGAATCCTGAATGCGATAAGGTGGTTTCGTCTCTCTTGGTCCAACTGTCGCGAAACGCCTTTAAGTAATAATTCTCCGTCTAAACGTGCGTCATCCCGCGTCTATTCTCGATAGCCTTGCGCCTATCGGTTGCTTTGCGCTCCTTATTTAGGAGAGCTGGTGAAACAAGATGGATCGCCACGGTAGGCCTGAAGAGGAGATGTTCCTCAATAAGCCTACCGATGATTGCGACAGCCCTACCTATATCGAGCCTCTTAGGATATTCAAGCCTCAGAGCCCCAAGCCTGCTCCTGATAAAGCATCGGATCGATTCAAATATCCCGCACCGGCATCATCCAAGCCGACATTCCCTCTGCCTCCGGGCGCTTCGAGTTCTGCTGCGCCTCTGCCATATCCTCCTGATGACGACGACCATCGTATAGGCCAACCGTCCCAACCGAGCCGGCTTCCGTACCCATCCGATGAGCGCCGACCATCTCTTCATAAACTATACACGAGTCCTGCCGGCTCTACACATTCAGATGCCCCAAACGATACGACTCCACGATTAGATACAAGTCCCATCGAGAAGAGACCCGGTCTCGCTGAGCGACGAGGGACTGCTCCTAGGCCTCTGCCAGCGGCTCTTAGTCCAGGAAGTCCTCCGACAGACGACGGTGGCCTCTTCGCAAAGCCCTTAGGAAATCAATCAAAGCCAGCGGCTGCTGCTTCTAGCACATCTTTCCCCGATTATCATCAGAAACCCTACTATCCCCCACCTAGAGGGAATACTGCGTCGTCGAGCCCAGCTCCGAACAACAATGCAAAGCCTCAAGGTAGTGATGATAACTACCTTAAGATGCCTACAGATAATGGCGTAAACCGTTTTGCCTCAACGGCATCTACATCAACTACAAGAGCGAGCCGAGGATCTCCGCCGCCACCAGAGACACCTATTGTCGAGCCAGGTAACATCCCTGGAGGTGGTATTGAGGCCAGATACGCGGCCGCTGGTATATCCGGAACTGCGACGCTCAATAGTCTTCAAAGTTCAGCAGCAGCTCAGAGGTTAGCGCAATATGGACAGCATCCTGCCACTCAGCAGCCCGCTCGTCCGTGGACACCGACGGAGACTCCAGATCAACAACCACATGGACCTCCTACGGTGTATCAAGGAGCAAACCCCGTTACTAGCCCTACTGCCTCTTCATTTAGTGCCCAAGCACAACGGCCACCGAATATCAACACGGGAGCCAATAACGGCGCCAGCACCAGTAATGGACCCGCCCTTCAGATCAGCGTGTTGGAGCAGGACTTTCAACGAATGCAGATGTCACCAAGTCCCCCACCTGCGTATTCCAGCATTAACCCTGGCGGAAGCTCTTCAGCATATCCTAATGAGAAGCAGCGGCCAGCTCAAGCAAGTTCAAGCTCAACACCTGCCCAAGCTTCTCAGGCGGCATCTCCGCCGAAGAAGCAGGCGGAGATAGCAGCTGGTCTGGCATCTCCAGCGCTGCAACATCCCGGACATCCTGCATTCGCAAATGATCCAAGGCCAGAACCACAGCAACAACAAAATGGCCAGCAAGCGCAAGTTGTCACCCATACGCCTTCTCCGTTTCAAGGGCAAGGTCCTACTTCGCCGCCACCGCTGCCTGAGGGTTGGATCGCACACCTTGACCAGAATTCCGGTCAATATTATTATATCCACTTAGCCACGCAGGCTACGCAATGGGAGTTCCCTAAGGGCCCCAACCCTATTCACCATGAGGCAGCGCCCTTGTCTCCCACAGCATCGACATACGGCAACCCACTGGGCTCGCCAATGTTTGGTAAGCAAAGTGCAATGGCTTCGCCTATGTTCCCGCCTCAAACACCCGGCTATGCGGAGAGTATTATGAGTGTCGCGACAGCGACGCCGACCGCTGCTGGTTTCTCGGGACCACCACCGGGCGCTGGAGTGGATATGTATAAGGTTCAGCCAACGAATGGTGTCTACTTCGGCCCCTATCTTAGGTATACCAACATGGATATCGAGAAGGGAGTTTGGTTGGGAAGTATCCTTATTGTTACCGATGCGCCTCAGCCGCCGACGATACATATCCATCTGAGTGTTGACCTATCGCCAAATCCCCGTCAGTTAATACCTCATTCTATCTATACCCATCAAAGGTGGCAATTTTACAAATATGATCTTGACTTACAGATGGGTGAAGGTGGTACTGAGAGATGGACTTATGCTGTTACTTCGCATCTTGGATGCACTAGATATGAGTTCGTGGTCGCGGGCCGAAACGAGACGAATTGGCGGTTTGTCGCGCATTCAGGAAACGATTTCGCTGCTAGCACATCGCAAAATGAACGGAGTAAGCTCGGCGGACTTGGATTCATGTGGAAAGATGTACTACAAAAGAATGTGGAATGCAATGGCTTCCACGTCCAGCTTGGCTTAGGCGACCAGATTTATGGAGACAGACTATGGAAAGAAGTACCACTCCTGAAACAATGGCTAGCCATGCCAGGAAGGGAGAACAGAAAGAATGCTGCGTGGACGGCACGGCACGAGGAAGATGTGTCACATGCTTATTTCCACTTCTATACTAGTCACTTCGATCAACCCTTTCTTCGTGAGGCTTTCGCTCAGATTCCACATGTCTGCCAGATCGATGATCATGATATGTAAGTTTTCGACTATGGGGATAGTACGGATACTCTTGACTAACTCTACTCTAGTTTCGACGGCTATGGATCTTACCCGGATTACATGCAAAATTCACAGATGTTTAAGAATATTGGTAGGATAGCGGTGGATATGTACCTGCTTTTCCAGCACCATACCACGCTAGAAGTCCTTCGGAATGTCAGTCACGATCTAGACCTATTCACTGTAACGGGTCAGGGTTGGCATTTTATCAAGCATCTCGGCCCCGCCATGGTTGTGGTCGGCGTTGATCTCAGATCCGAGCGGACACAAAACCGTGTGCTCGCGGGCCCGACATACCAAGGTCTATTTCCTAAAGTGGCAATGCTACCGCCCAGTGTGCAACACTGTCTCTGGATGCTATCAGTACCTCTCATCTACCCTCGATTAGACACGGTAGAGAGCTTAGCCAACACATTTGCGACGGGCAAGAAGGCAGTCAACACAACGTACAATGTGCTGGGTAAAGTGACGAGCTCAGTGGCCGGTATCGTCGGCGGAAAGGAGATGGTCGCGCAAGGTTTCAACCAAGTTAAGAAAGCAGTTGGCAAGTCCGGGCTTATGGGTAATGTGGTCAACCAGTTCGGCGACTTGGATATAGGCGAGATCTTGAAAGATATGTGGACGCATGATACTAAGGATCTCGAGCGGACTTACTTGATCCGTACATTACAAGGTATTTCGCATCAGAAGGGCTTACGTATGACATTTTTGTCTGGCGGTATGTTTTCCCCCCTCAATTCCCCAAATCCCTCCTTTAAATCGCGAGTCACTAATAAAAGCCACAGACGTCAACGCCGCAGGAGCAGGTCTAGTCCACGACCCCGCACACCCGAGCGACCACAAGACCATGTACCAGATTATCACATCGCCCATCGTTGCCGCACCTGCTGCACAGTACATCCTCAAGATGTTGCACAGCAACCGCGCGCATTACGTCCCCGCCAACGGTCAAAGATCCTCAAATTCTGCCGACGCGGTGTCAGATACTAAGGAAGATATGATGGAAATCTTCCACACAGATGCCAGCGGCGCGCCTCGAGAATTGAAGAAACTTATGGGTAGACGTAATTACGCGGCATTCGTCGCGTATGATCCAGATGCAGTACCCGCAACCCCGTATGGTGGACAGGGACAGACCATAAGTCAACAAGTTAACGGTGGACTAAGCAAATTGAGTCTTGCGGTGGATTTCGTGGTTCAGGGAGACGGCGGGTTTACGGCGCCTACGAAGTATGGACCTGTTATTGTGCCGCATTTGGAGTTTGGGCGGTAAAGATGGGGTTGATTGTCTGTATATGGGCTGTTATGAGTATAGGTGTCTGGTCTGGTGTGGAGAGGATAGGGGAGAGTGCATAATGATATCGATGTGATGTGATGCGAAGCAAGCCGGAAATTTATGTCTGAACATTTTCGCTTCTTGGATGAATGCCTTGGTTTAGGTAGGAGGTAGAGTAAACATCTAGGTACCTAGGTACTCATGTCTAAATGATTAAATCGAAGTTATGAACGAATACACCGAGATGTTTGAGAGATAGACATGCTTTTAATATTTACTAGATGTTATATATTTGGGGGCATGTATATGTAATTCATCGTTGGTATATTCTCTAGATTGAGCAGGCGCTTAATCGCTCTCTTTTCTCTTAAGTCTTGAATTTTTTTTAAATTCCGTCTTCGTGAAATACCACGATCTAATTAGATCTAGCGAATTTTCCTCGACATGATTTTTCCTTTTTTAGTTTCTTTTCCTTCGGTATATAATACCCTCCTTTCCTCTTTTAATATAGAAAAAAAAAGGTACGTCTATGTCTATAGATCGAAGGTCTCCTTAATCTGCTTCAAGCAGTCCTCAGGACCCTTGACGGAGTGTCCGATGGTGCGGGGGTCGACATAGATCTCGTAGTCATTGCCGCCCTTGTTCGTCTTGTCGCCGAAGAAGTGGATGGTCTTGTACTCGATGCCGCCGGGCTTCTTGGCTTCGTCTTCGAGGTGCTTGAGGCAGTACGTCTTGTCCCAGCCTGTTGGGAAGACGTCGAAGGAGATTTGGCCGCCGATGGAGAAACTGTATTAATACATATTAGCTTTCTGCCTTTCTTACGGACGCTTGAGGATGGTGGGGGAGCTCACGTTAGACCTAGGTGTCCAAACTTCTCCCTCATTTTGCCGACCATGGTCTCACGGATCTTGTTCTTCTCGTCGTAGGCCTGGTACTCGTTTCGTTCCTTGTTACTAGCATTACGGCCAATGGGCGAGACATTGATCATGCCGTTACGGAACTCGATAAAGGTACCGCGCTTAATAGGGATGTCGAGGTCGGCGATGTAATGCAGGATCCAATTGGCGAGCTCCTTGTACCGGTCCTCGCCAATCCACTTAATGAAGCTGTTGGAAGGTAGCTCAGCGCCCAATTTGTAGGCTGTGAGACCGTTCTCGCTGAAGCAGAAGTCGAACATGGTGGTTACGGGCCGGTCAGCGGCGCCGAGCTGCTCTTGCTGCTTTACTAGGTTCGAGCCGCCGACGAAGCCAATGGCGACTTTTTGACGTAGGCGCTCGAGGGTGTGTAGCATCTCGGGGGACACTGAGAGACGCGCCGGTGTTAGAGTCTCGTCGACATCGAACAGCGCGATGGTGTTCTTGATAGGGCGGTCCTCTAGGGGAGGGTAAGGAGGGGCACCGGCGTCCATTTTGGCTAGTATTTTCTGGTTTCTTTCTACTAATCGGTTTTCTCTCGAGACGACTAAGTGAACAGCGAGCGTCTTATAAGCTGAAATCGAATTTAGGACGTGTGGCCTTAAGAATAAGTAGGATATCTGTCTACTTATTTTGTATATGTCGTATTTTCATTAAACTCATTAAACTCGATGGTTGCTGCGCCTTCATCGAGGCGAGCCATAAAATAAAAAAGAAGAGAGAGAAAGTACCTAAGACCCCTGAAGATGGAGGGGGAGGGGTACTAGCTAGGTGCCTAGCCGGTGCGTACCTTCTCGCTAGTACATGTGAATTCGTGTTAGAGAAGCAGCGGATGGGAGGCGGTCAAGGAGTATCGAGGTAAGTTGGACCAATAAAAGTTCGATATTTTCCACATGCTCCACTGATATGCGCTAGCTCACAACGTGCTTGTTCGTTATGTAAGCTAGGACATACCAAAATAGGAGACTCCGACTCTGATTTGCTTACTCATGAACAAATTCAATCAATTCTATCTCTATCTCTACCATCCGTTTCCTCCTTCTATATGGCATCTTCATATATGTTGAATACATGATTTGAATGCCTCTATCCCAGATATATCACTGTCTAATACCAACGAAAATGAGCGACTGATAAAACATTCTAAGCAATGCTGTTGAGGTTGCATTGAGACATAAACCACCACTCCGTCGCCGAAGCAGCATAGCTCTCCGCATTGAGATTCGAAGGCACATGCGGCCGATCTTTCTGTGGTTTCTTAGCTTTAATCGCGTTGACCCAATCCGTGTGAAGCTGGCGCGCCGCCGTCTGGGGATCAGTCGAATAATGACCGGTACCATAGACATCTTCAGTACCCTTAGTTTGGCCACCTACGCTACAGATGCAGTGACATCAGTAAGCTATGTTACACCGCATAGAGCAGACCGGACTTACCCATCGGGATGAGATGCGAGACCGGCACGGTCCCCAGCCTCGTATAAATGCGTGAGTTCGTGGAGTACGGTGGTGCCCGCGACTTCGAAGTCGCGGAATTTGTTTCCTGGCTTGCACCAACTCTTCTGGCGACGATTGGGGTTTTGCACGTAAGGTAGAGAGTCTAGGTTGTTCTTGGTACGTGGCTCATTGGGGTTGAAGAATAGTGGACAGAAACGCATTGATGGGACGAAGTTCCTGGCGGCTTGTTTGATATCGGTGACGACGTAGGAACTGGTCCCTCGGCTAGCGTCCCTGCATACAGGGCTGTCTTCGCAAGTAATGTGCGTGGTGAATTGGCGCAGCTGGACTGGGGAGCCTGCTCCGGGCTTGCCTGGAGGCGGTGCTTGCCACTGCTGTCCGATGGCATTCAACATAGCGTTCACGACACTAAACTCATTGGGTTGGAAGTAGTTGTTGTAACTACGGAGAAGAGCCAAGTCAGTAAATCCAGCACAAGCGGGGTTCGATATCTATCGATTACCCACGCCGGAGACGACTGATACGTCTGGGCTCCCCGGTTCCTGGTGTGCTGTCGTGCCATAACAGCCGCATCTTGAAGAGCCTGGTGGATTTTGTTTGTCTGGGCAGGATTGCAGTGGTCATAACCCGTGAACTGCCTTGCGAACAACGCTGGTGCCTCGTCGGTAAAGTTGAACCCGCCTTCTGGGAAACCAGAAGGTGTTGCTAAGACCTGTCCAAGTGGGACAAGAAGGCCTATAAGCAAGAGTTTAATAGAATGCAAAGACGCCATTGCAGAAGGTATGAAATTGGATACGTTTAAGGGGCTAAGTATGTGATGATTTGATTCTAATAGAGATCATTATATCTACGTTCCATGCTTCCCTTTTATTTACTCTATCTACCATTACTCTTCGCTTTTGTTGGTAGGGACTCTTCGGTCAGAGGTCGGACACCATTCGTAAATTGAGGATGTGGGTGGCTTCGCATCACCAACTCTCTACGGCAAAGCAATTCTTAGGATTTTGGTATCACACGGCGAGTCCTTGCTGACAGGTCTCAGTTGGTCATATACGCAAAGCCGGCAACGAACACAATCGAGATAGCTCACGAGGTTCTCAGAGTATACACGTCCTCATACGAGTTTCTGTTAGCACAAGAATTAAAGCTATCCTCAGCTTACTAGTGAGTGAATGAAGCTGTAAGATATAGAGACTGGAGAATTCTACACCAACATCTTCTGGAGTAGGGCTGAGTGAGCTGATTACCCCTTAAAATGACATTCAGCGGAAGCTACATATGTATCTCTTATTCAGAATTAAGCTTATAGCATACAAACTGTATTTAGAACACATAATGACGTACAGCCCGCTAATATAGTTCTAACAACACAAACAGTATCCACGTGGTACATTGTCATACTGTTAACAACAGTGGTCTTATTCTTATACACTTGGACCCCCCAACAGATCCACATCGCCTCAAGATTATCCGTCCTCGCAACGTTTACCAACGATGTCTTCCAAACCCCAAGCCGAGGTCGAGATCTCAGTCTCCGTATCACCGGACACAGTGAGCCTTTCACGGCTCGAAGATCCCCTGACTATCACCGTCACGGCCAAGACGATATCTTCTAGTAAACCGGATTTTGGTATTTGGATTAATGTGCGATGGTCGGCTTTAGACAACAGAGGTCAGGGCTTATTCAGAGGAGCTTTGGTGCTGAGGAGTGTATCGGATCCGGAGGATATCATCTCTTTTGCGCCGGCGGTTAGGGTGTCATATTCTACGGCGGGCTTTGATCCTGATCTTCGCAAGAATGAGTTTGAACATTTTCTACTCCTACCGGGAGTTGGGGAGGGTGAATTGACATCAACTCACGAGATAACGGGGGAGAGGATATTTCAGTATAGTTCAATTCAGGTACGCCTATGACTTTCTTCACCATAAATTTGTATATACTAATATGTCTACAGCCTTCCGACGTTTCGCCCGACTTCGAATATCGCATAGAGTTTACGGAGAAGTGGTTGGGCGTTCACTGGTGGACGTTTGAAGACGAGGCCGAGGGCAAGATGTTCTTCGAAGGGATTAAGTCCGATGAGGATGGGATGTGGGGACTTAGAGACGACGACCCAGCGTTCGTTGCGGAACGGTATAAGGAAGGTTATATCTATAGCAATAACCTTCGCGACTTCAAGTATATTGTCAAGGAAGATCCACCTGCGACTATCACGTTCGTTGAATAAATCTAAGGAGATCAAGTAGCAGGGAATAGGAAGTTTAACGAATTTCTCTTCGAGCAAGATGTTGTTACACTAATTCTATATACTACTATACTACCTCGTGAAAGATACACATTCATAACAATTTTCTATCAGTCATACCACCAATTAAACCCTACTTTCATAATCTCATTTCCATATACTAGAGACCTTTCTCAATAAGCGACATCTTGCCACAGTCCCGTTATTTCTACAGCCAAATTCAACACCGTGCTAACAGACCAGAGGCAGATTAAGCCCCAGCCGATCTTCCTACTCATGATCCATTTATTCATGGGCACGACGGTAAGTAGAGCGAATAATGTGATGAGCAGGGTTATCGCTGATATCATCAATGTCCCGCTGACTTGTATGTGGTATGGTTTATACTGTATCGGCTTGTCGGGGTGTTTGGCTTTATGCTTGTTCGCTGCGTTTATGGTCTGGTATGCGCCGCCTAGACCGATGCCGAGTAATATGTTCAACAAAGGACCGCCGAAACAGGCAGATCTGTGTGATGTTAGTGTTAAGACCAGGCGGTAGTAATATTTTTGGGGAATGACTTACAATGCCATCACTGGATATCCTAGTCGGGCGACGGTGACATCTGCGACTAGGTCTCCTACTGAGTTACCCACCGCAAAGACGGTGAGGCCCAGTATGGCTTCGGATATATCCAAGATTACTCCGAATGCTTTGAGTACTCCGACAACTTCACCAGCGACGGTAGAAATCCACGCGATTGATATACAAAATCCCAGGAAACAGAATAAGAAATGATACTTAGGTCGGTGATCGGGCGATGTGGCCAGGAGTATAATGCCGAATAGAACTACAGAGCAAGCCAATGCAATTAACATGGCCTTAACGAGGATTGTGACGGGTTGGTCAAGTTCCTCGGCCATATTTGCCCAGACAATGAACACACAGAATAAGGGACCGGTAAAAACCTGGAGGATCAGCAACCAGCGGTTCCATCCTTGTTCCTCATCACCCAGGGTTGATTCTTGTCCTAGTTCAGAAGCAGGTTTTGATATTTGTATTTCTGAAGCGGTGAGGGTTGGTGGCGCCTGAGTCTGGTCTGACTCTTGCGCAGCATTAGAGATGGTTACGGAAATGACGCTTGGCGAATGACTGCGACTGGATGTCCTAGATTTCGTACGCCGTCTATACCGCTGCCATTCTGTTTCAGGCTGGATAGAAACTCCTTGTTCGGTAGATACCGGCGGTGCTGCCGTATCACCCAGGTGACCTGATCCCAATTGTTCTACAACGCTATCATCTGAAGAGTCATCTGGTGATTCGGTTTCGACCACAGGTAATGTAATAACTAGCAAGAAAATGCTAGGCACCGAGATTATGCTGACGAATTTATCCCATATATTCTTCGTCCGCCAATTTTGTAAGGTAGGAAATAAAGTATAGAATATAGTCTGCGGTGGGGGTAATAATTGGTAAGGCCACCATCTAACAGGTTTCGGGTTTTCACGCCCGACCGTTAAGTCGGGAAAAGAAGCGCTTCGCTCCTCAACAGAAGGTGGTAGCATTAGGTGAGGGAGATTTTGAGAATCCTCCACCATCACCAGAGGCGACTCTGTAAAAGCGGGGAATGGCGATAACGATGGCGAGGATCTCTCGCTATCTTGTCCACTATGGGGAGAAGGAATGCGGAGGCGACTCAACTGGGGTGGTTGTTTCGGCGCCAAGTTTTCTGCAGAGGATGTGCCTGCATGATGGCTGCCGAATTGGTCGGATGGCGGAGGTGCCAACTTCCCTCCGATCGTGTGTGGACTGGGGGTCCTACCCCTACTTTCTTCACCTTCCGACGGCTCTCGAGGTGCAAGGTCAGCATCTACAACAATCGGGATAGCCCCCGATGACCGCGCACGATTCCTGTTCGCAACGGCGGCATCTTTGACATCCTGTATTGTCTGTATGCTCTTATTTGCTCGAACGACACGTCCGCCTTGCAGAAGGTCGGCAGAAGAGCTTCGGCCGTGTAATGGCCGCATACGGACGTTCCCCTCATGCTGCAACGAGGACAGAACAGATCTGAACTCAAGCGCACCGACCAAACTGGGTCGGATGGGAGTAATTGTCGTCGTGTTGCTTCTCCTTCCACGCGGACGATTTACTCGCATGCTGCTTGCCATTTCCGCAGCAACGTGCTGGCTGTGGTCACTGTCCTCGTCGTCGTCGGGGCCGCCAATTTCAATCCTAGGAGTTCGCTCGAGCGTCCCAACATCAAGAGCACTAGACCCGCTCCACCTTGAGATGCGACGTTCCGCCGGCGGAATGTCTTCATCTGGGTCATCTCTATAAGGCTCCAACGCATCATCGCTGTGTTCATTCGTGGATGCATGAAAGTGCCCACGAGATAAGGCCTCTTTCGCTCGTCTTGCCTTTCTCCTCTTAGAAACCGCGTGCCAGCTAACGACCACGATTACGTAGAAAATGTAGAAAGCGATCATGACACCGCACTCCCATATGTGAATCTTCCCATCAGCCAAGAAGCCCATCGCAAAGCTAACAGCTATAATGAAAAAGCATATATCTCGCACAAACGTCTTTCTACCAACTTTGAACTCGCGTACTAGAGCCATAGACCCAGCTACAACAGAAGTTATAAATCCGGCGGCGCCGATCAATTCACCAACGGCCATACTCCCACTATTGGAGCTCATGGCAGCAAAGGTGCTGAACACATCCGGAGATCCATTGCCGAATGCCAAGAAAGTGACACCAGCCAAGCTCTCACTTAAGCCAAGAATTGTGGCAATCGTACTGAGATTGACACTGAAAAAGTCACTTGCAGCTATGCCGATGGTGGTAAATAGAAGGCCTAACCAGAGGACCAATATGACAAAGGCGACGGGTTGTGCTTTTCCGAGGCCGCAATAATAAAACGAGAGATACTCCAAAAGGCCTGCTTCATCATCGTGACAATTGCGCTTTACAAAGGCGCATTTGTCATGAGCGGTGTGTACCAACCGGCAGTCTTCACCGGATCGCGAAGATAGAGGTGGCGATTCTTTTGATGATACCGTCGGTCCTCTGACGAATATGGAATATGTGGTGATAAGGGTGATGAGGAGAACTGTGGTATAAAAAGGACGTGAGCTGAATGGCCTCTTCCTCCTCGCAACTCCGGCGGTATCCATCTTAAGTTTAGGCCGGTTGGCAATCCCTTAGTACGCCATAACCGAGAGGGTGTGTAAGATGCCCTAACTGAATAGAGAATGGGGGCACTTGATATTAATATATTGGTTAAGTTTGTTAACTAGTTGGATAGAAGAAGTCTATTATGAAAATTGAATGAGAGAAAAGGTGATAAAGAGAGGAGTGTTGGAGAATTTGAGTATTTGAGTATCCGTTAAGATAATGAGTTGTTCTGGGTACAAGCTGGTGAGTACGTAGTGGACTAGTAGGCGGTAAATTGAAGATACTAATATCGAATGGAGTATGGTGAGAATGTAATGTACCTGAGTACTCTTTAACTCAAACGGTAGAGACCTATCATATACCCCTGTCGATACCCCATAGGTACATCCGATTGACGTGGACGATGAACCTTACCAACCTTACCAACCCCCGGGCCACTCTAGCGACTTGGGAACTCTTTGTAACTGGTCTAGTGCATCAGATACCTTTCCCAAGCTGCCGGATTCAAGGCATTGACTTTGGCAGATGGGTTGCCTCAAACAAATCATGACACGCTGACGTCAAATTTAGTATATCGGGTTCGTGATATAGTTATTGATACGGTAGTTGACCGAATTGTATATTAATAGAAGATTATAATAGGATGATAACCATGGATGAGGGAATGATTCGGCTAGTCTTGCTCCATCCTTTTTTCGTTTGAGAGGGGGTTTCTAAGAAGTAGTGACGAAGTATTCGCCCTAAATACTTAGTACCGTACTTGAATACCTACCAAAAATGGAAATCGATTTTGTAGGTTGTGCCACACGCCACTTGCTACCCCTCGTGGTTGGCTCAGGCGCAGCAGCTGGGAAACATAAACAAGACCGACCCGACCTGATCCACATGGATTACATAAGGTTCCCCACTAAGCAAGCTGGCAAGCTACTAAACGTTATTATTGACCAAAAGAAGTTTAGCGCGTTTTCGGATTGTTTACTTGCGCAAAAGGTTTCCCCCCCAATTCCCAAAGTTGGTCGGCAAAGTCCCAAAAATACACAAACGCGCGAAATGTGTGCGACCTACCATCACAACCCACAAACATTGATTGATACCCAACTCATATGTGCATCACGATCCAACAAAGATGCCTCGAGTAGCTCAGGTCCCTCGCGCAAGCGCCGGTAGCAGAACCACATCCGGGTCTTCCGGCTCACCGTTTAAATCTCCCCTCAAGTATGTCCCTCCAAAATCGCATTTGTTTATTCCCGTCATCACCAAGTTTCCTCCCTAGCAACCAAGAAATACTAACAACGAACAACTAAACAGAATCCCTCTCAACGACGACGCACAAGAAAAAAAGGGCCGGCTTCACTCGCGAAGAGCCCTGCACGAAAAACAGATTAACGAACTGCAGGCTGCTGCGGCGACGCCTGCGAAGAAAGCTGGGCACAGGCTGGCGGACATCGAGAATGCGTCTCCCCGCTCGAACCCGCGGACCCCGCGACGCGGTGCAGGGGACGACGACGATGATGTATACGTGGTCGGCGGCAATAGCGGCGTCACCCCGATGAAGCGAGTGCCGATTCTAGCCAATTTCGAAGAATGGATGAAGATGGCTACCGATAACAAGATCAACGCTACGAATTCTTGGAACTTCGCCCTTATCGATTATTTCCATGATATGTCGCTTCTAAAGGACGGGGATGGTGTTAATTTCCAGAGAGCGAGTTGCACGCTAGACGGATGTGTCAAGATTTATACGAGCAGAGTCGATAGTGTAGCGACGGAAACAGGCAAGTTGTTAAGCGGTCTGGCGGATAGCAACTCCAAGAAAAAGGGCAAGGACGGCGATGCGGATGGCGAAGACAGCGAGGAAGAAGTTGACGAGGATGGTAATGTCATCAAGAAAAAGACCAAGAAGCGGGTTAGTTTGTCCTTTTACAACCTTTCGCAACCCAACATCAGTGTTAACTTTGAATTTGTAGCAACGATCCTCCGAAGCGACTCTTGCGCCGTCATTTGCTTCCTTGCAACTCAAGAAATTCGAACTCGAATTCTCGGTAGACCCATTATTCAAAAAGGCTTCGGCAGATTTCGATGAGGGTGGTGCGAAAGGTCTCCTGTTGAACCACCTAATGATCGACGGTCAAGGTCGCATTGTATTCGACAGCAGCGACGATGTCTCAGCAGAAGGCAGAATCAAGCCCCGAAGAAGAGAAGATGTCACCGCAGAAGAGGAGGAGGAAGAGTTAGAGGAAGAAAAGGAAGACACCATCACAGAAATGCAACCTGCCCAAGAAGAGGAAGACGTAGAGATCGACATTGGTGCGCTTGGCGCTAAATTCTTCCCCGACCTCAACATATTAGACGAGCAAGATATTTGCCCATCGCTAAAGACTTTCGAACTCGGTAACCCATCAGGTTCTCTGGATATCCCGTTCCTACGCGCCTCCGAACACGATGACGAAGATGAAGACGAGAGTGGAAATGGTGGTGTCGGTAACAAGTCCGGCATGTTTATCGACGACGATCCTGCCGGCTTCGATGATATGACTGCCATGGGAGGTTTCGATGTTGCCGAGGTCGCATTCGGCGAGGGTGGTGAAGCATGGGCACGAGAAGCTGCGCTGGAACCCCAGATGCGACCGTACAGCGTTGGTGCCGATGATGGCATGCCTGGAGTCGAAGGTGCCGACGGCGTCGATGACGAAAAAGGCGATTATATCATATCTATGAATCGCGCTAAGAACAGCGATAAGATGCACGAAGATATCCTTGGCTATTTCGACCAAGCACTCCAGAAGAATTGGGCCGGCCCGGAACACTGGAGGATACGAAAGATCAAAGACGCCAATAAACCCGAAACGGCTACTCGCCAGCGAAAAGAAAAGGAACCCTTCGAAATCGACTTTAAGTCGCCTCTAGACCAGAAGTTAGCCGAGACCATTTTCACACAAGCAGCAAGCAATTCCGCCATTTCCATGCCCAAGAAGGACTGGAAATCCAAGACGAGGAATTTGCTCCCTGATGACAAGCACTTCAACTCGACGCAACTCCTAAGCTTGTTCCTTAAGCCCAAAGCCCGCATGGGCCGCCGACATCGCAAGGGCGGTTTGTTCGGAAACAACTTTGGTAGCGGCCAGCAAGACAATAATAACAACGTCGCGCCAGGTGACATGGACGAGGCTTTCTGGGCACAACGGGAGCCAATGCAGAGCGCGGAACAGGACACCGTACTACCCACAGGCGACTATGATGCCAATTTCTTTGATGATGAAATGCCACTTCCTGGAGGTGGAGTCTTGGATGACGATGATGACCTTGAGTTTGCTGATGCTCGGGATCACTTCTCTCCAGGCGCTGACGCGCTCCCTACTGCTCAGGATATAGGAATCACGGGCATGCTTGATAATGGCATGACGACAGGCGGTTTCGGTACGCAACTCGTCACGTCAACGCGTCGGTTACGACCTGAGTACGTACAGTACGCCCGTGTCGCCAAGAAGGTTGATGTACGTCGGTTGAAGGAAGAGCTTTGGAGAGGAATGGGTCTACCGGAAACCGTTGATGTAAGTCACCAAAACTCCGTCTTTGTTCTCGCCTCTTTTATCTAAGCAGCCTACTAACATACCCTACTACAGGATGCCAATAACCACTCCCGTCTCCCAACACCGCCGTCCGAAGCCGAGAAACCATCACCACCAAAGGAAGAAGAAGAGCCGCTCAAGTTCACGCACGTAATGAACGATTTACAAGCAGTATATCCTAAGTCCGTGATGGACGATATCTCGACAAGTTACTGCTTCATTTGTCTACTGCATTTGGCGAACGAGAAGGGTCTTTCGATCGAAAATACACCGGAGCTTCTGGAGTTGGAGATCCGGAGGGATTGGTCGGCTGAGGTTACTGGGGAGATTTGATCACACTCTAGTAGTATACCCATCTATTCGGGTTGGTCGTCAGGGAATGGAAACATGAATGATTACGTGGTATTGACGATTATTAGTTGGGACGGAGTGAGCAAGCAATTCGTTTTTGCGCGATGGTCCGGTACATACGTACCTAGGTTTTCATGATATGATGTGAACGGCGGATAGTGGTCGGCGAGCCACCTTTGCTTATGCTTACTTTTGTTATCGGGTTACGGGTGATGATCGATTGAAGTAGCAATAGCAAGCAAGCAAGCAGTATATGTGCGTACGGAGCGTAGGTATTCTTTACTACGTGTCTAGGTACCCAATCCAATTTTCAATTCTTCAATATTGCCTTTCATGTTGATGTTGTCGTGGATTCGTTAAGCGTAGTTTGACGTAATGTGTTCCTTTATTCAAACCTAATATGTATACTATAGGTATCTATAATATAACCACCCATACCATATCGTCCTGTTATCCGATAAATGTGTGTACTGTTATTCCATCTTGTATCCCATCCTGTTATACATAGTATCGTTACAGACAGTGCATACAACTACAAAACAAACAATCATCATCTTGACCAACAGTAGTGAAGTAGATATATTAAGATATCCATGGCAACCACAAAGTACGCGCCCGTATAAGGGCAGTAAATCCCCCCCGAAAATCACCACTAAAAAGTTGAACATTTTTGTGTTTGCCTCAAGATGGGCAGCAGACAGGTGAATTAAGTCCCAGAGAACCGACAACCCCCAAAACGCCCCGATTTTTCATTTCTTTCGTAAGTAATAAAAAGTGCCACCTAATAGTAGCCCCTGGAAAAAACTCCTATATATATCAACCAGATAGTGGTGATAAAAGTAGTCGTGATAATCGGATTATATCGTAGAACGATAAATGTTGGCATCAACATTGATGCCAAAAGATGGGGGATTCCTTCGTTCGTAACCGGCTGCCATAGATCTTAAGAGAAGTAAAATATGGGTATTTAGTTAAATGGCCTTGAAGTTCTTGCAATTGCAACTCATTGAAATCTCCAGGGGTAAAGAAACGCGTTCGAGCCAAGAGTAAGATGAACCTGTCGATGATCGCTCCTAAGCGATCATGTCACATTGCAATTTCCAAACGCTCGATTCCCTCAGCAATTCCAGTCATAAACATCAAGATCTCGTAAATGCCATGCTCCGCCGAACCTAAATATGCAAATGCGATTAGAGCATAAATCCACGAAGGAAAATAAAGGGCAAAGCGACAAATATTCCTGGTTTACCGCCGGTCAACAATTTCTCGCGCTTTAAGCAATGCACTGATACCGTCGAGGCTATTCTCGTTTGGAGTACCTAGCTTTGAGATACCTGACAGTTTTGACTCGGTTGATACGCCGAACACGGCTTCCTTCTGAAGCCCTGGTGCCGAATATTTCGGGGCAGTTGGGCCGGGGAAATACCCTATCGAGTATATTAGTTTTGCAGCAAGAGCCTTTCGGAACCTTCACGCACCATTACTGTGGATCTCGCTACCATTGCCATTCATCTGTTCACCAGGCGGACGACCAGACTGCGGCTGAAGTATCGGGAGCTGTGTTTGCGACGCTGGAGGAGCTGGGCAAGCGAATGGAGGCTCGGGTTTCGATGATAACAATGCATGGATCGGTAATGATGCATCGCTCGGTGTTCTCGGAACATTGTAGGAATTGAGCGAGCTTACGCTGCCTGTTGAAGATTGCTCTGTTTTCAGCGACGGTGGTCGCGACATAGACGTTGACACCGAAGATCTCGAACCGCGACTAGAACCATTGCTTGGCCCGCGATTCGGGATAGAGTTGGATAAACCGCCTTCGGGCGAATGCAGAATATTTCCTTGAATTCCTCTCGGATCGAACCAGGAAGCACTCCCATTCAAGCCGTCTCCAAAACTGCGTTGGCTCTCGGCCCAACCAGATCGACGACTCGAATGGTGAGCGGAGGGGTCGCGAGAGGTAGGACTCGATAATCCCCGTGACCGTCCGTTGTTTAGTTCATCGTACGATATATTCCTTGGCGAATGTAGTGGCTCGTCCCCATTGTGTATTCCATTTAATCGCGGAGAAAAGTTGCTTTCGATAGTAGACGCCGAAGATCCCATTCTTTGTTGACGCGAAGGAGGAGGTTCGCTGCCGGGTTGGCTGTCTGAGCCGCTAGCGGTGCCGCTGGTCGTACCACTCGCTCCTATTGAACCACCACTCGTACTACTACCGCGGATACTGTCGGATTCCGTTTTGAGTCGTTTGGAGACATCTTTTTCTATTTGGTATGTCAGAATTCAACGTCTCCAAAAATCGTCGTAGTTGCTCAATTTTGTTACCTTGTAATTGAGTGGCTTGTCTCTTGCGGAATTCATGCAAGTAATCGCAATACTTCCTATACTCGTTCGTCTTTTTGTAGTCGGCTAATTCGCGATTATATTTCTCCTTGGCTTCGTGCGCTTGTCGTTCGAAGGGTTCTTTTTCGTCGCGGTTCAGATTTTGCCAGTTTTCACCGACCAATTTGGCAATTTCCGTGAAGGTCAGGTTCTGACCTTTCAGGTCCTCTCGCATTTCTGGAGCACATCAAATCAGTAAGCGCCATCTGCGTCGCAACCAATGAGACGATAATCCGCAAAACATATAGCGCTCACTTACTATTCGAGAATAGCACATATGCCGAGGGGGGTCGTTCCGGAGCATTATCATCTGGCTATTGCAACGTTAGTTAAACGCACGTCATGTATCAACGAGTAAAAAAGACATCAAAACCGCCAAGCCGTCCAACCGCACGGGAAACGCAAAATATCAACAGGTGAGGGGGGCGAACCTTTGGATGCCGTCTGTATTTGCGTTTCGCGACGGCTGCCCCATCTGGCTTCTCGGGCTTGAGAGGCTCTGTTCGATTTGAATCCAGCCTAACATCTTCGATACTGGTGCGAGTCGGTGATACTAAAGATGTCTCGGGCGCGACACCTCGATAATTGGCTATGCGACGTTGGAGTTTCTTAATAAATCAACAGTTAGTAAACCGTCTCGTTTTTGCGCATTACTCGAGGAATCGCCCTACTCTTCGATGACCGAGTTTAACACCAAGCGCGTCTCTAAATGCCACCAAGTCAGCTATTGGCCCAAGCCACGAATGAGCGCCATGTGGAACAAACTTACAGGTCAGATTCGGTTATGTCTAGGATAGTTTCCCACGAATCGAAGCCCTGTTCGACGAAGGCGTCGAGGTATTGAGAGATGCCTAGCTCGCCGAAGATCGCTTCGAGGGAATTCATATAGCTAATATTTGGCCGCGTCTTTGCGGTTCTGTTCACTAGAAAATCTTTAATTCAACATCAGGCTTCTCACAACCGCACGTGCGTGTAACGATTACGATGCAACCCGTCCGTGCCCTATAGCTGGTCTTTCTTGGCTTTCGTTTGAGCAGTAGTAAAATTTCACGGGATCGGGCGCTGCTCCTGGCTAACGATTCGAAACGTTGGATGGTAAACTAAAACTCCTTTCCGCGACACTCCAATTTGATTCCTAGGCGAGTTTGTGCTCTTCCTCACCGAAATTACTGGTCTAATAACCAGCCTACTAAGGCAAGTTGTCGAGACTGAAGATTGCTTGCGTTTTTTTTTCCCACGTTGCTGACGACCTGCCTGCGGGAGCAATCGAGAATGAAGAATCCGGGGCTACGAATAAAAGATGGAGACGCGTCGTGGATTTGATGATGCGAAGTTCTGGGTGTGGGGCGTGGGGTCTAGAATTACAAGAGTGCGGCGCGTGTATATGTGTATTGAGGTATGTTATGTATGTATAGTAAGTCAGTTGTATGTGTGTGTGTGTGTGTGTAGTGTGCAGGTATGTTATGTTAGTTCCTCTTTTGGTGTGCCTTGTTCTGTTCTGTACTTGTCTGTTTGCGTGTGCTGCGACTGTAACTCTGTATGTGATGAAATGCCGAGAAGGCTAAGCTTAGAGGGAGCTCTGCTCGACGAAGAAGGGGGAAAAAACGGCTACGGCTAGGGTGCGCGTGTTGTGGTGCGGACTGCGAGATCGTTATGTTGTGGCATCAACGGGATAGAAAATCGAATTTGTCTGTTTGCCCCGTAATAGTCAATGGCAATGTTTAAGGGAAATGTGGAAATTTGGCATTCTGGATCCCGGGCTGTTGTGGTGATATACGATCCCTCTGCATTTTCCAGATCTCGATGAGTAGTGCAATCGACGAGAATCGAAAAATCGAAAGAACTTGACGTGTGACAGCAAAAAAAGGGCAAAATCAGAAAGTAAGAGAACAGAACACAACGGTTGCGGCAACGGCCCAGAAAAGCTAGCGCTTGCTCTTGTAAAGGGAAAATAGAACTCACCTACAGGATTAGCTCCCCATTTCTCAGATGGCCGGTGGGAGGTCCTGGGAACATGCAAGCACAAAATGGCCTGATGGGCTGATGGACAATAATATGTTCGGCCGGTGGACACGGTACCTGGGAGAAGAACCTAGGAGAGACCTAGTAGGCTAGCACCTAACTAGGTAGTAGACAGACTTGGGCGAAAGAAAGAGTGAGAGTGAGAATGAGAAGAGAGACCCCCCTTGTATGTAACTATCGAGGTATGAGGTCACGCTCTACAGTCCCGGACCTGGGCGAGACTATTCAGGAACGTGACTATTCCCAGAAGATCCTAACCCGAGTTGTTCCAAGACCCATAAATGCAATGTTGAGAGAATCAAGCTCATGCAGCCCGGCCAGGGCTAAAGCTTAGGTGCTCCAGTTGGTAGGCAGCTTTGCCCAACTTCAAAAGGGTCGTCCACCTCCCTAGATCCGAACCTCACTTTGTAGAACTCATACAGCTTCGCAGAAAAAAAGGAAATTCGCGAAGTGGTGTCGAGCCGAAGTGTGGTGCCTGGGGGCAATCATGGGAATGGAGCTATGGCACAGCAGGCCGAGGGGAAAAAGAGGGAAATGTTACAGGCTGAGGTTGAGATCGAGATCGCACGCCGAAGCTTACGACAAATGAGAGGCAACGTCTGTTGCAGTGGGTTGCTTCGTCTCGTGTCTCCTGCCCAGGATGTGCGTCTTGTTCCCGAACTCGCCGCTATCGTTTTCCCCCCTTGACGGCATTACCTTTTTATTTGATTTATTATTTTATTCTTTTTAATTGACGTTGCGTTCGGGCGGCGCTAGTGAGAGCCGCTTGACTCTGGGACGAGTAAGTTTTACGTCTGCGTGCTCGTATGTCGACCTCATCAAGGGACGAGCTCAGAGGTCCTAAAAGGGACTGGTCTCTGTTGCAGTCAACCAGGAGATCGGTGATGATGATGATGCGATTTCTTGTCAGGTACGGTACCGGTACCCTTTTTCTTTCCAAGGGCTACCAGGCATCGGGGTGCCGGACCACCAGCCAATATTGATCAAAGGTTGAAAAAAGAGACAGGAGCCAAGAGGGCTACCAACAGGTCGCCAATGAGATGTAAGTAGATTGAGAGAGGGCAGGGTGCCGCAATCGACTTTTCAGCCCGGGATCGAAAGTCTTGGCACCTACCAGGCTTAGGAGCTAACGAACCCCAGACTTGTCGAGTTCCGTCAGATGTTTTTGATTTCCTATTACAGTTCATCTTCACAAATACATATCCTACGTATCGGCGATTGCCCCCGTCTCATCGGCCCCCACTACCCATTACTTTATGTAGAGAGGGCATCAGAACAGAGGTAGAGGGCATCTGGACCCGGTGTTGTGGTATTTTAAGCGACTGTCTGTCAGATGTCATGTTGCTTTCAAACTCGTAAGTTATGCTGGATCGCGATAGGCCAGGTTCGAGATTCGATCGAAGGAGAAGGAGAAGACTGGAAGATTAGAATAGAATCATCCCCCCATGCAACGATATCATGCCGGTCGTCATTGTGGGACAAGATCGAGATTGGAGAAGAATAAAAAGGCTTCCACAGTTTAAGACAGTACGTATTACCACGGTACGTAAGGGACCCTATGTATTATTATTTTTTATGGGATGTGCGTGGTTGGCGACGACTACAAAAAAAGTTGTATGGAGGTAGAAACACGAGCGACCAATCAATTTACACTATTGATTGATCCTGCGGATATAATGATGGAGAATCACCTGATCACTAGTGAAAGTGGATTTGTGCGATAATTCTATCTTGCAGGGGCGATGCAGCGAGGCAGCGAGGGGATCCAAAATTGAGGTTTTGGCTTTTCTTTCTCATCCTTTTAAACGCATGTACTCCCTAACATCCACATGGACCATGACCATGACGGGGCAGAGCGGGTCGGCACTATTACACTAAACTTTCCCCGTCGAAATGGATGGAATTCTTCACCATTTGCCATTTCTAAAAGACTTGAAGTTTCCAATTTACCATTCAAGCTAATGTAACTAAGTATATGATAAATCATCTGACAGATCCATAGAATTAAAACTTAAAGCTCCAGTCTGTCCGACATCCGACAGCTTAGTCTAAGCTTAGCATCACAGAAAGAAAGAAAGAAAGAAAAAAAAACATCCTTGACAGCTAGCCACATAATAGCCTCGTCCTTGGAGGCTACAACAAATATTACGACTGTAAGAAACGGTACGTGCAAAAAACAACAACAACACGTGGAATCATTCCTTCAATAAGATATTACAAATCCTTCTCAACGTGCACTACTTTTATATATTTACACAATCATATTATATATATACGGACAGTACCAATCCCCCCAAAGCCAATAGGCCAATGGCAGTATACTCCAAGACGTTGAGAAACGTTATAGAAAATGCCGAGATCCAGCGATCTAGACCGCGGGAATGACTGGCAATCCTCGCCTCTAACATCGGGCTTATTTGCCAGCTGGAGAGAAGATCGACATTTGAGGCCACCGTTTTGCTGTCGATCCTCAGTAAAATAAGGCCATGCTTGCATACATATTTGTCCAAACGTCGCATTTGCGCTTCTCATTTCCTCATATCCTAAACCCTTAAATTGATCTCACGTGGGGAGGCTGACAGTTGGGGTCCTTTCAAGAAATCACTCGGATCGACCCGTCTGCCCAATCTTGTCCCATCTCGTCTCATCTCCACCTCCCAATAATCGCTATCGTTATCACTCGACGCCTTGATACGTCGATACGGTGCTATTCCGAACAAATAACCGCCAGGTGGCAATCCGAACTGCAGTAACAACCAGCAACTCCTCACTACTTTTCGCCAATCAACTCATTCCATCCCTTCTCCTCAAAGGTCCACATTGAATCTTGGATCCGGGATCCCAACCGATCTTTATATTTTCCCAGCCATTAAACACGGCGGTTTACTTTTACGCAAACTACGGTACCTACCTACGCAGATACGGTAATAAGTTCGCCATGTCCAATTCATCTTCAGGCAACAGTATCAGTTCCACGTCCACCACCAAGACTGAAAAGTCTAATGGCGGTCAAGTGAACGGCTCCGCTTCAGCCGAAGCAGAGATGGCTAAGGTAAGTGGACGCCTCTAATAATAAATGTCTCGGGTATCCGATGTTCCTTGATCTAACTGGAATTTCTCGGGGATCCGTAGGCATTCAGAGAGCTTGCTAGGTACGTGGAATTTTCTTAATTTTCATCATAGCCTTGTTGTTACAAGTTCATAATGAGTTCCTCGGGGAGATCGACGGTCGATCGCATCGAATTGTCCAACTCGTCTCGTCCCGGGCAGTGTGTTCAGGAGTGTGGCCACATGGAAATTGCCCGAATTCGCCTCGAATGTCCCATACCTTCGCCATGCCAATCAGCTTCTAGACCCTTACTTTGCCCATCTTTTTCCCATCATGCCAAAGGTCCCTTTTTGCATATACTTAAGCATGGTAAGCGCGGCATTTTCCCCCGTCGCGCGGCCTCCCCTTGTCTATACTAAAGGGCTAAACGAAGGTCTAGATCCTCATTCAGGAGCCACAGCGAGTCTTACCTAACTAATTTCTACCCGAGTACAACGTCCACATGGGAAAACCCGTTCTCTTTCCTATCGACTTTTCCATCTAGTATTACTTTTCACTATGGATTCCCCCCGGTTATTTGACAACGTGGCTGACAATATCGCTCCACATTGCGTCTTGCTAGCACTCAAGCGGTTTAGCATGACGACTTGCTCCACGTCGGATACCTAGCAAAGTTGCCTAGGTCACCGGATCATTTCCATGCCAATATCAATGCCGGCGTCCTTCATATTATGAGTCTTCCCGTTCCTACGTGGCGTTGTCCCCTGTCATGGCGCGTGCCGGATGACTAGCCTTACAAGCTTTGCGCCTATTAGATAGTCTGATCCAGTTAACGGGGTCCCCGTCCGAGGCTAGCCCGCTCCGAGTTATATGGTCAATGGCAGATCATGAGGTTACACGCCATTTGTCACGATCTTTCGTGGGGACTTAATAAAATCATGCAATTGCTAACGTATCGTATGAATATAGAGGTGAACAGCAAGCGACGGCTCTAGAAGCGAGCCTTACGAGCTTAGAGGATAAACTTGATGCTCTACTAGCATCGATCGAAGATGGGTCTACCTCGTCCGACGCAAGCCAAGAGAAGAAGGCCGATCACACTCAACAAGAACCGGAATCGAAAAAATAATGTATTATGTATCTGCATTTATCGAACCATCTGCGTTTAATCAAGCGAAGGCGTCCGGTCTAGAGTTACTTGCGATCGAGATAAATGACTACCATCGCAGGTTAAAGGAGCTCCTCACCTGCAATACACCCCCCAGTCGCAGCCATCTAATTTTCGCCACCACATCTGTATTATACATTAACCTGCATCGAATCTCATAGAGTATTCCAAAAGGTCGGGAAGAGCTATGAAGGCAATTACCCCGCAGAGATTCTGACGGTCCGGATTCGTTCATATCCAGATATAACGATATATATTGGAGCATCTTTCGAACTAGACGACGTTCCTAGATTCTCGATCCTACAGTAATAGACGTGATGTGACCATCCTAGAGATAGACTATTGAGCTTTTCGCAGTAGCCTCAAAGAAGCGGTGGCCGGGTTGAATGAGCTACGAGGAGCTATGACTAATTTGAGGCTCATGGAACTGGTGACGTATAGCAAAGTAGTCTGATATCACGACCGCGCGACGAGGGTGTGGTTCGGCGGTATCGAAAGACTTAAGGGTGAACTTCCCCAGGTTCATGAAGTGGTAAAGATATTGTGTTGGAAGCATTTTTATCAAGTCTACTGCCTCGGTCGGTAAGCAGCCCACACATAGCTTCCGTAACAGCATAATAACGTTATCGTAGAGTCGACATCGCTTAAAACGGTATAAACCATTGGTCGATCTAGCATGACAGATGAGTTATTTAGCTGTGTACGTATGTACATGATGGAGTGATTGATTCATTGGCATGATCTATCAGAAATATTGTATCCCGAGCCGTGGGTTGCCAATATGTATATCTAAGTCAGGGGGCTTGAGTGGCTGATTTCTTAAACAACGTAAGACCTATCATGTTTTAACCCGCCAGCCCGGCCAACCCGTTTAAGCACCCAAGGCAGATCTCACTCGATCCGCAAGATCCTGCCCGTCGCTGAGCATCGCAGACTGGTATGCTCAATCGACCTAAGGCCCGCGCGCGCCCCTGATTTGTAATATTCGGTATGCGCGTCTGAGCTTTTCAAAGGTAGAAAAAAACCGGGATCGCGAAGTGGTGCCACAATCTGACGACCCTCATCACATGCGTGTCTAAGGAAGGAGTCATTTGTTTATGCCAACGAGATTCCATTTCTGGAAAAAAAAAAACCTTTTTCTACTTCGTTCTTGGAGAATGCTTTTTCGAAACGAAACCATTCCCGTACCCCCCCTTTAGTAGCCTATCGACGAAACCGAACTTCTGGATACCTACCTAAGCCACTCACCCCCATCAATTAGGCACGAAGACACGTGCCCGAAGCTGACGTTCCCGAGTGCCATCTACGCCTTACTACTACCCCTTGACGTCAGTGAGAGATATATGCCAGTACTACATGAAGGATCGAGAGCATCATTGGCCAATGTGAGGACTTCAAGCCTATAATATGTAGAAAAGATATGCACGGGGGACGCCCCGATGCGCTCGCTCCCTTAGTACATACTGCTGGGAAATCAGGGGTCTGGGTAGGGGTAGAGAGAGAGAGTTAGTTGGGGGGGAGCATCCCTCGTACCCACCAAAGGCAGGTAGGTAGTTGGTCGAGTAGGCTTAACTCGAGCAAAAAAAGGGGTGACATTACCAAACTCTTAGAGAACCCGTACCCATAAACTTACCTAGGGTGGTAATGACGCGAGGTGTGCTTATGGGACGTTTATTCTTGCCTGCAGGGTAGACACCTACCGAGATGTCCACCGTAGATAGATACCAAACTGACCAATACAATATGATAAACAATTCCTAATAAATACTCAAGCAGTCCAGGGGGAAACCTCGAATAGGGACATTATTCATCGGCAGTGTTCGCGTAACCTTTCCTACAGACGATGATCCTCCTCCAATATGTCTAGAGAACCGGGAAGAGCGAGTCAACGTGGCATCTACTACTGCATACCACAGCTCGACGCATATAACGCTTCCCGACAACTACGAGATGCATCTACTATATATTGAGCATGTTTTGCCTAGGTAGTATTTCGTGTATATACCCTCATCCCCATTCCTGCACTAACTAATAATTCCTATAGGCCAGATAAGATCAAAAAATTTTACATCTCCTAATTGTTATTGCAGTTACTATTAAAATTTTGCTTTTTCTATCGTTATTGTTCCTCGTCGTGAGGGTTTTTTTCCGCCCAATCGCCCTGCGTCTCACCTAACCGACGGATTCAGACGAATCGTTGAGCACCGGAGCATGTTCGGAGATGGTACATCGTATTACGCGGAGGTTCACCGGAGGCATAAAAATAAACACAAAAAAAGCAAAAAAATATTGATAAACCGTCATGAATAAGCGACTACCTATCTAATATGTACCGAGGTAAGCGCCCTAAGCTATGAGAAATGAGAATTTTCGTGTATATCAGCAACTTGAACCGAGAAGCTTCCACGAATGACAAGACATGGAGACACCGAAGCCAAGAAGGCGAGTCGATATAATAGTATACAATCTCACGTGACTCATAGGAAGATGTACCAACTGAATAGACGGAAAAACAAGGAATTCGTAATCTCTTATCCATTAACACACGTCATAGCCCATGAGGGGAAGAAAGAAAAGGCTCTAGTCCCTTCTTTTTCTCTTCCTTTTTCGATAAAAAGGGGCTGCTAGTAAACGGATGTAGGAAGCACCGACTGAATTCCAATGACGCACAGGTCCCAAAGCACTATTTACTCCCTATATGATACGAGCCAACCACGACAGACCCCGACAAGGAATCTAGCATGCTGTTGTTATTCAATCCAAATCTTCGTGTTCCCAAAAGAATAATTCCCCTCGACTGCCCGATGATGATAACCAATAGCAGTGTCGAGAACCGACCAAAACCACGAGGTAAGATATTCGCAAACGACACATGACGGGTGACGGACATAAAACAAGAAACGCCTAACGAAACACCGGTAACTGTAACAGCTCCTCCCCAAAAGCGGCAATATCCTGCCCACCACCCCCCTTGAGCATCGTTAAAAGAAAAAAGGCATTGACCCGAGAACGGGCAACAACAGCCAAGGTATACACCATTCGTAATCGAACTTGTGGCGGCGAGGGTACAAGAAGGTTACGTGGTCATGCTTGGAACTGATGGCATTCTCGTAGGTCGTGGGTATCGTGAGAACGACCAGGAATGGTCTTGACTGCGGCACGTGTACCGAATAGATAAGAGTACATGACTCCAAGTGAGTATGTGTTTCTCTATGCCTCTTGGGCATTGGAAACTGATCAGTTACTGTGAGCTCTGATGAGGAGCTGAACAGATGACTGCAAGTTAGTCATTTTGAACGCAAGGTTCAGAGAGGGTTGAACGTGCCCTTTGCAGCGGATCGTCTTGATTCGCCGTGACAAGAGACGGGCTCTCCGTTGTGCCCATCATAGGCTCGTTTGACGTTATCGAGCGACCTTCTAGACTGGGTCTAATCAGCGTCCCGTTAGGTTTCCCATTGTTCCCCTTCTGTTCAGCTTGTCGCTGTAGTTCCCTCTCTCGGTTCTTCTCGAGAAGCGCTCCGCCGAGTGTCGCGCACTTTAAAATCGTTTGTATCAAGTGGTTCTGCTGTAGAGGTTTGGATAAGTACTCGTCCATTTGGGCTTGAATACATCTCTCCCGATCTCCCATCATAGCGTGTGCAGTAAGGGCAATAATCGGTGTTCTGTGCGAACCAAGACTTCGTTCGTACTCGCGGATCTTATTCGTAGCCTCGAATCCACCCTGTACATATACAGTTAGCAAAGTAAAAATAACCTAAAATATTGCGAAGGATGCTGTACCATTATTGGCATTTGTACGTCCATAAGAATGACGTCGAACTTCTTTTTCTTGACAGCTTCCACTGCCTCTAGACCGTTACCGACCACGGTTACGGCGTGGTGGTATTTCTCAAGGATCTTCACTGCGAGTCGTTGATTGACTCTGTTATCCTCAGCTAGTAGGATTTCGAAAGATTTCGTGTTATCAGCCAATGACGGGGTAGCACGGTTCTCTAAGGCGGGAACCATTCCGTTTCCTAAGTCGATTGGCTTGCAAGGCGTAGTCATATAAGACGTAATACCTAAGTCCAAGCACGACTTTAGGTTGACGTGGACCACCGGAGCTAGTAGGACGATTGGGAGGTATTTGAAGTCTTCGATGGCTCTTAATTTGCGAGCAGTATCGATAGACTCAACGATGATTACATCGTATGGAGGGTCGTCGGAGCCGGGAGCGCCAGGGTTTCCTTCAGTGTCAACGACAACTGGGACTAATCCTAGCCTCTGGAGCATAACGACGATTTCTCGTCCATATTGGGTGCGACCCTTGTCAATAAACAATACTTGATGTCCCTTGTAGGGCTTTAGTTGCTTCTCGATGGATGCAACTTCGCCATCTGCCAATTTGACAACACAAGTAAAGTAGAACGAGCTACCTTTACCGAATTCACTCTTGACCCAGACATCACCGCCCATTAGGTTGACCAATCTCTTGGAGATTGATAAACCCAAACCGGTACCACCAAACTTGCGAGTCATCGACCCATCTGCTTGTTGGAAAGTATCGAAAATGAGATCGAGCTTGTCGGGCGGAATTCCTATTCCCGTGTCCGAAACGACAAACTCAATCGCGTATTCGCGCGGGTCCTTGGGAGGAGCGCCTTCAGCCTTTCTAATCGTCAAACGTACCTCGCCATGCTCGGTGAATTTGATAGCGTTACCCACGAGGTTAAGAATGATTTGTCGTAGACGGAATGAATCACCAACCACGTAGTCGGGCACGGAGCTATCGACCCTATATGTAAGGTCTAGGAACTTCTCGTTTGCCTTAACGGCCAGGGTCTTTAGGGCGTTGAAGACGGTACCCCGTAACGTATACGGGATTTCTTCTATCACCATCCTTCGAGCCTCAATTTTCGACAGATCCAAAATGTCGTCGATAATAGTCAACAAACTATTGGCCAAGTTGTTCACAATGTTCAACATTTCTCTCTGATATTGTGTAAGGTCGGTGTCGAGAGTTAATTGGGTCATTCCGATGATACCGTTCATGGGGGTTCGGATCTCGTGCGACATGTTCGCCAAGAATTCGGATTTGGTCTTGTTCGCTTGTTCAGCAGCCTCCCTTGCTTGCGTGTTTCTCTGAATACTGTCTCGTAGATTATACACCATCTGATTGATCTTGCGTTTCAATTCGTCCATCTCGCCGGAGGCTTCTACGTCAACTAATTTGGTGAAGTTTCCATCGGTAGCAGCGTTAGTTATATCGCCGAAAGCTCGCACCTGAGTGGTCTAGTGTGTCATCGAGTCCCATTAGCTTCGTATCAAAAATAATGTGGTTAGTCGTCAGGAAACCTACCAAATTCGTCGCCATTGTGTTGACGTCGGCCGTGATCTCCTTCCATCGGCCCTTTAGACCTCCAACATCTGCCTGTCCACCCATCTTACCGTCCACTCCGACATCCTTTGCTACGCGTTGCACTTCATTACAGAATACTGACAAGCGATCCACCATGTTGTTGATGGTTTCCTTTAATACGAGTATCTCACCCTTCGCCTGGACATCGATCTTCTGGCTCATGTCACCATCGGCGATGGCTTGAGTAACAGTCGAAATACCCCGCACCTGGGAGGTCAGGTTCAAAGCCATGGTGTTGACATTTTCGGTGAGGTCCTTCCACTTCCCTTCCACATCGTCAACTCGAGCTTGACCACCCAGAGTTCCATCGGTTCCGACTTCTCTGGCGACCTTGCTAACCTCAAAGGCGAATTTGCCTAGGCGATCCACCATGGAGTTTATCGTGAGTTTGAGTCTCAGCATCTCACCCTTGACTTCGACAGTAATCTTTTGCGATAGGTCTCCAGCCGCCACAGCTGTGGTGACCTTGGAGATCTCTCGCACCTGAGTTGTCAAGTTCATGGCCATACCGTTCACATTGTCGGTGAGATCGCGCCAGGTACCTTCAACGTCATTTACTGTAGCTTGACCACCGAGTCGACCTTCGGTTCCGACTTCCCTGGCGATCTTGCTGACCTCGCGCGCGAATTGCGATAGTTGTTCAACCATAGAGTTAATAGTAGACTTGAGCTCGAAGATCTCTCCCCGGCACTCGGCTTGGATTTTCTGTGTGAGGTCTCCCTTGGCGACTGCAGTAGTGACCTTGGCGATGTCGCGCACTTGAGTTGTAAGGTTGTTTGCCATAGCGTTTACGTTTACCGTTAATTCATTCCATATACCTTGGACTCCCATCACGTCGGCTTGACCTCCTAATATACCTTCGGTACCCACATCTCGGGCGACACGACTGACTTCGGATGCAAAAGTACGTAATTGTTCAACCATAGTATTGATAGTCTGTTGGAGCTGAAGAATTTCACCATTGGCGGGACGTTCGATCTTTTTAGTTAGATCACCATGAGCGACAGCAGTCGTCACCGATGCAATTTCTCGCACTGCAAATATTAATCAGTTATGGTAGTAAAGACAGATGAATGTGTTTACTAACCTTGGTCGGTGAGGTTCTGAGCCATAACATTGACTAAGTGATATGTTAGCAAGTTCCGATAAGTAGCATTTTACAAGGCGTTCTACCATTGTCCGTGAGTTCCTTCCATGTCCCGTCGACACCTTCGATCATAGCTTGGCCACCGAGAATTCCATCTGTGCCGACTTCACGTGCGACACGAGACACTTCGCTGGCGAAAACTTGAAGCTGGTCCATCATAGTATTGATAGTTCGCTTGAAAGTCGTAATCTCGGGGTCCATTTCTACGGTGTTCATCCGAACCTTCATAGTAAGATCACCACGTGCGACGGCGCTGACAATTGCACCAATTTCACGTAGTGCCTTTTGGAAGGCTTCGTTGGCCTTTTGATGTTTCCATAACTCTCGTTCTAGAGCAGCGACACGTTCCTTTTCAATTAATTCAAGTGCTTTCTCCTGTAATTGTTTTTGCTCGATGAGCTGAGCATTAACACTAGTCAACTCCTTGTTTTGCTTATCGAGTATCTTGGACTGGTCGATGACATGCTCATGAAGCCCCTCGAGGTCTTCATTGGTGAGAGGAAGGACTTTAACGGGTCGCTCTTCGACAGGAGCACCATTTCGGGCAGGAGGGAGGACCGGAAGTCGAGATCGCGCTGCTGACTTAAGACCTAGAGGACTGGGAGATTCTTCACCAAAGAGGGATTCAGCAGTCTCGTTAGGCGTATCGGGGAAGGTCGCGCCGTTTGTGGCATTAGCCCTCGCCTCGAGTTGTTGAATTCTAACTACGAGAGCAGAAAGCTCACGCTCGACAGATTCCTTGGCATGACTTTCGCGACCAGGCAGTTTGATCTGGGAATTGGTGCCAATAGGAACGGGAGCAGCGGTCGGATCTTGTGGGGAGACAGCCAGTGACCTAACGATGGCAGCGGTCGCCACCAGTGTCTCCTCGTCGGCCATCACTCTCATGATTGGGAACCCCGACACTCAAATCGACAAAATGGATATGGCGGTTTATTAATCACAAATGGTAGGAATGGAATAGGGCGAGCCAGCGTTTAATAGGCGCTGGAGGGGCTTATGTCGAACGCATGGAGCAGGGCGATGCTGATGTCGACGAAGTACACAGCAAATGCAAGATTAAAAGTGACAAGCAAGGCAGACAGAGTCGATATCGCAGCAGGCTTGTCGCGGCGTTCCCGCCGTCGACGGCGGTCGGAGGAAGGGAGCGATTAAGAAAGCGTGTTAGGCTCGGGAGGGATCACACGAATAGCAAAGCTAGAAAACAACAGTTATAATGATAAAAACATTCGATTCACAATATTGATGATTATAGGATGTCCGGGGGAGGACGATTGTGTAAATCGTCGATGGGGATGGAGAGGATCTGAAGAAAAAGAGAGGTCTCTTTTGTCGGTTAAGGAGAGACCCTGCTTGAAAGGCGAGCGAGTGGAGAGGCGAGAGGGCTCGGGCTGGGAGAGGAGGTGTGTACTGCAAATGTATGTCAAGGGCAGTCAAGGGCTCCCAGGGCCGCTACCTCACAAAAAGTTCGCTAGGCCGCTAGGTCGCTGGTTCGCTAGTAGCAGCAGGCTTGCGGGCTTGGTAGGTTAACCTAATTGGACAAGGGTGGGCCTTCCTGACTTTCCAATTAGAACCCTGGCAAAAAGAGATGCAATAAGGGAAAGCGAAGATTAGGCGGGGGCGATGGGCCTAGGTTGCTTAGGGTGCTTAGCGTTGCTGAAGGGTGAGAGGTCGAGAAAATGCCTACGGACCACGCTACTTGCTAGCCACTCTTGCCTTTTTTTGACTGGTCGCTACAACCTTAAGTACGGCTTGGGGAAGGGAAATAGCCGGGGCGAGCCAGCCACGCTGGAGGAGTACATAGGCTTCATAGTGTAGGTGGTAAGGAAGGAATCGGGACAAATTGTAATTATGGGTGTGTGTCGGTACCTCCTAAATACCTACCTCTATGTATTTGCAGATTCAACATTTAGGCGCTGATAGCCTTGGATGATTAGATTCGATAGATTTTGTCTTTCTTATTTTCTATTTCATTTTTCATTACAATTGTAAATCCGTAATATTTGTCTTTGTTGAGTTAACTCGTGTTATTGTCCATATAGTTGTTAAGAGAAAGAAAAGATGGTTGAAAGATGGATCAAGTCTAGGTACCCGCTCTTTAGGTAACGAGAAGTACATATAACGTGTGTACTACAGCACTAACAGAACTCAATTCGACTAGGTACAGGCTTCTATGTACGTACCTTGTTCCCATCTATACAAGTACCTAGGTACCTACAAGAAGATAGCCACAGGTATGATACGACGTCCCGTAGTGTAATAGGAGGTATACGATAGTCCTAAAGTAGGGGGGAGAGGGAGAGGTAGGTTGACCTACTACGTATTCACCCTCCGAAACGATAGATATTTATTGCCTCCACATAAAACAATATAATACGAGGAGCCGGCTGCAGTTCATGTTGCTAATGTGGATATCAAAAGTATTTCACGTATGCGATTGCGGCATCACGGTACTTGGTATCTAACAAGACCTACGGTCGCTACCTACCTATACTGTTACGTACCTACATTTATATGCTGCTACATAACGTACGGTCGGGTTAAGCGATCGGCTTGACATACATATACGCGCAGCAGGCCTGGCCTATCTCTGTATACTTAATACCGAGCTGTAATAAAACGTAGCGCATTTCGCACCTCGGAGGAAGACGCAATACGTTTGTGGGGGATAACGCCATTACCATGTAGCTAACAAGGTTTGCATCATCTACTGTGCCTATGGTAATGATGTACTCCCACAACCACGAGTCGACTCGAGGTAATTGACAGGGACTAAGCTTGTAATATCGCGGGCTATAGTTAACGTTCCACCCAGATGGGTTCACCAACTACCTAGATGCGAGTTAGCCAAAACAAGGCGGCGAGACGGGTAGATATATGTAGGTAAATGTAGGTAGGACGTAGGTACCTAGGTAGGTAATCCGTTGAATGCAATGTATCTTATATCTATTCAAAAATTAAGCAAGCTTGAACAAGAAGAACAAGGAGATACCCTCGTATTTCAGCCGCCGCCTAAGAGAATGGGATATGTAATCAATAAACATAAATTCTTGCATGTAATATACCCCTATCCTAGTAATAAACTTTATCATTCCAATAAGTTACCCTGGTTTATTAGACTTTAGACCATTAAACGTACTGATTATACATGTACCAATTCAATTGATGTATCTGAAAAAAGAAAAAAAAAAAACTACGCTGACGTCACGCTGTAAGTGATATCAAACTATATCAACTTATTTTAAGATATCACACAGATTGTAGATTGGCAGATTAAGTCTCATTTTTCATTCCTTCCCAAACGATCTCTTATCATTTTGCATCTTGTCATGTTCCTCAAGCCGCACTTTCGCTATCGCATTCAACTTCTTTTTTTCTAACTGTGGTCACTGCCACTCGGTTACAACCAAATGGTTTCATCCCAATTGGTCTGGACCGCAAGTCGCGCATACATTATGATACCTACTACAGGGTACTATAGGTAGATATTGTACCTAAGTTACTATCTGCCTTACCTGCATTTGACGTACTACTGCAACTCTTGAGCCGGGTAGGGTTGGATGCTCCATACCTTACGGCTTCTACGATTAAATTTCCACCTGGTTACGGTAGTCAAGAATTGTCGTTCCGTCTTGTTGTACCACCCCCATACTTATCGACCATGTCCTATACAATACCCATACAATGTCCGTACGTACTCAACGCCTCCCTACATATGTACGAAGTATGGAACCTAGCCTGAGGATTGGCTGCGAACCCTGTTGCCAACGAGCCGAGTCTCCACCGGAACTGGTACGTGTACTTCTTTGTGGGTAGTAGATGGGCAAAAAAGATCGTGGGTTCACTGCCTGTCACATTTGGCCCTCTCCCCCTCTCCATTTGTCTGGATTTCGAAAGCGTCTTCTCATTCGTGCGTTTCCCCCGTTTATAGCGAAGTAGCCTTCCCTAGGCTCGCACTCTAATAGGACACACAGGCTTTCCGTTACAATTTTTAGTATGCGGCACACATGCCGACTAGGGTCGCGAAAATAAGAGCTGTTTTATTTTATTCGAAGGTGGCAAAAATCTCGACTCTTTTTGTCTAGCCTCTTACTCCTTTTTTTTTTTCTTCTCTTACTTCTTCTAATATGCTTAGGAGTTGATCGACAGGGGATATTACAACGATTTGTGGTATCCATTTGCGAATTCTTACGACCGGTATTTTCTTGCGAAATTCTTCATAAAAAAATAAATGTCTACTTGATGGTGGACACAATCCTAGGTCCAAGCTTGCCAAGCACATCGGCCTTCCAGCTCTAAGGGACCACTCCCCTATCGAAGGTTGTTATCTCTTCCCCCCCATATATGCCAAGTGACGTCACAGCATCTGCAACTCTGCATGTGCACCCAGTCGCCCAACATGAATACCCTAAGGGTCCTCCTCCTTACCCATGTCTTGGCCTCTAGAGACACGAGGCAATCAAAGGTTGTTCCATTATCCCATACGCAAAACTGAAACTGAATTCCCAGAATTACCAAAGCTTCGAAGCGACAGGTACGGTACAGCACTACGTAGGATCCGGATGATCGGCTTACGAAAAGATCACAAATGGCCGATTCGTAGGGCTACTACACCACGAAGAGGTTAGCGCCGTGTTTAAGAGACGGAACACACGATAACCTTGGTAGGGGAGTATGGCGGCATGTCCGCCCATTATTATTCACCATTTACTATTTTATTCAGGAAATAAGAAAAAAAAATTATGGGTGGGATACTACTTATATGTTCTAGGTACGACATAGAAAAACAACCTAACCTACATACTACAACATACTAAAAAAACGATGGATTTATTCGCTCGGTACCATTTTACACAAAAAGATGCATTAGGTCCCATAGCGAGGTTCTAAAGGACCATTTTCAGAACCCTTCGTCCCTTCGTCGTCCAAATGTCAAACCCCACAGAGGGGCAGTCAAAAAGTATCGCCGGTGAGTAGACTGGTAGACAGGAGGAGTCGCCGAACAGTTTCCACTTAGTCTACTAGAAGACGATTCTCTTCATTTCATGTCGCTCACCGTCCCATGATCAGTCGTTCCCTTAATGTTCCCTCGCCGGAGCGCCGAATGGCGCCTTGTCAGAGGCACAGCTGGTAACATCGGACCAGGTAAGCCAGGACCCGACTCGCGGTCGATGCCCACGTGAAGAGTTCAGGTTGGAGATTGCACGCGCTAGCGTTTCGCATCGTGGAAAATCTCGTCTATCGATCGTCTCAATCATCTCAGTCATCTCAATTACCTAGGTACCCAAAGCGGAAACCCTTCGAGAATCGCGCACATTACAATGACACTACATGATGACATGATAATCAGGGCCAGACAGATGCCCGGTTAGGTAGTTTGGTCTGGTCTGGTCTGGTCTGGTCTCTTTCATTAATGAAGGATCAAGATTTGCAGGCTAGGTCTGAGTGTCGTATTATTCTACGGTATGTAGATCCGCTGATTATCATAACCGTGCCGAGGACCCTTAGATCCATTAGACGAACCACGGCGCTCAAACTAGTTCAACATTGTACCGCTACACTGTCCAATCTAGCAGCCTGGGTATATTAACAAGCGGGCCAAGCTAGCAAAAATCCGACACCGCCAGACGCAAGGCTCCACCAACACGCGAGAAGGCTGTTCTCTGGTCAGGATTTGGCCATCGCTCGTTGCACACAAGCATGAAACTGTCTATGTACCTAGGTAGTGCTGCCGATATTCCATTTCCAGCAGTGTGTATTGGTAACCGACAAGTCGGCTTCCCTTACGGTTTCTATCGAGTCCTTACGTTGCGAAGCCCTTCCCGTCCGGGAGGAATGATGCGGAGGACCTAAAGATTATTTTTTGCCGCCGAACACCTCCTAATACGGTCTAGGTTGGTCGTAGCAAGCCAAGCTATTCTAACTAGAGGGATCTCTACAATAGGGGGAAGACCGAATACGGAATTCTAACGTCGCTCTGGAAAAGAAAAGAAAAAAAATAAAATGAATTAAACCCTGTCTATTTTCTGTCTTATCTTCATCTGAACTGTCAGAATTCGCGTGTGTTTCAGCTTGAGAAGATCGGCCGCAGGCCCCCCCTTTCAACCACCCCAAATCTGCAATGCCTTGCGTTGTAGATACAGGTTAGGTACCTAATCCAACATTTTAGGACGTACGAATCTTGGGGAGAGGGCGGGGGGCAAATCCTTGGAAATTCTGGGGTCGAGATCACCGCAAGCCGCCGCCGAGAATTTCCCAATCCCAAAATGTGTGTGTGCGCGCAAGCAAAAAAATCCATTTGGGAGGAAAAGTGGTAGGGGGTTTGAGAGGGGATGATCGTCGACGATCCCCTCCCACACCAAAAGTACCGGACTTGTTCATGTGATGCCCTCCTTGTCCCGTATCTGACCAACGGATTAGTTGCTGGCGAGGAAACGAAACCCCCTAGGCCGACAACGGATTCTTGTCTGCCACTGAATGGAATTGTTACATTTTTTCGACATTTTACGCATTTCGTATAATACATTTTTTATATATTTTTATTTGAAATACAATTATTAAGCAGGCTGAAGCTGACGCTATATGACAAAAAGGCAGGTATGACAATTTGCCCATTTGCCCATTGCCGTAAGTAGGTATCTACGGTACGGTAGGTCGATCGGTAAGTTGGGCGACGATGTGCATCAGTCGTGTAAAGAGCGGCTAGCACAGGGCGAAAGCCAAAGCGGCACATTCGCATCCAAACATGGGAATGCAAATCCCGAGGCGAAATGAGCTATTCGCGATGCAATGCTGAGCTCGCCTAGTTGGCCAGCTGTTGTGTTAAGGCTACAATAATATATCTTACCCATTACTACCTACCTATCAGGTAGATAAGCTCTACAGCCTCCTCTATCGAATTAGGCTACGTGAGCAGTCCACCTCATCCATTCAGATGGGACGGAGCTGCTCACTATATCCTTTCGAGCGGTGGCAAACATGTGGTAGGCAGAGAGAGAATTGAGAGACCCGCGATTGCGGTGCAGGTACAACACAGCAGCAGCATTCATTTTTTTTGTTTGTATTTCCCCAACTTCCAATTTACAATATCCCAGCTTGTGTTCCCTATTACATACATTAATATCTACATGCGTCTCAACTGGGTCCCGTGTGCTTAAGAACCTGCGCGACTATGCCACACACACACATAAAACAGCACATTCATCATCATCATTCTTGAAATTAGTTGGTTGGGGGCTGGAGGTGGGCAGACGGGAAAATAGGCTGAGGAGGAATGGGCACATATCCCATGAAAAAATAAGAATACCATCATTATTCATCATCGTCTCATTTGTGTTACCAATTTAATGGCTTCATTCTGGTGTGTATGTTCCTAGTTACATTAGATAGATGGGAATACCTAAGATACCTAGAGACGTAATTTCGGTAACAATTCGCTCTTAGAGAGGAAAAATAGAGAAAAAGACAAATTTCAAAAAACCACGATGTCCCCAAGAAAATAAGAAAAAAAAGTCAATAGAGCAAAAAAGCAAGGCGTAAACAAAGAGCAGCAACAACAAGCGCCCGCGAAAACCTCTTCGTGAGGGTATCTATCGAATGCCAATCAATGCCACTGAACTTGCTGCCCTGATAAAAACGCCTTTCATGCCCACGTAGACACAAACCACCACACACACCCGCTGGCAAGCTAAACTCTTAATATGTGATAAAATCAAATGTAAAAAACAAGCTACTGGACACGCTGTAGGAGCCAATAGCTAGCAAAGCTCTTCGACACTCTCTTTCAATCTACTTCATTAATGTATTCCATCGTCTGTCTGTCGCATTGCCGAAGTCCCTAGAACCCGATCTCTTAAACCTCGCACAACTTCTTTCTCGACTCGATATCTACCTCTTTCTATTTCACGGGGCATGGGACCAATTAGCGGCGCGGGACGCCGCCCCGGCCGAAGCCACCACCAGCAGAGTTCCAACCTTGTGTAACACTCTGCTTGACGATCATTGCGGCAGCGGCAGCAGCCGCCATGCGCTCTTTTTGGCGGTGTCTCTCTTTGAGGTATCCCGCAGCCTCGGGTCGCATGCGCAGAATGCGAAGGATCATATCATCGGAGGGATCAGCCTGAGCCTCCTTCCGTTTCTCCTCTTTAGCGCGGCGCATGGTACCTAGATTGCGGCTCATCATGATACTCTTGCCTCTGCGTATCGTTCCCATACTCGCAAACGCGGGGCCCGCATGGGAAGGAGCGAGCGACGTACCCAGCGTTGCAGGCGCGGAGAGGCGGTTCGAGTTCATTTGGCCCTGGAGCTGCTGCTGTTGCCGCTGCGCGGTGGCGGCAGCCATGCGTTCTGAGGTGCGAACTAGGTTTTCAGTGCTATCGAAGTAGAAGAAGTTGAGCGAGGCGAGCTCGTGATACTTAGGCGATCTAAGGATTTCGGCGGGGACACCGAGGACTTCTCCGTCCTCGTCTCGCGCGTTGAAGAAGTCGAAGAGTAATTGTAGCCATTTGTAGACGACGTCCAGCTCGCGCTGGTTGAGTGGCCGTTGATTAGACGGCTTGTCGGATAGTGGTGGTACGAGAAGGTTCTCGATGGCCATAAGTACTTCTTTCCACAGACGTGTCATGACTGCAACCATGGTTGCGTCTGTCAACGTCTCTTTCATTGTGGCAAAATTTTCGTTGAAGTATGCGAAGAGAGGTTGTAATGCGTTTTCAATTTCGGCCTCCGTGAGTTGTGGGAGTGTAGAGGATCGTTTGAAGAACGAGTTAACTTGCGAAGCTAGGTTGCGACCAAGAAGTGTTTTGAGGGCCTCGTAGGAAAGCGATGCGTTGATATGCCGTGTAAGCTTTACACAGGTTTAGTTAGCATGCTATTCTCGCAAGTCGCTTTAGAGTCAAGAAGAACCTACCTTATCTGTGATCTTGCGGACCATATCACGCTCCGTCCTCTTTAGATGCCTAAATGCTTTACCAAAGTAAAATTGAATATCATCTCGCTCCCCTTCCATACTTATTCGTAGGAGGATCCTTCCTTGGGTATCAAGATCTAGCCAGAACTCCCTGGGTAGATAATCACTGAAATGTATTGGGTCAAGCTTTAATGAAGTCCTTCCGACGAAATCGTGATCGCCGAAAGTATCGTAATCCCAAATCGTAGCTACAATGTTTAGTGGCCCCGAAACAGTAACATCAACAGATTCATCCCATCGAGGATTGAGATTCCTCATAACAATTCGCGTCTTGTGCAGACGCTTTTGATATTCGTCCACAAGAACTACATAGGGGTCACTAGTTCCGTTCGGATCACATGCCTTGAGTTCTTCGGCTTCGACTATCTTGATAGTAAAGACGTACTTAGCCGGGCGTCTCACCTGCCTCTTAGGCCCATCAGCTTTCTCAAGGATATCAGCACAAGCATCCACATTCATGGACTTCTCAAGCTTGTCGAGCTCCTGCATGGCCCATTCAATATTGTTAAGTTTTACCAAAGACTACGATAATAGATTAGTATTAAGTCAGAATGAAGTGGTTAAGGTCAACCATACCTCTGGGTAAAATTGAAATGGTTCAATCTTCTCCTTCGTATTCCAAGCATCCTTAGCATATTGCATGAACCTCCCTTGAGTTGTTTGGGCTGCTGCCGTCGCTTCTTTTTCGTTGGGCCTTGGGGTGTCCATCTCCCTCACAAATCGTTGGTCCACGATTTCACAGTACTGGGCAATGCTGTTCGCGTATATTTTCGACAATGCGGTCATGAATCGAGCGTGGTGAACATCATTATCCCATTCGAGTTGGAAAATTTGTTCCGAAGTTTGGTTGAAAAGTTGGAACATATCAATGATCGAATGACTGTGACGTTCCGAATCCAACGAAATATGGCCTGGACCATGGCCTCGTACTTGGAATTGATCTTGTTTGATGGCTTCCGCAACAAAGTCCTCCGCTCGAGCTTCGGTATTCTGGATCCAACGCCAGGGGAAGTCGACGAGTAATTCCTCAATGTCGAATGTGAAAGGTCGACCAGGAAGAGATGATCGATGAATACGTCGTATTTCCACGAGTTCTTTATATAAGTCAAACCCATCTTGAAGCGCTAACTCCTCTCCTCGATCCTGGGCAACTTGCATGATCCTCCTTATTAGATCTTGAGCATCGTCCTCAAAATTAGGGAACATTGTTCCTACAAGTACGGTCAAGGGGTTGACACCCATAATTTCAGGATTTTTCTTGTAACGCTTTTGAATCCTCTCACATAGGGTTACAACCGCCTTGCCGAGTTGAACTACATGGCCGAAATCCCAGTCTTGCTGACTCTCTGGGATATTGGCGTCTAGAAATCCGCGATAAGAGTCTGCGGCTCGACCCTGCAAGCCCGACTCGAGGAGACGAGTATAACCTTGCACTTCCTCTTCGTTTCGCGAAAAACTTGGATCGTTAAGGATATGATTATTAAGTACGTGTATTGCTGGTCCGGCTGATGGTGGTTTTGGTTCGTAGCAGTGCATCATAGTATCGTAAAGATCGCGTAGGAGCGCATCATGCACAGAACGAAGGGTTTGCTGATGAATAGTAAAATCCGCCATGGTCCACTTGCTTGTATCTATAGTTGCGAGAGATTCGCCGTAGAGATAAATATGAGGTGGCTTCTTAGCTTCTGGCGGTGGTATCTTCACGAGGTCAAAGGCATTATCCAGATCAATTACGGTAAAGAGTGTATCTGTGAATCTGCGAGCTGCTACCTCCAGGAAAACGACTAGACGAGTAAACTGGGGAATTCTCCAGCGGACACACAGTTCTGTAAGTAGCTCCATTGACTGCTTCGAGAACAAACTAGATTGATCACCCTCCTCGCCGTGCATAGCATCAAATTCAAGAGCATATTGCGCAATGATCTTGAAGAACTCGCGGGGTTCTGGTGGAATGAATGTGTAAGTTGACTCATCGACAGCTCTAATAGTGCTAGTCTCGTCGAGCGACATAGATCCCAAGTTCAGTATGTTATCCATACCATATATGGATGACCTAGACGGGTTGGACAATGTCCTACCTAGGTCTTCTGGATATGCTGAAGACGGACTTGATGGAAGTGGTTTATCGGAAAGCCCGCTGAAAGTCGTAGATCTCCTAGCTAGCTCCGGCTTCGCGGTTAGGATTTCCATCATCATTTGTGAGAGAAAAGGTGCCTCAGCTTTTTTCCACTCTTGATAAGCCTCATCGACATCGAAATCTCGGCTTCCAAGAGCACCACTCATATTGGAATTTAGTCGATGTTGGTATGACTTTAGATCTTTCAAAGCAGCTTCCTCGATCCAATTTGCCCGCTGGGCATCAATGTGATCCTGGACATCAGAATGGGAAAGTCCGAAAACTCTAGCGACAGCTTGGACCATAGGCATGTCCTTAACATCGTAGGTAAGTGGTACTATTACCTCAATCGTATTACCAGCGTTCTGACCTGTATCTATGAAAAGGTTCTGGTCGTTTGTTAGCAGCTTGTTCTCAAGAGTGTTTAATCTGCTCATGAGCTCTGCTTTATCGCGTTCGTGCCCCTTTTCGCGTAGTACGTCGGATATCAGTCTGACAAAAAGTGCGACATGCCTATCGACAAGAAGCTTCCAGGAATCGTCGCCCTTCTCATGACCCATAGCACAGGCTTTGGTAGCATTCGAATAGAATATTAACACTAGCGGTTCAACTTTTCGCTCCTTATCGACATTCTTCCGAAAACCTTGCTCGGTAAAAGCAGTATATACCTGCGCAAAGGTCTTCTTGACAGCGGCATCGTTGTAACCAGGCATCTTTTCAGCACCCACGACGACACGTTCCATTCTCTTTTCTAACTGCTGCCGAAAGTTGTGAGGAAGTTTGACATTGCTCGAATTCCCCGGAACGAATTCCTTAACCAAGTCACCTATGTTGGACGTATGGGTTCGAGCGGGCTGCTTCGGTGCGGGAACCCATTGTTTTCGTTTGGTCTTGGGTTGGAGGAGGTAATGTAGGTAGGCGACCCGTAAGGCGTAGGTATAGGCATCGTCATGGCTGACGGCTATTTGCCTGGCACTGGAACCAGCTCGACTCCTTCTCTCACTGTTCTGCACGCTTTCTATGCGGTGGTGGAACGACTTTCTCGACGCCGTCGACATTTCGGTACGGGGCGAAGTTTTGAGTCGGTCGGGTTTATAAATTAATAGTCCACGAATTCTCTACGCCGCATGTTCTTAACATCGCAATGTAAACTGGGTTTTGGTATTTCGCCAGGCATAAAAATGCCAGTTGGCAGGTAAATTCTGGGGGTTAATGGGGCGGTGGTGGTGGTTGTATTTGTTATAATTGATTTTGTAGTCGGTCAGACGATGATAAGGTTAATAAGTACGGTGGGTTGCGGGTGACGAAGACCGGCAATTGGAACTAACCTAAGTTAATATTGTATCTAGTTGTATCTAGAAATAGATCAGCTTTGGGCGGCTCCGGGGGTTGGGCTTTACCTCTAATATTACCTGAGTACCTGTTTCACCCCTATAAAAGTGCTGTATTTTTAGGTACCTATCGTACTTATGTATCGTACCCAACGGACGTCATTCCCTCGAGTACAAATTGATCCCTTGCAATGCGATACAAATGGGGGAGTTACAGGTATCAATCTACTGCATGACTAGGAGGGGTCGCTTCCCAATTTTCATCCAATTGAAGCCACTAGCGTAATAGATATTGCCCTGAACTTATCGATAATGATACCCTTATACTTCTTTTTTGTCCCTTTACACAAAGTCTTCCCTTAAATCCCATGCAGTAAATATATCTGTCCCTTTTCATATCGAAAGTACATACCACTTCCCATAAAGTCGATGCTGACTACTACCTGCCTGCATGTCATTCCGAATTCGTGGGTCAATATTTGCAAAATTTCATATCATGTGTTGAACATAGGTATGCATGCAGGTATGACTATGTACTTAGGTACATAAAGGAGCTGATGCTGCTGGCGTCAAATCACAATTGATCTTCGATCTCTCATGCCTTGCGGGGGACCCTCACCCTAGATTGATATTCGGCACTCGAGATGGATACTCAATAAAGCCTATTATATCTTGAGTGTGGTATATTCGACGTCGAGGTACGCATTTAAGGTTCTCACAAATCCCGTATATGGAATCTGAAAGTCTCGTGGAGGCGAAGCGAATTCAACTGGTGCGTACTACATGTATTTAGGTATCTGAAAGCGTTACCGAATAGAGGATCTTTCAAGCCCTTGATTGATGAATCACTTATAATATTTGAAACCATAAACAGAGCCTAGTTCGACAAAGGAGACCGTCTCGTCGAAACCAGTCTATTCTTGGGCGCTTACCTAGGTATGTGACATTATATCCTAGTTACGGTATCATCACCTGAATATTTCTAACTCAGTTGGAGAGATCAGCCACCTGAACGCCAAGCCAGTAACCGTAAGAATCTTAAGTTTCGTCACCAAACCTACGTAAAGCGTCGGTATAATCTTGATCCTTCATTTCTATAGAGCCCTGGAGAATCTAGCCTTACCGAGTACGTATAAGTGCCTGATGATACGAGTTGCCTAAAGGAGATCAGTTCCGCGACGGTGACATTCTCATTTGAGCTTCAGAGGTTAGATTGAGAAAGCTGGGAGATTGTATCCAGTTTTCCGACACAGAAAAGGAAAACAATAAAATTATAGTCGCTCTCTTTCTCTTCGCTAAGTATTTTCTCGGGATAATATAGCCTCGCTAACAAATGAACCCTCCATAGAGATGCAAAAGTTATATTTTTAATTTTATGGATGGATGCGAACCTGAGTATTTAACGTACCTATACGAATTATATAATATAAATAAATATAATTTCTATCTTATATACGTAATATTATATAAGCAATCGTGGTTTTTATAAGACCGAGATGAGATTGCAGGAATTACCTAGGTACATACCTAGGTACATATGTGCAAACATTGAACCATTCGTTTGCTTAAGCGCCGTATTATGGTCCTAGGTAGGTACCTACCTAAAGGTAACTGCTAACCACTTCCTCGGTCTACGTACAATTTCCGTGCCCTGTTGATCAATCACTTCATTCATCTATTCATTCATACATAATTGATACATCGCCACATACCACTCAACCTTTTTTTTACTTACACATACAATAACACCCTACACAAAGGTATACGGATTTTTTATTTACAGAGCATCTTACATATGCTTCATTTAAAATTTCTTCTCAACAGCATCGTATCTTCCAAAGAGCACACGACACAAAGTAGGGATTACGAATTGGATATCCACTACCTAGCCTTGACATCACATGCGGCGTTCGACAACAGGTTTTTGCTCAGCCTTGCTTGTCCACGAGTGCTTACCCGGAGATTTTTTACATACATACAGCCAGTGTGCGTGTGCCTAGGCTGCTAGGCAAAAGGTACGAGTCATCCTCGCCCACCAACCAAGTTGTTTCAGCTAAAGGGAGACCTACTGTCTATTGTCTTTGACGACACCCTTGTCCTGATTTATTGCCCCTGTTGCGCTCGTGTTTCGTTCTGGTCCCCTTTTACACAGTTCGTGTGATGAATGAATGTTGCTATAATAATATAATATCATATGAAGCTTGCGCCAGCTCTATCTACCTAAGTAGCTTCGTAACTAATTATATCGTGTTTATAGTTCGCCTTATCGGTGAGTCGAATGTTACCTGGAGCATTTCGGTTGCGTGCCTGGCTATATCCGGCGCAAGGCAACACCACACCAACTTGCAGACATACATAGCAACGCCCTTGTAATTCGTACGGTACGGTACCGTGGGTGCTTTTACTTAAGTACCTAGCGCTGCGACGGATTCGACCCCGCCAAAACCCACTCAGCGTATTGCTGGTCCCGATCGGATTGGCTGCCCGCAACCGGTTCAGAGCTGCGGTCGCTGCGACCATTACCAATTGCGACACCACCTTTTCTCCAATTTGATACATAACTCTTCTACAACGTCACTAGTTAATATACCAACATCGCAATCCGCATCCGTACACTCCTCTACACTTAATCATATATTTGATTCGATTGTTATTCGTACTATCTTTTTGCGCGGCCCTTCATCCGGCCGGCTTCCCTCACCATGGGCGTCGTGAGCAGCAGACCTGATGATGGCGCTGCCATCTACTTGAGAGACCAAAATCGATGTTCGTCCATTCCTCTACCCCCTGCGATGCGCGCAATCGGAACTGACCATACTTAGTTTCAATCGCGTCCTTAATAATTAACTGCCCTCGAAAGCGCACTTCGACCAACATAGTTCCCAATGCGTTTCCCGCTTCTAGGGTCACAGCTTTACGATCAGGAGACTCCAGTCTTGTTGAATTTATTCAGGTTAGTATCTTTAAGAAACAGAGGCTGGCTGAGTTGGCCCGGTTTTGAATTAATTTATATGTCTAACGGTATCGTGGTAGGACGTTGAACCTTCGACCGTACCGACTTTTCTTCTAAAACTTAACAACGATGACGAACTCGTATTCAACTTTACTTTTGTCGTCCGACAGGAAGAGAACATACCTGGCGTTGACACGCATATTAATGGCTTAACTTACGTATATGCCTCGACTAATAAAGACCTTGACAATCTTGTCACTCGCGAGTTTCACGCCGATCCGAATTTACATAAAAATGCGAACGTTGAATTTATCGGCGATTATTCTACAGAGGGAAGCCCATCAGTGACGTTTGAGTGGTCGTGGAAATGGAAACCGCCAAAGCCTACAGAAGATGGAGGAGGAGGGTGGAGGAATATCTGTAGCGTATGTTCTTTTTGCATATTGGATAATGGCCCTCGCTAAATGGTATTATAGTTCGTCGAGTACGACCACAGAGCACACCGCCTAGATACCCTGGCCAGGTTCTCCTTCTGGGTTGCTAGTAAGTCCACAGAAAATGTTCGGCTATCGAAAAAAGTCTAATGCGATGTTTAGATACCTCACCCATCCCAAGCCATCCCAATTCCCCATCTCCAGCTTTCCAATTGGCAGTACCTCCGAGAATCCGGGCGCCATCCTCACAATCAGTTGACTCCCGCATTAGCGAACAAGAAGAGCCTAGCTCCCCGACGCATACTCAGAGTGACGCGTTATCGGTGGCGCCTACCATTGTCCCAAGCTCGCGAGAATCCGTCAAGCTCGATGTATCATGTCCCCGACCGGGCGAAGACATGACTGTAGGTGATGACGGCCCAGTATTTAGAGCTACTATCAAGGCTCTTGAACAAAAGACTGGCAATATGAGAACGCAGATGAAGAAAGTGTTGAAGAAAGCCGAACATGCGTATGCTGCCCAAGTTGAAGCCAACGAGGCTCTAGTGGGGTTTATGGATGCTCTTCGAGAAGCATCTGCAACAAACGCCAATGCAGTGCAGCCTGCTATAGACCATTATTTCGACAAGATTGCGAGAGAAATCCTCTCTTACGAGAGGCAGAACGCGATCAATTTACAAAAGATTATTATTGACCCTATAGGCAAATTATATACGTACGATATCAAACAAGCGGAGTCGAAAAGACGAGATTTCGAAGAAGAAAGCAAGGATTACTATTCTTACGTGTCGCGGTATCTTGGCCAACGACAAGACTCGGTAAAGACTAAGAAGCTTGCCGAAAGCGACACTAAGTATCAGACGAAAAGGAGGAATTTTGAGCTAAAGCGTTTCGATTATTCGTCATTCATGCAAGACCTGCATGGTGGTCGCAAAGAGCAAGAGGTCTTGTCTCACCTAACTAAGTTTGCTGACACACAAGCAAAGAGCTTTTTAGCCACAGCTCAAAAAGTTGAAGGCTTGCTACCGCAACTAGAGGCTCTTGCTAGCGAAGTACAGGAAGCCGATAAAGAATTCTCATACCAGAGACGCGAACGAGAAGAGAAAAGACGGGTCCTAGAGAAGAGTAACCTCCAATATAATGAGCCGGAGACCGTATCATCGGCGACCAACACGACCACAAATCTCAATAGCAATGGCAACCAACATACTTCTGATTCTGAGCTTGGCCGAGCGGATAGCACTAGCTCACAGCTCAAACCCATCCCTACCGGCAACTCAGGACCCATGGCATCAGTAGGCACGGACCTCTCAAGATCGCCGGGTAGCCTAGGACATGCTGCGTTACACAGCCCCATTCAAACTTCGAAGTTCAAGGGCATACGTGATTTAGAGGAAAGGGACTTCAGCCAGCTAACTATTGCTGAGAAGAACTCAACTCACCGAAAAGAAGGCCTCCTATGGGCCTTGAATCGACCAGGCACCCATGTAGATCCGTTGTCATTGAATAAACAAGGGTGGCACAAGTATGTAAAAGTTGACTTGAAACTAAAAATAACCACAACGCTAACAAACTTAGGTTCTGGGTTGTTCTCGACCAAGGGAAGCTGTCGGAATACAGCAACTGGAAGCAGAAGCTTGACCTCCACATGGACCCTATTGACCTACGGATGGCGTCTGTGCGCGAAGCGAGAAATGCGGAACGAAGATTCTGCTTTGAGGTTATTACACCCCACTACAAAAGAGTATACCAGGCAACCTCCGGCGAAGACATGAATAGCTGGATTCTCTCCATAAATAACGCCCTCCAAAGCGCAGTGGAAGGTCGCGGTCTTAAAGAGAAGCCGACGTCTCCGGGGGAATCGAATAGCCTTAAGCGCGATATAGGGTCCATCCTAACTGGAAAAAGCGTTTCCTTAAACCATGGTTCTCATCATCATGGTTCTCACGCCAATGCTAGCTCTGCCCCTCCATCTCGTCGTACCACCGTTGGAGCACGACCTGCTACCACACGGACGCCTAGTAGCAACTACGACGAGAATCCAGATAAACTCCTCCAATCGCTTCGAGATAATGACCAGGGCAATTGCTGGTGCGCCGATTGCGGCAGCGGATCTAAGGTTGAATGGGTTTCAATTAATTTAGCCATCATACTCTGCATTGAATGCAGTGGTATTCATCGGTCTCTCGGGACACACATCAGCAAAGTACGATCGCTCACACTCGACATTACATCATTCACGCCCGATATCATCGAGCTTCTGCTTCTTGTCGGAAATCGAGTCTCCAATATGGTTTGGGAAGCCAAACTTGACCCAAATCTCAAACCAGGTCCACAAGCTACGCGGGAGCAACGCTTGAAATTCATAACAGCCAAGTATGTTGATAGAGCTTACGTGGAGCCAATTTCACCTACTCTCTCACGATATCCAACCCCAGACGAGACACTCCTTGCTGCTATAAAACGAAACGAAATACAGCACGTCATTTATGCCCTGGCGCTAAAGGCCAACCCTAATGTCCTTGACAAAGTTCGCGGGACTCATCCAATTTTCCTAGCTCTTGCAGCAGCCGACCCAGCATCACCATCGCCCAGCACTCCTGTTACCGGACGGCCGGAGCCGGAAACTCGGGCCGTTCCGTTTCCTATCGCAGAAATGTTAATTCAGAACGGGGCCGAAATACCAACATCAATGCCCGCTTTCCCATTAAGTAGAAGTGCCCAGCTATATATCGAGCAGAAGCGAGGTCGAAATGCTGCTGTAGAGGCGTCCGGGTCTTCACTGCCGAGTAGTAACCTTAGTCCTAGCCCGAGCGAGCGGCTTCAGCGGGATAAGGACGGACGTCTACAGAAGCGCATTAGCGCCGGCGGACGGTTGGCAAAGTCGCCAATTCCCGAGCGGTAGAAACGACGGAAGTCGAACGCCTCATTATCGTCTTCATCTCACACACCGTCGTCTCCACGGAAGAACCGGCTCAGTCGACGGAAGTCCAATCTCACAGGTTCTAACTCTTCTTCATCTACTTCCGAACGGTAGAAACGGCGATCGAATCGCTCCTTCTTCCAGATACCCCATTTGGATCTCCCAAGGGCTTTATCACCATTTTGCCCAGCAATATTCTGTCCTCCTTTGAGAATTGAGACACCTCCTCCGCCCCGCTATACGACTACCTCTATGACGATTTTGGCACCACGAACTGATGAAAATAAAGCTATGTGACGAAAGTTGGGATTGCATTAAACACGGGTATTGGCAAGAGAGTATCTAGGGTTTCAGGTGCAAGGGAGTGAGTAAATCTCCTTTTTTGTGTTTTGGGGTGTTACGGGTCATGGGAGGCCGGAATACCAAATCGGCTTCAAAACCTATTTGGGCTACTTGCTGCACTTTTATCATGCTATGCTGTTTTCAAAAATAGCAATTGAGATTATTGGGTCGGCGTCCTTAGTTACGATACTAGGGCATAACTTTGAATCCTGGGGGTTAGGGGGGAGTCTTTCGCAAGGGCGGCAATATGTACCAACAGAATCCGTAATTTTAATCATGTATAATGATGGTGGTTTTGGCATGACTTTGGGCTAGTGGAAATACCATTAAAGTGAATATTGGAATTGCTTCAATATGAAAATGCATGTGAACATGAATAGCTACCTACCTACTATTACAGTGATATATGTGTACTAACCACCTGGATACATGGGTTTACGGGGTAGAAGATCCATATCACGGGTCTACCGGACAAGTATATCTACCTCACGTATGAGTAGAATATTGGGTATCATCATAGTATTTATAGAGACAAAACCTCGTGAATACCATGATGCATGTGAGTAGCTTCAGGTGGTATATCTATATCGTCACCTGAAACCTGGACATACCTGAGTCCAATTGCGCGTGACCGTTGCTTAGCCCCCAAGACGATGTGGTAACTGACATAATAGTTATGCCAGGTACCCGATTATGTTATGCATAAATGATCGGGACACGTTCCTCATATTATATCCCCCCTTATTTTATTTGGAGGCACATCATAGTTCGTAAGACGGGAAAAATAAGATTCACGGCCACATTAGAAAAGGGGATGGAAGGGGAGATGGGAAAATGGAATGACGGAATGACAGAGCACGCAGGGTGGGGGCCGTTTACAAGGTACCATGGATAGGATCCATCGATGTATTTTAGTGCTGCTTGCACAGCCCTACAGCAGCTAGGTACAATGCTATGGGGATGTCAACTGTATGTTGGTAGACTCCCCACTTGCCGATCCCAGCTGCAGTTACCTAAACTGCCCATCCGCCCATTGAGTTTAGGAAAGCTGGGGATGACCTCTTGCACTATCAGCTGTCCAACTTGAGAGTTTTAACCTTTCCATGATTTCTCCTGGCATTTATTGTTTGAAGCGTAAATAAGACAAGGCAAATGGCTATATTTAACTTTATAAACGTTCTTTTCTATTAGAACAGCACCAAATAAATCCTCATTGTGAGTCAAGACCTATCCGGTGAAAGCGAAGGGTGATAGCGCTAGAAGTTCTCTCTCCCCTTCCCTCTTCGCTCGGCGGCCGCCAATCCCGTCAAATACTTGGCCGACCCTTATTAATGATATACCTTATCCACCCGCAATCTGCGAGTTGGCGGCTCATCCCATTATCATAACCCATAACCAAGCTTTTTTCGACCTTCACCAAAACCTACCGTAATAATTTCCCATCCAACTTCGCAAAGCTTATACAGATTCAAATTTCAAGTTTACCTTTCGTTCTTCCTTGTTATATATCGAATTACGTATACCATTTTGTTGCGACATAGAATTTTTGCACCTCTTTTTTCTAGTCAGTTTGTCATCAACCAACGAAAACGAGCGAGCGACTCATCGCTCAAGGCAACAACGCCATGGCTCCTCGCGAGAAGAGCCAATTGAAACGTGGACGGGTACTACCAAAACGCCTCAAATTTGCATATTTCCTCATTTTTGATTAACATAATATGATAGGATTCTCCTCCCTCCAAAAATGACAACGATCTTGCCAAGAAACCCCGTCGTTCCGGTCGATTGTCGCAAAAAGCCGATAATACTGAACAACTGAAAACTCCAGTCATTACCAACAAACAGAAGCTACCCTCTCCAGTTACACACCCATCCGACAGTGATGGGCTATATAAAGAGGCGACAGCCGAACCACCGGATGGACGACCCAGTCAAGTAACACATCGCACTCCCGAAGAAACTTTCTCTCAAGCACAAATCTTGTCGTCGCCCCCTCAAGATACACAAGCGTTCCCAACATCCCAATTTGTAGATGCGAATGCTGCTCTATCCGATGAAGTCGAAGATGAAGAGAAGGAAGGAGTATGGGGATATCTCTTCCCACTTGATCTACGGCATGGGGGAAGGTGTGTGGTATTGAGGAAACGTTCTACTTGTCCGATGTCAGAAGACATTGCAGGTGTTTTGACCAAGAAACAATCTGGTACTTCTGCACTAAAACAGGAAGAGAACTTCGAAAAGTCTAAGATCAAGGGTATACCATCGGGTGGATTCCTGATTGGACGACATCCTGAGTGCGGTACGTACCTGTTACCCAAAAGCCCTCGAATAGTTGCAGCTCCGACTGACTTTTTTATTCACAGATATCATCGTGGATGATCCTATAGTTTCCAACCGCCACTGCTTAATATTCACCGAAAATAAGGGCGATGATGCAGTCGCTATCCTCGAGGACTTGTCTAGCAACGGAACCTTCGTAAACGAAGCCATTGTAGGAAGGAATCAGCGCCGAGAGTTGCAAGCGCAGGACGAAATCGCCGTCATGGACAAAGCCCGCTTCATCTTCCGCTACCCGCGCAGTCGAGCTTCCAGCGCCTTCCTACAACAATATACTCTGCTTGATCGTCTGGGTAAAGGTCATTTCGCCGAAGTGTACCTGTGCGTCGAGAAATCTACCGGTCAACAATACGCCGTCAAGATTTTCACGATGAACCCTGGTATGGATGAGAGATCGAAGACGGATGGCCTGCAGCAGGAAATCGCCGTGTTGATGGGAGTCAGCCATCCTAATGTGTTGTGTCTCAAGGACACCTTCAACGAGAAGAATGCAGTTTATCTGGTGCTAGAACTCGCCCCAGAAGGCGAACTGTTCAACTACATCGTCATGAAACAGAAGTTGACGGAAGCGGAGACGAGGAAACTGTTCATTCAGTTATTCCAAGGCATCAAGTACTTGGTATGATATTTCGCCTTTCCCTTCTCCCTCCATTCGCTTAGCTAACATGTGAGATAGCACGATCGAAATATTGTCCACCGAGACGTCAAGCCCGAAAATATCCTGCTAGTAGACAAGGAACTTCACGTGAAACTCGCTGACTTTGGTCTTGCCAAGATCATCGGTGAGGAGTCCTTTACCACGACTTTATGTGGCACACCTAGCTACGTTGCTCCGGAGATACTGGCGGAAGGAAGGCATAGAAAATACACCAAGGCTGTCGATATTTGGTCACTTGGTGTGGTACTCTATATTTGCCTATGTGGTTTCCCTCCCTTCTCGGATGAACTGTATAGCCCCGAATTCCCATACACGCTTTCGCAACAAATCAAGAGTGGCCGCTTCGACTATCCCTCTCCTTACTGGGATTCAGTGGGAGATCCCGCACGTAAGTCCATTTTCGCGTCGCCATACTTTGTGCCCGTAAACTAACTTGAATTTGACAGTGGACCTTATTGATCACATGTTGATCGTCGAACCGGAGAAGCGATACACAGTTGACCAATGCCTTGCGCACCCGTGGATTACTCAGAAAATGCTTGGTGTCAACGACAGCACGGACGGCCTCGTGGCCGGCATCGGAGGATTAGAAATGCAACGGAGGGGTGCGGTCCGAGAACGAACGATGCTCAGTTCCCTTAACACAGTCGAAGTCGCGAGCAAAATCCCTCTAGGTCCAGACTCAAAGAAGGGCCCTCTGAAAGTGTTCTCGAAGAATCCGGCTGCGGATCCAAATGCAGCGGCGTCGGAGCCTCGACCAGCAGATCAGAGAGGTACGAAAGAGTTTATGGAACTAGGTGGCAAAGGCGATCAGGAACTTTTTGGTAACGACTCGATGAGCTTCTACTCAAAGCCTGAAGCTGTTGCTGCTAAGGGCAACAAAGCAAAGGCAAAGGGTAAAGGAAAACCTAATGGGAAATAATCGACAATTTAGGATGGTGTGACACTGAGAAGGTATTGTTGAACATATTTAGAGCATCGGTCTGATGGATTCTTGCATGTTGGTGACGTATGGAGGGTTTCTAGAGCTATTCGACTCTCCTTTATCAATTCTCAGACACACTATCGGTCACAAAGGGGATTCGTTCATTCCATCTAGCGGGGACCCAGTATTTGCTCGGAGGTGTATGTGGAGCCGGCGTCTATAGGGTTTAGGTGGTGTATTCGGATTCAAAAGGCTGGGAAGGGTTTCTCGCAATTTGCATCATATCATATGAACAGGTCTATAATATATGCTGCTCGACATGAGAGCTTTGACAGGTAATTGAGATTATATCCTAAAGCTTCCCCGGTTTTTAATGGGAAGGTCGTGAATTCATCGCAGGTTGACTTGATTGGTGATTTTATGAGTGAGTCCTACGCCCAACCCAATCACAGCTACATATTTAGCTAATTCGCAAGTTATACTCTGCCAAGATATGGATTTATTCCTATCGCGACGCCCCGTGAAATGCAAGAATGTGGAATTCACAATCCTACGAAACGTATTCCGTAAGCTGACCCGAGTAGCTTATGACGATCTTTCTTTGTTCTTCGTACGCTCAACAAAGAACCCAGATTTGGAGAAAGACTCGATCCGGTCACCACCCTCGGTGTTTCAGCGCCACGGGCTCTTTGTTTGAATTCCCGGGGCAAATGATGGCATGATGGGCCTGCAAATATTCAATAGGTCCTTCTCGTCTTGGTTTTTTAATCGCTCTGGAAAGCAAACTTCTTGTCATCTCGGAATGACTGCAAGTCACAATTTCATGGGACACGACAATGACAAAAATCAATTAGAGATGGAATGGAAGGCCGGAAAGCGCCAGCAATTTCCACCGCCGGAAGCTCTACCGGCGTATGTTAATAGAGCTCTTCCACCGCGGCCGAATGATTCAAACTCACCATCCAGCTCCGATTCTCCCGAGAAGAACACCCAACCACAAACAGCATCAAACCCCGAGCTGCTTGTAAGCCAACATGAAGATGGTCGTCAAAATCCCGATACGACGGGAATGCTTAACGATGCTGGACTAGCCATGGTCCAGCCGCTTCAACTGACAACGTCGTCAGTGCCGCAGTTTAGGCAGAAGCAACAGCGGCCACCCACGATAGCCTCGCCGCAACCACGTTACCCAGCTTTCATGGTTTTAGAAGTTGACGAGAGAGATGAAGATATCGTCAGCCCGGTTTCAGCACCTTTATCTGGCAACAACACACACCAGCAACATGAAGTCTCACCTATATCCCCAGTCGAGTCCGAGCGTAGCATTCACTCGAAAGTTTCCGACTTAGATAATGCCTCCAGCGAGAGCCCCGACTCACCTTCAATCAAGGACGGTTCAAATTCAAGCCGCTCGGGATCTAGAGAAAACCAAACGGAACAATCACCCAGTGATCAAGCTATAACGCCACTATGGTATCTAGAGCACCAAATCCAACAGATTAACCTCCGGTACAGCGACCCCGGGAGTCCTATCAGCGGCGCCGTAGTCCACCCGCCGAGTTCATTCCCCTCCGATCCGAATCTCCGGCGTTTACGGGATTCCGTCGCTTCACATTCCCGTTCACATTCTAATTCTGGATCTAGTACATACTCTGTCTATAGCCCGACGTCCCCTAAGAATAACATCTCTCTTCCTCTTCCTCTCCATAACCAGTTCCTATACCAACCCCACTCCGCCCTACGCACACCACCGCAACTACCACCTCCGTCTCGCGCGGCTTCGGGCCGGAAACGCGATTCTGGGGTTAAACTCGCATCACCGGTTACCGGGTCCGGGGCTAGTCCGCCTAAAGTCGCCTTCGCGGGGGCTGGGGCGGGGATAGGTGCTAAGACTGATGGCTTTTCGGTTACTAGGGCCAGGGCGAATAGTAGTAAGAGGACGGCGCCACCCCCGCCCCCGCTGAAGTTGAGTGAACGCCCGCTTGTGGATAAGTATGTTAAGACGCCGTTTCCGGGGTTGGAGGAGGAGAGGAGGGTGAAGGCTGAGATTGAGAGGAAGGGTGTAGAGGGGGGGAAAGGTGTAGGAGGGGAGAAGGAGAGGGAAAGGGAAAGGCAGCGTACGCCTTTGCATCGGAAGAGTGCATCGGAAGGGGATGGTAAGGGGGGGAGTGGTGTTAGTGGTGGAGGAGGGGTTTCGAAAAGTAAAAGCAAAAACGATGCGAGAAAGAATAGGAATAGGGTGTCGAGTTTGCCGGGAAGGCTGGGGCTGGGGGGATTAGCTAGGTCGCTTATGTCGGTGCGCGGACTTTCTCGTAGTAATGGTGATGACGGTGGCACCAGGGATGATAGGGGTATAAGTACTAGTGATATGCAGGCTGCCGCTCAAAAGGAAAATGGAGGGGCTCAGCAAGAAGGCAAGGCAGAAAATGGACCAAAGAGAATGAAAAGTATATTGTCCAAGGCGAAACAGCTGGGCTTAGGACATGGTCTGGGGATGGGGGTTGGGTCGGAGGAGTCGAGGAGGGAGAAGAGGCGGGCTGAGATTAAAAGGCAGATTCGTGTTGGGGAGCCGAGATAGTGAAATTTTTGCTATGCCTACATCTGTGGGAGTCAAATTATAAGCAAGAAACCCAAGATTTTGTTTCGGATAGTCTATTTTATTCATGAAGTTCTAACTCCTTTCCCTGCAGCTTTTTAGAACTTTATAACAACAGTTAAATAATGCGAATCATCGCAAGGCAATCTCGAAAGGCTATTTCAATACGAGCGCTATAGTAGCTTGACGAAGACTTCGAGCACAAACTTCGGATCAGAATATATAAACAGACATTTATACCTATCTGATTACCACCATACCACTAACCATATCCACGAGGCTAATTATATCTCATATAATAACTGAGGATGCAGCTTAATTCAAGTTCACCGGCGATTCAGCAGCACGAAATGCCCGCGATACCCCCATATAGTTTGTAAGTATTATTACCCATTAGGATCTACCGCTCGGCGCGCACTGTTTAGAGGCCGATCCGAACGAAAGTCACCCAGCGGTTCAAGGAATCCTTAAGCTAATCTTGGAATGCAACGCTTAACAGTCCCCACAAAGGCCTAGGCCAACCTGCTTTTGAATACTCTGACCCATCATCCTACGATCGAGATCAGACTTCATCCTCGCTCTTCGATAAAGGCGAGAGTGTACTCTGCTATTACGGCCATATTCTCTTCGAAGCAATCATTCTGGACGATGTGGCTATCCAAAGAACTGGTAAAGTAGAGTATCTTATTAAGGCTGAAGTACCTCCTAGTTTCGAGGAATGGGTCCCGCGTGGTTTTATCCTCAAGTTGACCGACCAAAACAAGCAATCCCCAGGACGCTGTGCCACCTGCAATCAGTCTCACTTTGACGCTATGATAATATGTCGTAATATCAACGTAAGTGGAATATGCCACCATGACATAGATATATAAAGCCAAGAGTGTATATAGACGTGAGCTGACTACTTTCTACGAAAAAATATAGGGCTGTAGACATCCTTGGTACCATCTCAAGTGTGTGGGTTTATCAGGACAACGGCACCCCCACATGATGACATGGCATTGTCCCAAATGTCGAATCGAAACCGAACCGAAACCGCCTACGCGCCGTAGTTATTTGCGGGTACCGGGTTTACCGCCGAGAGACAATCTGCGCCATCTCACCCGCTCTGATCACATAAAAATTGCTAAAACTTGGAGGCTCTTTTTGGGGGAGAATTTCTTTTCCTGCCCTCCGCTAGAGCCCGCCCACCGCGAACCTAACCACACTCTTCCTACCCTCTGATTCAGGTTACGCAACAGCCTCATGCCGCAGCAACGCTGCGTTGAACCACCAACTAGGATTACCTAATCAGAAGCTGATAAACCAACCTCAAGGAAGTCCCCTTGAATTTATTCAACATGACGATGACGATGTCCAAACTGTGTACACGGAAATTTCAAACATATCTGAAGTGAAGAGAGGAAGCTATATTACTACACTTGCCGACGACTTGTTTAACGAGATTGGGGCGAAAGAAATGGATGAAGAAACGATCGAGAAGCTATCGTCTACCCTCCCTACACTTTTGAAAGCTTTGGCTCTCAACTTTGGCTACAGAGCTTCTTCTTCTCAAATGCACCACGATGTAATGGTCTTCGTTTATAAGTATCGGGAGTACGTCAATCCCTTCGAAAGATACCTAGGTATACATTAGTTAGCGGTGGATACTGACTTCCTATTAGTTCAATCGCCGCGTCTTTCAAAAATAATTGCTATCAGACAAATAAATCGGACCAAGAACTTCCGTTTATGCAGGGCGCATGTTCAACGGAAATCATGGACCGATGGCTGGCTTCCAATGACGAAACAGATCTCGAAGAAATGCGGGAAGATATCCTGCCAGATGATGACCCGACTGACGAGGAACCCCCCAATGTCCCGCCTTTAGAAGAGTATAGAAGATTAATAAATAACGACCCCGGCTATAATTGGCTTCTTGAACGGATGCGCAGAGAGACGGCCCTCTCAAGAGCTAAACCATATGCCCTAAATAATATAAGGGAAGCTATAATGATTGCTATCCCTCAGGGAAGCCGTGTTAGCCGGAAGGTGTCTCCTGAAAGCACGAAAGCTACTTACTTCGTAGACTGGGATATACTAGTCTTTTTAAATGACCAGGAGTACGATATGCCTAACGCAGAAGCCGTCGCAAATGCAATCACACTTACTGGATCTTACACAGATGCCCAAGCTTTAAGTTGTCGTCAATATATGACACAGATATGGCCATCAACGGCGCCCCAGACCCTTCAGCTTCTCCAAGAGATGCTGAGGTGTCCGGAATATAAAAGCATGCTTTCCTGTAAGTGCATTGTCTTTATTTAGAGCCCTGTTCGCACTTATGGGACTTACACCTCTGCAGTCAACCGCCCAAGCAAAATAACACTTGAAGCATTCATTGGCGTTGAATCAGTTATAGTAACGGCTATAGGGATCCCAGAGTTTGTCGTAGAAATAGGAGAGCAGCTTGCATGGCTAGGTGCGGCCTTGCGATCTTCGCCTCTTAACCACAGAGCGATCCTCTGTACCCCATATGTTGCCCAGGCAGTTCATTTACGCAATGAAATATCGGAACTAGAATGCTCCATCCTTTTCAACACTGAAAACCCCCAGGCAAACCCCCAAAATGAGAACGGACAGTGTTGGCACCATCTATTCGCCAATCCGGTCATCGCCCAAAGCTTCCCCATACTTGAAAGGCGCGAAATAGATACAGGATTAGAGGCGCCATTAGATATGTTAGTTTCCCTGGCGAGGGCACGATACGTCGATATGTTCAAGTCAAAAGTCTTTGTTAAAGGGTTCTCAACTATGCTGGTCCCAACCAAGCAATCGGAAAACTTACTTGTTTGGCACTTACTCTATAATGAGAACCCCAATGAGCGAATATCCTACCTTGACTGCGGACTTGAACACGCGGACGTAAAAATAGCGAGCTTCGAACAATCTCGCCATATATTGGGCTGGTGCTCTAACGCAAGATCTATTGTTGGTAGGTATGTCATTCCTTTGGTGGGTGGGCCGTGATGATTGACAATGCACGTTAGGAACCACCCGAGCTGTGTACAATATAGGTAGATCGAGGTTACCGAGCGCACACTCTTGTTGTGTACTGGAAAAAGCCGAAATCTTGGGAGGGTAATTCATTACAGGTATGGCTGGTTTTACTTTGGGGAACAAAGAAAAGCCTGTTCGTATCTCTAGATTAGGTTACCTCACGAAACTGCAGTGGATATCATCTAAGTATTTCGTTTTTTGGGACGAGGAGGAAAAGAGGGGTTGGCTGGTGAATGGAGCCAGTGCTCTACTCCATGTCCTTCGGGCATCCTTGGAGTATAGCAAGCGCAAGTTTCAATCAAGGTGGCTTTTAGGTCCGGGGGCTTTAAATGATACAGTCGATTCATTCCGATCTACCTCGGCGCTAGAAGTTTTGATAAGCGAGGCAAATCGTGACCTCAAACTTTACGTGGACAAGACTGAAGTCTACAACGAAGAAACCACGGATAAACAGAAAAACACCACAGTGATAAAGAGACAAACGCGGCACTATCGACTAGAGGATCGAATCGAACATATATATAACATTCTGGAGAAGTTAATAGACCAACAGACCGACGCAGAACGACGGTCCGGGTTGCAAATCAAGTTTAGACCACGACGTCAGTTAGAAGGTTGGGATTTTAGGGATTTGGCCACGGACGGTGATCCATTTTTCCCCAGGGTTGCCCACCTTCAAACTATCGCCAAGGGGTGGGTCGACTTTACTAGAGCGATACACGCAGTGACACTATTTGGGAGAGGCTTTGGCGAGTTAATCCAACCACAGTACGATACAGCGATATCTTGCCCTCGTTGGTCTATACTGCCAAGCGGGAATTACTACCTTGCTGCCTGCGTATCTGACCTTCATGAGGTTATGGAGAATCTTGGCGACCCAAACTCTAATCCGAGAAGATTATGCGATAATATTATATGGCACACGAAACAAGCTGCGTTCAACCCTTGCTCGTGCACCAAAGACAACGCTAGCAAGCATCACGATCCAGTCCAGGCTCTGTTCCCTATAAGATTCATGCGTAACCTAAAGAAAAAAACGCAGATAAAACTGGACTCTGAGGGTGCAGCCATATTTGGGCATAATATGAGTCTTCATTGGCACTGGACGGATAGCGGTGACCCTATAAAGGGGGACCCACCCCAAGAAGTCACGGATACAACCTACGATAGCGGACTCGGGACAAGTATTGATTCCTCTGATGGTCGATCTGTTCCCGGGTCCGTTCCCAACAGTGATTCTCCCGCGCCAAGCGATACACTTCCACGCAGCCAGTCAGAGTCTCCTCAAAGCAACCTCCAGGGAGTTGACTTGAGAAGCAGAAAACATCGGTTGCAGGATACGATGTCGTCTATTAGCAAGAGAGCAAATTTCTAGAAGCATAGATGATGATGGTCCAAATATTATGCTATCTGTAAACCCCGGGCGGATTCCCACATACGCGAGAGGGAAATAGGGGGAGGAAAGGATAAGTGGGAAAGGGGGAAGAGATAAAACCCTCATTCCTTGACTACCCCATATATACCCGACCAGTTCCCATTTATCCCACGGCCTTATACGCTTACATCTTTGTAAAACCCCTCCCAATCACTGTAATATACGAACCGTACTACCCCCCTCTCTCACACAACAATCAAGCTTTATCATTACCGTAAGCAAAGACAGCGGCGCAGCCATCACTTGCGAGAAAAATGCGATTAGCATTGAACGAATAGTTTTCTGTACGTCTGATTTTAGTCATCTCCCGATATCGCTCGCGTTGTACGAACGACTCCTTTAATGGAGCGAGCTTGAGTAGTACCATCATAGGCTTAGTATGAGCATTTTGTGTAGGGTGAATTATTTACTAGCACTATAGTTACGCATGACCAAGATGAGCTAGCAGTGCTTGTCGACGGCTGTGGGGCTGTAGATGGTTCTGTGCTTGTTGGGGTTGATTGCAGCGCTGATGTCTCGGTGGGGCTCTGGCTTTCGGTGCTCGGAGTCGTACTGGCTAGACTCGTTGTCGATGGTGACACAGTTGTCGAGTTTGATGTAGCCGATACTGAGGAAGTAGAAAGAGATGCACTAGGGGAGGGTGTAGCAGAAGATGACGTGATAGGGGATGACGTAGTAGATGATAGGGCAGAGGTAGTAGAGGAAGATGTGCCACTACTACTACCAAACGCGGAGTCAATTTGTGATTGTACGTAGTCAGCTGCAGCGTCGTCCTCACTGGGGCTCTCTTCCGTGTTCCCCCAGGCCTCCCATGTAACTGCCGGCATTGTTGGGGTTGGTGTCCTTGAGCTACTACTTGACGTCGTCTGATACCTGTTAGTTCGCCTGAGAGCACTACAAGGAGGTGAATAAACTTACAGAAGAGGTAGAAGATTTGCTTGAACTCTTCGAAGTGGGCGTCGAAGTATCTTCAGACGAGCTTACTGTTGGGTTTCCATCTTTACCTATTGTGACGCTAGAATATCAGTCAGTATCAATTCCATACTCAATTGCAATTGCGGGCGACTAACGGTGGGAAATTAGGGACTGGCCTGAAAGCATGAATTAGTTGATATCCCCCATACATATACAATCCAATTGCTTACGGATTTGGAGGGGGTGGGTAGACCCCAGGAGTAGTAGGGATGCCGAAGAGAATCAATCCCGTATCACCGGGTGGGCAAAATAAACAGCCATGAAGTACCGGAACATCTGTACCCTTTACGTTGGTATGGGTATTTCCTGTAACCGAATTAAGCGTCGATGTAGTCACACTTGTTAGAGGGGGAAACGTCGTTAGTGGCGGCACTGGTATATCAGTCGAGGAAGAAGATTGAGACGTGGATGTAGATATTGGTGTAGATACTGATGTAGAGACTGATGCAGAGACTGATGCAGATGTTAATGTAGATGTTGGTGATGAGAATGAAGACAAATACAAAGACAAAGATGAAGGTGAAGGTGAAGGTGAAGACGAAGATGAAGGTGTAAACGTTGCAAACGTTGCTGTGGACGTAGATGTAGATATATTTCGTGACAGCGATGACGTGGAATTTGTGAACCGCGGTAGCAGCGGATAGGCTCTTACGGCCTGTACCGATTCAGAACGTATATGTTCAATTTGGTATGGACGTAGATTTTTGTTGCAAGAGACGAGTACTCCAAAGAGAAGCAAAAAGACGGCTTGAAGTCCTGGTTTGAAAAACATTGTGTCTACTCTACTGAGAATAATTCTCGCAAACTCAATGCGTGTCGAAGAAATTTATTCAGGAGTTAGGGGTAGTCAAAACGAAGATACCTAGCGAGGTGGTGAAGCATTAAGTACCTAACTATGAAGGATTAATGTATACTTAGGTAATTATCTCGATGTTGGAAGTTGGGGCTGTTCCCTCCACCGTCCCAACAGCCGCTGACGCGAAGGAGCTTATCTCGACTGCTACGCGAGCTGTTGGCTTGCTGTATAACACACGGCTGAAACTTGGCTCGTGTTACCCCGAGAAGCAAAGCAGATATTAAGGGGTTAGCCAACTTCTATAAACGGGGAGAATAAATCTATTAGGACGAGAATATCGTGGCTTGTGTATGACTGAGATGCTATTTTTCACATTTAGGATTCATAGTACAACCACTGATATCATATTGCAGGAGCGTCGTCGTCATAAGGACTCTAATGTTGTTGTTGGCCTCGTCCCGCATAAATTCCATCCTAATATATTTCGCCCGATGCTAAAAATGGCACCCAACCGGCCCCCAGGTATTTCATACCATATCAAGTCATGCCCCAGACTCTAAGTCATTAGACTCCTACGTCCGTAGATGGAGCTATATAGTCATATTAAGCATTCGTAGAATTCCAATCAATTTCTACCCCATCGAGGTCCGCGGACTCTTATCCATTATCTTGTTTTCCAGGCAGAGAAATATCATCGCATTCGTGAAGCATTAAGATAAAAATCGACTTACCGCATTTCAACAATATGGCGAGATTTCTGAGCACCTGTACACCAATTTATCAAATAGCCCAGTCTATTATCCTCCTATGCCTCCTGATCAAAGGCGTTAGGGGGGTGACGGTCCACGATGTCTTCAACGTCAAAAGCGGGACAACCAATGGTGGATGTGACGGCCAAAACGTCGACCAGTGGTTTTCGGATTCACAAACGCTGATATATTCAGCATCCACTGGTGCGGCGGCTACAGATACAGATAATCGAAAATATCTGCAGACCTTTTTCAGTATTGGCCCAAATGACGACGCAAAACAGGCTGGTGGTGCGTACTCCTTTCCCCTCGCCGAAGCATTTAACATACGCTAAAATATAATTGTACCTAGATCCAATCAATAGGGTCAAAGCCATTCTCGACGGGAACGCCGAACCCGATGGGGGTAAGCCTTGGTTGTTTTGTAGTAGCGATTGGCTCGTAGGTGAGTATTTCTGCAATCTTCTTAGCACTCAAGGTCCGTGATACAAACAGATGTCTTTAGAGCAAAAATGGACAGATATAGCATATGATGCAACAACTGGCCAGCTTCATTCTGATGGAACCAAGATCGAAGATGTGTTCCCTATAAAACTAAATGAAGGTACAGTGCATTCCTTTCTTTTCTGGATTGTTCGGTTTTAACAATAAGAACTCTAACGTTTACTTGCCCAGTACCATTCTGGTCGGATGATCTTAGGCAGTATTTGAGTACTGTACCCGGAGACTACTGCAAAACGACAAATGATCTAGCCGTCACTCAGGACCAGACGACACCAGGAACCGTTACCCTTTGCGTGCCCAATTTCAACTCGAACCAAGTCAACTCGTTAGCTGATATCCCCGCCGTTACAACTCAGAGAACGTCGATTTCCACTCTTCAAGCCCATTCGTTGAGTTTGTTCCACGAGATGTTCCATTTAACCCTGGGTGTTGCGCAGACGCCAGATGCCGGCTGTAAGGGGTCTGAGAGAATACATACATTGTTCATATAAGCTGATGTCACGAAACAGACGAGCTGAACTCTGTCGTCCGGTTTGGGACAAAAAAGGCCATTTCGAATCCCGAGTCATATACCTTCTACGCTTTGGCATATTATCTCGGCCAGCGATTCCCGCAATACACCTTTGCCAATTCGAAATCCATGAATAAGCCAGCGGCTGCTGGGACGAAGCGATCCATATTAGACTTGGGGAAGAGCATGCTTCTTCCCTTCCAGCCGGCGAAGAAGGATCTTCCGGATAGTTCTTGGGTAGCTTAGACATATCAAATTGGCACTAGATACATCACTCCCCATAGAATTTCCCTATTCTAATGGCTAATATCAACCACACTACTGTATTAATGTAGCCTCTCAAAATCAATATGAATCTCCTTCCACCCAATCGCTCCTAAGTCCTTTAGATCCTGTTCGAATTTCTCCAAAGCAAGTGGCCGATATGTCTCGCCGTTCTTGGGAGGTCTTCTCTCTTTTGTCTTGAAATCATGCTCGGTCTCCTTATCTTTCCAATAATGACACCAAATACATGCTAGCGTGTCTTGACCTTCCCAAATCCGAGGATCATCAATCCACCCGCTGCACGGGAGGCCTCGATGAGGAGATAGATGGGCAAACTGCCTGCCAAAACTGGGCATCGAAAGAACGAGACCTTTGATTCCGCTCACTTGCTCACGCGTCTGTGTGGAGACGGAGCTGGGGAAGTACACGGTCTTAATCTCCATATATGGCACTAGGTGCCAGTAGTAAGCAATCTTGCCAAAGTTTATGGCCTGCGTTTGAGGTTTGCTGGAAGAAAGTGCGGTGAGATTGTTCATCATTTCTTCGTACTGGCTCGACTTCGTAAAGGCGTCGTAGGCTGCGCGCGATCTCCAGGGTATAACTAAGACATGTTGCTCTGGAGACTCGATAACTCGTCCATAATAAGTCTCAAAGTAGTCCGATTCATTCGCAAGCAGTGGCTTGAAAATAGAAATATCAAGAGTCTTCGAAGTCGGTACCTGGAACCAGGTCCATGTCGAGATTTGTTTATCAGCCATTTTGTAATTTCGCAAGTGCGACAAGAAGTAAAAGTTAGCTTGCGTGTTGTTTCTTTAGGAGGAAGTCCTATAGGATCTCAGGCTTACGGGAATCTCCCTATTTATAAGTGTCCCTCGGTAGGTACGTTGCTACTTAGGGAGATGCCTACCTATGTACATGTTGTATGTGCGTACCCAGGGGCAAACCAACTGTCATTGGCCCCACTAACGGATAAGTAAATGTCCCGATAGTCGATAATAGCCATGCGTCGCTTGGGTTTATGACCTTAACGAGCTGCAAAAAGGGGCAAATGAAAAGGGGGTAAATTTTCCTAGTAAATTCTTCACTCATATTGGCGTTTGCCAATTATACCTACCTAGGTACACTTCATAATAAAATCCGCCGTGCCCTCAATGCGACTTGCCGAATTGCACGCTCGTAATGAATATGCCCCAGAAGAAAGAGAGCATAGCAAACATCATAAAGAAAGGAACAGAGGGATTCTGCAGGTCGGTGCCGTATCCCGCAGGGGAAATCCGGGAAATGAAAAAGATGGCCACTGGCAGAACACAAACAAAATTATAGAATGATACCCGTCGAAAGCTGATCCACTCACGAGCATAGATCCCCCAGAAATCTTCTCTAGCATCTCCCCCTTCTTTGAGCTCAGTCTTCTTTTTGGGAAAAAGTTCGAGTGCTGTTGCAGAAGAGTGAGCACCCACTGACTTGCACTTGTGATAGAAACGACAAAGCCCCCCTGGATTATAACACGCACAGAAGCGTTTTTGAAACTCGTGTTCGCTGATTGGCGGGATGTTATCCATTGGCTTCGGGGCATACTCATAGTCGTCATTGGCGATATCGGGAAACTTGTTCTTTTCTGCCGGGAAGAATGCATGATCGTCGAACTTTTCGCACTATATTCACGAGATTCATTAGCTTTTGGTTTGCATCTGTACAGTTGTTAGGCCGTGCGCGGTACCGATAGTGCGTACCTTATAAAAGTCACAATGAGAGTATCGCCAAACGCTGAACCAGTTGCGGAAAGAACCCCGAATACGAAAGTAATGCTCTTTGAGCGAACTAAAGAATTCGTAAGAAGAAAAAGTATCAATACCAATTTGGGCGATATCGTAATCAGCCCCTTTTTTAACTATCAGGATAATGCGATGCTTAGGAGTAGTTGCATGGCTAGTAGTGACCTGGGACGACCCGGACTGCCCAACACTACCCATAAGAAAAGTAGTCGATTGGTGATGCGTATGTGTATTTTGGCTCGGTCGAATGTGTTTTTGATTATTTCTTATAGCTGCTTTACCCAAAATACTCTGAGATGAAGGTAGATGAGGTGGTAGAGTATGCTCAGGGGTACCAGACAGGGGTAAGCTGCAAATGATTGACGTTAGGCGTTTAAAGAAAGGCGAGGGGACCTCTGCCCATCTAACCTCACCACAAGCCTAGAAAAAATAGTTTAGAGTGCAATTTCGAAGCGAAGCTATTTGAACTGTAGAAAAGAGCAGACTTACGCAATCCCATTGCAATCGTACTTCCTCTTCTTTCAAGATCCTCACACATTGTGGCAGCGGCCACCAATCCCAGCGGGTTCCAGTCCAAAGTTCTACTGCATTTTGATACCGATTGATTATTCTATGTAGGCCAATAAAGTTACCATCTAGGTTTAACTTGATTTTCTGTGGATCTATATTATGTAGCTCCGAGACAAGATTAGGGAGCTTGTAACGGGTGATAAAACCATGATATCTGTGATCAGGCTTTGACCACGAATCCACCAGTTCTTGTAGCCTAGAGTGCATAGTGGGGAATACAATATGGTGGAGCCGCGAATATAACGCTCGATAAGCAATGCTTTCCTCGATGAAGTGCTCAATCCGATCGACATGCCCTGGGACTTCATCGGCGGAGCCAAGATTCCTGCACAGATATCTCTCAACCAACTCTCGGGGGGGTGTCGTATTTTGCGAAGACTCTGGGTTCTGGGCTCTAGAATCCTGGTCACCAAGAAGAAGGGCTGAGAACATTTCCATAACGATAAGGCCTGAAAAGGATCTGATGAACCCCGAAACCGCATGGTAAGTGTTCCCATGCATCTCTGCCTCGAGTTCTAAGGCGAATCGTTCTAATAGTCTCCTAGATTTAGCTCGTATAACATCTAGTTCCGCGCCCTCTTTTTCCATTGCCGAGGAAATTAAAGTCCTCATAGCTTCGTTGGTATGGAACAAAGCGGCGAATCCCTGAATTAGTAGTATGTTCGTTCCTTCTATTTCAGACGCTACATTCAGTGTATTGGTATCTAAATCTATGTCGGGAGGGGTCGGTTCGTAGCGGAATGGTGACGCTAAATCTTTCAAGATAGGCGGATCAGGGTCTTCATGAAAATCAGGTAGCGTTGGTTCTATCCGAGCATTGCTTGGGCCACTCAATAATTGTTCATTCGCGTCGATTTTCGAGCCGTGGATGTCAGGCGCCTCAAAATCCGGGTGGAACATGTGCCCATAAGTTATAGCCGGTGGCGGTAGCTGATTACGATACGTCGCGACATCATCATCTTGATTGGAATTGCCATAATCACCGTCGCCGCTACCGCTATCACCACTACCCCCGATAAAGCCACCGCCTAAGAAGCCCCCCCCTGCCTGACTTCCCCCCGGAAACCCGTCACAATTTGCGCAGAGTAGATGGACGCAATTTGTGCAGGTTGTTATTCCCAGATATGATATATCAAATCTATTCGTCGCGTAGCATCTGCAACATGTGATCGGGTTACCATGAGAGTGATGATGATGGTGGTGATGGTGGTGATGGTGAGACATGGGAAAGAGTGCCGATGCGCAATGTTATACCTCAATGAATCACTTTAATAGTGACTATTATATGACCCCTAGGCTTTGAGTCTTAGATTCTAGAGATATAGTGTTATATTGCCGCCTCGTAGTCCTGGAAGTATTGGAATTCGGATGCGTTAATAAAGGCGACGAGAGCCTGCTTCTATTGTGTATTTATACCCCCACCTAGCCAAGGCAGATTTATGTGTAGGTACCTAGGTACATATCTACCTAGGTATGTACCAGGCAGGTATCGAGGCATATTTCTAAGCCACCAAGCCACCTTTCTCGGCCATTCTTACATGACATCTTAGAACGGCGATACACCATATACCCCCAATACCCTCCCGACATCACTATCCTTCTCCCCTTTAACAACAGTCGCTACACGTTCACCGCCCTGCCAAGGCTCCGCAGCATTCCTCTGCCGCAGCGACTCAGGATCGCCAGTGAAGTTCGTAGCGCACAGACCAGGGTCGGCGCCGAACACGAGAAAGCCTTCCTCCTTCAACCGCGCGAAATACAAAACCATCATCATGTTGACCGCAGCCTTACTACTCCGATACTCAATCGCGCCTCCGGGGCTATAATAAGGGGACTCGGGGTTCGATGCATGGGTGATGGAACCCGTGCTTGAAGAGACGAATATAAGGCGGGGTGGCTTGTGGACAGCCTTACGTAGTAGATCTAAAAATGCCTCGGTCACGCTCAAAGAGCCGACGACATTCGTGTCGAGAATACGTCGGAAGACTTCCCGTGATGGAGGCCTGACCATGGAGACGATGCCTGCGTTGTTTATGAGGACATCGAGTCTTCCGTACTGGGTGGCAATACGGGCGGCTGCAGCATCGACGGATTGGCCGTCAGTCACGTCAATCTGTGTTGATGAGACGGAGCCCTTAACGCCCTCGGTGGCTTGAAGTTTTTTGGCGGCGGCTTCTCCTTTTGAGGCGTCTCGACTACCTAGGATAACATGGTAGTCTCGGGATGACTGAACTAGGTTTTTGGCCGTCTCATAGCCTACGCCTTGGTTGGCTCCTACGTACTCACGTTAGCACTTATTCTTGGGTATGCAATTATGAGCATAATACTCGGTAAGTCACTCACCTGTGATAAGAACAATCTTCTTGTCTGATAAAGCCATTTTATGGCCAAGTTTCTCTATGGAATGGAGATGAATCGACTTCGGAGATAAGCGACTTCCAGCTTGAGCGAAGATAGAACACGGTTTAATTCCTTTGTACTGCAATGAAGCTATAGTAACTTCTAGTACTCAGCGTTCGAGTTCAAGCTTCTCTTATAGTTGAGTTTTCATACCCCTTTTCAATCTGCTATGTTGTTTGTATGTGACCGGACGGTCGGGGATAACTTTACAAGCGACTTAAGTCCACTAATAATTCCTAACATCATAACCACACTGAACATAGAAAAGGTACAGAAATAGGAATGTAGAAATGTTCAAGGAACCAACAAAAGCCCGTGCATTCAGCTATGAGAATTGGGATCATAAAACGTCATTCCCGTCTCCGATGAAGATCGTGGTTGGGACCATCGCCCAAAAGACGGCGGATTCGTACCCAGGTACCCTCCGGCCCAGGTGCTACACACTGGACAATTTACTGGTGTCCGCCCATACTCGAAAATGGACAACCTGTCGAATTTCGCGTCTTGAGGAATTCAACAGTAGCTGCCATGTCCTCGATACCCTTTCCTTCCTGAGGCTTTGGGCCAATTGTTTTTAAATCGTATCCTCCAGGATGGTACTTATCGCCCAAGGAGCCTGGTGACCTACCACCAAGCGCGCTGAGAAGCAGCGCTTTTGGACTCCACTTGTTCCATGCGTCGGGCTTTACGTACCAAGGCTGTAAAGTAAGTCGATCGAAGTTATACAGATTTGTCTCGGGGTTCGCGTGTTCCCCCACGTTGTGTACCGCGAGGAAAGCGGGTCGGGGTAAACATGTGTGTCGCAATAGCGTCCTACGGAGTTCTCTGGCACAGTTGAGGAGGAGCGATAGTACTGCACCAGGGCGCTCTAAACTACGTATTGTCAGCTACACTTGGACGAGGCATGTAGGCGTAGTACTCACTTCAAACTAATCCTCATTGTTTCATCTAAGTCAAAAGCGACCACTTTTCTAAGGAAAGAGGTAAATGGTGCTGGAAGTCCGGATGTCGCACCATCCACATATACCCGGACATACTGATCCCCCGTGGGCACGGGTTTAGCCACCCTTTCTTCGTATTGGATGGTCCAGTCGTACAGCTCATTAGCGAAGTGAAGACCGTCGGTCCAGCCATGCGCACTAGATGGAAGGAGTAAGTAAGGAATCAGCATGTCCTCGCCCAGTACCTTGTGAAATATTCCAGCGGCACATTTCTCAACATCGCTAAGCTTGCGCCACTCAGATCCATCCACAATATTGAATATCTCCACGACATTGGAGCCCAAAGTGTGTAGTAGGTCTTCATCTAAGATCTTCCCTGCCTTTCGGTAACGTGCGTGTAGGTAATTCATACGCGCTACTGATTCCATGTAGCGGTCTGAGTCGGCTGGGTTGGATTGGACTTCTCGGATAAGGATTTCCGTATCTACGGCACGTTTGCCGGCGTTCTTCCTTATGTTCTGTCCGGTAACGGCGAATAACTTGGACATTGTCGGGATGCCACCTGCCTAGAGAATCGGATCATCTTAGAGAAATAGGATGCGATGAATTTGAGGCGTATGTACCTTGAGTAGTGCGACAGTCCTTGCTTTGCTCATTGAGTGTGGAAATTCGAGTTGTTGCAGCTGTTGCATAATAGAGAACGCTTCTTGCGTTGTCATGCTTGACAATGGCCGCTTTCCTGGGCCGAACTCCGACGAGATGGAGTCGGCGCGTTGGTAACGAAGCAATCGTACTAAAAGAAGATATCCCGCAAATATGGGGATTGCCAACGACGACCAATAAACTTGAATGTTGAAAGAATCCATACTGAATAATATTGAGTGTTACTACCTGAGCAAAGTTGATGGCGTTCGTATTGTTGGTAAACCCGCAGCCTTTAATACATAATTAACATAAAATAATTGTATAGACATGTGAACAGTCTCGAAACTATTACTTGGCCGCATGTTGACACTTTTCTTCAACATAACGGCGAGTTCTCCTCGGCTTTGGTTGAATGGAGTTGTCGGGATGGTGGGGCTACCGGACCCGGAGCGGGCCACATCGCCAATGCCGCTTGAAGTCTTGCCTGCTGTCAACAAATATTTGTTGTGTCAACGGGTTAAAAGTTGACTACACGAATAATCTTGTTTTCCCCTCATCATGTAAAGAAAATTGACATTGGATAACCTCGGAACTTGGGAAATTTCATCTTGAACATCAGTTATGATCACCTATTCTTGTTGAGTCGAAATTCGTTGAGTGTGGAGACTATCAGTTACATGCCTCGGCTGCTCCACTACGGACGGCGATGGAGGCTAATATCCTTATCAATCCCGGAATCTGGGGTCTGCGTCATCCTACGATCTCGTTATTCAACATTGTTTCGCGATTGCTATATTGACAATGCTATTGGTTGACACGTTTGGCGACAAGACCTCTATTCCATATAAGGGGTAGGTGACCTCCACATGACCCAGTGTTGATGCTAGGACTAGTAACATCTATAGCGGTGTTGGTGTTGTTCTATCCCTCCGGCTGTTCAAAAGTTCGTCCGCACCCCGCTTTTGCGTGTATGCCGGGATAAGGTGTGCTTGATTCTTGAGATTGTCTATGGCACAGACATTGCCTGTGCCTCGGCTTACTACCGGAACCCTCTTATTCCCGTCCAGTTATCAAATGTCACCCTTCTATCGACGAGAATTATCGGGATCATATAAGTCTTGAATTCCTTTTGGTCTAATTAGTTATAGAATTGAAGTAGAATGTAACATAAGTTTTATATTACAAAATGGCAAATTCTCGTGACCAGGCCAAATTCGAGGCCATACCGTGGTGCGCCGCGCTAATCCATGCCCCCGACGTCGTTACCTTCGTTGTACCGAGCCGTATAGTTGGAGAGAGCATAGAACCGCGATCACAAGATCAACTTTTCAGGCGAACTCTCCAAAACGACGACGCAATCCCAAATTGTCTTGGATTCTACCAAGACCCCAAAGTTCTCCCGGACGATGGCTCACCATTCCTACTGAGCTCGAGCTCTATCCTATTTGATTTGAGACCTGGAATCAATGGATTCAACGCGACTGCGCACGGAGGCCTAATCGCTGCGTTGATGGACGAGTCGATGGGTTCTTATTTGATCATATGTGATCAACTCCACAAACAAAAGAAGGCTAAAGGCCTTTTACCAGCAACATCCGAAGGCTTCGATAAATTGGGATTCGCTACGAGTCGAATGGACGTTAGGCTGCGTAAGGCTATCAAGACTCCTCAAATCGTGGTAGTCACAACACATCTGGCGGAGACGAACGGTCGAAAAGTACATTTTCGGGTTGAGGCTAAAGGCCAGAAGGGTGAAGTGTACGCAACATGCGATGGCACTTGGACATCATTTCCTCGTGGCAAACTGTAATAAAACCTCAACTTCCTTTCTACAAGATATCAAAGTTAGAAACTGAAGAGGCTGGAGTGACAATGAAATTAATCATCTTCATCGACTCCGTCTTATAAACTCCGCTCCGATAACTCCTAACCCCTATCTATGAAACCCGTGATAACAATAAGACCGTCTTCATTCATGAATCATTATAAGTCACAATAAATTCTAATCGAATTGTGGAGTACCCCGCGGATGATACGTCAGGAGCAAGGACAGACCCACATCGGACTCCAGCACCTTAGCCAAAAAATTACAGGCAGGAACGTAGTACCGAGAACGGTGACATATACACCTTCCTCTTTCACGATGAGCACCGTCAACGGGACCTCCGACACCTCCGGCACGGACAAGAGAAACGACTCGCCTCCCCTCACGGAGCTCGAAACCGCCGAGATCCTGCAAAGCATCCGCAACTCCACAACCCAACCCTCGACCACCCTCCCCGCCGATCTCGCCGTCTCTCTCGACTTACACCGCCCGACGACCGAACAAACCGACCTAGCTTCGTACTATTGGGATGCGTCTACGATGGCACCGCTTAACGCAGTCTCGGCGGTCAGTATACTCACGCTCTAACTACCTTGCCTTATTCACCATCCCCCAGATGTTGCTATGAGACAAACGCGAAGAACAATATCTATATGAGAATATAAAAGACGAAGATATATATATATATATATACATCATGCTCATGCGATCAAAGGCCGCCATCGCGCGTCTGCGCGCCTACAAGCCCCCACCCTTCCCGACTTGGGACCGCTTACCGGTGAGCCGGCGCGCTGCCGTGCTGATATTATTATTTGCGGATCGGAGGGGTGATTTGAGGGTTGTTATTACGATGCGGGCGACTAGCTTACGGAACTTCTCCGGTATGACAGCCAACAGATTCCCATAAACCAATATGATGTACGGGACATGTCCGGTTCTAATGTGCCTTGTGTTTTAATAGGTCACGCAGCTTTCCCCGGCGGGAAAGCCGACTCATTATCAGAATCACCGTGTAAGTACTAGCAAATCATATATCGGAAAGTCCATATGTTAATAAGCCCCCGAACGACAGATCAAATAGCCCGCCGCGAAGCATGGGAAGAAATCGGTCTTCCCATGGACGACGCCAAGATCCCGAAACCCTTCCGAATAGAACCGCTTTGCTGCCTACCATGCAGTCTCGCGAAAACCGAACTAGCCGTACGCCCATGCGTAGCGTTCCTACACGCCGACGACGTGCCTGGAAAACCGAAAGCGATGGTCGATGAGAGTATGATACCCCGACTAGACGCGAAGGAAGTGGCAGCGGTCTTCAGCGGCCCTTTTCATAATTTCTTAAAGATGAAGGACGAGCTGCATGAGGGCGAGACGATACCACCGGGGGACTGGTATGATGGGTATTGGCACCATTGGCACAGTGAACCATGGCGTGTGCATAATTTCCACGTCCCGGTAAACAACCAGAAGGTAACAAAACCGAAAGTCCGAGATGGCGGACAAGCTGCCCTAGCGGATGAGTTGGAAGAAGAGGAAGACACAGTTCAACGATTTTTGGTCTGGGGTCTTACGGGAAGGATGTTAGTGGACGCGGCGAGAATCGCGTATAACGAAGAACCCGAGTTCGAGCATAACGACCATTACGGGGACGAACATATCATAGCATATTTAAACGACGCTGGTCGACTTCCGGAAAAGAAGAAAAGGGAGGTGGGACTAGACGCTCTTAAAGACGAGGTCAAGGATGCAAAGATGTAGACGGATGCGACCAACACCCACGCGAAAAATTGTGTTGCTCGTATTGTAGATTCATAGTGGCTCAAGCCTCCGTAATCCTAGTATTACCATGTTTTTGGCAATGAATTCACCGCAATAGATCGGCATTCGTACCGCTTCGGTAGATCTCCAAATTTGACTCCACGTACGCCTTCCTCGTGTTCTTTCTGCATTCATTTCCTAGCATTTTACATATTCCTACGTCTAGTGGCAAGCCGTCTCCTTGGTAGCTTTCGTGTGCGAACCGAAGAAATAGTATCCAAGGCCAGCTCCGATCGCGACGGAAAACATGACGAATCCGTTGTACGTCATGAACAGCAACCTGTATATTCACCCGCAATATTAGTATCATATTCCTATCTACTACGGAAAACGCGAAATTGGGGGTCAACTTACATGATCATAAAGGCGTAAAAGTTCTGCACACCGTACAGAATGGCTTTGATGATGTGGTCTCGTTGTCCAATGCTGCTGCTGTTTCGTCCTACCCCAAGCAAAGTCGTGCTCTCAGTATTTGGTTCGCCTCGATTGTTCGCAACGGCAAGATCTTAGCCCAGGATTTCCCCAAAGGCGTGCCAATCAATTGAGGTGTGATTGTCATGATGCGGCAGTAGTGTAGATCGTAGCATGGTTTCCCGTGTTATACGATATGCACTAATTGCTGCCTTTTTTCTAACGATGGGGAGGGAAGTGGAGTTTTGGAAGAATAAGGCTGGGGAGAGGGGCGGGTCGGTAGGTGTGGGAAGGTAGCTCATTGTACTCACTGGGTGAAATGTCCTGCTTAGTACTGATTGAGGCTTCGTATCGTCGGATGCCCTCACGCAGGGCTTCGTAGCCGGCGCTGATGGCAATGATAGCCAGCAAGCTGAAGACCAGGGATGCGGTACCGCGGATGTGCCACTGCCGGAAGATGATGCATAGGTTGGTGGTATCCCAAGTAAAAAGCATCTATTTGGACGAAAACGCCAGAAGCCAAGAGTTAGTTCATCTTCTTCATTTCTCCCCTTTTCATTTTCCATTCTCATCGGTATCCAATGAGGGCGTTGGTGGCGCCGAGAACGACATGTTAGTCGGCATAGCCCCAGTCGCTGTGCAGGAAGCTAGAGGAAATGATGCTGTGTACAGGTAGAAACTTAGGTTATTATGTACTGACATTCATGCTGCACATCTGTGGCATGTCACCGTGGCCCATATCACCGTGACCCATATCGCCATGGTCCATGTGTCCGTGATCCATCTTGATGATATTATCTAGTTGAAAATTACGTCGGGAGTATTGATTCAGGTTGGATTCGGCCGGCGATCAGAAACTGGAGCTGAGCCTAGTGCAAAGGAAGACAAAATAAAGATGGAAAAGAGATGGGAAGGTAAACCCGAATGAGCTTAACTCTTAAACCAGGTCAAAATGTGCTTAAACGTGCTCATTACCCCCCTAAGCAATAAGAAACGTGACGATGGTGTCAGATCTGGTGGTGTTACTGGGTAGCTGCTGGGGGAGGTACGTTAGCTCAAGGCACGAAAGCTTGTAAACCCCAAACACCTCCTAAGTGGAAGCTTCCGCAGGCTAATCCTAAACGGGGAGATAAGGTTGTGGTACAACTAGGGGACTTCCTGTTTGAGATAGATGCATTAGGGAGTTATAGAAACTCCGGGGTCAAGAAAGAGCATGGATCTTTAGCTTATGTAAGTCAATATAAATGTGCATTTTATGCACCACTTGCATAGATGATAGTGGGGTTCATAGAGATTCAGATCATTCTTTATCAAACAAGAAGGATAGACTCGGCATCTAACGGATGAACTAGAAGGTGATACCATGACATAAAACTACAATCGGCCCTTCGTGATTATTAATATCTGAAACTCTTCAACAGTAACTATTCAAATTCAACTTCCGCCGGCTCCGTGCGTTAAATCGAGTATCACAATCTACAATAAAATATATCTCAAGCCGAGGATATCAAAAATATCAAATACTCCGACAGCTACCTAATTAGGTGCCGTGTGAACACAAGAAAAGAAAAGAAAAGCCACAATCCCTCAAATCGACCAACCAAAATGCTTTCTGTACCAGTTAATCTCCCGAAGTGGTAAGCCACCAAGGTTCTCTCGGACTATTCGCCATGACGCGAGCGCCACTGACTAATGATCAATGATGGTCAAGGCTCGAGGAGAATTCCCACCTTTTGAAACCTCCGGTGAACAACTTCTGCGTCTACAATGAAGGCTTCACTGTTATGGTGCGCAAAATACCACCACTCATCCCGTTGTGACTGATCTATGTTTTCTTATATATCTTATCTCATATCTAGATTGTTGGTGGCCCTAACGCCCGGACCGACTACCATATCAACCAGACTCCAGAATGGTTCTACCAATACAAGGGAGCCATGATGTTGAAAGTAGTTGACGACGGCAATTTCAAGGACATAATCATCCGTGAGGGCGACATGTTCCTACTACCACCAAATACACCTCACAATCCCGTACGCTTCGCCAACACTGTCGGTGTTGTGCTTGAGCAGAAACGACCGGAAGACAGTATTGATCGTATGCGTTGGTACTGTCAGGAATGCGGGGAGGCTGTCCACGAGGCCGCTTTTCATTGCACCGATCTCGGTACCCAGATCAAAGCCGCCATTGAAAAGTTCATGTCAAGCGAAGAGAATCGCAAGTGTCAAAAGTGTGGCGCTATCGCCAATTCCGTACCGAAGCCTGGAACTATTAAGGACCCGAATTTAGAGTGATGATTTGGTTGGTCTAGGTATACCACATTTTGAATATCAACACAGAGTATTGTTACCTAGGTGTCTAATGGGTCTCAATGCTAATTCTTTGATATCTATAAGACTTCACTAATTGAGGATTGTACCACTACCATTCTAAGGGAAACTGCTTCTTTCCCATTACTCTCTAAGCATTCAGGTATCTAGTCTTTAGTTCTCAGACTACTATGCTCATAGTTTCATGGCTTATCTAGCTTTTAGCTTCATCTGTGAGCCTCGACGTGGTGATGTAAGTTACTTCAGATATCGTCCTCCCTTTCGTCTCGCATAACGTCTGAATTAACATAAAATAGGGGTCGATCAAAGACCTGTGAAAAATGACAATGCCTAAGTCCATTGAGATATGACCCGCACATAATTATGGCTTATCTTTAAAGTCTATAAACTATACACTTCGCCTCGCCCAGGTATGATGTATAGTACATTGTTACCGAAGCATTTAGTCGGCGAGAATCTATGTGCTTAAACATGCGCATTGGTACTCTAGTGGGTATATCAACATCGGATGTCGAGCCTAACAGGCCATAGAGTTTGTTTTGTTCCTTTTCTAATGTGCATCGTCGCCGTATCGTCATCTGAGCACAGGGCGCGAAAAAAAGTCAAATGTCATCAAACAGCCTGGACAACCCGGCCTTTTCATCGTTTACCTAGGTAGGTAGTCCCCTCAAATCAAGGTATCCGCATTGGCTCTACTACTTACTTTACTTCGAGTTCCATAAACTTCTGACCGAGTACTCTGAGTCAAAGACCTGGATTTAATTTTCGCAAATAATAGAAAACGCAACGAATCCCAATGTTACGGGCCCATATGGGGCTGTTTTTTATTTCCCTTTGCTATAACGCGGCTTACAATCATGTCGACTCTCAGCATTGATGAGTCGGAGCTCATACGAGCATCTATCTCAGCATGCGCATCATCGCAACACTCTCAAACACCCGCGATCCCATTGCCCGCTGTCCTAGTGTGCCTAACCACGCTTCCTTGGGAGCTCCAGCTCGAAATCGCATCGCATCTCGACGTTCGCAACATCATTCTTCTACGCCAGACCTGTCATCTGTATCGCGACTATTTCACCGTCGATGCCATCGACAAGCTATTCACCAATCAAGGACGTGTTGACGAGCTTCGTTTCTGCTGCTACAAATGCCTCACCATACCCGCTTCTAGGGATCTAGTCCTCGACAAGACGCGCGGGCCCAACCAGTGGCGTTCGCTATGTTTCATTTGCTGGCGTATCGACCATAGCCCCTCCATCCACGATGCCACCCGAGAGGCCTACGACATCCAGTTTTCGAACAACCGCCACGGACACGTATGTCTCTGGTGTGGCTGGCCGACGTTCTTCAATTATTATCACGTCAGGTGTGGGGATATATTCGATGCTACGGACAACTTTTGGTGGTGTATGGCCTCGCTCCGTTGCACCATGCTGGCTGTAGTTTCCGGTACTATCTGGTTCCATTACACTGGTAATTACCAGGTTGTTATACCTGCCATGGTGAGTACCTATCCAAATTCCCAAACAGCCCCTCGACAAACCGGCGATTCTACGCATTTTCGGCGATAGCTAATGTCCAATAGTTAAACTTCTTCACGTCGTTCGTGGTCGTCTTTCTTGTCAGCCTATACTACTTCAGGTGGGGATGTACTACTCCTTTGCGCGTCCCCATCGAGGTTATGATGACACTTGCTTGGATCCCGGCCGTGGTGTACGCTGCGCAAGATCTCGCCAACAACAAAGAAAACCCGGATCAATACTCATACCTCGTATGTACGGTATTCGTGGCGAGATGGTACGTTTTCTCATGACGCCAATTCCCCACACCATTTTAGATCCTGCGACCGCTGACGTTTTCATGGCAGCTTCATTTACTTTCTAAATCTTCTTTGCGAAGCTATGTTGGTGCTCGGATATAACCCAAGGGACTTCGCACACCCGGGTATCTCGGAGAGACGTAAGCTCCTGTATGTTTTCTGTTCGTTCATGGTGTACTGGGGTGTCGCCAGGTATCGTAGATTCAGATTGAAGAAGATCAAGCGTGGGACGGTGTGAGGGCGTAATCAAGGACGTCTGAGTGCCGGTATCTTCAATTAAGTACCGGAACCGTATCTAATGGAAATTACTCTCGCAGTGTGCTTTTAGGAAGGTTGAGGTGTTGGTAGAAGGTTTATTTTCGCTGGAGGATGTAAGGACAGATTGAATGACAATAGAGGCAGGCAAGTACAAAGAAATTTCCAAAAAGAAAGTTCTCTACGATGCATCCTACAATCGATGGCTTAGGAGAGGCTACCAAGATTCAATAAGCAGGAGCCGAAAATGTATTTGATGATGCTTAATAGCTAACTGGCTCGGCAGTCGGTCCCGAAGGCGGCTGCGTACGCCAATGCGACAGAAAGGAGATCCAGAACAATGGTTCCCGTATAAGGTATTAACTCAGTAAGGCTACAAATAAGATTGGCATTTCTAAAGATCTAGAAGGAATTGAGGTTGTATTAGTATCACCTCGATATGCGTACGGATGCAGATACTCCGGCTGGAAGGATAGGTGCATCGTATGTTTGTCCAACCAGACTCTTCAATAAGGGATTGCGCACATACTGTTAACGTATCAGGCAGCACGTTTCGTTTAAGAAAAAAACTGACGTTTATTAAGAGTTTTATTAAGAGTTGAAGTTCGATTGAAATGATTATTATTTATTAACCTCCTATCATCTCTCCGAAGACCTCCACAAGTCATCTAACGCGTCATCCTTTCGACATCAAAATCCCCAGCGCTAAACCATCTAAGACTCGCGAAGATGAGGCTCGGTATTAGTTATATAGGTCTTTTCTTCGTGAGCTTTGCGCTGGCTCAATCAGGTCCCCCCAAGGGACCTACCGCCAAAGATGTCGAATGCAGAGCAGGCCTCCCTGCTAATTGCAAAGAAGGCAAGACCACTTTCACATTCGAGCCAGACACTTTGGAAATGAACTTGCGCAATTATTCATTCATGGGAAATTATCATGGAAACCCTGGTTTCTGGGGCAGTGCCACATGGGCTGCTAATTTCACCAACTGGCCATCTAACTATCGCTTCGCCCTGACCGACCTATCGTACTACGGACTCTTTAACTCAAGCGATGGTATTCAACTTTACCGATTGAGGACTGAAGCCGTTCTAGATAGCGATGTTCCGACTGATGGTTTGAATACTACTTCGACGTTGGTGAGTTTTATGATTTATTCGACTCATAATCTCTCCTTCAACTACTAATGGCACGACGCAGTTCGATATAGTGTCTAAAGTCGCGGTGGGTGGAAATGGTACTTTCGAAGACTACTTCAAAGTGAATGCTGAGAACTCCGGCCTAGTATGGTCTCCTTGCTTCGATAGTTCAATCAACGCAGCAATTACAGTTACCGTCGATGCAGACGTGCGAGATAAGGGGATTGGCCCTTGGATTTGGGGCGGATTTAGAAAGGGGTTGACTCTTACTTGGGGCGTCGCCTGGGAAGAATGTTAAGTGATTGTCTACGACGTTGTTGATGTTCAGTTTTCTTCCCCGCGTATCTAAATACCTAAAAAATCTGCCTCTTTTACAATACCACCAGACAAACAAAGAAGTATCAAGAAGTACGTAGAGCGGAATTCCCCCCACCAACAAGCCGTTCTAATAGCGCCGAAGATACGGAAATAACGGCGCAGTAGCCTGAGGCATATACTAAAACCCGGAATCCGAACCCGAACAAAGAGGAGTATAAAAGCGGAAATAATCCGTTAGGGCTGACTGGAGCATAGTCGATGGGGTAACCAGGGGGGACCAAGCAATGAGAATGCCGGGGGAATTTACATAGGTCTTGCTTACAAATTTTGGTGCAGAAAACGGACTATAACGCGGCGCAGACGATCCCTTAATCGGACTTGAAGATCGTATCCCTCGGTATAAGGCAGTGAAGATTAGGTGCAGTTAGAATATTCTGCAGTTGGTTGAAATTACCGATTAGCGCTTAAGATTTTTGAAGCAAGGGATCAACAGGGTGTTTATAAAAGAACGTCGCTTTGGACTTCTATTTGATTATTATTTTCTCTTTATCTTTACCGGCTTGTCCCGCTTTTGGACAGTAGCTCTATACTCCGCAATTTTACTTGGCTCAACCCTCATAATGGCGGCTACCAACGAAACCTCGTTCCCTGAGCGCAACAGGGGGTGGTACCAAGATGACTTGACCGAAGTTAACGAGCCCATTCGCAAACTCCTCGAGAGTTACTCTAAAGTTCCTAGCTCTGAAGTTGTCAAACACGTAAACACTATAGTGAGTATCTCGAGCACTTCCTACTTAGTGCTTTATGACGCAATACCTAACAAACAACTAGCGAGAACGGGGCTTCGCCTCCAACCCATATCCATGTATTGGATTGTATCGCTTTGCAATTCTAACACTATCTACGCATCCACTATATAAAACCATAGTCGAGCGTCTTAAGGCCCCGAATGCGTCTTATTTGGACGTGGGATGTTGTTTCGGGCAGGATCTGCGTCAACTAGTCCAAGACGGTGTTCCCTCAGAAAACCTCGTTGGCCTAGATATCGAAGGAGCGCTCATGGAGCTTGGCTATGACTTCTTCCTAGACCGAGACACGCTCAAGTCACGTTTCGTGGTCGCCGATGTGTTCAAAGGCGCGGAGCAGGGAAAAGTCTGGACAGACCTCGTGGAGCGCGGTATCGATGTCTTGCACTGTAGCGCATTCTTCCACCTCTTCACTCTCGACGAGCAAATTGCCGCCGGGAAGCAGATCGCGGAGCTTATTAAGAAAGATGGTATAATTGTCGGCAGGCAAATGGGTAGCGTCAAGCCCGGAAACGTCGCCGCGATCAAAGCGGATTCCTTTAGCTATAGGCACAACGTGGAGACGTTTGATGCCATGTGGAAAGAAGTAGGAGAGGCCACGCAGACGCGGTGGAAAGTTGAGGGTACAAGTATGTAACATTTCCCTTTTTTTTTGGCTTGCCTGGTGGTAGAAATTCTACCTGAGCTGATCGGGGCGTCCATGGGTTATTTTTTGCTAACATACGATTACAGTGGATATGATTGGAATCAACCCCAGCAGCCCCGTGGAGGATGAAAATAGTCGCCGTTTTCTATTCACTGTGACTAGAATAGAGTAAAAAGTGCTATAAATTACAGCAGTGCATATATGAGGCCAACCTCCAAATGGAAATACTATGTTGAACAATATGCTTCACGTCGGGTTGACAACTACTACTAGTTATGAATAAGCATGGCTTTATGCATTCTCGTAAAATTATGGTACAGCTACTTAGAATAACTCATTAAGGCTCAATTAGCCCTCATCTAAATACGATTCGTAGTGTCCTGGTCCATCCTTCCGTTCCAATGCAATAAAATAAGTAACAAAGAAACCCCAGCTCGTAGGTGGGCAATTGACTCGCATACCTATGCGATAGTAATCCGGCCCTGAAAGTCAAAGGCTATTGTTCAATGATCAAAACTTTTCCTTTGCTTCCCGCAAAATCCACTAATGCAAAACGCCTTCCATGCAACCCCTATATATGTTCATAATAATAAAAGTAGGTAACTAGGTCGAGACCTTAGTCAAACTCTTAAAGTTGATCCATTTGCACCTGCATCCACCGGTACCGCCATCGATGCCCCCAAGGGATAGGTTAGGCTTTCCGTTCATACTGTTGATCAGAGTACCAGCGAATCCGCGGTTTGAGACGACGAGCTTGGCATCAGTTGTGTTGATGGCCTGGTTATCCAAGACTCCGTAAAGGTAATCGATTTTCTTCTCCCTATCTCCACCGTGCATATCAATCGTAAGGGTGACTGGATAAGGCATAGTGCCCGGTGTGTTCGAACTCTCGGATCCGTTCGTCCAGGGTATGGCAGTACCGCCATTTCCAAGCAGTCGCGTTGTATTTTCCATGCGCGTCCAAATTTGTACGAGGAAACGAGTCTGAGCGAAAGTCACTAGAGAGGTAGCCTCAGTCTCTGGGGCGCCACCATCCTGGTCAACCGAGTTTACGTTTACAGAATCCTTCATATAAATTGTCTTGTCAAAATGGGTGTAGAACCCGTAGTGTTCGGTCGGTAAACCGCGGTCGAACAAGCGGACGGGTTGCTGCACGGAATGCGGAAATAGAGTCGCCACAGCACCTGTACCATCACCATTCAGTGCTGGAGGAGGAAGAAGCTCAGTAAGGTTCAAGCCGTCGTTTCCGATACCAATGGCATTGTTAGGGCCTTGTCGTCTACTTAGCATATTTGGACCGACTGTTTTGTCGACCGCCGTTAGAGTGCTTATAAAAAAAGGTGTTGGCTCTCCCGCCTTGTTGTCCGCCTGAATTTCGTCGGTGGTATTACCAAGGAATTCTATCTCCGCAACAGAAGGTGGTTGCGGGTTAGGGGAAAATCCTGCATCAGCCAAGAAGTCTTGCTTCCCGTCAGACCCCTTATTTGAGTCTGACATGTTCCATAGTTGCTGAGTGTTATTGTCGTATTGGATTTGGAAGATGAATTCGGGTTGGTCGGGGTCGTGGGGGGCAACAGAATCATGCAATTCTTTAGGTAAAGAGCACGACCACGCCGTTTCCGCTGTTTTTACGAGGCAGCCAGATCTGGCTTCGGAATTGTCTGGCCCAGAGACTGTCATGACCCCAGTTGGCATGGGTGGGAAATCTGTCAGATTGAGCCAGATCGAAGGAACTGGATCCACCGGCCGATGCCGCGTAAGAACGACACCCAGGACGACAGCAAGGATGATTGCAACAATTAAACTAGCAATCACGCATAGCCAGACACGTCTTCTCTTTCTACCCTCACGACCAGTACGTCCGAAACAACCTTTTTTGGGTATGCAGCCGCGGCCTCTCCAAAATCCACCAGCCTTTCTAGCGATAACTTCTTCCTTTTCATGACGGCGCCGCTGTCTTTCGGTACGATTAGCTTGCCCTCTAATCTCGTAAAAATGATCGCCGGGTAGGAATGTTCCAGGTGCGCGATCAGGAAGGACCGCGGCACGAGGTGCATTCGGTGTCAGAGGTATCTCAGCCAAATTGATAGCACTCTGGGTAGTCATTGTTCCGGGCATGTTCGGCGTCATTGGGCCAGGCGACGGTACCCGCTGGGAGTTAACCACCACCGGGGGCGGTAATATCACGCCATACTTAACTTGATTGACATGATTGACTGGCTTCGGGGGTGAATATGGCGGAGGCTGGTCACTCGGCGCCTGGTTTTCCTCAAGAAGAATCCTGGCCTTTTCGGAATGTGTCTCTTTGTGACCTGGTGATACTGACCGAGACGAGGTACCAACTGCTTGAGGGGTGTATTGTTGCGGTTGAGAGGATGTCGGCGAGTTATTTGTCAATCCCAATCCTCTGGAAGATGATGATGAACCTCCCTTCTCCTGGGAACCATTCCACCATTCATGAGGAACTGCTGGGGACGCTTCGGGGCTTGTAGCTGTCGCTTTAACGTGCTGAGCAGATGGGTTAGGCTGCGAAGGGCCACCTTTCTCATCAGACCCGGTCCACCACTCGTGAGGAATCGCTGCAGGCGGAGAAGCACTAGGTGCTATATCTTGTGTCTGCTTCTTGAACGGGTTCCATTGCTGCGGGGAAGGGCCTGCACTTATTTCTTGCGGTTGCTGCTTGAAGGGATTGGAGGATTGTTGTATGAAAGGAGTGGTGACGTGGTCCCACCAACCGTGCGATCGGCTACTGGCGCTCTCGGGACTTACTACCGTCGCTTTAGGCTTGACTGACTTGCGGGTTGCCGTCGGACTTCCATCCTCCTCAAAAAGAGTGCAAGGTGTTCCGATATCGTCATCATCATCAAGGTCGAGATAGCTAACGCCGACAATTTGCTTCGGTTTGGGCTTAAGGGTTTCCGGCAGTGCAGGTACGGGAGGTACATCGGTATCCGCTACGGGACCACCATACATACTAGGTTGAGAGTAGACGCTCAACGCACTTCTAGAAGGTTGGTACGGGGATTCGCTCGCTTCCGTATCTGGGGACCATACAGAGCGCAGTTGATGTGGTGCGGGACCCGGAGGATAACCCGTAACGGTACTCGGATTTGGGGCGAATTTGCGCGCATCTATTGGCGTCTCGATACCAGCAGTCTGGGGGCTAACCTGGTGTTCCGATAGATTGTCGGAAGGTACCGCTATTCCTATAACGATAGGCCGAGAATCCGGAGAAAGATCTGATGATGGTCCTCGCACAAGCTTATTACCTACCCCAGAGCCTAAACTGTTCCCAGGTCTCTGCTTGAGCCACGAAAAACTACCGATGGAAGCAGAAGAAGGCTCTCCCTCCAGAGCGTGAAGAGCGGCGGGGTCGACGAATTTCGGTTTTACGGTGGGCGCAGGTCGGCGGAACTTTGACATATCTGTCACGACTTTAATACCGGCTTTCGCATTCTGGGCTTTTTGCCTTCCTCTAGATTTTACACGAGCCGGCTTCTGAATCGAATACCGTATCGAATTTCGTGATATGCTCTGGGTGTTAGTAGGTCGAGATGATCTTTGTGTTGTCGAGTCATCGAAGAGGTCAATAAGCATGTCCTGGTCCCCTAACTTAACCGGCACCTCCTCGTCTGAATCTTCCCAATCTTCCCAGTCACCCTTGGGGCTAGGATAAGGAGTGTTGGTAACTTGCTTGTTCGGGTTCATGATGAATGTTGTAAATGGTGGATGGCGAACGGTAAATTGAATGAACGTCTTCGGGAGGTTTTTTCCCCTCTAAAAAAATACCAAACTCAAAGTACCAGTGTTGAGATTCGGCGAGACCAAAAACGATGAAACGAAGTTTAATAGTAAATGAGGGTGTGTAAAGGTGGGATGTTGTCTGGGAGACTACCCGATTAAAATCGCAAAATGTAAATTTTACACCTGATGCGGCCACTGCCAAAATTGGTCGAAGGCTTCAAGTCATTAAGAGCCAATCGTAAAATCCTAAGTGTAAGAGTAGTGAAAGAATACCATCATGATAGAAGAAAAACGTTTCTTTGTTCAGACAAAGGAAATGCTCGAACACAATGCACTAATGTAGAATCAGAGACAAGGAATCATTATGAACTGAGAGGGCTGGCCAGGCATCTGTACATGTATTAAAAGTATCCGACGAACAACGACTGGTGACGGATGAAGGCCTTGCCCTTGCCGCGTCAACACGTCTATGGCAAACACATACATAGAAGCAAGCTCATACGACCAAGATTCCGCTCACCCAACAATAAGTCTAGCGAGCTAGTCCGACAAGACAGCTCGACACCTGGTTGGTTGTCCATGGTCGCGGCCTCATTGCACGACAGTAGACCGACGCAAGGTTGGGGCTCAAGAAGCTCTCGCGGCTACACGAGAAAGACCAAACTGAGGCTTCTGGATGGTGGAAATTGGGGTTGAAGCAGATGAATGTTCGACGTAGCCGCCGACTCGTCGGATCGCATCGTTCCTATTGGTCGGACAATAATCAAGCCAAGCCACCTACAAGAATGGTTGGGCGGCAATGTATTTGCATCGCGGCTGCAACCCTGTCAGACCCACACTTCCCGCTCCTCTGGATGTTACGTTTGAGAATTCACAGCATTTGCAAGCGAGAGGAAATCCAAGGCGTGAAAATCACGTAGGCTGGGTGAATGGATACATGTAAATCATAGATGGATGGAAGGTTGTAAAAGTGAGAAAGCGACGATTGTTCCGATTGTTCCCATAAGCTACTTAGTACAAGTGGGTCCCTACGATGAGTCATCGTCTTTCAGAGCACGGATGAAACTGAACATGTACCGATGTACACTCCTCGGCCGAAACCTAAAATTTTAGCCCCTCTTCGCTAGCCCCCGAACCCCAAATGTCCCCCGAAATTGGCCTCTAACCCTCTTCACAACAACAATGAGACGACAACTCACCAATGGATGACCTAGTTCTTGACCTGTCAGATCTATGTTCCAGATTTCCTGTCAGATTCGTGTAATTGTTCCTTTTTTTCCAGCTGACTTATTTACATTTGTAAATATCTTAACAAGTGATTTTCTCGCGTCGCAAAGCGATACAGAACAACACAATTCTCACAATGGCGACTATTCGGTCGATCAATACGGCAATGTCTTCGCCCCCGGACTTTGGTGGGGACACCGCTCAAATTAGGAAATCAACTCCCACAAGTTGGCTCGTAACCTGATTTAAATGTTCCGTTGGACGGAGAAAGACAACGTTGGAGTCGATTTTGGCCCCAGCGCCGGCATTTCTGTTTCATTCACCGTTGTGAGGGCTGGAAGGCCATGGCCAGATTCCCTCTCTACCTTGCACAACCCCCAGATCCTTCTTCCAAGCTAAACCCTACGAGCCAGGTAGATGAGCTACATGTCAACCATGGTCCACTTCATGCCGAATCCTTGAAGTTACCCTATGCTATTCATTCTATCACTCAGGTTTCATCACATGAAATCCTAACGGTCTCTTTATACTATCTCTGTATACCACCTCCGACCCATCGACACTCTGGCGGAATAACAACTATGCAAGGCTACATTGATTACCCTGCCAGCCTAGCATTCCCCCTTCATCAAGCTTAAAGTTAAATATGGTTTGCAACAGGGCCTCCATGCAAATCCGTGGGGGCTTCATCTAGGAATAGCGGCTTGGCTATAAACATTTATAAACTACCTCTACATCAATGGTGGGCCAGAGTACGCTTGCACGTACGAATGGTCAAGGAAAACGCACCTAGTATAGTCATAGGCTACACTATTAGTCATTATTAGGAGTAAGTTGCCCGGGGGTCCCTATCAAGCAAGCCATGAAATTGACAGCAAACTAGGTAGCCTAATACTCCGTCTACTAGTACTACCTACATCATTAGGATTCTATGAGGGCGACCTGGATTCCATCCGCTTAGGAACCTAAAGGTTTTAGTTTCTGTTTCTTCCAGAAGCAAGAGATCCTGTTCATCCTCGACGAAAATCCGGGGCGACTGAATACCAGGGAGAGAGACATCACTTCCGCTTGATCCGCAAATGGCCTATTCGGAGTTCTACCGCCATCACTCAACTATTATATGCCGAGATAATTGGAAAGATATGATTTCTGGTGAATTTGGAAATAAAAGACTCAAGTCTTAATAAGCATGGAATATAATGATGCTACTGCTACCGCCTTGTGTTCATCTAAAAGGTACCTCTTCATCTCCGACTTAAAGCATACTATACTAAACGGTTCTCTTGGCTTCGGCGGGGCGGCCTAAAGCTTCAGAGCGTAGGATGAGGGATGCAACTACCCGGCTTCCGTAACACAAGCAGGTATGAAGCTCAAGGATACCATGCGCTCTTCAATAGGTACAGTATCATGTTAACTGTCAACTCACATTACTACCTTAACTCGCAACGAAAAAGGGGGTAGATGCAGCCTGACATTATAGTCTACTAAGTGGCAATTAAAGCGGTGTCTCTATACTGTCAAATCGGTACATGTACCCGACGGGCCAAGTATACGATGGGGTTAGGTAAGCGGGCTCAGCCAATAGGCGCAGCTCAATTGGGTATAGCTTCCTATTTGCCCACTTCTTTGATCCTTCATCCTCCTGGCAAAGTCCGTGGGTAACATCCTGCCTAGATGTGAAATTAATAAGCTTTTACGCCTAGCATTCCCAGTGAAGCCGAACGAAACCATTATGTATAAGAAATGAGCGGATGGCGTATTAATATACCACAGTATTATCTAAAAATGGCTTATGTCGGCTGTCGCTGTCGCTGAAGGGCCATCGCACGTGTTATCCACCCTACAACCAGACATAGCCCCTGGACCATTACATGGCTGGTGCGACAAGGATCGTCGGTTCACGAATCAAGAATGCCGCCCTACCCTGACTTACATAAAGGCCAGCCTTATTACAGACACTATCCGAACTCGTAATATGTATTGTAGGGAATGCGACGTAATGAATCAGGAGCCGATCTGATCTATGCCTATTAAGTTGTCTTCTACCATATATCTTGAGGATAACGTAACACGCGCAGTTTCCCCTTACAACTTTCTCTCCCATTGCTTTTCGTTTACATCGGAATATAATGATTACATGTCTGTATCATCTGACATACCTGCGACGCGTACTTAACCGCCAAGAAGGCTCTATTCAGTTCTTCCAGGCCAAACAAGAACAGGCCATTTCTTTCCTATATCATGACACTCTCGCAGAAACAAACCCACCAATCCGGAACTACCATGGCGACTACGCCGCAAACCACACCGCAAAGGTACAATGGGCCGGCGAAGGACGGGGATTGGGCCAATTTCCGGGACACTATCACATCACTGTATCTCGATCAGAACAAGAGTCTAAAGGAAGTTATGCGGATCATGCGGGAAGAATATTACTTCTTCGCAACGTAAGTTTCCACCGAAAATTAAAGTATATATATTGAGCTGAAGCTCTGACCTGCATCTAGAGAAAAGATGTATAAGATCCGCTTCAATAAATGGGGGTTACACAAAAAACTAAGAGCTCACCAAGTCGCGGAACTTCTAGTCCAGCGGGGCCGCCGCGCCGCTGTCGGCAAGACGTCCGTGGCTTTCGTGCACGGCCGTAAGATCGATTCGGATAGACTCAACACCTACCTACGACGGGTATCGCCAGCGAGACGCAAGGAACTCCTGGCTATACTTGCGGGCGGAACCGAGCTAGCCGGCTCGCAAAAACGAAGTATAGAGGAAATCATATGTCGAACTCCATCACCCGAACCGGAGCCAGAGTCTGTGCCAGCACCGAGGCGCTTAGATGCGCCCGATGGCTTACGACTTCCTGAAGAGTGTATGCAGATTGTTCAAAGCTATATCGGAGGCGCCTTCGACTCGTCGATATGGCACGTTACTCCTGATAAGGAATTGGTGTTTCCGCGACGGCCGAGAACATGGCTAGATCCCGTGTCATCCGCCAGGCAACTCTTCGTCAACGGCTTCACAGAGCAAGGTTTTCGCATGGTCAGGATAACCTTCGACGACTATAGGGACGTAATGATACGGCAAGACCCATCGCTTCTTGTTGAAACATGCCTAGCTCTCGGAGCGCTGCGACAATCTGGACCAGGCCTCTGCGAGTCCTTCATAAACTATGCATATGGCATGTCCCGCATCGTGTTCGGTCCTAGACATCCCCTCCATCTATTATTCACACGGTTAAAAGCGGCTGATCCATCCGAGATGTCGCGGTTCATGGGCTTAATAATGCAGTCCTTCCTACAAACCGTGCAACACGGCGGCAGCCTCAAACCTACATATCTAGCAACCGTATACCGAGCCATGCTCAACAGCGAGTTCATCGAAGCACCCACCGCGCAAGGTTACATGGAAGACCTTCTCGCTGACTTAGAGAGGTTATCGATATCATCCTCACCGTCATCCTCCTCCTCATCCGGCTCCTCGACCTCATCATCAACATCATCATCGCCGCCAAAAGAACCCACACCCGAGGCGCTGCAAAAAGACATCGAGCTCCTCCAACATCACGTAGCATGGCTCTGCAACCTTCACAACAAACCCACCGAAGCCGCTGCGGCCGCGCAAACCCTAGTCGATACGCGCGGAGGCCGGGATCCGCGATTATCACGATTTAGTTGCTACAACATGTTGCGTACCCTCCCCACAAGCCACGCGGTATCCGATGACGAAGCCGTGGCTATGCTACGGCGCAGTCTGTCGATCTGTGAAATGGATTTTGGACGTCATGACAACGCCACAATAACCGTGCTCACAACGCTACACAAATATTTACGCCGGACCGGGCGTATACAAGAGGCCGAGGTTGCGAAGAGGGAGTTTGAGACGAGATGGGATGAAGTAGTGGGGGCTATGGGCGGTGGGAAAACGTGACCTGTAGCCCTGATGAATATCTACTACATGGTGGAATAAGAAGGGGGATGTTGGATACATATATACTAGGTGCAGCATGGGGACTTGCTTACGTTAGAGGGTCCTTACTCATACCACTTACCTACACCGGGCATTATCGGAATCGGCCTCGGACTCGGCCTCGGACACGGGACAGGGTCGGGATTAAGGTAATGCGCGCGAAAATCACTGGTCATTGAGATGTGACTATATATTTGTATCCATCCCCTTTATGTAGTGCTCTACGACTTCGAAATATGAAGTCGTAGACGGGATATTTATCAGGGTAATATAATAAAGTAAAACGCATAAAATGCAATCAACCATAACGCCTTTCAATGCACCTGTGACTTAACCTTAAATCATCGGCTTTAGGCTCCGTTTAACATCACAATTCATCCCGTTTAGGTATGTCCTTCGCTTTCTCCTCAGACCCCGCCGTACCTGGCCGTCTTAACTTCATCATATCCAACAACGGCTGGCTCCACTCCGCCGCCCTTGCATCCTTCTGTCCAATGGTTTCTAAATGAAACTCCCAACAGCTTTCCGCCAAATTCGCTTCCTCCCCGTTTCCTCCCGCGCACGCTTCTGTACGGGCCGCTGTAGGCCACACGCCCAAGGTGGCACCAACTTCCTCATCCAAAAACGCATCCGACACGATCCGCGCCACCTTCACGCGCCGGGATTCCCAAACCTCGTTTTCGCGAAGTAGGATACGTAACAAACTCCGCATACCATCGACCTCCGGTTCCAGGAATTGCGTCCGGATCTTCTCGCTTTTGAGCAAGCCGTCAAGAACAGGCAGTGTAAGGCGCGTGAAATACGCTTCCGAGACTTCTTCCGGAGTATCTACTTTTGATGTGGGGTCGAGCTGGGCGTATAACTCCGAGATTAATGAATTGGTGTTAGAAATGCACTTCTTTGAGCCGAGAGCATCCCAGGATGCTTCAACCGCTTGGAGCGCGGGTTTGTTATTCCGGATTGACGAAGCCAAGATACCAGATGCGAGAAAACCGGGACGTTCTGTTAACGGCCGCTTCTCTACTTGCTCGGCATCACGGCGCGTGAGGAGGCAGAGGAGGGCGTGTAGGGTGTCTATGTCTGAGGCAATTTGTAGGCCGTAGTACATGTCATGAGATAAGTCCTCCAGGTCCTCTAAAGCCTTGTCAAGCTCATTAGATTGGGATTGAACTAAGGGTTTTTTGACGTCGGAGTACTTCTTCACCGTTTCTAGAGACTGTAGAAAACCCTCGTTTTTTTCCTTAGGCGCTTTGACGATGCCGACAGGTTCATAGGCCGGTGCGCCGTGGGGTATCCGGGGCGCATCGTCGTCTTGAGATGATTCGGGGTCTACTATGACAACGGACTTGTCTACCGGTAAGCCCTCGAGAGCCGGATTCTCTTCTTTAGGGTTGTAGAGCTTGGCTTGTTTTTGTCCCGTCTGAACATCCAATTGCACGTGTAGACCTGGTGGTAGGTCTTGGTCATCGTGGACTTGTTGGAATTCATCAGTAGCTGAAAATAATTTGGGGTAACAGTCGGCGGGGTTGTCAGTATGGCATATAAGTTCAGTTTCCGCCGACGGAGATTTTGATGGGGTAGATGGTGACGATGCAGATGCGGATGCGAGTGAGAGGGTAGTAGAGATAATGAAAATTGAGTGGACTATCCTCTTTATATTGCGCATATATGAGGACCCCATCTTGTATGGTAATTAATTAAAAGAAAAAGGTAAGAATTAATATTCTATACTTAATTATGACCGAGATGCATCTCTTGATTATAGCTGAGATGGAAGTCTCTTTTGTATGTGAGTGATGTGGCGATTATCTTATTTAGGACAGTTTGCAATAGTCAAACTGGACACGAAGACTTAAAATTAGGAAATGCCTAGAGAAACTGGGATAATGATATCAGATAGAAACTGAAAGAAATAACAATAATTCTTTATACATTATTCCTTATTTTAAAATATCAAATGGCTTTTTCATGAGTTGTAAAATAAGTGAATGCCGATGCAAATTGATGGTTAAATTGAAAAGGTACATGAATACATTTTTATACAGTGTCAAATACAGTTTAAGTGAGTTATACACACATGAAAGCTCACCCATTCATCGCATTTGATTGGCCCACATGCCCCCACCATATGCCTCAATTCCAACATCTCGGGAAGCAAGAGCAATCCAACTAGCTCATAGACAAGCTCGACTAACAATCTTTCCCGAAAAGCCAATTGGCAATTCCTCCCCAGTCACATACACATCCTCCTCAAGATGCACGCCGTCCGAACAAGAGCGGCTTGCGTGGCCAGGCGGACACGACCGACCGCAGCACGAACGACGACGATATCGCGCTCCTACGCCTCCGAAAGCCATGATAACCACGGACATGACGGACACCACCACCATCACCACGCACCCGAAGTTGAGGAGAAACTAAGCGTATGTTGTGCTCGTAGCGAAATACACAAGGGGGAATAGGAGAGGGATTGCGGCTAACAATGGGAAATAGACCGCGTTCTACGTCTTCGCAAGTGCCCTTCCATTAAGCTACCTAGGTTACTCAATCACCCGACCGGGCGCCAACGGCGAGCCATCCAGCGTCACCAAGTGGCTGAAAAACTTCGATTATTTCAACGATCAGGAAGTACGCAACGCCTTGCGCACCAACCTTTTTGAACAAGCCGCCCATGACAGACATCTACTTCATTACGCGGGAAAGAACCCACACATTGAACTCAAGACGCCTGAGTATGTTGCTCCCAGCCAAATTTTATAACTAGGTCCTCGCTCTTCCCCATTGTCGGCTTTCCACGAAATTGTATTGCCCGAGATGGAAATGGGGAGGAAGTTCCTGGTTATTCAATAATACTAGACAAACCAACCTATGCTAATATAACATCCAGATTAATCAACTCAGGCGCACCCTGGAACGTCCCCGCAAGCCACTACCGCAACCTCGACCACGTCACAGAGCACTACAGGAAGCAAGCCGCCGACGACGAGGAGCGAAAGCTACAGAAGCTGTTGGAGAAGAGCAGACAACAAGAGCAACAACAGCAGGAACAATCATAAAATACAAAAAAAAGCGAAGGAGCAGGGGCGAAAAGAGGAAAGGGGAAGGGTAATGGAACATAATGGAAGTGGAAAGATGCATATTGTACACCACATGCATAGATATATCCCTCCAGTACAACGACACATGTACATACATAACATAGAACGTCAAAACCCAGATGACTTTCCTACCTTCCTACCAATTTAAAGAATAACCAAATTATTCTCGACCCTTGATATTAAATCAAACACAACGTATGGTGAATTTCACGTATTGTGCCATTAGGAATAGGAAAAACTACAGAATTCCGTGTGTATTCTCTACATTGATATAGCATTAGGTTGAATTCATCGTATCTATGACATTTTGCCATGCCTCTATATATAGCTAGATACGTTCCTAAAACGTTCCTAGAACAATCTTAGAATGGACTGAGTTTAATATCTCCCGGAGAATACCAGTCAATACAACGTAAGGCCCTCAATAGGAACTTGGATTAGAAAAACATTTATCATTGGGATCCGGAAGAAATTATCTCCACACATAGGGCTTTTAAGCCGAGAAACCATCAAGACGTCATATATCTTAATGACCAACAGGCTAGGTCCATTATGAAAAGAAGGGCTTTAGCAAGACTGGTGTCGCAAATATAGCCAATTATCTCAATGGTGGTATACGCCGTAATACCGTATTAGCGAAGACGAGGTTGGCCATAGATTTATCATGGTAGAAAGCCAGTTGTCCAAGTCGGAGGCGTCACATACCGACTTCGAATTTCCTACGATTCAGGTCCAAGCCAGTAATTAGGTCACATGAACACAATGAACACGAAATAAATTTATTCACAGAGAAGAGCCAGGTTATTTTGTTTTGCTCAGCGCAAGATGATTCTCAATTCATTATCATGCAGCGCATATCGGGTTGATGGTCATTTGCCTATCTACCACCGATAAAGAACCGTTCCGTTCGCCCAATCCATGAATGCAAGTGCAAAAACCACCCTCCTCCATTTTTCCACACGGGATCACCTACTTGAGAGGGATGAAACGAGAAGAGTGAGTAGCACCAATACCGGGTCTACCGTGCTTGACAGGCTTGCTGTAGAATTTGTTAGCTACTGTATCCTTCATAGATAATCGTATCGTGGGAATTATTTCGGAGGAACGTACTATGAGATGGAGAATTCTCCCAAGTAGTGGCCAACCATCTCAGGTCGGATTTCGACCTGGTTGAACTCCTTGCCGGAGTAGATACCGATAACGCTGCCAATCATCTCGGGGACGACAATCATGTCTCGGAGGTGCGTCTTAACGAGATCGGGCTTCTCGTTGGGCTTGGCCTCTTGCTTGGCCTTGCGAAGCTTCTTGATAAGTCCCATAGGCTTTCGTTTCAAGCCTCGGTTGATCCGGCGACGGGCACGGGCGTGGACGACATCTCGGAGTTGGTCGGAAGAGAGGTCAAGGAGACTGTTCGCGTAGTACGGATTAGCATTCGAATTTTTTATCATGTACCATCCCACTTGTAGATCTATTTATTTATTTCGGTGGGATGTGGACGTTTGATCGATCGCAAGGTGGAAAGGAATTATTCGGGAAAACATACGCGTCAAGGTCAATTCCTCGGTAGGAAAACTTGCGGAACTGTCTTCTCTTCTTGAGCTCGGCAGCCTCCTCAGCGTTCTGCGAATCCAAGTTAGTCGCATTGATTCCCTTCATTATTTCTGACGCTTTTTATCTGGTAGCGCAATCTGCAGCGGGATAGGAAAACGTACGTAATCGGGGTCGTCAGCCATGGTTGCGGTTTAGGTGATGCTCAAGAGAGGTTTCGCTGATCGAAATGGGTTGTCGCGTTGTCGAAGAGCGAAATGTTCAAGATTGAGATGGGGGGTTAATGGATTTCCTCAGATGGTTGATTTGGTAGAGGGTTTCGCTTAGTTTGCCCACACTAGTTCCAGACCGATTACAGGAAATTTTTGTGTGAGGGTTGTGGCCCCAAGGAACGCACGGTCCAAGAATGATACATATAGATTTGTGGGTCTGGGTGAGCATTTCTGATTACATAATAAGCTCAGATGCACGCACCCGCAAACTAAGCTCCTTCGAAATTATCTTCACGGATTCATAGATAGCGTGAACTTTGTAGCCCCTTTGAATTCCTAAAAGATCATTATTAGTACACATGTATAGATACAGATTTACATGTGTAGGTAGATAACATTAAGCATTCTGGAACCATTTACATTGATGACTACCATATAAAACTATCCCGGTGAATTCACATTACCACGAATCTTTTCAGATCAGACAGGTACTCTTTCACTTCTCGCATCATTCAAGACTAAGTTATTAAGATATCAAATGTCGCGAATTAATAGTGATAGATTGCTTTTTTGCCCTACCTCGAGGCATCTATCTGCGCTTGTATATAGTACACGGTTGGATACGAAAGCGAATGCTATGGAAATGAGAAAAACTTGTGTTCCAACCCGGCTAGCTCCAGGTCCGAAAAAGGGGATATCACCAGAAGCAAGAACGAAAGACCTCAGGAAACGCGCGAAGTATCAGGCGAATATCAGCAAAACACAAACCCAGCTTTTTGTAACACACCCGGTAACTCCGGAAAACGCCCCCTTATTAATAAGCCAAATATCCGCTGTAGTGGACTTGGCAGCGACCGCAAAGAATAAGATGTGCAACCTCCAGATCCCTCATATGCATCGTACTCGTGCATACGTAATAATAAATCCCAGCGCTTAACTTAACCATGCCTCCCACCACATGATGCCATAGTCCTATTATGAGATACCGCATTGTCTTAGCTGATCTTGTCGGTCGGGTCTGTCTTCATCTCAATTTGGCCCCGTAGAGTAGTCACCTCAGTAGTAAGATACGTAATCTTATCTTCCTGAGACCTCCCCGTTGCTTCCATAGTCTGGACCCGTTCGTTCAATTGTCTAACTTGGTCCTCAAGGCCATGGATGTAGGCCCAAATGCCATGGTCAGTCGCGAATATATTGTTAGTTGAGCTGTCACCACTCCCGCCATTTTGGCCGGGCACGCTAGACGTTTGAGATTGAGTCGTCCCGGACCCCGCGACTGCTGCTTGACCTGAACTGCTGGACGTGGACTGTGAAGTCGGGGCAGCGAGCTGAACAGCTCCCGCTGCGGCGGCGTATCTAACGGCGTCGGCTGCGGAAAACCCAGGTACTTCAATTGTCTCAGTATGGAATTGTTGAATGAAAGGTTGTGGAGTATACAAACCTGGAGGTGTATGTCGGTCTGATTGATGACGACCGAAGTGTTGCTGTTGAAATTGAGCGGTCAAACTCGGCGAACGTTGTCTGTTAATGTTGGCGGAATCGTGGCCCTGAGCGCCCGAGGGACTGAGGGGTTTAGGACTCTCGGTCATAGCGTTTTGTGCGTACATGGCTGGGTTACTGGCGCCGACCGGAAGAGACGTGATGTTCGTGCCTGCGGTTTGGGGCGTGTTCGAGCTTCCAGAACCACGATCCACGTTAGGTGGAAATAGTCGGCCTGTTGTAGACCCTAATGGTTGACTAGTTAAAAGAGGTAAAGCGTAGATTGCAGACAGCGTATCATTACCTTGAATATGCTGAGCCTTTATGCTAGGTAGGCTGAGACGTCGCCGTTCTTCTTCCGTCAAATCGGCATCATTACTACCTTCATATACGACTCCGGACATTGCAGAGTCATCACCCTCAATATGACTGGAACCTTCGACCTCTTCGTCACCGAGAAAACTGCCTAAGCTACTTCGCCGACCTACACAACCGCCGGGACCTTTGCTATGCCGTGCTAGAGCATCACCACGCGCAAACTTTCTGTCGCATTTTGGGCACACATGAGGTTTTTCCCCAGTATGTAGTTTAGTGTGACGCTTAAGATCGTGTAGACGACGGAAGCGCATTGAGCACGTTTGACAAACATACGGTTTCTCTTGGCTATGTGTGAGAAGATGGCTCTTTAGATTGTGATGGCGCGTAAATTCTGTCTCGCAATATGGACATTTATGTTTCTTTGAGTTTGGTGAACGAGGTGCCACCTGTTGGTTTGGCGTCATTGGCATACTCATTCCCCGGGTCGGAGGAGCAGGCATGTTTGCAGGTGGTAGTATACCAGGGTACGAGAGTGAAGTGACATTTTTTTCTTCCATTGAAGCCGGTGGCTGTGCTCCAAAGCCAGACCGGTCACTACGTCCGTCAATCTCCATAGGTCCAGGACTAGTTGTCACGGGTCCGCCAGATCCGCCAGCTAAGCTACCCAAACTCGTCGTACTCTGAGGACTAATATTATCGGGTTTAGGTTCTGCTTCCGGAGCGTCGGGGAGTGGTATAGACACAGGAGGGGGTGCGGTTGTCGGTTGCGCATCGTCTGGCTGAGGAGCGTCTTGTGGGACGTCTTGAGGAACATTCTGGGAAACATCCCGAGGCACATCATGACTGATATCCTGAGGTATCTCTTGCGGCGCGTCCTGAGGAGCTTCCTGAGGTCGACTCATAGCTAGAGCGCTCGCAGACAGGAGCGCAGATTGAGCTTTAAATGCAGGATTGTCGCTAGCCCCAGAAACCTGGAGCTTGTACTGCTCATCTTCCCTATTCCGTTCGTCTTCGATAGCTGCAGCTCCAGTTAAGGGCGCAGGGGAGTACCTCGACGATATACCGATCAGCCTAGCTGATTTAGACGGTGAAAGCTCTCTATGCAGAGCGGACAAGGCCGTAGACGGCGAGACTGGCGATGATTCCCGTTGTCTCTTCAGAGACTGTGTCGCACGAGCGGCTTCGGCGGTCAAGGTCTCCACGGACACGGGTTCCGAAGAAAGAGTAGGTTGCGAAGGAGAGGCTGAGAAGGGCGGGGCTTCCGTCGCGACAGGACCTTTCTCGGACGCCATGAGTTCAGGTAATTTATCACGAAGAACGCGATTGAAATCCCTACGAGAAATTAATTGAAATCGACTTAGAAGAGACGCGATAGAAGGGTAGGCGCATCAGCGACGCATCGTTGAGCTCGACGAACAATATGGCTAAACGGTGTGGCTGGAGGTCGTGGCTGCTGCTATGAGTTGATGGTGTTGTTGATGATCGCGCTTCGCCGCGTCCGGGTTGCTGATCTTTTTTTTTTTTGACTAAATTTTTTTCTTTCTTTATTACAAGTTTAAAAATTTCGTTATGCGAAAGAATTAAATTGTCCCCTTTTTCACCGAAAAAAAGATAGGTTGCAGAAGACAATTGCCCTCGTAGTGCAGGTAAAGAATGAGAAGGTCAACTGTGTAAGTGGACGACGACTGAGCCGCAAAGACGAGATGGTAGGTTGTGGATGAGCAGGAAAAAAAAGTGCTTGGGGGGAGCGTCAAAGTGTGGTGGTGCAGGACCCAGGTGGCAGTGGGAAGGGGAAAAAGAGGCGGAGGCGGAGGCGGCGGCAAGTTCCACATTTTATTGGGCTGATGCGTATCGGAATTAATCTAGTCCCTCGTGACCTGACACTGTGTTTTTCTAAGTACCTACCAAAGTATTCTCGCCGCCCGTTACTTCATTTTACTCCTCTACAGTGCAAGCAGGTACGTGTTAGTCAAGCATTCAAGTACCTAAGTACCTAACATAGGAAAATTGAATCTACGATGATGTACGTGCTTGATATTGTAAGCAAAGTACGTCTTCAATTTATATAGCACAAAAGTAAGCAAGCTTATGACTATTCTGAGAATTTCCAATATTGTTACCGCTCTACTTTTTTGAATGATGTCAAATGTGATATGTAGACGTGTTGTATGTGATGTAGGAGTTTGAAGTACATATGGAATATACGTTTGTGGTAGTACTTATTTGTAGTTTGGGCTCTCTCGTCCGAATACAGATTTCGTTTGCAGAAACCTATCTCTCAGTACGCATTGGAGCGCCTTGTTGAGTGATTACATATGAATATAGCACATTACCTAGGTTCTTTGTTCTGATGGGAAATAATAGATCCAAGGAGATCCCTATCATCGGGTACATCCAAGTACATAGATGTGTACCAACCTTTATGTCAATTGTGGCTTGAATACTAAAACAGATAGTGTATTCCTGGATGACACATGAAGGCAATGGTTCAGCTAAGAGGGTGAAATTTCAGGAAGATCAAAGCCCCCATTTGTTGAGCTTCAGCCTAATGAAATATCCATGAGGCTCTGAACTGTCGAATTGTGTTTGAATTTGGCATATTTGTGTGCATTTACTTTTTGTTTTGAAGTTTTCATGCAACAATGGGCGCGAGGAAATTGGGGCTGAGCGAACAAGTGATACTTCTTTCTTGCCTATGGCTGTTTCAATCCCAACCAGCCAATATCCAATACCTACATGGAAAGCTCCTCCCGTCCCGGATTTGAGAACATGGATACCTAGGTACATGCACAGCCAGCGCTTGCAGTACATGTATGTTACATGTATATACATATGTATGTATCTTCACAGAGCGTCATTGCCAAGTCGTCTCCGTCCGGCGCAAACTTACTCATATTTGGTAGGTACAAGCCAACAATAGTATAGCAAATCATCGAGTTATCTAACCTCATGTCGGTATAGCCGTCACACCTGCAGCATCCTTTTCAATTTCTATGTAAATGACAAGAGACAGCAGCAGGCTCGATAGGACAAGTTTATGTGCGCCTGCTCATTTATTAGTCCCATGCATGTACATTTGAACTATGTATTCTAGACTAGGCTAAGTAGGTACCCACTTAAGTTTACCAAGTGCCACAGGGATGGTGCGGTTAGTCGTCATTTCCCATTAGCGTAGGCTGTCTTTCCCCATTGGGTCCACGCCAGCTGGTTTTTTTTTTTCCTTTCCTTCTCCCACCTCTTCATCTTCTAAGCCTCGACCCACACTTCTCCCACATTCGTCGACACTATCAGGTTCAGGATTCAAAGAAGACAAATCGGACATCCGGCGTCGTCATCATTGTCATGATTTGGTTATGATTCTAAATAAGCCACTGTCAGCCTCGGCATATCAACTCAAATTCCAACATATCTAGTACTGCAAGGATTTATTTTGTTGGTGAATATGTGTATGCTAACAAGCAAAACCCTCATCACTACACATATGCGACCCCCATCATCTCCATCTTCCGCCATGGCCTATACCGGAACTCTATTACACACTTCGCCGACCAGAACTGCAACCCCACAAACGCCAAGTCCACTCCCCATCACCAAAAACAGCCAAATACTCCACTAGTCCCGTCCCAATCGGGAGCTCCACGGATCATCATCGCTTATCAATGCTTGTGATAACAAAACCAGCCATCTGTTTGGGTCGCTACGGGCCGTAGAGCTATCCCTCGCAGAAATTGATCCAAAGTTGAAGATACCGGAATGGTAAGCTAAAGCAGCAACCCACTGTCTCACGATGGCAGAATGTCTTTTCAGCCTCGTCAGTTAGTCAAGGTAAATGACCCGCGCCACAAGTCTCCGAAGGCTGTCCTCCTGAGCCTTAGTTGTGGGCAACGATGACTCTCGGTGTCACAATCAAACCCCTGTGATAACAGGCGGATATTTTGATATATGATATGTTGGCCTTAGGTCTTGCAGATAACGGTGGATAGGACATGATATCTTCATGGTCTCCATCCGGAACCAACTTACCTGAAGGGTTCCCTAGCCGGCGAGTTTGTCAAGACACATCCAAAGCTCGGTAGGAATTGCCCATTCTTTATTACCCGCCTTATGCACTAGCAGTCGAATATCAAGAAGTATCTAGATATATCTACTCGTCCGCGACATCCGTTACTCCGAGATAGATGCACATGGGCGGGCTCGCTACACTTGATTCGCAGTGGCGTCCATTAACAATGTTTAGTGTCTCATTTGCCACAGGCTATTTAGCGGGTTTCCGTTTCATAGGACCAGCTCCTTAGAACTTTAGATTTTAATGGCTACCTCGTCACGATTCAGATCCCCCTTCCCTTCCACAGCGAGGTTTGGGCCGCCATGCGAAAATTTAAGGCGCATGTCGATATTTACGATGTCCAGATCGGGCACCTGTCCTAGGACCCCAATTAGCATAGCCTGGAGAGCCGCATGCTTCTCGGTGGCCCCAGGCTAATTGCGAGGATGGTTGTTTGTTCTATCATACTGTGCTCCCTAGCTTATATAAATCCAAATATGTTGTACTTCACTCTGCCTTCTCTTACGTCATATCAACCACCGGTTAGGCATGACTCATTCACATAATGAGTACGTCAGACGCCGATTACCTATAAGCAGCATCTCGTTCATCTTAGGCGGGTTTTATTTGATTTCTGGTGCTTCTTGAACCAAAACTATACTGGATCTATATATCCGGAGCGAATGATAGTCCAATATCTATCCATGAATACCGAGCCCGACTAATTATGACACCCTGACTCATAGCGAAATTAGGGAAATAGAAGACTCGAGTATAAACCAAGTACTATCGTGATATGGAGTCACATTCCAAATGAGTTATAAAAAGTACCTTCCAGAAATAATTACGCAGTAAGACGATGGCAAGATTTGATCTTTAGCTCTTCTCTGCCCTTCCCGCATGAGCCCTGGTTAATAGTGACATAGATGTACTTATAATTGCTAAAGCCAAGTGGAGCGTCTCATGTCCGTCCATAATGCATCTACGGATCGTATCGGAGTACTAACCTTCGGGGTCATAGGACTCTTGCAGTGGGCATAAGGAAGCCACGCTGCGGGGGCCACGTTAGAAAGACCATAAGGAATGAAAACAGGTTTAGATATAGATCCCACCGGGTATACTCAACATGAAACCGGGGAGTCGGGCTAGTTCGAGCAACGATTGATTGTTTTCTTAAGGCACTGCTGCTATGATGCATCGTCAATTACCTGATCAGTGCGCGCCGTATGGTCATTAACTAAACGCAAAGTATCCGGGATGTTCGCCATGACCTTGCTGGTTAAAACCTGGTAATGAAGCATTTGATAATCGGTGCTTAACATTTTAACTCGTGAGCCCTTAGTAGGAAACCTCGCACTTACCTCCTCCACACTGCTTAGTAGACAAATACCATCCCTTGCTCTTCGTTAACCTCGGAATCTCCCATTTTCCCACTGGGATTCTATGGATGATGTCTTTAGTATTCGATATCCACTAGGAAAAAGTCGGGAACCAGTTGGTGGTGGCAGCTGGATCCAATTGAAAGCCATAAAGTCATTTGAGGATGATGGTTTCTGTATACTATAGAGGAAATTACTATGCGGGAAGTTGCATATAGTGCCTCTTGTTACCTGGATGAGCGAGTGCTGTGATACCACCGGATCCCATTGATATAGTAATCGGTCCCAAAGGCAAGGCCAGGGCCCGCAGGTCTCTGAGACAGGTATGCAGACCGTTGGGCAAGCCACATCAGCAGCACTCGAGCAGGAAGGTAGGCAGGGTGCCTATTTCCTAAGTGCGAAGGCCCTCTGTTATCGGAGAAGACACCTAAGAGAGATGAGACCATCGTTGCTGTCATGAATTCGTATTCCACTGTGAGTTTCCGTGTTGAGCTGAGCTCGGTTTTCTTCACGCTCATTGCCGCTGAGCCTGTCGTAAAACCATGCCACGCGATACCTACGTAGGTGTATTTGGGTGAATGCAGATGCAAATGCTAATAATGAGACATGCACAGCCTGACTATTAACGTCGTGATATATTATTTGGCACTCGTATCTTGGGGCAAGTCCTGAGAATGTAACGTGGGAGCGTTGTGTTGAAATTCATGTTGTATGATAGGACTTGGTCCGGTCCGTCCCGACTTGTGTTCCAGGCTCATTACTCTGATAGATATAGTGATGGTACTCTGATAGCCTCTAGTATGGGCAAGGATATTCCGACAATGCCTGGCACCTATACACATAAACAATTAGTGATCGAAGTTCAGATAGTGAAATATATTCGAGTAAGCAGTGATATCATTGCAATTCAGTACCTAGGCAGGCAGAGATTTAATGGAGTGAGGGATTTTCTAAATCTTGCATGAGTTCTAAAGGCGCCATCGTGTTACTTTGATCTAGCATGATATATCGTTCATTGGACGCATAGTAGAACCCTAGGGCAATTCCCGTCTCATTGAAGCGAGCCACTCCAATTGGTGGTGTAATAAAGGAATTGACGTGGCTCAAGGGATGGTGTCACAAATATAATTTACTTCCTAACAAGCGCTCCGAGTAGGCCGTCTGATATGGCCTCGGTGACCTACTGTAGAACGTACGACGAATATAGTGGGCTTGTGGTTCAAAAGAAGGTGGGAGAACAGGAAGCTCATGGTATTAATAAATGACTGTCCTCTCGCATACTCGCAGATAACTCAGCATATACAGATACATGTAAGGAAGCAGGAATCATATCGTACAGCAGATAAGAAGACATGAAGTCGTGATAACCATCGTGGTACTTGACATATAAAGCCGTATGATTGGCCAACGGGTTAGCTACCCCACGAGCACGAACACAATAGGTCCACATAACAATGTTGATGAACGATAATGGTTCGCTGGATGGATCGGCATCTATTGTTCTTTGAATACTATTCTATTAATCTGTGAGTCTGTGTATTTCTTACATAGACAAACTGGAGGGTCGAGCTGTGCCGTAGGAACGATGGCGGGATGAGAGATTCTAGACTAGCAGGGAGTGTAATTGCTTGGAATGAAGATCAGCTAGCGGATCGATCTTTGTAGGAAGCCAAATCAAGAAAGGAGACATTCGCCTGAGAAGGCCCAGCCACTCAGGAACGAGATGCCCCTGGTTGCCAGTCCCGAAATTGCAGCAATTAAAGCAAGGGGATTAGACGCGCAACCTACCCACATGTGGCATGTGCTAATGATAGGTATTATCTGGATCGAATCATTATTAGTCCGTCTTTACATTTTCTTCTTCTTTATTATTAGGTACCTAGTATTATTAGCCCAGAATCAAGAGTGCTGGTTTTTCTGTTGCTTCTTTTGCCGGACGAATGATGAATTAACTATGGTATATGAATGGCCGAAGCAGTTCCTTTTTTTACTATTATGGGCGGGCTATAATATCCGAAGAGAAATAATAAATATGAAAGACGGGAGTCATTTCCAACAAGAATATGACAATGCTATGTATGAAATGACAACTAAAGAGGGACATCTTGAGAATGCGACATCAACTAGTGACTGACTGATGAGGATTAGGTTGACGATCGGCGTGATAAACACATACATAGCTGATCGAAGACGTGCCAGTTCTAAAAAGTCGCAATGTTGCTGGCATCATCCTCAACAGTGTCCAACACCGCTTTTTTTTACCCACCGAACCAATCTATAAGAATATTCGGCATGAAGTTCTCCATTCGAAAATTCGTATTGTCCAGTAGAAAGGTATAGAAATGACGACGTTTTGATGCTGGTTCGGGGCACTGCCACGCAAGCAACTTGGAAAATAGAAGATTGCTTCGTGGTCAGCGGGGATTCAAGCGAGTTGGCGCTATCATATCATGGAAAAACACGATACCTACCTAGCCGAATTAAAACATAAATAAAAATGAAAATAGTCGGGAGGGAATGAATGGAATAATGCATGACTGGGTGACTCCTGCACAAACTCTGAATAATTTGCCCCGAAGCGTACCCCCTGGTCGTCACTTACTACGCTAATTCGTCGTAATTTCAGCAAGAAATCAAAATAGTGCTCCGTACCTTGCAGTAGTAAGGCACCATCCAGGCACCGTCGGTCCAGCATTGGCCATCCGTTAGGACGGTTACACTGCCACCTCTGCCTATTTGGGTTTAGCGACTTCCTTTCATTGGGTGCATCTCGGACACCCCAGCGCCGTACAGGGAAATTGACCCGCCGTGGGTCTCTCCTGTCCAGCGCTGGCAGCCCAAGCAAGAAAGAGCAAGCCCCAAGCCCTGGCGCCGTCTCCCCCCCCTAAACTTTCCTGTCTCATGGCAAACAATTAATTTCAACCTTTTCCCTCCCTCTCCCCGTCCCGTCGACGCTCATTGACTCCTTTCAATCGCGCCGTCTCCTCCAACTGAGAGTCTTTCTGCTCTCTACCACATTCCTTTGGAACTGCGAATACACTCGTTTTAACCTACGCCACCGTTCAAGCAACAAATAAACAATCTAACAATTAGCATTCCTTGTCTTCGGAAATCACACCAACAATTGCATCGCGTTCACTCAGAGTCGAAAGATATCCTATACAACTTCTATAGTTCGATCGGTAAGCCACCATTATAATATTTCTATCGCGACCATTGTGATTTGATAATCGCGGATCGCAATCGCTGTTTGATGTCATACTAGCACTGCTTTCCCTTTGCACAAACCATTATCGCACAGCGTCTTCACTTCTCTGCTAGTACCTTATTATTCTCTTTCAATATCCTCTTTTCGCCCGCCGAATCTGGACATCGCCTCTTTAACCAGTTAAACTAACAATGTTCATATATAGAACTGCGACTCTAAATTACGATTGCGAAATCTTGCTATTCCCGATAAGAAACTGCTGATTTAACGTCTTTGATAAAGATGAAGGCCACCGTTCTCAACCTTGCCGTTGCGGCATCCCTTGCCGCTGGCGCAGCTGCCCAGCCTCACCACCACGGTCACCATCACCACAAGAAGAACTCTCCCGCCCAGAAGCGCGATGTCCAGACCACCTATGTCCCCGCTACCGTCACCAAGTACGTCTTGGGCAACGAGGAAGTAAGCAACGACGAGGCTAAGGCTGGTTTGGACAAGGGTCTCTACGTTGTCGTTGGAGAGACTACCCCTACTTTCACCCCGCCTCCCGCGCCTGCTGTTACCAGCTCGTCCTCCAAGGAAGATGCCGTCTTCATCCAGAAGCTCACTTCATCTTCCTCTACTCCCACTCCCACCCCTTCATCGTCATCTGCGCCCGCCAGCTCTTCCAGCGCTTCCTCCGGCGCTACGGGTGTAAACGCCGAATTCCCCAGCGGTGTACACAAGTGCACTGAGTTCCCTGAGCAGTACGGTGCTGTTCCTATGCCCAACTTGGGTCTCGGTGGATGGACTGGTCGCCAGTACACCCCTGACTGGACCCCTGGTAATGCGATCAGCTTCATTGAGACTGCTGTCAAGGGAATGGCCCTAGAGATGGGTTTCTACTCCTACGCCTGCCCTGACGGATATGTCAAGTCGCAGTGGCCGTCAGACCAGGGTGCTACCGGTCAGTCCGTTGGTGGTGTTCTCTGCAACAGCGATGGATACCTTGAGCTGACCCGCCCGTCGGTTAAGACTCTGTGTGAGCCGGGTGTTGGAGGTGTCACTGTTAAGAACGATATGTCTAAGAATGTCGCTATTTGCCGTACCGATTACCCTGGTATCGAGGCCATGGTTATCCCCGTCGACTCGCAGCCTGGCACTACCCGTACCTTAGCTAACATCAACTCCGACGACTACTACCACTGGGGATCAAAGAGCACCACCCTCCAGTACTACATTAACCAGCCTGGTGTTTCGGTCGATGACGGATGTGTCTGGGACTGCGTCACTGACCACGATGAGTGCGGTAACTGGGCTCCTACCATCTTGGGTGTCGGACAGGCCGCAGATGGAAACACCTACATCTCTCTATTCCCCAACCTGCCCACAAGCAACGCTAAGCCTAAGATGAACATCAACATTACTGGTGACGTTAGCATACCCTGCTACGTTAAGGACGGCGAGTATGCAGTTGGAAACTCTGGATGTACCGTAAGTTGATATTCCATATTATGTCTTCAGTTCCCATTGCTAATAGATCTACAGACCACCATCCCTAAGGGTGGAAAGGCCGTCATTGAGTTCTCCTAAAAATGTGCTATTAGGAGTTTGTTTTCGGTCATAGTGGGGTTAGGTTTCTACTATTGCTTTCTAATGGATACCTCTTACCATTTTCGCCTCAATACGACGGAATTTCTGAGGCCTGTTGTCGTGCTGATTGTATGGCAAATCTAATTTTTATTGTGTATATTTCTGGCTTCGCGTTGAGTTGACGGCAGAGCAATCCTTCATAGTTGATCGGAATCGGTCGCCTATGGATGAATGCTATGCGGGAATTGGAACCACGAGTCGTTTCGTAGTATTTCAGGATGGCCTTTCGGAATCCATATGATTTGCTACCATAGTGGTTACATCACAAGCTGCAAACTTGCTCAAGTGTGTTCTACTTGAAACCATCGACTAGCCCTCTTCAGTAGGACACAGAGCTAAAAGGCCAACCCTTCGTAGCCGTAGGTTAGTGAGCAGGATTTGGATTGTGGGGGGATATCGGTTGAAAAGTGGCTGGAAGGATCTCAGGAGCACACTTTGCAAACATGGACTCGGTAGAACATGTCGGCGCAGAGAATGAAAATTCATAAAGCAAACCAAAAAAAATCGAGAATTTCCATTTGTTAAGTGTTTCTCGATGTGTTCCCATAGTTTGTCCCATCCTGGTCGATTCTTATCGACCGCCCTCTTGGTCTTGTACTGTAGATCAAATCTATGGTGATATTCTCTTCGACATATAAAATTTATTCCTTTCTCCCCTAATATCGCTCAATATGATAATTAACGTAATAAAGGATAAGTTGGGATAAGTATATTGGTGAACTCCTAATAATCGGGAATATACTAAGGTGAAGTATTTATCTATGTTGTGAGTACCGCCAATAACATGTTAATATTATATATGAAGTGATAACAATATCTTATTACATAAGTCTAAACAGGTCGATCATCTATAAAATCTAGTTGGATGCTTCAAGTTTAGAGGCTTCGATCGTTATCGCAAGCCCCGCTGACTTGAGGCTCCTTGCTAGCTTCGATCGATCCCACATGGCGTGAAGCTAGTGGAAGGGCATGATAAGGCTGGAGCCTATAGAGTGTTGGAATGGTATAACCAGTGCTATAAAGATTAACGTAGTTGACGTAATAAACTTGCGATAGATAAGAAGTATGATATGTAGAAATTTAGAAGAGAATTATTGGAATAAATTAAGAATATTACGGCGGTTAGTTGAGTTGAGGGGGGGGACTGATGTCGGTGTAATTGAGACCAGTCAATTGACTTACATCTGCAGCCTATTGCGTCATAGAGTAATACCATTAATTTGACAACGCCGGGAACTCTTACCAATTACTAGCACTAAACATTAGTAGTTCGTCAAACAAATTGCCTCGCATTCAACCTACAATAAACCCATATATTCTAGGCTATATGTCACCTCTGTATAGTCCTTGATACGACCGAGGTCGCTTGACTCGTAATATTTTACATAACTAATCCGTGTAAGGAATGGCATCTTATAGCTACCGTGGTTCTTATTGGTAGATGTCTTTGTTTGTGTTGCCGCAAGAGCCAACCACCTCGGTACCTTGGCACATAGCGTCAACTCGAGACCCCGGATGCGCCTTCGATGCTCGATACCTTACATATAATGTACTCCAACAAGCTCTTTCCCTCTTTTCCGCTGCAGGACCTGAGTTCCGGCATTGACGAATGACCTTTTATTGCGCCCCACCTACCTGGACTGCCGTACCTCCAGGGCTATTGGAATCTAAGTTTCGACTTTTTTTTTCTAGCTTTATCTCTTTTAGGTTTATCTATTCAACGTTGATCGTCCGTCACGTTGGCGTGGTTTAAGCTCGCGGGGATAAGTATCCCAATTTCCTTTCTCCTTTCCCATCTTTCTCTTTTTATCCTTTGCTGCACGAGTCATTTTTTATTGTCTCAGTGAGGAAACGAAAACTCTGAAGTCATGTCTCTGCAACGTGTCGGGTCTCTCGAGACCTTCGTCAACGTTCCTACAGAGGGGCGGAGATCCCGGCGGGGTTCTGCGTCCTCTGTCGCCGCCTCCGAGAGAGCTCGTAAACTCACGTTCAACCCTCTGCCCGAATCATGGCATCCTGTCTTCGACGATGAAGATACTCAAGGCCATCCTGGCCAATCTCGTGGCGCCTTCGAGGTACCTCAATGGAAACGAATACGTGAGTGTTCATCGCTGACTGGTACTATTTAGTTATAGCGCTAATACTAGACTCGATGACCAGTCCAAGTTGCTATTATGGTGGTGTTCTGTCTTTTCGCTGCCGGAGTTGTATTTGGATATGCTGCTTTGAAACCTGTTTTGAAGAAAGAGGGCGCATACCAAGAGATATGCAACGGCGGCGATACATGTGTGGAAATCCATCTTAATCTCATGTTCACCGTTGCTGCTGTTGCCACCAACGTTGCTGCTCTACCTGTCGGTGCAATTCTTGACCACTATGGCCCTCGAGTTTCCGGAATTCTGGGTGCGCTGTTCCTTAGTGTTGGCGCACTCTTCATGTCCTTCGCTAAGAATCTGCCCTTCGACGCATTCCTTTTCGGCTACCTCTTCCTTGCTTTGGGTGGACCCTTTACGTATATCTCGTCCTTCCAATTGTCCAATGCCTTCCCTCGTCACTCGGGTTTGATACTGGCGCTGCTCACAGGAGCCTTCGATGCATCGAGCGCATTGTTCCTAGTCTACCGCATTATTTATGGGAAGACGGGAGGGACGTTCGGCCATCACCAATTTTTCCTTGCATACCTCGTCGTACCCGCGGTAATACTCATCGTCCAACTCACGATCCTCCCGAAGCAGTCGTACAAGACAGTGGGAGAAATGATCGAAGAAATCGAGGCACCTACTTTTGGCGATGACTCCGATTATATCACAGCCGATGCCATAAGTGCCGATGACCAAGTTGATGAGCAGACTGCGCTTTTGCGAGAAGAACAACGAGAGCACCATGAAAGTGTTATACATGACATCGAAGAGTTGCTGGGCTCTAGCAAAGCAGACAAGGATAAACAAGTTGAACGGGAGGAAGTTAGAAACGAGAGGAGTGGCGTATGGGGTATAATGCACAACCACACAGCGTGGGAGCAGATTCGTTCGCCTTGGTTCGTGTTGATATGCTTGTTTACTGTTGTACAGATGACCCGGATCAACTATTTTGTGGCGACTATCCGCGCTCAGTATGAAGCCTTGTTCGATTCCACAGAAAAGGCCATCGAGATTAACAACTTTTTCGACCTCGCGCTGCCGCTAGGTGGTATAATCTCTATTCCATTTATTGGGGTCATTCTGGATCATACTAGTACCATTGCGGTATTGACAACGCTTGTTGTAGCTGCGACATCTATTGGGGTTTTAGGTGTGCTGCCGTATACTTGGGCGGCATATGCTAACGTTGTTCTATTTGTGTTGTACCGTCCATTTTACTACACAGCTGTCAGTGACTACAGCGCCAAGGTTTTTGGTTTCCGCACTTTTGGTACTGTCTATGGCACTATTATTTGCCTTTCAGGGCTGCTCAATTTCAGCCAGAGTGGCCTAGATTACCTCTTTCACCGCACCTTCAACGGTGACCCAGTCCCTGTTAACCTACTCCTACTCACACTTGGTCTTCTCATTGGCATCTGCCTTGTAGGGTTTGTCGGGTTGAAGACTAGGCGATTGAGTAGGAAGAGGGCGGCTGTGGGTTTCGTGAGTCGCGGGGATTATTAAAATGTCCGGCCACTTCTTCCTTTTTCGAAACGATCTAGAGCACACGAAGCGGCGTTCAAAAATTTGCATGGCGAGGTATTTCGATCTATCAGGTGTCATCTTATTATTTAGGTGTGCGGTTGGATGTTATATCTTACGCTTGGCGTTTTTGTTACAGGTGTATATACCACTTGGATTCAGGATAGGTTACAAGTTAAATAAAATTTATATACCCCGATGTGATCATGTTTTATTATTAGTTGTGGCTATTCGTTAGATGTTATGTGCTGAGACATATGCCTCCGAGGGTACGAAATTTATCATCACATATGGGAATAAAAAGCCAAGGTCATGCGCCGAAGAACTTATTCTTCTTGTGGAACATTCATCTTCATCAGCTACCTAATTTCTTCCAGGTCGTACGACATTTTTGGTTGTGCTGTTATGTTTGCCAACAAAACTACATAGTTGTGTAGTTGTCGCTCTTATGGCGCATTACTTATGGGTTGGTAAGAACTAGGCTGATGTTCTCCAAAGCCCGAGATACTTAATCTAGTACCTATGATTAAAAATGCTTCGGTATCTACCTAGGTAGATACCCCAAGTGCTAGATCTATCGAGATCAGGACCAGGATTTAACGTATATCATAATCGTAATCGTGATAGATCATCCGACACACCGGAAATGCCGCATGGCCAAGATAATCCGTATTGTAGTTTTCGTAATAACTATTGTCGGATTTTCGGCGGAGGATATCTTTGGTGGCGCCTTGTCGGAGTTTTAGAGTATGCAATCATCTAAATGGCTACTCCGTCATCCTTCTTTTGCTGCCTCGGCTGAATTGGACTTAGGTTCGCCTTCAGAGTCGAAGCCAAGCGCCTCAAGCTCCCTCACAAGCTCGTTGATCTTGATGACCTTTGCGATCTGTTCCGGCAAGAGAGATTCTCCTCCATCCTTCTTGCTCTTCAGGTCCTTGGCCTGCTTCAGCTTTTTCTTCAGATTTCGGGCCTTTTTCTCTTTCTCTACCTCCGGGTCAATAGCCTCTTCCGTTTTTGTAGTATTCGTCTCTTTGGGAGCTTCGTCACCCGCCGCCGCTGGGTCTTGATTCGATTTGGCGGCCTTCTTTCTGGCTTCCCGACGTTTGGCGTTTTTATTGCTTGAGGCGGATAATGTTTCTTGTGGCTTTTGCTCTTTTAGACCTTCTGCGCCGATAACGCCACCTTTGCCACGGTTGCGAAATGATTCTGCGGTGCGGTTTTTGTAGAGTTCGACGTCTTCGGGGGGTCTGTAGCCCGGTCGGATCTTGATCGCTTTTCGTGTGGTACCGTCTGCTCGCACGGACTCTGGGATCTGGCGCTCGCCGCTATTTTCGTCTGTGACGATGCCTGAGGTGGAGGGCTCGGAAGGCATCGCGGCGTCGGCCCGACGACGTTAGGCGGGTGGTTTGTTTTTATTAGGATTTTGGATTGGAGTGGCTTTGGAGGATTTAATTTGTAGTAAATAGGATAGTGAAGGGAACCTTTTTAGAGTACAACCTCATTGTACTACAGCACGGGTGAGTCAAGTAAAGCCTGATGGGGCAAAAGGGAACAGCCCACCTTCCGCCTAAGATAATTAGTGGGGCATTCAATTGAACAAAGCTTCAGCCAATCATAAGGGTCGGTTTCCAAATCGCCAATTCTTCGGCAGGAATCTTGGAAATCGGAACTTGCGCATTTCCATCTTCCAGAAGAACTTCCTATACTATCTCCGTCCTCGAACGACGTCAACACTCTCCTATTCTACCAAAAGCCACTACTACATTCTGAGAATCTACTTCTCAGACAGTTTTCATCATGGTATGATTGATGTCCTTATCCGGTCACCGCATTGATGCACCGCAACTAACTAATCGCGCAACAGGCTGCCGCTCGTCCTTTCTACAAGCAAGTCGACCCTTTACCCCCACAACGACCGAATCCCCTGAACTGACCGTATATCGTATAGCGCTTTCTTCCGAAGGAACTGGCAAATGCTGGGTGTCGTCTTCGGCTCGGCTTTCGCTTTCGAGATGTGTGTAATCTGAAATATTTCTACGGTATAGGACGCATTTGACTGATGGTAAACTAGGGCATACGACAGCACCATGAACAGAGTCTGGGATAACCTAAACAGAGGAGTATGTGTTACCTGACCGAGATTTCTAGAAAAAATATAACTGATATGTCAAAAGCGACAATGGAAGGATATCCGATCCCGATACGTCGAGGAAGAATAAATGATGACAATTGACTCGCGAGGTTAGAAAAGGAGACGCATATCACTATGGCAGCATCTGGAGAGGATAGAATGCCTACAATACTGTACAACTGTACCTCATAGATCACCGAAATCCATATATTTACAACACAGTTCAGAAGTAGTGTGTTCGTTCATTTATTTCGACTAGGCGAAACAGCTTTGAATATGTTTGAACGGGTTACTATTACAATATCCAATATCCAATGCCTATGCATATTTTAATCTAGGATGTCTTTTCTGGAAGGGATTATTTGATCTTTAGTGACGAACTGAACAAAGTCCGCCGGGCGTTGGGGTGAGATTTGTTGCGAATCCGACGACACACAATTACTAAGTGATACTGTTTTTCTCTCTGATTTCATTCTAGAAACATATATACTCAAGTAGAATTTGGTGGTCATATGGATATGAACTTGGGCAGTTAGAATACAAAATGCGATAGATGTGTAGAGGAATTCCGGGTACCCATTTACGTGGGTACATGTGTACTTGGATACATCCTGGGTGTTTTGTACGGTGTTCATTGGCTGTACCTATCCGTCCGTAGGAAGGCGCTAGGGGGTTTGGATGACTTCAGAGGCGCTACCTACTCTTATCGATTGTCGGTAGGAGGGGAATACTTCTCTCGAAGCTCCCGAATCTCAACTTTTCAACATTGTTCCTTACTATTTTACATTTTTATAAAGTGGGAAGCGCGTCCTTTGTTTGGATTATATTAGGCTTGATACAGTGTTTTAATTTGCGAAAACTCGTTGATACACCCAAAAAAACCCCATCCATCGATTTCTCGAACCCGCCTCTTGAATTTCCTCTGCGAATCATTCAACATATAAACCGTTGGTCCCCCGAATTCCTAACGGGTCGACGATTTGTTTTCTCCAAGCCAACTATGATAATACGTCGAGCTTAGCCATGGACACCGCCATGTCTACGCAAGAGCAACAGCTCTGTCAATGCTTGATAGAGCTGCCGAAGCGATTCAAATACCGATACCAAGAACCTGCCAACCGAGAACTTTTACAAAATCTCTTCTGGTCCATGGCCGGAGGCAGACCCGAGAATATGCGATTATTCTTTCCTAACGGCGGAACCACCGCGCGAGGTAGTGTCAAGCTCCGAGAAGCTCAAGGTGCAGTGGATGGAGCCGAATACACCGAAGCCGCCCGCGGCAAGGCATGTGGTCACATATTTAGGGCCGGGGAGGCATCGTATGGCTGCAAAACCTGTAGTACCGATGAGACATGCTGCTTATGCAGCAAATGTTTCAACGCTACAGACCATACAGGTCATATGGTACGAATATCGATATCGCCAGGAAACAGTGGGTGCTGTGATTGTGGAGACCCGGAAGCATGGAAGACTCCTATGTTTTGCACCATCCATAGCGAACGCGAAGAAGACCGATCGAAAGGAAAGGGCAAGGAAGTTGCTGGGTTACCCGATGAAGTGGTATCCAATATTCGTATGACCATTTCTCGAGTCCTCGATTTCATTTGCGACGTCATATCCTGCGCTCCCGAGCAGCTCCGACAGGCGAAGACAAAGGAATCCATCGAACAAGACGAGAGGATGTCTCGCTTAGCCTCGACTTACTGTGGAGGAGATATCGACCCGCCGGATGAGTATGCATTGCTGCTCTGGAACGATGAAAAACACACCGTTAAGGAAGTGCAAGATCAGGTTGCTAGAGCATGCAGCACGACTCTTGATGAAGGATATAATAGGGCGGCGGAAACTGACTCTATCGGTCGGAGTATTCTCAAATACGATGCGAGTATCGAGGAGCTTCTAAGATGCGCGACTATCCTCGAACACATCAAGATCACCGTCACCATTAGATCCTCACGAGATACATTTCGAGAGCAGATGTGTGGGACCATGATTGACTGGTTGAATGATATTGCGGGTTGTAGTGTGGGGAACGATCACAGCATCCTTCGACAGGTCATCTGTGAAGAACTCCTAAAGCCCTGGAGGAAAGGGAGCCCTGGTACGCATGCTATGCCTGGCAAAGATGGTCTTGAAGACGAGGCGAAACTTGAATACGACCCACTTGAAGCTCATACGGCTAGGATATTCATACGACAAGCAAGGTTGTTTGCAGAAGCCGGGAACACAGCTACACTGGCCGAATTTCTTGATTCAGACGATGATGATAATGATGACGATGACGACGAAGATATGGATGGTGGCAATCGAACCCCTTCTAGCGGGGAAGAAGATAACGACGAAGATGATGACGAAGATGAAGACGTAATGATGATAGACACTAGGCCGGAGGGAGGTGCCGACGTGAACGTGCCCGACTGGATGGGGCCGAGCGTCGCGTCTCTTGAAGAGGAAGAGGCAACAATGGCAGGTTATCCGCCACCTCCGCCACCTCCCCCGGTACCTCGACGCGGAACTCGAGACCGGGATCTCACACCATCAGACTCGGATACTGCGGAGCCGTTGATAGCACCAACGGTGTACGCAAAGGCAAACTTGGAGATTCCTAAGACCCCTGGGCTTTCAAAAGCAGACAAGTCAGGACCTCCCAAACCCGGACGGTACTGGGTTGAAACGCCTGCGGCTTATATGGAGCGTGATAGTATCCATCCATTCGAGGACGTTTTCCAACGAGTCCGTCTTGACTGGTTAATCCTTTTCGATTTGAGGATGTGGAAGAAGGTCCGTAATGACCTCCGCTCACTATACATATCTACGGTTGTTACTATTCCTGAGTTCAAGAGAGTCTTGGGTCTTCGGTTCGCCGCCCTATATACGACACTAGCACAATTATACCTTATAGGGGACCGAGAACCCGACCACTCAATCATCAACATATCATTACAAATGCTCACAACACCTTCCATAACGGCTGAGGTGGTTGAAAGAGGCAATTTCTTGACGACGCTCATGGCTATACTATACACATTCTTGACTACAAGACAAGTGGGACATCCTTGGGAGGTTTCATCTAGTGCTGTACTTGGGTTCGATACGGGATCAGTAACAAACCGACGAATGTATCATTTTTACGTGGATTTGAAATTCTTGCTCGGTTCGCCTCATGTTCAAGAGCGGATGAGAACTGAAGAAAGGTACCTCATGCAATTCCTTGATTTGGTGAAGTTACACCAGGGTATTTGTCCGAATGTGCGAGCCGTCGGGGAGCACGTGGAATATGAAACCGATAGCTGGATTGGCGCTTCGTTGATGACACGGGAAATCAACAGGCTCTGCAGACTTATCTCCGGTTCTTTCCGCAATCTCCCAGAACATGATTCTCCATACCTGTCAAAGGCTATTCGGACAGCTGCCAAGAGTGTCATCATAAATTCTGTCGGAGCTGAGCGTGCTAGGTTCACGCAAGCTGAGATTAAAGATGAGATACGGTTCAAGGCGTTGAATGACTTCGAATTTGCGGGTGAAACTACTAAATTCGATGTTGTGAAATTTGTTGTGGAAGAACAGTCAATCAGTTTCCACCATGCGTTGCACTACACTTTATCTTGGTTGATCGAGTGCGGAAAGAACATGTCCCCGCAACACCTGAAGTCGATATTAAGCTTTACTTCACAAGAGCTCAGGATGAAGCCTCGTTCAATGGGTCGAAAGACAATGCCCAAACGGGACTATTCTCCTGAGGACTACCTCATGGCTGCATTCGACTATCCCCTACGCGTGTGCGTTTGGCTCGCCCAGATAAAAGCTAGCATGTGGGTACGCAACGGCATTAGTTTGAGGCATCAAGCCGGGACGTACAAGAATATTCTCCATAGAGATGTTACTCATGCCCGGGACATTTTCCTCCTCCAAACTGCAATGGTGGTGTGCAATCCGAGCCGCGTGCTTGCCTCCATTGTCGATCGCTTTGGCATGGAAGCATGGTCTAAAGGGCTTTTCGAACAGACCTCAACCGCACAAGATAACATTCAACATCTTGACGTAGTTGAAGACATGATTCATTTCTTAATCGTACTGCTAAGTGACCGAACCTCGCTCATCCCTGTCACGGACGAAGAGCAGACGCATCTGATGGCAATGCGTAGAGACATTACTCATGTCCTGTGCTTTAGACCGCTTTCCTTCAATGAAATATCTAGCAAGTTACCAGAGAAGTTTCATGAGCAAGAGGAGTTCCAACGTGTGTTAGACGAAGTATCCACATTTAAACCACCGGAGGGTGTCTCGGACGTCGGAACTTTTGAACTCAAGCCACAGTTTATCGAAGATATTGATCCGTACATTGCGCACTACAACAAGAATCAACGAGAAGAATCAGAGGCTGCCTATCGCAAGTGGATGGCGAAAAAGGTGGGCAAGCCGGCTGAAGAGATCGTATACGAACCTAGGTTACGACCGATAGAGACCGGTGCCTTCGTGGGACTGGCTCAATTCACTAGCACTGGGATGTTCGCACAGATCATCTACTACTCTCTTCTTTACCCTCTTGTTGCCGCCAAGTTTACACCCAAGGTACCTTTCACTAGGATAGAAACGTTCTTGCAAGTCGTGCTGCATTTGATTCTCATCGCCATTGCCGAGGACAAAGCCAGCGAGGCAGAGTCTACGACCGAAGATGGATCGTTTGTGTACATCGCTTTGACCACACATGGTCGCAGTAATTTCATGCAAGATGCGCCCGCTGCCAAGACAATTGTATCACTTCTAGATATGATGTCAACTAAAGAAGAGTTTAAGGCCTGCCAAGCCAAGATCGCTCTGATTCTTAAGAGGATGAAACAGAAATATCCACAACATTTCAATATCGCCTATTCACAATTAGGCATACCCGTCGACCGGATTGATACAGCCTCGCCGGCAAGTACTCATAATGCCGAGGAAGAACGCGAACGAAAGAAGAAAGCCGCGCTGGATCGTCAAGCCAAGGTCATGGCACAGTTCCAGCAGCAGCAAAAGAACTTCCTGGAAATGCAAGGAGATGTCGACTGGGGTGAAGAAGAGTGGGATGAAATGGATGAGACTAGGCCGGTAGAAGAGCAAAAGAATTTCTGGAAGTATCCAAGAGGTACCTGCATTCTATGCCAAGAGGATGCTGACGATGGACGTATCTATGGAACCTTCGCTCTCTTTACTGAGAGTAAAATCTTACGGCAAACCGACCTTCAGGATCCAGATTTTGTTCGAGAGGCTGCGAGCACACCGGCCAACCTTGATCGATCAGCCGAGGAAATACGACCATTTGGCCTTGCTCATGAAAATAGAGAGAGGGTGGAAAAAGTCAATGTTGACAAACAGACATTCGTTAGCGAAAGACAAGGCTTAGGCAAGGGGTTCCCAGCCAAGCTTTGTCGAACAGGGCCTGTATCTGTCGGGTGTGGTCATATCATGCACTTTAGCTGCTTTGATATGTATATGGATGCAACTGTTCGCCGACACGGCCACCAAATCGCCCGCCATCATCCCGAGTCTCTAGAGCGTCTTGAATTTGTATGTCCCCTCTGTAAAGCCCTTGGAAATGCCTTCTTGCCAATTACATGGGATGGTAAAGAAGAGGCCTACCCGGGTATCCTACAGACAAAGACGGACCTTTCCTCCTTCATTTTGGAGTACCTTCATTTGAATGGGGTAGTATCTCAAGATCAGATACAGAAAGTATTTTACAACCACGTAGAAACTAGAATGCCAGCAAATCTTTTGGACAAGTCAAATGTCATTAGCGCCAGCAGTTCTAGCCGGGCAATACCATTCTGGGATCCTCGCAATTTTGGATCCGCTCCTTCGGTAGGCTCTTCCGGCGATACGTTCTCCCTTTCGGCTACCCCCGGATCGAGCATACGATCGCATTCGCCGCCGGAGTCGCAACCCGGTGAAGAAGAGTTAATGTCGATTTACCGACGCCTACGCGACACGCTCCGTAAAAACAAGCTTATTGGACGTTTATACGACCTCGATGACCGAGACGATGACCTGTATGCGAGCGACACCTTAACATCTTCTGTGGGCTATTCAATTTCGGCAGCCGAGATACAACAACGAGGCGTCGAGGCCCAATATGGGTCGACCCTAATTGAAAAGATGCCAGAGCAGCTCCTAGTGCAGCTTCGAATTTTGTCTGAGACTGTCTCATCGTATATTGCAGTTGGCGGCCTTAGACACGGAAGAGACAACCGCATCAAGAACGAATTCTCTGAGGCTTGCCAGCGACAATACTGCCAACTCTTAGTGCCAACGTACTTGGACAGGGATGTGGCTGACAATACGCGATCGACCGAAGACTACCCACCACTATTTGAGCAAGACATATTCATATTCTTATGCGAGACCATGTTTGGCCTCTCTGTCGCATATGGCATGGATCCGATGCACCTTGTCAGAATTTGTTATCTCGCTGAGATAGTCAAAGTGGTCTACAACATATCTCGAAATCTTACGCTTTCCAAGTTACTCGAATACATGAGTAAACGGGACGTAGACAACCCCGCGATGAATAACTTCGCCAGCTTCTTCCATAACATCACAGTGGCTGGAATGGACATCACTCAGGGCATCGGCGACGAGGCTATGCCTTCTAGTGAACTATCCAATTTAGGATTTGATCAACCAAGCCTGGACAACTTGGAAAGCCTCCACTCATTTGTCAGGAAGTATGCCCTAGTATTCCTACGAAAGGTGACCATTCTCCTTCATGTTCACCTCGGAGTTGATTTCAATAGTCATATATCTCCAGTCCCAGAAGCAGATGAACTCACACGTTTAACGACCGCACTGCGTTTACCATCATTTGACGAGATGTGTACAGCATTGACACCTCTGCACAGCCAGTATGGATGGCCGCCGCGTATGGAAGTTCTTGTTAAAGGTTGGCTCCACCACCAGATTGGAGGCTACGATGGCAGTCGCCCCGCTGCTGAATTAGGTCCTAATCCGCCGCTGTGCGCTCAACTAAGCCACCCCGGAATCTTCGAGCTTGTCGGCTTACCCAAGAACTACGATACTCTTATCGAAGAGTGCGCCAAAAGAAGATGTCCCAAAACCGGCAAAGATTTGGCCGATCCTATTGTGTGCCTAATGTGCGGTGACATATTCTGTGGGCAAACTATGTGCTGCCTCATGGAGTACCGAGAGCCGGGACCGGACAAACCAACAATGAGGATTGGGGGTGCACAGCAGCATATGCTGTTCAAGTAAGTTTTCAGTAACACAATTCCGAGTTGGGATGAAATCATCATCCCCTCTGGATTTTCCTTTTGTCTTTATGTAATCATTTACTAACCTATTCGATAGGTGTCAAGGCAACATCGGACTCTTCATCAATATTCGCAAGTGTGTCATCATCTACCTGCATCGCACGTCAGGCAGCTTTAGCAACGCGCCGTACATTGACAAGTATGGTGAGGTGGACATCGGCTTGCGCCACGGCCGTCAACTTTTCCTCAACCAGAAACGTTACGATTCAATGCTACGCACCATGTGGCTCAGCCACGGCATCCCCAGCTTCATTTCCAGAAAACTTGAAGCCGATATTAACAGCGGCGGCTGGGAAACTATATAAATGTCTGTGCCTAAGTTCGGCAAATAGGTACTCAAGGGAAGAAAGCAGTTAGTAGATTGATGATGGACGTTGTGGAAGAACCTCGACTTACCCTTCTACTATATTATTTCCCCCCATTGGCGTAAGGAGGCTTTTGTGGCATTTTTCATGAGCACGGGAGGGAGGAGCTATAAATAAGACCAGGGCCGTCATCATTCATATGCATCATGATGTTTCTTGCTATTACAATACTTGCGATCGTTATTTAATATATAGCATTCTCTGCTTCGTATAATTCTCGTCATGCTGAATTTTGGTGATAAGGGCTTTTATATCCATTATTAATAAGCGTTTTTCAATGTCGTCTTCATTGATGTGAATTATGCCTAATAGAAGGGTATAACTATCCGATTCAAACACAGCCAATATGACTCCCGCTTCTCCTATCTAGTCTTGTTATATCTCCTTCCTTGAATTATACGCGTAGCACGTGAGCAACTGCCTTTTTCATTCACTCATTTCTCTCACCCTTTCCAGTATTTTGTCCCCTTATTCCTCTTTCTTCACATCTTCATCCTTAAGAGGCGGTACACTACCATCCGCACTGCTGCCATTCGCTTTTTCTTCCGTCTCCACAGACGCCGCGTTCTTCGTTCCGTTGACCGCAGTGACACCAGAGGGCCGGTGTCCAAAGACTTTAATCGTGCCATCCTGACCAGCACTCACCATAATATCGTCATGAACATCAACCCAGAAACAAACGCCTTTATGTGCACGCGGGATGCGCTGGACAATCGCCTTAGACCGCACATCCCAAAGCACAATATCGCCGTCTTCACTAGGAGCCGCTATAAACGCCATTGTATTCGCGTTCGATCTATTCACTATCGCATCACCATTTTCGTCCTTCTCGCTTGTATCGTCGTTTGGTGTAGCTGCGGTAACAGTACCGAAACAACTACCAATACTGAATTTTGTGTTTTCGTGACCTTGGTATGTTTTCTTGACGGTGCCGGAGACGTAGTCCCATAGTCGTAGACATGAGTCCATGCTTGAGGCTAGGACGTAGCGCCCGTTAGGCGCGAAGCAGACGGATGTTATGGGTGGGTTGTCTTCGTGGACTAGGGTTCGGAGACATTGGCCGGTTGAGGTATCCCATATTCGACTGTTTTTCATAGATAGTTAGCACATGCAAAAATGGATGAGGGATGCGAGGGAAGAGAACTCACGTTAACCCGTCAGTACTACAACTAACAACCAAAGTCCCATCCCTACAGAAATCAATCCCGCTCACAGGATCACTGTGTGCAGGTAGACTTCTCATTAATCGACCAGCACGCACGTCCCAGAGGAAAACAGCCTCGTCGTAGCTCCCGCTCGCGAGGATGTTACCCTTAGGCGAGAAGGCGAGGCAGTACACATAATTATGGTGGCCGAGTAATGGCTTGCCGGCGCGTGCTGGCCGTCCTGTGACTCGGTCCCAGAGGCGAATCGCTTTGTCGTCAGAGCCTGAGGCTAGCGTTTTGCTGTCAGGTGCCCAGGCTACGGCTGATACGCCCGCCATGTGGCCGACCAGTGTTTCGGTGTGGCGCCCATTGGAGGCGTTCCAGATCCGTACTGTGCTATCGGCGGACGCAGAAGCAATCCACCGCCCGTCGGGGGAGACGCGGACTTGTGAGATGGCACGTTCGTGGCCTTTGAGTGACATTCGGGGTACATAGTGTGGTCTTATGAGTTGTTGTAGAGGCGGTGTGGTTTCTGAGGGTTCGTGGCGATGGCGGTGATCGAGGGTGTCGCGGAGCAGAGGTGTTTCGTCTGGTGTTCGAGAGCGCGTGGAGTCTGTGGGAGACCTAGACCTCGATCCCGATCTTATTCTAGGTGATCTGGATCTAGATCGTGATCGACTTGGAGTTCGACTATCGGGTGTTGAGCGTGGAGAGCGTAGACGCGATCGAGAGCTTGAAGGGGATTCGGTGCGGGGCGAACGATCGCTGGAGTAGTACTCGGTGTCCCGTCGCCGTTCTCGGCTTGGACTTCTACTTCTACTCTGGCTTGCAGATCGGCTGTCTAATGTCTTCTCACGGATAGAAACACGGAGAGTGTGTTTGTCATCTGCCTTGTCGGGTGTGCCATATTGTCGGGCGGGGGTAGAATCGGTGCTACGATCGTGAACTTTGCGACGCTTGGTCGGGGGTTCGGGGTGGAGAGGTGTATCAACTCCAGACATTGCGTTTAGTATTTGATTGCTATTGACTGCACATTGGTCTCAATGGTAGGTCAATTGCACATTAGATTTCGGTCTCGATTGATGGACGGCGAATGTAGATACGGATAGGAGTTATTGCAGCCTCGCGTGCAGGTTTGAGAAGAGGACAATGATGAAAGATGACAAGGCTGAATGGGAATACAAATTTTGGTGGGCCCCTTGTAAATATACAAGATTTTGATTGGACTACTAGAACTAACAGCACGGTCCACTTCTAAACGAGCTTATTTTAGGAAGCCGGTGATTTTCTATCGCGCCTTACCTAAAATACGTCAAGCCTTGGAGCTACCGTGTGGCACGGTTTGTTGATACGGTGTGATCCGGCACTATGATGACAATGGTTTGGTACGGTTGGTCCAGCTTCGGCAGGTCCTGCCACCTTAAGAAGCGGTAATAAGGCTCGTCGATGCCGATCTCGATAATTAGAAATGCAGGGGCGTTGCAACTTAAAATTTCCTATGCAAGCAAGGATGGAGCTTTAATGAAGAAAAAGATAACCCCTGCAAGAGCGAACGAGCAAGTTGAGCGAAGTGGGCAATAGGCAAGCAGGGCATAACATCGTCGCGCCTTTCATATGAAATCATTAACAAAAAACATAATCTGTATCATAACTTCCTCAACTTTCCAAGGTCATTTGCATTATTTTCTTCCTTCCCCACGAGTTCATGCCGAATCCTCCTTGTCTTGTCTTGCCTTGTCTCGTCTCGTCCCGCCCTGTCGCCATCAACTGGGATTCGTCCTAGAGTGACGCCAACTTTTTAACTGGTTCTTCTAGAAGGTAACCAACCGGTTCCTCCCTCGTACTAAAATAAAATAAAATAAAATCCCGAAGGATTCTCAGCCACGAGGACAATTACTTGTAACCGTTTCCGGGATATGTTGGCCCGGGAGGATCAATAAATCCTAGTCAACGCATGCTGTAGTTGCATGAACGAGATACCTTACGGCACATGAGCGAACAGCTCATTTATTATATGCACGGTCATATGTCAACACGACCGCTCACTTCTCATTCTTTTTGGCAACCTTGAATCTGAACACCAAAGTAATCGATAGAGGGAGAGAAGTAGAAGAGGAAGCAGACAGAGAGACATAATTCAAAATGGACGATCTCCCAATTGAGCTCAATATCATCACACTCAACTGCTGGGGACTGCTACACCTGAGCGCAAACCGTGCCGAACGCCTCACAGCCATCGGTCGTGAACTCGCCGCTGCTGACCCTCCGCCACATATCGTTGGATTACAAGAATGCTGGACGCAAGAGGACTACCGAAGCATCCGTCGCGAGACACGATTTGTACTACCATTCGGGAAATTTTACCATAGTGGCGTTTTTGGCGGCGGCCTCGCCATACTATCACGATGGCCCATCGAAGAGAGTACTATGTTTCGCTACCCGCTCAATGGCCGTCCAACCGCTTTCTATCGAGGTGACTGGTTCGTCGGTAAAGGCGTTGCCTGTGCTCGCATTCGGTATGGATCGGGCGACCGCGATATCGTGGAGGTTTTCAACACACATACTCACTCCATTTACGAGCACCCGCCCAACAAGACAAATAGCTACCTCGTCCACCAGCTTGCCCAGTCCTGGGAGATGGCGAAGCTGGTCCGTGGCGCCGCCGAACGTGGTCACCTTGCCCTCGCCTTAGGTGACTTCAACGACGTACCTCTATCGTTATCGTACCGCATGTTAACAGCACATGCGCCTATTAAGGACGCTTGGCGCGTTCTCAACCCAGACTCATCTCTCGGTTCTGCCGTACATGAGCTAGAACGCGCGCGCCGGCGACCTATCCCATCTGCCGCATTTAACCTTGCCGAAAATGGTGTCACAAGTAACAGCGCCTATAACACATGGGCATGGTCTAAAGCAGATCAGCGTGCTCTCCGCTCCGGGAAGCGACCCATGATCGTCCCTCCAGACACGCCGGATCCTCGCGGCAAACGTCTTGTACGTACTTCGTTCCTTTCTCCTTTTTTACTCCTTGCCGAACCTCTTTCGAGGCGGAGCCCCTAAATTTAGCAAGTTCCGAAGATTGTTCCGAATTTATAGTCCCTCAACTTGAATCTAGAACCGTACTAACCTTTACTCTAGGATTACATATTCTTCTCTCCGCAGGTAGCGATAGTGCCGAGCTCACCAATTCCTGGACTCAGCGAAGCGCGAGCTAGTCGCGATATTGGCGACAATGGTCTTAGGAATAGGGGATGGGTCGTTAAAGACGTACGTGTAGGCATGGTCGCACGGCATCCAGAGCTCGGTTGCTCCCTTAGCGACCATTTTGCCGTCGAGGCGACTCTACTTCTACACACATCTACCTCGGCGCCATCATCTCACCCCGCATCTGATCCCACTTCTCCCATTTCACCCAAAAGGCCTGGGAGTACACGTTCCAACCGATCAAACCTTGCTGTCAACGAGCAGTCTAACGGCCACGACCACGCCGCCTCCCTTCTTGCCCTCGAGCACGGTACTTACTTACAATCACCCACCGGCTCTGAGTACCGTGTTGGCTCTCGTCTCGACTTAAGCACATCTTACGACGACCAATTACGCGACAGCGCCCCACGTTCCACCTCCGCCGCCTCTGCCGTCCCCCGTGGTGACGGTCTTCCCTGCAACACCTACGACGAAGTTCTCTCCCTAATCCACGCCTACACTGCCCGCGAACACACCCAGCGCCGATGGCGCCTAACCCATTTCTTTATCTGGGTATTCGTCGTCCTCGCCTGCTACGTCGCCGTATGGTTCGTGCGTCCTTACCAAGGTGTAGCCTTCGCGTTCCTACTTCTCAGCAGCTTAGGTCTTCTAGTCGGAGCCGTAGACGGTCTAATGGGCCTCCTATTCTTTGGCTCCGAGATCCGTGCTCTGAAGGAATTCGAATGGGAAATTATGAACGCCAAGGCTACAGCTAGTGGTGCACATGGACTCGCCAGACAACGGCATGATGATGGCGTTGGAGTGGGGGTCGGTGAGGAGGGGGACCGGGAGAAGGCTTGGTAAAAAGTACCTTCTTTTGCTTTTTAATTTTATTTGATTTCAAAGCCGTTTTGCTTTTTACTTTGTACATACCCACCCATACCCATGTTTACAGCCCGGTCGGCTCTTACGGGATTTTTTTACGTGTCTATATGCTTCTTGGGATGAGAAACGATATCTTAAAATATCTATCAACCTACCTACTATACTTAATTATAATTAACGACCAGTTATGGGGATTTGGAGGATTGGGGGTGGTTAGATTATTGGTTATCATTCACATGAGTTTGGTTGTCGAAGGGAAGACAGATTATAGGAAAGAGAGATACCTAGGGAAACTGGCTAATAACGATGATGTTACCATGGAATGATGAAGACAGTACAGATATAGGTTTTTTCGGTTGTGGCTTGGTTTGGTGTGTTAGGGATACTATTCTAATATTATACCCATTCGTTTCCCCTACGATCCTTGAAACAGTGATTTCCATCCCGTCCCTTTTTCCTTTTTTTTCGATATTCCTCTTCAACAAAACTTGCATCCATCAGCCAGCCACTTTTCTCCATCGCGAGTTATTTACTCCGGTAACACAAAGCCACCTGATATCAACCCGCACGCGCATGACACCAAGCCCGATAGGAAGCCAACTCAGCACTGTCATTCGCTCTCGCCTTCCCTTTGCTTCCGCCATCTTCTATGAAATGCGCCCTAGTCATTCCCATGGCATTATAATCCCTCATCCGGCGGTACGTATAGCCCATGAAAGCGGTTTGTTTCCGTACTTCGAGCGCAGTTCCTCGGGTATTTCTGTCCCTCAACAACCTATCACGCGGCCGCTTCCGCTCGCGGCGCCCAAACATCCGCACGAACGCTTTCATTGCATCGCAGAGCTCCACATCAGGCGCCATGGCTTCGATCTCGCGGTCTATGCGTTTTAGTCTTGCCGAATCATACGGCGTCGATATGAATTGTCCAAGCACACCGCGAAGGTGGCGTGGAAACATGGCCATTTGTGTTTGCATGGCTGCTATCTTTGCAGGACTTCGGATAGGTGCTATACGAGGGACTTGGGGTCCGCCGAATCCAGTGGCGGTACTTCCAGCAATTAAGGGATTAACGGCTAAGTCCTCTATTTCTGAGCTCGTTTCTGGTTGAGACTCAGACCAGTCCGAGATCGGTTCCTCCTCATCAAAGTAGTGTGTATCCTCGCGGCTCGAGAGTTGCGGGACAAAAGGTGGGCAGATATATTGCAATCGATCCCAAGGGATATCTCGAAACCATTTGTGCGCTTTGATATCTTCACCGTCATGAGGATATACCGACCTTCCAGTCCAATCTTGGTATCCACGACGTTGCCGACTCTTACCTGTTGTTGATTCTTGGGTTGTATCCCGGTAACGATAGCGTCTAGATGAGAGACGAGCCTCTTTCTCGCAAATAAGATTTACAATAAGGTCCATGCATCGCCGAGAGACCCCTGGACGAGGCGGGAAGGCAAATGTTTGCTTGTGATTGACAATATTACGCTTTGTCTGCTGACGACCGCCTTCCTCCGATAAGAAGGGAGTATGTCCGTATAAACACTCATACAAAATGACGCCGACACTCCACTAATCGCATCTTGCATCGTAGTCGCCTTCGCGGATGACTTCTGGGGCCATGTATTGACTCGTCCCTACACAGGACCTGGCCGCACTGCGATTTCCGCACCGGTTTCGCCAGCTTAAGAGTGGTCCATCCGGCACTGTCGAAGCTGAGGTCAAATGTGATGGGTTGCGTTCGTGTTTTTGCATTGCCTGGGCCACGCCCTGAGCCCACTTGACTGAGCCCTGTAAGCCCTCAGCACGATCGATGGCGTCTCCTTCCACGGGTATACCGAACTTCTGGAGCAAGGTATATCGCTGCGTGTGGTAATAGTTGGTATCATGCGACCAGTGTCCGTCAAAAGCCAGACCAAAATCCGAAATCTTCAAGTGACCAGATGCGGATATGAGAAAGTTGTCCGGCTTGACATCGCGATGTATACAACGTAACGAATGTGCCTCCTCGATGCAAAGTATCATCTCAGCTATGTAAAACTTTGCGACTGGCTCACTGAGTACGTTTTCTCGGATGAGAAGACCGAGAAAGTCGCCTCCAGGCATGTAGTCCATGACAAGATAAAGGTTGGCGGCATCTTGGAAGCTAGTGATTAAGGGCACGATCCTATAGTTGTGTTGATGATTAGCTCGGTCGCCTTCATGAGGATTATCAATAGTGAAAAACGAACCACTTGGAGCCCTCTGAAGCAACCAGAAAATCCCGTTCGGCCCGCAAATGCGCCTCTTGACTTGTCCTCAACATGGCTGACTTGCGTATTACCTTCATGGCATATACCGGTCTTTCTCGACGAATACCATGAGCCAATTCGTATGGATTAGGCTTCTCACGAACAAGCCTAACAACACCGAAACTCCCCTTGCCGAGAATTTTTAAAACCTCATAATTGTCGGCGAGTTGATTATGTCTCCCTTGAACCGCACCTATACTTTTTGCTTTCAGCACACGGGTTTCTCGGAGGTGGTCTGTCTCTTGCTTGTAAAAAGCTCGTCGCCGAGCGTTCTTCTCTGCTTCCGTCATGCCATTCCCATGATATAATTCTCCTTCTAGATATCGTCGGCGGATAGACCGTGGACTAGGCCTGGAGAATTGTTCGTTAAAGTGAGTCTCTAGGAAGACCTTGGCAGCCGCAGCTCGCTCAATGGTTAAAATTGTTGGTGGTGGTAAATCGAGAGTTGACTCATGAATCGTTGTCAAGTTTGACTCGGGGGCTAAGGTAACCTCTAGTTCTTTTTCGCGAGCCACAGGAACAGTTTTCTTGTCTCCTAAGTTGTTGTCTCGCTTGGAATCAAAAGAAGTCTTGCCAGTGGTTCCAGTTCCGCCAGTTCCACCAGTTCCGGTGGTTGGACCGGATGATTTCCCACTGGAAGTTGCATTGCTGTTTCCATTGCTATATGAGTTACCATTGGATGTAGAAGAGGCGGCCGCCTCGGGTGGGCATGGCTGGAGTAAGTCGTTGGTAGTTCCGTCCATGGACCCGGCAGATTGTCTAGATTTGGATTTTGTCTTAGATCTTATTCGATGAATGACAGTGACAGAAGCGCCGAAGGGACTCCGAAGGAATGGCATAGAGATTTTTCTGAAGCGTCGACGTGGTTCCGGAGAGCCTCCATCGAGGGCAGGCGAAGGTGCTGGCCATGTTGCAGGCTCCCGTATGGAATCGTCGGAAGCTAAGGCTAATGTTAGAAGCTCCCTGTGTCTATGGTTATGTTGTTAGGGAGGAAGCCCACTGTTGTTGGTCAATGAACGCAGCACCGAAAGAATCCTCGTACCGCCCCGCTTGAGTTTCCGAGGAGGCTCTCCCCTTTCGGGCATCGACTGTGGAGTGTGAGAAGGGGTAACGAATGGTGAATGCTCATCTTCGAGCGGAAGATTTGGCACGCTGTCTGCCAATGGCAATTCGTGCGTAGTCATGCCGGTAACTCATCGGTAAGGCGTATTGTACTATAAAAGCTGGGGTTCGAAGTAGATACCGTATTGTAATAGAGATGGTGTTAATCAAGTTCCCCTGGGCCCTGTCGGATAAGCTACAATGGGGGCCCAGATCACCATCTAGAGTATTGTCTTCGTTGGTGGCCAGATGGTGATAGTATAATGTTAACAATATTGTAGGAAGAAGTTCAAAAGTGAAACATTCTAGCTGAGATGTGAGGTACTTGTAAGAGTATGATGGTTCTTACCTCGGTCAATTCAACTGTCTCTCGAGGCGGCGGCAGGAGTATGCCTTCTGTAACTTCTCCTAATTATACTTCCCTTCCACATTGCACCTACGTAGGTACCTGCCAGCTTCAACAACGTTGGACCTGCCTGTTTACTTGGTATCTACACGTGGATAGATAACTCCATTGGTGCGTGTCGCGGCTGAAGGGAGAAAGAATTCTACAAAAGTTATATATATACAAATCACTCGATAAAGATACGACATCACGGAAAGCCAGAAATTTATGAACATGTACTATATTGCCTCTCTGGAGCTATGATGACTACCTATAGAAAAGCAATGAGAGATATTTAGCATGAGAGGATACCCAACCCTCCCTAGAGATTTTGTTACGCCTGTAATGCAACGCAGAGCTCGTCATCCCTTATGACAATATCTGCTTCCCGCGTCCGACAACGACGCCAGATCCTCGCAGATTCGCGTAGGTCGGAGACCTCGCAGCGCAATGATTAGGAAAGTCATCAGAAATTCATACCGAAGACTGAACCGAAATGACTAATAGAATACAACCAAGATGGTATCTGCGGGTTAAGGAAATGCGAAGGAAAGGATACAGTTCGGTTTGTTGATGGTGTTACGCGTTTATTTGATTGCCAAAAGCTTGACATCGAAAATCAACGTGCTGTTGCCAGGGATACCGGGTTGCGCTTTGCTGCCATAGGCGAGGTTGGCGGGAATGGTAAGACGACGCTCACCACCGACAGACATGCCCTGGATACCGACATCCCATCCCTTGATAACCTCACCCTTTCCTACAGTGAAGCTGAATGGCTTTCCCTTCTTGTTGGCTATTTTCATATTAGCAAGTATTCACATTATCCTATGAGCGATCATGACTTACCATCAAAAACCTTGCCATCTTGTAGCTTGCCGATATATCGGACCTCAACCTTGCTACCCTTCTTGGCGGGACGACCGGATCCAACCTTGCGGTCGTCAACAGTGACGCCCTGAACAACCTTCACACCAAGAGTAGCTGAGCCCTTCTCCGCAGCAGCGGAACCAGTGGGACCCTGCTCAAGGTTCTTAGCGAACTGGACTTTCTTGTCACCCTTGGAAGCACTGTCCTTAGCAGCATCCTCCTTGGCAATAGCCTCGCCCTTGTTGTTCTTTAGCTTCTTCTGTTGCTTCTTGCTGAGCTTGGCCTCTTCGGCTTTAGCCATGAGGTCATCGAGGCTCTCTGCCTCGTCTTCGGCAGGGCGCTTGTTCTTGCCCTTCTTGGCTTGGGCAGCTACTAGCTTGGGGGCCTCCTCCTCGTCGGAGTCAATCTCGGTAACACGAGGATCTTGGAGGTCATCAAGCTCGTCTACTTCGGAGTCCTCAGAATCATAGTCCTCGATACCCTCCATATCGTAGTCTTCGTCAGATCCATCCTCGTCGCTCTCTTCGGGGTCAACAACGTAGTTACCCGTCAAGTGGACGGTGTGGGTACCCTTGACGATGAAGAAAACCTCCTCATCAGGACCAATGACGATGTCGAGAGGTTGTTGGTAGTTCTTTCCGATTTGTTAGTAAAGAGAAAAAAAGAGGCAGAGACTTTTCGTAAAACTTACGCGTTCAGTATCGAGGGTGCAGACGACGAGTTCCTCGAGATCCAACGCAGCCGAGCCAACGCTGTCATCATCATCTTCATCATCGCTGGAGGTAGCAGGCTCCTTGCCCTTCTTGTTAACCTTGCCATTTGGCTTGGCATCATCACCCATCTCCTCATCCGAATCCTGCTCTTCTTGAGCGGCCTTGATAAGCTTCTGTAGAGCAGCTTCTTGTCGGGCCCTCTTGGACTTGGCAGGATCACTGGGGCCGCCATTGGGCTCATCATCGGAGTTTTCCTCCTCCTCTTCTTCATCATCATCCTCGTCATCCTCGTCAGAGGAATCGCCAGCTAACAGTCGCTCAAGGTAATCGCGAGTCTCATCATCATCGTCGTCGAGGGAAGGTCGCTTGCGAATGAGCTTGAGGGTAGATCGTGGGACGTTGGGGATGTTACCCTCTTCGTCAGCTTCAGGTGCCTCGGTTGGGTCGAGAGCAGCCATAGTAATGCGATACTTGAAATCCCATGTTAACAATTAAAAATTCGATCGCAATGCAAAGCACTACTTTGCGACGATTAAATGGGCAGAAATGCGCCGATATCTATTTAATCGACATAATAAAATCATAGATAGTATTGAGAAAAACACTTACAGCAGCACCAGGAATTCCCTCTTCCTGCATGGCAGGGACCATGACGCCTTGCGCGGGAACCTCGAGCCCATAGAGGGCGATAGGCAACAGAGGCATCGTAAAGTAATTGAGTGATGATTTAAACGGATGAAAATGTGTATTAAATGGATGAAAGGGATAGGATTGAAAAATTAATCGAAGCGCAATGTCAGCTAGAAAGAGTATTTGCAAAGGATGAGAGGGAAAGATGAAGATTTATGGGAAGGAAAAGAGAAGTTGAACGCGACTCGAGTCCCGGTGTAGAAGGGAAAGAAGAAAAAAAAAAAAGTTCAAGAGCTAAGCGTAGCTTCAACAACGGTTCAACTGCTCTCCAAATTTTCCCTAAGAAAAAAAAAAAAAAAAATTCCACCGCAGCAACACCCCACCGAAAAAGCCTTACCGCCTTTGCGATAAGAAAGACGCTAGTAGGAATTAAGCTTATCGGGAGGGTCCTTGAACTCAATGGGGTTTAGTAACCGGCAACGAGCAACCACCGTTTATCGATCTAGCCAATGGTGCAGCACCCACCCTGTGCGACAACAACAACAAATGAGAAATACAGTTCTTCCTTTTCTTTTCCATCTTCAAAAGAGGGGGAGGTCGCAAACACACTGTTCTTCCATCTCATCTGAATTAATTGGCCAAAGTGAAGTTGAGTCACCAACATAGTAGTGAAGACGGCATGAGGAAGATGAGTTTCGCCTATCTCTAAGTCAAGTCTAGGATATCATCTTAAGTAAGCGGTATATCATGTAGAGATAAGACTAATTTTCTTCAGGGAGTCGTTTATGAGAAATAATGTCTTAAATTGAACCCTTTATCTCAGTTCGGTCTTACAATTAATCATGACGTTATGTCTCAGTCACGACGAATCAAACGCCTCGTCACAGAATGTCATGGATTATATATATGAACAATCCTGCCCATATATACCAATCTATATAAAACAGACAATTCTTGATTCTGCATTTCTTTTTTTTTTTTTGTAGAGAGAGAGAGAGAGAGAGAGAGAGTGTGTGTGTGTGTGTGTGTGTGTGAAGAGAATAGTCCTGCTATCTCACCCATAACCATCCTTTCCCGTACATGTCCATGACCCTTCACAACCAACGAGTTAGGCAGATAAACCCACTATTTCACAGCTTCAAGCAATTTCTTGAAGCTCTGCTCATACGTCAAGTCATCTTCAAAAAGGAAGTAAATCTCATCAGCCACGCCCGAAACGTAAGAACAGCCATGCGGAAAAAGAACACCAACTGACCTGAACCATACTCGCGCGGGCGATCGCCCACGTCCGTGAGTTCACACGCGATATCCGCGATGGGGCGCGGGAAGTGCTTTGACGTCGCGCGGCAGTACGCTGCGACTAGATCATTGCCGTTGGTCACGCCGCCTGTGCGTAATTTCGCCCTAGCGGTTAACCATAAAGTCTCGCAAAAATCAGGGAAAGGAGAGAAAACTAACCACCAGACCAAAAATTGCCATCCTGAATCCAGCGATACTTATGTCCAACCAATTCCTTCTCACCATACCCCCTAGAGCGAAGCAAATCCTGCATACCCTTCGGTCCACACACGCTCTTCCCCTTAATCAAACCCGCCTCGCCGCACAAAAAGATACCCGTGCAAACACTCAGGATATCAACTCCCTCAGTACGTCCCTGAGCACCTAACCACGCAACCGCGTCCTCGGGAAACTTGCCGAAGGGGTCCGGGCCAGGGATTAGCACGATATCGAGTTTTCCCGGCGCAACTTCAGGGTCCGAGTAGTGGTTCGTGGCAACGAAGCTCTGGTTAGCGGTTAGGGGAATCAGCTCCCCGGCCTTCACGCTGCCGATGTAGTGGATTTTGACCGAAGGGGCGAGGTCGATGACGGCTTGCGGCATGAATCCTGCCATCTGGACTATGTCTGTTGTATGTTAAATCATTATACCAGCCCTGTTCATCATCCTAGATAGGGGGATTTGAAAATAGAGATAGGCTCCCGATGAGAACATTGTGACATACTACAGATACGTTAGTTTTCTAGTTAAGACAATAATTGCAATCATAGAAATGTGCTTTAGTATAGTTACAACTGCTAGGGATATAGCTGGAGGGCTTCAAAACTGACCATTCATGACTCATAGAACCCATAACATCAATAGACGCAGCATCAAGCATCTGGCATTGAGTCGGGATAAACACACCAACTCTCACCGTGTGTCGACCGGCACTGTTCTTGCTTTCACTGGCCATATTGCTTGATGGTTTTCGTTACAAACGACGAAGCTATCTGAAAAGTTCGAAAAAGGGGGGAATGTGAAATAAGATGCTGACGATTGTTATTTAGGCTGAGAATGAAAGGTGTTGGTTCATCTACCTCAACATGAGGAGGCAGATGAGAGGATACTTATACATCAAACCTCCCAAGTCTAAGCTCAAGTCCAAGAACGATGCCTAGAATCGTATACAGACTTAATCTGCGAAATTGTCTTATATCCATGCCAATTCCCGAAGCCAATCGGATGGAAATGCTGTTCACACATCTAAATGTGCTCACAAGGAGGATCTCAATCGCCGTATACAACGGTGTAATACTATTGGTCAGTTTTCGCTTCAACTCCGACCTGCCTCGGAGTTAGAAGCCACAGGAGTGCGTGACGCTATCGTAAAAAAGGCCTCTCGTTACTCCTGCTACTTCCTACCCGATTCATTATAATGGATGAAGATGTGTTAAATGCTCATAAATATTTATTCTAATAAATCTAGGTCTATGGAAACTTTTATTAGCAGATTTGGCCGCCTTCTACGCATCCAACATGATATCTTTTCATACCTACAAGTCCGGCTTGCATCGTAACACTAAAAATTAAAATAGGTATATATAGATACCTAATGCAAGAAACATGCTAAAACGCTGGGAATTCTAAATGTCATGTGGTTTTTATGAATTTGATTCTAGAGCAATACGATTTTATCAGTTATGGTTGTAAGCTTCAAGAGTACTGCTTGACAACTATTCTCGATCGCCGGGCTTGCTCCTCGTCTCTCGGCCTCGTTGGAGAATTGGCTCTTCTCTCTATGTACATCAAATATTAGATATTACCGGGCTAGGTTTGCGCATTAGGTAACTTGGGTTTCTCTCCATCGTGAACCCTTCTGTTTCGTCCTCGCTGGGCTAGCCCGAACCCCTAATTGGACGGATGCGTCTCTCGACCCCCGACGAGTCGAGTTCGACTGCTGAGCCGTTTTTTTCTCCGGCCGCTCTCTTGCCGCGTAAACGAATGCCGGCAGGAAGACTTTCTCATTCCTGCGATTTGCTCCAAGAACTCCGTGAGCCCCAGAAAAAGTATCCCCGTATCTAGAATGCCAATGCCGATGCCATGCATATCAACATCATGTCCTCTATTTACACACGCTCCGTAGAGCTCATTCTTTCAAAAAGTCGAAAATGGTCGCTTCGTCGGTCTTCAACGGGGTCGGTGGAGAATCGAACAGAAAGCGCGCAACAGATCGAACTACCGTAGTAGACGACCCGAACGAAGATTATTAAACTCAAAACAGTGGTCCCTACGGCATAACGTTCGCAATTATAGATTTCGCCCGTTGCCTTGTGACCTTTTTGCTGACTGTGTATACGAGATCGAGCGTAAAAAAGTGCATGAGCTGAGCCTGCGCCGTTGGAATCGCACCATATAACGGTGCAACAAGGGGCGCCATGACATAGTCAATGTAGTTCTTCTTGACCTCACGATGCGAGAAGCACATGCCCTTAGCTAGACCAGCCTCGTTCATCTCCTTCTCTCGGGTAGTAACACATATCTTGTGGAATTGCTCGTAGAGGAACAGCATGAGTGCGACCTCCATAAAGCCGGCTGTTCTCAGCACATTGCAAACAGTGAATACCCAAGAGAGCTCATGGGGGTCTGAGCTTCCGTCGGTAACCCAGACGTAGAGGGTTGAGGCAATAATAAGGATGGTAGTTTGTAGAGGAAGGAAGTGGGCTTCGAAGATACGGTGGAAAAGAATAATGATTCGTTGCCAATCAGGTTCCTTTAGGGTATCGGATGTGACATCAGAGAAAATACCGCTCTCAAGTGTCTGTTCGGGGCTCATATCAAGCTGCGTCTGCGTAATGTAGGAATCGGTGGGATTGTTTCTGTTACGTGTTAGTTTTCTTTCGCTCTCGTTATCACAGATATGATGCAATCTTACAGGGCAATGTGAAGGGGACGGTAAGCCCTTGCGGTGTGCTTACGCTCTTGCCAGAGCTCCACGAATTTCCTCATAGCATAACCAGAATCCAAAGCTCCCCACATGTGTCGTAGTGCCTGCTTGTAACGAGCCCGCATGTCGTTGTAGAGTCCCTTAACACCTTCGCCGCCGTCACCCTTAACGTTGCTCTGGCTAACAGGGCTTAGAATAGTCCTCACAGTCAAGTTTCCGTTCAGCGCAAAGAAACACTTCAGATACATGTGCAGATCCTCGCCAATCGCCTCGGGATCGCAGTCCCAGCCACCAACGCGGTCAACCAATTCAAGCGGCACGGAGTAGACCGAAGTAGGAGGAGCAATGCTAGAGCCGCGGTAAAGACCCGAAAGACCGGCAGCAGCCCATAGAATATCCGCCACACGGACAATAGCAGGGACGGCATGGGCATTACGGTCGAAGATAATAGGGGCAGCATATAATGTAGTACTAGCAGTGTCCTTGAAAGATGTGTGCATTCCGGAGAGTTGGCTAAAGTAGCTGGATGACAGATGGCTGTCGGCTATTAACGTAGATGTTAGCTCATAGAAAAAAATACATTCGGTACTCCGAGCCTTGGGGGAGTAATTTGCGAGCTTACCATCAATTCCGGTGACGATCACTTCTTTCCTGGCGGTGGCTGAGTATCTTTCGCTGAGCTTTCGCGCGGCCCAGGCCACGTTGCTACCTTTGCCAGGAGACTCGCCGGGAATATCAGAGGGATGCAGGGTGAAATCAATTGAGCGGAACTTCTTGACGAATTCCTGAATTAATTTCATGGCCTTGAGCTCAACATTGTGTTCGCGTTGTTCCATTGCCAGGTAGATCTACAAATTGTTTTTAATTAGCATTATGAAACGACGATCCTTGGCGCTAAGCTCAGGGTACAATGCAACGCAATTTTCCAGACAAACTGTACGGGAATCCCCGATTGCGCTCGTTCGGCGGTTAAACGTGGGAATAAACTTACATCGTAGGCATCACGAGCTTGAGGGTGCGAGGCCAAAACGTCCAGAGTTTCTCTTAAGCTGTCAACTTCCTCCTTGTAGTTGGGAATAACAATAGCGTGGACAACACGTTCAGGTTCTGCGCCATCGGTAAAACTATCGGAGTAGAATTCGGTTTCAATGTCGCCGGCTTCGCTGCTCGTAGTCGAGGAAGGTAGAGAGTCTTCTTTCGAGGAAGTCAATGTCTCGGAGCTCGAGAGGGAGGTAGATGAGCCGCGACGACGGTGGGAAAGCTTGAAATCCCTAAGGGATCTGCTACGCGCGGCTTTCTTGATGCTTCGAGTGATATCAAAGAGAGCCCAGCAGGAACGCATCGGGAAGGCGAAAACCAAAAAGTGGATTAAAAGGCAGTAATAGGCAAATACGACGGTCCAGATACCAGCTCCCTCGGTAGGAGGGCTGGCTAGTGTGTGTGATGGTTTGCTCAAGGAGTCTTGCTGCGAATACTTGTAATCATATCGCGATGTTGCTGCTGCCGCTTCCTTAGAGATAACCCAATAGCTGAGAGCCAAGGTCATTAACATGGCCAGCCCTCCAGCTCGCCTCGAGCACCAAGTGAAGAGCGACATGGTGACGATGCGACGTGTTGATATTGATTCCTCGGAGGGGACTGGGTCTGGGCCAAGACTGTAGAAGTTGTTGTAGAGAGGGAGGGTGGGGGATTAAAGAGAGTGTGAGGGAGTTGGCGCCGTCGAGGAATGAGGAAAAAAAGAGAAGAAATCGGAAGCACAGTAGTGAGTCGGAAAAAGATAACACAAGGAAGGACGTTGAGTGGGAAGGGGGGGGGAGAGAGGAGGGGGCTGGGACGCTCTGGGAACGCGATGTTCGTGCACTACTGCACAGTAACCTGGGAAATGTTCCTCTCTTGGGTTGTAATACTGGGGTTGAAGGAAGAAAAAAAGGGAAAAGGAGGAAAAAAAAGAAGACTAGTAATTGGCAAGAAAACGGGAGGGAAGCTGGAAAATTACTAGGTTGAACCTCACGAAGGTAATAACAAATTAGGGAAAAGGGGAGCCTTGTTTAGTACGACAGAGAAATTAGATGTGTAGGGATTCTGCGCCCCAAAGTGGACAGTAGCTCTGACGACGGGAAGGGGTTCCAATTCCCAGTTATACCAAGCCTGGACCCAGTCAGGCTAGTTCGACTAGCGCTTCTAGTTATGGTTATGGTTATGGGGGGGTTTATGGGGCTTGCTGCGGCATGTACTGTACCTGGCTTTCTACGGTAGGTACATCTCTATTACAGCGAATCCACTATCCCCCTAGGCCTAGAAAGTACATCCGCTAGGTACTCAGACCCGACTGTACTACGCCATCAAATGGTTAGCCACTCCCTCTTTATGCAATTAAATCAATGAGTAATAATCCAAGGGCACTTTGACCTGTTTGTTTGAATTGGAGACACCTGCTAATCACGTTTTTAAGGAATTCAATTGGGACTGAAGCAAGCAGCTAACAAAGGATGCCGGGGCAATGGTGAATCGAGTACACTATGTCTCGCGCAGCATTTAGGTATGATGTATCCACATCTGCATGTATTGTACAATACAAATGTGGCAGGTACGATATTAGGTACATATGTATTTACCAAATATATGCATGTAGGTCACTTTTATTGAAACGACCTCGTACACCAAAACTGGAAGATCTTATGTTGCTCTTTCTTCAACAATTGATTGCTTGCTTACCTCTTTCTACAACAGACAGTAACTTCTAAAAGGCAATGACTAAGAAATATTACCTATTACTTCTTTCTTCTCAATTGCGCACAGAGCATTCCTGGCCGCCGAAAACTCAATTCTCCATAGCTGCATGGCCGGGTTTGGCCTTACAGGGCAAGCCTTGTCTGTGTCCTAGGTACTCGACTCATATTGATGACCCCCTAGACTATTAGCTATCTAGATGCAGCCAACGAGATTCTTTCGATGGCTCACGTTGAAGATTCTATGTAAGTCATGTGTGCATGATAGAAATTGTCAAGATGATTTTTGACAGATATACTTTTCTACGACTCGGTCACCAGGTATGGAAATCAATCTATCTATGCCTACCAACATCTGCCTGTGATAATTGGCTTACATAGACAGCTGTATTATAAATATCTATACGGCGTTTATGCTGTGGAAATCGGATCGGTACTCAACATAATTAAACCGAAGACAGGTCAAGTCCTATACTATTTCTTCTTGTATGACTATAACGAAAATTTTTAAAATGTGTTATTGTCATTGTTGAGTAAATTATGTATTAACAAAGGGATGATTTTCAGCTTCTATTCTTATCAACTTTGCCTTACGCTACTGTACATAGTATGCAGAATGCGTACAGATTTGATGTATGCACTTAAGAGGTAGTGTGTCTTGGAAGATTTGGTTAATGTGATGTACTTCCACATGCATTTACACCAGACACAGGCATCCACGTTACCAAATTTAAGTATACTTAGGTTACGTGGGGAGTATAAGTTGCATGTGCAAGGTTCATAGCCCATTAGCACCATAAACCTATCCCGCCCCAGGCTGATTTCTTAGTGGATTACTTAGACTTTGCGCCGGTCATTGTTGGCTGAGCGAGTCAAAAAATCGTTCCTGTCGAATCCCTCAGCCTCTTTGATCTTCAACAAATTGAGCCTTAGGAAAGTACAATATTACGTCAGTTTCGATAGGCTCAGCTGCGGCACGCGGGTTCAGCTAAGCAGCCAAGTAGTGCGACACAGGGCAAGTGCAACTAAATCATAGGCTGTGGCTGCGACATATAGGTACAGTACCTACCTAAGTCTAAGTGAGTACCTTCGATGTGGTAGGTTTAGGTATTACCATCGCTGGACAGGTACATAACGCATAGATCCATTCTCCTACCTCATCGTCTACAACCTACACATTACCGACATATTATCATCATCGTCAAGGTCCAAGGTAGTAGCACATGCAATACCCTCGCCATCGAGTGGTAGGCTACAGACCGTAGACTAGACCGCAAGAAAGTGGGATGGGATGGTTATGGTTATGCGGATAGGTAACGGTTCTTCAAGCATCTGATTATCTTGCCGGGCGGCATGCATGCATCCTACACCATCCCCCCCATCCACCCCAGAGTTGATTTCTTGATGGTGTGTACATGGCCCCCTACTTTCGTCACCATCTGACTCTTGGTAGCATACCTCACTTTAAGCTATAGTATAGCTAGCTACTTTCGCAGCCTAGGTAGAATCATTCTTCCAATCCCAGCCTCTGCTTTTCCTCAACTACTGTATCACTATCCTCTTTTACATATTATCTTACATGGTATCTTACAGAGAAGAAAGCACCAAGCCCGTCAGCTGGGTCGATCAGCTTCAGGTTATGTATGCAAGAGGTGATACCATGTCTGATCCTTCACATGCAACAAGTACTACTTTACACATGGGCATGGGCTATACCGCTACTAAGGCACGTACGTATAGTAGCAGAATGATGGTGGCATTGCTCTTAAGCTAAATACGCTACAATACGCTACATTTGTATAAACGCCTCATGTTTCAAATGATGCGCGGGGGCCGTATGAGATAAAGCTTAGGGCATTGTTTCAATTATTTTATGTCTTTATTTCTATACGACGTATTTCGAACAAAAAGGAAAATGCTTCCCCCTCAATGACTTGAAGCTAGTAATGTGTCGTGTGGCATTGGGTAACGGCTTTTCATGCCGGACAAATTGTCGTTCGGAATACTAATAATTCAGCGCCGAAACTACTCCTCTAGCATGATACCCTACATCCCAAACCCACTTGCTTAGGTAGGATAGGTGTACGGCTACTGAAGCTATCTTCCTGCACCTCGACATCACAGATGCATGCACCTACATATATCCATGCAGCCGAGTGCGTGGGCCACGGTGGCTTGTTTCCTTGTTTAGCCACGCACTACCAACAACAAGTCGTCACCTTTCTCTCGTCATCAGACTCTTGTTTTGTCAAGCATTCAAGCATTCAAGCATTTTTGCCGATATCGAGATAGAAACTGCGCCATGATTGTGCTTGCTGGCGAGACAGATCCATAGATATGAACCTATATCGTCAGTGGCGTCGTCATGCCACGTTTCCTTATCCATATATCTATATTGTTTCCTTTCTTTGATTCATGATGAGAACCGGGCTGTGTACAGTAAGTGAACGTCATTGTTGCGAAGGGAGAGAAAATATCGGACCATTCTGATCGATTACACGGTTAATTGCAATGATCTCTTTTATGTATTTGCCGACAGCCACATTGCATTCCCGCGCAAAGCGCATTTCCGACACTTTTTTCTTTTTTCTCGTCGTACCCATGTACAATGACCTAGTATCGATTTTCGTATACAATGTATTCGTACCTCGGTACGGTACTACCTAAGGTGCCTTCCTGCTTAAGGCATTATCCCACTTTAGCTTTCGATGGAAGAAACTAGGGTATTAACGCACAGTGCTGCTTACAGTAGTCGGATACCCCTCGCGAATGGAATTGCGCAGTTTTAGGCCAAATTGCCAGAAACAGCACCTCGCTTTCTCTCAAAATCCTAAGCTAAGCTCGCTTTTTGCCCCTAACCGAACAAAACCATACAAACCATTTTGAAACGTCATCGGCACAACCCCTGCGGATGATCACAATGGCCTACTTTTTTGTTCTTCACAAAATATGTATTATTGACCATTCGTCTCGTTTATATAACATTTATTCCCGACAAGAAACTTATATCCCACTTGGATATTTCTGATACACATGCACGCACACCAGATACTCCCATAAGTATATCCAGTGTAGGACAGTGCGGAGGCCGCCAACAAACATCTCAAGGGACGAAGTATTTATTACGCATTACGGTGGTACCATAAAAGGTGCAAATTACCTACATACAGCAGTGGATATTGATGATCATCCAGCTTCTTCTCGCTCGCTCTTGGCCTAGGCAGGACCAAAGTAGGTAGCACATGACCCTGGTTTACAGCGTCCGGGCCATGCTCACCATGTCCCATTGAGTGCGACTGTGCGAACTAATTTAACATGCGGCTCGGGCAATTCTGATTGGCCGACCCAGAACCGACGTCCACGTTTATTTGTCGGTTGAGATTACTGGCCCACTGTCGATCTGGATCCGTCAACTTATTTTTTCGAATTACATGCTGCTAGGTAAGGGTATGGGGATGGGTTGTACCTCGCTCTCTCTTGGTCTAGGTGCAAAATTCTGCTGCCTTCGCGCGGATGTGAGAAATCTTAGCGAATGGATCTATCTTACTTACCGGGGCTCGCGAGACCCCGTTTTCAGTACGGTTTTCTCTTTTGGCTACGGGAGGAAGAGAGAGCACAAGCCCAAAGTTGGCACGAGTTTGACAGCTCTCTTACACTACCTAGTTAGTTCTGTTATAAGGGGGTTTGACTTTCTATTAGCTAATAAAGGGGGTACGAGTATATAAAACAAAAAATCCATCGCATTCAGTTAAACCCTCGCTCGTTCCAATCGCTCGCCCCATCACAAGATAGGCGGCGCTAACTTCTTTTCCGATGGGGAGGTCTGGGGCAGCTTGGTTTCACTGGCGATAAAAGGGTCCTCGGCAAGGCTTATCGAAATATCTATCCTGGACTTGGCGATTGGCGATGGCCGATACTTAATAATGATACCCCATAAGGTAATATAATGCTTCCACGGTCCTTGCCTTACTACCTTAGGATTTCGGATGTGTCCGACGCGTTTGTATCTGATCATATTCAGTAAAAACGCGTCGCGAAATATATTGTATGGAGAATCTGAAATGACCAATCAACGTGATCGTAGAATCTTTTTTTTTTCTCGTTCCAAACCATGTCAGATTGTTGGAGCTGTCTGATCCATGCTTTGACACGCATTGTCTCGCGGTAGATGTCGTAAGTTTGTAACAATGCCCGCAATTGTGTTTGATTTTTTGCAGTGATTTCTTGGGGGAAAGGGAAAGTAATTATAACTGATGGTATGATATCTTGACTTTTGCTTTATGTTATTTGGTATTAATTTATATAATAACGCAGAGATGTGATTTTGATCGAAGCTTCGTAAATAAACCATCTTAGACAATCTTATGTTCGTACTACGTGTAAATGGACGCTGTCACGCGTTTATAATGGAACACTCATATTTTCCGAATCGTTTCATTGATCTAGGATCTGGTTCATACGGAGAATACGGCACTATGTTTGAGCCTCCATTTCCAAGCGAATCTTTGACGCTCAAGTATAAAAATCACCCCCCAGCCAGAGTAGGTCATCGGCTTGTCTTCCCGATCATCAGTACTTCCAATCCAATATGCATGCTAGTAAATTGACGGTTACCGGTTTGATGTAGGAAAGCTGGTATGTATCGTCTTCCAGTTCGTCAACACCCATCTTCAAATGCCATGTAGATGTCCTAATACCGGTACTGTCTCTAGATTGACCCGGGTGCGCCCCTCCCATCGCGTAATCCTTCCATTGATTACACCGTCTCATCCTCACGAGTATAAGCCGTCTTAGCGACGAAGCGCCTCACTATCTCGGCCCACAGCGCAAAGGTCAGGTGACAATCTAGGCAGGTATCGTTTGTCATAACTAGCCGGATATCAGCACGCATTCAGGACCTATGAAGAGCTCCTTACCCTATATGGTGGCATAATCTTACTAGAATCCAGGGCAAGAAAAGCTATGGCATGTGCAATTCTGTACTTACGTACTATGGAACATAGTGGTCCTTCCCATTGCTTTAATAAGGTTAGACGTTCTTATCGAAGAGCCTCTGAATAGGTTTAGCAGCCTAATAGCATGTAAGCAATACTGTAGAGGCACAAGTCGAAATATTCTCCAAGATCGACGCACATCAATGAACTTCTCTAATTCCTTATCAAGATTCGCAAGATCATCCTTTCTCTTCTTATTGTCCGCAATAAGCTTCTGTTTTCGCTTGAGAAGCTCCGTGCGTTTCTGTTCTAGCGCTTCTCGTTCGCTACGCTCGTGCTCGATTCGCGCAATCATTAGGGTATTTTCATCGTCATCGGTGTGCTCAGGCTTCAATGAGAGAAACTCTTCGAGTGGTATTAGAGGAAGCTGTTGATAAGTATGGCTGTGTTTGAATTCAGTTAGCTTACGGGCAAGATGAGGCGTTGAAGTGCGGATGTGACTATTTCTTCATGTGTACATCGGACTTGATTGGGAAGGGTGAATTATATCGGGGAGTATCTATAAAATAGAAACTTCACTGAGAACTAACTCATATGATTCACAAGCTATAATTTCCCCTTGCAAATGCCGTTGCTCATAGTATAAGTTCTGTAGTTGTAGATGGAGGCGATCAACCTCTTGTCGCGCCTCGGATGTTTGCGATTTGGTTTGGCGGGCACCAAAGTGAGCGGCTCGATGAAGGCCTCGGAGTTGCGCGAGGTTGGTGATTAGGAGCTTTTGTTGCTTGGAAGCCTCTTGCTGAGCTTCTAGAGAGGTTGTCTCAATAGGATCAGCTGCCGCAATCTGGTCAACCAAGTTCAACGCCTGTAGTCGGGTATCGCGGGAGGCATCGAGCACGGTCGATAGGTTCGGATCGGTCACAATATCGTCGATCGCCATCGTTAGAATATTGGAAGAGGTAAGAGGGGGGTCGTTCAGGATGCGAAGATGAAATTAAGACAGATTACGAATAGAAGACAGTGAATATTGATTGTCACCTGGTATCTTTAGTTTACAGAGTTGACGTCGATATGAATTCTCGACGCGACCAGAACTATTGAAAGAATGACCAATCAAAATACGTCTAGGCCGTTCGTCGGTAGGGTCTTTTTAGCCTTACCTAAAAAAAAGGTTGAATATTAGGTAAGGTGGCATGGTGGGACAAATAACTCAAAAGGTCTTAGGTGGAGGTCCGGAGTTTTCAATCTCCGCTTGCCGCTCTTCGCCTGAACTGGCTCGAGTGACATCTTGCGAACTTTCTGATTGGTTGATACGGATTTTGTGGAAATTAGCGTCAGCATTTATATCCGCCACAGCTCTAATATTGTCTAGGACGGCACAGCTGGTGTCAGCTCGTACATGTACAATTTGCTTTTCCACCCACCCTTTGCGCAATGCAACCATAATTCTTCGGATGGAGCTTTGAATCATCGCCTATTAGAGCGTACATGTATCGAGTTGACATCCAGGAAGGTGGGTAGGTTTTCGCAGACCAAATTATTTATTTTTATTTTTATTTTTATTTTATTTTTTTTATCATTTGCGACAGATTAAAGTGTAGCAAACAATGACGCAGCGTATAAATATGATTCGGTGCTAATAGTAACCAGTACATTGGGATAGAATTACAGAAGGCACGTTAGAGGAATAGGATTTGGATTGTGGAGATCTAATCAGCCCTTGCATGATGTTGAGTTCTCCGATCTTATCTAAGCTACACTTTAGTTGCTTTAGTTTGCTCCGCTTCGTCCGATTGTTGTCCATCCCTCCTTCTCAACCGCCCTACCGCTTCCTAACATTTTGAATCGTCTCCCCAACCAATGACATTATCCGCCTCCTACATGTGAAAGCCAATGTTCCTCCACTTCGCCTCCAGTACCCTTTGCCATTGAAACATTGAACTATTCAAAGACCAATCTCTAGACAGTATCCTGCATTCTTATGCTTTAACTGGTCAGCTTCCTCTTCGTTTGGGGTTAGGATTGTCTTATGCAGGGACGTCTGACGGTGTACAACAGCGCCCAAGCCTTATGATTATTATTATTAGTTGGCACCACCAATCTTTCTTATCTGACTTTCTAACACCGACAATACCGACGACACTGCGACCATAGGCTCTTCTTTCACCATGTCTTGCACCTCTACCTTCACCTTCGGGTCCCACCAAGATCAGGCCGGTGCCCAATCTTCCAGCACAGCCAACCCAGAAAACATACCACGACGTAGGCGGCATTCGTCTTTTGTTCCTCGAAGAAGACATTCCATTGTTCAGCAAATAATGGACGGGGAAGAGGGCTTGCTTCTTAAGGTACATATGCCTTGATTGCCGAGAGCTATATAGCCTGTTGGGTTCTAACATAGAAAGGTCGATTTATTCCTCTCGGAACTGGAGAGGAGGCTTGAATATCTCGAGAGCTACAGCGAATTAGTCGACCTCGATGCGAGTATATCCAAAACCTTTGCAACCTTGCAAGCGGTACGAGAACGGTGCTCCCAAGTTTCAGAAGAAGTTATTGGTGCCGGCCGGCGGCGTCTGCAGGTCATGGTCGAGACATTGGATACAAGATACCACGAAGCTTTAGCAGCTGCCGAGTCCATGAACGAGAAGGCCCGTGTTGGCGTTGAACTCCTTGACGGTATGCTTACCGACTTTGAGTCTCGAGCCCTGAAATTCCGCGACCAGGGTTTCGCAAATGCCGCTAATACTGCTGGAAATTTAATGGATGAGGGACGGCGAGTGGTAGACGAAAGTCTAGGACGTGCTCGTGGTGTCGTAGACGATGGTATTGGACGAGCCTGGCGCGCTGCAGAATCTCTCGAAGAGCACATACAAAAAGCTATTGCTCGTGCTAAAGAGCAAGGATTGATCAAATATGAGGAACTGCCTGTGCCATGGAGAATTAACCCTCATATCCTCAGCGGATATCGGTTCACCGAATCGAAAATCGGCTGCGTTCGCTCAATGTTCGGTGTTTCGAACGAGACGGTTAACATTTGGTCCCATGCCCTTGGCTTAGTTTTGATTTTGGCCATTGCGTTTTATTTTTACCCAATGTCTGCAGACTTCTCCCTCTACACCAAAACTGATGTATTCATTGCGGCGGTCTTCTTTTTTGCAGCTTGCAAGTGCTTAGTCTGCAGCACTATTTGGCACACGATGAATTGTGTAGCAGATCAGACCCTCATGGAGCGGTTTGCATGCATTGACTACACGGGTATCTCGTTGCTCATTGCCGCATCAATCATGACAACCGAATACACAGCCTTTTACTGCGAGCCTATTAGTCGATGGACGTACATAACCGCAACAGCTGTACTGGGCATTGCTGGCACTATCCTCCCTTGGCATCCCAAGTTTAATGGCCAGGAACAGGCATGGTTGAGGGTGGGCTTCTTTGTGGGACTCGGTGCGACTGGTTTTATGCCTGTCTTCCAGATCATCCTCACACGTGGTCCCGCTTGGGCTTTCGAGTTCTACACAGGATCTAACCTGCTCAAATCCCTCTCTGTTTATGTCATTGGAGCTTGCGTCTACGCCAGTAAAGTACCCGAACGGTGGTTCCCCGGTGCGTTCGATTATTGTGGCAATGCCCATAACTTATGGCACGTAAGTATTATTAACCGTCCAGTTCATTATACCATTACTAATTAGAATACAGTTCGCCGTACTTGGTGGAATCCTGTATCACTATGTTGCGATGCAGGAGTTCTTTGCCGGTGCCTTTCGCCGCGCACAAGAAGGTTGCCCAACCTATTAAGATGCACCAATGCATTGACTTCGAAGCATGATACCCAATTATCGATAGATAACCACGTAAGCCTCCAGATCGTATATAGAACCCCCACTTCTCGTCCTCCATCTACCTCAAGTTCGTTCATGAGAGCGTCATCAGAACACCGATTATCCCAACCACGGTCATTGGCCCGGCTAGAATACCGAGTTGTCTCGTCGCAAAAGAGACTTGGACAATAGATGGAGTCGTGCCATTCGTGTGCGATATTAATGTCGGTACCGGTGCAGACGTGGTCAGGTCGGCTGGAGTACCAAATGAGCACCCTCCGTTCTGGATATCAATATGAGTTGGGATCGGAGTTGGCATCTGCGTTGATGATGCCTTGAGGAAAGGTATCACGGTTATAGTACGATCGGTAACGGTCGATGCTGCTATGGCAACGGCGCCTGTGGGTGGTGTATCTGAAGCGGAAGCTGGAAGATCGAAGCCAGCATTTCTAGCACACGTCTCCAAGTCTTCTCCCTGGTTACTGTTAATACAGTTTGGCTTTTCAATTACGAAGGTCAAACACGTATCTCATTACAACAATAACCGGCGACGGGCGCGCAATATTTCCCCGCATCACAAAACCCGCTGTCTGCTGCACAACACGTCTACTAGGAGTTAGTACTTCACATAGCCAATCTGTATATTGGTTACTCACTTGGCCTTGGTTTGGATTGAAACAATAGGTCCCCTCGGGACCTCCACACGGCTGCGAACCCTCCCCATAGGTTTCTTCACAGTTTACCGATTGCCTTTTCTGATGCATTATGGGGATATGGGTTTGTCTCCCTTGCGCAGAAGCGAGAAGCCCACATAATGAGAAAGCCAAGATCGAGAGGGCAAGCATTATGAGTTTTGGTGTATCGTGGTACAACGAATAACACTAGAAGATGAAGACTCTTGGACGCTATGATATTTTCGGGAATGATTTAATGAATATGAAGTTAGGCGTATGGAAAGACAGCGAGCATTAAGCATAGGGAAGCGGATCGGGATAGAGCGAGTATATAGATGGATATTCAAAAGATCATCATGACATTTTAGATGGGATGGCTATATACTAACATTTTCACTACCTAGTACCCCTCAGAGTTGTTCAAGGCCCCTTTACTATGTTTCAACCGTGAGCGTGGCTTAAGTCAAACTAATTGCATGGAATTCAATGTCGATACGCTATCTCATCGCGTGTTCAGTAGTATACATACCTGCCCCTTCATGAGGCCGTTGTCCCCTGAGCAAAGGGGAAGAGGGATATGTAGGAAGATGGATAAGGCTAGGCACCGAAGGGAGAAATCACGACGAACGCCTAGTAAGGGGACGAGAAATAGCTTTCCATGTGGATAGAATATCCCTTATAATTATTGATAAATATGAAGGCTCAATTATCGAATATTAGATTCCTACGCTACGTGAAGTTGAACTCTCATACAACTTCAACCAGCCATCGAAGTTGAACAAGTCCTCCCTACGGTTATATCGTAGTATATAAGAACCATGTGGTAATTAGAACCCTTTCACATCAAAGCCATAGTACATAATTATTCAGGGCACAGAGCGCGCGCAAAGGCGCGCCTATTAATGCGTTTATTCGTATATGCGTAAGCTAATAACAGTTACAGTTCAGTTCCTCTATGAAGCCAGCTCATTCATAGCAATCATTCCTTTCCATTCCGTTTCCCCTCTTCCCTATGTTATTACAACGCAAATCATGCGAAATCATAAGATCATCAAAAGCGTAATCATGAAGTTCAACCCTTGAAACCTCTTTTCAGTTGTAAGAGAAATCATCTAGTACCATATTAAGGCATGGAATATTCCCCCCCCCTTTCGTTGTTTTCCCCGGATCTCGTGAGAGAAATGTATATGCGTAGGTCATCATCATGATTACCTGTTCGAGGTGCCGGACCTAACGAGTGAATGGTTCGATACAGGTATTATGTGTCGAGTGTTTTCCAAGTTCCTTAGTTCCTCATCGTAAATTGTTGTTACAGGAGCGTTTACGCCTAAATCGTAAAGTTTAACTCGTAAAGAACCAGTCGTAATCGTCGCATCATCTAGATATAACATCATTTCGGTATAGTAATGTTATAGGGCGTGCTTCACGATCTCGGCGTACACGTCGTCGGGTATCATCTTGATGATAGCTAGCGCGGTTCGCTTAACTAGTTCCGCTCGTAAGGCTGGGAATGATCGAAGGAGCTTGTTAGGACTGTTTCTTTGTTAGTATTGTTTTCCCGCAACCGAATCATAGATAGTACTCACTTTATTGAAGTAAGTAGTTCATTTCGCATCATGATCAGTTGAGCAACAATACACAGAATATTCAAATGCGGCCCGTATGCGAAGAGGAAGTCCCAGTGCTTCAACACCTCTGGCAAAGGAGGGGTACACGCGCAAAGAGTGAGGACAGATGGGAAGGCGTAAATCTCCGCCGATAGACCCTTAGATGTCAAATGGGAACTTAGCTTAGGATCTACAATCGCTAGCACTTTGTCGACAAGTGCTAGTCCGCGATGAACTCCGTCCATTGCACCCCTGATGTATCCGGGACACTCCTTTGTTAGGAGAGTGTAGAAGGCAGAGAAGGCCTCCACTTCACTGCGAGCCGCATATAGAAACGGGGCAGCGAGCACGTTCATCCCTTGTACGTAGGTGCCCGGCTCTGATGCGGTAGCATCAGAGCCCTCTGTCGTGAGAGTGAGGGCGCGGGCACGGTTCCTTGCAGATGGGGAGGAGTCGGTTTGTGAAAGATCGCTACGAGAGCTGCTAGCGCTAGACATCGGTGCAAGAGATAATCTACTACTTGTCGGGCGGCGTTCCTCTTTGGCATCGTGAAGCTTCCAAGCGATAGCGTTCAATAGACGGATTAAGCTAGCCTCACTAACACGGCGACGGAAGAGAGGATCAGTGGTCAGAGTTCGGAAAGTGTCGTTTCGGATCTTAGAATAAGCCGGCGAAGCACCTCGATGGATAAGATGAAGATAATCATCGGTTCGGAAGATCGGCGCATCGACGAAGATAAGCCAGACGTAGATTCTAGTTCGCGACTGGGTGATATTAGTTTAATTATCATTGGCAGATCATGTCAGGAAGATCGTACCATGCCATCGCTGTCGCTCTTAATACCTTGGTCAAGAACTTTCAGTCGCGCGCTCTCTAAAGCGCCATCCACATCTCCATCAGGGGGTCCCTCCCTAATCAACCTATCCAGGGACATAGTATCCGCCACCTTCGGAGTTCTACTCAACGCAGTTCTTCTACTATTCAAGGACATGAAGATATTGTTAGGGAAGGTAGGGGGAGGGGTCGCGTCCGAGTTGGCTCTGTTTCTCTGAGGCGATCGATTGCTATAGTTACGAGCGGGAACGGGCGCACGGTCGCTTCGGAGATCTTGAAGGATATTCTGCGATAATAGAGATCCTTGACTTGAATTTCGAGCAGCGGCACCAAGATTGTGCGCGGATTGCAATTTGCGCAGTGCTCTGTGGGTATGAGGCGACGGGGGAGCATGGAGATGGGTGGTGATTGAAGCATTGAAGGGTTGCGCGACAGGCGGGCCTGGTTCCCGCGTTGGGCTCGACATCTTGGTGAATAAACAGCAGTAGCCAAAGAGAAATTTGCGGAGAAAATAGAGTTAGAAGCTATCGCCGTTGTCGAGGTCGTGATTGTCGGTGATGATGTCAAAATAGCATTTGAGGTTGTAGTGTTGTAGTTGCGACGATCAGGTACAATTGGAAAAACAGGGCAGAAAGAGAGGTTGGTGGTATTGTGGGTACATGCGCCGACACTAAAAAAGCTAAGAATACCTGTACTTAGGTGGTAGGAACACAGACCCCCTCACTTCCACTAAGATCTAACGCGAGCTGAACGCGTTAACTAAGAAAATTTTTATACGAAATAGGTACATGCAGAGATATTCAATAGAGTTTGTCCAATGTTCTTTCTTTATTTTATATAAGTCTACACATTATCGCACTCAATATGCATAAGTCTTTAGATAACGATAGATGACTATCATGATTTATTATGCATCAGAAGTAAATTAAGTAAAGTTGCATGTGAAAGATTTTAATCTTGGGTTATGTTACAACCCGTCGCCATGAGATGCTTAGCTTAATATGTGAATGGCTGGCGACCATTCGACCTCTTCAGCTCATGAGCTGAGATTCGCCAAGAAAACACCGAGATACGGCCCCCAAAAGGCCTGCAGGTACAATCGCTCCACATGTGTTTGCTTAGAAGACACATGTATTTAATATACGGGGAATAACTATCACCTACTTGAAGATCACTTACCTACCGAGATCTTACATGAATATGTATGAGGATATGAAACTGCAGCTCGTACTGCCAACCAACTCGAATCTTGCTGACGTTTTACCCACTGAGGGAAATGGTCTGAGCTTGTATCAATCGTTGTAAACTATGGGGTTCGCGATACTTCGGAACAGGGAGTACGCGGCGCTTACGAACCACCCGTGGGTTTAAGTGTAAGGTATATCATTTCTTTTCGTCTCTTGAAAATTTAGCTTGCGAAGACTTAAATAGTCTAGGTATTGTGCAGTTGACACATTTTCAGATTGTGAAAGAGGAAAAGGAGACACAGTGGGTTACATAATACACATAAGTTCATAAGAATAAACCCATAACTTTAGACTTTCTACACCTTCTCAACAGAACATTTCCGCTGAGTCTAAGATCAATTCGAAAGTTATATATTTGATTCAATTCTATGACATAAGTAAAGATACAAATACATATTTCCGTATGAATAAAATGGGGTTTTTGCATTTATAATGATGGCATCAGCCGTGGAGGAAATCGCGTCATCGACGCTTGGACCAATTACAATACTTTTAAGCCTTTTGATTGGCTGCACTCATCGTTTCTTCGCCTAATCGGGGTACAATCACATATTCCTATTTTCAACTTTCCCATGTGTCCTCCACATTCTCCCACGCACCTTTGTAATCATCGTATGTACTCATCCGTTCCATTTACGAACTCCAATAGGTAACAATACATGACCATATATCGTAACATACTACAATAACTGCCGGAATTCGTCAAATATTCAGGTTTCATTAGAGATCACAAGATGACAAGATGGGGTCGTTACAGCTAAGTGTTTGGTCTCCGTCCAGATTACTCTCTTCCTTTAGCCCATAGACCATATAAGGGGTTGAATGAAAGTCGCAACTTCACCATTACCAAGACATTCCCGCTAGACTTTGAAAGGTTTAAGGCCGATTGCGCCATCGATACTCCAGCCAATCCGGAGCATCCGCTGATCACCAGAATGGTATTGTATACCAGTTAACACCTACCCACGCTGTCACTCTCATATTTCATTATAACTGTTCAAGATTCATCTAAACATTTTTTTATTATAAGATTACCTCTTCTATTGTTATCTACCGAGACCACTGTTCGACCCGCCAGCTCGCTTGGTGGCAATCTGAGATCTTGAAAGTATCCACAGAGACTACGTACTTCGACCCATCCGCTATCCCAGTCCGTCTACGGGGGTCAACAAACTTTTGGTTCTTATTAAGTACAAACTCTCATTTAACGATTAAATGATCTCGAAATTGCAGCGAACATCTCTCTGTCAAAAACAAACTCAAGTTCGTGGCTCGGGTCATTAGCTACTTTGCTATCATAGTAAAACGACAACTAGAACCTTTGCGCTGTGCTTACCGAGCTTCAATAGCTGTCGGTATAACATCCAGGATCTAAGTGTTACGCATCTCAACTCGCCATAGTTATTTACTCCTAACTATAGATTATTCCCTTATCAACTCGACATTATATTGTCTTCGTTCTTCGGCCATAACTCATCCCCTTTCCACTACAGCGTTGTCCTACCAACTTGGTCCTGTAAAACAATCTTGTCTGATTTTGTTCCGATGGCCGCCAGTACCTAATCCAGTACCACGATACCTCAGGGCTACGTTTTAGCCTACGGCTCTTGTTGTGGCACGTCGAACCTCAATCTGGTACTTAAAGGGGCATACTCTGGATGCACCCCTAGGTCGATTCTCGTCTAGTACAAGTCGCTACTATACTTGACTCACCCCGATTATTAGGCCTATTATCAACCAGCAGTCACAATCAAGGCCTCTCATCCCCTACTTCTAATCACGATGCCTTCACCCAGTCAATTCGGCCCGGGTTTGGCCAAAGTGCTGGGTATCAAACTTGACGACCCTGATGTGGATATCGTGACCAGGGGAGAGTCGGTGTTTTCCACGCAAACTGCAGACAGCTTCATTGAGCAACAACCTACGAGCGCAGAGTGGTTAGCTGAGACTGCACCGTCGAGACGGGATGTGGTGAACTACTTCAGATCATTATTCCCTTTCTTATCCTGGATCAGATTTTATAACTTACAATGGTTTCTTGGCGATCTCGTTGCAGGTTTGTTCACCTATAGACTGAAAAATGATTCATAACTAACTTCATATAAGGCATAACCATTGGTGCTGTGGTCGTACCGCAAGGGATGGCTTACGCTAAACTGGCAAATGTCCCGGTGGAATTTGGCTTATACTCGTCATTTATGGGCGTTCTCGTCTACTGGTTCTTCGCAACCTCAAAGGATATAACAATAGGGGTAAGTCGTTGCGACCCTATATAATATTCGTGTCGCTAATACACCGAAGCCCGTCGCTGTTGTTTCTACTGTCACTGGTACCGTTGTCGCGAAGGCCACCAAGGAATTGCCTCAATATGAAGATACACCTTGGGTCATTGCGAGCGCACTTGCTCTCATATCTGGAGCTATCGTGCTTTTCATCGGCTTGATTCGATGCGGATGGATTGTCGAACTAATCCCCCTGGTATCGCTCGCTGCCTTTATGACTGGGTCTGCTCTTAACATTGCCGCGGGACAAGTGCCTACAATGATGGGTATTACCGGGTTCTCAACAAGGGATTCGACATACTTGGTGATCATCAATACGCTGAAAAATCTTGGCAAGACGGATTTGAATGCGGCTATGGGCTTGACTGCGCTTGCGATGCTCTACCTTATACGCTTTTCGTGCGCCTGGCTAGCGAAAACGTACCCAAGCCGTCATAAGTTGTTTTTCTTCCTCTCGACATTGAGGGCCGTCTTCGTCATTTTGTTATACACTATGATTAGTTGGTTGGTAAATATGAACCGTCGCGACAATCCGGCCTTCGCAATTCTCAAAGACGTTCCTCGAGGTAAGCATCCGACTCTATTTATTAACAAGGCCGAGCTCTTACGATTAGTAAATAGGTTTCCAGCACGCCGCAGTTCCGACTCTCAATACGGATATAGTCAGCTCATTTGTGGGAGAGTTGCCAGCAACGGTTATTGTTCTACTCATTGAGCATATCGCCATCTCAAAATCGTTCGGTCGCGTTAACAACTATACTATTAACCCATCACAAGAAATGGTTGCCATCGGAGTTACTAATGTTCTCGCGCCTTTCCTTGGAGGTTATCCCTCGACAGGCTCTTTTAGTCGTACCGCAATAAAGTCAAAGGCAGGCGTCCGAACCCCCTTTGCGGGCGTCATTACAGCAGCCGTAGTACTGTTAGCTATCTATGCACTTACCGCCGTATTCTACTATATCCCTTCGGCTTCCCTTGCCGCTGTCATCATCCACGCTGTTGGCGACCTTATCACACCTCCAAATACGCTCTACAAATTCTGGAGGATATCGCCACTTGAAGTTTTCATCTTCTTCGTAGGTGTATTCGTTACCGTCTTCTCAACCATTGAGAACGGCATCTATGCAACAATCTGCATTTCATTTGCCATATTTATCTTCCGTCATCTAAAATCACATGGCAGATTCCTCGGCAGGGTTCAGGTACACTCTGTACTCGGCGACCACCTTATCGGCAATGATAACAATGTGATGGGAGAATACGGAACCTTCGACATTTCCGATACTACTCTATCTCCCCCTACACGCAATGTCTTCCTACCAATTGACCATGGCGATGGCTCCAATCCAGAAGTCGAGGTCTCCAGCCCTTATCCTGGTGTCTTCATTTACCGCTTCGCTGAAGGGTTCAATTACCCGAGCGCTAGTCACACACTAGATTATCTTACAAGTCATATTTTTGCCTACACGCGCCGTACAAAAACAGATACTTATGCACGTCTGGGTGACCGACCATGGAACGATCCAGGTCCGAAAAAAGGGCAACACGAGAATACTCAGCTACCTACACTGAAGGCGATAATATTCGACTTCAGCTCAGTCAATAATGTTGACGTGACCTCGGTGCAACAGCTCATCGATGTGCGGAACCAATTAGATCGGTATACGACGCCAGACATAGTAGACTTCCACTTCGCCTGCATAAACAACCGATGGACAAAGCGTGGTCTCGTATCCGCTGGCTTCGGGTACCCGACGCCGCGGCCGGACGGCCTACACTCACGATGGAAGTCCATTTTCAGCGTCGCCGAGATTGGGGGTTCTGAATCAGCCGCAGCCGCCGCAGAGCTCGAAGCCAACGAGAAGGAGGCGACCAATCCTCTAAGACCAACGCTCAGCAAACCAATAGACGACATCACGCCTGAACCTAGCGCAGCCTCGAGCATAACGCAATCTGCGGCGTCAAAGAGCAACACGACTACGAACAAAGCGCCTGAGTTCACAAGGCCAGGAGAAGCGAGACGCGTTGCGGTACACGGTCTCAATCGCCCACTGTTCCATGTCGACCTTACGAGCGCACTACAGAGCGCCATCGCAAATGTGCGCGCACGCGAGGAGATCGAGGCCGCAGGGGGCCCGGATATTGGCGTTACGGTTTGAAGATACCTGTACATATGAATTAAGTACCTAAGCATTGGTTTGGCCTAGGTTTGTACATATCATGAGTTAATATTGGGAAATTCGGAAGGGGTTTGTTTTGGCATCCCAGCGGCTGCACTGCGGGTTTATAGATAAGGGGAATGGGGATATTTGGCATTATCATCATCAGCATTATCCTTTTTTGAATTTTGGCCGGCGGGACAACCTTAGGCGACTTATTGGCCTATCGCTTGTAAGGTGTGCCATGGTCGTGTCGAGGGTATGATGAAATGGGATGGAATGGAACAAGATGAGATGAGATGAGATGTGTGTGACGTCGAACATCCTGTCTTTGGGGGCCATGGCTCATGGCGGAAAGCGTCGTTGGATATACCCCTAAGTACATGTAATACAATTCCTATTGAATGATAGGTAATTATCCGCGAGTCAGTGCTGAGACATACATAAGATCCGATGTTTCCTTGTGAAACGATTACTTAAACAAAAGCAATTACGTATCTCGAAAGTAGAAGCTCTTTCTGTCTTAGGTGATGTGCATATGTCGGCCGGATTCGAGGCGGCCGTCTGATGTTTCCGTTTCCCCTCACAATGCGACGTTACGGCCCCTCGGACGGGGATTTGAGGCCGCCGCGGGTTTTGGGAGTGTGTTTGCTAGTTCCACCCCTCCCTCTGCATCTTCTTTTTCTCTTTTCTTTTTTCCTGAAAGCAAAATGTGTGATGAAAAAAACCTCTTTTGTGAATCTGACCTAATATGCTCCCTCCTTGTGTAAAGGTGGCGGCAGGTGGCTTGCGTTCCGGATCGAAGGATGCTCAATATTTCATTAAAATATCGTGATGGATGGATGGGTGTAAGCAAGGCGGACAGACATTATTAATTCAGGTACCGAGGTATTTTTCTCCTTGGGCTTCTTAGGTTATCTAAGGTAGATAGATGTGTGGTTGCACCAACTCTGCGGACTTAGTGCAAGTCGACGCCTAACAACTTCGCCTGTGTAACGAATCTCCCTCCCATTTCTCTCACCTATGTCCGTATCTGTTGATCTCTCGGTGAGCCCTGTAGCATGTGCCGAAATTGCATGCAATTACATGCAGGAGACGAAGATCGAATTGAATGGGAGGCTAGAATGAGGCAAGGCGTGCTAATGTGACATGCGACGAAACAACAATGTGAGAAATGAGATAGATCGGATGAAACGCGCAGACGAGATGAACTGGGATTGCAGGAAAGATGAGACGAGATTAAATGAGGGAGGATATTGCATTGTATCTAGTACATACGACCATGCGGCGCGGGCATCTGGTTTCGGAGGACGCCGGGGCCGTCCCACATGGTCGCCCGGCCGGTCGCTGAGTCGGTCGGGAAGGGGGTACTTAGGTTCATAAGATTGGGTTCCAATAAGCTTCTTTCGGGCTAGAATTTCGGACCGCAGTTGCTGTGGGTAGCGATTGCCTCCAGCTTAAATAGGTAATCACGCGCCGGGGGAAATTAGATGGGAAGGGGCAAGGGGGTCCAGGGGGTAGAAAGGGGAGGAAGGAGAGACGAAAGGGGTAAGGGGAAAAGGGGAAAAGGGGCAGAGTATAGGTCACGACCTCGAAGGTTGGGCTGGCTGTCTCGTATAATTGCCGCCCAGGCACGAAGCCAAGGTAGATATCGGGTATGTGGAATTATACGTCGGGATATAGTACATGGATTATCGTAAATGCTAGTAATGGCAAGTTTTTCGAGTTAAGGATTAGGTCGTTTAGCGGATAAGTGTGGCTGAAACTCTAGAGCAAGGCGATGGAAGGTAAGAATAAGGGGTATGATGTGCACCATGTATTCGCGAGTTAGGTGAAGGCAGGTACGTACGATCCACCAAATAGCTTAAGGGCTCTAGGGTATTTTCGAGTAAAACAAGACTTCATTGCTACATATCCTATTTAATATTTTCTTTATCGTGAGAGCTACCCGGTCTATAAAGTCGTAATAACCTTACACTATATGGTAGATGAACATAAGAGAAGTACAGAGGCATTGGGCTATCAAAGCCGCCTATATAAGTAAGTTGTGGATTAAAAGGTCAGAAAAAGAGAGAATGGAAACGAATATAGTGACGAGTAAAAATTAAATCCTTCCTCCCTCCTGAGGGAGGTCGACTCCGCAACGAGTTAATCATATACTGTATTGTTCGTAGACATAGCTCCAGTAATGAGATTCCGGCCCGTTTGATAAGAATCATGTCCACCCTAGAAATGCTCATATTGATAGAAGGAAGCCAGCTCACTTCACTCGCTTTGCCCGCCTATCCTTACCCTGACGGGTCCGCTTAGAGCCCGCGGGTGCCCCTCGTGAGCGTAGATGGCTTACGAGTGAACTTAGCCGCATAGTATATGATACAGGGACTTCTTGCTCAGAAATCTTCTCTAGAACCGTTGTGAGTTCAACTCCCCAAGACCCTAGGACTTGGGGTGGAATGGAGGATAAGATGTCGATGACGAAGTTCTGATCTTGGTTGCCGATGAGTCGATGGAATAGATTTTGTCGTTCCTTGGGGAGTTCCGGAGGGCCAAAGTCCCGGTTATAGTTGGCCACTTGCTCTAGTACATGTATAGAGGTTTGCGCCGCCGCTTCTAGCTCCCAGTCCTCTAGTTGTCTGCCTGTGTTGTGAATAGTGGAGTAGATCTGGCGTGTTATCGAAATGAGATGTGTAGCGCACCATTCCACATTTTTTGGTCGGGCAACATTTTGTAGAGATGGGTTAGCCGCGTATTGGTGTAAGCCAGCTAGCGCCGCGTCTGCTCGATGTCGAAGACTGCGGAATCTGTCCTTGTTGCGTTCTTCGGCCCGCATAGAGGAAAGGAAGTATTGGAAGAAGTCATCGTTATAGAGCAGCATGTGGAATATCGTTTGCTCTAAATCACCTCGCTTGATAACTCGTCTGCTCTTCTTAGGGTTGTTGAATAGGTCCGGACGATATTCATCAACAGGAACCTCGCTCAGGGAAGCGAGCATTTCCCTTGATTCTCGAACCCGCCTGGGATTTAAATCTGGCGACTGACCCACAACATCACAGTGGAGGCTATCAGCTAGCATATCTAGATGAAAGTCTGATATGGCGTCATATGGATTCCCGAGCTCCGTTGGGTACCCATATCGTGATAGAGTGAAAGGATCCCTCTGAATACCCAAGACCTGACTAGTAATCTGGTCGCAAAGCCAGAGAATATGGCGACAGGGTGATTCGCCGCGCTCGCCGCTTTGACAGGTGCAGCTGGGGACGCCGTAGCCACTTTCGTCTGTTCCCGTCCGGACTGTGTACTCGATCGGTTCCGTTATTAAAAAGAGGCAGCGTTGGTCTCCAGCTTGGCAGCCACGCAACACAAATTGTGAAGGGACTTCTATAGCCCTAGTAATATTGTCCCGTGCCTCTTCATCCAGGAGATCCAAAGAATATTCGAGATTCGATGGGGATACCATGAGACCCTCATCGTCGATTTCAAAGTCGGGTTCGGCGTCTGACTCTGAACCCGAGTCCTCCACCTCCATCTCCCCTTCAGCTTCTTGCCGCTGCCGGCGGCTCTGGAGGCGAGTTATAGGAGGCATACTTTCAAGTGAAAGCTTTCTGAAACGTTCTGTCGGAGAGGACATCGAATGATGTGCGATGAAACGGGTATGATACCGAAGGATTCACTGGCATCCGTACCGGAAATGGCTTGATGGTTATATAGGAGAGTACCATCATGGGGGTAGCTGGGAGGAGTGAGGTTCCCAAGCTTCCACTTATAAGAAGAGAGCCGACCAAGAATAGCGACCACTCGGCCCGTGTTGGTTCAGGGTACAGTCATACATTTCGTCAGTCGGTGTGTTGTACCCAGGGTAGCAGTAGACGTGGGGGAAGAAACGCCGATGAAGAACGGTTTACCGCCAGGAAGCAGCAAGAATGGATAAATGTCCATGGTAGAAGATCCCGCGACCAACATGGAAGCCTGGGAATACTTGCTTGCTAGTCTTGTTCATAATATGGCTGAGTCGCAGACAACTAACCTAATGGACGCTGCAGATGAAGCGATACTACGTGGCTCTTCAAACGAAACATCATGGGTGCGTGGGTAATGTCTCGAATAAGTAATCAGCAAACCCGACAGAATGGGTGACCAGTGGCGACGCCGAATCGAGTATTATACTTCTAGGCTGAAGAAATAAAAGAAGAGTACCAATTACCAAGTATCCGATTTCGTGATGATATAAGATATAGCCTTGCAGACGAATAGCGTTCATCAGCCACGGAGGACTGACTGGGGTTGTGATTGGTGATCAAACCGAATCGGGACCTTCGGCACGGATGTTCTGCTAACTTACCTCCCCTTTTTTTCATTATAATTTTTCACTTTCTGCCTTGGCCGGATACGGGGGCTTGTGAATAGTATAAGGAGCGCGGATTTGGGCCATGAATGCGACCGTAGCTCATTTAGAGAGGCTCGTTATGGCTACGGGTCTCTTTTTGGGCCCCAAAGCCTCCGACTAGGCCGCCTCTTGGCGCGACCACCTATCGTCTTCAGCGAAAGCCGACCGTGTCGGGCGGCCAGCGAGGCTTCTCACTCCTCCCTCACCTTAGTGTAGTTGATTCCTTTGAAAAACAAGCAAGAATTGAGGGCGCCTGCGGTGGATAATCATACGTCAATAATTTCCATATTATCAATATCAAAGGAGACTTTTTAGGAGACTTTTTGATGGAGAGTTGTTCCGGGCTTGAAGCCCAAGCCCAAATAATTAATCTTAGTTAGGACTTCCCCGAGATAGGCCCGGAAATATACCATACCTATCTCGGTCTTACGAGCCGGGGTAATTCCCTGTTACACGCCCGCGGCATTCGGATCATCCCACTTCTCTGCTTCAAGCTGACATACATATCTCACATTCTACCACCTCAGATTTTACACACTTGAAAACCACATTTTTAATCCCAGCGACGCGTGGAGAAGAAACACTGCCGCACACAAATAGATAGGCATCAGTAAAGTCGAGAATGACTTGTTACCACTTCGGCGGTATGAGTATAGAATGCTCTGCCTCCCCCAAAGTCTGCGAGTTTTAATCCGATTGGGTATCGCGTCCGATTATGATCGCCTACTTCTTCTAGGGGATGCCCCTTTGTCCATGAGATAATGTGGTTATGGAACGATACCGCTCTTTATAATGGTGTGCTGCGCCGCGTTGAAATATTCCCCTTTTCCCGGGACGGGTTCGCCACTTCGCCCGGCTTTCGATACTCATTCCATCGCGGTCGCATGTTCCAAGAGCCGCCAATGTACTCCTTAGACGCAGGTGCGGGGATCTGGAAATCGCTCCTTATATCGATCCATCCTCCTGGTACCGCTAAGGGATCAGCAAGTTGATCCAATGGTCCCCAAGCTTCCTGAGAAAAACTCTAGTGCCATTACTCAATGCACCCTTCAGCTCACCGCGGTGAATACCATTCATGCGGGTGTATTAGCTCCAGGCTCCAATCTACCTAGGTAGGTCTAACTTTTCAAGTGACTTGAGAGATATGTATGTCCCCGGCGAGAGGTCGTTGGGCTCCGCCTCGTCAATATAAAGTCGGTGTGAAGACGAATCACGATGCTTTAGGCAAGCGATGATGGTTATACCCTAACACATGGGAATGGCACGGGGCTTGATTGCTTTTTACGCTCGGAAGTATGCCTAGCAACTATGTGAGTAAAAGGCGACGATCGTATTTTACCGCGAGATAGCTGATTTTGTGTTGTACAAGTTAGAAAGTACGTGGTAGTAGCCTTGTAAAGGGTGAGTCAGGTTGGAGGCTAAGATCACTATAGGAACTAGGCAGACGGCAAAGCGGTGTGACAACATCGGTTGCATTGATTGACTGCGTAATACTGAGTATAGTATTCGACCTTCGTGAATATACTACCAACCCTAGGGATGTCTTAGACAACCCAGTCACCTCGATACCATACTCAGCCTATCCAGCCATGCGGCTCAAAACAAAATGATTGGAATCGAGCTCTGATTCTTTAGAGCTCCCATAGGTTCGTCTTCATACTTAGGAGCTTATTGCTACTAACGACTTCCACGCGTGTTTCATTCAGATCAAGCGACAAGGGCTTGAGGAATGCCGTACTTCTATTTCTAGAAGCGCCAACGAAGCGCGACTCCCGGCGTCTTGCTTTAGGTACGGCATGGCACTTGATAGCATGGCTGCGATGATTTCGTAGTGTCGTGTCTTGTCTTGTCCTGTATTTGCCAAGGGGGAAGTCGGATCGGCCTGCTCGTGTTGAAGCGTCATCCCAGGCCTCTAGCATCTTCCTACAGTGATCGCGAGGACTTAAGAGGCTTCTTTCTGGAATGTATATAGAGCCTTCAAGACCTGCCTCAAGGTAGGACGCTCGTAGTAGTTATCGTTCCAGTCTCCCTTGCGGCGCCGGGATTCCCTAAGCTCTAGGAACTCCTCTGCTTCCTGGATCTCAGCATACCAGAAGCGCTTCGCAGTTTCTTTGACTTCGAGGGCGTTTTGCTCGTCAGCGGCCTTGTGAGTTAGAAGGAGATGGCTATGTCGTCTTATAACGATGTTGCTCAGCGTCCCTCTCCTCCCCCTTGTGCACTTGTCTATCAGGGCCCTCATTGCAGGTGGTGTCCTCCTATACTCGGGGAACTCAAGGTCTGGCTCCCATCGATATGATTGCCAGACTGCCGCTTTCTGAGGTCCGCTGACTCCTTCGAAGATGCACCATAACACCCTACCGAGCATGTACACCTCCGCGGCTTCTTGCTCTACTGCGCTGAGCGCAATCCAAGGTAGGTTGAATCCATGTTCTGGGTTCGTATATCTCTCGTCCTCCAGTGTCTCGAAACCTGGCACTAGATCATGCAAGATCTTTCGATACTTCTCACTGATAGAGTCAGGGACACACTCATCGGTTGCAATTAGACGAATGTATTCAATAGCATTGACCTCTGGGGCAGCAAACTCGCACCAGACACCCCTCTGCTCGAAATCAACCATGATAACGTCAGAATTCTCCGATAGGACGATATTATCCAAGCGTAAGTCGGGGTAGTAGGTCCCCGAGCGAGTTTTCAGGTGTTCAAGGGCGTTGGTCAACTGCACTGACCATTTCAATTGATCGACACGTCGCAATTTGTCGTGAGCGCGTAGGTGGGGTAGGATGTCGCGAAGGGTGCCCTTTAAGTGGTAAAACGTAGTGAATCCGGCGACAGCCCTCTTCGTGCCGAAATTGCATCTCTTGGTGACGATATGCATTGGCCGTTGAATAATGTTGGCGTGTGGCTCGATTGTGCAGAGCGTTTTCAGTTCATGGTAGAGGTATTTTGCCCCGCTAGTCAATGCTTTGAAGATGCAGAGCTGCTCGCGAAATTTGACAAGACATACACTGTCATGTAGAACGCTAACAACATGAAGATCGAAGAAATCAATGACTTGTGGGAAGGGAAAATTCGACCCCCAGAGATGTGCCAGCCTCGAAAGTGGTAGTAGTCTGCGTTCTAGGTTGTGGTTGAGGCCGACTCTAACTCGAACTTGGCTAGTATCAAGTGACATACCCTCCAAGACCAGACGTGATCCGAAGGGAACGCTCTTATAGAAAATTTCAAAGGATTCTAGATCTCGAAACTCAGTCGTAGTCCAACATTGCAGGATTCGAACAATATGCTTTGCGATGGCGAGTCTGGGTAGACGGGCTGAGTCCTTGGTATGAAATGCTCTGTCAAGTTCGAGTTGTTCGCGGATGAAAGACGGTTGGAAGTCAGAAACGAAGACATCCATTCGTATGGGAGGAATTCGTCGAAAAAATAGCGGAATGACGTAGTACTGGGTGCCTAAGCCAGCACACCCGTCGACTCGCCAAAGAGGATTCTGAGGTAGCTCAAGGCTATCTATCCGATTCTTAGGATTCATGAATGAATTTTCCCAGGAAGATCCGGGGGTCCGTTCGGAAGTGAAAGGCGTGAATGATTCTCTGCTCTCGGAAGGTGGAAGGTAGAAAGCTGCGGTTGGGTGAACAACTTCACCTATAGCTCTTGTAGAAAGCTCCATTTTCGAGTTTGAGTCGGTTTCGAAAGTTGACGGTAGAATCCATGGATTCTCAAACAGACACGCTCTAGACTAAAAGTCAAGTCGGAAGGCATGAATAGCAGTAATGGTCGATGATCCGATGCAGAGGAGAACCGGAGAAACTCGAGTGGCGTTAACTCTAGAGGTTCGTCTATGGAGTTGGCCATCGTAGATTTTCGCTATACTTGCCGAAATTGAATACACCGGCGTCAAAGTGGCGGCCTCGTAGATGCAATTAGCTTACATATACATATCTAGGTACTTAGGTTAACATGGTTATCGACGCAAGTACCATGTGAACATACCTAAGCAACCCAAATGCTTTTCGAATCGATAGTACCCGACGACATACGATGTTGGATGATGTTAATCAGTCTAAGTAGATGAACAAATCTAAATAATTCATTAGGATGTGAGATCCTCGTTATGAACGGCAACAGACAGCAACCAGCTTAAGTTGTTGGTGGACTTTCTTTTGAAACCTGCTACTCTTAACTTGGTGGCTTGGGGAGATATTTCGATGCGTATCTTTCTCGAAGGGTATCCAGTAGGACCCGCTTTGTCCCGTTGTCCGAGCCAGAGGAGCCTTCCACGGACAGTAGCAGGACTTGGGGTTTCCCGCTTTCTTGTGACTACGGGTGACGTTATAAGGCAAATTCCGAACATCCACCTAGACACAACAGGCGTTATCTCCGTCTCAAGTTGAATATCGCAATATCTACCGTTGTGGTTATGCGACTTCGTCCTACGGCCCCAAAAAAGACGAAAACCGAGTGGACGGGAAAATCGCAATAGGACTGACCGAGTTCTTGACCGGCTGCGCCCATTTCTTTAGTAGGAGGCGGTAGTCGGTCCTTAGATAAAAAAAAGCAAAAAATAGGGGAAATTAGAATATACTATTGGTTGGGTAGAACTGGCTCCGCACCCCTTGTTTATAGCTACCTTACCTAAGTAGGTACCTACTAGCCGTAGGCGTTTGCAATCTGCCAATGTTGGCGACGGTGAGGTTGGTTTGAGTGGTTGGGGCCGATATTTGCTTTTATGATGAAGTCTGTGTTACTCGAGTTTGAGATTGATACTGAATGACGCTGTGAGTGTGTCATTCGGTTGACTGGGATTCGGTGAGATTTCATCAAATATGCCCCGTAAATAATGGCCTGTGGATTCTGTACGGGGGAGCTGAAATATTCTGAACTAAACGGTATCCGCACTAAAATGATGGCAGAGGACTTGTATGCATTGCCAAGTGGTACGGTAAGTCTAAAACCGAGCTGCATGCTGCCGAGATAGGTATACGCGTAGGGCGTAGGATACAAATGAACGTTAAAGGGGGTGCTCGAGCCCTTGATCCGCAATGTTCATTATCATGAAAGCGACTAGTTCGAAATACTACAACATGTGTATCGTAGGTAGGCGATAAGTATCTGTTAAGTTGTTTAGGCAGGTGGTTGTATCTGCGTGATCGTGATTAGTCAAGATGTAGGTCTCGTAGGGCTGATATATCAAAGCTTGGCATTTCTCCTATCTGATTCTCTTGTTGCCAAGAAACCTCGTTCTAGTTCTCTAAGGACAAAAAAGTATAGTAATAAAGGCAGTATTCGTTCTATTTCTCTTTGATAATCGATCCCCATAGATTGATTGACTTGAAAAGCGCTCGCAATGCGGAAATGAAGATTGCTACTGCTAAGCAAATGGGCTTTCCAATGGAAGAGTTGTATACAACTCGGGATGTTTGAGAGGATACTCGGCTTGTTCGCGTGCTAGGTGAGATAAAGACGGATGTTACAGAAGGAAGGCCTAGTCATTGTCCCCATGTCACGATCCGATTTCAACAAAAATACGGAATGAGATGCTATGGGAAAAGATCACATTTGCTAATCGGAAGAATATTGTTAAGATATGATTGTCCTTTTGCATCTCGACGAAGTCGGGCTTGAGCGGTCGTTGTCGTCTGGATGACTTGTCATTTGTTGCATCTCGTTGGTTTGAAGTTAGATTTGGAGCAGATCAGAAGATAGAGTACCTGCGTGTTGGCCGACGATCGCGTATCAATTTGATCTCAAAAGCTTGTTCGGGTGAATCGTGACACCCACGTGGCGGCGGACCTTTAAAAATAAAATAACCTTAAGGTTAAACTTCCCACCCCCAAGCGGGAAGTTAGAAATGTGGGGGATACCAATTTGGTTGACCACCCCTGACCGATGATGTCAAATCGAGTCAAAAGACAGAAGGGATATATCAATTGATTTCATTGATGCGTTGAATTGGTATGTAGGCTTGGTGTAACAGAAAAGTGACATCACTGTAATTTCTAAACGACAAAATGGTTGGTGAATCTTTATTTGGCTGATAGAAAATTTGATGAGAATGGTGAGCCCGTGTTAGACGTAAAATCTGAGCTGTCACTTCTCCGGCAAAATTTGCTACCTAAGTAGGTAACTTGACACTTCCTAACGTTACTCCGGCTCCCGTGAGCTTCCGTTTTTTACCAAGACGGATGCAATAATCCCGAGACGAACATGTTAGCTCTAAGAACCACTGAAGAGTCATTTGAGACAAGTGTATAGTTGAGGTAGGTCGAGAATGAAAGACGCGTACGATCATGAAGTTGCAATGCGTCCCATAATTACACATGAAGAAAAGATCAATGTTTGCATCTAAGCATTTGTCGATTGACACGCAGATCTTGCAAGGTGCATTATGCTGCTCGATACTCCCTGAACCGTGATAAGCGGGTGCCGCAGAAATTCGACGCTGGAAATCGCGTGACCCCATCCGCGTTAAGCATATGAGACCCTGTGACTTGCGTTGACGGACCGAAAATACCCAATATTACCCACCGCTAGTGAGATGATGGCATATATGTACTACAGCTGCGCTATGGTCTTGGCTAGCCGGCTGGTGGATTGTCTGGCGGAATATTACCATGGATGTAGGTACCTAGGTAGTTAAGTACCCTTTGGTTCATCGGGGCGACTCGGTCAGGTTATCGCTAGTATCGCGCGGGTTTGGGCATCAGTGTCAGCGTTCACCGGTCAACCAAAAAAACATTGCCACTCCATGAATATTGAAACCTAAAAGAGATGCAAATTTGGGTGTATGAAAAGATAGTGGTGGTATGTGCTATGTGTGGTGGAAAGATTTGGGGCGTTGATCACGATGCCGCTCAGGTATTGGGTTGATAGGTAGGTGGTAACGTAAGCAGTAGCATACGGAATAAAGTAACTGATGATAAAAGCCCCGAGCCGCTTGAGGTCCCATGCCCACGACGAATTATTGTTCTATGAGCGCTAGTAGCCTTATCGACTGCCCCCCACCTTACTACGTAGTATGAAGAGGTTGTTCATTTGTCGGTGAAACATATATCATTAATGTCATATTTATTCCATTGTTTCGATTACTTCTATAACCCAGGTAGCTTCTATTATATCCCAAGGTATTCAGGTAGTAGAATTATAACCACTTGCCGAGTGCCTAGGTTTAGGACACTTCATATATGTAGTCCCACCATGGTTGGAAGAATTGTTAGCAAAATATTACTATACGTAACTACCTAGGTATGTAATTGAAGAACCTATCCCCCCTTGTACACTATCACGCAACTGACGAGGCTCCGTAGCTTAAACCCGCATTCCTATTTTGGTAGGTATTAATCACACCCATCACATAACACACTGCTATGGAATCGAGATAGGCCGATAAGCTTACCTAAATGAGCATTTTTCGGGCTTACGGCTTCAAAGGGTTCCCCCCTTTTTTCTTTTCTCTCTTACCCGGTCTTACACGTGAACCTCCAAACAGACCCCTGCAACCCACGGGGCACCACGGTAGGTAGATGGGTGATGAGGCTGGAGGTAGACATACGTGATTACTTGCCGATTATTAAGATCCGCCCTAGCGGATCCAACAAAATGCGAATACTGAGGTTGTTGGTTCGCTAGAGTCTGTGTATCCCAAAAACGCGATCAATGTACGGATTCGTTGGCAGTTGGGTCAGTTGACACGGATGATATAGAGGCCGCGAGTCCTGATTTGCTTGACTTCAAAGAACAAACTCCACAATCCGCTTCAGATCGACTTCTGGATCGCTGCAATTTACCTATTAGCAACTTTTCCTACAACCGGACAATCAGATACACGATGCCGGATTTATATGTATATATTTATGTACCTACCTAGCACATACAAGTAGCAAGCAATGCTACCATTACTATACTCATGTGCTTTTTTTTTTTTTTTTTTTTGAGCCCCTTGGGCTTCGGTTAGGTTTCCATTGAAAATCGAGATGGGCAAAAATCGACTTACGTACCTAAACAAATAAATATTTTCTGATGCTACTTATATGTCTCATATTATATAATTATTTGTTATCATAATTGTTACCAAAGATTCTTCAAGGGGAAGAGAAGGTAAAAAAGGGGTCAATGGGGGTTTTTGTAAGGAAGAGGGAATTAAAATTATAACAACAATAATTGAATAAATAGAGATGGCAGGAAAAGAAAAAAAACATAAGGGGAAAAAGAAGATTAGAAAAGCGAATTCAATAACTAGTGCGGCTTTGTTGGCATGATGACATCTCTTACTTGCATTAACGCTTACATGCCAACGTAACACGGTAAAGTAGCACTAGATCCCACGGTTGCCCGAACATCCCTTATCGATATAGATCATATAGGGGTCCCTTGTTCGAGTGACCCCCCGAATAACCTTTGGAACCCCAATTTATTGTTCCAAATTGCTCTAATTGCCCGAATTGATCGAGTTCGCGCGAGTTTCGCAGGGCTGGGGGTTGCTCTTTACGTCCCTAACTTACCCCATCGAAAAGGGAAAAAAATTAAAAAAAAGAGAGTTAAACCTTAAGGCAGAATTTCGGCGACTTCTGTTTTAAGGGCGGGCTTAGTATTAGTGCCCTAGAGAGTCCGATCGTGTTTTTTTTCTCTCTCTTTTTCTAAATAATCCCTGCTTATCCGAAATATCCCTGACATTCTGACGTCCCGACGTCCCCTTGGCCCTATCATCCCCCCTTGGCCAACATTAAGTCGGATTGCCTCATTTGCGACTCATTTGCCAGTCGAACGGTTGCACAAGGCCCAACTTCTGATTAATTCCCCCCTCTTTAAACCGGTGAAGGCGCCGGTTCAACGGTCGCTCTGGAACTTCTCACCGAGTCGTTTCCCTCAACCATTACCGCATCCTCTTCTTCCAATCATCATTTCTCCCGTACGGCATACATCTTCATCGGGCGGCAGCATACCGCCGTTTTTTTTCTTTCGATCTTCCTTTCGGGCCTCCTCCAGTTTTTCCCCCCTAGGCTCTCCACCTGCTGACTGCTAATTCAGCCCCCTTTCTGCTTCTAATTGCCTAGATAGGTTTCTATCGACGCAGGCGGCTCCGTCCCTGTATAGCATTGTACAGCACAAACACCCAAGCATAAGGCGCAGGAGAGGAGCATAGAAGGAGCACAGGACAGCACACAGACACACAGGCACATACCCGCACACAGCGCGCAGAGCAGTGAACAGCACAGTGCCGTACATACAGCACAATCACAGCACAACCCACGGCATAGCATAATAACATAAACATAATACAACGCGACGCCGAGCATTGTCGCATTAGCTCTCCGATGATCCTGGTAGTCTTATTAGCGGCAATGACGCTCGTGAGACATTGACGTACAGCGCCTTTTCTCTCACACCCCACAGTTCGTCTGACGCCCGGTGAGGCGCGAGGAAAAGAAAGAACGTACGCAAAGCTTTTGACTGCCGCTACTATTGCCAATATTGCTGTTTGCTGTTGCCGCCGTCGCTTGTTGCTGCCGCTGCTGCCACCACCACCAACCAGTCAGTCAGTCAGTCAGTCGGCCGGCCAGCCGTCTGGCTCTCGTTTTGTGCGTTGTATACAAGAGCAGAGGCTAGACGCCCCCCCTAGCACACGCTCTGTTTTGTGTGGTGTTGGGCACTTGTCTTGTCTAACACACCTCCCGTCTTCATACGCCCGCTCATGGAACGTACAATGGTAAGACTTTTCTTACTATAATCCTTTTCCCTAGCCTGCCTTCCTTCTTTAGATAGCGAAGTAGCGTATACCCTGTCTATTTGCTAGACTGCAGTCCGTTGACTTGCATATAGAATAATAATATCAGAAAACGTCGGCCTTATGGCATCGGGGACGACCCCCCGGCGGAGTCCATACCCCTGGAACCCTCCTCATACTCATACTCATCCTCTGCCTCTGCCTCTGTCCCTTCATTACACTCGGAGGGCTTCTCCGAGCAAGATCTACATATACTCCATCAGGCGGCATCCATCTTAAATATCACCCTCGCCCAATTGCTAGACTTTAATAATAGAATCCCTCACACGCAGCAATACCCACCCTCCTCTCTGCCATACCAAGTTCCAACAAAAAGAATACGTCTTAGTGCAGACATGGCATCAACATCGCCCCAGGAGAAGTCTTCGCCACCTACGGTGTCCGTCCAAGACAACCAAGAACGCCCTCATGTGCCCGAATCCCCCAGTGCCGGGTTCCGCTTCTCGCAATACTTCTCCAACTTGTCTGCTTGCTTGCCGTGCACAACTTGCGAACCCCAAGGTTTGCTTCTTCCTGCTCTAGCTGTTAGTTACCCAACAAACATACTAAACATTGCATAGTGTATGGTCCAATTCCGGCCGCATCGCATTATCCTTATGTTCCACCACGGCAATATTTTGATGATAGACCATCTTCTCCTGGTCTAGCGCCTGGGACACTGTCTCCGGGCCAGCCTAATGTCTTTGCTTCTCATGCACCCTCCACAGCCCCACCGATGATGTCCAATTATCCCACTCTACAGCCAAATCGGCCCATGACTATTCAGCCTTCTACTAGCGGTGAAGGCATGGTCTATCCCGACACTCTGTCTAGCCAACACTTTTTCCAACCACCGGAATACCACCATGGCATGCCAAATTCCATGCCAAATAGCGTCATGGGAACTCAATCTTATAGCCCACCATCGGTAAGACAAAATAGCATGGCTGAGGGCATGTCGCCCCGGGAAATAGATAGAACTCGAATTACTAGTAAGCCTCCCGGATTGGACATTGTGCAACCTAATCAGCGGCCCTCTCCTGCGAGACGGGGTCCTTTCAAGTCAAACAACATCCGAGAGCAGACAGCCGAGACAAGGCGAATTGGCTCTTGTATTCGGTGCCGTATGCAGAGAATTCGCGTAAGCCACCCGATTGCCATCCTTTATCTAGTCCTCAAGTGGCGTCTATACAGTCTCACCTAGGAACTAACTTGCGGCACCAGTGCGAGACCGACCCCACAAACAAATTAGGCTCCTGTCTGACATGCATGAAAGTGACCGGCGCAAAAGTGTGGCGCATGCCCTGTCTCCGCTATAAGATTACAGACGTGAAATTATTTAAGCCCGGAAACGTCAAGGGGTATGAATGGACCCGAAGGTGGATAGAGGGCATCCCAGACGATATATCGCAGTGGGCTTCCGCGGAGACGAAAAAAGTAAAAGTCACCGAGGGGTACACAGAACAGCCAGTAGAGCTTCGCGTCCGCCAATTCATCCCACAGGATGGTGACAGGCTCGAGCGCAGCTGGGTTCACGATGGAAACAGAAGAAGGGTTAGGATCCCCCCGTACGCTATCGTGAACCTTGAAGAGGCAAAAAGTGCCTATGATAACTACATCAAGCTAGGGTTACCTGAGTGCTGCAAAAAGGTCCTCTGGGGGAAGGATAAGTTATTGTCTATGACATATGCCGCGGCGATCAAAGTCTCGAGGGATTCATCGGTCGACCCTAAAGAAAGTGCACTACTAAAAAAGGCCCTTCAACTATGGATGGCCATTCGTTTGACCACGAAGTCCACCATTATCGTCGGAGAAGAGACATTAGGTATGTCTCGCGACATCATGGACGATACTAGCCCGCTTCGAGGATGCATCCCCTTACCGCCTGTAATGGGTGCGCAAATTGAATTGGTTCTCATTCATCAGATTCAGTCCGGTCTTCGCCGGGAGATGCTAGAGAGCTTGCAGGCGATGACACAGGCCAATAAGAACCAAACCTGGTTCACGACATATCTCATTACCTTCATTTTACTTCATAATGTAGCCCTTCTATGTCAGCACGACGCCGGATACGCTAGGAAGCATGGAATCAAGGTGTGTAAAGAGCACTTACCAGCCGACAATGAGTACCACTCGCTCACTATTCAAGTTGCAGAGCCGTTTCGCGAGACAAGAGATGGTGAGAGAGTATCAAATGGGTAAGCCGTCGCGTCTCCTCAAGCGACCTCATTTCCTTAGTGTTAGTCTTCAATGTAGCAACTCTGACATTTGTTCGATCCAATAGGAGCGAACATTCTATTGGCGTATTTCCATTATTGCAACAAAGGTGAGCAAGTTCAACGCTCCTGACTTCTCGAAGGAATTCAATGCTGACTCCGAGCAGGCGCACACCCATTTTCGCCGGATTTTAAGGAACAGGACTTGAGCAAGATAGCTGGGTTGGACGATTCAAAGATCAAAGTAATCCAAGCCACGAAACAGAACGTAGAAAAATACAGTAAGCCTCATGCTGTCTCGTCTTGTAGAGGAACGCCCCTTAGACGAGCGACCCGCTAATCAATCGATTTTTCAGAGAGACACTGGGCCAAGATACGGCAGACTGACGATTACGAAAACGACTTTTACTATATAAGCCAACTCTATGAGGACAGCTGGGCACCACAATCGACGATCTAGGCCTGTCTACTTGGCATGAATGTAGCCGAAGAAATGTTGACGTATTCATGATACAAACATTATATACCGTGCTTATACGAAAGGCATAATCAATGCAACTAACCATGCACAGGTGGCGGGTGTGAGCCGGTGCAGCAAGCACCACCCCATTCGTCAGATCAAGCCAGATGGACTTCCCGAGAGTCAAGGCTAGTTACATATCCAAGACGCCTTCTGATTGGCCGTATGCAGTTCCCCTGAGATGAATATCTGCATGTACCTAGTAAGTGCTGTCCAGGCCTATCTACTTCCGAAGATTGCGTAGACCTACCGAAGTACCTATGTAGGAGGTACTTCGTTTTACAGATGATGTGAGCACATGTTTTCCGAATATATAAACACCGTGTCCAGGACTTAATTGATTGACATTGGATAGAATACCTGTTACACTCCTGCAGCGGGCCGGTCCTCTACATGCAGCCATCGATCGTCGCAAATAATATAAATTGACGCCCACCTCTGTATCTATCTAGGTAGACAGTTGCAAAGCCACCCGGATGCTATGGAAACGGGACTGCAACCCGCTGCAACCTCGACTTGCTTCCGAGATGTCTGAATATCATGATGGCAAAACTCAAGAGGTGGCAGGATCGATCTGCAGCTGTCGTGGAACGGTAGAGTCGGTGAGATCATGTCTAGGATATGCTTCCTGGCTCCCTGTCTATTTGGAAGCCGATCGAATCGATCTACATGCGGCTCAGACTTTCCCCGGGGGATTGCATGCAGCCTTTCCACGTACCTGGTTGAGAAATTAATATCGTGCAGGTGCGTGCGCAAGGTGATCGGAAAAGGAATGAAAAGGAAAAATCAAATTGGTGGGGAAACAAAAAGCATATATAGGTACTTGAGGTTACCTAGATTCTGCATGGTCTTTTTTATACACCCCCCTCCCGCGATCGTTGCACGCTCATAGGTCGACTCTACATAGGCACCTACTAGCGTCTAGATGCGCATTGAAATGAATTTTGATGTATCTACCTTTCTACACGTCCTTCCTGAGAGACATCATGTTGAGAGGCGCTCTCGTTACTATCTACCTACCTAAGGTATCTAGTAGGTATATTTATTGCTTCTACCAAAGCATACAGTTGCATTTCGAATTCCATCCATCTTCACTTTCTTGTTCTTATTCTGGATTCCCCTGTTTTGCCTTGTCTCTTTTCCATGGAAAAGAGCGGAAAATCCACCAAACGAATTATTGGAATATCCACCGTCAAATTCGGTGTACTCAAACCCCCCTTGAAAACCTTACACGAACCTTAGGTGTGTTTTCTATGGTTCGGGCTGCTATTGGTGAAATAATAAGCTGAGAATTTATAGGTACCTAATATGGATTTCTATGGTCCCGTTGCAACTCCCACCTTGGGTAGCGCTTTTTCAACCGCAGATTATGTCCCACACGCCGGTTCTACCTGTGACGGGCTGAATAGCCTCCCTCAGGGCTATCCCTCTAGCTTCGCCGGCCATGAGGGTGCTTGGGCCGGAAAACAGGATATGGACCATGAGCTCCATTTTATTCACACCTTGTCCGGGGAGGAGCTGACCGAAGTATGCTCCGCAAAGGATCACTTCAAATGTATAGCCCTTTGGCAGTCTATCTTGGTTTTTGTCCTACCCAATATCCCCATGCCCGCACTGACCCATGGTACCCAGCATTGGAACTTGATGGAGATCTAGTCACCCGAGAAAACTTCCCTCTTCCTTCACTTGGCCCCAAATTGGATGAGCTTAGTCAGGATATTTATAACGGCAAGGGTCTCTGCGTTGTTCGTGGAATCGAACCAGACAAATACCCCGTTGAAGACCTAACCATTATCTGGTTGGGAATCCAAGCATACATTGCTGACCAACGAGGATGTCAAGATCATTTGGGAAATATGCTTGGTTAGTATACAGATACTTGACTTAAAGATCACGTTGACTAATGTTCCTCTAGTCCACATTGTGGCAGACAACTCTTCCAAGACTAAATTAGGCCACCATCGCCACTCCACTTCCGCAATTGTAAGTCGGATCTATGGAGTGAAGAACTCATCCCTTTCCTACATATGCTTATCATGAATATAGTCTTTCCATAACGAGGAAGCTGGCGACGTGATCGCTTGGCTAACTCGTAGCGCTGCGGCGACTGGTGGCAAGTGTATCGTTGCTTCGGCATATACGATCTATAATATCTTAGCGGCCCACCGACCCGACATTATACGCACCCTTGCGAAGTCGGATTGGCCATTTGCTCTGTAAGCTTCCCTGCTATATCGATGTTGCTTACGAATAGTACTAACATCCCGACTTAAGGCCGCGTTTCCAATGCCGGCCATTGCTGTTTTACCATAGATCGAGGTTGATCATGAATTTTGGTCGCACGCCTCTACTAGGGAATGCTATCCACCCACGCCCAGAGCATCTCCCGAAACTCAATGACCGCCAGCGCGAGGCACTTGACGTAGTGGAGGTAATTGCTCAAGCCGTCCAGCTAGAGATCAAGACCCAGGCCGGCGATATGCATTTCATTAACAACCTTGCCGTTCTCCACAGACGCGAAGGATTCGTCGACGGGGAATCTGCCCAGCAGAAGAGGCATCTAGTCCGCATGAGACTACGCAGCTCACACCTGGGGTGGGACATCCCCGACGATCTAAAGCGAGAGTGGCATGACGCCTTTGACGCGGATACTTACCAGACGTGGCACCTTGAACCGATGCCTGGCGACGTGTTTCCCCTTCGCAAATACACCAACTAGGACGACTCGCATGCACACTAGGGGCGGGTACTCATGCAATACCTCTCAGGGGAAGCTACTACAAGTAAGACAAGTCTCCAATGAGGTTTCGGAGCTGCACACATTACGGCAAAATTGGTTCAGGGATCGGTTCTTTCACAGCTTATTAAATTTCCTTATCGTTCTAAACGTAATATGTAATACGGAGTTTGCGGGGAGAGGGAGTAGGACAAGTGTGTCGCCCGACAGAATTATGAGCACAACAGAATCTAGACAAGCTCGGATACAATCCTTTAACATTGTATGGACGTCTAGAATAATAACAAGACGAAAGAAAAAAAAAGGGGGTAGAGAGATACAAGAGGTTCAAAGACTACCTAGGTAGCTTCGATCCCTTCCAACCATATTATTACCTAGCCTACGCTATACTACCACCTTAACCAAAAATATTTGTTCCGATATATTGTTGCAGTCTAGGCCATTTTCCCACCCCAATAAAATCCCCACAGCTAACGTACGGATTGGCCCCTTTGCATCTCAAGCGTTGACTTGGCAGAAACTTTTTTTTCTCTTTCTCTTTCTCCTATACTCTTCAATGCTACGATGGCCGCGTTCGAACTAGACAATCGAACCATGGTACGACAAGCAGCGAGCAGTGACGGTAGTAAACGAGCAACGGTAGTATCAATGAGCAACATGGATTGAGAAGCACCACCCGGGAATTAAAACGACGCTACGCGGACGACCCGTGGCTGCAGCGCATTTGCTTTCTGGGGAGCTACAGCATTGGCTCGGAGGAAATAATAAGAAAAAAAAATTAAAACATACATACATGGAACCAGGGGGGCGGTTGGTGAATTTTTTCGATTTCATCAATTTTCATTATTATTATTATCTCCTGCAGTAGTAACGACGGCATGGTAATTGACGATCTAGGCTCATCTTTTTTCCTCCTTCCTTTCATTCTATTTACTTTTTTTTTTTTTCATCCTCCCTATCTTTAGAACACACACACGCACAGATACCTTCTTTGGTACCTACCATGTAGGTATCTAATGTACCGACTTCTTTATTTTCTTCAAGCCACCGATGATGGGTGTATGATGCCGAAAGAGAAGAAAAAATCTACACACCTACATATAGACATACGTCTCTAGCCTAGACGCTTATGTAGAAGCTATATTGATCTAGCAATCTATTTCATGTATAAGTCAATGCACTAAATTCGTGGATGATTCCGTTAATAATACCCTCCTTGCTGCATGTACATACAGGCCCCCATACCCATCCCATCCAACATTCATCAACCATCCATCACACCATCCCAACGCCTTGGTTTCGTCCCTCCCGACAACCTTCGAGATCGGAGATCAGAAAGGTCGGGAACCGTATCTCTACCACTTACGGGCCAGCCCTTTAGCCCCATCTCTCCATCCCTTCCCCCCTCTATACGAGTAAGAAGAAAACTTTTCTTCAACGACGGGGCTCCTAAAATGCAGAAAACTTTCATCCCGTATTCATCGCTTCGCATGCAGCCGGTGAATGCCGTCTCCCACACACACTTACCACATATTAAGACATTTGAGTATTATATATAACGTGATTGTGGAGGATGGATGCGGACTCGTCTCTTGATTTAGTGGAGAAGATGCATCTAGAGTCTCTACTAGTGCTACTACAACAATATGGAAGTAAACTACTCTCGTACATCCCTACATAGAGTGTAATAGGAACGTAGGTGGCTTCATCCAGCCCTTTACTTTCAACCCCCCCTTTTTTGCCCCTAATCCCTGTGAATTTTCTCAACTCCCTTGCTATCTACTCCACTATTAAGGTCATTTTATATCAACTTTGAACTCATTCGCCTACCCCCGTTCGGCCGCATTCACTCGCGTCACACCTTGCAGTGCAGTGCTTCGTACCGTGAAATTAAGGAGTATGTGACGTCCGTATAGAGGCGGGTCTCCGTAGCCGCCGTGGGCTGATGTCCGGTCCACATTCGCCACTTTGCCACTCCGACTGCACCTCGATTGGCCCGATCAAGCCCGGCTACCACCAAAAAATGAGGGCTATCATATATTTATTCCGCAGCGAAAGTGAAAGAGACAATTCGAAGCTTTCTCCGGAGTCCCTTGATTTAGAGAGGGTGCCTAAGGACGCTGTGACACAGCTTGCAATGCGCATCTGCTTGCTGCTGCATATGCATAACAACCCCCTATAAGCGGCTGCTTTTTTTGTGTACCCCCAGATTGTCAATAATGAGTATCTTGTTGCATCTATTGTGCGACATAGAAGTTCTTCTTGCGGCCACCCGGTTACCTTCAGCCGGATCCGCGGCGCCAAGATCTTAAGCCACAAAAATTTCAATTGATGACCGGGTTCCCGTCACGCTGCGACATAGCTCACGTGGCTGGCTAGCCACTACACAGCTACAAGCCTCCTTGAAAATCCTCACGAAAACAGCCAACGAAGGTAGAAAGAAAAAGCCACAATTTCGGATTAAGGTCCTTACCGCGCCCTGTGGCTTGCTTCCTGTTTCAGACGAGACGGCTGGAGATTGGGTCGGTGTTCGCTTTTACGTACGAATCGTGATGATGATCGGCGATAAAGCTGATTAGCAAGTGTCTGTGCAGGACTTGTAAGGCCTGGACTCTCATCGGTCACAAATGCAGTCCACGTTATGCCCACGTCAGAATTCTGTCAATGAATTAACGACGGTTTGAACTCCGGACTGTAAACAGTGGCTATGACGCCCTAACGGAGGACTGCCACTGGATCGGACAAAGCGGGACAGACGAACCGGCGGTCTTGTTATGGTACGTAGTCATTACTAAAATGGGAAAACTATCATATATCATAAAAAATTCTGTGGAGGTGGGCACCTACCTAGGTACTGAGGGGGTTGGGGTGGTAGAGGGAACGGTTCTGGGCTGCTCCGTCGGACTCTGGCCACAAGCCCATTTCCTCGCAGATTCGGAGTTCTTCCTCAAGATCTCTCTATTTTCATATTGTTGTAGGCTGCTAATCTCTTCGATCTCCCGACGTACGATGTGCCGGCTAGACTTCATCTATGGGACCCGATTTCCAATGCTTGGAACGCCGTACTCTCGGATAGCTACACCTGGTCTTAGGAACGCAGAGGTACAAGAACGGTACAAGCTGGAAGGTAGGCCACAGCTAATCCTATTGTGGTAGCGCCAAACGCCTCTGCGGGTACTGCACCGTGCCACTAACAAGTACCTTTATCCAGTAGAAGCCAAGCACACCTGCAACATACCTATGCTGCTAGGTATTGCGCTTACCATCCGCCCTTCAGATCTGAAGAATGGATTCAGGGCCGGGGTTGAGAATTGAGATGGGTATGGGTAATTACTGCAAGGCGCATATTAGGCTCGGCGCCGTGACGTTGCCGCTACTGCGAGACGGCCTGCCGGGCTGCCAGGTCTTGCAGGAGGGAGGCATTGTTGTTCTTGTCATGCACGGATTGTCACTTTCTGCTGCAACCTGCCGTCGACGAAAAGTTCCCACCTGCCTGCTGCATAGGCGAGAGCAACGGTAGCCAGACGCCGTCCCGGACAATACCCACGCAGCCATAGGCAAGCCAAGGATCAATCCGTCTTGTCGTTGGCAGCCACGAACGAAAACGCGCGATTAGGAGGCTGTATGGAATCAAAAAAACCCACTATTTTCTGTTACAACACGACCGGTCAACGGAAATAAAGGACCGTCTAAGCAGATTGTAAAGCATGTCGATGAGCTCGTGTGGCCATATCCGATAATTAATTTTCACATCTCCTTGGATCAGATAAGGATGATCTCGATTTGTTATGATGCTCTGTCCAACGTTCGGACACGCGCCGTACTCAACAGGGTTTGGGGTGCGACACGGCTACGAACTCGTGAACTGTGCGCAATAGTGCAGTCGGCTTTCCCAATAAGGACACAGACGCATAAGGTACGGGTTTTGCCTGCGACGATCTAAGGGGGATCGAATCCTCGAAATGCAGAGACGCGAAAGGCGCGCTTGGGAACAAATAGTGACTAATGAGACGGCACCACGGGCATTTTCGTCGCGTGACTTCTTACAAGTCGGACGCAGGAAATGGACCCATCTTGAGGGAACCTCTTCGTTTCGGCAACCGTTACGTGGATGACGACGAATGAAGTCGGTCAATCGTGCTACCTCCATGCGTATTTGCTGAAGAATATCATGTGTACGTGCGTATGTGCGTGTATGCGTGTAAAATGGACAGTTAAGACTCCAGGTGTTGATGGATGTCATTGTCAGACGTTGAGGGTTCCTATTAGACCGATAGACTAAGGAGACTAGGCAAGTCTACTAAGTCGAGAACGGTTATTCGGCCTTACTGGGTCTTTACTGCCCAACCCAATTCCCTGAATAGGACGTTCATACCAACATTGTGGCCTAAGGGGTAGGGAGGAGCATTTGGCTTCGACGTCGGTACCTACAATGTATTAGTCTACAAGACTAGGGTGTGTGCAAGTACCTAACCTAACCTAAGACCATTCCATCGGCTAATGGCATCGGGTAAACAGGGGTTTGAGCAGGTAGGTACACCATGAAGGAGGTAGGTAGCCATATTCAATGCATCCTTCTACATGTACATACATAGTATGCGTGTAGTAGCTTCCTAGGTTCCTTGAATGCGTACGAATGCGTACCGATGCGTACCTAGGGAGGTATTCCTTCCCGTCTGGAGCCTGCATCGAAGATCTTCTTGTTATTAGTGGAAGACGGAACGGCAGTAACCTGGGCAAGTGAAAAGTGTAACCAGTGTAGTAAGTTGTTCTTACCTAAGAGGGATGCCTATCCGAGGCCTAAGGGGCCTAACCAACCGCCAGCTCAGATCGTTCATTCCATCCCCCCTATTCTTTTTACATACCGTCTTTTATTCCAGGATGTTCGAATCCTTCTCAACTGGAACTATCGTTCACAGTCCCCAATCGAAATGTAACACATAATTGAATCGGCATCCAGATCAGTCAACCTGCATCGGTATGTTTCGGATACTGCTGTCCGTTCATAGCACACACCCTACTGAAGTTCCTTGTCTCACAAGCGCCCCGATGGTTGGTTCCCCCAGATTTTGCCTCCGGGGAGATGTAGCGAATTCTATCGAGAGGACCGGCCCAAGTACTCACAGTCTTACTTGGTACTTTCGACACGGCCAAGTCTGTATCGATTGTTAGTCCATATAGCCCGGTCTAGAAGAGATACTCTCTAAGAACGTGGACTTCACAGGGCATCCAATCACACTTAACTTTGGGGTTCAATGCGCTGTATTCGAAACCTAAGCACGGTCGCTTGAAACCAGTTTCAGGTTCAGTGAGGCTGGAATTTCTCAGCTATGCCACACAACACAACCACATCGCAATCACGAAGATCGCCAACAAGAAGTTGGTTATGTGGTAAATGGATGGGATGTATCCCATAAATTGCACGTCTTTCTCAGCTCGGCAAGATTGAGAATGATGTTTCCGCGCGGAGAAGCATGAGATTCTGTCGAAAGATCATCCTTTCGAGGCCACATGGCATTTTCTCGACACGATGATACTATTCATAGAGCAAACGTCGCGTGGAAATCAGGCCGAAGTTGAATAAGGAGGCGACTTTAGTTCTTATAGGATTCGAGCTGAGATTTACACCGATTCGTCAGCCCCGGCTCGATTGTTGGCATCGCAGGTTCATCACCTGCCTGCCCTTAGTTTGTGCAACAGTCCCATCTAGACTGGATGTCGCCCTCCTGGGGATATACGTCGTGCTACAACAACAGGATTACTGCTGGGACGTCAGCGCTAGAATGCGGTTATCTGAACCTCGGGGGTACGATGTGTTTGCTGAGCCGCATCGCTCATAGCCGGCGGCCGGCGGACGGTCTCGAACACGTGGGTCAATAACCCTGCAAAAACCAATGGCCCTGTCCTGCCAGAGCGTACAGATTCAAGTCTAGGCCCTTATCTTGATTCGCGATTATATGGGAGCGAAAAGGTTATGGGGCCGCGGGTAAGTCTCACTTTCCCGATGAAATGAGTCACGAGGTGTTCGAAAAGGGATAGAGGCGAACCTCCCTTAAAATGGAGTGGGCCCATGCACAATAGCATTCGAAATAGGTGTATATTGTTGTAACTAGAGATTTAATAAACGTCTAGAGGATTAGTTGACGAACCAAGTTTCCCAAGCTGATATATGGTTTCCAGTGTAGTTTGTGCTCCATTCCGGCATGTCGGCACGTTGCGGTGTCCCCTCTCTCTCACCCCCTTTTCCCTCAAAATCCGGGCACTCACAGACGATGAGGACATTATGACGTTTCCACGTGCGGCATGTTGTGCTACCGATTTGCGCGAGTTTGGTGTGCGTAGGTGGTTATTTGAGTCATCTAAGGGGCAGAAAATCGGCAGTCATCTCTAGAAGTTTCTAGCGATACAGCCTCAACAAGACTCTCGCGCATTTGGGTAAAGGTATTTCTTCAGGTATTTTATAGAATATTGAGGCTTATTATAACGTTGTCGCCGAGTTTAACGCACTGTTTTACATTGGGGCTTGAACATATCCAGTTACGGCAATACAGCCGATGCGAAAAAGCTCAGCGTACATGATAGCGGAATGGTCATGGATCCTCGTATGCCTCTCTCTATTTGGATACTTTAGCTTTGTCCAACTCTCTAATCCTCATAAGCCGTTTAGGCTACCATCAAGTAAGACGATGCAATTCAAGTTGGAATTCTCAACAACTCATCTTCTCGAGATCATCATCATAGATTGTCAATTGGCATTGAGAGTGCAACATCATATAGTTTTGAAAACATGCGACGGTAGTGATCACGCGTCCATCACATCACGCGATGATTAAGCGAATATTGGGAACCATATGCAAGGCAACCTGCTGCCAACATACACATACTTATCCTACCATTAACCGAATGTTTCTCTCCTCTATAGTTATTTTAGATGGAGTATTTCCCATGAACCACCTACGGATCTTAGCGAAAGATAACCTCCCGCCCGCCTCCCCGACATGTGACATGTTTGCGAGAGCAGTCTCAGCTAACTAATAGAAATCCTACACGCATGCGACGAACCCCAACGAAGGAAGAGATTGTGGAAATGGTTGCGCATGGCCTCATAAGTCCCCCCAGGTATTGCACCCCAAACTTAGCACCCGGCGTTCTGTCTTCGCTGCCTCTCATTTAATAACCCCTTTTCTGCACCCCTCTATTTGGAGTGGGAACCTTTTAAGGCAGGATAGGGTAGGACGTCTTATGGTTGGAGCTTGATGGAGTTTTTCTCCATAGAACTGGATACTAAGAACCGAATTTTGGGAAGTATACCTAGGTAGTGGTTAGTCTATGCTACCACAAGGAGGACATTACCCTCTAGCACTAGGTAAGCCTGTTATGAGGGTATACTGACCATTCACATCTATATCATTCCACTTCACATGAGCTAGTACTTTGACTCATTCCTTCTATACGTGCTATTGGTTATCATATAGGCACCGCATGTTACAACATTGTCCAATGCCGCGGATGGATTTCAGTGATATACTCAAATATACCAGACACTGATAATGGCCTATGTATATGAAAATATTAATGATGTCAGACTTTCTGGATATGAGGTTAATATTGTAACTTGAAGTTACCATAGGTGATCGTGGAATGTACTAGCGACCTTGTGTATTCTGACAGGCAACTATCGGTAGGAGAGCGTGAATAGTGCTAAGCCAACAGACCAAAAGAAATTACTATAGCCGCCTATCGCCTAGCCTTTTGGGGCTCAAAAGGGCGACTGACTTTAACGTCTTGTCGCTAAGAATACCAAGCGGTTTCTGTACCAGCCCAAGTGCGGCAAATCGGGTAGATCAATTCGTTCACATTCGCAACCATCGTCACACTCCTGTGTTCATAAATCTAGGCCTTTCCGTACCTAAGTCAAACGAAAACCCGGAATCTTTTTGTGCTCATCCTAGTCTTATATCCTGACGCGATTCCTCACGATTAGGCCGGATGATCATGATCTTGAATAAAGCGATAATAATATGTAGTTTGAGTGGACCAACATTAATTAGAGGAAGCGAAGATTGCCTAACTAGGTCGGCTTGAGAGAGGCTATCTCATATGACACGAGCGCTTATTCGAGCCGAAGGCTTCACCGATCTAAGGCTACGCGTAGGCACAATAAATTTTTTTCAAGTACCCAGATAGAAAGCATAAAATCAAATTAGGCCGCTCTTAGGTTTAGTACATACGAGGGCAGTCTTAGAATCTCCAGAAAAGACTTTGGAGGGTTTTAGGAAGAAGGTTGAAATGTTGAGATGGTGATGCTGTGAATCTCGGAAATACTCTAGGGACAGATCTTATCATGATTACATAATACCGTCTGATATACGTGTACCTAAGTACTTAAGTATTAATAATTGGTTGAAACCCGGAAACTTGCCACCTGACGAACACAAAGAAGGTGCGATGCTTAAGCAATTCCCAATGCCATTACCATTTGTAGTTCGGTTGGTGGGGGAGGGGATATTTTTGGCGGGGTAATCACACCCTGTAGTGCCTTCCAGGGGCTGCAGGTGCTCAAGCTCCAGGGGCTATCGGGATCCCCACTAGTACCTACTACGGATTGAGCGTGTGCTGTTATGACTTCAGGAAACCACGCCGCATCTCGGAAAAAAAAGGTTTCTGTCCATAAAAATCCTAATCTCAATTCCATCCCCCAAAACATTCTAACCGATTACAACAGAATTATTTTGACTGGTAATAGTTGATAACTTGTGATGATATGGCGAAGGATGCGAGCTCCGAGGGAGCGCTCCGGGTGAGCAGATGCAGCTGCGAGATGGGACGCAAGAGAGTAAGCACCTTTTTTTACAATTCTCAAAAATTTACCTGCTAAAGCTGACAACACTGCCACTTCTCTCGCGCAGCACCGCATCCCGAAGTCGATACAAATCCCTTTCGAAGCTTTTCAACCTATCGATGTACCCATCCATAATCACGATTCGGATGATGAAAGCGGCGACGATACGGACGAAGCCGATCAAGATGATGGCAATACATTTTTCGATGGTGAGCTTTTTGGCACCGTCACCATAGGTGGTGATTTTTTCGTCGTAAACCAACAACTTCTAGATGTTGCCTTCCCGAACGGAACGATGGACTTGGAGATGGATATGGATATGGACGTGTCTATGACTTCGGAATCCGCGCCCGATTCAGATCAAGAATTCGAAGGGGTACTACCGAAGGTCGCTACTTGGAGGATGAACCTTACGGCATTATCACAATTCTACAATATCTACATGGTGGCCTACGAGAACAAGATCTATATTTCCCGGCCCCGTAGCTGCGTCACTAACGCCTTGCCGGCCAAACCCGACTTAATCTTAGAACCTCCAGCCAGCTTAATGAGCTATGACGTGGGCGGCTATCTAGATCCAGCCGCCCCGCATCAAGTTAACCATCTCATCGTCGGTGAGCTTGGAGACGAGGAAATTCTACTCCTTGCCTACGACGACGGTGACGTCATTGGCTATTATACTAAGTACATTGAATCCGAGATCTCACGTCGTGAGAAAACCGGCAATGGTGATGGGGCCCTCCCCGCACCCTTCTTCCACGAGAATGTTTTGAAGAGCGCTTGGGGACTCGCAATTCACAAGAAGTCTCGCTTAATTGCCGTTAGCTCTAACTTACACAACGTCAGCGTCTTCGTATTTGCTTTATCGGGCCAAGAATACAGACATATTGCCGATGTGGATTCGGTTGAATTCTTTAGAAACATTACTAAAAACGAGGATGGTAATATAGAACCTCCGATGGTTCCTCCATTCGACTGCGCCAAGATCTTCGAATATCGTAGTAAAGCTGCCGGGTTAGAAGAAGAGATTCAGGACCGTAACGCAAACTGGCGTATTGTTCTGCGGACTGGCCATGGTGGGACCAACATCCCTAACATCGCCTTCAGCAGCGACACGTCTGGAGAGGCCGACAAGGTTGTCGCAGTGGATATCAATGGAAAGCTCTGGTTAATGGACATTTGGCATTTGGCCGTACCAGTCCCCCATGCCACCATTGAGCCTCTCCATCGTGCTCGCGTTATCCCCAGGGTCCATGGGCCTCATGATGGTGGCCACAGGTAAACTTGCCCTTGTTGAATATATCATTAAGGAGATACTAACGTGAATTTAGACCAAGGGGTTGGGGCGTCCTAGTGCTACCTGAAAGTAGTTTCCTGCCAACCAATGATGTCGAGCAGTCGCTTGGCCTGCCACCATCAGAAGCGATGTACCTTGAAAATGAAAGGATAGGAGAATGGATTGACAACAGCAAAGGCATCGAATACGTTAAAAACAATTCAACTATACACCCTTGGGTGAGATCAGGCAATGCTAGGCGATTTAATTTTAACGCGTTCGAGCGTATGAGGGTTCGGTTAGATAGCACATGGTACGATTCCGGTCCCCAGCCACCTATGCCGCTACAAAAATTGATCGAGGATAATGCGCGCCGCGGGGGGCATATGTCTCGAATAAGCGACGGGCGTAAGTCCCGATTAGCCCAGTCTAATCCTCGAGCTATCAAGAGGCGCGATACCGTCCTGGCGGATGAGAGCAGTATCTTGCGGACCTATGAACTCGATATTGAGCTCCGCGGCTTTAAGGAAGACGGCGTAGGGATCATGTTCGAAAAGGTCATCGACCAAAGTCGACCTCCGCATGCAGTGTTGGAGCCCATGAGGCCATCAAATGAACGACTAGCAAATCTCATACACGTACCAGAATTATCGTTAGTGGTGGCAGGCTCACTATGCGGACGGGTAGCACTTATAACCTTGACACGCCCAGAGCCACACAGCCTCCCGTTCAAACGATCATTCAAGATCGAAGCTATTCTACCCACCAAGAGGGATGAAGACACTCATAAACGGCCAATTTGCCCTTTGTTGGGTGTGGCTATTGGACCGATCCCATTTGCTGGGAATGAAAGTCTAGCGGAACGACCTACCAATCGAAGGCGATACCGCATAATGCTTCATTACTATGATCTTCGAATCCTGAGTTATGAGATATCTCGTGGCTCACCAACGGACCCACTAACTATTGTTTGAAGGTAACTTTACCTCACTTTTCCTAGAACTCTTTTTCCATCATGATACCCAAGGTTGCATTTTCGGATCAAGGCCGGCGGGCGTTTACAAACAACTCAAGGACGAGAATATGACGGATAAGGCTCTCCAATCATGTTTTTCTCCGGTGTTACGAAGTACCAACGAAAGACACGAAAAGAACGACACAAGTATGTTTATGCTAGCTTTTCAGCTACGACACTAGGTTACCTGATGTAGGTACATGCTACGAAATGTTATTTGCAATTGGTCCCCGTGGGGGAAACCGGGCCAACTAGAACAGGGGTGCGTTTCTTCTAGAAACACTCAGTCCATCAAGGGTGGTTGGCGATGCAAAGCACATGGATTTGTAGTCTACTCTCTTTTGATAAGTACTTGCTTTCCAATTTTACGTACTTGAAAAACGTGATGATTAACAGACTGGATCCTACTTAAAGAACATCTTAATTATGCCCACGCGATGAAACAAGACTAAATCGAATATCAATGACGTGTACGATTAAGCTCCAAGATGCGCGCTTGAATGCTCTCGGTTTAATTGAGAAAGCTAGCATGCTCATAATGCAGCAGAGGTACATTGGCAACTTATCCAAATGTGCATAATTCCGCAGCTGGATGCATGCACTTCCGCTGTAGCTGCTTCGACGTTCGTTCTGACATACATGTACATGACTAAGTGAGAGTACGCAGGTACATTGTTAGATCGGATGCCAAGACACGATTTCGTGGAGGAATGATAAATCAGTAAAAGCAATGAACGATTCTAATTGGTCAATAGATCAGAGATAAGGCTTTGGCCTCACCTTTCCCATAAAGGTTAGAGCGTGGTGGGTCTTACTCTATTTCCGGGGATCAATGGAGCTGGAGCTTCAAAATTTTGTCATTTGATAATGTAACTAACTCCTGGACCTGGACTGAATTTTTTTGGATTTCCTAGGGGGAGGCGAGCTGGGCTGGGCTGGGTGTTACGAGTTTGTTCGGCTTGTACCTAACGCAGCCCAACGGTTTATTAATCTCCGGCAGCCTCATGCGCCGCTGCTCTCTGTTCTATCACGCGACTGTAACACGATGCGCGTTGTACGCGATTCGGGCAATACCGAAGCCAAGACCTCCCAATGTCTACCTCTCCATCTTTAAGTAGATGCAACGGCTAGAAGGCGTATAGAAGGTTACCGAATCTAAGTTGGCCGAGAAGCGGCAACGAACAACAACGAGCTTGACATCATCCAAGATGGGACCCGACATGGAAATTGTTAAGGAGGTACATTCTGGATGGCATGGGTCTCAATTAAGCAATTGGCCTAATGTCGATCCCGGCACTAGCAGGCTTGTTGTTTCTAAGGTACTGCCCAAAAGGTCAGTGATTACAGATTAATGCTGGGAAGAAGAAGACAAAACTTCGCAAAACCTGTCGTATGTTAAATATGCAGTTTGAAGAAACGCGGGATGCGTCAGCCCTTCAAAATGTTAACCTTGATTTTTTGACTGATTGGGTTTGACAGCTATACCTTACATGTGAATAAGTATAATGTGTTTACCACGTAAAAATACATTACACACCTTATGTCGAAATGGCTGCGGCTAATGTCGAGGTAAGCTTCGACGGTTCGAGACAGACCCGAATGTACCATACTATTTTCCTGCCTTGGCGGTTCCTAGTCCACGGGCTGGTTCCGATCTCAGCCCCATCGCGCGACTCATCCATGATTTGCGTAGATAGGTAATGGGTATGATAGATAGGAATTGTTCGGGCTGAGAGCTGAGGCTTCTCATTCGCTTGTTTCGAGCCTATTGCAAACGGTTTGTAGGGGAGAGGACAAACTATTTCGTAACAGATACTCCCGTCCCACGCGATCTAAGGGCCCGAGCTTCTCTCTTAGCTGGGACGGGTCGACACCACCGAAAGAAGGGACCCTGGAAACTTGGCATTGACGACAATTGAAAAAATATTTAGAACTTCGAGATGTTTCGGGGCTCGATGTTGTGATATAAGTATTAAAGGAAGGAAAAGAAAAATAATAAATCAGACCCGTAATATGTCTGTATGGGGCCATGCAATGCCGGTAGTTGGGCCTTACTATTGAATGTCTTAAACGAGACAATTGGGAAGAAATCTCAGTCGAAGTGGGTAACATGCCCCTGACGCTGCGGCTATCATGTAGCTCCATGCATCTTGTCGTTCTCCGTAGGATAAGAGGAAGATGACAATAATAACGATGATAATATTAATGTTAATAGCAGTGTGTCTTTAAGAACGCATCTACCCAAGGTATCAGTTTTTTAATGGCTTGTGTACCTGAGTAGGAAATGTGAAAACTCCCCCATATGCACTATAAGATAGGCTAAAACAGATAGATCTAACTACCTAGGCAAGATGATGGAACACAAGCCCAGAAGATTGGAACCGACTATGTAGGTATTGCCGGTAGGATGGGTAAGTGCAATTACCATCCATGTCTCCGATACGTACTTTTTGATATGTCCATCGAGAAGAGGGATGGGGGTATCGTTTTGTTATGTAGGTGAGTACCATCTTCGTCGAATGGATGTGAGTGGGTGACATGAGTTTGAGTAACGTGGTATAGGTATGGATCCTGAAAAGAAACCTCTAAGATATATGTCGAGGTCTGTTTAACTTAAGTACCTCCTAAAGTTTCTACTAAAAACGCCTCAGTCGAACTAATAAAGTCTGCGATGTCGCTCCCATCCCGTCGTCATTTCCATTTCCACCAGTCGTCCCTTCTCTTACTAAGAGACCCCAGGTAAGAGTAACCAGGTGTACGTAACGGAAGGTACTACTTAAAGTATCGTACATAACCCACATGCAGGTAAGCCTCCCGGTGAAACTCTACAAATGGGAATACATAATACATGGGGGTCCCATCAATGATTTCGTAGGTACCTGACCATCATTAGGGTTTGGGATGATGCACCCCGGTTCCCCAATTACATACGGCTACTAGTAAGACCTGGACTTGTGATTGGTCCGATAGCTATCTATCTTCCCAAATTTGGTTCCGTCTCTCTTACATAGTTCAGGTCTGGGCCGGACGCTCTAGAAAACTTGAATCCACAGCTCTCTTGCTCGGCCTCTTCTCTTTCCATATATCTCTCGCGTACCATCCATCCCGAGTTCGTTGTTAACCTTGTTTAATGTCGTTTCACCTTTTTCTCCCGTTCCTTCTTCGACATCTCGTCTTCGAATAGACTTTTTTCGGTTCTTGTACCACCTCGGAATAGCTCCCCTGTCACAACCCAAAAAATAAATTCAGACAATAATTTACGGCTGATTTTTTCGAATTAATCGGCCAACCGGCAACATGTCGTGGTCGCCCTCCTACTCGTGGACGGGCGCGCCCACCGAGTTCAACGGGACGAACGCAGAGACTGGGGGTGATTCCAGTATGTACAATCACACAATTCCATCAATTTCTCAAGATGTTCGAGAAAATTAGACAGAAGAGCGAACGAGTCAAAATATACCTACGACAGAAACTAACATTCACCTCCACGCAGACACCGAAAACCTGAACCAATGGTACCAATCCGGCGACCAAGCCTTCATTATCGTCTCAGCATGTATGGTTCTACTCATGGTTCCCGGAATCGCATTTTTATATTCCGGCCTGTCCCGACGAAAGTCAGCTCTGTCCCTCATCTGGGTCGTCATGATGTCTTTTAGCGTCGTCATTTTCCAGTGGTATTTCTGGGGCTACTCGCTAGCTTTCAGTACAACAGCCACGAACGGTTTCATAGGCGATTTACACCACTTTGGTCTCATGAACACACTCGCAGCTCCCTCTCCCGGCTCGCCGCTTATACCCGAATTATTATACTCTTTTTACCAGGTGAGCCTTTTTTTCTCATTTCTGTGTAATACATATGTGGAATCACTCGGTCTGGTGGAGCTCTCCGATAATGCGCCGACTAACACGTGGTCTAGATGATGTTCTGCGCCGTTACCGCGGCTCTCGTTATTGGTGCGGTCGCCGAACGGGGTCGAATGCTTCCTGCCATGGTCTTCATTTTCTTCTGGGCTACCCTTGTCTACTGCCCCGTCGCCTGCTGGGTTTGGAACGTTAACGGATGGGCGTACAACTACGGTGTTCTCGACTACGCTGGTGGCGGACCCGTCGAAATCGGTTCTGGTCTGTCGGCACTCGCCTATTCATGGGTTCTTGGACGACGTCACGAGAAGATGATGCTTAACTTCCGACCTCACAATGTTTCACTGGTTACGCTTGGTACGATTTTCCTGTGGTTCGGATGGCTCGGTTTCAACGGTGGTTCTGCCTTCGGCGCCAACCTACGCGCTACCATGGCATGCTGGAACTCTTGCCTGACTGCTACGTTCGCTGCTATGACGTGGTGTCTACTTGATTTCCGTCTTGCGAGGAAGTGGTCTATGGTCGGATGGTGTTCCGGTGTTATTTCTGGTCTCGTTGCCGCTACACCTGCATCCGGTTTCATCCCACCTTGGGCGTCTATCATTCTGGGTGTTGTCACTGGTGTCTGCTGTAACTTTGGCACCAAGGGTATGTTATTCCAACAATAAAACTAAGAAATTCCATACTAATGTTTAAGTTAGTCAAGTTTCTGGTTCGAATTGACGACTCCCTCGATGTATTCGCTGAACACGGTATCGGCGGAATTGTCGGCCTCATTTTCAACGCGTTCTTCGGCGCGAACTACATCATCGGTCTAGACGGTGTTAACAACGGCGTATACCCTGGCGGTTGGTTAGACCACCACTACGCCCAGATGTACATCCAAATCGCCTACATTGTAGCTGCTTGCGGTTACACCTTTGTCATGTCTGCCATCATCGCGAAACTCGTTGATCTAGTGCCAGGCCTACACCTACGTGCTACCGAGGAAGCCGAACTCCTGGGTATGGATGACGACCAACTCGGTGAATTCGCTTACGACTACGTTGAGGTGCGACGTGACTTCCTGGCATGGACTCCCGCCAAGGAAGAGCCTACTGCCGATGGCCACCGCATCATCCCCCAGCATGGCATCGAAGAGCACCAGAACATGGCCAACACCAACGGCCAGGCTCTCGAGAGGGAGCAGGAGAAGTTCGGGGTTTCGGCCAGAGCGCCCGCTAAGGAGCATGCCGCCGAAGAAGCCGCGAAAGTTGATACTGAGGCCGACGCAGCCACAGAGGATAGCAGGTGATGACGTACACCTCTTCCCACAAATTACTTTCTATGTTTCATTTTTTGTTGTACTACTGAACATATATGCCTGTGTTGCTACATAATACCCATCGGTTCTTTTCTATTTTTTATTGTTTGGAGTCAGGAAAAACTATCGGGAGGCGAAAAGGGATTCAATTTCTAGGAGAAGGCATGGTGTTGAGGCGTTGTGTACTTACTGAAGTTTACTTGAAGGAGGAAAATGAAATGGGCAGGAATGGAAATAGGGGGTTTATCCTTGTGAATATACCACCAATTCAGATTCAATTACTCTTAACTATGCACGGTTGCTTGGCTCTATTTTTTTGTGCTCAAATTCGTATTTACCACGCCCTTGATGACGCTATCCAGAGCCCTCCCTGTAAAGAAGCATATACCTATGTGTGTGTGCCTAGACCCCCCTTTCTTACCCCCTCGTCTTACTCAATCACAGAAGAATCTAGAAAGCGGTGAATTATATCGCTCAATTATGCACGCATTCATGTACCCATCTATCCCGCTCAGTTAGCTGCATACGATCCAATGGTAATGTATGTACGAGCGAAATATTTGACTAACATCTTGAAGTAGTCCGCTTCTTGCTATTGTTGGCCTGTTATAGCTTCTATGGCGCTAATGGGAAACTCCGAGATCGGCCGATGTGACTGTTCCCCTTTTCCACCATTCGCGATATTTCCCGAAGTTCTGGCCCACCTCCGACACGTCCAATGGACTGGGGCTAGTATTAAAGGGCGTGGTCTTGACAGGACAGGGGATTATATATCGTTTAGTCAATACTATTTTACTCGTTAATATCTAGGGTAGGGGACAAGAATCACAGCAATGAGTATTCAGACTTCCTCAATATATCTTTTTTTGGCTATTCTTTCTTTAATCCATCTTTGCATACGGCACGGATAACTTCAAGCGGCAAAAACTAGGCTAACTCTTATTCTCATCGGGAACATTTTATTGTTCTTTCTCTACACCTCCCCTTTTCTCATCTCCTCTCGAGTGGAAGAATCTAGACTTGGATATCCACTTACTCCAACTTCAAACCCTCAAATTGCTTAATAGTTCCCTCAAACCCAGTAGCCTCCGACTCAAGATCAGCAAGCTTCTTGCGGTCAGCCTCCTGAAGAGCCTCCGCAACCTTCTGCTGGTAGCCTGAATCAGCGAGGAGTTTCTGCTGCTTAGTAATAGCAGCACGTGTCTTATCGAGCTTCTTATTCGCCTTGGCGATTTCATCATCGATATCTACGCGTCCCTTGACATGTAGGAACACAGCCGCGGCACTAGATACTGGGAACGCTACGCAACCCGCAGGTCGAGGGTCCGAACCGGAGAGCACTTCTATGTTCGTAACACCCTTGCCGCTGAGCGACTTGATAGATTGAACCTGATCAACGGCAGTTTGGTTTGCTGTCTCGTCGTAGGTTTGTACAAAAACTGTAATTTCCCGTTAGGTTCAGTTTCTTAAAGCAGTTAGTGATATAGAAATCTTACCTTTAACTTCGTCCTTGAGCGCGTATTCCGCCATCAAAGATCGAATACCCTTAGAGCATCCCAAGACGAGTTCGTAAGCAGCCTCGGCTGCGGGGTTGTCTAACTCCTGGTCATACGTAGGATATCTAGCAAGCATGATTGTCTGTGTTTCGTCGCCGGGGCTACGCGGGAGACGTTGCCATAACTCTTCTGTGAGGAAGGGCATAAAAGGGTGAATTAGCTTCAATGCGCTATCAAGCGCTGTGTATAATGTGTCGACAGCCGAGCGCTTCTCGTCTTCCGTACCATCTTGAATGAGGGCCTTGGAGTTCTCTATGTATACGTCGCAAAGCTGGTTGTACCAATACTGGTATACCGTTGTTGTTGCCTTGTTGAATTCTCTATCAGCGATAGCCTCGTTGATTTCCTTGGTGGCAGTGTTCATCTTGTGGAGAATCCATTTCTCAGCAAGAGACTCTTTCCCGGTGAGCTTTCCAGTCTTCTGGGGGACGAAGTCGCTGTCCAATTTACCAAGGACGAATTTCGTGGCCTGGTAAATCTTGTTGCAGAATTTCCGGTAGCCGTGCATGACCTTAATGTCAAAGTTGATATCACCTCCACCAGTGGTGTAGTTGACCATGCAGAATCGAAGAGCGTCGGCTCCGCACTGCGGGATACCATCTGGGAAAGCCGCCTTCTGGTACTTCGTGGCCTTCTCAACTTCACTTGGGTGAAGATTTCCTTGAGCTAGCTTCTCGTGGAGTTGTGCTAGAGGGATTCCGCTAATGACGTCAAGAGGGTCGATAACGTTACCTAAGGACTTGGACATTTTCCTTCCATCTGAGTCTCTTACTAGCGAGTGGCAGTAAATCTCACGGAAAGGAATTTCTCCGACCATCTTCATACCAAGCATAATCATCCTTGCGATCCAAAAGAACAAGATATCCCAACCAGTCTCGAGGACGCTGGTGGGGTAAAGTGTCTGCAGGTCATGGGTCTTGTTCGGCCAGCCAAGAGTTGAGAACGGCCATAATCCGGAAGAAAACCAAGTATCTAGCACATCTTCATCGCGCTCCAACGTGAATTTCTTCCCAGGTAGAGCTTTTTCGGCTTTGGCTCGCGCTTCTTCCTCTGTCCGGCCGGAAAACCATAAGTCATCCTGCGCCCGATCACCCGTCTCACCTTCAACATTAGCGAAGTATACAGGGCATTGGTGGCCCCACCAAAGTTGACGCGAAAGACACCAGTCATTGATGTTCTCCATCCACCTGTAGTAGCTATTTTCAGCTGTCTCAGGCTTGATCTTGATTGAACCATCCCTTACAACCCTCACAGCCTCAGCAGCCATATCTTTCATCCTCATCCACCACTGAGGTTTCATGATAGGTTCAATAACGTCCTTCGACTTTGAGCAAACAGGTACCTTCATCGGGTTGTCCTTCTTATCCACATATAATCCAAGTTCCTTGAGATCAGTCTGGATAGAATACCTTACGTCGAATCGCTTCTGGCCCTTGTACTTTCCGGTGTTCTCGTTCATGAGACCATCATCCGTTAGGATGTTAATGAATTTCAGGTTGTGTCGTTGACCTAGAGCAAAATCATTGGGGTCGTGGGCCGGGGTGATCTTCACAGCACCAGTACCAAATTCTTTATCGACGTAGTCATCGGCCACAATCGGCAACAGACGACCCTCGATGAAAGGGTGCACGGCATTCTTGCCAACTAGATGTTTGTATCGTTCGTCCTGGGGGTGGACAGCGATACCCGTGTCGCCAAGCATTGTCTCGGGACGCGTAGTCGCAACTTCAATGGTTTCATTCGAGCCTTCAATGGGGTATTTAAAGTGCACGATGATTCCGAACTCAACTTTCTTGTCATATCCGGGCACCTCAAGAAGTGTTCGGCCCGGAAGCTCCTTGTTGTCGACCTCAAGATTAGATAGTGCCGTATTAAGTTGCGTACACCAATTGACGAGTCGATTTGCGCGATAGATGGTCCCTTCCTCGTGAAGCTTGACGAAGGTCTCCGTCACGGCCGCACTTAGGTTCTTATCCATAGTAAAGGCCTCTCTGCTCCAATCGGTCGAGCCACCCATTTTGCGTTGCGCATTATTGATTCGTTTGTGGTAGTCTTCTTTCCACTCCCAGACGGTTTCTACGAACTTTTTCCTTCCTAGATCGTGTCGGGTCTTTCCTTGCCGTCTCCATAACATGTTTTCGACAACGCTCTGTGTACTGATGCCGGCATGGTCGCATCCCGGTAGCCACAACGTCGTCTTGCCATGCATACGGTTCCATCTTATCATGACATCCTGGAGGGAATTACCTAGGGCATGACCCATATGTAGCGCACCCGTTACGTTGGGAGGGGGTATAACGATAACGAAAGATCCCTCCTCTTTGACACTGCCATCGGGGGCGAATTCGGGCTTGAAGAAGCCTGACTTCTCCCACCACTCGTACCAAGCACTCTCAACGGCAACAGGGTTATAAGCTTTTAGTTGGGGGTCGTCGAGGGATCGAAGTCGCTTCTTCTCGCCGGAGGGGGTCTCTTCGACGTACGGAGGGAGGGGTTCTTCTTCGGTCTTGGGAGCTTTAGCCTTCTTCTCTTTTGGCTTGGCTCCAGCGGCAGGGGTAGCTTGGGCAGCAGCTTTCGCTTTCTTCTGTTCGAACTTGGCAGCCTTCTCTGCTTTTTTCCGCTCCTTCTCTAATTCTTTCTCGGTCTTAACCTTGGGCTCAGCCTTGGTTGCAGCTGTTGAGGCCATTTCGGCGTCTTGACCTGATGCGTGCACGCCAGCACCGTCTGACTGTCCCGCAGCTTCTGTTACAGCACCCTTGACGTCGGCGGCGACGGGGGGTGGGGCGCCCTCGCCGACCTTGCTTGGGCCCTCGGATGCGTTAATAGGATTACCACGGCCGCTATTTGTAGCCATTGTGGCACGAGTGAAGAGAAAAGTTGGTCTGTAAGGCGGCCTGCGCACACAGAGTGCTCGAAGTAATAGCCTAGACAACTTGACGGTGTTTAATGGAGAAATAGGGGAAAAGAGGTCATCGCATTGGGGGTTGCTTAATTTATGTTTCCCCTTCTTGAAATTTTCTTGACTCACACCACTAGAAAAAAAAAGGTACAAGAAGGTACTGAGTCACGGAGGGGTAATAATCTAGCACCGGCAGCCGGAGTTCTTTAGGCGCCGTTAGCCAAACACTTATCGATAAGCTGCTATGTATGTACCTCTTCTCACCCGCATCTACCCACCCAATCATCCATCCAGCTATGTCATCTCCCCTCTTCCTCCCTTCCTCCCCTCATTATTCATTGTTGGTCTCTAGGTAATTATTCTCGAATTGAACAATCTCGAACCCATTCACAAAATGTCCAATAGACACATTGGATAACTTAGATGCCTCTTCCTCCAATTCGTGCCACTTCGGTTCTAAAGTGAGTGCTTTCAAATCGTCATGACTGCGAAGGTAGTATGTATGGACAAGATCGTAGTCGGGAACGGTCCACCCTGGCCGATTCATCTCCCCCTTCAGCATTTGGCGCAAGGGCTCGCGGAACTGGGGAGGCACTACAGTCTATAATAACTATTCACGTTAAAAGCGTCTTATATGTGGAAGAAAAGAGATCGCTTACTTGTACCCATTTGACGAGGCCATGCTTCTTCATGAGGGGGATCACTTGTTCAGCATAAGGCCCGGTAGCCCATCCGATGAAGTCTTCGTACGACACATCGTCTTTCTTATACAAGCAGACATCAAATTTGATCAAATCCGATCCGGTCGCCATTTTTTTCCAAACCCGAATTAGAACATAGAAAATGTTCGTTGTTAATATTCCTGATCTAGCTTTGCTTTTATGCTTATTTCCAGCCCTGTCTTGTCTCCTGGGAAGTCCTTTAAGTATGAGAAAGATTACGAGAGGAGTCAATGTTGGTTAGCTCACCCCCTTGCATCAACTAGGAGGTATACACCAACAACTATAACAGATCGGGAATGGGGTTACAATTTATCAGTAAGAGAGCGTATTTGTTGGCTACCTCCTAGGTAGCCATATGGACCAACTAACTTCATGTATATAAACGCCAAATGCCTACAACACCTTCCTCCTCCTGAACTACATCTGCTAAAGCATTGTTGCTTCTAATAGTATGCTCATGTTCGAGACCAAGTGTCTTTTCTTGTCCTTCAATTACCCGTCGAAATGTGTCTTTTGCTTGCGCGTATTTCCCTAGACGGTGAAGAGTAATTGCTAAGCAATACATACTATCCAAGGTACCTTCATGTTCTGGCCCCAGTGTCTTTTCTCGCCCTTTCGTTGCCTGTCGATATGTTTCTTCCGCCTGTACGTATTTTTTCTGCTTGTGAAGAGCATCCGCTAAGTTATGTATGCTAAACAGAGTATTATGATGTTCTGAACCCAGCAATTTTTCTCGTCCTTCCGTTGCTTGTCGATGTGCTTCCTCTGCTTCTTGATATTGATCAAATTGGGAATGAATGGAGCCAATTATACACCATATTATGTACTTTATTGGGACTTCACTAGTTCCAAATTTCGCGATCACGGTTTGATAGGCTTTTAATGCTTTCTTAGGTTTATCCAATCTCTTGTAGAAATTGCCAACCATCACCACGGCATATACATGAATCACCTCTGCGTTTCGTAGAATAGTACGGCATAAAAGTTCGAAGGGATCGGTCAAAACATTTACGCGCCGGAAATGGTACGACATCCTAATGAGCAATTCGGTTTGCTTCGGTGCCGTCGGTGCGCTATCGTGTCTGAGTATATTCATCATCGCAGAAACTGGCTTAGGAACGTCGTTTAATCCCGCGGAACCTGATGTATGAACCTGATGATCAGATATACTACCAGGAGGTTCGTTGTCATCAAAAGCGTCGAAGGCAATACTATGGAGCATCTTGTATTGGCCTGTCCTGATCCCCCGGTCCTTAAGACCCTGATACATGCGAAAATGAGCATCATGTGAGAACCCTTCCTCGCGCGCGACCGCAGGTAATGTTCCAACCATTCCAGCCTCCAAGCTAGAAGCTTCATTTTCTGCATAGCGCATCGAAACATATCTAGTCCATGATAAGCTTGCCTCGGATGCGAAATTTCTATAGATTTTATCCATAAGGTCAGTGGGCAATCTTCCAGCCCTATTGCAGTGGTATGTTGCGTTTTCCCATGTGTACTCCAGAAATGGATGGACATCGTAAAACGCCGAGAAGTCGTCCGAGTCCTTTAGCGGGAGGATGGAATGCAGGTAGTCAATGCAGGCCGAGGTGAACAAACAGTGCGATTCTTCCAGGTCAATGCGCAGGCGCATAACGCTCAAATTGCCATCGCGTGGCCATTCATTTTCTGGCTTGGTCAAGAATTCTCTGACAGATATATGGACCAACAAAACCACATCATCGGTTATTCGTATAAAATCGCCACAGACACGAAGAGCCCTCTCGACTATGTCTTCGGGTATGCAATCTTCAAGCGAGTAGTCAGGAGATGCCTCCAATTCGGAATAGTATGCTACCGCACGGGCGTATCGTAATTCGTCGACCTTCAGTGGCCTAGAAGCCGTTATAATAAATGCCAAAACGTGTCGGGCAAAGCCGAGATCGGTATCATCTAGATTCTCCACGAGTCGCAAAACGAGGTGACGGTAGGTCTTCTGAAGGCCGTATGGCAGGTTTTGCAATCTGACTTTGACTTCCGCTTTGGATGAAGATTTACACAGATCGCAAACCATCAATTTCACCCAAAGAAACATGCCATCAGAACCATCATTAAGCGTCCTGAACGCAAGATTGCGTATTTCAGAAGACTTAAGGACCTTGGTTTTATCTATCTCAGTACTGATGAATGTGTTGATGTCGGACTGAAGCAAGATGGGGGTGATTTCGATTGTGCAATTTGTTTGGGCAACTGATCTAAGAACATGTGTCCTCCCAAGAAGGGTGGCACGAGCATTCTTGTTAGTGCTGAGGAGATCAATGAGTTGATGATAGAGCACCTCGCCCGATTCGTTGCATTCGTCGGCTCCGTCGATCACCCAGTGTACTAACCCTGCCATTGAATTTGTAACTTCACTGAAGGCGATCCACAGCTCTGAGGTTAAGGGCTCACCATGAGACATCAAATCTCTCATGATATTCAAACCCTCATACGACACTGGGTTTTGCAATAATTGCCATAACAGCGATCGGGCCAAGCTATCCAAGCTTTGGCGGCTGCTATCAGTGCCAGAGAAAGAAAAAAATAAAACTCGGTTCCCGTTGCGTTCTAACGAGTCTACAATTGAAGAAGCCAAGACACTCTTCCCACAGCCGTGTGTGCCGTAGAGGCAGAGTAGACGGTCTGCGGTTGGTGAATCTCTTGTGGTACTGCTCCATTTCATCAGAGAAGGATGCGGCCATATCCAGTCGCAGGTTCCAGGCAGCCTTTCCCGAATCCGATCATCGTGAACTTTCCTCATGTGTGACGGCGTGAGCCATATATGCCACATTTGCCTCAGATTTTGTATGTTTACATTGGAAAGGGTCTGGGTCGTGTTAATGGTAATCATATGTGAGAAGTTCGCCTCTGTCTTGTCTGTGGAAGGTTAACCGGGGAACAAATATTTTACATATGGCTTTAAATACTACGCACTGTGCTTCGATTTCAGGTTCTGGACGCAATCTCGCACTCGAAATTTCTGCGTCTGATGATCGAGATATCCATCTGTAACCGCTTCTATAGCGCCCTGTTCTTGATATTCGGTCAATCGAACTTCCTGTAGTCCTTGGTCGACATTGAAGCGGAAATAGCGGTTTTCGTCGAAATGCTGACGCCAATTAGCTACGAATCTCTTCTCCGTATTATCCGTTTGAGTTGCTATTTGGGCCAGCGTCTTCGAAAGAAAATCTAACATCTTGTCTTCGATCGCCTTCTTCCCAGGGTTTCCTGTCCCGATTGATATGAAGCATTTGACGAGGGGTTTTAAATTCCCGGTATCGGGGCACCAGATGTCTGAAGCTTCTCCTTCTACCTCATCTACTGGATTATTTGCGCCTAGCGCTCCATCTACGAACTTGCGCGCTCCGATCTTGACAGCTTCAAATAATGTCGTCGCGGCAGATGTTGCGAGGGCGGCTTCGGAAATAGTAGCAGGAATATCGAGTTTACCAGGCAAACTGTAGCTTCTTAGGCGAACGATTTCTTTGGTCTCGTGCGCAATAGTACACACGAATCTGATCTTGTTAGAGTTGACTTAACTGTGGCCTAGGGAGACTTACACTCTGCATTTACGATCTACCTCGTCGTTAAAGTGATCCTTCTCGTTAAAACCGCGAGCATTGATGACGGCTTTGATTGCACTTTCGAGTTTCGCGGACTTGAATCGTGGCTTGGTTTTACCGCCGAAGTTTAATGGAAACCGACTTAATCTGCTTTCGAAGACATATTTCATAAGTTCACTATACACTGAAATACATTCATCGACATCCATTTCAAGCCGACCAAGCATGATGGCGATCAGTCTGTCTTGTTAGCCATGCCACTAAACAATAGCAGTGTGCTCACCCGCCAGTGCTTGTGCCGCCGATGAGATCAAATACATCGCAAGGCTTCGCATGAGGGAGGCCAGCTAATCCACATTCGTGGTTAAGCCGCTTCATGATGCCTTTCAGGATATACAAAGTCGATAATCCTCGAACTCCGCCACCGTCAAGGGATAGTAGACAGAGCCCACTATGGTCAAGTGGACCTAGCTTTTCGTCGTGCCGCATGGCTGCTGTTTGCTCCATTTCGTAGTCTGTCCTGGGAAGATAAGAGTTTAGTTTCCGCGGAAAGGGGCGAGCCTTATATCGAGGAAGAAAGTGATTTTCGGTGAGACATTCGAGGGACTATAGGGGGTACGTTGACGGCTATCAACATACCGTGGCTTGCTGCGGGAGAGTTAATTGGGTGTCCAAAAGATCAAGGCAAGGCTATGGGATAGGCAGTGATGTATATATCCAATGCTATAATGTTGTTAGAAATGAAAATATGAATGTATACCTATTTTCTGTATCCTGTTACTAGCTTTTTGAGCTCGGTCAACCACTTGCTGATACCCTCGCCGTCTGGCCGACTTCTATGCCAGTCGATACCTGGGGGTTCCCCGCCGCGATGGCCGTGACATCGTTTGTCCCATCGGAAGTGGACGGTACATTGTTCACTTCAGTCCCTGTCGAGGCTTGCGGCACTACTTCCTCATTTTCCTCTTTTGTATTCTTCACTTCCGTATTAGTCACGCCCCCTTTCTTCTGACCGCTCTTCTCTCTCTCCTTCGCAATCCAGCTCAAGAACAACGGCACATCCTTCCAAATCACACCAGGGGCCGCGGCGTTCTGGACCCAAGCAGGCAGAATGCCACCTGCGTCACTAGCCGTGGCCATAAGCCACTCAATCTTACCCTTCCCGTCCTCCCCTCCAAACTGACGGATCCTCTCCACACTCGCATAAATCGCAATCTGTGCCCCCTTCTCTTTGGCGAGTTTACTCGCCTCATCACTCCCAAAATCGGGCACTGGGATACTCACAACAACAAACTCACCCGTCCCCGTCGATTGCGAAGACGGCCGAACCGCAACAACCGAACTCGTCATCTGTAGAACAGGAAACGTCCGATCTTTCAAAATCGGCTTTCCGATCCTATGCCGCATTTCCTCGACTACGAGTTTGAAATTACCCCACTTCAGCCCGCCTTCCTCAATATCAGGAACACTGGCCGCAGTATCCCATTTCAGAGCCTGATGCGCAGCTAAACACGCCGGCGTGAATGCGCGCTCTGACTCGGCGTGTTCATCGCGAAAACAGTGCTCGAATTCCTCCCAAGTTGCGGTACCTTTTTCTGGTGCATCTTCGTGGACACTACGGCGACAGCACCACGTTTCTGGGCGGATCTTGTCTTTGTTTTCGGTGACAATATCCCGTAGTTCTGCGACCGAGACCACGCGCTCCGATACCTCAACCTTAGCCGCGGAGTCTGGGTGCGAGTGCACACCCTTCGACTTCCAGATCTTAGAATCAGCACCGGAAGATGTCGCAGACGAAGACGCCTTCGGCGCTGCAGAGTCAATAAACGGTAGAGCCTCCCGTAAAATAGAATAAAGCAGCGGTGCAAGTTCCTCAGTTGTAGCTGTAGGCGAGGGGAGCTGCGCAGCGCGCATACCCTGTAGGCGGACGAGAGGTCTCAGTTTGCTAGTCGTTGACATTATGCTATAAAATGATGACAAAATTAAGTTTTATGCTTATTACCTAGACACATATGCAAGGCAGGTAGATGAAAATAGATATAAAGTTTAGAGTTTTAAGCCCATGCCGCGTGGTCCGGATGGCGACCGAATATTTGGGGAAAGCGCGTTTCAATATAGGTGTATGGGTTGCTGCTAAATCGTTTCAAGGGGTGGTCGGTGTGCTGAAATAAACCCGATACAAATCACAGTGGCTGGTAATAACGCGGGGAAAGAGATGATTGATTACACGCAGAAGTGAGGAAATGTTACAAAAAAATTACATTGTACATACAAATTGTTGAGTGTATAAATCAACATCTGGGGCAGATCAACTCCGACACGCAGAAGTCGTGATGAGTGAGCTTCGAATGAGTTGCGTCATCAATATGTGGGAGGACCAGACAAGCTTTTGTTACTGAGATCGCGGGTTTTAATTGCCGGTTAGGTTTGCCTGGATCAACCAATCCCCTTACTGTGCAGGGTTGAGGCATATGTAGGTACGCAGTAAGGGGGCGCTTCAATCAATTAGACGGGTTGCAACTCTATCCAGGTATGCGGGGTGAATAGATATTCGAAAATAGGGACATGCCCCAATGATTAATATTATTCTAGTTAAGTATGTTCTCAGCTTTCATGTCATGCAGGCCGAATCCCTTTGTCTCGGTCCATTGTCGTCATCTAGTTCAAAACGCTCTATATACAGTACAGAACTCTAGGCAGATATCTATCAAGTACGCCCTTCGTAAGACTTTTGTTTACTAGTTTCGCTTTTCCCAGTAAATTTTAGCTGGCTCAATTGGCCGGGAGAATAGTGAAGCGTAGTCTGTAGCAACGACCTTATCGCTTCCATCGACGTTCCTGAACTTGAACAAGCGAACGATTTCGGCGGCAATAGTCTGCAATTGGACGTTGGCGAACTGCTCACCAATGCATCGATGCCTTCCGGCACCGAATGGGAGGTAGGGTGAGTTCGAGCCTTTGCTGACTAGACCATATCCGTAATCGATTTTCTCCTCGTCTTCAGTTTCGTTGCGCACCACGGTCGGGGCAAGTGGCGAATCCTTGCTCCATCGAGAAGGCTCCCATCTGTCGGGGTCCGGGAAATACGCAGGGTCCGTTGCTGTTACACCTGAGGCAGAAAGCAGAACGTGGCTGGTAGGGATAACGTATTTTGTGCCGGGGATTTGCATCGGCGATTTGACAGCGCGCATGATAGAGTGGATTGGTGCATGAATTCGGAGGGTTTCCTTGACGATGGCCTGGTTCAATGGAAGCTTCGCAAGATCCTCATATTGTAGTGGTGGGAGATCAGCGCCTAAGGCCTCGACCTGTTCGCGGTAAAGAGCTTCCATGACGTCCGGTCGCGAAGCGAGACGTAGCATCATCCAAGAGCTTGTCGAAGAAGAAGAGTGTTGACCCGCCATAAGCAACGCGATTAACATGTGTGCAATTTCGTGGTCAGGAACCTTATTGCCGTTCTTGTAGGACGCGTTCATCAAATGCCACATCATATCTTGCGCATCAGTCTTTCCAGCTGCACGGCGCTCTTGGAGGGTATCCATGAAGATCTTGGCAATAGTTCTCTGGGCGTGGTCGCGTTTCTTGTTCCATGGCAAAGGAGCCCAGTGAAGCATGAAATTAAATGGAGTAAATCCCATATCCAAATCGTGGTACAAAGCGGCTAGCGACTCGTCGAACTTGCTTCGAATTTCGTGGCCGTGAAGAGAGTGGGAGGCCGTGAAGATGGTGATCTCAGCCATATTCTTGGGAATGTTCACAACACCAGACTTGCCCTTGAAATCGGGGCATCGCTTGAAATAGCTCGTCACTTCGTCGGAGATGATGGGTACATACGACTGGAAGGCAGCGGTGGTAAGGGCGATTTTCATGAACTGAGTTACCCCTTATGTTAGCGATAATCAAAAGACCGTAATTATCGATAGCTATTACCTTCTTTTGCTCCATGAGCTTGGAGTTGGGGCAGTCATAAACGACATCCTTTCCAAAGACCGGTGTAGTAAGGACAGTGTAAATATCCTCAGCGCATACATCCTTCAATTTTCCGTTTAGAATAAAATCGTTTCCGGTTGTACCAAGGTATACGGTCGTCTTCTTTCCGAGGAGGATGAAGGTGAAGATGTCACCATACTAGCGCCCGCTGTTAGTAACGCTACTTGACTCAGGAGACCTGTCAATCAAGACGTGGGAATTAACATACCTTAGCTCGGTTTTCCTTGAAGAATCGAGGAGGGTCCATTCCATAGGTGATAGTGCTTCCTATGACAGGAAACCAGTGGAAAACCACTGGGGGTTCCTTGGGGTTCCTGAAGAGGATCTGTTGTAGGACATTTATGAAGACAACAAAAAATAAAACAGCGGCCGCGACAACACCGACTTGCGACGGTGTTGAAAGTTGCGACATGTATTGGGACACAGGTCCCCGAATTTCCTCTAAAAGCCCCATTGCTAAAAACAGTTGCGACTGACTCGTCGTCGACAACACTTCTAGCGAATAAGTCTATAGGGGGAGACGATGGCGAATGAAGATAGGGTGGAATAGTGAGAAGGAGTTGAGTCTAGAATTAAATACAAAAATTGAGGGTCTAGGTTCAACCCTTTTTGGTAAAATATGACAAGAGATTGGCCAATCGATAGGGGTAGTTTAATCGACCCATGCTCCCCACCTAAATCGACCATTAATCGAACCTTATAATGGGTACATAGGTACCTCGTATTCGCATTCTCACCTCTATTTCTCTGCCGTCTCTCTCTCTTCTCAAATTTCAATCTCCTTAACTTGTACTATACCGTCTATACGTAAAGACGTCGATTCAAGACATACAACCGTATTATGCGATTGATTATCAAACAAGAATATCTCATAGGCTACACACCGCCACAAACTACGTCAACCTTGTCATTACGAATAAGAGACTCTATTTGGGTACGGTAATTTTGTATGGGCTGTACATGGTCTACAGTCAGCTCGCAATGCATGACTATGATACGATTTAGTATTAGATTCAACCCGATTTGACTTGGCGACTTTCCATCGACTTACAAACTCGACTCCACAGCTCGAACATATTCAGAATTTAAATATTGAAGTTCTCTGATATATAGTTGCTACTGAGCATCTTTCATTTTTAGTAATTGGATACGTTTATTATACCTAGAATCATTATTCATGTACCGCCAAGGGTCTATATCTTATCGATTCTCTGATTTAAATCGCTAGTGATCTTAAGGTGGACGTAATGATTTGGCGCCTGTTAGTAATACTATACCAAATTGAAATTCAAGACATACTAGTATGAATTCCATGGTACTGCTCGGGATTTCATCCTAACCTATGTCAACCATGCCAGTCTTTACCAAGATAGCAAAGACTTGCTTACTTCAAATGCCATACCCACTAGGTATTATAGGTAGCGAGATGCAAGCTTGCGGTTATATCCGATGGAGTTTATGGCCGCAAACAAGGTCGAATATCAAAGCTCGTATTCGGGTTCACCAACTATCTCTCAAGTATAATGTAAACGGGATCACCACCAAAACCATGGTTGATAGCCAAGCTGCGAAACGCAGAACTCCAAAAGAACACCGCATCTAAATGCATGAGCTCAAAGGATCTTCGTCCTGATATCAAATCAAGTTACATCGAGTCATCGCTGCCAACATGAATGGAAGCCTTGACTTGCATAGCCGCCAGGAGAGATATTCGTAATCCCCGACGAAGCCGGATCACCGCTGAATAGCTTCTGAGCCTCTCTAAGTTCCCAAGGTCCTTATAAGATAGTATGGAAGACTTGGCAAGAAGCAACTGGATCTCTGGGCCCCGGATGGAAGAAAATGCAAGCTAATGTATTAAGACACCAGCCCCTTTCGAACTGGAGAGCAGAGAGCCCATATGCCGACGCTACGAGGGGCAATGACGGTAAGTACTAATAAGACAGGGGGATTTTAATGCCTATTTCTCGCGTTGGGTGAACGTGAACGTCTAAGCGGAAACAAGGTGGAAGCTGGATTCTTGCCTTCATATTCTTCAGCTCCTCCTGGCTCTTTAGGATATGAATATTCAAGTAATTAAGTCTCTCCTGATAGGACAAGCTGCATCCTGGAATTAGGTGGCACCTCAAGATCATCTGTGGGAATCCAAATTGTTCAAGACGGCGAGATGTGCTTTAGTCCCAGGATGCACACCCGTGACTGAGAATAAAACCAATGCAGAGCTGCTACTAGCAAACTCCGGCTTGCGTCACAAAGATTCGGACTAGGTATAAGGGGGACGGTCTCGGGTCCGCTCCCAATATCCGTATTTTGTCAGTCGCAAATAATCACCTTGGATCGACCATCCTCTGGCCCAGTACGCATGACCTGTTGTAATTGATTTGGCGTTTGCACTGGATTGTTGAAAAATTTTTACTGTAGAAAAAGCAATCAAAGTAGTTAAGTGGTGCGTGAGTGACGGATATGGTTTTTCATTGCACAGTTTCGAATTGATAACAGTGCAAAGATTTACTGCGGAAGTATGCACCCGCAAACATTTGAGTTTAGTATTGTCCAGACCCACTCAAACTGTCTCTTACCACTTGTTTGCCAGCTGTCCGCACTGACAGGCAGAAAACTCCTCACCGCCCGGGAATCCACAATTGCAGGCTATAAATATCTGCGCACCAGCAGTCCCTTTCGAACTTTTTTTCCTTTCTTCTTCATGTCGACAATGTGAGTCTACCCCCTCTCATACCTGTGAATCACGATACCATCGCGCATTCAACTCTTTCAATCGCATGAAACCAGTCTGCTAATCGATTCCAACACAACAGACTTCAGAGAATCATTTCTATAGTATTCGTCCTACTCTGTGTTCCCTACAGGAGCCACAGATCCCACCCTGGTTGATGAACGATATCCGCGCCGCCCTAGAGTGAAAATCTACTTACAGGAGCTTCGTAGCCTTGCGCTGCTTTGCTTTCCTTACTTTCGATCCGTCCGCAAGGATGGCGGTACCCTTATGGTGTGCTGTATAGAGAGTGGTGATGATCTCAACCCCGATTTCGTGGTCTTGCCTTCGGGCGCGCGACCGGGGTGGACGGTGTTGGACGTCTGACAGGCTGTGTTTATTTTCTCTTTTTCGTTGCTATCGTGTGCTTGTCGCGCGAAGTGAGGAAGAACCCTCTTGTATCTGCAGATCTATTACTGTTAATCGATTACTGGATAAGTGCTGTGCCTAGGCATTCGCAAAGCTCTCGCCTTAAGTACTATACATTCACGTCAATGTCTACCAATTTTTAACATGTAAAATGAAATTTCATTGTAGCCGATAAGGCTCGTGAAGGGCTATTCCCTGATGTCCCACCTTGCGGTTGGGGGATATATGCTTTTCTACCGTGATGCAGATCTTCGCCAAATGCTCTGCTGAAGCCATCGTATTCCTATCAGCAAACAAAAGCACCTTTCTTTCTTTAATCCCCTTTAAAACGCCGTGAGAATGGGCTATGCTATATGCTTGGATATCATTTTTTTTCTTGTACCGTCCTTTCTCTGCTTGCTCTCTGTTTGAGCTTATCAAACGCCTAATAACGCCATACCAGTGCTTTAAATAATTTATAATGCCAATGCGGTCCATTGAAAATCTCCGTCGATGTTAACCCATCTCCCTTGCTCCATTGCTTTTTCCCAGCCCATGATCACGGCTAGCAAACGACAGCCCATCGCACTCATAGTGCAAATGACCGAGTCGCTAGCTTGACCAAGGACCGCTAAATCCATCATGTACGCGCGTCCGATAAGCATTCTAAGCCGCATGGTTTCCGCAGATGGTTTGAGCGTCGTTTGCAATTCGTCTGCCGCGTTGGCGTTATTCAAAGTCGAGCGTCCCAGATTCCAGAACATAGTCGCAAAGAATCCACCTTCCCAACCGAAAGCCTCCTCGACGAATTTATGCATCACCGACTTGTTCGGAGCCTCTTTCTGGACGTGTTCTTTGCTGGCAAGCTTGATCTGTTCCTGAGCTCGGATCGCTCTCGAAAATTCTTCAGTTTCGTATACGTCGGGATCGTCTGATGCAAGAATAGAAAAGGAATGTTGTTTCGCGACTTTATCCTCCCCTCCGAGGGGAGTACTAAAGTTATGATAATCCTCCACAAGTTCTTTCGACCTTTGCGCGTAGACGTTAAGAGGTACGTACGCCCCATTGTATTGATATTCGTAGGGGTGTAAATCGCCATGTCGAATATGGATTCCTACAACCATACCATCGTTATAACCTCCCTCTGTAACCTTCGCCATCGTTCTCAATTCCTTGATGCGATGTTCTACGTAAGGCTGGTCTTCGTCGTTTAGATGAAATAAAGCCTCATATCCGACTCGAGCGAGGTTGTAAATCGACCGATCTCGATCGACACTACTTCGATGCGCATTTTCATACTCAGCATTGAAGCTCTTGCCAAAGGTCTCAGATGCTGTAGCAGCCGATACGACTAAATGCCGCGCGTTGTGGGGACATGGGAGCATCTCGTGGCGCGGTGGTGGATTGCACTCAGGCATCGGCGGCGCCTTAAAGATATCAGTGTACTCGCCATATGCCCATCGCGAATCGTCGATGAAGAAAGATCGTTTTTCCTTTTGCGCAAGACCATACGCCATCCATAACATCATCATCGTGGGGCCCAGTCCAGCGTCTGAAGTTTCAAGAACAAAAGTCAAGGACGTCTTGCAGATACTCTTATCAACCAGGCCATCGGCCCTATCTCCCACCAAATGACCAGCTTGAGCTTGCGCGGTCACTTTCCAAGCCTTGCCCTCTACACCTGGTAACAACCCGCGCTTTTCGGCATCTTTGACGTCCAGGAAGTAGGGGTCCTCGTAATAGTAATCCGTCTGAGCTTGTTGGGAGGTCGTTTGACCATGTAATTCTCGAACGTGAGCCGCTACTTCTTGGCATTTGGCGCAGATATCCGAGTATTCCTTGATGGTGAGAGGGAAGTCATACGTAGGTGGAATCGAAACGGTCCATTTCGACCTGCCACTGCGATCCGTAACGGCAATAGGTGTGGGAAAGTCCGGTAAGTCGTATTGACCAACCATCTCATATTCTTCGCGACCGTCAAAGGACCATCCGACAACCGGCACTCGTACACCTTTATTTAATACGGCCCTAACGACGAAGACGACTAGTACGAATCCAACAAACCATGCAGCAATTCGGAGCACCCGGCTTGGCCTCGGCCCGGTGCTAACTTTCCGTGGTCGGGGTACCAAAGCTGGTAGTCCGGGCGAAGGCGGAGGGGAGAACATTAGGTGATTGAAGTTAAAACGTGACGACGTCGCAGACTTTGGCGCCTTTTCATGCTGATATGAAGCGGCTCTGCGCAAGTTTAGTCGAGGTGGTGAGACAATCATTTTGGCATGTGTGCTCTGGGTTAAGTCCAGAGTTGGTGTCATCGCTGAAGAGGCGCAGTGACGTCGGAAACGACCTCACTACTAACGGGGTACCTAAAAAGAATGGTACGGAAGATCCGGGCTCGTGATGGCCGGTAATTACAACTCATAAATGGGTAAGGAGTGACAGGAGGCTGCAGACCGCTGCAGCGGTGAGAGAAGAGAAGTTGGAAGTGAGAAAGTGTGTGAAAGGAGCGACAGAACGATTCAGTGATGTCGATTACCCATTACAGCCAGGCATCGGCGTGTCGAGTTCCTCAGCCTACATACATTTGTGGTGCAAATCGAGGAGACAGAGTTACCACCTAACTACCGAAGATGGTGAACCTCGAAGTCGCAGGAGGGAGGAAACTCCGGGTGGGTGGCCGAGCCCTGGTGCTACGCGGTACTTGTATGCCTAATGTCTTCGACACTAGAGGTGATCGTGCCCGGAAAAAGTAGGTGATCGCTCCTGCGCAAGTGAGCGACGATCCAGTCAACTAGTGTTCCCCCTTCTCGGCACTAGATCGCAAAGAGAGACCCTCGTCCGCTTATATGTATATGTGGATGTATGGTATAGATATGTATGCATATGCACACGGCGTACAGTCAGATAGATAGTAGGTATAATATGCCTTGTACGTATTTATTCCAGGAAATGGGGAAAACTGGGGGTTGGGAAGGGTCCAATATATTTGACCACCCAATGCTTTTGTGTGGTGAGGCGACGATCATCGAGTAGGTGGCTCAATATGGAGCCGAGGGCCACGATGATGGAATTAGTGTAGGTACGTAGATACGAAGAATGGCAAAGGCTACTCGAACCGAAATATCCCTCGTACAAAGTAGACCAGACCATAGACCACAGGGCTGAGAGAACCGAGATGACGGTGAAAGACGGGAAATATTTTTTGGTAGATCGAGAAGAATTACAACCATAGAGGAGATCAATGGGGTAAAAAAAAGCAATACGTTGGATTTTACCAATACCAGAATCTGGAGCGAGACATGATATGCCGAGCTGTTACCTGATATGATGAAAATAAAAAATACATCCATATGCGGGAATGAGATAGTGAGAATGAAAAAGCAATGACACCATCGTGGTTACGCAGGAGAGCGGGATGATGTCAGACCAGAGAAACGCGAGTTAGAAGGGCTCACTTTCCATCCATGCAGCCCATGAATATTTTTTTTTTCTCCAGGAAAGATCGACCAACCGTAATCTTACCAATACTTGATCTACCATCGGCCCTGTTATGGATGTGCAAGGGGTGAGGCACGGTAGTAACATTTGACGGAGATGGAAATCATCCAAACGGCCTGACGGCTCAATAGAAAACACAAACCTCATTCCTTTAGGAAGCAACAAACAGATGATGAATGATATTAAGAGATTGATTCCCTTTTCCTTAATATGGATGGTGCAGTGAATGACTATGGGCAAACGGCAAAAAAAAGCTTGTGTCAAAGTCGGCACCTACCAAAGGAAGGTACTTGCTTTTTTTTCCCTCGGACCATTTTAGACGAATACGGCAACTAGTCAGCCGTGTTGTTAGCTGGGATGACATCTTTTCTTTCCTTCGCCTTATGGGATGTGGATTTTTCATTTAGGTAAGCTTTATAAGTGCAGCGGAACTGTCCCCCTTTAAGAAGTCACTAGAGTTACTAAAATACACTACATATACACTACTCATGCAAGAGTTGTTAGTCGGTAGCTTAAATAGCCAATTGCCATGTTTTTAGAGTAGGGGTCCGGAAATGTTGTCATCACATTTTTTCTTCCAGTTCCTGACTCCTTTTTTGCTTTTTTACGTTTAAGTCCCTCCCCACACAATCCACACATCAATAACGCACCCCAATTCCTCGGGTGACACCGTACCAGCAAGCAGGTACGTAACGCTAGAGACAACAACGTTGAACGATTGGAGGGATTTAGTTTGAGAGGATCGCCATTTGAAACCCCTGAACTTCTGAAACAGCGCTAGGGCTCGCTACAAGGGCTCTCTCTTGATTGGGTCTTTGATAGGTCTCTGAATATTCGGACCTCGGAGAAGGGGGGGGGGCTTGATCAACTGGGGGCTTAAAGTGGCTAACACTAGTGGGGGAAACTCATTACTGTTCGTTCGTTAGGTCGTTCCTCGAGGATCCGGGATCCTCTCTTTCGCTTCCTTGTTCCTTTGAAGCTCACATGAGAAAATGCTCTACAAACAGTGTCAGGCACTTCAGGTACGCTACGTATCAAATCGCACGGCCGTACATGAGATAGCCTTTTCGTTGGTTTCCCCAACGTCGGGCGATCGGGTCCTTCGGGTCGTGAATGGATAACAGCGGGCAAAAAGCTACCCAGTGGCTAAGGTCCCATTTTAGTTGTGGCAGTGTGGCAGTTTGTCGTCGCAATATCTACCAATAAATCCATGATTCGTTGCTTTTTCTGACCGGATACCGACGATCTTGTCAGACACACTCGCCAAATCATAGCATTTTGCAACCCGCCTATTCAGCAAAGCCTTACCGGTCGGATCAGAGTAGTATCTAACCCCTCTGCCGTCCTTTATTGGTGTACCCATCTGCAAGTGCGGATGCAGAATTGGGACGAGACGTGTCCGTGAAGACACCGATGAAGTGTTTGGTTGGACCAACTTGTCCTGTATTCGCCGAGTAGTCTTTACGAACACGTTGTAGGAATGCGGTGCAATCCTGACGAAACGACAATCGTGAATACAGCATACGAATCCTTCTTTTCTCAGCACATTTTAGCGGCATTTAAAAATCCCTCTTTTGTAGGCATTGGCTGTGTACTTACCCAAATACGCTCTTAGGCTATTCTGCCGTGCTACGTGAAGTCTGAAGCCACGATGTTAGACTGACTCTGAGAAAACCCAACGCATCGGGTTTCTCCTAAAACGCATCTATCCGCGGGACCTAATTCATCCTTTCCCGGAGTAAATCGTCTAACTAGGAGCTTGTATATGAGAAGAGCCATCTAGATCTTCATCGTCGGATAATGACAAAGGCTAGGTGTTTCGTCAACTAACAACGATCTCACTAAGCATATATAGATTAAAAATAGCAGCGTAGGTCGTATATGTGCGCGCGCCTTGTTACAGCTAAGCCCGGCTGTTTGTATTCATTAGATATTTGGTGACCGTCTCCGAAGCTGATACCACGCTATGAGAATTACCATATTGACCGAGGTTTCAGCTTGACTATACCTATGGTATACTAGCTACAGCTTCATATTATGCATACATAATAGCAAGTACGTAACTACCTAGTAATGAAAAACTCAATCACACTAGAGCCGCTTGAATAAACATATGCGAGATTCAGATACAAGTGGAAGTCGATATCCAATTTGGGCGTCGAGACGCAAAATTGACCACGTACAACATACATAAAGACTAGCAGGACAAGGCGAATGCGTCTGTTATCCCGTGGGCGCAGCAAGACTCCCGGAAACAATTGTTACAAGGCAATTTAATATCCAAGCTAGGTCGATTGAGATCAGCCATATGCAGCTGACCGAACTCCGAGCGCCTAGTAGAAAAGATTCTTATTCCTCACGGCCTCAATCACATTATACGTACGAATCTCGGAAAAGTATCTAGATAAACGTACAATGGCTATAAGGATCATCCAAGTAAAGGGGGCGTATAACGATAAGAAGTGAGGTGTTTCCCGAATCTCGAATATTCTGACTTACTATGCCTCCGGATGGCGTTGACCCCACGAAGCCTCCAGGAGTGCAGTGTGGTGTCACAGATTCAATACATGCTGCATTACGAATTCTTTCTTGGTCGAGCCAGTCTGAAAACAACAACGCGCCCGTAGTAATTAGATCATATTTACGCCCCCTTTTTTTCAAACGAGCCCGAGCTCAGTATAGTAGGTGTCAATAATATACAAGAATAAACCCCATAAAAGGGGGATGATAAAGGTTTTGCTCTGCCACCTATTCACTGTCCCTATTGACCGCCATCAAGAAAAGAAATAATCCCACTCCCACTCGTTTGATACACTTTGGATGGCAACGATAATAATAAAAAAACATGGTCGTTGTATGACGGTTCGGATACAGTAAAAATGACCCGTCAACTTCCTTCCTTCTCTTCGTCAGGACATTCACGTTCCACAGGCCCATCGGCGTAGCAAACAGACGGATTTGATAGGGTATAAAACACAAACGGCAGAAGCAGAGCCTAACCGGAACGCCTCGTTAATTCGCAAATATGATGGATGCTGCTTCTTGAATCGCACATGGGGATATCTACGCCTCCAGAACGACTTGCTTGGACTCGTTTAATACTGGCGGACTTCTTCGCAGTGGCTCGAGCTCTGCATTGTTCTGTTCAGCCAACGTCTCGCGTTTGCGGTCGTTGGCAACTCGAACGCTGCCACGATCGCCCCTGACGATGTGGCCTGCCTCGACTCGGTCTTGAATCATTTCGTCTAAGATACGACTCATCTCATCAACACTCTTAGTTCGTTTCTGAATAGGTGAATGACCTTTGGAGGCAGATACTGGTGGATCAGGAAGAGCTCCCGAGGGAGGCGGACTTGCTGCCTGTTCATATAAGAGTGATGCTCGGGTCTCGCTCCTTGAGGTATCGATACCTTCAGCGGCATCTCTCGAACGGGCCGCGCTCCGTAGAGCTGTCAACATTCGGTCCTTGTCGTCGAGTCTGGCCCTCAATTCAGCAATTTCAGCGTCCTTCTCCTTTAGGATGGTGGAAACACTATGGTCTTCCCCAACCATTATGCCCTTATTCGGCGCCGAGAAACCACCCGAAGTTCGCGAGGAGCTAGCACGTCGAGCTTGTAATAGGCGTTTCTCAAGGGTGGCGATATATCGGTTCTTATCGGCGAGATCCGCCTGTAACGACTGGTTCTGGGCTTGTAAAGACGCCGTACCATCACCGTATTCTCCCAAGCTATCTTCTTCGTCATTTGATGCTTGTTCTCCCCCCATGCTCGAGGGCCTCGGGTCGATCGATCTTCGGCCGATGGTGGATGATGAGGATCCCATAGAGCCGGTTCTTTCTAGAATCGGTCGGCCACTATTTGATGTAGCGACAGATGTCCGAACAGACGCTTGAGAAAACCTAGAGTGCATCCCTAGCGCACTATATGTTCCGCCAGTATTAACTCCCGTAGATTTCGAGCTAAGGATTAGTCGGTTCAAATGGTCGATACGTTCTTTCAACGCCGTACGCGCAAGTTGCATCTCCAACATTTGTTCCTCGTGCCTTGCTTCCGCTTCTTTTTCCCGAGCACGCTCCTCTTCTTCATCCTTGGCTTTCTCCTCTTCCTCGGCTTTGTTGGTATTCGATTTGGCCTGGGTATCAAGTTGATTCCTGAGTTCGAGAATTTCCATTCGATAACGTTCCAAAAGCACTCTGGCGCCACCTTCTCCTCCTGCCCCAAGTGCTTCTTCAGCTCGTTTGGCATGACTAACAATGTTGTTCTTGGCTCTTGAAGCAAACTTGAGCGTGTTTATTGTTTCAGTTGCGTGGCTGTTTGCAGAAGCCGCGCTGTTGGCGGAACCAGTCTGAATCGTGCACAAAATACTCACTAATGAGCCCCCAGAAAGTGCTCCTTGAAGGAGTCTGGTTAGCTTGCTGTCTCGGTAAGGTAAGTGTTTCCCGTCTTTGTCGGCATTCTTGCTGTCCTTGTCTTTGTGCTCTGAAAGCTTAGATATAACCGTTCCTAGGGTAAGCAAACTTTTGTTGATATGAGAACCCTCGGTACGGCGCTCCTTAGACTCGGCGGCCTTTTCAGAACCTGCCAAATCAATCAAGCTCAGCGTGGACACACGAACACCACCAGGCGGCAATCCTGAACGCTTGCTTTCTCCACTAGTGCCACCTGGTATACGCTCTCTACTCTCGACAACGATCTGTACAACCGCGTGACTACGAGAACTCCTGGCGTTGAATTGCGTGCTTGCTGTCCTGCGAGCTTGATCACCACGAGCAATTACTCGTAGGAGCTGCGTAGGGCTTTGGACAATCTCCTCTTTTAAAGGAGTGGCATAGACACCCCGCTTGCTGTCCTCCCTCAACTTAATCTCCTCTTGGTTGGCCATTCCAACACCATTGCTGCTAGCCATACTTAGAAGGTCGTGGATTTTCTCGTTGTAAATTTCGAGGTAGCTGACACGAAGCAGGAATTCTCTCGAGGGAGTCTCGCGAATGTACGAGAAAATATCTGTTATAGCGAGTGGGATAACACCGGGAGATGAGGCAGTTCCCTGCATCGAGAACGTCTTTCCAGTACCCGTCATACCGTATGCAAACACAGTACCGTGGTAACCTTCCATAACCCGGCGAACTAGGCGTTTAGCGATGTGGTCATAGACTCGACTATTGTCGTCGTGCGTCGTGAAGACATTATCTGTTATTTGGTTAGTTATGCAGTTGATGAATAGCCAATTACCTGATGCACTCACCGTAATAGTAATCGCCTCCTTCGCGGCCGCGGTACGCGACTAAAGATTTGCGGCCATCTACCATCCATTCGCCTTCCGGTTTACCATTACCATTACCTCCTGCATCCGGCCTAACCCTGACACTAACAACTACGTTTCCCTTGCCCTCCATCCCTTTAGAAGCACGCTTATCGCTGGTCAAAGTTCCCGTTCCGTCAGCCGGGTCGTCGTAAGTCGTTGCCGATGTAGAATACGAGTCTTGCGCAGAGGAACTTCGACTCTGTGGAGGGGACGAAACGCTAATAAGCCCATCCGAATTCCTCGCACCGGCTCCACCTAGAAGTGATTTTCCCTCCCCACTCCCATTTAGCAAACTCGGCACACCGCTACCGACGTGAGCCATTTTAGATGTTGGTTGGGGCGTACGTGATTTCCTCGCAGGAGTCACCGCCCCAGACAATGGACTCGGGGGGAGACTCGCAACACGACTTGGTGGCTGGGGAAATGAGTTGATGCTGACTGTTTTCCTAATGGTTTTTCCGGCGCCATTGATACCATGGCTGCTTTTGGGAACTGGAAGCGCCGTTGTCGGTGCAGGAGATGGGGGAGGGCCTGGATAGTTTGCCGAAGGCGCTCGGAGCCCACTCCTTGGTGTACTGGGGGCTGCTAGACCACCAGTGCTCTTTCGCGTCTTCGCGATAGGAAGGGCGGGGAGATTGCTAGCTAGCGCACCGTTCGCAGAACGAGGTTTAGGTAGAGCAGTCGCCATGATGAAGGTAGAGTGTCTATGACCTGACACAAGATGGTGGGGAGAAATCGTTCGAAAGCGTTGCCTTCGTTTATGTTACACCTCCGCGAGATCAGGAACGTTAACCGAATACTGTACAGAATCCCAAGCCGAAACCCAAAATGTCGAATGCGAGGTCTAAAATTAAAACCGCTCTTTCTGTTTCATAGTAAAAGTCTTCGTACACGGTATTCTCAAATACAATGCTCTAATTTCTAAGCCTATTAACCGCAGGGCGATCGAATACGGGTCGCAATCGGTCGATTCGGAGTAGTAAAAGTTGGGCTCGATTTATGACTGTAACTAAGGGTTATGGCCCCTCACAAATTCGGAAGATTACTATCTTGTCATGAACGATTAACGGTGTAGAATGGATCGCCGATGAAACTCCACGTGTGGACAGGAATCTAAAGCGACTTCTTTCGGGGTTCTAGGTGAATCTACCCAAACTTCTGTTAATACGTAACTCGATTGATTACCCAAACTTCATGCGATCTACACAAAACACACAAACTAGCCAATGTGGTGAACTTACTTCAATCGCAAAGTTAAGAGGATATGCAAGTATTCTGTACGTTTCGTACTGAATAGATACAAATCCGAACGAAAACGTTGGGCGCTTGAACGAGGATATCTCCGAAGTAAATAGCTAGGAAAATAAATGGCCGGAAACCGACGGTCGAAGGATCCAGCAATTCCTAGTTTTGCGGGACGGCAACGAATACAAAGAACAAAAGAGATTAGATCGGCGGTTGGGTTCGATTTGCGGCTCGACGCGTGAGGTTTCTTTTTTCTCCTCTGTGGATAGGGCCGAGACAATGTTATTCGAGACACGGCATAAGTCGTTTCTATTTTGGGGGGCAAAAGGCGAGCGAATGTACAAGACACGGACGGTATAGTGGAAAAGATGATGTGCGAAATGGAGAAGAAGCTCTAAAAATAAAAGAATTAGGTAAGTAACCGTACTTGAAAAAACAGAAAAGTATGAATGAACGGCAGGCGTATCGCTTGAGAAGGCAGGTAGTTAGGTAAGGAGCTACCTGAAGCGCCAGCGATGAATCTTCTCAAAAGAGCATTCGCGAAGGCGAAGGTTCAGAAACTGGAGTTCATGGATCCGGCAGGCAGTGGAGAGAGGATAAGCAAGACAAGTCGTGGAAAGTGCTTGCTTGACGTCTCTAACCTTGAAATTGGTCTGGGCTTGCGTTTTGGGCGTGCTTTTGGGTTTGGGGGTTGAGTTTGGGGAGGGAAGGAAGTGGGACAGTGGCGCGTCCAGAAGCTCTCACCTAGGTACCAGGTAGGATAGATACCCTGCAAAATTCAAGGTTCTACATACATGATGGGTAAGTACCAAAGTAGCGACTGAAGTTGCTAACTTTGACCCGTTCTATCTTAACTCTAAAAAGTCAATTATGGATGGATCAAATCTTATCGACAAGTACGGCATTTACCCAACTTAAAGGTACTTAGGTACGAAATAGTTATCAATCTGACTTATCTGACTTATGTCTTTCCTAACATTTACACAAACTTCAACTTACTTTTTTCATCATCAATTGCAACAACTTAAGTTCCCCGACTGCAACATTTATCAAGGCGAGGAAGAAAAAAATAATAAAAAATAAAAAGGAGAAGCGACAAGCGTCCTACCACTACGACACTAGGCGACGCGGGACAATGTATTCTCTCCCATCCTTTCCCTCATTAATACCCCTGATACATGCTTGACCAATCCAGTACCTTGCATGCAAATTAGGGCCAAGCTTGCTGTAGGGGCTTGCACAATCACGGCCTACATACAAACTAAGGTCCAGATCCCAGGATTGGATATGCATGCTCTCGAATAACAAGGGGTGAACCCCTGTCGTGATATAGAGGACCTTGCTCTTGTCAAAATGGATGGGGTACTTTCAATATTGCCTGGTCCTTGTTATTTTTGGAGGAGGGACCAACTTCGCGTACATAGTACCGAGAGGAGCCGCGACTTTGATGATCCTTTCTCGTATCGTCTCTCTCAATCTCTCCCTCGACGGCACTGCTTTGAGCTTCTCATGCCTAAGCAGCTCCAAACTAGGGTGTCTCACTTGCTCGTGGCAGTCCTCTGGTCAACCGACGCCATCTCGGTTGTGGCTGGCGCGAACTGTCTGATAGCGACTTTTGAGATGAATAAATAGGATTGGTGGCTGGCAATTTCCTTTTTTTCCCCTCCCTTTTTAGAACGGAATACAACAAACATCTACTCAAATACCCCAGCATTAAAGACCTTTAATGCGTTGCTTGAAACGCATTCTTATTAGGAGGTCTAACCCAGAAGCAGGGATACCTTTTTGACATTCGAGAAATGTCAACTCCAATTAATGAGAGTCTTGTTAGACCCTTTGCCGGGGCTGTCTTACACCCCTGTTTCTAGAGCTCCATCCATTGCAACGGGTTGATTTCCCCTTTTGAAGAAAGAGGAAAATACTTCCAAGCCAGTCTCCGCAAGCCTCGTGATTTTCATCATCTAAGAAAAAAAGAAAAAAATTCTCCTATTCCAGATAAACGAAATACACAAAAGCTTACAGAGTAATAACTTGACCTATATAACCTAACCTCCCGCCCTTCCACTCTTCGAAGGTTACGGTCCGATATTTTACACATGCGGGTTGCTTGCATTGGCGATTCTTTGCGGGCCAGTACATGGTTACCTGCAAGAGCGGGTGTACCTAGATGCAATGGAACTACAGGTACACAGGTCCCACAGCTGCTCTTGTATCGGCCGGTCTACTCGCACGTCGTACATGGTGTGTACAATAATGGACTATTAGCTCTTCAGAAGTGTATTTTACATGTAAATCACTTCCTACTCACACAATATTGCAAGGCTATGGTGTCGTCCAAGTCTGACATGATAGTTACCTAACGCTGTAGGTACAGATTCTGTGGTGAACTAAGGGGGAAATATTCTTCATCGGGCAACGACAATCCTTCAGTATGCCCCCTTTCGACCTTTTCCCCCCACGATCAACTGTCAGACTAGACTCAAGGGTCTTTTCGCATACATTAATCGCCTATCACATCTTTGTCATGTGGTAATTAAAACAGCCACTTATTGGTTTATGATCTCCCATCATTCAATATGCTTAAAAACGGCCGATAGTCGAGGTAATTTCGGAATTTCCCAACCGTGCCGTCACTTCTGCAAGATTATAGGTCCGTGCCCCATGGTACCTATCGTAAGCTTTACTGAGAAAGACTTAGGTTGCACGGACTCGACCGTAGCACCAAGAGCCTAGCATGTCACTCATGCGCTTCAATTCCACTCTTATGTGTGAAAGCATGTAGTATGTACGTGATCGGATCCAAAGTCTGTGCAGTAGCGCAATGTCGACAGAGCTTTACATAGTAGTAATCTACATACGACCATAAGACGCGCAATTCAGTGTACCACGGCGCTCATGAAGAATATCCGTATCACTACAGCGGTAGAAATGCCGCTCCGCGCTGACATATTTGCTCAAGGTCCACAGCTCGTTGCGCAAACCTGCACATAGCCGTAGAGCCTTATCGTGGACAATCCGGAGAGGACCGACTTTGACGTATCAACCCGCAACTCTTCCCCGGCTTGCATTTCTAGGGGCTGTTTCCAGGGCCGCGTCTACGGTTCAACAGCCGTGGGAGAGAATGGGGCTGAGCGAAGAAAAGGTCTCAACCCCAGATCCCAGTCCGGTTTTCGATTAAGTCAAAGCGAAAAGACTTGGTCAAGGATATAACTTCTATATTATAGAGGTGAGATGATAGGGGTGGATATATACTTGACAGTTGTGGCTGAATATCATAGATCTCAACTTGACAAGGAGGTGACGGATAAATACTGCTTGAATGAATGGATTTTTCAAATAAAGAAATCGTATTTTTCTTGCCTTACCACAAGATCTTCCATCTCCCTTTGCCAGCTCGTTTCACTCAAATTGAATGACCCAAAATATTACGAGCAGGATGCAGGAACAGATGTCGATTGCGTTGTATCGTGTAGGAACAATACCACCGATCTGGGTGTTCCTGCTTCGGGTAAAATAGCTATTTGCAGTAGGTCTGAAAGACAAAATATGGATGGGATTTTTTCCTCCGTCCTGCTTCCGAGTGGCGTTCGAACGAATCCTTCAAAGTATTAAGTAATCATGCATCCGAAGTCATGATTGTTCGCTGGTGATATATGTGAAGCTGCGTTCAGACGCCACTACGTCAACGATTGGGTAGATGGCGTATCGAACTCCGGATGCGCATAAAGAACCGGTGGCTCGGTAGCGGTCACTCCCTTATAAGTCTGGCACACCGGGTACGGGGATTCTTCTTGAAATGATAGCTCAATACAAAGCCCGACTGATTGCGGGGAGGGCAATGTGCCCTTGCATACATGTTTGAGTGTATTCAGAATGGTCTAACTGTTTCGAAGTATTGCTAGTCTTCAATGTCTAACTGTCATATTCATGCGAGCTAACGCAGGACTTTTTATGACCTTTTCTGATCTATAATATATATCAAAATACCTCGGTGTTCTGAATTGATAACCTGCCAGGAGAATAAGACAGCTAGTTATGCTTAATGGCATCTCTTACAATAGGGGCCCCGTCCTAGATCGTCGTCGATGATACTGAGTGATCATGAATGATCTTGATCTACTGGGGATCCGTGGATCTGTTTGATACCGGCCCGTCGTCCACGTTCCGGCCTGCTGTTTCATATACGGACTCTCGGGGCTCTGATCGACGTCTACTCCCCTACAGTGATACCTTGAAGGGCCAATCATGAGATTTTATCATGGCCTCCCTCGTTTGCACTGACCCCTCGTTCTCAGCTATAACTATAGGTTAACTGAGTTCCGACGAAGATGAATTGCGATAGGTGAGAGATGACGGCGTGTCCTGCAGGCCAACTGCAATCTCCACCATAAGATAGTTGGGTAAGCCCTTGCTTCATCATTGCGTGTATAGCGACAAAACTACCCCGCAATGCATGGCATACATATCCAGCTATAAACCCGATATCTTGCGTTTCATATTCAAGCACTTAAGCGGCGAGGGCTCTTTGTAGTTTCATATGCAAGCAAGATAGTCACGAAACATATTCATAGAGCACGAATCCCACGGCCAACACTTCGAGTTTCGAAGACTTCGACGAGACCAGATCCGACAGCTTCCTGCAAGGCCCAGTCAAACGAAAGGCCGTAGAACTGCCTCCACTTCTTGGTCTGCCCAGGTAAGATACCCGCAAACTCTCCGCGCGAGCGTTTCGCGGCGTAGCGGGCTTCTTCTTTTGCTATACCTCCATCCCACCAATCACGAAGTACCGCTTCCGGTGCTTCGCGATATCGCGACTTGCCTAGCAATGAGACAAGATGTTCCAATGCGGAAGAGAGAAGCTTTAAGAACGGACCGTTTCCAGGTACCGCAAGCTTCAGTTCCGTAGAGTTGGTGTCAAATCGGGATGCGCTGAGCAAGCTTCTGCTTCCGCCAAGTTCGTGTATTACACCTTCGCCTCCCACGGCGCCCAATGTACCGGTTGGTTGTCTTGATACGTTCTCGAGGGATGTGAGTGTTAACTTGTCTTCCGGTCGCGAATGTAAGTTCGTAGTGTTCGACGTAGTGCCATAGTGGATTTCGCCATTACGATGAGCCGTTAGAAACCCGACTCTGATAAGCTGATCGATTTCCGAAGCTCGTAGAGAGTTCGGTTCGATTGCCTGAACTCCGGGGTTCTCTTTCAGAAACGTAGCCAGACTATCCTTCGCCTCTTTGCTTACACCTGTAGAATCTTCAAGTAGTTTTTCGAAGTCCGAGGCGAGTATCATAGTTTCTCCTATGTCTCCCCGTCGAGGAACGACCACTTTGCGGATAAAACCAGCACGTGCGAGTTCGGCGATCTCTCGTTCTACTGCGCTCGGGGACGACAATAGAGTTTGTATATGCGATATAGTTACGATAGGAGGAAGATTCTTCCGATAATTTAGAACTTCCGCGATTCTAGTCGAATTCATACCGGCCGCTCGCTCGGGTATCGGAGAGAACATGTGGCTGCATACGTAGAGAAGGGCTTGCGATGTATCGCGTAGGTTCATGTCGGTCGCTAAAGCCCTGACGAGGCCATAATCGTCAAGTTTATCGTCAAATAGGTCGTCATCTTCATCACCCTTTGAAGGTTTGTTGCGCTGGATGCCCGGTTTGCGACGAGGCAGAGAAGCTGGCCATGGGGATGATGGGGAGGAAGACGATGAGGAGGGGTGTTTTGCGCCGGACTTGTTAGAGGGTTTCCTAACCCGGCTGGAGCCCCCTAGAATCGACCTTAAACTCATTTTCAACAGACGACTTCATGAAGAGATTCCGTAGTTCTTCGCCGGTAAATTTGGCGATAGAAACAGTTAGTAGTAAGAAGTAAAAGTTGACAAGTTGCCAGCCTGATTCTTGACAAAGGCTGAGTATGCCTAGGGAATGTACCTAGGTACCTCAAGTATTATGAAGCACAAAGAATACAGGGACGCTAGGGGGGCGTAGCGCATCACAATTACGATTTTCCTCTTGAATAGCTGGCTTTGATTGGTCAAAATCGAGTCAAGCGAGGACTCATCGCCCACACTAACCAAAATCGGCTTTCTATGAATAAGTAGATGTGACATTATGAAGGCTTCAAAAGTTCTATATGCCACTTTAGAAAGGTCTACTTTCTAGATTGCTAACTAGAATCTGCTTGATTTCTCGCAAACTACAAGTTGCAAACTGGGAGTCATATCGTGAATCATCTAGAGAAAACATTGGAGAATGCATAAATCTAGAGAGCGCACCAATATTTCCCTGGTCTGCTCCATGATCCACCCATTCGTCTGAAGAAAATATCAAAATATCTACCTACCTTAATTCATCATGGCACCACTCATCATTCTGATACGCCACGGCCAAGCTGTACATAGTAAGTTTCTATATTAACTCTCACATTGTTATAATAGTCACTGACAGATTATAGATATTGATAATAAGTTAGCTCACAGCCTCCCTTTGAGTCATCATGAACTAACACAACAGATATATAGTTGGGTATTACGAGACCCAGCCCTGACCGATGCAGGTCGAGCCGAATGCAAGGTTCTCGCAGATAGACTTCAGCCGAAATTTCATTTCACCAAGGACGAATGCTGTATAGTTGTGAGCCCTCTGACCAGGACCTTAGAAACCGTCCAATACGGCCTTAAATGGCTTCGAGACCAGGGCGTTCCTGCCCAAGTTCGGGCAGAATGGCAGGTAAATTTTAGACCGGTTTAGAGCCATTCGCTCGGGGCAATCGCTGATTTATCTAGGAAACCACTGATAATCCGTGTGACGTTGGCGGTGAGCCCGGGCAGGTAAAGCAGCAATGGCCAGACTTCGATTTCTCGGATCTAGACCCGGTCTATCCTGAAAAGACGGGCTTGTACGAGAACTCGGAAGCTGCTTTTAAGAAAAGGGCCTACTTCGCTAAAGAGTGGCTCTATAAGCGTCCAGAGAAATGCATTGTCGTCGTCTCGCACAGAGGATTTCTGAGAAGAGTTGTCGGAGAACCGAGATTTGAGAACGGAGAATACAGAACATACAAATTAGTTCAGACTTCATCAGACTACCATCTCCAAGAGGTAGACCTCGAGTCTCAGCAGGAGGCGTAGACGTATTCTAACACGGCGAATCATCGAATAAATCGAAGGAATTGAGAAAAAGCAGCATGATAGATTTTCTGGGATGGGGAATTTGAGAATCCCATAAATCTTCCTGGTTTGGAAAAATATGCATTTTTGCGAGCGGGATGGTTGCATCAAACGAAAGCTGGTTACCTATAAATCATACAGTTGTATTCCAAAGCCGAAGGGAGGAGATATGATGGTCATCGCCCCTGACATTAATGAGAACAGTTGGAATAGGAAGAATGAAGTCCAATCATTAGGCATTAATATCGGAAGACACGCCGCGTCCTACGACACGTGTCACTTCTAAGGATTTTGATTCATTCATAGAGAATCGCGTTAAATGTTGCCGAAAAAATACCATAGGAATTCGATGTTTTGTAAATATCGAATTCCCTCAAACGAGCGGCATGCTCTACTCTCGCACTAGACTCATCCTTGAAGACGTGAGGGAGTAGTCGTCTCTGAGCAATCGAAAATGATTGAGAATCATGTGCTTAATGAATGTATGTTTTATTAAAAGAAAAAAAAAAAAAAGCTAAAAAATTCATCCCGCGCCAATACATGTAGGATACCTGATACCCAAATTACGTAAACTATTTATTATATAAGCAAGCAGCTGCTAGCGTGTGTGAGACCCTTATGATTTGTGGGCTGATTGGTTAGTCATCGGTTAGCATTGGTTAAGATTGTGTCGTACATATGCAGGATGTACGTGTGTAAAGTTTTTATGTTATGATAATTTCAAGAATATGATCCCACTTTACCATTTCCACAAGTATGCATATTGCATCTGATAGGGTCTTGTGTCTTCCTCTCCAACCTTGAAGCTCCATACATATTTCTTTAATTCTTAGTACATGACACTATTTGATTTCCAAGATTGCCTATCAACAATACTAACCTATGGAAAGAATAGCAATGTTCACCTTAGGCGCGGGGATAAATAAGTTGAAATAGATTTACAGTCTAGATCATCCCACTGCAGGATTCCCGGGTCTTCCATCTTACTCTAGTGTGCTGAGTCTGACGTCACCTAACCGAGAAAAAACAATATTGAAGAAAGACATTCTCATCCTTCAACTCTGGTTTAACACACACACCTTGATGGCTACCCGGACCTACCATACGATTCTATGCTCCCAACATTTATGCGACAGATCGACGAGGTGTCTTCAACCCCCTTAACGGCCCTGCAGTTGTGTCGTACTCAACCGCTCGCGTCTCTCCACCAGACGGGCCCGGTGATGGTCTAGCAGATCAACCCCGTTCAAAACCCCATTCAAACCCCATTGCAGATGACCTTAGCAGACCACAAGCGGAGGTCTCCCTTTAGGCAAGTGTGGGAGTGACCATTGTCGTGTGCGCGTGTGCCGATTTTATGTGGCACCTAGTTGTGTCCTACGATGTCTCAGTTGATCGAGCTCTTCTCTCCGCGATTCACCTCCTACACGTGCGGAATCCGACGCTGTGATTCGTCGCCTATTGTCAGCCTTCAGCCTCGTGAAAGGTAATCCGCTATACCTGGCCAGAGTATTTTAAAAACGCCACGAACCGCCTACTGTTTTGCAAATGAAGGGTGAATGATTCCGGGAAAGTTGCTCGAGTAATGTCCTTTTCGATTTTAAGACCTCAACTCAGGGACGATTACGTAGCATTTTAAAAACTCTTTGCCAACGATTTGGTTATCCACTTGTCACCGAACTCTTGGCTAAAAGGTACCTTTTATCATTTTTAGCTCTTACAACAGGTTTTATTGGGTCCCTAGGCGTACCGACTAGCCCTGTTTTGCGTCTGGTTGACGATCATTGGCATTCTTTTTTGAGTCTACAGCCGCCAATGACGGAATTCTCACAGCATTGAACACGACAGACTCAGAGACCCCTATTTTTACCAATTATTCTATCTATAACTCGACAACCACCTTGATATCTACCTCACCTCCCATGTTATGAGATTTTTCGCTTCTTACACCCCCCTGCCACAATTTCTGAGACCATCGTAAACGATTGAATATGGTACTCAAGAAGGCAGTGTGGTTATGGGCAGCTCCCAGCCTACTGACGTCTTTCGTCATAGGTGCGCCAACTGCCGAAAACCAGTATGCCCTGCAGGCAGGCGACGAGAGTAGCCACCCTACGTCGCAGCGCAAGTTGCACGGCAGATTTCTCCATATCACAGGTATTTGCTCCCAGATCTGGTTCAAACCACCACCACACTCTACACCATCTTCTATAATATTTCATTTTATTTGTCTTTTGACGCTAATGTCTCGTACCTTACATAGATCTGCACCCCGACGAACATTATAAAGTCCACACGTCTACCGAAGAAAATATTGCATGTCACCGAGGCCATGGCCCAGCTGGCACTTATGGCGCAGAAACTTCGGATTGCGATTCACCTCTATCGCTTGTAAATGTGACCCTCGATTGGATTACCGCAAATTTAAAAGACTCCATCGATTTCGTCGTCTGGACTGGCGATTCTGCCCGCCATGACAGCGACGAAGAAATACCCCGCCATAATAGCGAAATTCTTGCTATGAACCGCAGAATTGCTGATTCCTTTGTTAACTCATTTTCTGACGATAAAGGATTGGTGGTTCCTGTGGTTCCAACTTTCGGCAACAATGACATCTACCCACACAACATTTTAATGCCTGGTCCGAACAAAATCTTGAAATCTTATACCGACATCTGGAAAGATTTTATTCCAGAGGAGCAACGTCACTCATTTGAATATGGCGGCTGGTTTTACGTTGAGGTTATCCCGGATAAGCTTGCCGTCTTTAGTCTGAATACCATGTATTTCTTCGATCGCAACGCAGGTGTTGACGACTGCGCATCACCAAGCGAACCCGGATACCAACATTTCGAATGGCTTCGCATCCAACTACAATTTCTGCGCAAGCGCGGCATGAAGGCCATTCTCATGGGCCATGTTCCTCCCGCCAGGACCTCAGGCAAACAATTATGGGACGAAACTTGCTGGCAGAAATACACTCTTTGGCTGCAGCAATACCGCGATGTCATCGTCGGCTCCTTATACGGTCATATGAACATTGACCACTTCCTGCTTCAGGATACAAATGAAATCGACTTTTCCTTCCTCGAGGCCGAATCCGCTGATCAGCAGGTTAACACTCGCGAGTCCATCGAAGACGAAATCTCGGTCGCATCGAGCAAAGATTACCTCATGGAGTTGCGAGAAGACTGGGCTAAAATCCCCGACCCCGTAAAAGGCCCCGCCCTCGAAAACTCCGGGAAGAAGAAGCATAAGAAGTGGAAGAACAAGCTTGGCGGTCCTTACGCGGAACGATACCAGTTGACCCTCATTAGCCCCAGCGTTGTTCCAAATTATTTCCCAACCCTCCGAGTATTCGAATACAATATCACAGGCCTCGAAGATACGCCGACGTGGATGGACACATCGCGCATGTCGCACAGGAAGAGCGCATCGCTCCCCAAGCCCGAATACCGCGAACTAGAACTGCGCGACGTACCCGAAGTTGATATCGAGAAGAAAAAGAAAAAGAAGAACAAGGGCGAGAACGGCAAAACACCTAAACTACATGTGCCTGACCCGCCAGCTGAGGGCACCCCGCCGGGCCCAGCGTATTTCCCGCAAGCCTTGACACTTCGGGGGTTCGTTCAGTACTACGCCAACCTGACCTACCTTAACAATGACATCACCACTGGCGACGAAGAAGACAAGATGTCGTCGACGGGGTGGGATGCTGGCAAGCATAAGGACAAGAAACCGAAACATGATAAACCTAAGCCCAAGGAATTTGAATTCCAGGTTGAATACACTACATACGACGATCCTATTTACAAACTCAAAGATTTGACTGTTAGAAGTTTATTGCGACTCGCTCATAGAATTGGACAGACCTCCGCAGAGTCCTTAGGGCTGAGCGAAGATTTAGAGCAAGAAGAGGTAGACGGAGACGAAGACGAAGACGAAGATGATGTTAGCAAGGAAGTAGAATACCAAGATGAAGATCAAGACGAGGAAGACGAAGAATTTTCAGACGGCGATGTCGATGCCGAGAAGAAGAAGAAAAAGAAGGGCAAGGGAAAGCATAAGGGCGGCAAGAAGCAGAGGAACACCAAGATATGGCTCCATTTCCTAAAGCATGCCTTCGTCAGCACTAGAAATATGGATGAGTTGAAAGATCTCAAGTAAATAGACCTGCGGAATAGTGGGTATGGTTATGGTTTTCAGGCATGATAGGCGGGGTATGACTTCAAAGGGAGGAGTTATGGTTCGCATGGAGCGGCGCAATGGTTATAACTATCTATTGATATTATGGATGGAGACGAGATCGCATGAAGATGATGATTATTCGGTATATATGCGCGGCATGGCATTTACATATTTGGTTTCCAGTATGGTGGAATCAATCCGCCAGTGTACCTACCCATATGGGGGTTTAAACGAGTTTTTTTGGCCTGATCATCAGGTAGCATGGCATCAGTATCATCATTAGCATCAGCTAAGACGCATTTAGAGCGCGTTCGTTCAATGATATATATAATGTTAAATCAAGTTGAAAAAAGTTGTCATCATCATTATCAATCATCTGGTATCTAACTCCTCAAACATGCACTCCTTTTAGCTAGGAACTAGGGACTCCTCCATATACACATATAGATAGCTGTAGATAGATAGCCTAGTCGGAATCACTATCTGACGAAGAAGAGAATCCATTCCATTCTTCTTCCGTATCATCTAGCACGCCGACACCATTCTCACCATTTTGTGCCTCACCATCTTCGTCATCGTCCTCGGGCTCCTCAACTTCGAACGTACCAGAGATATCCCACCTATCACCAGGGGCGCGTCGGCTAACGTACTTGACGAACTTAAGCGCGCCACTATCACGTAGGACGAGGGACATTTTATTCCAAGAAGCAGCTTCAAAGAATAGGATATTGTCGCCGTCATCACCTCCACCCGACTTATATATAGCAGCGTCTTCGTCCGCGGCATCGTCGTCGCCGGCCATGTATACTTCATGACCGCCGACTTCTCCCGCTTCCTGTTCTTCTTCATCTTCCTCCTCTTCGACTTGTTTCTTCCCCTTCTTGTTCTTGGTTGGTGCTTCTGTAGCCTTAGCCTTACCCTTTGCTTTGCCGTTAGACTTACCACTCTCGCCGTTTTCTTCTTCAGCGGCAGACTTTTCGGCGTCTTCGTCATCATCGCCACCCCATCCAGTAGTCGGCGTGATGCCCAAAGACAGTTCTAAGCGCGGCTTGCCTTCGTGCCCGGTCGCAAGTGTGTAGTCCTTCCCTTTTCGGAAGCGCCGGGCGACGAAATCATGGCTCTCGATCACACAATTGGTGGCGATCTGTAACCATCGGCGGAATTGCGAACTTGGAAGGAATTCCTCCAATAGTTCTTTAATAGGCGACTCTTCTGTTGATGCGGCTCCATTCTTCTTCTTGGAGCCGTCTGCTTGAAGATATAGATATCGGTGCTTATGAGGCGGCTTTGCGACCCGCCAGGGACCCTTTTCGATTTCTGTGCTGTCTTCTGGTAGGGGTGTACTCTCTTGAGCAGCGACGTAGTCCTTTAGTTTCTTGGCAAACTTCTTGCCTAAGAGATTAGGCAAGGTTATAGTCGACTCTTCGTCGAATTGTTCCGAGATCTGCTCGAGGGTGTCGGGTGTGAGGTAGGTCGGGGCCATATACTTGAGTAAAAATTCTAAGTCGGCTTCGTCGAACTCCTCTTGGGAGCTCAATTGCGGTTGCTCAACAGCGACGGGGTTGAGTTGTGGCAGGTCGTACTGATCTGGGTTTCCTTGCAGTTGCATTAAGCCACTGTTCTTGGCCAACTTCTCTTCGGCTCCCTCGACATATCCATCTTCTCCGATTTGTGGGATGTGGAACCAACCGCTGATTGCCATACGGACTCTGCCTCCCTCCTTTTCAAGTTGTTCCTTGCTTTGAGCATGGTATACCTCCTCAACATCGTGGAAGCTCTCGCCGGGTTGGACGGCAAAGAAACTCAGCTGGTTCCAAGCGGGTGGGATTACTTTAGAAATATCCGGCGATGGTGTTTTCGCGACTTGACCATCCTTGTTCTTGATCATTCGTACGGGGAACAGCCTTAATGCGCCGCCCCACTCGGCCTTCCAAGGGATGTCGGGATCGGTTAAGTAGAGGATGTAGCTGACTTTTCGGCTGCCGATAACGTCGTCGTGACATAGGAGATAGCACCCCGGAGTGTAGACATTAATGGCCATATCTGTCTTCCTACCGCTCAGGGCGCCGCACCCAGTGATGTGGGCGACGTAGTCTCGGAACGCCTGGGAGTACATTGCGTCTCGAAGGGCAAGTAGGGAAGGCAATTTAGCAAGAGCTTCGTCGTCCAAGCCGTCAAGGTTCGCAAGGTCGCCGGATTGGTGGATCTTGTAGATATCCGTTTCTTTGGGCGTGAAGGAGACATTGTTCTTGATCTCCTCGCGGACAGATCGTAGTAGGGTATCGTCAATAAGCCCGTGGATAACGCTGTGCTTGTACGGTGTAGATTTGGCATAACCCTGGGTATATTTATTTAAAACGTCCTTGTCGAAGAGACCCTTCCTAAATCTCTTTTTGGCATCCTCATTGCTCAATGCTGTGGTGGTAGTCAGTGGCTCTGTTGCAAAACTTTCTAATAGGATCGTACGATGCGTTCGTGCGATCTGTTAGGTAGGCGACTTACAGATTTTGGACTTTTTCTTCATGGGTTTGTGGTCTGAAACTTGCGATTGGGCTTTGCGCTTCATTGTGGAAAGGCAATTGGGGATTTATAGTGACGAATTATGTAAATTGAAAGTTTAGGAAGCTTGAGGAAGTTTAAAGAGACTATAACAACTATAAGTTGGCAGAATCCGTAGCTTCCACTTTGCTAAATCGACTGATGACGGGTTTCCTCGTCGCACTTTTCAATAACGGAAGAGCCAACGGCAGAAAAAAAGAAAGCGGGCCGCACTAATCCTATTCTTCCTTTAGCTTATTAGCTTCTTAGCTTCCTCTCAAGGTTTCAACCCATCGAAGCTTGTGTGATCTTCACCGCCCGTCCCGCCTGACCCACCATTTAGTTTATCGACTGATTTGATAATTGATATGCCCCCAAGACCCCATAACCTTACCTGTTAGGTACCCCTCCTACCCTCCTATTCCCTATACCTATTCCGTGCGCTCCCCTGACTTGACCTCCCCTTAACCGCTATGGCTACTGCAACTACCTTGAATTTTCTTCCCTTTCAGCACCAATAGATCACTAAATCTCACCCAAAGATGTCTGAATACGGCTTGCATGATGCTTCAAGCGCCCATTCATTCCCGACTTACAGGATCCCGTCTCTGTTTTACTGGATGTGAACGGATGCCATTCCAAGCCATGTATATATAGATTATGCACTATGCATACCTATGTTCCTCTTTGACACCCTTTCTCCTTTTTCGACACCTCTGTAGCGGGTCCCCATTGGCGGTTAACCCGTCAAATTCGGCACTTTTGCTCTAATCGGAGTGATGAATGAGCGCTATGTCGGTATAATCACGTTATATTCGTGGACAGTAGGCTTGCGCCGAAGTGTACACCGCCCGTGGAGAGAAACCCTCCTATAGTTGTTGTAGGGGTTGTGTTACGCACCAGCGGCATCACCTTCGATATAGAAAATCTTGTAGTGTATGATCCATATACGACCTCGAACATATTACACCTCTAGGTGAAGGATGGGTCGTAGTGCCAGGCTTACCAAGCAGGCATTGGATACCTAGTAGAAGTTAGAGATGCATTCCTATTATCTCTATAAAGAATAGCAACAACGGTCAACTTTCCAATTCATACTGGAATCTGACCATCATGGGACTCCTTATGGTTCGGATTCCCGTCCGCATTTTCTATAGGAAAAAATTTCCGTCCGTGGGGGATTTGGCTGTGTACCGTACGTCAATTCCTATTCCGTGTCTAGTGGCTTGACCCCCAAACTGTTCGGGTGTGAGTAAAGCGGACGGGTCGTTATCCGCGCCAAAAGCAAAAATCCGTAATGCTATGTTAGGTCTACCCTACTAGGATCTATACATCTGGCATCGCAAGATACAACAGACTAACTCTGATAATAAGAAGACTGATTGAGCTTCGATTTGATAAGATTTTAATGTCAGGTTTCGATAGTGCTTGATGTCCCTCTTTGCCCCTATACGTCTCAACAATCGTGGAGTGACTACATGATTGTCAATGCCCAAGAATTGGGTCGGAATTCGGTGCGTCAAACAAGAGACCGTTTGGCTATAATATGGAATACCTACATGTAGTTAGAGAAATGGATGAATTGCAATCTATCTTAGGTACTTATGAGACATAATATTCATTCTAAGTCTACACCCCTATTCACGAAGCCCCTTTTCTATCGGCACCGAAGATCGTACTCTCTGAGGTATAACACCGCCTATTGGAAAAGCCCAGAAAAGCCAATTTACTTTAAATCCTGTCTCTCGAAGAACGATTCGTCTGTAAGGTTCGCCGGTGCTAGTTAGTGACCATCGCCGATAGATACCTACCTAGGTAGATAGGTATAAGCATCTAGGCCCTGTCTCTCATAGCCTAGGGAGTATGCACTTTCCGATATACCAAGGGCATCTATAATGACAAAGTATTAGGGGATTGGTATTTTAAGGAGGACCAGTTTAGTTCCAGGAGTGAAATGCCAATTAGGCATGATAGCGTAGTTCTTCTCTTCATCGACACCTGCTCGACTCATAGAAAACTTGAGCACAACGAGATTGCTGACCATGTTTCTCAAGCAAACAGCAGTCCCTAAATTAAGCATATCATGAGAATTTGAGATTTTTGTATGTTTAAAATATTACCGTCAAACATAGGGTAGCTACTGGCGGTTACATGAAGCCTATATGTGTACCTAGACAAAACAACCGCGCGTTGTGTGCCGTAGTATAGGGGCTATGAGGTAGTGCGGTAGGTGTTGGAGAAGTTGGCCAGATGTAGGTAATAGGCCCCCGCATGGACGTCATTAGTCGGGCTCTAAACTGCGTAGCGCTTAGGTTCCAGGTTATTGGGTTATGTACCTAGATAGACTTGTTACTATTTCAAGTATAATAAGATACTCTGACGAATGGGATATTTCTTTAATTATATAGATGAGCTAAGTATACGAAGCAGGTTGATACTTATATTCAGATTACTTCGAGATTGAGGCGGTTATACGCACCCCAATGAGCTATCGGAAATACTTACTATAGAAGAAGAGCAGGACAATGGCTAACTTCGACATCGAAGCCACGAGAGCTAAGTTCCCGGCCCTGAAGGAAGATCAAATCTTCCTCGACAACGCAGGAGGAAGCCAGGTTCTCGGCACAGTTATCGAAGCGTAAGTAAGACAAGATCGCCAGTACCTCGGTATCCAATTAGCAAAAAGCAAAAGCAACTGTACTAACTGGAACTAGTATAAGCGACTATCTGATCAAAAGCAATGTTCAATTTGGGGGCGGTTACAAAGCCAGCAAAACCTCGAGTTCCCGCTATGACAGCGGAGTTACTGCTGGGGCTAAATTTCTAAACGCTCAGAAGGATGAGATAGGTAGGTTTCTTGACGACTTGTACGCGTAGTTGCGAATCTAATTATACGTCGAAGCATTTGGCTCCTCCTCCACTCAACTTCTCCGCAACCTCTCCTTCACCTTCGAGTTCCAGGAGGGCGATGAAATCGTAGTGTCGGCTATCGACCACGAGGCCAATATCGCGTCATGGAAAGACCTCGCCGAGCGGCGGAAGCTTACCATCAAGTGGTGGGTTCCACCGGGAAAAGAAAAGGGTGAAACGAACCCGCTACTTCGAGCGGGGGACCTCAAGGCCCTACTGTCCCCTCGGACGAGATTAGTTACTTGCACACATGCGAGTAATGTGCTAGGCACGATCCACGATATCAAGTCTATCGCAGAGGTCGCTCATACTATCCCCAATGCTCTACTCTGCGTCGATGGTGTCGCGTATGCGCCACATAGGCCCGTCGATGTGAAGGACCTCGGTGTTGATTTCTATGTTCTATCTTGGTACAAGATATTCGGTCCTCATGTAGCCATGTTGTACGGAAGTCGTAAGGCACAAGAGCAAATGCGCACACTGGGCCACTTCTTCAATCAACACGCGACGCTCGAGAACAAGATCAGCCTGGGTATGTGCAAACCATTTCTCACTCCTTTTCTGGAGACATTCACTCAGATACTTTCCCCCTCCCACTAACCCACACACAGGAAGCGGTTACTACGAGCTCGTGCAATCCCTCCCCCCAATCCTAACCTACCTCGGCCCACCCACCTCGGGATCATGGGGCTCCTTCGATGTCCAAGAATCGCTCCTCCAGACGACCCTCCTAGACTACCTCAACTCCGAACCCGACACCATAACCGTCTACGGCGAGCGAAACACAGACGGCCGCATCCGGCTTCCAATCATAAGTTTCAAAGTCTTGGGATGGGACTCGCGGGAACTAGTTGAGGAGCTTGAACGTACTACGAATTTTGGTTTCCGCTGGGGCGCGTTTTATTCGAATTGGCTGGTTAATGAGTATCTTGGGTTGGGGAGTGATGGGGTGGTTAGGGTTAGTATGGCGCATTATAATACTTGTAAGTCAATGATTCTTAAGAGAAGGGGGATTGGTTTGAATAGTATGGCTAACGAGATTGCGTGTGTAGTGGAAGAGGTCAAGGGGTTTATTGCCGCGTTTGATGCGGTTATATCGAAGAAGCCCAACTAAGGAGTTGAAGCGGATGGCGTCTACGCCTTCGCGTCTATTGAGTCGTCGGGTTATTAAATCTCGAATCTGCAGGAAGCGATTTCGGTTATTGGAGGCAGTTGAGAGTCCCAGCTGCCCGATATATATAAAGGTATTTGGTAGTAAAGAATATAATTAGGTCAACTAACCTGATATATATGGTATCCAAAACGCGATGCGAAATATTTATATTCCTATATCTAACCAATCCACCACTCGCCCCTGCTTTTTACACAACCCATATACCCTATACGCCCGCCTACTTAATGTGCTCCAACCCGCTTGCTCTAATATCCAAAGCGTCCTCTTCAGTAATTCTCCATTATAGCCTTCCTCCACTCTTTGAATCGACGGACGTTCTTAGTAGCGAAATAACCTCAGCGGGGTCCTTGGCACCAAACACAGCACTACCAGCGACAATCACATTTGCGCCTGCGTCAGCGGCCTGGTCGATAGTACCGGGGCCGAGACCACCGTCAACCTCGATGTTCAGATCGGGGTATTTTTGGCGTAGGGCTTGGACCTTTGGTAGCTCCGATGCCATGAACTTCTGTCCGCCGAATCCGGGCTCGACTGTCATGATAAGGACCATCTGATCACCGAATCAGCTACTCTGCTCGACATTATGATTAGGAGGAAGAAAAGACGTACATCAGGTCGTTCCTTCGGATCCGAACTCTCCAGCAGTTCAGTCAGAACCTCAACACCAGTCATGGGTTTCAACGCAATACCGGCTAGTAGTCCGAGGTCGTGTATGTACCGTATTAGCTCTTTAGGGTTCGTCTTCGCGTCCGTCTTAGCTTCGGGGCTCTCGGCAGCGCTCGAGAAGGCGGCTTCGTAGTGGAAACAGTAGAGATCGCAGCCTGCCTTTTGGAATTCCTTGACCCATTTCTTGGGCTGTAGTTATTTTGTCCAATGGACTTTTAGTTAGCGAATTGCATTCTTTAATGTGTCTTTTCGTAGTATGTGATACTGTATAAGTAGAAATAGGGGCAAAAATGGTATATAATCATGGAAGGGAAGGATAAGAGCGCAATGACATACCTCCGCGATCATCATATGGCAATCAAACGTCCCACGCCCATACTTGCCCTCAGGCTTATCAACGTGTTTCCGAATCTTAGCAACGACCGGCGCGCCGAAAGTGATATTAGGTACGAAGTGACCGTCCCTACAACAAACCCCAATATTAGCCCTCACCATCCAAGTCTAGCAAACGCGCATTCATATGATAATATATATGCAAGGGCCCGACCTCTCCAACCTTCCAATCCAATTATAAAAGCAGATACCGATCAAGGGAAAAACTCGCATCGTACGCACATAATATCCACGTGAAGCCAATCGGCGCCCTGTTCCATAGTCCTCTTGCAGTCGGCGCCCAGCTGGGCAAAGTCGGCCGATAGGATCGAAGGCGCTATTATCGCCTTTGGTGCCATGGTGCTTTTTTTTGCTTTTTCTTTATTCGGTTGTATTGTTTGAAATAAGAATGGGTCTCTTTATATCCCGAAGGACTTTGATAGCTTGGTTATGAACTTTTGGTAGTGAATTTGTTGAAAATGAAGACACAGACGTCACAGAAGAAATACATGGCGGGGCAGCGGTGACATAGTGGGGGTTTTGGAAGGTGGGACGGAACCCCTCATCCCCTAATTTTCTATTCTCCCCGCTGGGTCTTACTGAGGCCCTCTATCGTTCATAACTATAACTTACTCAAGAAATATAGGTGAGTTGTATCTATCGTCACGGAAAATAAATCATATAAAATAGGGTAAATAGAATCAATATACTCTATTAACTGTGGACTTTTGTCTAGAGCCTACCAGCTCTTAATCAACCATCAGTGATTGGCTCGTAACACTAATAAACCATGCTCTCTAGACTTTTTGCTCGGGATACTAAGGATATTTACTCTTCCTCAGCAGCCGCCTCTGCGATAATCTCCTCCTCGCCATCCTCATCAAAGCTACCAGCAGGCACCTCGTATAATCGAAGGATAGACTTGTTGGGATCCTTGACGAGGACAAATTTGCCGTCATTACGCTTGAGACACATGTCGGCGATGGTACGAACAATACCCCAACCGTTGGAGAGAGACAAAGTCATCTGGTTAGCAAAATCCTTGGGTTTCCAGCCAATAACTCCCAGGATTACGTGCTTGTCGTTTGACTTCGGGTTGGCACGAGAAACGAAACTGGAAAATGAGTTAGTAAAATACTCTACAATCACAATATAAATGAATAAGGAACATACCCAAGCTTCATAACATCCGCCTTGGAGAGGATGCTTTGTACGGTCCATCGAGCAAGCTTGACACTGTTGTTCTTCATTTCCGTTGCTACAACAGCACCACGTTGAGTGAATAGCTTGGTTCGCCAATCCAACGCACCACCACTGCCCTGTGCCTTGTTGTCGAACTCGTTGAGAGCCTTTACAGTGACGAACTGGTCTTCGCCGCTGATAGCGTTCTTTTGAACAGCGTCGAGCTCGGTTCGGACAATCAGATACATCGGGTCCTCTTCGCTGGTGGAAAGGTCGAATCGGCGGTACTTGTACGCCTTGCTCGCGGGGGGTTCAGTCTCTTCAGAAGCGTTGTAGAATGGGTTGTCATGTGTCATGTGGACCTTCTGGTGCTCATTCTCCAAGACAACCTGGTTCGCAAAGTTGTGGTTGATATAAGTAGCCTCTTCCGCCAGTGCGCCAGGCTGGTTAATACCGTCCTTGTTGCCGTCTGAAGATTCAAAAGGTGCATCGGCAGCATTTTCGTTCACTGTTACCATGTCAAGAGCAGCATTATCGCGCTTGTCAAGGAAAATCTTGTTGCCTTGCCTAACAATGACAATATCCCAAGGGTAAACTGAGCGGGTGGAGCACATGAGCATAGATAGGATGCTGTCGGTGGCAAAGATAGTTGCTTCTTCCTTGTCGGCTAGTTCCTGGATAACAGGATCCGAAGAGGTCGTGACGTTGTAAGCGGCACGATCGAGGGGTACCAGTCTCCTCTCAGCCGTCTTAACAGGTTGCTTGTCGTAAGATCGGTCGTAATAGTATAGGAAACCATAGCTATCCATATCTTCTCCCTCATCAGCGTCGAGGTTTAGCTTAGCAAGTCTGTTGAAATCAATCTCTTCCAACAACTGCCAGTCCGCCTTGATGTTGATGGATGCATCGCGATTTCGGGCCGGCTTGTCGTAGTCCTTCCATCCAAAGCGGCGACCACGAGGCGCATTAGAACGTCCACCACGGCTGTCGTATCCGTAGCCTTGCTGGCCACCACGTCCAGGGCGTTGCGGCTGAGCGCGACCACCTCGTGTATCTTGGCGGGCACCCCGTTGTCCGCGACCACGCGTGAAGACGGCTCCCCGACCATATCGTGTTTTGGTGGTTTCTCGGCTAACAACGGAGAAGGTGTTTTCGTCTTCGGCGAGAGGGGCAGTGAAAAGCTGTGCGCTGCCTGCACCGTAGATCTGCTGGTCTATATTGATATAATTATTAGCATTTAAGACCAATAGCTAGCATAATTGAAGATGGAGTTTTCCATACCTCTAAAGTTGCGGTTGTATTGTTGTCTACCGCCGCGACCATCCCTAGAGTCCTTGCTATCTGCTGTCCAATCTGCCATACGACCCAGCTTGTCGCCCTTGGAGAAGGGGGCATAAGGTACGCCATTCAAGGTGGTGTCGGTTACGGTGGGAGGGCCCCATCCATCGCCCTCGGGCAAGGCCGCGATGAGGTCGGCCAAAGAAGTAGATGCCATATTGGATTATACCAGAAATACGATATTTTTAGAGGAGATTCGCGCCGAAGTATTACTGGGTTGGTGTAAACTACCTCGATATCGTTTTTCTATGAGGTGAAAGTTGTCGAAATTTTAGCACAAGGCGAATATTTTCCCGATAAAATCAGATCTGGTTTGGTGGGGTGTGGGGCATTAAGTACTTAGGTACATATTTTGATAAAAGCGGGACGATCCTGTCGTCTGTGCCTTCCGACCAATAAGGTTTCAATAGAGAGAGTTCGATGTGGATACTCTTAGAAACAGTAGACCGTCGATTTAAACTTAGAAAATACAACATCTTTTCCTCTCCTCGATTTTACAACACCAACTAACTGCCTAACGATGACTTTCTTTCACGCTATTTTAGAGTTGATCTTCATATGCTGTTTTAGCAGTTCTAAGACCTCGTTGTATCCTTCATAATAAATATCCTTATCACTATCCGTCTCATCATCCGTAACCACGTCCGGAGGATAATTGAAACCTCTTGCTTTACCAGTATTCGAATCATCATTTCGACCAGCGCGTCCTTCTCTTAGGCGTCGAGAAACGATATCTAGCGGCGTCTCGCCTATGTTGGTCCCCACATAGACATTTGCATTCTTCTCAAGCAGGTATTTAACCATGTATTTATCTCCTTTATTGCAGGCAGCGTGTAGAGGCGTCCACCCCTCATTGTCCTGTGCATCTATATTTGCCTTGTTCTCGACCAAGATTGTAAGCAGGTCCAAATAGTCTATCGTGCCTATGGGATGGCGTAGAGTATGCAACGGTGTTTGGTTCCGGTTGTTGCGCGCCTCTATATCTGCCCCTTTTCCAAGTAAGAACCGAATAAATTCCTTATCAGGCATCTGGCAGGCCCTATGTAGAGTTGTGTTCCCTTTGAAGTCGCACGCCTGTAAATCGACGCCAGCATTGAGTAGGAATGCCGCCTTCTTAATGCTCAACTTATCCGGAAAGACGTGGTGTAATGCGGACCGGCCGAAATTGTCTTGTGCGTATAGATTGGCGCCATGGTCGAGTAATAATTCCAGCGTTGCCCTGCCACCTTCCAAGTCATAATTGTAGCTTCTAGCGGCTGCCATGAAAGGAGTCACGCCCTTCTTATTAGGGGTGTGAATAGATGCACCAGCTTGGATGAGTACTGTGACAACGGCTGTTTCGGAGTATCGGCACGCACCGTGTAAGGCAGTGTTACCATACTTGTTCGTCGCCGATATATCGGCGCCATTTCTAAGTAGTAATGCGACAGTAGCTGCTCTTGAACCTTCGCAAGCCTTATGCAAAGGCGTATAGCCATTCTGGTCCCGAGCATTGACGTCAGCACCACTGTATAGGAGGAACAGAATGTTCCAGTTCGCATTCCTGACCAGATGCAGTGGTGTCTCTCCCCTTAGATTCCGCGAGTCTGGACTCATACCACTGTCCACCAAAGTTTTAATAAAGCTACATTCGTAAGCCGATTGGAAGAGATTAGATAATGTGTTCACTTCGTTATTAATGCGAGTAGCTTCTAACGATTCAAGTCGATACCGTCGCTCTAGCGCTTGCAATTGTGGAGTATTGTCCTCGATCCACGCCATATGATGGAGAAGGGTTTCACACTTCGTAGTGTATATCGCTCCCGCAGAAAGGAGATATCGCATGCTGTCCGAGGAGCGGTAGAAAGTTTTACGTATTAAATAGTCAAGAGGGGTGAGATCGTCTTGATTTTTAGCATTGACATCGATGCCCCGGTCAATGAGAATTTTAACGATAGCATGATGTTCTTGATCTATAGCAACAAGGAGCGGTGTCTTTTGTTGTGCATTTTGGGTATCGACCTTGACAGTATATTCGAGGATGTATTCGAGGCAATCGATGTATCCCATAAATACAGCGAAGAATAATGGTTGAAGACGGGTTTCCGGTGGAGATTCGTCGTCCGATGTATCATTACTATCATCATCTGGGCTCCCTAGAACCTTTGGGATTCGAAAACCAGTTTCGTCATTCTGGACGGTATGTCTTTGGAGAAGGCGTAAATGACCGAATGCAGCAGCCAACGATGCAATAGTAATCGAGCCGAAAAATTCATCCTTCCCTTCAGAATACTTGATGCATTCATATCCGTATTCTAAAGCCTTGCCCCACATTCGCCGTCCCCTCTGTAGCCGTACAATCATCACTAACCACGGCTTGGTGATCGGCGGCTTATCGTCGAAGAAAGAAAAATAAGCAGCGTCAAATTTCGAATTGATATCACGAATCGCCCCCCCTTCGAACTCTTGGGCATTTCGAAAGTGTTCCAGCCAGTGATCCATCACGTAATAGAGGAAATGGAATTGGCGATTTTTGTAATGGTGGGTAGATATCCCACGGGAAGTAAAGGTATAGAAAGATTCACGATCTATTGATGCAAATATTTCCTTGCTAAAAGGATTACTTTGAAATATATCTAATGATAGATATGCTATACAGCTTTCTGCCATTGAGCGGTACGCCTGTGTCATCGTGGTAGAATGCTTCCATTCGCCGGGCTGGTCGGACCTGTATTCAATGGTGTTGGCCGTGTCCTGGAGTAGGAATTCCTTTGCTGTTTGGTGTATGAAGAAGACCTTGTCGTCATATTCAGTGACGAAAAATCCACAAGTCTGGACTAACCATCTACGAAAATTCCCATCAGAAGGATGATCTATCTCATCTTCTGAATAGGCGTCCATGTGATCTCGCACATATATGGCGATGTTCACCTCACTCAAGGTAAGGGGGCGTTCTGCCGCGAGAATTAGGTCTAGGAGGACTTTTACTCGATCTCTGTCGTTAGGCTTTACACGCTCTAGGAGCTTCCTGTATGCTTCGAAGATGCTCGTTGGTGGGTTTTGAATCAGTTTCTCCCATCTCTCCCGGGTATCCTCGTAGTTCTGGTCTAAGGCGGCAAACACCAGGCTGACCCACAGGTAAGTCCTCTGCTCCAGTCCATGATCCTGGAACGCCTTTCGGATTAGATTTTCTTTCTCTGGCGATAACCTATTCTGACGGGAGAGTTTGGTGAGCCGATGCTCTACAACCAGGTTGATTTCTCTCTGTATCTGGCTCTTCTCCTCTTTATTTTCTCCGGAGAGATGGATACAAGTAGGTACAAATTCATTGAAGTTATCCAAAATCCATGGATAACCTCTTGTAGTGACGAGAAACTTGATACGAGCTTTCTGAGCGGGGGAAGGTAGGTAGAGTGAACGTAATAACCCCATCAGTATACGGCAATCTCTTGGGTCACATTCATCTAAAGCGTCCAGTACGCAAATAATCTGACCGGCGTCTTGTTGGTTAATCGCTTCTTCAAAGATACCCCACAATGCTGTAGAATCGGAAAGAATCTTTAGTCCACCATCGTTGATTCGATTTTCGCAGCGGCTAGCCAAGAAGTTTTTCGAAGAAAACAGTCGATGAAGCAAAGCACATATTGCGTTTGGAAGACTTCGTTCTTCCGGGGAGTCTTTGAAGAAGAAGTAACACACAGTAGCGGTTGGGTCATTAGACATAGGAATATTTTCAATTAGGTGACGGGAAAGCACAGATTTCCCGCAACCCGGATCCGCCGAGACAAGGAGCAATCCATTGGCCTTTCCTTGCCATTGCTTGAACATTTCATGTGTCCGAAACCACTCGCATGTCCCTGGGATATGATCCGGGTTGAATTTCATCCGTTCCTCGTAGTTTAAATTTGTTTTGAATTTGCCCGTGAGGCGGCTCTGGTGATGTGCCTGCTCGGTTTGCTGATTTTCCAGAGTTGTCTTCAATAGAATACTTTGGTGTTCAGAAATTTGCCGAATATCGCTGATGATCTCGCCAAGTTGGTCATTCGAATGTGATAACTTATGGAGATGCCGGACGAACTCTCCACTGGCGTATTGTGTCAGATCGTCCCTGAAATCAACCTCTAGAAGTTTAATCCTTTGCAGTCGGCCCTCCCAGTCATCAAAACCAATTATCGTCTTCATGTCTCGTACAACTGGGTGGTTGTGGTAGCAATATACGACACTCAGAATCTCATATTTCAATAGGGTCATATAGAGATTGGTGATTTTTTCCTCGAGCTTATCTCGTAGTCTCGTTGAGTGAGTGTTAATTTTTGCATTATCTTCAAGTAGTGCGTTGGACAGGTCCGCATACCAGTCCATTCGAGACATGATATAACTAAGACCATCCATAACCATATTACGGGCAGCGAGGGGACTAGTCAGGATCTATAAGCGCATGAGGACGATAATCCATACGTCGTGGAAAGTGAGTGGAAAGTGAGTATACGCACTGGAAGAGCAGCACAAATTCCAGACCATGCCATGGCAGCCGGTGGGTAAGATTGTAACGCATTGCTGATAAAACCATTAAAATTTGTGACAAATGCTACGACCTCGATAACACCATCTCTAAGCTCCTTGCGCTTTTCCCATTTCTCAATCGACTTGAAAACTACATTTCTCATGCGTTCGAAACGTATCTGTTCAGTGCAATCAACAAATAAGTTGACAGTTGCAAATGTTACTGAGGCAATGCCGTCTACGTAGGTCAGTACTAGTTGAATTGTGTAAGGCAAGCTTGTGTACCTTCTAAGAATTGATTGCTCAAGATCTTCTCATACGTTTCTACTAGCTCGTGATCTTCTTCTTTAATGGAATTATATGCCTTATTCCAAATATTAAGTGAGATATCTAAGCCCGTGGGAGAGGACTCAGGTCGGTGTTGGATATTTTCGTTAAGATTTGATTCTGGCGACACAATTGCCTGGCTTGGATTCCGGGCGTCATGTTGGGGTTGGCGATCTCCAATATGAGGGGTTGCAGTGCTGGCAGCCTGTTCTGGTTTTGATCTTCGGCTCCGTCTGAGGGAGTTAAATAGGCTCCTAGGTGATTTGAATTTCGGGTTACGCATCGTGCTACTGATCTGTCGTTTTTTGCGGCCAAAAGTTCAATTCTAAAAGAACTCTGTTGTTACCCCTAATGCTGTACTAAGTGTGATTAAAACTTGAAGTGATAGTCGGCGGCCTCTATGGGGTATCTGCTCATTAGAGGGGGAATATCAATGAAAAATCCCATTGGATGATTTGTTGCTGACACACTGCCACGCCAGCTACTGTATTGGCCATTCAGCGATGCACATACCTTGGAGAATCAGCCTCGATCCTGCAACTACCTAGGTTGGTAGATATCTGCACATACAAAACGACCATACACGTGAATACCTAAGCATATTATGGGTGATGCGTAGAAATGTGCAATAGCCGATATTTGTCCCCTGACAGTTGAAAATACTGTAATTGATGGAATAGACCTCTAATTCTCCGTATCTGCAATGCATATCGCACATATCGCATACAAGTATCGAGATGTACAACCTCTCGACGATCCTATCCCCATTATCGCAACCGCAATGATCGCCATTATTACAATCGCTATCATCAACGTCGCATTAACCTATAAAACATATACAAGGTAACTCATGGATATTAAAAATAGGTGTGTTGAGGCAGTGTTGGAGTAGCCAGCCCCAATTCATCTAATAGGCTATGCCCACCTCTGGCTTCGCTGAGAACACGGCATTGAGAGCGTCCCGCACCTCGAACTCCTCCATCACAGCTCCGAATCTAGAGAAGAGATCAGCATGCATACACACACACACATAAAAAGGGGAAAGGCAACGGGAACAAATAAATGACAGTGGGTCGTACCCGTAACACCGGACTTTACCCTTGAGATCGTCGATCAACCTCTCGAAATCCTCCCTCTTAAGGTCCGTCAGCCTCGGGTGCGCAAGCACCATACCCCAGGCCATAACAGGGGTAATCTCCCCATCGAGGTCCAATTTCTTGCTCAAGTCAAGAAGGGTAGTAAGGTCGCCCTTGGACAATTCCCACGTGCGTGGTTCCGATTGGGGGGCCTGTGGCTGCTGCTGCTGCTCCTTACCAAGGGGATTGGTGGTGGAGGATGCGGGCTGGGTAGGTGCATACCCGAACGGGATCTCGTCGTTTAGCTCTGGGAACGGCTCCGGGGGACACGACGCCATGAGCGCGTGGCCGCAGGCGTCGCCCGCCGTGTCGCACGCGCGCTCCAGCAGCCACGGCATATGGTCCATGCAGGGCCTCTCGAGCCTATATATAATTCGTGCCCCGTCAGCCAACAATACACCCTTCTATCTAACTCTGTCTCTCGCGCGTGAAATTTACATTTTTATCTTTCTTTCTTTTTTTTCCGTGAGAGGGCAAAACAATAACACATCGCTTTTTTGTAGGTATGTGGGTGGGTAGAAATGTAACTTAGGATGATGTGTTATATGCCATGCCCTTCACTTCATTGTGGGGGAGGTGATATGTAGGCCTTCGAGGGGTCATCGGGGTTCTCGTACGTTAAGACGAAATCTATCCCAGCTTGTTCGTAATCCACACGATTCTGCGCAGGCGGTTGTTGCTGCTGCTGGCGAGCTCCGGGCTGGCCTGCAATGCCTTGTGATGATAAAGACATCGACGGGGGGCTTGATATCGACGTCAATGGCGGGGTATACGCCGTATTAGAGCTTCCGGGCGCATAGCTACCCGAGATGCTACCGCTAGACGTATACCCGGGACTTAAGCCGTTGCCGACTTCGTCTAAGCCGGCAGCTACGCCGAGCGAGATGCCGTTCTGTTGTAAGAGGGTCTTGAGCTGCCTGTTTTCATCGGCGAGCTTGTCCTTGTCTTGCGAGACGTTGCTATAAATCTCCTTCAATCGCAGCACCTCGTCCTCGAGCGCCTTTATGTATAGTTCTTTACGTTCTCGGTGTGTCCTACCGAACAATTGAATCAGCACGGGACGTAGTGAGACAGCACTAATGAAACCCTGTTATACCTTTGCGCCTGGCGGTTCAATTCTTGGCGGCGCGTTAATGCCGGCTTGCTATCGGGTTTCGGTCCGCGTCGCTTGGGCGGGTTGCCATCGCGGGTGGTCCTCTTGTCGTTCAACGACTTGAGGAAATTGAGGTTTAGCGACGAGAGCGGACCCTTATCGCCCTGCGCGGCCTGCGAATTCGGCGGTGGCGACGACGAGGACGACATCGAGACGTACTCGTACAGCGAACTTAGGGACGGCTTATGGTCGGTGGGAGAGTAGTGCGTCGGGGGCGACGGATAGCCGGCTGCTGCGGGTCTTAGGTCAGTCATTCTGCCCCCGATTCATTGGAACGAACTCGACGATGGAGTGCGCGATCCAAAGCCCGGAGATGATGGGAAGTATCTAAATATGGCCCATTTGGGGCACAAATTGATGGGACGCACTTCATATATGCTGCTTCGCGGAGCGGGGTGAGAAGGTTACATACTAGATGAATCGCCTACCACACTTTTCGATTCAGCCTTGAATGGTTCGTGGGGACGGTTCCCTATTGGGATGTGGAATGATCGTTTCTAGCAGTCGAACGGCTTTGGTAGGGACGCCAATATGCAGAAGTGTTATATAAGATATAAATTGCGCCGCGTGGTAAACCTATTCTTAAATGATGAATAACGGAGTGATATTAGTCCTAGAGTCTCTGGTTGAGCTGGCGCGTTCAGTAGCGATTGTCGATCATTCTGGAGTGGGCGGATAAGCCCCACGGCCAGATTCGATGGGACTGTGGGTTAGATGTTTGCGAATAAGTCCCTCATTAACAGTCCTAGAGCTTCGGTATAGCTTACGCAACACCTAACTACACAAAGAATTGTTATGACAGTACTTAGCCCACGATGCTACACAGCCTACCTGCCTCGCTAGCGTCGGTCAAGTGCCGTCCAAGTCGTGGGTTTCTAAAGACTTATTAAGAAGCTTGATCTTTTAGCCTTGGGCCTATTCTTCTTGGATATGTATGCATGTAGCCTATGGTAGGCTAGGCATCCTCTTCTCCGTCTGTCATCGTGAGATTAACAACTTAAGCATTAATTACTTGGAATCCAGAAGTCCGATTGTCCCGTTTATGCGTCAGCGAGCTTGTAAGATAGTCAGCACTATCATGCTAGCGATGGCCTATTGTATCCGTTAGGAAAGTACAGTAGAGCTTAGAAACCTGCTAAGCCCCGGGTCATCTCGCTCAGCTTATTTAGCTGTTGCTTGAGCCATTCATTCGTTCATTCATCCATCTATCTCATCTCGCTTTGGTAATGGCATACGTGGATTAGGAAATAATTGTCTATTCGGATATATCACTTTTGATTGGGATTTGGAGCCAAGCTCTTCCCCAACAAAGAAGCGTACATAGTAATACATATGCTGATACAGTAGGTAAGTAACTGGTTCCAAGCTCGGGTGATCACGGATCACGCCCACTTAGGAAACTAGAGGGCGTATAGGAGCTCTAGCGCTGCTCATCAAAGCAACTCTATCACGTTGTTTGTGACGGCATGTGTAGTTTTAGATGCCATATTAGTATAAGATCTCGAAATCCATTAAATTGGGTTTTTATCATGCGAAGACTGCTCATCAATTCAAAAGGGGAATTTCAATCGTGTAAGTAGAGCGAAATATATGTGGTGGGGTGCGCCATAATTAGTTGGAATTCGATGAAGTAGCTTTACCGGATAACCGGGAAGCATGATTCAGATTCTGTAAGCTGATCGAGGTGAAGAGGTGAATCCGAGCTCGTAGGGAAATATTTAAAAGGTCTCCTGACCGCCAATCTAATATCGAAGGTGAAAGTCGAACATAAAGCGGAGGTTGCATATAGCAAGCACATCGATCTTGTTGATCAAACAGAGGGATTATTGGTCGTCGAATGACTATTCTGTATTGTGCCCCTCTTAGTATTTCCCACTTAGTATATGCGGGAAACATTACCCGTAAATGGGTAGGTAGCAGATCTACTACATCATGAATATACGCAGAGTAAATTGTGTAGAGTAGAGCAAATATTATAGGGTAGAGTATGTAAAATATGTAGGTGGGAAGATGCAAGAGGAAGTGGCTTTTAACTAACCTTAGACGGGCCTTTGGAATGTCATGCATTAGGTATCATTTTAAGTTACGTTGTGCATCCCCAAACTACCTGAACTACCTAAACTCAGCAACTATTGACGTAACTTAATAAATGCTACCTCCGGTACGGCCCGTCTAGTACATATTTTTTTATGATATGACAGACATTGTTTAGGTAATACGTCACGATATCTTCGATTGTAGACTTTATTCGTTTCCTTAACCTTAATTGTTTAAGTGGATACGAAATAGACAAAAATACTGTTTTGAGTGATCGCCGGATTGATCTCCTGGCGCGGGGCTAGGATTTCAAACTTGAAACAGCGGAAGCAAATCGTATGAGTTACCGAGTTATAGGTGGCTGGAACTCTTCTCTTTAACTCCTGAAGCTTAAACGGTGTACCGAATATAGTTTTCTTCTGGGTTATTATCCAAGCTTTTCCTTCTTTTCTACCGCTGTATCTTTGCCGTGCTGGTATAGGTATTCACGGAAAACCCATGGCTCTATTAGCGAGGATTCTCGCCAACATCAGGGGCATCATACTAGTAACACCCTGGGTTCTTTACCTGGCGGTGTGCGATGTACTGTTATCTTTCCTCTTACCGGTGAAGATATTCGCGCCCAACTTTGTCTATCGCGCATCTTCTCGGATCGCATATTCCGTATGGAAATGGATTCAGGTTATCTTTGAGAATTTCAATGGCGCTCGGATCACTTTTTCAGGGGACCGTCTACCGATGAAAGAGTCGGCTGTTGTCATCTCGAATCATGTTACGTGGGCCGATTTCTATATGATCCAGGCCTTGGCCGTGCGCGCGGGTATGCTGGGGCAATGCCGATGGTTTGCGAAGATCCAGCTCCGTTGGGTCCCTTTTCTCGGTTGGGGTTTGTGGGCGATGGGTATGCCGATGGTTAGCAGGAACTGGATGCGTGACCAGCGTGAGCTTCAACGTGTTTTTGGTGGCATTGTGGGAAGAAGATGGCCAATATGTAAGTTGCTGGCTTGATATGTCTTATCGCGTTAGTAGACGACGTAGATTGTGTGACTAACGACCCACTACGTATAGGGCTGATAAGTTTCAGCGAGGCTACACGATTCACACCAAAGAAATATGAAGAGTCTAAGATCTGGTGTAAAGAGAATGACCGTCCACAGCCCTTGCATTTGCTATACCCCCGTACCAAAGGATTTATAACTACTGTGCGGCAGTTGAGAAAAGCACCCCATGTGAAGGCGGTGTATGACTTCACCATTGCGTATCAGAAAAAAGCTAGCTTCCATATTGCTCCGGATATGTGGGAGACTTTGAAGCTCTCAGATCTTGGTGGTTCCCAAGGATATAGATTCCACATCCATGCACGCCGCTTTCCTCTGGAAGAACTTCCCCATACCGATGAAGAATTAGCGAAGTGGTTGGAGCAGCGCTGGGTTGAAAAGGGAGAATGGCTTGATACTTTGAAGACCGAGTGGGATAAAAGTTAATCACTAATTGGGTGGTTGAATATAAACATGTGAATATTGATAGCTATTGTTAAGTTTGAGCTGTAAGTTGAGGGTGACGTTTTAATATGAAAATATCAATGAGCCGCATTGCAGGAGGCAAGGACACTGCGACTTGCCTTGGCGTTACTCACCGAGTACCCATTGCATAGGGCTCTTTTTTCGATAAGATCGGGTCACGTTTTGCCTAATTACTTGCGTAATGAGCTCGTTGGATGCTATTGCATGTCGTCTTGCTGCAAGGAGTTATCGCGCGTCCCTAGGACTTGCTCGTTTCAAGTAACAAGCTGAAGCTACACCAATGACAATGAGAGAATCCTGCCAACGGATCTTGAGTCTAGACCGCTCCCTCCGTCATGTGCCATAGGATTCACAAGAGATGTTTTTCTTGGAGCCAGGAACAGATCATGAGGCGATCATGCTTTATCTGTCTACGCGGAATTACGAACCCGTCAAATTGGTCGAAAAAAAAAAAGGATCTTTGGTGTACACGGTAATCTATGATTGTACAGAAGGTCTCGGTGAGTAAATGGTGGTGATAGGTTTGACATTATTCGCTTAGGGCGAGGTTGCGTAGTATCACCGGCGTGACATGATCACACCCTCGGACCGGATATGCATTCAATCGCCATCTTGAAGAACTTTACTAATCGAACCGGTCCTGACTCGTCGCAAAAAGGGCGATATATCCGGGTGTTGCCAAGTGGGCAGGATATAAATTATTTCTTGTTGATCGCGGGATGAGCTAGTAAACTTGACCGTGGAGACTAGTTGGTTGATACCGTGCGTAAGGTGAGAGTGTGGGTACAAGAGCATCATCGACTAGGATTGGCCAGGTAAATTCCCTTGGTATATAAGCGTCCCTACTGCAGGCTGGCTTCAGCCGTTGCATTGGCAAGGAGACTTGGAGAACTAACTGCGTGATGGTGGGCAGTGGGATCATCCAATGAGTTGTGACGATGTTGTGGAATGGGAAGATGGTCTCAGCGGCGTTCAAGATCGCTCGACATTGCCGGTCGTTCCACTTCCTTTTTGTACTTCCTGAGCTTGGATTTTCAAGGAAGAAACGAGCTGGGTTCCCATGTAATCTCCTTTTGTGCGAATTTATAGGATTTTGTGAAATGTTTGTAGTATCAAGATTCCTAGTGATATTCGCCGTAGTAGCATCTAATAGGGTAATAATAGGGGGGTAGGGGGGGGAGGAACTTCTCCAACAGGTGGGGAATAAAACCTGGTAAGCCTTTCGTATCAATCTGAGATCAGAGAGGAGATGGTTTCTTTTCATCTTGCTGATCCGCCTTTCATTCGAGATGGCAAAACCCGTAGTATGGGGAAGGCTTTTGTAAGTTCATCGACCGATGTCTCGTTATGACTTTTTAGTAACATACGTACGTATATAAACGCACGTATATAGATTAGACACGCAACATGTCTCCAAGAACAAGGGAGAGAGGGATGGATGGGTGGATGGATGGAGAGGAGAGAGAGGCATATTAGCACTAGTGTATTCGCCCCGGATTGAGAGAAGTCTGGTGTGCTTGAAAAAAAGGTGTGTTTGCTAAGTCGGCTCTATATCCCAAGATAAGATGACTGCATAAACAACGGTAATAAAGACGAAGCAATCGTCCTCTTGGGACGCAGCATTGACGTATGCTCCTTTGTAGGCATTGATTTTGTATGGTTCAAAAGTAAACATTGGCCCTAAAACTCATGGGTTGGGTTGGTCAGTGCTGCAGAGGATCACTAGACCCCATGTTCAACGCCTTTCATTTGCTGACAGAAGTCACTGGCGACTACCTAGGTAGTTAGACGTGTCGCCGGAGTGGGCTAGTTGACTCCGATGCATGGAAGACCTGGATAATAGAAGAACCTAAGAGCAACCCGTCTGTCCACATCTCTTGGAGATTGGTAAGAAATCGCTTCCCTCTGTGTATAAGTTGGTTAGATTCGGATATAATGCGCCGCCGCTGTGACTTCGATGTAAGAAGAGTGCATAGCATAATACGTAAGGTGTTGATGTATGTATGTGTCTAGGGTTGAGTATTCCGGTAAGGACGGTATCTTGGTAGTGTGGGTTGTGTTCAATTATGGGTCAGTGTTCATAAATGCGCAAGTTATTCATTCATGTATGTATACCCATACACTTACACTTACACCTAAGTGACACAGACACAGCCTAGAATATTGAGAGAAGATCAAGAGAAGAATAAATGGAAACGAAAAAGAAAGGGGTTAGAATTTCCATGGAATGTGTTTGTAAAGCGGATCGCGAGTTTGAGTTCCGCATGATGATTCCGAAAGACGCTAATCCATCGTATTAGTACTCTGTATTATACAAGCGGACAAGTTTAATGTCCCCCCATTGTCCCCTCTATTTTTTGTTAGGCAAGTCCTGTAATACCAGCAGGACAGGTGGACTGGTACTTCATGTAGGGACTAGCATGCAACTAAGGGAAGGTACCTAGGTATTTTGGTAGCAACATTGAACGTTAGTAGGCAGGCAGGGTAGCAAAAAAAAAAGATGTACCGTTTCGTAGGTAGCGACGTATCCGCGTACCTACCACCCTGGACCCGTTCCCCCGCTCTGGGTCTTCTCGCTTTTTCCTCCAAAAAAATAAAACAGTGTCAAATGCACAGTTTAAATTTTTAGCTACCTAAGCTTATAGGTACCTAGGTACTTAAGTAGAGTTTCCTTTTACTGACTCTTTCCTTTACGCGCCGCCCGAAACGGGAAGAAACGAACTAATGAGCGTACCCGCGCTTCGTTTTCTACGCTCGCAGTATAATGGTATATCCACTCCGGCTCAAAAATCCCAAAAAGTACCTACCTACTTCAGGTCTTTGCTACCTCTCACTTCAACCACCTATCCTGCCTGACCAACCTTTTGCTTACCTTAGGTCCATTTTTTGTTCTTCACATAGGAGGAGAGTGTTATAAGTGGTAAACCTCAGGATTTAGCCAATTTGGTTTTTTTTTTACCTTCATCTTTTCTTGTCAAGGCCTCGTGCTCTTTCAGTCTTTTTTTCTTCTTCCTTGTGGCCCCCTCCTTAAGCCACCGTCGATACCGCCCTTTGTCAACAATACGACCGGATCGCGATAGTGCTCGAGCGTACTGGCCGCTCCAGTGTGAGCTGAGAGGCTTGTCCTCAATCCTCAAACAAAACCGAATCTCTCGTTGGACTGAGTGACTTGACTTTCTACGCACGTCACTCACCGTCATGTCTCGGGTTCTCGCGGACTTCTGACTCTGGCTTCCCGCCAGAATACTTGGCTTTGCATGAGGTCTATTTTGACCGAGAACCATTTTCCGTTTCACGCCAATTTCACTCGACCTGGACGCGTTTGCGCCCTCGCTCCACTATCGATAGTTAATATTCGATCCGACAAGCTTCCTACCCGATGCCACCATTGCAATTGAGCACCGCTCTTGTCTCTTCTCAACAATGGATGAGGATACTACTAGATTAGCCCCGCCGGCTGTCAGCTCGCTCCGTGCTCAGGCTATCGGCCGTTCGATGGAAAGATCTCTGAGCGCCGACATTAGGGAAGAGCGCGAGGAACTTCGAGAGGCTGCCGAGCAGACTTTGAACGTTATCGTAGATCTTAATCTCGATGGAACCATCCGATGGGTTAGCCCATCTTGGGCCGAGGTTATTGGGACGCAACCTCAGTCTGTCGAGGGTACACCGATTGCCGATTTGATTATTAGCGACGACAAAACAGCATTTTCCGATGCTGTCGATTCGATGAAGAAGGATGACTCGCGTAGCCAGTATATTCGTTTTACTGTTTACCTAGGGCCTTTGTCAAAATTATACCCCGCCACTGTCAGCAGGATGCCTGAGGGTGGCGAGATTGAACCTGCCACGGTTGAACTTGAAGCACAAGGGATTATGGTGTACGACCGCACTACCGGAGGCGAAAGTCATGTAAGAAATCATCCTATTGTAAAGGAGAATTACCTAGAAACTGACTTGTCTACCTAGACTATGTGGATGATAAGACCATGGATCGCGCCCCGAGAGGTTAAAATCGACCTTGCTCCATTGCTAGTAGATGCTCTTGGATCGGGTGCTGAAGTTCTTGCTAGTTATCTAACTCAACTAGCTGAATCTGGGAATGAGGATCCAGCCGACCATCCTCCACCGCCACCGGTCCTATGTCGTATTTGCGAACGTCAGATACCTCCTTGGTGGTTTGAGAAGCACACGGACTTATGCCTTCAAGAGCATAGGGCTGAAATGGATGTTCAGATGGCCCAGGAGAACTTAACTGAACATCGTCACGCTATTGTCAAAGTGCTTGATGCATTGGAAGCCCGAAAAAGCCGCGCTCTGTCTGGGGAGCTAGGCATGCTTCCTGTTGCTGAATATAAGGGCTTACCAATTGGACCATCTTCCAGCAACTCCTCGCCAGGACCGGCGTCTCCTGCACCCACATCGAGAGATCGATCGACAGGCTTTGGACATTCCCGTTCTCGATCTTTCGCCGTGAGACGGCCCCAGGCTCGCATTGTTGAGCTACTTTTAGACCTTTGCGATACTGCTATCGAGATTAGTCCTCCTGCGATCAAAGAATCCTCGTCACAGGCTATTGGCGAGTTTCGCACCCAATCGCCACAATCGGAATCTCGAATATCTCAGGTACTCCAATGGTCATCTCCTAGTACGAACACCCTCGAGCAAGAACAAGGCCTGGCCTTGCTGTGCTCAGAAACAGAAAAAGTTGCTAAGGAGAAAGTTGAGGCCGTGTTTCGACATAGGAGGATAATCGAATATGCAGAACGCATTCGAATCGAGTTCAGCGTCATAGTAGAAAACTGTATTGAAGATGCACTACGTAAGGCGGCTCGTATTGCAGCCGGTCGCCTGAGTGATTCTACCGAGGACGAAGAAGGTGAAGATGAAGAGGAGGAGGAGGAGGTCGAAGAAACCCCGGTAGTACAAGAAGAACCTATTTTTGCTGGGTCATTCGAAACGCCTTCGTCTTTAGCGCTCGCTCTGCAGAATGTGAACTTGAGCGATACGGAAGACAAAAGACGTCCGTCTTCCATTATTGAGTCTACCAGATCGAGTAGCCCTAGGGAATGTCCAACACCAAAGTCTCATCGCGAAATATTGAGTGTTACTAGCCAACCACGAGATTCTCGTAGAGGATCGACTCTGATCGAAAATGACGGCGGAGATAGCGACAGTAGCGCTAGATCCACATCAGTGGCGCGCCAACTACATCGAACTGAGTCACCTATTTTGTCCGAGTTAGGTGGTTTGCGACGTGCAACTAGTGCGAAACAGCATCATAGGCGAAGCCTCATCTTGGCGGGTACGTCGTCGCCTCATCGTCAAGAATCGCCCTCTAGGAGTACACAGCCCTCATCGCCACTACGAGTTCACAAACCTCGTAATCTGCAATATTCACAGGAAGGCGTTGTCTCCCCGGAAGCCTCACCCATGCTTCCCAATAGCGAATTTAACTCCCCGGCTATAATACCACATCATCGTCGACAATCATCAGCAGCCTTGTCGGAATTCCCGGGTCCCAGTCGGGCGCCCACATCCCCACGTTTGAATCCTACAAGCCATCCCCCTATGGCACGTGCTGTACCTCCGTCTATTAAGGACTTTGAAATTATTAAGCCAATTAGCAAGGGCGCCTTCGGAAGTGTATACTTGTCAAAGAAGAAATCTACAGGCGAGTACTTCGCCATCAAGGTCTTAAAGAAAGCGGACATGGTGGCCAAGAATCAAGTCACTAACGTCAAAGCCGAGAGAGCGATTATGATGTGGCAAGGGGAAAGCGAATTTGTTGCAAAATTGTATTGGACGTTTTCTAGCAAGGACTACTTATATCTTGTTATGGAATATTTGAATGGCGGCGACTGTGCTTCCCTCATCAAAGTTCTTGGAGGCCTGCCGGAGGATTGGGTGAAAAAATATCTTGGTGAAGTTGTCCTGGGGGTAGAGCATCTTCACGATAGAGGCATTATCCACCGCGATCTAAAACCTGACAACCTACTCATCGACCAAAAAGGTCATCTCAAATTGACGGATTTTGGTCTTTCAAGAATGGGATTAATCGGTCGCCAGAAGAGAGCCTTGAACAGTGGATCCGCCGAGCCTACCCCAGACCTGCTGAAGACGGGGCCTTTTGTTCGATCGACATCCGTCGCATCTTCTCGATCAACTTCGCTCGATTTTCATGGCACTCATAATTCCCCGGGTACAACACCTCAAATTACTCCTGACAATGGAGTTGGGCAACCATCGTACTTCGCCCTTTCGCAGCTTCCTCCCGAGTCACGCCGTATCTCCGGCCAACGTAGTGACAGCGGCGGCAGTGAAACATTGACGCACATGTTGGGGAATTTCTCTTTGGGGGATCCCCAACAAAGCCAGTCCAGTGTACGGTCTCCGCACGACGATGGAAGCGATGCTGGGAATGCGTCTCCTGACCTTCCGTCACTTCATCAGACTAGCAGTCAAAATAGCGATATACACAGAAATACACCGCCTCAGTCAAGTATGATGCCTCCTCCAATGGCCTTATTTGATCCCGATGATACCAACCGTAGGTTTGTGGGGACTCCTGACTACCTTGCCCCCGAAACTATCAAAGGTGCTAGACAAGATGAGACCAGTGACTGGTGGTCAGTTGGTTGCATCATGTTTGAGTTCCTTTATGGCTATCCTCCGTTCCATGCACCCGAGGCAGATCAAGTTTTCGAAAATATCTTAGCTCGAAAGATTATGTGGCCTGAAGAGCCGGACGATATTTCGCCTGAGGCAAAGGATTTGATCAATAAACTACTATGTATCGATCCACAACAAAGATTAGGGTCTAACCGTGGGGATATATATGCTTCTGGGGGAGAAGAAATTAGAAAGCATGCTTGGTTTGATGGCATTAATTGGGAGACTCTACTTCAAGACGATGCCCAATTCGTTCCTCAACCTGAGAATCCTGAGGATACAGAGTACTTTGATGCGCGCGGAGCCACCCTACAATCCTTTACCGAAGAGATGGAAGATCAAGCGTCGCCTCCATCCGTTGCGACACCGGATTATCCTGATCGCCCACACGATGCTCTTTCGCGAGTTCGTTCGCAGGTTCAGGTTAATCAGATCAAACGGGGTTTAATGCCATTACATATACCTCCACATATCCGGGATCTCAAAAGTCGACGACTTAGTGAGCCGGTGGCTTCGGATGATTTTGGTTCATTTGCTTTTAAGAATCTAACAGTCCTTGACAAAGCCAATAAGGATGTAATCCAACAATTGAAAGCGCAAGCAATGGCAGCACAGAGCAGATCTGGGTCGAGTCCAGGCGGGAATAATCCCCCTTCACCAGCTCCAGTGCTTGAAGGGAGCCCAGTCTTGTCCATGCCTGCGCAGCGTAATCTGTCCAAAGCGTCATCACAACGCCCTGCATCGCCATCTACTGCTAGCCATACCAATTCATCTCCTAGTCGTGCTTCGCAGCCATCTTCGCCGCTTCTTGTGTCTTTCCATGCCGGCCAGGGAGGTGAAGGCCGTAGAAAAGCATCAAGCAATTCCTCCAGTCTCTCGCAACAATCTGGAACTGGCTCCTTGCAGCCCGGAAGCTTTTTCGATGTGCCTCGTACCACACCTAGCCTTCAGAAGTCAGCGAGTGCTGCTGCTGCATCGCCCGTGAAAAGTAAGGCCGCACCACCTCCACTGCCGCTCTCCCCGCAGAAGACAGTAGGGACGCCAAGACAAGCGAGCGGTTCCTCGACGCGATCTCGATCTCTTACTGTCGGCTCTCAAGAAGGTAGTCCTGTTGCAGCTGATCTTCTTGCGCATCATCGCAATCGTCGAAGTCAAGTCTTTGACATGTCTCCTTCATCGTCAGACAACGAGGGTGATAGAGCAAATGCTCTCCTTAAAGTCCAGCGACGCCGTCAATCATCTCGCAGGATGTCGGCGATAATGCTTGATAGTCCGACGTTCCGCTCTTTAGATGTCCTAATATGCGAGGACCACCCGGTCTCACGAATGGTTATGGAAAAATTGCTCGAAAAGCTTCGATGCCGCACTATATCAGCATCGACGGGTTCCGACGCCGTTCGATACGCCGTAAGTGAAATCAAATTTGATATCATCTTTACTGAGTTTAAACTGCCTGAAATAAGCGGCTCGGATGTTGCTCGAATGGTTCGCGAGGTCAAGAATGTTAATGCTCACACGCCGATCGTTGCAATAACCGCCTATTTAAAAGAGCTACAAGCCCCTCATTACTTCGATTCTCTCATTGAGAAGCCTATCAGCTCTTCCAAATTAGTCGAGGTTCTCGCCAAACTTTGTTCATGGAAGCCACCTTCACCTGGGCAGGTCCAATCGATACCAATTCCCAATCCCATTTCTACTGTAAAGTTGAATATCGCCCGGTTGGAAGACAGTCCAACGTCGGGATCGTCAGGATTTGCTCACGCGGGAAGTAGTAGTTTCCGTGGCTCAAGTAGAGAAGATTCCATTAGTTCCAGCCTGTTCGGGGATTCCGAGTCGGCAACCACTGACGAAATACCTGTCGTGGTCAGCCGGAAAGGTACGGGGGACTGGGCAGAAGATTCAGGCTTGGGGATTAGCAATGACGAGACAGCCCAAAAAATGCCCATTCCGCTCATTTCTCAGCAGTCAGCCCCTGCTCAAATGGAGCAACCTAGAATGCCGGTGCCCCGACAATCACTGGAGAAGCTCCGTGCCAAGCGCGAGCATCTCGAGAAACGGCGTGTTGAAGGCAATGACTCCGCCGACGATGAAGATGATGAGCTCGGTACACATCGGGACCGTGGTTTCCGTGGCAAGCAGCCACAGCCAAGTTCCAAACTCGGTATCGAGATGATGAGGGCTAATAGCCACGATAGTGTCGCCTTCTCATCTGATACTACACCGGAACCTGTGACTCAAGTTGTGACACCAGCTAGAGAAGCCGATGTTTCACCGCTTTCGGGAGTTAGATCTCCATCAAAAGCCTCGTTACGCACGCCACCAGAAGCTTCTCCAACTTTTGATTCAGAGGGTTCCAAAGAGGGACCCGATAAAACGCCACGACCCACGGTTGGTACACAGGAAGATACGATTGAAGAGCCTACGCCACGACCAGTTATGAAAAGCTCCGAGACTGTACTCCGAATGGATCGAGCTTGACACGTTTACGATGATTTAACGTATCATATCACGATCGTTTATAAGTGTTGTTTACAGCATGGCGTTTACTGGATTGGCGTGCCGTGTTATGCATTTTATTTCTTTTGTTAAGGCGACGGATAGCAACGGAGTTGGGGAACTCTCCAGGAATTGGGACTTTCTAGGGTGGCTAAAAGATGCCCCAAACAGAAACAAATAGGGTGGATTAGTTGTCGCATTTACACCATTTTTGGAGGGATTCCCGCATTTGCTGTATTGTCATGTCACTACCACCAAATCGCCACCAAACTGCGCGTTCAATGTCCTAAGGCAAAGACGACAGCCCCTTTGGTGTTTACTCTAAATCTCACGATTTTTTTCCAGCCCCCACCGTTCCTTCATTTCTTATCCCTTGCCGGCCGGTAGGATAACGACTCTATTTTCATGTACCAGTATGTTGCGAGGGAAGGGCGCCATGGATAATAAACAAGCAGAAGAGAATTATGATTCCCGGGATTTTCTTTTTTTTTCTTCCAAATGGCTAGTTTTTCTGCGATTTACGGGTTCTTAGGAGGGAGTTTTTAGTCAAATCACCGAATGGTAGGCAGGCAGGTAAAGTTGTACCTCGTTGCACAACGATAAAATTACAGATGGACGAATATAAAAAAAATTTGTAGACTGGACTTTTGAATGCTTTAAGATGCATCTGTGCTATTTGTGAAATTGTCTAAGTGAGCAAGGGCAGTGCGGTTAGATCCTGGATTCTATTAAATTCTTAGGAGTTGAGACACCTGACCTCAAAATAGGTGCAAGGTAAGGTTATTAGGGGTGTTCACGAATCGAATATTGCTCATGAGATCATAAACTATTCCAGCTAGAATGAATTCGTCTAGTCCATAACATTTTCTATAAATATCGTTTCCTTCATGTATCCCATAAAACCCCCTATGTACACAAAATGAATAGAATGTAATGTAATGCAATGATGCCCTTTAATAAACCCAGTCCCGGTAATGCATATTTATTTACAGTTCGCGTTTTTGCCGAGCCTTGCCGTGTTGCTTGCTCACTTTGCTCTTATGTTCAGATCGTGCCTTGTATACATCCTGAAGACGTGACATGTCTATTCCGTCAATTCAGGAGGCCAAGGAAACAAGACCGATTGTCGTGGACATCCCTCGTAAAAGCAGAGTCCGTTGAGCCATCGTTTGGTATACATCTTCGGGGGTGCATGGGGTGGACGACCTTCGGATTCCGGCCACTCAACGTCAACTTCGAGTGACACGTGCTTATGGATTTCTAGCGTGTTTGGAGTAGCCGGCCGGGCTGAGGTAAAAGCGAAACTTTCCTCGGTCTCGTCCTCCCAATCTTCATCACTGCTCCCGACGAAGATGGCCCGCGGTGCAGTTCCTTCTCGCCCGGATTCGGGGTGTATGAGGTGCCCCAATCGAAGGGCCTTTCCATCCATCAAGGCTTCCTGGACCTCATCGGCCATCCATTCGCGCCATTCCCAGGGGCGGGGAGACCGTTTTCTAGAAACGGCGAACGGGCCTGTTTCCATCCACATTATAAGACAGGCCGCTAGTTCCGTGTAGCAACCACCGTACTTTCTGTATTGGAGCCCGTCCGCGAACTCTGCGAGAGGATTCATGGTGCGAAACTTCTTACTTCTCATAGGTTCGCAACGTATTACTTTACCAAGCCTCCACAGGTGACCTCTTGTCCACGTCCCGTCCTCGGTTATCCGTGGGTCGATAAAACGGCAGCTCTTAATAAAGGTCAGTGCTGTATCCGTCGGAGACCGAAAGTTGTCAAGAGACTGCTTAGAAAGATATTCAGTGATATTATTGTCGAGTGTTCCTTGGCTAGGTCGGGATGGGTTATTCGCTATGATCTCGCCATTCAAGAGATATAATGCAAGGATCGACAAACTAAGGCTACTGCCATGGTGCTTGAGTAATTTCGTGTTGAGGCGGGTACTATACCCGCAACAGTTGGCCATTATGGCAAGGCGATCGGATTCCACCTGAATGCCACGAGAAATTATATCTGAAAGGATCCTTGGGGACATAGAACGCGATACAGAATTCGTACCTAACAGTGGCGATTCGTCTTTGAGAAGGACATTATATTTTGGGGCTGTTCTGAGAATCCTGTCACACACACTCGTATCCTCTAACCTTTTTCGGTACGAGAGGCAGAAAGTCGTAACCATTTCTCTGAAATCTGCAGAATTAATACATATCTCTCCTTCGAGATCGCCTAGTACATGTCGCCCGTACGCGTCTGTGGTGGCTTGCTTCAAATCTTCTAGATTCCGGCGATGTGGAATGAGCAACATCATGCGGACAGAAGCCCGATAGTCTTCCTGAAAGGTCCAGGCCCTTGTCCACCATAGGTCAGACGTGATATGATCTAGAAGATTTAATAGTACCGGCTCGTCTTCGGGGTCAATCTCGTCAAGTACCAGTTTCGCAAATAGATCGAGCTCTTGGACTGTCTTAATGGTGCGCGTAAGGAGAGCAATAGGCCATTTGCTTTGACCATACACCAAATGCATGCTTTGTATTGCCGCTTCCTTATCCGTCTCATTCTCTTGGTCAATACACTCGCGATCGATCCAGATGTTTTTGCAGCGCACGTGCTCGGCATAATTAAGTACTCTCTTCCAGACTGTGTCCCTCACGTTGCTAGGTAGCGCCGATCCGCCGGTCTTACGTGGCTCAATAAGGTAGGAGCCCATCTTTTCCCCTCCAATTTCCCCCTCCTCTTTTGAGGCTTCCCAAGTATAGGAAACAGCGACATAGTCCCTAGAACCTTTAACGTCTAGTAGGGGAGCAATGTGCCTTCTCCTCAGCAATTCCGAAGAACCTATAGCTATAGTACCATCATCTAGACGCCTTCGCTTTCCGCTGGGTTCCTCATTGTCGCCAGCCAAGTATAGGCATTCGAGCTCCTTGGGCCAATTTTCGCTGGCGTCAATACGTCGTTTGTCGTCGACTCGCCTTTTATCGTCGTCACGTCTTTTAATGTCAAGTACAGAAGAGATGATGGAAGATGAATTCCGATCCCGGATCTCTCCCAGGGATAATGAGGTGTCTTTCACGACCCCGGGGACCTTGGACATACTCAGTGACTAGGTTAGCCACTTGATTCCAAGACGGACGATATTTTTTATTGGAAGAATTAACTTATGGCATTGCGGTCAAGAAAATTGAAGAAATGATTGAGGGATTCCGGCCGTTTGAAACAAAATTCAATTGTCCTGGATTACTTAGTGGGGTATATTATGCCCTAGTACTAGTTAGGCTAGCCTATATGCACGTAAGTGTAAAAATAGGTTTCGAGCCGGTCAATTTATGAAACAACTCTAACTTCATAGGAAATAAAATCACAGTTACAAGCTGAATTCCTCTCATTCTAGCTTCAAACATAAAATTATGAGTATTTTATACAAACCACCAGATCTTACAATCTACCCAAATACACATGAGTTATGACTACGGCCTCATCAGTGCTTTGATTCCGACACAACGTATAGCGACTTCATATGGACAAGACCAGGCGAAAAGTCTGCTTCCAAAGACGCCTCGGGATCGACAAGACTCAGCTATACCAACCATTAGCAAACCCCTTTCCTGATGGGCATTTTCATTCAACTTGGACTCACCTTGAATTTCATGATGATTGCTGGGATGACCTTCTTCATTTGCAACACAGCAATGTGACGACCTATACAATCGCGACGCCCACGACTGAAACCCATATGAGTAGCATCCATCCGTCTGAGTCGCTCCGGGTCTGAAATAAGCCACCGTTCAGGGCGATAGGTGTGTACGTCCCCGCCAAAAATCTCGGCGTTATGATGAATTGCTAAAGGCGAGCATCCCACGCTGGTACCTTTGGGGAAGTACATGCCTGCAATAGTAGCGCCTCCTGCGGGAACTGACCTCTCCAATGGCCAGTTCATCACAGGGAAGAGGCGCATCCCCTCTTTGATTGTGGCGTTTAAGTACGGCAACTTGCTTGTTTGCGCAAATTGGGGAATTTCCGGTAGCTCAGCCTGCAGGAGTTCCTCTTCAAGCTTCTTTAGTGACTCCGGGTTTACGACCAGGTAGTAGAGTATCGCTGTTACTGTCGTTGCTATTGTGTCGCCCGCGGCCGTTATCATAGACATTAACATACCTATTACTCCAGTTGTGTCCAATTGTGGATGATCTTTACTGGCTTGGAGAAACTTGGCAAGAAGATCCGGATGCTCATATTCGGTTTTCGATTGAGCCACCCTTGCCTTGAGTTTTGCTAATGCCCGCCCTGCCATATTAGACGGCGCCCGTCCCTGAGACATGGCGACAGGATTACGGTGAATCAACCGTTCCAATTGTGGAAGTGAAGACCATCGCCCCCAATAAGCGACTCGTTCACGAACTAGCTGGATTGTGCCGTCTGTGTCACCCTCAGCCTGAAGGCATCCGAGTGGCTCTCCAAACGAGAACCGACTGGCCGCATCCATTGTATACCACAGTATTATGGACGAGAGGTCAAAGACGGTTGACTTCTTGCTTACTATACTGAACAAATCTTCGACCGTCGCGTCGATCCACTTCTCGTAATCCAACGAGGCCGTGGGCGTAAAGGCACTGCTAACTGATCGTCGCATTACGTTGTGGCGTGCTTCATCCCTAGTGCCCAACAGACTTGTCACCTCCTTTCCATTTTGTATGCCGGCAAGTACCTTATACGAATCTGCCTATAAAATAGTAAGAATTTGACGGGAGAAGACTTGTAAGTGGCCCTACAGTGATGAATGCTCGACTTCCGTAGAGAGTGCTGATGGTCTCCGGATCACTGACGCTGATGCTCCTAACACCGTATCGGACTATAGGCCCATACTGTGAATGTAGCTCCAATAGCTTCTCTCTTAATCTCCCGTTACACTGCTGATAAGCCCGCCAGAGATCCGTACACCCCGCAAGTGTCGGGCCGGGGGCTTTACTCAGTCTTCTCCAATTCAGGAGAAGGCGAGTACAAACTAACAATATAGAAGCAACTAGTAGGAGGCCAAGTGAAGCAGCCATGCTTGGCAATATCTCAAATTCACTACAAAAAAATCAAATGAGTGAATGAGTGAATATTATTCAAGGAGTAATATGCGAAGATATATAAGAACTAATGACTTGCGATAAGTCTTCTCAATAGCCTATAACATGCCCATTTCGAGTTATGAGCAGGGTTGGCGGTTAGTATATACGGATTACAAGACCCCACATATGAAAATCAAGTGTAGACGCATGCCACCTTCATGACCATATGCAATTGGTTGCAGAATACACAATCTCTACCTAGGTAGGAAGCACCTATTAACTTATGTATGTGAAGTTATACAAAGCTCGCGCTTTGAACAAGATGCAACTCCTACATGCGCCTGTTTTATAACAAATGTTGTACGACGTAGAATATCGATGAGCAGGTACCTGGGGAAAAAATCGGGTATGTCTGTGGAACACGAAACCTACTTGTCATACCCAAGCAAATTCAATCACCCAATGAGCCTCGAGCTGCGACATGTCATGGCGTGGTATTATTCGAATTAGTCTGCACGTTTTCCGGCGGCACTCGCCAACAAACCATCGCACCCCTCCCTCTTATCGCGTCAGCATATGTTGAAATGGCTAGGAAGATAGAAAAATCACCCAAATCTCAGTAGAGGGCTCGAGGTATTTCCGGAAGCTCCGGGGCTACTTTTAGGGTATTGGATTGAGAGGCAGCTCAGCTATGAAACGGCGAAGGCGTATCCGCACCAAAATACGTTATGACTCTCGTCGTTGATAGCTTCATACTCGACGATGGAAGTTATCACGCATCGCATAAAATCCTAGGCCAATAGCGGAGCCCGGCACAGTTTGAGGGGCTAACGCCAGCCAGCCACCGTCTTCATTCGACCTCGACTCAGTCCCTATCCGACCACTTTACCCCGAGAGTCATCTTCCACTCATAACAAGAGAAATTGCCGAGGTGGAATTTCAAAAAGCAAGCAAGCCTAATCAAAATGAAATTTTATGCAGCAGAATCGCACGAATAGACAGACACAACGCTCGGACTGTGATGCAATGGTGCGTTTACCAAGGCAGACGGAGTTCGGAGATCTGCCACATACTCGTGCATAGATGAGGGGGCGTGGCCGACTATTAGATACGATAGTGCTTTCCAACATATTTATCACTAGGTTTTGTTGGCCTGTTAGGTACTTACCTGAGGTAGTCATGGTAAGGCAGACCTTTTCCAGGCGGACGTACACCACAGCCATGGCAGTTTAGTTGTCAAGGCTTTGAAAGTCGGTGCCCACCTCCTTCAACTAGGCATTCTGCGCTCTGCCAATATGGTTATAGGTATAGCCTACCGACGCCGACCAATGGTCATAATCATTGCTCCGTTTACTTATGCCTAGATATGCCTAGGTGCCTAAGTACCTATGTAGGTTGGGCTGCACCGTACAGGGACGCCAGAGTCAGCCTTGTTGTAGGGGCAAATTCAGCACGCGAGGATATGCCTGAATAAAATACTAAATCATGAGTATTAAGTGAGGCTAGGCACTATTTTTTTTTAACGCGAGTAGCTCATCAATCCCCTCGGCAATGGAATCCACCGGAGTTGATACAGGTGAAGCCCGAAAGAGTTTGTTCGAATCAGCTCGAGATAATTTTCTGGGGTCCTTGAGTGAAACTGATAAACTTCTATTCTCACCATGCGCAACGTCCACCGACTTCCTGGATGGACTCCAGAAGTTAGAGAAGACAACAGAACACTTCGGGCGCGTTGGCAAAAAGATCCGATATGTGCGGTCGTTCACTGAACATCTGAAGCCATACTTCGAAGTAGTGAACATATTCATTCAATCCAATCCTGAGTTCTCTGCCATATTTTGGGGAGCTTTCCGGCTTGTTCTTCAGGTATGTCGCCTGTATCGAATTTTTCCTAATTCTCACTGGATAATCCCTGACTCCTAGGAAGCTGTCGAGTAATCTGTCCAGCTTCTTTGAAAAGTTGCTCGGTCTTATATCTCAATTGTTAGATGTATTCCCCCGATATGAAGACGTCGCGAAACTCTGTGACGATGAAAACTCGGACAGGCTCCGGAGAAATATCGAGGAGGTGTACGGTGATATGTTGGAGATATTGAAGGCTGCCGTCAAAATCTTCACAAAGTCGACAGGAAGTGAGTAACCCTTTTTCTAGGGAACCACCTATAACTCGATGCTAATTGTTCATTAAAATTGAAAAGAACGCCAATTGTGATAGGGAGCTTGCTGTGGCAACCATTTGACGTGAAGTTCAAGAAACTACTAGACAAAATGGCGACCCACAAGGAAAACATTGCTCAAGAAGTTAGAATATGGAGGCTTCGGAAAGAGAAGAATGAGCGTAATATCGCGGCAACGTGGAGAAATTACGTCCAAAAAGAACATGCTAAGTCTGAGCAAGAACGAAACCTTGCGCGAGAGGAAAGGCGCCTTATGGCCGAAGAGAGGAAGCTTATGGAGAAGAAGCAAATACAGGATGCCGCAGCTCAAAAGGAAATCGTGTCTCTATTGCTAGAAATAAAAGAGGAGAAGGAACGATTAGAAGCTGAGCGCCTAGGTAAGTTTTAAATGATGCTAGTCGTCTGGGGATGAGGGTTGTTCCGCTGATACAATTCATATAACAGAAAGTATGGCTTTCAAGATTCGAGAATGGCTACAACCTGTCGATTACTTTGACGCGAGGCAGACTAATGCGAGGGCGCGGGAAAGATACGAATCTACTGCAACCTGGATCTTTGACCACCCTCAATATAGGTCTTGGGTACAATCAAATAAAGATTCGTGCCCGGATGGCAACGTTAGGCTGTTTGGACCGAATACTCTGTGGCTTCATGGTATGTTCCCTTCGGAATACACACTCAAGTACCTAAGTTAGAGGCTACTAATCATCTATTAATCTTTGAATAGGCCACCCAGGATCAGGGAAAACAGTGTTAGCTACCTCAATTATCGACGAATTAGAGAATTACGAAAACGGCTACGAGAACCAAGGCGAAGATGTTTCTCCAACAGTCTTATACCATTTCTTTCAATTCGACTCCCAATTTACTAGGCCGCCAACCGCTGCATACAAGTCTCTTTTGGCTCAATACCTTTGGAGACATAGAAACAATAAAGACGTGGTCGATAAATTTGCGTTCATCATGAGAATAGGATCTCAGGGACAAATAGGAGCCTCCGAAAAGGCCTTACTTGACCTTCTCGAGATTTGTCTAAACAAGGGGGTGTTCATCATCCTAGATGGCGTTGATGAATGTGAAGATAGCGATTCTTTCACGAAATCTTTGTTAAGGTTATCTATGGCTTGTAACCACAAGACTCTCTTGCTCAGCAGGATAAATATGACACATTTACAAAGATCCGTTCGATCGGAATCCAAGTTACTCCTTACGAAAGAAGATACGTCACAGGACATACATCGCTTTTGCCAATATGGACTTGATGACATGATTGTGGATGAACTCTTACCAGATTTGGCTTCCAATGAATTAGACAAACTCAACAGTCATCTCTTGAAAGGAGCGGATGGAATGTTCCTATGGGCAAAACTAATGTGAGTACCTCCGGCGATGGATATTCTCCCGGGTAAAGAGAGTCGAGATTACCACTGAAATCCAGTTCCCGGAGGGCCTCGAGGATATGTATGACCGTATATTTTCTGAGATTACCCAATCTGGAGAAGCTGTCGTCAAATTTACTACCACTGTCTTTATATGGCTATCTAATCAGGCAGCTTTAATAACGACATACCAAATCTGTCAAGCATTTTCGGTCAATGGGTTATGGATGAGAGGCGGCGATGTCGAAGACATCAAAGAATTCGAAACTGCGGTACTTATGGCCTGCGGAGGACTCGTAGAGATCGTCCCCATCACGTCGACCGGACGGGTGCTGAAGTTTGTCCACCTCACAGCACGTGAAGCCTTGGCTAGTTCTAAAATCGGTGATACCTCGCGCAGTCCATCCATCTCAAATCTGGAACTTGGAAGATCTTGTTTGCGACAATTAATTCATCACAAATCTCAAGGGCCGCTATCTGGGAAAGTTCACCAAAGCATATCCAGCGCACGACTAGCTAGTAGCTTTCCATTCACAGACTATGCAGCTCTACATTGGATGGAACACCTGAAGGCATCGATATCATCTGAAAGTGACGGTGGCGCGTGGTTGGAAAAGGTATATAAGGATGTCTTTGAGGACTTTGCCAAGGACCTTCAATTGTTCTTCGAAAGCCCTAGGGCGGTCACCGCGTGGCTTGAGGCATATTACACAGCGCAGAAAGACATTTCCCCACGAGGGAAAATCGTCCACTGTTGGGCAGATTGGGCATCCGAGGCAAGCCAACGAAGCGCTATCAATATTAAAGGGGATGTTCTCAGATTAGCACTCGAATTCTGCTCGGATCTTGATCGAATAGCTGAGGTATGGAATGAACAGTTGACACATTCTCCACATATTATATGGGACGAAGTAACAGCAGATGGATGGACGCCAAGCCGATTATTTTTCTCTCCAGGGGGCACCCGCGTCAAATCGCGAGCTCCGGAAAAGCCGCAACTAGAAGGCATCGCAGATGTGCCATTCATGTCTGTATCTGCGGTGTGTAAGGACGGCTCTGCACTCGGGGTGCTAAGTATATGGTCAGAAAAATGTGACAGCACAAATGCCATTACGAAAGATGGACACTAACTCTCTACTAGGTCATTCAATCGTGAAAATTTTGTTGAGCGCCACGTCCAAGAAATCCACAGGGATTATAAGAACATGCCAAAGAGTTTCCCTCAAATCTGGGTGGCATTGTACGAACTCTAGCCTCTTGATTTAGGCCGACCTCGTTTGGCTCGAGTTCTGGTGGATATCTCGCCGGATTTATTTATTCGCACCCTTTCATTCCCTGAACCGCTTTCTATTAGCCCCGATTGCCTGGTTTTCTCGGTTGCGTACCAGATATGGATGCTACGGCCTCCTCGGCCCCCTGAGGCTATGAACTTGGCCGAGCTCGAATGGCCTGCAAATATTTCTTATGAGGCGGCTACGATCGAAACCAAGCCACTTGGTTTCGCAAAGACTGATAAGTATGTATATCTACCTCATGATATATTATATGTGCGTCCTGGTAGCGAGTACTGATACTTCAAAAGTGAATCCGGCCAAACCCACATTGTTCAAGTCACGTTTAGCCCCACTGGTCAATATATCACGTTAACTGAAACTAACCTGATAAGTTTGGAGATGAGGATGTCAAGCTTTGAGATTATGAGCTTCCCAATGATGGCAGTTAAGCCACTCAATGTGCTAGAATCTGTCTAGCACCATATACAACATATACACCACCTTGTCTTACATCCGACATCACATCGCGCAGTAGTCACAGGGATAAGCGATAAGGGGAATGAATTGCAGTACTTTTGGGATTTTAAAAGTGGTACCTATATTCATGTTTCCCCTTTTTCTGAGCCTCGACCTGCCTAATACTTTAAATTCTAGGACACGATAGCTTTCGTATGATCCAAAACATAACCGACCTCCATGATTCCTTTCAGTCTGGATGTAGCTCGGATATCGTGTCTCAAAGCACATCAGTCGTGCGCTCAACTGCGGTACGCATCTTCTCCGATCCGAAAGCTGGTGGGCACATGGATATACCAGTATTCCTACAAGTATTGGTTGGGAAAGTCCGGGAAATGTGGACAACTGCTTCCGACGGTGACTTGATGGTTTTTTGCAGCCAATTATCCGCCGAAGGGGTACAAATGAATATATCCGGGCTCGATGGATCGCAGGATAGATTGCAGTTGGTCACACTCCCATCAAGGCTCCTGTCACTATATACTATAGCAGAGGTCAGGCTACCTCAATCAAACAGTGACAGTGCTACGATTATTCTCCACAAAAAACATATGGGTAGCTATGGCGATGCTCAACTCCCGATAGTTATTGAGAGAGATATCAGGTTATTTTCTTCACCGTGGGCTCGCTCTGTTGATAGAAATACGACAGATATGCCGATCCGGAAACGAACCACGAACGTAAGACAGATATAGACAGATTCGAAGGCCATAGATTCGAAGGGGAAACAGATAAAGACTGCTAAGGTTTATATGGGAATAACATAGCGTCAAGAGGAGTCTACCTGGGTCGAGAATTTATAAAAAAAAAAAGGGGGGGGCAGTCCAGCACAAGCTAGAAGTACCTGAGGGCCAGGCAGATGCAGGGGACCATATAAAAACCGATAATGGACAGAAACGACACACCGTGCTATACTAAGAGGGAGATTGGGGCATCTGAGGCATTCCGATCAGAGGGTATTTTTTTTACCAGCCATCTCAATTTATCACCTAGGTAGGTATCCATAGGCTTCTCACAGCAGAATGCCCCCGCTAGAAATGGTATCAAATAAATACAAACTCCTCAGCCTCTTTGCCCGCTCCTTGTTTCATCCTCACCAATTCCCCATCCATGATACCATGGACATAACATTCTCCAATAAGGATATAAGTCCGATCCTGTTCATTCGCAGTTTTCCTCGCCACGAAAGGGACCACAGCTCCCAAAAGTACGACAACTAAATCGCCTGGCTCCATCGAGGCGGGGCCAATACCCATAAAACCCCTCGTTGTGACGAAAAACTTCCTACCTACACAGGCCTGTAATAAGGAAGCTTGAAACGATACATCGGCACCAGGATACAGCATATTCCCGATGCTATGCGAGATCTTGCTATATAGAGGCGCGGCATTCGCGGACCAACCCACGTTCTGCTGAAACCAAGCCCTCGCGGAGCGAGCCATATCACTACCCCCGCTCTCTCCTCCATCAGATGATACCGAATTCGTTTCCACCGATAATGTGAGTAGAAACGCCGCTAAGAGCTCTTCATTAGAATTACAACTTCGGGGTTGAAGTTCAGGAGTTGAGTCGGCGACCGCGACTCTACTACCTGAATTGCTTCTCGCGGCAGGTTTCGTTCGGCTTGAATTCGTGGCAAGGGACCAAGCTGATATGACGAAATCGATCTCCGTCTGCCGCGGGGGATAATGCCACTCGACTAATCCATCTTGCGCTTGTGCCAATCTTGTTTTCTCATCGACAAGGCTAGTAGTCGCCGATGCTACGGAGTCAAGCGGGTACCCTCGGATACTTAATCTATCAGCGCTATCAGTACGCTGCACACTAACCGTCAATCCAGCACTCGCATCGAAAAAATCGTAGTCGAAAGGTGATGTTCGGCGGGGTTCCGACCATATAGGCACCCATGACGGACAATTAGGCACGGACCGGTTCTCTGAATACTCGGCCATGGCGAGGGGCCTGAGTGTTGCGTGGTTTAATATGATAAACCACGTGGCATCTCGGAATACCTGGGCCGCTGGTTTACTGTACGTTACATCGATGAGTATGCCGCTATCGCCGATGGGGTTTGCGACGTCGTTGGCCATGCCCAGAACGGCGAATACGTAGTCTGACGGCAAGGTCGCTTTTCGTGTTCGCGCTCTCTCTAATAAGGGAAGTAGGTTTTGTCTGTGGCCTGGATATCGCCGGATTTGACACGGGTATAAAGCTGCCTGAATACTCAATCCTGGAGATGAGTTTTCTCGAAGGAGTCCGGTGATGCGCAATTGAACTTGGAAAGTGTGCCAGAAGTCGCCAGCGTCGAGAACTTGTACGGCATCGGCGAACGGTTTCCATTCTAATTCCCAATTCCCTATACATATTTTGGCCTCCCTGGCCATAACTGCCTCCTGAACAATCCATACACGGTGGAACCAAGGTAAATTGAAGAATGACCCAAGAATCTGGTATTCAGGACTATTCTCGGGTGGAAACCCAACCGGGTCCAAATCTTCTCTGCCGAATCCATCGGTTTTAACTCGATGCGCATTTCTCAATGCTTGAGCTAAAAAGGATAACACGACAGACATATGATCCAAATCAGCTAAGCGCACACGCCCGAACGTACGGTCCAACCAGGAGGTCCGTAGTTCCGACTCTGGTATATCGGGTGGACTAAGTTCATTTCCTAGCCAGATAAATACCATAGAAGCTGTGGTATAGATTCTTCGGAAGAGTTTGACTTGTTCATCCCGCTCTTGTATGTCGCTCTGATTAATACTCAGGGCGTCTATCCAATACAAAGGGGGTTCCGCGCACGCCCTCCGGGATTCAACCATATCGACTTCATTGCGATTTCGGGCAATATTTTTCCATGCGCGACGCCTTGAATGAAGTATATGATCCTCATCCATAACATCGATCCCATTTTCAGTCGGATCGCCCTCTGAGGGTAACTGGCGCAGAGCCTTGAGTGCCGCCGCCAGATTCTGAGTTACTTCTATACGATGCCCATTGCATTCAATCGGTATTTGATCTTGAGTAGTACCCCAAACATAAGAAAGTGCTTCATAACGTGGTGCTCTGTTCAAGTCAGGCACAGGTTGTATCTTGATCCGAATCTCTTCCGAAGGCCAACCAGGCTCAATACTAAGAACTCGTATGGAATTCGTCGGATCAGGCAAAGTTTGATAGATAAAAGATGCCGCCATGTCACCAATTCGGATTTAATTCAATAAAAAACATCTATAAGCTCTAGTAAGCCAATATTTATTGGTCTACTATCTATTCATTCTCAAAGGTCTGGATTTCTAAGGTATCCCCTCAGCCGCACAAGGCTCGGCGGCTATGCCCCCTGTAAATGGCCTGCAGACAACCCACGTTGGGAGTTACAGGCGTTTCAACATAGCCCCTGGACACGCCAAGGGATCCTACGATACCACTATAACTTCCACTATATTTATAATGACTAACCTATAATATAACCACCGCCGAGATCCCAACTTCATCTTACCTTACCGCGTATTTTTGAAGAAACGGAAGCTTCACTTTATACTCTTTATGGCGGACTATATAATAAACATTAAAAACCGAACGAAATGAAATTTATACGTGAGCTCGTCCGAGAGGCGAAGCTACTGAATTTCTGTTAGTGCCCAAACACGCCCTACTCACTCACTGGACATTGCTAACGGAACCACCTATAAATCAGATATATACGGCCAATGGTACACCAAATTTTCAAGTGAATCTTCATGATTAACTCCCATTCCTAACATCCTTTTAGGTTCCTCCTCGCGGGCCTAATAGTAACAACCATATATCTCGTAATCGTAGTCCCAATCGAATTCACACACGGGACTCTCCTCCCACACGCGCATTGGCCAGAATCCGCCATCCTCTATACGGGATGGGCATCAGGGTAACCCCTTCCCCCCTCTCCTACCTTCTACCCTATATTTCCCATCCCCGGATCTAACTCATAAAAGCGTAACCATCGTCGGTATAATCCTGCTCCTCTTCATCCCCAACGAGCGTCTCAAGAACCGACACGACGAGCTCATATCCCTAACCGCATGGCTCACACTATCCATGTTACACTGGGTCGGTTTCGGCATCGGATTACCCTATCTAGCCTCCGCTCTTCTACTTAGTATCGGGTCGATATGCTACGGCGTAGCATACCTCTTATGTCAGAACCCGCGAAAGACACGCTTGACCGGTGGGACCGCAGTCGCGGGTATGCTTCTGGCAATTCCCGATGAGAAGAATCGCGGCGGGAGTAGTTGGACTGGGCTTTCGGTTATGGCGGGGTGTTTTTTCTTATTTGCTCTTATTACCTTTGGTGTGAGAGCGCTGATGCATTGGGCTTTTTATAAGGGTACGGATCATTTTTGGGATATATCTTGGTAGCACCAGTTAGAAAATTGAATGCTCTTTTACCATCAGATTCATTTAATTAAAAAAAAATAGTCTACACATTTTAAGTATTAATTTACTTATAAACAGCGGACTAACCCCATTCGTTTGATAACCTAACATCAGGCAGTCAACCTCTTCTATCAGGGTTAAGGGCTGGAACCCATCGTCCAGTTAATCCAAAGGGTTCCTTGCCAGAGATGCAATTTGTATGTATGTAGACATCCGTCCGACCCGTGGTAACCTGCCCACAACCCATCAATCTAGAAACCGACTCGACGATCGTACAGCAGCTATAGCCGTGACAACGATATGCAAATACCCACACCTGTAATGATAATGATGATACCGTCCCATATATAGATGTGTTTATATGTAGGGACTCTATGTTCCCCTTCCTTCCCAGTGGTATTTCCAGCGCGGCGAATCCGTATGCTCTAATCGACTCGAAAACAGAAAACTCAAAATCGCTTGCTATTCTTTCGTTGAGTAATCCTCCTATAAGTCTTTGACTTTGTTGTCCCTATTCTTATTCGTATCACCGTTGGATGTTCCGTCTCTATTCTCATCCCCATAATCATATTCATCATCACCATCGCCCTCTCCAGCGATAAGCTCCGTCATGTCGCGCATGCGATAATCCAGAATCGGCGTGATCCAATCATCCCTAACCAAAGAATATGTTTCTAGTGCATTATCCTTCGGCTTTCTCGGGTTAATAGCCCAGTACCCAAAGTCTGCATCGATGCGCTTGAGATATCGTAGTAAATTCTTCCAATAATTCGCATCGCCTTGACCCGGATCCCGAGGCGCTCCGAACTCGCCTACCCAGACGGGAGCTTCCCCGCCTTCAACTAGGTACGCCCAGTTATTGCGCATAGCCTGCGCAAATGAAGCATAGCTTCGCTTCGCGTACCGACCCTCACGACTACCCCATCCACTCCACGCATATACATGCGCAGAGTACACCACCCGATCCGGTACATCCAATATCACCGGTCGCTCCCTAACTTTCGATAGATCATTCCCAGACTCAGTCCCACCAACAATAATCAACCAATTGCTATTCATCTTGAGCAATCTATTCCCACACTTCTCGGCCGCAGTCGCCCAACGATCCCATGACATCGTGCCCCAGACGCCACGCACCTCATTCCTCAAGTCCGCACCAATAACCCTAGGATTATCCGTGAAGCGATCCATGACCGTCTCCCAATGCTGTATCCACTCCTCCTCAGTCTGCGAGATCTTGCACAAGGGCCCGAGATGATCGTTTGCCCATCCGGCGTCGCAGGGGTCGGCGCCGCAGCACCATGTCGCCGTCGTGATATGGTTATTGATTATAACAGCGATGCCGGAATCGGTTAGAGCTTCGACGACAGCGTGGAGAACATCGAGGGCGCGGCGCCCGATGAGGTCCGGGTTCGCGGTGAGGAGGTGTGGGAGGATAGTCGGGTTGCGGACGACTAGTTCGTCTGAGTAGGGTAGCCGCACGCTATTGAAACCTAGCATGCGGATTGTAGCTGCGATGACGGAACGGTGCTGTACTTCGAGACCGCCGGGGATGAATAGCTCGTCGCTGGCTCCGTACCAATTGACGCTAGCGAGCTTATATCGCCGACCCGTAGCATCAACTACATCGCGACCCTGTGTCCGTAAGGGGAGTGTGTAGGTTGATATGCTAGACGTCTCCTTAAACGGGGGCAGAGGTCGCTCGCTAAAAAGTCGGTCACCGACGTCGGGGACCCATGGCTCGTGAAGGGCTCCCTCGGCCTTCCACATATAATGGAAATAACCGCCGAGGATAAGGAACGCGCATACGAGTATCTGATACATTGTAAAATGTGTCTATGTAAATTGGGGGAAGATATAGTAAGTGAGGGTGAGGGAGGAGAGGTGTTGGGATTTTAGATGTAGCGCTGAGGAAACCCGATGTCAGGTATTTCGTAACAAGACGCGACAATTGCTATGAATAAAGATAACATGGAGCCCATTGTAATAACCATATGAGCTTTAAAATCTACCAGAGATTTTGTGCTACTAAATGGTAGAAAATTGATGTAGGTAAATAGGAGAATTGTTGAAAAGAAGAATGGAGCCCAGCTGGCTTGAAGGAAGGAAGAGAGATATTATCAAACCGTCCGTGTAAAGTAAAGGAGTGACGTTGGACAAGCTGACAGGTACGTGCTGCGTAACCCCACCAACTTTCACTTACGTAATATTACCTGTCCCTGATACCTTCCTTGCCCTGCCTTTCTTTCTCTTTAGACTTTCAGCCATTCTATTTCTCCTCGTATCACTATTACGAGAAGAGTTAGCTTAAAGTCAATCCTTAGAGCCTTGAATTCTCGCTTTTAACAGTGTTCCTCGTCTATATTATATCCACTAAAGGATACCTCGTCCGTCAAACTTATTCTCAAAACGCTGTTACACCAACTCAATCGACCGTCAATATAAAAAACAAACACAAATTTCTTTACGTCTTCTCGAATCACGTGGGACTACTGTTGTTTCTCATACGGCACTTGAGACAGCAGTCCACCTATCACGTAGGACCCCCCGTAAGTAAAGCATGCATGCCTGACGATCATATAATTGGTTTGGTTCGTCTTATCTGCTTCGTGGCATTGGTTGACCCCATAGAATTGTGCATGTTCACTTACAAACTACGCGTACGTGTCGATGTGGCTTTGCTAGGCATGTGATAGTTCAGCTCAAGCAGGGCAAAATTATTTTTAGGCGATAGAACCTTTTATTGATTTGGACTAATATATATGCATCATATATATCTAATCCCTAAGTTAAGTAGCTAAGCTACTTTTCTGAGCTCAGTGGGTTAGGTAGGTACCTGAATAGGTAAAATAGGAAAACCAATGTCGCTTCGTAGCCTCATCCCTCCATCCCCATCGAGCTTCATAGCAACACCCAGTCTAGCATCCAAATCGTCATTGCCGACCAGTAGGTTTTCCATCGCGTGCCCCTATCCCCTTGAGCCCAGTATCCATATTATCAATACTTGATTTTACAATATTTTTCTCTTATTTCGGCCCTCTCACGTTTCCCATAAGACGTTCCCCCTCTTTTAGGGGCACTTTTCCTGATATTTCCAACCTCTTCCTGAGCCGATGTGACCGAACCACGCCCCTCCTAAAGAGCCAAGAGTGATTCTATCGATACAAAAATTCGTCGAATCCCGGGACGCCGCGCTATAAAGCCCGAAAACACTAATATATCCGAGGCACCGAGCCACTTTTGATATGGGTAATTTGAAGAAAAAGAAAAGAGTAGATGGTTGCAGTGGCTTAGGCGAATAGCTCACGTAAATATAAATGGTATAGGTATTTAAATGAAAACATGGTCGCGACTGTAGTCAGGCGCTCCCGGTTGGGTATATTGCGACCTCGGGGCCGCGTATTGTATTTCCTCCTCTTTATCTATCCTGTTCATTCCTAATGGGTTCATGTTTTCGTAGTCGTTCGGTCGTGATGACGGGTGTACCGCTGGCAATGGGTAGGACTCTTCATAGCCCTGGTTCGGATCCCATTGGTACTGTTGCGGCGGCCTAGGCGAAGAGAAAGACCGTTGATGAGGCTGATATCGTGCCGCTTGTCCGAAGTAGTCGGGGGTCTGGCGTCCGCCTCTCGTGGGCGACTTGGCCGCGCTAAGTGGTGTCAGCACCGCTTCCACTTTTCCGGAATCGCGAGACAACATTTCATAAGACCGAGGATCTTGCTTAATATCCATGCGCGCGTCTACAGACACGAATTCCTTCTTGCGAGGACCGCCGAATGAGGCGATCCAGTCTTTCCAGCCAGTCACCATTGACCAGCGACCGAGTAGTAAGAGTAGCCAGATACCGTTCATCTATATCACATATTAGCTATCGCGGAATCATTTAACATTTCCGTTGTGGCTACTTACAGCTAGAAGTACCAAGACCGCCGTGACAGTCGGGAGACTGACGACTAGATGTCTAGCCTTGTCGAGACACTTGTTCTTGTCGCCACCAAAGGCGATGAGACAGGCTGCCCACAGTGTCGCTTTGTCGGGGTGGGTCTTGATCGATTGAACGGTATTATCCAGGAAGACGAAGATGACGGCGAAAAAGATAACATCCGCAATAATAATCAATACAATGACGATACCACGCCATTGAAGCTGAATGACACGTCGAATACGTCGGTATGCTTGGCGCGGAGTCATAGTGCGAATACTGTTAGAGTATGAAGGCATACCAGAGCCTTCGGTAGTCGCGCTGTTGTCGGTCAAAGACGCGAGGTAGACTTTGATACAGTATCCAAAGGTAGCGAATTGTATGATGACGGTAAGACCTGCGAAGACCAGAAGCGGGATCCAGAAATCGGCCAAACTGTTCTCGTGGTTGATATGGCAAGTAGCGCCAAAACGGAATGAGACACCGCTGAAGACGAGGAGGATGACAAGACCAATGATGGGAATTCCCCAACCTAACACTTGAGAAAACCACATGTAATTTCGGCCCACGACTAATTGCCAGCAAATCTGGAGATGTAGTGAAAGCGCTCTCAGAAAAACCCACATGATACCAGCCCAGCCACCAGCGAGTAAGAAAGCTCCCGAGGCCGCACATACAGAGCTCGTGTCCATTCCGTTCGGGGTGATCTCGTTAAAACATTGATTCGGCTTAGCTGCTAATGGGATAATGAAACCCAGCTATGGAAGGTTAGTCGGTTAGCCTTGAATCATATAAAATCACAAAAAGGGAAAGGTGATGCTCACATTCATTAAGACGGTAGCACAGGTAAGACTAATACTTAGGTAATGGCGATGTGTCTTCTCAACGGGAAGCACGATCCATGAAATTAATAAGAAGGCACAACATATCATGCCAACGACATTAACCCAATTCGCTGCGGTTGTCGCTGTTGTGAAATTATCTGGGTATGTCCAATCCGTCATAGGACATGGTATGCAGCAGCTTAAACGTCCGATTGGCGAACATAATCGGCCCTCCACATCTATAGAACAATCAGAAAAATGCTTAATGATAATATTGGCTTAATAAAACTTACGTCCTCCGGATGTAGGAAACATGAGTTCGTTAAAAAATGGCGCCGGGCAACCGCCGCGCAAAGCGTCTATCGTCGAGTTCGCCATGTTGATGTGGTAGTTGATAGTATAGAGAAACGGGCGCCGGAATTCTCGACAGGGAACCGTGCGTTAAATCAACTACCGGGCATAAGATATAGAATAGAATTATCCTTTTCCCAACCAACTTGGACCACACACTACTTAACCCGGACCGATGTAATCCGGACGCGGCGAAGCTGTTGCGGGTTGGCCGAGTTGTCGCACAAAGCCGAACAGGAATAGGATCTGCGACGAAAGCGGTTGCTAATAGGTCAACTCGCTCGCAGTTAATATATCCTTTTTAGAGTCCACGTCGATCTCGTTGACCGAAGCAATGCTTCCCTAAAAACACAAAATGAGGTGTACTCGTCTATAATCACTCTAGATTAGCTTTCGGGTAGAGGCCGAGGCGTAGACGGCGGGATGGAGGGTTCCTGATGGGTCGTGGGTCGCTAGCTTAGGTGGTATTCATGGCCCCCGAACTTCATGCAGATGAGGCGATTCCCATACACATGAATCACTGGCAGGGGCGGAAACATGAACAGATAGATGGACACACGACGAAGCAAAAGGATCAAGAGACTACACGACCGGACAGGGAAAGCAGGAGGGAAGGCCATATTTAGGTGAGGTGACCCGAGTACAACACGGTACACAGAACCTAGTAAATAGAACGGGGGACTCGACTTCGGTAGCCAATTGACGACATGAAGGCCAGGGGTTTGGGGAAAGCGGGTTCCCAAGTCTCCAAGTGGATCTATCGTGGTACCGTAAGTACGTATAGAAAGTTACTGTAATGTTGCAATGTTAGGAGCGAGGGCGTGGAAAATAATCCCTGGGCGTACTACAGGCGGACTACAACTCTTGGGTCGCCCTGACGTACTTGCGCATCAACCCTGAGTGGGTAGAAACGGAGTGGCCCCGGGCGAAGAGGCAGAGAGGCCGGTGGACCACATGGGGAAGCTAGTGTTCGCTGCGTGCCAAGTCCTGTCCGTCTTGCGCATGCAGGCAGCAGATTGGGAGGTCGTCGAGACCGACTGGGGTTGATCATTTCGCAGCTTGGTCCACTAAGAATTCCAGATGGCGAACCCTTGTCAGCTTGGGAAGGGTACTCTGCTAGGCTTTTGCCAGGCTTGCTAAGCTGTTGGAGGACATGGTGGACCAGTGGAAATACTCGGTTAAGTTGTTGCTCGTTTCGACTACTGTAGGTTAATTAGCTCTGGTTCTTTTTGAGATGGTTACTAGTATTGATTGGCGCTTTCTAGACATCTTGATAGATAATTTTCTAGATTTTTAGCACTCTAGACGCGCCATTGCTTTTACCTTGTTGAGAAAAGAAAAAGGGGTAGATCCCACTCATAGCGGGGTTGAATGGACACAATCATGAAGAGCATTTTTGTTTGATAGTAGTACATGACATACATGATGTGCGTATGTACCGAAGGATTCAAGCTCATAAGATGGCGCCGATTTGCAGGCCAGCATACCTAGGTAGAGAGGGAAGACCTCGGGAGTCTATTTTTTTTTTCCTTCCTCTGTGTGTGGCAGGAAAACAAGCATGTAAGAGGGGAGGGATCTATGTCACCCTTACAGCGGCGGAAGCGACAGGATAGGTGAAAGGTGTGAGTGGAGACTAACCTTCACGCTAACCCCGAAAAGAAAAGAAAGAGAGACAAGAAAAAAAAAGAAGTCGCGAGCACCTGCGGAAATTGGTTAAAGGGTGAAGGGTACCTAGGTACATATTTCTAGTATCCTATCCACTGGGAGGCACCGACCATACTTGACTTTCTCATGGCACAAAAACAAAAAAACGCTGTCGGTATCGCGATTAAGAAAAGGATTCACAACGCCTTTCCATTATCTGCAAGTCATACATGGCATAATTCTATTTTCGTCTCTATCATATTTATTTGCCCTCTTTAGACATATATAAATATATATATATATATGCCCATATAATTCCCATTTTTTGCTGTTTTCATTTTCGTTTATTCCGATTCACTTCTCCGTTGGTGATCCCGTTGAAGCTGACCGACCGACCGGACAAACTATCAGGCGAACGGGCGGCCCGAATCTGTCAGGGTAAATTCCATCAGCCTGTACTGCAGGCTGTTTATATTGATTGATTGATTTTAATGTTAGCCTGCTTCGAAGTCTTCCAAGTCTGGGGGTGGTAAGGTAATATCGGGATCCCAGATTCGCATGTAATTCATATATTTGGTGTAATACCAAGACATGCAACAACCTTGTACGAAGATGCAGCTAAACTTTTCTCGCGTGCCGGTGGTAAGACATTCTGCTGCAAGCTCGACGAGGTATCTTCGATTTTGTAAGGCGGCGACGAAGCTCCAAAGGTCCAGAAGCCCAAGGGGGTGGCCAAGGACCTAGGGGCTCAACAAAATAATTTTCTACACTACCACCATTACCACACTACCAGTTCATGCTTCATCGTACCGACAGACCGTCTTACACACATAGCTCTAATTTGAAGCTAGTCCTGCAGGTACAATTCTCGTTGGAAGAGCCTAAAAACCCAAATGAGGATGTGACGGAGAGACTGTCCCCTGCATTGGGTGTAGCGCGCCGGATCAACTTCTTGACGCAGGCGGATGACTGCCGTCCAAAGGGAGAAGAAGTAAAATTCCCTATTAGAATGCGACTGGCTACTGCGTACATGAGGGAGATCTATCTTATCTGTTGCCGGCGCCGCAGACATCACCACTTACATACGGGTAATGCATGTTTGGTCTTCGAGTTCGAGACCGTTGCCACCAACCAACCGCTACCAACAACAGAAAAAAAGGAAACACATGGAAGCTGGACAAGGTTGTAAGTACCGATACCATGTCTTACCTTCACGTTTTGCCAAGGGTGGAAATGAGAAACATGTACAGGCTTTCAACCTTACCTCCATGATATCCAAAATGCAACGACATGCTGCAAGGTCGGCTAGTTCCAAGCGAAGATGTCTGTTCTTCACTAGTGTATTACTTTCTTCAGAACAGGTATGTATATGCATTACCCAACATAAAATTCGTTCTCAGCCCTGTCGAGCCCACGGACCTCGTGGCATCATCGGATCGACAAGGCAACGCTAGTTATTGCTCATCATATGGATATCATGCAAAAACAACCCGACAATCGGTCTGAGGTTTTTCCCAAATTTCCCAGTACCGGACTTATCTACCATAACGGGTAGTCGTTCGTGGAGAAGCTCATCCTTAGCGACAAGCATCCCCAGTCGGGAAAACAGAAATTACTAAGACAATGTAGAATTACGAAAAAGAACACTTTACAGGACATTCTGCACCCCACAAGGTGCGAAGCACAATGATGAGTATAGCGGACGATTGCCTACTTACGCCCTACATGGTTAGATAATAATATATCGCACATATGCATTGTTCTTCCAGACTCGTTGGTATCCATTGTGCGACTTGGCGACAAGACCAGCTGAAAAGGCTCATTCGTATTCGAATATTGCTCAATGGCGATGGTGATGAGAGGCCTCGATTGGTAGAACGCCTAGGACCAAAAGTCAAGAACAGCGGTAATCCGTCACCTCCTGTAGCCACTTAGAAGAGTATACCGCCGTTCCGGTTCTGAACGCCACCGCAGAATGTAATAGGCGTAAGGGAGTTGACCTCTCATAGTTTAAATCAGCAGCGGCGCAGTCCTACTGGTCCGTTCTCCCCGTTCTCCCTGCAGGTCTCAGATTTGCCCGTAGCCCGCATTGGATGCACCCAGATTTTGCCTTACGACTGGCCCCTGTCGTTCCCGCTCCCGCTCTCACCTATCACCACATTAATCAGTTATATGGCAGCGCGATATGCAAGGGGGAGGGGGAAATAGAGGGGGCCCTGGAACCATGATTTACAAAAAGACTGTGGATGCTTACAGCATAGGCATGTTAGAGACTAGACCAATATGAACAACGCGTCACTTGTTATCCCGTCGAAACAAGAAAGCACGGATAGCGAATAGCGATTGGGCTCGGATGAATTTCATCTCGGTTAGAGAGTGTCATTCTTCAAGTCGCCGGGCTATAGCATCGCTGCCCAGGCAGACCAAACAGGAATCTTTTCGACGCGACGCAAGGAGCTAAGCAAGTATACGACAAATTATCATGACTAATTAGTAAATAATAATCAACCTGCAGTATAACATCGCTTCGGATCTAGACAATACCCACATCCACTTTCCGCCGCTCCCCGTATTCCGGAATTCGCTCGACTTGTATCAATTCAGAGCGCGTCAGATTTTGGCATCCTTGATGGTCGGCGATGTTCATCTTAACGGAAGGTAACAAGAAATTTGCACAAGCAGTCATACTTATCACGACACATCTCATCACCGGACGTCGCACTAGAATGTTGGAGGCTCATCACAACAGCCTCATAAACGTTGCGCCAACTAGTTAGCTAACCTATGAGAATTTTGGGCACCGATTCTAGGGTGTGACCGCGTTTGGTATTGGTAAATTTCAAAAACGCCACGGCCGGTCCTTGCATAGTGTTTTTTCATGATCGCTGCAAAGCGTAAGCCCCCTTTTAGTCAGATAAATATTTTCCCAGTGAGCGATTAATATTTTTCTCATATTTACACTTCTATACCCAGGCAGTACGCAGCTACATACGTAGGTCTTGATAATGCTTCGCATCTAGCTACCTATCGCAAGCCACATGGATTTTTTACCAATATTTTATCCATCAAAGTCGCACGTACCCCTAGCGAAGAAAAAAAAAAAGTGACACAATTCATACTTCGAAACTGACCGCCCCGGCATGAACCGAGCAAGATATGCCTAGACCATGCTTTATTCTCTAGAATTTCCAAACGGCTGGAATCAAAAGAACAGACGCTTTGGGGGCGATTACGTATCCCATCGTTGGGGGCCATCGATGCCGCATCATCGCACGCGTTCGGGCCGAGGAACCAAGATCAAAAAGCAGTCCGCTTTCTAGTGTAGAAGTTATCGACTTTCCTAATTTGGCATCTCGTTTCTTGAAGCCGTTTATAATCGTGGCATGGCAAAGACGGGGGGGCAGAAGCTATTTTAGGAAGACGAAGGAATCAATTTAGTTACATGATAAGATTCTCTTGATAGTGAAGAAAAAACCACATTGGCAGTACCAAGACAGGCTCTCTATAGAGATAACTAGGTGGTAAGTAATAGTACTAAGGCTACGATGCGATAGAACACTGTCATTACAAAGTAAATTGCTATTACAACCTCACTGCGTCCCCGATATTTCTCAGTTACACAAAAGAACATTTATGCCAACTGAATGGTACCCAATAAGAAATGCTATTTATAGCTGATCTTTTTTATTGCCTTCAAATTTCCCCGGGTCAATTGTTGGTGATTTATGCCGCGAACCAACTCTCCGTCCGTCTTCGATGCAAGGTGAACTTGATCGAAGCCGAGTAGAAGTTGAGATTAATGCTACCAACTATTATCTCTTACTTAACACTCTAACCTTCTAGATGTGCGGAATGAGATCTCATAACCCGATTTCGCAACTAGTGCACAAAATGCGTTGCATGCATCGTGGACCTCCCTGTCTAAATCGGGATGTTGCCTTCTCTCTTACCCTACAGCAATCCATCAATCCTCAGCCGTCGTCGCATTGCATCTCCCTTCACTACCACCTCATCGCTTCCTGCACAGGTCTCGATGCTATCACCTCCGACATGTTTCAGGTTTAGTTGACGTTATTATTGACTGATTACGGATTTATTAGAATATTAGAAACGACTCCGTAAAATGTGCCCCCATACGTTTTCGCCTACATGTGTTGGTGGTCAATCTCGCATGTAAATGCCCTGTCGGATATTAACCCACCTCTTCAATTTCTAAAATTCGAAAAATTTTATTTCTTGATTTTTTTAAGTCTCGCTAGAAAAAGTCCCCGTTATGAATGGAAATAGTAAATTCGCCGAAAAGACCGGTCTTTAATCTATGTTGAGCTAGGAGTGTTTAAAATCCCTTCTAGAAACCATTAGTGAGGCCTAGCAGTAAAATATCATGAAGCCGACACGTGTCGTCGATAATTTCGTGGGTTTAGCCATGAGCGCTCGGTGACATCTAATTTACAACTAGATCTTAGTTAATACTAGCAATTGACTATTCTCAATTGACCGCGGATATTTCCGTTAGTATAGTATTGCGGACGACACCGTTCCAAAGCCAAGTGGCTGGTTGTCTCATTTGTCTCGTGGCATATACTGGACTACCTTGGCGAAACTCCGTTGAGACTTGGTTATATTACCTAAGTTGGCAACTGATAATTATCAAGACAGTAATGGGTAAACCGTGTCTATTATCGCATTATAGATATCTTCATCTTTAGTCTCTTACCAAGACTTGACTCTAAACTGCGTTACAGGATTCCAAATTTCGCATACCAAGTTTTACCGTCTTCCCCGCAACGCATGGTGATAATATACTATAAAATCGACTCTAGACTCACGTTGCATTAAGCTTATCTGAGACATGGAAATGTCTTGCTGGATAGATTATCTTGGTAGTTCAATGACATAGTATTTTCGGGGTTCAGGCACCTTCGACGATCTGATGTTCGTCCGCTCGGCCACCTTGCTTGCCGCGACGATCTTCGGATATCTGAAACCGCACCGAAATGCAGCTGCCGTGGACCACCACTCGCATCTCTGTCGGATGTGGTAACCGAACTTACTAGGTTGAGGCTAGGTTTGCCGTGAGACTTCGTTGTTGAGACATTGGCTTGATAGACATTAAAAAAGCCATGTTTGCGGGAGTGGTGACACCCGGCGGGGAAACCTCATGTAGATCGACCAGTTGGAAATTCAGAGACATTACCAGTACGTCACAACGGTGCGGTCATTCGTCTCGGGTCTCTCCCGTGTCTCTAGATAGTGTAACCCTTGAGCCCCAAAGTCGGAATTTGAAAGAACCTGATAATAACCCTGGACGTTGGAGTGCATACCTCTATGTGGTCACTAAGTAAGGGATCACAAAGGCTAAGGCGCCGAATAAGGTCAATCTTAGCTCTGTATGTATGGATAATCGTTTCTTTAGGATGCAGAATTCCTCCCCACGGACTGTAAATCACATCTGAGCGCGCCTTGCGATTACAGTTGAATCCTCGGCCGAGTTCTTCAAACAGCCTAGGTTCAATGCAAATAGGGTAGCATTGGGGAGCTACTAGAAACACTCTAGATGCGCCGTGGCTCTGCAGCATCATCACACTCTGTTCGCACACCGAAGGGAGGGGGCAAGCCAGCTTTACATAGTAACACCACGAGGAGGGAGGGGAGGCAACAATCTTCTAGAACAGAGCAGGATGTCTTGGCTTCACGAACCAATCACAAGAAAGAAAGGTGAGACAGTGCCTCGTTCAGGCGGGGCAAAAAATCAGGTCAATGGTACGTACGTGTGTGTAGTCCGACCCCTGCCCACTTCCTGTTAACAACCTCCCTCTTTGCGGCACAGACTCCGTCCAAGCCTCGCGATTCACGAGGGGGGTCGCGTCGGCCGGCCCGATTAGATGGGGTAAAAAGATGATGTTGGAACAACAGTTAGGATCGAATTTCGCCTTCTATACGATGAGTAAATCGACTCCGTCGGGTTACGGATGGGCAAGAATACGTAACAAACAAAGTGTTGGAAAGGTTTGTGGATTTAATGATGAGCAAGTTAAAAAGCAAATACATTTGATTCAGAGTACGAACATACCTACCTAGGTAGGTAATTAATTGCGGAGGGCGGGTTTTCATCACGTGACATGTACATTATCTCGCAGATGATTACTTAAAATCGATGACGAGTATCACGATACTTTGATATCTTGCCGTTGGTGGCTGATCATTAATACTCTACTCATATTTTAATCTGTTACCACTAAGGCAAGTTTACGGTCCAGAGTGAGACTACCCCGAGGGAAGTGCATATTCTTGTTAGAACAACCCCGAGTGTATTGTGATATGGAAACAAAAGGGGTTGAAGGAGTGACTTTAGATGTCGATAAAGCCGGAAGGTTGGCCCTTAACTTTCTTTTTGGCGATCTAGGAATCTAGGTTTTTGCGGAAAGGTAGGAGTTCATGGTTCTTAGGATTCGCTTGTACACTGCCTGCCTAGAGAGGTACAGATACGCCGTACATTCACCTATTCCTGACAAATCTGCATCATTATCCACTGGAAGGTTATGCCGATTATGTGAGATTGTTGATCGCAAAACCGCTATAATATGTCTACTTTGACGGAACTGACGACGAAACCCGCGCAATATCCAGGATAAATAACGGGCTGGAAGTGGAGAAATCGGAATGCTGGCGCCACTATCACGTCTTTTCGCAGCTTGAATGACAATGTGGCTGACACTGTGGAAGCTGGCAATTGCTTACTGATACCGCCGGATCCATTCAGGGACGCATAATATTGAGGCGCTACTCATCATCCAGCCTTCTGAATGGTCACGTAGAGTTTGGTCGCCGTAGCTTGTGCATAGCAGTAGGTGCATTATCCGATTTCTAAACTATTTCCTATGACTATCTGCATGTCTATCTACCGTACCTTAGAAGTCCGGGCCTAACGCCACAAATATCCAAGAAGTCGTCCGCTTTAGCTAACACTATGTTAGCTAGTACCCCGCAAAATGTCTTAGAAGTTCCATTGCTTGCACCAGTGGCGCATCATCTCCGGTGTTACGGCCTTAAGGTTCTTAGCCGTGCTGCTGTAGGACTTGGTTCTCTCCATCGCAAATTGCATTTGAGCCCCTTTGAGAAAGCCCTCATACGAATCGATGAGCTTGATTCCAGGATTCTTGGTTATGTCCTCCGTGGTCTCCTGACTAGCCTTTAGGATCTCAATCCATTCCTTAAAGTCTACGATCTTCTTGATCCGATCTCCGTAGAAGTTTTTCACGACCTGGACCATGTCCTGCCAGCTAGTTGTCTCGGGATTGACGGAGTGGAAGTAGCCGGATATTTTATCAACCGGCAGACGCTCCCCGACTCCTGATACGTCGAGGACTAGATTCGCGACGTCTTCAATGGCCATCCAGTCCACTGTATTAAGTTGGCCTATGTTGCCAGGGAGAACCCCTAGGTACACAGAAGAGGCAATAATGGAGGGCAGCCACTCTTGCTTATTCCAAAGCCCCTTTTCGTATCTTGACCCAGCGATCTGGCCAACACGGATACTAGCCGCGGGGACACCGGAAACCCTTCCCGCTTCATCTAGTATCAGACTACTAACTTGCTTGGAACGTCCATAGTTTCCTGCGGCCGCGGTAAAGTCGGTGATTGCGGCTTCCGGCACTTCGCCTTGCCAATTATCCGCGGTTCCGATACTGGAGATGAATATGATTGGGACTCGCTTAACCGCCTTAGTGCTGAAGTCAACGAAGTTGCGCACTCCGCGGATGTGCGGTTCAAAGGTCGAGAGGGCAATGTTGAAATTGACCGGCCAGCCATTGTGAATAATTCGGTCGACGGAGGCTAGAAGTTTACCGTAGACATCCCGTCCAAGTCCAAAGTCAGGCTGCGATAAATCCGCATGGAGGAACTCGACCTTGCTGAAGTCCGCGTTGAGTCCACGCTCATTGAAGCTCTGGATTTGACGTGATACAGCGTCCTTGGAGCGATTCAGGCAAATAACCTTCTTGACATTTTCCCTAGCAATCAACAAATGCAATAGATAGGAACCTAGGCCTCCTGTGGTACCTGTAACCACAACAGTCTGGCCCTCGTCAAGTGGAGGTGGCTTGTTTGTGTTTGCGGGTGGTAAATCTTTCGTATACTTTTCGATCAGCGCTTTCATCTCTTTTTCAGCTTGCTCGAAGTCATCCACCTCTTGTGCCCCTCCAGTCTGGATTAGATCATAGAGATACGCAGCGAGACCTTTGTACGTCGGGTTAGAGTAAATGGCGCGAGGCGCTAGGGTGGAAGGGCCTAAGTCGACCCCAGATGCCTTTAACCCGGCATTTATCAAGCGAGTAGCGTTGATTACTTGTAGGGAGTCGACGCCGACGCTGAAGATATCTGTCTCAGGGCTCAACTCCGGGACTTCGAGTCTTGTAGTAAAAAGCTGCTGCAGAGACTCTAGGAGGCTTGCCTCTGAACTAACATCCAAGTTGGGTGCATTGGCTTCTTGAGCCTTTTCTGCTTTGGCATATAATTCATCCGTCTCTTCCTTGTAGAGATCGGCAGTGAGGATTCGCTGGATGGTACCTTTGCCTGCGCGTAAGAACGGCTTCTCTGGGTTTGATATCATGGCAAAACCGCGTTCTATGCGCCCATGGGCTACAGTTTCCTTGTTTGCCTCTTCAATCAGAGGCCACACGCTCTCAATCAATTCTTCTCTTTCCAAATCGGTCTTTGGCTGAGCCACAGGCTCAAGAATAATCGCAGGCTGGAAGCGATCTTGTCCAACGACTAGAACACCTTTGAGGGCGAGATGCTCACTCACGTTTTCCTCGATGCTAAGGGGATTGAGCTTCTCACCGTTGGAGAAGACTATGACGGTATCGGCTCGTCCTGCATACACCCAGTGATCCTTTAATTCGGGATGCGGACGGAATAAATCTTTCGTATCGTACTCCTCGATTTCTGGGAAAGTGTAAAAGACCCCTTGGATACCTGGGTACTTCTCCCTGCGATTGACGAAAAGCTGGTAGGTATCTTTATCTGTGGAGGTTGGGCGGAAATCCAGCCCGCCTAGCTCCGGTTCAAAATGGAAGTATCTAATGTCCGTCAGCCCCTTTTATCTCATATACCAAATGGCACGTAGGGTCATGACCGGGAAAGGAAAAGGAATTATACATACCGCCACAAGTTCGGATCTGACTGGAAGTAAATGGGGTACGGCATTCTGCTACCTGTTAGCTTGGCATCGCGTTTATGGGGATAAGAACTTTGGCCTCGTGACTACAAATGACTTACTCAGTCGCGGCTATCATATTCAAAAGTTTGATTCCTTGTTTTGCGAGATTGTCTCCCACTCGAGCGTTTAAATTACCTAGTAATTAAAAGATTAGCATCCAATACGAGGCCACAGGGGAGACCGTAGCGACTCACCACCACCGAACATGACGAGATCCAGTTTCTTCAATGCTTCAACATGCGCGGGAGTGTGGCTCATATCTTCTAAAATCGAAGGCGGCAGTAAGGTATGATTGCTACCGGTATAATTGATGTAATCGGCTACCAAGTCGGCTGTCAGGGGTTTCGAGGGAATGGGGAGTACAGCTGGCTTTCCACCCATTACGCCCAGGTATGTACCAAGGTACAACCCGGCCGCATGGAAAAACGGCACTATTCGCAAGATTAGAGTTACCTAGATGCTCCATAAATTAGAGGCATTTATACGTACTCGGGAGAATCATTTTGCTTGCTATGCGAGCCACTTCTATGGTCCACATGTGGACGCCATTTTTTGGAGGCACATTACAGAATGCGTCAATAGAGGTGAACCATCCTTGTCTGGATATAATTGGTTTCGGGAAGCCAGAACTTCCGCTAGTGTGAAGGACGGCGAAGGGTTCCCATTCACCTTCTTCGAAGGTTTTCTCATAATCAATATGAGTTGACTCGTTGCCGGAATACCAATCTCGCTCAGGGGCGACCACGAAACTTTTCATATCATGTTCCTTCTTCCATAAGTCAACGGCTCCCTGGAATTCAGGGGAATGGGCAATCAAATGGCAATCTGTGTTTTGGAAAAGTCGGACTTGACCTTCTGTCGAGTTTCGAGGAGAGATGAATAGGGCCTGGTTATGGATGTTAACGACCTCCACACCAGAATGCCAAGACGTCGTCATACCTTATACCCAGCCTTAATGGCACCGAAGGCGAAAGAAATATAACGAGAGTCATTGGTGCCGATGTACGCTATGGTGGGGAATGCGCCTGGGGGTGGCACACCACCAAAGGCGAGAATCTCATTTGCAGAGCGATTGACGGCCTTTGCAAGATGTGCAAATGTGAGAGTGTCCCAACCATCCTTTGGGTCTGAAGTCCGCGGTATATAAACCCAGTGGCGATCTGGTTCAGTCCTAGCTCTCTCCTTAAGAACGTTAAGCGGGAGTCGACGTCCAAAATCCATGTTGAATATCGATATCGTCTTCGAAGTCGTCAGAAATGAGATTTGATTAATACGCCGCAAATATATACTTCCTCTAATACTCAGGGGAGATGGTTTGTTTGCTCTTTCTGCTGCGAGACAAATTGTTTGCTTCTTCCGGTGAGAGTGGTCGACCCTTTATATATATCCTAATCTTATTCTTCAAAACTCATAACGGTATTCCGTAACATAAAGGGGGTCACCATGCCCTCTGCATCGACACCAAAAGCAGTTCTGTTAATTCTATCACGTTTGGGTGTGCCGTGCGGCAACCATACCCCCCAGATGTGACCCTAAAAATGGCGAAGTGTTTATCGCGAATCCCGACTTCGCGTTTAAGATACTTTCCACAATACCTTTCACTTTTTGACTCAGAAAAAACGCTGAATCATTGCTATAAGGCTGAAGTCGTCTATTCTACCTATAATAAACCCAGCCTGAGCCTTGATGCAATGCTGGTGGATCATTAATATAATCAACCTCGGGAGCGATCTATGATGACCCACCCCCATAATCAAGTAACGATCAGTAAACGCAATCCCGAATCCCTACTGTAAAGTCCGAAAGTGTAAGTGGTTTGCGGAGATGTAACCTGCGTGACCTACGGACTTCTAAGGATGGGATATCATGTTTACCTAGGTAGCTTAGCGGCTCCGCACGATGATACACCGCTCGAATGCTACTCGATGAAGCTAAACTATCGCGGCACATTCGCGATCGACGGCACATTTCTACACTAAGAGACTAGCCAATGCTTGTTGGTGGTTTTTCTATTACTTTGGTTCTAGCTGGAATCTTTCCGCTGTGTTCCGCGGGAACATGCCTGTTCCCTCCCTCTTTCGAGCGATCTACTTTTCTATAACACGTGTTGCGGCACATTCTGTTCACGGGTTTACGGTAAGGGTATCGCCACTACACCATAAGATTCAGAGATGACAAGCCGGGATAAACTAGACTAAACTAAAATCCAACCTCTGCCATGATTCATCGGCGGCAATAACCTGGCAATAATATCGGTAGGATCCACATCCACCTTCGATGCATAATCCTTGGATTAGAGATCGGATTTCGTTGTGGATATCTTGACGATTTGGCCATGTAGAGGGGCTACTCGGAGGATCCATTCCTCGCGCCTCGCGACCTGATTCGGCCTCCGAGAGTCATTTTTCAACTTCTACGGAAAGTGTCTCCGTAAAAACGGCCCCAATTATCGAAATGAACGGGAATTTATCCGGGAGTAGTCGGATACGCTCCGGGGTCACGTAAGCTGTCATCAAGGGCGTCTTATACTCGGGTATAAAGCAGCGCCCTGTATGTCATTTTGAATGAAAAAGTTTGCGTGATGGAATATGGAATACTAAACACCATTGTATGTTTCAATTCATATCAGTAAAGATATGATAATGGTTTTCAGGTACGTTACTAATTACCTCCGTTCCTGTTGGTTGATGTTGGCCGACCTCGCACTTACCCATACAAGGTGCCCAGGTAGATATAGGTATCTATCAGAACCTAGCGAATCCGTGGGTGAGAATGACCGGGTAGTCTGGATTGCTTAAGAATGTCTACCGTGCCGCGCAACGCTCCAAAATCCACCGGAGAAACCCTGATGGAGATAGCCTACATCACCTGCCAGTCGCCCTGAAACCAGTAACCCCCCACTTCCCACTCCCGTATTTAGCCATGTGCCCCCTCCAAAGCTACATCATGCTTTGTTGTGTATGCCGCTATTGCTAGGATTCTCCTAGGGGGACGTACTTGACCGATAAGATTGGATAATTGAATCCAACAGTAGCCGGTGGCCGACGGTGACCGTAGCATGCGCCAGGAGCTGCGGGATTGTGGCGTTTGGCTGGTTACCATGGATGAAGAACTCAACGATTAAAAAGTCCGTACTTTTCTGGTTTCAAATTCTATGGGAGGATATATCGACTTGAAAAATATCCGTAACTCCCACAGCATATTTTTTTAAGATATTAGAAATGTCATCGTTGAAATTTACAAATCCCCAATCATATTAGTTCCGACAGAATGGCTCGTCCGTTGGTTGGTGCAACCAACATACTGGAGCCACACGGTTGAAATTGAAAAGAAGACAACAAGCGAGGGAAAAAAAGAAGTAAAGTGATGAATAAAAATGCAAAACGTACAACACCGAGGATTCGCTGGTCGTCACCGACCCAACTACTAGTTCGGCGATATCGGGTTTATCTAAGGGGGAGCGGACGGGACCCCGAGTTTTCCAGATTCTATGGTCGTACGTGATAGATTATTGTGTTGTACAGACTTATATACTGACAACTTCATTTTGTCCCATACTGTCGTGACGGGAAAAGGGGGAGGGGTGTATCCTAGAGTACCCACTTAAACAATTACCACCACCCAATATTTCGAATGCGAATAGAGATAAAATGGTTCAATTTCATAGGTGTCTCAATCTACCTATAGTTAACCCGAAGCGATGTAATTCTTAGTTCTTACCTTCTGGCATAGTCCTTGGCGCGATCGAGGTTGAAAGCGGAGCTTATAAGCGCTAGGTGAGAAAATGCTTGAGGTGTATTACCCAACTGCTCGCCACTGCGGGAAATCTCCTCCGAAAACATCGACAGGTGATTTGAGAAACTGAGCATGTTTTCAAATAGGTTTACGGCCCTCCCCAGATAACCAGGCTCGTATACCGACGCCCGTGTCAGTGCTTCGACGAGCCAAAATGTGCACATGCTGAATGCACCTTCATGTCCTCCAACACCTACGAGGGATCGTCAATATGGATGAGTAAGAACTTAGTCTTAGGGAACCTACCATCGTTGGAAAGTTCTGTGTTATACCGGTAGACGAGGCCTGCGCTCGTTAACCCACCCTTTTCTGGAGGGAGAAGAATTCGATCAACAGTGTTAAGGAATCGCGGGTCGTTGGGCGTGATGAAGAAAACAAGAGGCGCTATCAAAATCGACGAGTCGAGTGCTGTGTTGTTCTCATAGCTTTGAACGAAGGTGTCCAATTCCGAATTGTACCCTGCGCCTCCAGTTAGCATAGCTGGCGCTAATTTGTCGATCGCCTAGGAACTTTTGGGTGACTAACCTTTCTCCATCACCTCTTCATAAATTGCATCTCTAGCGTCTAACCATTTCGCTCGGTTGGGGCATGGAACTAAGCCGTGAATGTTAGTACCTCTTTTGGATACGGGTATGGGGTCGAACTCCAGTCCTGTTTTGGGGGCGGAAACCCGATGGGATTGGGGCGGTCGGACATACGACATCTCTTCTCGGCGAGCCGAAGCCCTCGGTCGAATGCCACCCAAAGCATCACTTTTGAATAGACAAAATGCTGCTTGTGGTTCCGAACTTCCCATATGGACATATCAGGCTCTAATTAATGCTCAAGTTAGTAATTCGCCAATGCCTAGAAATAGTACCCCACATACGGTCAAGTATAGTCAAGACATGATCTGTTTGAAGTTAGCGATTTACATGCTCAAGAAGTACTACCGGTAGTACTTACCGAGCATCTTGCGAACAGATACCCACGTGTCCCACGAGATGGGTTTTCCATATTTATTGTAGAGATAGATAGCGTCCATAAGCTCGCCGTAAATATCGAATTGCTTATGGAAAGCTGCTCCATTACCGATCCTGACGGGCCTACTGCCTTTGTAACCCTCGAGATGATCAAGTTCCTCTTCGGGAATATCGGTCTCTCCTCTGATCGTAAACATAATCGGTAGATCACCCCCTTCGGTAGTGGATTTACGGACTAGACCACTGATGAACTCCATATAAGCATCTGCCTCCTTGGTGAAGCCCATTCGCAGTAATATGTAGATCGTGAAACTTGAGTCGCGAACCCAGGAAAACCGATAATCCCAGTTACTATATTGCAATCAGATATCGATACACTCAATTATAGGTGGTGTGCTTGAACATACCGTACTCCGCCAATCGCTTCAGGGATTGAAAACGTGGGGGCCGCAACGATGGCCCCGGTCGGCTCGTAAGTCAACATCTTCAATATCATGAAACTCCTCATAACAACCTCACGCCAGCCGCCCTTGTAACTACTTTTTGAGAGCCAGTTAAACCAAAAAGCTTGCGTATCATGTTGTCGAGAGTCAAGAACTGAAGTAGTGATATTCTCCGTCACATGTCTTGGTATATCTTCGCGGATCACGAACGAAATTGCCTGTCCTTCTTGCAGAGTGAAATTGGCGACGACCCCCCCGCCTATCATGCCGTCTTTCTGTACCTTCTTGAAATTGAGGTTCGGGCAAGCGGCCGTGTCATCGCCTCCGCAATCAATCGTTACATCTAATTGAAGTTTTAAGTCTTTACTGTGGAAGGTAACAGTCTTGCTTTGGGTACTATCGGTCCCACGAACATTTTGTAGGATAGTGGTAGTATGAGATCCTCTAGCGTAGTCGAATGCTGGAAATACGTCCACATCTTCAAGTTCATTAGTAGGTTAATGAATAATGAAGCAAAAAACGACATACTAAGCGACATCTGGCCGCGAATGCATTCCACCCGGCGAACGAGCCATTTCTTTAACTCGAATGCACCCGCAATTTCACGGTAGGCACTATGCTCGTACCTGGTTGACAGAGCAGTAGCTTCCCTCGGGCGCGGAAAGAAGTCGACAACGTTCACAACACCATCTTCATTGATATATCGAGTTTGAAGAATAGCAGCAGAAGGAAGATATTGCTGCTTGGTTGTAACGGATGCAGGTTGAGGTGGAGCTATACTGAAATAGCCCCCCTTATCCTTGTCAAGGAGACGGCAGAACACAGAGGGTGAATCGAAGTCTGGCCTATCATTGTATTTAGCTTACGTTCTACCAAATTGTGTATGTTTTCTTTTTGATGTATAGGTAGTCATCGAAGTGATTCTGTTAACTAGCCGTGTGACGCCTCCGTATTAGTGAACCCCCAACCCCGCGATTACCAGGGGGTTGAGAAACCTTGAATAGAATTACTAAAAAGGAGAGAACCCACCAGCACATGAAATCTAATTGGAGCATAGTATGCCCCCGTTAGTCTTTGAATCTTCAATCCGGGTTTACCATTCGGGAGTGTTTTCTACCCACCTATACTCCCATCCATGCTTACCAATGCACATGTCCTCATATTTCCGATCATGCCGTAATTCTCGATCGGGAGGTAGCCAGCAACATCCCTTGTAGAGACGTTGAGGGTGCTACACTTAGAGGTGGCCATGGTGGATATTCAATGTTGCCCGCGTTTAACTATGAGAGAATAAGAACTTGAGGGAGTTGAGCTGCTTCTTTTAGTCTATAAAGTTTAAGAATAAGTATAGTAGTATAATCTCATCTGAGAACGGTTTATTTGATGAGAGCTTGGCGATTTGAAGACTCAGAATGGTATACGTTAATGTCTTTGACAATGGAATTGAGTTGCGAAGCTCTTCCAAGCTTCTGTAGAGTTGACATCATACATCTTAAAGTCGAGCTTCCGCTGTGATGGGTCTGACTAAGGTACTTGCAGTATACATCAACCACGCTATTCCTAAAGTAGAGCTGAGCTAGATTCATAAAGCATTGTATAATTCTGCACTAATAAATGAAGCTAGAACTTGTTAGCTTTGTGACATAACAGAGCTTGGTCTCAACGTTGGAAGATATTCAGATGTTTCATGATCTCAATCCTAGAGAAGTATTTCTTTTATTTTGACTACACTGCTTACATACGTCATCCGGGTCTGGCATAGTGGGTTTAAAGGAGTAATCTCGGCGTATTCCAGGGCAGCCTGGACGTTCTGAAGGGTCGTTTAACATGGTTTAGGTAACATCGTCGCTCGAGAGCTGGTTGTGCCCGCATGGTTGGTATTCCGCAACATATTTACATAGTAGGGCTACCGAGAGTCTTTTCCTATAACGTATCAGATAGTCCTACAATGGTAACCTATTACATACTCATATACGGGAGAAACGTAGAAAGATGAAGGAATTTGGGTAGTACATCGGTACATCTGACGACCTACCGAAAAGATCGTCTCGGATTAGGTTTAAGGTTCTGATGCACAAAACAATCTTAATCCCAAAAATAGATCGATCTAACCTGATGTAGAAAATGGTTGGCTAGATCGTATTTTATCTCCCCCGTAAGATTAGCGGTTCAATCTTCAGTCTTACATTTTTCTATGTACCTCCGCAACGTGCATTTGCTGGACGTAAGCAAACACCCCCATCGCTTGTGTTAAAAATCTTCAAGATGAGCTGGGGCTAACTAGTAGGACTTTGAAAAAGATTCGATCTGCATTGTGGATTAATAATTGGTTTGTTTCAATTGCGATTCTGCCGCATCCTATCTTATAAGCCGTTGTGGAGAGAGAACCCACAGGTGACATACATGTATCGGCTATCATATTGTATGTAGTAGGTATATGCACATATCAGGCAAATTTACACATGTATATAATTGCCTGCATATGTGTGTATCGTCAAATTTGGCTAGAACATGTACCTTTCCGAGACATTCTGTTTGTATACGGCATTATTTTTCTATTCCTCAAAGTTGAAGGCAGCCTGGATTTTGTTTCTGTTTGAAAGTACCGTAATCGAAGGAATCTAGTATACTGCCTAGGTACCAACATGGACTCTCGTTATCCCATATATGGGACGTTTAATGCTGGTATCTATATCTGTTTCTAATATGTACTCATGTAGCTAATTCAGGTAGGTACATACATTCGTTCTTGTATACGCGCCTCGTACTACTGTACGGTAGTTTCAGCTGGATTTAGGCTTAAATAAACGGGGGACCCGCTGGCGACCTCGGGCGGAGTACCGGCGCAACCGTCTAAATTAGGTAAATGCAGGTAGTCGAGAAATACATAAGGCTACCTGCAGCGGTACATAGCAAGCAACCTTGGAAGTACCTAGGTACCTAGGTCTGGCTAGGTCGTAATAGCAGCCTAACCCACTATATTAACACTGATCCTGCCTAACCCATGGCTGGGATTGAAGCTGACTACCAGGGCCCGACCAATTGCTACTCAGCCCCAAGTTGCCCCTACCCCCCTACGACCTAGGTACATAATTGCCCCCTATCAAAAGGATTATTCCACTATTTCGCTGCGTTATACAATACCACTGTCCTACCCCAGCGTCAATCTGCCGCGTCACCTCCGTTTTTTTTTCTTTTATCACATTGTTTCCCTTCTCTTTTTATTGGCTCCCCGCTCGATATACTAGAACTTGTCCGACACTGTGCGATCCGAGAGTAAAGCGCCTTACATAGAATCTCGGTTATCCCGTTCTCCTTTTTTTCCCTGACGTTCGAAATGATGCAGCTATGGGAATTAGACCTCCAATGAATTATGGCATAACACTATTTCGAGATATCGTGAGGTAGTCGATTCTTACCTTGCTAAGCTTGGCGCCACTACCTACCTAGGTAGCTTTTAAAGAAGAAACCCACTTACTAGCTATCTATTATGTCTGCAACCCAACCATCCAATATGGACGAAGAGCCGATTGCGATGGAGGAAAAGACGATTACATCCGACGAGAAGCCGGCCGTGATGGACGAGAAACCAACTTCGCCCAGCGAGAAGCATTCACCTTCAGCTTTTGACAAACTCCCCGACGAGATCATCGAGCAGTGAGTAGTTTTATTACTGCTGACTTCGTTCTCCTATAATGATATGTGAATGATTAACATATGGTCTGTTGTGTAGAATCCTTCAATTAACCGATCCTAACTCGTTCGCATCTCTCGTCCTACTAAATTCGAAATGGAGACGCGTTTCCCACCAAGCTCATCTCTACGCGCATCATCTCCTACTATGTGAATCTTACGGTGCTAGCCACTCGAGTGTTCCCGGTGCGGGTGCGGATGACGAGGATAACCTTCCGAAGCTACAGCGCTTATTTGCCCGCGAGGTGAAGCGAAACTTGTTCGAAGCATACTTGCGACCACGAACCACCACGATAAAACTCATTTCGAATTGTATCGGCTCGTCTTCTGCCCCTGGTGGTGAAGGAATGCAATTTAGCCCTTCACCTAAAGGTCATCATATTCTCGCATATAACTCGTCTCGAATATTCGTTTTAGATATCAGGGAACCGGAGCTGGCTGTGAAGCGCGAGTTTAAGATATTGCGCCGCCCAGCAGCTGCATGCGTTCTAGACGATGCTAGTCTTCTAGCAGTCTTGTCTACTGATATGCAGATTGATTTATACGATTTAAGCAAGGTTCCACCTCGCCGATTACAATCACTCATCTTGGATAACTCACCCCGCGCTATTGCTCTGTCCCCTTGTGGAAGTGTTCTAGCTGCTGCATACGAAGGCGGCATCGAAGTGTCCTCAATAAGCCCCGGGGCCCTGCCCACGGATAGGAGAGCCGTCAAATGCGATGGCGTTGATTCTCTTGCCTTCTCCTGTGATGGAACACAATTACTGGGGACAACGACAACGTCGCATACACCTAATACCGTTATTTTAACTGCGCCATACTACGATCCTGGGAATCAAATGTCTGAGGAGAATAACATCAGTGCGCTATGGACGACTTCTATTCTCTTCCCGAATACGAGTCGAGACTGTAGTCATGCTGTGCTATTGCAAGAATCAACCTCGATGGAAGCCACATGGACGTTTACTTACGATAGAAGTTTTGAGACATTCCGTGCTGTGCGGATCGACGATCTTCGTAACGGAACGACATATTTCACTGGTCCCTGTCCTAGTTCCCCTTCGCCTGGACCTCTGTTGCCCTGCACCTTACCTGCCGCTAATTATCAGGGAGACCTCGTATCTGCAGGGTTCGACGGGAACGATGTTTGGTTGTATGGAGTACCCGAAGATTTGGAAGCCGTACCAGAGAATACCCATACAATGTTGGATCCGAGTGGAACGCCTTCGCTACAACGAATGAATAGCGGAATATCGGCTCGATCCTCTGCGCGAGTGCAGGAGACAAGCGACAGTCGAGTTCCCCAATGGCAAATCCTCTGCGATAAGCTTCGAAATACTTTTGTGAGCGGACGTAAGGTTGCGCAGATGTCTGGTGTTAGTACTGTGAAGTGGGTTTCTGGCTTTGGTGATACGTCCTTGAAGGAACGTCTAGTTATTGCTGCTCGAGGTGTTATGCCTCCTAAACTCGTAACTGAGGAAGATGGCATCGATTTTGTGGATGGCGGTAGGGTTACCATCCTCGATTTTGATTACGGTCTAGAAGACGGTGAAGAGAAAGAAATAACTATCGAAGTTGGCTCGGAGGAGCCTGAAGTCTTGGAAGAAGAGCATCGTGATATCGATACGGAGGTTGCTATTGTCAGACGAAGGACGCAGCGGAGGGGTAACAATATGAGCCGTAATAGTATGATGTCGATAGCGGCATCTACATCACGTCAAGTCGATGCTCTACTTCGGCCATCAACGTCTCATGTTGACGAGATGGAAGATCCGCTGGTGCCACGACCGATGGCTACGGCACGTCGTGGTTCTCGTCCGGCGCTCGAAGAAACGGAAGACGTCTCTTTGGAGGAAGCTCAGGAAGCGCTTGATGCCCCATATGCTCACGCCAACCCACGATCTGGACCAACGTTACGACGTGCTGCAACGGCTGCGGCCGTTAATCGGCGTCGGAATCCACAACCCGCTGCGGCTGGTCGAGTTGAGTATAGGCGTGCTGACGGAAGGGCGGAGCATCCCCACGAGAGTGATGCCGACAATTGGGTACCTCCCCCACCTCCGTATACGAAGGAAGATCCTGGCGATTTGCCCGCCTTCATGCGCCACTCAGCAATTCCTGGTGTTGGACTCTTGACAAACAATAGAGATCACATCCCCCCGGTTCCTCCTCTTCCGTCTTCTATTCCTCCCGTTCCACCTCTACCATCGTCAATTCCGCCTGTGCCGCCTCTTCCAACGTCTATCCCACCTGTCCCAGCTATCCCTCTACACCATAGACATACAACTCGCGGTTCAAATTCCAGCCGCCCAGAATTGCCACGTCTTCAGACATCTCCTTTCCAAGGAGAAGGGGCATCTCGTATGTCTTGGAATCCTCATTTCTCGCAACACAGGGCTGCACATAGCGCTGTCAATGTCACCAGATCTGCTGTACCAACTGGGGAGTGGTCGCATAGGCCTGTATCTAGACAATTTTTCCCGCAACACGACCGTCCAGCACAGGATGATGTCGATGATATTTACGATGTATCCCCGGTCGGAACGCCTTCTCGAGCTACAAGCTCGCACGTATCTGAGGGTCCGGCTATGGCAAACGTAACTCCAGAACGGCCTAGCCCGTACCCGCAATCTATTGGAGTGCAGTCAGCAGGACCGGAATTTACACCAACATCGTCAAGATCGCATCCGTTCATGGAGAGTTCGCGCCCAGGTTCAGCTAACCCATACGCATTTGATCCTACTGTTCCACCACTACCAGTAGCGAATCTGGAGAGGTGGAACAGTGGGCAAAGTGGCTCTAGCCCAGTAGTCGGTAGACTTCCGAACGCCCAGACTTGGCCAAGAGCTCCGGCTCCCCCACAATCCGATTCTGGTTCGTTGGCTTCACTGAACGGATATCCCCGTTCCGCGCCCGCATCGAACCAAAACAACGAGGATATCATCACTGCCTCTTTACCACCAGCTCCTCACCCGGATCAATTGGCACGATTGCATAGAAGACAAGACAGCACCGGTGCGCCGAGGCCCGCATCAGGTAGCTTCCAATTCCCGCGTGTACCTGTGGGTAGTCGAAGCCAAAATCGAGATTCTCGACGATATAGTGGGATCCCAGAAGCGCAACAATCACCACCGCCACCGGGCCCAGAGCAGCCACTTATCATAAGCACACCAACTGGTGTAACTGGTGCTTTCGATGCACCCGGTCAGCCCGAGATGGGTAGGTCACTTACGGAGACAATATTGCATGCGCCAGTGCCACGCCATCCTCGACCAGTATCAGGAGCTCACCTGTTGCGGCCTACTGTCGAGCGTCTCGAAACCATTTCTAGTGCTTCAAACGGCCCCCCTCATATCTATCCACCAGGGCCTCCCTCTTCACAACTTCCATCAACGCCACTGCGCCACCATACTAGTCTAAACCGTCGGCAAAGTCGTGCACGAAGAGGAGCATTGAAAAATATACAAGATGCGAAACTTCGAGGGTGGACGGGACGAAAGAAGAAACAAAAGAAAGATGAACCTTGGACAGATGTGACTTGGGCATCACTGGCCCCTAGAGGTCAAAATAAAGACAGAAAGTGCATCGTGATGTAGAAAAGGTGTGGGTGTAGGTTGCATATATGTGGCGCACAACATGATTTTGAATCTATTTAACATCATCTATGTTTGGTTTTTAATCTTGGACTAATACCCCGAAGTTTTCATAGCATCTAGGATTTAAGGAGAAGGAAGGAGTATTATCGTGGTGGATGTTAGGCAGCGTATGCATTCACTCGAATTTTGGTTTTCCTGAAGAATAACGAGTTGTACGTTTTGTATGATACCAATACCTTTTACTGTTTAAGCATTGGAGACGGAGATATATAGGATACTGCTCGTCGCAGGTTGGTACATGTATTACAGCTATCTAGACCACTATCTTGGACGTTGTCCAACAAAATCTACCGGTATTTTATCTAAAACCGATACATATTGGCTTCAACGGATTTCAGTCTAGAGTATCCTCAACGCATGCGTCTTGAAGCTGTTTAATCTAAATTGAATCTTGATAATCAGAGTCGCTTCAATGCCACCGCCAATTACTCTTGATGACTTGCTCTTTACGTTATGTTCCAAGCACGTAACAGCCGATCCCAACACTACCGCCATACACCTTCGAAACGCGAAAAAGTATTCGTCTTATCTAACGCTGACAAACAGACATGGCCTCGTTTACGCGCCTCTTAATAATGATCTCTCGTTGCTCGGTTTACGATGTTAGTAGGCTAAGGAATTAGACGATTTTTGCTTGACCTACTCGACTAGGAAGGACCCTTAAGAAGGGGGCGTTTTTGAAGGATTACGAGAAGAAAATCTGGGGGCTGTGGATTGAGATTCCTACCAGATCTGCTGAAGTCTAGGTGCATAAATCTGGGGACATAATTGGTTCGAGATCTTTCGAGGTTTAGATAGGCAGATCTATTCCGTGTATTTTCACATTCATAGTAGGCTAGAATTATGTGCTTGTTCCACATCTGTATTAGAAGCGATATCGGTATATCGCACTCTTCTGTACTACTCCACATGTATGTGGTTTGCTGGAACCGATTCGCTGTAAAGCACAAGCTGTAAAAAAGCTCACACGTGCAAAACATTGCCGGGAAAAGCTAGTATATCCTTTTCTCTTCCATCCATCGGCATCGTGATAACGCCTGCCAAATTTATCCTCTCAAACAATCCATATCCATGGATCAAACGCCGTGGCTATGCAAAAGAAACACAACAAACGCTCCGAAACCCGTCTCTGTACCACATCGCATTGGTGGGGTATATCGTGGGAACAGAGAAACCAATATGCCAGAGTCGAAATGTAGGCTGCGGCCCAAACCAGCGTCTTCGCTTCGGTAGTTCCCTTTTCCTTCCTAGTCTAGGTAGTCTTTCTTTCTTCATGAGATCACGAGAAATCCATATCCATCATTGCCATATCCTCGTCGGCTAACGAGCTGAGACCCGAGCTAGGTGGTCTCGACTCGACGTCGACTGTTTCCGGCTGGGGTGGATGTTCTGCGGCTTCGTGTCGCTTTCGATTCCAAGCGAGAATGCTATCTTCCTCTGCGCTAACTTCAGCATTGGTAGTGATGCCTTGGCCTAAGATCGTACCCGCCCATTTAGAGTCTTGGTCCGTCTTATTATGTTTGCGCTTTAGAGCTGTGAAACCTGTGTTAGCATAATCGTAAGAAGGGATGGAGGGACTCGGACATACCACTAAGATAGTCTGTCTCACGTTGCTCTTCGACTCCTTCGACTCCGACTTCAGCAACGGTTGGTTTATCTAGGGCCGCGACTTTCCGTATCTTTTGATTTTTCTTGCCAGTAGCCCAGCGGATGAAATCGTCCACACCTCTGGTGTCCTCTTCCCTGGTTATCAACTGGCTTGCGAAATCGCGCTCGGGCATAAATGCGCCACAATGATCGAGGGCAAGGCGCACGTCGACTAAGTCCGGTATAGCTGGCGCACCCGTCTCATCATTAATTCCAGCCTGATGTACCGCACGTTCCGCAACTGTCACCATGTATCGTGCTGCGAGTTCGGTGACGGCGTCAGCTACTTGTGGTGTGGATGAATAGTAGCCTTGCGCACGGAGGATCTGTAGAATGGCAGGTCGGAGGAGAGCATGGAAAAGTTCGTCGGGGTTCGCATGTGTGCTTGGAGTCTGGTGCGCGTACGGGGCCATCGTAGTTTTTCGCTGTATTTTTCAACTCGAGGTTTGTATTTATGCGGGAGACTTCAAAGTAGGCCCCGTAGGTTAATTCGATCGCACCCGATTGGAGAACGCGGTTGTTGGAAGGCGTATCGTAAACGAGGCGGAGCCGATTTTAAAACACGGTTCTGGAAATCCGGGTATCATCGATTAGGTATGTTGTACGTGTAGAAAGAAGGACCGCGTATTTATATAAAGGTACGTAGGCTGGTTGCGACGGAGCGAGGATCGGCGTGATACTCAGTCAATCCGACAAATTCATGTACAGTGTATTTCGGGTTTGACGATATTGAGTCGAGAGATCGAAACGTCGCAGGTTAATTAGGTGATAACATCGAGTACTTCTACTTGTCCCAAGCCCACCTGATCAATTAAACGAGGGCACTAGTTGATAGAAGACTGCTAGTCTTACGTCATGCGTGCTGAGTAGAATTGGCACTATTCTCGGGTTAATTTCACGTGGAAGTTGAAAATCACCTGGAGGTTTGAACAGAACAAAGCTTAGAGCTGGAAAGTGGGGCTATTATAATGCCCCACATGTAGCAAAGTACCTCCAGGGTTATGTATGAATGTACGCTACGGATAGTAGGTACCTTGGTAATTCGCACCTGCAACACCCACTAATCGCTACTACCCCACATACCGCGATCCCCTCCAGCTACCTTAGGTACACGCGCTGATCCAGTAAATTGAGCGCTACATAACCTTGTAGGTACCTACCTAAAATATCAGCACAGACCTATCGATAAGGTTTGTCGCATAACCTCTCAGCAAGGTTCAACTCTTAAGTTCCTAGACCTCTGTCTGATCTTGTCAACTTTAATACCTTCACGCTTCCAATTGTCTGCGAAAGTTCTAAAATCGTACCGACTGAACTTACTCATAGTGGCCTATTTGGAATGATTTTGACTTCAATTGAGCAACTTTAATTTCAATAGAGAAGCGCCTTGACCTCTTTTGAGAGGTCACCGAGCATCTCTTCGTCCCTTCGTCCTTTTTATTCGTCCCCCACCGCGTTCTTTTCTCCTACACTTTCACTCACCATCCTTACTCACCATTCAACCACTGATCTTCGAGTCTTTTTCACCATGTCATCAATCAACGTCAAGCCGACGCTCAAAATCGACACGGCTCAAAGTATGCCGCCGCCATCGGAGAATCCGCGACCAATTCTTAAGTTGAATACTGGATCGCGACAATCTTCCTTTAGCGGCGACGTCGGAACACCTACACCCTCCGGAGAGAATCGCAAGATTAAAATCAAGCTTAGCAGCCAACCTAGCACACCGGCTCCGGCGTCTGCTGCCCCGACCCCTGGAGGCACCAAGTCTAAAGCCGGTAGAATGTCGAAACCAACAGCCAAAGTAATCGAATCGAAGAAGCGCCACTACGACAGCGATGAAGACCAACCCTTATCAGTCTCTCGCCAGGAATCGAAGCGACCTAGCAAAGCCATAAAGCTCAAGACTCCAGGCACACCCATCGGCCCGCATAAGAATCCGGGTACACCTATTAGCTCTATTAAGTTTAAGCCGAGAGGTGAGCCTATTGAGCACTTACCTGGCGAGGCGTACGATTCCGAGGCGAGCGACCGAGAGACCGACCCTGTCCGCGAACACACTTTCATTTTACGCGTTATGCCCGGCGAACCAACGGAATTCCTTAGGAAGGCATTGGCCGACGGTATCGTTGGCCTTACTAAACAGAACGGAGGTGCGGATTTTGGCGTCCAATTTCTCGACTCGAAGCAACGTCGCGCAATGGTAACTATTGATGGTCGTCACTACGCAGCTGTTCTCGTTCATCTACCCACTATTACCGAAGCAATGAAGACCTGGGACCGTAAAAATATGATGAAAAACTCCGATGTTTCTGAGATGCTTCTTTGTTTCGCAGAGGTTAAAAATGAGAACGAGGCAAAGACAATCGCACTTCCGCACATGGTCACCAAGGACGACTTCAAGTGGCCCCATGGTCTTACCCCCCCGATGCATGACGCTGTTCATCGACGCTTTAGAAAGACGATTTCAGAGAAGCAATGGCAAAGCAGCGCGGCACAGGTCACGAAGCTACTTGAAGATGATGCGGCTGCGCTTGAATCAACCGTTGATTTCCTACAAGACGAGGACGGCTTTGCAGATACTGAGGAGGAAGAGGAAGACGCTGAAGGTGAAGCCGATGATTACTTTGGAGATCAGATGGATGCCCAGGTGGAGGATGTGGAGGATGCCGAGGATGATGCCGAGGTATTGGCTGCCATGGAGGCAGAGCTCGCTGAGGAAGGACCGCAACAGGAGGAATCTGTCGCTGCCGCCACGCCGGCTGTGCAGACGGAGGCACCAACCCCTATGGCTGTTGATGCCAATACCCCCGCGCCTGCAGCGGAAGAGGTCGTGTCCGAAGAAGATGAGGATGAGGAAGAGGAAGATGACGACGATGACGAGGAAGAGGAGGATGTTGACGAGGAACAACTCGTGGCCGAGCGAGAACGTAAAGAGAAGCTTGATGAGATCGAGCATCTTCAACGATCACTTGACGATACCCTTCGTCAAATGTCTGAGGTTACAGCACCTATCCTAAAGAAACGTATAATCAGTACGAAGGAGAACTTAGAGAAGGAGATTGCGGTCAAGAAAGCCGCATTGGGTTTGGTTGATGAGGATTAAGGACGCATCCACATAGCGTGAGACAGGAATCAAGGGGCACAAGTCATAAGCGGAAATCATACCGGCCTTGGAGTTTGGAGTTTGCTTTTGCAACTATTACGGCATTTTTATCGCGCCTCCCTCGCGAAAACTGCGAGCGGTATGGAGGCCGTTGGACGAGGATTGGTGATGATACCCCAATAGAATATAGCGAGACTTGAAAATAAATTGCTGAAAAATGATGTTATCTGTTGGTTATTGCGTTTATGCAGATTAATGATGATATTTACGGCTTTTAATGTGATACTGTAGGACAGTATAGTAAGAGGCTACCACTTTTTAACATATTTGGCTTGTATACAGGTCTAGTTGCATATGGTACATCTCAAGTAGTAGAGCTATATGATATCCAGCGTTACTACGCCCTGCTCCCCCAAGCATAATCCCACTGACCTCAGCTAAACTCACACCGGGCCTTTTGAGATAGGCGTAGTAGTATTTTAACAGCCAAGTACACCATACCTGGATATTTTACATGCTCTTCAAGTAATTAGTCTCCTTAATCTTAGCCTTCCGCTCCCTGCGCATAGCCGCGCGCAATTCTTCTCTCGCCTTCGCAGCTGCAATGGCGCCCTCCACTGTACCCTCCTCGTTGCTGGGTAAGTTGATACTTTGCTGTTGTAGAGGGATCTTGGGCGCGAGGGCTTCGAGGTTGCCTTCGGCTAGGAGACGGGCTTCGGTGGCTCGTTGCCGTTTTGCGGCTAGACGACGCTGTTTTCGCGATTTTGCTGTGGTGGGGTTAGTCAATTGTTGGGGATATAAAGAGGGAGAGAGTGGGAAATGGGGGCTTACAGAATTCATCACCGGCTTCGTTGTCAGCTTCTTCGTCTGTTTTCTTGAGGACGTCTGTGCATTTCCATAGCCACTCTGGGTAGGCGTCGTCGGCGAGTGCGACGGGGTCGTTGCGGTTCTTGAAGTAGTTTAGACCGGTTAAGACGGTGCCCTGGGCGCATGCTGAGAGTTTGGGTTTGTCCGAGGAGGGGACGTCAGAGAGGGGGGTTTTGAATACGGGGGATTCGCTTGCGGGTGTGGATGGTGGTGTGGGTGCGGGTGAGGAAGTTCGTCGTGTGATGGTGCTTGAGAATGGCCGTAGGGTGGCGCTTCCGTTACGAGGTCTTAATGGTATAGAGGCTGATATTTGTGGTATCCTGCGTGAGCTGAGCGCCGTTGAGGCTCGTTGGAGACATCGCGGGCAGATCATGGTGGGCGTTTATGGGTTGGTGATGGGACTTTTGGTGGTTGTAGATTAGATTTGAAGCTCCAGAAATTTTGTATAGGCCGGTCGGAGCTTTGGGTGGGATTTCGCCGATGCCTATTTGCCAATTAAGACCGCTGTAATCCACTATAAGACTAAAGCCTCAGCACTCAGCTAGCGACTCTACGTTAAAATCATACTAAGTATTAAGCAGACAATTCACACATTTTTAATTAGATACATAAGGCGTGTGAATTTGGTTGTGATTCGTATTGGTACATTGAATACTAAGTTATGTACAATACACATATGTGAGTGCGTAGGGGTTGTCGTTATTGCGCCTGTCTAGGCTTCGTGAATAGAGCTATATGATAGTTCTCGCATCCTGTGCAACTCAATCGTATCGCAACGAATGTCACCGGTAGTCTCGATACTTCCCATATACGATCTTTGCCTTCTCTGTCTTTTATTTCTTGGTGATATAGTTTTGTTGCTCGAATAGATAGCCTCGTACTCGGTGGTCCTTGAGCATCTGGAGGTATTTTTCTGCAATTGTGTCAGCCCCAAGTACTACAAATAGGATATCCCTCATAATAATTCAATGCCCATTCCACATAGAATTTCACATATATCCTTCCAGGAGACAGAGGGCACCCGTGAGCAAAACTGACCTCTCAAATGACCACACTTCTCCAGGTGGTTAACACCTTCACGGTAGTAGCACTTGTTCAACTCCTCTCGTACTAGTCGGCCCATCATGACTTGCACCCATTGCTCCCTGATAATAGCGTCTTGCGCCTGCTTCAATCGCCTGTTGTCATCGTAATCGACACCATCGAAGGTCGGAGGAACGGTCGGCTTCTTCGCCAAGAAAGCTTCGGATTCAGGAGTCGGCATTTTGGTAAGAAGGGCGGTCAATTAATTCGGGTAGTCGTCGAATTATTTGTTAGTAGGGTAGTTCTCGGTTGGCAGTAATTCGACGTTGCCGCGTTGAATCCAAAGACTCCCGTGGATATTTCGTAATGCAGCTTTCACCAATATCAAGCTAACGGACAAGCAAGCCGCACGGCTCTAGGTAATGCAGTCACGTGTAGAGATTTCCAAGGTTGTGAGAATGTACCTAAGTATTTAGATACTAAGTGCACTGTACCAATGGACCCACTGTGCAATCTAGGTCCGTGCTGTCACATCACGCTAGAGAAAATCTAACGCTCACCGCCCGCGATTGCCCCACCGGCAGATTGAAATTTTCGAGCACAAGGGTCCAGGTCCCTCGAAATTTTTTAGAGCTACCAACCACACTTTTTCTTCATCAGCTTAAGACACAACCTTCTTCCTCTTTCATTTCCATTCAACCATCCTTCCTACTCTATTCACAATATCAACACAAATTTTCACAATTAATCAATACCTAAACCTCACATCACAATGGGAAAGGTCAAGCAAGCCAATGGCAAGGCTGCCAAAGCCGCCAACCCCCTCACTGCCGTGAAGAACGCTGGTGTAACCAAGGCTACTGACAGCCCCAAGGCCAAGTCCAAGCAACTCGCCAAGGACGTTGCTACTAAGGCCGTATCTAAGAAGGAGCTTGAGAAGAAGTCTAAGAAGTCTAAGAAGGTCGTCGAGCCAGAATCCGAGTCTGAATCCGAGGACGACTCCGACTCTGCTTCCGAAGACTCTGAGTCTGAGGATGCTTCCGACGCTGACGAAGACTCCGATGACTCTGAAGCTTCTGAGTCCGAGGAAGAGAAGCCCGCCGCTAAGGCGAAGGCTAACGGCAAGGTTGCTAAGCCCGTCACCAATGGCAAAGCCAAGCCTGCGAAGGAGGAATCCTCCGACTCTGACTCCTCCGATGAGGATAGCGATGACAGTGAGGACAGCGAAGATGGTGGTGCAGATGCGACCAAGTCCGCCAAGCCTGCTGTCGCCGCCGCTAAGAAGGTGAACGCCAAAGAAGAGGTATGTGAATATCAATACTTGAATTACTACCACCTACTAACATGGTCCGAAGTCTGACTCTGACTCCTCGGAAGGAGATTCTGACGATTCGGATGATTCTAGCGAAGCCGAATCCGACTCGGAGAAGGAGAAGCAGCCTGAGCAACCCAAGAAGCGCAAGGCTGAAGACGAGACTTCCACCCCATACAAGAAGAGCAAGACCGAGGCTGAGGAGGAGCAAAGCTCCACTCTCTTCGTCGGAAACCTTGGCTGGGCCGTGGATGACGACAAGCTCTACGAGACCTTCAAGGACTGCGCCGACCTTGTGAATGCTCGTGTTGTCACAGACAAGAACATGCAGCGCTCTCGTGGCTTCGGCTACGTTGACTTCTCCAATCCCGAGGCGGCCCAAGCTGCTTTCGAGAAGATGAACGGTTTTGAACTCGAAGGTCGTGGACTGAGACTCGATCCTTCCAAGCCCCGACCCGCTGATGATGCTACCCCCAACGCCCGCGCAGCTGATCGTGCCCGACAACATGGAGACACCGTCAGCCCGGAGAGTGATACCCTCTTCGTCGGCAATCTTCCGTTCGACATTGACCAAGACGCGGTTTTCGCGTTCTTCGGCGAAACTGCTGAGGTCAAGGGTGTGCGACTTCCTACTGACCCGTAAGTAATATATGTATACATCGTTTTAAGAATTCATTACTAACCTGGTATTAGCGAGAGTGGAAATTTCAAGGGCTTCGGCTACGTCACCTTCAACTCAGTTGAAGATGCCAAGACCGCATTCAACACCAAGAACGGTGCCTACATTGGTGAGGGACGTTCGGGTCGTTCCGTCCGTCTAGATTTCGCCAGCCAGAGGCCCCCTCGTGATGACGGCGGCCGTGGTGGCGGTTTCGGTGGTCGTGGAGGAGGTCGAGGCCGCGGTCGCGGTGGTAGCGGCTTTGGAGGTCGTGGTGGTGGCGGCGGCTTCGGGGGCCGTGGGGGCGGGGGCCGTGGGGGCGGGGGCCGGGGTGGTGGCCGAGGTGGACGTGGAGGCTTTGGTGCTGCCGCCCGAGGTGGCATGCAGAAGTTTGAGGGAAAGAAGATCACTTTTTAAAGTGATTTAGCCGCACTCGTGAGTTCATTCTGAGGGTTCCCGAGACACGACGGTTGGCTTTGTGGGTTTGTCGGCTTCTCTGAAAACTATATACTCCTCCGGAGTTGTGGGCTTTGAGGGCTAAGCTTCGTTGCGAAGCTGTGATTCAACCTGTGGGCTTGATCGGAGGGCAACCTCCACGTGGGTTCTGAGGGCTCGATGGTACGAGGGTACGAGGGCTTTAGACCGAAGACACGATCGGTTGCGGGCGTTTATAGTATGCGCTCTTCTTCGCGTATGCCATCATTGAATCAGTCGGCTTTTCCTGCTGTGGGCTCCGAGGGCTTCTTTTAAGTCGACGAAGTTGGTATGAACCTTCTTATGTTCGAGGCTTGCCTCGAGCATCTCGAAGCGGACCAAGCTTTTCAGACTACGAGGGCTTTATGACGGCGTTTGGGGGTACCAAAAAGTTTTTCTCTTATGAATACTTGCGTTCCCTTTGCACATACTCTTAATACCAACCAATCAACCAGGTTTCGGTGAGTATACCATGTCCCATGCATTCCCCAGATTTCATAATCGCAGGTTTATAGATTCGCCCCGTCCATAATGAAATTCAGTATCAATAACACCCGAAGTCCGTTTGATCCGTGAATGTGAATTACGTAGTAAAGTCGTCGCCTTTATTTAGGGCTACATGATGATACGGCGCCCTGTTTCAAAGTACTACCTACTTATCATATTAGTTTTAAAGTAAGTTAACTATAAGAGTGCTTTCATCCGTACCTAATAGCCATGCCGCATAGATTAGATGAGATATTTTTTCCTTTTCAGTTAACAATAATCGCTTCCCCTCAACATTGGAGCTGGGAAATTATTCGCTATTATTATCTCGGTACCCGGGTACAATTTACAGGCCAGCAGCCAGAATTCCGAACATACTTTCTATTATGAATCCCACGTCGATTCACCTATTCAAACAAACTATACCAAAACCAAACATAACCATAGATGATACAAGAATCAACCTGAAAGTTGATAGCCCCAATTAAGCTCCAGACAAGATGAAATAACCAGATACCCAAAGTCTTATGCGGCAGCAAAAAGATACCTTGGTTGTCTAAGTAGACGTTCGATAATCTGCAGCTCCCGATTCCGAACTGAGTGCGAAGGCATTTGCTTATACATTCGCAGACGGCCGCAACTGATAACTGAGGTATTCTCACGAGCAGGGTCGGCTATAAGACCTCTTGGACGAAGCGTTGATATACGTACACTCTTCATGGTCCGGATCCTTCGCTCTAAATCGAACATTGGGGCAGCACGACCGACGGTTCGCAAAGGAAAGTCGAAGTCTACACAATCTGTTAGTACAATCGGACTAGGCATAGCACATCGATGTACTTACTTAATTCCAGGTTGCGTTTCATGCATGTGATATCCAATTGGCGCGCCAATCCTCTGGCCGTCAATGACCCATAGGACACCTGCCTGGTCAGCAGGCTGTGATAACTCCTCCATCGCCTCTACTACGCCTCCTAATACATTCCCTTCCCATGCTCGCCCAGATTCACCAACCATTCTTCCATCACGAGCTTCGCGATTGTAAAATGATGGCAGATAACTAACTTGTTCCGGAGTCATGGAATAATCGTATCCAGTTAGGAAACCAGTAAAGAAGTGCATCAATTCATGAGCCACTGTGATGGCCATGATAAATACGAATTTTTCGTAGTTATCGAGATGCGTCTGCCCTGCAGCTGGAGGGCGTTCCCTCCGGCCCTTACGAGGTTTTCCATTATCTAGACAAGTCGAGCGGTTATGTCAATGCGCCTCGGGATAGATTTTCGGGGTTAGGTAAAACAACTATACCTGCTTGTTCAACTTCAAGACGCCAGCGTCATGAGGATCCCATTGACGCATCCTTGCTCCACCGCTTGCCCAATTGGCCTTCCGTGTCTGACCCTCACGGAAGTTTGCTACTCTATAAGCGCCCCAACCTAAACAATACCTAGGTACATAAGGTGCTTCCACCAACATCCCTACGACTAATAACTTTCCAACTTCAACTCTTTATAAAATATCGTCAATTCTGCCAAATTAATACCATTCACACACGCCAAACTAATAGCTTGCTTGCTGTGTATAGCGAAATAATGGCATCCACTAAGATTTCGACTGAACACCTTGCTGCTGGCCACCGGGATGCTTCATTTCGAGCAATCAGCAATGTCCTTTCAACGGATATTGCTTTGGAAACCTATGCGCAAATTATTGATGGACTTCCCCTGAGCCATGCCGCATTGGATAGGTATAGGCATAAAATGCATCCAAAGCATCCCGTCGACTCCCATCATGAACTTTGCCCTGGTGCTTTCGAAAAAGCCATAGAGGCGAGGGAAGCATTTAACATAGATTCGTTGAGGTTTGATTCTCAGGTATGTCCTACTTACTATGCTACCTTGGGAACGTTTCTCACTCTTGCATCGGCAGTTATTGCAAACTTATCAATCCGCCTCGATTGGCACAAGGCAGTATCTGCTACGACTTTTGGAACTCACTGCAGTAGCACTCCATCAAATCGCTGTCTACTTATTTCAAGAAGCAGCCTCCATTCATGATCTACACCACCCCCAAGGAAGCGGGTTCACTATCCATGATGCTACTGTGTGGGAACGGCCGCCTGATATGTGGCTTCGTGAGGCACCGTGGCCTACCCTATTCACGCACCCAGGATTCACCACCGTCGAGCAATACCCGGATGGTGTAGCAGACATGGCGGCTTATTGGGTTGAAGATAGGATACTCGGCGGCGTACTGCTATTTGACCGTTCGCAAAGCTGGGATCATGAAGACGAACCAAATGCATTTTTTTCAATCTGCGCGGCCCAGGCGAACTCCCCGCATCTATCAACTCTTAGACGATCAGCAACAGGCACTAGTGGACTTCATCACTGCACCCCTCGTAAGCTCGGATTGGAGGCTATGTCCATTACCATTACGCTTTTCGCTAGGAAATACGACGCTCATCGACCCGAATGAGGCTATTAGTATACGCAAAGTATACCGGGATCTTTGGGAAAGACCTCCATATGTAACACCTCCACCTGTGAGCCAATTTATGCGCGAGCGCGATGTTGAATCAGGTCCAGAGGTGGATGAATATGTTAAGAGGATATCACGTCAATATAGATAACGCCGTTCCTATATTTCCCAATCGCTTCGATGGTCAACTTGAATTTCTTTTTAGCTTCGGGCAATCCCGATTGGTGATTCGCCATTCATTAAATGCCATTGCGCTGCAGCCTTGCGTATTGTTTTCTAACCCCGCCACCTCACCAATCCTTCTCGCAGTTAGAAATCCAGGACATATTCAAAACCATTGATTCATCATGTATTCCCGCAACTATCCTGCTCCTACCCTTGGCAGCGGAAGGTTCAGACTCGTACAAATATCCAGATTGATAAACGGGAGACCAAAGCTTACACTGAGTGAGCATAGCCTCGACTCCGCGCCCAAATATACCTGTGTCTCCTATACTTGGGGATCACCGGAGTTTCCCGAATCCGCCCCGCAGCCGCTACCCCTGAACGACCCTCGCATCGTCACCTTAAATGGTAAAGAGTGGGAGGTAACGCCCAATCTTTTCGACTTTTTGCAAGAGTTGTCGTCGCATTTCATAGCCCGATTTAAATACTATTGGGTTGATGCCCTCTGTATCAACCAAGATGATACCAATGAGAGATCAGTCCAGGTTAATTTGATGGGCCGGATATATTCACGTTGTGAGAAGACTATTATTTGGCTTGGCCGGGCCAACACGCAAACTCCAAAGGTGAGCGCCATGATCAGGCGATTGGCGATGTCTAGACGTGGGAAAATAGGAATGCAAATGGAAGTGCCTTCTTGGAAAACGACCAGTCGGCAACACCTTGTAACTCCCGCTACCTTGAAAAAACTCGGATTAGACAAACGGACAACTTGGGATGACTGGATTGCTCTTTTCTCGTTCTATGGCCGCCGTTGGTTTTTTCGAACGTGGACTTTCCAGGAGGCGGTTCTGAGCCGCCTCAGAATCATATATTGGGGTCCTGAGATGCTATGCTGGGATGATATACAGCAAGTTGCAGGTGTCCTTGCGGCTATGAACATTGCTGAAGCGGCCTTGATTGACGCGTTGAAACGAGGTCCAATTCGGATGCCGCTGAATATCTTGGCCCATACAGCAGCTATTCCCTTAGTTGACCCTCATTTCAAGACGGAAAGACAGTGGATTCCCGGGTTGAGAGTGTGGCTCTACACAGGGAGACCAATCTCTGCCACTATCATTATAAATTCTCTCGCCCTTCGCATGTACAGAACACAGTCCTCGGATCCCCGTGATAAAGTGTTCGGGCTGCTCGGTATCTGGGAAAGGCTTGCGAAAGAACAATACGCCGAGGAATTAAACTTCGCCGCGGATTATAGCAAGACAGTTCAGACAGTCTATATCGAATTCATGGCCACCATCTTACGAGAAACCGAGTCGCTGAATATGTTGTCGTCCGTCCCGCCACGTAATGGCACATGCGAAACTGAAGGACTCCCATCTTGGGTCACTGATCGTTCGGCGGGAGGGGCTACTCCCATCATCGAGTTGCTCGCCCTCTCCGTACTAGCCGACAATATCGATGCAAATTTAAGCATTATGAATCGTAATCTACTAGCTCGCGACGATATCAGCAGAGATTTTAGGTAAGTTTCCATTGTTCAGCATTTGGTATATGTTGATAAACAAAAATAAAACTCGTCATTTAGGATCTTAGATAGGGAGCTCATCATCCCTTCGTTCTGTTTCGCCACAGTCACACATATAGGTAACTCATATCCAGAGTTCGGGGACGGCGATGTGGACAAGACCATGGAACTACTACTCCACAGTCCCCAAGTATATCCATTTCCGGATAACCGGTCCCGACTTAAGGCATTTCATTCAACGCTTGTACTTGACATCGACCAGCCACCCCCAGACCAATTTCAAATTTGGTGGATGGCCTGTTTCGTATACGGGGCAATCAATGCCTGGAAAGAGCGGAATGTGCTACTCCAAGAATTTCTAGATGAAGCTGGAGTACCACGCTTCCTTGAGTCAATGCTACCGGACAACGATCATGGATTTTATGTTCCGACTTTCGATGAACTCCAAGAATTATGCGAAAAATTGGGTTACTGGGAGAATGGCGACGGCGACCTGAATTCTACTGAGTTATTCAATCTTTTCTTGGAAGGGTTGTGTGGAATCGAATCTTCACTCCGGTTTACGTGGTACGGCAGACGCCCCGTTCTTCTAGATAACGGGTATTTTGGGATGACGAGCGAAGACGTGAGGCCTGGTGACATGGTAAGGATTTTGCCTGGGGCTCGGGCATTCTTTACTTTCAGAAAGGTCGAAGAGCGGCTTCAAGGTGGAATAGACCGACAGGAGTTGGTAGGGGAAACATATGTAAGTGGTGCTATGGCGGGAGAGGCAAGCAGACACGTCGAAAGGCTGGTGCAGATGGGTCGGGGATGGGAAGAGATCTGTGTTATTTAACTAGGATGTCCGACCCCCCACGGTGGCTTTCTGAGGGCTTGAGATCTTGCGGATTTATTGGTCTACTTGAAGCCTCGAAGGCGTCCGCATACGCCACGGCGCCTAACTTGGTAGCTTGGCTTGGTGATCGTAGTTGATTCTTCAGCTGGCTAGAGGACTTGCTTTAGGTACCTATCTAGGTACCTTGGTAATATCGCCACTTCCGAGGGTAGAATCAATACATGAAGATTATCTGGGTACTTCCCATCTTCGACGGGCACTGTCACCATTGCGCTGAATTTATGCAGGGCAGCTATCCGACAATAATGACAGAGGGTAAAAAACAAAAGAAGGGGGGGGAATTCTACGAACTTCTCTTCGCTACGGATAATTCAACAAACAATATCGCAAATAACAAGCACTACAAATTATTTAACCAGCTACTATTTTGCAATACCAATAAGTTCATGTATACCGACTTGATAATCCTTTTTAGGAATACTGATACTTCTACCCATATCTGAGGGGTCTTCTACACCAGATCAATAATCCTCATCTTGGTCCCTAGGCGCTCGCCGATTATCGGAGAGGTGATTATACCTGAGCTATGTTTGTCGGCTTTAGTCCGTTTTCTAAAATGTGATTGTATTCTTTGACGCTGATGGTAGGATAAAGAATCAGCTCTAAATTCTAACGTCGCTTTATATATTACCTTACAATGCTTTCAGCCGGTATTTAATTCTTTCATGGCTTATCGTGGCTTAGTGAGATACCAACTAAAAGTGCGGCTTGGGTAATTTCTAGGTCATTTGACTGAGATTTCAACATTTGAGGTGAGGCTCGAGCTGAGTCTGGGCATTGAGTAGTGTATACTTTATGTAAGGAAATGCTTACAAGCACCCAACGATACTAACCTACTAAACCCCCACCATATATCTAAATCAGGCGTAGTGTGTGTGTGCCTGACACATTACTCCAGTAGAATAGATGGAACAGGTGGAACAGGTGGAACAGGTGGATAGTGACTGGGTAGTGACACATGGGCTTCTGCACTGCCTGAACCGGTGACCCAATGATACCAAAGATCACGGATATATCTTATCAGGTGAGATAGAAGGAATAGGAGATGACTGACATATTTGTTGCAGTTTGTACCCTGCATGTCTAATAAATGGTTGGTACTAACAAGTTTGAAATATGAAATACATAATGGTTAAAAAGTAGAGGTTTGCATCAGCATTTCGTAGTCTAACATTTGAACCTTGGGACTTAGATACGTACTGACATACATAATCGTCTGACTGCGTCGGTTGGGCGCATTTACGTTGAACCACCAATGGGACGATATTATATTGCGTATCGCACGTTATCAATAAGATCTGCCAAGACAATACCCTAGATTTCAAATACACCGATTGGTCCTAGTGCGTTTGAATATATACGTACTGTTGGGGGTATAGCGTCATCGAGTGTTCTATTTCACCACTTATAGTGGGAAAAGCAAGAAACCAACTATTAAGCTTTAAGTATTATTAGCTCGTTGTTTCCGTACCTAATTGAAATCTGGCAACAAACTTAAACATTGTCGCACTCGTTTCACTACTACGTAGCGTACATAACGTACTATTACTTTATGCAGTTATTGTACTAGTGGAAGAGTAATAAGCGAGAGAGAGAGAGAGAGAGAGAGAGGGAACAAAGGGAAGTTCCAAACCAAAACTTAACATAGACATATGTACACACCGAGTCGTAACCTTGCGTGTGACCCTGATTGAGCCCCCTTCGTTGATCTCTCTCAATCTACCACCAGTCTACCTAGCATCATTCGTTTTCAACGACATCCCACAATTCTAACCCGCCGATCATCCTGTTCATGACCACAAGTTTCGAATTTACTTCCCTTCCATCTTGACTTTTTATTTCTCATATACTCCTGTCGTTGACTTCCCCTCTAGTTATTACTGCCCGCCTTCGCATTTTGGGACGGACGTGCATGTACGCAGGACCAGACTGTGATGTACAACAACTGGCACGAATAAAACGAATAAACTAACGCAGATCGGCGGATCCTTGCTTCAGTTGAACGCGGGGGCCTTTTCTTTTACTGGACTTTACTGGACTTTCAGACTTTAACGTTGGATTGTTGGAGACGATTAGTTCTTGGTGCCTTCCCAAGTTTTCCCCCAAGCCTCCCAAGCCCCCTCAAACCCCCTCTAAATTCCAAAGCCTAATCGCCGGCGGTCGGTGAATAGCAACAGCGGTCGCCGCCATTGTTGACAAGTTCCGTCCATAGGGGGCCCATTCACTCTTCACTCCCTCTATCGACTATCACTATTCACTATCAACTGTCGCTATCCGTCCGCTATCTATCTAGATCAACCTACTTAATCTATTTATCTATCTACTTGTTTATTTTATCTACACGCGACACGACATCTTCCTCTACTATTTCTTTTTGCTTCCCTTGCGCTATACCATCTCTGTCCTTTAAACAAGATGTCGGGCCAGGCATGGCAACGTAGCAACAATCCCCAGCGGGTCGCCGATTCCGCCGCCTTGCGATCTGCATCTGCGTCTGGCCCTCCAAACCAGCAACGCCAGCGGAACGATGGTAAGCCTAACCCCTTCCAGTCTCACGAACAAATCCTCACCGCCTCAGAATCCTGGGTCGAGGTCGCTTCCCACCCGTCTTCATCTTCCATGTCTTCTATAGGTGACGAGATCGTAACTACGGGGCTCCAAGTGGGTTCGTCCTATGACGCCCGAAGACGACGGCGTTTACATCCACAATCCTATGGTCGTACCACCGATTCTCGACAACCCACTGTTGTTGCTGGCCAAGCTGGATCGAATAGTAGTCAAGAAGAGTACGAAGAAAGTGAGAGCGAAGATGACCGCGTCCTAACTAGTTCCACCGAAAACATCACTTCCTCCCAAGCAGTCCAGAGCACACCTTTGCGACAAGCCCAACTTGCCGAATCCGACTCGAGTGATGATGATGACGATCGGGCGACCGCACTGGGGAGACGCCCATCGGAACCTTTCCAGCCTCAACCAAACGCATTCTCGCATCCACCTTCGCACCTGACCCACCGTCACTCCGCAAGTTCGACAATCCCCCAACGCCACCACCGACCATCCTTCGGCCAGCGATCTCAGACTCGTATCGATCGTCGTGCTCCCAGTTTCATATCGCCGAATTACCAGGCTGATAATGATGCTGCTCTTCGCGCTAGTTTGACGACTTTACTCAGCTGTGCCGCCGCTGCAGGCAAGAGATCGAAAGATGGCGAAAAGGAGGTGGGCGAGAGATCGAACATGGCTGCTGGAAACCAACCTGTTGAGTTGCGCTTTGCTCCTGAAAGTGAGCTGATGGCACCCTCACCACCACCAGCCCAGACACGAACAGCTAGCCAGTCCCCTAGGACAAGCCCGCCAGCAACCACCCCCCGCGAAGTCGTAGGCGAGAAGGTGAAGAGAGCTGCCACGCCGACATCGGCTGCGAAGTCACCTCGAGCAACTAAGAAGAAGAGAACAAACGCAGCTTCAGCAGAGGAAGCTCTCATCAGCCCAACACTCCTGACCTGGGTCGTAAGCGCTGGTGTTGTGGTACTGGTCTCTGTCGTCGGTTTTGGAGCGGGCTACGTCATAGGAAGGGAGGTCGGTCGCCAAGAAACCTTGGGAGGTCTAGGTGCGATGGGAAACGCAAGTGCGGTTTCCGAGGGAAGTAATTGCGGAAGAGATGTCATTAGAACTGGCGGCGGCACCCTAAGAAGATTCCGTTGGGGTACTGCTGTAGGAAGAAGTATAACCGCCTAAGACGAACGTCCTCGGCAAATACCGAGCTGGGCTTGATATTGCCCTTTTTACGTTGAGCGGGGTGGGCCGGCGTATTAACGTGTTACGAATCGACGACTCGCGGTTCAGGACACCGTATTGCATTTTTGCTTGCTAATCAGTCAACTTATCAGTATGACAATTATCGGAGTATGAAGTTGGAGCACTGGGGTTATATCGTCACAGGCGTTGCCATGCTTCCTGTTAATTTATCAGGAACGAGAAGGAGATATCAAGGCCATATCCGCGAGCATCGTCCTATTCTATGTGGAGTTTAGGTTGAATTTATTTCTGGAGAAGAGCAATAAGATGCCCTGAGTTGGCGTGAATATATATGATTGCGAACCGAAGCGGAAACGAAATAAGGGTAATATTCTTCCGGCGAGCTTTCATTTTTGTTGTTGAAGGGGCGATTTTGTAGATGTTGTATTGGGCTAGGTAGGGTTAACTAAGGTTAATAGGTATGGAAATGCATTAAATATAAATATTTATACATACATTTGGGTCTTTATAAAGTAAATACCGAAGTAGAGAGTAAGGGAGAAAAACTAGATTTTGAGCCTTGGAACTTCTTCCTTATATGAATCCATACCCTCCAGGAGGCTTTATGGGGGTGCCTATATGCCCAACCCATCTATTCTAAGGGGGACGGCTTGGCTACCACCTAGGTTTGTAGATCTGCTACGATTTGTATATGCATATGTAGGATACCCGTCATGAAGCTACAATAGGAAGGGTCTGGTTTGATGGAACTCACGTTGTACACATACGGAGATGCTGTGCCGGCGTTGGAGTCAAGGGGTTCTGAATAATCGCATTGCATCTGCATGGAGGGCTCGTAAATATTGTGCACATTCATATTTCTGAGTATTGTTACTTTGATTATTTCAATTTAATATTAAACTCGCATTCGATATCCTCATTATATGTATTTTGTTTTAATATGCATGCTAGTAAGTTGGGCGGTGACATCGATGGATGCTCTATTCAACTTGGGCTACGATACAATTAGATGGTCACACAGAGTATATAGCAAGCATACAGTAGGATCAATTTCCATTTCATTATAGGTAATATCTTAGGTTGATTGATGTAGGTACGTACGTACGTAGACAAGCTTTTAGGTATACAGGCAAGTGAGCAGGCCATTACTTTCCTAGCCAGAATAGCAAAAAACAAGAACAGAGTAACTCCGATATCCATGATCCGTTAATTAGTACCCATCACTTTCCTCAATGATCTCGTCGTCGTCGTCGTCGTCGTCGTCAAAATCGTGAAGCATAGCTCGAATTTTATTCGCCTTTTCTTTATTACGGGAGACTCTCCATACGGGGACATCTGTATCGTCATCTGAATCATCGAGAACGACGGCGGCAGCGGCAGCGGCCCTGTCGGAAGCTCGTTTGCTCTTGACTAGTTGGCTCATGGAGGGGATTGCGTCGTCGTCGTCGAGACTGTCCTGGGTTGCATCGAAGCGTGTTGGCTCGTAATACAACGGTTTCTTCGGCTGCGGTTTGGCGGGACGACTATGATTGCCGGCGATAGAAGAACTAAGTGGTGAAGTGACCGAGGATCGCCGCTCTCTCCTAGGGAGAGATGAAGTCGGTATTGCGTTACTTGATGTGGCAACATCATCGCCGACGACAAAGCCTTCCAAGTCGGCGCCGCTATCTGAGTCGTCCGTCAATTCCAGATCGCTCGTGCGTCGGCAGTCGTCGCCCTCATCAGCGCTCTCGTCATAGTAGCCTGCCGCTGTGTTCTGCGTCTTTTGCTGCTTCTTGGGTCGGCCGCGCGAGCGTCGCGGTGCTGAGGTTTTTGGCTTTGTATTAGTGGTGCGTTTGTGAGGGGTGGGGAGGCGTTCTCCCATATCTATCATGTCATCGTCATCGGCTTCGATAGCTCTACGTCGAACTTTTTCCTTGGGCTTCGTAGTCTGCTTCGTAGTCTTGGGGGCCTTTTTGGACATTAGGAGATGAGACGGAGGAGCTGATAGCTCTACAATTTCATCGTCATCGTCATCCGAAATTGGCGCTGCCACCTTTCGCTTCTTGCGTGCTGGTTCTGAATCTACAACTTCTCCATCTGTGTCAGGACCGTATTTTGGTATTGGAAGTCGACGATAACGGTTTGCATCTGATTCTGGGTATGGTTTCTCAAAAGGATCTAGGGCTGACGATGCTTTCGCTAACGACTTGAACAATTTCACAGATCTTTTTGTGTAATCTCCGTGCTTAAGATGTACTGTCTTCCGCAACTTTCTCTGCGCGGCGGGGTGCGCGGTCAAATCTACCTGTCCAATGTCTTCTGTTGAGTCTCGGTGATAATAAGGGAGGTGTTTGTATATCTTATTGAGTTCCTCGGTTTGGCTATCGGTGAGTAGTACCCGTTTAAGTGCTGGGACGTCAACTACCTCGTCTTCCTCGACAGGTTTGCGCACTTCTTTTTGTTTTGCAGGAGCTGACTTTTTGCCAAGTAGCGAGGCGACGCTGGCAAAGCCTGTTTCTACGCCGTCAGGCATATGGAATTTCTTGGGTGGTTTCTTCTTTTTAGCCCTCCCTTTCTTGGGCTCCGGAAGGCCATGGGCTTGGGTGTTTTCTACGGGAATTTCTACGGCTCTCATATCGACTTCGGGTCTGATATCCCTCGGAACTATCCTCGCAGAGAGGTCATGGCGGAAGTTGAACCGACTTCCATCGCATATCATGTGTTGCATCTTTTCGTAGCCGTCCTTGGATTTTGCGTAATTATCCTCTTCTTTTCCCCTCATTAGCAATAGAACAACGCGCCCCGCCCGCTTTCTTCCTGTTCGTCCCATCCTTTGAAGCATTCGGATTGGTGATGCGGATGCATCATAGCATATGATAAGGTCGACTTGGCCAATATCGAGACCTTCCTCACCGATTGAGGTGGCGACGAGAACATTAAATTCACCCGTCTTGAACTTTTGTATTCGTTCGATTTGTTCCGCCTGTTTCATACCTCCTGATCTTTTCGAGTCTGCCTGTCCCACAAACACCGCCGCACGGATTAGTGGTTTGTGGGTGTTGAGAACCCTCACAATTTCTTCGGCACTATCACGGTATTCGCTGAAGACAATGATTCTGGTATTAGTAGGACCACTCTCTGTGCCTTCACCTGCATCCATGAAATGATTTAGTACCGTATCGGATAAGTATGTGAGTTTGGGATGACTAATAAAATTGTCCTTCTTTGACCAGCTGGCGATTTTATCCATCATTTCTTGGAAGCTGGGGGATTCAATGATCTGTTTCTTGTATTTGGAGCCCTTTTCTCCCTTTCCTTCTGTTTCGTCTCGGAATTGGACTAGATTTTCGTAGAATGGTTTGATGCCGTGGAAATTTAGCAGCTTGATCCCGTGAGCCAAGCTTGTTAAGACGGAAAAAACAGCCATCATCATGAACTTGACTCCTTGGTTAACATGTTGCCCAGCACGGGCCATCCAATCTTTTCTTGCTTGTAGGAGACCAAATGTGGTGAGCCCCATCGGATCACGGCCCTGGTAAATGTTTTGCTGGCTTAATTTATCAACAAGTGGTTTCAATGCTGCTGAGTAGAGCTCCTTTATGTGGTTCATCTCATCCGACGGATCTAACAAAACGATGTCCTCATCTCTCTGATGAACGTATTGGCGAATGTCGATGGACTCCTCGGTGCGTATTTCCACATGTGAGATGCCCAAGCTGTCGATTACTTCCTGCACTGACTCAACCTTTGACCCTGGGGTCGCAGTAAGAGCCAGTATGCGGAAACTGCTAGTGAATCGTCTTAGAAAGCTAACAACTTTCACATAGGAATAATGCCCTGTTGCCCTATGGGCTTCGTCTACTACTAGTAATCCGATTGACTTAGGGTCGGCAAATCCCGAGGATAAATCATTCTCTAGCGTCTGGGGGGTCATGAAGAAAACCCTTCTACACTCCCACTCTTCTGCTCGAAGGCCCGGTGATATATCGCCTGTTAATAGGGTTGTTTGGGATCTCGGGATACCGGCAATATTGAAGCACGCATCGACTTGTTGCGATACAAGGGGTTTGGTAGGAGCCACAAATATGATTTTAGCCGATTTCATCCAGCGGAAGTAGTTCAGCATGATAGTAGCCGCGATGAACGTCTTGCCTAGACCCGTGGGAAGAGCTACGAGAGTATTGTTGAATAAACCATTCTTTACGATGCTAAACTGATAATCTCGAGTGGGTCCTAAATTGGTGGGATAAACCCATGTTTTCATGGCTTCTTTGTCAAGTTCATGGTGAGTAGGGGGCTCAGGTGGCAAGTCTGCACGGAAGGCTCGATTCCTGTTGGTTTGAGATGATCCGGGGCCTGGATCTTGCTGGATAGTTTGACCAAATAACGTAGTCTGTCGATAGGCAGGGATTGGGCCACCGACACGATGCTGCTGTTGGAAACCCGCCTGAGAGCCTCTTTGAGATTGAATGCTGTTTCTTTCATTTACTGGAGGACTCGAGAATGCATCTATGGGTATGTCCTCGAGATCAATGAATGATTGTCTATTGGAATTTGAGCGTTGCTAAAGTATATATTAGCATAACTCATATTCTTGACTATCATGTAAAGATCTAGGATGGTGGGAGCAACACCATGTATTATTCTAGATATATTGATACCTAGGTACATTACTGGTGTAATGACAGAGAAGAAAATAAAAAAGTTCATACCAGTGAATTCGTCCGGCTTGGATTGGCGGCATTCCTCTGAATTGGAGTCTTTTGGACGTGGGGCTGGAATCGTTCTTGATTCACCTTGGCGGGCTGAGCACGACTTGGAGCTTGACTGGCTGCGATAATTAGATCCTCATCGGCGATATCATCGTCGAATTCATCATCTGAATCCATGACCAATTCTAATGGTGTATAGCATAGCCATCCAAATGATGCATGGAGAATTTCCTAAGGGAGTTTCTTCCCCTATCAAATCATTAGGAGTGACTAATATCGAAGCTTGGTGAATCTCAGACGCGTCTATGAAGAGTGAGTAACCTAAGTAGGAATTATGGTGGGGATCGTTACTCGTTAACGTTCCGTTTGTCGCGGAGTCATGTGCCCAATCTACTGTGGCTGATGCTAGGATCTCTGAACGTTTAGTGGCTATCTTCTTTGGTAAGATCAAGTGGGGTTACCTAGCTATCTTATTTACCAATCACAGATCATCATTGTCTCAGAAAAAGTGGGATTTTAGAGGCTGAGTCACATCTTTTTCAACTTTACCCAGTGTCAACCTTAAGTTGGTCGGTGCACTTTAACCTTTCTCGTCACCCACCCCAGTCTTTTTATCAGCCTTTGACGTTCATTCCTTCATTCATCTTTCACTGCTTTTCTACATTACAAGGTCTGCTCTTTCACAAGAACAACCACAACAAAAAAAACTACTGAAAAACCACTGTTGCGAGAGAAAACATAGCGTTTCTTTCGACTCTCGGATTTACTTCGAGAGAACCTACAACCGGCGCAGCTACACATACAAGGCCTTTCTAGGTACATCATCATCATTTGATAACGATTGGTCGATTTTCCATCTCTCTTTCATACCTTTCTACGACCTTCCTCTCCTCAAATAACTCCTCAGATCGCACTCCTTTCGTTTCTCAATACTACACCAACTGACGCCGCCGCCGCAAAAACAACCTAATTAAAAAAAAAAAAAAACTACCTGAAAAAACCCACTGAAAAACAACTACAAGGGACGACGATACGAGAAGGCCTAGTCCTTACTCGCTTTCCGTGACGCGTTCCTATCGCCATCCTCAAACCCGAAATGGCTCCTCCCGGTCCTCGAAAGGGCTCGGCTCCTTCTGGCGCACGTAACAACCGTACTAGCAACGGTGCAGGGGTGGCTGCTCGAGGCGGAATTTCGAAGCGTCGTACCAATAACGCAGCCAGAGTCGACAGAGATGGCGATCTTGATATGGACGCCCCCGGGCAAAATGGCCGTCCCTCGCGCAAAGCGAAGCGTTCCGATCATCGCGATTCGCATGATACTGTCCCGACCGGTCCTCGATCTACCCGATCAGCGGCAAATGGACCCCGCGGGCCCAGACCAACAGCGAAAGCGCAACAAATCATACAACGAGTTATCACCGGAACCAGCGGAAGTCTCTCCTCGCGTATCGCGAATGGAATGTCCGGAGGCCCAAGAAGCTTCAAAGGCACCAATGCTCCGAACACGATGACGCTCCGAATCGAAGGTCTCAAGTCGAGCAAAGCCGCCCACAACGAGGGAGGCGGACTTAAAGAGCTATTGACCTTTCTAGAAAGAAAAGCCCAAACCGTTGGTAAAGTAACACGACCCATAAGGATTAAGAAGGTATGTGATAGTATTCCGTCCGAGAATCTGGGGGGTTACGGAGCGACGCAAATTCTCCGCATTCGTTATCATGCCGTATAGCTCGCAAAAAAACGAGGAGAGCCAATCTTTACCGAGCCGCGTGCCTATCCCGGATTCCTAGAACATTGTCAAGGTTTCATTACCTTGCTAACGTCTAGCAGTCACATATCAATGGTGACTTTGTCTTCGTGACAGCAAGTAAGGAAGATGCGGAAGAAATTCTGAAAGTTAATGGATTCGGATTCGCCGGTGCAAGTCTTACTATTACAGAATCTTCCGGAGATAATCCCCCGTCTAGCCAGAATAACCTATCTTCCAACGCTCTTGAAGTCAAAGACCAACTTCGTACCGTCCTCAGCCTACGATACGATGTCGAAGCGAAATTATTGAACCTATCTGCCCTTGGCGAAGATAACGGGCTCAACCAGATGGGCTTCTTCAGTGGCGAGAGTAGGCCAGAGAAGCTATTCCGCGCGCTGATGGCTGTCTGCAACGGATTATTCGAGACACCTCAGCAAAAACGCGAGGCCGTTGTCAGTATCAGCCTTGCGGGCAACAACATCGACGACGTCGTACAAATAATGGCCTTGGCCGACACGTTCCCCGACCTACTCAACCTCGATTTAAGTCGAAACCAATTCAAAGATATCAAGGGCCTACAGAAATGGCGTCATCGTTTCCGAAAGCTTGAGACACTGCTTCTCAATGCCAACCCTATCGAGATGGTGAACCCCAACTACCAAGCAGAAGTCATATCTTGGTTCCCAAAGCTACAGAACTTGAGTGGCGTTCAAGTTCGAACACCAGAACAAATTGCCGCCATGGAAGCCGCATCTAGACCTAAACCAATCCCGCAACATGGCGCGGACTTCCGTGACATTAACGGCGTCGGTGAAGGCTTCATTAGAGAGTTCTTGACGATGTACGATGGGGACCGAAATACTCTCGCTGCTAAGTACTACGACAGCGAAAGCACCTTTTCTATCTCTGTTAATAACACGAGCCCTCGTCAAACACAGAACACGCAACCTGTTGGCTGGGGTGCATACATCAAATTCTCCCGCAATCACGTCAAGATCACACATACTTCTACCAGAATCCAGCGTTTATTCACTGGGACGAATTTCATCCGAAGTGCATGGCAACAAATGCCTCTTACACGGCATCCGGATCTCACGACAGAATTCAATAAGTACATCATCGACTGTCACCCCGTTCAAGGCCTCGCCGACCCAACTGGACAGAGTCCCGTGGGTGTAGATGGAATGATCATTACCATCCATGGTGAATTCGAAGATCAAGAGCCTGCCACTATGAAGACGGCTAAGCGAAGCTTCTCTCGTACAGTTGTTCTAGGCCCTGGGGCACCAGGTGGTCACTTCATTCGGGTTATCAGTGATCAGCTTTGTGTCAGAGCTTTCAACCCATTACCGGGTTCCACCCCAGAACCGGTTCCTCAATCCAACGTGGAACCGCAGCAGCAACAGATGGTAATCGAGCTCTGCAACCGAACGGGCATGACTCCAGAATATTCTAAGTATTGCTTAGAGGGAGTCAACTGGAACTTTGACCAGGCTCTGGCTTTGTTCAACGAGAAGAGGGTAAGATTTTTCTCCTAAGATGCAATATAACAATTAGATACTGATAGACAATAGGAGATGTTACCGGCCACAGCCTTTGCAGCCGTGTCTCAATAGAACTGATGGCACGGCTCAGGCTATACCAGCCCGGGCAATCAGGGCAATCAAACTGCTCTACGCGAAGAATATTGCATTGGCCTAGGAGTTTGCGGTTTAGTGTACTTGTTTATGAGGTTACGTGGCGTTTGAGGAATTTGGCATTTTACGGGGTGGTTTATGCTTGCCTGCAAACAGGTATATACATACGGCAGACGAGGAAGACTAAGATCTTGAGGGAATGAGATCTTATGATACCTCTAGGGGTATAGGAAACAACACTTGACCAGACTGAGATTCATGTATAATTATTACTCAGCGCTCAGTTCTCGTCGGCTTGGATTCGGAAAGCGTCGGGCTGGATCAATAGTATCCTAGCGAGTTGTAGTGGAGGAAAAAATGAATCGATTCCGAACCCCAAAAATCGTGTTTTGCGTATCGTGACTTAACTGTAATATGTGATATTGTGAAACCTGACTTAATTCCGTAGGCAATAGTAGGCAGCTGTTGAAGATACCTGGGTATTGGCGTAGTCTTCCATATATGTATGTAGCCTGGTTTAATTATAGTTCTCCGATGACATCTACCAAACGCAATTCTTTATGGTGAGCCATCTAGGTATTTAAGCCAATTAGAATATGGTAATCATTGCTCATGTGCTCTACGATGTATTGGGGTTCCGGCTGGGTGCCGCGCGCTATCGGACCTGTGGGGGAGGAAAGTAAGCGGATTTTAAATGAGATTCATGCTTTAAGACGACAATTGGTTCGTAGTAAGTGTGCGTCTACGATGAGCGAGCCGTGATAATTCGTATTACGGCGCTTATAACCATAGGATGGTGGTGACCCGGGGCGGGGGGCTAGGCTCATCTCGGTAAGCCTACAGATTTACATCTTCCCGGTAGAGATCTCTTATGCGGTTGGAAGAAGATTGGACGGGATGACGACACTTGCTTTTTTATTTTTCGTTTTTTTTATCGTTTTATTTTATTACGGATGATTAAAGTTGACCCTTTCTTGTGACCAACTATCATCCTCCCGAAGCGGCGGGTGTGTGATTTTTATGCAATTGAGATGGCTGTTGCAAAGAAGTTGTTAGAGGTCTCGGAATCGGGCCGCTTGCGTACTGCTATGTACACCATCACCCCCAAAATTACCTACTCGATACGTATTATGTAGGCTTTAAATGGATAGGGTCGCTTTCTGTTGTAAGACTATAGTTACATACTTAAATACGCATTCGGCATCAATATTGTAAAAATAGTAGCCGACAGATGTTAGCGTTGGTTTGAAAGTGAGACAATACTTCTTGGGTTAGAAGGGGACAAAATTGTCGCACGTTTAGTAGATTTAATAATTTCATGGTGCGAGTGGTAGCAAACTTGACAAACGAATGATGGATAATATCCCTGGGGCAGAAAATAGATGTTCATGGTATGTTTCGCTGCCCACCTTTTGGGGCCGATTTTCGCACGGGATTTAGTTGAACGCGAAAAAAAAAACAAAATGTAATTGGGAGAACGAGTTGGGTAAATCTATACGAGGACGCTGAAAGTGGTAGAATTATGCGATGGAAATAACTATGCCAGCGATGTACGAAGTATGCCGCTTGCTGATGCTAATGCTAACTCGAATTGTTGGTAGGAAATAGAGAGAAGGATTAATTAATCGGTAGCGATTTCCGGGTGAATACTACCCAAATTCTATAATCACCAATCAAATGTCGCACGTCTGTACGTAGGTACCTCCTAGCCACCTTCCACCAATGCAGTTCGAGTTCGGTACGTAGTGGGGTTTTAACGTTTCACGATATGTACGCCTTCTTCTAGTGGTTAGTGCCCGTCGTGTTCAAACTCCGATAGGATAAGCGTCGTACCTCGTACCCCGACTGGTTTTCTAAGAAACAGCTACCTATAGTAGGTAGACAGCCTATCTCCAGGGCTTGAGATCACGTTAGGCATGGTGCCTATTTGCTTAGGGCCTGCTTGGGTACATAGTCCTCCCATTTCAATTGGACAATTCCTATCGTTTATCCCATCAAATCACTTTTCTTGCCGCCATCATCGTTACATTATTGTACGATAATCATGGCCCTACTCAATCACTTAGTTAGCTTTATTGTCGGATTTACAAATTACTCACTAAAAAAGAAAAAGGGAGGATCTAGGAATCACGTTGAATATGCTCAAATGGTCAGCAATATATGTCGGCGAGAGGCAAATAATATACGGATTGAGCGAGCATCACTTACATGAACGTGTCGCCAAATCCTTCGCTTGACCCGCAAACCACGCGAGAAAGTATCTCTCCACCTACTAAGCACCTACTAGAGCAGCTACTAGAGGTCGACCCATGGTGTCAGCAGGGGTTGAAGGAGTTTCCCCCTTTTTCTGCTAGTAACCTTACGTCGTACCGAATCCACTCTGTATGGTACGCTTTACATGCCCAGCCTCAGGGTAATTGCATGTACCTGAGTCTCGGCTGAGTACCTTACAGCGCCTAGCACCATCGGCGCTTTTAGTCGTATCACGGGTTGTTGGAGGTACCTGACGCTGTATGCATGGACCGGCTTTCTATCGTGTGCCCCCTGAAGATTACCATTTTCCTATTCGACCGACGAGATAAAGGATCCACAAATCGCTCAAGGACCCCTAGTCAACTTCCAATGTCGTATTCCCGTCTTTCTCATCGAGGTTGCTGTGCTCGAGCATCTTTCTGTTTGTTCCCGCTGCTAAGGTTCTTTCGTCCTCTCACACACGTTCTCTCCCTCTTGCATCTCCCGGCGGCTTTGCTCCTCTTTCTCTCTTTTGCTGCAGCTTGCCTCTCTTTCGGGTTCCATCCCATCGTTGTGGTATTCTCTCCTTGTCCTTCTTTGTCCTCCACTCGATAGGATTACCTACTCGTCAGTCTCTCCTAAACGAACGTTTTTTTGGATACCTCCATTTTTTCCTCCGTCCTACGTTCGTGCATGATATCTCGGTATTGCAGCGCATTTGGATATTCAACCACAAGAGCTGACACTACTACGTGGTATACGCAGTAGGAAACAATTTTAGGCAAATTCAACTAGTCTTGCTATTGTAGAACGTGTATTGGTTGGTTAGGTTTGGCATACCTTGGAAACCTGCGACGCCACGCCCGTCAGGAGAGAGATCGACTGTTTCCACTCTCCCGCTCTGTAATCTCGAGGACAGGACTGAAACATCTTTTTCCCAAGAAGACTGCCAAACTTTGTTCTGCAGATCACTTTTTGTCCTACGTGGGCCGGTCCTTTAGATTCGAGTGTATTGTTTGCTATACGTCGCAAACAAACGATACTTGGTCATCTCGACGACAACAGTTTTTCTTTGACATCGATTTACTCTACGAGTTATCCATCCAATTAATTTCAACATTTTGTTGTCGCCTCATCAGCACCTAGCCTCGGGAGCAACAGCCTTTTAATAGCACAATTTAATATCAAATCGTGTTACAGACAAAGCGCTGCGCCTCCACTATCGAGATAACCACGTCGACAACTAATTCTAACATTGCTGGATTATTCTTACCTTCTCTTGCCGGCTGATCATGACTTTGTGATAATCACCGACAATCTGGAGGCGACTTAATTGGTCTTGTTGCTTATTGGTGTGGAAGAGTCGCTTCGGGCCCGACGAGATTTTATATGATACCATGTCGCTTCCTCAACCCTCATTCCCTTTGACGGGCGCTTGTAGTGTCATTTTCGACAATACCCTTTACTCCTTCTCGGCCGCTGGATTCGAATCATTGGCCTTGGAGGATGGAGCTGAATGGATGAAGCTACCTGGTGGCCAGCCGGTCGAAGGTGCCGTTTGTGTTGGATCAACACCGAAGGATTCCTCGACTGCTGGTTTGTTCGTTGTCGGTGGAACATCGAGCTCGTCCGACTACACCGGCCTCCAGAAATTTACATATGCTACCAAGAAATGGCAGACTATAACACCACAGGTACCGGTGACGCAAAATCGAACATGGCATAGCGCGACATATGTCAACGCCACTGATTCTATTTTAATTTACTCCGGATCGACAGATGGACAACCGAATCTATCGTCGCAAACCTTCACCGTTACAGCTAGCGAGCCATACTCGGTATTGGCTTTCCAATCCGATATTTCGCCGCCGGGTGTCGCGCCAGTTCTTCTACCATGGTCGGAAACACAGGCGGTGTTGATTGGTGGTAACCCTACTAACGTGAATGTAATGCTATTTGATGCATCGGGTTCTTGGAGAGACTCAGGCACGACCCTGGCTGAGCCTCTTCCTAAGAACACGACATTTATAAAGGCTGCTTTGATTAATGGCGATGATGGCAGCAAACACCTTTATACATTTGATCTCACAACTTCACCAAACTCCGTCAACAGGACGATGATACTAAACTCGCATGGGGGTGCAATAGCTAATGCGGCTCCAGCCTCGTCGGCGTCAAAGAGGTCAGCCGAGGATAGCGATATTGAGAAACGAGATCTCACAGAGGGGAATTGGCCACAATACAACTCAACCCTAGCACCGGAAAATACGCGTAGTGCTTACTCTATCGCAACCGATTCGAATGGTTTGGTGGTAATGTCGGGTGGTAATGACGATGAAATATTATGCATGTTCAATGCGAAAGAGAACAGCTGGAAGAACGCAACAACTGTATTTGGACAGCAAAAGGGCACGTTTTCGATCGAGTCAACGCCATCTTCGACTACGACTACCCCTACAGCTACGTCGTCATCTTCATCTTCGATGTCGACTTCTACTGCTCCACCAGCAACTACCACAACTGATGCGCCCGTTGCCGCTGCTACTGCTCAATCTGAAACATCTGCTGCAAACAGCGGGTTGCCCCCAACGACTCTTTTGGGTGTAGTATTAGGAACTATATTTGGCTTCGCTATTATCTTACTCTGTTTATTATTCTGGCTTAAGCATCTAAGGAAGCGACAAGCTTACATTGAGGCGGGACACGCGAGAAGAGCAAGCGGAATCCCAGATGAGAAAGATTTCCTAGGACAAGAAATGGCAAAGACATCTGGTGGGCAATTCCGAGGACACTACCCGCAGGAGTCGGCAGGCTCATTCTCATCAATGGCTATTTTGATGGGCAAGACTCAGAAGCCAGCTATTCAACGAAAGGCGAGCAACGATACAAAGCGCAGCTCCGTTAGCAGTATCTTTAACAAGCAGTTTAAGAGCACTATTGGTCGACCGCAACCTCAAATGAGTCCGGAACCTAGTTTCATTCCTAGGGATGAAAAGGGTGTCTCTTTTGAGGCTGGCGCCAACGATCCTAAGCCCCGTCCCCGCCCAGCAGTTGACCAGGAAGGCACGAGAAGGAGCTCCGGCTGGAATAAGTACTGGTCTAGCGGCAGCACGCTATCGGTCCTTGGCTTTGGAAGCAGTGGCAACGCCGCACACCGCGATACCAATGGCTCGGAGCCGAGTTCTATTTACTCGGACAAGAATCGCCTAACTCAGGATTCAGCTACAGTGCCACCGTTGCAACCATTGCAAGTCCCAGTACATGTTGGAGGACGAGCAGAGTTGAACCGTGTCAACTCGGGTAGCCCGACAGTCTCACAATACAACCCAAGAATCGGGGAAGAGATGTCTGGTCAAATCGAGGAGCGACCTGTATCCCCCGTATCATCTTCTGGTTATTCTAGTGGTATCCCAGCTAGTATTCGCGACACATGGGACCCGACAACGGCGAAGAAGGCCTGGGATAATGAGCGCGCACCAAGCAGCACCTATAGCTCAAGCATTTATCAAACCGCTCTTAACCCGCCTGGTCCGAACCGACCTCCAACTGGCGTATCAACGCAACCGCAGCTGGCAATGGCATCTAAATCAAATGACTTGAGCTGGCTAAATTTGGGGGATAACAACCGGCCATACAGATAAGTCAGGTGTCTTGCGTTCGGCGTTCTTTTTCACTATATTCATCGTCTTAATGATCCTGTTACGAAAAAAAGTTTCATGACCCTCGCTTATACCCATTGCCATTCACAACAAAAGTTCTCGGTCTGAACTCACGGGCCACACCACGGAATAGATGGGTCATTCACCACGCCTATGGGGAGGAGAAGGAGTGGATCAAAAAAAAGAGAAAAGAGCACCTTCGTTCAGACGTCACTTACCATAAGCTGCCCTTGGCGCAGTATAATTCACACATACGCAATCAGCATTATACCAACTCAACACAACATAAAACTTCATACCCTCCTTCGCATCTGGAAAGGCGCAGCCGCTGGCATTTTCATCATTGAACATACCATTTTTGCATTCGGTCTTCTATAATTATAGCATGCTATGTACATCGCTCGGTCGTTGGGCGTCCCTGTGTATTAGATCGGGGGCGCTTCGGTTCTTACTCGACAACTCGTCGTTGAAAGTAATTGTTACATTGACAATGAATCTTTTTTTACCTATTTTATTTCCGGCTGCCCCTTTCCCTTCCACGTTCTTTGCATGATACCACTAGATTCCGTCTCCCGAGGCGAGATGGCGAAATGGCACCACTCCTACACCGCTGCGTTCTGCTTTGAATAGTTTTCTTTTTTTGGTCGAATGAGGGTGCTCGTGAAAGAGGAAGAGGGGGTGATGGGGAGGGAAGCGTGACTGCGTTCCGTTACGTTGAAGAAGTTTGTTGATCTAATGAGGAATGGGGGGAAAGGGAGGAGTATTCTGTATCTACTGTACACATACATCTAGGCCTTGTGCGTGTATGTATATGTACCAACAGCTATCTCTTCGCGAGATCCGCGTTGCTTTTTACAGGCTTCGCTATATAGGGAGCGATGAACGCCTTGCTGTCTATAGTAGGAGTCTGGATCGTTCTGAATAAGAACTAATTGTACAAACTCCGACGTTTTTGCTTACTGGGCGGCCTATGATTCTACGTTAATTAGCAGTTAGCTTGATCGGATCCTGCACCCGGATCGTCAACCGGTGAGTAGTCAGCGCTCCGTATTAACGATTATTTCACAGTGCCAAGGTAAATTTACAGTGAAGCATTCTATGTGTCTATTATCATGTTATCTACCTGTACCTAACCTAATTACCTCACCCAACCTCCCAAACCATCGAGCCAGCATCTTTCCCACGATGAAACACAATCCATCGTCATCATCCCTTTACACCTTCACTTCCATAACACGTCTCGTTCTCAACATCCTACAGACAACGGAACAATTCTAGTTCCAAAGAGGAAACACGTTATCCGTCACCAACTGCGCCTCGGGCTACACGTATGAACACGGAATAGTTACCACAACAAGCAGGAGGAACAAGAGTATGTAGTGGCTGTGTCACCAACTACGTCAATCAAGTAGGTATCTACGTATATCGGACAAGTTGACGAGTTAGGTAGGCAGCTAAGCTACACTGCTGATCAATTGATTGATTGACTGCTGAATAATTACAAAAGGAAAAATAATGCCATGAATTGACTGCACATAGCTAACATGTCGTTGTTGCTGCGAAGTCGTAGCGCAGTTAAAGCGGGGAAGGGAAGAAGGTATTGGGCAACTTAAGCAATAGCAATAAGCAAAGAACCATCCTGAACGCCGGCCATCAGCTTGCCTGCCCGCCTGCCTGTGTCTACACTCTGCCGATCCCACTGACGTGAACTTTCTCTTCTCATACTACTACTATTTGACATCTTCATTACTTAGTAAATCGGCCTCGGCTCCTCCCACTTCTGATGTTGCGGACGGGATGCAGCATCCACACTCGGCGAGTCTATGCTCGTATCGGGTCCGAACGACATACGTCCGCTCCTTCTGCGTCTAGCGCTATGGTCTCCTCCGGCGAGAGGACCGATCCACTCCCACGCCCTGCCAACTTCGCCGCTGCGTCCTTCGCGCTGGCTCGTTCGGACGTTGCTGTTCTGCTCGACAACTGCCTTGACTCTCTGCCATATCTTCTCGCGCTGCGAGAGCGAATGGACTGATCTCAGCACATCATCACGTAGGTTCGGGAGGAACAACCACGGGTCGTCGATATCCTCTTCTCCTAACTGTTTCTGTGTTGCCAACCTCTCGAGCACGAGATCGACTAAGGCTGGAACCTTCTTCGCCGCGGCTCGGTTGGATTTGTATTGGTATTGCGCCCATATAGCCGTAAGGACAAGCGAAATCACAAAGCTAATATGGAATCGATATCTTGCCAGGCCGAGCCAGATTGATCGGCGGATGGCGCAGGTGAGTGAAATTCGAGCGAGAGAGGCGGAGGTGAGATACGTGTTTGGAACACCTCCGGAATCGGTGGTTCTATGGAGGTCGGAGGAACTCTGGTTAGTCCAACGGTCAGACTTGTTTAATTCATTATATGGTACAAATATATTTCGGTAAATCAAATGGTTCGTAAGGGAAATCATAAACTTACTGGACTTCCACTTCCTCCCTAGTCTTGATCTCGCCAAGCGCTGCTCCCCAGAGTTCCTCAAACTCCTGACTATTCATCTTCTTGCTTTTCTTCTTGTTGATAATCTCCTTTAATTCCTGCTCCTCGATCGCCGGGCTTTCGAACTTTGCACCCTCCTCATTGATAGGCTCGCCGCATTCGTATTTGGCAGTCCGCTCTCGAAGTTCCTCAACAGCCTTATCGGCAACGGCCTGAACTCGGCGGACCTTTACACCATCAGGCTCGCAAGTCGGAGGTAGAGGGACAGCACCGCCGAGAGAAAGAGGGTGAGGCTTAAGGATGTAGTCCTGTTCACATCGGACGGAGAAGTCGGCGTAGCAATAAGCATGAGAGGGGCAAGGTTCGCAATCGGGCTCTACGGCATCGATAAGGGATTGCGGAACTGTAAGCTGAGGAGGTAGAACGGATTGTGCCCATTCTGGAGTTTCGATCTCGTTAGGAATCGAGCTTCTAGATTGACCGACGCCACAGTAACCAACGGCAATCTTCTCTTGTCGATACCATCCAGCATACGCACTAAGAAGGGTAACAAATAAAATGGATAAGATCGTGCCGCGGCTAATGCCACCAGATTGCTGACGTTGTCGTGCTACTCGGGCAACAGCAGTTAGAGTATCGCTATCCACGGCATCGTCGGCATCAAGTTCAAACTGTTCTTGTGGAGTGAACTCTTCCCCAGCATCGACGGTGAAGGATTCTCGGGTTTTAACGGGCGCCTTTATGGGTATCGGCGGGGTAAAATTCCTAGGCATACTCAAGCGTTCTTCCTTGGCCACGGGAGCATGTCCGTCCGTTCGTCGCCTTGTACTAGTACTGCGGGGCTTGTCCACTGCGGGCGTCTTTCTTCGAACGCTTGGAGTCTGATGATTATAAGTCACTGGAGTTTGGTCGATAGTAGAAGGGGAGCTACCGCTCTGGAAGGGATTGTCGTTGGTGAAGACGTCTGAGGTGCGTCGAAAAAGGCCTTCGTCGGATTCCTCCTTCTTGAATCTAGGAGCGGTTGCAGGGGCTGGGGCTGGAGCTAGAGCTGGGGCCGGAGTATGCCTCCGAACCCTGCCTAATGTTCGACTGCCTTCGAGTTCCGGGCCTGTGTCCGTATCCGAGGTTTGGGCCGCGCGACTTGAAGCTCGAGGCTTTCTTTTTGTAGGACTAGGAGTCGGTGGCGGCATTGGTTGATCCTCGGGCTCTTCCGTCTTGATCCTCGTTGATGTTTTCCTAGGCGACCTAGATCGACGGGTAGTGCGGGTGGGGGGCGCAAGGTCTTCATGTTCGTCAAATGGATTGCTACTGCTCTGTGTATCTGCATCGACAATGCCCTTACTTGAGCGCTTTGCTCGCGCACGAGCAGCTAGAATCTTCTTTGACTGAGGCGCAACCTTTTCATTGAAGATTTCAACTAGTTGTCCTTTCTTTGCGCTCGACGTGTATGGAATATTGTGGGCAACCAATATCGATCGTAGGCGTGGAATCGTTAGGGTCTTCGCATCGAAGCCCGGTTGAAGGTAATCGAGGCTCTCCGAATCGGACATTGTGGAAGTTTGGTGATAAACCGACAGCGAAGTAGAGTTGGGGTATATTATTAAATACTAGGGAATTGAAAATGCACGTGGAAGAAAAGAAGTGTTGTTTCTCGCAAATTCTTACGGAGTGAACGCCGGAGTTGTCATTGAGAAGTATTGAGACAACGTATCAAAGCAGGTCCGTCTTGATGACGTCGGAGTAGAACAGACGTAAGAGACGTGGTCTCAGTACCGTCAATTTCTAACACAGGACGAGCTCCCAGGCCACTGCTGTACAAAGTTGTCAACAGCGGATTCGGCGATATTTAGCGAAATGCGAAATTAGAAATACGCGTGGTGGTGATAAATTAAAAGGTGGGGGGGATTCAAAATGGAATTGTGTTGTTGAAAGAAGTTTAAGCAAGGTGGAAATTCCGTTGCAGTGGCAACAGAAACAACCTTTACACTAGCTATCAATATCGTAATCGTGCTACGCCAGAGCTCCACTCTTTCTCAACAGGGATATTCCAACAACGGAAGATTATCGGATACTTTTCTTGATTGGGAACTCTATCACCACTTCTCAACCAATCATCTCTTTGACATTGATTTAGCCAAGATTTCTACCTAGAGCTTGTTAGGTGTCGCTATGAGTGGCAGTATTTGATTGGCGAGACGACCACTTTAAGGTGAGCTGATGTCAATAACATCAGCCTTAGGCACAATTAATTACCTATCACATTCAGCTATCAATCGATGTAAACACCAAATCATTGTTGACACATTTATCTTGAGCTATCTAGGTACACAAATAAGTTTAATGCTAGGGCAAAAAACCACGTAGTACATACAGAGTATACATATAATACAGAGTTCTCAAGAAGCTCATCCCAAACCATTGAACTATGATGCCAACCACCAACGCAGTGCACCACAATAAGTCGCATCCGCCTCCCCCCATTTTATAACATATAATACTACATCCCCTTAATTATACGTGACAGTACGTTTTTTAGCTTCCATTAGGTAATGACTATACTACTAGGGATGCTGATATTATATTCCTCCCATGACTGTATTGCCTCCCAAGGTGCTTTCTATCAATGCAGCAAGCCGGTGCGCCAATAATATGATAAACAATTCAGCCGACCAACCCAACATATACTAACTTTTAGTAATTAGTCACTCCTTAACCCTCCATCTTATACCTAGGTATCTTGGTCTTGTAGCTCGTGTCAGCTCGCCGTTCCCTTCTCCTCTAGCTTCTTCTCGGCCTCGTCCGCTCTTCTATTCGCGTCCGCAATTTCTTGCTGTAGTTGTTTGATGTATACAATTGCCAGTTCCACCGTACTAGCTTTACTGTTCGGACCGTTCGACTGTTTGCCGTCTTTCTTGTCTCCACTGCCACCCTCGCCGTCGCCCTCGCTTAGATCTTTAGCCACACTTCTCGGTAGCAACGTTGCGATTTCCTGAAGTGCCGAATTGATACGATTTCGACGGCCCTGCTCCGCGATCTTGTGTGAGGTCCGTTTCGAGGTTAAATTTGTGGACAGCTCGCTTGGATATGAAACTCCCGGCACCGTATTCCCCTCTAGTATATTCTGATAATTCGATTTAGATGCCAACAACCTCGAGGCCGAATCCTCGGCAGATAAGCCAGGTGTTCCTGGGAGCAGTGGTTTTATATTCGGTGATATCTTCGGCCGAAGAGCCGGCGATATGGAGCTAACACTTGTCCTCTTCTTAGGTCCCCTCGGAGCTATAAGCGGAGTTTTCCTTGGGTTAGGAGTAGAGGGCTTGGGCGTAAGTTGAGGACTTTGAGTTGCCGACGCTGTCGCCGAATGGATGGGTTTCGGAAGAACGGGCGAAGGGAGGGAGTGGAAATTTGTTGTCTTTGCCGTCTCTGGGTCGGCAGGCGACTGGGCGGGCTGCTGCTGCGTATCGAGCGACGGAAGATCAGGCCTGGAGAAATTGACGGACTCAGGTAGCTCGAAGCTTTCTATATGCTCGGAGCCACTCTGTTCGGGATTGTTCGGGTCGGCCGTCTTACTCTTCGGTGAAATCCTGAAAAGCGAAGCCGGCGTTGCAGGTGATGGCTTTCCTGCTAGAGCTGCAGGCAACGTCAGGGGGGCTGCGCTTCCATTGTTCTGCGGTTGGATGTACGGAGATTGTCTAGCCGAACGAGGTGGAGGAAGTGGCGGGGGCGGCATTTCGAGCGCTTCTGGAGACACCGACGCGTTCTCCGAGTCCTCCGTCGACGCCGCCGAGATTGATTTCGGCTTTGGTGGATGTTCCGAGGCCTCGGCCGCAGACTCGGCCAACTCACTCAATACCTGTGCGTTTATTATTGGAGTCGAAGTATTCTTCCTTCTTTGAGGTTTTGTTATCGGCGACTGTCGGACGTTTGGTTTTCTAGCCTTAGTAGCATTACTCTTGCGTACTTTCTTAGACAAGTTTGTCGCGCTGTTCATTGCTGGAGAAGGTTCAATATCCATCTCCACAGGTGAGTTAGTTGTATGGCCTGAGTGCCTATGGTCAAATGTTGACGTTGATTCATTTTGGGCATGGAGCGCAGGAGACGTCAAAGGACTAAAGTAGGGCCCCGAATGAGAAAATCCCGGGTCGACTGGGAAGTGAGGTTCGAGGGGGGTCACTGCAGGTGATACTAGTGGAGTAAAGGCCATCTATTGGACGGTCAGCCATCGTTGATATATCTTGGGCTGGGGAGGGTGACGTGCATCTTGTTGCTCCTTAAGATGTTGATATCCATCAAACATGCCCGAAGAATGTGCTTGGTCCTGTTGTGCAAAGAACTGATTTGTGGCCTGCATTTCGAGGCTCTGCGGGGTTGGTGGTACCATGTTTCGCTGTTGAGCGTAGAAAGCAGCTTGTTGCTCGTGGAACTGTCTCTGTTGCTCTGCGAGCTGTCTTCTTTGTTGTTGCAGCCTCTGCTGCTGTAAAAATTGAATCTGCGCATCTATTTCGGAGATTGGATCAGAGGTTGAATGGTGCGGAGGCATCATCTGCGACGAGATCCCCGGGTGGCTTGGGGCCGACGTCATCGGTGAGATCTGATTTTGCGATCCCATATCATTTCTCGCGATGATCGTCGGAACGTTTGAATTGCTCATCGGAGTATCTATTGAGTCCCCATGTTGCTGGTGCATAATCGCAGCACTATTGGAGCTATTGAAATCGTGGAAATCGAATTGTAATCCATCCCCGAGATTCGACATGCCACCCATCTCAAGGAATTGTTGGAAGTCATCTTCACCAGCCGAAGTCATGGTTTGATCTTGTCCATTCCAACCGCTTGGGTCCATCATGGCCATACCTGACAATGACGACCGCCAAACCGAAGAGACTGAGACTAAGACTTAAGTTCGTCGTTGGGAATCGAAATCGCAAATTCGCGGGTTTTTCTTTGGTTACAGAAATACTCTCAATCCTTAATTTTTTCTATTCTATTGAACCATAATCGACTAAATTTGACGTCGCTGCGATATTCTTCGTCGATACTGCGGTCGCGCAGCGTGAAACGTATTGGGGGAAGTTGGTTAACGCATTTCTGAGGAGGGTGCAAAGCCCGCGCGCAAGATTTTTGACGAATTCTCTCTCGCTTTCTATTGACAGCCCACTCCGGGAAAGAGACTTGCTTAGCGACCGATACCAGTCGCAAGCAATATACTAAAGAGAGGCTAACGACTAGGGGCGGCAGCAAAGTCGTGGGATGGCTTCGTAGTGGTATGAAACTTCATTCAACCTGGCATGTTCGCTGAAGGACGGCCAAGTTTCGGTTCGAGACCAGGTGACTTTGAGTCCCGACGGCGAACTCCAGGAAAAAAGCGAGGACCGCGCGAGGAGATGGTGGGGGATCGCATTGGGAGAAATTGACTGGTCAGCCACAATGACAAGGTTTAGGTGGGGATCCACTGTACCACTACAAAAAGTAGTTAGTCCAGATCCATACTGGACATGGATGGGAAACGACAGGGTTAAGAGTTACCACTTTTACCAGAGCGACACAATCGGGTTGGCGCCCTGGCCGCCCTAACAGACCCTAAAATCAGCCATATCATCAGCCATATCATCAGCCACATTCCATCATGTCTGCTTGTATTCAAAGTGGCTGTGCTGTACTAAAGGCTAAACCAAGGCCATATTTAAGTTGGGCTTCGGCCTAAAGCGGCGATGCTCAGGCTCGGTTCAGGTTCGTACCTCCTGCACGCGTGGGGTTAGCGTTCGCAATGAGCAGGTGACGGTCTCAGCGCTAGGCTGGGGTTGCACATGCAGCTAACTCAACATCCGGCCTAGGGCCAGAACTTCCCTCCCCGCTCCTCCCCGTGAGTGCCTAGCAATTTATAAGAGAGAGTAATACATTAATACATCCTAAAGTTAGGTGCACATCCCCCCTGAGACAATGAATGCATAGAAGCCACACTTTTATTATTATAGCAGCCCATTCAAAAAAGTATGAAATACTTGCTTCACTCCCTTCTATTTTTTCTGTCATCTATCCCTTGTATCTTGGTATCTTGTACGTTGCCATATAAAGTGTCATGAGCTTGTCAAATACGTAAGTGTTGTCTCACGTCTAACGGTCCTAGTCAGTCGCGGGTAAAGCTGCCATCATCCTCTTGTCAGCAATAGGTCGGCTTGACTCGGTGTCTTCAAATGTTGACCTTGCTTAAATTGGAATCCAGATTAATGTTAATATGATTCCCTAAGCCTGGGGGTCGCGAAAGTCTAGCAGCAAAATTTTTCTACTTTCTAAACCCTTAACTCCACTGTTCGGACGCTTGGCCAGGAACCCCCCAAGGGCGTACGTAAAAGAAACGACTTTCCTTAGCTGGACCCGTTCTCCTCCGTGGAGCTGGAACATCGAAGGGTTTATGATCCTATTTATGGCCCCATGGTCTGCAGCGGATATTTGTGTTGATGAAACGGTGGGCTTTAGGTCTCTTTAAAAGATGGATGCTAGACGGGTGAATGCTCTAGAGTCACTTGAGCCTTTCCCTGCATTTTTCGCATCCGGTGGACTTTCAGCTGATGTATCGTAAAAGAGGCTCGTAAATTTGTGTAGTACTACTGCACGGTACATATAACACACCCATCCAGTTCCCATGGTGGGGGTCAGTGGCGGTTGACCATCCAGAAAGGGCAGGAAGCCGGGTAACGCTGCGTAGTCCTTCGAGCGGGGGATTAAATAGACTGGTTTGCAGTTGATTAAAATCCTTGACCGGCTTGCTTAAATAGATGAGATCCGAGGATGTCCGGTTTCTGTAACGATCTAGAGCGATCAATACTACCCGGTATATATAATATCTGAATCATATAAAGTCATGACGACTTTTATATAGAGGTAATCTAAAGTACGAATGCTTTTCAGTATATGAAAATTAAAGATGCAAATATTCATGTGGCCGTAGTCGCAAGATCCTGGAGGTTTATTAGATCTGATGATACCCGGAACCGAGAAGAACTAACCGCTGATGAAGTAAGCTGTAGACCCAAAGTCCCGGGATTAATATTGTGCATATGACCAATCTAAGGAGCTGACCGAGGAAGTTTTTAGTAGGTCAACAGGAAAACTTAAACCTATCACACAGCTTTAGTTTGAAAAGTTTGTGATGAGAAGAAAAAGAAATGTTGAATCCGTCGTACCAATTTCGTGGATGAATACAACTTCCCACTCGCGTACATGATGTATGTACGTTAGGTAGATGTACAAGGTATGTACATGTACATGTATGTAGGAACGATCCGAGTGGGGAAAAGAGGATAATCGCATTACCCAATTCATAAAGCTACTTTTCCAGGGTTACACGACCGTAATGCCAAATTCAAACGCTCACTACTAAACCTAAATAGCTGCTTACCTTCTTGGGAACCTTACCTGCCAAGGCATTTACCTAGCTTACCTCACTACATCATAATCCATATAATCCTGCATTTTATTTTGTCAGCCTCAACATCGTCATAGAGGCTGGGTTGGGCATGATTTACGATCTTCACAACTCCTAGCGTCATTCCTCTTCGGGCGCCACGAGCACTATGAATTTATCAACCAATAAAGCCCAAGAGCTGCGCGACAAGATCTCGCAGACGGAAGAAGAACTTCAAGATTTACGAAGGCAACTAGTTGAACTCGAGTCACCGGTCCCAGATCCAAGTGCAGAACAGGAATCTACTTCAGCACTAGATCGTGAAAACCCCGTGGACACAATACCTGAGTGGAAATGGCCTTTGAAAGAGGATGAATATTCCCGATATGCTCGTCAGCTTATTTTGCCTACAGTCGGCATCAGAGGCCAGTTACGCCTGAAATCCACCGCTGTATTGGTAATCGGTGCTGGAGGACTAGGATGCCCGGCCGCTGCATACTTAGCCGGTGCGGGAGTCGGCACTCTCGGGGTCGTTGATGGCGATACAGTCGAAGCCTCTAATTTACATCGTCAGATCGCACACAGTACCTCAAGAGTTGGTATGATGAAGGTGGACAGCTTGATCGAGTACTGCCGAGGACTTAATCCGAATGTGCCGTACGCTCCCCACAGAGAACATCTCACACCCCAGAATGCGGAGAGCATTGTTTCTAAATACGATGTGGTCTTAGACTGCACTGATCATCCAACGTCTCGGTATCTAATATCCGATATCTGCGTTTTGCTGCAGAAACCACTCGTCTCCGCATCCGCTCTGCGCACAGACGGGCAGCTGATCGTTCTAAATAATCCGCCGACAGCCCAAGGTTCTAAAGAAGGCGGGCCGTGTTATCGCTGCGTGTTTCCTAAGCCACCTCCTGCTGATAGCGTAGTCAGTTGCGGCGAAGGCGGCATTTTGGGGCCGGTCGTGGGGGTCATGGGTGTGCTGCAGGCACTTGAGACTATAAAATTGATTGCGGCCGGTATTAAGGAAGAGATCAACTCAACGCCAAAAGAGAAAGTTACACCAAGTCTGCTTCTATTCTCCGCTACTTCAACTACATCATTCAGATCTATCAGAATGAGAAGTCGACGACCCGACTGTTTTGCTTGTTCTTCTAAATCAACTTTGACTTTGAAAGAACTACACTCCGGTTCATTGGATTATGTTCAGTTTTGCGGGGTAACGACACCGGTTAACGTACTGAAGCCCGAAGAGAGAATCACCGCTACAGAGTATAATGCCATTCTAGCAAAACAACTCGATAAGACACATCTATTGTTGGATGTCCGCGAAAAGGAGCATTTTGATATTGGCAGCATATCAGGTGCTGTGAACGTGCCATTTTCTACATTACAGTCCCGCGGTAAGTCAATTACCAATGGTGAGCGATTGGAACTAGAATACATACCAGATACATTACCACCTGATGCAGCTATATACGTTGTCTGTCGGGTAGGAAATGATTCACAGTTGGTGACACAAAAGTTGAAAGAAATGGGTTTAGACAAAAATGGAGGTCGCTTCATAGGCGATATTAAGGGGGGTATGCAGGCGTGGAAGCGCGAAGTTGATAACACGATGCCATTCACGTAATATTTTCAAGTCTCATGTCTCATGCTTCATAATGCATCAAAACTCGTGGCCAATATGGGAAAGGGGGGGTTCCATTCCGAAAATCCATTCCAATCCTTGCTGCTGTTATTACATGGGAGGGAGAGGCACCAAACGCCTATCCATTGAATTTTGTTACTTCTGTTTCCGCCGGTGAGATGTACTCTCAACAGCCAGGTAAGAAAATATGTTAGAATTTTTAAGGTATGTAGTTGCACCTTTTTTTCTTGTTCTTTTTCTTCCCTTAGACACACCCCACTGCTAGAGAATCCTGTCACAATCAGACGAAACTTGTTCGCTTCTTGTTGAATGCCCTTTGGTCCTTCAACCATTGTCTGTAACCTGCGACACTTGAAATCTTCTCGCCGTAGAAATCGGGGACTATAGAATCACGGTGTTAGTGAATTCAATTCTGAAATCCGAGCTCTACCCTTGATTTGACTTACCAGCATTCCCACTCAACGAACTGTTACTTGGATCTACTCTGTTCTTCTTGATGCGCGCAAAGAACTCCGACTCCTTGATGGCCATCGGCTGCTTAACGCCTCGCTTGAATATGTAGAATAACGCTGAACCCAAACTTGGTCCGGCTAGCCAGCCTAGACCCGCGAAACTCAAGGTCATTATTCCCAAGGCGAAGATGGGATCCATTGGAACTTTTGTCAAGAGCCAATCCATGTCCACGCTCACGAGTAGCATAGCACCTGCTGTACCTCCGGTTGTCATTGTGATTAAACTGCTGACGAGTTGGAACCGCCGTCGCGTCTTGCGCAGAGTGAAGAATGAGTTCCAGTCGAGAGTGGGGGTGGAAGATTCTGCGGAGGACGGAGCCGTGCCGGGGGCTGTCGTGGAAGCATTTCGTCGTGTGGTGGTAAATTGGCACTGCACGCGAGCAGGTTTTCTGGTGATTTGGTTGTTCTTAATCGATGGGATCGACTTGGTGCATGGTCGTTGTGCTGCTATGGAGGATAGAGAGGAGTATTGGCAGGTTGCCCCTCTCGGAAATGCGACCTGGAGTTTTAGGCTACGAGTGCCTAGGACGCCGAAGCGCGTTGCTGTTGTTGCGGCGGGAGTCAACATTTCGTCGGGTGTTGTCGCCGTATCTACGACGCTGGCATCGAATTCGAGTTTCTTTGGGAGTGGAGAGTCGTGTCGTCACTAGGAAATTGTTTAAACTAATACCGAAGCTTGACGTCGCTTAGGTTGAGAAAGACGCTTCTCTAGAAAGCTCGAGCCACATTGCGGCGTGTTATCAGTTATCTATACCGATAAGAAGATAAGCAAAATTCTAGGGGTATTTCTTCCCCACTATTCTCATCCACTGAAGCTTCTTCTACATCTACCCAGGTAATCATCACAGCTGCCAACTTTACGTACGAATTAGGGCCAGAATGATGTATCGCCTTACTCAAGGAGCGAAATACTCGCCCGAACAGCCAATGTTTTCCTCCTTTCGAAGGTAGGCAACGAGCAGTTATTCACAGACCAACGTGAGCGAAGAATAGTTGTAATATACAGTGACCTTTACGCTATAAGAAAACTTCAGAATCAAATCATAAGTCATCTCGAATTCTAGGAATTGGTCACTTCAACCAGTCATTTCAAGAAGCGGGAGTACTGGGTATACATCCATATCGAACAAGAATCGATATGATATCGGCGATCGTCAGTAATGATCCCTACGATGTCCGGGGCTAGTGAAGGCACAGCAATCCATCTTACATAATCATATCCCCTTTTCAATTATCTCCGAGTAGACACTTATATACCCTGGTATCCAGCGTCGTAAGCTATAATGCTTTATTCTTGATTGGTATTGTTTCTATACCAGGACCCACAAGACAGGGCGTATACTTAATCAACACAAGCTGGCAGTGTTTGGGTGAGAAGGCGGCCGAGCTCACAGAAGCAATACACTGTAATACATTGACTACACAGATCAGAAGCATGTCTATGAGTCAGCTGCAACTACTGATTGAGCACCATGCCCTGGAATTGTTATCCGCCTCCATTATTATAATTGCAATAACGCTCATCACCTCATCGCGCAGAGGGCCTCCAAGCATCTGGGATCCGATCCCGTTCGTCTTCAACACTATTCAATTCATAAGAAATAACGAAAAGTTCATGAAACGAGCAGAGTGAGCAGTCATTCCGTAATCCCACCCTTAGGTCACTATGCGTAGCTCTAACACCGGGGGTCTCGATAGAAACGCTCTCAAGGATAATACAGTTGTGAAATTCCATCTGGGACCAACGCCAGCCTACTTGGTTGCTCGCCCAAAAAACATCCAAGCTATATTCAGAAACTCGCAATTCATTCATAATGAAGGATCCATGGTCTCTATCACGCTACCTGTACTATATAGGATGACCAAGGAAGAGATCAAACGCTTTGCTGCGGATAAGTCAGGACGAGGGAAGAACCCGTTCCCTGGTACGGAAAATACGCCTAAGAACGAACGGTACTTCTACGGATTCGAACATGTTCATACCGAGTATTTGGGACGCACACAGTATCTCACCCCGCTCGTTGAGCACTTTCAGGATCAGTTATCCCGGTAGGCCTCCCATCTAACCCCCTACGTATGGCGCTACTGACCGTGACGACACTAGCGCCCTAGAAGGATATTCTAGTCAGGAATGGACCACAGTTAGTATTATGGATTTCTGTAAACAAGACGTTACGAAATGTGCCGTGCATACCCTTCTCGGACCAAAGGTTCTCGAACTGAACCCGGGCTTCTTGGACAGCCTCTGGGACTTCGACGACGTCCTTTTCCAGCTAGCGATGGGCTTCCCTAAATGGATAAATTCAAGGCCATATGAAGTGCAAGATCAGTACCTCGCTGCTGTTCAGAAGTATCTTGACTCAGCATGGACGAACTTCGACTGGGACGGGCCTTCTGCTACATCTTATTGGGAACCACACTTCGGTGCCCAGGTCTCCCGCGAGCTAGTTATGTGGCTCAAGGAGAGTGGTTTCAATGGGCCTAACACGGGTGCAGGTGCCATAGCGACTCTAGTATGGGCGTAAGCATCAACTCTAGTGAATACGGCATCGAAATTATATGAACTGACTTTCTTAACCAGGCAAAATTCCAACACAACTCCATCAATCATGTGGACTCTTATGGAAATCATCAAAGATCCATCCCTACTCCAAGCAGTGCGCGAAGAGGTCGTCACAGCTTACGTTACGTCTCCAGAAACAGGGCTGCGGTCACTTGACGCCCAAAAGCTAGTAACGCTACCGCTACTCACCTCGATATATACCGAAACTCTGCGAATGCGCGTCAATTTCAATCTTATACGTCATGTAAGTAAGCCTGTCGTTATGGACGGTTACACAATCCCGACTGGTGCTGCCATACAAGCACCTATGACAGTAGCCCACTACGACGAATCCATCTGGGGAGCGGACCAACACCCTGCCTCGGAATTCTGGGCAGAGCGCCATGTTAAATATACAGAAGATGGGAGGCGTGTCTTTGCGTTGGCTGGAAGTTCAGGTTCATATTTCCCATATGGTACGTCAATGGCCCCTACACAACCCCGGTGATTCAGCTAACTTTCTACACAGGCGGCGGAAACACAATTTGCCCAGGTCGTCATTTCGCGAAGCACGAAGTTATGGCCACTGTTGCCCTTATAATATCTAACTTCGATATTGAATTTTTGGAATGGACTCAACTTGACGGGTCCCCGTCTGATCGCCTGCCCCGGAATGATCCACGGTATTGTGGAGCGGGGGCTATGCCTCCTGATCGGGATATGAGGATTAGATGGAAGAGGATTACTTAGGCCATACTTAGGCCATAATTCAATGTGACTGCTTGTTAGGTGACTACTTGGTCGACTGCGTTCGGGTATCGTGTGGTCGGCGATAGTGGGGCAGGGTACTAATCCTACACTGTTCGGAATGGGTGCCGCCTAAGCAGCTTAGCGTTATGTTCTCTAAGGCGATTCGCTAGCAAAGGGGAGAATGGAAGATACTCGTTCTTATTTGAATTGAATGCGGCTTAGGAGATTTCAAGGACTTGGCGTTGGAAATTTCTACCTAGAGTAGACATTTTCAGGGGTGAAGGATGACTAATGTGAAAAAAATAGGGGCTAGATGTACCTAAGTACCTAGTTCGATTATTCGCGAACCTTAGGTTTTATAATCTCACAATCCTAACTATTCCTCAGGTTTTCCAGAGTATTTGGATACGAGATACTTAAGAAAGGCTATCGAATCAGTTATTCTTAGACAAATGGTAACACAATGCTAAGGTCTCAGCCCCTAGGTAGGGTTCATTGTGTCGTGCTCCTCAGGTGAAGACATCAAGGTCCGTGTACGTTCTTAGGATTTTCCTGATCTTTCCTGCCTGATTGTATCAAAAGGCTCATTGGAATGTTCTGGTAGGTGCCCCAGGGTGGAAAACAAGGTTAAGTGATTTATATAGCGGTATAGGTACCTAGGTAGGTAAACAACGTATGATAGCAACAAGCTACTCCCCAGTTATCTCGCCAGCTCGAGTCATTTTCTTCCCTAGGATTATCCACACGCATCATAGCTATAATATTCATCTTTTCATCTTATTTAGAGAATGCGGCACCAAACAGCACACTGGAATCCTAATCCCTGTCAGCCCTGTGAATCCGCCAAGGCGTCGTTCTTTGAACCCTCCTTCTTCACCACGGTCGTCTTCGTAATTTGGGAATTTATTTCACTGCCCAAATCAAGGAAACGTTTGGCCGCAAGAATGAGCTGTTCCCGATTATAAATTATTGGGTCCCAAGGAAACGCATATTTCGATTCCTGTAGATGGTAATCGTCTGGCTCATTTTATGGATTGGTGAATCGATTATGCTACCTCCGATTTGCATTTTAAAAATGAGCCGATGGCTTTTTGAGGACGTCAAGACAGACGACCCCCGCGCGAATCAACGAAATAGATGTACGAAAAAATAAATTAGCCAATTATGCCATGGGTGAGCCTACCCGTAGCAGGCGTCCTTAGCATAGTCGATTCACTGCTTAATACTCGGATTGCCTGTTAATGCTATGGGGAACCGATGGGATAAGGGTGTTTTTAGCGGGGAGAATCATGACAAGCATTTTATGCACCTATAGCTATATCGGGGATTTACAGAGCGGCCATGCGTTTATATCCTTATTGGTAGATGAAGATAGTTCCTGATCAGACCGTACACGCCAAAGAACTTTCCTTGCTGTTACTTTCCTCGTAGAATCTACGTGGATACTCTTCCTGATAAACGAGGTGATACGCCCGCGAAGTCATAATAAAGACATTCTATTTCAAAAATACCTGGATACTCGTGGTTCAGAGATCTAACCTTTACGCATAGTCTCCCATAAAAATATTGTACATATTGGTCCTTGGTTAGCCCTTTTGTGTTTGTGATTGCTTCTCTGCGCTGCATTCCTCTGTTTTGTTGAACCAACATCTAGTCATCCGCCATATGGAAAATCTATTCTATATTACGACCAGAACGACCTATTTTTGGTGAAAAGATAATAGTAGGTGTGAATGAGGCGGAATGAACCAGAACGCTCTGGCATACGGCGTTTTCGTTTCCATAGATATTAACAATATTATAACCGGGGGGTTGAATCATGTCTCCAGAAGTGAGATAACAAAACGACAAGAAAATAGGTATGATATATAATTCAATTTGCCCTAATTGTATCTGTATACGAACGAAGTCGTGGACGACTGCAAGGAAAAAGATAGCCTTTAGAATTCGGGTTCGTTTCTTAAGGCGTTTTTGCAAGTGAGTGCGATTTCTTGTAACAAAAACGACGGCGTAAAATAATGACCGAGATGAGGTCCTCTTATTGGTTCGATGGTGAAGTAGTGGTGAGTGATTTTGATTTGCTAACTGTGATAGACGTGTGGGTAGAGAATAAGTCCTCTGAATCTTGGAGATAAATTTGTTGTCTCCCAGCGAACGGTCGTGAGTCGCCAAGGTGGCGTTAGTTTCTCCAAATCGGTGTTGGGTAGTCATTATGCTATGGGTAGGAATAATATCGGGGTTTCCAATAGAATCAACAGGAGATTAGTGTTATAGTAAACAACTAGTCACCTATAAAAGGTAATGGGAAAGCGAGCCATTTGTATAGGAATTGTGAAGACTGGAGGCGGAGAGAGCTTGGCTATGCCTTGGTGGTTGTTCATCCAGTGTCCTAAAGAAGTACCAGCCCTCACCGAATTTGGTAGTCCACAGGTCCCTAGGCATTTCAGCTTTAGCCATTCGAGGAGGGCTACAGGGCACGAGAATAGGTGGGAACTAAGGTTGCTATAGGCTCACAAGCAGAAAGTAGAATTATGTGAAATTAATTGCAATTTCGAAAGAACCTGGTGACTTACGCCCCTATTAGGTAAAATCCATATATAGGTAATTGTCGTACGCGGCTTGTCGTTATTACTAAAAGACACCATCGGATATCAGCTGCTTGAACGTTTGGACGTAGCACATTGAATCCATAGCGCCTGCGGAAATTTGTGTGGTTGTATTCCCATTTCCACTTGTTTTACTCTTGTTCCCGTTGCCAAGTTGACGAATCTTATTTGAAATACCGTTTGTCCGGCTTTCGTTACCTTGGCCAGCCTGCAAAGTAGTGTTGTACTCTCCTTCGCTATTTGACATATTTTCTTCAAGGCTGGCGCTTGCGGAAGCCTGGTGTTTGTGATCAATGATTGCCGCATTTATCATTTGAACAATGTTGTTCGCTACCTGCTGGTACCCTGGGTCCTCGTCACTGGCGAATTTGCAGATATTTCGATGGTCAGCGTCTAGTCCTATCTGCTTTTCGCGAGTACCGGGCAGCCCAAGGACTGCAGAATCATGGTCCACGACCTTTATATTCCGGGATTATCAGTTTTATATTAAAGACGTTGGAATATGGTGATACTTACGACTCCAAGTCGAGTTAAAGGCCGGGTTTCGTAAAAAGATAAAATTTGGAAGTTTTCGAGGAGTTGACGAAAATCATCCGTGATGATTTTTAAAAACGGCGAATCTTCTTTCAAAGCACCCATAAAAGTATTTCCGGGGTTCCCCAATATAGCACGAACAACCTTCGCAATGATATCGCCTATACCCGCATGTTTTCCCCCTCTATGTGGCGTACCAAAGAAGGCAACCCCAAATGTTGATCTCCCGAGCGCCTCGTAAGTATTGTCGGTCTTAGCGAGGACCAAAGCCTAGCGTAATTAGAATCAATACAGAAGTTACTAAACATCGGGTCCGACGGACCTCGCATGCCACCGAAACAACTTACTCGCTTTACGATAATTCCACCTAGACTGTGACAAATAAATATCAAGGGACGATGAGGGTCTCCCTACTTTAAATAAGCTATGTAAGCATTGCGGGTAAGGAGTTATACTTACGCGCCGTAATTCATCCAGCTGGCTTAGCAGGTTTTCAGCTTGTTCCCGAACGCCGGAAGCTGCAGTTTGAAATACTACGTTTGAATTGTACCCGAAGAGTAATATTCTCGCATCGGGGGCCTGGGTTGGGAGGAAATCTCTGAGCCATAACTTGCTCTCAGTAGTCCACGTGGCTTCTGCGTGAGCTTGTTTGTCGAGGGGATTGAGACCATGAACAGCAACGATACTAATTCCATCCTATCAGCGGGCAGTCATGACAATGAATCCGAGTGTACGTACTCGACGGTTGGCCGCGATGGATCAACGAGGACTCGCACAAAATTTCTCGAGCTGTTGTTCATCTTTCGAGGCCTTATGGGATTCCACCATAACATCTTCGGAATAGATAGATTTGGATTGAATTTATAGAATGAGGCGCTAATGTTCTACAAACGAGACAAAGATGGGGCATGAATTCACACATCTTTCATTCATCATGCCTTGATCACATTATATACCTGGGTATATATATATGTACGTTCAATCCAGCGGGTAGCCAGAATCATGTAGATGATCGTCATATCCTTTACCGACGCAGCGCCTAAATTAGGTAGACAATTACCACAACCGTTACCGAAACGTCTCTTGCTGCTACATGGGCTTAAATGCGACCAACAACTCTACCCTACACAGTCAGCTGATTCGTCGAGGTGAGCCAATCCAATATACCTACCTAGGTACATAAAGTAGCAGCGACTGAAATTGGATCTGAATCCAGCCTAGTATCCCAACCAAACATATCCGCGTTATGTTTCCGCTGTTCTTTGGACATGGTAGAAATTAATGTCGTGGTATCAATGAATGAATGAATGGTTTCTATTTAGGTTGAAAGAGATACCAACACTCTTACTGGAAATAGAAATGAGAAGCGCCTCGCGGCTATGTACATGCACGTTTCGCACTTGAACAAATCACAAAATGACGAGTCAGAAAAAAAGCCACAATGCTACCTAGGCAGAAGGGCGTCAAAAAAAGTGCCCACCGTTTTATTAGTACGGCTTTTAACTGTGCCAGATGGACTACCTCATTGGTCGAAAATTATACAGTATCATAATGTGAGACTTCGCATGGTGGGCAGTTTTTTTGACGCCCTTCTGCTAGGTACACGAAGTAGGCCGGTCTTCTAGCTATTGCATAGAGGCGCCCTCCCCTACGGGCACCCCGTGCCCCACGCCTTAGCCCTTCATTGGCGAGGTAGACGGTGCATGTTTTTCTTGCTTTTTTCATTTCATTTGAGTGCTTGTTTAGCAACCAGATAAGCTAATTGCATACACAGTGGTTTTGTCGTAGCACAGCGAGCCTGCCTGTCCAAGCCCACGTGGAGGAGTTTAAAGGGGCACCAGGGACGAGTGGAAAAGCTTTACGATTGATTTTGCCTTTCAACCTACTCAATATAGACACGTTCAAAGTCGCTCTGTTGTAGAATTTGCCAGTGAGTTGCGATTGCTCATTCACTCATTAGTCTCTAAACGCACACAGCCCCGGCACACATACACTTATGGAGAATGTCCAAAGTGAAGATAGGGCATGGGATCGAGAGCCACCTATTCCTCCACGCAGCTTAGTAACGATGCAACCTAAGATACTCGGCAATAATCCCCACGAAGGCTTATTGACGGGCCCCGAAGGACTCCACCAACGGAACTATTATCCGTTGAAGGTAAGCAAGAAGCCCAATAAGACTCACAACTCTGACGAATAATACTAGCAGGGCGAGCCTCGGTACGAGAACGAAGCATGGAATCGCGGAGACAACAATAATACAAGTCAATATGGGGGTGGGAACCGTAGTCAGAATACGGGCAATGAGAATAGTACTGTTCAGCATCATGACGCGGGTAGGGAGAGCGGTAATTGGTGGTTTGGGGGATCTATCATGGCAATTATCTCCCTTGTAGCAATTGTTGCCGTACCAATGTCTTTATTGTCATGGAGGTGCATCAGCTGGTGGTTTTAGTAAAAGATCGCTCCATCTCAGGTCGAGTTATGTCGTAGAGTATACGCAGTGCACGGAATCTCGTTGATAATGCACTGGAGGATCTATCTATGCTAAGAAACAGAAACACTTGCACGAATAGATCTCTCGGTAATCTAGGTACCCAACATGTCCTTGCTCTATGGATGCATGGTTTTCTATAGGTTTTCTGATAATTGTTAGTCGAATATTGTACCAAGACGACCAAGAAGGTTAATAAAAGGCGTACTTACATAGGAGGAAAGTCAAGTAAAGAAATCTCTAGTTGCCCAATACCGATTCCCGAAGGCTGCCAATTTTTTGTTCCCATTCCCAAGCTTTACTGCTGTCACAGCTCTTATCTAGCTGTTCCTCTCTACCTTTAGGGGATATGCCTCTTCGATAGCGATCACCAATCTGAATAGTCGCGTTCCTGTTGCCTAAAGTCTCGTTATCATTTTCCGTCCCCGCTTGGCCTGCAATATTCTCGTCCCCAAGGCTCATGCGGCTTTTGTTGCAGGAACCGAACTGAACAGTTGTGTTTTTGTTCCCTATGACCGTACTGAAATGTTGTCTTTTTCGTTGATATGTGATGTTGAAATTCCCTTCGTTGTTGCTATTGTTGCCGTTACCTTGCTGATGTACCTTGTTATAATCGCCGATATTCACGCTTTCATTTTTTTCGTTACATTCGTCATCGTCCTGGGTAGGGTGATCCTGGCCGATGTTTTTAAGCAATGCAAAGATACCCCCAAAAAACTTCGAGGCTATGCCTTCGAGCTCGTCCCCCTTTGCGGCAAGTGTGACCGACGCCGAGTCCATGGCGTCACTCTCATGTATGTCAGCAATGTTGACGAAGAGCCTTAATGACACAAGGAAGTTATCCTTACAGCAAGAGATATGAGTACCTAGATGATAATCAGGATATTGATAATCATATAAATATTTTACTCTGGTTACCCAAATGAATGATTATCTACGAGAATATCTTTATGGATGGTAAGGCTGGGAATGAGGAGTTAAAGAAATCTCCCTCCTTTCTACTACCATTGGACGGACCTTGAAATCGAAGATTTGGCGTATGCTACCTAGGTACACTTCTAGACACTGTATAAAGGCTAGGCAGAACCATCGTACCAACTGACCTGCAACTTTTAACTTATCTTGATACTATCTATTCACTCTAGATGTTAGATTACCTAGGTATAAGCGATCCTTTCGGTGTTGGAATTGGCCGCTTCTTCATCGGGATGGGAATGGCTCTAAATAGAATTACCTGTGCCGAGGGGAAGTTCCTACTCGGATTCCGAGCCTCTGGTGCCCAGGCTATGATGTTATAGCACGTCTTCAGCAACCTACAGGGGGGTCACGGCGGCAACGCGGTATCAGATGAGCTTCTGGTTCGGTGAGTTCCTCCATGTGATTAGTGTGCGTTAATGCCCACATGCTTCTGAAGGATCTGCAGGTGTCCGCCATGTCTCGGCACCACGATTAAGGTATAACAGTGTGGTTCTTGGGTACTGTTGAATCATTGTCTGAGCGTTGTTAGCGGCATTCTGTGCGACCTATCCCCCTTTTTACGGTATGATTGAGCGGCAGTCTGTCCACTTGGGTATAGTTTGATCCACATTCTAAAGGACGAAAGCCACTCTATCCTATATATATGCCTAGATATGTATTATCTTAACCCCTTCATAGATATGTGGACAATCCTTCAAATAGAATAGATACTAGAAGGCACACGGGTGTGGTTGAACTTGGACTTGCGATATTTGGTGATACACACATTTTACTATGCATCTGGGTGCTAAAAGCATATACCTAGATACATGTCTGGTAAATGCCTAAAGGAGTAAAGGCCATTCCGTTTTGAGGCTTTTCAAAAGGCAACGTAGCATTTTCCTTCGGTACCTACATACCTACCTAACCTAGGTACATATTAAGCGGTATTGTTTTAATTTTCCGACATGGTGGCCGTTGATGTCGGGAGAGAAATAGATGGGTTGGCATGACTAATAGCCGTAGCTAAGCTTTTCGGCACTGCAAGTTTCCTCTTTAACCGAACTATAAAATTGCCTCAAGATCCATAAATTCAAGTGGTTAATCTCCTAGGTACGTCTAGAACTGAGCCGTTAACATAGCCTGCGACATTGTTCCTTTTTGTCGGATCGTTAGATCTATCTGCGGGGGAAGAAGGGTCTCGCGGAGCTTGACCTGCCTTATTAGGTCCTGCATGCGGGAGGAAATTGCCACCATGACAGGCATAGATAGTACGCAGATACCTGATAGGCCTGTGTATTATCTACAAAGTGATTTATATACCCTCCAAAAAACGCCACCTGCAAGATATTGATGCTGCGGCCTGATTTTGAGCGCTAATGAAAACAATGCATATACGCCGGTTACTGCTAGGGGTTTGCCTCTGTGCCGACGCGGTTTCCGCTGCGACACTGACATCCGAACCTGGTGATATCGCTGTCATACCATCGTGGGATATTCAATCCTCTGAAAGAGTCGGCGGGGACCTCGAGACGTTATCCCAGCCTGGAATTGACACAAAGACATGGCACGAAGTCGATAGTTCTCGTTCTACTCTTATGGGTGGCCTCACCAAAGCCGGCGTCTATCGTGAGAATGGGCTATTCTTCTCAAATGCTCTAGAGAGCTTTAATTCGAGCCAATTCAATGTTCCTTGGATATACAGGAAGGAATTTACCCTTAATCCGAGCCCCGGCCAGCATTATCATCTCCAAACCCACGGAATAAGTTCCAGCGCCGACATTTACGTTAATGGCAAGGAGGTTGTGAACCGTAAGGCCCAGGCAGGTGCTTACGTTGGCACTATCTTCGAAATCACCAACTTCACAGAAGAGACGAATGCTGTCGCAGTGAAGGTTTACCCCACCAATTACAATTACGACTTCTCGCTTGGTTTCGTTGACTGGAATCCCTACCCCCCGGATAATGGCACAGGCGTGTGGCGCGATGTGGAGATTAAGCAGACTGGAGCGGTGATCCTAAGCCCTCTTCGGATAACGACACAAGCCAATCTACCTGTCGGCCACTCGAGCGCTCTTGTGACCCTCAAAACGACCGTGACTAACCTCGAAGACCACGATTACGTCGTTCAATTAGCAGGAAACATATCTCTTGAGGGAACAGACCAGAGCTACAAGCTAGGTGAGACGGTCAGAGTACTTCCACGTCAATCTGTCGATTTAGTCCTAGAAACGGCGATAAATGAACCGGCGGTCTGGTGGCCAAAGCAATGGGGTGATCAGCCACTATACACGGCTCATCTGACTGCCACTGCCAACAATTCCTTGTCTGATAAAGCCGAACGGGCCTTCGGTATTCGCCAGGTGACCGCGGGGCTCAATGACTACAATGACACTTTGTTCTACGTCAATGGCTACCCCTTCCAGGTCGTCGGCTCCGGCTACTCGGCAGACATATTCCTGCGATGGGACAGCGAGAAGTTCACCTCGCAAGCTAAACTATTGCTTGACTTGGGTCAAAACACCGTCAGATTAGAGGGCAAGAATGAACATCCTGAATTATACGAGATTGCAGACCGTCTAGGCTTGATGGTCTTACCAGGCTGGGAATGCTGCGACAAGTGGGAAGCATGGTCTTACAACGAGGACCTGGCCGTCAAGTCAGTGTGGACGGCTGCAGATTACACCATCGCGAACAAGAGTATGTACCATGAAGCTCTCATGCAACAGAGCCACCCTAGCGTGCTGGGATACCTTGTTGGAAGCGATTACTGGCCTGACGACAAAGCTGCGGAGATGTACTACTACTCTCTCAAAGCGGCAGACTGGCAGATGCCCATCGTTGCGTCGGCGTCGGAGAGGGGCTACCCTAAGGTTCTAGGACCCTCGGGATTGAAAATGGCAGGACCTTATGACTGGATCCCACCCAACTATTGGACAGATACCGAACCTGCAGAAGATCGCTATGGCGCTGCCTTTGGCTTTGGTTCCGAGCTTGGTGCCGGCGTTGGAACGCCAGAACTTAGTAGCCTGAAAAAATTCCTGTCGGAATCAGATCTAGACGATCTATGGAAGAAACCTAACAAGGGACTCTACCACATGTCCACCAGTGTATCATCCTTCTATAACCGCAAGATCTATAACGAAGCTGTCTGGAAGCGTCTTGGCGCGCCTTCTTCGTTGGATGATTACCTCCTCAAGGCTCAGATCACGGACTATGAAGCGACGAGAGCTCAATTCGAAGGGTTCGCTTCTCTATGGAACGCCGAAAGACCTGCGACCGGACATATATACTGGATGTTGAACAATGCCTGGCCGAGCTTGCATTGGAACTTGTTCGACTACTACTTGCATCCTGCTGGCTCATACTTCGGAGCGAAGGTTGGTGCTCGGAAAGAGCATGTCGCGTATGATTACAATGGGAAGCTTGTGTACTTAATCAACCGTTCGATTATCGGGAACAGCTCGAGGACAGTATCAGTTGAGGCAATTGACAAGAATGGCAAGTCAATTCATAGCCAGAAGAAAACCGTTCAGACCGAGGCGAACACTAGCAAGCAGATCCTTGACCTTTCAGATGCCTTAAAATCGATCACCGACGTTGTATTCCTCCGACTCATCCTCTCTGACGACGAGGATAATGTGCTAAGTCGAAACGTTTACTGGCTGGCCAAGACCATTGACACCTTGGACTGGGATAATTCGGATTGGTATTTCACGCCAGTAACCAAATACGCCAACTTCACAGCACTAAACAGCTTGCCGACCGCTGACGTCTCGGTTGCATTTGCGACACCGGCAAAACGAGATGAATCGAATGTAGGACAGGCAGTCGTACTCGAAAATCACTCCTCCGTACCCGCGTTCTTCATTAGCCTCAACCTCGTCGATGATGACGGTGAGGATGTTCTACCTGTATTCTGGTCAGATAATTACGTCACCCTATGGCCCAAAGAAAAGCTCGTGCTGCAAGTTGAAGGCGAGGGAGGCGCTTCAGTACAGGTCAGGGGCAAGAACATTAAGAAGACGGAAGTATATCTATGATGGATTGGTGGGATTTGAAATGGAAATGGGAAAATGGTTATTATTCGTAGGGCTTGTAATATGAATTCTTCAGGTGACGGTGGAGCTCGCCATTCACCCTGTGCCTATTTTCTAGCATATAATTGTCACCTTTAGCGATTATGTGCATATAAATTAACATTCAATTGATATTTTGTGAGCGAAATATCTTACTTACATTATTTTCCTCGACGAAATCAACATGGAAACATCACCGGCTCCCATTACTATTGCTAGCTCCTCCTTTCGTCGGATCCAAACCCCAGAAATCACCAGGGCCCCACAGCGTCCTCTCAATAACATCGCGCCGCGGATGAAACCAGACGCCGGGATCGTCAGGTTCGTCTTCATCACGGAATGCAAGGATGTACCCTGCCTTCTTGACGACTTGCCGCGATTCGAAACATGCATGCGCCAGCGGCATTTTCAGACTCTCCCGCTCTAACAACTGCATCTTGAGCCCCGCTGAGGCATACACTAATGCGTTGAAGACTCGAGGATCGGGTAGTGCATAGTGCCAAATCATCTCACGGAGCTCGGTGGGGAGGTCCGTAAAGCTGGTTTGGGGTGGCTTATTGCCTGCTTCCGCTATCGTGTTGGTTGCCGCCACTGAATCATCGATCTGTGGGGGTTGGGGGTGAGGATTCTCATCCTTGTTCGTGAGTGAGAGGTCTTGGATATTCAGTTCGGCGCTGCTATGAGTGCTAGATGTGCTAAGTTTCGCCATAATTGATGAACTTGTCTGAACATGATGAGTTGCGAAGAGAAGATTAAGAGAGAGAATGGACAGTTAGTCACGATGCCGGCAATTATTAGCGAATGGTTAATTACATACATCTTCAGCAATTATATTATTAAGCATAATATTTGCTTTTCGAAGCCTCTAAATAATGAACGTGCCAACTCAATTTGCTCTTTTCACCATCTTTCTCATCAATCAACTCCTCATTAGTATCAACGAAGTAGTCATTCATATAGCTCGCCTTACTCGTAATCAACCCCAGATATACGACGACTAGTTATCAAAATGATTCAGCTTTATTCGGTTCTAAGTAACCATAAGATTTTACGCCGTATTCCGCTCCACTAATATCCTTAGAGCTTGGAGAGGGGTTCCATAAACGTAAGCCGACACGACGAGCCAGCTTCACCAGCCCTACCTATGAACACTCAGCCAAGCCGAGAACCTGGTTTCTCGAGATCCTAGCTCTATGTAGGTCCAGTAATTCCTAAAGAACCTTTGAGGCGGTAAGTGTGGTAAATGTCTAGGTTGTGGATGGAATATTCGGCACTCTAGCGGCGCAGCCCTACAGAAGCGGCACCAAGAGTGGTTCAATATTACAGCTATCGACCGATTTTTGAAGATCATTCGTAGGCAGCATATCAAATTTTTGATCATATTTAGCAGCCTCATCTCCTTGTTTTTTCCCATATACTTTCAGGAAGCTAAAAGTAATATACTACCATAATATTCTCCCACAATTGAAAGGGGCTGAATGGACTCAAAACACGACTTTGTCATTGTTGGCGGCGGCCTAGCTGGTCTAGTCGTCGCCGCGCGCCTTACCGAGGACCCCCAAACCACAGTTATAGTCCTCGAAGCTGGAAGCGATAGCACCGTGGACCCCCGAGTTCGCACTCCAGGCCTATGGCCTTCGCTTCTGGGTTCAGAAGTCGACTGGAACTATCACAGTGTACCTCAGGTTAGAACGAAGGTAGATGACTAGAAAACCCCAATAGCTAACTTGCGAGTTAGAAAGGACTTAACGGCAAAGTCGTCGCCTGTTCCCAAGGGAAGTTATTAGGGGGATCAAGTGCTATCAACGGTCAAGCCTTCGTAGCCAACTCGAAGGCGGCGATTGATGTTTGGGCTGAATTTGGCAATCCGGGGTGGGACTGGGAAACCTTGGCACCCTATTATAAGAAATCACATACCCTTTCGCGCCCTTCAGCCGCGACATGCGATGTCCTACGTCTTGGCTACATCGATGATGCAGTAAGGGGCACCGACGGTCCTATTCGGGCGTCGTTCCCAGACGGGATTGACGACCCGTTACCTACCGCTTGGGTGGATACGATCGCTGCTCTTGGCTTCCCCGCTTCCGGGGATCCGTTCTCAGGAGAGTTCACCGGTGGCTATGTCAACGCCATGAACATTGATCCCAATTCAAGCATGCGTAGCGATGCAGCTTCAGCGTACCTCGAGCCTGCCAAGGGTAGAAAGAATTTACATGTCGAAACCGGTGTTCTTGTCGAGAAGATCGTCTTTGACGAGTCGGGAAGCGTACCGAAGGCAGTTGGCGTGCAAGTTCAAAAGAATGGGCGCGCTATCGTGGTAGACGTAAACAAGGAGATCATTCTGGCGGCTGGGGCTTTTGGCTCACCTAAGCTACTCGAATTATCCGGAATTGGCTCTCGAGTACGACTTGAGAAACTTGGGATACCTGTAATTGTTGATAATCCCAATGTTGGCGAGAACTTACAAGATCACCCGAACGCAGGGGTTAGTTTTGAAGTGGTGGATGGTGTCAAGACGATGGATGATTTGGCCCGACAGGTTCCCGAAGCTATCGCTACCGCAATGCAGGATTATGCAACTAAGAAGACGGGGCCATTTTCCGTTGGCGGAAACTTCGCTGGTTCAATGCTACCCGTGGTCGATTTCGTGGAAGGACCTGATAGTGAACAGACATTAAAAGATGTTCTAGACCTCTCGCAGGAGGTCCCTACGCCAGACTCCTTTTCGTCGCAACACGCTTCATTCGTCCACTCGTTACTTAGTAAGCGGACGGAGGGCGTAGGTAACGTGTTTACTTTCCCCGCCTACGGTAATTTCATCCACGAAGGCGATGGGACCCATGTCGTTCACCAGGCTCCTAGCTCAGGCAACTTTTTAACAATCGTCGCCGCTATTCTCTTCCCGTTGTCGCGCGGTAGCGTACACATCGCCTCGGCTAACCCGGCAGACGAACCCATCATCGATCCACGGTATCTCGAACACCCACTAGACCTCGATATTCTCGCTCGATTCGTCCGCTATCTTGACACAATTGTGCATACTGAGCCGCTTAGTCGTTATCTCAAACCCAATGGTCGTCGTGGTTACGGAGCGCCTACGGACTTACGCGACCTAGCGCAAGTGAAAGGATACGTAGAAAAGGCGGCACTAAGTTGTTATCATCCGACGAGCGCGTGCGCTATGCTACCTCGCGAAAAAGGTGGCGTCGTGGATCCCAAGTTAGGCGTTTATGGCGTTGAGGGGCTCCGTGTGGTTGATTCGAGCATCATGCCAATTGCGACAAGAGGAAATCCCCAGACAACGGTGTATGCGGTCGCAGAGCGCGCTGCTGATTTAATCAGGGAAATTCACAATATCAATCTCTAGAGGGTATATATTAATATATAATAAAGTCATAATTTACCTCTAGCTGATCGATTGTTAGGTACCTCCCGTCTTTTTTTTATCCTAGAGGTTACCGCCTCCTTCTAGATTCTAGAAACCCCTACTTCTATCAACATAAATTCAACACTTCAATATCAGACCTAGCCGGAGACATCTAATCAAAGAGGTTTCGCGAGTACGTGATCATTGTGAGTGCACCCTCCAAGGAAAAATCCAGCCTCTCCCACCTTTTTATAACCCAATTTGTAGTAAAGTCGTTGCGCATCAGCGGCATTTCTACAATAATCTAGTCAGCGCATCCCGTATAGTGCCCATGAATTGGGGCGAATCTTACTCCCAGACTGTCAACCATAACGTCTTAACACCATCGGCTCTGGCTTTAGCTTCGACAGCCGCGATGAGCTTACTCCCGATACCCCTACCATGGGCCGAAGTATCCACATAAAGTCTCCGTAGCTCGGCGTGCGTCGAAGGGTCACCCTCAATACTCGGGTCCGTATGCCCACCGACGAGTTGTACGAAGCCAAGGACCTTGCCCGTCTCGTCGCGGGCCACAAATGTGTTGATCTTGGTTTCGTGCGAAGTTGAAAGGTCCGCCTCAACGGCTTTCGCCGAATACGTCTCCGCTAAAAACACAGCTAAGTCATCGGGTGGGACCGCGAAGCCGAAGCTTGTGGTAAAGGTTTTGGTTCCGATCAAGGCTATCGCCGGGGCGTCGGATACTAGCGCATCGCCAATAACCACCTCATAACCCGATTTTGCGGGTAATTCCGACGCCGCGACGACGGACGGCACTTTTGTGGTCATTTTTATCAGCGGGGGATGATGCTATTGACGAATGAAGAATGAATGAATTTGGGTCCGGATTTCGCTCGGGGAAACATTTCTTATATGGATTAAACCAACAGGAATTCATTAGTGCAGTTTTAGTCGTCCGATCTTCGGGTTTTCGGTGACTCGATACTGCCTCTTTTCTCCGGTTTCTCGACATTCAATTCGACCCCCTGCTAAAATCTTGAGATACATGGATAGTCGCGCCCTGCAATTGTCGACCACTACAAAGACAATTTGTGACATTTCTACCCAGTTAGATAACTCCTAACAATTCTAGAAGGCTCCAGAGCGATACTTGGTAAACTATATTAGAGCAACATGATTTTAATGAGAAGTGCAGCATACACGCGAGGTATATCCCATAGGAATGGATAGTTGGTGCCTATAATAAACCAACTAAGACCTGACAGGTAACGCAAGATCGGATGCTTCCCCTATTTATTAGTTCCACTCTATTATAGCCAATCAGACTCAAGAATCTCCCTCACCCTCTTCCCGCTTAGGGAAATATTCCGAATAGAGTTGACTAAGGTATTCGTTAAAACTTTATTGTAATTGCTATTAGATGTACCGCGATCGTCTGAATTCTTTCGAAGATGTGTATCTTCATCGGAAGCGTCCACGGTGACCATAAGTCCAGCGAAGTTGTACACTGAAACAGGGAAGTAGCCAACCAGGTAAATTACCAGGGGTTTTTAATTGCTTGAATCAACCATTGCGAGCGACATCCAATAGCAGGTGGCTTTAAGTTCCTAATCAGCCGCGACAGTCGTGTTCTTGACCTCGCCGTTCTCGAAATAGGGGATTTCATGCCCGATAGAAATGGAAATCTCCTTGCCATCAATCCAGCCCTCTTCCATCTTGTTCACCCTTGAGGTCCACTCAGGGTCCGCCTGAAGTGCTCTCAAGTCGTCCGGATCGTAGACCCAGTAGCACGTCGCTGCATCCCAATCGGGCACAGTCCAATGTGGTTTCTGCAGCTTGTTGTGAAATTCTTCTTCGAACGGCTTGCGCATGCCAGATGGTGTATAGAACTAGGGACAAGTCAGCATATCTCTGGTAGCTTCGGCAATCGAGAAGAGCTGGAACTTGAGGTAACACGAAATGAATACGAACCACTGCGTAACGAAGAATGTTATACTTCTTGACTAACCGCACCGCCTCCGGGTTCAATTCTTCCTTATACCACTTGTAGAAGGTCTCCTCGTCCACATTTGCACACTTCTTGTGCTGGACAAAGACAAGTAGGTGCGGTTTCTGCTCGGCCATGTCTTCGAGTGCCTTGATATACAAGTCAGATTCAATGATGTGGGTTCGCCGGTTGGTGAAATTCCTGCGATCTCGTTGGTCTTTTTATATCGCATTACTTAGTGTCGTGTAAGGGTCTGTCGGAATAGTCGGATCAATGGACACTTCTTATAGTCCGAATAATTCAAGAAAGCGACCCATAGAATTACCATCTAGCTTACGATTCAAATATGCTAACCGTAATTGATCTGTTTTGAGCGCCATGATAGGCGGTGTGCTGGCCGATTGAAACTGAACGCCGCATCAGTGCATAACCATCTCCCAAGTACTAAACACTTATTAATACAGGGTCTACGTAATTGGTATAGGGGCAGGCTGTCGTTTATAGAGAAAACATCCATTTCCGGAAGTCGCCCCCGTTATTCGAATTTGTAATTCGCCGCACAGGTGCAGACATAGGTCCAGGCAATGAATAAGTGGGAAAGTAAACAATTGAGGTAGAGCTAAAGGAATATCCCAAGCTAGAGGCTCACAAGAAGTCACAAGGGACTTTCTTGCGTCCAAAGTCGGTAGCAAGGGCTGATAGCTAACGAAACCACTTTGATTCCACGGGATCGCCGTCGCAGGGAGTGGTCATATAATGCTTGGTTTATGGGAGCGCTAAACTCTACCTCAAGGAAATGCCCATCTTTGAGGTGATAGCTCAAGATCCTAAATCAATAAGGATAACAATATTATCATAGCGAAGCGCGAGGTCTTTCTAATTCGTGTGATTATTTTTGACCTCGAGCCTTAATGACACTGGGCGCGAGCCTACCATCAATGAAATAGACAGAATACCTAGATAGTAGAATATTTCGGCAATTCTTACATGAACAGTCTTATAGATTAGGTAAGACTGATGGGCATTATTAGGTAGTAAAGCATAGCCGATAACATCTAACATGTAGCGATTCTGATAGATACAGCATGAAAATGGTATGAGAGCCCGGATATATATTTACTTCCACCTTTAGAACCCCCCCAATCCTTACCCCTAGTTGTAGCACTACATTATCAACGCCGCATTCGACACTAGCCCTTCGATTCAGGGGTACAATCTAAGTGATTCCGGGCTAGAGAGGGGTCGCCCTAAGATACTTAGGTAAGTAGCCGGACTCCGAAGGTAGGGTGTGGAATACACCAATTAATTGAGAGAACGGGGGGTTGCATAGGGCTCGTAAATTGTGCCCAAGAACAAACCCTTCATTAAACTGGCGGGTGGCTGTCACCCTATGGATACAATTTGCTTTTTACTTCTCATGCAACTGATATTGGAAATCCTTCAGCGGCAAGAGGTAGCCCCCAATAGGCTATGTTTCATAAGCCACACATTAGGTACGTCCACATATTTTACTTACTTCCTAGATACCTCTTCAGAAGGGCGCTAGCCCAAGTACCAAGGCATTCTTCTAGGTCTCAGCTGAGTGCGTAAATCTGTACCCGGTAGGCTAGCGCCGTTGTGTAGTGAATACTATTGTCAGTCTAGGAAGAATGCAGTCATATTTGCCGTCAGATTCTTTGGTCCTACGTCGTCCAACCCAATGGCAGAATCACCTTACGAAAGATCACTCAGGTATGTACTACCAAATACTTAACGATCCTGGTACCCCGGGGGGGGGCGAGTCGTGCCGGCTAGAGCGGAACATCTTAGCGGAAGATGGATGCGGTAGATGCCCCCACGTCTCTCGTGGCTTGGAAAGGATCTGTGCAGTGAAGCATGAGCTGCATCGCCGACAAGGATAACCCTTTGTTCCAGTCTGCTTACCTACCTAGGTACATAGGTAGTTAGCCAGTACATTTCCCGGTCGAAACTCAACAGATAGTATCTAGATACGTCCATACTAAGCCCAAATCCATAGTCAATCTTGGTATCTCGATACCTGGCCGGGTTTGCGAAGTCACCCGGGGTCTATGACAGAATATGGAGACCGGACAAATAATATAGCATTTCTCTGCATTTGAACTGCAGGGGTCTCTAGAATAGGTAGTAGATCTGTTGGAAATCGCCACCAAACAAGCAAAGAGGTACGATCAGTTTCAGAGGCGCATCCGAAAAAATACGTAACTTTGCAACCACAATTAGATGGCCCCCAATTTTATTCAATTCACACATAGTAGTGGCCATCTTCGGGTTCGCGAATATCGTATTCCTGCCCCCCAAATCCTAAATGTTGTACACATACCCCATCCTCGATTACAACGAGCTTGGCCAGCTCCTCTGGTATTGGAGTTGCTCCCCAACGTAGCAGTACGGATCTAAAGTGTCTGCATATCGGTGTTAAACATAATACCTTTACCGCCATGGTTAGTATGTATTTACTTACTATGTTCCTCGCGTGGCGCTTGTTCGCCTGGACCCCGTCGGATGGTTGCCTGTATACATGACATGCAGACAATACTAGTGAGTTCGAGCCTCCAGCAACTATATCGCCCTTAAGCTTGTAGAACCCGAAAAGAATCGGCAAACAAAGCGCAATGAAACAGAGAATCGAAAAGATCAACAAGGCGGATGGCGAATAGCCAAGTGAAATTAGTGATTCATTTGAAACTCGAAATTGGTCATTCAAATTAGCAAGGCCAGAATTCCATCCAATATAACCTTATAGTCTGTCATTAGTCTTTGATATTGATATAGAATGTCAACACGAATATGAACTTACCGCCATCAAAAACGAATAAATATACTGCATTGGATAAGAGCCAATGCAGAATAATACTGATGCCGGTTAGTGGTATACTATATTTATAGGGCAGCTCCAGGCGATAACTAGAGATTTGCTCGCCGATAGGATACGAGACACGAAGAGGCTTGTAAGACAAGCCTAACGAATTCCATTCTCGCTCAATACAGAAACGCGTCACTAGCGAGTTATAGTTAAAGTAGCAGAAAGACAGTAAGAGTTGTGGCGTGTTGGCGAAGAGAAGTGCACCAATGTATCCTAGATTCGATCCTCCCATATTAGTTACATTAGTCTCTACTCGATTGAAGGTCGCTATGCTGCTGTGGAAGATGTTAGTAAATGGTTATATCTTTTAAGATGACTACGCGTCGAACAGAAGCTAGTGGGGTGGAGAAAGACCTACAAGTTCCCCTGACTTGAAATGGCTGCGCAACTAAGCGCAGCAGATAGCAAAGCCATTGCTGTGAGAAAAGGGGCATATGCCCTGACCCATGCAGTTCTTGCCACGGCGGACATGAGTCGATATGTTTTCCTCTCCCATTTTCGTGGACGTATATTAGGCGTTAGTTCGGGGTCATCATGAGGCGTCCATTTTATACGCCGTCCAAATTGCATTGTACGCTCGAAGTTAGCAGTTTTTCTACGGCTCATAGGAGGGTAAGTATATGCCACAAGAGTTAGCATAATTTAGAGGAGCCTAACCTGAAACCTTTGGCTATCGTCGATATCGAGGCTCCCCAGGCCTTTAGTCGTCGGATCCGGAATAGTGACGAAAGATTGGATTGCATCCCCCAAAGTGACAAGAGACGCAACTGGAAACTTCCAGATGGTTAAATTGCATGTTATCGCTTTAATAACGACGCATATTATTACGATAAGCAATAAAGAGTTTGATAAGCCAACCTTGCATTCTTCGCTGAATCGTTTAGCTAGGCAGGACCGGACAATGAGGCTTCTGCTGAACTCGTCATTATATCCTAATGAACGTCCTTCTGTCGTTATATTCAGTATGGATGGGATAAGATTCAAAGTCCAATTTGTTTGAGATAGCTCCGGAGGGAAGAAGATTTCCCTTAATTGTATTCCAAGTACTGAGAAACATGTGTTTCCACACTCACTACCACTTAACGGCGTACGAGAGGTTCTGCATTGTGTTGAGTACTACAGTGAATTTATACTTTCAGGAGGGATATGCCTGTCCCACTGAGATGACAGGTTACTCGACGAGTTAGGATGGTACACCTGATTTCTCGTCCAACCCGCCGGGTTGCTGGGGCTACCTTCGACGATAATGACCACATCGCCGTAGTTCTTCCTCTGATTACAGCCTTCGTATTCGCTTTTGCACTCGACAACATCAAGCTGTGTCCAGGTAGGAGACTCATTTGCGATTGAAGTGATGTTGTAGATAACTTCCGACGAGGTATTCCAGTAGTCTTCGAGTGGGACGTATTCCCCATACCCCGGGAGATAGTCTGATCCAATATCTATGGGGTTTAAATACCCAGCTGGCGTGAGGCTTGCACCTGGTGGATAGAAGGTAGCATTCTGAGTGAAGGCTTTGGTTGTAATTACCAAGTGCCAATGGGACTCCTCCCAGATAGTTTCGTAGATGGTACTGTTGAAAAACAAATGTATGGGGACGGAGCTAATGAAGAGAACAAGGCAACCGGCGAACTTGAAGGGAGATACTCGGCGCCAATTGCTGAGAGATGGAGTTCCGATATCAACTGAGCGGAGCCATAAGTGAGCTTTGTCAATTTCTTGACGAGAGGGTGAACTCAGTACTTGCATGAAGAAATTTGACGACGCAAGGATGGCGGTTGAAAGTATGTTAAGGACTAGATGGAGGACGAGGTTGATTGTTTTTGATCTAGTGCAATCCCCTTCAAATATTATGGTTGCTTTGTCGAAGTAAGAATCAGGACGAGACATGCTAACAATGAAACAAATCAACAATATGAGGCCGTATATATAGGCTAGCGTAACGTTGATAGCACCGGTACGTCTCCAACCCTCTCGAGGGAATACCGGCAACGAGAACATTATTGGTAAATACTAACATATACACGAGTAGATAACTGATCTTCTTAGAATTAGGCAATTGAAATTAGAGATTTTAACATTGGTCATGTCGAGCGAACGACTCTACTTTTTGCTGCGACCCAGTACTACACAATATCACGGTAGCATCATGGGCACATCGCCCCCAAAGGCCATGTATGGCGCAGCAACGCCTGTACGAATTCCTCCGTGTGCCCCTGAACCATGCCTAGGTAGAAGCTAATCAAGTACTGCATCTACCTACCTAGGTATGCACCTGTTCGGGGATCAAGCCACGGTGCTCAATGATTCGTGTATATGCTGACCTGATCCTCGTGGGTTATTCCCATATTAAGCCCCCCTCCCCCCTATATTTCCTGCTTTCAAATAGTACCTGCGTACATATCTTTAACAATATCAACTATATAAACAATCTATATCTAAAGCTCAAAATAGCTTTCTCTCAAAAGTTCAAAACGCATTATACAAACAAATGAAAAGCCAGCCAAGTACTATTTCCAGCATGCAAGTCACGGATATTCAAAATAGCCCAGTCGCGAGACGAGCACCCAGCATACCTTACCAGCAATGGTATTGCAAGAAAATCTCCCTAAAACTCTTCCGGATTTTATTCGCCGCTATTCATCTCACCGCGCCCTTTGTCAATCCGGTTTTTCCTACTGGTCTGTTTGGGTCTTTGGTCATAGACACATCTGGCGTGAGCAATTGCTATCAAGGCGCAAAATATATCTAACGATGTATCTTAGGCTAGCAGCATAATATTCTGGAATGTAATGGATTTTGCAGTTGTATCGGTTGATAAAATACGTGGAATGCCCTTAGAGGTCGCCTTGGCCTTTGAATCATTTTTAGTATTGGTCGAGTTTGCCGTATTGCTAGCCGATATCATCATTTGGTCACTGCCCCGGCCCAAGCCTGACGAACAATACTATCTAAAGTCAGCGAACCATCAAACTATTATACAATACATAGCAATTTCTGCAGGGTTCGGCCTCGCTTGGCTTCCGGTCATGTACGAATACCTTCCCATAATTTACCTAATCTAACAGGGAACTTCAATAGATACATAAGCTTTCTTCTTACCCGTCGTTACCTCCGGGCTTATCCGAAACATCGACGCTACCGACGGGAAACTCGACAAACGAAGCCACTTATCGTTTTCACCACAACAGGAGACCCGGTGGCCATATTGCCGGATATAAGCAATACTATAGAGATGACTACCAGGAGGTTCTCGGTGGATTCGTTATAACAGGCTATTGAGTCGGAGAATTTTGATGTTAGCTGAGGTAGCGGAATCTTTCTGTTCTCTCTTTGGTTCCTGGGACCGAACCACTAACTAATATTATTTCTGCGAGGATTGGCTGATGGTATTGGCGCGATAGAGATATTTAATCTTGAAAACGCGGTTCCCCTGAGCTGTTAGAAGTATGACATTGGGATGGGTGACTAAGGAAAAAGCGTAGCCGCCGGCAGGTAAGCGATGAGTAAGCGAATGCTGTATGCATTCGAAGACTGACTTTTGAACGACGAGATTGTCCATATGCGGATTACTAAATGGTTAACATGGTGTCCTTCCTGGCTAGACATATTCGCTTGACTTGCCGAATTGCCGACCTATCTTGATAGATAATACTCATCCTCCTTGTTCGTGGATCGTTTGGCTGTGTTTCTTGATGCGCGAGTCTCTAAAGATTAGGGGCTAGAATGGCAGGGTTTAGAATCCTACGTCGTGTTGCCAGTTACCCAATAAAGCTTGAGCGGCCAAGCTCAGCCTACCACCAATCAGACGACGTCCTCGCTTTGAACCGATGTCCAACATCAGAAGCTGCCGTCTTGGCCTTTCAGGCTCAGCCCCAGCCCCAAAATCCACTGTTCCGGAGCAATTCAGGGGTGGGGGGCGGTGGTAGAGAGAAGGTTTTCGCCCCGGTCAGCTTCTCTTCCTGCGTAATTTTGATTTCCAATGATGTTCTCAGCGGTTCAATTCGAATTTGCAGACATCGTGAGGGTAACGTGCTCGCGGTAGCTATTCTCATGTAGTAGGTGTGCGTTCGCTCCGCTGCAGCAATGCAGAACCACGACGAGGATGCGTTTTTCGACAATAATAAATACCATTTCCCGCCGGGTACATTAGTGCCTCCCAAAAAGTCGGGTCCGCAGCCATGGCTTGAAGTGGCCCCAGAGCGAGACGAGCAAGGCAGCGCACCCGGATTACAACCTATACCACATGACGAACAGAAGTATGCGGATGCGCCGAGGGGATTGCACGATGCGGCACCGCCGTATAGAACAACTGGGGCAGCACACGCCGACGAACTCGCGTTCCAAGGAATGCAAGCCGTTCCTCCTACAGTACCCGAACAATTGACGCGATCGCAACCACATTTCCAATCGTTAGAACAGCCACAGCTGCAACCCCAATGGCATCAATCGACTCCGAATCATTACTATGGACAATCATTTCAGACCTTGCCGTCACAAGTTTCTGGATTTTCCGGCGACAATCCGATGTATGCCCAGCCAATCGCTTCGAATACCGAAAGTCAATATCTCAATCCCTACGCCCAGCCCAACCCGACTCCATCATGGGTGAAAGCTGAGCGACAAATTGGAATGGGGGAAGTAAAAATAAAACAATGGGTGTTGTGGGTAATTGGTGGCGTTGTCTTTATATTTATTGGTGCCGGAGCTGTGATTGGGGGTATTATGGGAAGCCGAGCCGAATCTGCAAATCATAGCAGCTCATCGACGCCGCCGAGTACGAATACGACCACGAACGGAACTTCGCCCAATACAATGAATTCGACATTGACACAATCCATTAGATCGGGGTCGAGATTAGCTGTGACGGGTTATAGAACCAAGACGGATTATAGCATTCGTCTTTTCTATCAAGATGAAGACCATCAGTTACGGTTCACGGATAAAGAGAATGTTAATGCGAATTGGACTAATTCGACGATATTGGACGTGAGTAGTTTTCGGTCTGGCGAGAATTAGACCTAAGTTTACTGATTCTTTGTAGAGCTTGCCATATCAACCGATGAAGGATTATGGAGCCATCGCCGCGGGGTCATATTTATATGACGACCCAGCAGTAAGTCTGCTACCGACCTATATATTTCTTATGTGTTGCTGACCGAATAGCCGAAAATCGAATTCTTTTACGAAGATCAAGACGGTATCATTCGAGGTCAGAACTTCAATTTCGATTTCGAAGGCGGAAAGATACCCGCAAAGGGCGAAGCTGGGAGTATTAACTCATATCCCCTCCAGTCGGCCGGGGGTACGATTTCGTGTTATTTCCCATATGTTATCTCCCAAGATGCCAATAATGAAGTACGGTGGACGGTCATGCACGGGCAAAATAGCAGCAATTTGTCAGCACCGTGGTGGGTTAACAATACGAATTGGGACATAAAAGCATCGAAAGGGGCGGGTATGGTTGTTCTGCCAATTGCGCAGAAATTTCAGAATGCCGGTGGCATAATATACCGTTCGTCGGAAGGTATGCTATCGATGCAAATCCACGATGCCCTGGATCCAAGCAATGATGGGGTTGCTTGGAGAAAAGGCGCTCTCTCAAAAGCAATACCGGCCAACGCCTCCGTTGGGGCGTTTTCTGTCGGGCGGCCATACGATAACAACAATCAAATTAACACATACATACTTTATCAAGATAACGATGGTAAAATACAGGTGGTGTGGCAGGACGATGATTCGGGTTGGAAGGGCCCTCAGACGTACGATGCGTTAAGTGGCGCTGCGCAACCGACGGATATTGCCTGTTTGACTCCGGGGGCTTATGATGCAGCGGGGATCGGCATATCGAGAGAACAAGACATGAATAGATGTTTCTTCCAGGTGAGCGGTGGGAAGGTAAAAGAGGTTTGGTTTGATGGGACGAATTGGAATGATGTGGGTTTTGTTCCCACGTAGAATTGTATATATGATGCATTTTTCATAGGTAGTTGAGTGCATGTGCCAAGGATTATACCCCCATGAATAGAGCATAAAATTTGTTAAATTATTCATATGCATTCACAAGATTCCATTAGGTGATTAGATGCTTTAAACTAAGCACTGGATTGTTGAACTTAGATTGTGTCAGACAAACAATAAGGGTACTTCCAATGTATCCATGCGTAACATTGAGTGGATGACGGCAGAGTTCAAGATTAGATGCTGAGGATACAGCGTCTCTCCACTTAATTAGGGGTAGTACAACTAAGTCCGTTAGTACACTCTAGAAGGAGTTAATACATTTGACGCCTCGCAGTAGTCGGACCACTAACAATTGATGGCCCCCGCTAAACCCCCAATTGCCCCGCCGTGACTTTCCATCCTTCTAAACTTTGTATGTAGTGGCACATGATAGGGATGTACAGAAACCCGAGTTAGCCGATAAGATAAGAGAAACAGCACCCTAGGCATTATCGGAATCTGCTTGGCGATTGTGTAACTCGCATGTTAGCTTCCATCTTAGCTGCTTAGCTTGCTTAGCAACATCAATCCTCCGTACTGTCACCTCAATTCTTATCCTCCCCACTGAAACTTAGGAGTCGCGTGTCGTCGAGTCAACCTTAACTTGCGACACGGCGGGAAAAAAAAAAAAATTTATATACATTCATCAATTGTTCATTCTCTCTTTTCCCACTAGAAAACCTTACTGATTATATGTTGCGAGGCTTGAGCGCTTGGGAATCTAATAAAAGGTCCGTGTATGTGTAGGAAGGCTAGGACTTCAGCCCCTCAATGTTTTACCACTTCATCACGACATCGTGTCGGAATCGTGACCGGATCTTTGCTAACTCGTTCCTACTCATCTTACAGCCTTATATCAAATGTTATCCGGTTCGAACGTTGTACTTTCCATCGAATACGATTAAATCTGTAGGAGTCTTCGGAGGAGCTATTGTATCCTCCGCGCTTCTATGATCTCCCCACCGGCATCCCTTAAATCGACGTAAACGAGTTCGAGTTATACGATGTCTGACAATAATGGCGCGGACTCTACGCCATCCCTTTCGAGAGATAGTGCCTCCGACATAAGCGACACCGAGTCCGGAAGTTCATATATCGGGAGTGCCGCGCCAGATACACCCGCCTGTCCTTATCAGAACGCCGAGTTCTTCGGGCAAGAGTGCTCTCGATACCACGACTGTCCGACACATCTGGCCGAAAGAAATACAGACGAGAATATTGGGAATTTCGAGGCGTCTGTACCAATCGAAACTACATCATCGCAAGCTCAAGACTCGGCGGCAAATGGGGCGATTACAGAAAACTTGGATGTCGGGTTAGATGGGGCAAGCACATCAGCGCCAGAACAAGCTTTAGCTTCGGGTACACAACTAATACAGCCCGAAGCCAATAGTTCCTCGTCAGGAGAAGGTTCAACATCGCAAGTAGTATCACGTGCAGAGGCGGGTCCCGTCACGCAGGAGGAGGGAATTACTCTTAGAGAAGCTTTGGATCAAACTGCCGAATCGCTTAGGGGATTATCTGCTGGGCTTGGCGTGCCCTCTCGCTCTAGCCAAAGTTCAAGATCACAACTGAGGGATACAAGCCAAGGTGCTGGAGAAGCTCCGGAGACGGTGTCAGAACTCCGGCCGTCTTCGAGATTGAACCCGATAGCACCACCATTTTCACCACGGCCGGAAAGGAGAGCCCCACAAGAACTAAGTCTTCCGAGATGGCAACCGGATAGTGAGGCGACCTTCTGTCCAATATGCCGTACCCAATTTAGCTTTTTTGTTAGGAAGCACCATTGCCGGTAAGTGTATTATTTTATTATATTGGTTCGATGATAGTACGTGTAGAAGCTAACTAGTAGGATAGGAAATGCGGTAGGGTTGTATGTAATTCATGCTCTCCGCATAGGATCACTATACCACATCAATATATTGTACGGCCGCCTGGCGAACGGAGTCTACATCCATATTCATTTCTCGGAGATGAAGGCCGTCTTACCGACTTTAGTGATCTCGGAGGTGGTGAACAGGTCCGGCTTTGCAATCCCTGTGTCCCGGATCCGAATACTACACCACCTCAAACTCAGCACTCGCCAAGTCCATTCTCTCCGAGGGCAGCACACCAACGATCCCAAAGTAGTTCTAGTACTCACTATAATGGTGATAGTGGTGTTCATCACTACCCACCATACTTAGTGCCGCCGAATCCAACGCCTGACGCTTACGCTAGAAGCCGAAGCGTCACTATGGTTAGTCATATGTATATCCCTACGTCCTACCGCGCAGTGCTAACACTATCAAAGAATTCCAGTGCGGGCTCATCGAGGATTGCTCATAGTACTTACTTGCCTCCTCAGAGCCGGATCATAACCGGGACTCCCCCAACCTATTACCCGTCGCCATATTCGGGCAACTCGGGATATCGTCATCCCTCTCTCTTAGGCCACCGCTTCCCCGGTGCTTCCCTCGTTGATCTGGCTGGCCCGTCTTCTTCGTCCTCGGCAGCAGCAATGAATCGCCCATTACCACCCCCACCACAAATCCCCGAAGAAGACGAGTGTCCAATATGTCATCGTGAGCTACCCTCTAGGGATTTACCTAATTTCGAAGCTCGCAGAGAGTCGCACATAGATTCATGTATAATGGCCCATAGCGCTTATAACCCGCCGCCTGATGCCATGGGGAGACCTGTCGGCCGCGGGACATCCGGAACAACTGCACCTCGATACTTTCGCAGGACAGGTATGTTTCCGTATTTGGCAACGGAAAAAGATTGCGTTGACTCTGCGGAATGCACAATTTGCCTCGAAGAATTCGAAGTGGGCGTTCCGATGGCTCGTTTGGAATGCTTATGTCGGTTCCATCGATCTTGTATCACCGAATGGTTCGTCGACCATCCCGGCCGATGCCCGGTACATCAACACGATACTTTTGGTTTTTGAGTGGACCATTTAGAGCAATGATAGCTTCTTTCCCATTCACATACCTCTACTACCCCTCCACTTATCAGACAGTCTCGTCTCATTTGTTACGATTGCATCAATTCCTTGCTTTAGGGATTATAACGGAAGCCTTGGTTAGGTATAATCATCTCGGGCAATAGGGGTTCGGTGGCGTAGCATTGCTTCACACTCTTTACAAGTATGCATTTTATTGCTAATCAGGTCCAGCGTCGGGACTTAGCAAAGGTCCCCTCTCTTCCCTAGATGCATGTGGCCTTACGTCACTACAACGGTTTGGAGTTTGGCGCGCGGCTGAGTCGTTTTAGCGGTTTTGAATAGATAGGTATATACCATTGAACCATTTTCGTTACAAGTTTAAAATATTTGCTCGAGGTCTACTTGGTGACGTGGTTAGATTGGTAGTACCTACACACATGGTAGGTGTAAGTGCCTAGTTTCTCCGAACATGCCTAGGTACATAATGTCGTGCCACTATGATTCAACCACGCTGCCGCTTCCCGTCACCTTGTCTGCTTGTACATTAGGTACCTAGCGTAGCTAAACTAGTACGCGCTAACAAGAGTAGTAAGCATTTTCTCTTGTTGGTAATCCGTAGTGGATCGGGGCTTACAGGGATTATCTTAGCGTAGGTCTGGCAAGCAGTCCCTCGTCTTACCGGCATTGGACTTCACCGACTGACGGAAGAGTACGGTATTAGCCCCCCACCTTTGAACGTGTTTGGTTTAGTGTTGGCGCCCGCGATCGAGATCCCCTTCTTTCTCTGTCCCCAGTTTCTTTTCGCTTTGCCTTTGTTCTGCCTGTCATCCTTGCCCCCACACTTTTGTCCTCTAATCAAGAAGCTAGGAACCTGTCAACGCCTTGACTACTGTTTCGAAAGGCTGGAATATGACGTACGTAGGGGTATGGATGTATGGATTGTTTTCCGTACGCACTATGCGCTAGGACCTGGTTGTTCTGCAGGTTGGAAGACCCCTATTTTAAACAACTTTACATACTACGTAGTACCTTTTTGCCCCCTTGCCTTGGAGCGTGTTTCGGTTGCTAGGTGCAACTAGGAGCGAATTGTTGGTGCAGGGCGCGCTGCTTATGACGATGTTCCTGACGTCGTTCCTTAAACCCCTTGTCTGCACATAAAAGGGGTTAGTCTTGGTGTCGGATCTTCAACACGTGTATCTGGGTCTTGAGGCATAACCGAGGATTTCCGTTGGTTCGCTCTCCGCTATGGAGGGTCCGGTCCGGCCCGGGCTCGGGTTACAGGAACAACGGCGGCGGTTTCCACGACTGAACACGGTTCCCGGTTTAACACGTGCGGAGAGAAGCGAAACGTCCGCCGCTCATTGCCTAGCCGGGCAAGTCGGGGATATTGACTAGTTAGTCACGCTCACGCGACTTTGTCAGTTCATATTTTGGGGCCAAACCAGTTTTCTTCGTCAGCGGATTTGTCCGTTCGGCTTAATGGGGGCCGTGGTGCGCGTCGCGCGACTAAAACCTGATGTGCAACTATCATATCCGGGTCGCGCACCCCAATCGTCCCCATGGAGAATACCCAAAGGAGAGCGACAACAGCTTGAGCTTGAGTCTAAACTCGCCACTACTTTAGAAGTGCCTCCTTAAAGCGTACTTAGCCTACAAAGCGGCGAAGATTGGCCATCTCGCCACAAGGCATTTCCCGTCCTCGTGAACCCTTAACGCCAAGCTACATTTTATATGACGGTGTAACTCGGTGAAGAGCCGGTGACAGAGGGAAATTGGATAATCCCCTGCTCATTCTCTGCCATAGTGTTGCCTCATCTAGTTTGGTGGTCGCCTAATAGAAGGCTACTCCGCGCTGAACAGCCTTTTGCGACCCTATTCCATCACCGGTCCGTCGTGATTTTAGGCTTGCAGATCACACGTGCTATCTGCCTATTATGAAGAGCTATTACTGTCAAGGCGGACAAGCTGGGCCAGAGCGACAGCGGTTTTAGCGACGTTGGGTGTCCGACGCTTCAATATCCCGTTTATCCGTTAAACGCAGTGCGACTTCTTGGCTGTACGTATTCTCGCTTAGTTATTCCCGGCAACGCCCCGCATACAGCTCAGGAGAAGGCAATGTAGCCAATTTTTTCTTGGCCCAGGTAAGCATCGCAAGTGCTTCCGATTAGCGACCTATATAATGTATGGATAAGGGCTGTCACGGGACTCGAAGGAGCTTATTTCCGTAGCTCGAGACCCCGTATGTCGTCGCATTTTGGCTACTCGGCCGTACTCCGCTTCGACACCTAGTAAAGATGAGTCTGGTCGTATCGGGGATCCAAACGAATAAGGCAGCTTGTCACTCAGGAATCGTACGATTGAAAAGACAGATATTCATGGCACAAGAAGCATTCTGCCGCGGGAACTATATACATTTTATCAACTCCCGGACCTGTGGAGTAGCGTAGTGTTTCTAATTGTCGTGTTTTATCTTCTCTTTGCCGTCGCTTTTTTCGCAATACCCTAAAGTCCGAAAGAGGGATACTTCCCGAATTTCCATGCATGAGGCTCACGCGCCTTTCGTATCAAGATAGATAGCCATTTAGAGACCTTAAAGTTACCCGAACACGCGTCCATATTCCAAACGTAGTAAAAATGTCTCGCGCACCATACTCCAATTGATACTTCGCGGTTATCCAGTACCATGAGTGTAAGGCATCAGGATCCAGCCGCATCTAACCGAGAGATGTCGCTGGCCGCTCAGCTTTCACTGATCTACGATATGTTGGATCTTCATCCAAAGGAGGCAACCAACATATTCTGCCTAGACAGTTACCTAAACTAAGATAGGTCGATGTAGAAAGGGAGAAGGGGTGGCTGAGCCAAGGATCGCGAATGGCGACTTAACGAGGGAGGTAGAACATAATCTATATGTTGCATCGGCTTCTGATTCGGTGGGACGGTTACATACTACATCTCACTATCGTCCAAACGTAACAGCACTAGTAGACGGCACTCGGCACCTTTTTATTTCGATATTGATACTGATACAGTACTTGTATACGAATGTATTGCATGTATGTAGTTATCTCCCACACATTCTGATAGTCGAGAACCTTCTGAAGTAAAAGTAGAACGGAAGCGGTGAAAAAAAGAAGGATGCGATTCATTTTCCCCATCCGTCCATCCCACGTGCCGTCACGACGTGCCGCGGGAGAAAAGAAAACTCGCAAGGGTCAGTTGTAGATTTTAGTGCGAAGAGAGAGAGGGAAAGCGGGCGGGCCACACCCCAATCCACCGAAAAGGACCGGTGAGACTTTACTGAGATGTGAAATGTTATAAGGGATAAAGTTCTCGTAGTACAACAGATTACAAAAGGAGTAACTACGTCGAGATACAGTTAATGATATCATATCTCACCGGGAATTACTCTACATATCCTACATGCATCGCAGGTAGAGGATAGTAACGGGAAACTGTACGTACATAAACGTACATACAGAACATACCTACAGAAAAAACCCCCCTGTCTCAACCCCCGCGGGGTGGATACCTGTCAGCCTGTCAAACGAGAATAGGGTCCGCCCCCTTTATTGCCCTTATGACAACGACTCGGCTGGGCGCGATGACTAAGGACAAGGTATTATTCTATAAGGCGCACTAAGTTAAGGTAGAACTACTTTGGTTTTCGTAAAGGGGTAGTAGTATTTCTGAAAAGTGACAGCGAGGTTGAAGATATCCGATCAGCTGTCGAATGGCTATAGACAAAATGCTACCACCTAATCCTCCCCTGACCCTCACGGTAGTCGTCTAACCCGTCTCTACATAAGCCCGTGGGGGCGGGATAATTCCCATAGGTTCGTCTTCCTATGTGTATGTATGTATGTAAGGTAAGAGAGCAAGACAAAACGAGCGCGAAATGAGAGGCGTCAGTACCTATGTAGGCAGATAGGCTTCTAAGATACATGCTCTCCCGAGACCACGTACATCAGGTGTGGTTACACAAGAAGCATTTCTTTTTTTTTTCACGATTTGGGTCGGGCGCCTGGATTTTTCGTTTCCATGGGATTCTGACATTCACATGGGAATAATTCCCATCATGTTCTAGATTTCCCACTACCCAATGCGCATCTTCCCCTCCCTAAAGCAATCCAGAGCGAAGCGTAAGCCGTGAGATTTTTAACGTATCAAGGCGAAGTAAATAAAGTCCGATACATATACATTGTCGCCACAGCCACCGGGAACCCTACTGCCATCGTGAATTCGGTTTATGATCGGGCAAAAAAAGGCCTGCGCTGCGCCGGAGTAATAGAAGACGAACAATCCCGCCGATGCCCACCACCACCCCCTAAATTTTCGACCGGCCGGAACCAACTACCGTCGTTCTCCAGCTAAGATTGTTTACACCGCATAGTGAATTTCCTATATGGTAAACCCACTTGCCATTCCTTCCCCATCCCTCCCCGGGATTGCGACGCGCCACAGCGCATTGCACGTAGATATGTAGCGCCCGAACCATCCAATCTAACGCGTACCTATATGCTGTATAACCATTCCTTTGATCACACGCAGTAATGTCGACACCTTTCCAATCATGTGCGAAGATAATGCATTTTATACATCAACCTTATCGCTGCCTAGAATAGGAACCATCTTAGTAATGCGACCCGTGAATAAAGGGGTGACGTGTATAGCGACCAGATTCGATCTGGTTCTTGGTTCTTCAAAACTTTGCTCCTGTTGTCGGACAACCAAATCCGGAGTCCGGCCCAGCGTCGTAGTTAGAGATGATCCGTCGCCGTCCTCGGCGGTACATGCGCAGCGTAGTTCATGATATGATTGCGGATCGTCCTAAACCAAACAGCTGTCAACCTGAGGGCATCGTGAAACGGGTATTGGACGGCCAGATGCCCTCGAATGCCAAGATCCAGAAAGTTCGAAGCAACCGGAATGGACGGGTCCCATAAATATGTTCAGTTCTTAAAGATACTATTCGTCACCAAGCAGAGAAAGGCCAGAAGAACAGTCGAATGAACGGGTAGGCTCTATTTGCGAAACATTGCTGTTCGAACCAAAGTAATGCCCACCCCAATGACGAGCAACGCCTACATACATGTTGTCAACAAGGGCAATCGTCCCCTGATTGACAGCCGAAATCAAATAAATCGTTATTGTAAACGCCGCTTATGATGCCAAATTCCGTTCAACCCACCCTGTGAGCCAATGGTAATCCTGATGCTGATGTAAGTCATGAAACGGCAGTGGTATATAAACTCTTTTTCAACACCGGATACCCTCTTTGATATAAAACCACAGTACAGCTCTCATCAACCACCCCATCTAGCGTAGCACTGCTGATAACACACTCAGAATCGAAGTCTCCGGAATTGAGTCGACCCATGCATTCGGCTGAGCCGAACTCCGAGGAATAAAAAATAAAAAAGCGACGAGTGACTACCAGGTGAACTTTATTGGCGATGTGTCGTATAAATGCATCGAGTTCATTCTTCGGTGTCGCAGGCGATATATAAAATCGCAAAAAATGGTATATGGGTATCATAGACGCCATTGTCGCAATGTGACGCCCGCTGCCGCCCCGCTTCCCTCTGATACTCTTCTCCCGCCCCCAATGTAGCCATCTAAACGATCGCTCATTTTCTGCCCCGAGTGGTTGAAGTGATCTTGCTTGTCGTCATTAGGTCGCCAATATACTTTTGCAGAAACTTGTTATGGTTATCCAGTTTATCGTGTTCTTCCCTAACAGCTTCTATTCGGTTGAAAATCATCAAAAGAGAATCTTGCAATGCTCTGGCGTGTCTGTAAACACCGTTAGCCCAAACCTCAATTGCGTCTAGTTGAATAAAAGACATACTTATGCAGTTCTTCCCTTGCCTCACGTCCCATAACCTCGATATCTTCGCTAGTCCTTCGCGGACTCATTGCCCTTACATCGTCTGGCTCTAGATCCGGTTCGACGGGCCCGACTTGTGATGAATCTCGAGGAACTATGAGGGTGCCACTACTCTTGCGATTGGGCAAGCGCGGTCGAATTGGGACAGGTGTGTGAATCTCCTGATTTTCCACAGAGGAAGAGGAAGATGAATCCGATCGCTCGGGGGGATTAGGTTTCGTGGCTGTAGGTTCACTACTCATGATGAAACGGTGTTATGTAGTAGTATTTAATCCTATTATTTCTTGGTCCAGACCGTGGAATTTGTTATTGCCGAAGTGAAGAATTGGAGTTGGTGTAAACGAAAGACGTTAAGCCGTAAGAGTAGTAGTAGTAATAGTTATAGAATTAGAATGGATTAAGATAGAGGCAGGTAATATGTCGTCGACGTTTACGCCCGTATCCTCCCGTCGCCCGAACCTCGAAGAGATCGCCACCATTCAGTTCAGACGGTGTCGTGGTTGAGTTGTCGAGAGTAGAAGCGGACAGCAAGCAGGGACGGATGCGTGTGCGTGTGCGTGCGTGTATGCGTGCAACAGGCCTGGAGCACAAGTAACGAGAGGAAGGGCGCGAGAGGCTGGATGGGCTTAGTTCCTGCAAGAAGGATACATCGGCTCTTTTTCTACGATAATTTGTTTTTTTCTTGGGAGGGTGTGGGTTGTTTAAGTCGGTCTGGATACAGCAGCAGTAAAAAAAAAATTAGGATGGGTGGGCTTTGGGTAATAAGGGAGGAGAAGCAAGACGAAGTCGAACGGGCCTGGTCTTTGCGAATCGGGGATGAGCGGGGGGGAACCAATTCGACATAGGTTGAAGTGATCGTCAAGTCTAAACTTCAGGACTTTTGGACGGGGGTGCAGCAGGTGTTTTGGGGGGTGACCGGGTGAGCGTGGTTGGGTTATTGCGCTGGCCGAAGTATGGGGAGAGTTTGTGTGGTCAGCGAGCTCGTGGGTCGTTGTCGATCGGTACAAAATTGTTCAAAGGACGGGCAAGAACGACGTTTTTGTTTGGCCTCTGATGTGACAGAGATTACGGCACGGCACAGGGACATGGGCGAGTGACAAAAGTGACATAGACACAGTAATACCTACACCGTATAAATTCGGTAGACGGATACCTGGGTATCTAAGTATCTTTCTCCACTTTTCCCTTGTTTTTTGACTTTTCTGAAAAGACGCTACGTCGCTACGTACATACGTCAATCAAACTCTGTACCTTAGTACAAAGCTAAAATACAAAATACCTGCACAGGGTAGTGTACGATAGGGTACGATAGGTACATACTCACACCACCTTCCTACATCATAATATTATGTAGCCTGTAGCTAGGTACCTTCATTGGTGGACATTTCCACCTGGAAGAAAGTGACAAAGTGACATCCACCACATACATTTAAATGTACCTACCTAGGTACATATCTTTTCGAGGCCACTTGGGTGATTGCAATGCAATTAGCAACTCTCTTTACAATGTATACATATACATTTACATGTACATACACCTACATATATGTATCATGATACGTAGGGGTAGCATGTAGGCAAAGTGGTAGGTACCTACATATTTGTACATACATCTGCCCTATGATAGTCCGTTGTGTACGTACATTACATGGTATAACCTCTCCCTATTCTACATTGATGGTACTTTGATAAAAATACCTACCGACGAGCCGACATTAATCCTATACAAACTTGTCATATACCTCCCCTTTCAAATGTTGATTATTTAGGTATTTACGAGACTTGTTATTTTGGTCTTATTAATTATTAGTGCGCAATTCTTATTTGAGACCGACTTATGATGCTATTGGCCGATGATAATAATGAAACCTTGAAAATGGAATCCCATTCAAGATTCCTCATTGCGCGGAAAACCTGAGACACGACAACAGCGGAGTAAGAAAATAAGGTCGTCTCGAAAGAAGAAGATGTTTGATCAATGTACCGCTGTCCGCTGTCTAAAAAGAAAATGCTAGCAACATTGATACCGCTGAAGGGCATCCACATACTACTACTCTACCTAGTGTACGCATCAATATCCCAGTCGCGCAGATCATCGTCAACTTGTGTGACTCCAACAAGTCGTCTATGATTGGAAGGTTCGACAAGAAGTGGTCCTTTGTATGGGGAATGGACAGGCGTGGTAACGAGGAATGGGATTTCTGATGGATTCTTCTCGGGCTTGGCCAAGGACATTCTGACCAATGGCCGTCCCCGGTCTCATGGGCCAGCAAAAGAAGTTGATGGAGCACGGCAATCTTAAGCCTTTTCCAAGGGGCTCTGTGATGAGCAACTGATCTTAAAAAGCCTGCTTCAAAACGACGTTTTCAGTAATTGATAAGCAAATGGCTCCGTTTAACGGCCCATTATGATGCCTAGGAGGTTGATACAATCTGGCGGTCGGAACAACACCCGAACTACTCTTGTTTGATGAACTTCACTATGGAATGATGGCATTGCTTTCTTGGACAAACACGGTATTCTCAATCATTACTCCGGGTCGGAGGGTGTCTTTACTACGGGTACATTGATTATTGTTGAGAATGAAGGGTAGGGTCTCTTTCAATCGCGTCTAAGGAATAGAGTATCCTAAATGAAGAAAGTAACCCGACTCGGAGGGCCGACGCGGCATATGACTGGTTTAATCATTCCTTGGCGTCGATTAGAGTTGTTCTTCCGCTCTGCATGGCGCCAATTTCGAGAGGATGGGAAGAGAAGGACCCCTAAAAAGAATGTCTCTGGGATTCCGCAGGATGCAGGTTAGGCAAAATGCCAATTGCCATCCGTGAAAACCCCATGGGATGGCAAGAATGCCACTGAATGTCGTGTGTTCTCTCTGACTGGATCGTTTCAATTCAGCAAAGACCGCCCGCGCGCGCACGCTTTGCCTCTTACTGCGTCACCAGGTCAGACATAGGGTAGGCAGAAACAAGAATATTCGAGACGAGCCCGAGAAACGAAGAACATAGGGATGGCGTAATCGGTACGTCCTCGGATCTTTTTTAGACGGTTCAAGCGACCTAGCGCTAGAGGTGGCCCCCGGAAGAATGACGATTTTAAAGGGGGGATCAGACAAGGCAGATATATCTGGGGCATTTCTCTTTGAGCTGAAGCAGAGCTGGGCTGGGCTGCCTGTTCTGATGTACCAGCGTACATGCGTAGGAAGAGGGTACATCGGTACATACATGTAGGCAGGAGAAAGGTAGGTACATAGCTCAGCACAGTTGATGATACAGTACGGGATTTAGCAGAGTAAGTAACTAAACTTCCTTCCCAGCACTTTTAATGATGCAGTGTATCCAAACCGGATGCGGGGCCAATTCACCCCCTGGTGTGTAACCAGAAATTTGCAGTGATGTCATTTCTAAGCAAATGTGAGTGGTATTGGTGGCTGCTTCGACTTGACGGGCCAATACATTTTCTATATACACCGTAGACAGGCGGAACCTGTGTGTGTCCTTGTGTCCTTTGTCCGTGTATAGTGGACTATTTTGCAACAATAGGACATCAATGTCTTGACGCTACGTATATTTAGGTACATCTCCCTTTATTTATGTAGCATAGTAGCGTACAAATTTAGTAGGAAAAACAGCCCACTGAGGAGACAGCCGAATGGGGGGAGCATGACGATCAAAATGTTAAGGTACCCCCCGAACATCCCTATTAGATACCTGATGTCTTAGTGTACGTGTACTACATAATGTATGTAAATACCTATATTTCTAGGTATCTACGGTACCTAGGCTACATGTAGGTAAGGCATGATAATATACCTGGGGATACCCATACATCCATACAAACTAACAAGACAGCTTCTTCCACTTACTATAGATATACCCAAGTATCTAGGTACATTATATACCCACCGTCAAATCATTACCATCACGGGAAGGTGTATTAGTCAATCCTCATTTGAGCCAGGCGATTGACGGCAAATGTATTAAGAAGCCCCGAGTGCCCCGTCTTTTCTTCGTCGAATTCTTCAATGTGATGATTTCTTCCTTGGTCTTCTTTTATTTCTGACTACCTTGCGTCTGCTGAAGCCACGGGGCATTTTATGTGGCTGTTTCGCACCCAATTCCATCGCAGTGGTGACGACATGTGTTCCAAACAAATTATCGACGCATGCGAAAACAATACCGACTAGCCTGCCGTCTTCACCGGATAACTCGACCTTCGAACAATGATTAGTTAATAATATTATTTTATTCTATTTACCCCGGCATTTTGCTTAATGCCATTATTTGTATCAGCCACTGCACCAATCCGAGTACAGTTGAGATCCTTTAATCTCAGCCCCCCTAACACGGCCCCCTATCCATTTCCATATGCTGACGCATTCGATTGAAAAAAAAAAAAAGTCTTGTCTGTCATATCTCGAATCTTTATTCGCGATCTCCTGCTGCTTGCCGTTACCCTGTGCGCATGTTGTGGAACAATAATGACATCACTTTTTCAATTCAACCTCCGTTCCTTCCTACCCCTTGGTTTTTTTTTTTTTTGGAGAGAGGGAGCTGAGAACTACCGTACTTTCCCATTTCCCCCTCGTTAAACGTTTCAATGGTAATCCTTTTAAGACACCACGAAACTCATGTGAGATGATTAATTACGTATACCTGCATAGATATATCCACATTGGTCAAATGTATGAACATATGAACATAAAGTAACACTAGCTAATAGAGTAATACATGTGCATAAGGTATGTAAACCAACACTCTTGATTTATTCCATTCTATCATTTGAGTATACCTAATACAAAAACATAACACTATTCAAGTGTATGTGTATAGGTAAAGTCTAGACCCATAATAACTACTACACATGCGACTTGATTATTCTAATAATTATACCTGATAAAAAGCCTCCAAAATAAATTCTATCTAGGTACCTAATAGCACTAAAATATTCTCAACTCACGGGCTCTGATTAGTGCCCACTTTCATTCCACATTCATTCCACAATCCAATTTTCGAAGGGCCGAATCCTGCAAGCCTCACCTTGTTCTAGTACTACTTCCTTAACTACACCCAGCATCAGCAATTATATATGGTGGCCTTGTGTTATCTATCAACACGTAATACAGATGGTCCCGAACCCTCACCCGGCTTCTCACTAGAGAGTGTGTGTCAGAGTGTCAGAGAGAGAGTTGTTCGAAGTCGATAGGCAGAGGATGGGTTCCATATAACAATCCACTACACTACTACTACACTTACAACAGCGCCTCCACCCTTCTTGTCTATCAATGCTGGACAGAAAGTAGTGCATAATCCCACGCTGCACCACGGAGTCTAGGAGTCTGGGAGCCTCGAACTACACACACTATCTCGTCATCGAAATAACAAGGGAAACGGGCAACCTCACCGACAAGAAAGCTGCCTCGAAGTGCCGATCGCCCTGCTTCCCGCGCTGCCTGTCCGACACGCCCGGCCAATCAAACTTTTTGGAGGCGGGCATCCTCTCCTCCATGCCTAGTACAAGAGATCGTCAGTCGTTGGGGCCAAGTCTTGTTCGCTGTTCGGAGCATTCTCGCCTCCAGTTTAAACGCCCCCCAAAAATATATCACGAGGGACCTCCTTCATTGTCTGCGCCATGCCACGTGCAGCACGAGTCGTTGCCTCTTCGCCGGGCTCGCATTATCCGCCCGTAACGAGCGGGGCTTGACTCACTTTTATTTTTGTGCTAAGGGGGTGTTAAGGGTGCTAAGGTACACTGGCACACTCCACTAACTTGCTTATCAGATGGCGGCCCAGTCCGGATATGTTTCACAGCTGTCAAAGTTCAGTTGGTGGCCGCGCTGTAGGCATATTCTTGGCCGAATTTGTGTTTCTTCGTCAAGTTAGCTATTGAGTCACTCGCAGGACTTTGTTACGAGCTCATTAGGCGCTACGAAAAAAAGAAGAGGCAAATTCTTGTCTTTTTGTCTCCAGCTTGACAACAACAATTTAGATCAGCATAATTCGAAACTGCGAGGGAGTTGAGAACCAACGCCCTCTCGGATCTGCGTAGTTCCTACGACTGTCGGAGGTAAGAATCCTCGTGTTAGGTGGCATATGTGTGTGTGATAGCCATTGGCTTTCACACCACGCTTAGTTTCGGACCCGTCCCTCTTTCTAGTTCTGTTCGAGAAGTGGAAAATTCGTCAGAGCCTCGTCTTCATTTCGGTTCATTTTTTCTTAGCTAGTTGACCTGTCACAAGCTTATTAACTCGAATCTGCATGATGCGGTGGGAATCTTTCCTAGGCAGTATCATCAAAGGTTACGAGAGGACGCGCGGTGGCCTGTCCGTGGATCTCTTCCACTTTACGGAATCGAAAGCGTTGTGATCAGCAGGCGACAATTGCCCTGATCAGCACTGCAAGTTCGCGAGCTTTCCTGTCCTAAAGCTCAAAAGCTGGCTACGATTTACTACGCAGTCACGCCGGTTTGCCTAACAGATCGTGCATACATAGTGGAATGCCTAACGGAGTAAGTTGGGCTTGAAGCCAGACTCCACAGCGTCCCCTGGTCCGGTACCCTCCTTCACGTGCTAGTGCACGAAGCCGTCTCATATCTACGTATGGTGATTTCTAGAAGGGTGTCAAAGATGCCAAGGGTATGAGGATTAAATCGAATCAAGGATGAGCTTCAACTCCGTAGGGATTTGTACAACAATCCCTATGCACACTTGCATACCAAGCCAAACTATTTTTGAACCTCGTCCCCTGATAGTGGATGCGGATCCGAGGGGTGCTTTGCCTAAGTCCCGACATTCATATGCCGCCAATGGGAACAAATATTACTGGGCTTTCAAAACAAGCATCTAAAAAGTCTTCCGCAGAATGCTATTGGCGCAACACCATCACCCCTCCTTGACTAGAGAGGGTATTACAGACTTCGCACTTTCCTCGTTGTTGCTAGGCAACTCGGATACTCACCCTTAGTTGATGAATGATTCCTATGAAGCATCATGACGAGGTCAAGGTGTGCGGAACTTTGAGTTTGAAGGCCGCAGGTCATCCTGTCGAACAAGTGTTCGGTGTTCTATGACGGCATGAGTGATACCGTTTAGTACACGTCACCGCTTTGTTAAGGCTTCACCATGTCCAAATCAAGATGTTCTGTTGTCAAACCTTGCAATTGGATATTTCCAAATTTTTATGATGAGTGTTACTGCGGGTGGCCAGGTGAAGGATCCGAGCCGTTGAGTGCAACCTCCAAAAAGGCGCATAGCGTGTCGAGCGATCAACTACCAATAGTCTATCACGATGACTTCAAATCAATGGGCAACTTTAGTAAGTAGAAAGTATGTCCCCTGGGATGCGGCAGGTGTAGAAAAAATTCCGCCTCACGAGGAAGAGGACATGAAGGCCGTAATCGCGCAGATCAATGAGATGCAGCAGCGCCAATACAATAAAACCCGACATTGTTATGGTGGTACTCATGCAAGGACGCAAGGCATTGTCAAAGGGAGATTTGTCGTACCCGGTGACCTACCTAGTCATTTGAAGCAATCGGAGCTCTTCAAAGAGGCCGGAGAATACCCCGTCGCTTGTCGATACAGCTCGGAACCGGGGGATCCAGGACTTGATGCAGGTACCCCAGAACACCAAACATATAACTGTCAGTGGCGTCTAATGCAGCCAACAGGATCGTATTCCTCAACCGCGGGGTTTCGCCATGAAGATATTCAACGTGAACGGCGAGATGTTTGATGCTGGTCAAGATTACCCGACTCAAGATATCGAGTTTAACAGCACACCAGCAATTGAGTTGGCTGACACCAAAACTACAAGAGAGATTTTGGATATCCGTCTAATGTGTGGTGGCGACGAGCGGGAATTGCGTGATCAATTGAAAAAGCGTTCCGACTACGAACTTCAGGTTTCGCGAGACCAAGTACCGAACAAGCACCTTGAGTCCATGCGGTGGTACTCACAATCCGCTTATCGCTTTGGTAACTACGTCATGAAATACAGGCTCGTTCCGTCGACGGAAACGCAGCGCAAACTTGCGGAAGAAACCGTGAAGCCGGAAAACAGCGACGACATCCTTCATTTGTGGTTGCAAAATTTCCACACCACCCATGACGCCGAGTTCTTGTTTGAGGTGCAGCTCCTTGAGAACTTAGAGGAGCAGCCGGTCGAATACGCTGGTACAATTTGGGACGAGAAAAAGTACCCTTGGCAGCCCGTCGCCGAGCTCGTCATCCACAAGCAGGACAGTTGGAGTTATTCGAGGAAAGCGTTTTGGGAGGATCACATCAGGCTTGATCCGGTGGGTATAGCGCAAAATTCACCTATCAAATTTTTTGGTTGTCATCGACACATGAAATATCCTCTTCTCAGCCTTTTTCAAACCTAGGGGCTCACGTGAAAGGGTCCCACATCCGAGAACTTCCGCTCGCGGCAATTACTGACTTTTTCTTGTCCAGTGGCATGGTCTCATAGCTCTCCAACCGTTGGGTAGTTCAAACCGATTAAGACGAGTCCGTAAGTTCGTGCATATAAAGCGTCCAATCCCCTGTGCGGCATGATAGCTCACATGGCTCTCGGTAGTATACCCGGCCAGCAGTGCCTTGAGGCGAAAAATGAATGCGAGACAAGAAATAAACATTAAGACTATTGGCGAGATTCCTGGGTAAGATCAATACATTTGATCTGCCGGTTCCGGGGATAACCAAATTTTATTGTCTTCCTACGTCGCATCTAGGGCTCGCATACTCTACGTGAGAAGAGCCGAGCCCGCCGGTCGGTTGGGAACGATAGCGAGGTCTTCCGTTGTCGGCCCCTGTGCACATATAAATACAGCAACATCAAATCAAAATATCATACCTTATGCATCCAAATTTACGAGGAGGTGGGCGACAATATGTGGAAGAGGCTGAGTTGTGATCAGTATTTCTTGGCCGGCAGATTCCTGAAGAAGTGGTGGCGACGTGTAGAAAATGTACCACAAGAACATTGTACAAATTTGAATGAGTAATGGCAACAATATCAATAGGCTGCAGGCCAAGTTTGGAACAGTGACAAGCTATGTAGTCGCATCGTCATCTCCCGACTACCGAAGTGTGAATGAAATATAAATAGTCGCCACATACACCATACACTCACACATGAATGGCGAGTGGTATACTTCGGGTCAACATTACGTGCATCAGGAGAATTTTGCACGTCACTACCCGCACGCCCGGGCTGTAAGGGTATCATCGTTACATCGAACCACTCGCTGCTTGTATAGAGGGCTTCGCGAGAAAATTGGTAACCGATTATTGAGGCGCCCGCCGGGGTAGCAGTACAGGCGATGGGGCTGGGCGCAAGAAAAATATTTAATTCTAAAACTAAACCTTTGCCGATTGTCCTCTTCTTTCCCGCTCGGCAGATTGGTTGACAGTCGCCGGCAACCGGGTATGTACCCAGGTATGTTACTATTATTCTTCCCATTTCAGCTTTTCTCAGCCGTATTTTTTTTTATGTACTTAATTCTTCTCAATTTATTGTTCCTGCCCTCTGGGGTCGGATGTGCGGGATCGTCTCAGCCCTCCCATCTCAGCAAATGCAATTTGTTTATCCAGCGTGACACCGCTTTTCGTCTAACCGAATTTCGCGGTATTATACCCCGAGCTGGAAGATGATGAGCAATGGAAGAAAAAATTTGAGGCGGTCTGCTGGATTACCTCCTATGGCAGGTCGTTGCAGCAGGAGTCCTACGCCATGCCTCGGAACCGTAGCGTGACGTCCTGTCTATTGATACGCCAAGTCGGCATAGATGCCCTCCGGATCTGCATGGGATAAGGGGCGGTGATGATTGACGTCTGGTAGGGGGATTTCGGATGCGAGGCGAACGAGCTGACTCAGGTGTGCGCGGCAGTTTTCAAGCTGCGCGTTTTTTTGGAGCACAGCTCAGGGGCTGATTGTATGTTGTGAAACACAATAATCACCTTCCCGGCCTGTCATTAGAATATGAAGTCTGCCAATCTAGTAGAGTAGTACAAGAGTCGCGTGAGCCGAGACTATCTATGGCTAGTTTTACGTTACAGGGGAGTATAAATGACTAATGTTCCAGTACGTAGGTGTCTACATCAAAAATAATGCTAATAATATGTTAAATCATAAATGTCTAAATGTTTAAGGTACCTGGGGCTCTGAAGACCTCCTCTTATTAGTTATATCATTACCTAGTTATAGAGTGTATTTAGGACGATTATCTGGCTTTTCATCGAGCCCATAAGATAAATCCCTCTTAACAGATACGAAGCCTATTTAGGATTTGAATTTGTAGTAGGCCATAACGGCTGGGTTCTTACCTACCTAGGTACGTATGGTTAACGAGCGAGAAGGAGTTTTTCAAAACTAACAGTTAGGAGGCTTCTAACTTAGATATATATTCACGAAGTATCTCCCGGTTTGAATTTGGTCTCCAACTCATACTGATCCTTCCCACGGAGGTCTTAATTTGATCGACACTCTTGCTGATGGCTTCGTTCCTTATTAGCTCGTATCCGCTCTCGGCATAAGAGATTCTTGGAGAGCCGAGTCTAATTCATTGGTCAATTGCTCCGGGAGCTATATGCTTTCTGCTTCTTATAGGAGTCGTTGGGGACGCTTTCGTTCTAACTGGCTATCTGCCAGCCCCTTTATTGGATCGCCGTCTATTCTTTCCACACCCTCATATAATTTGCCGACCCCAATGGATTTTAGCGTATGTGACTGCAACACAGTTAATAGGGCTCATTAATTCCATTGGCGAGATCAGTATGGGATCCGTGAATAACACTCTGCGCTGTTTGTGGGGTTTATAAAAATGCCTAATGGTAGTTCTTGGTGCCAAGGGCGTGGTCCTGGGACGTTCGAAACTTATTTCCAAAAACGGTACGGACTTATGAAGCCGGCGAGATATGCTAGGAGCATAGAATAGGTAGAAGCCTTCCGAAGTAGAATAACGGGTATTAAAGCGTTTCCAGTGTGGATGTATGGCCAGACGCATGATTCCACTATGCCTCCTATGAAATCTTAACAAAATAACATTGGACGGTGCTAATGTGTATATATAATAGATCAAAGGCTGACATAATTATGTATATCTACATAAATTATACCAAGTGAATTGAGAATTTATATAATAAATATACATCCAAATAGAGGGTACCTAGGACTTAAATCGGACTTTAGAAACCCATACCTCATGCTCACACACTTACTAAATGCAGTGCCTATTGCATCTTAACTATCACACACATTGAGTATTATAAAAACTTCTGACTTCAATTATAGGTCTTATATCAGTACCAACCCAAGCACTAAGCTCTAAAATCAGTGCGTGTCGACCTAGGTACCTACCTAAGCTTAGGCAAGTAGGTAGCCAGCATCACTTACCTAGAACTTAGGCCGATACTATGCTCGGTACGCTTGATATAAATATGATAATTGCGACGGATTAATCAATACTCTGATATACACTTAGGTACTCAGTTGTCTGAAATATATTCTTGTATTACCGCTGAACCCCCCCCCCCAAGATTTGACCAATCAGAACTTAGTGATGAGGTAGTACATACCACTTTAGGAAAGCACAAGCTACTTGAGCCAATTAGAGTTGTCGATTCTTGCTAAGTTCCACTATACTTCAACTCAATCCACATAACTAACGCTTTAACCGGCGTTGATACCACAATAATCATAGGTGGTGCACATGTCTTACGTGCAGTTATTCTCATGTGAGCATCTGTATACGTAATCATATCAATAGTCTGACAATCTTTCCCCCTTTTTAAGTAGCTTTGCTGGTATCATTTATCACATTGGCATGTAAGTAAGTAATCTACGTCACCGTACTCACAGAATGGCTTATACTATGGTAGCGAGGAACCGTCGCCCGAGATAGAAACAAAGTGAATCTACGGAAAACCTTACAATGGAAACACCAACGTAGAGTGGGATTACGTTACTGTGAAATTGTAGAAGCTACTAATTCAAACTAATATCGTGTTCCCCAATATATATGAATATGAACTGACCGAACACCACCCAGGATACCTAATTCCCAATCATTAAATCTCGCTAGATTTTGAATATACGCATCTCTTAAGCTTCTCAATACGCTCTTGTACCCAAGTGCCGGACCCGTATCTCCCATCAGCGCAATTGGCCACACCTCAACCGAGCAATTTCCGCCCTTCGCATCCTCTACTCTTATAGAGAATTTCAATACTCCCAGGCATATGCTCGACATGCCAGCCCACCGGCCTTTGCCCTGGGTTCGATACGTGCGCCCTCCAAATTGTATTAAGGGGAGAGCACTCAGGCCCGAAGTCCCGCCAAGCAAAGATCGTGATATCGTTAAAGGATTTCGTCACACGGAAATCGGTGCGGCAATGAATACAATGGAATATTCTCGGCATGTCTCGACCTCCATGAAGCCACATGGGAAAATCGAGGACCATCTCAAGAGTGGCTACTCCAGAGACTGGAAAACCCCTTGTATGAAAACGGAGATTACAATGGGAGCATATAGTCAGATCCCCTACAGTTTCGGCGCACATTCTCGGGAAACTGTCTGGGAAATGCCATTTGGATTGCAGCAGGTATCTCGAAATTCCGTCGTCCCCCAACACGATTTTGGGGGTAGCCGTATATGTCCTCGAAAGTGTGTATGGTCTAACGCCCAACCGCGTGCATTCCCGGGATGTGTTGTAGTGTATTGGCTTGAGTAGCCTGGCGAGATAACCCATGTGAGAACGGATGTTCAGACGCACATATTTCAATGTAAGTTGGATATGGCGGTGGTCAGCACGGAAAAGGCGCCTACTGAGTGGGTACCAGTTTTGCCCGTAGGCATTCTGGCGCCAGTCGTCCCATCCAAGAGGACAAGACAGACGCCATGGGTCATGAGGCGTGTCTAATTCAGTAATTGGATGGAGCCTCAGGCACGCCTCGCAAACCCAATGATTAGGCTTCCCACGAGCTACAAGCGCAAGGTATTCGCAATACTCCTCGCCCGACAAATGGGCAGCTAAGCCGTCGCCTAGAGTACCTCGCAATGCGCGGCAAGCCTGGGAGAATACGGGTCGGTCAGACGGAGGAAGTTGTTCGGCAATTATGAACATCAATTCTACTGGCAGTTGGAGGAGCGGACAGTCAGCATTCGGTCCTCCTTTTTTCTCCTGTTGCTCTGGCTGCTCCGGTTGCTCCTGCGTTTCTTGAAGAGGCTCCTGGGGCGCTAGCATAGGAGCATGGGGAGCAGGAAACCGTGTTAAGGAGGCACATGTTTGTAGTATAAGGATGTGGAAGTTCCAAAAAACGAGAATTAAGGAGAAGAGATCCATGTTCTTGCCTTTGGTTTCATGTTTGGAATGGGAAGGACGACACGACAGAGAGTTTTTGATCTTTATATACCTACCTGGGTAGGCATTGACCGGCGGTAAGGGCACGTAATATCTCACTTGACAATATACTTTGGAGTTAGCTGATGCTTCAATGAGTTTAGATGATGTTGGGGAACTCTAATTCACGGCCATCGAGCCATTCTCCTATTAACGCGACGATGAGTATCATCGGAGATACCTTAGATTTGCCATGGCGCTGATTCCATCATTTCGTGAAACGTTATTCTTCCAGTCAGCTGGGGTAACTCCCTGTGAGTATGACGAAGACGCTTCTTCGCTATTGGTATTTTTCAAGCTTCGTTTCACGTTCCTTCTCCCGAGTGATATAGCCTCATCGTTTGTTAACCCCCATAGCCCACTAGTAAACTTTGCTCAATTCCCACTAGATCTTCTTAATTCGCCTTAAAAATTTCTAGATGGATTAGCAACGGGTGATAAGACCAATGTAGAATTCAGGCGGAGTCCCAGTACCTATGTCTATATTGTGAGATTGATATTATAGATAATCTTTTTGTGCTAACTCTTTGGCTAGGTTGCATTGCTGCTCATTGCGGAATCGCTCCTCCCTCCTGGGTCGGAATAAATCCATCTCTCTATCAAAATACCATATACACTCTTTTACGAGAAAAAGCTTCGCCCGAAAATAAGAACGTGCACGGTAGCTGGCGGCGAGGAAAGCTCCGACAGGGTGGCCGTTGCGGCAACCCCTTGAGTGGCTCTCGAGGGCGGCGATATCTGAGTCTATTCAATACCCAAGTCTAAACTCAAGTCCTGACTGTGTTAAAGAACCTAGAATATATAAGATGACGAGAAAACGGTCTTTGAAAACTTCTCGTCCGAGTCGAGTTCCTGTCGCGCATAACCGGACTGACTTGGCCCATTTTCCCTCCCCTGTGTAACTTATCGCCCTTCTGGTTAAAATATTTCAAGTGCGCTCCGGAGCCTGAAAATATGGCCCTAAACAACACCACAACGAAGAAGAGACAACAAGAGGGCACAAGAAAAGCGAGAGCTACTAAGGCAGCTCGCAACCACTCTTATACTGGGTATAAGGGCAATTTCGCATGATTCCGTCCATACACCTTGAAGTCATTCTCCGTAGGAAGTTTACATAAGTTGAATTTGCTGACTCATTGGAAAGTTGAGTTAAATGTACCGTAGGTAGAGAGTTAAATGATGAAATTCTCGAAAGCGCTTAGTAAGGATATTGGCATTGTTCTTACTAGCAAGACAGTCTCACCAATGATGTTATATAACTGAAAAACATTAAATTGTAAGGCTAACCAATCGAAGCAATAGACATCCTAATTCATCATTTTTGCCCTATAAAGTAACATACTGTGGTAGTTGCAACCTTTCCGCACCCGCTTCATGCGTCCCACGTGTGAGACTCACTTGTTGGGGGGTGACCGGCTATTCGGCGCTTGAAATTGTGATAATTGGTGGGGGGATTGATAGTGGCGCGGTGTACAACATACCTGCCTACATACAAGGTCTTGGCGCCTAAATGTTACCCTTTTTCTTTTCATGATGTCTCTGTGACGAGGAGAGGTTATGAATAAAAAAAAGTCCATCTGCAAGTACCCGGGGCTATGAAGCACTTTTATGTGTATCTCTAGAAACAACACGTTTCGGTACCGAAGATAACATTATAACATTGAACAAACTAACCTGCGGACTTAAGCATGTAAACGGAGAACGTGGGACCCCGCATGTCTAGTATAAGCAGGCTGTCCAGCCGTCCGCGGTTCGGATACCGACATACATATACATGGGTCCAATATTTATTTTGTTTGTCCGGCGTCGATTGTTGGCTGCTGGTTTTGCAATTGTTTGTGCCGCCGTCCCGACCCATCCATTATAGAGGAAAAGGAATTGTAGATCCGGGACGGTGATACTATTCTTGTGTGAATGTGTACTAGTACGTGTGTGTGAATTATGTTGTACTCGTATGCAAGATAGTCAAACCGGAAGGGATCATCTAAAAGGATTGGGCGGGAAAGCCTTGATCTTGGGACCTTGAAGGAAGATCGATGCAGCGATCATCCGACTGCGAGCAATGAAATGGCAAGGAATGGCAAGATGGTGAAATGGCGCAGGGTGGCTAGTCATTGCACAGCTTTTTTTTCTGTCTCGAGGATGTTCATTCATTCTTACTCAGACACGGAACACGCAATCCTCTCTCTCTCTCTCCACTAGGCCAAGTTCTGGTCGTGTTGTACTTTGTGTGTTTGCGATGATGATGCTGACAGATTGGGAAAAAAAAGGACCGTTAGACAACTCAAAAAAATCAAGGTTCAGGATCAGCTGTCAATCAAGTCAACCTAAAAACGAGAAGCTATTTTGCATATTTTGCATATGAACTGGCAGAACTGGGAACCTCACCCTTGAAAAATACTTAGCCGTACTACCTAACGTACATGCCTAGGAATTCATATACTAACTCAATATGGACATATGTAGGCATATGTAGGTGCATGTATTGGACTTTTATACCTGAAATGTTATAAAATGGGGGAAAGTGTCGCTGAATTTGTGCAACGCTCGCCTGAAAAGTGCTCTCCTATTGGCTGCAATGTCTAAGCTAATGAATGCTTAGCCGATTTGATCCCTGGAATAATTACGTCGTTTGGAGCCACATGGGCCACGAATCTGGGAAAGAACTTACTATGTAGTAGGGAGCCCTGGAGGTAGCCAGGTAGCCAAGCTCGTAACTTCCCAGCTAAGGTACCACTTTAAACTTTGAGAAGCAAGGTCGCTGCGTGTCTTTCTCAATTCCAGTCCTAAGCTTATTTTCGTAACCATCACCAACTTCAACTTCTTCGACCCGAACAACCTTTTTTTTTCTTTTTCTTCCCTCTCTCTTCCTTCTCTCGTGTCTCTTTACTCCCTCTCTTTTCTTTTTTACCCCTTCCTCTTCCCCTCTTCCCCCCCTCTTTTTTACCGTTATCTGTTTCTAATATGGCAGCACGCAATTGGAAAATAGTCTTCTAAATCATTACTAGCTTACCCGCACCTCCTTGCATTTTCCTTGACTAATGACCGCCTAGAGTCACTAGCATCTTTTAGCTACTCGACCTCGGATGATTTATTATTCACTAAACTCCTGCGTCACCCACCTAATATAACGTCCGGAGAGATAGATCTACACGCTCATTTCAGCCGACCCGATTTCTTTGTCCAACTTTCTCGCACCGCCACCTTCGGCACTCCCGACCCGACCTCTGCCTACATATGTTACTTGAAACGCCAATCGAGAACCTGCCCCTTCCGCGCGTTTGAGCTGCTTCAGCAGCACCACGAAAGTCAACATGGCGACAGAAAAGGAGGCCAACGAGCTTAAGCAACAGGGGGCTCTCGAAGCTTCTCGCGACCCCGAATCTTCTGTTACATCCGACGACGCCCAAAAGAAGTTAGTTGAGGAGAGCAAAAATGCTGGCGTAGCTGCTTTCACATTCGACCCTGATGCAAGTCCGGAAGAGAAGAGGGCTCAAGCTAGAGCTGTATGTTCTGCACACAGTGATTCGTTAGAGAGCGCACATTGATCATATTATTTTTGTCTATAGGCTGTACCCGATCATCTGCGTCGCTCACACAAACCAAGAGGAATAGCAATTGCTACTGATGTTGACGATGGCAACAAAGCCAGTTACGATCTTCCGACACCCTCGAAGGCCGGTGCCATTGAAACTCCGAAGGACAAGGATGGTAACCTAATTACAGACGGGAATACCGCAGAAGAGGAGGAAGATATAGCTGCCAAGGTTGGATGGACGCAACAATTTGGCTGGCCCGTCGAGAGTGTCATGGAGGGCGAAAGTCTCTTAGACCATTCGACCTGGTTGGAAAGCAAGGTTCCCGACCAGTACTTCGGAGGTGGGTCTAATTAACTCACATAGGCGGGACTCGCTGATGTTAACTGATTTTATAGAATGGTATCATAACGCTGGAGTCATCGTCTTCGCATGTCTCTCGTCGTGGTTGATTGCGGTGCTAGGGGGTGGTCTAGGTTGGGTCATCATTATCATGACCGCTTGCTCCACCTACTACCGAACGTCCATTAGACGAGTCCGCAGAAATTTCCGCGACGACATCACCCGAGAGATGGCCTTAAAGAAGCTCGACACTGACCATGAATCGCTCGAGTGGATCAATTCGTTCCTAGTCAAATTCTGGCCTATCTACCAGCCGGTCCTCGCTCAAACTGTTATCAACTCTGTTGACCAAGTACTGAGCTCTGCAACTCCATCATTTCTTGATAGTCTACGATTGAAAACTTTCACGCTAGGATCGAAACCTCCGAGAATGGATCATGTCAAGACTTATCCTAAGGCGGAAGACGATACTATTATCATGGATTGGAAATTCAGTTTCACTCCAAACGACACTGAGGACATGACGGCTCGCCAACTGCAAAATAAGATCAACCCCAAGGTTGTTCTTGAAATCCGTATCGGAAAAGCCATGATCAGCAAAGGTCTCGACGTCATTGTGGAAAACATGGCTTTCTCTGGTATCATGCGTCTTAAGATCAAGCTCCAATTTCCATTCCCGCATATCGAGAAAATTGAGATGTGCTTCTTAGAGCGTCCGAAGATCGACTATGCCTGCAAACCTCTTGGTGGTGAAACTTTTGGTTTTGACATTAACTTCATCCCAGGTTTGGAAAGTTTCATTCAAGAGCAAATCCATGGGAACCTGGCTCCGATGATGTATGCGCCGAATGTTTTCCCTATTGAAGTCGCGAAGATGCTTGCTGGTTCCCCTGTTGACCAAGCTATTGGTGTGGTCGCAGTTACGATCCATAGCGCCCAAGGTCTCAAGAACCCTGACAACTTCGCTGGCAATCCAGATCCTTATACCGTGGTTACATTGAACAAGCGAGCACCACTTGCCCAGACTAAGGTAATCAAGGACACTCCAAACCCCAGATGGAGCGAAACGCATTATGTTATCGTTACGTCTTTTAACGATTCACTCGATCTCATTATATATGACTATAACGAGTTCCGCAAGGACAAGGAGCTTGGTGTAGCGTCTTTCCCCCTTGAACGAGTAGAGGAGCTGGGCGTGTACGAAAACGAGCGTTTGGAGGTCATTGCGCATGGAAAAGCTCGTGGTGTGCTCAGCGCTGATATCCGCTTTTTCCCGGTTCTCGAAGCTACAGAACATGATGGCAAAGAAGAGCCACCCCCGGAATCTAACACTGGTATTCTGCGATACACAGTCGAGCAAGCCAAGGATCTCGACGGCACCAAGAGCTTGGTCGGCCAACTTAACCCATACGCTTGCTTGCTACTTAATGGTAAAGAAGTTCACCACACCAAGGTACTCAAGCGCACCAACAACCCAATTTGGGACAATGGGTCTAAGGAAATTCTTATCACTGACCGGAAGAATGCTAAACTGGGTCTTGCCATCAAAGATGATCGTGAAATTGCCGGCGATCAGCTCATCGGCACGTACCAGATCAGGCTCGATGATATGCTCGAGATGATGGAGAAGGGCCACGACTGGTACAATTTGTCAGGCGCAAAAACCGGTCGCGCAAAGTTAACAGCGCAATGGAAGCCCGTCGCCCTATCCGGTGTGTTAGCGGGTACCGGAGGTTACCAAACTCCTATTGGTGTTATGCGTCTCCACTTCAAGAGCGCCCGCCAGCTGCGGAACTTCGAAACTATGGGTAAATCAGACCCCTATGTCCGAGTGCTCCTGTCCGGAATTGAGAAAGGCCGAACGGTAACACATCGCAACACGCTAAGTCCCGAGTGGGATGAGGTAATATATGTTCCGATGCACTCGTCCAGGGATCGTCTGACACTCGAAGTTATGGATGCTGAAAAAATGGGTAAAGATCGCAGCTTAGGCTTAGTCGAAGTTTTTGCCGGTGATTACATGACGCAAGACGAAACTGGAGAATACCTCGTTCATGATACTAAAACGGTGCAAGAATGCGGCCTTCGATTACACGGAAAGGGTATTGAGAAGGGAACACTCACTTTCACCGTTTCTTTCTATCCATGCATAAACGTAGCAGACCCTGAAGAAGAGGAAGCTGAGGCCAAAGACAAGGAGGCAGGCTCAGAACTACCAAAGCAATCACTTGATGTTCCTCGATCGTCAGAAGCCGGGAAAATATCTACACTGGAAAGAAAGGAAAGCACTAGGGAACCGACTACACCGACTTCGCCAAGTATTCCTCTATCGCCAGTGTCTCCGAGGTCGACTACGTCGGAACGAAAGTCTCGCGAAGCACCAAGGGAACGTCCCAAGGTTCACCTTACTCCGCAGGAGCTACTCAAATATGAATCTGGTTTCTTAATCTTCAAGCTACTGGAGGCTGAGATGCCAAAGAGTGGAACGCACCTTGAGATATATGTTGATGACATGTTATATCCATCCTACATCTCGGGAACAGCCAAAGGCAGAACTTTCAAATTCGATGAGATTGGTGATTGCTTCATTCGCGAGCTAGATTTCTCAAGGTTAACTCTCAAGGTGAGAGAGAAGCGCGAGAAGCCGGGTGAGGAGCGTGATGAAGATCACACCGTTGCTCGTTTAACAGGGAACACGTTGGATACCCTGAAACAATGCCTGGTAAGTCTTCATTCGACACGTCAACTGACATATTACTGATGATCTTAGAATAACCCTACCGTATTACGACTCAAGGACGAGGAAAACAGAGCTGCCACCATCAAAGTTAGTTTGAAGTATATTCCCGTCAAGATGCACTTGGACCCCAGCGAGAGCATCAACAATATGGGTAACCTTCGCGTCGATGTGCTGGATGCGGCAGATTTACCTCCAGCAGACTCGAATGGCAAAAGCGATCCTTACTGCAAGTTCGAGCTTAACGGACAGGACGTATTCAAAACCAAAACGCAGAAAAAGACACTCAATCCTGTCTGGAATGAGTTCTTTGAGGTTGCTGTACCATCCCGGACGGCCGCTAAATTTAATTGCAAAGTCTACGACTACGACTTTGCCGACAAGCCTGATTTCTTAGGTGGGGCTGATATCAACCTCGAGCAGCTTGACCCATTCAGGGCTAAGGAACTCAACCTGCTCTTGGATGGTAAGTCCGGTTCCATCAGACTACGGTTACTCTTCAGACCCGATTATGTTACTCGTTCGCGGTTGGGCACTGGCACTTTCTCAGGCACGTTCGGTGGCCCTGGCAGAATTGTGACCGGCGTCGTCGGCGCTCCGGTCAAAGGCGGTGTCGCAGTAGCCGGCGTCGTCGGCCACGGGGTTGGTAAAGGCGCCAGTTTTATCAAACGTGGATTCAGAGGCAAGAAGGACGAGGAAGGCAATGGCTTAGTCATAACGCCGAGTAGTTCCGATGTGCCCACGATCATAACAAACAGCCCAGATGCTCCCGCACCCTCCGGCCTCAGAAGGGCTACGGGCTTGAGCGTTGATGGTGAAGCTCCTCGCCCTGTGACTCCTAATAACAAGAGCCATGGACGTAATCCTAGTATGGGTGGAGTATCCATCCACAGTTTGGCCCCGGGTAGTGCTGGCGCCGGAACAGCCACCTTCACGGTGGTTTCTGCGTCGGGATACCCCGCATCGTCGGATATTTATGTCCTGATCAAACAGCTAACACCCAAGGAGAGAACTATTGGCAAGACGAAACACCATGAGTCCCCTGGGACCGTACGGTTTGACGAAACATTTAAGCACACCTGCACCGCGGAAACGCAGTTCCGTGTTGAGGTCAAGAATCACCATACTTTTGGCAGTGATGATGATTTAGGCGAGGCGCTATACTTTGTTGATGAAAGTGGAGGCGGCGAAAAAGAGATTAAAGTCGGCAGTGGAACAGTGGTCCTAAAAAGTTCATTTGTGGAAACGAACACAGAAAGCCCCAGGAGTGTAACTTCGAGTGGCCTGCGGAGGAGTTTCTTAAGCAAAAAGGAGACAAGAACCAGCCGAGAGGGAACACCTACATAAGGCAGCTTTGGATTGTCGGTTTAGGATTGGGGCGCTTGGGGCCAGGGCTATATTGCGTGAACTGGTTAAGGGACAGTCTCGCCAGCGGAGTTTTCATAATCAAAAATAGAGCTTAGTAATTATGATGAGGGTTTCGTTTACCCGTATAATAATGATACCCCCGTTTCCGGGGGAAACGATTACAATGTCTAAGACCCGAAGGAATAATATTCCAGGATTCGATGTGTCACAATAATACCCATCTATAGAATTCGATACAGATGAGTCTTGAACATTCTTATAGCTAGATGAGAATATTATCATCGATTCTATAGAGATCGAGGACCAACTTTCATGGTGCTTCGAGATAGAATCAATGGCTCTGAGATGAATATAAATACCAACCCAGGAGCCTTGTAATCACCAACACAGCTACATACATATCACAATCAACATTCAAATCGCACCTACCCGAATTTGTCTCTGTAAATAACACCATGACTACAAGACATCCCGCCTTTCGACAATATGCTCCCTTCGGACCTCACCAAAACGTGAATATGGGGAAGAATGTACATAAAGCCCGCGACTTGCTCAACCACACGGTTATAGCATTCCATACTCGGTCCGACAGGGACCTAAGTGAAGTGCAGATTGAAGCACGCGACAAGTTCGTCGTTATGTTCAAGAAACAGAAACAAGCCTACGGAGGCCAAGTGAAACTCGATGCTTCCATGAAAAAGGTTATGGACCAGCGTCTGAACGACGTTAAAGCGTTCTTTACCTTTCTTGATGAATTCTTCTTCTTTGGCCAACTAGGGTCACATGTTGAACTCAATGTTGGTATTGATTGCGTAGGAAAAGATCCTATGGGATTTGACGATAGAATTGAAGGAGAAACATACCCAGCTAAGAAGCGCGACGAGGAAAGCACCATAATCAAACTCAATATCGGCTCTAAAGGAAAGTTGTGTACACTTGATGTTATCATAGGTCAGCTTATGCACGAAATGGTTCATGCTTATTTCCAAGTATTCGCATGCGATTGCGCACAGTGCAACAAGAATGTACTCAACACGGTGGGGATCAAGAACGATGCTCACGGCCCCCTTTTCCTTATTCTCCACCGCCTTATTCTAACTGAAATGAGGACGTGGGGAGGTAGAAGCAGCGGTCTAAACTCGTTACTTGCTAAAGACTGCCCTAGGGATTTCATCAGTAAGAGCGCTAAATCACGAGCTACGAAGGCAATGCAATCTTTAGACCCCCATAAAAAGGCAGAGCTCTACGGATATGGCCAATACGTTACCTCGAGAACTCTCCTCGGTTTGAACGCAGATGGAGACCGAGTTCGCGTCAAAGATGGTCTTGTCGAGGCCCAAATCAAGTTAGAAGACGCTCTGTGGATCAGGGAAGAACGGGGGAGGAGGTTTGATGATACAGAATACTATCAAAGCGACTCGGAGTGGGAGGAGGAGTCTATTACCACTGATAACAGTTTTGAAACTAATCACGAAAATGAGGATCTGATGGAGAGAGTTAGGGGGAAGGCTAAGTCTGTCTAGCTGCTATCCGTGTCATCTAAACTCTTCGAACTTCACAGATGAAATCCACCGTCGTTATCCAAATAACGATAACGTTTCAACGTCCGGCACAGATATAACCAGCTGATGGGATCGGATGAACGGGGTCGCCCGAGGGTAGCTCATACATTTACATTTATAGAAGCTCTCCTCTAATAAATAGACCAGGTGATGTAACTAGTATGGTTAAAACGCTCCATAGTCTCATTAAATAGGAATTTTCCCGTTTACGCTTCGTTAAAACCCTAACTCAACCCAACTAATTCGTCTCAACGGCCATATAACTCAAAGTTCCATAAACGGTTATCGGTGCTTTCCTAGGTTCAACGGCCATATCCAACTTAAGAAAACGGTAGGATCTTAATAGATATGTTGAAGTTAGGCCGAGAGCTCGAGGGGAGGTCGTATAGTAATCATGCGAGTACAAATACGTCGCTGTTCTCCTTCGTTCTCGATCTTTTTCATCAGTCACAAAAGAATACCTTCTCTAATAAATATTAATAGCAATAGCTATATCCTCATTCAGCATATTCAAGCAAAATGAAGGTCCTTTATGCCTTACTGAGCTTTGCCGGCGCTGTTAGCGCTGCCAAGTCCTACGTCGAACTGAGCAACGGCAGTAAGTCATTCGCCTCTATCTCACTCCCCCGTCCAAACACCTACCCTATCACCCCTTCCCAAACCCCTTTTCTCTATCATATCCATAATTTCATAAGGCCTTACCTTCCTTCTCGGACACATGAATAAAGTACCACTATAAGATACTAACCACCTTACCCAACAGTGTACACCGTCCCCTACATCAACGAGACCCTAGACTTCGAGAACGCCTCGCGCGACGCCTGGGACATCTCCGCAGACCTAAGCGACGCCGCCGCCGAAGCCACAATCACCAACTCAACCTCCACTCTCGCCGAGCGCGGCGTCCCAGGCGACTGCTTGCCCCAATTCCCAACCCGTAACACCTGGTGTCGGGAGCGCAAGATCCGTCGCGCGGACTACCTGCGCGCATACGCGAAATTCCTCGACTGGATCGAGACCGGGCCCGACGAAGGCTGGGTACCAAAGCATAGCTGCAAGTCCTTGGTCTGGGGCGCCGTAGTATTAAGCGCGTGCTCAACCGGCGGTCCGAACCCCACCTGCCGCGGTGAACTCACCGAAGCCATGCGCGAGGTTGATGCGTACTGCTCCACTGAATCCGGCGGTGACATCCAGATCAAGAAGTGGCAGAAGACGTACAGCCGCCACAACGTTCGCGACGGCGATGGTATGAACAATGGCAACTACGACAAGAACGGCCACAACGGACGTCACTTCGTTATCGTTGATGATCAGGATGTTGATGATAACGGTGGTCTGAATGACGCTGTTCACCAGGATGATGCTTAGGGGTTGGAACCCCCTAGGAAGCATGACTAAAGAGCTCCCTGTCTAAGGGACCTAATGTGATCCTCTCTCTACTCGCTATCGCAGTCCATTTGCTGGTTTGCCAATTACTGGACTGGAATAGGGGAGGGCGCACGTACTGAGGTGTATTGATTTTGATGGGTTGGTTTGATTGAAATTCTTGGTCTGAGGAGAAGGATGAAAAGGCAAAAAAATTATACCTAAAAAAAATAGTCGTAGTAATGCAATTTGTTTACCTAAATATGCTGGCCTAAGTTAATTATCACGGAAGCCTTACCCTTATTTTACCCCCTATTTTACCCCTATTCGTGCTATCTACAATGTTCTTTGGGGTGCTGCGTAAACTTTACATATTAGTTCTCAGCCCCTAAGCCAGGTTGGCCCCCTATCGCAACTAACCACCCACATAATGAGGGCCAGTTTTCATACACTAGGATTGAATATGAAGTGAAAATAATTGATTTATACTTGATCCAAATGAGTACAAGAATACCTAGGTAATCTAACACGTATGCTCTATCCTATCCTTCTAAGAGCTATATCTAATCCTATACGTCGCGCACCCATATACTTTATAATTCTACCTTAGCCATCTCAACAACAGGTAAATGTGCCATATGTATCTTGGCGCTTCCAAATGGTACAAATCGCGCGCTAAATGGTTTGCCAATTATCTTGGGTTCAAGAGGTGGATCGGCTGCGGTGTCATATTCGAGAGGCCAATCGATCTCGACGGCGGCTACACGGAGCTCATTTGGTGGTGCGCCAAGGTCCCAGATCGGATTTGATAAAGTTGACACATCTGCTTGAGCTACCTTGATCTGCGACGTATCGATAGCAATGTTCCATGTACTTGCAGGCTCGATTACATGGTCGTGTGTGTGAGACGTAGTACTCGCTGATGGTATGGTATCGCCGCTAAATGCTACCGGCGGTGTGTCCGATACATCGGCTTCGATGTAGAGACTGTACAATAGCGGTCCATAGTAGATTGCGGCAGTATTGTTGGCTCTTGTTACCACGCGCGGTTCCGTGTTGAAGTTGACGGAAACAAAATTAATGCCTCTACCAACATCCACCTTTTGAAGCCCCTGATCAGAGGGGGAAATCTGTGTGGTTTTTCCTCCGGGGAGAGTGATGGTACTTGATTTATCCGCCCAGCCTGGGATTCGGACATAAAACGAAAAGTCGGAAAACGAAGTAATCGTGTATCTTATGTTCATTCCGAAGGGGTAGTTAGTATCGGCCTGGATTGTGACCTTATTGTTACCTAAAGAAGTGGCAACACTTCCAGGTATGAGATGCACGTGAGCAATTCCCCCATCTTCGGTAAGAGTGAAAGAGTTTGCGAGAAATTTCGGGTATGCTTGAGGGTGGTTGACCGTACAGCACGGCTATTAAATGAAGTTAGTAGTCATAACTAGGGTGATGAAAAAGGTGCAACTCACGTAATTGGGCTCTAAGCCAAATACATTACCATGAGATCCAACGTTTACCCACATTCCGGGAGACACCGATAAGTTACGTGACCAAGGCTATGAAACCACGGTTAGTCTGCATATTCCGTAGATTTTCCAGATTGCCAACTGACCTGGTTCTCCTGCTGTACATATTGATGCGACCACCAATCTGGGAAGATCGATCCGGGCACAGCATTGAATGCAACCTGCTCTGCCCAATCCGCTAAGTCATTGTCGCCAAGATACTGATAAATGTATGCCATCGAGAAAGTCATCTCTGCAGCAGTGCATAATTCCGCCCCTCTAATTGGGTTAAGGTCTGTAATGAATTCATCCCCGACAATGGTACCGGCTAAAGACTTGTGATATTGCGCTAACAGATCTACCGCTGTTCTGGTTTGCGTCTTTAACGCTTCATCGTGGCTCATTCGGTATATCGCTAGAGGGTATCGTAGGCCTATTTAAATCAGTAAATCACTCATCTTGAACGCTGACGTGATGCTTAAGCTATACCTTCTGCCATATTAACGCCATGATTGAAAAGATTTTTGAAAGGTTCATTTCTGGGCGTGTATGTAACTTCGGGGTACACTCCTTTTACCCAATATTTTCTCCAGTCACTGTTAGCTTGAGCGCCTCCTTCGATCATGAGTTCCATGGTTTCCCAGATTACTTGCGAGTTATTACGAGGATGTTGCTCATATAACCACTGCAGGGGAATATGCATCTCGTGGGCTCTCATTGCGCCGAATCCATCGCCGTCAAAATCTTGGCCATCTTTTTGAATTAGGCCAGTGAAATTGTCTTTCAGCATACTATGAGCAAGCTGAATGTATCGATGCATAGAATCCACGATCCTGTCGGTCTGTGAGGGGTCCGCTTGGGCGTATTGCTGCAAGGATCAGCCGAACGATTCCCAAAAAGCGCTAATGCGGTAACTCGAGAGTATCATGGGTCGGAACATACCATTAACCCTACCAAGAAATAACAACGAGCCCATAAGCCCCGAGACTCGGGAGTTGTCTCGGGTCCAAGCCAGCCGTCAGACTGTTGATGGTCAAGGACATAATCCATGTAGGAATAAACTTGCTTCTTAAGCCCTGCATCATCCAAACCAAAGGCAAGAGGTACAAGACCGTTGAACCAATATGGAGAGGATTCATGGAGAACGGAATATTCCGATGAACCGCCTATCCACATAGAGTCTTGAACAAATCGGTAGAAGTTATACAGGTTTCCCGCAAGCCCGTTAGCCTCCAGCTGCAACTGATCCCTGAACCATCCTCTCGGCTTGATCGTACCAAGGGGAAAAGTCTGGTATACGGGCTGTACGACTGAATATGAGTTAGTGTAAAGTTGATATTCGTTCAAATCAAACACTTACGATCAGGTTTATCTCTGGCTTGAAAAGACTTTGCTCCTTGTGAGTCATGAGGTAAAGCGAAGCCTGCGGTGATGAGGAGAAAGGCGGTCACCGCCTTCGCTATGAACGAGGTAGCCATTAGTATTTGGGAGTTTGAGATATCATGAGTAACCTCAGGGGAAGAGAGGGTACGATATAGCGACAGCACTAGCTATTATAAATACAGATAGGAAGACAAGCCAAGCCAAGAAACACCTCTATAATAGATTGCCGGTTAGAAAATAAGACGCGATATTGACGGGAATGTAAATTTTCTAACTATAAAAAAGCAAGGAATGTGAGAAGAGGGTCCACAGAAACAAAATAGAAAAAAAAGATAAAGATAATGATTATGATATTAAAGACTATTTATTCACTCTCATCCCGCCGGATGGAACGACCGAGTTGTATGCAGGGTACATACATAATAGACCGACACGTCGCTTCCCCCATGTTGGATTATAGGATAGCTTAGGTAGAAAGTAGGAAAGTCCCCGTCGTCCTGCGTCGTTTCCTGTCGAGGTCAGCACGGGCAAGCAAGGAAAGAAAGAAAGGTAAGGACGACCCGTTGATAAGGCTACAAGCTACATGCTACTGTACATGCTACATTGGTACCATGAGGATGCATTGTTGGTAACATCATGGGGTCGCACAACCACAAATACGCTTTCTCCAAAAAATGGCGTGCGCTACCCTAAGCTACGGGGCTCTTACAGGGCTCTTTGTCGCAACTTTACAGGCTTCCCCTCAGCGGTCGTTCGGACCCTTGGCGCGTACACCCGTGACGGAGTCACGCAGCAGGAAAATAAGAAAATAAAGACTGTCTCTCCTTGTTTGTGATTGGGTCTAAGTTTGTACACTACCCAGGTAGAAGGAAATTGGAAAAGGAAGGGAGTCTTGGCGGCGGCCTTAGTTGGTAACTAAATCTATAACTAATTGTCAGATTTCCCCTGAAGATCCCTTTAACAATTTACAGTCACATGCTACGCCTCTTTATAATTGATTCCTTTTATGATTCTTTAGAGTTAGATGAACTTCAATATGATCTCAACCACGTGTCGCATAGATGAAAGACATATACACAAACATTACAATAGCGCAACAACTAAAAATCTACATGGATAACCCCCTAGGAGTTAGATCAATTACATTCCTACAGGAACTTCGGCGTCTTTGACGTGTTGAAAGTAACACATCGAAGTAACCCCACACCCAATCTTCTTTTTCCCCACACTACCTCGAATACTTCCATTCCCTTCTCCATCAAGCGGTCAAGGCGGGTCTGGGGGTGTCAGGGGGGTATGTCATAAGCCAACCGTAAAATTCGCCTAGCCCCGGCACTCGGATTGGTTGGATCGCGGGGAATAAGCAATGGAGAAAAGGGGGGAAATTTGGGGGAACTTAAGTTTGTACATACAATACATACAAATTAAGACCGGGATGCCCAATATGATATAACTTTTTAACGTTATCTAGGACTATAGTCCATCTAAAGTCTTAAAGTTTGCACTTTAGATCTGAGCACATGCAAGTTTGTAGGGGTTAGCAGCCAACAGATCCACTCTAGTAGAATTATATAAGAAATGCTAGTGTCCGATTGGTCCATTTCTGCAGTTTAGCACCGCCCGTGTTAATTTCAAGTTGAGCTGATTAGGCGCTGTGATGCATGTCGGCTTCAATATTTCTTTTTCTTTTCGTCTGCCGATAACACCAAGAAAACATACATACATATACCTACATACCGTTAGACTCGACGAGGGCAAATAAACAGGACATACCTCACATGACCCTCTTTTTGCGGCATACATAGCTTTTACCTGCCTTCCTGGGGAACGTCTTCGGTCCAGTTAACAAATCTATCGGTTTTTCGTTCGGCGCTACGCCCTTCTGCTTATCATAACCAGTGTAAATCAGTTCTGCCCGCACCCTCCGCTTCGCACCCAGCACCCTTTTTGAAATCCTGTCGTCAGATTCCTTACCTTACACGTGCTGCCACACACCATCTCCTATTCAAAATTTTCCTTTCTCGATTTACTTTGTATGCACATTTACCGTCCGTTCCTTTAAACCAGGAATCGTCTCAAAGATTAATCGGGAAATAACGTCCAAGGACGCAATACCGGGTGTGCGAATCAAGCCTCACATGCACAAAACGCCGCATGAGCAGGGATTTAATAAGCCAGGGAGGCGGCATGATCGAGCCGATATAAGGAAGATCGGTAGATAGACTTTCAACTATGCTTTTTCTAAACTACATATACCCCCATACCTGCGTTGAAGAAGCGCTCGCTAAACCTCTAGCCGTCCATCTATAATATAGGTAGCCAAATGTAGTGCGTTATGGTTCTCGGCCCGTCACATCGTCCAACTAGCGCCATCGGCCTCGTTACCCGACTCGGTGGTACTGTTCAGTCCAGTGTAACCTAAGATACCCATCTTGCAATTTCTACTCCGCCGGATGCCCCTCGGTAGTCATGAGATCACTTATACAACTCTCGATTATATTCAAAACTGTATTTGCCGCTTATTGACAACAATAGATATCCATGGAGTGTGACAGTAGCAAGGTTTAGGTAGTAGATCGATGGAAGATCGCAGGTGATCGCTAAAAACCTCCAAGGGATACCCTCGCACAGCCACGAGATCTAGATTATAATAATTGTAAGAGGTATATAAGATTACACATCGTCTACTTTTATGTGACAATCTACTTTCAAATGCCCCTTTAAGTGGCATGAAGGATCTATCCCCTCCCTGATTTGGCGACAGATTATAGGTAGTACCTAACGAGATTAGATGGTCCGTACATGTCGTGTGCTACTAGATCACTACGCTCCTTACATCACTTAGTATCACGGTAGTTCAACCAAATAGAGGTTTTAATCACGTACGTATATTGTACAGATCTCCAATTCAAGGGACATCTTTCTTGCTAGCGACATACCTATTAAAATCGACATTGCCCGCTTGGCTGGACACGCGTTAGGCTTTAAGACACAACGCAGACATGATTCAGGACTCCAGTGTAGCCTGAGCTCACCGTGACAGCATGAATAATGCGGTCAGACTTGTAGTATCAATTCATTTGGCTACAGCAAACACATCCACCTCGTAAAGATCGATGAGGCTCATTCTGGATTGGAGTCTAGATGCGCAGGTGTCCGCTCCAATATGAACGTGCTCAACTCCATCAACATCCGAAATAACATTTCTTACCGAGATCCGAGAACATGACAGCGTCACCGGATCTTCGAACACACACCGGACAATACCCATTCTTACGTATTTAGGTACTACTTAGACGGATATGAATATGATTTATCAGATATTGGCGCCTTCCACAAGATCTGTACCGGCGCCACGTAAAAAAGACCCTTCGGATTTCCGGGTCGTCTCACACGAGCCCAGCAGAGTGGAATGACAAAAGCGACGGTCACGCATTACCGAGACACCGAAATTTGATTGTTAGACAAGAGACTAACAAATTCATCCTGGGAGTATCTGCTCGGAACTAGCGGCTTGAGATGCGTTGGAGTTTGACCTACGAAATAGGATTTAACAGCTAACAGCTAACAGCAACATATCGCTCAGGCCTCTTGGTACAACCGTAGGATCTGAAAGCTTCATCCCATCGGTGAACTCATCCTGCAACCGAAGAACACTGTAAGGTTCATCGCAATACGAGGTGTCATTGACTGGCGGTTTGCTGTCAAAGTTAAGATAGCATATTCCATCGTAACGTCTCGGTATAGTAAGTATGTTTTGACACAGAAACATGAACTGGTCTGATCTCTCGTGTTCAACTTGACAACATATAGTAACTGTCGAATGACGAAATATGATCTGTGAAACGCTCGCGTCACTACTAATTCTTATTTCGAAAAGCAGTAGCGCGACACGTCAATCATTGGGGTATCTGAATGACCAGATTTATGTATTCCGATCATACAACATCATGAAGATATTTCCGACGAAGAAAAATAAAGATTCTACATAAGCTTAAAGTAAACTGGAGAGAAGCTTGGACCTCTCTTCATAAAGCTTCAGGGCTACGTATCATCCCGTATCGTTCGAGGCCCCGCTGAGCTGAGAACAAGGCACTATTTATCTTGGCACTCATTAATAACCCCTACGAGGATTAACTATCCACCAATAATAGCATCCTATCTTATCGCTGGATGAGAAGCTAGAATTACGTCAGGTAACTGATAAAAAGCAATTCCATCTCATACCCACGGGCACAACTATTACAGCGAAGAACCAGGTACGGCCGAAATCGCTGGTCGATCGGGTGAGTTCGTTGTACCTGTCATCATTGCGCTTCTAGAATGCTGTACGAAGCATAGAACAAGATATGTCATTGGTTAGAACAGCAGCTTTGGGGTTGCTGGTGCAATGGTGATATGATCTATCACGAAGTTGTCATCTACATATGCAGGTATATAAATCTGAGGTAGGCTGTAAACCAGGACGAAAACGAATTGATAGGACGAGACATGGGTCAGGGATATAGGCGAAAATAAGTCGAAAGGAGAGCTGAAAAGAGTTGAAAGAGGAGGGGGTGTATTTGGTACGGCTATCAAGAATTGTTCGCATAGTGTATGCAGTCGTACACACATCTGACGTTCTCACACATTATTTTCTCCCCCAACTTCAACTTTTCAATACATAATTCAGGTACGTAATTCTTCAAGGTATTTCGGCATATTGGTCGACAATTATAATAAAACCATCCTGTATATCCCTCAATCATCTGCCTCGTCATGTATACTCCACGATGAAGGGATGAGCGGATTGCGCTTCTTTCTCTTTTCAATGAATAAAATACCAAGTCCGACCCATAATACAGAGAAGCTCCTTCGCACGACGTAATAGCATTCTATCATCGAGTCGCCAAACTAAGATATTTGTGCTTATCACAGATCGTCAATCATGACTACACCTGAAGTATCGCACGGCCGCGGTGGCGCCGGCAACATCAACCCAGATGATACCAAATACGTCGACGGCGAGATCGTGCGACAAGGAGAAGAAGGCAGCCACGGTGACGGCGCATTCAGTACAGGACGAGGAGGTAAGTGCTCACCAACTTCCCCTATTATCTTATTCCTTATCCCACTCTTTCATTAGATAATTACCATACTAACCTCCCTCCCAACAGGAGCAGCAAACATCGCCGACGCCGCCCATCCACCCTCCACAATAGGACGCCTAGACCGCGAAATCGTACCCGAAGAAGCGACGCGCCCCTCGACCGACAACGAAAGCTTCCACGTCGGCCGAGGCGGAGCTGCCAACGTCCACTTGTCTGCGCAGGACCGCGAAGAAAAGCAGCAGAAGAAGGCTGAAAAACATGATAAGCATACTAGTACCAAAGTCGTGGATAGCCCGTCTGCCCCGGGAGCTGCACCGACGCAGGGACTCGCGGATAAGTTGAAGCACAAGATCTTTGGGGTGTTTAAGAAGTGAGGGTTGATGAGATGAGATGGAGTGAGGGTGTGAAGAAAGGGTGGTGGAAGGATTACGGCTCACAGGCGTGCGCGCGAAGGGAGTTGGTGGAGAGAATACGCGAGGTTAATTTCTGCTTTCGATGATGGGGATGAGGATGGTAACGAAGGGACGGGAGAAGATGCGTCTCTTCGAATTCGGCTTATATCCCAGCTAGCAACTTAACGCTGCTTGTCTTGATTTTTCGATTTCAATTAAACTTGCAATATGATATCCTTCTATTTACTGAGATATTTTTTCCGATTCTCATCCAAGACAGCACCAAGGTCGCGCACATCAGGTCTACTGCAAATTTGATTAGACTCATTAAGATGCATTTTAGCCATGGCGGAGATTTCGCTTCACATTCGTCAAGTATATACAATATGTTCAAGCCAAGCTAATATGATTATATATAGGTTCTTTCAATATATACAGTTGATTCGCGAGGTCGTCTGATAAACCCCAGAACTTTTTCTCTTCTCATTTTCATCAAGCCTTCATCCAGCCCAATATATCGTCGTTAGTTTATTTAAGAGCGTTAACGACGGCGGTGTAAGCGGGCTTAGGGTTGAAGCTGCCGTCGAAGAGGAGGGGGTTGTTGCTGGCTCTCCATGAGTCCTATAATATATTTAATTAGATATTTATCCATTTTCACGAGTTATAGCGGGAAGCCTCACGGGATCTCGTACACCCCAGACGGTGATACCAACACACTTAGGCTCGTCGAGGCAAGCCTTGGTCACGGCGGTGTAATCGGCAGCAGGTGCATTGACTATGTCTACTTCTGTGAAAGCAACCTCCTTAACACCAGTGGCGGCGAGGGCCTTAATAGAAGCAGCGGCTTGGCTGGCAAGACCGGACGTCAAGTGAGCCTGCGATCCAATACCGTCGATGGGAACACCGGCGGCGATCCATTTCTTAACGTGGTCGACCATACCCTTGGTTAGCTTGGCACTACATGTAGAAGTTAATAAATAATCCTTGTAGGTCGGTCCTTCAATATATTATATTTAGAAGACCTATGTTGCTGAAGCGGCTTAAAATATAGAATCGCCTCGTATCATAGTCAGAGAAGAAAGGCGTATACGTACGCGTTGGGCTGGTCAAGGTTGTAGTCGTTGATGTATAGGATCGCATCAGGGTCGGCCTTACGAGCGGCCTCGAAGGCAATGCGGACAAAGTCCTCACCCAGCACTTGGGAGAAGACAGACTGGCGCAGGGAGCCATCCTCGTTGAAGATTTCGTTCACAACGTCCTAGATATACGTTAATGAAGGGCTTCGTGGATTTTCACATTGGCAGAGGATGACGAACCCAGGCGCGAATCTTGCCCTTGTATCGGGTAACTAGGGTAGTAACGTGGTTTTCGAGGACCGAGGTCAACTTCGTCTTATCCCTGATGTTGGAAACCCAGCCGGGGAGCTGGGAGTGCCAGCAAAGAGTGTGGCCACGGATGGTCTTGTTGTTTGTCGTCGCCCAGTCGACGAGGTAGTCACCTCCAGCGAAGTTGAACTTTCCTTCCGAGGATTCGGTCGAATCCCACTTCATCGAGTTCTCGGGGGTGACCTGACCGAAATCTGCCTTGATGATATCGGCAGACTTGCCGGTTGATAGGCGGTTCTGATCGGCGCAAGTTCCGTAATACAGTTTTCCCTTGGCCTTGATCAACGTGTCGATGCTATCTGCTGACTGTCGTTCGGCGAGCTCAGTGGGAGCAGCCAACGCTGCCAGAGGGGCGAGAAGGTACAGGAGGGTAGACTTCATGGTTACCGGTATTATCGATGCGGCTGAGTGCTGGACTATACGGCGAGGGACTGAAGTAGGGGACAAAAACGACGCAACGGCTGCGTACCTTGGACTTTATAGTTGTCGATCCAAGTCCATCGGAAGATAATGCCCGCGGTATGTAAGGCTAGGCTGTTGTTCCAAGGTGACATCTAACATGACAATCATTGGAGACTTGGCGGCGGTAAAATAGAGGACATGGTGATTAATTCCCAAGACGGAAATATCGCCTGTCCATAGCCCCTTTCAATTCTTCCCCTGTGTCAACGAGACAAGATTGAGGGGAAAACCGGTGACCCCGGCCCGTCAATATAATAAGGGGTATACGAAGAACGTTAACGAAACAGAGTGAAGAAACACCGTTATCCATATGAAGGGGACTAGACGGCTCTGCGAAAATAGACAACGTGAGGTGCGTTACGCAATAATAGCCTAAACATAATGCTGGCACCGATTATATATGCTGTTGCTATATTATATGGGACTAATTGTCATATTTATAGAACGTGTTCGGTGTCAGGACTCCGAAATAAGGCTTAAAGTAGTCTTGAGAGCTATAGCTTCTTGCACACCTCTCATAATAATGGATTAAATCTTATAATATGAGTGATTCTTGGTTAGGGACGACGAGCGCTAAAATTATATCAATAAGCGGGGTATAATGAGGACTGAGCGCACTTCTTGATCCTGCCACATTCGAATTAGAAGTAAACCTATGTCTAGTAAGTTGTCCTGGTATATCAGCGGCTCGTGTAGTTGAAGCTATGATATTTGGGAACATGCAAGGGAACCTAGGCTTCAACTCACACGTGGTGTAAAGAGTGACCTGGTAAGCGAAATGATGGGGTATACTACCTATAATACAGGCTAAAGGAGGCTACTTGTGTCCCGAACTCGCATAACCATTGGTGGACTTTTTTTTACCTTTATAAGATAGGAGCGTAGGGTGTAGTATTCGCTAATCTATGTCTTCGTAGTTTATACTGCGGTTGAGATCAGTCGATACTTGTCAGGTTATTCGTATTTCCTAATACAGCATTATCAATCTATGATGTATGTATGGACCAAAAATGGTATCTTGACATTACCACTAAATTTAGAGGAAGCGGGACGGATTGGATCGAGTCTAGCTCTTGATCTTTAGTCTTGTGTATGTCGAACCGGTAAGATCGCAAGATCGAGTGACCACATGCTAAAAAGCTTGGTCTTGCTTGACCATGCCTATCTGAGTTGGCATCTGCTAGGGTGTTTCCCAGATTGAGAAGCAGCTTAACAAGTTATGTTGGCTTTGTGGGAACCATATGTGATAGTATACTTATTATTTAAATTGGGTCGAGAAGAACCAATGGACGAAGAATCGCTAATAAGCCTGGTATATGTTAATTAAGAGTAATCTACCCGAGGTAGACCTCTGCGGTGATGGGGTCAATATGGCTCGACATTGTTCTTTTGGAAAGGTATATGTCCAGGTAGGTATTTAATATCGTTCTCGAAAGTTCGGTCGCTGTATGTAGGTACGCAAGAAGCGTTCACACGAGTAGATTGCTTTAGTAGCTGATCAAATGTGGGACATATTCAAGCTTTCGGGCTTTCTCGTCGGACTCTCCACGATGGTCCCATGGGGTTTAGTGACGATCCCTGCTTCTCAGCCTCGCTTCCTGTTTCCCCGCAGTATCATGGGATATCGTTCGTGAACCATCAGGCCATGAACGAGGGGTAGGAGGTAGGTTGAAACCGCCCTACATACATAGGTAGTTCCTATTGTAGCTAGGGTGCCTATATACCTCCTAAGTTAGGGGGAAACATGTATCGTGTATGGTGTGTATGGTGTGTATGGTACGTGGTATGTAGTATGGATTATGGATTATGGAGGCATGCCCAGGCCTGGAGATTCAAAGACCCATTCTTTTTTTTTTCTTTGTGCGAGAGAAAGGGTTCACCTGCATTTTCTCCTCCTTCGTCATCTTTTCATCATTTCCATTATCCATTCGGTTTCAATTTCAGTAGCCTTGCCTTGACTTGGGGGTTGCTGCGACGCTTATCGGAAATATAGCGAGCCAAAGAATAATACTTTCACCGTCGCATTCTCGACCTTTGGGGGTCCCTGCATCGATCATGCTAAGGGTCGAATCAGACCGTTGAATAGGTCCTGTGTGCGCGATAGGTCAACTACCTAGCGGGGAAGAAAGAGAGAAAGAAAACATCGTTGGAGGCGGTAGGAGAAAAAAAGATACGATTAGGGTCAGGAACAGGAAGTCTTTGAAGGTTACGAAGTACTCGCCCAGCTAAAAAAGATCAACCAACCGATGAGCTGGAACCTTAATACAAGGCAATTACCAGGTAATAATTAATTAAATCAAACTCAAACTCAAAATTCTCATAATCATAAGGTTCGACTCAATTCATTTAGCTTCCGATTCTTAAAACGTTCCAGCTGATTGGAGCACCTGAGCTCTCTTAAGTCTTTTAAGACACTGCTAAAATACCCGTGGAGGACCCTGCTGACAGGGCTAACTTTAAGGTTTAGGTGACGCGCCCTAGGCAACTCTACAGGCAGCTCCAGGCAGCTTCAGGTGACACAGCGCCATATCGTCATCCACCCACACCCCTAATCTCCCCTAATAAACGGTACTAAGCGCGTTCCGACCATCCCCATCCAATTATGGTCCCTCGGAATGAAGAACAGCTACGGCGCCCAGGTCCAAACTCCCGCTTACTTTCCGTCCAGTCCATCGTTTCTAAGCGTTCCTTTCGTTCTCACTCTTCCTCTTTCGAAGCCGACGATGAACGATCAACTTCTACCGAGTCAGGCAGAATGACACCTCCCCCAAGTATCGAAAATGGCCCACCTCCAGGTCGTTACTACGGCGAAGATACTCGTTCGACCAGCACCAAAGAGCTTGCTGGTTGGTACATGTATGCTTTTGCAGCCGAGACATATGTGATATGCGGTCAGTCTGTCTATACTTATTCATGATGCATCTACGCTTTTCTAAAACACCACGCCATCGTTGGAAATAATACTGACAATCATTAGCCATTTGTGAGTAGCTGCGTTTCCTCTAAAACATTTACCTACATGCCATAGCTCCCCGTCCTGCGATATTCGAAAAGCGCTCGATCTTACCCGTCACGAATAAATCTATACACGTAACCATAATCATATTCTGTGAAACCCGAGCTTACCGATTGCGAACAGCTTCGTTCATTCCCATCCTATTAGAGAGCTTGGCAAGAGAAAATGGTGTTCTTCTATCTGACCGGGAAACGCCCTGCGGTGACAACTCAAATGGACAATGTATCGTCACCGTCCTCGGCATCGAGATTAATACCGCAAGCTTCGCCATGTATACCTTCAGTATCAGCGTCCTTCTCCAGGCGTTGTTAGTCGTTAGCATCAGCTGCGCGGCTGATCACGGCAATTACCGAAAGCGTTTATTACTGACATTTGCTTGGGCGGGGAGCCTCTGCGTCATGTGCTATATCTTCATATTTAAAGAGATATATATGCTAGGCGCATTTCTAGCCATCATCTCCAACACATCATTCGGCGCGTCATTCGTTCTCTTGAATTCATTCTTACCGCTTCTCGTTCGTCATCATCCGAAAGTACAAGAGTCTGTAGCTGGAATACCAGAAGATCCGGAGCTAGAATCAGATACGGACACGCCAATTGGAAGTCGGTCTCTATCAACCTCTCCCACCCTCGCTGAACACCCGTTAAGTAACTCGACAAGTGCTTTACTCCCACGAAACGATGCCGATTCCGATATCCACGATCTACGACGGATACCGACTCACGAGGAGCTAACTTCCATAGAGCTCCAGCTTTCTACACAGATATCCGCACAGGGAATCGGCATCGGCTACGGTGCTGCTCTATTTGTGCAATGCGCTTCCATCATGATCCTTGTGGGAATGGGTAGTTCCACTTGGTCTCAACGAGTTGTTCTCTTTTTTATAGGAGCTTGGTGGGCTATCTTCACAATACCAGCAGCCATATGGTTGAGGCCTAGACCTGGACCGCCTCTCCCAGAGAGTCGACACCAAGGCTCTCGTGCTTGGTTGTCGTATATTGCTTACTCTTGGAAGAATCTATATCGAACTGTCAAGCTAGCGCGCCGCTTAGTTGACATTTGTCTATTTTTAGCTAGCTGGTTTCTTCTTTCCGACGCCATTGCGACAACATCTTCGACTGCGATATTGTTCGCCAAGACGCAACTAGGCATGAAACCGTGGGCGTTAGGCATGATCAACGTTATAACTACGACTACAGGTGTTTTGGGTGCATTCAGTTGGTCATTCATCTCTCGGCATTTCAAGTTAAAGCCACATCAAACCGTGCTTGGTTGCATCGCTCTTTTCGAAATCATCCCCATTTATGGTCTCTTGGGTTACTTGCCTTTTATTCAACGGTGGGGGGTCATCGGACTTCAAAAACCGTGGGAAATGTACCCACTAGCTGCCATTTATGGCTTTGTTCTCGGCGGACTGAGTTCCTACTGTCGGTCATTATTTGGCGAATTAATCCCTCCTGGATCGGAAGCTGCATTCTATGCTCTATACGCCATCACTGATAAAGGTTCGAGTATATTTGGCCCTGTTATAGTTGGAGCAATCATTGACGCGACTGGCGAGATCCGTCCGGCATTCTGGTTTCTGGCAGCATTAGTTGGCGTTCCGGCACCAATCATTTACTTCGTCAATGTCGAACGTGGCAAGTTCAACAGCGAGAAACTAGCCGAGGTGATAGAGGGGTTCAAGAGCGCAGAAAATACCCAATCAAGTACACCTCACAACGGGTTTGAAAGTCAAGGAATGCTGCATAATTATGATAGCGAGGATGGTGAAATTGACGGCCACGCGAGGCCATAATATTGTCGAATTTATTCTAGACGTGTGGGGTCTATCTATCTTAACTTGCATAGCGATGGCGTTGACTATAATGGACTCCCTTTCACGATACCTAAAGGAAGGCTTGGATAGACGATACTCTTAGGTACTTAGCTCTAGACCGGACCAATTTAATTGCATTTTAAGCATACATTAGTTATGAGACAGATGTGAAGAGAGCAAATACGTTTGCCCCAGGCATAGCTAATAGTTAACTATTCGTAAGCCTAGTAACTAGTTGAGTCAAGCAAATTGGCGTCCCAATACCTCTTCCGAAGATTGCTCCGCCGGTCGTTTATTTTGTTCGTCAGAGGAGGATCCTAATATCTTGTAAGCCACGGTGCTCAAACTCAATAACTCCCATGGGTATTTTCGGTCGCCTTGGACTTCATGGCTTTTATCTGGGAGTGATAATTGAGATCTGCCGAGGCGACGTCGTCGAAAGACTCGACAGTGGTCCCTCCATGCGTAGAGATTCGCGCCCTAGAGCGGCATATGTTATGGATGAACTTACGCATCCCTGAGAAATTTGTTTCGCTTGGTGTAGGTGGAATATGCGGTGGTGCGCTGTCGTTAGGCGCGAGATCCGACGAGCTCCCGTTGGGACTCTGGTTAGGGCTGCGTCGTTCCCTTATCTAGGAGCGTACTGATTTGCTGAGGGTCGTGAAGCGGCCAACGAATAGAACGAAGATGACTGGCAACGAAAGGCAAATGAGGCCGACGTTCAGCTCAGCGAGGCTATTGTTGTTGGATTAGAATTGATGCATTATAGTGAGGGCTGGGGGTTCACAGCAACTCGGGATGATGATAGGTGACGAATGTCTTCTTACCTCGTAGCGTATACCGGGACTATAGTCCAGGTAAAATCCGATCCATCAAATACTTTCTTATTTTGTCGGATGATCAAATTGGTCAACCCAGCACCAGTCGCACTACGAATTAATTAATATTAACAGAAATCTCATTTAGATCGAGCAATTACTTACAGTAAACCCGTGAGGAAGATTAAGCTAACGCCTATCTTCCTCTTTAGGGACAGACCGAGGCCCGGTATTCGACGGAGGGGAATCAACAAGATGTAAAAATCCGTAAATACAGAAACATAAGCAGCCGCAGTGATTAGAGGAACAGATATTCGGCCGCACCGATCTATGAAAGACGGCGCGACCCAATTACCGCCCTCACTTGGCCAAGGAGCGCACGCCACAAGGTCAATGATGACGAAAGCGACGCAAAACGTAACCACTACAGCCATACCGGTCCAGATCATGTATCTCACATGGGTCACAAGTTTAAATATTCTGAGATAGAATACCAGAAAGGCGATCTTAATCGTGGTGTTGGTAATGCGAGCAAGAACCGCATCGGCCAGTGAACCCCGTAGTCAGACTAGCATGAGCAGGACGACCGGATATTGGCACAGCTTGAAAGCCTTACTTTCTGGTACTCAATATAATGCGAAAGTGGGACATCCCAGAAATGAATTCCTAATATACCGCCGCCTGGCTTCCAGAGGACTATAGAATATCAACTTAGTATATTTCAAGCCGGGTCATCATGAAATGGAGACCAGAAAACATACGCTTAAGGACGAGGGCGGAGTAAGACAGCGTAAGAACCTAGATCATGCGTTGTATTAGCAGCCCTGTCTAATATTCAAGTTCTAAGCCCGATAGAAGCCATTGAGTTTGTATGGGAAACCCTAACCGTTGCAATTATACAGAGCCCTCAATGGACAGGTGGATTAGCTTGAAAGAGTTGTTATGAGCAATGCTAGTCAGGGGGGCTTACAATCATCGACGCCGAATGAGCGAGTTATTCTCAGACGAGAATATATTCGCAAAGACCCAACTAAGAAAACAACAGCAGATAACACGGCAATTAAGATGTATAACTGGTAAGATCGTGATTCAGGATTAGTGAAGTTAGACTCCTGCCCTGGAGGCGGCTCTCTCGACGGAGTACGATCCAAATATCCGGGATCCATACTGAGTGATAAATATCTGCGCTGCCTGAAGATTATTTCAAGTTGCAATTCAGACGGTAACCGCAGCCATGGAGAAGAACGAATAGGTATTGTTATACGTGTTGGTGTTGGATGAACGGCTTGCTTTTCTTTCATCCTGCTCGCCCTCCCTTACTCCAAAGCCAAGTTACACAAACGAGGAGCTCGTGAAGTACCTACCCGAAGAGGTACAACTCACCCTCCCTCTCTGCAGAAGTATTCATCCATCTTCACGAAAAGTAGTTGCGTTCCTTCCCCACCACTCGTATCGAATGAACGGCACTCCTTACCCGTTCGCCTTCGCTCATCACTCAAATCACTCGTATACTTAAGCAAACAGTCGAAATGAGTTCCCCAAAAGGGACGGTCATTGTTACTGGTGCCAATGGAGGTCTCGGAAGCGCGATCGCCGAGCAAGTTTCTTCCGAACCAAAATTCAATGGGTATCACAGCCTCTTCGCAGTCCGGGATGCAAAGCAAGCGCCCGCTCTGGAATCCGTTCTCTCGAAAGAATCGCATAGTCACGAACTTGTTTCCCTTGACTTAGCCAACCTTGATCATGTACGCCAGGTCGCTGAGGATATCAATGCGCGCGTTGCAAGAGGAGAAATCCCTCCGATTCAGGCGCTGATTCTCAATGCCGGATTCCAGGATTTCGGCAAGCAAATTTGGACCGAGGATGGTTTCGATGTAACATTTCGCGCGAATTATCTCGGCCATTGGTTATTAACGCTGCTACTTCTGAAGAGTATGAATAAAGAATCCGGTCGCATAGTTGTAATCGGAAGTCAATCTCATGAGTAAGTCTCCGTTTAATGCCTATTTTGTTTTAAATAAGCTGACATGAAAATGACCTAGTCCGTATGATAAACGCAATGAAAGCACGGGAGTTTTTACGGAGGAGAGGTACAAGACCGTGGTGACTGATCAGGCTGGTTTTGATGCAATAGCGAAAGGCACCTGGAGTTCCGCGAAAGAGGACCCGTCATGGCGAAGCGGGTTCCGTCGCTACGGCGCATCTAAGCTCTTCCTCGTCATGATGGTCTATGGACTCCAACGCCGAATGAACACAGATCCCGTTCTAGATAATGTCTGTATCCTGGGTGTCGATCCGGGTACTATGATGACAGGTCTACAACGCCGCGCGACTTGGTTTATTCGGGTTCTCATATTTCAGATTATTTACCCAATCATCGCTTTTCTTATACCGAACGGACCAGTGCGAACTACTGGACAGTCTGCCTCACGGGTGTTACATGCCGCGCTTGAATCGAGTCCAGAACTGGGGGCATCTCCTAAAGGATTATATTTCCTTGGCGAGGAGCTTTATGAGCCGAGTGCTGAGTCCAGAGATACTCATAAGGGGGACTTAGTTTGGAAGGAAAGTGTGAAGTATACGCACTTGGAAGAGCGCGAAACTATTCTAAGAAATTGGCAGTGATTAATAGTTGAGATGCCTACCTCCCCTCCAGGGCTGTAATGAAAATGAAAATTACAGCATACTGCGCATTGAAATTGAAGATCTGATTGGCTGATTTTTCCTACTAGTGCTGTATGTCTTAGAGAGATTTGTTTGTAAGTACCTACCTACCTAGGTACATACATTGTAGGTAGGCTACCTAGCTGTTAGATAAGTGCTTGTTTCGTAGCAACATTGAACCTTGTACCCTCTATAAGTTTCTTCAATGTCAAATGATAAGCATTCACCACAAGGTATACCTTTTTTTCCTTCTCTTAAAATAAATTGGTTTTGTAGGCGAGTCCTACATATGAGTGTATGAAAGGTGCGTATGGGTGCGTACATCCTAGCTACATACACACATTGCAGATCTCTTGTGTTGATAGCTACCTAGGTACTTGTATATATACCTGGTGTTTTCAACATGAACTTTCCTCCATTTCGCGCATCTAATTCTCATCCTGACTTCTCCAAGGACATCACGGGTATCTATGCCTTCCTAAAGTTTAAACTTACCTGCTGTTAGCGAGAGCCTGATGATGCAGGTGCAATTGTGCGTTAGATGATGGCTAAATCGGGATAGGTCTGGCAAGGAACGCGCCATCGCATAACTCATTACCGATAGCTGCGATTCTTTTCCCTCTCTTTCTTTTTTGGTTTAACAATACCAAATTCCTTTCCTATTGTCCCTAATCGGGTCTGCAACGTCCACAAGGCGCCCATGCCGTATCCTTGCTCTTTGTGAAGCTGGCTTTTTTTATTTCTATTTTTTTCCCCTGCGCTCCTAATATCTTGGTAGCTCGAATTGAAATCGCTCTGTATTGTCAAGCCAGGTTTCTACAATTGCTGCGTACTATAGGATCCATTTCGAGAGCTACCCAGATACCTAGTAGCTAACAGACCTAACAGATGCGCCTAGCTGCCACATAATCAATCCCCTTCCCCGCCACATCCGTTTCCGGCTTATGATTTTCTCAATCGCAACACCCGCCTGAAGCTCGTCGAAGGTCGCGAGCTTCTACCCTCCATCAGCACACACGCGGTAAGATTCGCTTAGGTATTACCGTAATCGCGTCTTCCTAGCTAGGTAGCTACCATTTGCTTGTTAGCTTCCATTTGCGCCCATTACCGACTGCGCGAATCGACCAAACATTTCTCTACGCCCTCCTAGTACAACCAACATCCACTCCACAGTCCTAGATCGCGTCTACCCAACGTCCACTCCCAAGTTTAACTATTCCTCGTTTAAACTCTACGACGATGGCGACCGCCCGTAAACGCCCACGGGCAGACTTAGAGGAGAGCCAAGCCGAATGTCCTTTTAGTGTTTGTCATCCCGACCCGAACGGAAAAGAAAAGAACGCGAAGCGCCGGCGGCAAGAATCCGAGGAGCACCCACAACCTAAGATATTGCTTCAACCTAGTCCCTTTGCATTCTCGGGCGAGTTCAAGGATCCCAACAATACCATGGATAGGCATTATCAAGTTCAGCCCTATCAGAAATGGATGGATATGACGCGCTACAATAGCTTCGTCCGTAGGTGCCCTTACCTTTCTTACCATATGCGCGCATTAGACTCATAACATATTTTTGTATTAGTCAACGGTGTTAAGTATTTTAGCGAAGGCTTCATATATGTTGCCAACAATTCGACAATCGAACGGCAGAAGAATCCCGGCGAAGCCTCACAACCTCGAAAAAAGTCCGATGACGATTGGGTTGCGAGGATCCTCGAGATCCGAGCGAGCGACGAGCATCACGTCTACGCGCGAGTCTATTGGATGTATTGGCCAGATGAATTGCCGCCGGGCACACACGATGGGAAGAGATGCATTACAGGAAGACAATGGTATCATGGCGCAAATGAGTTGATCGCGTCCAATCATAGTATGTCCAGTCAACTTTCCACTTTGGTAATTTCCCTCTAATAAGTGATAGTGGACGTCATTAATGTGGTCAGCGTTACTGCCGCAGCAACTGTTAATCAATGGGACGAGAATAACGAGGACGAGGTACAGGCAGCCCTTTATTGGCGTCAGGCTTTCGATGTTCGCAGCTTGGAACTTTCTGTAAGTACTAGGAACGCTCTGCTTTTTCGTAATTAATCAACTAATGAGACACAGTCCGCCGAACTGCGCTGTAAATGTAATCGTCCCGAAAACCCAGACAAGAGTCTAATCGGCTGTTCGAACGATAATTGTAAGAAATGGCTTCACGATGAGTGTTTGATTCATGACGCGCTTTTGAAGACGTATGATCGCCTAGGCATCGACAAACCCTATATGCCTACGCCGGTGAAGAAAGAGGAAGCTGAGCAAAGTGCCAAACGACCACTAAGTCCTAGCGAGACAGGCGCAGCGCAAACAGCTGAACAGTCGATCGACGTAAAGGCGGAGGATCGCACAGAGACTTTCAAATTCGCCGACGTCGAGAGTCCCGCCAACGACTCGAAGAAGACAAATGGCATTGTTAAGACCGAAAATAAGAAAAGAGGACGACCACGGAAATCAGAGTCTAGCGACCCGACTTCAGTGAAACCGTATGAAGGATTATTTAAAGCTACGCTCATTGAAGACGACCCAAACGCACCAGTTCTCGAAATCACAGACCTTCGAAAAAAGGCCATGGGCGGGGACAAGTCGTGGACCGAGCCACTTCACTGCCTTGTCTGTAACCATGAGATCAAGTAATAGTGCTCCACACTGATGTGCTATAACTACGACAGCTGCAAGACGACACAGGCCGTCTTAGGTTTGACAAGTATATATATCGAAGTCACTCACGCTTTTGTGGCGAGCTTCTATTGGTTTTTTCTCCTTCCCGCTCGGCGTTTTGGAAAATGGTTCTATGATATCCTACATTTCTCTAGTGGGGTGGTTGTTTGTGTTTTCGATCTCTGCTGGAAGTTGGGTCGAGTTGTTGAAGTAAAGCAGATTGCAGTATCGTGTAAAATGGAACGGCGGAAGGTAAAAGTTAAGGATTGCGAGGGAATTAATACCCTCGTGCGCTTGGAAGGGATAACAGAGCTTTTCGGTTCGTTTTAGGTATTTGATAATGGGTGTAGCTCTGTAGTTTGTGTTAGCTGACAATGCTACTAACAAGTGCGTGGTTGTGGAAAGTGTATGCGGTTGGATTTGTATATACAGTATTTGTGAGAAGCGCCATTTGTGGCTGAATAGCAAGAATGAGAACCTTGGAAGGAAAGATTCTTTGAAGCTGGCGTATGATCTCCTTTTTATATGGGTGGGTTACGCTCACTTATGATATAGTTCTTTGTTAATCAGCCCAGGTATGGGTTGCACGACAGTTAATAATTACACTGCCTACCTAGGTACCTATCTAAGTAAGTAAGCTGTTCAAAAAATGGCAGTACATACGAACCAAGTTGAACTGGTATATTGAGATTAAGAGGATAGGGCTAGGACTTAGAAGGTAATGTCTCATATGAAGTTAGGACTCATATGGTAAGTCCTCCGAACGCTATTCAAGTTGCCCTATTTTATGTAGAATGCTACTCTATTTTAGTTTATTTACTTTTTATCTATAAACACGGTGGCAATTGTTGGCTTTTTGAACTAACCAATTTTGATTTACACATACCTCAACCTCACGTCAGAGGTGTGAATGGAAAAGGTTGGCTGCAGGTGAAGCTTCCACTTATTTATTCAGTGTTCCTTTCGCATACAAATAACCTTCAAGCTACGTAAGCTAAGGTACCTACCCCGTAAGGAAAGGGGCTCCACTTTTCTGTATTACCCCACCATTACTTCAAACGGTTCTGGTGTCAACCTTGTCAACCTTCAGATGTTCCCCCTCCAACATTTATCAAGGCTTGGATCTGTCTCTTCATCAACGACAACTACCACTCCGGATTCTCTTGTCGAATGCGTGCGATATTTATGGAATTACCACATCGCGGATATCATTGACGAAGTTGTAACCATAGCCCAGCCTTCTCAACCCGAACCGGTCACCAACACCATGTCTGCTGATCCCTTCGACTCGGCTCTGTACGTATTCTCCCTCTGAAACGCCATGTCTCCTTACTGCGCCCTTTGCTGCCTCACACATTTCGTCAGTAGTAGATAGAACAACACCATTCACTATGTACCTCACTACCACAAACATAAAACCGATATAATGCATAACAATATGGTACCCAACGACTAACCTCATACCAACCCAACAGCGACCTTCTCCGGCGTTTGAACCCGAAACACACATCAGCGCATCTCGACTCGCTGATCCGACTTGCACCAGACCTAACAGAAGACCTACTATCGTCGGTAGATCAACCACTCTCGGTACGACGATGTAAGCAGACTGGGCGCGATTATCTGCTATGTGATTACAACCGTGATGGTGACAGCTACCGGTCGCCGTGGAGCAACGAGTTCGACCCCCCTCTCGACTCAGCCCCCTCCCTTCCCTCGGAGAAGGTCCGTCGCATGGAGGTCCGCGCAAACGAAGCCTTTGATCTATACCGTGATTTGTACTACGAGGGCGGTGTGAGCAGTGTGTATTTTTGGAATCTGGATGATGGATTTGCAGGCGTGGTGCTGTTGAAAAAAGGTGAGTTTCGATTATGAAATACCTCCTTGTGAGACGCAGGACAGGTATAATCCCACATTTGGATTTTACTAGTTTGAAGAATTGCTTTTCATCGTTTCGTCGTTATCTTGATTATATGGAGGTAGCGTATCGGATAGCCGCCAAGACAGAAGCAGGCGCCATGCCTCTCCTAGATTCTCAGGTTGCTCCATCCAAGACATCGGCTTTTAGATATAGTAGAAAGAAATGGTGTTATTTGGCTGGGTTCAAATTCGGAGGTTACAGATCTTGCATTTAGGATCTGAGACCTTGGAATGGCGCCCATGGCACGCGGAGGACAAACGACACAGTAGCGTCGGCGAATATTTACTTTCTGATCTACACTGCATACGGAATTCCCGCAGCTAACGATTCGTGTCCGTACCAGAGGCTAAACCAGGTAGCGCCAGCGAAGGCACCTGGGATTCGATCCACGTCTTCGAAGCTATCGATCGAGCCCGTTTCACTCAGTACAACCTCACATCTACCGTTATTCTATCATTATCTACAAACTCAAACAGTCTTGGAGACATGGACCTTTCGGGCAACATGACGCGACAGATTGAGATCGAACTGCCGGCAGAAAGTGATGAGCAGCAGATCGCCAACATCGGGAAACTCGTCGAGGATATGGAACTCAAGATGCGAAATCTGCTGCAGGAGGTTTACTTCGGCAAGGCTAAAGATGTGGTTGGTGACTTGAGGAGCGTGGGAAGTTTGAGCGAGGGTGCAAGAGACAAGGAGGCACAGAAGGAACTTATCGGAAGCATGATGCGATGACCGGTGACATCGAACCATCAAGACGACATTTTCGAATATGTGATGACAGGGAAAGGTTTCCGCTCGGCCGTGAGTATGCTCATGGGGCTTTAGGAGACGACGAATTACAGTACGACGAGTATAACAGTGATGACAAGAAGTTGCACAACAGCGACAGATCGGAATGAGAGCACGTCGTAGAGTCTCGGGAAATATGTCTGAGACCTGGATAGCTTCGTGTCATGGTCCAGGGGAAGAAATATTTTAGATTACCTAGACATGAGGCTTCCGTCTGCTCAGGCATTAAAAAATTCCCCCAGTGGTTTTGTAGATCCAATGACCCCTCTTAGAGATCTTGATCATACGATCTTTTTCCGGCTTCAGCACGGGGTAGTAGCAGATGTGTAATAATAACTCGTCTAGTATAGGGTTATGCCTATTTGTAAGATATCTAGATCGATCTAGGTTCGTCAATGTGGCCTACCTAAGGTTACATATATGTACCTATCACTTCTCCAAATCTTGTTTTCTTCTGCGACTCGGGAACGTTGTCGAGGATTGATGATGCTGATGAATGACCTAGCTGCCTTCCTGTTTCGAGTAAGACAGGAAGTTCGAGAACGAAGAGGAGATCCAGTAATAACATCAGGCAGTCAACCCATGGACCATTTGAACCAACCAACCAACTACAGGTAGTTAGTACGACACCCCTTGCATAGTCCGGATGGGTTTCCGGCTGCGGGACGGTAGCAGTAGCATTGAGACAGAGCAAACACTTTTTGTTATTTTCGGTGTGCTTGGTATGCTTGTATGGATGGGTATGTGAAAAATACAATGGGAAAATAACAATGGATATGTCTGAGAAAGGGGGGGGGTGAGGAGAGGGAAAAGTCGATCTCCCCGGTTCAGGTTTCATTGTTTCAAGGACGATGCCGTGTCCATGGTTTGTGCGTATGGTACGTATGTAGGTACAGTAATGTGTATGTGTATTGTTATATTTTGATGTGGGATGTCCACTATGACTTGCATACCCAACCCGGCCGCCGAGCCCAGCGCTTGGTTCCGGATAGGATACGTGGTATCATCATCATCATTAATTATTCTTAAATTTTTTTTCTCGCCGGTGGCCTTGTGGGATGGATTAATTACATATGCAGGTACATAGTGATCAAGAACGAAAAGGGGGGGAAGACGAGAAAAAATAGGGGTTAAGTTGATTTAATTTTAATTATTATCTTTTTTTACTTCTTTTTTTATTATTTTTTTCTGTCTTCCTTCCTTTTCTTATTCGACTGACTACCTTCAGCACGGGAGGGATGTAGCGATGCAATGGAACATTACCACGTTTCTGCATCATCAATTTACGCGTGCGTATTATTTTTTGTTTCGTTCGTAACAATCCCTGAAAGGGGAAAGGGAAAAACATAATAAGAATTTCAAAAATAATAAGGGTCAAAGCAGAACCGGTTCTCCAACGATCCTCGTATGGGTTTTACAACTAGCCGACGATCATCGTTTTCCAGAACAAGTCCGGATCGTGGGATGGGTCTTATTTTTGCTTTTTCTTTTTTGGATGGAGCGGATGCAGCCGCTGTGTCGCGTGGCTGGCTATTTAGTCCCGATTCTTTTCTTGAAACCCATGTGTGGACGTAAGGGGAACCATTCTGTTCAAGACAAGTTTTCAGACGATCTCTGAATGGATGACTCGTAAAAAAAGGGGTCTTGTTTTGTCTAGCGAGCGGGGATTTGGGAAAAGAATAATAAGTAGGCTTCGAAATAAAATTACTTGCGTAGATCTAGACTCGGGCAGATGCAGGAAGATGTTCTGCGATATTATAACATAGAGCCGCTAGTGACGGATGACCAAGAGCTAGGTATTTGGAGCGTACGACTGTGAGACATCTATCCGAAAGATGTGGAATAGGCGTAATGTCTAGCTTCCGTCCTGCCGAGTATACTAAAAATTTTATATACCGTACTAGGTAGGTCTTAAAGTAAACCAGGCGGCTGTTCTAAGTCAATGTATCTAACTATGCTCTGGATACGACATTTTCAGATTTGGGAGGTTCTTGGAAAAGATGGGAAATTTTTCTCTGTTGGGGGATTCTAAGTAAAGACGGTAACCGAGATAGATCATCCTATATCCACGCGGCCTCCGGGGAGTGCATCCGGTTGCTCAAATCGAACACATTCTGCCTGCCTTGTCTGCCTGCCTCTTTGGCGCGCATCGGAAATTGTAAGTTGCTGGTCCTGCGTTGCTGCTTTTCTCCTGCATATCGGTAAGGCCCTTTTGTGAATAGCCTGTGGTCAAAGATATGGCCTCTTCGGCTGCGGGCCAAGCCAAGGAAAGGCAGCAAACAAAAGAAAGGGAAGAAAAATCAGGTTGTTGGCTGACAACGCCTTAAATGATGTGCACCGCATGGAATGTTTCTAGAAGGAAGTTCCGTTTTGATTTTTGCCTGCCCGCGCGCCATTCTCCGGCCAGGGATGGTATGCTAAGAACGAGGGACGGGGGGGGCAAGGGGTGTCCCGGACCTCCTCTTAATAGGATAAGGGGTACACAGATGGAATTTCCCTTGTAAGCACTTATGTAGGTGTGTATGTGCGTACATAGCTAATGTACGTAGGTATGTAATACATATGTATATAAAATACGTACATACGGCCTTCGACCAACAATATTCGAGTCTTTAAACGTAGTATCTCCACCCCCTGCTTCTAAGAGATTCGTAGACATGCAGATGGGGGGCATGCTGCGGATGGTGCACGAGTCTTGCCACCAGAGAAGGTTTCTCTGCAGAAGAGAATTTTCGGTTGGCGGAGAAGGAGTGGGAGAGACATTGCATATGTAGATTAGCGTAATAAATAAGATGACGGCACTTGGGAACACCATGTAGGTGGGAGTTAGCGGATTCCAAAGTATGAGCTTACACAACAGGACGGTTTCGGTACTCTCTCTGCTAAAACGGACCTGGAATATTCGGAATAGGTCGGTTAGTGCTTATGATGAGCCCTGCGAGAGTGGTGTCATTATGTGCCATCCGCGCCGTAAGTTGGTATTACATATACACACATACACAAACCAATACCTACACATAAGAGAACGAAAGAAGATATGCTTGCGAGAGATATGGGATTGGTGGTAGAGACGGGTTAAAGTGGAAGAAGAGTGGAATGCTAGAAACGAACGATAGATATCGTGGGTTCGCGTGGGTCCCTGACGGTACTTTATCTAAAGTGAATGTGGGTTTGAGGGACAACAGGGGGCGGGGAGGAAAGACTCAAAGCAGATGGGCTATCTGATACAGACGATCCTCAAAGTCTGGGGACGTTTGATATTGAGATTGATGATGGAGCTGATGGAGATGAAAACTGGCTTGGCTGGAGATCAGACAACATCTCGCCTACGGTGCTTAATACCTAATACTAACAAAAAGAGCCTCTTTTTATCAATATGACGATATATAAGATGTCTCACTCCAACCACCCCTGTCTTGAAAGTGGATAGACGCTTGAAAAGTGTCGACTGGTTTGATACAAGACTAGGTCTAGCAAGGTCTAGATCTAGACAATGAGAAGGAATTAAGGTCTCATATGATCCTCGTGAACGTCTGCAACATTGATGCATCTCGGGACTATTTTTCAGAAGAATGGAACCCAATTATTAGCCGTTGTAGATAGTCATGAATATTGAGGTAGGTACCAAGCATTGGGGGTTTAGCAAATTCTGTATAAGTGGCTTGGCGAACATAGTGCCTATGCCGTAAACTTGTAGCCTATGTGTAGCGAGCGTAAGTGGCAAATACTTCGCTAGGTATTGTCGCTTTTATACCGACCCTGACTGTATTAATAAATGGATGTAGGTCTATAACAACATCAGTATGGTGACGCATTGCGTATGAGTTTCACATTGAGTACTTACATAGATTAAAGAAGCAATCTTGATCTTTTCCGTCGCCTCGGTTCGTTTGAGTCTCTAACAGGGTCTAACCATCGAAGAGTCCATTAATAAGCGTAAAGTTTAGTTGTCTCTTATCCTTAACTCTACTCTATCTCTTATTCTTATTTCCATTTGACTTTTAGAGAGCACCTAATGCATGTATGTCATCATTTGGATTTGTATGATTTATATGTATGTATAATGTTAATAGAAATCTTTCTTATTTTCTTAATTGTATTCTTCTCTCTTCTGCTTCCTTCCAGCAAGATACAAGAAATAGTCTCGGGCTACGGTCTCATCAATTAATAATATTATATCAACATCGACGTTTCTTTGACACCCTTTGAGTTACATTGCATAGTTACTATTGTACGATACGTACGTTACGAGGCGGTGACCATTCTATCTACTTTGGTACTTGCAACGTAATGTATCTATTGTTGAGTCGGTACGAGTTTACATCCATACAAGACCTACATCAACGTGCATAGACAATGTATTCATCAATGGGTGTATACACACACATATTTTAGGGTCTTGTTGATAAGACTTCATTATCATGAAATGTGTTCACAGCATCTTCGCACTGCGCACTGTTAATTCTGTGCTCCTGTGCTCACTGCCCAGTGCTGAAGTGCTTATTTCGGAAGCCAGGTAGAGCCTAACAGGGCCTGACAAGCCTAATAAACTCATCTAAACCCTGCTAAGTACTAGGTGGACTCATACCAGAATGTAGCCTTTTCTCAAGCCCGGACCTGCCTGACCTACCTAACCTAGCAGCCTACATGTACCTAACCTAAATAAACCCCCCCCTTCCCAGCGATCCATCTTGCGCGCGGACAAGGGGGTCGCAGCCAAGGCACATTTTTAGCGGTTACCGCAATCACTGGGTGCATAAATGAACCATAAGGAGCCACCCGCTGGGTCTCCACTTACCTCTGCTTCTCCTGATACTCCATCGACCATTAACCCATGCTTCCTGGAACTTTGCCAACTGAACTAAACTAACCTTCTGACTGACCTAACCGATTGAACTAAACTGAACCTGACTGCCCTGCCTGCCTGCCCTGCGTGTGTGCTGGGATTGGGCTTGCGGGCGCCGTGGTGGCGGCCTCTCCTCCCCCCATCGTGCATGTTAGTGCACCCAGGTAGGTACACTTTACGTACTGATCTACGCTACGACAGGTTACAGGTATCATTTTCTCTTGCTTTTTTTTTTTTTTTTTCGTCTTCTTTCCACCCCTAGTGTTCTTTTCTACATACAGATTCATACGTAAGTACATACATACGTATGGTAGACATTCATGTTCTTGTTCTTCTCGTCATGTTCCATACATCCCGTACCGTACGTACATAATAATAATAATAAATCCCAAGCCTCCCCTGCGTCACATTGCACATTACGGCACATTATTTTGTTTTTCTTTTCTATCTGTCTCTCTGTCTTCCCGGCTGGGGTAGCACCAAGACCATCCAAGTACATACATATTGGAACAAGTTAAAATAAATCTGATTCCTTCCAAAAGGACGAACTACTGAACTACTGGTCTACTAATTCTTGTCCCGTCTATATAGGGCTGGCTTCCTCTCGCTTGGACTGGATCCGCTCTCACCCCCCCTAAACCACGAAATGAACCAATACTACTAGCTTCGGGCAGCTGACACAATCTTCGACGGAGTTGGACGGATACACCCCTTGCTCCACCTAGACAATACAGGCATTCCCTTGGGTCTTTAGTACATAACCCGCCGTGTCGGTGCTCTCTTGTACATAGCTTGTTCGAGTTCAGCTCTTTGCTTGACATATTATCGCCAAACCAACAACCAAACCAACATAACCGGCCAAACAATAGCCTTGTCTACTTCATACATACATACGCACACATACCTACACATACTATACATCTGCTTGCGATCGCGATCCTTCGAACGTTGAGCCCCGCGCCTGTGTTGCGCCTCGCTTCGAATCCTTTCTCCCTCGTCCTATCCCATCCCATCCCTTCCTCTTTCTCTCTAACCACCCACAATCTGTTGGGTTAGAGTAACGTGCACGATGGCTGCCACAGAAAAACCGTCTGTTCTCATCATCGGCGGTCTCGGTTATATCGGACGATTCTTGGCTCGATACATACACGAGAACGAACTCGCATCCGAAATCCGCCTAGTCGACAAAGTATTGCCGCAACTCGCATGGCTGCCACCCGAGTTTGAAACAGCGTGCTCCTCAGACAAATTCATCCAAGCCGACGCAAGTAAAGAACGTATGTCTTTAAAAAAAACAGGTTTCGCTTTAGTTTTATTGCCTAGCCGCGCTTTGTCGTTGTTAAGTCCCGCTAACCCCAATTTCTCCCTCTAGAGGCTTTGGCGCGAATATTCGATCGGACGGACGGTAAGCAATGGGACTACGTATTTAACTGCGGCGGCGAGACGAGATACTCCCAGGAGGATGAGGTGTACAAAGTGCGATCTTTAGGCTTGTCGTTAGCAGTTGGCAGAGAGGCAGCGAAACGGAAGGTCAAGTGCTTTGTGGAATTGAGCACAGGTATGGTGTATAAGCCAAACTCAGCGCCAAGCAAAGAAGGCGACAAACTCAAGCCATGGAGTAAGATCGCCGTATTCAAACTTCAGGCCGAGGAGGAATTAGCCAAAATTGACGGGTAAGTTGGCGCTCCCGATTTCTGATATCCCGAACCAATTAGGACTGACTACGGTTATTCTTTTTCGCACAACAGCTTAAATCTCGTTATCGTGCGCCTACCGCACGTCTATGGCCCCTATGCATCACAGTGGGTAGCCACGGCATTATGCATGGCGCGCGTTTACCAAGCCCTCGGTGAGGAAATGAAATGGTTGTGGACCAAAGATTTACGCACGAACACAGCCCACATCCACGATGTGACACGGGCCTTGTGGGCTGCCGCCGCTTGGTACGACGCAGGTAAAGCCAATTGGGACGAGAAGAGTATGGGCCAGGTACCGATATTCAACGTTGTCGACAAGGGCACAACAAATCAAGGCGTTGTCGCGGATATCATTGGTGAGGTGTTCGGTATTGAAACGGGATTCCAAGGTCAGCTTCTAAGCAACCTTGCTCGTCTCAATATGGACAGTGTCGTAGATGATGTCAATGACGATGTTCTTGGTCCCTGGGCAGACCTTCTCGCCGATGCCGGAATAACGAGACCGGGCCCGCTGACTCCTTTTATGGAGAAGGAGTTGCTGAAGGATACGGACCTCAGCATGGATGGTAGCCGGCTCGAGACGGTGGTCGGATTTCAGTACGAAAAGCCGAACATCACTAAGGAGTTGGTTGAGGAGGTGATTGAAAGTTACAAGAGGATGAAGTGGTGGCCTTGATCTAAGAGACCGTTGTTAGCGAACACTTGACACTTGACATACCCTTTGATGGCTCACCTTTAGGGACGAGTATGTATAAGCAGCCAAACGGCGACGGCAATCTTAAATCTTTCCAGGCATGGGAAGCGAGCATCGGTTGCCATTGATGACTCCATGATAACGGGTCGATGATGGATTATCTAGACGGCAGGCAATGGTAGGCTGTCGTCTGATTCAAAATTTCGGTGTATTAAGAGACAAGGAGACGGAGGCAAGCATTGTATGAGTAGGATATCCCCCTTTTTTTCACATTCGTCAGACACGTCTATGTATAAAATTCCCGGGTGTCTAGGTTTCGAACACCTTCAGCTTAGTAGTAGTCCTGGGACGTAATCATTCTAATAAGAACACGTTAGAGCATTAACTCTTCACACAGCCGCATCCTATCGACTATAAAGATTCGAGACAAGACAATTCAGCCAGCAAGTAACGTTCCAAGATTCGCAATTACGTGTTCTAGTTAATCCCGTTGGTTACAACTGCATAAACCCCGTTACATCACATGAAAGCTAGAGGATCCCGATTGAGAGTAAAAGGCCGAGGAGGTTGAATTAGTGGATGTCTAAATTCCAAAATCCCAGGGGCATCTCCAATATCTACAGTACTAAATCTCTAGCCCACCGCCTCGGGTTTAATCCTCCCTTTAGGATATGTTGAAACAGCCCAGAATACCGTAAGATATATATGGTCTTATAGATTAGGAAGGTTAATAATGATACAGCGTTTTCTAGTTAGGAAACTATTAAGAATAGGACCCTTAATGGTACTCTTTTACCCGCACGTGGGTATGATGGAAGTTGAGATATGATATTGTTCACCTGAATTACGCGTAAATCGTGTACATCCTAATCCACAGATCGGCCGGTGAATAGATCAATCGGGATAAAGAGATAGTAGCATGGTATCTTGAAGATCACGAAACTATTGGTATCGTAATTTTATATCCCAACAATTCCAACTTCGTCCAAATACATGTATGTACTATAGACACCTAGGTATAGATACAATGTCAATGTATAGAGTTAAGCTAATGTAGCCGTGTAGTAATTAAAGAACACCGTCGACAGCATGTTCTTCCACACCATCCAAAATCCCCCAAATCCCGCTTACGTACTAGTGTACCCCGCATAACCTGGATAGCACCTGAAATGGAGCCTATCATATACCCAATTAGGGAATCGAATTGACCCCTCCACCGGCGGTTTGGCTTGGGATCATGGTCCGCATGGGTGAAGCTTATCCCCTCAAATCCGAATTAGGTGTAACCCGCAACCCCCCAAGCCTGCGTCATTGCCTCGGGTCGTACCACGATAAGTAAGTTTCGCGATGGGAGAAGGTTTCCCTGACATCTGATTCCAGTAAGCGAATTTAAATTAAATAAACTCGTCACTAAAAAGTAAAAGCACGTTTTTTATGTTCAGTTCTTGACCAGTTTTTCTTCCCACCCCTCTTGCTTTTTTATTCTAAGCGTAACCTGGTTTTTCAACCATCCACCCATCCTATTTACTTCTTACATCTCGATACGACTTCCAATACCCTTATCTCGTCGCATTGCCTATCTCTAACCCGGATAGCAAGCCACTTTAATCTATTTTATCAAGATCTTATATATCAACCCCTCGTCATCTCGTTAGCTACCTTCTACTAAGCTACCTAGGTGGTTTTAGTTCAACCACACTGTGTGCTTAGCCGAGACATATCCAACGCCATGGCGGCCCCTACGACTAAGACAATTGGAGACCTGAACGGCAGGTGGGTTCTGGTAAGTGAGACATCTCGGATGAGTACTTGAATTATCTATCACGCCTCACATATACGTACCTACCTAGTTTAAAGTATTAGCTAGGCGACCAAACTAACTCACGAGAAACAGAACAAAACCCTCTCCGACAACGTCGAGCCCGCCCTCGCCATCCAAGGCATAAGCTGGCTCGTGCGCAAAGCCATTAGCAACACCACCGTAACCCTACACGTAAAACAATACAAAGGCGCCCCCACACCACCCAGCACCTCGTCCGAGCTAGTAAGCCGCGTCGACATCGAGCAAGTCGCGACCGCGGGCGTAAAGGGTACGACCGAGAACCGATGTCTCGACTTTGAAGCGCGCGAGCATAGTGATTGGCTCTTTGGGCGGGTCGCGGGTCGAAGTAAATTTATCTCTATTGACGAACTACGCGCTTTAGTTGGTGAGGAGGGAGAAGCGCGCAAGGAGCGTTGGGTGGAAGATGATTTCGTGGCGAAGGGTTGGTTGGAGGGTGATGCGGAGAAGGGAGGGCCGAATGGGGAGACGCATATCGTGAATCATGCACAAAGTTTGGATAACGGGTGGACGGCGCTGCAGGTTTGGGGGTTCCAGGAGGTTGGTGGAGAGAGACGGTATACGAGGAATGTGGTGGTGGCTAAGGAGGGCAAGTTTTATGCGTTTAAGATGGTTTATGATTGGGTTCCGGAGTAATGGTGTGGATGAAGGGGGTTTGAGGATATGAACTTGGAGGGTGGGACTTTTCCTTGCGATATCCGTCGAACTGTGGTTTAGATCCGACCAGCGATGATTAGGATAGAGGAGGAACGTCAAGACATCTACGTTCTGATATAGATCTTTCTATTAGCACGTCAATCTACAATATGATATTTACACCTCGAGATTTGGTCCCGTGCTTAGATTCCGCCATCGATCCTCACTGGATGAGGCTTGTGTAGTCGATTTGACTACTACGAGGTGTTGAATCCCTCGATTCAAGGAACGCTTGAGTGTTCTTGAGCGCAGCGTACAAAAACAGGTTCGTCCTTTAGCGCCATTTTCCCTTCAAAAAATTGCCCGATCTTAGTTCCTTTATATTATCCCCTCCTGATATGAGATCACAGCGGCGCAGTTGAAATACTCCCAATATCTCCCACTATGTGAACGAATCCCCCTTACGCCGGCCTCCTCTTCACAAACTCCTCCAAATCACTCCTCGTCGCTACACCCAGGACAAACCTACGATCCTCATCCGTAACCACAGCAAACTCCTGTTTCTGCCCTGTCCCTCCTTCAAAGAACTCCTCTAGCTCTTCTAACGGCGTCGCCATGGTTATGACCCGGTACTTCTTCCCCTTGCGCTCGAAGCGTGCCATCGCTTTTGAGAGAGGATCTTCGGGACGCACACGGCCCGCGTCGAGTTGGGCTTGGAGGGCGGGGATCGCGATGTAGCCTAGTAGTGCGCGGGTCTCGGAGTCGATGATGGTTAGGTGTGTGTAGTCCCGCTCGAAGGCGGATATGAGAGCGAGGGAGATTGGGTCGGTGGGGTTGAGGGAGAGGGCGGCGGGGGGTTCGAGGTCTTGGACTGTTGCCTATATATCGTGCAAAGTGGTTAGTTTGGTTAGGTTTATAGGTGTTGATATGTTAAGCTGTAGATGTGTATTATATGACTTTGATAGTATGCAGGATATGTCGAATGTGAATCGGGGAGGATTCGATGAGGGCGGTATGTCTTACCCCTCTATACCGTGACGACCATTTCGAAACGTATGGTTTGCCCCCTAGAGGCGACGGGCCGACGTGTACGGAGGACTTCATCGTTTGTGCCATGTTCGTTCGTTATATAAATGGCTGCAGGGGTTATATCGTGGTGAAGATAGTCTTTCTTCTAGTCTGGTAGGCCGTCTAAAGAACTTGTTGAGGCGGGTCTGGTCCTTTCTCGGTATAATCGCAGTACGTCTATGCTTCCTTGGAGCATTCCCACTCGTAGTCGTGTCTACGGTTGATAAAAAGAAGAATATTGAAGTTGCTCGTGTCTTTTTGGTGGAGTCCAGGATGACGGAAAGATCTCTCGAGCTGAGGTGCGTGGAATTTCAGGTGGGGCAAGCAACTAACTTAGGAAATCCCCCCCACCGAACTTGGTTCCGTTCCGCTCCTCATAGTCCACTTTCCGCATTTTCGGATGGTACTTAGGTACGTCCATATTATTGAATTAAGTTTAAAAATAGGAAGTCATTACATTATGTAGTTTCGCAAATATCTCATATATCTGACTCTGGAGTAAGATACAACCAATTTGAGAAATTGAAGCCATTATAAGAAATAAAAGAGTATTATGCATTCTGAATTCCCTCATTTTCTGGGTGTCTAGGCCCTATAAATATCAGTAATTACAGTATAAATTCAGCTATTAGATCCACTAATTCGGAATATGCAACCTCTGATTGGATAAAGCTTCCCTAATTCATCACTTAGTATGCGGCACGGGTAAGCTCTTTCCCTTATGCAGGTTGAACCGACCCCTCCGACGTCACTGGCGAGATGATACGAAACGGTCTCGTGAAGGAAAGAGGGAAAAGGGAAAAGATCGGGATTGGATGAGTAACCTTGCCATACCTTGCCTTATCTCCGGCAATTCCAACCCGGCGCTTCCTTTTCTCCTTCGATCCTTGATAAATCTTTTGAGCCTCCAAGAGTGTTTTTTTTTTTATCTTGACATCTTCATACCTTTTGTATTTACGGTAACCGTACCTATTAATCGCCTCGGCGGGTTGTATCCTTTTCTTGGAAAGCATTGTATTTTGCGACCGACCTCAGATTAATACTATTTACAATTGTATAACTAATTCCTACAGAAACGGTATGTAGCGCATCTAGTTTGATAGCTTTTGACGAGATTTAGTTTATTGAGTTACATTGATGTTCGTTATCATTAAGATATAGAGTATTGGACTCAAAAAGTGAAACATCGTTTCGTTAATAGCAAGTGGATACTAATATCAAAGATCGCAGACAAAATCGGGATTGGTCACGATGTCGTATCTATTCCCGAACCAACATGTCCTCTATCAATCTTTCGGCTCACCATTGAGCCCACGAGCCAACTCCATCCCGGCTACCAAAGCCACTCCGTTACAGGCCCGCCCGGAACTGTACGGCGCGTACTCCGTCGTCGACGATGCGAAGAACAAAGCTCAGAAGCTAAGCTCTGAGGCGCAACAAGAGTTCGACAAGGCTTCAGGTGGATCCGGTAAAACGATGGAACTATATACTCCTACTTTCTACGCCGCTGCCACTGTGGGTGGTCTTCTCGCATGTGTGAGTAGATATAATCCGCATTTAACGGACTTAAGAACTTATCTTATACTGAAATTATAGGGTGTAACCCACACTGCTATGACCCCTCTAGATCTTGTCAAATGCCGCCGTCAAGTAGACGCAAAGCTATACAAAGGCAATTTCCAGGCCTGGAGTACCATCCTACGACAAGAAGGTGTCTCAGGTGTCTTCACTGGTTGGTCCCCGACACTATTGGGATACTCGATTCAGGGCGCATTCAAATACGGCTGGTATGAATACTTCAAAAAGAAGTACTCCGATCTCGCGGGCCCGGAGAACGCATACAAATACAAGACAGTCCTCTACCTAACCGCATCCGCCTCCGCCGAGTTCCTCGCCGATATTGCGTTATGTCCGCTCGAGGCCATCAAGGTCCGCATGCAGACGACCATCCCACCGCCGTATACCGGCACCATCGACGGTTTCCGCAAGATCACAGCTGCGGAAGGCTTCGGTGGTCTATACAAGGGTCTGTACCCACTATGGGGTCGTCAAATCCCGTACACCATGATGAAATTCGCGTCTTTCGAGACCATCGTTGAGAAGATCTACGACACGCTACCGGGCCAGAAGAGTGATTACGGCAAACTCGCTCAGACCGGTGTCTCGTTCACTGGTGGTTATCTAGCTGGTATCCTCTGCGCTGCTATCTCCCACCCGGCTGATGTCCTAGTCAGCAAGTTGAACGCCAACCGCCAGGCCGGCGAGGGCTTCGGAGCTGCTGTCGCGCGAAATTACAGAGATATCGGATTCGTGGGTCTATGGAACGGTCTGCCGGTTCGTATTGTCATGATTGGTACTTTGACTGGTCTCCAGTGGATGATTTACGTGAGTTCTCCTACTAGAATTTCCCTTCCCCTTTGATAAATGCGTGGTACTAACAATTATACCAGGACTACTTCAAGATGTTCATGGGCTTCCCGACAACGGGCGGATCCGCGCCCCCAGAGGAGAAGAAATGAACGAAATAAACCGATGGTGTGGTGGGGGGTAAGTTGACATGTTCGTGACGTTTACCAAGTGGCTTAGTTACTTGACCCGATTCTTCCAATGCATGTATGTTAGCAGAGTTGACATAGGGCCAGGTTTGCGGGCTAGGCGTTGGTAATGGGTGGTTTTTTTTACGTACATAGATTTTGTGTTAGTAAATGGTTTTTTATCGCCATGGAAATTCCGACTCCCAACTCTTTACAACAAACTCCTTGGACCGGGTTAATTTCCTTTCCTTTTCTCGTTTGCGAATCCGCCGAAGTTATCTGCCTTACATCTACAGATCCCCGGGTACAGCTCTAACCGATATGTTTACCTAGGTTAGCACTTTAGGCCGTCAGTGGCGTCCTGAACTCGGATATGTCGGCTTCTAGCCATGCAAGCCACTATATTTTATCATACCCTCCCTTACGTCGATGCAGTTCTACTCTTTAAGACTAGGTATGAGGCAAACACTAAGAAAATCTCAACGTCTACATAAAGCTATGGACCATATTCCTAACTACTATAACAGCATGTTGGCTCGCACACTTCCCAACCTCATGCGCCCTTCTCACCGCGTACTTGAGGAGGGGGCGAATCCTATGAGCATCCCTTATCCTGCGTACGACATGGAGTGGGGGAATTCAATGGCTGAGCGAATTCGAATATTACAAGCAATTTTAAAGATATGCCCCATTCCTGGTACTTATGATGAAGCTTCTACGTATTGACCACGAGTGAACTTATTAGGCGGCTCTCTTCTGGCTAGAGCTCACGAAATGGTAGCCCAGATGCTCGTCTGACCTTCGTACTAACAATGTGTAACATCTTCCACAAAACCCCATCCCGATGCTACAACTCACCAGCTTTTCGCCACTCCTAGTAGGCGAAGTAATGGCCGTTTCCAACCTCTCCGCCTCTTATAGCTCTCTTCCAAGATGTAAATCAACGCCTTTCGACCCCTCTTGGCCTTCGGAAGCGCAATGGTTCAGTTTGAACGCATCTATTGGAGACACATTGATTGCGACCAAGCCAGTGGCGTCTTTGTGCTACACCAGCAACCCATTCAACTCCACTCTATCCTGCTCTGAAGTAGCCGAGAATTGGGGGTTTTCTACATTCCACGCAGAACTACCAGAATCTGTAGATTATCCCGTTTGGGCGAACAATTCTTGCCTCCCACCAAATGCGACCGGTTATGATGAGTCATTGGGTTGCCATATAGGAGGATACCCTCAGTACATCGCAAATGTGACATCCGCCGAGCAGATTGCTACTGCTTTAAAATGGGCTTCTGAGCAGAATATCCGTGTTGTGGTTAAGGGTACCGGACATGACCTTGATGGAGGGTACGGACCAGCATAACTAACATGAATAACACACATTAACTAACATCGATGTAGATCAACTGGCGCTTATTCATTATCTATTTGGACGCACAATTTGAAACAGCTTCGAATAAACGATTCTTGGAAAATCCCTGGTCAGAACGAAAGAGTCCCTGTTCTTATTGCTGGGAGCGGAAACAATTGGGGCGAAGCCTTGGACTTTGCTCTAAAGAATGGCTGGGCTGTTGTCAGTGGTACAGACAAAACCGTCGGCCTTGGGGGCCATGACGCATTGTCGAGTACATACGGCTTGGCAGCAGATCAAATCTTACAAGCAACCGTTGTTACGACAACGGGAGAAGTTTTAATGGCTAATAGCCAGAGTAACGAAGATCTATTCTGGGCTATTCGCGGTGGAGGGGCTGGGCAATACGGCGTAGTGACCGAGTATGTGATGTTAACGTATCCTCAACCCGTGGATATCGTCTCGACAAATATTTACCTCGCGGCTGCCAATCTATCGGATTATCACGATTCGACGATTAACACAACTTGGGATGCTTTTGCCTGCTTGTTGTCTAGCTTTCCTGATCTTCTGGACCGAGGAATAGCTGGCAATGGTACGACAGATTGGTCCAAATCAAGAGGAAGTATGATCCGACTTATACGCTTTATGTCCTCAATGGTGTCGATAGAGAGCTTTGGACGTATGATATGGATGCCGGATATTTGTGTAAAACCGAGAGTTGATATTTCAAAATAAACGTGTTTACGGTATATCGAGAGAAAACAGGAACCTATGTTGGTTGAGTTGGGTCTTTAATTTCTAAATAAGAGTGGAATGTGTAGCATCCGCGTCTGTCATCTGGGATATTATTGATTCACAACCCCTTCGTTCTGACTCGGATCTGTTTCCGACGATTTTTTACCTTTCTCGCCAATCCAAATGAAGATGACTACCGCACCGATAGCTGCCCATATAGCAATACTCCATGTCATAGTACCCCATCCAGCTGAATTAACCACGTATCCAGTCCATAACGGTCCGATAACTCCTCCAAGAGCCCAAGCCACGTTGAATAGCCCATAGCCTAGGCCGTACGCGCCATTCTTTCCGAAAACACCAGGTTGTTCGGCCATCTTCGCCTCAATTACGTATGTGATCTCAGCCATGAGAGGAACATTAGCGAATGCTAAAGAGGTGCCCAGAAGAGCAAGTAGGAAACCCAGCAATATCTTATGCTGAATGGTATTCTCGGTAACGAAGCGGAGGCATACAAGCAGAGGTACCGAGAGGCAGAACCCGAAGAGAGCTGGCCACTTGGCACCGTATCGATCTGATGTCCAGCCTATTAAAGGGGAAAGGAAGCCCGGTAGAAATAATGCAAGGAACAGAATACCCGCGGCTGTAGAATTCCAGTCAAATGTACTCTGGACGAACAAAGCCAGTGTAGCATCAAATCCCAGCCTAGCGACGGTTAGCTTCGGTTTTGGCAGCATTATACTGATTGAAGTGGATGTATGTGAACTTACATGATACTAGCTTGAACGAGGAGACCGAATAATGCGCCAAGTAGTCTCGGCGACTTCAAAAGAACCATAGCTTGACGTTTCATACCAGCGGGTTCAATCGGTGTAGTCGCATTCTGGTTAGCTGCGTCTTCCGCTTCGGCTTGCTTTTCTCTAGGTTCATTTTGTTGGGGTTGGCTTTGGCATATTGACACAGGTTCCGAGGTAGAAACATGGGTCTCGATAGGTTCGCTACCATTCTGAGGATTCGCGCGATCAGGGGTGGTGGGCGGAATGGCTGCTTCCACGTCGGGTTGGTTCGCGCCTGTCCTCGACGAATCGGAGCTTTCGTCTTCATCGATCCACTGCCTCGCAACCTTTTTCTCGACCATTAAAAGCCGTAGTAAGATGTCCACTAGAACGACGCCAAAGGCGATATAATAAACGGCAAAATATCCTGCGGCACTATAAACTGCCCCGCCTATAACGGGCGCAACGAGTAATCCCACACTCATAGATATACCGACATATCCCATGGCAACTCCAGCGGCACCTTGCATAGTATCAACAAGAAGTGCACAACCCGCGCTCCATACAACGGCCGCGGTTATTCCCTGGAGGATTCTTCCTAGTACTAACAAGCCGATTGAGTTACCGAAACATAACAGCAGAGTCGACGCGGCCAGCGCGATAAGACCGATGAGTAAAGGCCATCGTCGTGATGACGAGTGATCGGCGTATATACCAGCGAAGGGGGCGCCGACGAATATAGCGACGCTATAACAGGCTAGTAGGATAGAAGTCCAATGTTGAACCTGATCCTCCGGGATACCGACTTGGACGGTAAGCGAAAATGGGATAACTGGAACGATCAACCCGTAAAAGAAGATGTCGGTGAAGAAGGCTAAGTTTACTATTATTCCACATGTCAGTACACTTAGTTGTTATAAGATAGACTATTTAGAATTGTCGATTTCGGTACGGACCAGTGAGGAGTATGAAGGTCGTTGATGACCGGACGGAGAGGAAGAAAGGGGGTTTACAAGCCGAATCCTTCCGAGTCCCGGAGAAGAATTGCCGGGCCTGGCTGTAAAATCCCATGTCGACTCTTCTCTTATACGATGGTAAGTTATAATTAGGATAAATATTATGGAATGGAAGCCATTATATAAAATCTATGAGAAAAGAAATATTATATTGAACCTAGGACATCCATTCACGGATCTACATGACATTAGCAAAATCTTTTCGCCAAGTCTTTAATTGTCCCATCCGTGAATTAGACTGGGAGTGAGGAGCCCGCGGGGTCCGGGTGAGGCGGTCTCCTGTTTACTGTGACAGTAACATTACCTGCAGACTTCAGCATAGTGGTAATGCATGACCGCTTGCTTCGCCGGTGACTCAACTACCTATATGATGAAAATCTGCTCGGTTTGATGCCATTGAATTCCAATTAAGATCTGGTATTGGATCGGGAACTAACGAGTAAGTGACTTAATATTGTGACGTATACAAACTGCGAGAGTAATATACTAAGAACGATGCGAGATGCTTCCTACTAATCAATCATTTGTACTTTTTATCATGATATTGATCCTTGAATTAAAACCACTGATTAATGGGTTGTAAAAGTTGAAAACGGAGAGAGATTTAAACATCACGGAATCTTCTAGTTGCATACCGTCATAAAAGATATTGCTATCTGTTAATACCACTATAACAAGTAAGTTTTAAGCTGCATTGTCGGACCCACCTATGATCCACTAAAACTTTTTCTCCTTACTGCGTGCGAGGCTAACAAACTAACATTCTATTCTATTTATTTTCCAACTCAGAGCTCATTGTTTATTTTCTTGTTTATCATATCGTCACCGATACCGTCGGCATTTGATGATTTTGATAAATATAGTGATCCACGCCAATCATGCCTGAAGCAACCTCCCATACCGAGGAGTTCTCCGTCCTACCAATCTCCATACCACCTCTCCCATCATTCCCCGTCAAGGCGATACACTACCTTTATATACGAAGAAATGCTCCCAAGATACCAACACCCGATGACTCCCGAAGTCTTTTCATAGCCAATGTCCCAAGCGACAGCACTGAATTCCACTTCAGAGTGTTGATTGCTGGTTTAATCGGAGCTGGTAAATTCGAGAGCATGACGTTCGAAAATGAAAAGAAACCCTCCAGATCTTCCCACGAACCAGCCCAAGCGATAAGACTAGCAGCGCATAGAAAGAGGAAGAGAGGCGATGACGAATCGCAGCGCGAAAGAGAAGAAATTGCCGCCGAGTTACCATCCATGTGGAATCGGCAAATATATCGAAGTGGAAGCTCTGGCGTTGCCTTGTTGGTTGATGATAGGGCTGTCGAGCTAGTCCTAAAAGCTGTGAAGAAGCTCAAGAAACCAAAGGATTATCCGATCTGGGGAGACGGCATCGGTGACAAGGCAGAATTTCTGGGCTCGGAGTGGCTCAAAGAACATAACAAATTGTCTTACCCAGGCAACGATGTGATTCAAGCTACGATGGACGCCTACTTTACCGTATTCAATCGCAAAGAAAGAGAAGCAGAGCAGCTTGCGAAGAGGTTGCGCAACGAACCAGACGAAGATGGCTTTGTTACAGTCACGCGAGGTGGTCGGGCTGCTCCTGCTAGCAGAGATGAAGCCGAGGAAGCCAAACAAAAGATGCTCGAGAGGCAACAAAAGAAGAAGGACGAGATGACCGATTTCTACCGATTCCAAATGCGCGAGAAGAGGAAGGCTGAACAAATCGAAATACTGAAGAAGTTTGAAGAGGACAAGAAGAGGGTACAGGCCATGAAAGAGAAACGAGGAAAATTCAGGCCCGAAACTTGAAGTTGGATTATTCAGCTTCGGTTCGATCAATGTTTAGCTTAGGCTGACCCTCACAATCGTCGATAAGACATGCCGCCATAACCGACTCTTCACAGACCTACCTGAAGGTACATTAGGTAAGTCTTGATTTTATGATACTCTCCTTGCTAAATGATGACGAGCACGGGGCCAGCGAAAGCTATCGGGTCCGGATTTCCGGATATCCAACAGCGCATGCCGATAAAAACCGTGTTATAATATATATCTTCTCAAACTTGTCTGAAAGCATTCATCATACTCCTACAATAATCGCGGTATAGCAAATAGTATTTTACTGATATTATTAGTAGATATCTTCGGCCTACAAAGAAACATACGAGAAATAACTGTTACATACTAGTTAGGGAATCACGTTTCCTAGATGCCGCTCAAAGGGCGTCGATGTCACACACGAAGGCGATAATAAGCCGTTAGGAGCTTCGCGACGTTCAATCCCGAAAACGAGACATCTTTCGCATTGCGCGTCCGAATTCGCTGTCGTGATATCCTCAACCGGATATATAGCGGACGTTGTTGGGGAAGTCCGACCAACACACAATTAAAGAATCCTTACATAGAAATGACGATAACCTCTATCCAACAAAGCCCTACTATTTTAACACAATGTTATTTCGTGAAATTTGATTTCAAACCTAATATATACAAATCCTAAATTTATTGACAAAAAAGGAAAATGAATGCGAGGTAATTAGGTGATTGGGCCGATATTCGCATTCGATTAAGCTATTCGGTCCCGGCGGCAGCAACATGCTTAAAATCCCAGCACTATCTTCATCAATCTTTAGATCTCATTGACGGGAATTTTTAGAATCCTTCTAACACGCTACCTGATCTATAATATCGGTTTATTCGGCGAACTAAAAGATTACAAATTCGAAAAATAGGGCAAGCGTGGGCATGTTCCAGGTAGGACGATTTAAAAAAGGCCCAAAGAACTCCTAAATTATTACAGGTGATCTGTGACGTCGGTTGCCGATCAACTCCTTATTAATCTGTCTTCATATGCGTGTTGGTCGTTAAATCTCGGAGTCTACACCAATAATAAAAGCCGATGAAACGCGCTGAGAATTTCCTTCCCGTGTTCTTCATGCGGTGTACATTCAACACTCAGGCTTCTTAGATATTCCCTCTATGAAACATGCTTACGCCCCTGCACCCCGGTTTCACTGGGGTCCATTTGTTATGGGGAGAGAGGCGGATGTATGATTTACAGGGGGGGATGCTTAGTTGGGGGCCAAAGATCCTACACTTGGATCTTTTACGGCAAAGAATGGAACCATTCGATGCAGGTTCCAAGAGACGGAGAGACAAGGCATCCAGCCTCAAGCAAGGGTAAATGTGGTACAGCCCTATGACTCTCATGCTATTGACGGGATATGTATGCGAGGCATTCCCTCATCCCATGTGGCGCGCGATTGACGGTACTATTGCTTTCTTTTCTTCCTTCGCTCGCTTTAACTATACGGCAAACGGCAACACTGGAAATTCACACTCGTTACGACTATTTCTCTGATAGATATTTGATGAATGACGACACATTGCGCGTAGGGGAAGGGCGTCCGCGATGGACAGTCTTAATTTCGGGAAGTCTCTTGGCGGCGACAGTGGATGGAGACAGGCCGCCAAGGTCAATTGTACTATCCTCGTATGCATGTCAATCACCTTGATCGGATGTTTGATATCAGCTGCGACTAGGGGCGATGGTTTATACAGCGCGTATTTCTTTTACGAAGGCCAATGCGATGGAGGGGGTAGTGTGCCGAATATCAACTTGATATTGCATTTAGTCATCAACATCGTGTCGACACTTGTGGTAAGTATTCTAATCTATCGAAATTTTATTCTCTTAGTTCATATGCACTAACTAAAGCGATAGTAAGTGACATCCAAACCTGATATAATATTTTAGGGATATATTGTGTTGACCTTGATACCGCAGGCTAGCATCAAGCAACTTCTTCATGCAAGTTTTAAATTCGCCCTCGAGGGAAGAAGTAAACACGGCTCATTTCAAAGGCTCCTGGATGGGAATTGGTATTCCTTCAGTTCGTAATGCGTTCATGGTATCAAGATTCAAGACTTGGTCTTGGGCCTGTTTGCTTATTAGTTCTATCCCACTCCATCTCATCTTTAACTCTACGATATTCCAAGTAGACCGTAAGTAATAGCCGCCCGCCTTCACCCACTCCCATGGGAGGAGCAATTATGTTAAGGTCCAGGAGGTGTCGGTTTCGATGCCTTTTACAAAGATTAACGACTATCAAGAGAATGATATTAACTCTTATCACCGCAGAGAGGGATTCTGATTTCCATTTAACTATTGCCACGGAAGATTTCCTCAACGGAGGGCCTTACTATGCTCCTGGAGGGAGCTTGCTCCAACCCGGTTTCGATGTGTGGTACACCCACGAAAACTTAATAACAGAATCCATATACAACAACATTAGCGACTTCAACATAGCATCACGAGAATATGGTTTCCCCGTAAACCTCACAGATTATGCCTCAAAGGACACTGCCGTCATGAAGAATATATCGGATACAGCATTAAAAGCGAGTGGATGGAATAGATTAGAGACGGGCGAATGCAAGCAAGAATATATTGATTGCGGCGGACTAAAGTACCACCGCGACTTGGTTTTGGTCGTCGATAAGCCTGGTGGCTGGATACGAAACGATACGTGGCACCTCATGGACAACCAAACAAAATATTGGGACACTTATATCCCGGCGGATAAGCCAAATAACCTATTTTTCGGCACGCAATGCGTCATGGCCGCTTCCCGCTCTGACAACGAGCCGACGCAGTGTGTGAACACCTGTTTAGAAGCACTTGGATACTATAGTACCGAACTCGACTATTCGGTTTCTATGTTTGCCGGTGAAACTGGATGGCAATACCCTTTCATACAAAAGTACATGGAAAAGGAAGTGAATGGAACCTCCAACGGGGAATACACTACGTATAACATAACTGCCGGCAGCGCCCTTACCTCCGGTTTGCAACCAGGCGCGCTGAACTTAACGGTGAAATACTGCCTTGCCGAACCCCTCGATAGGGTTTGTCATATCGGGCTCTCACCTACGCTTCTACTCGCAGTTACTATATGCGTTATCTTCAAAACCGGCACAGCTATTGTGGTCACTGTCGTACTAGCCCGTCAGAACCACTCCCCGTTGGTCACACTCGGAGATGCTATGGAATCCTTTATTGAAAAACCAGATGCTACTACTGCGGGAATGTCCACGATAGGACAGTCTGAGATCCGGAGAGCTATGCGGAGCGGCTCATCTTTCCTCTCACCTGGCCCGAGGCAATGGCAAGCGTTGCGAAGACGCCGATGGTCCGTCGTGCCTAAGTCAGTTTGGGCAACTAGTTACCTTCTATTCATTATTGGTATCAGCATATGCAGCTTCTTCGTCAACAGCGTAATTGAAGGGGGCGGTTTGTAAGTGTCTAACCCCTTCGCCCTAAACGATTAGCAATTTCCTTCTAACCGTGGAATTCTTAGGTTCGGCTCATTCATGGAAAGCGATGAAAACGCCTTCATCGACATTCCGACCACATTTGTGAATGGCGTGTTACTTGCTAACAGCCCACAACTACTTCTTTCGTTTTGCTACCTCGCGTATAATAACCTGTTCACTCGGCTTCAAATGGCGCGAGAATGGGCCATGTTCAGCCAAGGGTACCACGCATTGCGCGTTACGGATCCTAAGGTATGTTGACGTCAACCACGAGTGCTTCAGAAAAATGCTGACTGAGTAGGGTGATCAATATTCTACATACCGACTTCAGCTACCTTATAAGTATAGTATACCTCTTATGGGTGTTAGCATATTTCTTCACTGGTTACTCTCTAATACCATTTATGTATTCATATCAATGGGAGGTAAGTACCATTTTCATCGACACACATGCCAATCTTACTATTAAGTAAGATAATCACTAGAACCTCTTACTAATTAACTACTAGGTTACTTCGGAACCAGCGAATTCCTCGCCTCAAACCTTGTCGACCCTACTTTACCACCCAGTACTGCCGTGGCAGTCGGTTTCTCAGGCCTCTCCCTAGTAGCCTTACTATCAGTCTCATGCTTCTTAATTTTAATTCCCTTTTTCCTAAGCTTTAAAAAGCTTCCGTCCAACATGGTCATCGTAGGAAGTAATTCGCTAGCACTATCCGCCGCATGTCACGTCCCGAGCCTATCCAACGCTGTTCCCAGCAAATTCAAAGCAGATCCTTCACCAGGGTCTTCGAAAATTGACCTTCCCTCGGCCCCGCGATCCCCGGAACAATCGCGTATCCTTCTTGCAGGCGATGCGGCTTACGCCGATGAGAGCTTCGAGATGCAACATCTTAGGGCCAAACCTATTAGCCGTATCTCATCAAACCGTTCGATGTCTTCTAAGGGACTTCTAGTACCTGAGCGCAGTAGTGAGGATAGCCTTGAGGAAGGGGAAGAGGAGGAACTAGGGAGAAGTCAGTTCACGAAGCTTGCGAGAAGCAAGATACGATGGGGCATCGTGAAGATGCCGCCTGAATGGCACGCTGAATACGATAATGACGCAGGACCCGTGGAACATCTCAGCTTCGGTGTTGAGGAGGACGATGTTCAGCCCCCTGAAGTAGGGGATTTGTATGCGTGATGAAGATAAGGCGACATGTGAGAGCATTCTATCACGACATATTTTTCATCTCCAACACGCTCCGCTGGCCCGTCCTCGGCATTCATCAAAAGCTAAGGGTGTCAAAAATTTTAGACGTGATTCCATTTGGCTCGATTGGTGTCGCCCTTTTTTTTTTCTTCCCGTATGCGGAAGAAATGCGGAATACCACGAGGGAATTAGGTAATCCGCTAAGTGTTGACCCACGATGGACTCGGACTTTTCGGAGTTGGCGCCCGGTTGCTGTCAACTTAACTCCTATTATACACCAGTCTAGCGGTTACAAACGGTTCTTTTCGGAATTACCTCCGACATGGATTTAAGAGAATCACAACTTCGACTCTCTTATACATGCCTAGGTATATGCCAACGAACCAAGGCATCCTGCGATTTAAAGGAAAGTTGCCTGATCGTCTCAATTAATCGAATGACGGCACAAGTCAAACTTTCATCCAATTTAGACGAGTTTGACATGAATATGGCGAGTCATTCAAGTGGATCCACAGCATTTACACTTTTGACTACCCGAGACGTTATGCAATCTCGTTGAGGCTCGAACCGAAAGTTAATATTATGAAACCCACTTAGACGACGAGCCGAACATCGACTACTGAACGTTATATAATACTTACGGAGAATTTCTAACTAGACTAATTTCACGAGGGACGTCATATAGAATTTATACATTTGTGGATATTTAATATAGTCGCTAGAAGGACTATTTGACATATGATGCATCTACATACCGTGTAAGATAATTAGTGTATACAATTGGAGGAATTGAAATAGAGTTGAGATTCGAGGCGGCATATATGGTACGAATGTATAAGCGAACAAATATAAAAGGATCTACCCACAACTCAATTACAGACGTTAGACTTAAAAAGGCTCCTCCTCATCGTGAGAATCATACTGAAATGAGGAAAATTGTACATAATATCTTTTCAAACAAATCCTGCTAAATACCAGTGTGACATCACAAATCTACTAGGTATTGGAGAATATGATCAGTAGTATAAAATAAAATTGAGGAGGAGACATTTTATGCCATACCATGTACATACCCATGAAGCCGAAATACGAAAAATACGCCACCCAATTGAGGATATCGTCCTCTGTCAATTAGTAGAACATTCTTTTTCAGATAGTTGTTTCACGAAGGTGAGCAAGAAAAAAAAAAATCAATCTGCAAAAATCGGAACAGGGGGTAAGCTCCCCACATCCTGGATTGGATTGGTGGGTCTACCCGGTCTAGATCATGCATAGCCCGCATGGTCTTACGGGGATTAAATCCTAAGACGGTTAAACCCCAATTCGAGATCCGTCCCAGAGATTTTTATACTATTCCACTAAGAGAAAGAAGTGGATCTAATGGGGTAAGGATGTGTTCGCCATTGCCAATTTTTTCTCTCTTCTTGCTCACGCTCATCTCTCCCCGCGCCCCCCGATCGAGCAGGAAGCAGGAGCCGGCAGGTTTAATTCTATTCTAGTTTTGGTTGTTGTCGCGTACTTTGTCGTAATGTGCTCCGTACAGTACAATTAATGCAATGCAATTGCTGCAATCAAGGTTGTATTATACATTCTTGCATAAAGAACAGCAGTTCGTCACTCGCGGGAATATCCTCGAGGTGCATGACAAACCATTATTTTATTATTTCATCTACCAGTTAGATAAAAGGAATATTCGGCCTGGTATCCGATGGTTGCTTACCATATACATAATTCAAATTCTCTTCTTGCATGCGTTGGACTAATTTTTTTTTTTTTGCTTATTTCGCTGTCTCTGGTACCTTTTATAATGTAGTACACCGTATTATTACTGTGTAAGTCAAAGCTCATCGTCAATCGTCAATCTGTTACCATTTTTATCTTTTCGAGATCTTGGAAAACACAGCATGGCTAGACTACCATGGCCCTCTTTTCAATGTCGATCAGTGATATCTAAGATTTCATCAGCAATTATTATTTGACGTAAAGATATAAGCTGTGTAAGCAACAAATTTCAAACAACAGAGTGTTCGTCCAACACACACACACATGCACACACATGGGAGACGGAGTATTTTTTAAATGATGATAAGGCAAAAATGAACTAGTGGCTAAGCTGAAGACCTTTAGTTGGGGATAAAGCGCTGTACACTAATAGGCAAGAAGCACTTGGATGTAGGATGGTGGCACCGCGTCTTCTCATTCGAGCAAGTATCGTATCGTAGTGTACTTTCCCGTACTTTCTTCCAAGTTATCCTGACAACTGGTACCTACCATGTTCGAATCCAGTTCTTAATTATTCTTAATTAGGTAGCGGTTGCTGTAGTGGTCCTGTACCGATTCAGCTCCTTCCAATTGATTTTCTCGTTTCCGATACTACCGTATGTATGCATATACCTGGTCAGGTACCTACCGAGACTACCCTACCCACCTGCCTCCGAGCGGCGATCAAGGTTCCTCCCCTTCCACCTTCCACTCGTTTGGATTTTGACAACCTTACCCTTACCTTAGTATCGTTGCACCTAGATTTGCACTTTCACTACTTTGACTGTTACTTCCACTTCCATTTACACTTCTACTAACACAACCTTGTCTTGTCTTGTCTTGTCTTGTCTTGCCTTACCCTCTTTACACTTACACCACACCACCTTTTTTTCCTTTCCCTCCCCCCTCTCTCGTTGCACTGGTCCGGCCATTCTTAGACACGGCAAGGTGGGCGAAGTGGTACACCATTCTACCTATTTTTCTTACTTCCAGTTCTTCCTCCTAATATTTTTGCGGGATTCACCTGCACCTCGGTGTAGTGGTGTATATTTTGAGTCGGCTAGAGAGATAGAGGCACGAGACGAGATCGGAAGCTTACCTCGTGAGGGGAGTCGACCAATTCTCCATCCTCTACTTTCTTTTTGGATATTTTCCTTTTCCCTACTACTCCTCCGACTTCTGATCGAACACGAATACCACAACCCGCAACGCTTGGAGGATGCATGTGTCAAAGCATCTCTTAATCTTCCCGTTATAGAACTGGAATAATGCGAGTTGCGATACGGGAGCAGTTAGCGGCACTTGTGCTGCTCGCTGTACTCGTCGCTCTCGCTATTGTTTCTATACCTACATGGATCTTTGTGAATCGCTTCGTCGTAGGAGTTGAGACCAGTGGTCTTTCTTTAACCGCGTCTCTTAAGGCGGCCCAAGTCGCTTCCGAGATTGAACTGATTCAGACAACATGCAACCATATAGCCACGAGATTACTCCTCCAGGACGTTCTTCTAGCCTTTTACCGCGGCAATGCTTCCCAGAATCTTTGGGATCAGGCTACTCTCGATATTCAAAGCGCTCTCATCTCTCGCACGGGCATCTCTGCCAATCTCCTACAAGCAAGACTCTATTCGCGAAATGAAACTGGCGATCAACAACAAGGACTTCTTAGCATCACTGGAGCTAATATCTCCGAAGTCAGACTACCGTACGAGGCGTCCGACGGATCTCAAGCCGTCTTAGGCGATAGCGCTTCGGGCTTTCCTCCCATGTTGTATCCAAACATAACCTATTACAATTCCACGGACCCTGATCCAGCCTATCCAGGCCATACAGCTGTCGTAGCCAGGCCTTTTCCGGATATTCGTATCGACTCAAGTGTGGATGGGATGGTGTTGGGACCACTAGTTATTAACGAAACATACGCCCTACTCTCACTAACAATCCCCATTCGCGATAATCAAGACGACGACATAATACTTGGGTATATGACGACCGTTGCCGAAGCCACGTCGCTCATTACCATTGCTAGTTCGAAAGAAGGTTTAGGCGATACTGGTTCCGTTTTGATTATTGGCCCTTCAACCGGATGGAATCGATTTAGCAAATTTAACTTGCCCGCAAACGCTAGTCACGATGCGGCATCCAACTTTTCGAATGTCGATGTCAATTTCGTTCTACCACCGCGACCGATGAAAGGTCAAACCGATCGACATACCTTGCATAATTATGCTTCTGGCAATTACGACCAACCATTCAAAATCTCCCAATATGATGCAGCATATAAAGCTTTCACCAACCGAAATCGCGCAGTCAACAACGCTAGTAGCTTGCTTTCAACGAAAAACGAGCAGGGCATTGATGTGGCAGTTGGATTTGCTCGACCGCAAACCACTTTGGTAAATTGGACGCTCATTGTGGAACAGGACAAGTCCGAAGCGTATATCCCGATTGACACACTTCAGCATATACTCCTTGCGTGTGTATTCGGAACGGTTGGACTTACACTCCTCTTGGTAATCCCATGCGCCCATCTAAGCGTTTTGCCTATTCGGAGATTAAAGGCTGCGACCGAGAAATCCATTGCTCCACCTGGTTACGATGATTATCTGGACGATCTCGACTACGATGAAGATGACGAGGAGCGACAAGGATCAGGCGGTGGGAGTCGAAAATCGGGTAATGGGACTATTATTCGACTAAGAAGATTCATTCGGAGACATACGCGATCAATGATCTCCCCGTCCGTTCACGACAGCGAACCCAGAAGGCGGATTTTTAAGATTCCTGGAAAAGTCAACGATCGCAAGCATTATGTCACAGACGAACTTACGGAATTAACCACAACTTTTAACGAGATGAGCGAGGAACTTTTAAGACAATATACTTCTTTGGAAGACAAAGTTGCCGAACGAACACGAGAACTTGAAATTAGTAAAAAGGCAGCCGAGGCCGCCAATGAGAGCAAGACTTTGTTCATCGCCAATATTTCCCACGAACTTAAAACGCCTCTGAACGGTATTCTGGGTATGTGCGCGGTTTGCATGGAAGAAGATGACTTGTTGCGGATTAAGCAATCTCTGAAAACGTTATACAAGTCTGGTGACTTATTGTTACACCTTCTTGAGGACCTGCTGAGTTTCTCAAAGAACCAAATTGGCCAGCAATTGAGTCTGGAAGAAAGAGAATTCCGACTAGGAGACATCCGATCGCAAGTTGCAACGATTTTCGACAAGCAAGTTCGTGAAGGCGCAATTGACTTTTCAGTTGCTTTCCTGGGTACCGAACCCGATATGAGCCCTAGTCCCGATCGAGTGGAATTGGATCAGAGACTTCCAGCAATCGGCCCCTTGGGGACCGGTAGGCTAAAGGATATGTGTCTATGGGGTGACCAGCATCGAATTTTGCAAGTGCTCATCAATCTTGTGAGCAACAGTCTTAAATTCACGCCGCCGGGAGGAAAAGTTTCTGTCCGGATAAGGTGTCTACGAGAAATCGAAGCGCCTTTCGACGTTAGTAGAAGTTCATCCTTATCCAAAACTGGATCCAGTCGTCCAGGCAGGAGTAGACACAGGATGGGCTCAGGATCAAATAAGTCTAAGAGCTCAAATGAGATCTCGACCTCTCAGACCCAATTTAAAGGGACTGGCACAGCGCTGTCGATTAATCCTTTAGACCCTAAAGTTGCGCCCCACGTACGCATACGTGAGAGGTCGCCAACGCCGCCTCCGCCCAGCGCGAAATCATTTCTTTTCGAATTCGAAGTAGAGGATACCGGACCAGGTATTCCCGACCATATGCAGCAACGGGTTTTCGAACCATTCGTCCAGGGAGATCTTGGCCTCAGTAAAAAGTTCGGAGGAACTGGTCTGGGCTTGAGTATCTGTCAACAGTTGGCAAACCTCATGGGAGGAAGTATTACGCTTAAGAGTGCTGTTGGTGTTGGTACAACTTTTACTATGCAAATTCCTCTGAAGTATACCAAGGATAGGTAAGAAAATGTGATTTTCGAGCATCTGCGTTGATAATCGGCTAACAATATTGGGTTTAGGGCTTCGAGTACAGCTTCAAGCAGTGTTAATTCACGACCACCAAGTATAAGCAGCTCAGCGGACGGCGATGCGCGAAAGAATTCTCTTACATTAACACAGACCACGGCGGGTGCTAAAGCCAACGTGCTTGATCAGCAGCCACGCCTGGTTGGGTTGAGCCAGCCTTTCTTCGCTACGAATCCCGGTACAAAGATAGAACCATCCCCAGATGATCGAATGAAAGCCATAGAGATGGCCAAAGAAAGCAAAGGCGACGGAAAGCTTCGAGTTCTCGTTGCTGAGGATAATCCCACCAATATCGAAGTTGTCAGCAGGATGTTAAAATTGGAAGACGTATACGACGTAACCATCGCGAAAGATGGACAAGAAGCATACGAACTTGTCAAGGTGAATATGGAGAACAACCTCTACTTCGACTTGATCTTCATGGACATCCAAATGCCCAATCTCGATGGCCTTCAGAGCACTCGTCTCATCCGAAAGATGGGGTATTCAGCACCGATTGTCGCCTTAACAGCGTTTTCGGAGGAGAGCAATATTAAAGACTGCATGGAATCTGGAATGAACGAGTTCTTAAGCAAGCCTATTCGCCGGCCAGCACTCAAGCAGGTTCTTAAGAAGTTCGCCACGATCCCCGAAGAACCGGAGACAGCGTCTCAATTAACACGAAAAAGTACACCCGAGAAAGGCGAGCGTCCCATTGTAGGCCACTCACCGAATGGGGACACCACCTCTCGACCAGCAATCATAAAATCCGACTCCAAGGACCATTCAATTGTGAATGGAACACATCCAACTGCGGATATAACGTGCTAACGTTATTTTAAAATATCACTATCATATACGTCCACATCGATACTTACTATATACACCGACGAGTCACAATATTCCTAACATTATCATCGATACCTATCCACCTATATAATCTTGCATTTTTTTATTAGCGGATTTTATTGTCATATTACATGTTATTCATATACTAGTTGTGGACGAGTTACAATTACCTCCACTGCATTCTTACTACGTACAATATTTATACCATCTTTTAAGGAGGCATCAAAACGGAAAGCCACGTAAACGGCGAATTGGGATGATGGGAAACAAAATATCCGGCGAATTTGGTTCAACAACGGCGACGGCGTTTCGACTAGTTTATTTTGCATACGGAATTGATTATGCTGTAAGAAATATATGTACAGCAACCGAGAACACTTCGGCTTTTTCTTTGGCCTATATTGGGTCTGTATTGCACGTTCCCTCTGAGGTGCGAGAACGGGGAATATGTGTGTGATCTATCACTTCGGAGAAAAGGACAGCGCACGAGATTATCAGGATTGGACACGTTTGAATCGGGCATATGACTTCTAGGTCAGAGATTGGAGAAGAAGGAGTTGGAGTCATTCTTCGGAGGGGAGCTGAAGACCAATGGTTACTTGTCTCATGCAAGGGATAAGCCATAGCTGTCGCGTCCCGATGAGGTGTACATATTATGACATATGCAAGTACATGTGTATATAAGCCTCAAGTATTTTGTAATGCATAGCGAATGGATCATGCTCGATCAAATATTGAAACCATTCCATATTTGAAAATCGTAATTTGTTCCTTGTCTTTTCCTGGTTAATATTGAATCAACTTGAAGGGTTCTGTCTTCGGAACCGTGGTTGCGGTACGATTGGATCGTGGGATATGCGAGTGCCGGTCAACTTTGCCGAACCGGTGTAACATTTCCCAAGCGGAGAGCCTATAGTAAGCGTTTCCGGCTTGATCCGGGGAGATCCGATCTTCGGATTGTGGGGTTTAGAATTTCAATATAGTACGAGTATACGTACACTTTTCAACACCAATATTCTAGAATTGCAGGTCACGTACGTCCGATTTTTGCTTTCTCGTGTAAGACAAGACACGGCACGCGGTCGACACGAACACCGAGGGACAAAGGGGAATTTGGAGTCGTCATCTTTTGAATTTCTAAGCTAGGATTCTGGTTTGCTGTGAAGATTTCCTTCTGTACGATACGGACGGGCGGACGGACGTAGATTTGGACTTCCCCTCTTGTGTTGGAATTGCACTTTTTTCTTCTTTATATTGCGCATGAACACACATAACTCGGATTTCTAGAAACAGAAACACCCGTTATCACAGCCCTACAAACCATCCACTAGCTACCCCAAGATCCTCAGAAACAAGTCTCAATATACTAGAAAAAGGTCTTACAAACGCAAAAAGCCACAATGCGTCTCCCCTACGTCTCCACCCCCCCGCCCACCACATCCCCCGATGACGCGGCGATAGTCGAGCGCATCGAGGCTCGTCGTGCCCCACGGCCCTTACAAGCTTTGGATCTGACGCTATTACATTCACCTCCGGTCGCAGATGGTTGGAACTCATTCATGGGCGCAATACGCACGCGCACCACGCTAGACGCCCGGAGCCGGGAATTAGCAATTTGTCGCGTGGCAGTTGTAAACCGAGCATGGTACGAGTGGGCGCACCACGCGCCGCTAGCCCGTGCCGCGGGGGTAAGCGAAGCCGGGTTAGACATCGTAAAACGGGAATTCCTAGTACCTAAAGACGGCGATGAGGAGAAAGCTAGGAAAGGAGCAGAAGATGTTGGATTAGGGGAGAAGGAGTGGGCTGTGCTTAGGTATACGGATGAGATGACTAGGAATGTGCATGTGCCGGATGATGTGTTTGGGGCGTTGGAGAGGGTTTTTGGGGAGAGAGAAGTTGTTGAGGTTACTGCTACTGTGAGTTTTATTTCTTATTTCCTATATCTTTCCTTTTGGTAGGGGCTCTGATCTAGAGTGTTTGGCATCTGTGTCAGTAGGATATAATGACGAGCGGGAAGATTTGAGGGAAAGGGATGAAAAAAAAGAGGAACGAGATCGCCTCGGACAAGACGAAACACGCTGACGAATTCTAGGTCGCTTCTTATAACTGTGTCAGTCGATTCTTGGTTGCCCTTGATGGTAAGTTTTTCATACATTTTATTTTTCTTACGTTACTATTCATGCTGCTACATCTACTACAATATGAAGAGAGTATAGATGTGAGCGAGTTGGTAAGCCGAGAACTTTTCCCGCTAACGAGCCCATACAGTTGGTGAGAGAAACGGTACTGGGCCTGATGATACACCTCCGCATTGATGAGCTTTGGGATGGGTGCACTATTGGAAACTCATTTCTACATATTTAGTATAACCTTGAAGGGGACCCATTAGAGGTTTATAGCTCGGGATACTACTAGCTTACCGACCTTTGAGCCCTAAAGACTAAGCACACTACATATATACATATAAGCAACAAGCATATCACAAAATACAACGAGGAATATAACTATAACATGATGATTCAGTCTAGCTTCGCTAGATACATTACCGACGACATCCGGTCGATTTCCATCCCCTTCCCTTTCGCCTTCATAACCATTCTCACCACCGTGCCATAACCGTACCATGCCAGGTAGGTATATTGTATTGTCCCCGACCGTTCCGAATCCCCTACACTAAAATCTGATACATACGACATTCCAGAATTATCATAACCAATATGATCCGCATAAAGACATGGATGGAAATAGAACTAACCAACTTTTCGAAGTATAAAGAAGAAAAATAATGAAGCGAAGCAGAAAAGAATATAAAAATGAAGTGATATGTAATATAATATGCAACGCGATGCAATCAATAATAAAATGGGGTATCTTGTGAAGTGACCAGAACTCCTCGTAATGGAATTAAATAAGCGTAAATGCTCATAATAAGGCTCACCAGCATTCAAGGTCGTGAAGCTGTCGTAAAAAACATCATCGTCATCATATGAGATGTTGCTCGTTAAAAGGTCGTCAATCGATTAAATCTTTTCTTCCGGTGGAGAATCTAGGGCTTGATGGAATCGGTCATTGTCCATTTTCGGAGTCAACGATAATGGACTACCAATAGGTGACATAGGTGGTGGTGATCGCATAGCCATCTCGATGGAAGCATGACGTTTATGCATCAAAGGTGACCGTTGTAATTCTTGTACGACACCCATCCAACCCATCCGATGTGGGGTTTCATCTGCCTTGTCGGGAGTCAAAGATGTTTTTCGCGGTGGCGTCTCCATATTATCGCGATGTCCCGTTGCCTGTGTCGTCAGCCTCCTCAACGGCGGTCTCTGCTTGATATGGTCTGTCAGTCCTTTAGGAAGAGGTGGCGGTTTAGGTATATGAGGAGTATGATATTGATGGTGTAGCGACGCTTTTTCTGGATCTTTCGGCATCGTCCTCTCAGCAATTCTAACACGTTCACCCGCTGTTCCCGCAACGACACCCATATATACGACCAAAAATCGCATGCGCAACATATCAAGTCGTCGCACTCTTCCGCCCAATTGTTCTCTATTAGTAGCCCATTGAAGGCGAGCGCTAGTACGCAGCGTGCCGTTCACCATAATCCGGTTTAGGTCCTCGCGCAGATCATCGCTACATTTTTGGATCTCTCGCAATAATGCGTTTAATCGTAACTTATCTTCCAACCTCTGTACTTTTTGCGCGTCGCGATCGTAACTATCATTTTCTGTGATGGAATACTCGACAACGTCCGTGTACGTGGTGATCTCGTGGGGCGCTGCATAATACGCGGCGGCGTATGTATTGAATATGTGCGTGATGACAACCAAAGCGAGGCAAAGAGCGGTGGAGAGGAGGATCTGGGTCCACAATAGCGATGAAGAGGGGTCGTTCATCGTGCGATCGATATTTTGGGGCTTGTGAGGACCACAGACAAAACGATTATTTGCTATGAATTCATTGTTCGCGGGAGGGACGGTGAATGGCGAATTGGATAAGTGTGCGGAGGAGGGTATATGGTGACGTTCGTCTAAGTGATCTTTTTGTGGTTGGTTGGCTGCCGTTTTGCGCGTGGGAGTGAGAGTAGGAGTGGGAGTGGTAGTGGTAATGGTGGTGGCAGTAGTACGAACACGAACGGGAATGGGAATAGTGATGGGATAGGGATAGGGGATTGTTGGGGAACTACCTGGACCTTGTGGTTCTCGAACCTGCGAACCTCCTGCATATGTACCTATATACATTAAGATAGTCTATGTGGTGTGCCGATTTCGTGGACTAGGGTTCGAACGGGTAGGTCCAATAGCGGAGGTCGCGGAATACGGTGGCGCAGTGAGGGTACTGTACTTCTTTTTCTTACCCTCGTTCGAGAGACAGATGGTTTTTTTCATGACATGATCTGTATCCAGCATTGAAAGAATTTCTGGGGAGATCTGAGTTAATAAATACTTTGGGTCATCAATGATCGCTCTACACTACTGCTGCTTGCCTGCATTCCTGCAAGGCCTTACCGAGTCTTTGGTCATACGGATGCAATCCGATATACTTAGCCTGCATATAGTGGTGACTTAGCTGGATGTTTCGATAATGGCGGTGTGTTTCGCAGGTATTTTTTTTCGATTTGGACTGTTTTTGGTGCGATTTGTGATGTACCAAAAAATCGACGATGATGATGGAAAGAAGAAAAGAAAGTTGGATTTTCTTTTTTGGAATTCAATCAATTAAAAGGTTCAAGTGTCATAATATATATTAAACTTTATCAATGCGTCTGTACTTTCCCTGCTTGCTAATGTATTACTTTAACGTTGTTTCGAAACATCCATTACATCTCAGCTCCTTTGTAATGTTCCTATAATTCATGCAGGCAGGCAGGCCCTAAGAATTAAGGTTGAGTTGGGCTGCTGCCCTCTGCCGTTTGCCGCTGGCACTTGCGCAAATCAAATCCATCGCGGGGCACTCCCGTGTGTAACACCATGATAAAAATGATTTTAATCGAAATGACTTAAATCCGATAACTTAAATTTACACTCTATATCTGCTTCAGTTAACAGTCAAATTAATATACTCTCTCTAATTCGACTCACAACTCAGAGTCACCACCGCCAAAAACAATCAACAAAACTACAGTCAGCAGCGAAAAAGAAAAACCATGGCAGCAGAACAAGAAGCCCCGCACGACCCCCCCCTCCCACCGATCCTGACGTACCCCTCGTCAACCCCGCCGACCCTCATCACCCAAGGCGCCGAAGCGCGTCTCTACAAAACGACATACCTCCTCCCCTCTCTACCATGCGCGCTGAAATACCGTCCGCCGAAGGCCTGGCGTCACCCCATTCTCGATGCACGACTGACGCGCCATCGTATATTGGCTGAGGCTAGGGTGTTGGCGCGGTGTCGAAGGGATGATGTACCAGTGCCTGCTGTATACGCCGTGGATGAGAGCGCGGGGTGGCTTGCTATGGAGTGGGTTGGGGGCGTTCCGGTTAGAGTTGCGATTAATGAGTGGTTAGCACGACGGCGGCGGGGGGAGTTGGAAGAGAATGAAAATAAAGAGGGAGAGGTTGAGGGAGATGCACCGCCTGTTACTGGGGATAAGGAGGAGGATAAAGATCTTATTGCGCTGATGCGTAGGATAGGCGCTGCGGTGGGACGCATGCATAAGACGGGTATTGTACATGGGGATTTGACGACGAGTAATATGATGTTACGGCCGTGGGAAAAGGGTAGTGCGCCGTCGAATGGGCATGCGGGTTCTGGTGATGGGTTGCTGGATGGGGATATTGTGATTATCGACTTTGGTCTCGCGAGCCAGAGTACGTCGGATGAGGATCGCGCGGTTGATTTATATGTCCTGGAGAGAGCATTTGCGAGTACGCACTCGCGCGCGGAGAAGTTGTTCTCGGCTACATTAGAGAGCTCGTATAGGGAGGCATTTAAACAGGCGAATATCGTCCTGAAGAAGCTCGAGGAGGTTAGGATGCGAGGGCGCAAGAGAAGTATGATAGGATAGAGCTACGAAGATCTATTCATAAAAATAATACCAAGACAAGTCAAATCTGAAATGTTCTCAAACGACTATGCGCTGAAATTTGCTTAGCTATGTGTATTTATGGTCTAATGCAAGGAATCCCAGAAAACCTATGCTGTATAATGACCCCCTAAAAGTATGCACAAAGAATGGAAAAAGATCGCGTCTTTCTCGAATCAGACCTCCTCTACCGACTCCGCGCTTGCAAAGTAACCTTTATTCTCGATAACTCCTCTGTCTTTGACAAACGCCGTGTATTTAACTACCCACTCGGGAATAATCTCTCCCTTCAATCCACTGGCATGGACATCACCATCCGCTAGAACACCCGCGCCTTGCGGGCCCTGACCAAGTAATTCCCGCAGCGTACCACTAGGTAGGATATCCGTAGAATCGTGATGGGTAAATAATTCGATGCGCTCGGTTTTGGCGAGTTTCGTTAAGGGCGGGGGGACGTTGCAACAATTCTTGATGTTGATCTGGTCGACAGCCGGCCGGATCCTGACTTCGTCCAAAAAGCGCCTTAGCTTCTCACTTCCGAATTCGGCAATACCGAGCCGGCCGACCAGGCCCTGGTCGTGCAGGTTTTCCAGCAGACCCCACGTCGCAACCTCTTCTTCGTCATTCCCCATACCCGCGTTTCGCCTGTCGGCTTCATATTCGCAGTCGCCTTCGAAGGATATACTTGGGAAGGAAATTATGAGAAGGTCGATGTCGCGCACGCCTAATTCTTTTGTAACGAGTCGTAAGGCTTCGCTGATGTAGTCTGCTCGCTTTTCCGGTGGTGCTGTAGGTAAGAAGAATAGTTTGACTGTTATTTCGTATGCCGCGCGATCCTCTTGTAATCCAGCCAATCCCCAATCGATGCGCGGGACGTACAAAGTTGACTCGTCCCTCTCTGTCCAGATTTCTGGCGCGGGGTGCTTGGTATGTCCATTTGGTTGGCCGTTGCTTATATGACCGTTACCATTTTGGAGTATCGCACCGTAATCTTGTTGCGCGGCCGTGAAATTGCTTCGTAGAGAATTTGTGAGTTCGAGATTTGATCGGTAGGTGCCTGGTTTTCGTATGATGGAGGGGCCGCCCAGGATGATATTGCCGGTAGATAAGATTATTCGTGTCATTGTGAAAGTAGAGGAATGTGTTTAATGATTATGAACCAACCAACAATAGGTCGGATTCAATAAAAGTAAAGAATAGGAAGGGGTATGATATGAAGTATATGTAGTAGAGTAGAAAAAGGGTATAACTTGGTAGGTAAGTCTATTACCAATCGTATGTGCATGTATGCGGAGGGGGGTAGTAGAAAATCTGAAGCTTTATAAATCGAATGTGGGGTCTTTTTGGTTCGAGTCTAAAGTCTTGAGATAATGATAATGGACGGATATGACTTATACCTACCAAGTACGGAGGTACTTACATTACATGATGGTCCCCAGAACGCTTGAGTTTGACCCTCTGTGTTACACCGCAGACGGACACTAGACCAATACAGCTTTTATTGGTCGAGGAAAGTGTAAATAGATAAAGGTTGTAACACATTTGTATGCGTTTTGGTAATCGGAAATGCGCGCCCATACGTTGTCATATGTATGTATACCAGTATAGTCAAACGTGAAGGAGATGCATAGGAAATGCAGTAATACTTATTGCCACGGAGATAAAAGATGATAGGAATGTGATATCGCGTGTGTAATGGTGATACATATCGCTAGCGGCCCCCATACCTAGGTATGTACCTAGGTAATGAATAAGCAACCTAGTAAGTGGGATTGTCATTTCTAGGTCATTCTCTTAGTCCTTGTTGGAGTGCTAGAAATAGGTATTCCGTACGTAACTGTCATGTCGTGGATCTCCCCGAGCCATCTAGACATTGTCAGATACTTGAGTGGAGTGTTGCAATGAATGTTACTGCCAAGGTATTGTTGGTAATAAGATGTAGCCAGCCGTGTTCGGCCAATTGATAAATATCTCGGTTTTATTTGTTTTATTGTTGGTTCTAGAAGCTGAAGAGTTCACGGGATAAAAAGACTAAAGATTTAAGTGTGGAGGTTCAGCCGTAGAAACCCGCACACTTGTCCGCAGGTGGTGACTAAAACCGTGGGGGTTAGTAAGTTGGATCGGTCTGGCAACTTCTTTGTTTCAGCTGGCAGCATAATCTTCATAATCTTCATACTAATGCGGACTAATGCAACCGAACAATTCAATCTCAGTGTACATACATCTGTACATACACAGAATTGGAAGCAGCAGCTCGTGCCCAACCCCACTACTGATCAGTGAGAAATTGCTTGATGTTTTCTTTGCATCGCCGATTTCAACCTTCCCGTCCTTTTCTTCCTCGAAACAAACATAACGCTGCCACATCCAAGAAATCTCTTCTTTTTTCCATCCAGGTGGTGATGTGGATACCATCATCATGGCTATAAAGTATGATGTTCAAAGTATCACCATCGATATTGGAATGCAACTAATCAAATATATAATAGCTACTTGATCCTGCTCTCTAGGCAGGGTAAGGTGGTATGGCATATTTCCCTCTAGGCATTCTTCCACGACCCTAATGAAACTAATCAATACTCCAGCGTCTTGCCAAATGGTTCACCACCTTATCCCCCAAGGACAAGGCGAAGATTGTCAAGGACGTCTCTCAACTCGTTCTCGCTCGACGAACTCGCATGTGCAACTTTCTCGAGTACAAAGGTCAGCCTCCTATTATCAATGACAACTACTCTATACAAAACAAGGCTCATTACCGAAATATATAGATACGAAAATCGTCTACCGTCGTTATGCTTCCCTATTCTTCATCGCCGGTTGCTCCTCCGATGACAACGAATTGATTACCCTCGAAATTATCCACCGATATGTCGAACAAATGGACAAATACTATGGCAACGTCTGCGAGCTTGATATTATCTTTTCTTTCACCAAGGCCTACTACATTCTAGATGAAATATTGTTGGCAGGAGAGCTCCAGGAGAGCAGCAAGAAGAATGTCTTGCGTTGTATAGGACAGCAAGACTCTCTTGAAGATATGGAGGTAAGCCGCCTACCTAGGCTCTTTTCTTATTATTATTTCTATGTTGGTTTGGTCTATGGACTCATCCTGGCAACCCGGAACCCACGCGAATGCACAAATTTCCTCCCTTTGGCGATCCTCAGACCACTGACATAGCTTTTCTTCTGTCCAGGTCGAGGACGAGGTCACGAGAATCATGTAACAACAAAGTGATCATGTAATTATTTCCGATCGGTTTACAGTATTCAGATTGGTCTTCGCAAGGCGCGGCGCAATTATGTTTTAGAGGGACAGACATTCAAAAATGCTTTGCTTTGCATTTCGCCAAGTATGCTTATATTTAATTGTCTTCACAGGTCACAAAAGAAATCGAGGGCGCCCTGAAAGAGGCCGGATTCTTGTGATTCGAAATCGCCAGCTTCGTCAATGCCTACCCATCTGAAGAGCCATGTTGCAATACAATGATCTGAAGTGACACAATCTCTATACTATATCTTACCCACCTATGATCGATAATTACCTATCTACCTACCCCTAATTACTAGTCGACAACTCCTTTCCGGTATTTCCTCTGACCCTTTTAGCAACAAGACGAAACAAGCCAAGTCAAGGAGAAGGATGCGCAGAATGCACAAACAAGCGGTTGATGCTCAAACACATGGGAGGGAATGGGGTTAGCCGAATGCTAAGGAAGCACGTTTATCAGTGACGAAGATGATATTGACATTCTTGATGCATGGTATGGTTGGAAGCGCTATGGTACGTTTGTTTAAAAAGGCATCGTTGATGCTCGTGGCATCTTGACGCTATCTTATTCGTTTAACTTGGAAACTAGCCATTTAACGATGATTTTGGTGTGGTGGGATAGAGGAGGACTAAAGGATACCGGGACTTACCAATCTAGTGTCGAGCCGATCAAGCCTATTAAGCCACCCCCTCCAACTTTCGATGGTCCAATACCCCCCGGTTCAGCGCCCAGATTCGAGGATTACAAGGAAATGGTCGGCAAACAACTGCCCGCTGCAGGTGTTCTTTAGGGGAGGGATTAGAGGGTTATGGGGGGTTGTTCTTAGGGGCCTGTAAGCCATGTCAGACCCAACGCCAAACACCTGATCATCCATCCAATATAGGCATGGGCATTTGAACATTGAGCCTATCCCTAATCTCTATCTCTATTCCGCCGCGCTCGAACTATCATCATCATAACTTACCTACTACAACTTCAACTTCCGACGACTTCAATTTTCCCCATTTTACGACAACAACGTCATCATTTATCTCCAAATCCCGGTTGTGCTTTATTATATCATGTCCTGCTCTCCTTGCGCCTACTAGACGATATATCGTCTAGTTTTATTCAACTTAATTGCTTGAACTGATATCGCGGGGATTTAAGAGTGCATTTGTTGTTCTTTGTCAGCTCATTGGCTACAACAACATCGTTACGCATTACATCGTCAGGACGATACTTATCTATTCAAATAACTACTCCGCGACAGGCCACGAGCTGCTTTTTGTTTATTCACCGACCAATTCTTGTCGCCTTTATGAGCTTTCAAAGTTCTATACAATTAATTATCTTCAACCCCGAGTCTTACCCCATTCCGTTCCGTTGCGGTGCTATCAGCATCCTCCACTACACTTACCGCCTAATTACGCCATCACATCCCATGATATCCTCGTTTATGAGATCTTCAATTAAATCACCACGACAGTTTCCACGACGCAAAGATGAAGGTTCGTCTACTTATCGCATACGAATTCGGACGCTACACATGCTCTACTTCGCGTCCGATAGCGTCGCAATCATTCTTATTAACCCTTATTTCCTATGTAGTTTCTACCAATTCAAGAGTTCGCCGGTATCACCTCCGCGCTGAACTTCCGCACGGCTGAATGTCGCGTTAAGGGTGCTTGCGAACTTTACACCACTAAAGCTGCTGGGTCCGACAAGAAACTCTACAAGACGATCGACGTAACTCTCGAAGAACAACATGCTGCGCTTCTCAAACTAGGCGAATCGTTATCTCTACCGCATAAAAAGGATATAATCGACTCGATGAATCTATCGCGCTCTAGTCCCTTCGGTAGTTTAAATGAAGCATCAAATCGCCGTACCTTCGCATACCTTATCGCAACACTGAATGCGAGTCATCCCGATTACGACTTCTCCCACGTCCTGCGCCCGACCGACTTCCGACGAATGCGCAATCTACAATACGTCATGGCTAACGTCGACAATACTCTCAACAACGTAAGACCATTCTCCACATCGGTTCTATCGGCCGATGGAAACTCGTCGTATCGCTCTTACAGCAGCTCTCCGGCAACGAGCTTTACAATAGGCGGCGACATAGTGAGTAGTCCTTCATGGAGCCCACACATGTGGACCATGATTGATAAGGAGATGACTCTAAGGGACTGTATGATATTTTCGTACGAACCCGCTGAGGAACCCTTTGATGGAGATGAATCTGCTATCTGGCGCATACATTACCTCTTCTTTAACAAGAACAAGAAGCGAGTCGCATATCTGTACGTCAGGGGCCTACCGATCCTTGTCAACTCGCCCGCACTCGCACCCCATCGACGCGGTAGTAATGGCCTGTCGAAACGCTATGCGACGCCGCTATCGAGTAGTTGGGGTCCGAACAAGCGCGCTAAGTTTTGGCTGGGTGATCAACTTGCGAATCGAATAGTAATCGATGAGGATGATGAGGAATACTTTGACGAAGACGATATGATACCGTACAATTCAGATGAAGATATCGATATCGATCCCCTTAACGACCCCTCTTCCGAAGAGGAAGAGAGTGATGATTACGACGATGACGAAGAAGAGGAAGAAGAGACCGACGAGAGCGAAGACGATAAGGTGGCTTACTCCGTTAGAGGTGTGAGTGAGGACATCGCCATGAGAATGGAGGTGTAAATGCCTACTTGTACGCTACGATATCGGTCGAACGGAATCAACTCCCCTTTTGTTATTCGGTCTTCCAAGGTGGAATGGAAGGGGTTGGGAGGTAATATCGGAATGTTGCGACAAGTGTCGTACATATGCATACATGACAGGACCTAGGCGTTGAGGTCCTAGGGTTTACGTTCATGACGGTCTTCAACAAGACGCCTCGGATGGATGGATGTATGAGTTTTACGGCGTTATTCCCGGCATGACTTTGCGAACGCTTTTGCTTGTGTTTGCGATTGAGGGCGGGGCGGAGAGCGCGTTTTGACGCTCGATACCCCGTGACGATGATTTTACTGCTGTACCGTTTTCTTTCCATTTGCTTTCCCATTTTCTGTCTTTATTGCCTGCAAGGATACGATAAGGCGAGCAAGTAATCGGGCGGGTAACAGGCGATTCGGCAGTATTTGGATTTGCAACCAAATCAACCATACAATCCAACTGCCGGGAGAGAAACTGCATTTCGAAAGTGCGGTTTCGGGAACAAGCTTGTTTCGTCTAGTATATATGCTTTTGTTTCATGTAATCAAGTTGTGTGACGAATACTAGGTAGAGCCTAGGCAGGCAATAGGAAATTTTCAAATTTTATGTACGAAGCGTATATCTGATATTAATAGTATGTTCTAGAAAAGATGTATTGGTGACCTAGGGATTTTAGCATGCTATTAGGACATCGTGCACTTTCAGTTCTGCATTTTTCTAGCTAAATTAAAATATAGTAAACTCGGCTAGAAATACTACTATTTACTCTCTACTACACCTAATGTCCCTCAACAAAAAATATACACACTGGCTAGGATGTTGAATATCTATATTCAACTATTCCTGCATAACACTCGCGTCTTGATATAATACCTTAACGTCATTATACCTGCAATTGTAGCTCTCGTTAGATTTGCGACCCTCGCAAGCTAAACACGGATTTGAGGAGACTCTTGATTCGGAAGCAAATTGAGTATGGCATTGTCGAGTAATGGAGCAGGGAAGTACATTCTTTTGGTATTATACAGCCATTTAAATTTATCGCAAGTGTCTCCAATGCTTCTCTCCACAACGTTACCAGCTTCTCAAATCTCAATAGCAATCTTCCCAATACCTCGACTAACACAACTCAACATCGCATCATTCTTCTCGTCATCCCCAAGCGCGGTACCCCTATGTTCGACTCTTCCGCTTCTCAGAGTGACTTTGCATGTCCCGCAATTACCCACCTCACAGCTACTAGGTACATCATCGTCGCCAAAATGTTTCCTCAGCACTTCAAGCAATGTTTCCTCGGCGCCGACCTGTAGGAGTTTACCACCACTGACACTATTCGTGCCGTTCTTGCCATTGACTCCATTAGTTCCGTTGATACCAGTCATTCCATTCAAACCATTCGTCTTCTTCCCCGCCGGTGCATGTGCCGGCGCCTTAAAAACCTGCACGTCAAACGGATCCCCACCAGTCTCCGCGCCAAAAGCCTCAAAATGCACCTCATCCTCCCCCATCCCCCTCCTCTTCGCCTCTTTTATCGCCTCATCCATCATCCTCGTCGGTCCACAAACATAAACATGTGAATTCCACGGCAACCCCTCAAAAATCCGCTTAATATCCATTCTCTGTCCCTTAGCGCGATCATACACTTTAACGATATCCCCCAACCCCTCAATCCTATCACGGAACGGAATATCAGTAGGCGCTTCGCGCACGCCGTAATGTAAAATGGCCTCGTAGTGTATTTTCTGGTATATCTCGAGCAGGCTTAGGAACGCGGTTATCCCGATTCCGCCCGCGATGAAGACGTGACAACTTGCGGCACTGGCTGGTTTGATATCGGAGGTTACGCGACCGACTTGGAGTGTACTCCCGATTTTAGCCTGGTGGTGCATGTAAGCCGAACCACCGCGGCTTTGGTCTTCAAGCGCGATGCCGAGTTCGAATTTATTACGATCGCCGGAGACGATGGAATATGAGCGTAGTAAACCATTAGGCAGCTTTAGACGGACGTGTGAACCGACGTCCATTTGCGGTGCTGGTATATCGGGATCTGGGGTCACGGCTTCGAGGGTGAAAGATGTTATACGGGGTGTTTCGATTTTTCGCTCGATGATTTTGAAATCTCGCCATTTCTCTTTTACTTCCTCGCTATTCCCGTTCGCGGCTGCGGCAGCGCGCTTCTTTTTCGCTTTTAGTTTTTCTACGCGTTTTTCGAAGGCCTTGCGACTTTCATCTCCCATGTCGGCCACGGCTGCTAGCTCTTCGTTCATTTCTGCGTTATCTTGTACTCGATGCAGGTACTCCTGAACCCGCTCGATGGTCCACTTGGGCCATCGGCGCTCGGCGAGGCGGATCTCGTCGCCGGCTTGTACGGAGCCTTCGCGGAGAACGCGGTAGTACCATCCCGTGCGACTTGTTTTGAAAGTGTTGGGTGCGAAGTTCTTGAGTTGGAAGCGGTGGTTAAGCTTGAAGCATGGTTGACGTGGGAGGCTGACTTGTAGCAGGACCCCGTCAGTGCCGACGGAGACGATGTCCCCGATGCAGACGTTACGTTCGTTCACTAGGATATGAGTGAGCCGGAACTCGTGAGTCTTGCCAGTGCGCATCTGCAATGTTGTGTGAAGGGGGTAGATTGGCAGCTAGAATAGGGGTAAGGATGAATCAAACTAGAAACACATACTGCGCTCCGTCACGAAATTCTCCCCGAATCCACCCCGTGCAAATCGCGCAGCAGCCTCGGGGAACTCCTTCTGCCAATTGGTATAATGAGTACAGCAATCTGTTACGTCTTAGCATCCTCCCATCATTGAGGAGCAAGAGATCCATAGCAATTGGTGAGTCATGGGCCGCGTCAACTTACACCCATGGATAGCCTTATCCGGCCCACCATGAAAAACAAGATCATGTTCATCTGCATCAAGCCCGGCGAAAGACACGGGAATGCGACCGGTGCGCATCTTCTTGTCTATACCCGTCTGGATCTTCAGACCCGGCATCGCCTTCATTTGGCTAGTCCGAATCTCAAGTATGACATCTCGTTCAAAAGGCGCAAACAAATCAATGTCCGACGCTGGAGACATGATTACTTGGCACAATGGGGTAGCGAATATGTGCCAAATGTGAAATAAAAGCAAGGAGTAAGAGAATTCTGTAAACTGGGGTTTAGTAATTATAACATTGAAGATAAAAAGGGGAAAAGTTGATAAGTGACAATATATACCTACGTTTTCGTAATATTAGCTAGTGGCTCCGGGGTTGTCATTAGTAAGGCGTGAATCGGGTCTCCGAGGAATCCCGTACTGCAGGTAGTAACCCCTATCTGATACGCTAAGTTGCTTCCCCCCTTTCACTTAAACTCACATAGACCAAATTGATGCCCAATATTATTAAATGGTAGCTTGATACTGTAGAATGACGAGCTATTGCTTTATAAATAAGAGCACATATATGCACTTGATCAGTCCTCAAATTCTTCTATTGGATCTCCATCGAAACCTGGCAAACGTCGTATATCGGCTCTTCCATCTGCCGCTCTCTTCTTTGGCCTACCTCTCTTCCTCTTACCATGACCCAACATAGGAGGTGGCATTTGTGTTGATGAAGGGCCCGAATCTGCAAGTTTTCCGACGAAAGTCCTCGGTTGCACAAAGCGGAATCGTGATTCTGAGTCGGCTACACTCGCGGAGCCAGCTGTAGCCATGTTGCTACAAACCGATTCTGAGGCTGCAGTACCATGCGTTGCCACGTGGCTTTCGCTTCCACTCTCAGCGAGAAAGTTCTCATCTTGATTGTCCCTATCGTCTGTGAAAGAAGTTGACCCGCAGATAGCCGCAGTTTCAGTAGCATTGACGCTGTCTGTAGACGTGTCAGAAGGGACAAGTTCCGCTGCAACCTGGCGCGCAGCCTTAGCAAACACCTCGGCTCCTAGCTCCTCACTGTCACCATCGAAAGCAAATTTCATCCAAGCATCGTTGTCGTTCATAGGTTGGACCTCCTTGCGATTATGATCTTGTCTTTTCTTAGGTGGCGGGCAATCTTCCTCATGAGAGGTTGCTTCGATGGCTTCTAGACCATCTGTGCTTAGCGGGGCGCATCCAGCACTAGAATTCATATCTGGTTCGCTCGGGAAATCAAAACTTGGGAGCCTCCTTTGTAAATGAAATGGTAAAGTGCTGGCCTTTGAACTGACTGATGGCACCGTAATCAGGGGACTGGTTGGCGCATCAATCGGTGGAATGTCCGAAGAGTTCATAACTAAAATTTTCCATCGCTTTTGGTCTACCTCTTGAGAAAGAGGAATGGGTTCCGGTGGAAGCTCGACCTCGACCTCCATACTCCCCCGCTCCTCAATTGGTGGAGGCGACCACTTGAGGATCGGGAAGTCACCACTTCGACGAGGAATTGGCTCATGGATGATGGATGAAGAGCATACAATATGGGTTGGCTCTTCCGATAATCGTGGCCTCGCAAGGGTCTTGTGATATGTGTCACCATGCTCCCTAGCTACTTCATTCCTGTAGTTCATCGGTTTCTGAGAGCATTGGCTGCTTCTTGATGTGACGTAGAAATGACGAGCCTGGCTAGGCTCCGGACTTGCGAATGATCTTGGAAATCTCCGTGATGGATCAACTAGTGGGTATGGTGCTAAACTATACCTTCTCGTGCTTGGTTGAGAAGCTGTGCTCACACTTGGCTGGATTTCCCGACTGCCAATCTGCATCCTCAACTTGCGATCCTGAGGTCTTTGGGCCGCTTCGGACTCTTGAGAATTGCTGGTATGCACAGGCCTACCGCGTAGTTGCGTTGTACGCACTCGGAGGCGTTCCATTCTTCTCCATCTTGGATTAGTAGGCGTTTGACGCTGTTGAGGAAAAGTGATATTAATCGGTTGCTGCAAATCCAGACCAACCCAGTCTGGCTTGCCAAGTAGCCTTAGTATCCTTTCTCTATCTGGAAGATCCTGAGCCCGCGACCGCTCTGCTATTAAGAGGGGGCTTGTTGGTGGCTGATGCGATACATTCTCATCACTCCCACCATTCTCTCGGTGCTTTTGGTCACTCACTCGCTGAGGTCCAAGAAAGGATATGGTAATTGGGCTCTGCCTAACCCTTCCTCTGAGTGGGCCGTTGCGAACCTTTGCGAAATGCTGTTTCTGCTTCGTAAGTAATTCATTTCGTCCCTTGCCTCTTGAATGGCGGGCAAGGTTGCCTTCAGTCCAATTCATGGTTGAGTTAGAGACTCGGGCATAGGCATGAATATAAATACGACTAATGATACACCTAGAATATGACTTGGGAAGGTGAGAATATCAGATGGTAATGGACAAGTATCATGTTACCTTCGCATACATACATAAATGTTGGGATGTCTATAAGTATTCTGGAGGAATAAGGTTCCCATCATAAAAAGAGGTAGAGGTGAGGTATGTGATGTATGTACCAATTCAATTGTCATAGCGAGTTTTTGCGCGACGCATGAGAGTTTATTCTCGTGATTGAAACGTTCCTTCCTTTCGAATGCAGTAGTAAAATCATCGTCTCACCTACCTCTCTGAGCGACTTCCTCGCATCCTTCTTGTGTTACGTGAACCCAAAGGAAGCAGCGACTGCCTTGAACTTTCATACCTCTTGGCTTTTGAGGTTGGTAGAAAGTTAATTTAATCGACTTACTGAGACTTACTCAGTCATAGAAGCGACGATAATACTAATTCTCAAATTAGAAACAAGTCGCAGCGCACATTATGCCTTTATTTTTGGCTATATAAACATCCCAAATAAATATTCGAAAATATGCAAGGATATGATCATATATATCAATACCGACCCTACCTACCTGGTAGGTAAGGTAGTAACATTGAAGGTAGTAAAGTAGGTAGTAAATGAAGTTCTGCAGCATCATCTTCAGTACGCGTCAGCTCTTTTTTCTGCGGTACTTCGGAGTAAGGGGGCGGCTGAATGAAGACACTTCATCGGTTTAATTATTCCACGTAAGGGAACAGAGAATAAAAAAGGGGCATTAACGATTAACGGTGCCGGAGAAAAGAACACGATGCTAAGATGGAAAGGAATAACTCTCTCAAAAGAATCTAGACGATCTTTTGGAAATGGTAATATCCAATGATGAGGGATTAATTCTGTATTGAAAAATAGAAACTGCAGGTGTCCAATTACAGACCTTGCTCACCCTCAGTCCTTACGTACTGCGTACTATATGGAATTGGGCAATAAAAAGGTCCATTAGCCAATCAGAAGCCAGCGATAACATACTACGCCGGTCACAACGCCAATGGCTCTGGCGTCGCACCAACCCCGCAAATCTACCTTGTACTTCCTTACAAGGTGTGAGAGTTTGGGGTTAGGTGTACTTGTGTACTTGTATACTTTGGTAAGCTGAAAGGACGGTTATGTGGTTGGATAATACAAAAAGCTTCAACGATGAGAGCCAGTCTATAATTCTTCCGTTATTGATACTCTTTTTATTCCTTGAATGTAACTTTATACCATGTCTAAGGAAGTTTAGGGAAATTCATTTGTCAAACAGAAAAATTTGACATTGGGGGTTCACACCGAAGGTAAGATATTAGTTGGAATTGCCTTGACGAACCACAAATGTTGCAATCTACAACAGACAACTTAACAAGATAACTTAACGTTGGATGGTAGACAAATTGGGTACCTACGCTTAATTCGAAACGTTGTTACCGCTACGTAGTATACTAAATAATACAGTAGAAAAAGCAAGGAGTTAGAAAAGGGGTAAAGGTAAAAAGCAAAATAAACGAAAAGGAGAAAAGGAGAAAAGGAGAAAATTAATATATGACTTGCAAGTATGTTGGTGGTACAATACATACAATATTGCAGCCACGTACAACAATTCCCACAGTTACAGTCAATTAAATAATCAACTTGATGCTTTTTACTATTTCAACAATATACTCTTCCGTTCTCCCCGGTTGATCGACATGTACAAAGTATTATAACTTCGATTAATATTACTTACTAAATGCTAGATGAAGCAAATCAGATCAATACAGATTACCGTAATTAATGACTCAAGTATACAAGTCCGAATCGCGGGGCCTTGGCCTTCACTTACATGGACTTACATGGACTTACATGATGTACCTTGTAAGATGTAAGTCGATTCCACGTCCCCCACATTGTTGCTTTTCCATCGTGGAAAATATTATCCACAATAACGTATGGAAACCCAGGTACCTAGCTTAGGCGGCAGTTCGGGTTTTACCAAGCCAGCGAGTCTACCTAGGTACCAAGCCAAATAATTGTCGTCCCCATAACGAGTCAGTCCGCCCGTTTAGATCGCGAACAAGCTTCCGATCCCACCGCAAGTTTAGTTCTGGGCTGAAGAAAATCGTGAGATGCATGGGGTATCAGAATGGGGGGTGACGAAATAAATCCCGTCTGCATTGCATATAAGGAAAAGGGCAGCACAATGCTAAGAGACTCAAGATGTAACATAAAGGGTCAAGCCTGCAGAGGAATAACCCGCCAGATTGTAGATAGATCAGACAGGAAACAACCCCCATTCGGGGTCCTCAATTGTTTTTAATGGTATGTCTCAGAATTTGAACAAGTTTTGTTGTGATCGACCACGATGCTTCTCCTTTGAAAGCATATGCAGGCGGCCTACTGCACAAAGTGCGTAGTTCATGGAACCCTCCGTCAATGAGATCAGCGTTGCTCGATGTCATATACTTCGTTCTTATAACTCCAGGAACAAGGATCATATGTATTTGATAATCTTTTTGATGTTGATATTATTTCTTATTATTTTTCATTTTATTTCCTTCCGTATGAGGGTTCACTTGCATCGTGGTTGAAGCTAGGCTCAACGATCCTCGGGGGTCGGGATCGTTCGAGATGACGGCGGCGCGCAGGCGAAAGAAACGATTCTCTTGGTTATTTCAGGTTCCACAACATCGGATCCGATGTTCCAGGCACTGCTTACACTAGCTGGCCCGGATAATTGCAACGGGTAAGGAGTTTACCGTCAGGCGTGAGTTCTAGAAGGATAAAAAAAAAGAGGGTATTTTTAGATAATTGGGAAGTTCATCCAATCTGGTAACAGATTAAAAACCTGACCACGAGTTACATGTGTCAGTACCCGAAATTTGAGGTATTCTAGCTCGGATGTATATGCAGGCCTACACTGTAAAGTAAGATACACATACGTACTAAAAAATGTATCCATTCCCAAAGTTGACTGACCTAAATGATAATGATAAGTGGTGGCGTGTGGGTTGAAAACCACCCCATCAAACCCCACTAAGACAGGGGTGGCCAAAGGTGAATGATCAACCATTTGAGTGCAGGCGCAGATGCGAAGAAGAGAGAGGGAAGAGAGGGGGATCCACAGGTTGGGACGGTGGCAGGGTGGGGCACTAACCTAGCCCCAACTTCCAGCAGAAGGAGCAGCAGCACAGCAACCCCTGCAGCTAAAAAAATTCAGATACATGGAACATTAAAAGTTCAATTAGGTACCTAGGTACATGCTTGCCCACTATTAACACATATTAGATGAAAGTATCCATATGCTCGTATCATACGTATCATACGTACTCATTTTTGTAGTTACCTTCTCAAGCGCCACGAGCTAGAACACAACTCCTTATCTTTTAACCTTGAATTTCAAGTACCTCCTGGTTTTACAACTAAGAAAGCTCTCCGGTCAACGGAAATTCCACATAAAAGCCGCAGTGTCCCCCCGCAGTCATACTTTTCTTAATCTCTTCCGTATCTTTCCCTCTCTCGTCCTCTCCTTCAAAGGGACAACTCCTATTTATTTACTTCCTTCGTTCGACGTTGTCCTTCGAAAATAAAAGTCAGCTTCAGAGTTTTTTCGTTTTTAACCTATAAGAAAAGAAAAATAAACCACTAAATCCTCCTAATCTTCCAATACCGCAACCATGGTGAGCCTCTTCCTGCGCTTGAACCCCACTAACCTACCATCTCCAACCAATCACCCCTCACAGTTACGAGACGATTTGCTAACAGAATCTCCTTCCAGGCCGACAGCCAATATGTCTCGTACGCTGAGAACGTGAGCACGCGATCCCTAAACCACATGGACACGCCGCATCCATTGGCAACCGATAGTTACGGCTGCGAATGCGACTGTTCGCCTTACTACGAATTACAATACTGACCTAATCATCACAGCTCATGAAATACATGAGGCTCGACCAGAAGGGAAACGCCATGGCGGAGTACATCTGGATCGATGCTCACGGCCACGTTCGATCTAAGAGCAAGGTACGTAATTCGCCTCGCAATGCAATTTGTCCCCTTATCTCGGTCGAATCGCCTTCGTTCCTGTTACATGATATCCTCGTGTCAGGGGCCTTTCTCTCGGCGCCTCGGTTGTACGGCAATCTACGAGGAAGGACCCTGATTTTTTTCTGATCGAACACCTACCACACACCTACACACCCCCGCGACCTGCAATTCGTGGATTGTCATTTCGGTATTGGGGCTTTTTCTAGCCTGACAGATCCCTGTTTAAACCCTGACACTGGCTCGAAACTCGATCAAGAATAGAACCTGCTTGATCCGACCTCGCCCACTTGGCATTATCCACCGCTCTCCAAATCACCGAGAAAACCCTCGACCCCACATATACTGCACAGCGCGTAATCCACTGTTCTTTGTCAACACCGCGCGCCCTTCCGGCATTCGCCTAGTCGTGGCGCAAGTGGCCATGTGGGCAACCGGCGTCATCACTTCGTATCTTATGCCTAGTGGCAACCAAACCCCTTTAATTGCTTTCCCTGTATCGGCTGTTTTACAGCCGGAACGGGGGCGCAGTTACATGCCATTTTTTTACGGTCGATAATGAACATGCACTAATTATACTGCTACACATTTAGACAATTACCTCTATCCCCAAGGATGGTAACTTCAAGCCCGAAGATCTTCCTGTCTGGAACTTCGACGGTTCTTCCACAGACCAAGCTCCTGGTGACAACAGCGATGTTTACCTACGACCCGTAGCTGTCTATCCCGATCCTATGCGAGGTGTCCCGAACATCCTGGTCCTTGCAGAATGCTGGAATGCCGATGGAACTCCCAACAAGTTCAACCACCGCCACGAATGTGCTAAGCTAATGGAGGCCCACGGCGACCACGTACCGTGGTTCGGTCTTGAGCAAGAGTATACCCTCTTCGATATGGAGGACAGGCCGTATGGCTGGCCCAAGAACGGTTACCCTGCTCCTCAGGGCCCTTACTACTGTGGTGTTGGTGCTGGCAGAGTTATGTGCCGTGACATCGTCGACGCCCACTACAAGGCTTGCTTGTACGCCGGTATCAAGATCTCTGGTACCAACGCCGAGGTCATGCCTGCCCAGTGGGAATTCCAAGTTGGTCCCTGCGTGGGTATTGAGATGGGTGACCAGCTCTGGATGGCTCGTTTCCTTCTTCACCGTGTTGCCGAAGAATTCGGTGCCAAGATCTCGGTTCAGCCTAAGCCCATCCCTGGCGACTGGAACGGTGCTGGTCTCCACACCAACTTCTCCACCAAGGAGATGCGTGTTGAGGGCGGTATGAAGGTACGATTACATCAGCCCCATTAATTCATCTGGATTACTTGCTAATACGAAAATAGCACATTGAGGAGGCCATCAAGAAGCTCGAAGGCCGACACAAGGAACACATTGCTGTCTACGGTGAGGGCAACGAGCTGCGATTGACGGGTAGACATGAGACTGGTGCCATCGACCAGTTCAGTTTTGGCATTGCCAACAGAGGTGCCTCGATCCGTATTCCCCGAGAATGCGCCGCCAAAGGATACGGTTACTTTGAGGACCGAAGACCCGCGTCAAACGCTGACCCGTATCAAATTACGGGTATAATTATGGAGTCGATTTTCGGTGCAGCAAACTAAAGGAGATAGGAGGATACCCCGTGGTAGTAATGAATTGCTTTTAGGCGGAGCCTTTACATAGAATAGGAGTCTCTAAAGACATGAATTGACATGAATGATTTTTTTCGGTTATTTTTACCTGTCTCTCCCAATTGTGTGACCTTAGTAAGGCTTACCGCGCTACAGATAGTACAATTCCTTTTCTCCATGATGCACAGCAGCATAATGCGATATAGAACTTCCGAATTTGGCATCCATCTAATTACAATCTATAATTAATTTACGCAAGGGATATGAATTTTCGATCGTGAAGTGGTTACACTCACGCTCAACTTTGGTTGGCATCTGACTCTTACGCTTGATTGTTTATCGGTACATATTTGCTAACAGAATAATAGGAACTTGGCGAAGTTTACGATTTAGCATACCCGACGCAGAAGTCAAACGTCATTAACGAAGCTATCGTGAGATGCCAATTGCAGCGTTACCTGGTTACTACGTCATGGCTTGGTTCGGATACGACGTTGCGAACTAGAACTACATCTCGAAATCTACAAAGTACGTAATCATGCACATACCCTTTCCCTAGGTACATGTAAATGCTGGCGATGATCTCGAACTATTCTTTTCAATTAGATGCTCAGCAGACCAGACACCTAACTTAGTAAATCGAGCAAACCATCAATCTGTTCGCAAGTTCGGAAGATCGTAGGCTAGGTCTGTCCTGGCCAATAGAAGGGCCGGGTGGCGTTGTCGAATTGCCTATTTGGTTCGCCCGCTTGTACCCGATCGGGTTGGGTCACATGGGGGTTATTGGCTAAGCTGACGTCACTTAGATCTTCGGATGTGAAGTTGAGGAGTTTGGCGAGTAATGTGAGGGGAGAAGGGGGGGTTTGGATGGGTTTAGATTCATAGATCTTAAATTGTTTAGGGGATTAGGTAAGTAAGACCATTTACTTCATACATGCCTTTGAGAGCCAGGAGATGGTAGTATCCACTTAAGGGGTTGAGGCGATTTGTGGGCATAGCACTAAGTACCTAGGTATGTGACCAATTCATTGAATGGAAATTAGAATTGACATTGAAATTCCAGGAACTGTTTGGACATCAATATAGAGATTTTAATCATTGGCCATGGAAATACCATAGTTGAGTAAACACGAGACGAGGAAGTGTCAAAGAATTTAGAGTGGCTGGAGGCAGTGGGGGTATATCTACTGTCGACTACGATATGTCACTTCAGAATGCCAATAGGAATAATAGATGCCTCAGGCTAGTGGTTGGGCATTAAGGGCAAAGCATAGTTTATGAGGAGTTAGCGAGGCTCTGCCTTCATCCTCGATTGCAACGACCTCGTTGTTTCTAGAGCTCTCATAACTGCTTTACTTTATCTCCCTTAATCCTTAATACGGAGCCGGATTTTCCGTCAAGTGGCAGCAAATGATTAAAAATGATAGCAGATATAGGTTTCTCGGAGGTGGCGACGGGTGGGGAAAGACCATCGCTGGAGTATGTTTGCGCGAATGCTTCGAAGACATTAGTTGCTGACAGGACTAGCATCGTGATAATCCACGGGTTGGGAGGCCATCCTAGAAGAACATGGCGTGACCGGAAAACCAAAGAATTCTGGCCTCGGGATCGCCTAGCCAAATCGTTCTCTCGTGCAAGAATCCTGGTGTACGGCTACGACAGCAAGATCTCCAAATTTGTCGCTGGAGCAGCAAACCAGAATTCATTCTTGGACCACGCGCAGAATTTACTGTTTGATCTAACAGTAGTTAGAAAGGGGGATGTAAATCCGCTCTTTATTTTGCTCCAGGTGTCAAATAATAAGTATATATGCTGATTCTACAGCTTACGAGGCCTTTACTGTTCATCTGTCATAGCCTAGGTGGTATCATAGCCAAAGATATCCATCGAAGGTGCGAGCCTGGGAGAGGGGGCTTAGAGAAAGAACAAGGAGAGAGCATTTCCAAGTCAACCATTGGTATCATTTTCATGGGCACGCCCCACCGAGGTGGGAGCTACGGGCCACTAGGCAAAGCTACAGAGCGAATCGTAAGGTATTTCGGTTTCGATACTAACAGCTCAATCCTCCATGACTTGGTCGGCAACGGAACATCTTTACAAATAATCCAAGAAGAGTTCCTCATGATACTTGAGAGACGTTCATCAACCCTGCCGGTCTATTCATTCCAAGAAGAGAATGGGTTGGCTGGAGTAAGGGGGCTCAATGGCAAAGTTGTCAACGATATCTCATCAAAGTTGGGTTACCGCTATGAAATTGTAGCCAAACTGCCTGGTAATCATAAAAGAATAGCCCGACCGGATAAAGCGCCGGGTGATTGGATTGCGTATAATCGGCTTGCACATGCTGTCGCCTCATGCGCCAGAGGCAGTGAGCGCCCAGTTTTACAACTACCTTATGGGCGTGATTCTAACTTCATCGGACGAGAAAGCGAGCTTGAAGAGATCCGTGGTTTCATTCTTACAGATAAATTCTTCGAGTGTGCTATCGTTGGCCTAGGAGGGATCGGGTAAGGGCCTATATATCGTTTCTAATGGCACTTCAAGCTGACTAGAGAGTAGAAAAACTCAAGTTACCATCGAGTTTGCGCATCGCCTCTGGGGAACAGAGAAATCTATATCAGGAAAACAAAGGCATTCTATATTTTGGTTATGCGCTAGTGATGCTCGCAGTCTAAAGCAGGACCTGACCCGTCTCGCGCATATTCTCGGTTTCGCGGACGAAGACGATTATCTGTCAGTCATACATGGCTGGTTCGGCGGAGAACAAAGTGGAAAGTGGCTCCTTATTGTCGACAGCGCCGATTATGAAGATATATTCTTTAAATATCAAGCCTTATCTCGTAACCAAGGGAAAAGACAGAGGTTTTGTGAATTTCTCCCACAAAAACGGGGCTGTGGCATCCTATACACTTCCGGAAATCAGAGATTGATTCACAATTTAATGAGAAGAAGCAGTCGCCAAGAGTTTATAACGATTAATCCAATGAAAACCGAGGAATCCATCGAATTCGTTGAAAAAAGATTGGACAAAATAGTTGGTCGCGAATTTATTCGTTCTACTAGGAGCGAGATTGAAAAATTAGTAGACTCTCGACGGGTTTCCTTTGGCCCTTGTTCAAGCCACAGAAATGATAAGGGTGTGCCATGACACGGCTAGAGACCCAAAGGTGTATCTAGAACTCTGGAATGGAACCAAACAAGATCAGAAAAACTTTGACTTGCCAAATGCAATATTTCACTCTTGTGCGCTTGCTATTGAGCAGCTTAGGAAGCAGGATGAAGACAAAAGTGGGATACATTTACGTATACTATCTCTCATCAGTCTACTAGACAGAAATAGTATACCAGAATGGCTTCTGGAACACTATCTACATGTGCCCCAACCCCAACGAGCTCAATCTCTCGGCACTTTACAGTCCTTTTCGTTTACCCACCTTCATCAGGGTACCGACAGCCAAGGCCAGGAATGGCGAATGCACCGACTAGTAAAGATGGCGATCCATGCTTATACTGGTCAGTGTTGCATGGAGAAGACCCTTATAGATGGCTTAGGCTTGCTCGTGAATGCATTCTTCCAAGGCATCTATCGGATTATTGACGAAGCCTTTCGATATCAAAGAAATTTAGAGTTCACCACACATGCGCAAAGCATGCTCTACTTTCTTGACAGTATAGGGGGGTCCATCCACCACGAAAATATCGATTTAAAACGTATTCATATAATGAAGCAAACTATAGAAGACTTGCAAGCCGATCCGAAAGCAAGCTCCCAGGCGACGATACCCAGAAAGAGGTGAAACTAAACGTTCGATGCGCGTTCAAGAGAGTCTTGAAGGGCGATATTGACTCGTTTGAGGTGTCTTATATTTATTGGGACTTGCAGTATTTGAGGGGGAAGTTGTTATGTCATATAGGTACGTCGCCACTATGGAGCGATCCAATATACACATTTAGTACGTTAGGCTTGGATAATTGGGAATGGCAGAGGAAAACTGATATTATTAACTTGGCGGTCAATCAAAATTCTTCGTACTATCTGACGCCTTGACATTGTCAATTAGTCTGCAACATTCGCAAGGATACAGTGGTTACCTAGGTAGTGAATGCGGAAAACGACATGGAGATACACTTACCTTGACTACCTAGGTAGCTGTCGTTGAGGGAGGCCTTAGCTCTGGGGAGATTACATCAAATACCTAGGTACAGACTGCACCTTCCCAGGCAACCTTCGCGTAGCGACGCGTATTCGGGTGAGTCTAGCATTGCCGTGTGGAAGAACCAATCCTAGGGCAAAACATATAGGTAATAATAAACCAGTGGCTTTTAACAAATCATGGAGTCTGAAGTCTGTGGTGGTCTAGTGGTAAAGAGCGACTGCTAACATGCATACAGAACTTACCGACTGTGTAGGGTCCCGGGGCTACACATCGAGGTCAGTGATTCAAAAACGTACAAGACTTTGGAAAAAAAAGATAGCGAAACAAAATCTTATGCTAAAGGAAAAAAGAGACACACTGACTACAGAATATGAAGAAATGAGAAATTAAAAGACGACCGAGCAGCAAAATGGCGGCGTAGAAAAAAAACAAGGAAAATGACCAAAAAAAATGGTAAGTACAACATTCCCTAACATCAACACCACAGACTTCAGAACCAACTTTTTTTTTTTAATTAATTAAAAAAATAATTTTTTTCTTCGGATTATTCTTTCTACATTTCAATTAACTCTGGTTGATCATTCTACAAAAACCCCGTGCAATTATTCCTATCCCCTTGCAATTCACGATCTTGAATTCCATTGGATATCTCCTATGCTTTATAAAAGGGGTAGTCACAGATGTTAAGACATTACTGGGATTGGTACCTGAATATTTGTAGTAAATTCATTTCAACCGATAACTATCAACCAGGAACCCATCTTAATGTTCGAATTTTCTATTCACAATTTACTAAAGGGGTTTTGTAGAGCATTTCAGAATGTTGCTGTCGATGTAAGTAATCACGTGATGAAGCTATAAATAGTATAGTAGTACAAGGGAAGTTCTGTCTCCTTTGGGTGGAGCTTTATTATGTAATGATGCAGCGTGGCGGAGCATTAGGGAGTTTTGTATTTGGCCGCGTTTCCTCTTGGCCAAGCCACGAATTTGTACGAAGAACATCAACTTTCATATTTGCGACAACCATCTATTCGTCCCAATCTCTGGGAGATTACCTTGCTATTGAGAACTAGCAATTACGGTAATCGCATTTGTACTCTTGATTTTATAAAGGGAACATCTATGTGTTGTTGAGGGTTCGACGCGCGATAATCAATCGCCAGCGTCAGCGGCTTCCGACTACCCCGAGTTCCCGTCGAACGATCCATATCGACTTTCGACCTTCGGATTTCGGAATACGATTTTCTTATCTCTCTAGGCCTACCTAGACTCTTACGTTTCACATCACATTAATACCCTCGAGAACCCGAAACTAGATCTACAAGATGGATGACACTTCACCCCCCGAGAGCATCGATAACACCAAGGAGAAGAAGAAGAGCAGAAGACCAGCCAACACAGCATTTCGTCAACAACGTCTAAAAGCATGGCAACCAATCCTCACGCCAAAGACAGTCATTCCCCTCTTCTTCGTAATAGGTGTCATATGTGCGCCTATCGGTGGATTGTTAATTTATGCTAGTTCTACAGTATGGGACGACTCTGATTGACATTCGAATCACTGCTGACAGCTTGTGTTACAGGTAAAAGAATTGCGCATAGATTATACGAATTGCTTCCGCGATGCACCTACCGATTCCCCCGCGCTGATGGACGATAGTCTAGTATTCCCGTCTTTCAAAGATAACAATACTATCAATGCCAGATGGCAACGTCAATTCCCAGTTAATAACACATACGGCACTGTTACTGTCCAGAACCTCACAAGGTGCACTCTCACCTTCGATATACCCGAAATCATGAACCCACCGGTTCTTCTATACTACCGTCTCGAGAACTTCTACCAGAATCATCGTCGTTACGTTTCATCCTTCTTTGACAGGCAGCTGGCGGGTGAGGATGTTACTGTTTCGGATGTTGTTGGTTCTTCCTGTGCGCCACTAGCCCAGCCCGACCACGTACCCGATAAAGTCTACTACCCTTGTGGTCTAATCGCAAACTCGATCTTCAACGATACTCTGGGCAACCCTGTGCTCCTTAACGTGCCAGGCAAGAGAGACGATGGAAACCAGACATACGAAATGAAGAACACCTCCATTTCATGGGAGTCGGACAAGGCTTTGTACAAGCCGCGAGAGAACACAAACTTCGACAACATTCTCCCACCTCCCAACTGGCAAATCCGGTATCCTAACGGTACCTTTACTACGGATATGCCCCCACCGAATCTACACGAGGACGAGCACTTTATCGTCTGGATGCGAACAGCGGGTCTACCGACTTTCAGCAAGTTGTATGGTCGAAACGATACCAGCCCCATGGTAATCGGTACCTACACCATGGACATCCTCGACAGTAAGTCACCCCACCTAGCTAACATTTCACCTATCACATACGCTAACATGTCACACAGACTTCCGCACAGACCAATACCAGGGCAAGAAGAGCATCGTCATTACCACGCTCTCTGTCATGGGCGGCAAGAACAACTTCCTCGGCATCTTATGGCTAGTCGTCGGTGGTTTCTGTATTGCTCTTGCACTTGTCTTCCTTATTACAAACCTGATCAAGCCCCGTAAATTGGGCGACCACACGTATCTGTCTTGGAATAACGCACCTTCGTCGGCGGCAGTTAAGGGCAAAGGTAAAGCGCCTTCTGGCCCGGCTATCGGCATGGCGACTGGTCGCGATCTGTAGGGCTTGGATCCGCGTGGTGCTAGGCCGGTGAGGATGATGGCGAGGCAGACCGGTGATGGTGATAGGAATGTGGGGGCAGGAGCGAGAGAGCCGCCTAGAGAGATGAGAGATTTTTCGGCTGAGCCGAGGGAGAGTCCACGGGAGCGCGTAGTTGGTGAAGAAGAAAAATGTGAAGGAGACAAACCTGCTACTTCGCCAGAAAGTCCTGAACTGCGGTACCAGCGATACCGTGGCTACGGGATGACTGGTGAGTCTTCGTCTTCACGGGGAGTGGTGGGTACTCTTCCTGCAAACTAAATGGAGTGGAGATGGAGTGAAAGCAAAGAAAGTAAGAAAGAAAATACGACATATTTTCTCGGAAGAGAATCGTGATGAGCAGCATGATACGGGGTTATTATTGATATTTTCCTTTTCTGTTTCTCCTTATGCAACCACTCGGAGGAGGCATCATGGAAGAAGGAGAGGGAGAGAGAGCTTGCTTGCTTTGCGTGTATGAGTAGGGGATAGTTAGCACTGCTACTGTTTTGGTACTACTACTACTACTCCCGAACGACAATTGGTAGTAGCTACGCTTATAGCAGCATTGATTGATGGCAGACAGGCAGGCGGGTAGATAATCTGTCTAGGGTCTATGGCGTTTAGGTTTATTTAGGTTGCCTTTCCTTTTTACTCGATTTTGACTCTTGGTGTTGGTTTTGTTAATTGGATGAATCAGCTTTTACTTGAAGTTGTGACGTTCGTCTTGATTACCTGGTGATTTTACGTTGAATTGCAATCTGAGGATCGTAACATTGAGGTTAAAATGTCTGCAATAAACAGTATTTTTATCTCTAGCAGCGAAGGGAACTCAACTGGCAAATACCGAAACATAAACAAAATGCCGCGCATTCATTTCAACTAAAGACCAGTGGGTACTATTTCACTCCTTAAGCTTCATGATTTTCCCTGCCTGTCCTTTCCCCAAATCCCATCTCCTGCCACCTCTTATGATTTGATACAGCTCTTTGGGCGTGTTTGCCCTTGTGATGCTCCTTTTTGAGAGCAGATTTTCTGTTTTACATAGTAATATACATATCTCTGGTTGATCTCTTAGCGATTGATCCGTTGATGATATCCCGAAGCAAAGTAATAGCTGGAAAATCTAACCGTGGGTTGTCACCCCTTAGTTCTTAGCCTGTCCACATGCTCCTTTCAACCACATCGTCGTTTTTAGGGTGGATTATGGGTTAGGATTCGACCTTCGTCTTCTTAGCATCTTCATCTCCCGGAGCCGGGTCCTCAGCCTTTCGCTTTCCATTCGTCTCCTTAGACGCCTGTTCAGCTTCTGGCTTTGGCTCGTCCTTGGCCTTCTTGCGCACAAGGCCAGACACATCCTTGGCCTTCTTCTTGGCTTCCTCGATCCTCGCATCCTTATTTGGGGCCGATTCACCGAGCGCTGCGCCTAGAATACCTAACATGGCGTCGTCTTCTGCGAGAACTGAGTTCACATCCATAGGGGGTTTCTTCAGTTCCACGAGCTTTGGGAGGTTAGCTTCAATTCGTATCGTTTATTTGTTTCTCACGTCGCGAAAACAGGGAGAAGACGGGGAAGTGAAAAACTCACCCGTTGCTCCATGTCCGCGATCAACTCCTTGACTTCGGCAATCTGCTTCCTCGTAAGGTCGTTATCCTCGGGCGCGTGTAGCATCGCGAGATCGACTTCCTTGGCCTCGAGCTTGAGTTTTGTGCTGTCGATCGCTTTCTCCAATTCGACGGCGGCTTCTTTTCGTAGGTTCTCGTCTACAGGTTTCGGTCCTGCGCCAGCTGCTTCTTCAGAGCCATCTTCGGCTGAGGTGGTGACAGACGCGAATTCGAGCGCTAATGATAGCTTGAAGTGCGCTTCAGCGATGATTTCGGAGTCCTTAGGGTAGAGTCCCTCCTTGTACTTCAGTGAGGCGCGGCAATCATTAATTGCAAGAGGATACCTATTTTACTGTTAGCTTTCTTGGATAGACGATCTAAATAAGCCAGAAAGCCATCATACTTCTCGTTCTCTAGGGAAATTTCAGCTAGAAGATCATGTGTGTCGGCAAGTCGCTCCTTGATGTGCTTGATAGCGGGACTATCCTCTTCAGCCTTCTCCTTGCCCTTTCCATCTGAAGTGTCTTGGTCGTCCTGTTCTAGCGACTTCTCGAAGAGTAATCGCGCTAGATCGAGAATCTCGAATGCGACTGCAAGATCATCATCCTCTTCATCTTCGCCTTCACCTTCTTCGGCCTCTTCTTCCTCGTCCGAATCTTCAAAGTTCTCGTCGCCCGTGAATTGGAAGAGCGGCTTCTTAGCATCAGTAGCCTTCTCACTACCAGCTGCGTCATTTGCGACAATAGCTACTCCTTCCTCAGCGACCTTCTCAGCCTCGGTCTTCTCGTCCTCTTCGGGAATCGCATTAATAGTTGAGGACTCAGCTTGCAACTTCTTCGTTTTCGGCTTCTTCTCAGCGGCGCCGTTGGATTTCTTATCTCCACCCGGCTTGCCGCCTAGAACGTCGCTTTTGCTTTGTCCGACCTTGAAAAGGCTGCGACCGTAGAGGAATAGGATGTCGGCGTTTTCCGGGGCCATCTCGCCATTGATCTCAGCTTGCATCTCAGTAGCTTGAGAGAACACTTCGGCAGCTTCCTCATATTTCTTTTGAGCGTAGAGCGCATTCGCTTTTGCGGTTAGGTCGGCAAGAGACACATGTAGGGACTTTTCGCGTTCTTCAGGATCCATGGGTGGCCATGATTGAGGTGTTGCTGCCGCTGATGCGACCGCAGAGGGAACAGCGGAGAGAGTCGGAGTATCAGTTGGATTTGGTTCCGCCATCGTGATAGATATTTGATCGCGTTGTTGCAAGGATGATGTTTTGGTAGGTTTAGATTGAATTGGTGGTAGTGTAAGTGTCAAAGGTTAATGAAATGGGTTACAAGCAAGGTCAAACGCAATTGTTGGTTGTTTTAATTTAGTCTAATAGGATCGCGACTGCAAAAGAAGAAGATTGGATGCTCTTGCCGAAAGATTCCTATGGTGTGAAAGGTGAGGCTAGGTGTGGTGTGGTGTGGTGAAAATGCGGGCAATAGCGAGTGACGCGATTACCGTATGCCGACCTGCCCATGAAGATGGCGACTGGCGATTAATGCGCGTCGAAAGTTATGGAGCTTCAAGAAGCTTGGGCCACCACAGCTCTGATATCATAATTCACGTGGTGATAAGATTGAGTATTGTTACGTAAATCATTAAGTAAGCTCCGTCTGGGTTAGGTAAGCAAAAGGTTTATTGTGCCACTTATTAAGATTCTGTCAATTTAACCTACAAACGCGAGTTAATGTTCCCGGCTGAATTCCTTTCATATGTTGTTGCTTAATACTTCGATCTCAAGCTATATTCACTTAATGGCATTGTAAGACTCAAAACTTCAGTACACCTTTACTCGAGCGAAGCCATCGAGTATACCAGTTTGTTCTTGTCAATGTCATGTTATTCTACTCAGGTTTTCTATCAATTATACCCCTTAAATCATCCCCATTCTTTTTGCTTACGGGCTTCGTATTCATCCTGGGCTGCCAATGGAAACCATATTGTTCCAATGTCAAACCTTAAGGCTGAGCTCAGTTTATTGTCGCATTGATAATTTCAATACGACGTTGTATGCTTGGCAGCTTATGACGTGCAGGGCTGTTATACCCCTGAGAGCTGAGACGCTTGGGCCTTTGGCCGTTCATCCGATGAAAAGATGAAAGATGAAAGATGAAATCTAAAAGAACAGACCAACGGGTATTTCCTCTTGTCAACTAGAAGATGTCATCCCAACTTTATATCACTTTATGATCAAGCGTAGTATTCATCAGATTGATAGTAGCATGTCTGCCTGGGTGTGTGAGCCAAAAATAAAACCGCTGTTGGTGATCACTGTCGATCTTGAACCATTTGTCGACCGTTATTCAATATTTTGAAACGCCATCCCATCCCGTGAAGTGGATGGTAGATGGTGGGGGAAATGTTTGCTGTAGGCTAACCGCCAATTAATAACTGCAAGTCCAGGAATCATTCAAACCAATGATTATGGCATACGCGAAGGCGTGACGTATACCTTACGTGGTACCTTTTTGTTTTACACAAACACCTATCCTTCAATGTTATTTTTGAGGGAGTTTCGATTAAAATATTAAGAATGAAAAGATGTAAATGAATAAGAGGTTACGAGGTATTCATATGTGAGACATAATTCTACATTAAAACATAAACGTTTGGATTCATACGGTACTCATCTCTTAGAATGGTAGCACAACTTTAGACCCAACATTAGGTCGCCGACCCGTCTTATCCACTCCGTTCAATTAACTCCGGGGATACTTGGGATTAAAATACAAAGACAGGTTTTCTAATGTACATACATGCACGCGCTAACCTACATAGGCACTTACATATGTACGTTTAAAGTATTTACGTCCAACACTACCTTATTAACATACATGTGTAAGCAACAGTAGTACATCGTAAAAGAAACGTCTGAAGTCTATTTCCCCTCGCTTATCATATACGTACATGATCTATGTAGTTCCTCATACGACGAGAAAGACGCTAGAAGGGATTATAGTAGAGAAGCTAAACCAGGTCAGGCATTTCCCAGCCGCAAACACTCCACAATCAGCACCCATTTAACGGATCTGGACCGGGAGGCCCGTCCTTTTCCAGTTCCTCGTACATGGTACCCCCTGTCTGATCTTTTCGTGATATGCTGCTGTGCCTGCAACTTCTGCACGGGGGGCTGCGGGACAGTCTATGAATTGTAGGTAGGCGCAAGCCTTCTTTTCCACTGTACTTTTTTTTTCTTACTTAGGGTAAGAGGTAGGATAGATACAGACCTACTGTTTTTCTTCCTCTTCTTGAACTCATATTTCTTTCTCTCTTTTTCATCCTCTGTTTTTTTTGTTTGGTGGTCATGGTATTTTTGCGATCGAATCTTACCCAACTATTCTGTTTGGGCTCAATTTGAACAAACCCCATTTTGTTCCTCGTCACACACGTAGTACTTACGTGTACCACAGCCTTTGCTCTTGTTAACCGCAAACTGCCGACCTGCTTGAACAGAGCCGACCCGTCGATGTGTTTTTTTAACCGACTCCTTTCTTCTCTTTATCCTTAATGCTGCTCATATTAAAATAATTAAGGACCCCCGCCATCACCATGATCGCGCCACCCATCTCCCGCCGACATCGAGTCCTTGGCATTATTGCCGTTTTCGCCTTAATCGTAACCTATATTCAATTCCGACCGCGATGGAAGGAAGCGCCATTCGAATATGCTCGCGATTACTACCAAAGCGTGTCGAGTTACTTCGGCAGCCCGGTATATAACAACACATTATATGCCGAAGGAAACGAAGGAATGGTCAACCAATACTACAACTCCTCAAATCCCTGCGCCAACTTTCCTAACACCGATGGCGTCCTCTTAGTTATGAAGACGGGCGCAACCGAAGCTTTCGACAGAATACCTACCCACCTCTTAACCACAATGAGCTGTCTTCCTGACTTCCTCATGTTCTCTGATATGGTGCGACCCCTTTTCTCGAGATTGGAGCTAGGCTTTATTTCTAGCGTCAGTCTATCGAAATCTAGGTGGAAAACTAACAACAGTCTAGGAGCAACAAATCGGAGCCTACCACATCTACGACGCTCTGGCCGAGTTCGAGGAATCCGCAAAGGCCCACAATGACGACTTTGACCTATACCGCGACCAGAAGGAATGTCCCGTATCGCAAAAATCGTGCGTCGACGCGAAGAGGGACGGACAAAAAGCGTGGAACCTGGACAAGTACAAGTTTCTCCCAATTATGGAGCAAACTTGGAAGATGCGCCCGGGCCGCGATTGGTACATCTTCGCCGAAGCCGATACCTACGTTTTCTGGGCCAATATTATACACTGGTTAAAGAAAGAATCCCGCCTAAATCCCCGGGAGAAGCTTTACCTTGGCAGCCGAAGCTTTATTGGAGGAACCCCATTCGGCCATGGTGGTTCTGGATATATCATTAGCGGCACATTGTTGAAACATCTGATTGAATACCATCCGGGCGTCGTCAAGCAGTATAACGTTAAAGGCGCTCACGAATGCTGTGGAGACCTTATGTTGGCCCAAGCCTTGGATGAGTATGAAAGTGTCAAGCTTCAACAGGTGTGGCCCATGATTAATGGGGAGAAGCCGAGTACGCTGCCGTATGGACCCGGTCATTGGTGTGAGCCGATCCTTACAATGCACCATATGAATGCCGAAGAGATCAGCAGTGTATGGCAATTCGAGCAAACCCGGAAGAGCGATGTGAGTAGATATTTTCCTAATTCTGATCATCATTATCGCCGTTTAACTTCATACGCCAACCTAATTCGAACACGCTACTGACCTTGGAGCAGAAAACACTCCTAATCAAGGACCTGTATGAAGGCCTAATCCGGCCGAAAATGCAGGTATTGCGGCAAAACTGGGATAACCTGTCGGATGACGTTTGCTATCTCAACCCAGATCCAGCAGCCCTAGAACGTGCCGACGGACATCTCCGCGACAGAAAAAAGAACGAAGACGAGTTGAACGAAGTTGAGAAAGAGGCATGGAAATCATGGGAGAATTGTGCAAAGGTCTGCGAATATCAAGAAATCCCTGATGAAGACGAATACGACCTACACGGATTTTCGGCACGCAAAGAGGGGGACTCCGGCTCTGCTAATGACACAGAGCTTGCTGAAGATACCTCACCTAGCGATGCTGCCGCTCGAGAGGCGTGGAAGAAGGCCCTGAACGAGAAGAAGCGTAATCGATCGTGTTTCCAATACCGATGGCACGACGAGGTATGCTGTACCTCCAAGAGCTTCAAGCTAGGCGCACCTAAGACGGCACCTGACGATGGTAGCTCCGAGACCAAATGGATGAGTGGTTGGTACCTAAAGGGTATCAACGATTGGATCGATGCGATGGGCGAGTGTACGAAACCAGCATGGAAGACACCCGATCCTTGATCTTTCGACTTGGAAAATGAAATCGAACCATATATAAGGGGATCATAAGTGAATAGGGTATAGCATCGAAAAGCAGCTCACCAACAATATCACGAAATCAATAGAAGGGAATCTCGACAATCGCAAAAAGGCAAAAAAGGTTAGATGAGATCTTCATACCAGCGTTTGACGATCGAGGATTGAGCTTGTACATATGTATCAATACCTAACACGCAGCAGACGATATGTCATCGCGGTCAGGATTCGGCGAGGTTACTTAAGGTATCATTCATAACAAAGGCGTTCCGGTATTTATTCTCACAGGTGGGATTGAAAGGGGCCACGGTAAGGCAAGGTCAAGGCAATATACAAGGTTCGCGAAGTAGTGGCTTAGGATTGACGGTTGAACGGACGGCACATGATTGCGAGCGCTCTCACTTGGGCTTGGCTAGGGGGGTAGCAGGTTGCTTATGAATAAGGGATATTTACGTCGCTTTGAATCAATCAACCATATTTGGAATGAAATGGCTTCAAATTCGTCCTCAGACGTGATCGTAGGTGGTTGAAGTCAAGTTCGCACAGACAACCCACTCCCCACAGTTATACCATCTAATTATTAAGAGGGAAGTACAATTAAAGTTCTTACAAACGGCTTTTTTGACTTATCTATTTAACCTAGATTCATATCTACCGATCCATGCCTACCTGACCACGATCCCTATCTTGGATCCCAGATACCAATGGATAGATCCGATCAGGGCTCCATTGAGCACCCCCACGGTAACAGTGAATACTCTCGTCGGCACCTGGCAATATAAATATTTCCTCTTTGGGGTATTTTGGGCGCATTTGGTTGGGTCGGCTGAATTGCCGTGGTGTCGCTTTGGATGGTTTGGGTCTGTTGTTGCGACGTCTTGGCGGGGTATCCTGGACCGGCGCATGGTATTTAGGGGGTGGTTCTGGGGAGGTGATGGGTAGGTGGTATGGAGTATGGATCTTGGAAAAGGGATGGATTGATGGGTAGGGTAGGGGTTATTTTTGGGCGTGGTTTTGGGCGTGGTTTTGGATGGGTTGGGGTGTGAATATCTGGTTGCTTGCTGAGTTTTGCCCTTGGGATATTGCACATCTTCAACACCGGGTATAATATCGAGGTCAATTCGACCCAAATGTTTTATTCGTGTATTAGAGCCCCCAATGGCTATAGGGAACTTTCTGGTGTATTGCTTGTCGGGTCGGACAGGCTTGGAATGGGGATAGCAGACCGGGATGGGCAGGTTGGGACTCGCTATTATCCGTCAACCCTCCGTAACGACACCACTTAGGGGAAATAGCGAGAGATCAAGTCCCTAAAACCACTGGGAGTGTAGATTCTGACATGCTTGCGCTGCAAGTACCGTGAATTAAAGGGGTGAGATTGTTAAGAAGGCCGCAATTTGTTTAGGCGAACTTCATCGTGTTCCTATCCTTCGGGATCTCGTCCGGCTGCCGCATTCGCCATACCCTTTTCGAGTAAGGCATAGACGTATTGCGAGAATGCCGGCCAGCTAGAAGAACTACTCGCGGCCTATATGTCGATAGCCATGGGGCCAGGTTCCTTCGCTTCGACAGGGAGATGAATGCCTAGAGATCACGAGACTTAGAATCGGATTTCGGGTTCTATAGACGACCGAGGTGACGAGGCCCTTGTTGATTTTTAAAGACTATAGGATATATTTCTACTTGAACTTTGGGCCACTAGGCAAATAGAAATGATAATTGGTGGATACTTTACGACTATAGTGTGGTGTTGTACTTGATGACACCAGCATAGCGGATCGATTGCGGGATGTGTTGCCCCGTTGAGGCGGAAAGTCTCCTTGGATCGGGTTCAACATACGAGATTATACCAAAAACGATTGTCATTCCTTACACCGCGTTCCTTGGGATGACGACGATCGACAAGATAGAGTTGTGAAGGTAGCGCACGCTGTGCTTGTTGGCGGCAGGTACTAGACGTGCTGGTACGTGTTTTGACTCTTTCAATTCGGTATCTCTCCAATACGTGGACAAGATAGGCTACTGATGTATATGAGGCAATTTGCATCGCTGCCGCCTCGATATCGCAGAATCTATGGACTCAATTAGGTATGATAGGTTGGTCGTATAGCCAAGCCAATAAATAGAACATAGCCCACAGGTTATCATGGAAGTTCTAGTCTTAGAGTGGAGTTACCTACTACTCAATGTTAGGAATATTTTATGGCTTCATATATTCCTAATACCAGGTACCTATTTAGGTACTTAGCTAGACTGCAGTGTTGTATCCAAGTAACCACGGATATGCGGTTAGCGATTTTGCATATCCCCTCTCTAATACAGGAGCTACTGGCTAGGAGTGTTGCAACCATTTCTCAAGTTGGTATGGTCTCGTTATCCATGGGGTCGGCTTTCATCATGGTAGTTGTGCTTCCACTTATATTTAACCGCCATGCGGCACTTTGGTTAATGTTTTCCTAAATTCTCTCATGACGCACACTCAAAGTCAATACTATCTAAATCCCCAGCCGTACTAACTTAGCCAACACTCAAGCCACCTCAAAATGGCATCTGCCCCTTATCCCGCACCACCAGGAGCAAGAGGTGTGTTAGGATCTAGCGAACCCTTACCCTTGATACCTCAAGAGATCACCACGGAATGGTGTACCAAGGTACTAGGACACAAAGTCAAAACGATAGCTATAACGAAGGAAATCCACGCAACCGCAAGCAAGCTTCTCGCCGACATAGTTTATGAAGACGGAACTGATACATCCGATGCCCCAACTAAGATATGTATAAAAGGCGGTTTTAATCCGGCTTTGACATCGCTTTATCCCGCGTTGTTTGCGGCCTATCGCCGGGAGGCTGAGTTTTACTTTTATCTCGCGCCTATCGTCGACTTGAATCTGCCTCAGGTGTGGTATAATAGCACCGACACAGTCTCCGGCCAGGGAATCATCGTCATGAGTGACTTGATCGCTCAAGGATGTGAATTCGGCGAGCCGTTGAAGCCGTGGCCTGTTGAGAGAGTCCGTGTTGGAGTCGAGGAACTCGCTAAGTTGCATGCGAAGACGTGGGGTGCCCCTGAAGATAAATTTCCCTGGCTAGCCGGGGATAAGGTGACGGGAGGGAATCCCCTCCAAGGAATGATTATCTCGCTTCTATCTCCTGAAGCTTGGGAGATACGCTTCAAGAAGTCTCCTGCGCCGCCTTTACCGGAAGTCATTGCGGATCGCGAGCGTATGTTGAGGGCTTTTAAAACTATGTGGGCGACGGCGAATCCGAAACTAAGAGCAATCCAACACGGCGATTCACATGTGGGAAATACATTTATTGCACCTGATGGTCGCCCTGGATTCATAGATTGGCAGGCTCCCTTTGCGGGTGTGAATTTACAGGATGTGGCGTATTTCGTGATCGGCGCATTAACTATTGAGGAGCGTAGGAAGCACGAGGCCGACTTGCTTGGCCATTATCTTCGAGCATTACATGTGTACGGCGGACCCAAGTTTGAGAAGGAGGATGTGTGGCATGATTATAGAAAGCATGCGCTTCATGGGTTAGCTTGGTCACTCACAGCGCCGGGGATGCAACCTGACGAGAATATTTTCGTTATGACGGAGCGTCACGCTGCGGCTGTGGAGGATCATAAGACCTTTGAACTGTTGGAGTCGCTACCGGAATATGTTAAGGGTTAGTTAAATGCCTTTTAAGTCTTCATATGCGACATCGCTTGTCGGGATTCTTAGTATCTTGAGATGCAGTCTAGCTCATCAATAGCTGCTTCCCGCTTTTATATTGTAGGAGATCTCCAGTCCTAGTCTTGGTTTATGGTGTAGCCTTGGTTGCGGATGAAATGAATGTTCTGTTTCTGGTGTTATGGTATGAAATGCTAAGAAACCTCATGAACGTCAATAACAGATAAGAAAAATACAGACCCAAATAACCACCTGTGCATCGCGAAACTATCTATTGATCTCGTAGGTGCGGGGCTGGTGTTTATACCGCTGTCATCGGCTCGCCCCAATAATTTCATGTCATCTCCACATCTTGTCCTTCCCACGGAATATCGAGGAAGGTATTTAGATCGATGTCTTCTGTGCCCCCAGGGAATTGATCAATGGTAGGTTGGGCAGCCATTCGAGTAGCCATCAACTCAAGTATTTTATCCCGGCAGCCAAAATGCCCCCAATCTTCCGCAAGGCGCATGGCTTTCTGGCATTGCTTGTCGTCAAAACTACCACGATTGGCGTTCCATAGGAGTTGTATCATATCGAGACGGCCATTCTCAGCGGCACCTTCTAAGGGCCAGCGCCCATATTTATCTCGCGAAGGTGGGATATCGAAGTTAGCCCCACGCTCAATGAGTAAAGCCGCGATGGTACAGTTACCTGAGATAGCTGCCAGTTGTAGTGCAGTAGCGCCATTATTAAGCGCAGGTGCCGCATTAACTTCAGCCTTTTGTCCAAGTAATAGATGAACGATTTCGAGACTGCCCATCTCCGCAGCCTTTTGGAGTGGGGTCCGTATTAGCCCTTGGCGGGCTGGTTCGTTGACTCTAGCTCCATACCGAAGGAGAAGCTGGACAACCTCTACGTTCTTTGTTTCGATGGCGTCTAGAATAGCACTTTGCTTGTAATTAAATATCCTGGAGAGTTCCATTGATACAATGCCATTCGCATCGGCACCAGCATCAAGTAGCCTCTTAACTATTTGAATGCGATTACCTCTTAACGCTTCGTCGTCGGGGTTAATTGCCTCTCCAAATGCAGATTTCCTATAGAACCTAGATGAATCGAAGTCAAAACTGGCTACTTTAAAGGCTAGAAGATTGTCTAGGCTTTTCAGAGCTGCTAAGAGTGGCCCCAATGCAGTCAACATTGCCCTAGAGATGTAAAGTGGTTGTCCTTGTGGGTAGACTTCGCGAAATCTCTTCACAAGTGGTTCGATCATGGAGGGATGCCCTTCCGCTGCCTTTTCGAGTGCGTACGTATCGGCTGGGTCTACACCAAAAGCAAACAAGTCGCGAAGCAACGAGACATCTTCACGCTCTACTGCAAGACATAGGGCCCGGCTTAAGGTTTCCTTGTTTCCATGACCCAACTTCAGAATTCTCCAGAATAGATCTTGGCGTCCTTTCTCGAGGGCAAGCTTTAGAGTTGGGTCGCGGTAGTTAATGGATAGATGATGAGAACATGTCCCTAGAATATCCTGCAAAATCGACTCGTTGCCCCATTCAATAGCAGCAGCTAGAACTGATGAATACTGAGGATTATTGTTTTTATCCTTCCCCGCTTCGACCCGCTCTGTAAGTGTACTGGGGTGGATCCCGCTTTCTATCATGTATTGTACGAGGCGTAGTTTCCTCTTTTTCATAGCAAGGTATAGCGGGAATGGTTTCCAAATAGTACAATAAAGCTTGAACTCAAACTTGGCGCCAACCACCAAAAGTTTCCAGGCGATATCATCCAAGTCGTGAGTGATGGCGGTCATAAGGAGAGGGTTCAATTGATCCGAGTCAGCGTTGGTATCCATGTCCAATACCTTGCCTGCATACTCAGGGTTTCTCGCCTCGAGGGCTGTAGCTGCCAAGTCAATTCGCTTGCTGTTATTAAGGCGGTCAAGAACTCGTCTCTCTTCCAAAGAGTGGACGAGCTCTTGCTTTCCAGATGCAACAGCGGCGATCAGTCTAGCCTCTTCCGCCTGAACTTCTACAATAGATTTCTCTTCGATGATCAAGTCGACCATTTCGTGATTTCCATCCATGGCAACTGTATGAAGTACGTCATCGAGGGAGGAAACGAATGGAAGTAGTTGTTTGATCATTCTTGCATTGTTGCGTTGTGCAGCGCTCTTCAAAGCATCGATGAACATCCCGCGAAAGTGATCTGGGCATTGAGAGTCATAAAGTTCTCGACAACGTGTTATGAATGGCCCAATTGCGTGCCAAGTATCCTGATCTAAGTTTACTACCGCCTTTTTTAGGATGTCTGAATCCAGAAAGCGTTCCAAAGACACCTGAAGGGTGAATACGGGAATGAGAGCCGCCGCCAGACGTGGATCGACAAACATTTCGAGTGCGTACACAATAAGGTCCGCTTGTATGGTAGCACCTGCTCTGACGAAGGCATTGATTAGATCTAAAAAGCTTTGATCGAGTGTAGATCGATAATTGCGATAGCCCCGAACAAGATAACATAGCGCATAATTAGACGGCGAATCTGGCAAGAACAATGTTTCCAACTCATATGACATATCAATCAAGCGCTCCGCAGGTGCACTCAACTCCCTCGGATTACTAAATGGTGAGCCCGATGAGAATGACTTATGTATATCGTAGTTGCGATTAACGAGAAGCTTGCAAATCTTGAATGATTGTGACCGTGCGGCTTTTTCAAGTGGCGTATACCTTTTCCCATTGTCGATGCATACAGCTTCATTCACATCAACTAGGCCACAATCCAGTAGTAGTCTGACGACCTCGACATTGTCAGCCTCTAGAGCCATTACAAAGGTATTCTCGGCGAGTGATTTAGCGGCGCAGCTCGAACCGGAGCGCAGAAATCGTATCAAAAACGACTGTACACCGCGGTGACTATTAAGAAACCTCAGGACACCAGACATAGGTATATTTTTGAGGCCTACGAATCCATTCATGATAGATATTAGAAGCCTGCTGTAGAAGCGAGTCTCAAATGCATTGTTTTTTGATTGGATGGCAAGTTGGCTCTGCTCCTCTTCAACAAGTGTTTCTTCTGATAGAAGATTTCTAAGGGCTTGCTGCTGCGGCAACGTGCTGGTTTTCGGGTCTGACGGGGTGATGTCGGTTAAGAATTCTGCAACTAGGAGATAGGGGGCAGTACTCGACATGGTGTTATACGGAGACGGGGAGGACGCGGTGCTGAAAACATCTGCCAGGCCGTATTTATATTAGCTTTAATGTAGTCCCCAAAGTATTCATACAACTGACCTTTTAGGAACCTAATTCTAACTTCAACAGATGGGAGTTGTCCTATCCATTGCTCCCTCGGGTACCGTTTAGTGTTTGCCACGTCTGGTACCAGAAAGGCTGGTGAAGAGATGCATGGAGGTGACAGCGCTGTTGAGCCATGGGAGTTCCATGCTATTGGCCGAACATGGTTCGTGCTAATACACTCTATGATATCCCCAAATGAAAAGTCGACAGGATTTAATTCGCCCACAGGAGACATACTTTTCGGGGATCCGAAGCTACTGCCGACCTGTCCTGAAGTCTCGGAGCTAACAGACACGTTTATATGGGTAATATCCATGGTAAACGAGTTTAGGTGCTGAGGAGTTGACATATCCAGAATATCGTCAAAAGCATCGGGTAGTGGAGCATCAGCATCGTAATCGAAATTAAGAATTTCGTCCGAGGATGATCTCCCCATGTTTCCGCTCGTCAGCCCATGGGACGCTTCGGATAGAAAGCCTTGGGAGGTCGAGTGCTCGGGTCCGTTCAAAATAGGAGTTGTCGCGTTATTCATAGCTGCCGTCTCATCGTTGCCGGCATCTGCGTGTATGGAAAGTTGATCAGTCCAGAGATAGAGATGCTCACGCGGCAATACTGCTCACCTAATCTTGGTTTTTTATACTTGCTACGCGCATAGCGACGAGATCTTTCAATCTTGGAAGGCGTCATCACTTTGCCTGAGAGGCGTAGCGGAAGTGTCTGCGCACCCTCTTGACTCCCGTGGATCCCTGAAGCCATTCCATCCAGTTCTTTCGAGGAGAAATACTTGCGTATGCTCCATTTCTTCAGTTGCGTTTCGTATTGGGATTTCCTAGCAAAAACGTTAATCGATCGGCTTGATAAAGGGTAGGAATTCATATTGATGCGCGCTTACGTTGCGGTGAAGCCTTCGTTCTTCATTAACTCAATGACCCCGCCATTGCCGCGAAGCTTTAGCTCTTGATCCACGTATAACTCGATAATTCGGCTCTTGCGGTTTTCCCAATCGTGCTGTGGAATCTGTTGAGTCGTTGATGCTCGGGGCATGATGCACAGAAGGGTTGTCCGGCTATTATTGACAAATTGGTCATTTCCAAAGCCGTGTTCTCGAGATTAAGTAAAACCTCTTGGTCTTATAGTGCGACTCTAAAGATAGGTGCTAACCATCAGATTTTGCGCGGAGCCTTGTTCCTCCCATCTGTCTAGCAGTCTACCACCAGCATGACGTAGCCGACATCTAAACTGCATATCAAGCCTAGGAAACAAAATCTGTAATGGTTCCATTGGCTCAGCAGGCGTAAGGCTCTGGTACGCGCTCTATCCGACGATATAATATGCCTCGAAGCCTTTCCGGTTTCATTTCGTGCTGATGAGATTTTGTCAGATTCTTAAGGTACCTAGGTACCTGGTCAGATTTTGTCAACGCCACGATTGCTAGGGTCATACCCGCTCTGCCGCTACACCGAAAAGTGCACGAGGCTGCGAGGTCGATCAGTTATGGAAACCAGGTACGGAGTATTCACTTGGTTGCGGAGTTATGATTCATTGTATGGATGCACATAACCCCTACCATAACCTCATTATTCCATAGCATTTTAGCTAACTAAGGCAACCTTCAAGATTGAATGGGACTCGTTAAGGTAGGGCCAAGAAGGCCTTTCGAAACATAATATTTTGGTTGAATCGACGAAGCAGCGAAGATAAGGGTTGCAGCTTCCTTTTGGGTATGTACCTATGGTCCGCGGATGCGGGCCGGGCCGCACCCCCACCCTTACTGTGACAAGGTTCCTAGGTGGGGCTGGCATCTAGGCACTCCTAGGGCTCTTACCTAGGTACCTAAGTATACTTAGCAGTGGGTAACATAACTGTCTGGTATAGACATTATGAACCCCAACCTGCAGAAGAAGATTTGATACAGTGAAAGGTTAAGGAGTTGTTTCATCATCTAATCCCCATTTCTTCTATTTGTAGATCTACTGCCACTGCAAACAGCTTATAACTAGCATCTCATTCTACTCAGCTAATCAGCCCGGGTTTCAATGGAGTTTAAGCGCCCTGGCAAAGGGCTTTGCATGGTGGTGTAAGAGACGTAAAAGTCCTACATGAAGAAACGTTTCTATCATGCGCTGCCTTACTTTATGGTGATGATTTCAAGAAGATTTATACACCAATTAATGCTTGTGTATAAATATCTAGGTAGGTGTTTGAGAGAATCTTCGCATATGCAACTATACTCAGCTCGCAGGGATTGCGCTCCCAAGATAAGTTCTCTCCATACCTCCCTCTCTTCTTCAGCGCAGCACTTTGTTCTTTTTTTTTTTTTTTCACATTTCATGTTTGTATTCGCAGATAAAGCTAGATAGTTACACGTAAAATACTACTGGCTATGAAGCCAGTATTACCTCCGAAATCGACTTCACAGACTCGACATTCCACTGAAACGGGTGTAGCGGCGCTCCTGAACTACAATGGAGACTTCCCCGCGCAACAGCCTTGACTATGCGGCGGAAGACGTACCGTAATTCAACCAGGAGACAGCCAGCCAATCCAAGCCACTTCTTGTTCCAGTGGAGAGTGAGTTGAGCTTTGGCTATGCCAAGGTTGAGATACTCTCCAGGTATATCCCGGAACTGGATGAGAAAAACCCTCGAGCCATCGCTCTTCGTATTAGAATGGCTAAACGAACCACGATGCTAACACTGCAGTTGGTGGTTGCATTTCTCGTTGCCGTGGTCAGCTTCGTCGTGACGATTTGGTCTATCATGACTTTCCCGCCTAGTTCTCGAGGCGTGGGGACGTATGACTTTGGAAACTGTTCTAGGTTGAGCAGGCTGAATAGCGGTATCCACGTTGTGATGAACGTTTTTTCTGGTTTGCTTCTTAGCTCGGAGAACTACTGCATGCAGCTCCTCGTCTCGCCAAGCCGGGATGAGATAGATAAAGCGCATACTAAGGGGGTCTCATTACGAATCGGCGTCCCTAATGTGAGAAATCTCCGGTACATAGACCGTAAAAGGGTCATGGGGTGGCTAGGTATTGGTGTAATCGCAACACTTTTACACTTCTTGTGAGTTATCTCTCAACGAAATCGTCGGGCTTTGTAGTTGACGTGCCTGTATAGTTGGAACTCAACCATATTTACATCGATACCCGTGGTATCAATTCCGCGAGGCGCGGCGACAAGTGACTTCCGGACCGCGGCGGATAATTGGACAACCAGCAACCCTCTACCACCGCGATGGTGATGGAACTTTCCAACTGGTCATTGGCCGGGTGCCACGTATGATCTATCCCCAATTTATTCTTTGAAGGCGGACGCAGCAAACTTGACCCGATTAGAGCCTCGGGAATGCATCGACGAGTATATCGACATATTAAAGTCAACTAGGGCTGTCTTGATCGTCGCCCGAAACATGACAAGTATTCAGAACAACGGCTCCTCATTGGTCGATGGCTGGATGACTGGGTGGGATTACTGGGATGCAGGCAACTACTGGGTGTGCTCTGCATATGATCCGGGGTATTATACCTTGGTCTGTAGCCGAGAATGGGCGGACAGCCTTGTCGGTGACTCGGTAATCAATGTTGGGGACAGCAAATCAAAGCAGCCAAACATTATAGTCGACTATTGCTTAGTAGGCGACGAGGGCAATAATGAGGAGAGATGCGGATTGCACTACAGCACTTATATCTTGGCTATCGTCTGCACCTGCACCTCTCTGGAGTGCTTACTCGTTTTCTGGACAGGCAAACATTTTCGCTACGACAAAGAGGCCGGCAGAGTCAAAAGACGTCGACGGACTCTGGTCACCATGGGAGACGCAATATGCGATTTCCTATATGAGCCTGATTACCACATTAGTAAACCTTCTTGCCGAGTTCGAGCCGTGCCTTGGTTGGAGCGCCGGCATTCCTGGTTTAAGGCAGTCAGCGCCAGTACATGGATCGTTTCATCCATTCTGTCTGTATTTCCTAATATTATCAACAGGGTCCATACGCTGACGATATTTGCGATGTAGATTTGCTATCGGGCTAGCACTACCTACCGTTTTCATGAGCCAATACGTTAGTCATCTCAGTAGCATAGGCGTGAACATGTCCCTGTCCAGTATTTGGCAGATGGGCTTCAAGGTCAACTCAACACTAATAGGCTATTCGTTCTGGCGAACTACTAACAAAGCCGTGGATCTGATTGGGAACATCCTTGTTGCGAACAGTCCTCAGGTCATAGTGAGTTTCATCTATCTCTTCTTTAACAACATCTTGACTAGGCAGCTCGTGGCAGACGAATGGACGCGCTTTCTTCGAGAAGATGGGAAGAAGACCCTTCGTGTAACCTCGCCTGTTGGATTGCAACGGTCCTCATACTTCCTCTCGTTACCGATGAAGTACTCAATCCCCCTGACGAGTGCTTCGGTCGCGTTGCATTGGCACATTTCGCAGAGCATATTCCTTGTTCAGGCCAGTACGTTCGGCGCTGGCTCCAAGGGAGAGTGGTTATCTGAGTTTGATGTGTCGGCCAGGGGATATTCTGTTCTGGGTGTCATATCCGGTGTTAGCTTGGGAGCTGTCTTAGTGTTAGCACTTGTGATAAATAGTTTCGCAAGGAATTTTCGGGATATTCCTGCCGGATTCCAACTTCTAGGGATGAATAGTGCCGGCATTGGCTTGATGTGCCAACGGCCAGCGGACGACACGGATGCGTATCTATTTCCTGTTAGCATTGGCGTTGTGCCTGACCGGGATGCACGTACCCAAGGCAGGCTTGCGTTCTCTACATATATTGGACTCCAGCGCCCACGGGCCGGATGCCTGTATTCACAACCTCTCTTAGTGAAACGCGGGAAAAGGGTAACGAGTGGAATGTCACGTCTTAAGAGGAAGGTCATACAGCTCGTGGCTAAGCTGAAAGATTTCCTGCGGGGAGATGTTAGAGAATATGATGTGGCGTTCGATACAATGAACTAGGAAGCATTTTCCGCCGAGGAATTATGAAAAATATGCAGCGATTAAAACAAGTCAGGTAGTTACCTAGGTACCTAGGCGCTAGGTTAGGTAGGCAGAAGGACGTCAAAAAAAGTGTTACTGTGCGTAGTCTCATAGAATGGACAGTGTGATACTGTACACCTTTGACCAATAATATTGCTCATTTAGCACAGTCCATGTCCGTGCCGAATCGCACAGTGACATTTTTGACGCCCTTCCGGTAGGTAGTTCACCTTTACTTTAAATTGACTTGATTAGGTTCTATAAGCTAACAATTTTACAAAGCTCATTAAATAGATACAGATATTGACTTATAAGTATGCAATTTTTGATATTTTCTTTAGGTAAAATAATAATTTCAAAAGGGGAACCAAGGATAGAAGCAGTGGGAACAGACGGTATTAGGAACCAGGAATGGAAGCGAGTTTTCTAGATCGATACGGGGTTACATCTAAGTTATGCCTGTCATTCCTGCATAAGAACTTACGTCACCACAGTAGACCCGCCAGGAATTACACCTAGCGCTCGGCCGGGCACGGGATAGAAACAGGTGGACGCGTCATGGCCAAAGGCCTTTGGTTACACCAGTTACACCAAGAAGCCTACGAAGTGGATCAATTATAGAGAACCGTGAGCGCCGGCTAGGGAGTACGTATCCATGGATATGGTTGTCTGCCTACCTAGGTAACTACAAATATGTGAATACCTAGAGTAGGCTTTAAATCTCATATAGGGGGTATGGTTCCAGATGCGGGCCGAGCCGCTCCCTACCAATTTATGAGGCTAATACCTGGATAGGTAGCTGGATAGGTACCCTAGCCCTAGAGACATTTCTTCGTCTGTAACATTTCTAATATATCAACACATAGCACAGCATTCTTGTCGGTTCTTAGATGTGTACTTGCAGCAGAATTACTAAGAAAATGCAAAGTTAACAAGAAAAGGAAAATCCGACGCAATAAAAACAAGAGTCGGATTGTCAGAGACATGCTAACTAGATTGTGTTACCCGACGGACCCCCCATCTTCTCCACCGACTTTCGCCTTGCATTTCGTGACACCACACTTAGGCCTGGCCTTTACAACTCGACCAGCCTAAGCCGGTATTCAGCAGATCGGGGGACCCAACTGGCCCGAGTCAACTCCTTAGTGACGTATCTGCAGAATACGGCTTGTGTCAGCAGTGTTCGTGGAGCCTAACAGCCTCTTCCATGATTACCTTACGTTTGAACAAAGTCCATAGCTGAGTTGCCAGCGTGACAATATTGAGAGCGACACCAAGTGCCGAAAATAATAGGAATTGGAACTCAGAGGCTCCTTGACGAAAGTTCACGACTTCGACAGGAAGAACGCTACAGTTGGAAGTAATCGACATACTGCCTGGCACGTACAGGCACAGAAGGTTGTATGATGAAGTGCGTTGTGCGGTATTTGATGGAGGAGCACGTTGAGTTGAGTAGGTCCTTATATCATAATGGCATTAGGTAAAGGAACTTATAGCTTCTACACTTCATAGCCCTTTCTTGATTGAAGATAGAGAACAATATCCGTATCACAACTTATTCTGGTTGCCATAAGATTTTGTACTAGAATTTAGGAATCAGGAATCAATTCAGAAATCCGATACGTAGGTACATGTACCGCTAGTTCAGGAATCATGACTGAGGCGCAGACCTCGGTTCAAGAATCGGCAAAGATTCTGCGTCTAACTAATAGCAAGGCAAAATCCATGGAATGCCTCTACTATGTAGCTGCTTAGGTAGGCATTCATTTAGGTATATATTCCCAATCCCACAACAACCGACCAACCTCACAGCGTTCGTCCTTTTCGCTAAGCCTAGTATCTAAGGCACAAAATTGTATCAACGACAAACGTGACAATCTTCCGAACCGAGACGACCTCGTCGACGTCACCGGGATGGCTTGACCACTCAATCAGAGAGAAGCCGCATTCAGTTTTGTGGAGATTTTTGAAGGGTAACTACTATGTCACAATGTCGAACTGAGCAAAACTAACCGGTTGTGAAGGGGACCATCTTCATTGGCGAATCCGCTAGTGGTAAAATATTCCATATACATCCAGATCCTGGCGAACGCGTAAACGACGATGCTTCTCTCCAATGTCGTGTACTACGGCGTCGGCATTGGGCGTCTTCTCAAGGAATTTATTTGAGGAAAGCCCAGGTGATTATTTTGGGCTGACTCTACAGGGTATCTGTGCTTTCAGCTTTGTGAAGGACTGGAGAAATGGCACCCTTCTACTTCGGATTTGGGATCATGACCTGCAAGATCACGTATGCGACTCCCTCTCCATATCTAGGTTCGGCGGCGTGGGCGTGCAGCTAAACATTGAAGTGTTACTGTCGTCCTATCCGAGTTTCAAGAGACACCTCGCCGAATTAGACATGCGTAGAGCCCATCACCCTTCTAAGCAAAATAACAGAGTTTATAGCCTCTTCCGTCTTCTAGCTGTTGACTTTCTAACCGACGAGAATACTTTCGCAAGCTTCGGTCTCCAATAGTTGCGCGATAGTGGATGCATCTCCAACGACTGCTGGGAGGATATGCAATCCCGTAAGACGAAATGAAATCTAGATTTCTTAGAATTCTGGGAGGATTCATCACATAGCGAGTTAGAGGTAGGAGTTGATGAACCTTTGGAAAAAAGTACTACAAATTGAGACTGCCGGCTCATTAAGTCCACATAAATTTGTGCTGTCGAAAGTGGAAGGATTGCTGTTGTTGCTCAAACAGGAATGGCAGGAATTACTCCCGAAGATAGAGAATGTTAATGAAGGTGATAGACAGGCTTCGGGCTGGGAGCAGACACAGAGATATTGCCCCGTCGCAAGGAATTTTCGTAGGCGCGTTCAGGTCTACTTTCGAAAACAACGCATCACATTGCAACGTGCAGCGCGGCTCGGGCGACGCGACAGGGAATTGTTCCGTGTCGTATCGTCAATACTTGCCGGCGGCGCCGAGGAGCATTGGAAAACTGGAATCCAAACCATTGGGAAGATTATCCGTCGCACGCCCAATTATAATATAGAAGAGATCATAAGCTGCCTTATGGTAGCAGACTCTATGCGACGCTTAGGAGAAGAAAAGAAAAACAAGGAAACTAAGCTGTCATTCGTGTCGGCAACGCAGTACGTTTCCTGCCAATTCCTCCGTCACAGATGCTCTATATACGCCTGGTTCTTTAACGATTTCGGGGTCTGGAGGCGGCTTATCCCTGCAGAGACGGCGCCCTTGTTCGACAGGACTTCCCATTTAATCTGGACCGACGAGATCAACGACATAGAATATATATCTCCTTGTAACTTTTAGGAAGATGATGAGATTCTGTCTTATCTTTACGAATCCATGTCGAGCCTAACCTCTGACACTGTCGATCTCGCTATGATCGAAGGGTGCGAATTTGGTGTACCAGATAATGCGTACACTTTTCGACATATCCATCAACAATTTGGCAGTGAACCGGTATCTCATGAACCCCTCGGGTATCGCTGGACACATTTGAAATGCGAGGAAAGGCCTGATCGTATCAGGAAGCTTAGACCACCAAATCAAATTGATAAACTTGATGTCGCCAAAGTATCAATTACGAAGAATGATTTGGTTCTACGAGTGGCATGCGCCGCAGTTTTCACAGTCATCTTTATCTTCTTTTGCCGTAAGTGCCTCTTAATTTGGAATTTAGCATGTCGACGTTAATTTTGATTGTCCTTAGTACTTCAAATCACCGAGGAAGAAATTAGCGCCTTTGGGACATTCCTTAACGGCTTGTCTGGCCTCGAGCGACATGCTACTGTAGTGAACATTTATCTCGGTCTTTTAGCTCTCGTGTACGTGGATCCATGCGACAAAATTACATGTCTAGGTTGCAAAGCAGAATTCAAGAATTCTAGCAGCTGCGGCATGCACTGGCGAAATTATTGCGGTTGGAATGGATTTGAATTCCGATGCGTATCCAATTATACTGGTTGTGGCTTCAAAAACAGGCAAATTTATAACGTGAAGAAACATGCCCTTTCTTGAAAGAAACATTTAGTTTCATGATGGACTTAGAGTAGGCGCTAGAGCATGGGAAGATGAGAGCGGGTGGGGGCTGTCGGGTATCTGATATAGGAATAGACATACTTAAAACTACATAGGTAATGCTGAGTTTTAATATTAACCTATGACCAATGAAACGTCTTCCAATGATAACTTGTCCCATGCTTCCTCATCGACTTGACCGGACGCAAGACGATACGCCACCCCATCCGCCCATTCCAGCCACAACACTGCGATTTTATTTGTCGCTGTAGGAAGACCATACCCGTCTGTTTCCTTATTATATGTCTTCGAGTATTTCTTATATCGATAGATTGCGACCAGCTCGACTTCTTTTCCAGCGGGTCCTTCGCCATGATGTTCGCCATCTACGACGTCGTCTGGGAACTCCGCCGACTGCGTCTCATTATGACTATGAAGAGTCCCAACTTGCTTATTCTCAGCATCTAGGAGCCGCAGAATATTTCCTCCCTCAATCGGGTCCTCGTTTCTGCATGCCCATAAACGGCCCCGGCGTGTCTCGCAGAATAGGTACGCCGTCTGCTCTACTATGGTCGGTGGTGTTGACTCGGAAATGTCAGGGATTGGGACTGGGTAGTACCATGGCTTCGTTTCGTCGTCGGGGTCCTCCATTCTCTCGTGCTCGAAGACGAATTCACCACAGCCATCTGGGTATATAAAGTCATTTCCTTTAGGTGCTTCATGGCGCGTCCAGCCAGGTGGTAAGGGCTTGCTCAGGTCTTTATAGCTGTCACGGTCGGCATACCACGTTGAATTGATACGTCGTCTTTCCGATGGGGCTGCGGTAGGTGAATTAGCTGTGTACCACTCGGTGATAGGGAATGTCTCTTGGATGTAGTATTGGCGGGTGTTAATGCGCGCTGCTTCGCCGTAACCCGCCGTGAGGAGACCTTGCCATCCAACCCACGACCATGAAGGGAGTTGTGACGGATTCAATCGGCTATCTTCGGAACGTTCTGACGGTGCTCGTCGACGGAGATTTGTATGTCCCCAATAAGGACGCCAGCCTAGTGCGGTTTCAAAAAGCATTTCTGGGAGTCCATACAGGAAACCGCCGGTAAATGTTCGACTAGCCACGGAGAGAAGGCCGGATATAGCGGGAAGAGCATCTTCATCGTAGCGGAGTTGTCTTTCGTTATAGTTTGATATAGTATGGTTCAAAGAATCCATGTCCGGAAACCCCGCTAGAATAGTGCGCATCCGAGGATTGATGTACTTATCGACTTCTACCCCAGAGGTAGTCTCCTCGTGCCAGACGCTACAAGAACACTCCCAATGAAGTTCCTTTTGATTAAAGAATACTTTGCGACTAGAATGTGTGTATTCCTGAAATGTCCAACCTCGTTTATAATAAGGGGTACCGCCCGTCACTTTATAATTAAGAGTTAGTAATTATCCGAAGAAATAAAGATAAGATGCCGAAATGGTAGTGTTCAAGTTGGGTACTTATACGCCATGGAAAGGGAAAGGAATTCTAGAAGTTGCTTACATGAGAATATGCCGGTATTCCTTACTACCAATTGCTCTTCCCCTAATGGAACAACTCTCTGCTCCATTTTACGGGATTCAGAAACACCCTTCAAGCCTGGGAGCCCTTCCATTGAGTCGGTATCGGCAGCGATTATAGTAACTATGGCATTTCCGTAGATTGCAGCCATGTGCTCTAGTTGCTGAGCTGTAGTTTTACGATCGCGATGCGAGATACAGAGTGAGTCTACCCAAAGGTAACGCTCGCTCATAATAGACGTTATGTACATAGCGTGTCGAACTATCGGTAACACGTAAGGCGACATTTGCGGCGTATCCAATGCGTTGGGTTGTTGCAGGGTGGATAGAACTGTAGCATCGATTACGACGGGGGGATATTCGCCATATCTGTAACTGAGCGCAATAAATGGCCCGTCGCATTTATCGCCAGGCACTAGACATTTGCGCTCTACATCAATCAGCCAAGCAGGTCGAGTTCGCCAAATCTTCAGCGGATTCTCGCATTTTGCGCCATGTGCGGTTAGACACTCGTGCTTCCATCGCGGTAGAAGATCAATATCAACCCAGTCTGGATTCAAAATGCGGCCCGTGCCGGGGTGGTTTGGAACTGAAGGCCTGTTTACCAGTAGGAGATGCCAAAATAATCCCAAAGAAGAGAGAGAGGGGTATATCGTCGCGCTCCTAGTTTTTGAGCGTGGTACAATGCCCACGTCCTTCGAATCGGCCGCTGGATGCCTCCAGGTTCTTTCCCCCTCTTTTGGTTCGCAATAGTCTTTGAATTGCTGGACTAAAGTGGTGTGGATTGAACATGGTGAAGAGAGAGCCTCGTCAAACGAGCCTAGATTGATACCCTCGGCTAGCTCTGTAGTGGCTAAACCAAGCCATATAGAGCCGCAGACGCTACAGTCAGTCTCCATGATGTGCTAAACTGCCCTTGAAAGATAAGTCTTGTAGGTGTCTCATCCGATGAGAGCGGTTAGATGCCTGGGGAGCTTCATTTTTATAACCCCGCATGGTGGCTGAGCAGGTTGACGATCACCAACAAGGAAGCTAGGCAACAAATTGTCGAATCGTTCTAACAAATGCAATTAGTCATCGCCTGCCGCTGACTCGAGGAGAAAAGAACTTCTGATTGAAAGTTGAATCATCTGATTGGATTGAGAAACACTTTTATATGAACATAATCGATTCGAAAAAAAAAAAAGAAAAAAAAAAAGGAATATTACGGACTTCCTTGAATAGAATGACTGGCATTGCAAGTATAAGACACATGCCTCCGCATCAAGTAGAGCCCGGACCGCCCATTCAAGGCCCCCACGGGACGGTTTGTTCCTCGAAACCATCCTCATGAAATCGACCAAGGAACATCAATGGGCTGGTCCGTGTTGTTGTCCTCATCGCTTGAAGCATCATCAGATCACTGCATTGGCGATTTGATTAATAGTTTCATTACTACTAACCATAGCTAGGTAGGCTAGGTAGGTATGACAACACCTTCAAATGATGGCGAGCAATTGGCCCAGGTAACTCCTGTTCAACTTTCTAGACGTTGCCCATCTTGCTCACACACCTTCTAACAAGAATAATCCACCAGCTTTATAAGTAGGTACCTAGGTGCCTAAGCTATGCTGGAACTGGGATCCCAACCCTTGGAATTACCTGGCTATGAGGGATTGATAACACAACAATGGCATTACAAATAGCTTTTCACAGGTATAGATTATTTTGATCATCTGGAAGGTAATGTATCTGGAAGTACCTTTAGGGCTCAGCAATCTAAGCGGTACCGCAGTACATATGTTACGGGTACTTTAATGATAAGGGATTGTAACTGAGCTGTATCTTATAGCCTTGTTATATTAGGTAGGTGGGTACCTAAGTAGGTATTCAACTTGCCATGTCCTTTGTAGGCTCTAGCAATTTACTTTTCTATTCGCTATGTAATGCTTTGCAAAAAGCGATCTCCTTCAAAGCCGTGTTCTCGTTCATCGGAGTGAACAATGTGCATTGAAATGTAACAATCCAAAACAATGATCATTGTACAATACAACGGCGTACTTAAATCATGATGAAGACCGCATATTTAGCTGCTTTCTTCTGCCTACCATCATCTAACCTGCAGTCCGCGACTTCAGGCAATCAGACACCACTCGGCATCGCAGTAAGTACCTACCTACCTTCCTTGGCATACCCATTCAGCCAGCCACAATGTCTGTAGCCAAGCAGATCAGCGACCTTCACACTAAGGCCCCACGGATAACGGACTCGGCAGTCCAGCAGCACTCTCTCACTAGGTGCACTAAGGCGCTGAAGTTGTGTGACGAAGCAATGAAGCTCGCTGTGGATGCGGAGCTCGATGAAGCAGCCATCGAGATGTGCGCCGAAATGCAAGAAGAAGCTTACTCGTGGGTCGAGCGTTTTATGTATGACAACAGGTCAAGTAAAACTTTAGACAAGCGACGGGGTCGAGTATTTGATGTCGATAAGGGGGAACATGTCGTCGAGGCTATTAATGCAGTCCACGTGGGTCGGTTGTTGGACGTTGATGACGCGATAGAAAGACCAGAGGGAAGTCGTAAGGTTAGCTTCGCGGATGAAGTTCGCAATGAATCTACCCGTGGATATAGGTCGTAGTCTTAGGTTCTTAGTACTTACTTGGGTACCTAGGCAGTGGATGTCTCTGCAAGCCTGGTGCTTGTTAGTTGGCGGTTTCTACCTGTACACACCCTTCACAAGGTAGTAGGCGGATTTGACTATTCTGGAGTTTCGTGGGATCTGGGTAACTGGAGTACATAGCTTATTGCTGTTACTACATAGAGGTGCTCAATAGATTCATGCGATGACTGGACTGTATAACGTTTCGTATGCATGACTAAGATGATTTTCGAACGAGGCCAACGGGAGCGACCCTTGTCAGTGTCTTAGCTCCCCTTTTTTATTCCGGTTTGCCCCTTTGTATTACCCCATGACGAGTAGTTCCAACCAATAAATGGTAAAGATTTCGTGAATATAATTTAGAAGTATGTGTAGACTTTTTCTAATGCTAAGTTCTACATAATCAATACTACCCACTGGTATGTTTTTACCTGTCAACCGAGTATAGATTAATTGATCGTCGGTCCGGCCTTTGGCTAAGTTTTACGATTGATTGTGTGCCGGTAGCCGATGGATATGAACACAGTAAATAAGCCTCGCTTGGCGGAAGCCATTGACGTCTTCCTGCTTTCCTTCATGCTAAATGGTCGAATCACGATGCCAGAATTCAGCCTGAAGCCTGGGCGGATCTCAAGCTAACAGCCTTGGCAAATCTCTTCCCCATGTTCCTTATTATGATCCAGGGCCTATGGTAAGCATACGAGAATTTCAATAACATTGGGGGATTCGCACTTTGGAGATGAATTCGGTATCCCACTTGTTCTTCACGCGTTTGGGGGTACCTGAGCGTCGTGCGAACGGATGGCGTGGGAAAATATGGAGAAAGGCTCCCAGATACCAGCGACGGCCTCACGCTGGGCATTCATACGGACTAAGAAGGCGATAGCAGCATTTACCGTATTGGGATGTGGTCTAATTGCGGCGATTGTGGTAATTAGTGAGTTTACAGGGAATCCAGAATAACGTTCTCAGAAGAAAATGGTTGGTGTGCTAATGTTGGTTGTTTTTATGTAGCTCTCACAGCTACGGGCAAGCTTCATGGAAGTGGTTCCTCAATTGATTCTACGTCCGGCGAACATGTGGCTAGCATGATATCCTCTACGCCAACTGTTTCGGTAGCAACTGCTACACCGACAACAGGAATTGATGACCTTATTTCCACAGCCTCCACAATGCCTACGGCGGAATCTTCATCTACATCAAAACCCACGTCTGTGTCCACATCGACATCAACATCAACTTCGACGTCTTCGGAGTCAGCCACAGAATCCGCCACCCCATCCGTCGTAGCGGCCGCTTCGAAGCCGAGCGATGTTCCACTCAGGATTATGGCACTCGGTGCCTCTATCATCAAAGGTGAAACCTCTCCCGGTTACTTGGGCTTCCGCAAGCCAATGCGCGACGAGCTCGTCAAAACAGGGTATACTGTCAATATGGTCGGGTCAGTTCGTTTGGGCGATTTTACCGACAATGATGTTGAGGCGTACGGTGGCAAGAAGATTTTAGAGATGCACAATTACGCCAAGAAAGCCGTGCCTAAGTACCTACCAAACGTATTCGTTATCAATCTGGGGACCAACAATCTCCTGCAGAACAAGGACGTCGATAAAGTTGGGAAACAGATGGAGGATCTGATCAACTACCTATTGACGGCCTCGAGCAAATCGACGGTTATCCTTAGCACGATGTTAACAAACAAGGTGGCCAATATGGAGCCAAAGGTCTTAGACATGAATCGGCAGTATCGGGATATAATGAAAGGTTTTGAGGCAGCTAAGAAATCAGTTGTCTTGGCCGAGATGCATCCTAGTGAGGGTATCGCTGGGGTTCCGACGGCTGATGAGATTGGACCTGATGGTTCACATCCCACGGTCAGCGGTTATGAGAAGATGGGCCGTATCTTTGTTCAAGCTATCCAGCAGGCCGATAAGAAGGGGCTTCTCCATAAGGCCTCCGATAACGGCATTCCTGCAGATGGAGATAAAGAAAGAAGCGGGTGAAACGGATATCACAGAACTGATGATTATTTAACAGCATTAATGGGTTCGTCAACTGCGATAGTCGTTGGTAGTTGGCTATGCTGCCGCTGTAGTAGCGATGTTGAAATATGAATACAACTAAGTACGTAGGACTCGGTATAAGGTGGACTCTTCTTCGCCTAAATATTGCTATCACGATATGCATCTTGGGTGAAGATGACAAGGCTCCCATATTTATCTGTCTAGATACATCGGTGTTGGAGGCATGATCTAGAGAATGAAGGTGGTGTGGCCACAAATTTCAAGCTATTAATGGGTCCAAATTGGGAATAGAGTCTATTTGAAACTAGGAATAGTAACGTAGCAATAGCAACCTCTACGTAGGGTAGCAATAGACACCCCGACCAACCCGAATTACAACCTGCCCACGTAGGAATGGTTCCATGGAACACGAATACAAATAATGAGCCGCGAACCTCGCGATTGATGTACTTGAAGTGTCAATGGAGCATTTCTCTAAAACAAGTGGATGAAATTATTCAGTTCCACCAAAGTGACGCCTCAGTCCGCGTCATCCCTTACGTGAGCGTATCTTAAATGCTCGGGAAATTAGCAAACACCATTCTAAATTCTTCCTAACCTTCATCACAGCTACTCGATGTATTATATATACTAGATTGTATATGCAGCTTGATGCTTCTAAACAATTACAGAAAATAGGAAGTATCCTCGCTCTACTCGCACAGGTATATATATCCAATGCGCCAATTCCATTCCATCTTTTCAATGTCATGATCACGAATAATGCTCCTCCCTTCAAATCGGTCCCCCGAAACTCTAATTCCCGGTTCGCCGTTAGCGGTACGTCGGCATAGCCCCTGGTACTGCTCCGGGTACTGACCCTGGCAGCTCTTGAGGAGGAAACTGCGATGGTAATTCTTTCGGCGGTTCCGGCGTCTGAAGTTCCGATAACTGCCTCGGTGGCTCGCCGCTGTATTGCCATGGATAGCCACCGGGTTGGTTCGGATTGTGCATTTGGGCATTAGAATCGCCGCCATTGCTGGGGTTGACGGCTGCGTATTTTGCTTTCGATCTCCGCCTATAGAAGAAAAACGCGAGAGCGCCTAGGAGAGCAGCACCGCCAACCGCGCCGACTGTCGCGCCAGCAATTGTACCTGCGGATGTCGATTGTGCTTGTTCTAGAGCGGCTGTTGGGGTTGGAGTAGTACTTGAACTACTCGTTGTGGCGGCGGCCGAAGGAGGGAGGACGACTTGAGAGGTAATGGCGCTAGAAACGGTTGATGTATCGGACGCGGTCGCGGCAAGTTGCATTAAATCGCTGTAACCGATTTCGCATCGCACGAAGTCTTCGGAGGCAGAGTAGCCTGAGGAACACCTTGTCAATCGGGGACAACACGCTTTCGTCGTGTTCGGTGCGAGGTCGACACATTCTACGGCGTTTGGCGAGTCGCACTCGGAAGCCTGATCCGCGTAACAGTCGTCGTTGGTGCCATTTCCCACGCAACACCAACCTCGACCTAATTGTTGTATACAAGATGGATATGTCTGTCCTCGTCGGACGCCTTATTTGGCAGTTAGATGGTTGTCGCCCGCCACTTCTGGATGGATGAACAATACTTACAGCAGAGTGTACCACTAGGAGCACATAATGAATTGGCGCTATCATCGCCGAAAGCATCGGAGCACGCGTCTCTCCCGAAAAGAGACGCCACATTCATTGCGTCGATACTAAGTGTTTACCAGCCCAAATTCAAGGTATCACTGTAGCCGACCGGTTGGCTTGAGACTAAAAAAAGATATGTACAGTATAGACCGTACGACGATAATGGACAATAACAGTATCTAGTTTAGGCTAGAGGATATTATTACTATGTCCCTTGTTGCTGAGCTTTTTCTAATAGGGGAAAGGTTCGTGAATTCATAAGAGTATATAGGAAGTATAGTACGTATCAAAATGAGATTCCACTTGAAAATCTTCCGAGGTGTATTAACAGAGGTATCAATTCAGAACCAGAACGTAAGAATCGAGGAAGATGGGTTTGTTGAGCTGAAACGACATCACCTATCAATAATACTTTCACCAGCGGCGGCCCAGAGACTTCGCTGGGCTGGGTTTAGTTAGATATTCCTGAGCTATAGCTGTGCCGCACTCCTACAGGGTATGGAATCGGTAACGAAAAGTCGCCGCTCTACCAGTCGCATTACTCTAAGGCCTCTTCTTGGCGGGTTCTGGTATGGAAATGAAAAATGGACCCTTGCTTTTTTCCAAGCCAACAGTCACATCGTGGTAGCGACTTACAGGGGACTACCGCATCCTACAGAAGGGTTGGAGACATCACGATCGGGGCTTCTAGCCTGTATCATTCGACTATCTGCGACATTGCTTGTAATGTCTTAGAAATCATGATTCTGTAGTACCCCTCTTTGCAGATAAGGTGCTAAAGAAAAAGAAAAGCAAACAATTAAAATTGATTTTTAAGTCTTATACCACCGTCCATACTTTGTTTATTTGGGAATGTAGGTAGGTACTTTTGTATGATACCATTAGACTTATTTATACTATTGATAAAGTTAGGTTATACTTGACAACTCTGTCAGTAATTGGTAGGGGAAACGAGTCGGATGCGAGATAGAAGTCAATTAACTTAGTTGGTTTATTGAATGTGGGGACAGCAACCTAGTAGGATTCTTCTATGGAGCAAGTCATGGAAAGGGCAAAGTACTCCGCAGCTAAAATATTATGACAAGATACTTATTTGGCCCCCAATCCAGGATTAATTTACGGACTGCAACCGAAGCCCCTGACCCATTTATAAGAGGCTGAGAATAGGGTATCATACCATATTAGTTCAAGTGTATCGGTACTCCATAACCGCCCTATGAATTCTCCATATTACAAGGAAGAATCCTACAGTCGGTACAAACCCCATTCATAGGCTCTAAAGCACGATCATATCTACCAGTTATGTATTAGTTATTTCCATCCTGCCTAACGTCACTAAACGTGGATCCCTTGAATTAGGTACTTACCGACTTACCACACTATACTATGTTTGAAATTTGCACTTGGCTATAGCGTTATGCTGTTGCACGTTGCAAATTCAAGTCACCTTTTGTCTCCCCGTACAAAGGAACAGATTGTGTCCTATCCGACTTTACCTAGGAATCTCTAACATGTCAAGGCGAATTCGTAAATATCAACAGCGATACTTCAATCGAGTCCAGACCAAGGCTACCATTCTTCCCACAATACCACCATGTTAACAAGCCTTCGTCCGCGACACCGAGCCGCCCTTATCTTAGTCTCTATATTTCTCTTCTCCCTATGGCTTTTACGGCGGGGCGACAACGAAAATGCGCAACCAGCAGCCGTCAATCGACCCACCACTGGCGAAGCCGCTAAAGCGCACCCGCACAAACGGCGCGAGACCGAAATCGTAGTCGCCAGCACAACGAAAGAAGACGCGTCGTGGGTGTATCGGCACTTCCCGCAATGGAACCCGCAAGTATACGTGACGGACGACACATCGGCGCCGCTCACGGTACCCAAAAACAAGGGCCACGAAGCTATGGTGTACCTGACGTACATCATTGAAAATTACGACACGCTGCCCGACAACATCATCTTCATCCACGCGTCGCGCTTCCAGTGGCATAACGACGATCCCGACTACGATATCCTCCCGACACTGCGAAACTTCCGCCTGCCTTACCTGCGGGAAGCTGGTTACGTTAACCTCCGCTGCGTCTGGGTTATTGGTTGCCCCGCCGAGATCCGACCGTTCGATGATGAGGAGAATGAGGAGCAGCAAAAGGACGAAAAGAAGCCTGTGTCCGCGAAGGGTATATATCGACAGGCTTTCGAGGAACTACTCCCCGAGATTCCGGTGCCCAAGATAGTAGCCGTAAGTTGCTGCTCGCAATTTGCTGTTACGCGCACCACCATTCAAAGGCACCCGAAAGAGAAATACATATTCTTCCGTAAATGGCTATTGGAGACGCCACTGAAAGATTCGTTGAGTGGGCGCGTGTTGGAATTTTCGTGGCATAGTGAGTCTCCCCAACGCTATATTTTCCGTCTTTTCCTTGTTCTAACCGTTGTCCGTGGCAGTCATTTTCGGAAAAGACGCATACCACTGTCCATCAGCCAAAGAATGTTATTGTAACGTATTCGGGCTCTGCGATCTTCAATGTACCGACTCCGCCTGCGACGGCCGATATATCTTACCGCCGTACTCCTCACTCCCGGACGGATGGCCGAAGTTAGGTTGGAACCATGAAGATCGAGGATATGCTGGAAACTTAGATTGATGATGTGACGCTGTTATCACCCACCGAGAAATTGAATAGATCGAGCCAAAAGACAGTAGGCGGTATTATACCACAATATCAAGTAGGGATTCAGTGAATCCATTAGCTCGGCGAAACACATCTTCCAGAAAAGATGCTAGTAAAGGAAGGCACCTCTTCCCCGGAAAACTCACTATAACACTATATCCAGCGACTTGGCAGATCCCATTACTGTCGAAGGTGAAATTGTACGCCGGATTCTCGCAAACAGTTACTTAAAAAGTCCAAGAGCTGGCGGCGCTAGAAGGAAAGGGGCCACGTTTAGGTTTACACGGCGTAATTCTTAACGCATCCATACCGACTACACAGACCCTGTTAACCTTATGATAACGCCAGGTTTAAACGTTCTATACAAGTTTAGATACCTATATACCTTGCTGATATATATTATCTCATTCGAGATTACTCAAACTTATCAACAAAGAATTACTGTTTCCCATCTTGGATTACAATCTTTCCACCTTGACATTATTACTTTCCCAACGCCAATCCTCCTTGCCACGAATTGTTTACAAGGCAATCTCTCTACCATCATAACATGTAAAACCCACATCTCAGAATGCCTTTTTTCAAACCCGAGTCTCTTCCTTAGACTATAGTCGTCTAACCCACTCGTTATGACAACAATTTCATACCATTTTTGAATCCCATCCCTGCTGCAATGGGCAGCTATCCATCCGCGATCCATATTTCGAATATTTCCAACATAATTATCGTTTTTATCAATGAGGGGCGCATCAGTCACTTCCGTGGGATACCCTCCTGCAATAAGCTGACCAATTCTTAGCGAGGCAACTGTAGTGTTGAAGACAAGACATCCCGGAAACAATGCCGCAGAGCCCCGTATATCCGGACCCAATTCTTCATGCTTGCGGGCTATCCAGGGGTTTTGAGGACACTCTTTCCAGTCTTCATTAGTCCTCCATTCCGCTGGAATATGTTTTCCACTTAATGTAGGTAACTCGCCCCGCTCTGAGAGCTCTTGGATGGTAACGCCATGTTTAACCCATCTCTCTTCGACGTCAAGCTTGCGCAGACCACCGTTCGGGTCCTGGAAATAGAAGTAGACGATACTAACGATATCGAAAAACTCCCTATCAATAGATCTACGCGAATCCAACGAGCCATAACCAACAGCCTTTGACGAGCTTACCCAACTCCAGCTGGGAACGTCATATACTTCACCTTGATGGCTAAAAGGTCCGAAGCAGTCCCAAAAGAGACAAGATGCCATGGATTTCTCAGGTATGCAAAATAGCATAGGCGAGTTTAAAGCCCTCTCAAGAACATTACTCACGCCGTTAAAAGCATTGAGCGCATCTCCTCGATTGGATAACTGTCGCGATGTGTAATCAAAGACCCACCTACAATAGTCTAACAATGAAATATTTCCCCAGATCCTATACTCGAACGGCTCGCTTTCTATCACTCCCCTAGTAAATGAACCAAGGGCTCCGGAAGCTTCGTCGCCCGAACTTTCCTCGTGCGTAGCCCACGTGAGTAGCTCCATAGCTTCATCCTGGAAGCACTCGTAGATAACTTGATGATGCGTAATGAAGATACTTCGTCTCGACAACAGCCTCTCTTGAAACGTCCATCCCCTCCGATTCCACAAGGTCGGATTGATGAAGTCGCTCATGATTTCCCCACATCTTATCCCTTGACTTTCAACTTCGGGTTTGTAGGCCGGCCACCAAATCGATGGGTGTCTTGGCCTGCCAGCGTATCCTGGTAACCCGATATCGTCGCGTGTGTCGAGAGCTCCTATGATCGTAAAGCTCGCAGAACGATAAATTGCATCCATCGCATTAATTTGATCCAATTTTCCTACAATGTCATCTTGGACTATGCATAGTCGGTCAATCCATAAATAGCGCTCGCCAAGGTCGCGACATAAGGCAATAGCGTCGGCTACGATATTTGGGAGTTGTACAACTTCAAGACTATGAGGTTCCTCGAGGGAAGCAACATTATCTTTTTCCAATTGGAAATTGTTATCAGGTCCAACTTTCCACATGTAACTCAGAGCTACGTAACGAAACGAGCCTTCTAGCTGTACGATCTTGTTCTCGTGCGTATCAATGACTCGGAACCCCGCGGGGAGACTCACTAGCATCGTGTTAACAGTCTGCGATTAAAAGCTACGAACACTACACCTACTCTTTTCCGTTTCCTCGCCCGCACATAAACTCCCATGGCAATCCTCACATCTTTTTAACCAACTCTTCAATAAATTGACGTCGAAAAATGGCACATCCCATTCTTCAACCCCCACCAAAGCTTTCGCCTCGTCATTTGAGTACGTCATCTTAAATCGCGGGGTAGCGACAAGCCACGTTGGCGGCATCCGAAATTCATCAGTCGGGTCATTACCCGACGGAGTAGTGACGAAAAACTGCTCGCTCGTCTCATTTCCCGCTTCCGTCTTTGGCGGCGGTAAACCTTTCACTTCTAAGCGCAGAAACATTCTAACTACGATATGATCGGGATTTGAGCGATCGCCACGCCGTGGGAGAAGTTTTGCAGAGGGATCGAGTCCTGGGTCTAAGTAGAAGGGCCCGGATATTTCTAGAACTATTCTTGATGTCGGCCATGAGGAAGCATTTGGGAGATACGGAATCCAGGCACGGTAGGAGGCTAGGATAGAGACGCACATAGCGCACTGGTGTTCTTTCGCTAGTTGCTCGATGCTTGCGTATTGGCGCATCGTGGTGAATCGATCTGATTCGGGTCGACTTTTTGGTTCGTCCATGTTATGGATGCTGATATATCCCCAAATGCGACATCTTGGGCATATAATTAAACTATTGCTTCTCCCAGAGGTGTGGCGATCATCAGATGTCCCGCACTCTACGGTATCTAGAGGCCCAGTCGCGGGATTCTGGTCAAGCTCGTCCATGGTGTGCCTGTTGAAAGTCACCAAATTTGAAAAAGTGAACTGAGTATCCTAGCGATTAGGTAGGTAATATTTAGAAAGAAGGCACCTAGTTGGATCTTGTTATTTTTTAGCCCGAAACGTGGACTATTCTATTTGAAAGGATTCTTGTCACGACGGCCAGCTCTAAATAAACGCCACCAAGTTACACCACCACTTCCATGACTTTGGCGTTTCCCCCCTCAATCTGGGACAACGCTGCATGTTGCTTCGCTAGAGGCGTTTTTTTAAGATCTATTTTAATAGCTATAACCTTAACTTGTTCAGAAAGAAAGATGATAGTATTGCGCAGTACTGATACCGTGGGCACTACAGGGGGGCACACTTGACGGAGCGATAAAAGTCTTTCGCCCCCTTGAAGAACCCAGCCATCGTCGAAAAAAAGGCAATCGCAATCCTTGGTAGATGATGGAAGCGGTAGGCGACCGCGACTTTTACTTAAAATAGATTTGCCGTCTTCAGAGAAGGAAAAATCATAACCGTCGGAGCAAAGTCGATTTGATCGTCTGCTCGTCGTGGGATTCCAGAGAAAAGTCCGCCGCTGCCTGAAGTAAGAACGACATCATCGGTCGATACAACGGGAATATTCCCATTCTCAACCGGCAGGGGGCGCCCTATCACGTTTCTCGTCGCAGTGTTCCATATAGAGATACTTTTGCCTCCGCGCACGGCGAGGCAGTTGTCATCTGATGAAAAAATAATCCGGCAATATTTCCTGAGGCTACCTACTGATAACTTTTCTATCACATCTGGTGTGTTTGTTCGTAAAAGATGCAAGATGTCTCCTTCTGCACTTGGAAAGAATGCTACAAAGTTGCCTCTAGGTGACAAAATGAGTGAAGTATGCCTAGAGTCGTAATCGAGTTCCATCTTATATATGGGTTCGCTCGTTTCTAGACTTCCTAGGTACGCGGTTCCTTGGCGCTCGGTTTCGCCCTTGTTTTTGTCCCCTGGTGTCGTTTCCCATAAGACAAAGTTACCTTCTTTCGAGAATTGTATGTCCATCACACGCTCGTAATCTCTGAGTCTGAACCTTGCCCGTTCCTCTAGAGTAGCGATTTCCAGAATTTGTATTGCCCCTGTCTAGGCTAATGCCAAAACGTCGTTGTTTGGTGATGTATATTGGGAAACATCGCCACTAGGAATTTCAAGCTCTTTAAGCCGTTCACACGTGGTTGTATCCCATGTCTGGAGACATTTGTCGGATCGAAGCAAAACAATCTTCCCATTTTGCGTGAATACTACAGGGCAATAACGTATAGTACTAGGGATAGCAATAGGAATAGTATTAGGAATATCCCGTTTGGGATTAACCCCATTCAAGTCCAAAAACGTAATTGTATCCTTGGACACAATCAACGCGGTGTTTTCAATGGAATAAATTTCCAGAGTTTCGGCCCTTCGGCTAATATCGACCTTATCACGGGCTGCAGCGTCCCATAGTCGGACCCCGCCGATCGATGCAGATGCAATTAATTTCCCCGTCTCTTTATCCAATATCTGGACTGACCCTTTTTTAGGTCCAGAATCCCATTCAGAGCTCGCGATCGCCAGTCTACCGTCGGGTGCAAATGCGAGTCTCCCTCTCTCGTATAGATTTTCATGTATGCTGATTAGCTGCTTCGTTGAGGTATCCCATAATCGAACCGTTTTATCCATTGCTGTTGAAGCTAATATTTTATTACCAAGACCTGGGGAAAAACACACATCTGAAACAAGATTCGCGTGTCCTAATAAGTCCGATATATCGCCTGTCTCGACATCGTATATTTGAACTATGCTTGACCCAATGGCAATGGTTTGTCCGTCTGGTGAGAATGCAACAGCATGGGCAGCGGAACTCGACGAAATCTTAGCAATCTCAACGCCCGTGGCAGCTTCCCAAAGCCGGGTCGTCTTATCATATGAACCTGAGACAATCGTTTTGCTATCTGGGGATATTGCAACAGCAGAGACGAGGAGCTCATGGCCTTCAAGGGTCATTAGTTCAAACCCCCAGTCATCCCTTACCATTGGGGGTTTCAGAATCCATTCGGCAAGTGGCTTCCAAAATAAAGATCGTATAATACTTGTCGTAGGACTAAATAAAATTGCGGAATAGTATACCTGAAGGGGAGCTTCTTGAATGACATGCCGATGAAAACTGATAAATCGAATCATATCATGAATTAACCTGGATAATTCTGTTTCACTTTCTTGTGCCTGTATATCTTGGTGAATACGAAAGAGGGTGTGGATCGGAGGTCATCCCATGCACTTACATCAATTAAAGCCTCCAAGTTCCGGGCCATGAGAACAGCACTTCCAATCTCTCCGATTAGACTGAGTGCTTCGAGCCAATTCAAAAGCTTTTCTTGTAAGAACATGTGGATACTTCCGTTCTCAGCCAATTCGCTTTGGATTTGTCCGTCCCCTCGGATTTCTTTGAGATGATCCACCCAGTGCCTACAAGCGTATTGCAGATGTGACGGAATACACCGCCGCACCAAATTTGGCGGAACATCGATAGAAAATGTGCCTGGCCCTTCAAGATTACATATGTCTTGACTGAGGCCATGTGACATAATGTCAAGACAATTTTTGTACACCTGCCAATGTACTGTGGATGGCTCAACTAGAAAACCCGTCTCCCTGGATCTCTTTTCGTCCAAGAGAAATTCGCGGAATGAGAGGTGTATGAGGCGGACCGGGGATTTCGGGTCATCTGGAACGTTGACGACGGACCGTAGATACCCAAGGTATTCCTCTACTTCTTTGGCTGGTACTTCTTCAATCTTGTCTGCTGGGTGTTGTGGTTTTGTGAATATTGCTAGCGAACAGATTGGTAAAGGCTCAAACAATATTGTGAGTAACCCCAGGATCTTCTTCAAGGGATGATTTTGTTTCTCGTCACGTCCCATATGTTTGGTATGAGAGTTTAAGACGGCGTTATAGATCTCCTCAAGGCGGGCTTCCGGGGATCCGCCCTCGGCAATTTCATTCTGTAGAAGCTTTCTCACCTGTCTCACTGCTGTGCTGCGGCCTAGATCGAGATTAAGGAAACGGAGAGTGGTCGATGCGTATATGAATAGCCCACTAGGTTTCTCAACCAGCCGCTAGATTTCGCCCATGCTAAGCCAATTCGAATTCTCGTCATCGTCCATTTCAACCTTGTGTAGTTCGTCTTTAAAGAATATACTTATATCATCTTTCATCCTATTGTGTCTAGTAAGCGGAATCATCTGAAGCTCCGCTTTCCTTATTGCTAGGCTCTTGAAGGGTATATTGATAGGTCTCTCGTCCCTACTAGTTACTAGAATCTCCGCTTGAACTTCAGACAACCTTCCAATCTGCTGCAATGATTGGCCAATGCGCTTGGCGTTTCTTGTAGTGATATCAAGACACTCATCTAGAGCATCAATGATGAAGATGACCCGTATGGGGGAAGACCGCCGCTTCTGGGCCCGGAGAGGTTTGAGGATTAACTCGTCGCACTGGTCATCTAAGGGCCGATCTCTTATATGAGTGCCGCCGCGTTGGTTAGTACTGTTGAGTATTTCAATCTTGAGCCCGAGTGGCCCGTGGGCTAATTGGTATGCCCAAGTTGGAAACAATACCCCAGCATGATTTCTCTTATGTTCGCCTTGTTTAAAGAAAAAAGTAGCACCGAGAAAAATATTACTGGGCAGTTGAGTATCGCCCACTAAGGAAATTCTCTCACTCAAGGCTTTAGCAACTGTTCGAGCGATGGTAGACTTGCCCGTGCCGGCCATACCATAAAGCCAGAAAATCGATTCTTGGGCAGGATTCTGTATCCAGTTTTGTAAGTCGTTCAAAATATTCAATTGTGTACCTTTTGTGCAACGAGGCTCGTCGTCCGTTTTCTGATGAGTGATCGCTGCGAGCTCGTCAGGGCCGAGATCATGGAGGCGCGAATCTTTTTCAGCTTCCTAACGAAAATATCAGATTGGCACAAAAGATACTGTCCATGTTAGGGCAAGACGATACCGTCAAATTCTGTAGGCCAATCCTGGCCTCTCCAAGGCTCTTGTGTATATCCTTGACAAAATAATTGGATAGGCTTAGTGAAAGTTTGATGATTTCAGTCTCTATGGCCCTAACGTTTCCAATCTTTCCTTTCCAGTCGTCGCTCACTATAAAATCTCTTCCATACCGAATGAGAGTAGAATGGGAATAGTGCCGGATAATTCGAATCTGGTATTCGTACACGTTTGAATAAAGTTCTATGGTCTTCGATTGGAGGGAAAGCGCAAGGTCGAAATAAATACCTGGGGGACTGTTCTCGATCTAGCTATTAGAATGTATTTGATGGTCAATAGTAGGGGTACTCACTCTAAGTGTCTAGGGGTAGGCTGCAGGAAATTATCTTCCCTCTCCTTGCAGCGAATGAGAAGATCGAAAATATATTCGATCCCATCTGTGGCATCTTTATCCTGCTGAAGCATAGTATTCAATAGCTGTATTATTCGAATTAGTATCAATCTATTAAAACCGAATTATGGGCTCGCTTCTATTACCGGGAAGATGAATATCACACCAGCCCATGCTAGTGCGGCATGAGGGTCTGATGAAATCACGGCTCCCACGAGATCCTTAGTGGAGACGGTGAATACCATTGCCGTTTGAACTTGATCGCGAACAATAATGTTTTTCTCGCCTGCCTTAAAACTGAATCTCTTCTCTTTAGTTGTCTCCACGCTTTTTAGGGCGAGCTTCTTGATTTGCTCTTGCCAGTCCTTATCACCGGAATGTGACTCGCCGCCACCTAATATATGGTCCAGTACCAACCTTCTGACGTGGACACACAAACTCACCGTTTTGTCCTAAGTCACCATTCTTAAGTAACACTTTTCTTAGAGCATCCAAATTTTTCGGGTTATCCTTCTTAAGCTTCTCGTATGCCGCTTTCCAAAGCTTGTTAGGCCCTAGAAGCTCTTCATAATCATCTGCACTCCTATTGTTGGCCATCGCTTCTGTTCTGGCCGCTGCTTCCCCTATATATGACGCGGGATCAAAATTTGAGGCATAGGAGGGTCCATGATTATCGTTTCCCACCTTGATCGTTGTGGCACGGGGCTCCGTGGATGATTCGTGTCTAAGTGGTTCTTGATCGCATGGTGGGTGTAATATATCGGTCAATCCGTCATTCACGTTGCGAACGGGTCCAGGAGACGGTGTGTTTGAGCGAGGTTCAGGGGTGTTTATTTGAAGCTGTATCTTCGTGGTTACTCAAGTTAGAAGAGATCGATGTCGAATACCTGGGTACGTATGTTCATGACAACCCACCTGAGAAGGCTGATATTTTTCTCTCCTCCTAAAGCGACCCTCAATGCCCTTCAACTTGCGCCCGAACCATTTTCGTTTGCCATCTTCAGACTCCATTGTGCTATTAAGTCGTGTAGTATATCAGGAAACGCCGCCTAGAATTATCTTGTTGGTGCTGACGACCAATTGGAAGCATTGGGCATCAAGGTGGTGGCGTATTTGCGCAGCGTAATGACAGATCAGCATTTACAACAGCTCATTTCCCGCCTACTTAAGTCATTTATATTAATTCTAAGTTATAGACTTCACTGACAGTACTAGAAGTCAACATGATGCGATCTGATCTTATTGTCTAAGATGCGTCTGTATGCCACCTTGTTTTCAAGGTACGATGACATTGTGCACCCCTTTCCAATGACTAGGTCATCTTATCGATAACTCAGCCAGATACCTAGGTACATTAGGTACCTAGGGCAAACTGGCAGACTGGTAGCCCTTCAATGTTCACAACCAGATTCACAACCTCCGATAGATATCAGCTAAAGCAAAGGTTGACATTTTAAAACGGCATTATCGCCCTACCACAATTAAAAGCGCTATAAAAACTTAACTCTACTGTTCCATTGCCCATGGTTACTTACTCAATCACATCAGCCCAAAATATAATATAGGCAGTACTATGGTAGGATGTCTCCTATTTGATCCGTTGGTCGGGGAGGGGGGAGGTACATTCCTGCCCCGCTATTTTCCAAGTAGGCAGGCTGCTAGGCGGCTTCAGTGATCTCCCCCACCCAATCTCTAGGGCCATATTTATCTTCGTGTGGCGGTTCACAACCGATCTCACCAAAAATTTCTAGAATTTACGCTTGAGACGTCAGCGCGGTCCCACAGAACATATGCGCACTCCTAAAGCTTCTTGTCCTTATTTTAGGTTTCGCGGGTGAGGATCTTGTCTATATTTTATGGTGACTGGCCGAAGATTGTCCTTGCGGAGTGCCATCTGGGGGTCAGACAGCCGTAGAAGACGGCATCGAATCATCTGAGGTACCCAAGGTTGACTTGTTCACAAACCTAAGCAATATGTATTCTCGGTACTCAAGTATAGCTCTCAACACTGTCATTCTGCGTTGGGGGCGAATACAAGTACCCAAGTATCTATGTACAAAGTTCCAGGATGCGCACAAAACCTGAAGTCCAAAGCCTGACAAAACCAAAATCTGATGGCTAACTGGCCACTAATGTTGGGGGACTGCATGTAAGATGCGCAGACAGCCATGAAGATACGAAGGCTGGGCTCGGGATCCGATCAACTCCGACAGCCTTACTCGAGAATGAACTTCAGGTTTTGCACGGGAGAAACATCATAAAACGGCACGTTTCTGCTGAAGTCTAAGATTCTATCCCAGATGTGTCTAGAAACCCGGATGATTGTCAAATAAGTCGCGATACCTATCTCATCAGGGACACGGCGTATTCCACCAGACCAGTGGGAAGGCCACAAGCGTCAAATCCTCGAATTATATCTTGATCGTGGGCTTACACTTGAGGATCCAAATGGTATCATTAATAAAATGGCTTCGTTGCCACGTAGGTTTTTTTTATATCGAGTTTGCTAGTTTCTTGATGGGCTCATTTCATTAATACCTTGACAGGGCATCTCAATATGAACATAAATTTCGAGCGTGGAAAGTAAACAAGAACATGAAGCGACATGAATGGGAGAGAAATATCCAGGAAATCCAACGTGGTGGAAGGACTCGGATCACGCTTTCCGGCAAGGTGGTCTCAGATTCTAGGCTTCGGAGGGCCCAGAAGCGTTACGGGTTTGCGCAACCTCAAACAGAAGATCCGGGTTCGTAGTTGTCCTCCCAATACTGAAAATATGTTATGCGATCTTGCTAAGTAACTAATTTTGCCTCTGCAATGCAGCCCGAAACATGGTACCGCCTATCTCGATCGAAGACGGAGACACATCTCTTGAGAACCTCCTATCTGAAGCGGCTATGCCAATCGCCGAACTTGAAAATGGGATTAATGGCAGAGATACCTACCAAGCGGCCGACAACCTAAACTTGGCTCAAGACGCCTCAATTCTTCAGTCGACGAACTAAGACTTTGGTCCACTACCTTTTCGCACTACCACCCCCTTCGAATTCTACTTCGACGCTACTAATCTAATGTTTCCTCTCGAATTTGATTCTCAGGGGCTAGGAGGGGACAACCTAGATCTAGAATCTAATATGCCTCTAAGCAACGATCTATTTGCTACCGACTTCACATCTGCGCCTATCAAAGATGTCATCGAAACGCAGCGTTCTGAAATACTACCAGCCCAACAATGGGTCGATACATCGCTGAATATAGGGGCCGAATGAAATATACAAACACCGTTGCTTGACGCCTCTTGGCGCAGAAAGTTGCTAAATAATCTGCCTTCCATCAAGATTGTGGCTACGATGATAAAAGGTAACTGAAAACTGTTGTATAATACTTAGGTTGGGCATTTCAAAGCTAATGAGACCTCATCGTCATAGATGTTCATAGGAGTAGCGTTAGTTCTACTTGCGGCTCCGTATCGGGTCCTGTCACTTTCAATCCAGTCTCGCGATTCTTGGCCTGTGTAAACGAACCCGATCCAACGATCGGAAGCTCAATAGCTAAAAATAAACGGACCTCGTCCCCGACCCTCCCATCAACAATTAAGTATCTTCTTTCGGCGCAAACTCTCATAGAAGATCAATTCGGTCTACCGTCGAACGAAACCGCTGTTGAAGCCCGATTTTGCGGTAGGCTAATTATGTCAATAATCAATAGCTTCGCAGGCCCCGAGATATCGGCTACGGGTGCGCTAAGGTTTTTACTTGGATATCAAACAATACAGTCGTCAATGACTATCGAGCTTTTCAATCCTCAGTTGGACCCCGTGGCTAAAGCGTTCGCCGAGAATATTTTCCAAGCAGCATTAGCAGCCGATAACGTCGAAGTCGTCGGGTATTTAATTAAGCACAGCAGTTTCATCGATGTGAACGAAACTGTGTGCCACTTTGATGGAAGGAGATATACGCCACTTCAGAGAGCTTCAATAGCCCAATCCCTTGGTGTAATCAGGCTTCTCATTCATTTAAAGGCTGACGTCAATAAAATACACGGCTGGGGTGATGCCCCTAATGCACTGCTATTACTAATTATTCATCGTGAGGATCGCCACTCAACATTCAGTAATGATTTCTTGGCTACCGTTCAAATCTTATTAAAAGCCAAAGCAACTATATCGATGTATTCCTTTCCTATGATATTTATATTTACAGATCCAACTCTCGCAATCTTATTACTCGAGGAATCAACTCCCGAAATACTTCGAAAACTGATTTCGGATAGAACTCCTGGAAAGACTATTATAGATTTCGGGGAACGGGATGCGACGCATATGACCAAGCTTTTGATGAGAAAATGTCGAGAGTCAGGTAGCGAAGCGTATTTGTATGACTCTCACTTTGTCGTTGAAGCCTTACCTAAAGCTCTGCAACGTGAATACGAAGAAGTGGTAGGGGCTCTACTCCCGTATTCATCGGCTGCAAAGACGGTTCTCGGGAGCGCGGAACTGGTATGTAACCAAGGAAAAATCGACTTGGTTCAGAGAAATTCAGATTTGGGCGATGAAGCACTTAGAAATTTTACGGCCATTATCCAGTCGAAAGGCCAAAATCGCCCCCACTCCTCAGACGCAACCTGTGTCCTCAGTCATCTAAGAGACGAGCGTAAACTCGGATGCGCATTCACTGCTGCTCTCCAGCATGGGAGTCGAGAGTACGCAACCAAGGTAATAAAATTCGATCCCGATTTTGATCTCACCGGTAGTTTCGATTCCGACTTCCATTATTTTGAAGCATGTGAGGCCATGGACGCTGCTTTAGATCATGGGTTTGACGACATTGCTTGGAAAATATTGATCGCCGGGATCACCTCATTAAATCCGCGAAATCCGCGGGCTTTACTATTATACATCGCACTGAAGCACAAGAAACCGGATTTCGTGGCGGTCGTCCTAGAATTCGGATTCAATGCCGAAGATTTAGATCAAGAAGAACACTCGGTATTAGGCATTGCTATCGAATGGGGCGATGAGTCCATATTGAACGAAATTTTGCGAGTCTGCTCCCGTAACGCCGAGCTGTATGGCGCTGATCCTTGGGAATATGCTCTTAGATGGGCGACAAAGCACGAAGACATATCACTGCTAATTAAACTAGTAAACCTGGGCGCTAGACCGGGCGATGACCTTCTGAGCCACACTATGGAACATCACCATTCTATGGTCAAACCACTCCTGGAGCAATACATACGGGGTCATCCACAAGAGCCGACTATATTCCAAAAGTCTATTGAATGGGCAATTTTGAGCTACTCTGAGTTCCCCGAATTTATGGATATGTTGTTCGACTTTGGGTTGGTAACTGGAGATGCCCTCCAGAGAAAGGGAAGACGAGGAACCCCACTTGACGTAGCAATTCGGTGGTTTCAGGCTGTGATGAAAACTCCCCCCAGTATATCCCTTATTAAAAGATTGTTTGACGCTGGTTATGACCTCGATTGGCGCGACTTCACTGGAACAACCGCATTTTCGTACGCCATCAACACGAAAAACCCAGAAATAGTTCAACTTTTCATTGACTACGGTGCCGATATCAACAAGCCAGCGAGCTTCGACATAAGACGAACCCCTCTCCAAAAAGCCGCTGAGGTCAACAACCTTGACATCGTCCGTTTATTATTGGATAAGGGTGCTGATGTAAATGCGCCACCCGCGAGATTCAATGGAGCAACCGCACTGCAGTTTGCGGCCATCAATGGGAACCTCGAGATGGCAACGTTGCTTTTAGAGCAAGGAGCCCAACTGGATGGCGCCCCTGCTGAAGGATTCCTCGGGCGCTCGCCTTTAGAGGGCGCGGCTGAAAACGGCCGCCTCGATATGATAAAGTTTCTTTGGAACGCTAATAGCGGTCCGTTCGACTATAAACAATGTCAAAGAGCTATGCGACTCGCGGAACGCAATGGATACCTAGGCTGCAGGGACTATATCAAGCAGTTGATGGCCGAGTCTTCGTCAAATCCTATTTCGGTTTGACCGTGAAAAGGAGAAATGGGAGTTTGAGGTTGGTAATTTTATTAGAGGTACGTCCAGGGTGGATTGACGGCGCAACTGAATTTGGTATCTCCTTCAAGTATTACATGGCGTACATTTAGGAAGCTCTTTTTATAAATGCCTGGGAAATCTAGTCTATGGCCTTCTCTTATGTTAGGGCTAGAGAATATGAATCATTCGACCAACTTGGAACGGATCGTGGGTGACTTACGCGAACACTAGGCCTAAGCCCACCCTCTTTTACCCCTATTGCCAAGCACCCCTCCATAAATCAGACCAAACGTCGTTAAAATACACCATCGCAGCCAAAAATCTAATCTATATGGTTTGAGGAACAAAAGGGGGGCGGGCACTTTATTCAAGCTAAATTATCTACAGCATTGTGCTGATGAAACTCACCGTAAGTGGTCACGTAAAAACTCGTATAGGGTCTAATATGAGCCATTACATGATTCAACGTTTTTGAATTTGAATTGACTTGACTTTATACAGGTTGGTACCCAGGCTTATATCCATGCAACACACACTCATCTGGAATTCGCCTAAGGACTCTTCATGATGTACCCGTGGGCAACTTGTAGCATTTATCCGTGGGGATGGTCTCACCCTGGTCCCACTAAATCCGGAAGTCAGAATGAGACGAGTTTCTTAAGGCTGGAGATACTTACGTGTTCGTGGACACAACCATCAACCCAGCGCCATCGATCAGTAGTCGAGTATCGTGCATACGACATGTTCGTGCTAGAATCGAAGCACCAAGCTGTGCTTTGTTCGTTTCCTAGCTTACTTCCGCTGCAGAAAATACTCCAGATAGTACCAGGCCCTGAAGCATATCCCGGGTGGTGTTGCTATAAAAACATTAGCAATTTACTAAGAACCAATGGCGTAACGACTTACTATGTACGATGAGTCGATGAGGGAGAACATCTTTCGCGGGTCTCCATCAACTACAAACGCGCGGTAGAAGTCATAAGCTCTCTGGGCTGTCTCCTCGACAGTCACGGAGGGGTCCGGTTCGCAAAGAGCAGGGGGGGCCTTTAAGCTGCATAGGTTCTCTCTCTTCATGAGAGCCCCATCGAGCGCGAGGGGGGCAGCAAGGCCAATAGGCGCTAGAACGCTGGCGGAAAGGAAGAGTGAAAGACGCATTTTCGCGATTGGGGGGGTACGACGATGTTAAACGTAAGATAATTTCTTTACCTCGTGGAATAGGCGATGATCATATATATGCGCGTCCATGGTAAGCGAGACTCCGCATGAGCAAAGGTTATAATATCCTTTCCCCATCGTTATATCATAACGCGGGGAAGCAGCTTAAACCAAGATTCGCTAAGACTACGTAGGTGTTAATTTAGCCGCCTTGGTGTCAATTTGTGATAATCTAGGAGGATCGTCCGAATGAAACCTGATCATGTCAACAAGACAATTGATTACTGTTTATAGTATATCCATTAGCGTGTGCAACAGCGGATAAATTTACGCCTTAAGAAGTCCAATCATAAGTCTTGTAGGAATCTTGGACGTAGTCGGCATCTCGCCCTGCACACGTGCTGTATCAAGAAACGAACGATGGAGCTCGCCGCTACGTAATTTCTTGACAAGGTTATACGGACTACTTTTAGTTAATAGACATCCAATGAAGTTAGAATGTTCGCAGTCGATTCACCTTTCTGGGATGGGGAATCAACAACTCGGTCTCTGGTTAGGAGTCACGCCCTGCCCCCTTAATGGTATTGGTTAGTAAGCTACATACGGAATAGAAAAAAGGGTATTCGGCTTCGGAGGTAACTCTAAACTGCTAGTATTGCGACAGGAAAACGCCGGTGTGCACGCGAGCCCCGCATCCGTTGATAGCAACGTTTCGGAGTAATCCACTGTAATCCGTCATCCGTAAGGCTACCTAGGTAGATATGGATCTCTTATCGTCGTTGCGTTGCGGCTCGAGGGGATAAGTTCAAGATTCACAAAATTCCATGTAAAGAGTTATTTCAAGAAACTCCATAATGGCCACTGAGCAAGGCGCGATTCCCGTGATTGACTTCAATGCATGGTCGGATGGTTCGATTGATGATAAGAAACGAATTGCTCGGGAATTGACTGGTGCGTGTCGCCGAGTTGGATTCGTATACATCATCAATCATGCCGTACCTGAAGACCTACTTGAAGAGGCATTCGGTTGGTCCAAGAAACTCTTCGATCTTCCTAAAGAGAAAAAGATGTTGGCTCCCCATCCTCCAGGTAAGCCTTGATTAGTAACCACGATTGATTAAAATGAGTGACAGTGTGTGACCAAGGCCCTACTGTCCACCGCGGATACTCGTGGCCCGGCCTAGAGAAAGTGTCACAGGATATTATCAGCGATGGTGAGGAGGCAAAGGAGGCTGCGAATCGTAAAATCGCTGACGTCAAGGTTTGTTTTCATTAAACATAAATACTTGTTCAAACAGATAGCCGACTAATGATGAATAAATAGGAGAGCTATGAAATCGGTAGTGAGGACAACGAAGTACAACCGAACATCTGGCTACCTGAGGATATCCTGCCAGGATATCGCGAATTCATGACGCAGTTTTATTGGAAATGTTTCGAAGCAGCAAAAGAATTGCTGCGCGCTTTAGCGATCGGCGTGGGCTTGGAGGATGAAGACTTCTTCCTGCGTTTTCACAGTGGTAAAAATAGCCAACTACGGCTACTCCACTATCCTCCCGTAGAAGCAGAGAAACTGTTTAGTAATACGGTCGCTCGTATGCCCGCCCACTCGGACTGGGGCACGATCACGATGCTGTTCCAAGACGATTGTGGAGGGTTGCAAGTTGAACATCCTAATGAGCCAGGCAGCTTTGTAGATGCAACACCGATGAAAAACGCAATGGTTATGAATGTGGGCGACTTGTTGATGAGATGGAGTAATGGTAAGTCCGAGACTTGCTTTTTAATTGATATGGCTGACTGGTGGCTTGAAGACTTTTTAAAATCCACTCTTCATCGAGTTACCCTTCCGCCGATTCATAGCAAAACACGAATTGATGGGAAATTGATGACTCAACCGAGATATTCAATTCCATATTTCGTCTCGCCAGATCCGAAAGCTGTCATTGAATGTTTATCTGTTTGTACAGATGAGGAACATCCTGTTAAATACGAGCCTGTGGTTCAGGAGGACTATAGGCGAATGAGGGGTAGAGGACAATACGCTGAAGCACCAGCTGCCCCAATAACTGTTTCTTAGCCGTCTAAAAACATCAAATCTGAATCGACAAGCTCTAAACAATCGGTTATTAGATAATATTATTTTCGGATATTATCTGCAAGTTACAAAATGTAATTGAACCCGTACATACCTAGGTACCTAGATAATTCCAGGCTTCTAGTCTAGCAGCAAGTTCACAATTAACTTGACTGATCGGGCCTAGGAACCCGGATTCTCCAATTAATTCGGCCCCCAATGAACTGAGCCCCCAAACTTGGCAGCCAATCATTGACTCTAAAACAACTAGGATCGACTTTTAAGCGCTGAGTTTGGCGCCCACAAACGGGAACGTAGCGCCTAGCCAAACTCACTGTGCCGCCTTACGAGTCGATGGAATCGGTATAACTTCCCAACTTCATTACAATTATTGCTTTTGATTGGATAATCTTCACGACGCCGAGGAGCTGGTCGAGCTGCACCGCATTATGGGTTGGCACAGTCCCATCTGCGGGACATCCCTTCCGCACAAATGTATATGTATGCAGCCTGGTCTCCCCTAGAGCTTTTGAAGATGGGAGGCCCAAAAAGAGGCCATCCGTCCGGCGCGTCGCAAGAATTATTCATCCCCTTTTCTTCCTTCTATAATCTCAAGAATACCAATATCTTATATACCTGCTCAATTCAAACACCTCATTGTCTTATTGTTTTATATCCGTAGCGTTATTCCCCTTGTATAATACGGTGTACAGTTAATGTAAGTGCGAAAAAGGGATGCGGGGCCATTTTCCACCTTAACGATCCTTCGCCGCCAACTTCATATCGCACTGCCTCGTTTAGTTATATATCGACCCTAACATAACAATTAATAGTTTTCGAAGCTTCCTTTCCCATAGTTTCTACAGCTGGATCGAATATCGTTTATGCGGACGAACAGGAGGATTACTGAGTGACAATGTCTGGTCAATACTATCCCCGTACGTGATAATGCCGCCAATTTACACCGCCATAGCCTTGTAACTAACGAGTATCGTACAGCGCCCCCAGGTGCGGCTGGACCTCCAGGTGTGTTTTCGATTTCGAACCACGTAAACCCACGAGAACGACAGTAGACTAACAAAGAACAGCGACAGCACCGCAGAAGAGTTATCCGCCACCACCAACCTCCCCTCCCGCGAACCAAGCCAAATTCTACCCACCACCACCGGGCACGCCCAGCTACCCCCCGCCTCAAACCCAAAGCTATCCTTCACCTCCGCAACAATCCTACCCAGCTCCTCCACAGCAGAGCTATCCCGCGCCACCACAACAAGGCATATCGCCACCCCCGAAAGTCGGAACCCCCGTATACCAACCCCCGCCTACGCAACAGCCGCAACACGTAAACCTCCCCCTGCGAAACGACGGCTCCCCCACCCCGCCAAGCGGCGCGGCGCCTGCCTACGGCGATGTAGTCCCGAACCCGCCTGACGGGTATCCGAATGAAAAAGCCCAGAGTATACTCGGCACGGGCCCGCCGCGGTCGCGCGCTACGTCTACGACTACGACGGCGCAATTCCAGGGTGCCTCAGCGACGCTCGACGATGTGGGTACGTTTAACGGCGGGTCGTACCGTATCAGCCATCGAGATTGTAATACCATTATCACGATCCAGCTCGCGATGGGGTGTCCGATTAACGCCAAGCCCGGGGTTTTGATTGCTATGAGTCCGACTATTACCCTAAAAGGCGAGTATAAGTTTAGCATGAAGAAACTCATGGCTAGTGGGGGTGAATTTGGGCATTCGACTTTTATTGGACCGGGAGAGTTACTGCTGGCGCCTAGTATGTTGGGTGATATGACTACGATCCGGCTTACTGGCGATGAGTCTTGGAGTGTCGGGAAGGATGCGTATGTTGCCAGCACGCAGGGCGTTATTCGTGATTATAAGAGGCAGGGCTTGGGGAAGGCTATGTTCAGTGGTGAGGGGCTATGGGTTCATAAGATTAGCGGTGTTGGACTGCTTTGGATTACGAGTTTTGGTGCTATTATCCGTAAGGATTTGGCGGATGGCGAGAAGTATATCGTCGATAATGGTCATTTGGTGGCTTGGAATGTGAAGTATGTGATGGAGCGCGTGGCCAGCGGTGGTATTATCGGTGGGTTTGCTAGTGGAGAAGGTCTTGTTTGCAAGTTTACGGGGCCTGGGACTGTGTTCCTCCAGACGAGGAATCCGGTAAGTGGTATTACGTCTTTTCTAACCTTCAACACGCTAACACAGTTCGCAGAGATCTTTCAGCGCGTACATGACGGGCAATGCTGCACCGCCATAAATTTTACGCTGACATTTTGTTTCAATATCCAAACTTATGATTGATGGTTTTTACGGCAAGCTCCGGACTTCGAGATGTATTTGGCTGGGTAATTTCCGCAGAAAATCAGCACTGGGCGGTTCATGAATATGATATCTTTGACTCCTTCAATTAGCGAGGACTGATGTTGTGTTAATCGAGAATATAGTCTCATTCATACTCACTGCTTCGTCCAGGTGAACCGCGATAGCTTCGAGTATCTAAGGAATGTATCTAGGCAATATTATCAACACTTCGCCTAAGGAACTTAAAGTAGCTTCGCTTAAAACTACGAGATTCCCTCGTAAGGCAGTTGTAAGCTATGAAATACCTGTCTCTAGTCAATCGTTCCTGCCCATATGTAGTATGCTAATGATGCCACTTTAGCTTTACTAAGACTCATTACGTAACCCATCTTCAGGGCGCACTTGCCCCCTATTCTAGTAATACAATTACCACCATGCCATGCTCGCTTTCCCAGACTTCTTCCATCTTCATTCAAACTAGCAGTTCCTCGTGAGATGACAGGAGGCAGCAAGTCCCCAAACGCCATGCAAGCAGTTACCTACTCAATTAGTGTCTAGATGCGTATTGTCCTCAGGAGTATTAATATCATATCTTCAATGCCGATCTACAACTAGAAGGCAACTCTTTTCTAAAATTCCAGGATCTAAGTATGCCATCGAACGAAATAGATTAGGACTACCCGCTAACAAGTCACCTGCATATAGGTGGTTAGGGATTACCCTCACTGTCGCCTACCAATGCAAACAAGCTGCCCACATTAATGACGAGACACAGCACGTCTAAGGGAGTCACTCCCTTGTGGTTGCCCGAACATAAACCCATATCGTCCACGAAAGAAGGTACAGCTATGTGAGCTATCATCCTAGCTTACTCGACTGTCCGGGGGCCTACCTATCCAAGTATCTGCTCTATATACCCCCCTTATAGAAGGCACTTCAATGACCGGCCTATAAGGCGCTCAACATCACGATAGTATCCGCTTCGGGCCCCACGCCTCCCAGAGTTCACCACCGTGTTCGTTTCATATAATAAGCAGAATGACTAATCAGTTTATCTGAAACGACCCTGTTCTTTATTCTCGTCAACGTTGCTTTCCTCCACGTGTTTCCTCGTGTCTTTCACATCATACTTCCCACAGTCCTCTTCTTGAGTCTCAATCTATCTATCAGCTACAACAAAGTGTCTGCCTTGGTAGCTGACATGAAAGCACTCACGTCATCATGCTATGGTCTTCTACATTGTTACTAAACCCTTAACACTGTTCAATTTAAATTGCTATCGATCCTTCATGATCCCACAATCTCCTATGGCCTTTGTGGAAATGAATTTCACTCAATTCCTAAGACTTACCTCCCTGTTCTAACTCAGCTCGTGCCAATCCCCCTCTATTGCAATCCGGGTCAGGTTATGGTCATAGAACATCATGAACCATCCGTTATGTCGATTCAGAATGATCTTAAATCCGCACACGAAGTATTCTCCCATGCCTTCCAAACCTGTGGCATACGAATACAACCTAGAGATGGCTTATCTACAACCTTATGGTTGCTACAGGACGAGTAAGGTGAGCGTTAACCCCTAGATTTCCAATATTTATAGCCACGGTCCTAAGTTAACTGTGAATGCAGAAAATGCTGCTGTATATGGCATATCCTCATAACTAGCACGTGGCAATAAGCCTGCCCACCAGCATGGAAGCACGCATGCATTATGTCAGTCAAAGGGACATGCAGCCAGCAGGAGCGACTCGAATTGTTCGCCGGAAGGCAGCTTTTATGCTCTTGCGACGAGAAGAGCGACAGGAAAACTACTAAGCAGTCTTGCCGTGGCACCGGCAGGTCAGCTCCTTACGGCGAAGGTACTTGAGTACATCTCCTATGTGTACCTCCTAAGTACATGCGAATATAACTACTGTCGCCGTTCTTTACTACGTTAATGGTACTAACTACCCGGGTATCTGTGTGCCAGAGTCTTGGGTTTGGTAATTCTTCTATGGATACCTAAGTACCTACGCAGATACATGTGGGTAGTGGTCACTGCAAGAAGCACAGACACGGATGTCTCTACAGAGAAGCTGCTATGGTCCAACTGCTAGAAGAAGTCATGAGTTTACCGACCTGTGCAGCCCCCGTCATTCCGAGTTGAATTAACCCGACGACATCTCATCGCGAACTTATTGTCCTCTAATCCGCTTCTTCACGTCGTTTAGATCCCGGTACACAGCGTTTTAGTGCTTCACGCGCGATTTTTGGATTCTACCTTGATTTTTAAGGATACAGCTTTACTCCTTACCCCTTTCAGTGGTTCGCAGCACTTACCACCCAGCAGAGGTAGAGCTACAGCCAACCAGCGTCCTTACATATCTGTTTCTAAACCCTCTTACACTCAGATCACAAGCTGCAGGCCTATCAACAGTCGTTCCATTTGCTGGATTAAGAAGATAACGTTTGGGATTTCTCGATTTGGCCTAATCACCCATATTTCTCCCAAATCTTGCCTATCCTATCCTCATCCCCAGCATTTCTTCGCAAAGCGCCCACCCAACTACTTGTTCCCTCCCACCTTTCTAACTTCGAAGCCCTCTGTACAATAAATATCTTGAGATCCAGCTGGCCATACTGGTAAGTCATACCTTATTGAAATAAAATTATACATCCTGGAAATTTTCCCTAACCATTTTATTTTTTCTCCTAGACAGCTCTGGTTCCTTTCATCCACCCCCAGTCTCCTTTTCCTTCTGGATCTCACACTGCTGCCCACTTCCACCATACACCACCTCTCTTCTTCTAAATTTTTTTATTACTGCTTGACAGCAGTAGCCTACGAATTCTCTCTTCCTACGCAATACTACCCAATAGATTACGACCAAAGCATACAAAAAACAACATCCAGCGTCTAGTCTCGAGCAACCACCTCTTCACATCAGCAAGGCACTCGCATACAGACGGTCTAAATCAGCATTCAGCGTCTCCTTTCGTAAGACTATCTCTATTATGTTGTCATTGTTATTTTTATTTTTCGCCTCTATCTACCTATTTCCATTATTTTCTTTTCCCAGCTCCCTCCTTTCTCTCTCCCGGGCATCAATCCCTCTGTTTTCGTTTGAGTATATTCTAACTTTCCGTAAGCGATTACTGTACATATAGATCTCATCTGTAATATACAGCTACCGCTACCTTGGTGCAGCGTCTACAGAATCAAGGTATGATTTTCAACTCCCATAGCTCCCCATCCCCAAGATTTCGTTGTTGTTGCTTTTTATTATTTTTCTTTTATGCGAAGATTAACTTACTGACCTGACCGTCTATTTAGCCTGCCTAGAGCTCATCAAAATGCTTGCCGCCCATAGGAACAATAAGGCCACGGGCCGTGCCAAGGCCCTTGGTCTATCAGTCAACACTAAGTCTGCTTCTGCTTCTGCTCATGGCACCAAGCCGTTAGCAGTACAAGGTGATTCATCTCAGAAGACCCTTGTCGCTTCTCACTCGCCGTCTTCTTTGAAGGCTTGCGAGGCTCTCTTGAACCCTGACTGGCGAGGTAATCGTCGCACTGCCCCTAGTCTGCAAATGCCCCCTGTCACGGCGGCCTGGGATCAAACAGAATTCCAGAAAGCCGGAGGCAAGCAAGTTAAGCAGCTTACTATCGACACAAGCGTGGTCAACCAGTATGGACCCCGTCGATACAGGGATACGCCGGTTGACCCTGACTTTATTCATTCGGCACCCGTAACTAAGACCACCTTCGGCATTGCGGAAGAATCGACCTTGAGCGATGTCGAAGAGAGTCCAGACTCCAGCGACTACATCCAGTACATCAACGACACAGCTTTTGAAAAGTCTCTCGTCGAACTTGATAGTTTGACACCAGCTACTCGAGAGAGCTTCGAAAAGCAACTAAACTGGCAGAAGCCAGCTGCGAGCCAAAGCATCGACAAGGAAGACCAATGGTACGATGATTGGAATTGCAGAGCGCCCCTAAGCGCTATTCCCTACACCTCCAATGCCCGAGGTCTTCGAGACACCGAGTTCCCTACAGCGTCAGTTCATTCCTTCAGTAATGAAAGACGACTCAGTAGACATGGCTGGGATGACCTCGATAGACATGTTACAAAGAATCTTGCTCTGCTTGAAGCTCCACGTACGGCTGGTCTTCCAGTCGATCGCCTCCGAAAGGACTATGAGAAGAGTCAACAAGCGGTGGCCATGAAGCCAGTCGTTGAAGACCCGGCAGTCCAATACATGGAAACTGGAGGCCGTTCACAGGGAAATCAATTCCCGTTAAAGCTCGAGCAAGAGAGCCAGGAGAGACAGGCAAGCTTTGAGGCCCTTATCAACAAGTTGCAACGATCTTCCAAACTTCGTCTGGGTGCCAATCCTGCCGTGGATATTAAGCAGTCATCAATACCTAAGAAGTCCAAGAAACACGAGCCGGATTCATCTAGCCAATCGTCAGACTCTTCCGGAGGCGGTGTTCGCCTTAAGGGCACTTTGCTTAACCCCAAGGCCACCGAATTCAAGTGTACATCCAATAAGCTTGTTTCTGCTGACCGTCAAAGCCAGACAAGCCATGTTCAAGAGTCTTGCAGCGAGGTGTCTCCAGTTGAGAGTCAAGCCGATGGTAGTAGCATGACTATAACTTCTAAAGACGTCCGAGACCTGTTTGGGTTCATAAGAGGATTGAAGGAACAAATTGTCAATTTAGAGCAGGCTTCACAAGAATCATCGATACAATTGAAGCAGCTTCAGCACTTACAGACACTCGCAAGTCAGTACAACCTGAATCCAAACATGTACCAGGGTCCTTCCGCACCTGGATATGGATATGGAGCGCAGTCGGGACTTCAATCGGGAGTCCAGCCGAACGGAGGTTATATGCCGCCTCAACCTTACCAGGCACCGGTTACCATGCCATCCCAGCCATATCAAGTACCCGTCACTGGTCCGTCCCAAGATTATCCAAACGCTCCTTCCAGTATGGCGATGGTCGCGGCCGGTTATTATTACCCTCCTCCCAACAACTCGGGATTCAATGGACGTGCACCGTACACGTCTATGCCTAGCACCAACGGTCCTCAGAACTTCCAACCAGCAACTCAAGGCCAGCAGTCACAAGCAATGCAGCTGTACCGTCAACCGGGACCCGTCACTAAGGCTACTCAACCCAATGACCTACCTCTGCATGTGAAAGCTCAGATGGTATATGGACCTAAGCCTGCACGCAAGCCTAAGGGCCTCCCATCTCCTGGTGACTTTAAATGGACAAGACAGCAACAAGATTACGAGCTGTACCTGGAGCAGAAGCGAGCCACTAACATTGGGTATGCCATGAAATGTCGAGAGCGTCAAGCGAAGCGCGCCAACCGACGACGTCTTCCTGCCCCCGAGGCTTCTGATAACTCCACTGGAGCTCCTTGGGGACGTCAGATTACTTACTAGAGCCCGCGATCTCTTTCAACAACATTGCCGCACGTTTCGCTAATATGATTATATGATGCGGTGGACTAAGCGGGTGGAAAGGGAGGATTTTGAGCATCGTGCTAAGTTAAGAGCATGGTTTAAGATGCTCTACTACAGCTTGATTCGACGTGTTCTAGCACTATGATTTTCTTTTCGACTGCTTTTTCTTTTTCGTTTCTGCTTTGATACCTTCGTGCGACGCATCGGCCTGCTTTTCCTTTGTTCTGAGCAGGAGGTTTGCCATCGGTTTCGCTCGCTTTTCGCGGATTGGACGATGATTTTTTACGAATTGACACGACGAAACGTCCGATATGTCCATGATGACAACTTGGACGCTAGGGATTCGCTGGATGACTATTTCCCGGCTTGACGAATTGCATACGAGATATTGTCCTGCCTCAGGAAGGCTGACAAGATTACGACGTACTACGAAGTTTGACACCTTTTCTTTCACGACACACCGAATACGACTGAAGTATATACGGTGCTGAAACCGCTACTACGAATCGACGCGACACGAAGGATGATCTTGCATCTTTGATTCACTTGTACATGTTGTTCCAGGGAGGTTGGGCGGGCAAGGACAATATCACGATTACGGCTAGCAGGCTAGTTGCATTTCGTTTCTATTTGGAAACATCACCGTGATGCACCGAGAGAGCCATGCGTTCTCACAAAAAACACTGACATATACACACCATTCTCCACTCTTCGACCTTCTATAAATACTTGCGTTCGACTATGATGCCGTTCCTACGGAGATTCTTTCGGGCAACTGAGAAGAACCTGGTTGGTGATACCTTCTGAACCGACCCGACAAACTCGATCTATATCTTCTATTGCCTTGAAGGATACTCCTTTCGGACAGTAAATCCAAGCACCAAGCGGTGCTCTACTAAGCGCGAGACATTACGATGGCTTTGATCCCTGCTGTTAGCAGATCGTGTATCCGAATTAGTAGCCGACACTTATCTAGAGTATGAGATTCAAGCAGCGTCTAGACAACCAATCTTTCAAGCATTGAGACTCATACCGGTTACTAAAATCGTCGATATCATTTCACTACATGACAAAAGACAGCATATTTTACCAACGACCAGCCGGAAATCGTACACAAATCAAAATACTTCACTAGACAGAGCTTTATTGCATTCAACTTGACCCCATTTTGATGGTATTTTTCCTACCTTCGACAATCAACGGGAATTATATACCTGCCGTCTTTCATTTCCTTTCGCCTCCGAGGCACCAAACTCGATATACATACTTTCAAGGAATCATGATACTTCTACTAGGTTACTATACTATACCTCTTCAAACAACGGTTTTTGATACCAGGCAATCTTTAGGAAGGTGGTTGTTGGATTTGGTCTTGAGGAGGAAGTGGATATGTTTCTGGATGTCCTCGATAAAGGAGGACTTTGAGTTGGCGGTTTGCAAAAGAAGACCAGGGAACACGGAGTTTCTGGTCGGTGTTTCATTCGGACATGCGTAGCTTGACTTTGCTTTTTTATGCATTGGTTTTTATGATATATGTGCGCCTCTTACGCTGTGACTGTGATCGTAAAATTATGATTGGCTTATTACAACGATGAGGTGTGGTATGCTGCAGCTTCTGCGGCTGAGTGATCGACATTTAGGGAGGCGGGGTCGGAGTTTGCTGTGTGCTTTCCCGGCCAATTAAATGTCTTAATCTGAAATGGAGGGTCGCTACCCTGATGGGGGTAGGTACAAGGCTAAGTACCTAGGTGGGGGTCAGGCATGTGGGCGCGCCTGCGCGTCAAGCTTGTTCGTTTTCCCCACTGTTAATTAAGCGTTGAAGCTTTCAAAGCTTACCATTTTCACAAATCTCGACACCGCGCTCGTGGAATTTACCCAATAATCGCTACATAATAGGCGGGCGAACTTAAGCCTTGACCTCTGAAAAGAGTGTTTTCCCGAAAGTTGCGCGGAAAAGATAGCTTCTAGACATTTGATTACTGACGGTGTAGGAACATGCTTCACTCCTACCCTTCAACCGCTTTTGGTTTCTTGGTTGCGAGTCGACGACGTTCATAGCTCTTTTCTCGTTTGGATCGACCATATACTTGATCTTGACCGACCCCTCTCGCCTTCCGTCCTTAACTATCACGATTACTCTCGATCCAGCTTACATACCTACAACTACCTCCACAATGTCGACTCCGATGCGTCACGGCCCTTCCCAACAGGGTCGTACGCCCTCACAACACCCCGCAGCAGCTCCCACACCTCAAGCTTCGACTCCCTTCTCGAATTCACAGACCGCTACAGCTTTCTCTCCACATGGCCCGAAATCGTCGCCCCAGCATTTCAAGAAATCGCCAGCAGCTAATGCTATGATGGCTCATACGACTGCTAGCTTCGATAGTCCCTCTGCTGCCGCCGCTTATAATACCCTCGGCATGTCTATCAACGATCTTAACTTGGATAACATAAGCGTTGGAGGTTTAGTCGCCGCGGCGGGACGAACGGATGAGGAAGATCGTAAAAAGAGGATGGAGGCTGTAATAGCTGCTCTATGGGTACGTACCTGTCCATGACTTGAACGCTCTCAATAGTGCAATCAGGTGCTAAACTTCTACACATAGGCCCAGAACAGTAGCAGGGTTAGTAACCAAGGGCTCGAGCGACTAGCTATTCACCTTGGCCTCGAGTGTTTATGGGAAGATGTCAAAGGTACCGGCGACAATGCTAAAACTTTGATCATAGCGGGACAAACTATGGCTGTCGAAGTCGGCATCACAAATCACATAGTACACCAAGCTTCGCTCGCGTACAGCGAGTCTTTGCCGAGTCTCGACAAACATGTTGATAGGGCATCGGCTATTCTCCTTAAAGATCTTTCTCTAGCTCCCGGCCAAAGTCCTCTTACCAAGCGATTAACACAATTCCGAGCGAATCTGGAAAGGTTGGGTACTCTTGACAAGCTAAGTGTCTCGCCAGGTCTTAATTGCCACGAAGCCATAGCGGGCATCTGGGAAAGCCTGGATAGAGTGCATAGGTGGGATGTACAGAAGCTTCGTAACGAGGACCCGTCCCTCGCTAATATGTCGGATGAAAGGTTGAGGGTCTTCGCTCTTTGTCTTCGACACGGATGCCCTCTCATGCATACGCGGGGTCGAGTTGGCCTAAGTCTCGACTACTGGAAGGAGAGAAGAAAGCTCCCTTCTACCACAGTAGATACCGAAGATGCTAGAACTTGGGGAATTCTGATTGAATGCGCAGCTGCTTCTGGGATGGTATATCACCCCGTGCGAGTCTCGGATAAGTGGATTGGACCCGATATCGAGAAGTCTAACCTCACGGACGAGGAGATGATGTCGACGACTGCGCCGATTTTAGATTGGTTAGAGCCGGATAATACCCTCTTACCGGCTACGGAGACGAAAACGGAATCCGGGCTCGAGGGTGCAGTGGGTTTGTCGGGTCCTAAAACTCCTGAGGTCATGTTTATTGCGACTTTCGATCCTCCCGTCGTGGTTCCTCACGCTGTCGCGATGGAGATATACAAGATCTCTGCAGCAAATACGCCGTTGTCAAATATTACGTTCGATGCCCTAATGTTCCCTATTGTGGACGGCAGCTCGTACGACCCTAGCGAACCTCGCGAAGTCACATTTACCCAATCAGTTCCTACCTTTGCGGATAATCTTCAAGGTGGAAACCAAACAGAACCCATCTTGAAGTCACATTGCAACACCCTATTCATATACAAGCCAGTCTACGGACAGGTCCTCAACCAGGTACCTTTCGCGCATCCGAAAGAGCTGGTTTCGATGCTACCTATGCTCCGCCAATACGCATTCCTATCTCTACTACTTACCAATAGCCTCAAGCCCCGGGAAGGCAGACCCACTGCCAAAGACACTGACACCAACAATACGACCCGGGTTCCCTACACAAGTGAAGACGAATTCACCAATTTTATGTCTCTAACGGGAACTTCTACCACGCCCAAACCTCTAAAAGTAGACATCACACTAACAGCACACCCGGTTCCTCGTCTGCTGCTGGTATTCCCGTTTAGATCATACACAGCGAACATCATGCTTGAGATCCAAATCGGAGGTAGAGTCCAGATCGTCTCGGATAATATTTTCCAAGAAGATCATAGATTCCTCAGAGATGATCCGTCGCAGCGTAAGAGAAATCGTGCCGATTGGGCGGCCGCGCTGGAGACACTGGAGGACTTGGGTGCGTGGATTGAAGTTATTAAACATAAGCTGGAAGGTTGAGTGTGGTGGTGGAGTTGTGAGTTGTGATGGTGCGGTGATTTTACGAGTGCATGGTTATGATACCCCCCTTTTCTACGTCTTGGGCTCTAGGGAAATAAAGAGTTCTATTATAAGTAGTGGTGGTAGTAATGCCTAGATAGTAGGGGTTTAGACGTCGAGATAATAAACTGCAAAAAAAAATGAATGAGTTGCGCATTTTGTGATATTGATGTAGTCCTATAATCTCTTGTTCTTGATCTATATAGCAAGCACCACAACAATCTTGGGTTAAGAAAATCTACCAGTACACACATTTTCAACATCGCAATTCTAGAAGGTTTCTATAATTTCTTGGTACATTGTATTAAGGCTTATCTATTGTTTCGGTAATGCTATATCATCCGCATCCGCATCCGCGTCCACACCAGGTCTTAATTTTCTGCTCCTCTCCATTCCTCTTATCTTCACCCCCTCGAGCGGAGCGATATAGCTGGAGAGGCTTTCTTGCCCCTGGCACGCCCGGCTCTCCCCTATTGCGCTCTTTTACTCTTCTTCTCTTGTATAGCACTACTCGACACAATACGATATTACATTGTATTGTACTACACTACACGCCTGCGCTCCGTGATATCGTTTGCCTGGTACTGACTTCTCTTTCCCTCTATTCCCTCCTCTTCCTCCCCTGCCCTGCACTACCTATCTCGTAGGGTCGGGTAATTGGTGATAATAGTGATGATGATAATGGTTGGTCATGGATCCGTATCTTGCTTGCTTCGTTCGTACGATGATAACATGGGGGTGTTGAGGTATCAATATTGTGAAAATACCGGGGGAATAATTAAGAAAAAAATAGTAGTAATAAAAAGAGAGGTGTTGACACGCTAAAGACGTAGGAAAAAATTGAGTGTGGTAATGTGGTCTGGTCTGGTCTTGAGTCTTGGCCGTGCCAGCCAGCCCTTCCCAAAAGTCTGTCTGATATGTAGATGAACTGCGAACCTCTATTTGCACCGGAAATGTGCCCGACTTGAATCAATTGATAGTTCGTGCGATACAATGGCCCATAAGAGGTATCCCAAGTAGATTGTCAAACCCAGAAGCCATAAGACGGTTAAGCACTTTGAGGCGAAGTTAACATAGCAATGCCGTCGCTCTTTTCGTTGTCGAATGTTGATTTCTTAGTTGATGAACTCTCCACCTTAGAAAGGCCCAGCTTTTCGAGTCCAGAGACTGCACTATCAACCTCTCCAAACGAAATACCCAGGCCATTCTTCTTTTCATCATCCTCATCTGCGCCCTTAGCGCCTTCCTCAACCTTTTCGTCGAGGTTCATCAAGGCGGGTGGCCGGTGTCGCATAGCACGTGCTTTGGCAAGGGATATCGTCTTCTGCTGGTAGGTCGTCGTCATTGGTTGGGCCTCATCACGATCAATCGTAGCCTTGACTAAAGCAGCCATCCATGTCCGCCCTTGTTGCAGGTTCGGGACCGCAAAGTAGTGAATGGTCGGTTTTGTAAAATTGACGGCCTTTGAGAGACCGGCTCGAGGGGGCATGAGCTTGAATATAAACATCGCATCCGTACCTTTCTCGGCAGGGGAAACAGTAACGTTATCTGCGAGAGTGGGGAGGTTACTATCGGACGGCATGATCGGGGTGTTACTAGCACCCGTCAAAGTAGCATGTAAACCAGTGAGTCGTTCATTATCAGCCGGCAGTACGCGATGAAATGATATATCAATAAGTCCCTTTTCTTCGGTATCATCCTCTGAGTAATAATATGCAAGGCGACGACCTTTGAGGACGAAGAGTCGTGGCTTCCACGTTGTCATGAGATGCGAGCTCTTCTTCTTCATCCAACCACTGTAATCGGCATCTTTAATTGCCTCGCGTGGGCCGATTTTCTGTAGTCCTCGCAGATAAGCGCTCGTTTCCTTCTTCGTCTTCTTTCCGCTCTTGCGACTGCCGGAAGTGGTAGCTGAGTAAGGGCTCTTTCCTGTATCTGGTGAATCAATCTCGAAGCTTGGACCGCCAGAGGGCGTACTTGATCCAGTCCTAGATGGAGATCGCATGGGAGAACCTTGAATAGAAGAATCTGTTGGTGAACCAAGTTTTGAGTTGCCAATCATGGCATCTGAAATTGCTCTTAGACCGCCGAATTTGCTACCCGCAGTAGATATCCAATCGCCGTGAATTCCCTGCCGGTTGGCTGGTGGTAGCGGTGTGTTCGCATCAAGTTTGGTAACAGTCGGACTAGGATCATCCTTTGCGGGAGGCACCGGCCGTATAGATTCAGTGGTATTCGTCGAGGCTGTCCTTCGGTGGTCGCCAGATAGGCTATAATACATTTGTGCGGCGCTTGGCGGTGTAGAATCCCTGGTTGAATCTATGCTTCCGAACCTCGAGCGTCTCGTAATAGCTGTGGCGCTTCTAACGCGTTGCTGTTCCGTGTAGCTCGATTTATGAGAATGTGTGGCACTGTCGCGTTTCTTAAGCACGTTGCGTTTTCGGCCGTCAACTTCGGTACCAGAGAAATAACCGCGGTCAAGGTCGAGGGCAGGATTTTGTGGTACGTCGGGATCAGAAATGTTTGTAATGTCGTGGAATCCGGTTGAAGATAATGGTCGTTGTGGGTATGGAGAAGAGGCCGCACCCATAGTCCAGTTGCGATCAAATGACGGTTGCTTCTTATGCGAAGGGTCGGTTTGTGGGAATGTACCTGCACTAATGAGCTTTGGAGTTCCTGCACTGACTGGCGGAGCAAGCCTAAAGTCGGTTGATGAATGCCGCCTCGAGTGATGGAGTTCTCGAACCGAGGCTGCGGAGGGTCTCTTTTGGTGGGAAGGTCTGGAGGGGTTGTCTTGAATACCTTTTGGTGAACCTAGGGTGGAGGGACTTGATGGGTCCATCTTCTGCGATAGGCGTCGTGCATGAACTGATCCAGGTCGACTATCCGTCGGAGTAAATCTCTGAGAGTTTGTCAAGGTATTTGTCCTACTTCTTACCCTTCCACCAATCTTCATTTCCTCCGAACCTGCTTCGCTTCCATAAGTCTGTGTTGTTCGTCGCCCGAGCCCATTCACTTCATCCTGCAGAGATTTTATCTTTTGCCAGGTCTTCAGCCTTCGTCCTACAGAACCAAGGTCAAACGCCTTCAAGAAAAGAGATGATTGATCCATTCCAAGGAGCACTTCGCCCGAGATTTCCTGGTCCCGGAACACTTCACAGTGCTTCTTTTCTACACCAACCGTAAATAAGTACTCTGCTACGTCGTCGGCAACCCAGGCTTCGACTTCATCACGAGTGTGGATATCTTCCTCTTCTTCATCGGTTTCTTCGCCTTGGATATAAGACATCCGCTCTGGCAGGTTCGAGCTATATTCACTGCCGGAGTCCGCTGCGTGGTGATGCATACCGTTGGGCGGAGCTGAATGTAGGTCCGTAATGTGTTCGTCAATAACTGTTAGTGTCTCGTGGAGGACCGGATTCTCTTGACTTTGCGCATTGAGGCGGCTCGAGAGCTCGCTGCCGCCGTTGTAAGAGAATTTGCTAGCGAGAGGTGCGGTAGAGGGAATTGGCTTTCCCTCAGATTTCCCAGAGTTCAGCGGTAGAGTTATGGGGCTGGTGTCGGGCGGAGCGGAAGAAGTGGGTTGTGGGGTTGGGTTGCGATCCTCTGTCGACGTGGTCGATGCCGGTTGACTGGCCACGGATGCCGCTCCATTGGTAGACGATAGGGGACTCGCGATCGGTTTGGGGGCGATAGGTGAGGACCCGACACCCTTAGGCGACGGCCGTGTGTAGACTACAAAGGAACGATCAGTCTCAAAATGTCCGTCGTGCAATATCCCCACGGCCTCCGGTAGCGCCACTTACCTTCGGGAAATAAGCCGCTATTGTCATTTACCATATGGCGGCCCAAGAACCACCCATCACCAAATTCGTCATCGCGCTCAATCAATTGCACACGGTCACCCTTGGCTAAACTTAATTCATCGGAGCTTCTAGCTTGGAAGTCATCTAGAAATATGTCAAGTTAAACGTCGGTTTCATAAAAATGTTTTGCGCAAACAGTGCGTTTTAACATTCACTTGTCTCTTGCGACTATAACAAAGAATAGGGTATATGAAAAGGATTTCCAAAACTTACGGATAACCACCAGTATATCCCCAACTTCTGGTTTCGCCATGATGCCTTCTGCAATAAGATAGCGCCGTGGTGAAGGCTTCGGACAGGATCACGTCAAATTCAGAAGTGGCATTGAGCGACGGTGATAAAAACGCCGAATGCGAGGGACAGGTGACGGATCTTAGTGTCGCTGGCTCCTAATCCGAATGGGTTGCGGAGTCTAACGGAGACCTGACTCGATCAATGTCTCAATAGTGACGAAATGCATCGATGAATAGCCTTTGTTATAGTAGAAAAATAATACCGTCTACGAGATAATATATATGCGAGTAAAAATCGAACGTGTAGGCGTACGTGTAGGTGTACGGGTAACGGATATGGAATCGTCTCGTGTGTTATTTTGGCTGTTGATCTATGCCACCTCCCTACCGTCGCCCGCAGCTTTCGGATTAGGAGTTCGAAAATTCTGGCTGAAATCTAAGGACCGTCGTATCTTATTGGATGCTTCCTCCCTATTTCTTTACCGTCTCGGTTGCACCAATTCGAGCACAATAGGATTCCCAAGCTAGGGAAAGTTGGACGGACGAGGCACAAGCCCACGTCGCGAGATGAAAAGTCATACAAGAAAAAAAGGGGAAAATAAAAGGATAGGGGGGGTTATAATATGTGCCGCGAATAGAAGAGAACCCAGATAATACTCTGGCAAGGAATGTCGTCGTCGGTTTACTCTTGTTACTCAGAATTGAGTTGAAAGTATTAAAGTATTGAAGTATTGAATTCAACCGAGACCTTGTAGGGTTGAGTACGGATGGATGGGATGAGTGGAAGCCGCCCTGCCTGCCCTGTTGGATGGGATTCAACGTACGGATCGCGGAGTGAGCTGAGAGGGGTCTCTTTCCTCTTTCCACAAGGGGGGCGCCATGTTGTACTTAGCCGGCTAACCTAATCTAGCGACAAAAAAAAAGTATTTGCATGGGAAATTTGAACAAGGATTAGGAAACTTTGAAGTGGAAAGAGGGATTTGCCGTGGTATTTTGATTGGTTAGTTTATTGGGGTATGTTTCGATTCTCTCTAACTACTTCCTTAACAGTAAAGAATATTAGGAGACATAAGTCCCCTAGAAGAGCCGGGTACCTACTGTTCGTAAGATAGCTCTATTCTTAGCGTTAAAAAGCTCGAGATAGTTTCCTTAATTGGGCCACTCATATATAAACACATGTGATTGCCTCTCATTTCCTTAATTCTTTTTTGCCTATACTATATTCAAGTTTAATATTGGTGACGGGTGCAAAATCTCGAGCGTTCGTATATACCTACTTCAGTACCTCATATATTTGAATCAGTACTCAAACATAATATCGACCTACCAAATTCTGTTTGTACAAGAATCCAAAGTAACAAACCCAAATAAGGGACTCACAACTTTATGGTCCCTTAAAGGTGCAAACGGAACTCGGAATCCTGCCCAACGCAAGGCACCAGGAACAACGCATCAGTGACCGGAAATGATTGGTGCTTTACTAACAAATCTCAGATCTTTTCGTGTCTGCATGCCTTAACAACCCCGGATACATATCAAAAGTTAACGTTCAAAGAAATGCAGGTCGAAGCCCTATTTCCGGCTGCCAAGGACAGCCTCCGTGGTTAAGTACCGACGCCGTCTTAGAATTGCTAAGCATGTTTAAAGACGCATACGTAATGCTAATTCTCCCATGTCAATGAGTAATAAATACTAGCCCACCATATAATATAAAAATATTCTCCTGCCTAAGTGTTTAACTTAAGTAGGTAGGATTAAACGAATGTAGCTTTGATTACATCGCCGAAAACGTAAGGGAGATGAGGATTATTAGAAGATGCTAGGGACGCTGAGAACAGAAGTTCGTAAACTATAAGTTAGTAATTGTGTAACACACTTAAGTATAAGTCATTAATGATTATTACGTACTCAGTATATTAGGTAATCCATATTCAAACCTTAGAACCCAAATACATTCCTATCTTTTTTTTTTTTTGCGTTATTAAAATAATGAATAGACAGAGTAGACATAATCTTGAAAGAACAAGATAATATGGAATGTTAATCAACCTTGAACCTGTTTGCGCTTCGGATGAAAGTACTGTTATCGGACTATGAGATATAGGAAGTTAAGATGTTGATTATGTAACAAATGAAAGACATTATGTAAGGCTGGGTGGTAGTACTTGCCTTATCAATATATATGACTAATAATTAGATGTACACCTGCCTTTGAATTCCGCGATTTCCCTCAGTCAGATCTAACCGTCGATCCTTCTTCAGTCAGTCAGGACCCGGCTTATATCCTTGCAGGTAAGTTCGGGCTGCTACCTTCCTCAGCACACTAGGCTGTTTGTAGTCGCTATTACCTGAAATTCCATGGGTGACTGGGGTGACTGCCTGTATTCATCCACCACTACCTTCCATTCTTTTAGTGTAAAGCTGACCAGCCTTATCGCGCGCGTTACTTGTGAATCTTCATCTTTTTTCCACTTTCAACCCATAGACATTACCATCTCTCACAGTGCCTTGACGGTACCTAATAAACCCTTCATTTCTTCGTACTATAATTGCGCCTTCTTCAACTTACTTATGGTACGTTTGTTTCGCAAGTCGAACAAATATTTGTTGTATCTTTGCCTTGTGATCTCTAGGATAGACTCGTCAATAGCTGCTTTCCCATACATGTATGTTAACATGTCCGATCTCGTGATAGTCTTCCGCGCTCCGACGCCCGCGATATAAACAGGGTCACGAAGGCCAAGTGGTAAAGAAAGAAAGCCTCAGATATCGCTAGTGACTGATGGCGCCAACCGGTGGACAACGCTCATCAACAAGGCCGAACGGGGATGCGAAAGTGTCAGATGTTCAGGTTGCGGCATCTAATTCCACTCTAAATACGTGGGTTGGTGGTCGTCGTCAACCGGCATGGCTCGTCAACGCAAAGCCCGCCAAACCTACTCCTCGTCCTCCTCCACAGCCTCAGAAGCCACCTATCAACCCCGAGACGACGAGCCCCATCGTCACGGCTGCCCAGCCAGCCTCAGTTCCCGTCTCAGCCCCGGCAACAACTCCGGCCCCACCTCAACCTGATCCTCCTTCATCTCTACCATCTCTACCATCTCGTTCATCTCACCCGCCTTTACAAACACAAACATCGTAAGTGACCGCCTACTATATACTTTTCCAGCAAACGGATACATCTCCCTTCTTTATGTATTGTTTACCCATACTTTATGTTATGTTATACGCTCAGACCAGTTATTAAGCGATGCATTTTGCAATTCGATAGGACTTCAGCCGCGCATCCTGTTCTTCCTTCACCGGCTCCGAGTGACGAACCTAGTCCCGACGTGACCGAGCCTCAAATAACGCACCCCGTAACTCAAGCCCGATTTGTACTCGACAGCTCCACACATGATCACCACGAAGAACAAGTCCGAATTCGAGAGTCTACCGTCCATTCACGGGCAAGCTCGTGGCAGAGCAAAGAAGTGTCGATACCCCCCCGGACATTAACGCCTACAAGTATGGCTCTTAATACACCGCCCACACCCAACCTACCGCCGATAAATACCAATATCAATCCAAATAATAATAACACGACGAACAATATGGCGCCGAGGGAAGCGCCACAATACCCGCCCGCGAAGAGGCGACGCGTCGGGTATGTATAGCCCTTTTGTTAACTTCTTACGACAATGGATACGTGATACAAAACAAAACAAAGGATACTCGCTAACTGTGTTTGATCTATTAGGAACCCCTCGCAGCAATTCATCGAGGCTAGTGGGGCGTCAAGACGCGTTCGAGAACGCATGGCGAGCATCGGTGGAGAGGAAAGCCTAGAGATGCAGGTCGAGAGGCCTCGATATCAACTTTTACTCGATGCTTGCAATGAAGGCGATTTGTTTTTTATTGCGTTGCATCAACTCTTTTGCGCTTGGGCAATAAGTCAAGCTAGTGTTCATCGATTGTGTGATGAAAACGTCCATAATCCGTCCCTCGTGGATAATGCGTTTGGTACCATGGGCACGCTATTAAAGAGTAACTCAAAGCTTCGTCAAGATCATCTCCAATGGTTCGCAGGCTTCCCAGCGCCTCTCCAGGCTCTTCAGAAGAATCCGTTATATCAGAACATACTGAGGCAGGTGTTGAATTTCCTTGTTTGCGTGGCCCACACATGGATGACAGTACATCGTGACCACCAAGCGCACGGTTATCCACTCCTCGTTAGCGAAATGGTTGAAGGTTTCTTCCTCTTCTCCCCTATTCTCCAGGGCATTATGTTCCGTGCCTCGAGGAGAAGCATTGGAGTTCTTGATGGACCTCTTGCCGTCGACATGGAGACACTATTCAGAGCAGACCAGAACAGACACCGTGACGCAGTCGGCTCAGTGGTACGACAGGCCCCAAGCGCGTATTATCAACACTACAATACGTCCCTGATTAAACAATACCAAAGCATGATTGCGCAAAGCCGGCCTTCGGGGGTAAATTATCAAGGCATGCAACACTTTAGTCCTTCCGGATCACCCACCATTCCGCAAACAGGCATACATCATCCTCTGGCGCAACCGCAGGTGCACCATCAAATGTCGCGAAATCCCAGCCAGGCCAGCGGGTTCCAACCTGGTCTGATCAATTCAGACGCGGCATTTGGAAATATGACTTTATATTCACAATCTCCAGTCAATACTCCGCCAGCTATGTCTAGCCCGTCGCCGGCCGCTGAGGGTATGATGTTTCCAGCACAATTTGTTGCTCCTTCTGCTCAGTCTATGCCGAGCAGCCCGGCAACAATGGCACCTTTACCTTCTACGTTACCGTCTCAGCCGGTCAATCAACAACCATGTTTTAATCAACAGAGTACCGAAGCGGGCGTTCCCCCTGTGCAGTTTATTCAACAACAGAAAGAGTTGCAACAACGACAGATGCAACAACAGATACAACATCAACAACAAATGCAATTGCAATTTGCCCAACAAAGCCCTCATTTGCCTCCGACATCTCCACATCTCGCTCCCAACGCGATGGGACCTGGTCGAAGTCAAAACCGTCCAATGCAGCCCATCTGTCGCCAACCTCAAGGACAACAAAATTCCGGTGGACATCCAGGATCATTTGTGCAACGCGCACCTAATACCAGAATTCAAGTCCCCAATACTCCTGGATTCACTCCTAATGCGCCTCCTACCCCACAGCTCGTGGGTCAGCAAGCTCATTTCATGAATCAGTATCAAGGTCCTAGCGTTCATGCGCAACCGCCCCAGAACCCTCAGTTGCAACTCAAGGGTGTTCCAGTCCCTCCTGATCGAATTAGGTTTGTTCCCTCTCCAAATATGCACATCCCCGTGCGAGACTATCCGCATAGCCCTTACGATAGGCATTCGATCGAGACTTCCCTTCATCAAGTTAATGTCAGAAGCCCAAAGAGAATCCCACTGGATTTGGGGTTACCAAGGTCGGAAAGATACTACCAAGCCGTTAAGTGCTTTGCGCTGTCTCCCGTCGCCATCCCGCCTCATCCACACTTGTACAACTTCACGTTCACCATATCGGAATCTGATCATGCTAAGATCACTCGAAACGAGATGATTCCGAGCGAGATTTATCCAGTAAATTTGTTCTCTAGCGGATCTCTACGTGTTCGTGTACGATGCTGTTACAGGAAGAAGGCATCGCCTGCCTTTTCTGAAACCACCTGGGTTACTGCCGATACGAAATGGCCTGAGCATATGTTCATGGAGGTAAACCAAAATACACTAACTATTATGCGAGGAGCACATTACGCCAAGGATACACCCGCTGAAGCCTCGTCATTTGTTATGCCCGGTGAGAATTCTCTGAGCTTTTACTCACCTAAGCCAGAGCAAGGCCACGATCCTCAAGGTCCAGAACCCTGTCTAGCGGTTGAGATTGTGGAAACCCTCAGCCATAGTGCTGTTCTCGAAATGGTCCGGGCATACGAGAACATTCCAGCGAGCGTAACCCGCGAAATTATCGGAAATCGCCTACGCGGAACATCAAGCAGCGATGTCGACAATGACGAGCTTGCAATGGTTGACTACTTATCTATCGATCTTGCAGATCCGTTCGTTTGTTCTATCTTCAAGATTCCTGTCCGTGGGGCGGCTTGTACGCATCTGGAGTGCTTTGATCTCGAAACGTGGCTCAACACCCGACTTAGCAAAAAGTCGTGCCATTGCCCCAACCCATCCAGTTGCGCTAATTGCCCTAACGAGCCGTCTTTCGTAGACAAGTGGAAATGTCCACTATGTGATGGTGATGCTCGTCCCTACAGTCTTCGTATCGACGCGTTTCTCGTTGAAGTGCGCTCCCAGTTGGAGAGTGATAATAAGCTTCGTACTAAGTCAATTCTCGTTTCCGCGGACGGAACTTGGAAACCAAAGGAGGAGCCAGATGACGACGATAGTGACGTTGACAGTGAGGAAGAAACCAAATTTGACCCAAGCAAAAAGCCGTCCACAGCATCAAGCACCCCCTTCCAACGCGAGAAACCGGTGATTGAAGTCATCGAGCTTGATTAATCCGGAACAACCAATGGTCTCATAAAAAGATCGCGTATAAGCCATGAGCAAAACAGCAGTTCATTACAAAAATTCGCCCCAGGAACGGGCCAACATATATCATAGCACGACCGTATCTGCGAATATTCGTGCTTCCCGTTTTTTTTCATTAGGAGTTATAAATGCAATCATTCACTAGGACTGATACCCCCACGCATACTCTGTTTTTTTTTTTTTTTTGATACGGAGTTTTTCAACGGATGCGACTGCGGAGCAATTTGTTTTTCTTTTTTTCGCGGACCCATATCAGCATGAGGAACTGCGATGGGGAAAAAAAAGCATCATTTGAGGGCATCGCACACGGAAGGATGGAAGAGCATGGAAAGGGAAAGGAAATGGATAGGAAACGGAATACGGAACGGACAAGGGAAACCAAAAAGGAACTAGGAGTACGCATGCTTTTTTCCATGCAAATACCACATTCACGCTTCACGAAGTAATCCGATCGATCGATCGTACCGGACATTTTCGCTACCTTAGGCATCGAGAGGCCCAACAACTCCCTTGTAATAATTCGGCTTCAGAGGGAGTCGGCTTCTTGCTTGCTCGTTTATAGGCGATCCCTCCTGTTTTTAGTCGGTAGATACTTCGACACCGCAAATAATTCGTTGATTTTTTTGCTTTTGATTTTTTTGGGATGGGGTAGGGAAGGTAGGAGGGAAACGCTTCACGACCGACGAATTGACACGAAACGACTAGATACGATAATGACAAGGAACTGATGCATGCTGAAAATGACAAGTGGCTGTTGATTATGTGAAAAATCATAGAAGATATGCGTAAATCTTAAGTTATCGTTCTTATGAAGTTATACCAACATTACTATGTTATTTACTCTTCAAAGCCTCAAGATTATCAAATCGCTGAACTGGGTACAAGTCAATATGTACGCTTTTTCTATCTATTCTTACTTTTACCTACCCTAGGTAGGTAACCAAAAGAACGAAAAACAGAAAAAAAACCATCCCGCTATGATAATAAACACTTAGACATACACGAGGAAAAGATAGATAGTAACGAATGCTTTCTCTATTTCTCTTTCTTTCCTTCCCTTTCCCATCCCCTCTCCTAACTAACCAACGAGGAACAAAAATTTACAAAGATCTGAACTCCTGATTCTCCTGATGCGCCAAGAAAAATGCCCGCCTCAGCTTCATACCTGTCGATTGAGGGCCGCTCTAGCTCCTACCTGAAGACTGGCCACTGGTACCTGGTTTCGGCTTCATAGCGGCTTTCTCATCGGGTTCGGAGTCTTCTTCCTCGTCGTCATCCTCGTCGTCGCTGCTTGCTTCGCCGACGCTATATCGCTTTTCCCTCTCTGCATCTGTGGGTGTGGCGACATGTAGATCATCTAAGTCTGCCTCGTCGAAATCGCCGGCTTCCAGGTCTCGGTTATTTGCGGCTCTCCTACTACGGAAATTTTCGAGACCAGTACCGCCGCGCGAGTGGTCCGCGACAACAGGTAGGCCGGAGTATCCAGCAGTCCGACGACGAGCGCGCCAGATGTAGTAACCCCAGATAGCAGCACCAAACACTACGATAGCCAGAACGATCTCGCCAGATTTCTGGTAAGCAGCCCACTTGGCGTCGCTAACTTCCTTATCCTTAGCGGCCTGGTCGGATTCGGTGTGGTTGGCGGTGCCGCCAACGGTAGTCTCGGGCAATTTTTCGCCGTCGAGGAAGCTCTTCGAGGGCGCGCCGCCGATGCTGCTGATATCCACACCCATGAACCGGTCGAGCATATCGCGGGTTCGGCGGGGGTAGTCGAAGGGTACCATGTGCGAAGCATTGTAGAAGAGTACGTATGTCAAATTACGAGCTTCTTGCCAGAAACCTGCGGCTTCGCCTTCGAAAGTCCAATCGCGACGGGGAGCCCAGTTGCCAGGGGAGAGCTCGAAGCCCTTTCCACCGTTCCATTGCATGTTACTGATCAATGCTTCAGTTCCGAGATGGTTGCAAATCAAATCTTCGGCACCTGAGAAGAGAAGTACGTTCACTTCCTTCAGAATGTCTGGTAGGTAATCGATCGAGGGTTTCGAGTTCGGGGTTCCAAACGCATTACCGACGGCTCCATTACATTCAGTCCACCCAGTAGCCTTATTGATGTTGATATGTAAAGCATCCACCACATCGCTCCTCCGAAGATAAGGAGTAACAAAGCCTAGATCGGGAGGCCAGTTCATGCCGCAACTCGGGTAGGTGTCCTTCAATCGAACATCGTACATGTTGACACATTCCGAGCCACTGGCGCCTCTAGTTGAAGTGACACGAAGGATTTCCTGTAGCACGTGCTCGCAAGTGTTGCTGCTAACATGGTTGCCTTCTGTGGCTAGGTTCTTGCGACACTCGCGGTACTGGGCGTCGAGTTGGCCACCTACGTCGGATCCCTTTTTAACAAGACCTTTCTCGTAGGCGAACGTGAGATATGCTTCGTATTGTTCCGGGGGAGAAATCCATCCATTTCCAATCAATAAGCCCTTCAAATTCCACGAAACTGTATTTTGGGGTAGTCTGTTGCGATCGAGTATAGCTTTAGCGATGTAGGGAATGTGTTGTCCAGCGTACGATTCGCCAGCAATGTAAATCTGGAGGGGTCAGTTAGAATATGGATTGGATTTGGGCTAGAAGAGTTTGGTGGCTTCTCACATCGTCGTGTTCGTAATCGGGAAAGAGCTTGAACCACTTGTCAAGGAAGGTAACGAATTGGTTGGCCATCTCGTCGAGTTCGTGGACGTAGCTATTCGTGTCGACATAGCTAAACCCGGTCCCGACGGGGTTATCGACGAAAAGCAAATTCGCAAACTCGTGCCAGCTACCATTGTTGTATTCTAGGTTATTTTGATCTTTTAAACGATATGGACCTATTTCCATCAATGCGCCATCTTCGGAACTGCAGCCAGGCCCTCCATTTAGCCAAATAACGGTTCTTTGTCGATTCGCAATGTGCTTATTTTGAAAATGCCAAAAGAAAAGGTTTCCATTATGTTCGGGTGTGATCTCGATGTGCCTATGTGTGAGTATAGCGAGTCAGCACCCGGTGTTCGTTAGGGTGTAGCCTGAAACACCGAAGGACAGCGAAGGGAGAGATTGCTTACCCGGCATGCATCTTAATCGTGTCTCCTTCGGGTGCACCGGGGAGCGAGTGAACATAATAGTCGCTAGCTGTCGGTTCGGCGCTGACTATGGACGTCCAACTAGCCAGGCCAAGGAGCGCGGCGCCGGCGACGCGCACCGAGCTCCAGAGCGAAGCTGGAGGAGGCATGATTGCGAATGCCAAGGAGAAGGAAACTCAGAGACTTCTGACTATAACAACGACATTCGTTTCCTGTGCTTCCCTCGATTAAAATAAGGAGTAATATTATCGATGGAGGTCAACCATTAAAAAGAAGGAAACAGATTGATAACTCAAAAAGGTGAAAATTGATAAAAAGAAGTTAAAGCCAATTGAAGAGTAAGCGTATGGGAAGCGACGAAGGTGGCCTCTGTAGCGTGCGAAGCTTCCAAAGACAGGCTAAAATGCGTTGGGTTGGTTCATTGCGGCAGTGACTGCGGCTGGACGCAGGTGCACTTACGTACCCATGCAAGGATCCTGAACCAATTAGAGTTTATGATAGAGCTTACGGCGAAAATAGTAGGAAACCCTTAACACTCCGCTTTAGTTACTCCGCCCCATCTTAGACATCATCTCGTTTAAAGAATAAACTACATCATAGTCATCTACGATCCTACAATTCTTCTAGCACGCGACCTCATCCCTCATTTTTTTCTGTCACATATGATGGAGTAGACCGGTCAAACTCGATGTAAGATTTACTTGGGTCAACCACTCAGAAACCCGATCTTATAGCATTCATACACTCTTCTGCTCGAGTATTTTACTGTTCGTGTATATACTACGAACACAATATGCGCTGATTTCTGCAAATCTTCACCGGGTCCTGGCATCATAGCAACAACACGATCATTTGGACATGTGCCGGTCTTCTCGTCTCACCTCAACCCCAACCGGTGTGAGACAATTACCACTTAGATAATATTATCACTCCTTTGTGGCCGTTTACAAGCCAGTCTTGGCTATGCGATTTTCGGACCCTCGACTGGAGTTGTTTCTTTGAAAAAGCAAATCATGCGCTCTCCTAATTAACTCTGTATTTCGACTTAAATCTCACTAATGGCAGGAAGATCTCTACGTCGACACGTTCACCAGGATCGATTACCCAATGGTTCGAAGTAGAAAAGTCCCGGCCTCGGTTTTCTCTGCACTCCAACAGCTGCCTCGTATTAGTATCATAAGATCCGGACGAATTGCCGACCGCGCATAGAACGAAGAACAGAAATATTCATGTCATGACCAAAAGCTAATACTGCTCGCTTTCCACTAACGCCTTTGCCTTTGTTTCTACGGGAAATGAGGGTCAGGGGTATATTCTTATGTATCCTGCGCCATCCCAAGCTTCATGAAATGCAAACACGAACGAAAAGATGATTTGAACCCGGTTTATGCACCTCCAGTGAAATATTTCTCCATCTAACGACAAGTACCATGGCCCCCGATCAGAACCCATTACAACACATCATAATGCCCGTCCGCCAAGTGTCATTAGCTTCGTTTTTTTCAAAAGTGAGACTGAGGAAGACCACGGCATCCTATCCGGAAAGAGAGGCAAGCCCATCGGTGAGCTTAATAAATATCGAGCACGCCGGGCGCGGCTCTTGTGACCACCATACCCGAATCTTGGAGCTATGTATCTCCGGTTTATAATACCAAGGCAGAAACTAGGACACTATTAGTGGCGACGATCCAGGTCGCGAACCTTAGCAGCAATAATACCTGAAAGATTTGATCGGTATGGATCATCAGCCCGCTGGCCCAAATAGCCCGATCACTCCGGACTTCCCCAGCCTTTTCTCCCAACAGGGGAATCCTCGTATGCTTGCTGAGGAGTGGAAACCGACATGTTCCCTTTTTCCATTATTGCCACGGGGCGCGGGCGATGTAATTGACCATCCCGTTCAAAGCGTTGTCACCTTCCTCGACCGTTATGAGTCTTGCATCTTGCAGTGTCGTTAGGGCATCTCCAACCCAACTTTGACATGTCCAATCCGACTCGGTATTGTTCACATGCGTGCCTAAAATCGCGTCGCGTAGTCGCATATCAAGCTCCGAACTGGTTTCAACAGTCGCGACCGCAAGTCGTCGAAAGAAATGCGGTCTCGTTCGGGGATGCGCTTGGTTCCATACCTCATCCACGGCAAAATTCGGATGATGGCCCTGGATTCGGATCGTGAGGTTTCTGCTTTCGTCGTCGTCAAAGACGATATATAATTCGGTGATTCGAGCACTTTGTATGTCACGAGGGTAGCCCCGGAAAATCAGAATCCAGAGTGTCTGGGAATGGCTGACATCGTCCGGTTTGGCTTGGGAATCAACTGGTTGAATGTGCTGATGTTTGTCTTTACCATTGTTTCCACCCCCATGACCGGCTGTGCTCGAAGCGATACCCATTTGATCCTCGATCATTAGAGGATTGGAACCACCTCAATAGGTCCTAAGGTCCGGCGGCTTGCGCGACACTGACGGTGGCCGACGAGCCTACCTTTTTTTTCTTCTCTTTTTAGGAGGTCAGACCATGTTCCGGGTCGAACATGACAATAGACGACCAACCTTTGCCGCAAACAGATTGATTATTACAACGCGAACAGGACGCTGCCTTTGTCTTGTCGTTGTCGAGGGGAGGCTTTCAAAGGGGGGGCGAGTGAAATCTGGCCCACCTCCAAAAAAGGATGAGTGGGTGGTAGAGTGGTAGTAGTAGTGGTGTGGCCTTACAGAAACAACACCCACTATAACTGCTACATACTAAAGGTACAGAATACCTTAGAGCACCCAGCAGCTCATCTTACGCAGCACCCCGAGCTCGCAGCCAACCCCGGTAAGAGAAAGATGACAATCACACCGCAAAAGTATTCTCCGATGTACAGGAAATCATCTAATTACACAGATCAGAGCGATATATGCATACGATCACTTGCGACTCAGCAGAAATAGCCCCTCCACAGAGCCCACTAATTGGTACGCTTGCAGACACCGAAGTTTGCCTTGTACAGAAGTCTACCGACGAACAGATCAAAGGAACGTGTGGAGTCTTCTGTTCAGACAAGCCCAGGCATACAGCTAGGTAATTTGTAACCCCGTTGTCTCTTCTAGAAAAGCTTGCAGATATGGCTAGATGGCTTGCATAATCCATGCAAGCCAGTACCCATAGAGCGTTCTAGACCCTGGAAACGTTTCGGGTGAATAAGGTGACAAGCGGGAACGAACCGTCAGACCACGAGCGCTATACGAATTTACGCATCCTCCGACGCCAATTCTAAGTGAACAATTTTACACTGCCGGTCTAGAAGATACGATTGCCTTCGTTTTAGTTTAATTTCGTCCGAACAGTCAGGCTTTTCCACAGATGAGGAGGCAACAAGATTCGAATACCAAGGAAACAAACCATGGAGGCGTTATATGCACATCTTGCCTTACCTAGGCATGCACTTTCGCATCCAACTCTGGGTCTAGCAAGAAAGTTGGATGTCAGCTGTCGATCACTCATACGATTTGATCTCACATTCCTGCAACTGGCCGATTGAAGTTCGATCAGCCCGACTACTATATTCATTCCTCGGCTATGGAAATAAGTTTGTCGAAACATTAATTTATAAAAAATCCCTGGAACTGGTATCTTTCGTGCGTTGAATAAACATCATCTAACACTGACGAGTTGACTACCTAGGTATTAGTGCCATAACCCGCTAATTACCTGGGTAAGGCCGAGTACGACCGTTGGACAACGCGTTTATTGGACGAGTCCAGTTCAGGTCAAATTATAGGAACCCCCCTTTTTATTGTTTCTGGGAAGACACCACACCCATTTCCCATTATAGCAGGCCTTTTGGGCGCCGAACGAGAGGTTCGCTATTAGTGAGATGGGTGAGAGCACCACAATTTCTTCAGGCTTCTCTGCGTCCCAGTGAAATATTTCCATGCATGGTACCTAATGTGTGTGAGTTCCATTGGGACTGACGAATCCCGCAATCATCGGCGATCTCTCCGCGTTTATAGATCGGAGATGCTTGACTGCCGCGATGCCTGTTCGAGCCGGGGTAAATAATCGGCGAATCTTGTGACAGGGTGTTATCCCACCTTGTTCGTGCCCGTTCACCTTAAGAGCCTCTTGAACTTCGCTCGGATTGGGTACTCAGGCACATGATCTCACGACTGGTGTTGAAGAAAGAGCGCGTGCTGTTGTGCTCCGACTGCGGCTGGTTTACTAACTAGGCAAGTACTTCCAAACAAGTATCGAATTCGACCGGCTTTAGGCGCTCGTATCGTAGGCGACGCCTATCGTACTTTGTCTTCAAAATCCGGCGCACTACTACTTACTAACTGTCGGCGCTGCGGCCCACTATGCGAGGCGTAATGCCTAAGGCCGTACCGACCGACAATAATGGTGCGCAGTACACAATTATCCCATTGACCGGTAAGCTTGCACTTCATGCTCTTGTCCGTGCCCCCTTGGTACCACAGATCTCGTGAGTCATAAAAAGACCATTGTGCCTAGCCAAAGTGGCCCTTTTTTACCTCATTCTGCACAATTCGTATTCAGCGGAGCCCAAGGACTAATTGAGCATTAGACAGCCCGACTACATTGATTCTTAAGATATCAGCTTGTCGAAGGGCTGTTTGGATGATTTAATTGTGGCGCACATACGTGGGTAAGCTGAGCCCTGGGGGGGGGTACTCGGTTGTTAATTTATCACATCTCAGAAAGCACCTACAGTTAATATGCGACACTACAGGTTGCCTTTCTACTATACTCGGTATCTAAAGAACCTGGAGATTCCAGAGCAAGACACTTAGGCACATTTAACGCCGAGGCCGCAAGCCAACCAGCAAGGGCATGCCATGCCTAAGCATTAGCGATGGCTCCGACCCGCGTCTCGGAGTATTTATTGTAAGTCGCATGCTTACAGAACATTTACCTGGCTGCAGAGTATAATTTCCCCATAAAGACGTATTCTTGCAGCTACCTAAGTACAGTCCGGTCCGACCGACCCGGTTCATATCAGACGGTTTAGAAGGGCCCTGTCCGCATTGCGTTTAATACCGACCTAACTACAACTCACAGACCTCTAGTAAGCCGATAATTCTCGTATATCGAGATGAAACTTCTAAATCATGATAGAAGACGTATTAGCCACGTGGCCTGCATAGAGACGACGGAGTCGAATGCCAGCAAATATAGTTGTACAAGGCTAAGGGTGTTTCAAGAACCATTAAATATTTAGTGACTGATCACATTCCAGCCACCCGTTTTATAACAAGAACCGGCAACGCAGCAGCATTTCGCTACCGAACCCGAATGAAGGAAGTGCTATCGATTCCGTTCTCCTGAGTCGGTTTTTCAATACCCAATTATCTCCAGCAGTGGCGGCTCCGGTATCTTTCCCTGACTTTTTTATTCCGGCGTTTTGAACGTTCGCGTGGTCCGGTCGAAATTTCTCGAACCATCCATTCACCACCCATCCCACCTACTACGGCAATAGCCCGACAACAACACAAACTCCCTCGCCCCTGTTTTTTTCTGGCCTCAATAACATGATTTTTATGAACTTGCCTATCGGACCGCCTCGGCAACGCAATAATCGAATCCAAGCATTGCCGGAGGGTACCATGTACCCTCTGTGAAATTCTTCAGAGAGCGGTGGCACAATGCCCACGCCCCCTACGAACCAGAACAGCCGCTAGACTGGATATAGGCTGAGGCTATTCGATTAGTCCCGCCTTTCCCACACCTTGAGTGGGTGGCGATCTGACAGCCTAGACTCAACCATATCACCGGGTGTGTTACATAATGCATGTACGATGCTCCCTCCGGAGACGCATACCGGGGTGTGGAAAGGCTGCTTGCCTACGTTAGGTAGGTAGTTAATAAATATGCAGATGGGAGGGAAGCAGGTAAAGGAAGAAGCTGCATATGTAGGTGAAGTTACACAGGCATTCTCACACACTCTCATAGAAATCTCATGACAGCCTTGTTCGCAAATATTGCCCCTTCAGTCTAGAGGTCGGGCATGTGGTATACTTGTTGCATATAGAGATATGGAGGTATGTAGCATTTCGACCCGACGAGAGGGGCAAGGTAAGGGAGAAAGGGGGCTATTAGTGGAAAACACTGCGGAGTGGCGGTATTCAGGGAGACGCTTGAATCATTCTGCAGGAAATAGCTCTTCACTTCGATATTGTCTAGCTCCTAGCTGAATACTAGCGAATTACATGCATGATATATAAGCCAGGGGCTCCGCTGTGTAACTGACGTCGCTCAGTTCACACAGATACCTAGGTACAAACTTGTCATGAAATTCCCTCGTGGCGGACGTCAACTTGTACTTGGGATGCAGGATCCCAATAATCGCAGCTGCATGCTCCAAAGTGCCACTCATCAAGATATCCAAGTGATTAGCGACCTAGATGGGGTTCATCCCACGCCTCATCCTCTTTTCTTTCCCCGCTCCCCCTTTCTCTCCCTTGCCGGCGCGTTTACCGTACTATGTGTGAAATGCATGGTAAATAGAGCCCTACCAAACTGACTTATAGAATGGGTAGTAACGCCGGCTCCTTCGGCACCGAATCCTACTTCTCCCTCCGATGATTGACCTCTCCTATTATATATCCCCGCTCCATGTTATTTGCCACCCGGCCGTCGACATCATCCACCTAACTAGGAGCAACGTAATACATAGACCTTACCTATCAAACCATCGGTCCCACCGAATATTATTACTATCGGAACCGCGCGCATCGGTAGATGAAGCCCCTCGAAGCGCGTGTTTCGGATACAATAGTTTCTCCACAGTCCCCTATTTGCTCACTTGTTTCGGAATATGTGCGAGGCCTCCTTAAGTACGAGTAGCAAACATATAATCGCTAATACCGATTTTTTTCTAGGGGAGAGGGCGACCCTTACTCCTGACTATTGACGGTGCGGTGCGGTGCGACCCGTTATAACGTTCACCTTGGATGAAGGTAAGACGAACCTACTTCCCAAGACTTTCAGGACTTAATAGTCTATTGAATATGGCGTGCCACGTAGATATGTGCTCACTTGGGCGTATATTTGACTACCTACCTAGGTATGGGATAGGTCTTGGCTATCTCCCTTGTTTCGTAGGAGGCCTCGCTGTCGCCGATATCACGACCGGACTACATCATAGAGTGGAAGCTAAACATATACCCCAAGATAGCTTCCCATTGCTTCTATAGCCAAAGAGCACTATTTTCGGTGAAGAGAGAGCCAATTACTTGCTTCCTAAGAGAAAATACATCCCTCACCCAGAAGCGCCCGCAGGTCTACAAGCAATGCGCGCAATATTTAGTTAGGGCGTATTGCACCATTGGAGTCCAACCAAGAGACCCCCTCCCACGAGTAACACGCGAGTAGAGTCGTCCGGTAACTAGCAACTTCACCCGCGAGGATTGATTGCAGAATATATCGGGGCGGGGTGGCATTCGAAGAGTTATAATCCTTACAGTATTAAGGATAACGCACATTCTCAAGGTTCGGGCTATAGCAGAATTCCGCTACTATGGTTCAATTGAGAGGAGCTCGGGTCGGGCGTGTATGACACCTCTTTGAATTATAGTTCGGATAGCAATCGTCCAGCCTACACGATCTAAACATGTTTCCAAATTGGAATTATTCCCATGCCATTGACAACTGCTTGACATAGACTCGGGAATACTCGTAACGATATGTCTCCTAGAATTTCCTCCTTTAAAAACGCGTGTCGGGCTCAACGACCCTGACGCGGACGTACAAGCTCGCAGTAGAGATGTTCAAGAGTTCTAGGAGAAGCCTAGAGTAGTATTTCCTGTGCATTCCCATACCACGAGAGCCAACGGGATAACTAGGCTAACGGAAGAATCTGCGAAGCAATCCACCTCGGCAATGCCATTAATTCAAACAAAGCCTACTTGATTGTTGATTGATCAATGTGTAAGTTTATTTCGTGGTAATCGCCTTAGTATTGGATTTTGAAGCTGCAAAGTCTTAGCAATAAGCAGAGTGCCGTGGAGGAATATAGGTTCTTACCAAGAGGTCCGCTGACATTCTCTTGAATCGATAGACTGGACTCTTTAACAGCAGGTCATTACAAATCCTCTTTCGCTAGCATATCAACAATATCTAGATAAAATGCGATCGCGTTGAAGCTATTCGTCGGTTAGTATAAGTACGAGCAGACACCCTGTCGATGCTTACGTTGGCCCTTGACCCATCCACTTCCGCAATGTCCATCTTACGCGGTTCGTCCAATTGATCAAGTCTAGATGGCTAATACCAACCAACGTTCCTTTATATGTGCCCCATTTCGAGCTTGCTACGCTAACGAGACCATCATTAGGTCCCTCATGATCCGTAATAATCTTATGCGAATGGCGAAAGGGGGAGAATAGAGGAGGCTGCTCCATCATTGCTCCATATGAGAAATAACGGACGGTTGGATCATCCGGTGTTCGCGGATTGAACTTCTCCGTCATATATGCTCGAGTTAGCTGCTCGAAAGCTCCGGTATCCATACCTACACCTTCGACGAACTTATAGATACTCGGAAGTCGTTCCTGGCCAATCTCTTCGAATAGATAATCCGCAAAAGCACTTCCCCGATGAGGGGATGCGACAGTAACTAGCGAGCGCACATTCGCATTCTTAGGCTGAAGATGAGATATCATGTATCGAGCATCTAGTCCACCCATAGAATGGGCGATGATATTTACGCTTTTGTCTTGCGCGACTTTAGCGATACCATGTGCGAGCTTCTCGGCCCTCTGCTCGATACTTCCGGATGGGGGGACTGTTGCTGTGATGACTTCAATCCCATTGGCTTTCAAAGCGTCGGTGATACCCCTCCAGTAGTGTATGGCTGGAAGCCACCCCCCAGCCACCTGGAGTTCTGCGAACCCGAGCAGCCCATGCGCAAGAACGATTGGGTACTTCGGAGTAGCTGGCAGCTGTGTCAGTTCCAGAAACCAATATGATTCCCAAGATGGCTTATCGACTGTACCATAATGCCCTTTCATGGAAGCATATTCATTAGTTATCTGCTTCCCAAGGTCTTTTAGTCTAGGGTCATCTCCATGCTGCGTGGAATATCTTTTCGGACTTCTCGGGCGTAATGACCATGTACTCCGAGCTGTGGAAGTGTACAGAAAATGAAGATGAGAATTACATAGTCTATAATAACGACTTGTAGAGCACCTATATAGACTCATTTCTATATCATAGATAACTCATTACTTTTATAAGTAGTTGATATTGAAGTAAACACCTACATTATTTGCAGAGTTACGTGAGATCTTGAAGTGTAGAGATTCATGTACGTCATACATCCTGTTGGGCTAGCTTGGCTTATGGCCAGGTCTATACTTGTATTTTGTACTTTTTAATGAACATCTGTAAGAACTTTAAATTGGCCCGAGCTTCCTTCCTGGGTTCCTCCCGCTTTGCCCCACTCTAGACCGATGAGCAGCCAATCTTGGCACCCTCCTTTAAACGTAAATTAGCGTAAATCCAGGCAGCCAATAGCGGTCGGTTTCTGTACGAAAAAGTTCAAGGCTGCAAAACTGGCCGCGTTCTGTTCAACCTCCGGCAGCCAACATTCATTTCTCCCCCTTCAACTTTCTACCTTTCTGCCTTTTCCGTCAAACTTTTCTCAATTTTCAAACACTGCCACAACCAACACGCATAAACACTTCTCTACCTATATGAAAATTGACTCATCTTTTCTGTAGTCCTATACAAGACAAGACACATACATGGATGAACAAGGTAATTTCTACAGGCTTGTACCGGATATTAATCTCGTGCGGTCCTCGCGTTTGTGGAATGCGGATCATGACCTTTCTAGCAAGGAATATCTACGGAGCGTTGCAGTCGGTGCATATATCACCAACAGTTGAGCAAACAAGAGTACAGCGCGCCCAATTAGGTGACTCAGAGCGTCAATTCTTGTTTATCGCAGTGCACCGCGGATGTCGCTGGCTAGGTACCTACCTAGGTAGGTGAGGGGATGCCTCGTAGCCTGCTTGTCCGCCTATTGATAAATTACCTAGCATCACATCGTCCTACAACAAGGCTACGTACGCATACCGCTGGCATTTTGACACTTTGTTTCTTCCGATATCCTTTAGCTTTAACCATATGATTACACTGATCGAGTGTTATATCAGCAAGATGATCGGTCTTCAATCAGACCGGGCGAATAAACATGTCAACTTGCTTTCTGTTCGACCGTGGTAAGCGAAGTCGTACAGTCCAACTTCGGGTACTGCTATGGAAAAATATATTACGATCAAGGACTGAGAAGACATGGGTCGATTGACCATAGACGTGCTGACTTTAGCCGCGCTGCTTTACAGCTCTTCCTTACTATTGGCTCCTATGGACAAGGGGTTATAGGTGAACCAGAGCCTTGGGTCAGCCTCCACCACCATCGGCCTCCTTGCTACCCTCAGCGATCCCCCCATCTCACCAATTGGGCATGTCGTTACCTTCCCTAATGCAATGCGAGAAACATTAAGAGGGGTTTTTTCTTGAGCCTTGTCAGTCTGACGGAAAAATGTCACTCACCTGTGGCGTGTGCAACATTTATGGGGACGTTGACCGTGTGAAGACCAGGTAACAGACTAATTCTATCTTGTGTCCTGCCTAAACCGTCGAATTACTCATACTCCCACTTGGGGAAAATAGAAAAACCAGGGTGGGTTGTGATGGCAAGAAATTATCTGCATCGACATACATCAACATTCACGGAAATTTTCACCACACGTCGGATCTATACAGCCTACGTCCGTAAACGTAGAATGGGGGCCAAAGGTAAGTCGATCGAAACAGCTTTAAGGACTCGAGGTGTGCCCTACATGTGTCGATCTCTACCCTGCTCCAATCCTGGGGCAAGGTCGTGGGGATGGTTGATCAATACGGGTAACACGAGCTTGTGCACTCCACAGGGGTGTCTCTAAGACACCATATCGGCTTCGCTGTGGACAGGTTCATCTCGGGCCGGTGCATAGCAGCTCACCCGATTTGTACCCATCCCCCAAGCGCCCTCTGTGTTTTCCTACCCAGGCACTCGGGGCCATATAGATTACTTGCTCTGTGCGTGCATACGTCCGTATTTACACCACCAACTATGCTTAATAAGAATGTCCGCACCTCCTCGTTCTCCAGCCCAGAGCTGTTTCCCCTCGTCTTTCAATTTTAGTTGATCGGTCCTAGGCGATGTAAACGGCAGCTACACAAGATAGGCAATATGGCTAATCCCGCAGATTGCACCTCGAGCCATTGCTCGCGAGTCTTTCTCACTTACGAACCTTCTCTCGCTGGAGGTGCAGTGTTTCTCGTGCTTTTCGCCATCCTAATCCCCGTCGTCTTAGCCCTTGGGATCAAATGCAAGAGTTCCGTTTTCGCCACGGCTATAGCTACGGGGCTTGCATTAGAGGTCTTGGGGTATATTGGTCGAGTCCTGTTGCACAACAACCCAAATGAAAAGAGCTTCTTCATTCTGTTCTTGGTGGGGACAATCTTGGGTCCGACGTTTATTTGTGGCGCCATCTTTCTCGTTATGCCGAAAATTGTAGCCGTCTACGGCGAAGAGTTTCGATCTTGGAGGCCTGTCTGGTACCGACTATCGTTTTATGCTTTAACAGCTATCACTTTCGTACTCGAGCTGGCGGGAATACTTGTCTCTACGATTCAAAACGACCAGGGAGACGTGAGTTGACGGCACACATGAAAGTGAACATATATAGCTGACACCCACCAAGGTCGATACAGGTGTCCGCGTTGTCGTCGTCGGATTAGCCATCCTGCTCGTTGCTTTGCTTGTATTTATTGGCCACGCCATGCTATTTTCAATTGCTGTGCGCACGAGACATCATCCGTTAGACATCAAGTACGCCGGCATATACAACAGCGGTGCTTTCAAAATCTTCCTAGCTGGTAAGTAGATGAATTTCCAGGTAGACGCGCGACTCGACATATTAACCTAATTGCCATATAGCACTGTCCCTCGCGACCTTACTACTCATCATTCGGACAGCTTTTCGAACTGTCGTCATCGCGGAGGGCTACGATAGCTCAATTGCGCAATCCGAAATTCTATTTTTGATACTTGACGGTCTGATGGTATTTCTTGCTACTTTGATTCTTGTCGCGTTCTTCCCTGGACGGGTTTTAAGCGACTCATGGTCTCAATTACCAACCAGGGGACCCTCCAAGACGCCACTTCGACCGATCCGACCAACCCCATACGAGATCCCATCTACCCGAACTAGTCCAACTTATAATCGAATGAGCGTTAAGTCCTCTACTACGGCTAACTATTCGCCGAGGAAAATGCATTACCCGGCGCCGGCTCCCCAGAATCATATGGTGGACAGCGATGCCTTGTGGTAGATACACATCCGGTAGATTGGCGGGGTCGGATTGGCAAACATTCAAAACAAGACCCTAGGCCTTATTAGGGGGCATTAGATATGTGCGGCGGTGTTTCGGGGGGGTATTGCTTTCGACTAAGCATTCCTATCGCTTAAGTACGCGTTTTATGAGGATTTGGCGTCGCTCGTTTGATATTTTCGAATTTACAGGTATTTATTTCTAGTTTGGTGTCAAGGATGTTTCTACGATCTAGCACAGCGCGAGACTGTAAACCTCAGGCTAGGTTGGCGTTGTGGATTTGTTTCTTCGGGCTATGACTTGTCTGTATGATTGAGCTGCTTGCTCAAGGAATTATTTATGATGAAATACCAATTTTCTACTTAGAGTTTTTGGTAGTTATTGAAACGTTAGCAATTCCACTGTTGAAGGTCGCAATTGGAAATTTGATGGGCATTCTAATTACATCCTCAATCTGTAAAATCATCAAATCGTCTCTTGCTAAGTAGGAACTGAACTTTCACATTTCCCAAAACCTCAGCCCTACTCAACGGCTCGATTCAAGACATCTAACTGTGTGGCGAGTAGAGCTAGTGAGCGACTGCAAGAGCTGTGGCAGGAAAAGAGGAGCACATACCCAGCGCCTAGCTTGTACATGATGTACCTACATTAGGTTGCCGGTGTGCTGGGGCTGCTACTAGAGTCCTAGACCAAAAAGTGGAGCGTGTCTTGCGCCGATTCCGCCCTCCTGGGTCTGACCTGTGTGAGGTTGCCCGGTCCTGTAGGTGATTGATGGACCGAAGGCTTGCGTCTGGGTTGAATCCATGTTGACTTGCACAATGCGAGGCCTTTTTGATAGGATAGCTGTGTTGAAAGCATTTTCTCCTCCAGGCTCTGGTCCTCGACAACTTCTTAGTGGGATACTGTCAGACCATTCGTAGTAGGACGAGCGTCAAGGTAGGTAGGCTCCGTGGGTAACGTCTAGAACAGTCGTTCGAGGACCCCATTCCTTGAGAAACATAGATATTCATCTTCATTGGTCTAAGTGTACACAAGCACGCGCACAAATACACAAAGCGCTTGCTTGAGCAATGAGAGACTAAGAGTTGAAGAATTTATTAAAAGATGGTATTCAACATCATTGGGCATTTCTCTAGCTGGCGTTTCTATGTGTCGATCGTTTCCTTTCGGCTGGTACTTGAGGAAAACGCTATGTGGAGTGTGGCATTAGGAGGCGAGTTGAGTCAGGGGGTTACCCTATGATCACATTCTAACTTGAGAGAATAATCAGCGGGTAGGTAGTAAGTTGTTATTTTTAAATATAGACTAAACTAGTATTGTTTTACAAAATACTGGGTGTTGACAATCGGGAGCGTGAGGGGCTGGAGAAGAAGCTATTCCATCCCTTACTTCAGCGATGCCGCCAATAACCTTCAACATGCGCAACGGTCATAGCGGCGAGTGAAGGGCGGTGTGTAAGAACTTTTACTAGAGCTTGATGGTATTCGATGGCGCTTCTGTATTACGCGCAGTAACACTTTAACGTCGTTACAGGGCAGTATCACCCCCCCTAGCCGCCGGTAGATGTTTTCTGTTCTGATGATAAACGAACCCCTCTGGTTTACGCAGCGAGTGACCCAACTGTTCCTTGCACTAGAGTACCTACCTCAGAGCGCTCACTAGCCATACGATGCAATTTTGTCATCATGGCGTAGTAACCTTTGATAGAAAAAGGGGGGAGGCCGACCGCTTTTGATAGCATTCTTGAGTCTAAGGCCACAACACCCATCTTATACTGTAAGGCCTGGCGTGATTTTTTATCCCGCAAAAGAAAATTCCGATACAAAGTTAAGTGGACTACTGTACCTGTTAAAAGTGACATTTAGTAAATTACGAATGATAGTTCGAATTTCCGTCGAATTTGCTGGGTGACCTAGAATATGTCGGTGTGTGCAAATATATATGGATTCTCAAACTGTAAGGTGGCTAGATGTTATCCCTGATTCAGCCTTTGTTGTACATGAAACGACGTACAATAGACATATTTCTTTGACTATGCTGGATCTTTAGACTTTAACAAAGGCATTGATAAACACACCAAAACTTGACCGCTACAACCTGGTTTCTAGTTATAACATATTATAAATAGGGTGTCTTCATTTTAGCAACCAACTTCGTTGTCAAGGGGTTTGGACGTGTACACACATGAGGATAGCACTTTGGACATGTAATTATCGCAGTTTACATATAATCTGAGCTTCTAGACCGTGAAATTGACACCCAATTCCCATCGTCATCGAGCATCATACGTCTAAGTATCCATTGAATATATCATAAACGAATAAAAATCTTGCTCTAAGATTCGAATATCGAGATTTTAGCTACTAACTATTTTAGATTTACGCCTATCCTCAAATAAAGTCAAGATGGCTGGTTCATCAAGCAAATGTACAGGTGCCACTGAGAGTCACGGGTTTTCCCTTCCAGATCCTGACTTCAAAATCACAGATATCGAGAAAATCGTCGATTTCTACAAGAAGCTACCGGCTGGCGCTCTCGAGGGCACAGGTCAGTGGGAGGATGGAGTCGAGGAGGCAGCGGAGCAAGCCGTGACCGATTGGGAAAAGGAGGCCGGCCGGTCGGCGACTACGGCGGAACGAGAAAGGATGATGAATAATATCCGTAGAATCCATGAGGGCAGTTGGCTCGAAGGAGCCAAGGCGGAGCTCGTGGGGAAGACCCAATGTCCAGTCGGCTGGTTTAACCGGCTCTACTCCGAGCACGAAGAATCTGTTCGACACCTTGCTGAAATTCATGTTCGAGCGGCGGAGCAGATGAATGAGCTCCGAGAGAGAATCGAGGAACTTGAGGATGCCAAAGATTGTGAGCCTTTCAAAGAAGAGGTGCGCACCCTTAAGGCTGAGATCGAAGTTCTTAAATTGCGACCCACTACGGCGAAAGTGGATGACAGCGAGGAGGTTAAGCGCTTGAACGCGCGACTCGAGGAAGCCGACAAAGAAAAGGCGGATCTGGAACGGCGAATTGCTGAACTCCACCGACTCAGGGACCAAGATCGTGACGAAATTGATAGGCTCCAGGATGAACTCCGAGCGAGCCGAATGAGAGAAAACGCAGTCAAAGACCAGGTTAGGACCCAAGACGAAAGGATCCAGCAGCAAGAACAGGATAAGCAAGATCTCCGTGACGAAATTGACCGGCTCAAGGACAAGCTCGATGAAAGTCCCGTCGTGGTACAACCTGGACCTGGCACCACGAACCCGGCTCCAAATCCCGACCCGAAACCTGATCCTACTGGAGGTCCGGGCCCAATCCCAAATGAGCCAATCGACAGTATTCTGAAAGCTATTAGAGATGCCAAGGATAATAATCGAGACTTGACTGAAGAGATTGATGCGATTATCAATAGGTTGATGGCTTTGATTGGAGGAAAGGCCAACCTTCGCGAATTCTGGACCGCTGTCGAAGAGATGCAAAATAATTGCAACAAGCTCCGAAAGCGAGTACTCGAGCTTTACAAGCACCTTGGTTTCTCCAGAGATAACATAACAGCAGAGGAAGCCATCGACGAGATATGGGAGAAGGTGAGCGAAGTAGAGAGTGATGACGTGATGAAACTGAAGTTGCTCGTCCTGAAGCTTACCATGGAGCTCTCAATGGCGGAAATGCGAATTTCAACGGCGGAGATGAAGGCCGACACGCTCCAGATGAAAATCGACATGGAAAAGACAGATTTAGAGCGAGACCTCGAGGCTAAAAAGCAACTCGACTTTTACGATGACGAGGAGTTGGAGCGACGGGTTGACGAACGGGTGCAAATGTACCGAGAGCACCGCCGCCTTCTGATCAAGAACATGATGACTGCTTGGAACCAGCTGCAACTCGTTATAATGACACTACCACCCACAGAAGCGGCGGTCGCAGCAACCATCGAGGAGATTCGCAGTCAATATTTGTCTCCAGCCTTATTGCCGCCCGCGCCCGCCATGTAAGCTCGTGGTTTAAGTCACAAAACTCGATGCGCCCTTGAGTTTGACCTGCCTATATGAACTGCTGGCACTTATTTTCTGAATGATGTTATGAAAAATTAATTATGAAGGTCTTGGAAAAGGGCATCGTAAGAGTACCGTTTAGGATTTGTATAGTGTTAGCATAATCATTCTCGGGATTTAAAAACGAAAGCATAGCAGGCTAATTCGTTCAAATTTGAAAATTCTTAGGGACACGCCGGGGGAATTTTTTGATTGTGAATCCGAATTCCTGGAGATTAACGCTAGTTGGCTTGTCGATATTCTTACTAGATTTTGGATTGTGATGTTGGATTGAATGTTAGTTGATTCATTACTGGAGAATAGTTATTATCGACTTACCATATTGAGTAATCCAATTCATTGCCCGAATAAACTGCCTAGTAAGTTCGAGTTGGTATGAACCTGACTGTCTCTTAGTATGAAGGGCTAACTGATGTCCTCTTTACCTCTCACGTGGTGGGTAATGAGCTTTTCGCGCGAAGAAAAGGTACGAAATCTTGCTCAATGCCGCCCTCCTAATTGTATGCCTGACGTATCGAGTGGAATAGCAATAACGATGATAAAACTGAACCCTGTCACGTTTGATAATTATTCGTCTTTGATGTATTGGTGATGTTGGATGGCTTATTATGAAGTTATGACGAAGTCTTAGCCCGATTATGATAATATTAGAAGCAGATGAGGGACCACAATATCTACAAGGCGGGGAAGCATGCCCGTATTCGTGACGTTGAAGCGTATCTTCATCTGCACTTCGGCTTAATGTCCCACTATATACAGTGATCATAATAGCGCCGACTCCGACGATGTACCCACATGGATAGACATCGGCGCCGTCGATCTCGATGTAACTTTAAAGTGAGCTAGAGAGTCCCGTAAAGCACCGAGACCGACGCCGGGTCCAATGCGGAGGCGGAGGCGGGGGCGGAGTAGAGCGGAGATCGTCGAATCCATTTTCCCCTCGCTGCTTCCTTACTTCTCATGAACGTTAACTGCTTACATAATGTTACATAGCCCAAAAGAGCTTGGCGCCGAAAAGGACCGGGAATTTGGAAACCCAATTAATTTTCGCGAGTCATGGCGGATGAGCTTAGCATATTGGACAGGCCAATTATTGCCATAACTGCCGCGAATTGATAGACAATGTCTCCATCAACGCCTGGGGACTGTGCTCAGAATAACCTGCGGATATTATTAACCTGGGGAAACCATGAGGGATGAAATATATTGATGCTTATTTCCCCGGATTTTCGCTCGGCAGAATATGGTGGTGCGACCTAAGCAATTCTAATGCGACCCGATTGTGGGCTTTCACAGTAAATTAATTTGCCTGTAAATGAACCGGTCGTGCTCCCAATTCAGTAAGCCGGGGCCTGTAACAGTGAGGCTAAATAGACATTGGTGTGCGTTGAAGAGACTTGGCACTATTTAGAAAAAATGTTGCTTTACATAAGTTGAACTGGGCGATTACTATTAAAAAGATAGAATGAATATGTATATAGTTAGACTACTTACTTAGTGTTTTAGCACCCCAGGCACATAGGCAGCAAGTTACCAAACGGTAAAGGGAATTCTGGACAAGGGAGACTGCGTGCCTCCGTAGATCGCCCCATAAATTCCCGCGGAGTAGGTTATTTGCTAATGGATATCAATGTCGGACGAGGTCGTAGATCGCTGACACCATCCCGACGTTATCGACTTTGTGAATGGCTCCTTATTCTTCTTGCATCGGTCTTAAGTCTGTATCCTACACCTTAAGAAGACAAAGATAGTACTGTAGTATTGCTTGGACACCGAATGCCCGCCTTTGTTAGGTGGTTTGAACAACTTTAGGCTGGAATGCCAAGGATAGAGAAACCATTTGAGTCGACTTGAATGAGTCGATTTATAGCGGGCCTACGTCAAAGGCGATATTACCAATTGCTGAGTGAGCTGTACTAACCCGTCCACTCCCTTACCCCGTCAGTAGCTGCAGAATTAGGGCTTCTGGATCTGCAAGAGGACTCGGCCGGCTGTCTAGATCTAGATCATCGAATACTCCGGTTGGATAGGTGCGACGTAGCATAGATATCAAGATTCGATTGGCTTCAGCTTTGAACAATAGGTGATGCCGGGATCGCGCTAGGTTTAATTAGAAATTAGACCAGCTCCCTTGACTGGCTGACAAAGGAGAGTAAGGGCGACGAGGTACAAGAAAATTGACGAAATGCCTCGGTATGTTGTCATACAAGATACCAATGATTTCAATTCCCGCCTGGGTAATGAGTAATCCGACCACCTACCCGTAACGTTGAGGTTAAGAAAAAAAGATAGTAGAAATCCTTGCTATCGGCCCTGTGGCGGTACAGAATTTGCTCTGCTAACTGCCTAAACGAGACATCAAACAGGGGGTGCTATCAGATCTATTGGTGAGAACAGCGAGCATGTCATTAGTAGGGTTTATTGTGCGTTTGATAGGCCTGCAAAACATTGCGGCCAAGCCGCAACATGGTTGAAATTAAGTTACCATCGTTGTCTTATCTTCAGTTCAATCGATGACCATGAAGCTGCCAAGCTGTCACATGAAAAGATGGTCGCTTCTCGAAGTGGTAAACTATAGTAAGGTGTTCTATGGCCTGGACTCGGAGGTTTTTTAGCCGCAATGGAGAGGCTGAGCGCGTCTCGTCGACCTGTCAATCAATAATCAATAATCATCAATGTACCTGAGATAAAACGCCAGCGGGATATGTGGGATCTTCCGCTGACAAGTCGCTGACGCATGCTTGACCCGCCTGACAAATCATGATGCGACGCAAAGACATATGGGATGCAAATTACGCATCTGGACAAAGCCTTTTTGGACCTAAGAAATGGCAATGTCAACAGAAGGAAATTCCAACTCCGAATACCTGGTAATTAGGACACGTGGATAATGCCAAGCCTTGCCGTCACCGCGCTTCCGCATATTGAGGGCCCTATCGATGATGACATATCCCGCCTTGAAGTGAGTACGAATATTCATAAAATACATTTCATATAGCTGTATTCTGGGGTGCGAAGGGAGATCGACTCTCGGTCCCGCAAATCTAGAGAAAGACCCGATGTCAAGGGTCCGTGATTCGATATTCTCTCTGCAGCATTGCGAAGGTATTTTGTGAACAGTTTCGGGTAGACGCAAGGAACCGCGGTGATATTTGCTAATCCCTTGGATGATAAGGACCAATCGCGATGTTGCTGCTGCGTATGGGTTTGAAGTCCGCCATGGGGAATACCTAGTTAATCGCTTGTACAGGTTGACTAATGTATTTGCTCACCATATTCCGGCGCTTGACGTCTCACGACACCCGTAATTCTAGAGTCGAACGGGAGACTGCTCACCTACGATATTCGGAGTTCTTGGCCCGTTAATACATGTAGCAGAATCGTAGAATATCCCATGTCGGAGTCTTGAAAGCCATGGATGGATGCGCTAAAGTCAGTAAGAGGAGTCGATGCCTGTACGGAGAATCCCCACTGAGGAATGAAGGTCATTCAATTCCCAAACGGGATACAATACTAGTAGACGGTTGTGTATCGTCCGATATGTTGACAGGGTCGTAAAGAACCGCTGGTTTTATCCATATTACCATCGACCTCCGGGCATAGCTGGTTTGGGATGACGAGCAAGGTTCTCGTGGGGTGCAAGGAAGAAAATAGAAGGTAGAAAAGGGAAAGAAATCAAGGAAAGCGACGAATCGCGAGAGGCCGCTAAGTGTTTGGGTACTAAGGTACTAGCTCGACCAAATCAACAGGGCCTTCCCCGGTCAATTTAGCGGACCGGATCGGGGGATTAATTGTTGCGGACCAGTAAACTTTAGCATCTACCCCCTACAAATGTAACTAACGTAGCACCCCTAGCGAGTCAGTACCGACATCATACCCCTTGTAAAAAAGATCCCTAAGTGCTTCTCTCTTTTGTTACATCCACCCTCATTCTTCCAACTGTCAACCAAATACCTCCATCTTCAGGATCCAGAACCTCGACCCTCTTTTTTCCTTTTGTCTCCTTCCCTGAACAGTATACTACAGTACCTATACATACTATCATGTATATTCACCTTCATATTGAGCCAAGCCTATACATCCATTCACTTGGGCTCGCCATGCAAGTAGCCTTCGCGCCCATGCTGCCATGCCACCTCGGCCACTTAAGCGAAAACCGTGCTTAATCAACCTAGTCGCTCAACGATCACGTCTCGTGAGAAGCCTGATGTTATGCCTTCGAGAGTAGTACTATATTCTCGTTGTCTCCAAAATGTAACTTCTGAAAATATGGCAAGCCTAAATGCTTGTAACCTGCCTCACCATAGCCGGTGAGGCCACCATGCCCCTGTCTGATATGGCTAGCCCGTCATGGGCACTCTATGGTAACTCCTTGACCGATGAACAATCCGGCCCCGTGCCGTATCAATACTTCCTCTTTGGGCATAGAGATTCATCCAAGTGTGGTTTTTTACTATTTACTATGCGGAAGCTTGACCACACCGGACATGTGCTTTGCCAAGGTGCACGATTATGGAAGCCCCCCAGTGGTATTGGGAACTATGATTTAATTCTACCTGCGCCCATTCATATTTTTCTCATTCGAGGACTGGATTACGTTTTGCTTAGGTATGCTTCGTCGTGAGTAAAAAGCCTGATCTTACTCAACGGTCCCTTTTCGGTCCCGATCTACCTACCTATAACGAAGACCCTACTGAGCGGGTACGCGTCCTTACGTCTGCTGGGGGTAGCTCTCCATTAGGTCGTGGTTATAAGACATACTCTCCTCGTCCACCTCTCTGCGACATACCAATAGCGTCGGTAGAGTAGAGTCTTCTTACTTGGCCATCATGACGTCGACATCTACTAGTTCAGCAGCTACCACATCGGCTTCAGCTGCTGCTGCCGCCGAAGCCGCTGAGGCTGCCTTCTTCGCGGCGCGGTTGAAGGTGAACACACAGGCTGTGATTCATTATGCTGCCTCACTGAGTGCCCTCATCGGCGTCTTCATTATTGCTCATTGGCTTCGTTTTATATTCGTCAAGGTCGGCTGGTCCCGTTCCAAAAACCCGATCCTGCTGCCCTTTCTCGCCGTAACAAGGTGAGTACGATAACTTGGGATATATATTGAAATATGAGTAATCTAATCAATCTGCTCTAGAATTACTAGAAGACTTTTCGTTCGAAGCTTCCCTGGGTTCACCTCAGTCGGACATGCCATCCTCGTGACCGTCTACGTAGCTATGAATGCGCTTTTCGGTTTCTATAATGTCGACTACAGCTCATATCCTAACTTGGCTGCTCGTCTTGGGTGGTACGTTCTTACACCACTACCTTTATCTTTTTCGCTAACATGCGATGTTATAGGATGGCGGCAGGAAATATGGTCTTCGTGGTTTTTCTTGCTCTGAAGAATACCCCACTTGCTATTCTTACATCCTACTCTTACGAGCGACTCAATGTCCTTCACCAAATTGCCGGGTACACTACCTTTGTGTGCGTTATTCTTCATGGGTCCATATATTGCGCCTACTTCACCGAGGAAGGGAGAACAGAAATTTTCCGCGAGGAAGTCGTCACAGCCGGTATAATTCTTGGGTTCGCCGTGCTTTTCACGACCCTAGCCGCCACGATCCTGAGACGACTCAACTATGAACTTTTCTATATCATCCACTTGGTCCTGTTCCTGCTAATTGTCGTCGCCATGGGTTTACACCGTCCTAGCTTTAAGGCCGAACAAACATTATACGCCACGGTCATACTTGCTGCATTGTGGTTCGGCGATCGCCTCATCCGATTCTGTCGGCTGGCTTATAACAGTATCAACAATGAAGCTACTGTCTATGCCCTACCCAATGGTGGCACTAGAATAGTGCTCAAGAAGCCCATCCCACGCGCTCGACCTGGAAAACATTGTTATGTCTGGCTCCCAAAAATACGCACCTTCGAAACGCATCCTTTTACCATCGTAGCTAACGACCCCATGGAGCTCATTATCAACACATACAGTGGTTTCACTCGGGATCTTCATAAGTATGCTACCCAGAATCCCGGGGCAAATCTAAAGGTCTCGGCCGAAGGTCCATACGGAACTTTACCCGATCCACTGGACTTTGACAAGGTTGTCTTGGTTGCTGGCGGTTCTGGCGCAACTTTCACATTTGGAATGGCCGCCGATACGCTACAGCGAATGTCCGAAGATTCTAGGCAGCGAATCGACTTCATCTGGTCCGTTAAGGGGCATGGTGAGTAACCATTTTCACCACTAGCTAATGTTGAAACGTGCTAATCGATGCTTAGAAAACATATCATGGTTTACGCATCATCTGGATAATCTTCGCAGCCACTTCCATGCCCCGAAAATTGCACTTAAGGTGCACGTTACTAGATTAACGCCCGCCTCTACGACCGCCCGTGGTGGATCCCTAGAACGCCACTCAGATTCGTCAGAGTCCTCGTCGCACATAGAGCCTTCGTCGTTAGAGAAGAGCGAAGAATCCGGAATCAGCGGGCCTTCGTCTTCTGCTGCCACGCGTTACGAATCCGATGGGGACGAGAAAAACGCGACACGGCAAGGTGATACTTCTTCGGTAGCAACAAGCATGACGGACTTGCCCATCATTCATGGCAGACCCGACACAGAATCAGAAATCAAAGCGGCGGTGCGATCGTTAGGTAAGAACCAGCGAGTCCTTATCGCCGCTTGCGGACCCGACAGCCTTACCAAAGTGGTACGCAACGTAGCTGCTAGCTGCATCAGCGTTGACGGCCCCGCGATCGAAGTTCACATCGAACAGTTCGGTTGGTAATTTATTTCATGAACGTCATGGGCTACGAATACCTTTACGTATAGGTGGGGCTTTTATGAGGTTTTTAGCACCATCGGCATCATTTTGGATTAGACGGCGTCTTCGGATATATCACTTCACTACAGCTTTCAACTAGGGATTGGAAAGGCGCCACAGGACACCGTCCATTATGATGATTGGTGTACTATAGATTTAGACACCTGTTTTACACAGTTTCAAATATACCGCATTAGTTATTATATAACGATCACATCATGCAAGACAGTGACAGTAGCATTATGTACGCCCAGGTCAGCCATCCCACGTACCTCCAATGCATGTATAGCCTACCTAATACCTTAGTAAGTCCGGCGGCTTGTCAATCGTGGATCAGGAACGATCAATCATATTCGTTGAGCACGTCTAAGCACGCCACCGCTTTGAAACATGGTATCCGTCCCTCCACACATGCCTTATTGGTAAAAAGTCTATGACCCCCCATGGCAACATTCAGCGCCACCAATCGGTCCGTGACCCGATTACCAATGACTTAGTTATAATAACTCAGCCTACTAGATCCTAGTCCCTAACAGACAAGAGCCGTTGTCGCAGTTACAATGTAGATTGAGTAGTATCAATCGGAGATCATTTTCCAGGGTTGGCGTATTGACTAGGCAGACCACCTGCTTACTTAGGAGGTACTTGCTTGTTAGTATGTCGCAGTAGAGGTTTTGATTTCAGACCTACATGCCTTACTACCCATACGTCTCAGATAACCACAACCACATGATTAATAATGCAGGAAGCTGGTAGCAATTTCTTATCAGATCATGCTAATGGAGTATTGCTTTACTACGAATCAGCAAATCGGAATGAAAAATTTTATTATACAAACTTCACCAATAGCATGTAAGGGAAGACCCCCGGTTCGCTACAGTATTTATGCGGCACAGAAAAAGATCTGGCGTCGGTAGTCATGTTGTGATGACGCCGAATAAGTCGTAACATGGACAAATGGGACTGCATATTCATGATTCCAGATCCCGCAATATTCTCGATTTGGACCTACCAAGTCGACATCATGAATATGTGCCTCATACTTGCCTACATATGTGTACGCACTCACCCCACACACAGCCACAAGCGCAACTCCAACATCTTCAGTATGTCTGAGAAGATGACGAGACAACGATCGGTCTGCATCAAAAGTAGATTTGCTTTCTGTTTCGACTTGCCCCCTTCCGTGTTACCCATCCCAATCCAAATTATCAGTAGGTTTATGCCCGACCGGATGTCCCCTCCCCCTGCCCTTGTTCGGCTGAAGAAGCTGACAGGATTATGATCCCAGCGCGACCCGTCCGCCTACCTACCTTTCTGTTCTGTCTAGATACCCTTCTAGGAAGAAGCAAAAAAGGGCAAAGTGGGGGTCATTGCCGTTTCTAGGGCATTCGAAATTTGCCCTAGCCCGCTTGCCTGCCTGCGTGGATAGATATGTTGCCGCTTAGATGACGCATGGGGCGTTCGCTTACATGTGCATCTTATCTGTACCACACAGTTAGCTACCAACCACCACGAGCGCAACAACCTATCGCGGTCTTCATCTCCCACCTCTCAGACGCCTATAACAGGATTGCGCGGACGATGAGACACGAAGCCTGCAGCGGGGTTATGTACGTGGCAGGTGCCGACGTCGGGGCCCGAATCTTGTGTAGCCCGAGGCAGGCGTTTGTTCGAAGTCCGTAGGAAGGCGAGAAGGGGCGCGCGGTCGGCTACGTGTGGGGTTCCCCCTTTGCGACCCGAGTCTTCCGGCGGGAAGGAGCTGCGGTACCTACCTTAGTATGTTTCTCCTTGCAAATCCGATATTTTTTACGCGTATAGTCAGCTGAATGATTTCAGCCAAGACACATTTTCATTGTGCTAAGAATTACTAGTATTGAAGATTTTTTTTCAGGGTAGTTACCCCTCGATAAGCCCCCCGCGCAATCTTTGATATCCCCTCATCCAAGGTGCAAGATGCTAGCTAGCGATGACGCGGATTTACAACGATCTGAGTTTGCTGTTTGACGCAGTTAACGTGATAGTGACTTAGACCCCTGCCACCGGCGGCCTCCCTATTCATTCAAGAGATTGAGGCGAGTGATACTAGGTCTGTTATAAGAGACATATCTCTTGCGCCTCTTATCCCTTGATACCAGCGACAACTTGATTCGCCCTGCGCCATTACGCCGGTTTCTTGGCAAGCCACGCTTGTTTGGATCGATGATTGTCCTTAACAGACAACTTAACAGCTATCCTAACACTGATTGAAGCCAAGTAAAAGGACTTTTGAATATCTGGTTTGTCTTGTGCGACAGCCGACTCTCGGCCTGTCAGCGAGACGCGTCAGACCGTGCGAAGTGGCTGCTGAGCCAAGAAATCCTCTAGGCTTTTTCCTACTCATATGTCGGTGATGGTGCTTCGAAATCTCATCCCCTTACTCCTTTCGCGGTGTTTGCGGTTGAACGGAATTGAGAACTATCCACACCTCCGATGTATAGTGCCGTCTCGATGACATCACGCTAGTTTGGGACAGCCCCAACCTCGAAGGTTCGCCGTTAGATGAGATTTCGATTGCTGAGTATGTCGGATATCAATCACAACTACGTGAGCTACAGTTTGAATCGTTTCGCTTATGAAGAAAAAAATTTAGTTGAAGTGGGATTAGGGTAAAATGCCTGGGAGTTTCGAGTCGTAGGCTCTTTAGCAGTTAATTTGATGTAACCAACACTCCTTTTGCTCGAGTAAGTAACTTCCATTCATTTCATTGTTATTCATCTACACTCAATCGCATCATAGGTTCATAGTCCCCTACTATATACCTAAACCATGGTTCTCTTAACATCGCAGCGATATTTAAGCTCTAGATACCATATTCGGCTTCATATAGTGTGAAATAGTAGCTCATCAATCCCTAGGTGCCTTCTACAAGACCCGAGGAACTATTCATAAGTTAAAATCCCCGCGCAACTTAGCCCAGACGTACTCATCGTCTAACTCGGGCTTCCAAAGATGCCAGGGTGCTATGTACCGAAAGCCGTCTCTTTGGATTGACAATAGCTGCATGAAAAGCTTCCTCATGCCATCACCCCGCCGTATTTTTCTATATTTTTCTGCCGATAGCTTCCCAAGGCTATAGCTGTATGTTGCATAGTCAATAACATTGGCTGCGATCCCAGCCGCGATAGGGGTGGCGAACGAAGTTCCAGACTTATAGACGATATTGTTGCCCCAAGAACACGGGATACAGAGGCCTAGAGTAGCAAAATTGTCTCCCCAGATGTCTACTGGGGGGTTCATCCCACCTGTGTTGTTTCCGAGCCCATCCGTAGCGTGCACACATATGACGCGGGGGTCGCTGGCTGGGTAGGTCCTCTGGGCATTTCCCCCTGAGTTGGAGGCAGCGGCGAAGAGCAGTTTGCCAGCAGAATAGGCAATCCGAATGGCCTCGTCGATTTCGCCAAAACTTTCAAATTGATCGGAAGGCTGAGGAAGGCCAAAAGACATAGTGATGATGTCGCAGTCCATTTCTACCGCCCATTTTATTGCCTATTGGAGTTAGGAAGAGGACTTGCAAATGACTAGGTAGCGTCGGGCGGACATTGTCGGGTGGGATGGATACTCACATTCGCGATTTGGCTCGTCGTTGGCGAAGATAGCATGTGGGATATTTTAGCGATGTAGAGGTTCGCCTGAGGAGCGACCTGAAGGAGAATCTCTGCTACGTGTGTGCCATGGCCTTTGGCATCTTTTACTGACTCGTCTAGGAATGACTTCGTCGCCCTTACGGGATCTATATCGGCCCTTAAGCCTACACCTCTGCGCCCATCCTGTATTTCTTCTCGTCTTGTTTTGAATCCAAGCTGGTGCTCGTCTAGGCCCGTGTCTAAGACCGCGATCTTTACTCTGATATCAGATTGACAGCTGCTCATATACTTCTCGTGAAAGCCTTCGATACGATGGAAGAACTCCTTAACGCTCTCAATCTTGCTAAAGTACCCACCATTAGCTTACGCCTTACATTGACTATTCTGATTCGCTTACCTGTCGGTGCTTACTTTAAGCTCATCTCTTTCATCGAACAGTTGAAGTTTGTCCGGATGGGGATCTTCCAATAGTTTTCTCTGTCGATTGTAGACCCCGATCGCTCCTAGACGCGATTCCAACTTGTCGCCGTCTAAGTTCCCAGTAGGCGCCAGTGGTTGACGGTACGTGGACGCATTGTGCGTACAATCCGAGATCGTTGAAGGTCCTAGAGGGGTTGAAGTATCCCGATCCCGCGATATAGGGATTGCCGGCACCGTAGCTGGTAGGTGAATCGAAGACGATAGCGTATTGCGATTACTGCCCCCATTTCGCCCCCTTGGCGCCCCGGGACCTCCCCCATTTGGTGCCCGCACCCATAACGCTAGTTCTTCAACCGGCGTTCCACGCCATTTCGAAATGGTCATGACGGGGCTATAGCCTACTAACATTGTCTTGACAACCACGGTTGATCCTTTACTTCTAAGCCTCTCCATGAACCGTATCAATTCTATTGGCCATGAGTATGACAGGGAGTTGCACCGAAAATCCGAGGCTTCCACGATAGCCTCGTTGTCAATGATCAGGTAAACATATCTCAAGCCAGCTAAAGCTAGCTCCAGTATATAGAACCAATCTTCCATGTTTGTTGCGTATTGAACCGTATCCTGTATTTTTGAGGAATGAGGCTTATTGAGATTCTCCTGTGGTGTTCGTAGCGCCTGGAGAATCAAATTCTTCATTATGTCGATGGGGCTTAAATTATCTTCGAAGCTGCCACTGTTTTCAAGTGTGACTGGCCTCAGTACCCAAAGTACGGGATAATCTTTTTCCTGCATGCACTCTATCACATCTATTATCAATTTCCTCATTTCGAGCCGTGACTCGTGATGAAACTGGATCATAAGCAGCGATGATGTCGTTTTTAATGACCACTCATTTAGCGCTGGCGTTATCCACTCGTAGCCGTTGGAAATGGCACGATTTTTCTTTAAAGTTGCCGCCCAACTTCGCAGGGAAGTGTACGGGTCTGGGAGGGGAAGCCGCAGATTTAAGAATGTTTCTGAGTGATCGAGTCCATTAGCATGATTGAGGCTACTAGATATATCTTGGGACATAATAACGAATAACTCGTGTTCACCAGTCCTCCTATCGTAACTTCAGATCGAGGGCTAAATGGACTCTCCTAATCCAGCGTCAGCAATGGCTCCCAGATATCCCCCGCCAAGTACCTTAAATGCAATACCTACCTACCTAGGCAGTAGGTAGGTAGGGTTAAGGGCGTACGAGTCTAACTCTGCTAGTGCTGAGATTTGCTTATGCCGCCACTTGTCCACCCAAGTGCGGCTTCGGCTCCAAACCAGGGTGCCCATGCATCTATCTACGGGCGCCTATCGGTACCGTTCAGCTTACATTCCTGGCATACTATTAAATTTCCACTGTATCATATCTCATACGACAGGGCTGTGGAGAGACTTTGATCCCATTCAGACCCGCCGTGGTTATTACGAGAGGCTATATTATTGTCGGCATTGTGCTATTTTCCGTACGAATGGACAAAAGTAAAATCGTATGAGCTTGAACTATTACTCGAAATTCAATGCCTCATACTCCTCCAGCAAGAGGGCTGCCGCCACAGCCAAATGGCCGAAAGAATATGGACGACTACGCTCGACAATCACAAGAGATGATAAGATCTCAACAAGAGATTAGAAATAGATTATCACGAAAACGAGCGCATCAACTGAACCAAGACGCCCCAGCCTGGGGTCATTTGAAGCACGATACAATATCCCAAGACAGATCCGGAGATAGCAACCATAGCCAGGAACTGCTTGTTGCGTTGGAGAAGCCGCAGAGTCCGCCTTTCGAGGAAACAAGTGACGAGAATGAAGTCGATGAAGATATACAGAATTTACCAAATCCTATCTTCAATATAACCGAAGCGGTAAGGCCTACCCAATCTGATGCAGTACTGTTTGCTCACCTAGATGACAAGTCTCCGCCACCAGCACCCCGACAGGGGTTGGAGCTGGGAGCTAAACCTTTCCAGGAACGAGGCCTCTCTAAGCGTTCATACTCGAATACTCAGCTTGATATAGAGAGCGTGTCTAAATCCTTCGGTGATCCGGCCAGTTCAACAAACGTAGAGGGTGACTTATTTCAAAAGCTCAAACATCTTCTTGAGACTGAAACTCAGCGCCGAGAGAACGATGAGACGACTTCCGTGAGTACTCTATCATGGATAACGCTTTACCGACTCGGAGACAGCATCTCGCTGAATGAGCCATCTTGGGCATTGACGGACGATGGATCAAAGACGTTAAGGGCCGAAAAGCCATTGGCGAATGTCTCCCGTTATTTGGATAGACATCCAGAGGTGGTCTTCGTCGTATATCAGGATTATCCAATTCTTGACTCCAGAGACTCGAGCACGAAAGAGGAGGACGAAGAGGAAGGGGAGGAAATATTGCATGCCCCAAAACCGTCACACGAGTGTATAACTTTGAGTTCGCGCTATATGATAGAGGCTGTCAGAGCCTTCACTAAAGCTCAGCCGGATTCCAAATCCAGGTTCCCTCATTTTGACCCAGCCGATGAGATTGCAGCCCCTTATCTATTCTGGTACTATGGTCGGCATTCATACCCTAAAATCCGGGAGGCCCTCCTGCCAGGTCAGCAGAGATTGCTAGACTTCCTATCACTGTGGATTGAGGACTACTATAAGCAAGAGTATATGGAAGTAGAGAGTCATTTAGCCGACGGTCTTATATCTCACAAGCTGATGGAGTACTTGATTTGCCCTGGAGACGTCTTGGTATCGAACCAGAAGAATTCCCTAGAAGCGTATATAGGCACTACATGGCCCCAGACAGATCTACGGCGTAATCTACCACAGCAGCCCCTTAACGGGAAAGCCCGCCAGAAACCTGACTCTTTAGAGCTGCGGCATCGAAAGCGCAAAGTCGTTTTAAGCGTCGAAGGTTGGTGTTGGGAATACGACGGCACTTTTCGGAGTAGTGAGAAGGCTCTTGAATTTACTTATTGGACATCGAGCCCTGATGAAAAGCTCAAGATAACAGATTTAGAAATTTTCCCACTTAAATACGCAACGGAGACAATACGGGCAGCTTTACAGCGGAGAGGAGAAACATACTGGAAATGCCGAGGACAGAAGTTAGTTGACTACCAGTCAGAACCAAAGGACGTAAGTAAACTCGCACGATTTATTGCACATCTGATAGGTTAAAACTGACAAAAGGGAAGGAAATGGAGAGATACATGATAGACTACAAGACGTACGAGATGCTACATAAGGACTCCATATACGGGGGGCGCACTTCCACGGAAGAGAACCGCGCAATCCACGAGGTCATTGGACCTGAAGGTGATGAAATCTATATTTTCCCTCAGACGGTTAAGGCTTACAATCTTCGGCGGAAGAAATGGGGTAAGAGTGGATTTCCTTCGCATCTCTATCCAGAATCGATTGTTGTCGAAGAGCGGCGGGCTAACGATAACCATTCTATTAGTGGACCTTAAGGTAGACAAAATCAAAGAAGTCGTATGGAACAAGAAGGCCTTCGATAAGTTAGTAGTCGACAAGGATACCAAGGAGCTTATCCAAGCCTTAGTTACCACACATTTGCAGGACGAACAAGGCGCTGACCTGGTTAGTGGTAAGGGTAATGGCCTTATACTCCTCCTTCACGGTGGCCCTGGAACTGGCAAGACATTCACAGCCGAAACAGTCGCCGAATTAGCTGAAAAGCCACTCTATCGCGTGACGTGTGGCGACATCGGTACCAAGCCAGAGGATGTAGAGAAGTATCTCGAGTCGGTTCTTCATTTGGGCCATATCTGGGGATGCGTCGTTCTTCTAGACGAGGCCGACGTTTTTCTAGAAGAACGAGTACATTCAAATCTTGATCGCAACGCCCTGGTATCTGTTTTCCTACGTGTTCTGGAATATTATGACGGTATCTTAATACTTACGTCCAATCGCGTCGGCACATTCGATGAGGCATTTAAATCGCGCATTCAGCTAGCCCTGAAGTATGATAACTTGGGTGTCTCTCAGCGTCGACAAATCTGGTCGAACTTTTTCGAGCACTACGAAGAGATGGGAAACGGCTCTATGAATTTCATCAGCATCAAAGCCCAAGTTGACGAGCTAGCCAAATATAAGATGAACGGTCGGCAAATTCGGAACGCCATTACCACGGCAAGGCAGTTAGCGCGGTATCGCGGGGAGGTCATGAACTATTCCCATTTGCAGCATGTTATTAGGGTATCACAGAACTTCGAAACATACCTTGACAATTTGAGGGAAGGTGTGAACAGCGATGATGTCTTCCATGGGGCTGGGATCCGATAAGGTGGGGGTTAGAATGATTGTATCGTTCAATATACTACGTAATGTGGCTTTATTAAAGAGCGAATGAGAAGACGTGTTCCCAAGAGTAGTCAGACATAGCCCCCCAATGTCCTAAGCCACGTTAACTTATCTGGCCAGTCGACATCCGTGATAAGGTTATAGATAAACTTGTATGTTCCATAGCGGTGTGCGTATGGCATAATCTCAAAGTGTACATTGGGCAGATCGGGTTATATGTGGTGAAGGTGGCTGTCGCAACAGTTGAACGCATAACCTCGAAGATGTGCTACACGCGACCAAATATCACCAAATGAATAAGGCAGGATGAGTTTATTGCCAAACTAATAACATTAAAGGCCTTTGCTGACTATCCCGTTGACACTAATTACATCGCACGAGATGGTTAGGGCGTACATCGTCGCCCCGGATTTCTCGACAGCCCCACCACCCGACGGTCCTGTCGAACTCGGCCACATCCTAAAAAACGTTTTCGAGTTTTCTCCCTTAAACGAAGGCCAAAGAATCGATATCCCAAACCGACTGCCAATTGACGAGAAACGAGGCTTTAAGACAACCCGCTCCAAAATCCTCGGCGGGACCTTTGGTGTTTTCGCCGAGGTACTAGCCATTCTAGGCTTTGGCATTGAGGCTCACGCCGAATACAAAAGAGAGGCGGATGACGTCCTCTCCATAGACCGTCTAGAAACCCTCGCCTTTAACCCGACCGATGAATACGTGAAGAAGAGCATGGAAACGGATGGAGTCAAGATATATACAAATGCTACAAAGAATAAGAAACCTGTCTTTATGATCACGGGAATAAAGATTGCTCGTGGGGCATCACTTGAGACCAAACGGTCCACCACGGTAGGTGGAAGACTCAAGTTAGGATTCAGCGCGCCCGGTATGCCTGGGGATATCGGACCTGAAGCTGGCTTGACGAAAGGCCAGTCGGTTGGAGAGTCCTTTGAGGGTTCGACAGACTTCATCCTCGCGATACGAGTAAGGCAAATCAAGTACAAGAAAGCGGAGATTGTGCACGACGTCTATTATAGAGGGGCGACGATGATGGATGGGAAAACTGGGCAAGAGTATGAACTTGAGGATCTTGGCGAGGAGTTTGCGATAGAGGATCTACGTTTGAAATGTGATATTACCAAAATGGAAGGGGAAACAGGCAAAGACGAGATCGAATCCGTGTGGATACCTACCACATGCCTTTAACTATATGGCTAGGTCTTTGTCACTACTAACGTGACTTGGGTGACGAAGTAGCGCCCTAACGATGACCTGAAAACATAAGCTCTAGGTATGTACCTGGGTATTCAAGGGCTTACCCAGGAAGAAATTAAGATTTAGCAAACAGCCAATAACCATCGCGAACATCGACCTTTCGGGAAGGCCTCGAAACTTAAATTCCGATATACCCCGCTTTTGCCCCATTTTCACATGCATGACCCCATCACCATAGCTCAAATTAATGGGGTATTTGTTCTGATGCAGCCCAAATTATAATGTTGGGTTTTTTGAAAGACTGCATATAAAAAGGATGGCTTCCAACGCAGTTGTGGGATATATATATTTTAAAATGAGTCTCTATTAATACATGTAACTGAATAAATCCTAAATACAACACCTTCGCTTGGTTTTACACGACCCGCCCTTCCTTTGACCTCATGTCCCTTATCTCCCTCATCTCATCCTAAAAATAACAGGCGTGTTAGAGACCCCAAAATATACACGATCATCGCCTTCAAGGCTTACCTCGGTCAGAATACGTGGTACATTAACCACATAATACCCATCGGTTATCTGAAAAACGCAGTCAGCTTGCGAAAAGATCATTTGCCATCGGCTCGACTCACATCTATTGCACACGATACGCCAGGAAATAGTTCGTCTAGGTGACTCTGTGGGGCACCTTGGCTCGACCTGTACGTTGGTATGAAGGACTTAGGCATTTTAAATAGTCCGATTGTACTTGGGCGAAATCCCCTTCGATGGTTGTTTGTTGTTTGAGTTTCGGGGTTGGTTACGTACGCGTCGAAAGATTATAAGTGGTGGATAAACCGCAGCAGGCAGTCGGCCAATCCAGCAAGGGACAGACACATTTATGAATGCGAGATTCGCCATGAGGTCTCGCACCGCTCGCACTGCCACGCTAGGTTCGAGATCGTTCACTTCTTGAGACCAGACCACCAATACGAAAAGAAGATTGGCCGAAAAGTAAGCCGATATTGGGTAGCGTTTTTCTTTTTGTCTCGGAATGACGATGTAGAAAAAAGACAACGCCTCTCACCTTTTCCTTTTTTGTTACCTAGGTATGTCTCGCCGTCCCCAACCGATTATAAACGGGGTTTTCGAATTACTACGCCTTGCGAAAGAAGAGTTGCTAGGTTCGTCCGGTCGCTTCGACTTGAAATGGTAATATTCCCGCAAAAGAGCAAATTATGTCCAAGATGAGTTTCATCAATTACGTGCCATACCAATACTTTTGTGTCTGAGGGTTAACCGTATTGGATGGCTGAGCTCGAGATCAGTAACGCTGATCTAGTTGAAGGTTCCGCGTGTCCACTCATCAAGCTACGTCGACTACTTTCGGCGGCTGCCCTGAAAAAAGAAACTACAGGCTCATCGTAGTGATACCTAGATACAATTCGGCTGGTACTCTCAGCGTTAGCATAACCCTACATCCATTAGGTGAATAGTAACATGCAATCACTTACTAGTTTTCAGCATAGTATATAGGCAACTCCTTCTCCATGGACCCCTCTCCAAAAAGGATGAATTGGATAGAAAACTTGGTAATATCTAGGTTATTGTCTTCTATGTGTTTGGATAGGCTTTTGATTTGTTCATGGAGTTGGCACGTAGAGGAGTCCCAGTTTCCATCTGTTAATATAAAGAGAGTGGCAGATTGAGAATTACACACGATCTTGGTCACTAATTCACCAAGGCAGTAATTCAAGTCAGTCTCATTGGAATCGAATATTAGATCCCAAACTTCCTTTTCCAAGTTTTTGGTCTTGTTTGTCGATACGGTAATATCATTGGAAGCACTTTTTACTAGGACAGGTATATTTTTTGGCGTAATTTGTTTGGCGATTTTTCCGAATACGCGTATTGTTTTGCAAACGGCATCCTTGTTGTGTCTCATAGAAATCGTATCATCAATCAAAAATATCTGCACTATTAATCATCTTAATCTGCTAATAGCCTTATGGGGAAGGAGGCCACTCACTTGTTCAGTTCGTTGAAGATGCCTGTCCTCTTTCTGGATGCTTGGAGACTCATTCTGCTTGAAGCTCGGCGACACATGAAGGTACTTGGATCGAAACCTAGATCCTTGAATTTGCAACTTTTCGTATAAAAAAGCAATATTTTCGACATCTTCCATTCGTATAGAGCTAGATCCGGTATGTTGTACTTGTTCCGGCACAGCTGAAATCTCTGGAGAGCCACTTTGCTGCTGACTCTCACGCGGCTCTGAGCCGGATATATCCGGTAGATTAATCAAAGGTAGCTCAATCGGTCCCAGCTGGTTGACGCCTCCACGCATATGCCAACGATTCAGAAGTTGGTGAGCGTCAAGACGATTAGATTCTGGTTGGAGCATGTGATTTAGAACGATATCGTCAACTTGATGAAATATTTCATCAGCCCCTTGTTCTGGGTCCCTAATGCAAACCTGATGCATTTGATCGACAGCCTTGAGGCGTGCAGTCGCGTCGTGGAAGCAAGCGCCATAGCCTGCTGCGTCTAGTCTAGTATCTTTAGTTTGCTCGCACCTCTTCTCCCAGTACTGGTTTATCCCAGCTTCGCCTCTCAAACTCCACACTAGAGTCTCGCTGAAAACCGCGCCTATAGACCATATGTCTGCTTTTGGGCCTACTCTGTCGTGTGAAATGCCTCTCCTTCCGTCGATATCGCAACACTCCGGTGCAGCTGGGGATGGTTAAATTAATTAGGCGCACGGGGCTAATGTATTTTAAACTCACAATACATCTTATTTGCCCCGTTGTCCCTGCCCCCTTGATCATTATCCTTTTCGTTCACCACTCTAGTGTGACTGCGACCAAAATCGGTAAGTTTGAAAAGCGATGGAGGACCCGACCCAGACTTCCTTTCGCCTTCGTAGAATAAGAGGATGTTTTCCGGTTTGATATCTTGGTGAATTCTATGATATACTTAGCATTAAAGATATTATATTCGGGCAAGTAGCTAACCCCATCAAGCGAACTCCTTCATATGCTTGTACAAGGCCATCATTTCACCCAGTGCACTATGATACATGAGCATTCAATGTGATTAAGATCCTCCTTGATAGCTTACCTAGCTAGTCGTTGCCCTTCGGATTCTCGCTCCTTGGCATTGTTATGAATCATCGCGATGGCATCTAGTAGACCAAAGATTTGCTGCCAAAACTCCGTACATCCCGACGACTCGAGCCCCTTTGAGTTGTCTTTAAAATACTGCTTCAGAGTCTCCCCATTAGCGTACTCAATAACGAGCGTTGCTTTGGATCCTTGTCGGAACGACCAGTAGTATCTAGGTATGTTGCGAAATGGGCTGCGTCCGGGATCTGGGCCACTACGCTTTATTTCTTCCTCTTTGTCGTGAAGAACTCTATACGTTTCGGTTTCACTCTCCCATAGCCGCCACACATCATCACACTTTTCGAACCCTTCGTATTCTTTAAGTACTGCAAGTTTCTAGACATCCATCTAGTTAGTAACTTGGGAGTTGGGTAAAAGAGTGGGGGTACTCACAGCTCTGCCCCTGAGCAACATTCATGTATCTTAGCTTTCCATACGGTACAGCCATCCCCGCCGTTTGTATTCTCGATCTGATCGATTTTGTCGATTGGAACAACAACCCTAGGCTTCAGTCGTCGCCTGTGTCGGACATTTTCGAACATGAATGGGCAAAATGGCCATTGCACTTCACAAAAGAAGTCTTTGAACCGCCCTATGCCATCGCATTTCAGCGGAAAATGTTCAGGGTCTAGGGGCAGGTGCGCATCGTTCAGTCCCTCCTCTGTAAAACGATGTATCATATCAGGTTCTCCAATCCACACAAGAATGGATAATAAGCGTAGGCATTTATCGCGAACCTCCTCTGTGCTGACGTTTGATCCACCGTTAAATAGGTTATTGAGTGTGCGGCTGATCCTCGGGGTCGTCCAATATTCTTGTAATTTGTGGTAGCAGATATATCTGGCATTAGATTCAACTTGGAGGTGGCCACTGCCACCATCACTAATTGCCTCTATTTTTTGGCGTAGCTGAACTCCGTCGAGCTGAGATTTCTAAACGGCCAATAACGGAGCAAAGACACGCGAGATGTTCACGATGTCTTGGAATCTAAGATACTATCCATGCCTATGACATAGTCTGCCAAGCCAGGGTCCATTATACAATGACATCGAGGCTTCTTCCCATTGGTTGGGCGCACGACACGCCACGCGCAACCGGTATAGAAGACCGGTCAAACCCATATTATAAGCTTACCGCACCTGTCCATTTTGCGTTAGATTTAACTACTAGGTAGCTTCCGCTGTCTAGGTAGTTAAATTCAGCTACGAAAGATTATTAAGGCCGGTTGAGTTGAGACCAATGTAGGTAGGTAAACATATATATCTCTTGTTGCTGTTGCCTAGAGTGATAGGGCTTGTTGAGTAATTTTAACCTTGCCCCGCAAAAGCAAAACCAGTCCGTTATCCACATACACTCAAATGTGATGAGAAATTTCATTCGGCATGCTATATTTACATGAAACAGTATACTTTAAAGGATCACGATAATCGCCAAATTCATCAGCCTTACACATCGATCTGTGGAACGATCTTTGAAAAACTTAAGTATGCCTCGGTCCGCCTTTTCATATCCTTTTTAGTAGAAGAATTGCTTTTTCTACCTAAATATTCCTACGATCCCCTAACATGGCGACACAAGATGGGAATCATACGCTAGCACATTCCGTCACTTTTTCCGACTATCACCTTCGTAAGGACGTTCTTGTAGCCTTCCTCCGTTGGCGTTTTCAAGATGACAATATCAATGTCGAGGTGAGTCAAACTTCTAACTTTAGACGTACTGTTATACTAATTCCATAGAAACCAGTGGGGGCATCGCATTTCAACAGCTGGCTTCCTAGAGGACTAGAGAGGATGTACGTTCGCCATCCATGCATTACTCTTTCTATGCTAGTGTTTAACCAGATAGCGGAATTAGGCAGATAACAATGCTGTTAAAAAACTACGAGACAGGACTTCTTTTGATCCTAAACAAGTGCAGGCAGAGTTCGGCTAAAACCTGGTTTGCTTTTTCTTTCATTCGGCGTGCCCTAACAGCCGAGGCTTTCTTATTTGGTGGACATTAGCAATATGCAGGCAGCCGAACATCGCCTTCCCTAAACTGAAATAGAGGCGGGTTGGCTCCCATAGCATTTTAAATGATAAGTCTATTGTATATCGCCATTGGTAAGGATATTCGCCAATAGCGTCTGTGTTTAGTAGTAATCGACTTGCATCGGATAAGAATCATCTTGTAGACCTGTACTACTGTGCTCCCGCAGCCTACGTACTGTATGATCAGTAATCCTATGGCGAACCTGGCGTTTTCTCGGCATCAGCGTACCTAGGTAACCTACCTAGATAGGCACCTCCCCTTCGGTGACGCCACGTGGAATTCTGTGTTCAGGCACTCTTGAACGCCCATAAAACATAATCAACAGATATCAAGCTTAAGTTCTACATAAAGTATGCCAATTTGTCGTCAATGAAATACTACGAAACTAGGTATGTATTAGTCTCCCTGTGGCATCAATGGATGAAGACGACTGGCTAGAAGCTGCCTGTGAACAAGCGGCTAAGTATCCGACCGAGAAAACATATCAAGCATCCGATGTACCACCAAGCGTGAGGGGAAACTATCTTTACCGACTCTGGGACAATCAGGGTCTTCTTTTCGACGGCCGTCGTCCATCATTGGTATTTGTAGAGAAGGCGCGAAAAGATGAAAGTGAGTGTCTCAACGACACAACTTCGCGATCTCCTGTTGATAATCTGATAGCTTATAGCACGAAAAATGTGCACAAATACAAAGATCTGCAGGAACATCTTTCTATGCGGAAAGATCCGGACTGCAGACATGTGTACGTGATTTTTAAAATATGCATAATTGGCGTCTACTCACTTGACGCTATAGATTCATCGAGGCCAACAATTCGAGAGCCCCCATGAACTGTACGCTACCTATGCTACAGCTTCTATTGACTTTCCTCCAAGTGAACCCAATTTTCTTGGATTCTATGCATGCTTTTGGCGACCACATGGACGCAGTGGATGCACCTCTGTGTCAATTCCAATTTGACAGCCACGCCTGTGGGGGACTCCGGGTGATAAAACTAGGCCGCTCAGGCAGTCAATTGCGCCATACATACCTTCTACGCTCTCCAGAAAAAAGATAAAGAGGCTAAACATCCTTGGTCCATTCGGCAAACCGCTGTCTATCACGCATTCGATCTGGAGACCGGTCGAGCATTCTGGATCAGCATTAAGAGCAACAACATACAAGACGCCATAAAAATAGATACGGCAGGGTACCAAGGGCAAGATTCTATAGCCCAACCTTTCCTCTTTACATTAAAGACTCACCTGGTGTATATCCGATGGTGTCAAGAAAGCTGGCCCTGGTTCGTCCGTGATCTTGAAAATGAGGTCCGCAATACACTGATTCGGGCTCGGACAACCCCTGTTGGTCGGGAGCCATATTTCGACGATGATGAATATGCCTATGGCGGTGCCAATGACCAGAACGTCGCCGGCCACCGTAGAAGATGTATGAGTGGTAGTCTTGCTGTGTTGAAATCGACATTGAAGAAAGCTGGCCTTCCTCTGATCCGTATTCATAGTAACGGAGAATACTCAAATGAGCAGTCAAATACCCGCCAACTTTGGAGATCTGGCACTGCTAGACACTGGCCTGGTCCTTCACGGATATTAAAAAGTTTCAATTTTGAAGACCTCCAACGGCTCAATATCATCGGAGAGAGGATACAAGAAGCAGTTCTAGTTATAAAACTAGATTCCAAGGCCTTAGCTGAGCTTCGGATGTACTACCAAAACTTAAAGGGACAGAGCGAATTTCCTGAAGAATGCTCCAAACATCTACCTCCTTTTCTGGAAAAGGTCCAATCAGCCGTTGATTGCATGGAGACACGGAGGATACAGCTTGAGTCACTAACCCAAAGACTTGAGGAAGGGAAGAGGCTAGTGAGTGAATACTCTGATCCAACATTCTCCTGTTTTGCTAATACTCTAAGTATGAGAACATTCTCTAATACAAGAATTTGGAAATGAGCAGAGTGTACGCCGAAGAAGCGAAACAAACCGCAACACATATGGAAAAGATCGCGTTTCGATCAGCAAACGAGACATCTTCAATGCATATCATCACCATAGTCACTCTTATATTCCTCCCGGGGACATTCGTCGCGGTATGTAAACGCCATACACCTAAACAAAACATCCCACAGCTAATTTCTCGTAGACGTTCTTTCAAAGCGGTGTACTGCAATGGCAAGATGCGGGTTACATCCAGGAAAATTGGCTATTCCGACCTGCGATCTTCCACCTCTTTCTAGCGATCTGCCTACCACTAATGTTCGTGATTTTTCTGGCTTGGTCCTTGACTTCATGCTATGGGGAGCGAAGATATAGGCAACACGTATTCAACAATACGGAAAGTACTCACCCAGGAAAACGGCGGCTCGAGTGCTAAATACCTAGGTTTTGGAGGTTTTGCTTCTGTGTTTCATTGTTTGAGATAGTTTCTTTTTAATATACGCACGTTTTGATTCGAGAAGTCTTCAACTATGAATATAGAACCCTTTGCGAAAGGGAGCGCTGTAACTTCGAGCCGGAAAATTTAGTCCACCAATCAAATTGCGAGATGTTGATCGATGTAGTAATTGGTACAGTATCTTAGGTGTATGAGCCCCGATAACCACAACGTTCAGGCAGGGTGCCCGCCGTCTGGAGCCCACATCCCTTGCTCAAGAGCATGAATCAAGTATTAGACCATTCTCTCCGATATAATTAACTCGAACATCTATTCGCATCGTTACAAGTAAAAGCAAATTCCGATATTTTTCTACGTCGATGGCTCAATAAGAGCTAGTCAGACAACTCATAAGTTCATATAGCCCTATAATTACGAGGCGTTACCGCTCTTCCGCTATGACTTAGCGAGTACTATTAGCTAACAAAGTCGCTATTTCTTATTTTTTTCAGGCAGCCATGCGCTGTGGCCTACTAAATCCACAGCAACCTTAGGCTCGGCGCTACACCTCCTGTACCTACAGTGGGTCGAAAAAAGTGTCGTATAATCGTCATTTTTACACCAAAACTCATCAACTTTACAACGTAATAATTCATAATATTTATATAGCAATCATACCTCAAACTTTATATATACCTGCTATAGTAGTAAGAAATAAATTTGATAGCTTTTTAGATTTTTAGAATTTTTTTTAAAGAAAATAAAACCATTTTAATATAAAATATTAATATAAATATTATACCTTATTTTTAACATAACGTTTTTTATATAATTTATAAACTTTTATTATTTTAAAAAACTATACAATATATAAAAATAGTTAAAACAATTTATTAAATTTTATTTCAATTTTTAAAGATAGTATTGATTAAGTTATTAAGGTATAAAATCGCATAAGTTATTGAAGGAAGAAAAAAAGTTGTACGACACTTTTTTCTACCCACTGTAGGTAGGTAATTATAGCACATCGCCCACTGACATTCGGTACCCCGCACCATTAAGATGGCCGGGGGGATGAGGGGCATAGGGGACTCTACTTAACCAGACCCACGAGGCTCAATGCTCAGCATAAAACGTTTAAGGATTACCAAGAGTGCCTACTTAGGTGCTTGATGAACACCTCGCGGCCTTGTAAATCGATTCTTATTTTTTATTTTAAAAAAATAGACAAACAGGTGCGTCGAAGCGGTTGATATCTGCTGTCTTCTGTTAGGTGTGTCTCGGTTGGTCGCATCTCTCCCCTAAAGAGCCGTCGCAGGCTAGGCTTTTAGCGGAGTCGGGGCGCTAAAGCAGCGCAGCTGTAGGGCCAGGGCGCCAGGCTACACCATCTCACGCATTTTAAAGCCACAACATACTTCATTCACACCATCAATTCATATCCAACAGACTAAGCTGTCCTGCCTACCTAGTTCTAAACACAACTAGGCACCTGATTCATCCTTTAATCGCTTCATGGGTCTTCGTGTATACCGCAAGCGATAACCCCCCTCCAATCCCTTCCATCCATCCTTTTTCCTTACCCGCTATAAATACAGGTTCGCCTCGCTACATCGTTCCCAAATCCAAGTCCTAAATCCAATAAAATATTGCGCGGTGATATATATAACGCTCATAAATGCCGTATCTCTTAGCTGTTACATACTTAAGAGCTGAATCATCCCCTAAGATGATGGCATTGTTAAGCCATATCGGGTTGTAATACAAGAGATAAGTATAAATCCTATAACAGAGCCTTAACCCAATCGCTATTTTGTTCTGTAATTATAGACGGTAGCCACTATAACGGGTATGCATTACGTGGGGTAATACCCTGTAAGTTTACCCCTGCACCCCTGCAAGGAAGAAATCAAGCTCCTTCCCATGTCCTATCGCATGTTCATTCTCAGCTAGCTGTTCTAGCAAACTCAAGAATGGATCCTTTTCTTCTCCGGGTGCGGTAGCCGGACTGTCGTGATGAGCCCTTGGATCCGAGCTCGATGCGACCACATAAGCTTGCTTGCGATGGTCTTCTACTCCTTGCCACGGTGTGGGAGAGGAGAAAGTATTAGTTGGTACAGTACCAAACATCGGGTCATAGCTAGCGACACCAAGACTGCTTTCGTTATCCCCGCTCGGACTAGGCGTTGCATAATGATAAGATGGCGAGAAAGCGGAGGTCGGCATCGCTTCCATATGTTGTTGTGATTGTTGGTGAGCTACAGCTTCGAATCCCGCAGCTGCAGCCGCCGCTACCGCAGCGACGCTAGCGGCCTGATCATCGGCCGATTCTCTTCGTTGGGGGACTTGAGCGGTATTTGTAGGGAGACCCTCTTGGTGAAGAGGGAGTGTGTTGGAGTTTTGAAGTATTGGTGCGGAATGAGGGGCTGTTGAGAAGGAGAAATGACGGTTATGGGCGCTAGGTGTAGGCAGCCCGGAAGTTAACGGCCCATTATGAGCCGTATTTACTGGTGTTAGGCTCCTCATATCAGGCCGCTTTCGCGTAAGACCTGAAATCTTCCGTTTCAAACCTGGCCGTTCCGAGTCTCCATTCATGTGAAGAGCATATAAATCAGATCCTCTAAATGATTGATCTGCAACAGGTTCGACGACGACGTCCGATAGTGTAAGATTTGCAGCATTAAATGTAAATGGACGTGCTGATCCGCCGATATTCGAGTAGCGATCAAAGAAATCTTCTAGGTTGAAAGTAGGTGAGTAACGCATTGAGCTATTTGCGATGCTCTTAACTAGCTCGGCGTGGGCATGGTATATGCTTTGCAAAGTGTCGCGTTGATGCTGTACGCTGGCCCACGTACAGCTCAGCTCATTTAATTGCTGCATTTCTCGGGAAAGGAACTCCGATGAGGATGACAGCACACCCATACCTTCACCGCCCCCGCTTTTGTTATAGTGTGCGCCATGAATATGAACTGTGCCGGCGGTACAGATGCAATATCCAACAAAAGCGGGCCATTCGATTGATGCCATCTGCTTACCCAATTCGACCAACTCGGCGATCGCGTTGGCATGTAGGAAACAAATGTTGGTGGCCTCTATTTGCCAAGATTGGTGTTGACCCGTTCCTGCTAGTTCTGCAAGGTCAATCGGTAGGAAGGGCCTATATATGAGACAGTGAATCAAGTGGTAGATAAGTTTGCTAAGAACGAGAACCGACGAATCTGGTTGGCCGAAAAGGGTATCAACGCTTGAGAAAACATCATCGGTTCCAGAGGCCCATATGTCGAGGTCTTGTCTGATCTTCGATAGTTCGGAGAGCGCATGCCAGGGGAAATGAGAATCGCCTTTAACACCGCCCGCTGCAAGGTATCTGTTGGTGTTTCCTAAAATGCGGCTAATATCGATAATCAGACCGCTACTCCCTTGGGATTTTCTCCCATTCCCTTGTAAGTGTTGAAGGTTTGATCCATTTTGAAAGAAATCGCCTTCAACCGGCAAGGTAGATGGTCCTGGGGACCAGCATGGGAGGCGCAGAAGAATTGTATTGTCGCTGATGAGACACGGGCGTTTTGAGCCGCAGGCAACGAACCTATCGAGTAGGTAACACGTCCAGAATAAGCGACGTCTCATTTCGCGTTCCACGGTGGTGATACGGGTGTGTAAATCGACTTCACGGTGTAACTCTAAGGCCATAGCCATGCCAATGGCGGTTGCTAAAATGCTATTAGTACCCGGATCTGCTGATTACACTAACCATAAAAACCATTGGCATTCAGGGACATACTTAGGAGCATATACGCCTTCTTCCCCTTGCCTGTTGCCGTAAAGGCAGTGACAAGGAGAAGAAGGGCTTGAAGCGCATCGATGGATGGTTCATCCGTATCAATTTCACTTCTTGATCGTAGAGCGTAATCCTCACTAAGCTTGACAGCCGATTGATACCCAGAGGGATGAGCCGTATATCTAATAGTGTCTTAGTAATTTGATATATGTTTTGTCACGACATGGAGGCAAACCTAGCAGCAAGCGCATAAATGGCATTGATAAGATAGGTGGGTAATTGGTTGAGTTGTAAACGTTGTCGCACGGTAGATTCATCGAGGATATGGTATGGCTTCGCGTGGAAACGAGTAAAATAAGTATCAAGAACGGCGTCTATCCGTACGCCAGGGGAAGATTCTGTAACGGTGGGTGAGTACACGGCAGATTCCGTACCTGCATCTCTTGCTCGAGATGTGTCCAGGGCAGGGCGTTTTGTTCTCGGTTCAGAGGTTGACTCGCCCGTTGCCGATCCGCCGTTAGAAGAGGTGTCGTCCGCAATAATTTGTGAGGGTTCTGATCCGTCCGATTTCCTGTCTTTAAGTTGGGCTTCCAAACCATCAACCCTTTTTAATAATGCTTCTAACACATCTGTTTTCGGACCTCGTTTCTTTGGTACAGCATCTGTAAAAACACCAAGTGAAATCGTCAGCCCTGTTGTTGACTCCACCCTAGGGAGGGAAGCCTCCGTAAGCGGAGAATAGCCGGGCTACCCACCATAGACGCAGGGACATTGGAAAACTTGGCAAGCTTCGCAGGACGGACGTAGCCGATTGCATTTAATCTATATGAAGAACGTCATTTGTTAGATGAAGAAGGCAATTCGGCTAATTAGATGCGACGCTGCTAGCCTGAAGTGAGCCTTACCTTCCGCTTCCGACATGACTTGCAGTTCATTGCTTCTCGAGGTTCATTGCCCATGCGGCGACTTGGTAGTCGTTCTATGCCGACCTGAGGTCGCGACATGATGATGGGTTGAATTCCAGGGTGAGGTGCAACACTCATGATTACCGACTCGAGTAGAGATAGATGAATAGATCAAATGAGAATTGAGTAAATGGGCCCTGGATGCCTACTTTGTTTCGTGTAAGGGTCTCCGAATGTTAGGAGCCGAAAAGCGTCGCGGTGTGGGAGACCACATCAAATTCGTGTGTTCTTTTTGTCTATCGTTTCTTTTCTCCTCGTCTCTTCTCTCTTCTCTCTACTAGAATAGAGGCTTTCGTTGGATAATGAATAGCCCTCTCATCCTTCCCTATTGCCAATACAGTTGTTGTTATTGTTGTTGGCTCTTTTAACTCGAAGTTCCTACGTTGGTATGGCGTTATAGTGGTCGTTGCATATTGCTGTGATATACAATACAATACCTATTACAGGTACTGACACGTCCAATAAAAAGTATTTCTGTGTCTCTAGAATTTGGGGACATGGAGAAAGAGTCGACGGAGAACGAACTAATAAGAAAGAATTAACGGGCTAAGGCCGCGCAAGGCATTGCAGAAATTTGTGGTCCTCGAATAAAGATGAGAAAGGAATGGGATTGGATGGGGTATAGAGATTTAGATTCGTGCGGAGAGAGACAAGACGAGACAGGACAAGACAAGACGCTGAAGATGTAGAATGTAGGAGGAAAAGGACATGGGAACGATTGGGGTTTAGGGCGTATAAAGCCCTGCTAATAACTACCCCTGTCCCCTGTTCCTTGTATGCTTGTATGGCATCCTCCGCAAAAAAAAAAAAATTGAAATAAAATAAAAAAGAGACCTGACCTGCTTTTAGCATGGTCCTGCTTTAGTACGATGTAGTAGTGTATACTATGGGACGTACTATGTCAATCCGGTCGGCTCGTGTGGCCCTTGTAGCTTGCGGGACCTTACGGGGGCAACTGGGGAAAGTTGCAGGGAACTGGGAAGGTTAATTAGGGGGGGCTAGGATCATGTATTGGCTATGATGTCGGACCAAGCAGTCGGAAAGACACCGAAAAGGGGTTCTTGCAGACTTCAATCCGCCCCTTAATAGGAGGGGCCGTTCGCTGTTACTATGATCCATATGATCCATCCTCTCAGCTTGACACCTAACTGCTAACCGCTAACAGTTAACTGTTTAGCTGGAAAAGATTGCATGGGGGAGGGTTATACAGGGGCGGAGAAGGACGGAGGAATAGACCTGGAAAGAGTTGGAGGTACCGTTAAGGTGGAGGGTGAGGAGTGTGATACGGGGAAAAAGAGGGGAACTCCAACTCTTTTTGCAAGTATACCACGTGCCAGGACGGGATACTCTAGTTGCGCGCCAATAGAAAGCCTTCCCTAATGGCCTCCCTGGAACCCTCCCTAGACCTAATTATTAGCGCACCCTAGCCATTCGAAACCGTGGAAGCGCCGACTTGACAACCTCATCCTACTGTAAAAGCCTTACTCACTTAGTAACTTAGTAACTTTGACACTGCGGCGACTCTGATGATCTCCATGATAGTTACTAGAATTCAAATAAGTAGGTAGTAACCAAATATGTACTATATATGGCCATTTTTCATTTAGCTAACTACTTCTAGATAATGAAGGAGAAAAAAAAGACTCATCGGCATTTCATGTTAATTGTCGTTGTGACCTGTCGTTTAACTCGAGTCTTTTTGTGGCTTAAGCTACTCGGAATGCGACTCGTTTACGCATATGTTGGCTTGACGCTGAGTTCCCCCGAGAAGAAAAAGATCAGTGGATTTGAAGCAGTTGAAAAAAATTGATGTACACCGCACACCTCAGTAGGCTGGTAGGTCGAAGCAAGTCTCACCTATTGGCTTGACGTATGTCCAATCAATAGACCACATCTGGTCTGATCTTCAGATGATCTTCGACCGGGAGGGTGACGAAGTGGCAGAAGCCACAATCAAGGCTAACCCAGATCATAGATATCGCTGACTGGGTATACTCAGCATTCTCTAAAAACACTGGCTCTCTCCTATATGGGCGGATGGGAGGCTTGAACTGGTGATATGCTATAGAAGTTGCTAGCATTCTGCAACAACTAGTGAATGATATGCAAGCACACGAGCCTTTTTACGTCGATCCCATCTAACACACATAAGAAGTAAGAAAAAAAAAACAGTCTAACAAAAGCCCCTACAGCTTTTTGAAATGCGCAAAGTCTAAATTACGGACAGATCCTTCTGTCATCTGTCATAATCCACCTAGCATTGAATCCTTGAATCGGATCGCCATACGCTAACGATATTGGGACAGCTTCTTCGTTCACCTTGCTCACCAAACCTGGGTGCTTTTGCATGTTGGAGGTTCTGCTTCGGTCTTAAGTTAAGGAATTTGGGATTCCTCCGGCCATGTTTTTCCCGCCGGTGTCAATTTAGATACCCATTTTCCCCTTGCAGTAGTGAAGAAAAAAATTCTTCGAAGGACAAAGCGAAATTTCAGGGTGCAGCATAACCAGGTAGCCCATTCAGGAGAAAGCTACGATGATAGCTGATTATACAGTGTTTCATAAGTTTTTCCGTGAGTTCGTAGGCTAGGATAAGATAGGTATTCGATCTACCATACCGGTGAACGATAGAAGCTTCTACCGCCAGGATTGGGCAAGCTGGAGCATTGATTTCTGCAACACCAACTGCGAGCACGGAGATATACGGCTGAGGTGGCGAAACTCGAACCATTTTCAAGTAGATTCAGATTATCATGATCTGGAAACGTCTTATTGGATCCGGTAGAATGAATGCCCTGCTCAGGACGGATACCGACAGCATGGAAGCAGCGGAATCTAGGGCTTGTGCGTCCACATGTCAACGCCTGGAAGCACCCGAGTAGACGGCGGCGGGTCGATTAGGTATATTATAGGTCCCATTCGACCTACAGCAGATACCCCCAGATAAATAGAGAGGGATGAACCCGGTTCGTATTTTTCGGGTTCTTGTCATGTATGTATGTAGTTATCGAGGGCGTCTCTCAAGGCGGAGGAGCTCCACCTCCACATCATGTAGAGTATGACTAGATCGTAAATCATATAGATCGTAGTTATGATATAGGTAGCACGCACCATACAGGAGGCATAGATATCGTGTATCTAATCATTTAGACTTCTGGGGTAATTATTCACCTCGGAAGAAGATGTAGGTGTGCATTCCGAGAATTACTAAAGCAGGGATATGAAGCTGCCGGTTTAATACTCGCCGCTAAAAGACCCGAATGCCCCTCTTTTTTCTCAATATAGCGAAAGTATTTCGCCATTTACATATTTTCCTACGCAATATAGGTTAGTATTGAGACATATTATCCTAAAGTGTATAAGTGTATGCCTTTATACGAGTGATAATCTTCCTTTTAAGGCACAATAAGGGATATTCGGACATATTACCTCTTTTTGACCTTTAGAAATTTGGGTATCCCAACGTCAACCAAATCTACTAGATATGAGACGAGTCTTTCATGCGGCTCCTTGCTCGAGTTATGCGGCTTTTAGTCCTCCTCGGCCGTTGTCCTAGGTTAGTGACAGATCCGGGCATTAGGATAACCCCGGACCCGTCTTGTCTAGCGGCGACGTGCAACATTGACATGTCACACCCGTAATACAAGTACCGACACCCAGACGCAAAAGTGTTGCCCTATCTATTTCAAGAAATCGATAGAATTAATGATCTACCTATAGAAAGGCGAGAAATTCGGGATGATCATGGTAGCACGTGAGGCCCTCTCCACACTACCTTGAGATATGTTACCCTTTTCCGCGGGCGGCTGCATATGACTTCGTCCTCTAAAGTGTTTTATAAACTATATGACCTGATATTCGGGCCCCGACGCGAATCTTCTGTGACGCACAGATAGCGTTAATCGAGCGTGTCATATCAGCATGTCTTACGAATCTTCCACGCTATCCTCGAGATCTTCTCGTCGTCCGATGCACCAACTCAGGTACCCGTAGGTTTCAGCATCATGTGAATCAGAGTCAGTCATAAGGGCTTACCCGCAAGTAGCCGACCTTACGCGGCTTTTTCTGAAATTCATGATAATGATGTTCTCCCCACGTTCACAAAATGATTACTCATTTCAGCAGCCACCCGGAGAATCGATCCGGATCCTGATGCGATGTCGCAGTAGACGAAAACCACCTCCCGGATTTTAACAAAACTCCGAGATGCCTGGGCTACTCAAGTAGGCTGTGCTTTAGTAAGACCCTCTATAAAAAGAGTATGGTGGTACAGAATTTTGGCGACAGGGGTCATCGAAGTTCGACGACGTGAATCTTGGATATACACAGCTACAATAAGCCACAGATCTAGATATGCGGTGAGAGTACTTTCCGTACAGCCACCTCTCCGTTCGCCCGAGAGGTTCATAGACCTCTTACTTGCAGTGAGTACAATCATGGGATCTATGCCCCTCATTTGTAACATGCTTATGAGCGAGAACCCGCAGGCATCAAAGCGAAGAGCAAAAAAAGGGGTGTGATGCAAATGGTACACATTGGAATAGCCAAAGGTGAATAGTCTCCTTGACTTCAGGGAGTCCCCGTGAGATGCGTTCTCGATTAGTCCGTCTAAACCAAAGAACTCATCTAACCGCTTCATACATGTTCGCATATATCCAGACCCCAACGCTACATATTCAAAAATAAAATCCGGCCACTTCTCCCAGGGGTATATATATGCGATCCCATTAAAACATTCCCTGGCCATTCGCTAGCCGTACAAAGCTGTACGGCACATTCTGGCCAACGAGCAATCTTAGAGTTTCCACGGTGGTGAAGGCCGTCGTATCGGCCACGCCATACGCCGCGAAGCCACTCTGCTCTGCGACTATGCTAGGGTCCCCTTTCCTTGGACCATCCGCAAGATCTAGGAAAACCTTGCGAATTTGTGTCGAGGAGCCCCGCGATCCCCCAAATACGCGTACAAGCATTCCCACGATATTGGATTTCTCAGGCCCCAAGGCAGAGATAATCACGAATGGACTATTACGTACTATTCTCGCTTGTTGGAGACCCTCTAAGCTGTTAAAGGGTTCAACTTCAAGACCGCGAGTCAGACTAACAGGTGTCTTGAACCCTGCCGTGTACACCTTGCCAATGCGAAGCGCCCTCAGTGCATACATGGCAGCCGCCGCATCGTCTGCATTTGTGGCGAGGACAACCGCGGCGCGGCCAGAGTAAGCAGATGGCGCAAGGTCGCGCGTCAATGTACTGACGATGCCACGCCAATTTGCGTTGTCAAATACCAAAGAGGAATTTGGAGGTAGTCCTTCAACGGTATTTGCTCCGGAGCCAAGAGATGTGTCGGTGCTGAGATTAGAACTTGAAGGTGTCATAGGAGGGGCTGAAGGTGACGGGGACGATGACCCGGATTGGACAACAATTGTATCAACCATGCCAATCGTACGGGCTGCTTCAGTAAGTGTTGGTCCAGACCCATTATTGAGGCTTTCGAAGAAGGAACTATTTTGCATAAGACTCGTTAGGGATACCGACGGACTTAGATATGCCCCTCCGAAGAATTTTTGGTTGCACAGGGCTTCTACACAATTGGGGCCTTTTGAATGTCTTTCCATAACGGCAAATTGGTGAGGCAAACCAAGCTCATTGAAGCACTTTTCATAAAAAGGCGCGTAAGGTGTTGCGATACGAGAGAATGGACTGCTAATTCCGTAGATGCTCTTCTTCGGAAGCTGGCCAAGCGTTGACAAGGCAGCGTTGATTTCGGCAGCACTCAGCTGACCTGGCGCAGCAATGATCGGAAGGAGAGGGTGGGTGATGGGCGTGAAGACTTTATTGAGTGTTCTTGAAATCTGGCCAGTTTCCCCCATGTTGACAGCGGAAAGAGGGGGCGAACCCGGGTACTCGGCTCGAATTTTAGAACGGAAATATTCCAGTTCAAAATTCTCGTTTTGATCATTGATAATTGATATCATCTTTATGATATCAGCGTATTTTCGGGACTCGAGGAAGATGGATTCTGCCTGAGGGGAGGGCCATTTGAAAGTGCCAGAGAAGTCGTGGAAAGCGGACATAATGCGACTACTGCCACGTTTCTCATATAGTTTTCGACGGATATGTTCCGGTAACCAAAGCTCAACGTCGATATATTCGACACCCCATTGAATGGCTCGGAAGAGATAATCGTAGTACAGGTCGGGATTATCCATAGGGAAACGGCCATTTTCTCTCGTACACCTCGTGGTGAAGATGATGGGCAGTTCAGTTCTCTGGCGCAGCAGCATCACCTGCTCGCCGACGTAACTTAGACTTGGTATCGCCGCGAAGCCTCCATCACTCAAAGGTTCCTTGAGAAGATCAACACGTAGTTCTACAGCATCAGCGCCGACCGTGAGAATATCTATATTAGGGAGTGCAGCCCGGACATCAGGAAAGGTGGTTGAAATGAAATAAGTGCGTGGTTTTGACATAAGTGAATCATGATGATTGATCTGGCCAAGAGTGAAGGAGATGAACCGAGCCAAGTCCCGACGGGAGAAGGGCTTTTCGGGATATAAGAATTCATAGTCGCATTGGGCGGATATATAGATATCCGGGGGCATTCCGAGATTAATACAGTGAGCGTTTATCGCAACCATGGCATCTCGATTTCGCGAAGAAATGTCGATTTTGGCGCTTTCGAGTGATATTCCAAGTACAAGTTCTTGTTCTAAAGACGTTATGCCTTGGAAGCTGTCGGCCATCCGGTAAGGCTTGCCCAGGACGTCAGCGAAGACGGAAACTATGCTATCTTGTCCAGGGCCGTATATAATGACCACCGTTCTGGTATCACCCTTTTGCAATCCGCTGGTAGTCTTCATTCCGTTTGTGGGTGACGAGCGCGAGGACCGATCAATGTCTATATCGGTAGCCGACATTGTCGCGCCACTGTTGCCAAGAGAGCAGGTCGGCGTTGGCGACGGATGAAGTTGTTGGACTGTCGCCATGGCGCCCTGAGGGACGATGTCCTGGCGTGAACGGTGGTAGGATTCCGGGCCCGAGGTGTATACCGAATGACTTGTAAGGCCAACTATGAATAGCGCAATATCCGGATTATCTCGAACAATAAGCTCTTCATGGCAGACGTCTCGGGACTGGGGATCGATCGGGGGGAAACGGTTATTTTAGAAAAGGGACAACAAGCAACGGCGGGCGCATTGATGGAATTGAATGTATCGCGTAGAATTATAGAGGAATGGACGAGAGTCTCGATCGATTAGGTCATGTGTTCGTGGGAAAGTATCGTGGGAGGCATCGCGAGGATTGAGCCGGTTGAATTTATACAAGCCTCCACTATTTACAAAGCTGAAGTGGTCCAAGTCGCAAAGTCGGGTACGTAGCTGTACAAACGAGGGAGAGCAATCTGATGAAAATAGGCTCGGGAAAAATTGTCTAGTGCTTCAAAGTAATTCTTCCGGCCACTAAAATGCAGGAATTCCTAGGCTGCGGCTCAACGCGGAATGATTCGAGGCGAGAGCCTCGCAGCTGGAGGGAACCTTGGAAGGGGAAAAAAGAGAGATAAGAGATGGGCCAAAGGTTGGCGGCAGGTAGGCGGCAGGTACAGCAGGCATTTGGTGTTTAGGCGTGTTTAGGCGCAACTAAAGCTAAAGTACGGTACCTACATAATGTACCTAGGTACAATATTTCGCCGAATTTACAGGCTCTTGGGTACACGTTCCGGGGCTTGCTACGCCGCTGGCTCATTCCATTGGCTCACGCGATTCTGGGGCCCCCACGATTTAAGAATCCCGGGCTGGAGATTTACCCCGGCATCCTTGTCCTAGTACGATCGCGACTGCCCAAACTTTGTATGTGTTTCTTGTATTTGACCGAGAAACACGTAGGAAACATGGAAGGCTCGTTCGATATCAACTATCATCTATAAACCCCCAAGCATTACGCAATTCCCAATTTCCACCTTCACAAAATTATGGATACGCGTGTAAATATCAGAATAAGGTCAGCCTATCAAGTATAGGCTTATTCTATCCTTATCCTTATCCACACTATTCTTATCCATACCTAGGCATCTAGTACTACAGTACCTAGGTAGGTATCTCGGCACAGATCCGCACGATGAGACCTTATGCTAGGACTTTTCATTATCGTAAAGCAAAACTTGGTTTCCTTATCACGACATCTTCAAGCCTAGAAACCTTGAAAATATTCCATTCTATTATATATCTCGGGTTAGTCCTACCCGTCTCTATATTCCTGTCTTCGAGACAACATCCAACCATAGATTCTTCTACTAGAACAAACGTCATGTTTCGAGATCCGGACGCTAATAATCCCCAGAGTCTTACTTGACCTACTTAACCCCGCCCTAAATCCATAATTTCTTAGCCTGTGTTTACCAGAGACAATACCTAGGTAGTTTAACCGCCCCGGAATAAGAGCCCTAATAAAACAGAGAAAGGACACGAGACTTCTTATGATCAATTACAGGTACGATTACATAATTCTAGGAACCCTATCCTCTCTTTCTCTCTCTTATTCTCTTTGCCATATTTTCATCCTCAACGGTTACTAAATCCTCCATTAAACCCGCTAGAGTTTACAATGTTTTTATGTCTTGCGCTCCCGCCACATCTTAGTGACTTCGAATAACTAAACCAATAACCACGTACACCAATCTGTTTGATTGAAGTTCCTAAAATCAAAGCGATGCAAGCTGATGATGACAGAGCTTGCCGTATACATACACCTGAAGTTGCAATTAGATTTTATACGATTCAGTTACGAATTTGTACGAGTTTATACGAATTGAAGAGCACCAAACGTACCAGTCAGCATGTAGCAAACTACCTAGGTAGGTATAAGCACCTATAAGATGGCAGTATGACCTAGTAAAAATATAGGGGACTCAACCACATCCTAGCAATTAACGCCTAATCAGGAAAGCTTCGCAGGCATCGTTGACCTCTTAAGACCATTCACGATACGACCTCGGTAGGAGAACCTCCTTTGATAGAAGATGTTACATCAAATAATATGCCCTTTTCTCTTGTGACAATGTCTATAAATCATGGGGAGAACTGCTGTCGAAGATGCGAAAGTCTTTTTGTTTTCGCATTTTGGCAGGGGATGATGTTCTAGTATCACTAAGCACTACAATTATTCCGAGTCGCGCAAGTAGTAAAAATGCAGGCGAAATATTTATTCCTATTTTACGGCTTGCTTCAAGCCAGCCTCGGGTCGAAGCTCCCGAACGTTGATACAAATTCGATCCAGAAACGAGCAGACACATTTCAGAATCCTGTGGTGTACGAGGATTTCGCCGATAATGATGTATCTGTCGGTCCCGATGGATTATACTATTTCTCCGCCTCGAATATGCACTACAGCCCCGGCGCCCCTATTCTGAGGTCCGCCGACCTGGTCAATTGGGAGTTTATTGGCCACTCCGTACCTACTCTCGACTTCGGGGAAAAGTACAATTTGACTAACGGCCACGCGTATAGAGGGGGTACCTGGGCTTCAACCATGAGATTCCGCGAAAGTAATGGATTGTGGTACTGGATTGGCTGCGTCGACTTCTGGTACACTTATATCTACACCGCAAAGGATGTTTCGGGACCGTGGACTCGAGCCGCTGTTCTTCCTGGAGGGACATGTTATTACGATTGCGGTCTCCTAATAGACGACGACGATACCATGTACGTGGTCTATGGGTCCACAGATGTATCAGTCGCGCAATTATCTACGGATGGGCTCAGTCAAGTGGAAAGCAAGCATGTTTTCAGCGCCTCCGATGTAGGCAAGGACGGTATTGAGGGGAATCGTATATACAAAAAGGACGGATTCTATTACATCCTTGACGACCACCCCGGCGATATTACATATATCTGGAAGTCTGAAAGCCCTTGGGGCCCTTACAAAAGTAAGATACTGGTCGACAACGTTAAGTCGCCTTTGGCAGGTGGTGGGGCACCACACCAAGGGAGTCTCATCCAAGCCTCTACGGGTGACTGGTATTACATGAGCTTCACATGGGCATATCCGAATGGGCGTATTCCAGTTTTAGCTCCAGTCCAGTGGGAAGACGACGGCTTCCCTTCCTTCGTCACTGATGGGGCCGGCGGATGGGGTTCATCTTACCCGGCGCCGCTTCCCGTAAAGACTGTGCGCGACTGGACCCGCACGGATATATTCGACGGTAATTCCCTAAGCCCGGACTGGGAATGGAATCACAACCCAGACGAAACTAAGTATAGCGTTGGGGATGGTGGTGTGACTCTATCTACCGCAACAATAACGAGCGATTTATACGCAGCGCGAAACACGTTAACGCACCGCGTTCACGGCGAATTCCCAGTTGGTACTCTACAGGTTGATTTCAGCAAGATGGCAGATGGTGATCGATTTGGTCTCGCGGCCTTCCGTGATCGCACTGCCTACATCGGAATACACCGAGACGGACAAGATTATACTTTGGCCACAGTGCATAATCTCACGCAGGAAGAGTCTGCATGGAACACGACGAGCAACGGAACCATAATCGCAACGGCAACGGAGATCCCTAGTGACAAGACCATATGGCTTCGAGCATCATTAGATGCGCGTGCGAGTGGCAGCTACGCGGCTAACTTCTCATACAGTGTTGACGGCGAAAAGTTTACGCAACTTGGGACTCCGTATGCGATGCAGACTAACTGGGCTTACTTTATGGGCTACCGTTTCGGCATCTTCAATTACGCCACTAAGGAGCTAGGTGGCTCAATTCGAGCATTGTCTTTTACCAGTGCCTAAAATTGCGAACAAACAGATTCTTTTCTCTACCTTGGGCCTCTTTGAACAGTGTGAAAGCCGCTTTACCCCCTTTCCGCATACTAGTTATCTACCCATGCAACTAACTAGGTACGTACAGTACGCCCGCAGATGTGGATCAAAGAAAGCTGTAATTCTTTCAATTACGTTTGTTTATACAAGGCAATTGTCCTTTGATAATACTCTATAATTGTAATTATACACATGGCATTGTCAATCATCGCACTGGGAAGGAGTGTGGTTGGTTTTTATATATGTGTATCTGGGTATTCCCAGGCTGGAATTAATCCATCTAACTTTTGACTCCGACATACTTTCACAATATCCTTATTATTCTAGTCCCCTGAGAAATCTTCAACATTCGCACTCGGGGAGAAACCATCGAAATCCGCCTATACGCTTCATTCTCTTCCTTTCCAGCTGCCCAACATGCCAGAAGAGTTTCATCTATTCCCTAAGCTTCCAATCGAGCTAAGGGACATGATCTGGGAATTTGCCATGCGCCCAAATAAACCAGGAGTTCACTTCTTCCAGCGCAGAAACCCCAGTGGGTGGTTTACTTACCAGTTAACATTGCCGGGCCTCGTTGACCAACCCAGAACCGGAGACCATACATTTAGAGGGCCTCGATACGTCCCACAACATAATCCATCGACGTACTTAATCGATGAGCACTTGTGGTTCGCTTGCCGCGAATCGCGCCAAACTAGTAAATAATCCTCAGCCATCCATTGCGCCCTTGTATTTGCTCAGAGAGTGAGAATTTTTTATCTTAGTTAAACGAATTAGCTTTCTGTCTTCAAGACACCCTCTCCAAAATTCGATTACTAATCTCTTCTATTACAGTGGAGCGGGTCTTTAAGACTAAGTACTGGGAAGCTATTAGAAACGACCATGTAAAGGCTGGCAACCAACACCTTTCCAGAGACTGGCTTGAAAACGAAATCGCGATGCCGGCGACGACTGTTGTCCCCTGCGACTATCGAGATCCTCTTCCTCCTTGTTACTGTATGGTGTTGCCCTACCAGGACCTCTTCTGCTTTAACGCCCTTGACCAACAGAATGTTATGACTGTTCCCGAGCTTAATTCTAGTGTTCAGATTGGGTCAACGCATTATGGGTATCGGGGAATCAGGAACATCGGCATACCGTTCTACGACCCAGGACCTAACGGAGGACGTACCACTCGGCTGGATTTCGATGTAGTGATCCAATATATGGACAGGTGCGGTATACCTGGGCTAGAAACACTCTGGCTCATTAACTACACCGCCCGAAGAGAACACCATGTGCCCACCAAAGAGCAAGCTGCGAGGAACCCGAAGATCTTCTACGGCACCAATTGCAAATTTGTCGAACTAATACCCGATCCAAATGGAGACTTTCCGTGGATGGTCCCTCTCATTTTGAGGGTCTGGCTGAGTGACTGGCCAAACGACAGAATCCACCAAAACAAGGGCCATCCGGGGGTTCGAGTTGGACACCTCATTTGCGAAGCCCTATAAGGCTTATCGCCAAGTTATTTGAATGACATGGTTACGTTGTCAACACCCTAGAGAATTGCCCCGTTTGCGATGCTATAGGAAGGATCGGAAGACGGGAGTTTGAGGGATACCTAGGAGTCTTTCGTTGGCTTTTAATCATTGTCTTTACTTTATAATAGATCGGCCACAAGAGAATTGACTCTTCCAGAAAATACGTTTAAGCGTGTGGCCGTTTGATGATATAAGTGATAAGATGTTTATTCGCTATATAAGGAGCCCTGCTTATCAAGGGGCTAATACTACACCATTGCTACCATAGTAAAAAGCGCTTCTATTCAGACGGTCTTATAACTCATACAGCCTTAATAGACATTACTAACATAACTTGGCAATGGGACTAGTAACGAACGTCCAATTAGCGTGGTGAGGACCCTCTTAATTCCAATAGTGATCCTCCCAATACTACCTTCGCCGCCTCCAACGGCTTCGTCCATCAGTGGATCTGCTCTTCTACATTTCCATGCATCGCCTCTAGAGAGAAGAAACTCAACATATGTCCTTTACGATTTATATATAAACCAATATTGATTTCAGATATAATGCCTATCTTCCCAGTTTACTGCATAGCAGACATACCGATTCCGGTGAGCATCGAGTCAATCCATCTCATCCCCACTTACCCACCTCCCTATATACCTAAGCCTCCTAACACCAGCGATAAAGGTAATAGAAACCTTCCTCCGCGAAGCCCAAGCCGGGAGTCTCAAATCCGCACCAAACAGCGCGCCCTCCCTAGCAATCATAACCTCCCCTTCCAGCCCCCCTCCGACCGTGGCATCAAAACCTCCCCTCTCACCCTTCACCTCGCCCTTCCTAGGGCAGACCGTAGAAGACGTATCACGCCAACTCGACGGATCAACCTGTTTCGCAGTCCTCGACAGCCGATCCGTCGAAGACGGGACTGTGTTGCTCGTTGCACCGGGATTAAATGGCAGTGTGCAGACCGTGCGCGCGACGTTTGAGTCCGCGCAGAGCACGTTGATTGCGCTGGAGATCGCGAGTTTGGGGTTTGGTGAGATTCAGGCTATTGCGTCGTCGCTTGGGGGTGTGCTGGGGCGAGGGGGTAAGGAACCTAAGAGGGGCGGGCCGGCGCCTAGGATGAGGCTTGGTGGGAATTAGATGGATCAATTGAATGGGATTTGATATAAAAAGCTTGATATTAAGAATCGCAAAGCGAATTTCACCCATGCTAAATGGATACTTGCATTATGTGAATTGGGTAGTAACCAATCCAGTGAGGTTCGCTCTTATATCTAGAGTGAAGCACTACAGTACTACATGGCCAGGGCTAGGCGGCACATCACCAGTATCCCACGCCGTCCTATCAGCGCCCAATTCAAATTCCAACAAGCTATCTTGTCCACCTGACCTAACAATATCTTCATGACTTATCCAATTCTTATTCCAATCCTGGCCATTTACCTTAAGACTCTGAACATACGGTCCCTTATCCAATCCCGTCGCTCTGATATTCAAAACCGCACCGCTATCCCCAAGTCTCAAAGTAGTGTTCTCAATTCGCGGGGCCAGAACTAAGTATACCGGTTGTGTAACGACGGGGTACAAACCGATCATGTTCCAGATCAACCAGCTGCTCATCGCGCCCGCGTCATCATTCCCTGGAATACCCGAGCGGCCCGTGTTGTAGTACTGATCAACGACTTCGCGTGAGCGCTGGACTGATTTATGCTGTCGCTGTGGGAAGTAGTGGTATAAGAAAGGTGTCATGAAACTTGGTTCGTTACCAGGATTGAAAATCGTTGAACCGATGCTGTTCCCACCTTGGTTGGATCTTGAAAGACCAGGGATAAACATTGTGTCTAGTCTAGATTCGGCCTTTTCAATGCCTCCCATGAGAGATATGAGAGTTTCCATGTCAAAGGGAATGGTCCAGGAGTACTCCCAACTGTGGAATTAATTGTTAGTGTGTGACCGCTGGTTGAGTCGTGAGATGAGACTTACGGGACACCTTCGTAGCTTATACTACTCCATTCACAAGCACCGCAAGATAACGGATCGTAGTCTTGATAGCTTCCGTTCGGATAGGTAGGTGCAAGGAATCCGGTGAAGTTCAGGGATGATACGTCGGCCGCCCATGTTCTCTGCCAACCACTATCAATCGAGTTAGTAATACTGTTTCCTCGATCTGCCGATTAAATCGTATAATACTTACGCTGAACGATTGAGATATTTTACCGCATCTTCCGGCGCCTCTCCCCTAGCGACTTGCGACAGCGAAAAGTCGTTCAATGAGTATTCCACAGTCTTGCTAAGACATCTGCCCTGCGACGGTGTCACATAACCATATTGTTTCCAATCATTAAGTGCACCGCGGCCTTCCTTAGTACTTCCAGTCGGATCCTCGAAGTCAAAGTTATTATAAGGTTGTACTTCGGCGTTGGTTTTCATAGCTGCATAGCCATCTGTCCAATTGATACCGTCTTTAAGGCCCTTCACATACGCGTCGGCAAGGACATTATCGGAGTTGGAACCACCTTGTACTCTGCCGTTGAAATTGTGGCTTCGTCCATCTGGCATGAATCTCTCGAATCGCCAAATATCTATTAATGATCTAACGATTTCTGTTTGCGCCTTTGGTTGGATAAGAGTAAGGAGGGGGTTGAGACATCTGAAGGTATCCCAGATTGTGTAAAAGTCGTCATAATACGGCTCGCCGGAGTCCCAGTAAGGGTTCTCTCCGGTTCGATTTGAGGGAAGTAGGTGTGCATGGTACATTGCGGTGTAAAACATATCTAGCTGAGTTTCATTCGTTGTCGAGATTTCAATCTTGGAAAACACGTCCGAGTTCCATTTATCTTCAGCGGCACCCCTAACTTCTTCTAGGTCCCAATTTGGGATTTCGTCAAGGAATTGACACGCCTTATCAGCCGAAATCCAAGAGATTCCGATTTTCGATTGCAGTGTTGAGACATTGGAGGGAAACTCGAACAAGGCGCCAATTCGGTCTGCATATTGGTATCCCACAATTCCGCCCTCAATAAACGTCTGGTCGATAAATGACGCTTTGACGTCGGTCGTGTTCGGCCAATATGGATCAGTTGCCTTCCCTGAGAAGAATTGAGAGTTTGAAGGTTCCGAGTCGAATTGAGCGCAGAAGTACACTCGGTAATCACCACCTAAAAATAATTAGTCTCAACTTCAAGACATTTAACAATCATCACTCACCCCAACCCCACCCCTCTCGATAGACTCCGTATCCAGAATACCAGCTGCCATTGTCACTGCGCTCAATCTTTCCATTACTATACTGTTGCTCCTTCGATCCACCACTCGGAAGGGAATGGCTGAGATCGACAAGGATATATCGACCATCTGCATCCTTAGGATATGTATATTTCACAATCCCAGCGTGCATACTAGAGCTCATTTCAGCCGTGACCCCGTTTTGCAATTGAGTCTTATAGTATCCGACATTCGCTACATCTTCGGCGACTCTTGGCTGCATATACGTCAAGTTGTCTAAGACATTGACGCCTTCAAGTGTTGTGAGGGGCATTTGCGGTATAAGTCCGTAGGTGGGTGGCCCGCCTGTGCCACTCTCGTGGAGCATGGTAATTGCGGTTACGTTCCCATCAGGTGTGTAGCCGCCATTGGCAGAGACTGGGCGTGCATAAGTAGAGTAGAAATTTAGATGCCGGGTTTCGACTTACACGATGTGTTAAAGCTATTCTATCGATTAGCATAATGCCTGCACATATGATGAGTATGCGTACCAAGTAGTATCAACGCCGACTTTAACTGCGCCGAAGGGAAGAGTAGCTCCCGGGAAGATATTGCCAGCGTTAAAAGCCGTGCCAGGGACGGTACCCTCCGTACCCACGAGAGGGTTTACATATCCTGTATAGTCAGTTGCAGCAGTGGTTCTAGTAGCAAGTACTAGAACACCAGCAACATAACTGCAAGCGATCTTCATGGCTACCTACTCGGAAACAAACAATTGCAGTAAGAACCTAGCGGTAACTACTCATGTACCTCATATGTGAATGAGGTACAAGAACAAATGGCGGAGAGAGCAACAATGTTACCGCAACTCAAGTTATAACATCTTTTTATATGGTAAGTTTGGTAACCAATCTCAAATGAGTTCCCTAACTAGGATATTTTCATATGACTTCATAATACCTCCGCAATACCCCAATTTCCCCAGGTTTAGGCCCTTCAGAGCAGTGGATGTAAGCTCGCTAGGCCGCTTCCGGGTACCCATCCAGGTAGGTGTTCGGTCGGGGTACAAAGAATCGCGGGGTTCTGTAGGATTGTCTTCATTGCCGTGCCTGTGCCTGACACTAATGACCGAGGGATCCGTGGAAAGCATTCCTTCTAATTAGCTCGGTTGATAATAAGTGCGAAATCCCAGGGGGAACATAGAGTCGAATAAAATACATATGATTTTCCGTCGCTAAATACTTATTGTCCATTATAGATCAAATGTGAGTACCATGTGTATGCGTAGAGGTTCCGTAATCTGAGCTCTATAGCCCCCGAAACTTAGCAAGTAGGTCGCTAAGGATCGTGCTAATTAACGAAGCCCCGGAAGAAGTCCAGTATCGAGCGCCCGCCAAAGTGACCAACCCCCGATAACAATACCAAAGCCGATATGTCCAAACGCCTTATGTCTAAACTCCTCTCCCGTATTCAATAAAATAACAATACCATCACCTAATCCCGCAAGCGAAACAACACCCGCTACAGCCGTTACAGCATCATCGTGGCCTTGGTATTTAAGTGCTGCGAGTGCAAGACCGTAGGTGATTTCGCGGATGCCTTTTAGGTGGATTAGCGGGGATACAGTGCCCTCGCCAGCAGTGGTGGAAGAAGAATCGCGCTTCTTTTTAGTGGACGCTGCGGCTTGTTCTAGTGGGAGGCCGAAGCGCCCGTATTCTTGTCGCGGGCGCAGAAAGCAGTGTAGACCTAGGACGACGGTACCGGCGCTGAGGAAGTAAGCGGGGACTGGTGGTGCAGATGGCATTTTGAAGATTTATTGGTGTGTTTGTTTACTTGTTCAAGATGAGGTTGATAAATTCAGGAAAAGGACTGGGCGAGAAATAGGAAATGGGAAATAGAAAGTTGAAGGAGTTGCTGGTGGTTACACGTGTTGGAGGACATACACTTCTATGGGTAGAATATAAGGGTTAAGCGGCGTAGCTATGTCGATCGGGATTGAACACGTAATATCGTGGAGTAGAGACTTAACTTATGTATTCTTCATTATAGAAGATATCGTCTTCTTCTTTATTTAAGCAAGCTGTAGTTAATTGGTATTTGGAATGAGATTTATGGCAATTGGACTTGATATTAATTGGTCTAGAAACATATGTAACTGGACTTTGGGCGGCGGACGCTGTTCTTTAGTGCCATTTTAGCGAAGTCCGGGGTACTCTATAGGGGTAACCTCAACATCGAAGATTATTAAGCCGAACATTTTGTAAGAACTTCAAAAAGAAAAGGTAGACAAATGTATAACTATTATCAAATCTGAAAGTATAGATTACCTGTTTTATATTCTGAGTTAAGTTTTGATATTATGACCTTATTAGTTCATATTTGTGTAAAATGATTTGTATATTGAGTTAGGAAGTAGTTGCAAAATCGGTATTTCATTCGTAATGAACTTTTACACTTATCGCATGCCGCCCAATATGTGCAACCCAACGCATAGGTACCTAGGTAGCTATCTATAATGAGCTATTTAGGAACCACCCAGGCCGCGAGGTACGCTAGAACTACCTGAAGCCGTCTAAGAAGCATTCTCATGAAACCTTTAATTTAGCGATCACCATAGCTTATAAACCATCCTGCCATCCCCAACGCCCACGTGTGATTGTGGGTAAGAATAGTCCGTGCGGGTTGTCCGTCGAACGATGAGACGAACGATGGAAAAAGTAGAAACATTCTATCTCTACCGTACTAGAGCATCACAGTAAATTATTTGTTCCTTCACTTCGGCATCGGCATAGCAAATAATTTGTTCCGTAAGAATAAGTCGCGTTGCGGAAGAGTCGGCTTGTGGACTACATGGATATCTCACCGAGATAGCTGGACTGCTGCGACGAAGCCAAGCTTTTAAATCCTAGCCGCAGATCCTCAGACGAGTTAGGGGTTCTGCTTCGTTATCTTGGTAATAGTGAATTTGGGGGTAGGCGGCGATACTGTTTCAGCGTAGAAACATAAAACTAGAGGCGTCGTCATGAGGTCTAACAGTAAATGGTTGCTTGAATGCGTATGGGCGAAGTCGCTGTATCAAGTTAATCCGATGAGACGATAAAATACATCATTTGGTCAAAATGGATGGTGTATATACGTACGCGTTTCGCCAAATATTTCTGCTCGAATCTTAGAAATGCCTAGTCTAGGGGCTCTCAATCTGTATCGCATCCTCTTGGCATTGCCTTTTTCCATGATGAGGTTGGGTTTCAGGTCCGCCCTATGGCTGGTGAACGTGAGACTCATTTGCTTCACGATCTCATACCCTTGTAAGATAATGCTAGGATATTTTTTGCGATTCGAGATTTCGCTCCATATATATAAAGAAGCTGGGAAGATCACTGCCGGTCATGTGTAGATCTCCCATCTCGCATCTGTTGATGATCCCATATACCACTTTCGTTTCCGACAATACTTACAACTCCCTTCGCCAAGAACACTCTTTCTACCAACACTGAACGAAACCACATCGTCGCCATTATGAGGTCCCCCATCCTACCGAACGCCGCCATGATCCTAGTCATGTGCACTTCTCTCGCCGCGGCACTACCACTCGATGTCGAAGAAACCATAATGAGCAAGATAAAGAGCATTCGAAGCAATGATTGCTCCATGGATAAGATCCAAGAATGCGTTGCCGATACAGGATTGGAGAGCACAATATGCTTTGCGCAAGTATGCGCAGGTATACAAGAGAAGCCAAGGATGATCAGACGCCAGGATCAATGTACAGAAGAAAATTTACTCCAATGCGCAGTCATGGAATGGCGAGAGGCCGAAGTCTGCTTTCAGGAGTTATGTCTATGACAACACGAAATCGTACAAGTCGAAAAAAGTTGGGACATCCTTCAGGATCAAATACCCGCTATATCTTCATAAAAATGCCACTCCGAAGATGAATGAGGTAAAAACGAAAGGATTACGTCGCTTGCTAGGGTTAGCTACTGGTACAAGGACGTTCGATGTTCGACCCTGGGTTTACTGGGCGGAGCTTGGAGAATCAGCACTCTATTTAGCGATGGTACGGGGGCGCAATGCCTGGAACGCGTGGGCACAATCGCTTAGTCATGTTTGTTTTTATGCCTGTGACGATTATGTCCCATTCCTTTGGAAAATGGTTGCCTTGGGCGGTCAAGAAATCTTTGGAGATGCTTGACCATATTGAGTAAGGCACACTGGAGAGCCATAGCAACTTGAAGAGCTGAAAAATACAACATAAATTTAGATACCCCCTTGTCATCCTAGACCTATAGAATACCTAGGTATACGGAGGTCGCAGGTAGAAGTTTTAAGTGGGAGTAACTGAAATGACGATGTCGAGCTCGCAATTTAATATGAGCAAAATCTCTATCGTTATAAGAGGTACAATCGAGCGCCTTACTAATAGTTTCATATAGAAAGATATTATCTAATAAATTATGTAAGTTATCTTGGCCTTTTTGTATTCTTGTATGAAGATTGCTGAATAATATCTTACGTAAAGACTCTTGTTAAGGATATAGTTTCTTTATACGCTGTATCAACCTTAGCGGAGTAGGAGTATGGTTTATACAGATATGGGAAATTATAAAATTGTCATCGTAAAATGCTCAATTCTGCTCCTATAGAATCCGCGTATAGTTACAGTAGATTCTATCCGCGTATAGAGCGCGGAATTAGACCCGACACGAAAGCACAATGCATCGCCTCAGTACCTTTCAGCTTGGAGATCACTCGCATTGCCGGCTGCGCCGATTACTAAATAGGCAGCCATTTAATAAACCGCTTACATTTACAAATATACGTAAAGAAGTATATAACATCCAAAATGTCCCTTCCGAATGTGCCGCTCAGATATCGTGAAGTATTGTGCAATTCGGAGCACTGAAATCTTGACGCCATGAAGTTGACACAAAATATTCTGGGGGCGTGTCCCTTACTAGTAATGTTTTTTAGCGATGCACTCGCTGCTAAGAACAACCACTGCCCCCCTCTTGGGGCAGTCTTACCAGCGCCGACGAGTCCGAGCTCCCATCCAGCGGTGCAATCAGCTGTGGGGGCACTCAAGGAAGCCATCAACGGTATAACAGGAAGTTTCAATAGCACGGCGATATCAATTGGTGTGAAGTCTCTTCACGAGACGGAGCCTCTAGTTGATTTACACTATACCCCGCCGCAATTGGATTCCCGAGGAGCCCAAGAAATCAATGCGTCAACGATCTACCGACTTGCTAGTATCTCTAAAGTGTTCTTGACGCTGGCAGCGCTTAAGACCACTGGCATTAGCATGAACGACCCTATCACCAAATACGTGCCACGATTGAGAGACCTACAACGGGAGGCAAATGGCACCAGGAATAGCCTCACGGTTGTTGACTGGGATGACGTAACAATAGAGGCCTTGGCATCTCATATGGGTGGGATTTCATCAGATGGTAAGTATCAAATAAGAACCACATATTTACGAACAACTTTATGACTAACGGGATGATGAAGTGATCGACATGACTGGCTATCCGGCTGATTGGACCCAAGTTGGACTTCCAGAGGCGCGGGAAACGCTCAAATGTGCGGGAGTCAATGGATTAACGCCGTGCACCGCAGAAGGTTAGTAGATATCATCTCGTCAATTAAATTGCTCTTCTCACACACGCACTAGATTTCTGGAATACTTGGGGCAAGCATGATCCTGTCTTTGCGCCATTCAGTAAACCGTTATATTCCAATACGGCTTTCTTCATAATCAGCCTCGCCATCGAAGCCGCTTCCGGCCGATCCTTCGATGATGTTGTCCAGAAGGAAATATTGGACGTCGCCGGTTTAACAAGTACGAGTCTTACGAAGCCTGACGATAAGATCGGAGCTATCAGTGTGGGCGATTTGAACTGGAACGCATCCTTCGGAACTGATGATCCGTAAGTAACAATACTTTCTAATTAAAGCCCTTCGTTACGCTATGGAAATTTACTAATTCGTGTGAATAGTGCCGGAGGTTACTACTCAAGCACGAAGGATCTCCTTGCTTTCGGCGAGGCTATACTATCAAACAAGCTACTATCACCAGCGCAAACCCGCCGCTGGCTCAAGCCTGTAACATTCACGTCATCCCTAGGCCTATTCATCGGCGCGCCCTGGGAGATCGGCCGTTCCGATAACATCACCTCCGATAAGCGCTTAGTCGAATTTTATTCTAAGGGAGGCGACGCCGGCGCGTTTCATACGATAATAGCCTTGGTTCCAGACTACGATCTCGTCGTGACTGTAATGGGATCTGGACCCGAGTCAGACGGTAACGTTATCCAGGTACTGTTCTCTCAGATTATCCAAGCCTTGCTTGGAGCTATCGAGACCGCTGGCAAAGATGACGCTACTGCTGCTTTCGCGGGTACCTATCTCGACGAGGCGACGAACTCTACTATCACTCTCGCCGTCGATGACGAGGGACCCGGTCTCGGCATCTCGAACTGGACGGTTCGAGGCGTGGACGTGCCTTCGCATTGGGCTCAGTACTTCGGCACCGGAGATCCAGTGCCGGAAACTTATGTCTCTACGCGACTGTATCCAACAGGCCTAACCGCCGGTTCGAAGACGTCGTGGCGTGTTGGTATTGATATCGGTACCCCCGAAGACATCTCCCAGGCCGATGCGCTGCTGTTCTGGCCACAGGGCAGTTGTATATCGTGGGGTACGATGGATAGGGCGACTTACCAGTTCAAGGCAATTGATGAGATGTTCTTCAGCTTGGATCAATCGGGGGCTGCTACGAGTGTGGAGTTCCGTGGCTTCCAAGCTACGTTGAAGAAGGTTCAAAGTTCGTGAGAGGAACCTAGCCGTGGTCCCCGTTCGCATTATGGCTATTCTAATTCTACCTTAATTCATTTGTAGTTTTAATTTGAATTCTATCTCAACTTGCCCATTGGTAATTTACTGGCTTGCACGAGAAATACTATATTCCTATCGAAGGCTCCTCGTCGACATGGTGACTGCGTATATCATTTGATCGAGGTTGCTGAACCATGAATCAATCTCATAAGTTACGTTATAATAAGCAGATGCTCGTGAGGATGTGAAACAAGCGCAACCCCTTCGCATATGCATTCCTTGATATCACCCATCTCCCGCATGACAATGTAACCGCGCTCGACCATTATACCGTGCCTTTATTGCTTACTATTGGACATTCACTACCACCAATCCGCTGGCACCGTTGCCGCCCGTTTGCTTGCGACGTCGTGATCGCTATTATGATAACCTGACATATAGAAGCGAAACGCAAACGACCTGATCATGATGCAACAGTATCACCCAGATAGACGTACATTAGTTTACTGGATGTGTGCCTCCGCGGAGCTTGATTTTGTGTACCTAGGTATCCTTGTTGGGGGCGATACGAACGACCCAGCGTTGATGCTACGATCGTCAGGGTCGCATTCCGAGAGGAGCGCTGCTGCATGCGGCTTGGCACGGGATCAGCGGAAATATGCCGACAGGTGGTGAAAATATTTAGCAATCTCTTGAAGTTTTATTCTCTAGGTTGCAATGATAACTTTTTTACCTTTTGATTTTTCAATAGTGTTGAGCCTCGTTTAGATTAAGGGTCTTCTACAAAGGACTCTGTGTGGCATGGCTTACGTCTCCATACACGCTGTTTTGATCGCTTAATGTTATACGTATACGAGCTACTGCATTTTTCTGGTTGAAGTTGAAGACGTCCGGATGCCTTCGCTCGCGCACCCAGATCGCATCCACCTCACCGCTCCTTGGGTGGTATGGAAGGAGACGTCTAGGAAGGCGACAGGATGGTTCTGTAGAGTAGCTAGAATGGTTCTCTCAGATATACGTGACCTAAATCTAATATGTGGCTGCTTAGATAGCTAAAATTAACAATTTGGTTGGGCTTGTCACTACGCCTTACACATGGCATCCCGCACGAACTGCCGTCTTGGCATTAACATCACACTACCAGGTCGTCGGCCCGTAGATTACGCCAAGGCAGAGGGCTTCTGACACCATCACTTTGGCAAGAGCACATTTCGGAGGTCCCAGTAAGGCAGCCAAGATTGCCATCGCCGCGGCCAAGCTAATAAAAGCTGACATGACTGCTCCCGTCTGAGACGAGCATCACGACTCTACCTAACCGGTGGTCTCGGCGACGTTGAAGTTAGGAAGGTCCTAAGTGTTCATACCGCGGTAAATTTGGTACAGCCTCGGGATAGCGGCAGAGTCTGCCTTCACCGACTCCGAGCCGGTAGCATCGAACAAGAGAACCCAATGAAGAGATTGTCACCAAGATGGACGAGAAGACTGCTGGAACCTCATAAGTCGGGCGGCAGGTAGAAGTAACGTTAACAACGTCCGTTATGGTATCGTTGATACAGCCAACAGCAGTAGTGAACCTATGGTTTGGCAGTGATGGGTGCATATGGCGTGCTAGTGTCATCGGGGACGACGCTGCAGCCTCAATTTTACTCCCAAGCCAGCGCCTGTCCTTTCCCGTCATGAGTTAAACAACGCCCATTTCATGCTGAACAGATTCGATTAGAAAAGTATATGGAATAGTATTATGTAATTTGTTAGTTAATTGTGCGTATGTGGTGAGTGTCGAACTTAATATTGATAAGTGTCAGTTGATCAACTGAACTTTGATGAATTTTAGGGTTAAATTACTGCCTATTGCTAAAAACTCAGCTGTATCAAATAAACCAATGAGAAGCTGTAGATTATAAGGTTTCCCCGAAATCTCCACTGCAATTTCGATTAACTCCGATGCGATGCTTTCTCAAACTCTAAACTCCGAACTTCTTCAGACAACTTTGCTTCACTTTCAACTTCTTTCAAAAATTTTAATTGGCAACGTCATGATACTCTCATGCTATCCAATTCTCGCTAATACTTTACATTCCCTTACTTCAAATCATATTAATCGCGTAATTAACAATATGCTTGGCCATCTCGATACCGCATTTTCTTGGTGTTGTCCAACGTATTTCCAAGTTCTCGTACATAAGCCAAGCCAAGCCACCCCGTATTCCATTACGAGATCGTCACCCAAGCCTCGATTTCGACGGCTGCGTCTCGATAATTGTACCTCTTTCTAGGAGATCCCAACGGAATACCAATGCCTTACAATTCAAGAAGTTGTAGCTACGTCGTCCGATAATTTTGAGTCTCTACGCGAGACATCGGTATGTTCGGTATGGAACTACAACTATAGGGATCATACTTCTCATATACCGATTCTCCGACATAGTAAACATGACGAACTTGTACAACCTGAAGCAATAAAAACTTGCCTTTGTGCAATCGAGCAGTCAGTGGCTTCAGGACCGGCTATACGGCTCTAACCCCAACGCTGGAACTACATAGCCCCTATTCAGGGGATTGGCAACAGTGCGGACACAACGGACGTATTAGCGGGCCTGCGATAATCAGATGCAAGAAAGCAGCTATCCGTTACCATCTGCGTGGTGTGATGAACCATGCCCGTCATTTTAGCGTTTTCTACTTGAGGTCTAGGCAGCCTGCAACCTTCCCGTCGGAACTCACCCGCGATTCACCCTAGTGATGATCGTTTTTTTACTCAGCTATCTTATAACTGAGCCTCTTATTACTCCTTCCTGCGAACAATCTGGATATTGATGATCTGCGAGGGTCGAGACTTCTATGCGAAGCCTAGGTGATATGTATGGCACGCTGCATCTCGATACGATGAGGCTTGCGGCACTAGGTTAGCTGGGACTCGGAAGTGGGCTGCTGTGATTGACCTTAACTATAGCTAGGCAGATAACAGCGTATCCCGTTATGAACGGCCCCAGGGCTTATGCCACTCGTTTACGCCATCGTAGCACAAATTCGAAGAAATGATGAAGCCCGTAGATCTACATTCGCCAGTCAAGCAGGTCTCTCGAAGTTATCACCGTTAAACCAACCTAGCAGATACGATGATTTACCAAAAATGGCGATATCATACAATTTCACAAATACCACAGCGTGAAATACCTGCACAACAGGCACATCAAAGCACATATTATGCAAGCACTATTGGACGCCCCTATTCAACACAGATACCTAAACGACCAACTTCTACGTATTTTAACTACCTAGGTATGTATACATTTCACCGTGTTTCAATTGGCTTAGAACGAGCTGGCTTGATAACAACCTGTGGGGGTCCAACTCGCCAGACCGTATCGCCAAATTCTCTGTTTTATGATAGTTTCTCTTCGTCCTACCATCTGGCAAAATGCTTCACATTCGTCAGTGTTACGAGTATTTCCCGACAAGTCGGTTGAAATTAAGGCCTGCAAATGCGAATTAATTGATGTATCAACACTCACAGACCATTCGGAGTCAATGCAAATGCGATGTAGGTACATTGCGTTGCTGCCGGTATCTCTAGCAGCTTCTGCGCGATATCAAATGAAATGTGCTGCAACATCCCCAAAGATCAGATTCTCAACCGGCCTACCACGGTTTCAATTGCTTCCCACCATATTATCTTACCTCAAAAGCCCGAAGCCCGAAAATCAAACGCTCCAAAAAGGAACCCTACCCAAACTACGTTGAACAGTGTAACAACGCCGAAGCTAGTACATGTCCATGACAAACTATTCGCTGTCCTGGCCAAACTTGAATCAATTATAGTAGACACCATCCTTCCTCACATTAGCTTACTTACCTGGGGAGTCATGTGAACATAGTCTCCAGCGCTGTTATGAGACAACACTTTATTCTGTGCGACGAGATGTCGAAATTCTACTACTTCGTCATGAAATGACCGAAAATGGCAGGTCCTTAGATTTATGAGCGGCACACTTAGCGCGCAGTCGAGCATCGCATAATGGATGACATATCTTAGCTACTACTGATGCTAGGGCCTGTTTGCCGGACGAAAGGGTGGACACAGCAGGCAGCCAGATTTCACAGATACATGCGAGGTCCCAGCGATCTTTTCGGTCTTCGTACGCACCGTTCATGGCCTGAGGCTGGTTCATCAAGCATGTCGACAGAGCTACCGCCACAATTTGCGATAGGTATTGGTCAAACATGTGGCAATGATCTCATATCCTCAGGTGGGAATCACATCCATACAGATGCGGCCACGCCTTGCTGACAGCTCAGACTTGGCGAGAAACGCACGAGGCCAGCTAGAAGGCGCATAGCAGAGCTGCAAGTAACCTCAACTTTCGGACCTAGCTTTATGTGGGATTAGATTGCGGGGTAGCACGGCATATAATAGTAGCTCCCCATGGGTAGGGATGCCGTTCGCCTAGACTCTTACCGACAGTTGGGGCCTCTCCGTCATCCCGAGACCACCTGGGCGGGCTGGGCCTTGTAGGGGAAACACACACATACCGCACATGCATACCTAGGTACACACACAAAAAGCTCATGAAAACGGCATCTAATCGGCGGTATTTTCGTGCGAGATACTAAATAATAGGACTAACTATAGGGGATCATGAAGAAAGCTTGGCCGCGCGGCGCCAATGCAACGCTAGGATCCCATGATCTTCTTCGCGGACGATTTTTTTTTTCACCTCATGTGCGGTTGGGGGGCCGCCCTTTTCCGGAAAGCATCGACATTATCCCCGGATTATCGTGGCTGAGGAAAGAGGGAAAATCATGTCCTAGCAGAAACCCAGCAGCTACCACGCTATTCCTCAGCACTAGCAGAGGTGAAAATAAGATTGATAGATCTTCAGCACGTGAGGTCATTGGGGTCCTTAAGGATACCTAGGGTAGTGGTCACAATCCCTATCCCCCGCGTTTCCACCCCCTTGTCTGCCGACGCGTCACCGGCGGGAAATGCGACCAATTCTATTCGTGGGCACATGTGTTGTCAGCAAATTCTATCAGCACATATGGTGTAGAGCATGTGTGACTCGAACAGCGCAGTGTTACGAATTGTCATATCAAAAGGCTACTTTCCTAGCTTTTTGCACACTGCATACTGTGGTTGCGACTCATCATTTCTTTTACGGCTAACAAAAGACTAGTTAAGACTTGATACTAGTAACAGACACCAAGCGAAAATCATTATTTAAAAAATTACAGTATTTAAATGCTGCTTTTTCTTTGTCTCGGCTCACGATTTACCCCCCACACCAACTGGGTTGGGGTTCGTATGGGGTTAAGGAGGGGAACGACCGCAAAGGAACCAAGGCGTAGCAAAATCTATTGTCACTAGCTTGGTGTTCGACCCTTTTACAACCACACCGACTATTGACCTATTTTCTTTTACGAGATGCAATAATATCCAGATAGCCAACCATAGTTGATGTAAGGGACCCCCAAGTGTCCAGCAGCTCAAGTGACAACCAAGATCGTAAACAACGCCGCAGAAGCAAGACACGAGATCTCACGGCGGCCAATCAGGGACAAGAGCTAGCACAGTACATGAGCTACCCACTTGGCACTGTCTCTCGTCAAGGGTTCCCCGGACTTGGAGACCCGTTCTGACAAGCCTGACAAACTCGCAAAGCCGGGAGAAACGGGAGCTACTTTCGTCCGTCCGTTTCGTCTCTACCTAAAATCAAGTTGAGAAGCGCTGCAGCCCAATGATCGGATGGTAAACCCTTCAGCTGCCGAGGCATTAAGCTTAACGCCAAAGTACCTGCCCTAGTCAACTTGATCGCACCATGTCAAAAAAAAAAAAAATACGCACATACATACATGCACACATGTGAGCTTACTCCGCCGGGAACATGCAGCCATGCGAAGAGAAAATTTTCAGGACCGTGGTTCTTCCTTATGGAATACCAGAATATCTTCAGTATGCATAACCGTTATTCAGCGAATCAACCATGGGAGAAAGTCGGAAATGGCATGTTTAACTCTAGGTCGAGGCGAGCCAACCCATCCACGTCTGTTCTACCTAAGTACGCTTTGCGGTATTTCCTAAATAGGAAACCACATCGAAGGACAACAGAATCCACTAGGGTTCAATGGAGCCTTGAGTCTTGGAACTATCTATCCTCCGGCATCAACAAGCTTTCCGGACCTGCATTATGGCAGCGCTTGACGTGGCGGCGTAACACGCGCTTGTTTTCTTATTCACAAAACCACATCGGGGACCTGAAAAAATCCCCACGCCTACGATCCTTCTTCACGTTTTCGTTCCCAATTACGAAAGGACGGGGGTTCACACTCATTTGCCGTGGTTCCTGAACCGGCAAGTCGACAGACTGACAGGGAAACAAACAAGAATTTTCGACATCGAAGGCCGTGGTTAACAGAAGATAGAACCTCGGCCGGCTTGACGGTTTCATCTCCCATGGATTACTTGCGGTCAGCTTCGGACGCAACAGCGAACAACGGCGAGTTGACGGCTTTAAACGGTTGACTAACCGGATTCAACAATAATGCAAGTCATTGGATCATGCCAGTGTGTCGTCCTCAAGTAGTCTCCCATAATTCGCAGATCTCCTTCCTCATGCGGGTGAGACCTATCGCCCTACCGGCACATTCCGGTCTAACTCAACTAGAATTCAGGTAAACATTTCTCTCCACAGAGAAACCCCCATTCCGTGGTAGGTGGATTCCCTGATGCGCATCACAGCTTCCCTAAGTCCTTACCTGTCTAAGTATATACAGTATACTTACGGTGATGCTGACAAGGTATCCTTGTTCTTATGTATCTTTGTGTCTCTTTTATTCCATCTGCCTGGTTTCTAGCTACCGCGTGCTTTAGCTAGCTCTCCTTTGTCCTGGACCTCGGATTCATTGGCTTGTGACCCGTTGGAGAGCTAATAGGCATAATGCCTTTCAAGACCCTGACTAATATGTCGTCACAAAGTCACGAACTCCCACAGCTTCATAGAGCTCCACAGAGCATGCCGTCGGGGGCTCTATGGCTGCTTTCGTGTCAAGGTATACTCTACAGCCCGTAGTTCTATGTAAGGTAGGCCAAGCCTGAAAGAGGTTATGAAGACACCCAGTCTACATGGCGACCTGACCATGCACTGCAGCATACGCCCAGTCTCATGACTATTTTCTTTTCTCTCCTATCCCTAGCCCTTCTGCTTAGAGTTCCCCCCAGCTCCCTGCCCGCATTGTACTTCCACACGTTGCGAAACCTTCCTTATTCATCGACCCATCTGATCTTGCTAGTCTAGACGCCGCAAGATCCTAGATTGGTTTGCATAGCTCGTACAAAGGTAGGGGAAGTGACTCGGAATCTTATTCAAATATCAACCTGCGTCCCAACCTTCGTCCGCAGGTTTCGTCTCGTCTCTTCTAAGTTTATCCTATACTTCACACCTCACCTGGGTCGACTGCTTCTCCCTTTAGGTTTCCGACATACCGGACCTTGCCTATTGTCCATCCCTTCCTTACACCTCATCCCCTTACCCTCCCCTTCCCAACCTTCTGCGGATTTTCAAACTTCGATTTCACTTCGATTATACTTTTATATCCGAGATGGGACTTAAACACGTATTGGCCGGGATGGCCCTTTTTGGAAGCTTAGCACAAGCGGCTTCAAGCTTTAGTCCTGCAAGACCACCGGCAATTCCCCTCGCCGTCAAAGGCCCGTACCTAAACTCTTGGTTAGACGTCGGCAGTGACGGTGGGAACGGAGGTTATCTAGCCGGCGAATGGCCAAAATTTTGGAAGTCGGTCTTCTCGATATTCCCCGAATTGCGATCAATTTGATGAACTAACCGATTTTCACAGCCAACAAGTCACAGGTTGGGCAGGCTTCATCCGCGTTGACGGAAAAGCGTACAACTGGCTAGGCGCACCCGGCGGTGCGGATGCAGTAGATCAGACTGAATTCTCTTACACATCGACACGAAGCACATTTGTTCTGAACGCGGGCGGCAAAGTAGAATTAAACGTTACGTTTTTAACACCCGTTACACCATCTGACTTAAAACGACAATCTCTCGTCTTCTCTTACCTCGATGTTGCCGTTACTTCGGTAGACGGCGCCAGTCACGATGTTCAGCTTTACGCAGACGTCTCTGCTGGTAAGTGACACAAATTCTATCCCTTGACTGACGCAATCTTCTCATCTGTCCCATAGAATGGGCTTCTGGTGATCTGAATGCCATCATACAGTGGGACCACAACTCTGCCGATGGAGTCGCATACCATCAGTTCGAACGTCAAGATCAGGCGGCAATCTCCGAGACTAACCAGCAAGCAAACTGGGGCACTTGGTGGTGGTCCACCAAAGACGTAGACAACGTAAGCTGAGATATGGATCTTTAATTATGATCACAATAAACAAACTAACATGATTTCATAGCTTTCGTGGCAAAGTGGTGCCGATGCTGACGTTAGAGGCGCTTTCATCGATAATGGTGTTCTTGCCAACACGAAGGACTCCAACTATCGGGCTGTACAAGACAATTGGTACGTCACTACGGAATCCCTTGCTGAGTAAAATTATCTTGTCTTGCCTGGTAACTAATTTGATGTTTAGGCCGGTCTTTGGATTTGCCAATGATCTTGGATCTATTGGATCGCAGTCTGTTTCGACGCTTTACTCTCTTGGTATAACTCAAGATGGCGCTATTAACCTCCTTGGTGAAGGGAGCGATCTTACAACTTATCCAGCCCTATGGAACAGCTACTTTGGTTCCGATGTTGAATCTGTAAGTTTTACTATTAACGCATAGGATGAAATATTCAGTCTAATGTTTCCTAGATGACCTTTTTCTATAATGACTACGAGACTGCCTCAGGTCTAGCTACGGACCTCGACAACAAGGTGGCCTCCGATTCGCTCGCTGCAGCCGGGCAGAACTACTTAACTATCACCAGTCTTAGTGTCAGACAGACGTTTGGCGCCCTCCAGTTCACCGGAACAGACTCAGACCCGCTCGTATTCCTCAAGGAAATCAGCTCAAATAGTGACATCCAGACGGTAGACGTCATTTTCCCCGCCATACCGCTGATCTTATACCTGGACCCCGCTATCCTGAACTACTTGCTGAAGCCATTGTTCCTCAACCAGGAGAACGGACACTACCCCAACACTAATGCCATTCACGATCTTGGTACCTTCCCCGTCGCTAAGGGTTACCCTGATGGCTCCGATGAGCCTATGCCGCTTGAGGAATGTGGTAACATGATTATTATGGCCCTCGCTTATGCCCAGAAGGCCAATGACAATGACTACCTTACTCAACACTACCCCATCCTGAAGCAGTGGGCCGGCTACCTTGTCGATGAGGCCCTCATCCCCGCAGACCAAATCTCGACGGATGACTTCGCGGGCTCGCTAGCAAACCAGACGAACCTGGGTCTTAAGGGAATTATTGGCCTGAGAGCTATGAGCGAAATTGCCGACCGCACGGGCAACTCGGACGATTCCAAGTCGTACGGAGGCACCGCAACGTCGTACATCTCACAATGGCAAGGATACGGATTGAACACGGCAGCAGACCCGCCGCACGCGACGCTGAGTTACGGAGATGAGGACTCACACGGTCTCCTGTACAACTTGTATACCAACTCCCTGCTAGGCTTCGGCACCGACTTCGTACCTCAATCAGTATACGACATGCAATCCGCATTCTACCCCACCGTTGCGCTTGAGTACGGCGTTCCCCTTGACACCCGTCACAGTTACACTAAGACCGATTGGATGCTATGGTCTGCCGCTATCACGAGCGACTCTACCCGCGATACTTTTATCCGCTTGATTGCCGGTTGGATCGATAGCACACCAACGAACAAGCCGTTTACAGATCTCTATGATGCCTCATCGGGTGATTACCCCGGCACGCTTCAGTTCACGGCCCGACCTGTCGTCGGTGGCCACTTCGCACTATTGGCGCTGCCGAAATAAGCATTCTAGAGCTGATTTCTTTATTACATTTCCCAAGGCGACTCCTACAGCATTATTATTTTTAAAAAAACATTCATGGCGTGGGGAGAGGTTACAAAAGGAGAACGGAGCAAAGGGAAAATCCGCATAACCTGGCTTATACACTTTTTTATTATCCTTTTTATTATACTCGAAGCATTTCCCCGGAGCTCTCTTCTCCCTCACTCCCACGCTTTTTAATTTCTCAACCTTCGTTCCGCTAGAGCTCTTTTACCTCTCGCAACACACATTATCATCATTATTACCATTACTATTACCTTTATCGCCATATCGCAACTCGCTCAGGAGCCGCCCTACCTTCTGATTGTTCATATTTTTACTTTTACCTTTTTTTTATTTGATACCCGCATCTTCCCCTAATTACAGGAGTTGCGCCGGGGCCGAGGTTTACGGGGCGACAAGGGACATTCATGGGCAGGCGCATAATGGGTGTCTCAGGGGATTTGTTGCGAACTTCGGAAATTCTAGATCGGCAGATGAGACGAGACATTCAACAATGGGATTCGGGAAGATGAAAATCTTGTTCCAGGAACGAGAGACACATACTTCTCTCGCATCCCCACTAATAATTCTGCCTGTCTAGCTACCTCGCCCGCAACACCCGTTTGGAACAGGGGTTAAGATGCTTCGAGACTTTTCAACATTCCGATCGCTTCCAGGGGTGACAGAAGTCAAAGATACCTAGAGTCGGGCACAGTCGGAGCCCGTTTTCGATATCACGCTCGCATTTACGCACGCACTTACTACACTCGAGAACAAGCAACGCATCCGCATATCTCGCATGCATACATCAATACGGGTTTTTTCGAGGCAAAGCGGTGGTGTTAGGATTAGGAGAATTGGATTGGACCCATTTTCTATTTTATTAATTCTTTCTTCGTGTTTCTGCTTGCATCATATCATCATATCATATCTTCGTCGTTGTTGCATCTATACGCGAGCGAGCGCACACCACACATATGCATATGCAAAGCAAGGCATTTTTATCTATTCAGGAGGCGAGATTAAGGGGGACATGGATGCATAGCTACATAGGCGAAAGCGGATACTTGAGAGTTTAGGAATGCAGATACAGATATCCCAACCAAGTAAAACTTGAATCTGACTGATTACCTGATTGAGTATACGAGACTCCTTGCTTTCTGTGTCTTCCATATCATGAAATATTGATTACATCTATCCGGCAACGTAATTGACGTATAATTACGCGCATAACTAATAGGTGACGGAAAGGAAAAGTCTAGACTCACCACGTAGAAAGATAATAATTTGCGACGCAAGGGAGCCGGAATAGTGTCACATAGTGAAAAATAGTCAGGGGAAAAGGGATAAACCTAGTAAGACACGCGACTTCGTTACATCCGCGTCAATTGGGATTTTATTGCCGTTGGCTATTAATAATATTGACGTGCGTTAGTGTTGATACAGCTATATTGTGATTATCTCACACCTCGTCATCGATGCATCAATGTCAATTCCAACTCCGACTCCGATTCTCCATTCTGCGGGACAATATAGCCTAGAATAGATATGATAACTATTGAATAGGCGAGAGTACATAGATGATTGTCTTAATATCCAATTTATCCCTCAACTATCAAGGCCTAAACCCCCTAAACCTCAATATCAACACTCCAAATGGGTTCAGTGGAGAGAGTGCCGTTCTATCCCGCACCTCTATTTGATTTTCCTTTTATATCCGATATTTATTGATCGACTTTCTATTCCTCGTATTAACCAAACCTAATGCGCCAATACCTCATCCATCGTACACAGTTTGACAAGTACAATTTATGCAGTGTAGTTTGTTGTATCATCTCACACCATAATCTTACGCCCATCTGCCCAATACTCCGGGTGGGACTATCGATTGGTCCCTCTATCAATAGATCGCGCACAGGAACCAACGCAAGTGATCGATGATCGATCTGATCCATCACATCAAGCCACCAACTCAAACTCACCACTAATCCCCTCGAACCCGGTGATCTCCCCCGCCAAGCTCTTGGCATCACCAAAATACCGGATCCGGTACCGGCCCGGCTCAGCCCAAGGGTCCGCTGCCGTCTCCCAGGTAATATCGACTTCGCTGGTAGCCAGTAGCTCGCTAGTACGACGCCAGCGGAAGACTAGAGACCAATCGCTGTCGTCGCGGACTACTTTCCATGTATTCCCCTCATCTCCAGCTTGATTCCGGGGTGGGGTCCGTCCCTTGCGTATTAGATCCGTGTAGGCGTCACCCGACGCTTCGGATCCAGAAGTACCCGAATGTACGGGTAGCGTGATAATGAGCTTTTCGATAACGGCGTAGCTTCGTTCTTGTCTAAGATTATTCCTTGGATTGGCACCGACGAATTTTGCGGCTACCTTTGCACCTATTTGATATTTATCCTCTACGTCTTGCTTTACCTGACCAAATTTTTTGAAGATTGGTGGTAAATCGTGGATAACTTGAGGGATGAAGCTGAGGCTTCGATTACTATTGTCTGGTGGCTCCGGTCCTCTGGGTGGTCGATTGCTAGCCGATGAATCTAGGTAAGGTATCCATGATAAGGTGACGTTGATGTATGCTGCCAAGGTGTGCGGCCCATACAGTGTGCTGGCACCTTCATATCGTTGAATCCTGTTTTTGGTATTGTCAGTACTTCTTATGAGTGCATAGGCCGCGTCAGATGCCTTATGTAAAAATGGAGAAGATAAAATAGGTCCACAAATAGCAAGATCCTGTTATTTGTGATAGAAAAATGACGATGGAAATGATAGAAAGTATGGGAAATATTAAATATGTGATAAATGACATAGAATATTGCAAGATACGTACCCGTACTCTTCTTCGGTCGTAATGTAATGAGTATAGCTGTTCGCAGGTCCGCCAAGTACGACAACTGGGGCTGCCGACCGAGAATCATCAGCGAATAATGCCGTTATCTCGTTGCTAACGGCATTCTTCCAACGTCGACCCGCCATGGTGGTTGCCTCGCCTGGGCTGACAATTATTACTAACTGACCGACGCGGAAGACTTGCACGTCGACTACATTGGGTGTCCATTGATACGGACTTGAAACCTCACCCACATCGAGGAGGATGGGTTTCGGGGAATGGCATGCTATTTGTTCTTCTGCTGGCGCTTTAAGCATATTTCCGACTACACGCCATACTGGTGAGGTATTTGTCGAGTTGCTGTTATGCTGTGTGAAGTCGAAAGCACCAGGCCCGTCCGAGGTGCCAGCCGCAAATGAGTACCCTAATGCAGCAGGGCATGTTCTTACCTCAGTTCCATTGGGTAGCTGAAATTGGTGGTTCGACATATTGTGGAATGTGTGGAAAGATTTAACCCAGCGCCCGTGTATTGGTGTTGAGTTTTCGTTTAGTTGATCGTATAGCTTCCGCGCAGGCTCAAATTGTCGCTTCCCAATCTCAAAGCATGACGAAGTCCCTTCATCATCCGCTGTAAAGAAGGGACCTCGAGCATGGCACATCTGTGATCTACCATCGCTGCATGTGCTGTTCTCAAAACTGCACATTTGCCCCGAACCATCTTCACACCATGCGCCTAGAACGTTCGGACTAGTATCGCCGACGTTTGCCTGAGAGAAGCCAGCGACAAACCCCTCAGCAGCAGTTTCGTTGTCAATAACGCTTTTCTCGAACAGATATGCAGCTACTCCTTTATTATCACCAGAAATCAGAGTATTGTTCCCAAGTACAGAGGTACCATGCGTAGGAAACCAAGTTAGGACACCAATATTTTTGCCATCTGAAGCCCGTTGAAATTTAAGTAGGGTCAAATCCTTTTCTACCGACCCATTATCTTCGGCACTTGCGTTGTATCTTGCGCGCTCTTCCTCGGGGTTCGCGAGGTATGCGAAAAGACTTCGATTGATATTGGCCCCGAACACCTTAGTAGACCCAACACTAAGATGCCCCGGTGAAAGACTTTCGTGTGCGCGGCGGATGGATAGGAGCGCACCATCGACTATCGCTCGATAGCTCTGATGATCAAACCCCTTACTGGTGATCTGAGGTAGTAGATAGTTCAACCATGCTCCAGGACCGGAGTGAGAATGGGTACCCGTAACAGCCAAATTGTGGTGACCGTAAACCTCATACTCAGGCCCGAGTTCTTCTAAACCTTTTAAAATACCATATCTTACCGCCGTATCACCAGACTGTGTATCGAGAACAAGGTATACAAATATATCGGCGGGGTTCGCGGGGTCGCCTACGATGAATGCTCGTGAATAGAGTCGTTGTCGCAAACCGGTTCCGATCTGATGTGGATCCGCATATCCCATCAAATTGATCTCAACGCAAGGACTAACCCCCGGACATTATGAGCATGTACTGAAATATTTGTTTGAGTCACAAACCACTTACCCGGTTATATCACCCTTGCCCACCCCTATCAGATATTCATCATCACGATACAATTGCGTCTTTCCATCCTGCCCACCATGAAAACCCGGCCATAACTCGATCTTCTGGACCGGCAAAGCCGGCAGTATAACTGTGAATATTATAATAACCGGTATCATCAATATAAACATCATAAATGTAGCAACCGGGCAACTTGGAGACGCTCGGCCCATAGTAGGGCGAGGCCGTCCCAATTCGTGGAGCAACGGAGACTCTGCGTCCTTCTCCGACATCTCGATTCTCTCTTTCTATAACGAAACGGATTCGAATGGTTGAAAGTTTATTATACAGATTCGACGGGGAAGACCCCGTATTTTAGGTCGGTACGGGTTATCTAATGACTAACGAACGAGTCATTTAGCGCAACGACCAAGAAAGCTGTGATGTCGGTTGCGTGGATGGGACCGAGTAGCCTAATGCGTCCATTCCTGGGAGTAAGATGGGTAGACAGGTAGGTATTAAATGCTCTGCGATTTGAATTCGGGGGAGAAATTCGGTACGGACTTGTTCGATTGAGAAATTCAAATTAATTCTTCCTAAACCTAAAACAATTGATGAATTCAATTTTATGCCTAAATATTATGTACGTAAAATGATGATGCCTTCCCCAACAGCTCTCCTTCCACGCAGGTACATATAATACGGATACGTCATTGGAAGAGAGGACCCCTGTTGTGACACCCCACTGTGACAATATGGGGAGATCCATTGGGTGCTAACTAGCTCCGACCCCGATAAACTTCCGACAGCTGTCCCCACCTGTTCGCCATATCATCAAGCTGCGATCAAGATAATCGAGGGCGATAACGAATTTCCGTCGCAAACCATCATCAATTCCATCCACGATATTCAATCAGCAACGAACTACACAATTAGTTGCTACTCGACACTTCGCCAACCTATTAGAAGCTGAAGAATTCAAAGAAGCCAATATGTCGTCCATACGCACCACGGTGCACGAGTCGCTGCCATGTAAGCTCTCCCATCATCACCAACTCCCAATCCCAAACCACGCACCTATCCAACAAACAACAACTAATCTCACCCATAGACGTCGACGCCGAACCAACCCCCACCGAGCGCGCCGCAGCAGAATCCCTAATCGCCGCCGAACAAACCACCTCCCCTCCCCCACCATCCCTCCCCTCCCTCCCAGAGCCAAACTTCAGCCCCCTAATAACCAGCGAACTGTCACGCATCGCCGCCAAACAACCACTAACCGGCATCGACCTATCCCGCTACGAAGCCCCAGACGCCAGCACCCTCTCCTCCTCCTCCTCCCCCTCCACCCTCCAAAACGATCTCTCCCGCGCCTACGCAGCCTCAACCTACCTCTCCTCCCGGCACACAAACCTGCAACTCCTAGACCAATACGGCAAAAACGCCTGGTTAATCGGAAACTGGCACCTGGAATCCGAGCTACGCTCCCTCGAGCGCGAGCTCGAAGACACAAAAAAAGAAATCGACGTAGTAAACATCCAACGCCGACGCGTACAAGATGAAGTCGGCGGGGAGTTAAAAGGTTTAGATGAGGCTTGGAGGAAGGGTGTAGGTCGCGTATTAGAGACTGAGGTTGCTACGGAGGGGCTACGGCAGGAGGTTCTTGAGAGGCAGAGGGGGGGTTAGAGGATTAAATTCGTCATGGAAATTGATATAGGGAGGCAAGGCAAGAAGGGTGATTGTGTACGATTAAGGGGTCTTATTTCACTACATGGCCGGAGAATGATACCAAATCGATGATTATAAAAAAGGGCAGCGCAATATAAGCAATACAAACAACCATAAAAAGGAATTGAATTGCAAGGTTCTATAACGAAAAAGCAAGCCTAGAAATTGGTCTAACACGGTATCAATGAATATCATAAAAACTTATTCGACACGGAAAACGAGGGTTATTCCGAGAACGCCTCCTCCAACAGAAAATGAATGCTGCCATCCGTCGTATAGGCTACTTCTTGCCTTTCTTGGAGTATCATGTATCTAATTCTCACATTTCTGTACACCCTCGATTACGTGCTCATCAGGATGTTGCATGTAGAGGATCAACATCCTCAACCCCTGACTTGACACCTACGTATTTGGTCCTCCTCATAATACCCTCGACAGGCCCCAGGAGTCTCTGGAAAGCGTTCTTCCCCAAGGTCGCAACCTTCACCTCAGTGGTACTGATAACATCTGCCGCTCGAGGCTTGTCATCTAGAAGCGCAAGCTCACCAAAGAAATCTCCCTTCTTGTAATGCTTGACAGATTCAGACCCATTATCAATATAGGCATCTGCTTCGCCATCCTCCAGTAGGAAGAATGCATCCCCAATGTCGCCCTGTTTGATTATCGTGTATCCCCTGGGGAACTTCTTGGTTTCCAGCGCGTCTGCAATCTTGGACCTCTCATAGGGGGTAAGAGAAGACAGAAGAGGGACCTCCTCAAGGAAGCTTTCGTACAAGCGCCTGCGCGCAAAGGTAGATTCCATAAGGATCCGACGGAATGTGACCCGGTCGAGTGCCCATAAAGTGCAACCAGGTTCGGCGGAGATAACAGTAGCAGCTCTTGGCGCATTGTACATCAAAGCCAGCTCACCGAAGGAGCCGCCAGCTTGGATGCTGCCAACTTGAGTACCCATCCCCCCTTGACCCGGTTGTAGAGATCCAGTCTCGTTGACATATACATTGAACGAGCCCTTTTCAACGATGTAGAAGTAATCACCAGCATCACCTTGGGTAATAACCTATAATCATAGATGTTAACAAGACCAATTTTTATCAAAATTAAATTGGAAGATGTCCATACCTTGATGTCTTTGGCTGGGATCGGCTTCTCCTGGAGTGCGCCAAGAATTTGGGTATTTTGTTCATCATCTAGATGATTGAACAAGAAGTTGCCTTCAATAGCCTTCTGAAGCCTCTCTAGTTGGTCTGGAGTCTTGGGATATGATGGAGGGGTCCAGTTGTCGTTGACATCCGCTACTGGTTTTAGGGATTCGGCAGAGACAGAAGTACGACGACCAAAATTGTATTGCGCCGGGTAACTGTCGGGGTTTGGTGGTGTTCTCAATGAAGATGGGGGTCCATCTGGTGACCCATCGCCGCCAAATGGCCCGCGAAAGCCAGAAGCATTAGACAGCCCAAAGTTGGGAGTTGTTGGAGAAGTGATTGTGTCGTTCTCATCTTCCTCCACTACGTTAAGCAGTCCCCCAGGAGGTCCATTGCCGCCCTCAGGTTTACCTCCATCGGTACCGAAAGGATTTGAATTACCCGCGAAAGGGCTTGTGAATGTGGTCCCCGACATCGCGCCAGTATTAAGGGTCGAGGCTCTTCGTGTTAGGTAGGCTGCGCGTTCGTCGGCGATACGGCGAAGGAAGTAATCGGAGCAAAATTGTAAGATATCGGGTGGGTTCTTGAGTCGAATTTGATTTTCGAGAGCTTCTATTTCACTTTGGTAAGCAGCAGGCAGAGACATGATGGGTGGGGCGGAAAGGCAGAAAGTAACCGACGGATGGATGCCTTGGTGTTTCAGCGATTAGGGGGGTAGCAATGGAGAAGGATGGTTGGGAAATGTTAGATAGGACACTTCAGGCTGTAACGATGGCAACATATGCTTGATTATAGTATTACCTGGGGGATGATATTAAGAGGTATGCAAGATGGTCCTAGCTGACTAGGTATTGAATATGACTCTAGAAGCTCAAAATGCTAGCACATCAGCTGGTATCAGCTAATGGCTTTGCTCGCTTCGGATGATAGAGGGGATTGGGAGATTGGTAAGGCGCTGAGAGAAGTGTACGTAGTATGTACTACGGCAGGACGAGGCTATGCTCGACATGCGGCGAGTATACATAGGAATATTGCAGATGTTGCGTAAGCAGGAAGTAATTGGAGTGATCAATGGTAGGGTTCGGAATAGGACGGACTCGAAAAGGGAGGTATATACGTTAAAGAATAATGAGAGGATAGCTGAATGGACTAGGGGGACACGAGAGAAGAGCTAGGTGGTATCCGAGAGATAGAAGAGCAAGAGAATCAAGTAACAATTACTCACTATTGCTATCTGTAGCTCCTTAATTAACACTCGCCGTCGCTTACTTCTACTTTTTTGTAGAAGCTGACGGTTTTGTGTACCGACTAGTTTAATTATGACAGAAAACGGTGGCCCAGCTCTGTTAGATGAACTCGAGGGCGGGATGGTGTTGACGAAGATGGAAATGAGGAGGGGTAGGGAAATGAAGCTAATCGATTCAATCTCTTGAACCCCTGAATTGTAAGTCCGTAATTGGCAACAATATTGATTACTTTTGGTAAATCTCTAACGAAAAAAGGGTGGACAATATGGAAGATTTGGGGTCTCGTGAGAGTTATGGAATTCTCTGTGGCAAAAGAGTGACGATTGAGGGGGGGATGATGAGTTTCTTGAGACGGGAAGAAGATCACGAATTGCGCTTGGTTGCTCTTAGCCCTTGAGACTTTGGGGGAGTGGGTCAAGATCAAGGCGCCAATTCCCCAGTTAAAGCACAGTAAGGGCCCTAAGGAGGCCCCAGCTCCCATCTCCATTAAAGCTTCTTCACGTTCTTCGTGCCTTCCAGAAGGGTGCACGGGCCATGTACGCAACCGTGTCCTGGCATAGCAGCCGGAGTACCTGCTTTATCTGCAGCTTTCCAGAGTGATTGGGTGCCTAGTAGGTACATAATGTACCTAAATTCGGGTTGGTATACCACTATGACATGTATTGTTAAGGTATTAATAGCTCTAGCCTACAGCTTACCTGCGTGCTATGATGTAAACCAACCCGAGGAAAAAAAAAAAGATAAGAGTCAAGTCAGAACAAATAATAAGTGAGAAGAATATGTATGTAATTATTGTTATACGACATAATATTACGACGTATTATTCTTCAACAAAATAAAGGGACTAAAAACCAAAAGTAGAAAAAGACCCAGCTGAATCTTGTTATGGGCGACCAACAGGTGATTTTTGTTGTGTTGTACTGGGTTATACTGAGTTGCACTGAGTTACAATAAAGTGTTACGTTGTGAAACCCCCGACGTTCTTCAGGTGGAAGGTGCTTTGTCTTTCTCTCTCATGTCACCTTGGGTATAGATCGGGGACCCCCATGTTTCTTTTCTTCTGGAAGATTTAATTGGTCCAAGCTTCGACTATTAAAAGTGGTGAACAAGGGCTTATTTTTGAATTTTTACTTGGGGTATATTCGGTACCGTATTGTATTTCTTTATGTAAGCCAAACACCTTTTTCAACCAGAATGACTCGATTTGATAGACTCACCGCTTATTTTTATTTCATTTTTTACATGATCTTTCTCAGCTATGATGAACCTAGTGTAACAGTCATGAATAGCTCAGGTAGCCCCCCGATATTATTTATGGTGCGAGGCTTGCAGGTCGTAGGTCAGCTTCGCAGAACCCGATAACCATTCAGAAAACGTTGGCAGCACGGCAAGCAAAAAGTAATTCTAACCGACATAGGTACCCAGGTAATAGTTGGCCTGGTTATTAGTCGAAAAACAAGAATAATTAGCCAGGTTTCTATGTGGTATGGTATGCATTGCATAGCTCACCCGCATCCTTACACTGATTGCCGTCTTATGTATCTTTCACTACCTCACGTAAGCTTCTCGTTGCATTTCTCTAGTACAATCGCGGCTACCATATATTCTATATTAAATCTCTTAATTCATTAGTTGCTCGGGATGCCGGTACTTAGTGAGCCGTATTGTGAGCCGCAAATCTCGATTATCCTAACCCTATTCAGGCTCTAGTACATCAAACTCCATTTTCGATAGATGACCACAAATCTAGGTGAATCATGTAAGTACTGTACTAATTGGGGTTTTAAATTGAGGATAGAGTAATAAGGCTAAGATGGACTAAAGGATGTGTGTCTGTGGTAGACGCTGATGAATGTAATAGGTAGAACAGGGGTGGCTCTAGTTTCTATAATGTAGGTGAAGCCACAACTACCTGCAAAGCATTCGCAAATCAGCTTTCTCTATCCTCCTTTTCCGTGTATTAAATGCAAGTCGAATAACTACCTCCAGTAAAGATACGTTTTTATGTACCTAGGTAGCAGAGATTAGTTTCTCCTCCTTTCGGCGCTGTTCTTCCTCGAGTATCTCTCTTTGTCGATGCGCAGCCTCGCCAACGGCTTTAACGCCCTTCTTTCTCTGTCTCTCCTCGTACAGGTCTCTACTCTTCATAATTCGTTGTACAATAGTGCCGGCGTTAACATCTTGGAACTCGTGACTCGAGACTTCCTGGAAAATACCCATCTGTTTTGGTGCAGTGTAAGGGTCGTACGAGAGCGGCATGAATGCCGTTGGCCCGTGGTACACAGCGTCGGGGGTTCCCCAAGGAGAACTCGTAAGGTACGATTTACTAGGCGAGAATGGTGCACCGAATATGACAGCGTTAATATGCTGCGAAAAATGGTAAGTAACGAATACCTAGGAAAAGATTTGAAGGAAAATTGCATACCCGGCACTGAAGCACGCAGAGGCCGCGCTCATAGATATTCATAATCGGATAATTCACACCTTTCCAATGGTTGATGACCTCATCGTCATGTACTCCTGCAACCACGAAAACTGGACCATAATCGGAACCCTTACCGACGCGTTCGTCGACAGCTTGCTGATCATACCATCCATCTTTCTTAGCCAAACTCTCTTCAGCCAATACGACTTGACGGAGGAATTCGATATGTCCACTAGAAAATAAATCAAACCCTCCATCGACGTAGACTACCCTTTGGCCTGGCTTCGGACCCGAGCCCTTGAGCAACGGACGGAACGCGCCCTTTTCTTCTGTGGTTTCAGTTTTCGCAGCGTTGGAAGCTGACCAGAAGTATACGTCGGCGCCAGGGTTCTTCCCAGATTCGTCGGTCGCATATTGATGGATTCGATTTTGCATAGCCTCCCCCTCCGACTTTTTCTCAGTTGCGGTACCGCTACCCTCCGTGCCGGCGAGCACATTTTCTAGCGACTTAATGAAGTGCGTTCTAGTACACAGCAACATGCGCCCAACAAGGTCAGTTGTCGATATACTCGGTGTGCGCTTAACCACCTTGAAACGACCAGCCGCCTTCACGAATCGATAGCAATCCTCACCGCTACTGTCCGAAGTAATGTCGTCTCCGTGCACCACATACTTGCAACCGAAGTGACTTATGAAATCTAGCTGCGTAACATATGGCGCGTATGCGACGGATCGGGTAACCCAGCGACAAGCATCTACGGCAGCGAGCCTTTATTCATTCAACCCCAGGATATCAGCAGAACGCTCTTCAGACTAGGATCTGGGGAGAGCTATCCGTACCGTTCCCGTAGATTCATGACCGTTGGTCCTTTATTCTCTAGGATGGCCTCGTCGGAGTGCACACCAACATATAACTCGGTGCCGAGTTGACGGGCTTGTAACATAGCACCGGCATGGCCGTGGTGGAAGAAATCCCAGCACCCATCGACCCAAATTCGATCGTCTAGAAGCTCTGGGGCTGGTGGTCCAGATAGAACCTCTTGTTCCGAACTCATGGTAAGTAAATACCCTTTTTAGGATGAAAGGTTTAAAAAAAGAATAGACCCTATTATGTATGTTAGTTCGAAATAAGAAATGACAGCTAGGTTTACAAGCTGCACCTGCCCAACTTGGTTGGAGTTTATTGATCTGATAGGTGCGAGGTACGGACGAGACACCGTTTGAGGCCTTTTTAAAGACTGTGGGTAATACTGTATACGTACGGAAGGTTACACACGGAGTATTTCCCAACGTTCCACAACAGAAAACCAACCCCTCATCTTGGGGGTCACCTCTTATCGACAAGAGCCTAGCCTAGTCCCCGCTGCCCCGATCCGTCACCCCACCATCGCAAACGGGCATCTCTAAACCAGTAATCGCAACCCGTGTAAGAGATCAACACTACCCGGAATAGTCAAAGTAACCTTACCCTTTATTCCTACGGCAATTCCCTATATCAATCCTCCCGTAATGCTAACCATGTCCTCCGAAACCCCGTCCACCGGCGGTCTCACGCCGGCGCAACAAACCGCCTTCTGGCGCGACGGCTACGTCATCATCCCCGATGCCCTCCCACCAACAACAGTGCGCGCGCTCCTAGACGAGACGCACGCCCTCCTCGACAACTTCCCCTTATCAGACCACCCCATGACGCGCTTCAGCACAGGCGAGAAATCTGCACATGTTGGGGACGACTACTTCCTGACTTCGGGGGACAAAGTGCGATTTTTCTTCGAAGAAGACGCTTTTGACCCGTCTACGGGAAATCTTACGAAACCTAAGGCCCAGGCTATTAATAAGATTGGGCATGCGCTGCATGAGAAGTCACCACCGTTCGCGGCTCTGCTTGATCCGGCTTTGAATCCGGATTTACTGGGTGCTGGGACTAGTAGTGGTAGTGTGGCTGCGGGGAGAAAGGAGAGCCATCCCGCAGCTGTAGCAAGAGCGCTGGGGTTCAAAGATCCTAGGTGTCTGCAAAGTATGGTTATCTGTAAACAACCTGAGATTGGCGGTGCTGTGCCTCCACATCAAGACAGCACGTTCTTATATACCGATCCGCCGAGTGCTGTCGGTTTTTGGTACGCGCTTGAAGATGCTACAGCCGAGAACGGTTGTTTGAGCTTCTTACCGGGAAGTCACCGGTGGGCGCCTGTGCGTCAGCGCTTTGTACGCTCTGCAACTGGGAATGGGACTGAGTTTATAGATAACGCCGGGCCTAGGTTTCCTCTTGGTGAAGATTACGGGGAGATTGTTGGACAGAGCGAGGAGGGAGAGTACAAATTAGGCGAGGTCAAGGCCGGATCATTGGTTTTGATACATGGTAACTTACTACATAAGAGTGAAAAGAATTTGAGTCGGAAGGGGCGTATAATATATACGTTCCATGTCATTGAGGGAGAAGGGACTAAGTATGACGAGCGAAACTGGCTTCAACCATCTCCAGAAGGTTTCACGCAGCTGTATAGAGATTAGGGGGAAGGGCGGAGTGATTGAGCGATATCATGTATGATTATGTTGAAATCCACGGGATTCTCTTGCCTACCTAGGAAGCTTGATACTAATGTATACCAATTTCAAAGCATTTAACATCGTCACTGCCACTCATGCGGCTTGATAAATATACACCGCATCTCCGGCACCCTCCCACACTTTATCTCCCCCCTCTCCACCATCGCCCCAATCCTCTCTTTTAACCTCTCCCTTACATCCCTCCACACCGTCATCTCATTCCACTTCGGATCCCTATCTTGATCATACTCACGATAGCCCACACCATCATACTCATCCGGCACATCTAGCACCACCTCCCCTCTATCCACCATCTCCACAACTTTTGGATGATTCCTCCAGGTCCGAAACCGGGGGAACACGAGTTCAACGCCGTTGTAGTATTCATCACTTACACGGAAATAAAGTGTCTCGATTCCCGTGAAGCCCTGCATAATATGATTCATAAACCTCGGCGACCTGCCCGCGTCCGACATCGTGGTACCAAGCATAGAAATGCGTCAGACGCGCGACATACCACACCGCGCAAAATAACCCCGAAGAAGAGGTCTAGACCCCTGTTCGTAAAAATGCCGTAATGGACTCCGGCTGTCGAAATGTAAGATATCGAGTTCGGGGCGGAACCATTTTGTTTCTGATAATATTTGCTCGACGTCGGTGTTAATATCGCTATTTTCGCTGTGCTGAGACTGCCATCCGTGACGCAAATAATACACCACCGCCGCAGCCCGTGATTCCCGACATACCTGTACGACGGACGGCGCGGCTTGAGGCGGTGCGTAAACGTACATGCCCCGAGGAGGCGACCGCTTCTGTGAATCTGCGAAGAGCCGCGCTGGATGGCTGTCTAGACAAATGTCTCAAATGATATGTCGTAGCTCGCTAGGGAGAAGTTTGAAGTTTTCGAAAGCCTCTGACGGCGCTGACATGTTGAATTGTGAGTGGAAATATGTGTAATGTTTGCCTAGGTAAACTTGTGACCGTTGGAGAGAAAGGTAGTGTACTTGGATCATACCTTTTTAAGGGTGGATTGTGCCCTGCGCCGTTAACTTGCATCGATGGCCCTTGGTAGCTACCTAGGTATACTTGGTCTGAATTCTTAACATTCATCCAATGCAGCCTCGTTACTATTGCTATATAGCTCTGAGGGATCTTCGTGTTTCTTCTAAAGTTGAACATCACATTAATCTTGCACATTTAATTCCTTAATTACCATATAGACAACTACGTGTGTAGGCATCGCATTTTTCTACCTATGGACTAGAGGTTAAGAATTTAACCCCTTTACATACAAATCGGGATTCGTCCATATATCCGTGTGCTATGGGACAAGCAAAAATCTCGCGAAGCCAATAGCCGAAGTCCCTAAAATGCCATACCGTAGCTTTCACCCCGAGAGAATTGGCCTATTTCTCTCGTCATCATCTCTTCCCATTTCTCCCTCTCCACAAAGGCCGAAAGGGTTTGCTATATCCGTAGTGGATATCCCCTGATTGCGATGAAAAAAGTTCGCAATAATGACTCGTACATGAGTTGTGTAATGTAATGAATACAGGCAAATGACCGATGTGAATAGTGTCATTTGCAACGTCGCAAGCGACGAAGAGAAAGAAGGCTGAATTATGCGTTGAGTTTGGTTGCTTGTTATGGATGATAGCGATCATCATAGTTCCGAACGCAAATTTTTAATGAAGGAGTCATCATTCACTCGTAAGCTCGTGAAAGCTATCCAGGTCAATGTCCATCGCTCCAATGATTTCCGCCATGTATAAAGGCAGACACGGGAAAGGAATCCAAACTACCTAACGCTGCTAGCGGCCGTAGGGATGGAAGCCTCTATTTCCGCCCCGGCCACCGCCGCGGTAATTCGCGCCAGGTTTGCCCGCATTCTTTGGACCAGTAGGTGCGTTAGCTGGCGGTGCGTGGTTAGGGTCAGAAGGGCTTGGACTAGCTTGGTGCCCGCCTCGGTTCCGATGAAATCCACCACGGCCTCCTTGGTTGAAGTTGGGCTGAGGGATATCGTCGTACATGCCTTCCCAGGAGGTTGGATCTCCACCACCCATGTTACCACCATAATTCTGGTTATATCCGCCTCGACCACCACGTCGACCGCCACCACCGCGCGAGTTAAACATCTGTCCTTGGTTGAAATCATTAAATCCTTGTTGGTTTCCGTCGCCTTGACCCTGACCTTGGCCGGCGCCTCCGTTACCCATCATCTGCTGTTGCATTTGCTGCATGAGAGCTGGATTCATATTGGCCATTGCTGCCATGGCATTATTCTGGGCGCTCTGGCTGGCGCCTCCTTGGGCCATCTGTTGCTGTAATTGTTGCATCTGTTGCATTTGCATCATCTGCATCATAGCTGGGTTCATGGCGTTCATGCCCATGCCCCGATTCATAGCCATCTGCTGCTGCTGCATCAATGCCATGTATTGTTGCATTCTTTGCATGTATTGAGCCATGACCTGGGGTGTCATTCCTCCTTGAGCCATCTGGCTAGCCATCTGATTTTGGTTGCTAGCTTGGTCGTCCATGCCTGGCTTCCTGAATTTGCCACGTCTCGAGGTCTCTTCCTCCTCTCGCATGTTTCCTCTCGGTTGAGCCTTCTTGACCTCAATTGGTTTACCGTGGATCTCTAGGTGCGTGCTGAGACAGGCATCGACACCTGCTTCGCTTTCAAATGTAACGAATCCGAATCCTCTAGGACGGCCGGTATCTTTGTCCATCATAAGGGTAGCGTCGACAACTCGACCGAACTGAGCGAAGTAGTCCTTAAATTCTGGCTCAGTAGTCTCCTGACTGACACCTCCGACGAAAATCTTGCTGGTTTTCTCTTGCTCATCTCGCGGAATCGCTCGCTTCGGATCAATCTACGACAGGAGTTAGTACTTGGTCTTTAGAAATGGTGTAAATAAACTTACAATTTTGCCATCCAAGAAGTGCTCTTTGACCATAACAATATTCACTGTCTTAGGGTCTTTGAATGTAAGAAATCCGAAACCGCGTGATCGACCAGTAGCCCCGTCTCGCATAACTGTACACTCTGTCACTTCGCCAAATTGCGAAAAATAATCCCGTAGTGACTCTAAACATAGATATTAGCGATAAAATTCAGACGATATTAAGTTTATATGCGGGCTTCTTACGATCGGTTGTCTCCCAGTTTAATCCACCAATAAACATTTTCCTATAAATAAAAATGAATTAGCCCCAGCTATAATATAAAATATTATCAAGTATAAGAGCATATAGTCGATCAGTATCTGCAGTTTGTGTGAAGCTGATTGCCACTTGACAAACACTTCAAGCTCGTATGCAGTCTGCCATAAGTCTGCATAGATACCCTCCGGCCTAGAATAGTCATCATCTACACACTCTGGTGCGTGGTGGAAGATCGGGGTAATGGGTGGATTGCTGTCTAGAGTATCTTCATCAAGCTCGGACTCTTCACTATCAGATATACGTTGTATATAATCCGTCTCTTTTTATGCTGGGTGCGTCCATAAGGGCTGGCGTTGTGTACGAAAGATTTTGTGTTTCAGATGAAGTGATGAAGATGATGATGATGCACAGGCTAGTGGCGTCGTTGAGGAGCAAGTCCTAGATAGCACTCCTCGACAGATGAAGACAAGGCAGGTGATGTCTGATATGTCGAATTCTCGTCTCTTTGCTATCGTCAAGCTAGGACATAACCTCGAGCGCTATTCGCTGCCAATTCTCTTGCTACAGCCTTCAAAGCAATAGTCCTTCGTATCTTGAAGCTAAGCCTATCCCTGACGAGTGGCTACGGAGGGCAGTAGTAGTGTCTGTTCTGTCTGTACTGACTATGGTCGAGCTTTTATCGCTGGCTTTCTTAAGGTAGTAGTGACTCCTCCGCCTTTCATTTCCTCTTTCTTCCCCACGACGTATGTTTGCACCTCTTGAGATCTGGATGTTTGGTGGTATCTTTTCCCCGTCGGCAATGCATTTTGAATGTCGGCCGACTTAGCAAACCCGACACAAAACCACCCCTTCGGAGATAGCTAACGAGACATTATAGCTCTCGTCCACCAAGTCCTCCCGGCTAAAAACCCAGGGTACCAAAGCACATATTCTCGATTATCCAAAGCCTAACCAGGTGGGGTTTATACCTCCTGACTCAAAACGCGCCGAGCTTTCACGCCCTGAATATTGCTTGCTTTGATTTTGGCTTTCAGGGATGGACTCGGGGCAATATAAGCTCGTCTAGAGCCGGTCGACTAGCAAATATCTTGGATACGAAACAAATGGACCTAAAATAAATCTACTTACCCATCCTCTTTGGCACTAGGTCCTCGAGTGGTATGATATCCAGCTCCAGGGTCATCATGCTGCGACTGCGCAATCGCGGCTGAAGTCGAGCCATTGCCTAGGTTAAAATCGACATCGTCGTCGTCATCGTAGTTTTCATCTTGATATTCGTCACCATAACCGTTTTCCTCAGTTGTATAAGCTATATCGTTAGATGCCTGATCGATATCGGGTTGGATGTGTGCCTCTACGGATGGCTGGGGAATCGAAGGAGTAGGCGCTGGGACCGGAACGGGCGCTTGAACTGCTGGCGCAGCTGGAGCCGCTTGCGCTGGAACGGCGGATGCGTCGTTGTTATCATCGTAACTATGGATGATCGGTGAGCTTGCGAAGTTCATATAACATGGCGGAATCTAGATATGACAGCAACGATATGTTGTAGATAAAAACTTACAGGTCAGCGAAGAGATCATCCTCGAATGTCTCTGGCTCGGCCATGGTGGATAATTGCTATTGAATCGCTAGACGCGCAACTTGGGGACTCAAAGATTGCGAAATGGATGTTGATTTGAATTCGGTTTGTTGCTACAGAGCTACGATAAAAGAGGATCGCGATTATCTAGCTCAATCGAATGATCATATGGTATTGAGAAGAAAAACTAAGGAAGTAAATTAATTACGCGAAAATAAAGCTTGCGTACAACGAATTGAGGTTCGAAGGGAGAAAAAAAAAAGAGGTGACAAGGGAAACCTGACTGAGGGAATCAACTGTGAGGAAGGAAACAGTAGAGAGATGAGAAAAGAATTGCAGTAATAGCCTGCTAGTTCAAAGGGTTGGAAGGGTTTAGCAAAGTTAGCTAGCTGGACTGTACGCCGACACGGCACTGTCAGGAAAAGTTTAACCAATTAGCGACGCGAGATCAGTTGGCAGAACAAACTTCTAGCCCTTCAGGAAGAAGAAGAGATAGGCGGTGGGTATCCTATTAAGGCGTGCGGCGTCGGTGCACGAGCCATCCATGTAGCTCGCCGCCAATCATATTAGAACCCAAATGCACACTATGTGGGGATAGCTAAAGCCACCTTCTGGGCTGCTGGGCTGATATAGTTCACTAGCGTATTTTCCTTTGTAATTGAGAATTGATGCATTGCATCGATGTATCTAAAGTCTATATTTATGCTACCTCAGGTATTGATGTTTAATTTGAACTATTGCCCTTGAATTGAAATTCTAAGGACGAGTTATCAAAGGCAATAAAGATTAGTGGGGGGGTTTTGCGATACCATCATAAAAGTACATGCTGTGGTACGAATGCATGTCTTAGTCATTATGTACATGTACCTGCCCTTATTGTGTACATGAAGAGGTTCATGTAGGTACAGATGTACAGCCTTAGGTACGTTCGAGTACAGAATGACCCTACAACTGCCGAGGCTTAGGCGGTAGCCTTCTAGTTCAGCAGGTCTTCTTTAAGTACCTGAGGTACCTTTCGAGGGGCATTGTGCTGCTGCATTAGCTCGATCATTCGATGTACCTCTCTAACTTCAGGCGCTCCCCGTTCCTGTATTAATCCAATATTCAACCAAAGCCTACCTCAAGTCGTAGCCTGACTGATCATTTTTAACATCCCAACCAGCTATTGCAACTTCGACAACAACATGTGGCCGTGATAATCTACGAATATCCCTTATTACTATGTTCTCATCCTCGGGTAGCGGCAAAAAGCCGCCGTCCCAACAGGTAAGCTCTTCAGATTCAACACCAAAATATCATTATTTAATTGTTGACGATGACGTAGGAAATGATTCAAGTCGGTAAGTGCACTCACTCATCTTCCACATCCAAATATTACCTCAATGCGCTTATATGGCGCTTCAGTTGACCTGAAAGAGGCGAGTTTGCTAATTTGCGTCATTGGTCTTGATAGATAGATCTGAGTAGGTCACTTGCTGCTCGTCGTTAGCGAAGTCCGCTTCGAAACCGCTGTTGCTAAAGCTGAAGTAGGTCGGCTTCACCATTCTGGCGCGCCCAGAGAGAAGGCACTCCAAAAAGAACAAGCCGTGAGCATAACCTAGTAAAGGGAGCAGCATATTCCCATGCGGATATGCTCAAATTCGATAACTTGTGCGTCTCCGATGTCGGTTTTTTATGAACTTCTAATGTTGACTTTATACCCTTCACATCAGGACACTATCTGGCTCCTCATCTAGGCCAAGAACTCCCCCATCCACCTCTCCGCAGAAAGCTCGAACCAGCGATGTTAGCTCACCGGCACCGAAACCCTCCTCTGGCCTGTCATCGCCTCCGCTCAAATCTTATTTCAACTTCCTATCAAATACAAATCAAGATTGGAACGTCGAAGATCCTGAAGTGCTAGAAGGAGATGATATGCTTGGATACGAAGATGATGATGGAGATGATTTTGGTCTTCCTAGCTTGTCGAATATGAAGCGACGGACTCGACGAGCAGCCGCTGCTCAAAGTGGCATCTCCTCGCGCTTCCAAACCACACCGCTAGACGCTGCACTTGGCTTCCAAAATAGACGCTATTCCGACAGTGCTGATATAGCTATCGAACGACCTGCGCCAACATACCCAATGCCGAAGAAGAGTGAGGGGAAGATTCTCAGACCACAATACAAAGATATCCTTAAAGGTTGGTAGGCCTTTTTCACGTTCCTGGGCATTTCAATAACTTATACTGTATAGACCCGGCAAACGCCCTACACCTCATCGACCATCCCGCGACCCCTCCCAATGCCACCCCGAAAGAAATCGACGCAATCAATTCGCGAATAACGAAGATCAATAAGTTCAAGAAAATTCTCCAGGTCAGCACAATACCCTTGACAGACCTTCGAGCTTTAGCATGGAGTGGTGTTCCTGAGGAGGTTCGGGCTATGACATGGCAACTTCTGTTGAGCTACTTGCCAACTAGTAGCGAAAGACGCGTTGCGACACTGGAAAGAAAGAGAAAAGAGTATCTCGATGGGGTACGTCAGGCCTTTGAACGAGGGGGTACTAATCCTAGCTCCAGCGGCCGGGCAAGAGGTTTAGATGAAGCAATATGGCATCAAATTAGCATCGACGTCCCTAGAACAAACCCCCATATTGAGCTATACAGTTACGAAGCTACGCAGCGGTCGTTGGAACGAATACTATACCTCTGGGCAATTCGACATCCTGCGAGCGGCTACGTGCAAGGGATTAACGATTTGGTAACACCTTTCTGGCAAGTCTTTTTAGGAACCTACATCACGGATTGCAATATTGAGAGCGGCATGGATCCAGGGCAATTGCCGAGAGCCGTGCTTGACGCTGTGGAAGCCGACTCATTTTGGTGCCTAACAAAGTTGCTTGACGGGATTCAAGACCATTACATTGTCGCTCAGCCCGGTATTCAACGACAAGTTGCTGCGCTTCGAGATCTTACAGCTAGGATCGATGAAGGACTTGCAAAGCATCTTGAAAATGAACACGTCGAGTTTATTCAATTCAGTTTCCGTTGGATGAATTGTCTTCTTATGAGAGAAATCAGTGTCCGCAACACCATACGAATGTGGGATACTTATCTTGTGAGCCTTTCTCTTCCTTGAATGAGTAATCATTTATTAACTATCTACAGGCCGAGGAGCAAGGTTTCTCAGAGTTTCATTTATATGTGTGCGCGGCCTTCTTAGTTAAATGGTCATCCAAACTGGTCAAAATGGATTTCCAGGAGATTATGATGTTCCTCCAAGCATTACCTACCCGGGACTGGACGGAAAAGGATATCGAACTTTTACTTAGCGAGGCCTTTATATGGCAAAGCCTCTTCAAGAATTCGTCGGCCCATTTAAGAGGAGGGCCCAGTCGAGCCCCGGCAACCAATCTCCAATTATAGTATCAAGGTGTTGCTATTCACGATACTCTACAAGATCTGATCAGCCACTTAGAAGAGGAGAGTTAACGCAAAATATGGGGCTCTAAGGCTTGTGGTACTAGATTCGAGTTTGTCTGACGCAGGTTTGCGATGGCTTTAATTATGATCTCGTCTGTTATAACCATCTATCTCGGCCTTATAAGAATAATGAACGACCCGGGGCATCACGGCACACTATACCTTCGATGGGTGATCGCAGAACCAATTCGCCCGCTAGATGTTGGAACGATCACCTATCTTATCCCGGTCCCACTACATCGCAGCGATTCATATTCATACTCTGCGTGGGACTCGCCCTAATCACGGGCCAACGACTTTTGGATATCCTCGATTCGAAATCCAGGATCCAACAATGGACACGGAACATCCCGGTGTGTGAAACCTACCCTTCACACAGAAGCTCTTTCAAACATAGTGCCCCCGGCTGAACGCGTCTTGCTATCACAGCAGCTGAGTATTCAGGGTTAAATATTCTTGCCATAACGAAGAACAGCGCGTTATGAGTCAGGGGTCGATCAAATGTATTTAAGCAATATGAGCAAGCGTCTCAATCAATATTCCGTGGCAAGAGGTACTTGTTCGATCCCGCGGCCTGAGAAACTTCCAGCCCCGTGTCGATTTGTAGGCAAAATTCGCCCCTATTTTGAGTGATCGCCGCCAGCGTGAAACGTTACACCCAACTAAACCAACAGACATCAGCCATATGAAATCTGGGGGGTTGGTATTCTCTAATTCGAATTCAATACTCACCAGGAATTCTAATGCTAATCTTATATATAATATACACATATAATGAACCATCCTCCCCCGTAACTAACATGTCTAGCAACCATCATCAATGCCATCGACTCAAGCCGCTGGCGGTCCTACAGTCTCACTCTCAGCCTTATACGGTTTCACCACCATGGACTCTGACTCGATTATGATATGATCCAGCACTTCCCTCTTTGACCTCTTCGGCAGCGCTGCAACCCACTTCTCAAATCCCTTGAGGAAAGCATCAATCGCTACCCGATCCGACGGATCAAACGGCTGCTGATTGAAGCTCAACTGCCGCATATGCGCGCCGGCAAGTGACGCCCCATACCCCCACGAATCCCCTAAGACATTGGTATCGCCTACCAGCGGCTTAATACATCCCTTCCTGCCGTGCAACAGCATTTCCCGCGGCAGACTCGATTCCGTCGCGCTCGGCCGGCCTATCCCCACGCCATCGACCGCTCCCTTACTCTTCCCGTCTTTTCCCTTATCGCTAGAAGTAAGCAGCGCATCGACCATACCTCCCACCGTCCTCATCCCACCTGTCAAAAAGCAAAGCGAGCGCCCCTTATACGGCGCCGCCAATTCCGCAAACTCAATAAAAAACGCTTCCCGACGCCTCGTACTCTCTTTCCGATGGTGCCACGCAGGCGCCTCATAAGTACCCCCACTCAGTTCAACCGCGTCGAATTTCGCGGCTTCGAGGATCCCCATTAATTGTGCTGCGTCCTGCGGTCCGAAACCTGAGTCTTGGAACTCGACGCTGTTGATTTTTATCACGAGCGCGAAGTTTTTGCTTGTCGAGGCGCGGATCCCGGATGCGATTTCGGTTATTATACGTGCGCGGTTGATGAGGGGGCCGCCGTAGGCGTCGGTTCGGAGGTTGGTCGTGGGGGACAGGAATTGTGCTAGGAGGTATCCGTGTGCGGCGTGCAGTTGGATTCCGTCGAAGCCTGCTTTTTCGAGGTACACGGCTGCATTTACGAATGCGGATGTTATATCGCGGATTTCGGTGAGGGAAGCCGCGTGTGGCTTGCCGTAGTGGAATGTCGCGCCGTACCCCTTCGTGAGCTGCACGTCGGAGGCCGACACCGGGTTCTCTTGTAACGAGAACTCGGTCTGGCGACCGGGGTGGTTGAGTTGTGCGAGGAATATGGAACCGCCCCGTTTTCCGGCTTGGGCTAGGCGCTGGTAGGCTTCGAAGCGTGGGCCGGAGGGGGGTTCGTTGGAGGCTAGGATCATGTTGCCGGGCGCTTCGAGGTGTGTCGTGTCGATTATTATGTTGCCGGTTACGATGGTGCCCCAGCCACCATCGCCCCAGTGGCCGTAGAGATCGTATAGTCGTTGCGTGGGGATGCCGCTTGCTTTCATGTCATCGGGGTCCCAGGTCGCCATACGCTCCGTCATCGCTGCTTTGAGGAATCGGTTTGGTGCTACGATGGTGGAGAAGGGGAAGGGTAGGGGTTCGCCGAGGGGTGTCGGGTCGACGTCGCGACTTTCGTAACGTGTTGGCATTGTGATGTGGTGACGGTGGTGGTATTTGGGATAATTATATTTTGGCGGCCGAGACTACCACGTAAGTTCGTCTGGAAACCCAAACGACCTTGTCTCAGAGACTATGTCACTATCCTATTCTCTATCGATTTCTAGTAGCTATCGCTCAGTGATCATTTCGCATTTATTCACTTTGTATATAGAAATATCGATTAGACTAGAAATGATTATCTCTTCTTTCCTAAATACGTGTAGTCTACGAAGGTTACATTTTGTTCGCGTGGGGTTCGACATTCCTTATGCCGTGAACCCGGTACTGCCTGAATACGTCTATAGAGTGCCGGTCCCCCCTTTCGGCAATAAGATTGCGGCTCGATTTTGGGGGGAGGCACGTGTCAATAAACTATTTTGGGGAGATAGATCTAGAGCGTCCATAGTTATCTTTCCATACCTCGTAAGCGGCTATTGAACCCTAGTAGGAAGATGGAGTAGTCTGCGTGCGTAGGAATCTGAGGCTGATACTACATTATCTCTTGCTTCAAAGTGGCCGGAGTAAGGTGTAAAAGATAGATTATATAAGCCAACCAATAGATAGCTACTCATAATAACAGTATAAAAACTCGATGCGATATTAATTCAATACCCACTTCGGGGTGGTTTCCTAGGTAGGCAGAATACCGTACCGATGTTCATATTTAACACCCCAGTTCCAACAGTTTAAGACTCATCACATTCTATACAGCTCTTGCGATAAAGAACCCCAGACGTGGCAAAGAGTATATTCAGCCTATTGGTTCGTATTCTACTTACCCATCATACAAATAGACTATAGGATCATCAAAGCGGACTTCATGAAGATCTAAAACCGGGACGCCGAAAAATGCATTTTCTCTCAATCAACCTTCACATGAAGCTAGAGTACCCCTCACACAGCTTGTCTTTCTGCCGTTAATGGTAGCGGTCGCGATTGGTTTCGTTACTAAGAGAGGTTGTACAAATCACACCTTGGTCGAGATCTTCTAAACCAGTCAGCTTTATAGTCGTATTTTGGAGGTATAGCAATAACAAAATGGTAACGTTGGAAGTAGTAACATTCCTCGGACAACGGCATAGTGTGTATCCTCCAGCTCCCAACGACAGATAGATGAACCCCGATAGGTCGGATGGTGCATATAAGATGACGCATAAACAGCAGGAATTGCACTATATATCCCTTCTCTTTCAAATGCAAATTATTATCTAGCAACTGAATTAATATAGTCGAGCCAATTGACAATCATATTAACACTACTCGGGCAGGGTGGTGTCGCAATAAGAAGAGACCCCGCTCGTGATTGTGCGACTTGAGAATGCGAATGAACTCTTCATACTTAGAAGAATCATTTACGTAGCCAAGCAATCTCCGAGTGGTGAATATTCAAAGGAGCCGATAATAGTTTTCTAACAGACCTCCCAGGCCCAAAGTCTCTCATAGTTGTACCGCAGGTGTCTAAGCACTATGGCAATATCGACAACTGCTTTGGTCTTGGTAACAACGGTCCTGATTCTTGTCTATCGGTTGCGAAACATCGGGCGGCGACCAAAGAATTATCCTCCAGGACCGCCAACATTACCTTTGATCGGAAATATACATCAAATACCCGCGAAAAAGTCGCACTTACAGTTCCAAAAATGGGCTGATGAATACGGTCCAATTTACTCGCTCATCCTAGGGACTCGTACCATCGTCGTTCTTTCTTCCGATAAGACGGTCCAGGATTTGCTCGACAAGCGAAGTAACATCTATTCCTCAAGGCCAGAGGCGTATCTCGCGAGAACAATTGACGGCGGACGGCGAATAGTATTGACGGTAAGCAATGCGAAAAAAAAAAAGAACAAGTCTCGTTTCGTGATGGCGTAGAATCTAACCGGAAACGTAGGAGTACGGAGACAAGTGGCGTGTGGGTCGTAAGGCCGTCCACAACAGTCTGCATATTAAGAAGTCGGAATCATATGTTCCATATCAAGATCTCGAGAGTAAAGCGATGCTTCTCGGCCTCCTCGATCATCCCGATCAATTCTACGCCCAAAGCCGAAGATACTCAAATGCTCTCACGACGCAAATATTATTTGGTTTCCGAACCACCTCAGTTGACGACCCGAAGTTTGTGCAGCTTTTCCAGGTGGGTTCGACGACAGGGTTACTGTTCTAATATTTCCGCAACTCACCGAAACATAGGGGTTCGAGAAATGGAGCAACCTCGGTGCTTCACGAACGGCCGCCTTGCTCGATACATATCCTATATTTAGACATCTACCGGATGCTCTATTACCAATGAGAAGATACGCGAAAGAGCTTCACAAAAAAGAAGCCCCGCTGTATGGTGGACTCTATGTAGAGGCCAAGAAGAAAATCCAGGAAGGTAGATCGAAGGTAACTGCCGAGTCTTAGCACAGTGAATCGATATAGATTGCTAACGTTATGAGAAGCCTTGTATGTGTATTGACCTAGTCAAAATTCAAGAACAAGAAGGCTTCGACGATCTCGCCGCCGGTTATATCTGTGCCGGGGTTCTCGAGGCTGGGTCGGATACAACGTCATCTACGTTGATTGGTTTCATCCAGGCTATGCTCATCTGGCCAGAAGTGGCTAAAAGCGCTCAAGCTGAAGTCGATCGAGTCTGTGGGGACCGTATCCCGGATTTGAACGACCTTCCGGATCTTCCATACATCCGTGGCTGTATGAAGGAAGGTTTAAGGTGGATGCCTGTCGTCATTCTTGGCATACCACACGCTGTTATTTGCGATGACGAATATATGGGCTACAAAATCCCGAAGGGTGCCGAAATAATAGGAAATGCCTGGTGAGTTCAATTTACCTCGACCATTTGATATCGGTTTGCTCATATGTCTTCGCATATAGGGCAATTCATAATGATCCGAAGCGGCATCATGATCCTCGACGATTCGATCCGACTCGCTGGGCGGGTGATGATCAAAATTCAATGGAATCTGCGAGTAACTTAGACGTATCAAAGCGCGACCATTTCGCATTTGGTAACGGCCGTCGCATTTGCCAGGGAATACATATTGCGGACCGATCCTTATTCTTGGGAATGTCACGATTAGTTTGGGCTTTCGACTTTGAAAGGCCCATCGATGAGGCTACCGGAGAAGAAATAATCCCGGACGCAGGTGATCTATCTCCGGATCCCGGACTACTGGTCCAACCCACACCATTCAAAGCGGTTATCAAGCCCAGGGACGTGGGGAAAGCCGGACGGGTCCGAGAAGAGTGGAGAAAGGTGACAGAATATCTTGATGACGCCGGGCAATGGAAAGCCGTACCGGGTGAATCGAGCTGGAAAGGTTACGAACAGGCTGAAACTGTGGAGAAGATGTGATTACCTAGAGGCTAGAAGTAAAGAAATCCCCTCTTTCTTTCTCTTTTTCATCACGCGCTCGATAAAAAATAGGGATTCGTCGTGTTAGATCGTATTCGAGGGTCGCTCATTGGTTAATGTCCTCCTGTTAGGTGATCATTAATATGTATGTCAGAAGTATTGTATGTGTAATGTGTGGAATGACTAAGTGAAAGAAATTGGTGCGAAATCTGGCTTAGTCCAATGATAAGATAGCAATTTACAGACGCGCCAAGGTCTTACTACGGCAGGCCAGGGGGCGGGCAGCCAAGGCAATGGGCGGCAATTCGCGGCCCCTTCCAGCCTTTCCCGCACTAAAAATGTGGTGTAAACTTTGTCTTTTTTTCCGTGGACCGAAGAGCGGCCAAATTCCACACTGGGGACTTCAATTCTTTCTCACCGTCGGCTTATACCCCTTTATTGGGCTATATTGATGTCTAGAGCTTCCGACTTCAAGAGTCCAAATTGAAATGCCTGTCCGCAGGGCTTTAAGTGGAGAATATTATGTATAAAGACAATGCTTGTTCTCTTGTCGTTGCGATCTCGGATCTATTCCCTCTCATTGATTCTTGGAGTCACTATCGTCGTGGCTTGCGCGTGCTTGACGAATTATTGTACACCCCGAGAAACGGAAGCCGATCTATCCATATCGAACAACTCAAGCGGATATTCGGCGTCATTTCAACTTCGGCAATGCCACCTAAGCCGGCTGAGAGAGTCTTCCCGTTTGGTTGTGTGAAATCAACGGCGTCATGGCTTGCTCCACTTCCCACATGATTTTCAGCCTCCGTGTGCAACCGAACTTCGCGAAGATTTTTGCAACTTGGCCCACACGACCACACACGGGATATTCTAGCTGGAATATTGGACCCAACGGCCACTTCTAGAATGGGGGTTGTCAATAGTATGTGGTGTCACACACGGACTTTGCCCACCTGACACTATGGTTAGTGCAGCGTTCCCGAAGAGACTGCTTGGTCTTTCTATATCCGGAGCGTCCATATCGGTTCCAAGCTGGTGGAAGCTAGAGTCTCGGTAGGTACCTAGGTAGGTAGTATTGCACCTACGAACTTGTTCGTTTAGCTTTATCGGTTCGAATCTGGCCAATTGGTTTGATGGGAATACGCAAAGTTTGCACCCTTTGTGTTCCATTGGTGCTGCATGGTATCCGGTATGGATCCGAAAAGCTGTAACAGGGATCACACGCCCTACGTATGCAACCTGTCAATGAAGTCAATTCATTTGTACAATTTCCATGTATACATTACATGGAATTCTTGGCATGATGTGTACAGCAAGTGCAGGCACGGATCCTATTATTTTTTTCTAAACGGGAAAAAACCCTAATGGAGATAATCTCCCATTGGTCGTTGAGTCATTGTTCTTTCTCCCGCTACCCGCCGCCTACCTCCTAGCACCTATATGGGTAGTACTGGTAGTACTAGTAGTACTTATCCACTACGCTTCTAAAGTGTAAGGCTACCTCGGTATGGGGGTACCCTTAGCCTGCTTTATATTATTCAAGTTTTCCCTCGATTTGGGTTCCACACCATCTCAGTTTCTTTCCTCTTTGTTCAACAGTCGACCTGTAAGGGTAATTCTCATTCTAATCCTAGCGTTACTTAATTTACCATAATCCCGGGTTTCTTCCTTCTAGGGTCCCCATCATAACCCCTTATAGACTACCTACTCGATTAGTACCAGACGTCAACTCGCAAGTCATGGCCCCGTCTGCTGTTGCTTCGACTGTCCATGCCGGTGAACAGGACCTTGACCTGACGTCCTCTGCCCTTGACCATAGATCGGCAGAGAACGGCCAGTCTAACGGAAGTACTAATGGTTCAAACGCTCCTCCGTCATCGAATGGTCAGGACAATGGTGTTGCTCAACCGAACGTTCATCAGCTAGATGCTTCCAAGATCACCTACACCTTCACTAAGGAACCACGAGATGTTCCTCCCCCAGGTGTTCACTCTATCGATGGTGCTACAATCTGTACCGACCACATGATTACGGTAGCATGGTCCGCTAGATCTGGATGGAAGACGCCTGAGCTTAGACCATATGGTCCCCTGAGCCTCATGCCGACTGCCTCCGTCCTTCATTACGCCACTGAGTGTTTCGAGGGCCTGAAGGCTTACCGTGGCTTCGATGGCAAGTTACGTTTATTCCGACCCGACTGCAATGCTGCCCGTTTCCTCATGTCCTCAGTACGAATCAGCCTGCCGTCTTTCACTCCTGCTGAAGTAGAGAAGCTACTCTTGGCATTGATGGCCGTAGATGGCCCGAAATGGCTATCTCGTGAGCGTCCTGGCTCTTTCATGTACCTTCGCCCAACTATGATCGGAACTCAATCGCAACTTGGTGTACAGGCACCATCAGAGGCTCTTCTCTACATTATCGCTAGCTACATGCCCGTCATGGACTCACCAGTCGGTGGTATGAAACTCCACACTTCGCCGGACGACATGGTACGCGCTTGGGTTGGCGGCTTCGGATACGCCAAAGTCGGTGCCAACTACGGACCTTCTCTACTAGCAACTCAAGAAGCCCGCGCGAGGGGATTCGGTCAAATCCTATGGCTATACAGCAGCGAAGGATACTGCACGGAAGCCGGAGCAAGCAATTTCTTCGTCCTATGGAAGAGCAAGGAAGGAAAGACTCAACTCATCACTGCCCCGCTAGATGACAGACTAATTTTAGATGGTGTCACAAGACGTAGCGTCTTGCAATTGGCTCGCGAGCGATTAGGCGATGAGATTGAGGTGGTCGAGAGGAAATACACCATCCAAGAGGTTATGGAGGCCAACTCAGAAGGTAGACTCATAGAATCTTTCGCAGCTGGCACAGCGGTAAGTTTATCTCCGATGCTTTTTGAGGGAAGATGTGGTATTCTGACATGTTTCTAGTACTTTGTCTGTCCAGTTTCGCTTATCCACCACCGTGGAAAAGACGTCGAAATCCCTATGGGCAAGGCAGGTGAGGGTGGCCCATACACTCTGAAACTGAAGGATTGGCTTAAGGATATCATGTATGGGAACGTAGAACACCCGTGGGGCGTCGTCGTACAAGAGGAGCGTTAGGTTATCCAAATGTCCGGCGCCTAGCCGTAGTTGTCCGTCGCGCTGTGTATCCTTCGCCAGCTACAGGTCTAGGGTTCCAATGCTCCGCATCGGTCGGGCAAGTGTCATAGCTCGACGGCGCTTTAGAACTCATTTTTACTCGGGTTGTTTACGCCCGATAATGTTTATTGGTCACGAGTGGGCAGTCACGAGAAGTATGGACGGAGTTGAGGTTGGGGGTATTCTCTGGTGCGATCTTAACATTACACGAAGCGATGACACGACACTTTAATTCGATCCACGACTATACAATTGGCATTTACAAACCACCTCATTAGGCTACCCTCGGAAAACGACTAGGAAACCCCGCATGATGGATATTTGTCTTCGTCTGTACATTTTCTATCTAGTGTTTCGTCTGATCAACCAGACTCTGGGAGAGATAAAAAGGAGGGGAACAGCAGACGTAACAGCGTTTACGAGCATTTCGGGTTTGTTTTTCTTCGATGGCTACACGGCTAGAGCATTCAACCCTTGTCATGGGCGAACATACCTAATCAATTGGTATCACAACAATTCATAGCGAGTTTAACCCAGCTAAGTTTCTTAGGACCTCCATTCTGAATACTTTTCGGACGAAGCACGAGCATGGATAGCGAATCGCGTCATTGGTTTAGGACAAACACATAAGTCAGGCATATGTCACCAATCTAGATTTTTTTTTTTTTTTTACGGAAGGCACGTTAATAAAAATGCGCTGTTAGATGCAATTCGCATAAGCTTGAATGTACGGGGCGTGTTTGCATTGTTGTTGATACGGAGAAAGAGTTGACTCTTATCATAGACGATTTTTTTAGCAGCCACGCACATTAGACAACTGTATTAGGCGACCCTTTATACCAGCAAATTTATTCGCATAAATTAGAAAGCTGAAGCCATTACTAAATCCATTTCACCATACAGCCAATATAAATTAATCGAAGCTTTCGTCGAAGCTCAGCTCAATCACCCAATTAAATCACAATGGGTTCCCGAACAGCAAAACGCGCCATCCGGGCATTGAAAAGAGCCTTTACCCGCACAGCCCACGCCGTTCATACACATCGACAATGTCACTCGAGATCATCCCAGACTCCTTCTACCAACCACACCCAATTCCAACCTCAACCCCAATTTACATGTCGCGCAGCAGCTTCAGCGGTTCAGGAACGAATGCAAGATATTCCCGGCCTCCTTCTCAATCTCCTTGAGAAATTTCTAGAGCTCAATCAGTACGTCGCGCCGGTATATGTGGACATGTGGCAAGTCGACGAGTCGGGACAATCAGATTCTGGACCTACCTCTTCATACGTCATCATCTCCTCCACGACATCTTTACTCGCGCTATCGAGATCGGATTTAAATGCGCCGAGTACCTCCGCGTGTGAAGAGGAAGCAGATATTCCCTTAGTTACACTATCACCGTTACTTGTGCGTAACGAACTTGGCGATAATCCCTTCCGCGACCCGGATCCGGACGATTCACTATCACTAAGAAGCAACAACTCGTCGATTTCAGCTTGGGCTTCGGCCCATTCGGTCCATAATTGGTCTAAATCGTCGCTTGCCGAGGCTAGCGATTCTTCAAATGCGGATACGGCGCCGCGGATCGCGACTGCGGCTGTGCGGGCGCGACCGTCGGGTCCTGTGGCTGCGTAGTCGACTGTTAGGTCGATGAGGGGTGTTGTTAGTCGCCTGTTTAGCTGGGTTTCGAGGGTTGCAGCTTTTTGCCTGTTTGCGCGGATACTGGATTCGCTTTGCGTTACGAGATTTGTTTCGGCGGTTTCGAGGAGGGAGTGGGCGGCGCTGTGCAGGGTTGCGCGGAGGTGTGTGTATCGTTCTGAGGAGGAAGAGGGGGTTAGAAAGGGAATGTCGCTTGCAGCATAAAATCGAGAATCAATCATTTTACATGATGATTTTACATGAATACAAGAATCAATTTTAACAAAAGAAATGACTACGTAAAGATTTGGGGATTGATAAGAGGCGCATACCATCCAGCTCCGTGACCAGCGGCGGGTCCGGCTCGGGCGACCGGCTCGGGCGATGACGACGACTATGGTAACGGTTTATGGTGCGGTCCTCTTCATCTGCCCTTGGCTTCTTGTATTTATCAAACAGAGTCGCGACGGAGTAATGCGTTTGCTTTTTCTTTTTAGGTGATGGTGGACGCGCATCGTCATGTTCTTCGTCTTCGTCGAGAAACAGACGGCGTTTTAAGGCCTTCTGACGAGTGGGAGAATTGTTCTTTAAGGGACTAGGGGATTTTTCTAGACGAAGGCGAGCGAACATGATGAGAATTTGAAGTTGAGTGGTCTACAAAAGAGAATTGCGCTTATTTCTATTGAGATTTGTAAATGAGTCAATTCGTTTAGACTCATTGAAAGACGAAGAGACGATGATGCACCACGACATAATTCTTGGCTCGTTAAAATACTTTTCAATTGCTTAAGGTTCTATATGTAAGAATTAGCGTGACTGCCGGCCACCCAAGCTTTCTAAATGCTAGGAAGGAAGGAGGCTTGGAAAGATTGAATGCGACTACCTTGGCTTGTCGGAACGCCAGTACATATATGTATCGACCCTTCCTTTCTCAAATGTATACCAAATCTTCCTTCCTCGTATATGATTAGGCAACGTTAAGGGGCATCTCCATTTAAATTTCCTTTGTTACCAAACCTCAACTTCTCCCCAATTTACTCAACTATCTCCCCCTTGATCAAGACTGGTACCAGCACTCCAGCAGCCACCCAAACCTCTCTGTGACGTGTGAGGCTATACAGGGCTCTGATCAGGCCGGAATGCGCGGTGAACGAGACGACGGTATTGTAACTAAGGAACGCGTCGTCCAGAACTTGCTTTACTCGACCCTCAACCTCGCTCTCGGCCTCTCGTTCTGTTGATTTCCATTGTTGGTCAATTTCCGTGAATGACGACTCGGTCCTGAATTCCGGATAATTGGATACAATCCAACTTCTCGCGCTGCGGCGATCGCAAGTGTGCGCACCGAAACGTTCTCGCAAATTTTCCTTGATGATTGGTCTGTAAGGTCGGTCCGAAGGGACGTCGAGCCCCGAGTAGGTCAATCTCGTCGTCTCAAGGCAGCGAGCGAGGGGGCTTGTATAATATTTTTCAGGCGTCGGCATTTTAGTGTCTCGGAGAGAGCGCCGCCAGAATACGTTGAGTTGTCGTGCTTGTCGCTCTCCCTCCTCCGTTAAGCGAGCATCGGACCAGGTGGTCTTTCCGTCGCCATTGAGAAGCGACCAATGAGACTATACAACTTAGCATTCAAGGATACATACAATCAAAAAACGACCGTACTCACATCCCAAGCCTGGCGCCCTACTTCGCGCTCCTTGACGTTATGGTACCCCTCGCCATGTCTAATGACGAAAATTAATTTATAGATAACCCTGCCTCGTCCTTGTTCATTCTTATGCTCGAGGAAATGGATGAATCGCTCCCATTGATCCTTCTTGCCTTGCGGATCGAACGTGGCGTCGGTTTCATACGAACGGCTAAGTAGGCCTAGGCCTGGTCGGGTTATCTGTGTTCATTAGCCTATATTCCAACACCTGTGTGCACTGGGAACGCCTCAACTTACAGCTCGAAACGATGGCCCAATTGGTTCTTCATCGTGCTGGAAGAAACCGGGCACTGCTCAATACACCATGTTATCCATTCTCGCGTTGTTGTTTTGCTTTGCGGGTCAATGTGAATGAAAGAGAATGTTCAACCCAGCCAAAATCCAACCAAAACTTCCAGCAGCTAAGAAATAAATGCATAATTGCTTGATCCCAAAGTGGCCCATCGCATAGTAGACCTACTCACTAAATATCGTGACTAGCGGTTTGCTCAAAAGACGACTTATTGATTCGGACATTAGGAAGAAGAAAGTAGTATTTGTGTCACGACGCCTCGTACGCAGATCTAAGCGCTACAGGCGGGACATGCATCCGTAGTCACGCGTAGGATCGTTATCATTTGGCGATTGGCGTCGCTGAAGTCGCACAATGATGAGGCCATCGGACGAATACTGTCATGTTTGCTCCGAATCGTTCAATCAATCAATTTAGGCCGTCCTCGCATCATCAATCAGCCTATAATAATGCCGTCGCCTCCCTCGTTGGGAATATTGTGCTCCACTCATTGTTTACCGTCAAGAAAAAGATGGATTCAACTCATTAAAAATCGACGACGATCAAATCATGCGCGAGACGATTCAGAGACCAACGGGGGGTTGGGAGTTAACAAGAACCCGGAATCCTTTCCCTATTCAATCGTACCACTCCATCGCCGCCCCAGAAAAAGACTCAGAAAACGAGGATGCAGTGACGATGTCGCGAGCCCGTCGAAAAAGATTCGTTTACTCAAAATTCTACCGAATAGATCAGGTGACTTGATAGCATGCGATTTGCGCGCTGTTGATTTACATGATGCCACCTACGACGCACTTTCTTATACGTGGGGACCTACAACTCGAAAAGAGGCTGCAAGCGGGATGGATAGCGAGAGGCGCTATCCTATAATGTGCAACAACAAACGATTACTCGTAACAGTAAATCTCTTCAGTTGTCTGGAACAGCTCGAAAAGAATCGACATTACCACCGGGATCTTTGGATTGACGCGATATGCATAAACCAGAACGATCCGCCCGAGCGTAATCAACAGGTCCAAATCATGGGAGATATTTATAGGTCGGCGGAACGTGTGATTGTGTGGCTTGGCCCCTCTTATGAGGATGCGAAGCCTGCTTGGGAGTCAATTAAAGCTTTGAATGATCTGCCAAAGGACGAGAAGAATAACATCCTACCTGCCCGTATCCCTCACATGCCCAATGATGACAATTGGGACTCGCTTGCTTCCCTTTTCGCAAGAAGCTGGTTTTCTCGAATATGGGTAGTGCAAGAGCTCGTATTAGCCAGAGAGACCACCATCTTATGCGGCGACTATACGTTCGATTGGAGTGACATGGTTTCTGTCTCCGACTTCATGTCCAGGCAGGCATCTACGAACACGTTCAAGGCGCATTCTTCCAGGAACTCAGGCACCAATTTACTTTCATATAAAAATCCGTCAAAATTAGATGCAATAAGGAGGGACAAAAACGGGGGAAACGCCCAGGTTAGGTCAGGAGATATCCTACTTCGTAACATGGTTAGATGCCGCACTTACGAAGCATCGAAGGATCTGGATAAGGTGTATTCACTTCTTGGCCTTGCAGACCCTGGATTGGGCTGTAGACTGCTCCCTGATTATGAAAAGGAAGTTTCGGAGGTCTACATAGACGCCGCCAAATATATTCTCGAAAACACTGACGACTTGCACATTCTAGCTCATGCGGAAGGGGAAGATTTCAAGCGTGTGACTGGATTACCAACTTGGGTTCCTGATTGGGGCGTGAAAGAGCATGTAGGGCTCAGGATCACTGGCTGGTAGGTGTCATACCTAACCCCTATTTACCGCCATTACTTCACCAACTAACAAGATATAGTACGTAATTAAAATTTTCGCTTCTTCACTTAAGTTACAGGAACAAGCAATTACTTTTCATAATATGAAGCATCTCATGACTAACATACGCGTACTAATTAGATCAAAGGTACGAAGCTGCTGGTAAGCTACCGTGTTTCAAGGATCTTCGAGATGGTAATACGCTATTGCTGCGAGGCTTCGAGCTCGACACGATCAGCCGAATAGGGGTGACTAAAGCAGTAGTTAACGAAATGAAATCTTGCAGCGATTGGCTGAACATTCTCGACGAACTCGAACGCGACTACGCGACTGGAGGCCATAGGGATGCTTTTTGGCGAACTCTTCTGATCGACACGGGTCCGGGAGGAGTAGTGCCGATTAAGACACCCTGGGAAAATTCCTTCGGTGTCTGGATGAAACTCGACGAACGCGAGCCATCAGACGAGGAAAAGCAGCGGGCTACTGAATTCGAAGCCTCTTTTACTCATTCCTTAAATTTACGTTTATTTAGAACCGCTGGCGGACATCTGGGATGCGGCACGACGTCTTGCAAAAATGGGGACTCGATATGGATCGTGCAGGGCTCTCGGGTGCCTTTGATCCTTCGGCCTACACAGCGCACTGGCGGCGTGACGTATGATCTTGTTGGTGGGACATACCTTCATGGATTTATGCAGGGCGAGGCGCTTGAAGGGAGAGAATTTAGGGATATTTCTTTGGTTTAGGTATTTATGTGTCACGATATTACGCGGTCTTGGGTATGCGTACATGAGGATATGGAATTAATGGGTTTGGTCTTTGATTTGGGGGGCTATCATATAAAAAAGTTGGATGTATTACCATGTATTATTAACGAGGAATGGCTGGTGTATTTGATTGTTTATTTCCTTAGACAACGTGGGCATAGATAAGGAAACGGAGGGGGTTCGAGATGAATAGCTACGGGAGACCAATGCGTTTGCAGCGACGGCATATGGCTGTATAGTACATCGCGTATTAATCTACTGACATTTATACATAACCATGGACACTTTTATTTTCTTGCGGATTCGCACACCCTCTAGTGCCAGGCACGTTAAGGAGGTGTAGCCGAGTCATCGGCTTCTCTTTACTTGAACATCGCCCTCGCCATATCATGAATGTAGATGATTTTACTACAATTACTGGTATTAGTAAATATAAATATGCGAAAAAGAATGTGTCATTTACGATGTCAATCCACCTTGCCATCCACTTCTCGACTGTAGCCTTAGCCTCGTCGACAAGTCCGAGTTCTGGGGTTTCTTGTTAGTGAGTAGTTGAAATATAGGAAAGACATGACATAACTCACCAAGTAGTAATTGAACACCCCCTCGGATCCCCGACTCAAGCGCCGAAGCGATCCACGCGTGCGTATAGGATGTCTGTTCGCCGACGAATATCATCTGTAGGTATTAATCGTAACGTTAGCTTATGTATTGTTGAAAGGAGGGAGGGGCACGCACGTTACTATACGTCTTAAAATACTCCGGCAAATACAACTGATGCTGTCCCACCGTCGGACTCGCCCAACTTCCCCCCTCATACACATCCAGCATCCAGCAGCGTCGGTTATACTTCCCCGTGTACTCATCATACGCGACTTGGCCGTGGATCTCCGCCATCGCGTCGACCATGTACTGGACGTGCTCCGCTTCGGGCACGGAGACCCATCGCGCGCCCCAGTCGCCTGAGGCGTATGAGGCGAGGATTGTGGCGGGGCCGGTGCAGTTTAGACAGTATGATGGGTAGCAGATGGAGCCGATACCTGGGATGTCGGTGGTTGTGGAACAGCCACCGAAGATTGGGTTGGTGAAGTGCTCCCAGAAACGGGTGCGGTATTCGAGGGCTACTTTGCAGGCTGCGGTGAAGGGCATGTTTTGGATTGCGTTGGATATTGTTGGAGGTAGGTCTGCGTACAAGTTTAATTTGGAAGTTCAAGAGGTCAAGAGTAAAGGTGGGTAACATACATGGGAGTCTCATTTTTTTGACAATGGAGAAGGGTAGTGCGAAGACGGCGTAGTCATGTGAGGAATTCTGGAATACTGTGTCTGTGTAGTTGTCTCTCCATTGCAACTTGACTTGCTGGATATCGTCAAGCCATTCGACGCGCTCGATTCTGCGGTTCATTGTGGTTACGTTGTCTACTAAGGGATGGAATGATTCCGGAAGCCGGCTTAGACCTGGTATTTATCGTGAGCTGTATGAGTCTCTCAGCGGGGATATAAACATACCTCCGTCTATAGTCTTCCAACTTGTGGCACCGAAGTACACGCTTTCATAGATCTATAGGAGTCGTAAGTTAGCGAAAATCGATTTCTTGCAATTGGCTCGCTCACAGTATCCCAGAATGAAGTAGCACCCCCACTGAGGACGTCGGTGTCGTTCAGGGACGCTTTGAGGTAGTTCACCATATAAGCGAATTCGGACCTATTTTGAGTTAAATGTCAATGACGGCTCAATTTGGTCGCATTTGAGTGTGTGGAAGTCAATGTTTTTTTAAACTTACCAGACATCACCACCGAGTCCACCGAGGCCATTGACTATGGGTTCGTTAACATTGCCGCTTCAAAACCGAAGCTCGCCGTCTACTTGCCTAAGAAGTCCTTATGGGCCTTAAACGTATTATTCGCAATTTCAATCATGAAAGTCGTATCCGAAGTGATAGTGCTGATCTTAGTAGACAATGCCTCAGTAGAGGGATTCAATGGGGCACTGGAAGTATTGAGCTGGGAAACAGTCGGAGGTAGACCCGTGTCCAACTTCACGCCATTATAGTAATACAAACCATTGGGGCTCGACTGGAGCCACGGAATGAAGTCGACACTGAAATTCTTATCGTTGTTGTTGATTCTGTTCATCTCGCTAGCGAGTTGAAACACCTATTACCCGTTAGAGAATAGGGATTATGAGCCTAAGGATATAGAAAACTTACCAATTGGTGATCCTTAATAGGATAAGTCTCATTCAAATACGTCGCCGTCTCCGGGAACCGCATTGGGCCCATCTCCTGGTACGAATAATCAAAAGGACCTCCCGAAAGATACTCGGTATGAACTCTCCCACCAAGCCTTTGACTGGCCTCAACAATCTTCACATTTGTGAGTCCAGCCTGTGTCAGAACTAAATAAGTCATAAGTCCTGACATCCCCGCGCCCACGATAGCTACATCTTTCGACTTAGCCTCCGCAGCATCGAAGGCATTGATTTCCTTATTCTTAAGCAATTCAACACCGTCAAACCATGGGCCCCAAGTATCGATACCGGTGGCATTGGTCATAGGTATGCTATTGGAGCCACGTCTCTTCAGCTTCCTCCTGCTTAGTCGCTGTGGCTCGCTGCGACCGATTAGTGATCCGCGCTGATCCCACGCCGAGATACATCCGTCGAATCTCACATCGTCCGGCAAGATCCAAACTAATCGCGACTCTTTGGCCTCTTTGCCCTGGCCGACGGTATGGTGAGCATCGCTAAGACGCGTGGAATCGCATCGGCCGAAGGTATATGTCACTATACCATCAATCGGATTATCGAACGATATGTGAACATTGGCAAGGCGAGAAGTGAGTCCTGAACGGGTCTCAAGTTTGACAGGTAGACCGCGAGGAGAGATAGAAGCCGCTTGGCTCGCCAGAGCAGCGAGAAATAGCCAATACATTATGAAAGCTGACCATAAGAACAAACAGGCTGGTTATTGTGCAACTCAGTGTATTGGGCTGACTACCTTTATAAGTATATATACCCCGAACCATAACGCCGGCTTGTCATACCAGCCCGTGGTCATGGATTACCCCCGTCCCCATAACTACCTAGGTAGATAATACTGCATTTTTATTGAGCCAATAGCAGGGTCATGCCTCTTACATGCGCTCTGAGCCGAGGAGATCGAGGGAAGGGCGCACAGAAATAAGACGCACAGTATATCTCGATGGGGAACAGCACTAAGCTCGAAAGGATTGTAAGGTACGATAGGAGTAGATCACAGTAGTATCTTTCGAGATAGATACCGGAAGCGGTAGGTCGCTAGGATAACTAGAGATAACAACATGAGAAGCGATGGCCGATTGCCTTCGGGGACAATTCGGAAGTCGAAGCAAAAAACGACTGAACTGACCGCCTCGACAACGTGTAGTTGAGCGTTGTTTCTTGGATATCTCAGTATACCTGCTAAAATTTTAGCTACAGGTTCCGACCCGATGGATCAAGGCTGCGCCCTGGCGGGGATTCTTATCAACGCGGTGGAGAGTTCGTAAAAGTTCGTAAGCGTACGCCCTCCGCAAGTATTATTTCTACTTGGAGATTCATAGTACCTTGATGGAGTCTCGGATGTCGGGGCGCGACTATTACCGGTACCCAGGTACATATTCAGCTGGTATAAACGTAAGAGTGGCTGGTGAATCGGTGGCCGCCGTCAGCTTTGCTTCGGATATTGCGGGGGACACTGACAATACGATACGATACGATACTTGGATATTAAACCATGTCAGCAAAAGATAAGAATCTGCGCTCTTTATCTCAATGTTACAATTTTAATAATACCCTTATCAAATCAATAGCTTGGCATAGCCCGGGACCTGTTAACTAGAATTGAGGCGTCCAAGGTATTGCTATTTCATCTCATTGTTGCTAAATTGATGAGATTTTGGTGTAAGACGGCTGATTTTGTAACTCCGAAATTAGGGGATGTAATGGTCATTTTAAATGGAGACGGATCTGACTTGGTTGCGCCTTTTATTGTTTGGTTTGCAGGGAGACCATAAAATGAGCCCTTGCCGACACCTTTTTGAGGGACAAGAGAGTATCTTGACGGCATGGAGTGGGCATGTCGTTGGTTTATGCCCTACCCTTTGCCTAGGTATTTTAACGCCATAGCTTCACCGAAAACGCTTTACTGATCCTCTCCTGACTTGGATGAATATCGGAGTAGAGCATGACCGATCGGAAATGAGACCTCGGATGGCGAAGTATATACGTGCCGTGGTATCACAAACCAAGCAAACCTCAATCGTCGGATATGACCCGTCCGGTGAGCATGCGGGGAAGCTCGCGCACCGTCTTCCGTCGAATTATTGAAGGAGCTCCCACTCCACGGTTTATCCCAAGCCCCATATGAGTGTTCAATCAATGGAGGCTATGATTCTGCCAGGGTTAACTAGGGAAATTTCTGGAAGCAAGGTCAACAGCCTTCGAAGAATTTAAAAATGCATTTCCGCCCTGAATAATCAGAGATGAACAACATCAGACCTAGAGCCAAACGCCTTATTTTGTCCTCCGAAGATGGCAGAAGCACTTACCTTGATTAGTGGCCTTTCAGCTATCATACAATTGACTGATTCGTTGGTAAAGCTAACCAGGAAATTGTCTGCTTGCGTACGCACGATACGATTCGCACTAAAAGAGATCAGCTATTTTTTGCTGGAAACCGAAATATTTACCGACCAATTGTGCTGCCTTTATGATCTAGTTAGGGACTCTTCCGGCGAATTAGGCGAGAAATCGAAAATTGAAAGGGCTAAGCTAGTTCATAACATTAAAAGACAATGCAGATTTGTCCGGGAAGATTTTGCCCATCTCGTGGGGTGTTTTGTCAATATTAACACTGCTGATAAAGTACCATTCAATACTATCTGGATCCGAACACTATGGCTTTTGAAGAAACCAGATGTGCCAGAGCTGTGCCTTCATATCCAAAGCACAACGGCTAATGTTTCATTAATGTGCAATTTATTCAATTTCGAGGAATTGAAGAGAAGGAACGATGATGACGATAGGCTGTAGGTTGGATGCTTGGTGATTTGATATCTCATTACTGATTCAACTAGTGAGCTTGTCCAGAAGAAGCTCAAATACTGGGTGTCGACACCCAAAAGGCTTAGACATGAGCTGGCCGAATACAAGAGGCACAGGGGGCCGTTGAAGAGAGCCAAAGGAATGGAGTTGGACGAATCATCTGATATGATTATGGAAAATACTCGCGAGTTGGAACAATACGTCGTATATGCGATTCGATCGTATGCTTCCGGCGCGCCACTTTCTAGAAGTACTAGATCCTCTCGTCTAGGACACCAGTATGGAGGATCGCGGGAAGCTCGATGGGCTCCATCACCACGAGGCTCTAGGACAACGACGGTGCAAATAGGCGCTAGAAATGGCACCGATGATACCCGACGCCAAGTACCTAGCCAGAGTCAGAATGTAACGACTGGTATGGGATGTTTCTTGTACTCGTTCATCTTGATAGACTTGGGTGGTTTTGTTGACCCTAATCAGAGGAACGGGGCGGACTAAGAGGCCGTAAAATAAAGCTATCGACACCGGCGCCGGGTGATCAACGTCACAGAAAGACTTTCGGTGACAGAGCGAGGGGCCGAGGCAATGGTATGTATCCACATATAGGCAAATGGCCTGAAGAGACGCACGAATACGAAGCCCGTTCCAATGACATACCTAAACCCCTAGAGATCAAGTGGCCACTACGAGTAGTCGTCAAGCCGAACGAGGCGGTAGAGGAGCCGAGAAAAAGTATTCCCAAGCCGAACTCCAGGAAGCCACGGTGTTCAAGGGAGGGACAAAGTGATGTCTCTCCGCAACCTTCTTTTACAGAAGAGCGGCCAGAGCGCAGCCCGCGGACCCCTGGGGGGACTAAGTTTGAAAGCTCGCGAAATAGTCAAGTTAGTTTGAGTGAAGATGGCTGTGATGGTATCTCTGGATATTGGAAACCACTTCCGCCTTTCGGCGGACCAGAATCAAGACGACCGAGGCCTCAATCGCCTGTGGATTAGAAAGGAGCAGGATTGGATTGGTGACATTGTGCTAAATTAAAATAAGGACGGCTAAGAGGTTCTAGATGCAATATACAGTGATACACATTACACATGAGGAATAATATAAGATATTTCGTGAGCGATGGATGCAGTTGGGAATTTCTAAGAGGAAACCGAATACGAGAGTGATGAGTGGAAGAGTGGAAGAGTTGGTGCTGGTTGGGTCCCCGGATCACGGAACACGGATAATGGTGGGTACACTAATAGACATAGTACTATGCATGGCACTTACATAATACACAGTATAATTGTGCAGGAACCAACCAAATGAAGAAGGTGGGTCAGAAATTAAGATTTAACATTGGCTAGCTTCGGGTAGCTCTAGGGTGGTCAGCGCTGCCCCTGACTACCGGGAAAAGGACGGGCAAAAAAAAAAAATATCTTAGACTAAAAAATGGAAAACAAAAAAAGTTACTTCTACTCCACTATTTTCGAGGGAGACACAGACACAGATGGATGGAACTCTCTTACCTGGCATTTTCTGACCATCCTTTTTTAACCCCTAGTCCGAGTGACGAGGCATTAACTTGCCCGTTGTCCATTCCTTAAATATCCCCATCCATATCCTCTCAAAATGTCGTCGAGATATTCTTTACGCGCAACTCCTAGGTACGTGACACCTCTCCTTAGCGTTTATGTCATTTGTTGTTGTTTATCTTGGTGGTACATGACTCGCGCGATAGGGATGGGAATAGCCTCGGGGATTCCTCGCAATCAATTGCCCAACGCGTGATATAATAACGATAAGGATGTAACATACTAATTTCAATTATAATATAATAGGAAGAAGGAGCTTTTTGACGGAATGGTTGAAACTCCTGGTGGTCGTCGTTCGACGCGACGCAAGTCTCAATTCCCCCCTATCGACGGCGCATCTGACGACGGAGACTCAAGCTCTGCTGCCGAGACCACTAGATCTAGCAGATCTAGATCGTTGCGACGTCGTGGAGTTGGCAAATTTGTTGAGAATATGGATGATTCAGACGCGGCACCTAAAGAGGAGGACTTTAGTCCAGTCCCCGAGGAGAAGCTTGCCGCTGTCTTTAAGGCCAAGGCAGATGTCGCTCCTAAGCAACTAGAGCAAAACGGGCATACAAATGGGAAAACGAACGGAAAAACTAATGGGCACGCTAAAGAGGCCAAGGAGGATGTTATCGACGGTTGGAAACCGGGTATGGACCCCAAGGTCGACTACTCCGGTGTCTTCGAGTTCGGAGGTAGCTTCGGGACTCTCGCCCTCATGATCGGATTTCCTACGCTCATGTACTATATGTGGATTGGCGCCACATATTACGATGGGAAACTACCATTGCCCGAGGAAGGTCAATCTCTCCTTGAGTTCGGCCAACACTTGGGCCATCTTGTCTACACTGGCGCGTTCCCTCACCTACAAGCGTGGAAGATCTACTGGGTATACTATGTGTTTGAGGCTCTCTGCTACCTCTTCATGCCTGGTGTCTACGGCTACGGGAAGCCTCTTCCTCACGAAGGCGGCAAGCAGCTAAAGTACTACTGCTCTGCTTACGCGAGTTTCTACTTCACTATTCTCGTCATGGGTGTGCTACACTTCACTGGTTTCTTTAAGATCTATACCCTCCTAGACGAGTTTGGGCCTTTATTATCCGTCGCTATCCTCTCCGGCTTCCTATGCGCTTTCATCGCCTACTTCTCGGCAATCATCCGCGGGAAGCACCACCGAATGACAGGCTACCCGATCTACGATTTCTTCATGGGTGCCGAATTGAACCCACGTATGTTCGGTATCCTAGACTTCAAGATGTTCTACGAAGTCCGCATCCCTTGGTTTATCCTCTTCGGGCTTAGCTGTGCGGCCGCAGCACGTCAGTACGAGAATTACGGTTACGTCTCGGGTGAAGTCATGTTTCTAGTAATGGCCCACTACCTCTACGCCAATGCCTGTGCCAAGGGTGAGCAACTTATCATTACGACCTGGGACATGTACTACGAGAAGTGGGGATTCATGCTGATCTTCTGGAACATGGCTGGTGTTCCTCTCTCGTACTGCCACTGCACCCTCTACCTCGCTAACCATGATCCTTCGGAGTATGCGTGGAACAAGTACGCCCTAGGTCTACTCTATGTCCTTTACATCTGCGTTTACGTTATATGGGACCAGGCCAACGCGCAGAAGAACGCTTTCCGAGCCGATGAGCGTGGTACTTACCAGAAGCGCTATAGCTTCCCCGTTCTTCCGTGGACACACATTAAGAACCCCAAGGCCATCGACACGCAAACTGGAGACAGACTTCTGTGTGACGGTTGGTACGGATTTGCGCGCAAGCCGCACTACGCTTGTGACGCTTTCTTCGCCGTCACCTGGGGCCTGATCACGGGTTTCAACAGTCCATTCCCCTGGTTCTACCCTGTCTTTTTCTGCTGCATGATTGCGCACCGTGCAACTCGAGATATCGAGCGCTGCAGGAATAAGTATGGTGAGGCGTGGAAGGAGTACGAAAGACGGGTTCCATACCTTTTCATCCCGGTAAGTCTGCTGATATCAAAATTTAATTGAAACACAGCTGATTAAATAATATAGTACGTCATTTAAACATTTCGATATGATGACTTTCGTATATTGCATACTTTCTTCCATAACGGTTGGATTCTCCTCGGAAAACTCCGAGAGCGGCAGCGCCACCTACACACCTACAACCTCGTATAGTAGGGATGGTGTCGCCGCTCGCGATTTTTCTATGTACATAATTCTAGATTGCTCTATGTCCTTTTTAATGGCTGGAAGCCAAAGACAGCAGCATGGATGCCATGGATGACGCATCTGCTGTGAAATGAGTCGGAACGTAACGCCCCCTATAACGGCCCTCTATCTATCTACCTATTAGGTTAACATAGGTGCTTAATATAAATCAATGCGAATGAATTTCAGTTACTTTGTTACATGGTTCGTAATATGCTGTGTTGTATTATGATATATCTCCTTGTCATCGTTAAATGTGTTCATATTTAAATTTAACATCGGAGATCGAGTAAGTCCGCAGTAGACGCTTGCTTTTTCTTTACCCTTATTGATGCCGTGCATGTTACACGCATTACATTATCGACCGCCACCGCGTCACATATCCTGCATCCTGCAACCCCAACCCCCTCTAAAACAGACACTCCCTCACCCTCCCGGTCCCCCCCAACTCGTACTCAACCCACCTTCCCACCCCTCTCCTACCCGCAACTAGCACAGGCCCGGGATTCATCACATGACACCCCTCATACGTAACGCAAAACGGGGGCGCCGTCGGATCCGCGAGTACCATAGCCGTGGGTAGGGGATATAAATGCAGCGCACCCGCGCGGTCCCAAAGTACCGGGCGAGAGGATTGGCGGAAGGGACATAAGTAGCCTTGGTCTAGGATTGTTTTTACTAGTTTACGTGCGTTGTGGATGTCGTGGGGGACTTCTGGGTTTGTGTTGGATTTGTTGGTGGTGGTGGTGGGGTCGACGTCCATGGCGTCGGCGTTATCGAGGGTGTTGGACATGTCTATATCGTCATCGTCGTCATTGTTTTTGTCTTTGTTATTTGTAGTAGGTTTTTCGGGTTCGTCATCCTCTTGGTCAGCTTTCGATCCCTTAAGTCGAACAGCTGCGCGCCGTAGACGTGCTGACATGTTGTCGCGGAATACTACGATTTCGTGCGCAGGACCGAAAACAGATAGGCGTGCTGGGTTTGTCGTCCAGATTGCTTCGCCGGGGCATCTCTTCCCATCGTCCGCGCCTGCCTGCGCTACTTCCGCATTCGCGGACGCAAATGCCCGGCGTACACGACTGGTGAACATATCTGGAACCCCTTTTCTGGGCAACGGCACCGCGGCACCAGCGCCGAACGATGAGGCCCAGCCGTCGTTGTCGCCGGGCACGAAAGTAAACGTTGAGGTTTGTAAGAGGGAGGGGAAGTCTGATAATACGGATGCCAAGGCGTCAAAATGTTCTTTGTATTCTACGCTCCCCCCACTAGCACCACCACCTGCCATTACCGCGTGTTGTGTGAAGTTTCCCATAAGCACAAATGTCATGGGTGTACTCCCCTCAGGTTCCGTGGAGTAGACCGTAAGGATCTTGCGTAGAGCTTGTAAGACACGCGGTTGGTCAAGGGTCAAGTCGCTGATGACGATTACGCGCATGTTACTCGGTGCTATCGTGTCAAGGGGGGATTCGGGTTGGGATTGTCGATGTTGTCGTAAGATGCGCTGCTCAAGTTTACGCATTTTCGTTCCAACGGCGCGCTCGCTACCTACACCCAAGAAGTCGATCCAGCCGAACCCACCTCCTATAGTGTGCTCGTCTGGCCCACTGACGCCTAGGGTCGCTTTGCGCTTCTCGCAGGGCGGTTGTCCGAGGAAGAATCCCTGGAATCGGCCACCGATAATACCACCGACACCGTTGCTATTACCCAGACCCTTGCCTGTTGATTCTTCCTCTTCCTCGTATACGCCGTCTACTAGCACAATCATTCCCGGCGTGAACCAGGCTGAATCTTCTGGTATAGCTACAGCGTGAGATAAGTCCAGCGAGATTGTTCCGGTCAAATCACATATTGCGAGATTCCCGGTAGGTAGGATTGAGAGTAAACCGAGCAGCATGTGGTGACTACCGTGTCGGCCGAGTAGGTTTGCTATCGGTGTGATTTTGTAGCTTTGTTGGGTGGTCACGTTGGAAGAATTGGATCTTTTGAAGGATGGGACTGCTTTTGTGGTTGCTACTGATGAGCTCTGGAAGGATTCGTTTCGGAGGAGTCTTTGGTGTATGACATTATATCTATTGCGGAATAAGGAGGTTTTATGGGATGCTGGAGGCATTAGAGATGGTTTCGAAGGGTCCCTTGAGTTTCGTAAGTATAATTGCCCCATGTACCGTGGGGGGTATGCTTACTTCTCAAAGTGTTTCTTCGTGACATTGTATATCATTCGTGGTTGATCGTATGCACTGATAATCTTCAACCACTTTCTCGGATGACTTAAGCCCTCGTCGCTGGGCTCTTCTTCATTGACTCCCAGTCCTGACATGCCAAAACTCGATGCACTATCATCGTGTGTTAAAGCTTTCGTCGGTCTCAGTCCTAATCTCGTGTTCGTCAAGTCGGCTTCTTGGCTAGAGTCCAGAACAAGACTATTTTGTCGGTTTAGTTCTCGTCCTGTCACTATCCTTCCACCACTCATATTCCCCTCGAGAGTCTTAAGGATATCTTTGAGCTCATCACTAGCACCATCCACTATAACACCTCCATTTCGGTTCTTCCAGCTCTTGGCTACCTCCTCTAGGACTTTTTCTGCTAACCCTTCTTCACGCCATCCTGAACCACAATGCCGACCAGTGAAGGTGGCTAGTTCCTGTAAAGCGGAAGATGTGAGAGTTAAGCTATGCTTTTTTGTAAAAGTCCGGAATGCTAGGGGTCGTAGTGTCGCGGGTGGGAGGAGAATTGGAAGGATAGTAGCCTTGGTAGGAGGTGCTATAGCAAACGGCTTCAGTGTGTGAGCTGGTGTACCAAAGGCTGGTGAGGACGATGGAATTGGATTTGAGGGACCGGGTGTTTTCGGTGCGAATATCGACGCAGTTAGCGATTTATTTGGCTGCATTTTGAAGTTTCAGGACTTGTACCAAATTTCATCCCTATCGCTTGTTATATAAAATCACCAAACTGTCAATTGATTATTTTAATAGATCCATCTTGAATTTGAGGCGCGTTCCACGCGATTCACGCGTTAATTAGCGACAGGGGTGCCTATCTAACGTGGGGCAGTACGGAATAATACGCTTATCTAATCCAGTTTTAGACGGCGCAGAATACTGTATTCAATACGTCAGTGTGGGGGGGGAGCTTCGAAGCTTTCTATTCGAAGCTTTCTAGCTTCAAGCTTTTCAATTCAATACAAAAATGTGTTCCAAAGAAACAGCTTCATAATGTCCACAACATTACTATCACGGGTTCGAATAGCCCCGACATATAGGACATTATTATCACATCGAAGTGTCTCTACATTAAGTACCAATCCTCATATAGTCAGTAGCTCTACACCCAATGCCAAAGTTATTCCCTACTAACGGCGATTACGTCTAAGAGGGTATTCCCCAATGCCTCCATTAACAGTGGGCATCTGCTCACGTACCTCGATACGAACCCGCCGACACACAGACTAGCGATCGGTTCCACTACAGCGATACCACCGACACCTCAATCATTTTCCGAGAACCACGAGTTTCTTAACATATTAACGGAGGTTCTCCGTGATCATGCTGCACAAGATCCAGGACTGGTAGCGCAAGCACAGGCTTTCGCCGGACCAGGCGGGGCGACTCTCGGCTCAGGTGGTGCATTCTTTCCTCAACAACGAAAACAACGGAATACAAGAGGGACGGCTGCTGGTCTTGGGGGAGGTGGTGGTGCCGGTGGAGGCGGTGGCGGAGGAGCGAGTGCCCAAGGCGGGGCTGGAGGTGCGGGAGTGGGAGGACATATCCATCTTAGCGATCTAAGAAACCCGCCCGACTACGGGAGAATTGCGTTTCCCGAAGACATTCTTGGAAGCATTGAAGTTGATGGGGCTGGAAAGATCATAGGAGAGTTCGAACCCAGCGGTACATACCGTATTGTCACGAATGAGGGAATGTAAGCTTTCCTATAATCCCTGACAACTGTTGTTTCTGAATGGGGCTAAATTTACACCAAAAAATAGTTTGGGCCTCAGTGACTTCCTCAGAAATAAGCTTGTCGAAAGGTTACGAGAGGAAGAGAAGAAGGCATGACGCCATAACAGCAATTTAAGCGTTGTGCCTTCTTGCCAAGACTCCACTCCCTCGCAATTATAAGAATACCTTATGACGTGTTTGTATCAAAACAGAAACAGTAAGAACCACCCAATTCCTTAATGTATATTGAGATATGCCTACGTTTTCACAAATTTTCTTCAGTATAGATACTCTACTAATATTCAATTTCAGACCTAGGATTTTGTTACAAACGAACGTCTTCAACAAAAAGTACATATCGTACACACCTACATATTATACTTGTCAATTACAGTATTTGTGCGACCACATATGTCTTAATCGTATATGTATACTCCTATATCTTACACCGGCCGATCGAGGTTAGCCACAGTATAGACATCTACCTTTCTGTATTACCTAAGCCTAATATAATAGAAGGAAAGTGCAAAAATGATCTTATTGTCTCGGATCTATGTATGACAGATTACTTACATTACATGACTGTGTATGTATCGCCCTGACGATACCTTCCCATTAAGTAAGCATACATAACATGGCTATGCCACTCGCTCCTTCTGTGATGTCCCCTAACCCTGAACAGCCCTGTAGAACCCGCTAGACTAGGACAGCAGGATCGAAGTGCATGCGTGTGGTTCGATATTGACATGTGAGTTTGAGATTTTGGTAACCACTTATAATAACCATATCGGATAAGACGGGTCTTGTCCAACTTTTTCTTTTTCTTGATTTTTGCATTCATTGTCATAGGTGCTTTGTTTTTTCTTCGATTTCTTACTAATGAACGAATTTGGACTGATCGAAGCGGTCAATCAGATTTTTCAAGGGTTCAAGTTAGTTTCAGCCCCGCCAATTTCTAATACCTCAGATTTCTTAAACAGAACAGGGAAGCTTATCAGGCCATATGTCCAAGTTATAAGTTCAAGAGCCTCAACGCACAAGACCGACTTCATTCAACAAGTCGGAAGTTTAGTATCTGGATTGAAGTACTAGGTACAAATAGTTCGGATTGAAATCTCGAATAAAAGCAAGTACTATCTACTAGTACTTTCTCTGGGTTGAGCAGCGCTAGCGGCTGGCCCTAACCACAGATACAGAGTTTCCAGCCGCATTTAGCGCCAAGGTCCCAAAAGTGTCGCCAAGCGTGCATCGCTACACTGCTACCAAGTACGCTATATAACGCTACAGACGCTACAGCCCCTACAGCCTATGCTCCACTCTCCGCCCCCTGTCTCCCGACCCCGGCTCCCGGTCCCTGGTTGAGAGCCCCTCGCTCGTTGAACGTTACTTCATGACGATCTCATCAACCTCTCCATCGTCCCAAATTCTCCTAGCCACTCGCCCTCGACAAGATGACTTCCCGAGCGTTTGACGAAGAGGAGTTATCCATGTCTCTATCACCTTCCTTAATCCGACCCAAGAACAATGGCGGCCCTCGAGTACCCGAGATTAACGTCACACGCCCGACAACCGATGGCTCCAACGGCAGAGCGAGAGCAGCTAGTCTGCTATCCGAACAAGCGTCGCAGAATCGCGAGAAATCGAAACTCGACCAGCGAATCGGTGCATACAATATAATAAGGACTCTGGGTGAAGGTTCTTTTGGAAAAGTCAAGCTAGCTGTACACAGGTCGACCGGTCAGAAGGTCGCTCTCAAGATTATAGCCCGCAAAAAGTTGATTAGTAGAGATATGGTTGGTCGCGTCGAGCGAGAGATCGAATACCTACAACTTCTCCGACATCCACACATCATCAAACTGTAAGTATAACAGCTTTTCGAAGGCTCCGGTTCTCCGGTTCGAGATGTTGGTTTGCTGATTGCTTGATTGTTGGTAGCTACACTGTCATTAAGACACCAGCCGAGATTATCATGGTCTTGGAATATGCGGGTGGGGAATTGTTTGACTACATCGTTAAGCATGGTAGGCTTCCAGAGGACCAAGCCCGCAAGTTCTTCCAGCAGATGATTTGTGCCGTTGAGTATTGCCATCGACACAAAGTAGTCCATCGAGATCTAAAACCCGAGAACCTGTTACTCGACGATAATCTCAACGTGAAGATTGCTGATTTCGGTCTAAGCAATATCATGACCGATGGAAATTTCCTCAAGACAAGCTGCGGCAGTCCTAATTATGCGGCACCAGAAGTTATAAGTGGGAAATTGTACGCCGGACCAGAAGTCGATGTGTGGAGTTGTGGTGTCATTTTATACGTTCTGCTTGTCGGCAGACTCCCCTTTGACGACGACCATATCCCCAGTCTGTTTTCCAAGATTCAGCGGGGAGTTTTCACCGTCCCACATTGGGTCCCATCTGATGCAGCGAGTCTCATCCGAAAAATGCTGCAGACTAATCCTGTGCAGCGTATTATCATCGATGAGATCAGACAAGACCCTTGGTTCTTGAAGGACCTTCCTGTATATCTTGACCCGCCAGTCGAGGAGTTCCTAAATACCGGCGTTGATCCCAATAGGGCCATTAGGCCAAGCGACATTGCACCCCACGCTCCCGTAAAAGTTCAGGAGAAACTTCACAATGAAGTTACCGAGAAGATTAGCAAAACGATGGGTTATGGTAAACGTGATGTTCAAGAAGCCCTTGAAGCCGATGAACCATCCGCCATTAAGGATGCATACATGATCGTCCGTGAGAACAAGCTTATGCAAGTAAATCGTAGGTTATCTTTCTCTTCTATTAAATATACCCCGGTCTTCAATTCAGCTACAAGAAATCACGAGTATCGCTGACGTATTACAGCTGCTTACGGTACAGGTGCTGACAATCCGTACTTTGCTACTTCGCCCCCAACCGCCGACACCGAGGAACAAATGCGAAGCGTCTCGGAGGCTATGGGTAGTACAACACTAGACAACAGACGAGATTCTCAACCGGATTACCCCAATGAATCCCAAGCCAGTCCTCTCGCCGATTCCGCTCGTTCCACCACCTCGACAATCACAAGCTCTTCTCCCCGTGGATATGTCAGCCACGTCGGAATCCTTCCGACTAGTCTTCCATCCCTTCATAAGAAATACCTTGAACGCCAGAATGCGGGCGTGGAGGAACCACTGGATGCCCAGCCAGTCCCCGATGTTCCCCTGCAACCTAGAACCCCCGCCGAGCAGCAAGAGGCAGCCCGACGCCTTAAGCCTCATTCCAAGAGCGCCATGAGACTTGACGATAGCCAGACACATCCACAAACAATGACCCCAGTCGCGGCCAAACGAACCAAGCCAGTTCGCTGGCAGTTCGGTATAAGGTCCCGGAATGCTCCATTCGAAGCTTTGTTATGCATATACAAGTCTTTATCTAAACTTGGTGCTACATGGGTAGTTGATGAAGATTACGAGAAGATGCATGGGGATGGCGCAGCAACACCGTACGTATTGCGAGGATATTTAACGAGATATAGTAAGAACTGACTGCGCGTAGGGACCCGTACGTGAGCAAAACGCTACACGATGGAGACATCAACCCATATGAGGGCTTGTCGCCCGATGAAATCGACCTTGAAACGTTTGACCCTATCAAGTACTACAGGCTTCCCGCTGATCCATGGCACATAGTATGCCGCTGGAAGAAAGATGGTGAGCCAACTAGCCTATAAATTATTAAGCACGAGCCTAACAATACTATAGATATCCGAAGGACATCGGTTTCTTCCGGCCATTCTACCGCAGAAGCCGCTTCGGACGATAATACTCAGATCATCTCCGTCATGGATAAGCGAAAGCAAGACTTTGTTTGGATGCGAATGGAAATCCAAATCTACGAGATGGACCCTAAGGAAAAGGTCTATCTCGTAGACTTCAAGTGCACAGGATATGAACGACTTGATGGAACTCTACTGGAAGAGAAGGCCGTTATGAGCCCCTTCCCTTTCCTCGACATGGCAGCCAAGCTAATTATGCAATTGGCCGAGGCGGATTAGAGTCATCATCCCTAAGGCGAGACTCGCCTCCCTGGAGCTTTTCAACATCATCGTGACACAAATTTGTCTTCAGCCTTCATGAAGATCGTTTTGTGTTACTACTTTCCACTTTCGATAAACTTCTGAATCACCACAAACCACCTTTATGGAATCGATGAACTACTTGGCCGCGTAGCTCAGTTGAGAGACATTGCGCTGGATTTTGGTTTCCTATCTTCACACGAATTTGTTCCATTAAATACCTGAATTTTTACTTCTCGTACGGCTACTACCAGATGCCGAAACACCCCCTTTTTAGACATACTGGAAACTCACGAACTCCATACTTTTCGCCGGACATACGGGAAAACAGCATCGGCACTGGAGAGGCCGAGACGGGAATGGCATTTTACTTTTGATGCGAAAAGAGAAAAAAATGGAAATGTATACGGGATCAGGGAAAGCATATTGCGTTGGAGTTTTTATTGAGTGCGAAACGTACAGGGAAACGAATGGAGTTTGTTATACCCCCGGAGAAGAAAGAATGACGGATGAGAATGTGGCGGTAGGGGAGAATCGAGGAAGTCGAACGTTTATGAATAGGAAAGGGGAGAGGAATAATGCGTGCAAGGCATACTTTTCATTCTTCCTTTTCGACTTCACTTGAGGATTGACGTAAATAGTCTGAATAAAGACTGTGTTTTACGTATACCAGTTAAGGATTAGCATATACAATGAATATGACACCTTGCCGATGGATTGCAGATCGCGTTTATTTTTATATGCAGCTACATTGAATGTACCTACTCGCTTCGTAGGTGAATGTATATAATCATGGTCTACAGTTCTTCCATAAAACGACAACTACATGAATTCATCTACCCCCTAACAGCACCAAAATCCATATATAAACTTCCCTTCTCATCCACAACGGCAACTTCATCCAATAACCTTGCAGCCAAGACCCGATCCTCAGTGAGTTCATACTCAGGCGGTAGATCAACTTCCACCTCACCACCTTTACCATCATCGCTAAGTAATATATCAACAACAGCACGAGCGGATAAAACCGCATTCGGCATCCCGTGGCCGGTATACCCGGCACATACATATAACCCAGATCCACCGCCTAGACCCTCGGGGACGGACCCGACGAAGGGATGGCCGTCGCGGGTGTAGCCCATTATACCGGTCCATTCGTGAGTTGGGGTGAGATCTTGTTTCTTTGTTTCTGTATCCCCTTCTTTCTCATGGTATAACGATAAGTCAACTACACTACCTAATTCCCCCCTCAGGTACCAAGACACGCTCTCATCTACACTACTATCATCCCAAACCCCGACTCCGCGCTTACGCGCGTGCTGTCGGCCTCCGCCGAAGATTAGGGATGCGCTTGGAGGTGGCCGTTGGATTAGGTAGTCGTCGCGCGAGAAAGCGGCGTTGGGCTCGCCGACTATGTAGTATGTATGTCCGATATCGAGCGGGTGATCGGTGGGGACGGATGGTTGTTCTGGGGGTGTTAGGGAGGATACTTGGCCTCGGGTCGGGATTATTAGGTCGCTTAGGGAGGGCAGGAGGTGGGATGTGTAACCGTTGGTTGCGAGGAGGATTTGTGGGGATAGGATGGTGCCGCGGGGGGTGTGGATTGTCCATATTGATTGTGGTTTGGAGGAGGAATTGTGGCCGATATTGGATAATTCGGCACGTGTGAGGCCGGTTACGGGGGTGTTGGTTTGCAGGTTAAAAGAGCCCTTGGAGCTTTCCTCGTTGTTGGCGGCGAGCAGGCGTTCGAGAACGAAGGATACGAGTTTATATGGCCATAGACTTGCCGCGTTCCATTGGACTACAGCGCCTTCGGCGTTAGGAACTCGTAGGCCGTGAAGCGTGAGTTCCCGCCGCTCGCCTTCGAGGAGATAGGCTGGGGTGCCTGATAATTCGCCCTCGGCCTTGCCTTTCTCGCCCTTGGTCACTACGGCAACATTGGCAGCTAGATCTGGGTAGTTATCAGATAGGTTTGCGACGATTTTCTGCGCGATGGAGAATAGTTCTGCGGAGTAGAAGGCGTGGACGCCGCTTGTGGAACGCCAATCGCATGGGATAGAGTATTCCTCAACTAGGCTCTTAAGGTAGAGAAAGTTGCGTAGTTCAAATGAGGCGATGTGTGGCTTTGAAGCAGCGTATATTGCGGGTTGGCAGTGGCCTCCATTCTGAGTTGGTATAAGTGTTAGTAAGTGTTGAGAGTTGAAATGGTATATGAAATACTGAGATAGGAGAGATGATGTTATAGATATGGAGTAGTGGTGTTGTTCCCTTTTTCCAGACCGGCTACGTTTAAATCCGATATGAATAACCACAACAGAACCCCTCGTTTTCGTATAAAAGGCTCAAGTAGAAAAAGGCATCAGCTAATGTAAACGGGGGCCGAAGTGACACCACCCCCAACTTCGATACCACTCCTGTCACCCATTCTCATATTTGCTCAACTCACCCTTCCAGTAGCTCCCCAACAAGCTTCTCTCGCCTCCAGCATAACAACATTTAAATCCGGCTTCTTCTCTTTCAAGAAGTGCGCCGCGAAACTCCCCGTGATGCCACTCCCCACAATCACTACATCAGCAGAGCGGGGTAATTCCTTGGTCGTCCGGTGTCCTAGTAGTTTCCCCGAGGGTTCCTTATGCCAATATGATTTTGTCGAGTTGTCGACCGGTAGACCGGACTGGCCCCGTAGAAGCTGACCCGCTGCCATGTTGATTTATGAGAGAACTGTACAGCTCGCTCTTATTACGGAACGGGAGCGGGGTGAAAGACAAGGTACTCAAAGTGTTAGAGTCGTCAAAGTAATGTAAACCGAAATTGAAGGATTTTTACATCTAAATAGGTTGGCTATGTTCTTTATTTCAATATGTGTAAATCGAGGGTCTTGTCGAAGAATCGCATATGAATCAGATCGAGGTGTTGAAAACATACCACATCAACAGATGGCAACCGGGAAAGTCAGGTAGGGAACTACGTAATTACGCAGGGTCTTGCAGCTGATGACAGCTTTTGGCAGCTGACACTTATTTTCACCTCTGTCTCGCAATGAATTACTTCTCTGGTTGCTGTCAGGTAAAAGAGAAAGTTTTGGACTATTTGAAATACCTCACGTGTAGATAGTATGATACGAACAACACGGGCTCTTATAATATATAGTACGATTTAACACAGCGCTTACACTAGACATATAAAATTAGAAGTTTCAAAGCGAAATATCACGGGGGTATTCCCTATTCATAATCTCGATTCTTCGCTGGGAAATAATTGCCAATGCCATTTTTCAGTCTAACTCCTAGGAACTATTACCAGCAATAAGCTCCATGACTCATCTGAAAAGAAACCCTATGAACATAAATCCCAGCGTACCAACAGCAGTATTCTGCGTAGGTAAGAAACACAGCTTAACCTTGCATCTTCTTTCTCTTGCCGACTTGGGCGGAGAAACCAGTCTTGATAGCGGTAACTGAACGGCGTGATCCGCACGAGTTGCATGTGATGAAGTAGAGACGGTTCTCTCCCTTGTTAAGTTCAGTGTCAGGGGATCGGCAGGTCTTGCAGGTTACATATTCGACTGTTACAGATTAGCAATTAAGACCGGCACGATGTATGTTGATTAGAGATGACTTACTGATGTATTTTCGCAACACATTCTCGATCTGCTTCTGTTGGAATCGACCCTTGATGACCAATCGTCTGCTGCCATCAACGGAACCGTTCGTACCCAATTCGGCAAACAGGTAGGCGGTAACGTGTTCCTCGCTTCGCTTCATTCGCTTGGTAATCTCCTGGATGTTGGCGAAGATAGTCTTCTTGTTACCTTCACGTAAGCACTGAGGAGGTGGGATCTTGTAGCTTCGTGTACCGCTTGAAGCGTGGTCGGGGTTCTTTTGCGCCAGTAGGCTGAAAAAGCGACCAAGAAGTAGGTCGTAGCTGATAGGTCGAGTTTCGTCGTGGCCCCAGATACCGGTGCCCTTCTCCATATCACCAGACTGCTCGGTGCTCTTCGATTCGGTAGCACCTTCTGCATCGCCTTCCTTGTCTAGGTCGAGAGCTGCAATCTTGGCAGCGAAGTCATCGCCCTCTTCACCCTTTGGCGCCTTCTTCTTTTTCTTCTTCTTGAGGGTTAGATCCAAACCACCAGCGTCGGCGGCGCCATCGGCGGCACCATCGCCCTCTGTTCCCTCACCATCCTCGGTCTTCTTGGGCTTCTTCTTCTTTTTCTTTAGAAGATCAAGGCCACCATCTTCGGTGGTGAGAGGGGCAGCATCATCAACAGGAGCTTCTCTCGAATCAGCAAAGGCCCCAAGTGCAGCTGAAAGCGGCGGCGTACGGGGTGTGTGGGACAACGCTGTGTCCTTAGTTTCATCGGAAGCCATGGTGGATATCTTTCCGTCGGGTTCGACTACGAGGGCTTCGGAATTAAAGACGACAGACTTTCGTTGCTTGCGGTCGGGGATGGAGGGACGTCGTTCCTGCTGGTTAGAAAGTAGTGTCAATAAATAAATCAATCCCGAGATCGAATAAAAAAAATGAATTAAAAAAAAATATGTTCAGAGCGCTCTCAGTTATTTCCGGGGATAACTTCGCTCCAATAAAGAAAGTTGAAGTATGGAAATATTGAGGCCGAAGAGAAATGCCGGATTGTTTGTGTAAGTGTAAAGGGTGAGAGGATTGATTGTATGACTCTTCGCCTCGGAATTTTCAATGTGGCATCCGAGACTGAATTGTAGTGGGGTCCACAAGTCCACAGGTACGTAAGACATGTACCTTCAATAAAAATTGGAGGGGCAAAAGAATTGATTAGCCAGAATTGGCTTAACGTCTTTTTGTTAGACCCCTCGTTATCGCTAGTGGGGGGCTTTTTTGGCTTTTTCCCCAGTACGGCTAGGGCATAGGTCGGGTACGGATTACAGCAAGGCACTTGTACCTTAGTGGAAGATAGAGGGGGATGAGGTATGAAGTATGAGGTATCGCATGCATTTCGGAAAGAGGGAGGGGTGTTGCGAGTGACACTTTCAAACTCCGTATCCCGATCAACGGATGACAGATGACAAGTGAAGTTGTAAAGCGATTAGGCAATTTGAAGAACATTGGAAATAATAAGACAAGTCAAGCCGAAACTTACAGTATCTGCAGCCTCTGTTGCATCCATCCTTGCTGCTTTGGGTGATATGTATCGTTCGTATCCTTGCTCTTTTTATATTTCTTTTCTTATTTTGTCCTTTTGCTAAACAATTCCGATCGTACTATGCCGAATCCTTGATTTTCAGAATCAGGAATATCTTGCAGATAGTGGCTTTAAGTGGTGGTTGATATTTGTGGCAAGAAAGACGGCGTGGTGGGTTGGTATTGGAAGCGGTGGCAGAAAGATGGGTGGTGGTGGTGGCAGTGGTGGTGATGCAAGTCCTCTATCACTTGCACAACTTTTCTTTTTTAGCTTGACTCTTAGACGTTCGTGTGGGAAAAGTCAAATAATAATAGGTTTAATGGGGTTTGGTGGAAGTTATGAAACTTTAGAGGGAAGATATGAGAAAAAAAAAGGTTGAGCGCAAGGAAATCTCCCCTATGACGTTTAAGCCTTACGATGGAGAGCAGATCGGGAAGGATGAGTCTTGTTCGCCTTCAATTTTCTCTACCGCCTCATTGGTGGTACCTACAATGTACATACAAATTTGGTCTTCCGAGAGGTTCCTTCCCTTCGCTAATATTCCGTTTCAGCAGCCAAGCCCAGGGCTGATATAGTGGAAGTAACCAGCCAGCTGTGACTCAGTTGGGTACCTACCTAGGTAGGTAGGTTTTCTGACCCCCACATTGAGTAACGCTTCAAATCCATCAATTGGATGTTAGATTTGCCCCCACTTCGGAAGTAAGTTGACTTAACTTGACCAATAAGGTTCCCGATGTCGGTCGGCAGGTAATCCTTGATTGACTCCGTTAAACAGGTACGTATTCTCTTGGCTGGCTACGAAGCTCACCTTGCAACAACACATGCCAAGCAGAACGACATCGTCTCTCAACCTCTAGACACGACAACTCAACACTACTCGCAATATACAAATTGAGTTGTAAATCGGGGAAGAGCTTGAGGCTCTAGTTTTAGGTTGTTCGTAAGGCTGTTGGGACCCAATGTATCGGATTTGTTAGCAGTAGCGCATCGTCCGCTACTCTCTGCTTTCTCTCTTCTCCCGAGCCTCAAATACATAAAACGACACGCGACCCTCTATCAAACCTCTTCCACCTCCGACGTAGCATCATGTCTCTCTCCGATTCCTTTACTATACCCGATGTCCCGGAGTCCGACCACGATGACGTCGACTCCCTCCCTTCCACCTCTACCGAGAGTTTCGCATCCGAAGACGATTACGATGCGCAAAAAGAGTGGGAGCAGAGTTTAGAGCAGTTACAACTTCTCTTAACTATGATACTAGTACCGTTTGCTGGAAAATACCTAGGTCGCAAGTTTGCATATTGGAGTATGGTCTCGACCTCCCTCTGTTACATGTCCTTGGGCTCTAACATCAGTTCTACACAGGTTGGGCTAGATACATGGAATGGATGCATAATGTCGAAATACGGTGGACGAATAAAGCAACATTTAAAGCTTCAGGCGCGGTAGAAGCAGCGGCGACGCTCTGAAGGGGGGCCGGAGGGACCGGGTTTCTGGTATGTTAGGATTCGCAAAAAGGGATATTTGGGAGGCATAAACCGGACGGCATCCTATTTGTGTATAATGGCATTTACTGTGGATATACAGGATAGTCTCTAGAATGTGCCATCTAGAGACGCAAAAAGTAATTCGAGAATACATCTCATATATCCCTTTCCTCCCTTTCGATGGTTACATGGGCCGCCTTCGGGGTCATTTTTAAGTCAACCCAATTCCTCAACTCGAGGGTATGGCATCACAATGGTTGTAAGTCCTTCATTATCTTGTTTTTATGGCTCGTTCGGGGACCTAAACTTGTTATGGCAGTAGGACGATAATTTTCCCCTTGGTCCAATTGTGGGAGGTATCATTCAGAATCGTCTCGTCGAGGGCCACGTTTGAAGCTAAGGATAAGCACGACTAGTTTATTTAGCCAATAATGTCATAGTGGGAAGCCTTGATTTATTTCACGATCCGCACTTTACCATATTCAATGCTCTGAGTGGCGAGAATCCCATCCACAACAGCGTCTCTCCATTCTACGATCTACCTCTTCAATTATCATAGGTCCATAGCCATCTAGCAGTCCCCGCCCAACCTACCCAGTGTGAACGTTTTTATTAATAGGACCCGGAGTTGGGCGTTATTGTCAATTTCAGCCGCATCAAACGTAAGACTCCTAGATGCCTAGGCATATGTTTGCGTACTGATACAACCAGTTACGGTGCCCAAGCATCTCTTTTCAGAAGCTATAAGAGGTATAGGTGGAGACTAGATCTCATTATCACCCCTGAGTTGTTTGAACCTCGATGCAGATGCCGGTTAAGTTTATTAGGATGTGACCTGTCAAATTGCTTACCCTCGGCATGTAAACCAGTTACAGCACATATACAACGTGGTAGTTGGCATCTTACCTCGTGGTTGACGTTACGCCTGGCGCCACGGTAGCCGTGGGGAAGAGTCGAGACTGAGCTAGAGAGTAGTAGCACAAGTTGGGTGCCGGCAGAAAATTCACACGTGTATCGTGTTGTTAGATAACTAACTACCTGGGCGAGAACAGAATTAGGATATAATAACAATCACTTCGTTAAATCTTGTGAGTCCTCTCGAGAATTGTACTCAGAATCCAACTACGAAACCATGACACTACCCTGTTCAAAATCACTTATGCTGTTCTTCGCATGCAACCCGAAGCATAAATACTCGTCCAATGGCTAGATTACATCGGAGATCATCGCATCCTAGACTAAAGACAAAACGTATAAGACTCCGAAAATCATCACGCAATTACGACGAAACAACTTTAATACTTTTCACAAATACGACACCCACAATGGCGCGACCAAGATTCCCAGATTACGATCTGTACAAAATCCTCGACGTCGAGAGCGACGCCAGTCTAGAAGACATCAAGAAGGCATATCGGGACCTCGCCAAGAAGTACCACCCCGACAAAGCCGAAGGCGGAAACACGACCGAGAACAACGACCGGTTTCACCGAATCCAAGAAGCCGGCGAGATTCTCCGTGACGACGTACTTCGAGCCGAGTACGGTGAATACCGCGCCAACAAAGCCAAATACGGCGAATTCCGCGATCCGAATAAGGAAGATTATTTCGGGCCTCGACGAAAGCAACGAAGTGAGCGGAAAGATCGTACTGATTTCGGCCGAGACGATACATACGAACCGAAGCCGAATCGAAATAGCAAGCCGTACTATGAAGACTGGAATGAGAGTTATTTCGATACCGAGCAGGAGTCCGGGGAGGAGGAATTTCATTACCATTTCCACTTCCAAAGCAGCCCGCCGCCATTCTCCGCGCCAGGTAGTCCACCACCGCCGCGTCCCCGACACCACGGATCTCGCCCCGATTTCCACGACCAGTGGAAACCTCGTCAACCTGATGGTCCGCCCGTTCAACTAAAGATCGAAGACTACATTGTAGCCATGCGAATCCGAGTCGAGTTGAGGCCGCTATCTCGACAGCTAGACGCCATCTGGGCAGACATCGACAGCATGATCCACAGCTTCATGGCGTCTTTCACATTCGCGCTCCCGCAGCAACAAAAATGGCAAAAGATATTCCTCGACGTCAACACCACTATGGACATCGCCTTTGGCATGTACGACAAACTCCACTATCGTCTTCAAGACGTGGAAACCGGTCGAGGTATGCCACAAGCCGCTGCTCATCGACTACCGGAGATGCTCGCCGTCCTCCAAGCCCACGTCACGCGCATGAAGTACGCTACCACGGCCGCAAGGGTTATTTTCGAGAACCTGAATAGTACATACGAGGTCCAGCACACCCTCTTTGAGGACTTAGCCATACGGCTCAAGATGTTCGCTGCCCCCGTTATTGCTCCTCCCCATTAAGGGGCTTGTAAGACGAAGTGGCTGTACCAGGCAGGGGGTGTATCAAAATAGGAGTTTGGGGAGAGAGGGGACATGGTATAAAGGAGTTGAAATTAAAGGAATTAACGGCAACAGAATGTCCCGGTTAGGGCAGCCCCCCAAGACGATCTTCATAGTTTGCGGAACCTGGAATTATCGGCTATAGTATAAACCTTCCGACTGAAGTATATAATATAATATATGTCATAATATTAACATGAATTTGAATATCTCACATTTGGTAGTATAGTGGCGCTTTTGCTTTTCGGGGTTTTCTGACGTATATAGGTACTTTTCTCCAAAAACTTGGTCTTTTATCGTATGAATAATTAAACGCAACCTTTGTCCTCGAATATTTGGGCTATAAAACCTAATAAAGGCCTCTAGTAAGGGGGCAAAGAACAGTGTTTCGATAATAGTACAAAGGTATTACATAATTGTATAGAGATTGTATAGACTTATGTTGTCTTAATGTAACCTAACTTGATATATATGGTTAGTCTATATAGTAACTAGACCCGAGTAAAGAAAAGAGAAGAAGCAATATCTCGAACCCTGTTGAAAGGCTTGTTAAAAGGGCAACCCATGGACCTCAACACGTCGTATCCGTATCATCGTTGTTCGATGCTTAATGGATACGCTCCATATACTTCAAACTGACTGGCCCAGTTTGGTTGCACTAGCACTTAGAAACTTGTCTTGCCGGTAGTGGCCGGCCACGATAGTAGCATGGAAGCCGGCTTGGTACGGGGATCTGAGAACCCGAGGGCCTACAATGAACCGGTAGCCGTTCGTCAACGAAAATGAGAACAATCCTTAATAGAGAATATTCCTGGTCTTTTTGATATTCCGTGCCTTTACTAACGGACATAACAGTTGAAAGGAGGACCAATGGTAGGGTCGGTAGGGTCCGAAGGAGGCAGTGCTGATTCAAGAATTTCGGTGCCTAATGACCGCTGACTCGCCAATTTTGAATACGAATTCTGGTCTCACTCAGTCGTTGAATCTGCAGATCTCTTCCTATACCAATTTGTTTATTCTTCCAACATGCTGATATTGCTGTAGTTAGAATAGAACATTTTATGCGAGAGGTATTTTGTACGAGCAAGTTGGTAGGTGATAATACGTGGGACGGGCGGATAGTTGGATAAGATAGCTAACCGTATTAGATAATCAATAAAACCACGCGCTCTTCCTCGATTACGGGCATCCCTCTCTTTTCGCAGTCAATTTAAGCAAGAACGGGGCTCGCGAAGGTAGGCGGCGTTCGCACTTTCATGGTATGATAGCCCCACTCATACTACTATGTGAAAGTAAAAAGTATCGATGTATATCCGTATTATTTCTACAACCACCCTCCCGTCTGCTAAATTGCTTGCTTTTTAATCCACTATATGCGGCTACTACGTAACGGACATGCTGGATGGGACGGGACATACATGTATCGGACGTGCATGTACGAGGTACATACGTAGACATATGACCTTTCCAATTTGTTGATTGTACTAATTCGCCTTCTTAATACAGGTTCATAAATTTGGATTGAATTTATAACATACAAAGGTCGTTTGTTCTATTTATTTGTGGCATTTATATTTCCCATTAATCCCTCTAAAAATAGTTGACTGTATTGTATGACAATGGGAGGTTTAGGTACTTGAGCTTATGTATATCAGATGCACAAATCAATTTACACGTTGCGTGCCACAACATATCCTTCATTTCCACCACCCTCCAATAGCCTGCTATGTATAGTTTAGCTCGGCGCCGTACGTGCGGGAGGGATGTGTAGCTTCGTGTTTTATGCACGTACGGATAATTCTTCCTATGGTTCCCGGTGGCACAAGATTCCAAAGACATTGCGGACACGCCCTCCTCCTTCCCCCTTTGAATGGTCTTAATAGTGCTGATACTTCCTTTTGGTTGGTACATGGCTACATGTATGTACATTGAGATCCCCTTTCCTTGTTCTAAAGTATCTCCAAATCAAGGAAGGGGCTTCGCAGTATACAGATGTAGTACATAATGTACCAAGTATCGTCCCGATCATGTCTCTCCATTTCCATTTTGTCTCTTCTCCTTCCACGTCAAGAGTTTTCGACTCTCCCTCATTCGTTCAACAACATTTCTGACTTCTCCCGTCTTCTCCCTTTTTCTTGGACAACTCACTCGTTACTGTTGTCCCCTTGTATTACAATACAATTCTTGTTTGTAATTCGATTTTTCCATTTCCACGTCTCTCGCTGTTGATTCTCGTACATCCCTCACTCGTTCGGGATTGCAAATTTACGTACCATCATCTTAATTGGTGACCACTGTTTTGCTATCTGGACAGATCATTGTAACCAATTGACCATTGGGCGACTGGTATTGATATAACTATGCGCTCGTTCGCTCTCGCGTCCGCTTTGACGGCGGCGGCGAGTTTGGTTCACGCGGAACCTACTCGTACCGAAAAACAGTTGCCCCAACGCGCTGATTCTCTCCCCACCGTGACCGCATCTGGCAATGGTAATAACTCCGAGGACCCCTCTTCCATAGAATAACCGTAAACTGATTGTAAATGTTAGCTTTCTGGACCGGCGACACCCGATTCTATGTCCGAGGCATTGACTACCAGCCGGGAGGCTCTTCTGCTAACATCGACCCTCTCGCTGATGCCGACACGTGCAAGAGGGACATCAAGGAATTCCAGAAATTAGGCGTGAACACAGTCCGTGTTTACTCCGTCGATAATTCGGCCAACCACGACGAATGTATGCAGGCATTGAGCGACGCCAAGATCTACCTCGTTCTCGACGTCAACAACCCGGCCTACTCCATTAACCGAGACAAGCCGGGCCCATCGTACAACGATGTATACCTCCAAAGCGTCTTCGCTACCATTGATGTGTTTGCCAAATACTCCAATACACTAGCTTTCTTCTCGGGAAATGAGGTCATGAATGACAAAGCCGACTCCGTGAAAGCCGCCCCTTATGTCAAGGCCACAACTCGTGATATGCGACAATATATCGGATCACAAGGCCACCGCAAGATTCCAGTTGGCTACTCTGCTGCCGATGTTAGTGATAACCGCATGCAGACCGCTTTCTACTTCAACTGTGGTACCGACGATGAACGAAGCGACTTTTTCGCTTTCGTAAGTATTCCAAGACGCCAACCAGCATCCCTCAAGCTAATGAATCTCTTATAGAACGACTATTCCTGGTGTGCTCCATCTTCTTTCCAACAATCGGGCTGGGATCAGAAGGTTAAGAACTTTACTGGTTACGGTCTACCCATCTTCTTGTCGGAATGGGGCTGCATAACGAACGGCCGCGACTTCGAGGAGTTGAGTGCGTTAATGAGCGACCAGATGTCTTCCGTCTACTCGGGTGGTCTAGTGTACGAATACAGCAGAGAAGAAGGTGACAAGTTCGGTATTGTCGAACTGTCCGGAAACTCTGACTCGGTTAAGGAGGACCCCGATTTCTCCAAGCTAGAATCCGCCTTATCCAAATACCCTGCCCCCACTGGAAACGGTGGCTTTACTTCTACCACCAAATCAGTCGCATGCCCGACCCTCGATAACATCTGGGATCTCGGCGACTGGGGTGAGAGTGCGCTCCCGGCGATGCCCGAAGGAGCTCAGAAGGTAAATAGTCAATTGAATTCCCCGTGAAAAAGGGATTATAAACTAATCGGCTCGCAGTACATGACTGATGGTGCTGGCAAGGGTCCGGGTCTGAAGGGCGACGGCTCCCAAAACGCCGGTGGTACTTCGACCGGTACCGCTTCCCCCGGCTCCGGGTCGGTGACGGCAACCGCATCTGGTCACAACGGTAGTGGCCGCCCAGCTCCGCCAATGGACATGAGCGTCTTCGTCCTTACTGGGGTCGTTGCCGTGTTCACTCTTGTCGGGACTCTCCTATTGTAGGGGGTATCCTTTCGCTTTTCTCCGAACTGAACTTGCATGGAACGGATAAATACGAAAGCCTGATAAAACAACTTCGGCTTTGTGCGGCTTGACAAGCTTTATGGAGTCGACAATCAGGTCCGCATTAGGATGGATCTAGGACTTACCAGGATTGCCACCTATTATGCTACTTACAGTAGTACTTAAAAACGCTATGTATAATTAATTTCGGGGCGGCGTGAACCCATGACGACAATGTGACTGGGTTTCCCGTACGCCTTGCAAGGCTTTATTAGAAAAAGAACAACATATAATTCAAACATGGGGAATAGGGTGGGATGGGTCGATGGGTGAATGGGTGAATCGATGGATATTAGATGGCATTCTGGAGCTGGCCTTACTAGAGGACGAAAATTCACAGAAAGTTGTAGGTGAAAGAAACAAACAAGATGGACATAGTTTTGTTCTACGGAGTAACAGCTATTGAATTGAGAACTCGCTTATATCCGATTGATTGGCCCGTGGTTGTGGCCTATGCTGTCGGACTTGTCTTGTGTGTTGCAGAGTAGAAAGCAAATTGAGGCTGGTCTATCCCACTAACTTGAATGGCTACTTTTATTCATTCCGCACGGGACGATAACTGCTTGGTGACCTTGAGGTTGATTTAACGATTCTATGATTTGGTATTAAGAAGATGCATGTAGATATGCTAGACTTTTATCCCTCTCGCTCTCTTTCCGCTCTTCTCCTCTCATCTGTTCAAGACAGATACCCTTATGTCCCATAAGACATAGATAATATAGTAGTAGATGCTGATATGATGGTGAGATGCCGAAAAATATTAGGGGTTTCTCGTTAGGTACTTATAGTACTGTAGCGCTAGGTATGTGCTGGATTCCATACGGAGTATACACCTCTCTTCTCCTCTCCCTTTGGGTTGGTAGGTATTAGATATATAGAGCTGAGCCGAATCCCGAACGCGCAACGCCAAATCTTCAATTTTTGCCGCCCAAAGCCTTAAGATGATCCTTATCACCTCACATCACTACTTTTGACGTTTAGAGGTTTCCGCCCGAATACACATTGTATTTTGATGTACGGTGTTTTCCGTGGGTCACGGAGTTCTCTACGTAAGTGGCTTAAGTAGATGGTTACTTGCTCGTGGGACCAGCCCAAGCCCTTGATGTAGAGGTATAACACGAAGCCTATAGAATTAGATGTTAGTCGTTCCTTGAAAAAGTGGACATTGACCCGTGAGCGTGTCAACAGCACTTAAATAGACACATACCCTCCATTCCCTCCTCCATAGCTGCCCTGCCATAAAGACCTACTTCCCTTTGCCGCGGGTCTTTCGAATAGGGCGCTAGCGGACACTTGACGGTGCGTTGGACGATATCGACGAAACCAGCACGGCGAAAGCCGCTCAAGATAGTATCTCGCTCGAGCATATCGAGAGGCCTAGGACCTTGCCCGCTTTTCGCGCCGTATTTATGATTCGCTTCTCTAAACAGATGGGCCCATGCCGAAAGGGCGGATCCATCGCCTTCGCAAACGGAGTCGTCGTCGCTGCAGATAAATATCGAGGGTTCTACGGCTTCGGCCCAACCGCCAGGCTTGCATGCACGGAACATTTCGGCGTATAGTGCATCCCAGTCACGAATCGCGCCGAATAAGTATCTCGCATGAATAAAATCGAAGCTATTGGGTGCAAATGTCCAGGGAGATATCGTACAGTTGTCAATCTCGAAGCGTAGATTTACGGGAACCCAGTGTGGTTGCATGGGCGAGATATCGGTTCCTATCACCTCACATTTCGGGTACGCATCTGCAAAGTCTCTGTAATGAAGTGTTAGACGGTTAGCCAGAAGGGGAGTGTGGAGGGTTATTCACATCGCCCAAGTTCCTAAGAGAGGGGAGGATTGTTAGTATGAAGCAGCAATGGTTTCAGTTAAACTAAAGGCAAGCTTGCCTCACCTGTTCCGCATCCGACGTCCAGCACCTTTTTGGGTTCTGGACTAATAGGAGCCATGAATAGTTTGTCGTCGAATAATACCGTGAGCGTATGGTGGCTATTCGGCGCATCGGAGTTAGTATTTGAAATCTTCGACCATCGTAAAACTTGGTACCTACAGAAGATCCATAGAATTTGCTTGTTTCTCATCGTTGGGTTCCCTAGAAAACCGAGCGGCGAAAAGCCGATACCATTAACCAAATGCCATGATAGCGTTCTATAACGGAAGAGTTACCCGTACCAGTAATCGGTGTTGCCCTTCGCGCTATGATATGTTCGCCCGTGCAACACGCGATACTCCATAACGCTGGCCGTGAGCGAGGCCGTTGAACACTCACTATGTACACCATTGTCTTTAGTACTGGATTTCAGATTTAGGATCTAGAACTTTTACTCACGGCTCATCGCCGAGCGCCGAATCTAATTCAAATTCATATTCTGCCTAAGAACCGCGGGTTAGATGAAGGCGAATATTGACCGACGCCAGAACCCCCCAACCCGGAAAGCGCCGGATTAAGACACCGTACCTGTGATTGTATCCATCTCGATATACGAGCCGTGGTAGAAGAATCCGTCGGTGATGAATCGCCAGCAGCATCTCGTGAAGGTGCCTTTGCGGACGGCTTATCCTTCGGCGTCGGTAGACCTTGCGCCATCTCTGGCAGCTACAAGCCAACCAAGACGCAAGTTCGACCGAAAGCGAGGAATCATGAAAATATTGTGGGGAAGTCAATTGAAGATTGCCCCAGTACGCATGTAGCTAGTTAGGCAACCAGTAGGAACTAACAATTATACGACGAAAGGTGAGCTGGAGTGGGTAAGACGATGCAAAAAGGGTTCTAAAGAAAATTAGTGGAAGTTCAAAAAGGAAGAACTTCGCGTTGAATTAGATCCTCCTACGCATCGGAAGCTTACTCACCCAAGTATGGGGCACTTGGCTGGTAGATATGGAGGCAGGCTGGCAGGTGACCATACAGGTCTCCTTTTCCAGGGTGTTCCAATTGCGGAAATCTATAGGTACCTACCTAGGTAGGGGTTTGTCGTTGAAGAATACGCAGGGGATGCCACATCTGTGCCACAAAGGACTAGGGTGAAAACAGTGAAGCGACAACAAAGATCGACAGTTTAAGTAGTGAAGATACTTACCACATGCTCCTCCGCGGACTTGAGGAAGATGGAGACCTGAGACGTGATGTGCTTTCCTCCAATCCGAGATCCTCTCCCGCTCCATGTTGATGATCACTTCTTCCTTCATGAGGAGGAAAATACTTTGAGCACACCTCTCTGTTGGTAGTTTCCCAGACTTTAGGATCTTAAGGTATCATTGAAAAGCAGGGAAGCGGACATTTCCATGGAATTCCCCGAAGGGCTTCGATGACTGCCGACAAAAGCACCAAATACGAATAGGGCTAGCCCGGGTCCGTGGATGTGGATTCTGCAACGCGCTTCATCGTAAGCAGAAAGGACCGGGGACCCCTTGTCTGATAGTGACGGTAACGCTGACGCCCGCAGCAGTTCTGGATCGGGCGAACATACATAAAAGGTAGTAGGTCGTGAGATTGTGGCCAATCCGCTAATTCGAGGCGACGACTTCTTACGTCGAATGAATAATAGAGCGTTTGGGGTCCAAAGAGAGTGCGATGACAAGATGGCAGGTACTGCGGGTGTGGCGGGTACTAGCCAGGGGAACAGACACCTTGACGGAAATAGTCAACCAAGCATACATGGGTGCGTCCCCTGACTATTACGTCCAAATATCGTGTATCCTCGGTGATTTGAAACGTAAATCCATGTATCCGGAAATGTTATAGGTACGTTGGGCATTGCGGTCATAAGGATTCTCAGATAATTCCATTTCTCTCCATTGCGCACGGTTCTGTTATTTATTTTAAGCTGTCTTCGCATCTCGGATAAAGTCCCTTGAGGGTAGGAAAAGCACGTCAGTCTATCGCGTACGCCACTGATTTAATCCGATTCCCCAGATAAAGGCAGTAGTGCTGTAAGTTCCCAGTAGAGGACACAAATTTCTCTTCGCAGGGTTCAAGCATTCCATTGTTATTCCTCCTTTTTGTCTATTAAGATCAGTTACGTCCGCCTTGTCAGATAAGTTGCCGGAGATTTAATTCTCTCGGGCCGATAATTATGACTGGTCAATCGTGTAAGATGCTTCGAGGGAAGTTCGTGGCGAGCTTAGAAATGAGAAATTGAAGCCTAACCCACCGCCCTGGTTGGAGTCATTGTGACATTATGATATACCCAAGTACCTTTATAGCGCATGGATTGGTACTTCCAGAAAAAGAAGAGGTGTTGGTTTGAACATCAATTGGTTGAAGGAAAAGAACTTTTGAAAAAATAACATCACTCAGTCACTCCGCGGACGCAAAGATATTATCCCGATCGACTAACAAAGGTTAATCGGTCCCATCAACTCTAATGTTAGATGCAGGTACGTTGTGATTTGGGGGAGGCACCTTTGATTTCTCCTGATAAGAAGGCATTGTTTCCCGTTCCCGAGGTCGCTCTTCGCTCTTTCCAAAGAAAATAAAAATGTGAGTAATCATTTTATGCAAGTAATGTTACACAACATGACCTTGTGTAATGTATCTAGGTACCTGAGGTCAGGTGAGCAAGAAACAATTACTAATCCTATAAAAAGCAAAACTTCTCTCAATTCGCGCATTGTCCTAGTTTTTTCATCACGATGATTTTTATCCGAGATAATCATCTTCGACGCAATGGAAACGGGTTCGGAATATTACGACTTAATTTATTCCTTGAAGTCTTGGCGCAAAGTTATATACCAAGTAGATACTTGACAACCAACATCGGATTTAGGTACTATTTAAATACCTAGTCCTACTCCGACGAGATACTCCGCGCCCCTCACGCCGCCTTAGCCACCTTCTCAGCAGCCAATGCTTCCCTTCGGCTCTTGCTCTGGGGGTCGAAATACGGCCTCTCACCCAGACTCACAGCGCGCGAGCCCGAGCGTTCTCCGAGCTCAGGATCATCAATATAATCTGGAGTCGCGGCATGGTAGACACTACGGTTATCCCAAATTGCCAAATCATTAACATCTTGCCATCGAAGACGTACTTGCAAGTCATGGTTCTCGACGATGAGTTGCGTGAACCAGTTTAGGAAGTGCTGCGACTCAGGCTCGGACAACCCATGGATGCTCTTTACGTGGTGGCCGACTGCGAATACGCTCTTCCACCCGGTGACCGGGTTCGTGCGGACGACTGGGTGCACCGCTTCGAGGACTTCGCCGATGTTTTCGGGAGCCCCGCGAGGCGCGGAAAAGATCTTGAAGTTGTTGCGCTCGGCTGTTTCGTTGAAGGCTGGTTGCGCGTAGTACGCTGTTAGTGTGTCTAGGAAACCGCGCAGAGGCTTAGAGATGCGGTCGTAAAGCTCGTAGCCTGAAGCCCAGAGGGTGTCTGCCATAATGAGTTAGTAACTCGATTTGGTTAAGTTTTCGGCCCGAAGAATAGCTACATACCTCCACCGGTCTTAGGTAGCTGTGTGAGACGCAGAAGTGCGTAGTCGCTAGGAATGGGCTCAAAGGTGATGTCCGAGTGCCATTGGTTCCTTTGCGACTGCTTCTTCTCAGCCCAGACGGCGCTCTTTGAGTAGAGTTTCTTGGCCTGCTCTGACGAGATGGTGCTAATCTCATCATCCTTACCACCAAGATCGCGCCCGGAGTTGATGACAGGGTGAATATGAAGTCCGGACGTAGAGGGCTTGCCGGATAGCTGGCCAAGTCTCTGAACTAATTCTTTTTGTAGCTCATTGTCGATTTTGTCTTGCTTGCGGAAGAAGACTACGCCTCGTTGTGATACTACAGTAGATTGGTAAGTCCACACGATTTCCATACTGTGGGGAGAAAATTCATTCCCGTACCTGTGATAGCCAAGTCGCGGAGGAGCTCGTCTGAGTTTGGCGCTCGTAGCCATTCAGCTAAATCTACATCTACGAATTCTTTTCCAATTACAGGTGTGACATCGAATTGCTTGAATTGGTCCAGAGCGCCGCTTAGCTTCAGGGGCTCCTTGTGGGCGGTCTCGAGCTTAGGCAATTGGTCCTCTAAGTCCGTGCTACCGACCGCAAGGCCATTGTCGGCCTTCGGGGCCTCCTTCGTGGTCTCGGGGAGGACCTTTTGCTTAATATGCTCGGCAACCGGAGCTACTGTCTCGGTAGCTGACGGCGACATTTTGAAGGTACAATGTGAGTGAGTAGTGGGGTATCAATATTCAGGAGTTTAGTGATTCAATCAGAGACGAGATATTTCATTCACATCACATGGTCCAATGCCAGATTATATATAGGTAATCTAATTTACTATACAATTTGCATCAATATGCCGAGTCCGGACAGTTAGTAGATGGCGTGAGAGGGACCATTCTAACGTCATAAGTCTGGGCGGCATCTTTGTGAGCGACAGCCGCCCTTACAGCGGATTTGGGGCTAGATCACGTCTTTGATCTGATAAGCTTCTTGCATGCAGATGGTATCGCGAGATGGTGACTGGCGAGGCGCGTCGCCGATTCGCGATATTGGCGGTGGTGACAATACTGCGGGGGATTGTGAAATCTTCGACCAGCCTGACGTGCTCGACCGGACAGCCCACCTCCACAAATAACATTTCCCTTAGAACGACACCCGAAACTTCGAAACTCCACTAAAGCAAACAATTGAGGCTGTGTAGATGTCGTGTTACATAGCTTCCTGAGTTTAAGTCGGATGATTCGTCGAGTTGTTGACGCCGGAGGAGTCACACCATTAGATCGTCCAAGTCAGAGATCTCTAGATATAGTAAATCCTGGGGCCCCGGGGTATCGAATTGCTCCGAAATAGGATGTCTCAATAAATTTCCCATGCGATGAAACTCTAGAACATATTCTCTCATAGTGCGTGCATATGTATAATATCTGTTAACAATAGAATTTTGTCATGGACCAATGAGTGCAATTCATAGAATTGATTGGCAATGCTATACTATTTTTTATAGACTATTAAGCTCACCACACCTTTTCTACACTACTCCTTATAATATGCCATACTAAAATCATGGCGCTCATGACGCGGGCAGATATACTATCTTGGGCTTCACCGTCGATAAACTCCAATTAGTTACCCTTCCACTCAAGAACGATAACCCACATATTCGAGCCTTCTGGTCTCTTCGCCTCTAGGAACTCAAATCGCTCATCAGCACTTTTGAACAGTTTCTTCCAATCATCCAGCTCTCGCTCGTGCGAATTCTGGAGTTCCGCCATCGTAAGATCTAGGTCCCTATAATATGATATTCGTGTAAGTCGTCCGTGTAGAACACTGTAAGATTAAGTATATCATGGATGAAAGAAATCAAGAACATACCGTATCCTCAACTCCTCAAACGCCCCCACAGTCCCCGGGACCGGTAGAACTTCATCATTAACCACGATTTTCGCACCGGGTCTCAACGCCGGGATAAGATTCTGCAAGATTTTGACTGCGTACTTATCAGACCACTCATGGAAGATCCAGCGGAAGAAGTAAACACCCGCGCCTTTCACGGGCTGCTCCGAGGTAAGAAAGTCGTAGGACTGGAATGAGACGCGCTCAGCAACATCCGCGGGCGCATCCTTCTTCGCAGCTTCGACTACAGGCTCGAGGTCTTGCACCACAAAGGAGAGGGACGGGAAAGCGCGTGCTAGTGCGAAGCTGGCGAAGCCTTGAGAACCACCGACCTGTGCGGGAGAAAATATTAGTTAGCATACGCGAGTAGCATCCAAAGTAGATAGGGGTAAGGGCTCCACATACATCAACAACCATCTTATCCTTCCCCTCCCCCCAAGCAAATCCATCCACGATATGCTTCAACTCATACCCCGTCCTCCCCGTAAACGCACTCATCGCATTCGCAAACCTTCGCGCCCGTCCCGGATGTTCAGAAAAGAACTCATAAAACGACTTATCCGTTCGATTCGACAAAGCGAAACCCTATCTTATAATTAGCACCCACCAACCCAACTCCCCCTATCTTCAAAAATACATACCGTCTCATTAGGCTCCTCCGACCCCGGAAACCGTCCCAACGCAAAAACACTGCACGTTGCCGCCCTCCAAAGCTCCTCGGTATTAGCGCCCACATAATCACTCACACCCCTATCCTCCACCAAAATCCTCGACGCAGCACTATGCGCCACAACGCCCGGTCTAGGCTCACAGAAAATACCCCGCGCAATCGCGTGTCTAACGATTTGCTTCGCACGCACTTCACGGATGCCTGCTCGCGCCGCGATTTCCAAGAACGTGGTTTCTGAACCGACGGGAAAGCCGTGGGCTATGCTTAGGTGCGAGATTGCGTCTTGGCTTAGGAGGTCGTTTTGCTGAGTGCTTATTAGAATTTATATATTTTCTGGAATTTTGGAGTTTGGGATTGGAGGTTAACTGAGAAATTCATAAGATGCTCTTTAGGCCCTAGAGCTAATCGCCGGAGCTCTGTGGTGTCTTCAATGATAGAGATGCGTGATTTTTCGATCTCGATTTCATCTTTTGGCACTAGGGTATCTAGTGGCCCGTCTACGTCGAAGGAAGGCGTTAGGAGGTTGTGAGATTTGAGGTATTCATCTAATTTTATTGTGTTGGCGGCTATCCTAGTGGATAACTCGACGATGCGTGTGGTAGACATATTTTTTGGCGATATTTGATATCGAGCTTATGATGTTAGACAATCCTGTCTGTAAGATAAAAAAGGGACGGAATAAATGTTAATATAGTTAGGCTGCGCCGCAGTGTTGCCTACAGGTGGATATCACAGGTCGATCTTCACGACTGAAGTTGGTAGATCATACGAAGTAGTCCATGCCACCCTTTCATGATGTAGTTTTAAGCTGAATATGCAGTAGAAAGAGTGAAGCCAGGGAGGTAGGTAGATACGTAGGTTGGATGCTATGAAAAGCTGTTAGGTATACTCTGTTGGTTGTAAATGGAGGTGTTGGGTTAAAGTATATTAAAATGCTTACGTGCATGCTTGGAGGACTCAATCTTCTAGAATCTAGCAAGTGAGATTGGCTATATAGCTTCGATCACTTACACCAACATATGTCGGGGTCTAACCCGTATTCGTTGACAGTAACAATCTATTTACTACATACCGCCTTTTCTGCATCTTGTGCCGTCCGTAAAGTACATGGGGCCACATTAGCCATTACCAGTAACTCTCCATCGTGTCATTACTCACATTACAAGTTCCTCTGCAAAGCAAATAGAGCCATACGGTGATATATCCTCCAAAACCATTCGAGAAGTTTTCACGCTTCCATCGATCGTTCATATGCTAGAAGACAGGCAACTCATAATCGCCTATAATGACAAGTGAGAAGCCGACGTCATTATTGGCAAGGCACAACCCAAGCTCCTATTCCATCTTGGAACTGCGCGTCTTCGCCGATTCCAGCTTGTAGGAAAATCAGAGAAAAATCCCTGACGCTGTTGACCTGCCAGCTTAATTTTCGATCGCCGCCGGTTATCTTACCACATTCGAATGTCCCAATGGTGGTGTTATCACCAGGGAATATTTGATGCAGTTCTGTGTTATTCCATGATGCTTCTCCAACCCCCGATACAAGACTGAACGTCATACCAGAGTTTGATACAACCTCTTGTTCCAATCCACTGAAGCTGTAGCAGGGATAACCTTCAGGAAGAGAGTTGCAGACTGGCATACGGAATTGAAGGGCACACAATGAAGAGTCTGAGAAAGCCGAGCGGGCCATATCATCAGGAACAGTGAAATCGAAGATTGGGCTGCTATCCGGAGAGATAATGACTTCTGCCGAGGTCTCATTTACTCCATTGGGGTCAGATGAATTGCCAGGTCTTATTCCACTGGGGGCAAGTGACGGCGCTGACGGCGAAATGGAGCATGCTTGAAGTGAAGAATCACGTCGTAATGATCGAGTTGGTTGTACGGTTGTGGATCGTGTTGTGAGAGTGGTGTTGCCGGCAGAACACTCTGGGGTTTCGCCTGTGAGTGCTAATGCTACCGACACACAGCCGGCCTTATCAGGTTTTTCTGTGGAGTAGATGTCGTACGTTTTCTCGGAGCCAAAACCAATCGGACAAGCATAAAAAGTACCAGAACCATTGTTATAGTTTAGGTACATCTTGCCATCCGGTTGTGGAGATGCAACATTGAATGCAGTGGTACCAAGGGCGCCTTGGTAACACTCGAACTGGTAGTCTGGTGCTCTCATGAAGCAATAATGTTTCAGACCATCTTGTATGGTCTTGCTCGTCTTGTCTAGACAAAACCCGCCTTGTTGAAAACTACCGCCTAGGGTTAAATCACCGACATGGTCCTCTAGAACAGTCTCGTTGACCGTTCCCACCGAAGTGAGCTGGAAACAGCAACCGCTGTTGGACTGTCTAGGTTGCAGGGTGGCGCAGGTGGCCGTGGTGAATAATAAAGCTTGAACGAATGACTTCATGGTTGGAAATATTTGGTGGTTGAGTTGGTTGAACGAAAGTGGATGGTGAATTTTTGTAAGTATGGTCCTCTAGAAAAAAATGAATGACTGTTGATAGACGATCGGTTCCACAAATGAATGGATATGACGTCTCCAGGGCGTCTTTGAAATTTAGGATAAACCGCGTCGGAATTCCTTGTGGACTTGAGGAAAAAAAGAATGAGATGGACCTTGAAGAAAATAGGACAATTTGTAAATAGGAGAATCGAAAAAGAATTGAATTGGCAGTGTTAAAATAGAGGAAGGTTGAATGTGGTTGGTGAGTTATTATCGTCAACTGGTGGAATGTTTGGCCGAATCACCCAACCTTTCAACTTTATCTGCAGTTAGCTGCTAAAGACAAAGACAAAAGAAGAGACTGACCAAACTATGACACGATATTTAAACAAAAAAGCATATTAATATATAGTCGAATAGGCTAAAACTGCCCATTCGATTTTCATCTTTTCATAGAGTTTGTACAAACATGTGCGCGCTGTGGAACGTCGCCAAAGGCAGAGTACAGAGGGGAAGTGTTACCAAGAAATTAAGGAATTAAGGTAATGTAAAGTACAAGTACAACATCGATCTTGTACGACGGCAATCTTATATTAGGTGGGGGGTGCTACACCAACATTCTTCGCTATTCTTCACCTCTTCTCATTTATCTCACGCCTCGGTCGCTAGTCACGAACTTTGATGGTTTGTATACTCGAACGCGTAGACATGATTCGGTTTGCCCTTGTGTAATCCGCTATTGAGCATTGCTTCAATCCACATTGATAACAATTCCGTACGGTTAAAGCAGATTGCGGAAGATTTGAATAGATTAATAGTAAGTGCGATTTGGGGGTTTAATATATATGACGGAAGAAGTTTGCCTTATCTTTGGGGCAGGTGGAAATTCAGGGTCGATACCTTGCATTAAATGGATATTTCTCATTGCTTTTTATGAAATTAATGATCAATATTTATGAAAAGCACCATTTTATGTAACCATCTCGGTACGTACAGTGCTTCGTGATATCGGACATCCGGACTGAGAGAAACATGATTTTATTTCTATGGGGTATCAGGGTGTAAATGAACTGCCAACGCCAATCCCATAGTACATTCCCAGAAATGTACGCTTCACAGCCTCTGTACCATGTAATCTACGATATTCCCACGACACGTCATGTCAAACGCCTTGACGTCTACCTTGAAGCCACGTAGTACCATGAAAAAGAAAAGAAAAGGGCTCATAGCTCATCCGTGTCGTCCGCATCATCTATCCAGATGGTCATAGACACCCTCTCGGATTTCTTCCGCCGTTCCTCTTTTTTGACTTCCTTGACATCTTCTTTCGCAGAGGGAGATTCTTCGATTTCTGGCTTAATATTTTCTTGCTTGATAGGTGGCATATAAGGCTTTATATCTTCCAGTTTGATATCTCTCTCATCCGCCTCATCCTTGGATTTGATTGGTGTATGCTGTACATTTTCGATCTTCACCTCTTCCATCTTGATGTCTTCCTTCGTATCCGACTCTGACTCGGTTTTCAAGCCGGCGTCCAAATCGATGGCTTCACCTAAGCTTTTCAGCTTCTCAGCCCTCTTCCTGTAGAATTGCTCTAGGCAATTCCTTCGTTCTTCTGGCTCCATGCTTTCAACAGCAAGTGCAAATTCCGTCACACTAGGAAATCCAAAGGTCTCTGCCATCGTACAAAATTGGCGTCGTCTTACATCTACCGGTGGGTTATATTCGTGCTCGATCTGCGCGCCCGCGGCGGAAGCCGCCAAGCTGTCAAAGAAGAGAGCACGGGCCTCTGGGTCTTCTTCATCCCCACTAGCGACCATTTCCGCTTGTCGGGATAACTCGTCCTCGATTTTGGAAGAGCCGACGACCTCTGCGTTATCATGAGTATACTCAACCCCCTCGGATGCAAGGATTGCTTGAACGGCGTCAAACTGCTTGAGCTTCTGCGCTCTCGCTGCTTTCAAGACACTATTCTTGTTTTCACCCTTGATGAGACGAGCGGATAGCTGCTTTAGACCACCGGTCTCGTCGTCGGCATCTTCCTCCTTCTTAATGAGGTCTTCTTCCTCAACATCCTTAACCGCCTTATCCATGTCAATATTAATTAGTTTAACGCCCGCCTTGGCCTCAGCAATGTTTGTTTTATTCACGATATCACGGAGGATGACTTGGTCGCCATGATACGCGAGTAGATTCTGGAGCCCAAAGATCTCTCCTTTGCGGTCGGCATCTTGTTGTACCCCTTTGAAGTAGCGACGTTCATTTGAAGCATTGTATCCGATATTTGCCTGTTGCTGCTTGTAAATTTGCCTTGCATAAGTGACTTCTTCGATAGTGCCTGTCGAAATGAGACGATAGACCTCTACATCACGAACTTGTCCAATTCGGTAGGCTCGATCCTGCGCCTGAAGATCATAGGACGGATTCCAATGAGGATCCATTATAACAACCTTGTTGGCTGATGTGATGTTAAGCCCGACCCCACCAGCTTTGGTAGAGATCAAGAATACGAATTGGTTCGGGTCGGAGTTGAAGTCATCAACCACTTGCTGCCGATCATCATAGTTCAATGTCCCGTCTAAATAGCTAAAGCTATAATTCGTGTTGTTGAACAAATGCTGTAACATCTTTAGTAGTCGCACGCTATGCGAGAAGACCAGTACTTTGTCGCCATTAGCATGCCAGAATATGAGAAGCTTCTTGAGTACCTTCCACTTCCCACAATACTCGGGGTTGGCTAGGTTTAATAATGACTCTCGGCTGCTGTAATACTTCTCCCAGCTCTGCGGCATGGCGGCTTGAAGGAATCGGAGTTCGCGCTTGTGTTTGTCGAGAATGTCTGAGGATTGGGGGATTATGAGGTTGAAATGATTGGATAACTTCTGCAATGCGATGACGGTAGGGAATACTAGTGATTTCCATGACTCCCCTTCTGCGTTGACTGCGTAGCAGCATGATCCACGCTTTTTCTTAGACCCACACGGACAGAAATCGAATGCAGTCCGGACGAAATTCGCAATATCGCTACCAAGTATATTTTCATAGGCTTCGCGCTGTATATCGGAAAGTGGGCAGAACACAACCCTGTCGGTCTTCTTGGGTAGTTGGTGAGCAATAAGGCTCTTCATTCGACGGAGGAAAAAGCGAGGGAGAAGGTTGTCACGAAGCTTCCTCGCGGTTTTGCGGGCTTCGCTGAGTTGGGTCAAAGTAGCTTCATGCGATTGGCCAATTTTCAATGGTTTACATATCATGTCCTTCCAGTCTCTAATCGTACCAAATGTCCCGGGATTTGTCCAATTCAACAGTGTCCAGAGTTCCTCGTATTTGTTTTGGATTGCTGTCCCAGTGAGTCCGATCCTGCACAGAGAATTGACTTGGTTCATCGCTTTGGTGACCCCAGCACTAGGCTCTTTGATGATATGGCACTCATCCGCGACGACGACATCCCATGGTGTCTCATTGATTTGATCGTAACTCCTCTTGTAGGTGCCATATGTTGTGATCATGATTTCTAGCCTTCCAGCGCTAGCTGCACCCAAAACGTCCTCTTTACCTGCACCGTGATATAAGTCAACCGTCCACCACCCCCACCTGTTCAGTTCATTCTTCCAATTATTGATTACTGATCCTGGGCAGATGATCAAGGCACGAGGATACCAGTCGTCGACTTTAGCTCGTCGGAACTTCCTCATTCTCTTGGCATCACGCCGATCACCAGTCTTACCGAACATCACGGTGAGAAAGGCGGCAACTTGAACAGTTTTCCCTAAGCCCATATCATCGCCCAGTATTCCGCCCTTTTGATATACGAAAAGATGGTGGAGGAATTCGACTCCCTTGATCTGATATTCACGGAGATATTGTGCGATAGAGGCTGGGATGACACCGGCTGAATGCTCTAAAACCACATCCTTGTAGGGACGAGACGGTTTAATTCCACTCTTCTCATCAAATTGGGGTTTCTCCTCTAGGTTTTCTAGGTTTTCATCGTCCGAGAAGTATATATCCGAATAGTCGGGAGGTAGCCGTAGTCCGCCGTCGCGTAGAATTTTCCGATCCTCGTCAAACTTGTCGCGACGTGCCTTTAAATACGAAAGGGCATTTGCGTCTGATTCTGACTCACTATCCTCATCGTCGTTGAGCCGGGGATCAACCAATCGTCGCTTGGCAGTTTTAGGCGTACTGCTCCTAACAGAAGCCTTTCCCTTCCCTTTCTTCGAGGATGATTTTCGAGCTGTCTTTTTTCGCTTCTTGAAAATCTCATAGATAAAGTCTTCCTCGGAACTGTTTTCTTCTTTGCCCAAGTTTTCCGTATTCAATTTTCGCTTATTAGATACATTCAACTTGGCTGAGGCAGCAGCGTTAGGTTTAGCTGACGAATCGGAAGACTCCGTCGCATCATCATCCGAGATGACGATGGGATCTGGAGGCCGGGCCATGCTTCTTCATATGAGATCTAGAATAAGTTATGCAAGTCATATCGGATTGAATGCGCGACGGAACGTGGAGTTGTAGACCCGCCAAGAACTGAAAGAGCCATGATGAACAATAGTAAGAGCGCGCCACTGTGATGTAACTGCAAGGTATTAAGATAAGGTGGGGCAAACTTTCACGAAAAGAAAGCGCAATCACGTGTAAAACATGTCACGTGACCGATAATGGCTCTCTTCCTCGTAGGTGAACTATCCGAATAGAATCATTGCGGGAAGAGCATAATGAGGGAACAGAATCATGAGGGAAAGGCTTTAGCTGATTAAGCTTGCCAAATGGATTACCTAAATGCCTAATGCTTTGCTAAAAGTCCCCGAACGCCAGGCTGTAGGGAAGTCGATATATGCACCGCCCAAAATCAAATTATAGTAGCTCGAAGTCATCAAGCTTATCGCGGTACTTCTGGATGTTTCTCTTGATCTTGCTGCCAACAGCCCACGTCACAAAGTCCTCCAGGTTTCGCGTAACGAAGAATGCAGGGTCGGTGATAGTCTCGACACCCACTCGCACGTGGCCTTGCTCGATGAGTTTTGTAGCCGCTTGCACTGTTTCGGCCATTCGAAGGCGAGTCATGACCTAATTCATGTTTAGCAATAAGTCTCGTAATAAATGCAACCGACTACGTAATATTCAGGACGTACCACGGGTAGCCTTCTCCGTGCCATTGCGGATACCGTCGCACCGTGCTCTACATTCGAGAGTTTCGAACTCGAAGACAGAATACCCATATCGTATAGTTTATTGAGAAGTAGTTCTTCATGTTTCCTCCTAACGGGGTTCTCGGGCGGAAGTAAACTAAGGCGATGCGCTAGTTGTCGTAGGGACTATTGATGAAAGATAAGATGTTAATTCATGTCTGGTGCGAATAGAAGATGTCCAAACACGTACACCGCATATCCTGTTATATCGGTGGTAATCTTCAGGCTTTTGGATCATATACCGCCGTATGACAGCCGCCTGTGTGGAAGGTTAGTAATGATCATGTTCAATTGAGACGACGTCGCATAATCTGAAGAGTACTGACATCTCTGTGATTATTATCTTGTTTCCATGTGATGAAGTCTGTTTTTCGGAGCAACCGCTGCTCGTGATGCTTGAGTTTCCGAACCATCGTGTCTGCTAGTCGATAAGAATTGTTGTATTGGGAACTTGGTTATCGTAAAGCGAAGTTCGAGAATTGGAGGTTCGACTTTTCTTTTTCTTATCGAGATCGGGAACTTTTGAGACCCATATTAAAATCCGATAAGAGCTTAATCCCTGCACTCCGCGAGATAGAGGGGTAGATCGGCAGGGATCACTAGTTCGCTCGCTGGAATAACTATTAACCCGTCTAAATTTCTACATGTACCTCGAATTCACTTTGAAGGCATCACCAAATTGCAAACACAGATTGATCGATACGTCAATTGCCCAAGATGCCGCCACGAATACCCTTTCTAGCCGCCCTACGGCAACCCTCGAACCTAATTAAGTCCCAAACCGCCTACATATCAACCAGCAAACCATCACAGGCTCGTAAGTCCTCTTCCCCTCCCTCAGCACTTCTAAATACTAACACAACCCAGTCCGCACCGACTCCTCGGCAACATCCAACCTCCTAGCCCTCGACGACCAATCCTCCTCCTCTAACTCCCCCTTCTCCAAAACCCGAAGGCCACGGGACGCCACATCAGCCGCAGCCGATGTATACGACCGACTCCACGGGACCGTCTCCAAGCGAATGCGTCTCGAAGAAGAGCTCCGACAAAAAAATGAAAGCGACGACTACTCACGACAACTGTCACGTCGCTGGAAGGCAGGCGACGTATACGCGCCGCACGACCTAAGCCCGTCCGAGATGAGGAAGTGGCGCAAGAGCCAGATGCAGAAGAAGGATTTGGTGGATATGTTGGGATTGAAGCCGTTGGATATGTACAGGGTAGGTTTATTACCCTTTTCTCGCTTAGGGAACTACAGAAATTATGGGTGGCTGCTAACAGTCTCGCAGAATTTCTCCGTTATTTCGGAATTCATGACATCACATGGCCGAATAAAGCGAGCCTTCGAAACCGGTCTGCGACCGCCCAACCAAAGGAAAATGGCCAAGGCGATCCGACGAGCTATCGGTCTAGGTATCCATCCCAGTGTGCACAAGCACCCCGAAATTCTACTGCGAGAGCACCAAAGATACAATGAGCAAAACACATACTCGCTCAAGAAGGACCGCAACATCTAAATATGTGGGCGGATAGATGGATGGATTGTACAACAGCTTTTTAGTGCCTTCTCTTATTTCCACTTATATACAGAGATAGCCATCTAAATATATGTATGAATAATGTTGTACAAAGATCAATTCATTCATATCAATCATCACGCCTTCCACGGCCTTCGGAGTTTAAATATCACGAGCCCTTCTTCGTCTCGCCTCCTGCCGTATTTTTCTCTTAGCGCTGTCCACGCTCTAGGGTGGGCTTCTTTTGCCCATGTTTCGAACTCGTCTTTCTTCTCTTGTGAGGGTAGGACATTGAACACCATACCGAGGCTAAAGAGTCGTTAGTTACTATTAACGTAGCCCGGGATGTTTTGTAGTACTCACTTATGAAGATCGGGCCGCTTCCCGACCACCTCATCCATATCCTCCAAGAGCGTCTCCGCTTTTGTAACATGGCCATGTGCGGCCACGGCTACCACGTACGCCGCGTAAACGTTCTCAGGGACGTCGATCTCCATTCTCCGTATCTTGGCCCATAACTCATCAGCGAGGCCATCACCATCGGGTGTAATTTGGTAAGTTCTAAACGCAATTTCAAGTGTTGCGTATGATGGTCCTTCACGGGACGTAGTGATCTCCTTCCAGAAATCTAGTGCTCGGTAGGGCAAATTACATGCAGCATATCCAATCATGAGCGCATTATATAAGAGCGTGTTGGGTTGAATCGCTGCGTCCATTTTCAACATGTTGTGAACCGATTTTAAAGCATCCTTATCCGGAGCCCTGCCTATTCCTTCCATGAAGCGGACATATGTGTCTAGGGTGGGGCGGAGATGGGGGTTGTCGTGAGCGCGCATATGACCAAATACATGTACAGCCATATCCGCTCGCCGCCTATCGAAAAAGGAGTCCATGATCGCTACTCGGTATTCAACCTCTAGTTCGGGGAAGAATTGGCGCAATAACGCATATGCATCCCATACTCGAGCGGTACTGTTCTTCTTATCTGTGCAATATTGCACAAAGGCTTCTCGGACCATAGAGCGCTCTGCAACGCTATAGTGGACTGTATGAAGTGATAGTGTATCTATCACTTCGTAGGTTTCATCGTTTTTCAGGAACGCCATACAAATAGATACCACCGTTTCAGGTTCCAGTGTTACACGCCGTTGTTCGAGATAACTGGTGACATCGAGAACCCGTTCATGGTTAGGACTAGATTCAGAACACATGGCGCGGATTAAGGAATTTAAGACGGGTAGTTCCCTGTCTTTCGTTGGTTCTTCTAGGCCTTGGAGAGATTGATAGGCAGCAAATGCGCCGTCGAGATCGCCGGCGTGTATGCGATATTCTAACTGGAGTGTATAGGTTTTGTAATTCGGTTCAAATCCTAGCTTTTTCGACAATGCGATGAACCGTTCGGCCAGGTACGGATCATCCTTGTCGATAGCAATCTTAATGAGACCATTCATTGTCCCTGTATTGGGCTGAGAATTCGGTTTGTCTCGACTCTGTTCGTAAGCAACATTTATCATATGTTCAACATGATCAATCCCCTTTCCAAGTAATAAAACAGCCCATTGCAGGGCTGTATCCCAACAAGGCTTGCTGGTACGTAGAGGCCCCGATTCTAATCTGGAGATGAGATTTTGGTAAATACCCATAGCCCATTCTTGTTGATCATTGCGAAGCGCAAATTTAAGTATCTCATAATATGTCGTAGGAGCCGGGGGAAAGTCTTTCTGTATCGGTTTATTGAACCAGTGTTTCGTCTCTCCGACGTTATTGCGTTGCGCAAAAAAAGTGGTCATAATGCCGTGAAGGGTCGGATCATAATCAAGACCTGCCTTCTTTGCCTGCGAAACTAAGTCGAGAAGTTCCGGTTCACGATCCTCCTGAGCGAGACCCCGAATAACGGGCAAGAAATGCCTCAATCGGACTATGTCAGGCTCCTCGCCCTTCTTTCTACCAACGTAGTCCAACGCCAAGTCTTTCGCTTCGAGAGCCTTCCCATATTGCGATAATGCAGCTAATAATGCATAGAAATCCTTTGCTTGTTGTGTGCCCCTCTCCTTCAACTCGGTGTAAATCGCTGTCGAAAGCTCAAGATGGTCGGTAAAGTGGTCTCTCGGTGTTTTCAGTAAACACTCCCTCGCAATTCGAAGGTCATCGTCGGATAATTGCATATTTGGATCATTGGTAGAGCGACTCGAAAGATGGAGGAGCACTCGGTGGGCGCACATAGCCTGGGTGGAATTGACAACCCGGCCAAACCGAGCCTTAAACGTAAAGAATTCCCGCCATGCTCCGACAAGTTCGGCCGGGGGAGGAGGCCTAAGACTATCGTTTTGTGCAGCACCAAATTGAAGCAAAACCTCATATCCCGGTTCGGAGTCAAGCTCTTTTAACGCCCGCGGAGGTTTTTGAAACAATTTCATAAAATGTCTTCTTTGTACAGTCCTAGAAACCCTACACCTCATGGGATATATACGAGTGGTCGGTCTTGGGAGGAGAAATGTGGCAGGGAGGGTGGCCGTTGCCTCGCTCGCAAGAAGCCGTCGCAAGGCATGGCGGGCCAATTGCGACCGCATAGTGGGAGGTAATACTATGTACTCGAGCTACTACATGATTATTAGTAACTTAGTCGAGTAAAATACGTCCAGAATTATCGTTTGACTCACCTAATCATGGCTAAAGCTGGGAATAGCTTCGCGGCGGGGAGGACGGGGATAGGTGATAAGCGCTATAAAGCTTTGAAAAATTGATAAATTGATAGAAGCTCCGGCGCGTCATTCGTGATTAGCGATAACCCCCCTGTTAGCAGTGTGGGCGGACCGGCGAATTGGAGTAACCTGCTCCGATATTTCTATAGCAGCCCGTTTACCGACTGTCGCTTTTGCTTACGTCATAACTCTTCTCTCCAAAGACATTTATTTTCATTTGTTTCTACATCTACTCAACTTCGTCTTTACAACTTTCATTATCTACTGGTTAAAATTCAATAACCACCCCGCCACCCTATGTTCCAACCAAACCCGGCCATTAAAAAGGCTAATAATCAGACAGTACATCAATAAATCTACATACATAGAAATTCACACCTTATCGTATATATGTTTCACGCTGTCTTGACAATTATGTTTTACATTCACCTCGGTTGTTCTCAGGCATGTAGGTACGTACATGGATGAGGGGTGATTCCCAGGTACATAGGTACAGTTAGAGTAAGGGTTGGTTACACAGCATGGTTAGCCGCCTACTCTGCCGACTCTTCTAAAATAGCGCATTTCCATTTCCCCCAGCCATTCATTCTTGAATTACAATTCTTAATCACGACCATTACTCTTTGACCTTAGACTACTAAGTACCAAGGCAGGTAGCAAATTGCGCCTCGAATAATGATACCCAATTTAATACGATCGAGTTGTGGGACGTGTTGCCCCTGGGTTTTGGTGTGGTAACACAGGTTTTATACTCACTCAATCACTTTACATGATATCGACACGAACAGTCTACGTACCTGAGAAGATACCACACAACAAGACTTGTAGCCTAACACATAAGGCAGGTCACGAAGTAGTCCCCAGTATATCCTGGGGTTAATCCGACAATATGGTACCGTAGCAGGCTAATATATACCTTCCATTTAGCATACGTATACTTATCAATCAGGACCCATGAGCCTGGTTTAGTCTTGGGGGTACGCGGGAGAAGTCGCTTACTATATACGGCTTTGCATATACTACCTCGCAGCCCTAACATCCCAGGAGCAACCTGTATTGCGTGCTACATTTGGGGGGTTTAAATCCAACTGAGGCTGAATTAATATAACTTGACAGATCGGAATGGGTGTTGAAAAGTTTCAATTCCCGTTCAGTCCCCCTGTCTCCTTATAAATATCAGGATGTACGCGATGACGACGCAAGCTAACCCACACTCATCCACACCCCTGATGTGACCCAATCGAACCGGGACCGGTCGCGGCGAATCCTTTTAGTTCCCTGCAAGCCATGTCACCAACAACATCGAATAAGAATCCAAATCCAATGGAATCTGCGCGTACAGCACCCTTGCTGCGCCGCCCACCGTGCTTATTCCCGAGCGGGCGAGGCTTGAGATGTGCTGAAACGATTCGTCGTGATATTGGCAACCGTCCCACAAGACATCTCTGTGCCTGACTAGATCAAAAAACCTAATCTTCCATTCTTCAAGCTTCAAGGCAGATGAAGAAATACGACCACGTTCGTGCAGCGATGAGATAGTTCGTTAATATGCTGCCTTTTGGCTTTGCACGATTTGGCTCTCTTCTGCTGTTGACACTGCTCGGCTCCATCAGGGAGGGCCGCGCGTCCCCTGATGCTGGATCGGATCCGACAGCCATTGGCTCTGCTTGTGTAAGTGAACGCTCCACTACCTCATTTTTTCCACATCTGTGCTCACAAATTTCATAGTGTCGAAGTCTTTCAGGCAAATTCCCATCTCAGGTCCTATTTCCTAATAGCCCCCCTTATAACGATTCAGTGTCTTCATATTGGGCTCAACAGGAGCAGTTAATATCTCCATTATGCATCGTCTTGCCAACTTCAGCTGATGACGTCGCCGCGACACTTCAAGTACTTTATCATGGTTCTTGTAAATTCGCGGTGCGAAGTGGTGGACATGGGACTTCGGCCAACGCATCGAATATCGACAATGGAGTTACAATAGACTTAAGCGCCTTGGATTTCATCCTTCTCAGTGGCGACAGGTCCGCGGTGGCTGTTGGACCGGGGCAGACAGTGGGCGATGTCTATGCGCTCCTCTATAAAGCCGGGCTCTCCTTCGCAGGCGCACGAGATAGCGGGATCGGTATAGGAGGTTCAACTCTAGGTGGTAAGTCCCCAACTGTACAATTGTCTTATTCCGATCGGAGCTAAGTGAACCAATAGGTGGACTCGGATACTTCAGTCCTTTTTCAGGTTTCGCATGCGACTCGGTGGTTGAATATGAAGTCGTCCTCGGCAATGGAACCATTATTAGCGCGACGCAAGACAATAACAGCGATTTATGGCACGCGCTTAAGGGGGGCGGTAACAACTTCGGCATTGTCACCAAATTCGTATTTAAGGTGTTCCCGCTTGGAAGTATATGGACGGGCCAGGCGGCATACGCACCCTCTGCAGTCAACAACGCGGCACAGGCTTTTTACGACTTCGTTTCCGACCCCAATTACGACAACAGCGCTAGCCTACTAATGAGCTACGGCTATAATGGCGGAAGCACTCCGTTAATCGAGTTAGAATACGTATACGCTGCCCCTGTCGTCGATCCGCCGTCCGCATTTGCGAAGTTTTACGCTTTGGAGGGTCAAGTCGCGAATGAGACAGGTATAACAAGTGCCCCGGCCCTTTCAATCAAATCAGGGGTGATGGCGCCGGGTGGACAACAGTAAGACATATAATCCGACGATCTTTTCTGGGTTACTGACGCAGTCGTAGACAAGTCACATTTGCCATGAGCTTCCAGAACAATGCTCAGATGCTCCCGATTATATGGACGATGTACAACTCAAGTATCGACAGTATCTCTTCCATCGACGGAATCGCATGGATCCTTACCTTCGAGCCAGTTGTCCAATCACTAGTAAACCATTCGAAAGCGAACGGAGGTAACATTCTAGGGCTCGATATATCGTCGCAGGGACTCGTACTTGCACACTTTTCTGCCAGTTTTGATAACGCCGCAGATTATTCGACTGTGAGCATCGCGGCCGAGAAGCTCTTACAAAATATCAACGGCGTAGCGAAGAAAATCGGAACTTTCAATCCATATGTCGACCTTAATTATGCGAAAACTACCCAGGAGCCGTTCCTTAGTTATGGATCAGATAATTATAGCTTCCTGAAGGCGGCGGCAAAGAGATACGATCCGGCTCTGATGTTTCAGAATCTAATGCCGGGAGGTTTTAAGTTAAGCTGAGCTTGAAATACGTCAGAGATTGAGGATTAAAATAAATTGTCTTGGGGAGGCAACTCCGCGAGGATCTCGACTGCTTCGGAGGAACGAATACCAGAGGTTGATATGCAGGAGGCACAAATTGTTTCGGTGTTCATTCAATTCAGCATACCTTGAATTCATTTTCGGCAAACTGCGTCATCAGAAGAATGAAAGGATAGTACGCATCTCTGGCGCAATGGATAACATTCATATAGATCTCTACAGAAGTACACACGAGGAAATTATGGGAGAATATCATCGTGGGGATATTTTAAGGGAATAGATTTTTGGGATACCCTTTTCACAATAAGTACTCGGGAGGTACATATTATCTTTACAATAAAAGCATTCATACTTTTAACCTTCTAAGGTAAATCCTTAGAAGCTTTTCCTCTTTTGTCTGAATCCAGGAGTTCGCCGCCCAAAAAGACTATACTCAAATAAACCGAAGCGGGAGGGCATATCATGGAAGCATGTGGAAGTGGATGCATCATCATCAAGCGATGAACCGCTTGCCTAGAGCGAAGTGAACCCATTCCCTTGGAACCAAGCGGATGTTGACCGATGACGGGGTTCAAAAAAGCGTGGTCGCTAATTAAGACAAGGTCAAGTTGGGATTGGCTTGGATGAGACTATACAGGTATTCGGCCTAGCTGATATATAGTCTGAGACGCCGGTTCGCCAACCCCTGGCTTCATTATAGCGTTTTCATGCGTCCCCGGATCTTCAGCTTCAGTTCGTGATATTCTTTAATAGATGTTGGTCATGGCTTTTTTTTTTCGTGGCCTTTTCTTCTCTCCTTTCTACTACACACGCTCCTTTTGTGGTGTTGTAAGAGACTTCTGGCTCCCGTTCCCGGTTGAGATTTGAAGCTTGGCATTTCCGGCTCACGTTCGTTATTAAAAATACAGTCACTACCGAATCTACACTCACTATCGGAAATGCGCGCCTCTACTTCCATTGCTGCGATAGCTCTTCTGTGCCGTGGGGCACTAGCTCAATGTGCTGGCAGCCTTTCCGTTCTCGCCGGCCAAGATTTTGCAGATCCATGTGCGTCCAAGGTATCCAGCGACGCTTCGGCTCTCTGCAGCACCTTTCTAGGCACAAGCACGGCATTTGTAGCTGCTGGTACACCAAGCGGATCAGTCGCCACGAGTACTGTTACCAGAGTTGTATTTGCGCCTACGACTACTACTAAGACTGAAGTCATTGCCTTCACTACAACCACTACCGTCACAGCAGCTGCGTCGCCTGGACCCGTTGGCCGTCGCGGATTGGAAATCAATGTTCTCTATCCTGATTCCGGATCGTCCTCGAGCAGCACCGCGGTCACTTGCCCTACTTTAACGAGTCTACCCACGGACAGCGCCTCGAGTTCGGCTGTCAGCTCTGCGTGCAGTTGCCTCGGCGCGAGCCCCGAGGTTACAACTGTATCGGTTTCCTCCGTAAGTTTATATACCACTTGCAGCATTTGAAGCCGGATTGCTCATCTTGTTCTAGGCTACTGTAGCCGCCGCCAACGCGAGGACTGTTACGACTACCGTTACGGTTACCTCGGCCATTATCACTTATACCAAGAGCACGACCACGACTTCAGTAGTAGTAAGCATTTGTTCCCCTCCTAGACGCCCAATTTAATTGAACTTGTTAAACTAACGAACCCTCTACTAGACTGCAACTCAAACAGCCTCCTACGACCGCTGCAGCATCGGCTACACTTCCGGTGGTAACGGCCAAGGGAACCACGCCGAAAGCGTCCAGGCCACTTCTTCCCAAGACTGCTGCCAACAGTGCCAGCAGAAGCAGAATTGCGTAGCGTCAGTTTACACGAGCACAACATGCCAGCACTTGATCAAGAGCTCGCAATTATCAGGAGCAAAGACATCGGATCAGTGCCCTCTTGGTATCGAGGACTACCCCTTTGGACCGGTCGGTGGAATGGTGTACCCGGGACCCTGCGGTTACTAAAAGCTCTATGCGATGATGAGATGTTCGCCCATCAGATCAAATTAGTCTAATACATTAATGATAAACACTTTCTCTTTATCTTCGTAGTAAACCATAGTTCCTCAGCACCCAACCGGGGGAACTCGCTTCTATCCGAGCCAAGACGACACTTAATCGCCACTGATACGAGTCCTATCAAGCAGCAAAAATTTAAGTCCTCACGAGGGACTTTGAGCACTGCGCACAGACTCTAAGAGTTATTAGTCTATACGGAAGATCCGGGCTCTAGCTTAGTTTCCCTGATTCTATAGAAAACTAAGCCCAGTGAGCTCTACAAGGACCCACATACAAGGTCTAGGCTTCTTCATGCAATATCGTAACTCGTGAACTACATCCTTGGCCTTCTTAGCAGGAGGACTGAACATTTTACTCCTGGTTCCAAGAACCTGGGTTGACCTAGTTGACAGGGAAAGTTGTGATTGACAAAAAGACCACCACGCCACTAGACTAGGTCTGCGATATCTACTATGCAAGGGGCTGATGCGAGGGGACAAATCCACGTGTCTGTAGGGATAGATGTATGTACACTTCGCTTCGATCAATAGCCTTATCGCTTATGGACTAGAATGACATATCCGGGTAGGGATGGTTGCAATGAGTCTCCTAGCGGAAAATTATTGGCTGTGCGACATAAATTTCACATCAACTCCTAATGAACGAAGGACTCAATATGACTATACTGATTATATAATCACCAGTTAGTTTTGGGTTACGACCTCCTGTGCCCTGGGGATTCCGATCATGGGCGTCACGTGAATTGGAATAGGGGCTTTTAGGTATTCCACGGGCTGTCGCAAAGCCCCTTATTTAATTGACTCTGTGGGAAACCCAAGTTCACTCTAGATCTCTCCTACAACTTCACTTCTTTTCCAAGTTAACATTATTGCAGACATCACCGAAAACCTCCAAAGCATGACCAAGATAATCCCGCACGGTTTTAATCCGAACCGTCATATCCTGACCCAAGGGTAGAAGCCGCTCAGCTTCATGGCCCTTCCCCACACCTTCACCAACAACAACTTCATAAACCGCTTTCATAGCCTTATCCTTATCGCCATTCGGCTGTAGCTTGTTGCTAGCCATGATCTGCATCATCTGCTCCGCAATCGACCCCTTATAATCATCGGGGAGAGGGGCCTTGCCAAGCACTGTAGCGGCGCCGAAATTTGTGTTAAAGGTCCCGAGCGTGACTGTCAGCGTACGGATTCCGAAAGGCGCAACTTCTTTGGCGAGGACCTTGGTTGCTCCTAGAGCACCATATGAGTACGGAGTTATTAAGTATTAGAGGGGAAACGTACCATCAAGTCCAGCTTTAGCGCCGCCGTATCCGCCCATACTATCTCTGGCCTCGAGACCAGCGCCGCTACTCATGTTCACGAGGACACCGTACTTGCGCTTCCGCATATGCGGTAGGACGGCGCGGATTAGTCTCAGAGGACCGAAGTACAGGGTGTCCATTTGAGCGCGGAGTTCCGCCTCGGAGAGCGTTTCTATGGGGCCGTAGATGGAGTATCCGGCGTTGTTTACTAGGACATCGATTTCATGTCCTGAAGCTTCAATAGAGTCGCTGTGAAATTTGGAGTAAGTTACTGTTTTAGCTTGGGCAGGAGAGCTACTTACATGACCTTTCCGCTGTCCTGGTCGTCGACATCGAGTTTCACCCACTGACTACCCTTTCGGGCATTAACCTCAGCTACGAATTCTGGGGTTTTGGAGGGGTTTCGAGAAGTTGCGATGAGGTTATGGCCACCGGCTAGGACTAGACGAGCGAGGGACTCGCCGAAACCTGAGGAGGCACCGGTGATGAGCCAGGTAAGGGGTCGGTTTGGTTTGACGAAGGTTGCCATTTTGAATTTTTATCTTGAAATTTCTGTGAATGAGGTTAATATGAGTAATTAATGTTTGGTGTCTGTCTCTAGGTCTTTGAATATGCCTCGTGGTGAAGACGAAATAGGGGCATATATACACGAATAGTTGGTAGGCCATGATAGCAGTGAATAAGGGGGTCAGTCAACACCTAATACCGAAAATAATTAATCATCTCGTCCTCGCGTCTTCAAATAATGGAATTAAGTAATGCTGGTTGGTAGTGGGAGGTTAATCCTATCGTGGATTGTTGCCCGGGTTAGTGAAATGTTGGTTGGACTTAGACTTAACTCCGCTATGGTAGATCGGGTTAAGGGATAAACTCCTTTCTTATATAAATCTGCTGAGTGCCAAGACATTTACTATCCCGGTATATCTAGACTTTGTACACTTTGAAAAGTCTAACAGAAAACACCTTGTCACTCTCGTCGTCTTCGATCAAACTTGGATTATTCGTGTTTATGAGTATCCCCAGAAATGAATGCCGAATTCAGTGGTAAACTCCGGGTAGTATTAGCGAATAGTCTATTATCCTATGGTAAAACAGCCGTACTGACAACAAGAGCTGTGCCGCAATAAAGGTCGGATTTGATATCCATATACTTCGTCACTGGGTCAATTCCGCCTCGCCGTTTCTTGAATCTAAGTAGCCCATAGTTTGAAGATGAATACTTCACCTATAATAGTGCGGGAAATATATCAGAGTTCTAAAATTCATCGTCTTTCATTTTTATGCGTCTACTTCTAGTTGTGTATATGCTGTAGAAGTCTATCATATCTATTACTCTCGCGAGTAGACTTTCTTTCCTCTGACCCACGTCTCTTTCACCTTTAACGAGCGTAGCTCCTCTATGTCTAGTTTCTCTAACGGTGAATCTAAGACAATCCAATCCGCATAAGCTCCCGATTGTATAACCCCAGCCTTTCCCTTCATGAATCCAGCATGCGCGGGCCCCTCAGTGAAGCCCCGAATCGCCTGGTCTAAATCTAGGGCTTCATCTGTACACCATCCTTCAGGCGAATCATCTGTACCTCTACCGGTATGCGGGCTTCGTCTCGTGACAGCGGCGTAGATACCCTGGAATGGGTCCGGGGGCTCAACGGGAAAATCGCTACCCAGGACGGGATTGACGTCTAACAAGGACCGCATTCGATATGCTTCCTTGGCGGTACGCTCCTTTCCTAGCCTCTTCTCCGCATACGTCATATCGCTTGTAGCATGGGTGGGTTGAATGGAAGGAATAATTCCGATTGCGTGTATTCGAGCCTGGTCATCTGGGTGGATGATCTGAGCGTGTTCGATGCGAAAGCGTAGATCAGATTGGCAAGTTGAGAGTGTCTCGTCTGGGCAAACAAGCCTAAGAGCGGCAATCATTGCATCGACGGCATATCGATTTGCGAGGTCGCCAATTGCATGGATATTTACTTGGAAGCCTGCTTGAGCCCATGCTACCGCGTCGTATACTAGTTCAGTAGCATTGACAAGTAGAGATCCCGACGTATCTGGGCGATCAGTATAGGGGTCAATTAAAGCACTTCCCCAACTTCCTAGAGCACCATCTATATAATTTGTTAGTACATTTTAAGGAGTCAGTATTCTACAAAACTTACCAGCGAATAATTTCACGCTTTTAATGCTTAAGAAGCCATCCGGACTTGTGTACGGTTCCATTTCAGCCGGGCAGAAAGTGTTCCGTTCGTAACACTCTAGCATTGCGTAGACTCGCACTGTCCAATCATCACCTCCCGCCAGTTCCTTATAAAGGTTCAGATTCCCTGGAGTAGCTCCGGCATCGTGTATACCCACGAGTCCTACTTCATTAAGCTTTCCCATAGCGCTCTTCACGAATTGCGTCTTTTTCTTGTCATCCGGCTTCGGCCACAAAGCCATTACCATATCCATAGCATTATCGCAAAATACGCCCATCCCAGGATCTCGGATAATCTCACCGCCAGGGACATCGGGTATAGTTCCCGGAAGCAGATCCAAAACCGCTTGAGATACCCAGATGCAGTGAACATCGACTCTGTCAAGCATGATGTATAAGTCCTTGAGCTTTTCATCCGCCACTAAGTCATCCTTCAAGACGTCAGCATTCCTATGACCAGTATACTCTTAGAAGAGTCGGGTCAACTTACAGCAGTCGGCATTTGCCCAAGAGCCATCTGATCCCATCCGACACCTCGTAGCCACTCTTCCTTTGATCCAGTACTAGGGTTCTCATCGGCATACTTGCGTACGCGAGACCTAGCATCGTCCATAGAAGTAGATCCGAAGAGGTCTACTGAGTTCAAGAACTCGCCGTATTGTAGAAGATGTCCATGACCATCCCATAGGCCGGGCACTATGATAAGTCAGCCAATATTTCACTACTCGTTATCACCAGGGGTACCGAGAAGCAGGAATGGACTCTTGATGACACATACTGGCAAAACCCGGTTTCGCATTCTTAGCAAGCTCCGTATCTTGGTCAGCTTGGAAAATCGTAGTGAATTTTCCACTCGGCGACACCTTGAAGCAGTTCACATACGGCTCTGCTACAGAATTCGTGCGAACGGATTGGTAACAATGCGTCTCTATGTAAACGTAATCAAGCACTGCACTGTACCCGACCAACGCCACGATTGCGGCTGATAAGTACAGCCAGGTATTACGGCCGAGACGCGGGAAATGGAGCCAATCCATGACTAGTTCCTTAAGATCATCAGAATTTAGCGTAGTGTTGTCCTAAGTTATGTCATCGAAACACCGCCGGATGGGCCCGACCTAGAAAAATGTTAGGTAATCAGGTTTGGTTTTTAGTCGGGGAAACTACACGGATTACTCTAATAGCACTGATTACATCCTAACTAATCAAACCAATCAACATTACTTACTATAAATATTGACGAGATGACTCAAACTTGTAGAATTTGGGATGGTTGTTGCTGAGTGTATCGTGTGATAAGAACGATCCCATTGATTCAACTTCCCCATAAACGCATTGAGAGTTAGGGCTAGCTTGCACTAGTACATTATCCAAGCTCTATCTATCTAAGTAGGGTATGTGGGTATTGAAGCGCGCGAAGTGGGGGCGGGACCCGCGGGTAACGTCACTGTAGAAAGTGCCCAGGTGCTTATTAGGGGGGCAAGGGTCTATCTTAGCTTAGCCGTTCGCTACCATCTAGGGCAAAGGGAGGGGAGGTAAGAAGGAGGAGGTCGCAAAGCTCAGTTAGCTCCTTCGCGGGGCGGGGAGTAATACCATCTAAAATCCCCTATTCAGAAGGCAGGTCCCTACCTCTTATACCCATCCTAAGCATAAGCATCGCCGACAAACCTCAAACCCGGACATTCCGAACTAAACCTAGAGCCAGAAAAAGGACATCATGGCCGACGCCTCCGCCCTCCTAAAGCTAGCCTCAACCGACGTCAACGACGAAATCACACCCGAACAATACGCTCCGGTGCTAACCTCCCCACCCTTCATCTTCGTCGACGGGACCTTCAACACCCGCGATCTAGGTCTCCTCCCCAACACCCCCCTGCGCGCGGGTTTCGCCTACCGCTCCGGCGCACTCGCCCGCGTAACCGACAACGGACGCGCCGTCCTCGAGGGCAAGTTAGGCATACGGCGAATCTTCGATCTACGATCCCCTGAAGAGCGGGCCGCGGCGCCGGATCCCAGATTCGAGGGGGTTGAAAATACGTGGATACAGAGTACGCGGCCGGACTCGACGCCGGATTTGAATCATTTCGTTGCGGGTGAGGGTGAGGATGGGTATCGTGAGATGTACCTCGAGGTCGTGGATGTGTATCGGGAGAGCTGGAGGGCGATTTTGGAACATGTGAGGGATCGCCCGCAGGATCCATTTTTGGTGCATTGTACTGGTGCGTATACTATACCCCTTACTTGATTTGATCGCGGAATTCTAGGGGTGAGGTTGATCTATAGGGAGTTCTTGCTAATCGGGACACATCGCAGCTGGTCGTGATAGGACAGGTGTATTCTCGGGTCTATTACTTACCCTTGCCGGCGCATCGCAGGAGACAATAGCCCTAGACTACATGCTATCACGCATAGGGACTGAACCCGTTCGACTCATGCTATTACAATTCGCAATGGCTGGTACAAAGGCGTCGAGTCAAGACCAGCCGGGATTTTACAATCTGATCAATTTGCGGACTTCAAGTTGGAATGCGTTTGTTGACGGCGTTAATAAAGAATATGGTGGTTTCGAGCAATTTGTTTCGGAACAGCTTGGTTTTTCGAAGGAAGATCTAGCTAAAATCAGAGCAAATCTGACAAACCCTTGAGCATTTACGATTAAGATTTAGATTATCATAATGAAATCCGAATATACCCAGGTCTGATTAGAGTTACAATGTCAATGTCGATACACTTAAGCATGTTGATAAGCGAGAACCCTTGCTCCTTTATAGTGTGCTGGCGCTACAACTAAATAAAACAAATTTCTAATTTTCACCAAAGATTAGGAGTATCATGCGGAACACAACTCACCAACAGAGCAAGAAAGGTTGGTTCGTATAGCATATAACCAATTGTTAATTGATATTGGTGCCGAGACCCTATAACTACATCATTTCTGTTGCCCCCGATATCTCGGAGACAAGTGGATACAACAACGCCGGCCAAGGTGTGGATTGTGTAGCGAGGAAGATCCGGCTTCCTACCAATAGGATTGACTAAACCGGAATGTCGATTAGTGAACCGTCGCTTGAAAGGGCGCACTGCTAGGGTGAATACGGGTAATAAGACGATGAACATTACAGATCCGGATTAGCACCAAAAGTCGGTCTGTTATATGCCTCTCCACTTGATACCTCCTTTACCGGAGATGTCAGAACTAAAGGAATGAAAAAGCCCATCTTACCTAGCGCCCTCATTAGAAAGCGCTTGTTGTAGTGTATTCCTTATTTCCTTATTGTAGTGTAGCCAGGCCGCCACCTTCGATTTTGTATCATTTATCTGGTAATAACCTGTGTTGACTAGATGGCGAGTCGTGATATAGAGTTGGAGACTATTGCTGCTCCAACTACAAGGGTTGGGGCCGCAACAATTCCATTTGAAGCACCGAACCAACAAGATGGTTTACAATCAGAACCAGAAGAAGGAAGACAAGAATTTTCACTACCGCCCGTTGATGGTGGCAAAGATGCCTGGCTCTTCCTCGCGGCATGCTTCGCAATTGAAGCTCTAGTTTGGGGTATACCTCAATATCACCCTTTTGAATCAGTCACAGTTTACTGACTACTCTTTTTGTTAGGCTTCCCATTTGCTTTTGGTGTATTCCAGGATTACTATAGCACTCATGAACCCTTTGCAGGATCTCCAAGTATCGCAGTAATTGGTACTTGTGCAATGGGAATTATGTATCTCACTGCTCCCCTTATGATGGGGCTCTGTCGCCTTTTTGTCCGCTGGGCTCGATGGACGTCTATTCTTGGCTTGTTCATTATGTGTCTTTCGCTTGCGATGAGTTCGTTCTCATCGAGAATCGAGCATCTCATTGCCACTCAAGGCGTTCTTTATGCCATTGGCGGAGGTATTGCGTACTGCCCCTGTATCTTGGTGAGTGCCAAATTGAAAGTGATAAAAATGTCATCCCGATGTTTCAGATTCATCCGATACTCAAAGTGTGGCTTATGACATAAGAACGTAATCTCGATAATGACATTCCGCTGACTGAGACATTTTCATCAGTATATGGATGAGTGGTTTGTGCAACGAAAGGGCCTAGCATATGGCATCATGTGGTCAGGAACTGGCCTTGCGGGAGTGGTACTACCTCTCTTCCTTGAATGGCTTCTTCACACATTGGGGTTCAGGACAACACTGAGGCTCTGGTCTGGCCTATTGTTTGTTTTGACGATCCCTTTGGCATTCTTCATCAGACCGCGCTTGCCTTACTCAGCAACAAGCCATATCAAACCGTTCGACTTGAACATGTTCATGATCCCGACTTTTTGGTTATACCAACTTGCAAACGTCGTTGAAGCGACAGGGTTCTTCTTGCCAGGGATTTATCTTCCTACTTATGCCCGCAGTACCCTTGGTGCTGCGTCATACAGCTCAGCGACCACGATTCTTCTAGTAAACGTCGCTTCGGTCTTTGGCTGTGTAGCCATGGGATGGTTTATTGACCGCCTTCATGTTACAACGTGCATCTTGTTATCAACGATCGGCGCCACGATCGGCGCCCTCGTTATATGGGGTTTGTCATCCTCGATCGGGCTACTATACTTCTTCTGCGTCGTTTACGGACTATTTGCGGGATCGTATACTTCTGCCTGGCCGGGTATCATGAATGATATTGTTCGAAAAGGAGAGGCAAGCGGTCGAGGCTATATCGACCCGAGTATGGTTTTCGGCTGGTTGGCCGCCGGCCGAGGGATAGGTAACGTTGTCTCGGGTCCTTTGAGCGAGAATCTCATTCAAGGACTACCTTGGAAAGGAGATACTCCGGCCTTCGGGTATGGAAGTGGTTATGGCAGTCTTATCGTATTTACGGGTGTGACGGCTTTACTAGGTGGTGCGAGTTTCATTTGGAGACGGCTGGGTATGTTGTGAAACCACACACATATGTAGGTAGTTGGAAGTATCTTGAAGACTCTTGTCTCATTCGCGCATCATCTCGCAGACGGGATAGCATCGGGAGGGGAAGTTCTGTAGCACAAGAAAAAAAAGAAAAAGGAAGCACGCGGACAAAGACATCATGTTGGCGAGGTACCTAGCTAGGTGGCTTAGGTATACACTAAAAAAACTAAATTTAGTGGCTTGCAGTTGGGGTTACACTTACATTAGATAAGAGTGGTTTTCAAATCGTAAGGATTTAATTGGCGAATGGCCATGCGGAGTGCCGGCAAATCTCGGGGCGTTCAGCGCCTCTAAATCCCAAAATCGCAATTCGTAGAAGGCGCCCTGCGCAAGTTCTAGTTTTTAGAAGGACCATTGTGGAGTCGTCCAGGGTCACAGAGGGGCGAAAACTCAATTGCCAGTGTCGAAGCCGTCGACTCCGCTGTCGCAAAACTAACTTACTGTATCTTATATGTGAATCCCATTTCTTACACACCCACAAGCTCTTTCCAATTTCTTTCTTCCTAGGATTCACTGCAGTCGGGTGTGTTGACCGTTGAACTCGACAAACTTCACTCACTTATAGCGCAAACCTTATCCCTCTCTTGCAACTAAGTAAATAAACACAAGCCTCTCGCTCGGGTCAACTCAATCAACCCCTTGCAATTTTATTCAACCTACCTAGGTATTCACCCCGAGCCGAATCAATCCCACGACGACATCGCCAGTCCTTTGTTACTCGCCGCAATTGAAACATTCTCGAGTCGCAAAAATGTCTTTCTCAAGTCTAGTCCAAGACTTGACTCTACGGGATGGAAACACCCCGCGCCAACCCCGAGGTAACTCCTCGGTCTCTACCGTCGACGACAGAGCCTCCCACGTCTCTCGAGCAAGATCATACGCAAGCACCGCTGCGACTAGCGTAAGCCTTACTGGTAACATCTCAAGTCAGCTTCACAGTGGTTACCACCACCCTCTCGCCAGATCATGGCAAGCTGAGCGACAATTGACAAAGGTCGGTCAGCCCACTTGGACAAAATGAGAATTCGAGTTATTAACATCAGAGACACAGTCAATGTTGATTTACCCTCTCTTTATCTCAGATATCGAGGATGACGAGACTTTAATCCCCTCTCTACCCGGCCAGTACCGTCGAGGCCTTAACAAATTGATCCCATTTCTGGAACCACTAGTACGAAAAGGTCTCCGATCAGTCATTCTTTTCGGTGTCCCTCTTAAGCCTGGTACCAAGGATGCTCTAGGTACCGCCGCCGACGACCCGAAAGGTCCGGTTATTCAAAGTATCCGCCTACTGCGACAGAGATTCCCTCAGCTTTACATCGTCGTCGACGTCTGCCTTTGCGAATATACTTCCCACGGTCATTGCGGCATCCTTAGGGATGATTCGACTCTTAACAACCAACTATCAGTGGAGCGAATCTCTGATGTCGCCCTCGCCTACGCCCAAGCTGGCGCTCACTGTGTCGCTCCGTCTGATATGAACGATGGCCGTATTCTAGCCATTAAGGCGAAGCTAGTGGAGGAAGGAATTGCGCATAAGACTCTCTTGATGTCATATGCTGCCAAGTTCTCGGGATGTCTTTACGGCCCCTTCAGAGATGCCGCCGGCTCATGCCCCTCATTTGGCGACCGGAAATGCTACCAGCTACCACCAGGAGGACGTGGCCTCGCACGACGAGCTATAATCAGAGATATCGGCGAGGGAGCCGATATTATCATGGTCAAGCCTGCCGCTCAGTATCTCGACATTATTAGTGACGCGAAGGAGCGAAGTGAGGGACGTCCCATCGCAGCCTACCACGTGAGTGGCGAGTATGCGATGGTACATGCTGCCGCAAAAGCCGGTGTATTTGATCTCAAGACGATGGCGTTTGAGGTCACCGAGGGCATCCTCCGTGCTGGTGCATCTATCGTCGTTAGCTACTTTACACCTGAGTTTCTTGACTGGTTAGACAACTGATTTGATTTATTAAAAACATGAGTGGGAGCGACATGGCGTTTGCTACAGGAGTCACTGGCGCATACGGGACTAGTTATGCATGGCACGAGCACATTAATGAACTTGTGTATAGATTTACGATCATCATTTACCCGCCGTTTGTGATAAGTCATTCATATATCAGCGGTAACGTTTTACAAAAGCCGTCCTCAATTGAAAGTTATTTTAACCATGATGCTATTATCGCATCTAATAACCCTTCAGTATTAAGGAATATCGTTATATCTATAACAGAACTTCGTCAAGTATATCTACCGTGAGTGATTATAGTTACACGAGGTAGCGTATGAGCGACGATACCCATTATCCTAGGCATTCTGTTTATAGAATACATTCATGTAAATCCAAGATGACGAGGCAAGCCCCTGGCTAAAATTGAGCTCCACGATGTTGATAAGAACCCGAACGGGATCCGCAATTCCGTGTTCAAGCTCACACCATGTCCCTTTACTTTGATGTTATCATCGACGACTTGGCATTCTTACAAACGAGATTACGGAATCCTACCTCACTTCCTCTGCCAAGTTACCGATCAACATGCTGATTATATTCTAAACTTTCGGTGTGCTTGCCGCTGTGCCGGTAAAGCTACCCGGTACAAACACTAATAATGTTCGCTTTGCTGATATTACTACTTTATAGTACAGCGTAATACCACTAGATAACGTGGAGCTTGCCTAATAGGAACACCAAGACTCGCACCATTAGCTGTCAACAATGCTATCATAACCATCGTACACCTACCTAGGAAACATATGGCGCAAATACATCATAATAGGCAGAACAAAATTTCTCCTTTCTAGTGCTAGGCCGAAGAAACACTATAGAACATATTTCTAGAACCTAAGAACTCGTAACCCATTCCAGATTCACCCCGCACACCTGCGCTTGGCGGCTCTATGAGGAAGGTAACCCAACCGCCACGACGCTTTTTCTCCAATGCTACGCCTTGGCTCGGTTGAAGCTATATCGCGTGCGGGATGCCCAGAAAACCATGGCACTGGGAATTTTCTTGTCGCCGCTAGGATATGGTCTAGAGCGGATGACGCGAGTGTGGATAGATTTGCAGGATGTGAATAGAGTAACATTTATTTTCTAGTATATATGTCTTGACCTTGCTGTGTTGTAGATTTAGTGTGGTTTGTGTGCTCAGTACCTTTCATCACCAAGGCAATATGAAGGCCCAAAACCCTATCGTGACCTTGGCGGCCGTGAGCCTGCTAGCCTTCACTGGGTGCGCAAAGCCGACGAAATGCACTAAGCGCGACCTACCATTAGTTCACGACGTAAGGAAAATGAGAATACATAGATCTTCAATTGAGGGATACGAAGCTAATTGGATACTCAGCAAGCTCTAGTAGACTCTGTTGTCATAGATGATTTGCTAGGTTGCGCGCAGGACCTGGAAGATATAGCCTATGCGACTTCGCGAAGAAACAGGGTATGTCTTACAATTAGCCAGAAAACCACTGGGAATAGCTTGCTTATGGATGTCATCAGGTCCACGGCACGGAGGGACATCTAAACAGCGTCCAATACTTCGTCGATCAGCTCAACTCAGTCGGCGATTACTACAATATTGAGCTACAGAACTTCACGACTGAAGTGGTTCTCCAAGTCGAAGCGTCGCTATCGATTAATGATGAGACGATTGAAGCGGGTGGCTTCTCGTTCGGCAACAATGGAACTTGGGAAGATACACCCCTAGTATCCGTGGCCAACCTGGGCTGCGTCGCCGTAGGTTTACCCACATATTTGGGAATAAGCTCAATCTGACTCTGCACCAGGAGGACCACCCAGATACCCTAGACGGAGCCATCGCTCTTATCGCGCGGGGTAATTGCACATTCGTGGAGAAAATTACATTCGCCGGCGAAAAGGGGGCCGTCGGCGCCATCATCTACAACAACGCGGAAGTCGGTCTCGCAGCCGGTACACTAGGCGGCGTAAATGACCTAGTAAGAGCTCATCTCAGAACCCGTCCTACAACACCAGAACTTACCAAACTTCCAGATCCCAGTTGGCGGTATATCCCGGGCTGACGGTCTACGCCTAGCTTCACAACTCAGCAACGGCACAACCCTCACCTCCACAGGCGATTTCTGGCAATACACCGATAACACGACAAGCTACAACGTCGTAGCCAGCTCCAAGCAAGGCGACGCGAACAATACCCTATTCCTCGGCGCGCATAGCGACTCCGTCGAAGCCGGGCCAGGTATCAATGATAACGGCAGCGGATCGTGCGGTTTGCTTACGATCGCCAAACGACTGGCTGCTTGGAAGACGAATAACCAGGTGCGTTTCGCGTGGTGGACGGCTGAGGAGGAGGGGTTGCTTGGGTCCGAGCATTACGTGGAAATCACCCCGGATGCGGAGTTGGATCGCGTGAGGTTGTATCTCAATTTCGATATGATCGCGTCGCCGAATTATGTCTTGGGGATATATGATGGTGATGGCAGCGCGTTTAATCTATCGGGTCCGCCTGGGTCCGCGGAGGCCGAGAAGTTGTTCGAGGAGTGGTATGGGAAACAAGGGTTGCCGTTCGTAGGATCGGAGTTTAATGGGCGAAGTGACTATGGACCGTTCTTGGATAAGGGAGTGCCGTCTGGTGGACTGGATACTGGTGCTGATGGTATCAAGACCGAGGCAGAGGTTACGCTGTTTGGAGGCACGGCGGGGGAGTGGTATGATCCGAATTATCACTCCGTGAAGGATAATGTGACGAATTTGAACCTCGAGGCTTTTGAAGCTACGAGTAAGGCCATTGCGCACGCTGTTGCGACGTATGGGACTAGCTGGGAGGGCTTTCCCAAGCGGAATGTTACGTCATTGACGAGGAGGTACTCGACTTTTTCGAGGAAGTATAATAATGCTTTCATGAAGAAGTCAAGGCGTGGGAGGAAGAGTTTGTATTAGTCAGGATACTGGTTTTATTTATATGCCGTATAGATGAATAAGAGCTGTATTACGTAATATAATGAGTATCAGATGGTATTTCTATAACCACATTGATGACTCAGAAATTCTAAAGAGGGGAAAGACCTTGGGATTTGCTTTTGCTTTTGCTTTTGCTCCTCAACTAAATCACCAATCTATCTCGCAACACATCACCACACTTAGTATATTAAAATCATAACTTCCCATCCCAATCTAGTCGCTCAGGTATATTACATCTCAATCAGGAACAATTCCGAATGAACGGTAGAGCACGCGATCTAACGCGGAATGTGCGATGTTATTACCCCTTGCATAGCACGCGCTCGATGGCGATCATATCCTTTTCTAGCAGTAGCTTTTATCTCGCGTAGGTGGAGGAAATGGAGGAAATAATGGAGAAGTTGGAGTTCGACAGATACCCTAGTCAAATTAATATTTGCTCAACGTCAGCATCCAGATCCTGCTTCCGCCTTGCCCGTCTATCGTCCCACTCACTACTCACTGCGAATGAGGAGTTACCGGAAATGTGAGTCAACTTCGGGAACTGCCTTTTGCTTATTGAAGTAGGTAGCTGGGCAGGTTCCGTTGGGCTGAACAAAGGAACGAGGGGGAAATCTCCAATCGCTATTCTAGAATCCAGCCGAACGAATCGATATGAGCATGCCAAGATCTCTCACCTGCCTTTTTCATATTGAGATGATGTCTTAGTGCTGAGCTCTTCATACGACCCTGTTCGTGTCGTTCGTGCCGGTACGAATAGAAAATGTTGGAATTCTGAACAGGCCTAGCAGTCTAGGTCTAATCTATGGATCCTGCGCCATGGCGCAATCCCATGAGATAGCGATGTAATCTACATGCATGATGTTGATATTTTACCTGTTATACCCCGCCTCAAGGTAGGCAAGGTTACTTCCAGCCCCAACCCAAGTACAAGGTAGCCTATGTAGGTAGGTATATTTTATGGCGCCTTGAGCCTTCTTTGTTTAACTTGGTTGTTTACCTCCTTCACTTGCCTGGACCGGAACGCATAGGTCGGCGTAGAAGAAGTAAAGGTTCTCATTGTGCTGTCGCGAAGATGAGGTATCAATCGCGAGCAGCGGTAGCTTTAGCTGCCCTGCCTACCGTCTTCGGCATTACGCCCGAGTCAATGCTCGCTGCGAATCGCTATGGAGTCGCTACGCCAAACCCCAGTGGTGTTCGTACCTATCCGACGTTCCACAACGCACCTGACGCGATAACTGACCGCTCATATAGGATTTCGCACTTTTCACGGTGTCTAATTACACCTTCGAAACGAAAGAGAGCGCGTCGCAGTGGAATAAACTAGACTTAAAGACCGGCGACATCTCAGTTTGGTACGCCGGATCCGACATTTCGGAAGTCGTGTTCGTCGGATCTACTCCGACGAGTATCATCTACATCAACGGCACCAATGCCGAAGATGACGGTGGTATAAGCCTGTATTCCGCGGATGCGAATTCCTTAGAGGATGCGAAATTGATCGCTTCTTTGCCTGCGCCTTACTCAGGTCTTAAAGCTGTTCAGACCGCGTCGGGCGACATCCACTTCCTTGTGTATACTAAGGCATACCCCAACGGTACGGCGTACAATGAGGCGTCGGCTAGCACGCCCGCCAGCTCGGCAAGAATTTACACCACAACTTATGTCCGACATTGGGTATGTATTTCGGATACTGATCCGAAAGATAGTAAAAACTGACAATCTATTAGGACACATGGCTCAATGGAGAGAAGAACGCTGTTTTTGGCGGTGTGCTAAAGGGAGGTAACGGCTCCTACGCATTCTCTGGTGACCTCACCAATTACGTCAGTGGTAACTGCAACGTTTCCTGCTTGGAGAGCCCTTATGACCAGAGCGATGAGAGCGATTACGACATTTCGCCTGACGGCAACCACGTCGTTTTCCTATCGAAAGATCCCTCGCTTCCATTGGCTAACTACACCGCCGACGTAATCTACCACGTACCATTCAATGGTACTGCTAAAGACATTGTCGCTATCAATGCCAGAGGCAGCACCAAGTACGCCGAGGCCCAGGGTGCAGCCACAAGCCCCCGATTCTCACCCTCAGGAAAGCAAATCGCGTATTTCCAGATGAATGGTATTGCGTACGAGTCCGACCGTAACATCCTCTATGTCGCAAATGCGGATCCAGAAGACTTCAACGTAACAGCTCTCGCGCACGATTGGGATAGGTCGCCGGATGTTTTGGCATGGTCGAAGGATTCGGAAACTATTTTCGTCTCAGCTCCGGATCTAGGTCGCGAACGTATCTTCCCCATTCCTCTTACTGCTGGCGACTCGTACGAGCCCAAGAACATCACGAATGAAGGTGTGCCCTCTGCATTCTATGTATTGCCCGATGAGTCCATCCTAGTATCCGACACGAAGATCTGGACGAGCCGAGATATCTTTTCTATTACACCCGAGGGTGAGGTAGTCAAGACGTATTTCCAGGCCAACTTAGTCGACCCGGCCCTGAAGGGACTCAAGCCCGAAGATGTGTCCGAGTTCTACTACTCGTCCAACACTTCCGAGATCAAGCAGCAAGCTTGGATCATTTACCCAGAAGGTTTCGATGAGAGCAAGACTTATCCTCTGGCGTTCATCGCACATGGTGGACCCCAAGGAGCTCACTTCAACAGCTGGTCGACACGTTGGAACTTCAAGGTTTGGGCAGATCAAGGTTACGTCGTAATCGCGCCGAACCCAACCGCAAGTTCGGGATGGGGTCAAAACTTGACCGACTCTATCCAAGGCCGTTGGGGATCGTACCCGTACTGGGACTTGGTGCATGCCTGGGATTACGTCAACAGCACTCTTAAATATGTCGACACGGAGAAGGGCATCGAAGCTGGCGCGTCTTTTGGCGGATACATGACCAACTGGTAAGCTTTTGAGTTCTCAGACCATTAGACCTTAATCAACTTGACAAGTACTAACGAAAGTTTCCCCATTGTAGGATCCAAGGCCACGAGCTCGGTAGACGATTCAAGGCGCTCGTGACACATGATGGTAGCACCTCAACCCTTAATCAATACGCGAGCGAGGAGCTCTGGTTCATGAACGTGAGTGTTTCTAATTATATCTTGTGCTCATCACTGATTTACTTTTCTTTATCAAATAAAATGGACCCATACTAATATATGTAATCAAAATGCAGCATGATTTCAGTGGGCAGTTCAACCAGACCGGATTTGTACCCGGTTCACCCTACTATGACTGGAACCCGCTATTGTACGTGGACAACTGGGCGACGCCTCACTTTGTAGTCCACAGTTCCATGGATTTCCGTCTGCCTATCAGTGAAGGTGTTCTTCTCTTCAACCTCCTCCAGACTAAGGGAGTGCCAAGCAAGTTACTCAACTTCCCTGAAGAGAACCACTGGGTCCTTAACCCAGAGAACAGTTTAGTCTGGCATACAGAGATCTTCAAGTGGATTAACCATTATAGTGGTATTAGTAATACCTCGAGCCCTTATTAGGACCGAGGCTAGATAGTATTTGGGACTGGGACTCTTTCTCAAATCCTGTAATAACTAATTCAATTAGACATTATCGTTTGATGAAGCGAATTTGTGTTTGGTGCAATGAATATATGTAAGTACATGAGTCAGTATGTGAGTCGACTTGTTACTCGAAAAGATAAATGCGTGAGTGGTGGGTTCCAAATCCTTTATGATTATTATGAAGATATTCAGGTACCTCCGTATCATACGGAATGGGTAAATGCTAGGGTGAGAAGGTTCTTTTGACAACACGTGTGAACAGGAACGGGTTGACACGGATTACCTAAAGAGGTATAGGCAACACATTTTAAACTCACATGGAAATAACACTCCGTTTCATACACGATGTCAATTCTCAAATCTTACCCGTTAAGGAATACCAACCCAGTTGCAGAACATTAGCCGTTTCAACTATCTCGCAAATAAAGCTTAAAATGTTTCCCCCCGCGCGCACCACGCTTCGCCCTAACTTCCCTAGCATCTTTTAAATAAATTGTCGAGCGGCCGGGCGGGAGGAGCACCAAGCTTTTTTCTGTGCCTCCTGCAGATCACACAACGGAATACTCCACTGTAGAAATCTCATCGCCAAGACACGGCTACCGACCACCAGGATCAGGGATGCGAAAAGAAGAAAAAGAGTGGCGTCTATCCAAACCTCAGCTGTCGCATTTCCACTATGCGTGACAACGATCGTCATATTTGGCCCAGAATTCTAAGAACCCGTAATCTTTCCACATCAGACGGATATGACGACTTTTCTCTCTATCCTTTACGGAGAACCACTTAAAAAAGTACCTGAAAATAACAAGAAATACCTGATCAAGTATCCATTGGCCGGGGACTGCCAGACCCGATACAACTGTGTCACCCTGTATTTTTGCTTTTTCCGCTAGTCACCGGTTTCCCCAACCTGTTCTTAGTCAAGCCTTTTCATTGCGACTTGCTTCGTCCCACCATTCCATCCACCTATTCAGTCGAACACAGCCTCCTCCTACTCCGTTTTTCTCTCTTATGCTAACATTTATCCAAGTGGAATCACGAAATACGAAGAGTCTTGGTTAACTATCACGGGCCGAGACATATCATACACTCTACTCTCTTAGGTACTTGGCAACACGGTCAGAACACACAATGTTTACTCGTAAGAGGCTTGCCTTGCGCAGACGCCACCACTTCCGCTCTAGTCAGTGCTAGTTTTCGTTTTATACACAATGAACTTGCTACATTCCAGACCCCTTTCATGTCGAGTGACAATATGGGAGGATCCGTTTCGGATATTGTCGTAATAAGCATAGACAGATGCTAGAGCCTAAAAAACGTGGTTCATGGGAATACGTACATACATATCCCCAGCTACAGCCCCTTCGACGATCGGTATCCTTCGAAGACAGGGGACGCAACATGATCTTCGTTGGAACCGGTCCGTGACCACCACAGCTTCAGATGGATAAACGGGAACGACTCGGCTCACTGCTCGCTCTATTCACTTACCGGACCAAGTAGGTATGCTCAGGGGTTTGGGTTGCTAGTCGAAGTCGAAAATCGTTGCTTCGAGGTCGCGAATAGCTTTCCTATCCAAAACACCTTCACTTCTTTCATTCACCTCATTGCCGGACAATGAATGGTTATGCGGTTTCAAGGGCCTCGCTCTCCCACGAGGAGAAGCTATCTCTCATTGATGATAGATCACTGTCAGACGTAGAAAGCGAGAGTGCTCGTATAGATCTCGAGGGTCGCTTCTCATCCATACAATGGGCCTCTACAGCAAAGACATATTGCAACGGCCTACGATTATCATCATGGGCCTCGTCGATTCTAAAAACAGGCATATTTTTATTACCTAGTTTTCTTCACCCACGAACTGCCCGAGAACGATTTCGGCCAGAAAAGCTTCACCCGACGGCATACCTCGATGGAATGCGAGGCCTAGCCGCACTATTCGTCTTCTTTTGCCATTACTTTTACACGGCCTTCTTGATAGCAGAAGGCTGGGGCCGCAACGACGCCAACTACGAAATATGGAGGCTACCATTCGTCCGATTACTCTACAGCGGGCCGTCCATGGTCTGCATCTTTTTTGTCATATCAGGGTACGCCCTATCCCTAAAGCCCTTGAAACAGGCACGAAGTCGCTCTTTTGATGGTTTATCGCAAACCATGTCATCATTCATTTTCCGAAGATTCTTTCGCTTATACCTACCGCCTTTGATTTCCACATTCGGTGTATTAATCTTGCTTCGTTTCGGCATCTACGAGAGGACTAGGGATTTCGCCAACGACCGGAAATACATTCACAATGTCATGGAACATCATCCCGTTCTGGAAGAGACTTTCCGGAAACAATTTTGGCACTGGGTCCGTGAGATGAACGACTTTATCCATATTTGGGGATGGGAGAAGTTTGGAGGCGCGACGGGTTATGATGTGCACCTATGGACAATCCCGGTGGAATTCCGGTGTTCAATGCTACTCTTCCTCATAACCTTGGGTACCTCTAGATTACGGACCCGCGTGCGGTTCATATGCATTGCTTTCCTTATGTGGTATACTATTCGCAACGATCGATGGGAAATGGTTCTATTCCTCTGGGGCTTCATGCTCGCCGAATTGGACATCATCCGAGGCGCCCACGACCCGAATACATCGCAATCATCATCTACTCCCGCAACATTACTTCCTCTCGAAAAGACGCCACCTACAGCTCCCCAGAAACGGGGCTCATGTAATTTCCTTTGGACTCTTATCTCCATTCCAGCTCTTTACCTTATGTCTGCCCCGGACGCCGGTCCGGATGGTGTTCCGGGGTGGGTGTATCTCGGGACCTACATACCGGAATGGTTCTCCGACAAGTACCGATATTACCAAATGATCGGCTCGATTATCTTCGTCTTCTGCACCGCGCGATCCACATCCTGGCAACGCGCTTTCAACTCCCCTATAGTTCAGTACTTCGGTCGTATCAGCTATGCTCTGTATCTTATGCACGGTCCCGTTATGCACACAATCGGTTACCAAGTCCAGAAACGAGCGTGGAATTTCACGGGTACCGAGGGTTGTGCGTATAATTGGGGCGCGGTGCTTGCGTGTATGTTTAATATCCCGCTTGTTATCTGGGTTGCGGATGTTTTTTGGAGAGCGGTGGATGCGCCCACGGTTAAGTTCGCAAAGGGGCTTGAGGCGTGGGTTAGTATTGATGAGTAAGGGGAACCTAGATGGTTGTTTAACATTCTAGATGGGTTAGTTGAAGTGGTTGGTGATTACATGAAAGATAGGGATTTCGGAATGTATTTAGGTATGAAGGTGTTTGGGCATTTAATATATTGCATAGTTGATATGATTTTCTTGCGTTGAAAGTGTGTATATATGTTCTTTTGGGATGTTTTGAGATGTTGCCTGGATGTAGATGAGTAGTCCACTCCATTATACCTTAAATAGTTTGCTAAGATATCAAGTTTATCTATATCCTTATGTGAAAATGTGTGAAGTGAATAGGCTTCAGATGTGTGTAACCAGGTTCCGGTTGGGCGAGAAACCATCCTTTGAGTCTTTCTACCCATCTTAGACAGCCTTATACTCTGAAGTACTGTCATTCGTCGCGTGACTAGCTGGATAATATGTCTTAACAGTATAGTGGTGTTCAAACGTATATGTATGTTGAGAAGTAGGCAGGCGCATGCACATATTTGCATTCAAGGATAGAATTGCATGAGCATTCATTGGGTACTATTCAGATCAATGTTTTATTCACACGATAACTACCTAGGTATAGATGATGGGTATCGAGTTAAGTATTTGGATCATCTAGTAATATCAAACCCTGTTATCTAGCTGCTAGGCTAGTCCTGGAGAAATGGCAAAGTCATGAGAGCCATCGCGACATATTTCATCAACTACCTACCTGATTTTGAATACTGGATCCTCTATTATCGCTACTAAGCATAAGAGTTAGGCGTCTATCGGCTCGTAAGATCTATAATATTGCCATTGGAGCCTAACAAGGCAGGGCTCCTCTACGGCGATGTCAGGGTGCCACGTACATTTACTGGGTCTCTGTAATGACGAAAGGCGAGAATTAAATCAATACTGGAAAATTGAAACAGTAACAGGCTATCGTTTATATAGGTTGTGTTAAAGTTCAGGTATAATTTGGGGGTTATTAAGCTCTTGTTGTTGCCGCGTGGCTAGCATTCTAGCGCCTTGTCATGATATAGCAGCAAACGTGTTGTAGAGCTATACCTATAAGGCAAGTTTTCCTAGGCGTCGATGTCAGAGATAGAGATTCTACTGGGCATCGTTGGGACTTGCCTCCCTCCGTCATGTTCTGGTTTTCCTCATACCTCTCGAGATCCGGCTGGATCATAAAAAATTGGGTGTACGATGCGATATTTACTTTCTAGATAGTACGATATATCATCCACTAACTTATATATGGTTTAATATTTCGAGGTTTAGATATAGACAATGTTGAGATAGAGATATAAACAATTCCCATATCAATACTCCCAATGCTTGTTCATTACGTCGATAAAGTGTCTTAGTAGTCGCTGTTCCGACAAGGGCACCATCGGTACTCGTATATATATATATATATAATAATCGCTCTTCCCAGATCTAAATCCCGTGTAAATCGTAGGTGGCACATCACCACAGAAACACCACAATGTGAAACTCTATGCGTGACGTGAATAAGCGGGTGGTGGTATTGAATGTTCGTCTATAGGAAAAGCAAGTAGCAAGATTTCCCCTGAAGACGCCTCCCCCCTTTCCCTTTCCCTCCAACCTTCCTACCCCTCCCTCCTCGGGTTAAGCAAGCGGAAAAAAAAACCGTCATGCGAAATAGTTATCTCAACGCCTCAAAAATGCTTTGCCGGTGCTGCCATGCAAATGTCCAGTGGATTCCTCCCCCCAAATGCTAAACCTCCGTCGAACTCATCAACATGCGTCGCGATTACAGGGAAACCAAGGATCCCGTCCCGTATATCCCTTTGCTAGGATGAGATGACTATCGTAAGTTAAGATGATAGGTGCGGTGTGGTGTGGATGTTATTCGAAGACTTGGTGCGGCTCCTGATCATGTATGCCGACTTCGCTTCCCGTCCCTCCCGAACATGTCTTTCCCGAATGCGACGCCTCCGACATCGAATAGCTCGGCAAAGTTGATAGACCTTTTCTGACCGGCCCCTTTCCCGAGGTGACTCGTCGGCTTTGGTCTTGCCACTCGTTTGTTATTGCGCGATCGGGTTGGATGTGCTATGGGCACGGCTGAAGGTCCTGGGCTAGAATTGTCCGTCGTCCTGGTCGAGTCTGAAAGGTCTAAGTTTTCTAAATTCGGGTATGGTTCCTGCGGATATGGATGTGCTGCTCGGAAGGTAAAATTTTCCTGGGTGGGGACGGTGACCATTTGATGTTCCTCTGTTGTTGTAGTGCCGGCGGGTTGGTGGTGTGTTATAGTAGATGGGGGATCGGGCTGAGCAGCTGATCGATGGACCTCTGGCGACGATACAGGTTCGGGCTTCTCGACTTCGTCCTCGCTCTCCTGTACCGTGTCCCTCCCTTCCAACCTTTCGGTAGCCCATCTCCGAATCTGCCACCCCTCACCGTCTCCTACACCGATATTTGATTTGTCAAGGAAGATTAGGAGGTCGTCCAGGCAATCTTGGTATCCATCGGCTCGGGATTTCGCTTGGGCGGCTGCCGATGTCTTGTATAGCTTTGTCACAGATAATGCCGCGGCCTTGAAAGCGTCGAGCAGCTGCTCCGGGGACTCGGAACCAGCTGCATTCTTTGACGGGGACGACCCTCTCAAGGCTTCCATTATTTGGCTGGCGGTAAGATATACGTTCAGGTATTTTTTTTTTTCTTTTTCTTTTTTCTCTTTGGCCAAAGGGCCGTAGGTAAAAAATATACTGGAGCAGAGGAGGGAAAAGGGGAAGTTGAGGATCGTCGAGGTTTTGACTTTAGGCGAGGGTTATGGCGGTGGGCGACTGTAGACGGGGTTCAAAGGCGGACTGAAGGGTTAGATCCTTCTCTTTTTCTTCGTTGGGTTTGGTGGGGGCAGTGGGTAGTGGGCTTTTGGTCCCGGGCTTGGGTTGGTGTATGGTGGGCCGAAGCCAGCGACAAATGGCAAATAGTAGATGCAGCTTACGTTGTATCGCCCGGGACGACCTTGACGACTTGTGATGAGCTTATTAGGGCATTGAAGGGAAAGAAGCAAGGCGATCTATTCAGCAAACGACTTTATTAATTGGATTAGAATAGGGTTGGTAAAACGAGGGATAGGAGTCTACGTGGTTGCAGTTGTTTTCTTCCGCTGTTGTTGGTATTGTCGGTATAATTGGTAATTCCTTGTTCCTCGTGTCAGATGATTCCAGACTGATGACGAGCCTGGTCTTAGTAGTCTTAGTGGTCTTAGTGAGGGTTAGTGATTTAATGATGTTTAGTGGTGCTCTTAGTACTTAAAGTACTTACATATATGTACGTGTATGTGACCTCCCGAGGTACACTACATTTACGGCTGGGATTAGCTGGGATAATATACCGAACGGATACCTAAATACCTAAATACCTAAATACTGAGTTACACCGTAAGCCCGACTAGGTCACAAAGTGGGTCCGGGGTTCAATGACAAACCCAGCAGGAAGGGATTTCTTGCAGCCACCCATAATTCGCCTAGGCCGCCAGCCGTAAGCGGGTATTCAATCGAACTTGCCAAATCAATTCGCTTTTTTCTGCCAGGAACCGGAAAATCCAACCAATCAATCTCACCTCACCGTGATTGAACCTAGGTACCTAAGTACCTGCTCAAAATCATGTGCTGAAAGAGCTATCTAGCAGAAGTACATACATAAGCTGCAAGATCAAAATATGTATCTGTACTTTATTCATGCGTTGCCTTCAGGGATATTGGAGAGATGTTCAGAGGAGGCTTTAAGTGCGCGCATAATTCGTACACTGATGCTTGATTTAATAAGCAGCACCTTTATGTTAACAAGTCTGCCTATAATATGCCTGTGATTTTCTTTATACATTGTTACATATGTAACATAAGATTTGCCGCCGAAGATGCGGGTGAGGTGGTCTCCATGTGCTCGTGCTCAGTACGAGTACATGTATGTAGGTAGATAGTTCGATCTAGTACTTAAGTAAAATAATATAAATATTGACGGGATCCGTGGGGATATATACTTGCATATACTAAAAAGGATGTTCTCCAAGATTACGATCAAATTCAATATAATATTGGAGTTAAAGTTTTGAAATATTTAAGGTTGATGGCGATTTCTTTATTTATTTTGGCGGGTGAACGCTTTGGATTGGTTACACCTCCCCCATATTCTCTTCTACACTGCTTACATGTTCCTCTAACAGAGAACACCAAACTTTCAAGGTTCTGATTTTTTTTTTAAAACGATCCTCTGGATTTCATCACAATCAGCCTTGATTTTAAACAGTCCTATTAACATCTACTTTGTATCGGCTTACAACACCAACCTACCCGAACCACTAGATAATTGATCCTTTTCCAAAGGAATTACCAATCGGCTGAGAAAACGCACAGACCACACTGACAAAATTGGTTTATCGCCGCTGCCGTTGATGATTGTCAGCCTTTCAGAAGCTGCAGCACCTAATCGTAGCCCCACCTTGGACCCACTCTCTAAGGAAGTATCCTCACTTTTGACTGTGGACTAATTTCTGTTTAAACTTCTCAACTCTACATCTTTCACATCCAATACAGCTTCGAGCACCTTAATTTCCGACTCGTGTTGTGACACTACCACCTCTCTTCACATCACGATACGACTGGATCAGCAATCGTGATCCCACGTTCCCCTCTAAATCATTCGACGAGCCCAGAGAAAGTTGTATTGGAACCCCGGTCAGATTATTTTTCAGTCAAATATCAATTTAGCTTGTCGCGTCGCAGTCGCGTAAAGCGCCTGCCCCAACGCATTTACAATCATGGCGCCTCGTGGAAGGGTCGGCGCCGTCGACACAGACGCGTCCATGTCGGATGCGCAAGAGCCTTCGAATGCTCATCACGACGAAATGGTGAGTTTTCTCATAATATTATTATCCTACGATTTGCTCTGCCAGGTCACCATTTATCATACTGATTTATGCTGACTTTTCTATAGGATGTAGATGATACCCCGGACCATACCGATACCGACACAAACCCCAACACCACGGCCAGCAGTGTTGCTGGTGATCAGATTGGCGATGGACGCAAAAAGCGTTCCGAAGCCAACCAATTACGTCGAAGCATCTTCGGCAAAAAGCATGATTTGCTAGGCGAGTCTAAGGTATGGGATAACCTAAGCTGATAATTAACAGCGTGACAACCAGGCTGGAATTACTAACCATTCAATAGGAGGACGACAGCATTCGACGATTCCGTTACCTACTAGGTTTAACCGACCTTTTCCGTCACTTCATCGAGACCAACCCCAACCCAAAAATCCGCGAGATTATGCACGAGATTGACCGTCAAAATGAACAGGGCGTGAAATCAAAGAAGAAGGGCGTTCGGCAGGGTGGTGCGGAAACGGGTAGAGCTCGCCGTACAGAAGCCGAAGAAGATGAAGAATTGCTCAAGGATGAGAGGCAAGGAGGTTCCGCTGACACAGTGTTCCGCGAGTCGCCCCCGTTTATTCACGGTACAATGAGAGATTACCAGATCGCGGGATTGAATTGGCTCATTTCTCTGCACGAGAATGGAATTTCTGGCATTCTCGCAGATGAAATGGGATTGGGAAAGACACTACAAACTATTTCTTTTCTCGGATACCTGCGACACATAATGGATACCAAGGGTCCCCATTTGATTATCGTGCCCAAGTCTACCCTTGACAATTGGAAGCGAGAATTCGCCAAATGGACACCGGAAGTTGACGTTCTCGTCCTACAAGGCGCGAAAGAAGAACGACATGCGCTGATAAATGATCGTTTAGTCGACGAGAAATTTGACGTTTGCATCACCAGTTATGAGATGATCCTCCGAGAAAAGTCACATCTGAAAAAATTTGCTTGGGAGTATATCATTATTGACGAAGCGCACCGCATCAAGAATGAAGAATCCTCCCTGTCACAAGTCATTCGCTTATTTAATTCGAGAAACCGACTCCTTATAACAGGAACGCCCCTACAAAACAACCTCCACGAATTGTGGGCTCTCTTGAACTTCTTGTTGCCCGATGTATTTGGCGATAGCGAGGCTTTCGATCAATGGTTTTCGGGCCAGGACGCCGATTCAGATGTTGTTGTCCAACAACTCCACCGGGTTCTCCGACCGTTCCTCCTACGCCGAGTCAAGGCCGATGTCGAGAAGAGCTTGTTGCCAAAAAAGGAGGTCAATCTCTATCTTGGCATGTCGGAAATGCAGGTTAAATGGTACCAGAAGATCCTGGAGAAGGACATTGACGCTGTTAATGGTGCCGGTGGCAAACGAGAATCGAAGACACGACTGTTGAACATTGTCATGCAACTAAGAAAGTGTTGCAACCACCCGTATCTTTTCGAGGGAGCTGAACCAGGCCCTCCTTACACGACCGACGAACACTTGGTTTACAATTCGGGAAAGATGGCTCTACTGGACAGACTCCTCCGAAGGCTGCAAAAGCAGGGTAGTCGTGTTCTGATTTTCTCTCAGATGAGTCGTCTTCTAGACATCCTAGAGGATTATTGTGTGTTCCGCGATTACAAATACTGCCGTATCGATGGAGGTACTGCTCATGAAGACCGAATTGCGGCGATCGATGAATACAACAAACCAGATTCAGAGAAATTTGTTTTCCTCCTAACGACCCGAGCTGGTGGCCTGGGCATTAACTTGACTAGCGCGGATATCGTTATTCTCTACGATAGCGATTGGAACCCTCAAGCGGATCTACAAGCCATGGATCGTGCCCACAGAATCGGTCAGACTAAGCAAGTAGTCGTCTACAGATTTGTCACCGAGAATGCTATTGAGGAGAAAGTCCTCGAGCGAGCAGCACAGAAGCTTCGTCTTGACCAATTGGTTATACAGCAAGGACGTGCTCATCCTGGAGCTAAGGGACCGGCAGCAAAGGATGAGCTCCTTGACATGATCCAACACGGTGCAGAGAAGGTGTTTTCGACAAAGGGGGCTACGGGTATGGCAGCTAAGGGTACGGAATTGAACGATGATGATATCGACGAGATCTTATCCAAGGGCGAGAACAGGACCAAGGAACTCAACGCCAAATATGAGAAGCTCGGAATCGATGACCTACAAAAGTTTTCTTCAGAGTCCGCCTACGAATGGAATGGTGAGGTATTCGGAAAAAAGAAGGACGTTGCAATGACTTGGATCAATCCCGCAAAGCGAGAGCGAAAAGAGCAATCGTATTCTGTCGACAAGTTCTACAGGCAGGCTATCTATGGTACCACCAAAGCGGAACCGAAGCCGAAAGCACCCCGGGCGCCTAAGCAGATCGCAGTTCACGATTACCAATTCTATCCCTCGCGACTTCGCGATCTTCAGGAACGAGAAACTGCATTCTACCGAAAAGAGATTGGCTATAAGGTTCCGATACCCGATGGAGACGAGGAGAACTTAGAGGAGAGGGAAGCCCAACGGGCCGCCGAACAGGAAGAAATTGATAATGCTACTGCACTCACCGAAGAAGAACAGGAGGAAAAGCAGAAGCTATCCCTTCAAGGCTTTGGCGATTGGAATAAACGAGATTTCCAACAGTTTGTCAACGGATCAGGTCGCTACGGACGCCAAGACTACGAGAGGATTGCGGACGAAGTTGACAGCAAGACTCCTGCAGAAGTCAAAGCATACGCTAGGGTGTTTTGGCAGCGCTACAGTGAAATCGCCGACTACACCAAATATCTGCAAGTGATTGAGACAGGTGAAGAGCGGATGCGCAAGACCGAGCACCAGCGAAAGATGTTGCGAAAGAAGATGCAACAATACCGAGTCCCTCTCCAGCAGATGAAGATCAATTACTCCGTATCTACAACCAACAAGAAGGTTTACACTGAAGAAGAGGATAGATTCCTTTTGGTGATGCTAGATCGGTTTGGAATCGATTCTGAAGGTATCTACGAACGCATCCGCGATGAAATTCGGGAAAGCCCTCTTTTCCGATTCGATTGGTTTTTCCTTAGTAGGACGCCAATCGAGCTTAGTCGCCGTTGCACCACGCTCCTCACTACAGTCGTAAAGGAATTTGAAGACTCGCAGCCGACAAAGGCGAATGGAGTAAATGGCAAGAGCAAGAGAGAACCCGACGACGAGGAGAATGACGAGGACAGCATTCTTGGAATGGCGCCGGCAAAGAAGAAGTCCAAGACAGCGGTCAAGGTACGTCGACTAATCCCCTGCGTTGTGACTAAATGCTAATACGAGAAACAGAACAAGGCGTTGGACAATGTCAAGGGTGGTGGCAGCAAGACTACATCTGTCACACCCTCTTCTCGAGCGTCCAGTGTGGCCTCTACGAACTCGGCGCCCGCACCTAAGTCGAAAGCCAAGGGCAAAAAGAAATAAGCACTTACCCATTTGATAGAGGAGTACAAGTGGGTGTTGTCGGGTTTTAGATGGTTCAGTTCAGTTCTATTTGGCGCTCTCTGAAAAGCGGCTTCCACCCACAGGAATTTTCGGACCCGGAATGGTAAAGGAAGAATGAGGCGTTTTGGTTGGCTTTTTACCAGGCGACAAAGTCCATGAAATAAGCAGGTCTCACAATGTATGGTGGACAAAAAGTCCCTTAAGAGTAGACAGTTGTGAGAACTGAACATGATCGATAGATGCCTACATGATCTTCTAAATTATGCGATCGCAACTTCTGTGCATGTCCACGAGATGGTTTCGACATACGTATATTCGCTGCGATGATTATCAGTCATGAATAACGCTTGTAAACACTAGGAAAAACATTTTACAAAATCAGGTATGTTGATTATAAGCAACTTGACTGGTCGCTTTCTCCTACCTAATCCTGGGATTCGTTCTTTCTCTTTCCTGCCTACCTGCCTGCCTAGCTATCGAACAAAAAAGTGCAATAGATGATGTGAATTAACCCTCAAAAAACGCCGATGCCCTTTTTTTCCCGGATGCAAGTTGTCTTAACTGCGAGGAACGGAACGAATCATAACTAGACACAACGCCGGAATCTTTCTTTTATTTCCCTTCTCTCTTTTCCCTCCTATGGTATCCTAGCATCGAAATACTTTCGCGATGGGATTTTGGAGGGGAAGCGGGGGAAGTAGGAGGAGGCTGGGGTAGCACGAAAATCGCTATAGGCTCGGAATATGAATCTATAGTCGGTTCTCGCGTTCTCGCTCCACCTCGTACTTGAAATCGAAATATCCCTTGTCGAAGTGGTGAATTCGGACGTAACCGTCTTCTCCGCCGCTCGCGTAGCCCTTGCCGGTCGGGTCTGCTGCTACCGTGTTCTGATATATTGTTAGGAAAAGTAGTACTCATAGAAGATTATGCTAGAAATCATACCAAAGGACCGAAGTGACCTCGTACACGACCGATCTCGTCCTCAAAGATCTTGTGGTAGAATCGCGCCTCGAACTTTCCTTGGCGAGCTGCGGTCGTCGTGACATCCATAGCGGCCTGTCCACCACCTAGGATAACGTAGTCCTTCTTCGGTGTGATGCACGCGCTGTTAAGGGGGGTGTCGGTAGGGTAGGTCTTTAAGGGCTCGAGGTCGCGCGCGGCGATTAGTCGGGCGGTCTTATCCTTGGAGGCTGTGATGAAGTAGGTACGGTCGGGCGACCATTGGAGGTCTGTTACTTGCATGTTGAGCTCGTGGACGGGGACGTTGTCGAGTTGCTCTCCAGTCTATGTATAGTTATCATTAGAATTTTGCAACTCTTTCATACCTGCAACACGAAGATTTTCAGCTTACCTTGGCGTCATATTGCGATACGGAACCGTCTTCATGTCCTGCAATAATGTACTTGTTCAGATAACTCCATCCCGCAACTGTAGCCTTGCTCTCATCGCACACGATAGTCAGGGCGCGCTCGTCGCTCTGTTCGGCATCGACATCAAGCTCGATATCTAGAACCACGATAGTTCCTAGATGACCCATACGCTTCTCGGTTACACCCAGGAGTTGGCGTCCGTCGTCGCTGAACTCGACACGCTTGACGGCAGTCGGGAAGTCCCAGGCCTTCAGGCAGCGGCCGGTCTTGATCTCCCATAGACGGATGGTGTTGTCGGCGCTACCGCTCGCGATGAAGGTCGATGTCGGGTCTACGTCTACGGTCCAGATCGCACCTTGGTGGCCCTTGTATGTGCCGAGTCGCTCGCCGTTGTGGGAGTACCATACGCAGATATGTTGGTCCTTGGCTACGGAGAAGAGGAGATCGCCATCGGGGTTGAATCTAAGAGAGGTAATAGGGTTAGTCTAATTTTTCGCGGATGTTATCGTCGTCGCGGGGCAATATTTCGCATTTCTACGCGGAGAGGGAACGTACTTAATTTGGGTCAAGGCCCGTTCCTATTAATTTATTAGCATATTACAACTGAGATTTAAATGTAGAGTATCCTTACATGGCCTGACAATAGAATAGGTCTCATATTGGCGGTATTTTTGTCGAATGTATCTAATGGTATCCCGTCGCTGAAAGTTGGGGGTTCGATGAGCGTATGGAGTTTTTGAATGATTTGTGCGTGGGGCAAGATTTCTCGGATTTTCGATAACCTATCAGCACGTCCACCCCACCAATATTACTCACAGCCACGTGACTTGACCAATAAGGGAATCTGGGATAGTGGCATGACCAATCACAACTTCTAGCTCAAAGTCTATCCTCCCAAGGGTCTATTTTAACCTTGTAAAAGTATCCCGGGAGCAACTTCTAAGAGTTACAACGGAATAATTAGATGACTCTTCAAAATGCTTATTTTAATTCAAGGGCTATTGCTTCCGTCAAGAGAAAAAGGCTAGGCTAGTCTATGCGATCAAGATAGATGTTGAGTCATATAAGACCAAAAGGAATTTTCTATTCTGGAGCTTGAACAGGTGAAGATCTTCAGATTCTTTCCTCAGCACAACGTTTTACAAGGAAAAGCAAAAAATTCAGAAAGATGAAGTCGATAGATATTGGCAACTTTCTGCGATAATTCCCATCTTACACAATTTTCACTTCAAGTATATTATTTGATTCTCTCGTTGACATTTTCTTTGCTTGTCATCTTTTCTGATTCTAAAATCTCCAAAAATTATATCAAAAGTTGTCCTGATGTTTGTCGGCCATTATTTCCATTATTTCGATTTATCCTCCCATTGGTTTAGCTTTGGGTTTCACGGTGCACAGCATCTTGCAGCAAACAGGTAGCACAGATAGCCAGATAGCGCTATTAGGACAAAGCTAGTTGAGACTTGGGTGATCCTTGGTCGGATTATTTTTATTCGATTTGGGTTTGACAGGTACGGGTAGGAACGGCACAGATTCCGGGACTAACAGAATTGAGTAATTATATGAGCTATTTGGGCAAGTATGACTCTGGCGACTGCAAATATCAGTCGATGTCATGGCTTCGCTTTCCCTCATGCATCTCAAAAAGCAGCGTGGAAGGATCTACAGCGAGGTCAACAATTCATGCTTCGGCCAGTGAAAAGCACAAGCATAAGCGCTTCCGCTAGACTTATCATAGCTCGGCCAACAGAAACTCCGCTTTCGCTTTGCGGATCCCGAAAAGCCTGCAGCAGATTGTTTACCTCCAGCTGTGAGCTTCCTCTTCTGGTTCAGGCGAATCGTTCAATTTTCACCCCCCGGATTCCACGACAACGCGCTACATCCGTGAGAGGGCCGGATCAATTTGGTTGTGCATGTTTATTCAGTCGCGTTTCATCTGACACCCTCCAACAACAACCTTGGTTATCAGTTTCGTCGTCATTGTCGCGTGCCTCTTGTAGAGCTTTTTCGACAAGGTACCCCACCATGGCCGCCACTAGATTGGATGGCACAGCTATCGCCAAAAAGATTCGTGAGAGGCTTGCTGTGGAGATAGTCGAAAAGCAAAAGTCCAACCCCAAATACCAGCCATGCCTCAAGATCATCCAAGGTTTGTTTTCCTTACTTCCTGTTGTATATTATCATACCTAATCATGGTACTAATATGGTTAATATTTAGTTGGTGATCGTTCTGACTCTTGTAAGTTATGACTCAATTATTATAAACTGTGCCGCAGCTAATTGTCTCAAAGCGACTTATGTTCGCATGAAGCTTAAGGCCGCCCAAGAGGTAATCCAATATTATATCCCATTCATAATATTCTCATAATCTAACAATTGTGACTCATAAAAGGCTAATATCACATGTGAACTCTTACACTCCCCTGAGGATATCACTGAGGCCGAGCTCTTGGCTCAGCTACACCTTCTCAACAATGACCCTGGGGTGCACGGTATTCTAGTTCAGCTACCCTTGCCCAAACACATTAACGAGTACACCATTACCTCCGCGGTTGCGGATGAGAAGGATGTCGACGGGTTCGGTACCACGAATATCGGTGAACTTGCCAAGAAGGGTGGCCACCCATTTTTCATCCCCTGTACCCCCAAGGGAGTCATGGTCCTCCTGCAGGAGGCAGGTGTGGACTTGAAGGGAAAGGATGCTATCGTTTTAGGCCGAAGTGACATTGTCGGAAGCCCTGTCAGTTACTTGCTGAAGAACGCCGATGCAACTGTCACCGTCTGCCATTCCAAGACTCAAAATATTGAGGAGAAATTGAAGAAGGCGGATATTGTGGTGGCTGCCATTGGTCAGCCTGCCTTTGTGAAAGGAGAATGGCTCAAACCCGGTGCCGTGGTCATCGATGTGGGCACCAACTACATCCCTGACGCATCTAAGAAATCAGGACAACGATTAGTGGGTGATGTCGATTTTGAGTCGGCTTCTCAAGTTGCCTCCTACATCACACCAGTTCCAGGTGGCGTGGGTCCTATGACAGTTGCTATGTTACTCCAAAACGTTGTTGACTCTACCTCATTGTATTTTGAGCGCCAAAAGCAAAGGCGCATTATCCCTCTTCCCCTGAACCTGAGAAACCCCGTCCCCTCGGACATTGAGGTTTCAAGGTCTCAGCCACCAAAACCAGTTACTCGCGTTGCTGAAGAGGTCGGAATTGCGCACCATGAGTTGGAGCCATATGGCGCATACAAGGCTAAGGTAGATTTGAGCCTATTGAAGCGCCTAGAGCACCGTCGGAATGGTCGCTATGTTGTTGTAACCGGTATTACCCCCACTCCCCTAGGTGAAGGAAAATCCACCACCACCATGGGATTGGCACAAGCACTAGGAGCGCATCTAGGTCGGATAACTTTTGCAAATGTTCGACAGCCCAGCCAAGGACCTACCTTTGGTATCAAGGGAGGTGCAGCTGGCGGTGGATACAGCCAGGTCATACCGATGGACGAATTCAATCTGCACTTGACTGGTGACATACACGCTATCTCAGCAGCAAACAATCTTCTCGCTGCCGCTATCGAGACACGCATTTTCCACGAGAACACACAAAAGGATGCACCCCTCTACCGAAGATTAGTTCCAGTAAAGAACGGAAAGAGAAATTTTGCTCCCGTCATGTTCCGACGACTGAAGAAACTAGGCATTGACAAGACTGACCCCAATGAGCTTACCGAAGACGAAATCCACCAATTTGCTAGATTAGACATCGACCCCGAGACTATCACATGGAGGCGTGTGCTAGACGTCAACGACCGTCACTTGCGTGGTGTCACTGTCGGCACTGCACCAACTGAAAAGGGACAGAGCCGAGAGACCGGTTTTGATATTTCTGTCGCCAGCGAATGTATGGCTATTCTCGCTATGAGCACAAGTCTCGCCGATATGCGAGAAAGACTTGGCCGAATGGTCGTCGCTACGTCTAGGTCAGGTGACCCAGTCACTTGTGATGACATAGGAGCGGGAGGTGCGTTAACGGCTCTCATGAAGGATGCTATCAAGCCCAACTTGATGCAAACTCTGGAGGGCACGCCTGTGTTTGTGCATGCTGGTCCTTTCGCCAACATTAGTATTGGAAACAGCTCCATCCTTGCCGATAAGATGGCACTGAAACTAGCGGGTACCGAGCCTGACGAAGACCACGACGCAAAGGCTGGTTTCGCAGTGACCGAAGCAGGTTTCGACTTCACCATGGGAGGCGAGAGGTTCTTCAACATTAAATGTCGTGCTTCTGGTCTAGTCCCCGATGTGGTCGTTATCGTTGCTACGGTCCGTGCTTTGAAAGTACACGGTGGTGGCCCGCCAATTGCTCCTGGTGCGCCGTTGGATCCTGTCTACAAGCAAGAGAATGTTGAGATCCTTCGAAATGGTTGCATAAATCTCAAGAAGCACATCGCAAACGCGAAGACATACGGATGCCCAGTCGTCGTTGCTATCAACAAATTTGCCACTGATACCGATGCTGAAATTGCTGTCGTACGTGAAGAAGCTATCGCTGCCGGTGCTGAAGATGCCATCTTGGCAAACCACTGGGCTGAAGGCGGAAAGGGCGCCATAGACCTCGCTAAGGGTGTGATTGCCGCCTCTGAAAAGCCGAAAGACTTCGGTCTGTTATACGATGTGAGCGAGGGCTCCATCCAGCAGCGCATGGAAATTATCTGCCAGAAGATGTACGGTGCTGCAGCTGTTGAGTTCAGCGAACTTGCCCAGAAAAAGATTGATACATACACGAAACAAGGTTTTGGCAACCTTCCCATTTGTATCGCTAAGACACAATATTCGCTCTCCCATGACCCGGATCTCAAGGGTGCACCTACCGACTTTACTGTCCCGATCAGGGACGTGAGGATGGCCGCTGGTGCTGGCTATCTGTGAGTGATTTTTACATGGTTTGGGTTATGAGAAGTAACTAATAGTGAATAGGTATGCCCTCGCAGCTGATATCCAGACGATCCCCGGTCTTCCTACCGCCCCTGGTTACTTGAACGTCGACGTGGACACCGAAACGGGCGAAATCGACGGACTTTTCTAGACACTTAATATTCTTATGCCACATCTAGAGATGACTCGTCATGTTTACATTGGCGAATATAGACATAATAAGGATAGAGTCCAAACTTATTACAAGGGGCGAGGAGTCCCATGCATTGACTTCAACGGATTCAACAGGGTTGGAGCATTAGGACACACGAGGAGTATAAGGTATAAGACGGTCCGCCATCATCTGAATTAGTCGATCATGACTATTTATTATATGATACCTTCAACGGTAATGCATACCATAAGATAGGATACTATCCAACAGGGTTGTAAACGCCCTGAAGAAAGGAATAAATTTGCATTAAATTCCTCATTAAACGCGCTTGATGCTCGTTCTCGTGCCCACTCTAAAGTATAGACTTATTGTTCCATCTTACTCGAGCTTTTTGCTAGGTCGTGATCTTCAGATGTCTGATAGAGTTTCCAAGGGGTAAATTAGAAACAGGCATACAATAAGCTGAGATCAATACTGAAAAACACAATCATACTGCATGCACAAGATCAAATTCGAATAACATAAGATATTATACTTCTTTGGCATTATATTTACTAGTAAATAGGTAGATAGCCTAACTAAGCATACCTAGGTATCTATTCCTTGTTCACACGCGTTATATACGCGGTCCACCACCTAACTTCCTCGCATGCTGACTTTCTTCCTACCCGTCTTCCTAACACCGTCCTATTATCCCTTATCCTTCCCTCATGCCAAGAACAAGTATAGGACGGAGTAATCGATCTTTTATCTTCCTTGCCAAATAGAAAAGAAGGTAAAAAACCTAGGTATGTCCTAATTGAACTTTTGCTTTTTCCTACCCTGCTAACCTTGAAAATGCTTCGGTATTATTAAAAATGCTCTATATCCATCCATCCATCCATGCTTGCCTCCTAGAAGTAAAAACTAGTAGAAGAATAGGAGGGGAGGAATCGTATCTCGTGAATCGTGAAGTATTATTTTCGCTTTCGGGATGCTCGCTGCGGTAGTGAAATGCAGAGGTAGTTACACAGAAATACTCCAAGCACGCCAAAAGTAGACTCGGGTAATTTCGGAACGGATGAGGTAGGAGAGTGATGCCATTCACCGACTGAAATCCGTACTATAATCCTACACATCGAAAACTTCAACCCATCTGCTCACCGAAATAACTAGACCGAAGAGAGAGCGGGTTTCTTAGCCTCGGGCTGTTCCGAACTCGCAGAACCAGGCCCATCATCCAAATGTCTCTTCTGTCCAGCAATCTGATCGACAACGCCAGCGCTGGGCGGCGCAGGACTGCACATACTTGGTGCTGGCGCTGGGGTTGGTGCTGGTGCGGGAGCGGGTGCAGGTGTAATAGTCTTCGCAGTGGGTTCAGGTGGTTGTTGTTCAGCGACACCTACGTTACCATTGCTATTCCCATTACTGTGTAATTGTGTGTCCTCATGTATCCTTTTCTGCCCAATTTGATCCACGACCCCCGCACTCGGCGGTGCTGGTGTTGACAAGTTGGGAGTAGTCGTCACAGGTGTAGGTGCCTTAACCGGTTCAGGTCTGTCTGCGGCTCCAGCACTATTGCCACTATTGCCGAAAGCATCATCGTGTAATCGTTTTTGTCCAGTAATTTGGTCGAGGACACCTGCGCTCGGTGGCGCTGGGCTGGAAACATTGTGCGTTGGCGCTGACACGCTCGGACCAACCACGACACCTGGCGTACCCGCTGAATCCTTGCGGACCACTGAGGGTCGCGAAATTGAATTCACCCCTGGGCGTGTAATACCTGGACGTTGAATTGAGACACCGGGACGTGATATTGATGGTGGTGTCGGTCTTGGGGCATTAGAAGAGGGCATTTGCGATGGTTGTACATTAGGTGTAGTGGTCGCCACTCCTTGGTTATTTTGTACCGACCCGCTAGTGAGCATAGGTGACTGCATTGGAGCCGGCGAGGCGGAAGGACCTTGACGCGGAGCAGATTGGGAGGGTTGAGGCGGATGTGTTTGCTGAGCGGGCGCTGTTGGCGCAGAGGGTGTAACTGGCGTCTGAAGGTTGTGTGCTCGGCGCGCATCTGAGATTATCTGTGTAACAGATTTGACCATCAATCGGTCTGCTTCCTCCCATCCTTGAATTGGACCAGTATTTGGTAAGCCTTGCGCTCGGTCGATAGCCAAGTCAACAATAGCTTCCGCCTGGTCCGTCTTCTTCTTCAAAGCGACAACCATATTGTCTCTGAAATTCTTCACTCGCCGCTGTATTTCAGCCGCTAAAGTAGCCGATGGCGCTGGGCTTGGCGTTGGCGCGGTCGGAGTAGGTGTCGATTTTGCGGCGTTAGGCCAAGCTGGAGCAGGAGAAGCAGATGTTGCCTGCCGCTGTTGTTTACTTTGCATGTCGCTAATCATATTCGCCAATGCATTTATCAGCGCCTTCTCGACTGGTTCGAACCCAGAAGGTACTGTCGTCTGAGGTGGTACACCTCGTGCACGACATATAGCTGAATCAATAATCTGACCAGCTTGGTTAGTCTGCTTCGAAAGGGCGCCCAACATATTCGCTCTAAATTGAGAAATAGCCTTTTCAATCTCTGGTGACAATGGTTGTTGTGTCGTGGTACTAGGTGTATTTGAAACCGGTTGGGGTTGATGCTGCACTGAAGGTTGTGCTACATTCTGCTGCTGTTGCACCGGAGCTGGAGGTAATGCCTGCGGAGTTGGCGCCGCGGGAACTTCTGATTTGATGGGGGGGTTAGTTGGGGGAGGTGGTTTGGCGTAGGGGGAGCTATAGGTACTCTGCTGGGCGTTATTAGTTTGTCTAGAGAGGTAGCTAGGCGGTAACTGTGCTGGAGCTGGTATCTGTGCGGGGTATCCAGGTTGGGTGATCGGTTGAGAAGATGGCGTTGAAAGAGGCTGAGTAGGTTGGCCGGCGGGGGGTTGATATCCTCCTTGGAGCTGCTTTCCATCGGTCTGGTAGTTTGGCATGTTAGGCGCATAACCAAGATTATTAGGCTGTAAGTAAGCGCCGTTCTGGTAATATTGATGAGGTAGATGAGAGTGAAGATGTGCTGATCCAAGTTGTCGGTCGGGAGAGCTAGCTTTGCGCTTCTTCCCAGCGTCAAGCTCTACACCAGGGACGCGGGACCACAATCCAGTCCCCTCTGCCTTCTTGAAAGCTTCGTTCCCAATCAAGTTGTGGCGAACACTACTTTCCCATCCCTTCGTCTCTGCTGAGAAATAAAACCACGGATATTTCGACATAATCCTCTTGTAAATCTGTTTCAAAGTTAAGCCATCTGGAGGTCCATTGGTCAAAGCCTCGTCGATCAATACACCATAGTTTTTGGTAGGCTTCTGTAATTGCTCTTCGGTAAAGTCTTCCTTCCGAAGTTCCAGTGGCGGAGATTTTGGTCGAACCTTTTTCTCCTTCTTTTCTTTCGCTCGCCTCTCAGCATCGGAGCCTTCGTCGCCATCCTCCTTCGACTTTCGCTTATTATACTTCCTCTTCTCCGGCTTCTCTCCATCCTCAGGAACGGGAATTTTCCTAGGGCGACCAACTGGTCGCTTAATCTTCTCACTCTGTGGATCTTGAGGTATCGTCTTCTTAGAGGTTTCTTGCATTTGCTTCTTAAGCAGCCGCCGTTCCCTCTTTGACATTATGCCATCCTTAGGCGGTCGTCCTGGGCCACGACGTTTGGGCATATCAGTTGTCGCAAACTGGCCTTGAGACATGTCCTGAACCTCAGCTGACTCGAGTAATTCCATGCTTGGTTCATCGCCGATATCAGACTCGGCTTCGGCAGCTTCATGTTCTGCTTCTTCTGCCTCTGCCTCTGCCTCTCCTTCTCCTTCATCAGACACGATGACAGGTGTCGGTACATTCTCAATTTCTGACAAATCCTCACTTGTATCCCGAAAGTTCTCATGATCGGAATGCTCAAAATCAAAACTCATCTCCTTGCCTCCAATTGACATACGCTTACTCGATGTCTCTTCTTCATGGAATTCTTCGCCACCAGTCTTGCCTACTTCAACACCGTTGAGGATGAATGAAAATTCAACATCTTTAATCTGAAGTCGATCCCCACTCCTAAGGATAACAGGATCATCGAGGCCGTAATGCGTATCATCGCAGAAAAAACCGTTCTTGTGTAAAGCGGCGGCCTCAAAAACACCTTTCTTCTCATTAAACTCAATCTTGAGATGCTGTCTTGAGATACCTCGTGTTTTGCTCGCAATATCCGGACCAGGTGAGTGGATACCAACAAAAGGGATATGCGACGGCGACGGTTGCAAGGTCCCGAGATCTACCGCAGCAGCGCCAGGGGTATGAGAGACGTACTGCCTATTCGATTTTACATGGTCGCTTTGAGCATCGTCACCGCCGCCGTCCTCAGATCTTTTCGCAGAGCTCGGTCGACGTTTCTTGGTGGGTCGAACATTATCCTCGCCATCCGATTCGGGACCTAGCATACCACCCTCCTCACTGACGTAGGATTTACTAAATTTCCCTCGGTCGAAATTAAGAGGAGTCGGAGGCGGCAATCCATTTCTTGCATTCTCTTCTACCTTTCGTCTATAATTCAATTCCCTTTTTTCGTCCCTCCTTGCCTGATCCATGGCCCGTTGATCACGACCGATAATAACAGCGTAAGTGGTCATTTGGAAAACACTATCGGCGAACTCTATCCTGGCGAACGATTCCAACTTTTGACTCGCGCTAGTCGATGTGTGTTCGTTGGTGGTGGTCAAAGCATCGCTCTCCTGTGTAAACGAAGCTTGCAGCGAGACCTCGGAGGGAGCTACAATAGAAGGGACCGGAGGATTTTGATAAAGCGCAGCAGCATTCTGGGCGACGCTCATCATGTAGGCATTAGGGTCGATAGTGCCCTGATTTTGTCGTAGATTTGATGTGTTCCGATTTGCGTAGTCCATGTTGGCAGGGTCGGGATCAGTAGTTGCGACAGCTTCGAGTTGGTTGCGCGACCGGGAATTCTGGTCGAGCATTTGAGATTGATTAAGCTCCATGGGAAAGGATTCAGTGATTAGACTAAGATTGACAGAGGCTAGCTGAGCTGCAGAAGAAAGTTCAGCGGCGCCATTCGTATTTTGCAAAGGTTCGGTAGTGAGGTCAGGAACATCTTCATTGTCGCCAACGTTTATTTGCGTCGCCGCTGGTGTAGAAAGAGGGGATACGGTAGGCGGCGAGGGCATTGAATAGGCATCTTGAGGATCATCGCGGTAGGTGTCTTGTTGGTTCGTTAGGGGTATCGGCGCATTCGCATCGATGGTAGCGATGGTTGTAGCACTGGTAGTGGTAGGAACAGCTGCGGGCTCTGGTTCGGTTGCAGGCGGTATACCAGGTGGTGGAGAAGGGTCTGGCAACTGGCGACCAGTATCGGCCGGGGCAGCGTTGGACGAAGTCATCGCTGTTGGATTGGGAGGACAGCTCCTTCGTCTACGGCGTGCCGAGAGATTTTTTGGTGAGAATATGGAGAATCGCAGAATCGCGGTGATGGAGTAATAGGTAGAGAAGTTACTGCCAGTCCCTGCCAGTCGGGAAGGAAATGGGATTGTCACCGCCTTCCCGCAACGTAAAAAAAATACAGCAAGTGCAACAAATGCCAATGGCCCCGACGCTGCCAAACTTTCGACCCAAATTCCACCCCGCTAAAGCCACTAATCTGCGAAATTTGTGGTTCATTAGGTCCGGGTAGAGCTTGTTGGCTGCCCATGATTGGTTACTTGGATCCAAGCTAATCGAAGTTTAGAGTTGCTAGCTCGGGATAGGCTCCCTGCTAGGCGCTAGGACCATTTGCATATACTTTTTACAGTATATTCATACCCCTCAACTACAAAGAATGCAAGTCATAAGAAAATTTTCATAATATTATGACTTCAGCATATAAAGCGTCTTTAAGATCGAGCCGAGGCTAATGCAGAATGTATCTTGCATGTATTTATCTGACTTGTGGATCAAGAACTTCATTTCAGAGGTCAATGTCTTAAAAATGTTAAATGTAGGCACCTACAGTGATTGAGCACCATGGATTTTTTTTTTAACTCAAGACACCATGACACTTCAGGGTAATAGTCATACGATGAGCCGCATGCTGTCTTACTTGAGTCATAATATCGTACAACGAACTGTCGTATTCTCATTAATTGTACACCCATATAGGTATTATCTCAAGCAAACGCTCAGCGTAACAGTGGCGCTCTCTCCCCAGACCCACGGCTCCGTCTGGTTTCTATCCAATCCGCAATCTTATACGCCCAGTAGCAAAGCATACCAGCTACGAACCCAATCCCATCGTTCTTGAAAGCTAGAATGCCTGCTGTAGTCATAAGCATAACAGTCCACCTCTCAGATCTCTCCTGATCGGACAGATTCTTGTGTCTCTTAGAACTATCCTGCTGGCCCACCGAAGACTCCCATAGATCCGAAGCGCCATAGTTCAAGCTTTGACCCACCTTCGCAAGCTCCAAGCCAGCCGCAACGACCATGATACCCAGTAGGGTTTTAGGGAATGCCGTGAGCAAGTCCAGCAACGTCTCTCCGAAAATAATTCCGAGTAGCATCTTAAACAAGCCAAGCAATATGATACTAGCACCGCTTCTCGCCCCGAATCGGTATTGTGCAGCCAATCCACCGGCTCCATGGCAAACGGGCATGGCGCCGAACCAGCAGCCTAGGAGGTTCATAATAGCGACGCTAATACCGAGTTCCGTGACACTCGGCGATGGTAGGTCGGGTAGGAGGTCGGAAGCCAGGGCGCTGGCGGCTATGACGGAATTCAATGTAGTGAGTGGCAACTGGGCGATGCCCATGCCGATAGCATCAGCGCTCCACCATGGTAGCTTGAACCACGGGTTCCAGACGCGGAAGTGAGGAAGGTGGTGATGAGAACTCGTCGTAACGAAAATGATAGCAAGAATGACGCCCACGACGAAGATTATCAATGCATATGGGAATCTGGATGCTCGTTGAGTGAGAATCAACAATAGGAAAGCAGCAAGCGACCAGACCAGATTATCGAGCGGGAAAGACCAGCGGTGAGTAAAAGGCTGAAGCAACGAAGACCCCGCGGAAATGATGAGCGAGAGACCGGCACCGAACTGAATGCCCTTGATGACGGGAATCGGGATCACGCGTGTGACCCAGTGCAAAAGACCAGTGATGCTAAGCACTAAGACGATGATAGCTACCACGCTACCTGCAGCCACAGTCTCAGGTTCGGAAGCGTGAGATGCTATGGCGGCCGCCGCGATAGCTTTCATAGGCTGCACCGGTAAAGGAATCCCGAATATGACGCCGGTGGCGATGTTGTAGAAACCGGAGAAAACGAGCGTAGTTGATAGTGAGATGGAGCCATTTACCGCGAGGGTGATCATTAACGGGAGGAGAGTCCCGAGATCGCCGAGCGCACCAGATATCTCGGCGAGAGATGAGTTGCGTAGAGTTGAGACGTTATTGCGATGAAATCGCTTGATATTTGAAATGAAGGCCATGGTTATTTCCTAATAACTTTGGCCTTCTATGTTGATGAAGTTGAGAGAATGTGATAGGTAACCTACGAGAGGATGGAAGCTGGGATGACTGTCTCAGCTCCAAGTACGTCAGCAGGGAAATTCCCCCGCTAGCTAGGTGCTACATACGCGTGGTCCGCGGAGTTACCCGAGTCCGAGGTGAGACATAGAGCTCGTGGCTTCTATTTTTGCAAAACGTATAGAGCAATTCACAGCCGCAAAAGGAAAAGAAAACAATCTTAATACTCTGCAGGAGGAGAGTTGTGATAGTGGCTACATAGAGTTTACAGATAAGCTAGGTACACGATTTGAAATTACCTAGGTATCATAGGTACTTCTATCAAAGTGTTAGCGACCCCGCATCGAGTTACATCGCATTTATAGGTAGTTACTGGAAACTCAAGGGTCTCATCATGTCAGCAAGTTGACAACCCTTTTTAATTAACCATAGAAAGTTCATAGTATTACAAACTTAAATTCTATAAAATAGTCTTCAAGTATGATGCTATAATTGACACTTTGCATCAGAATCGATCTAGATGCGGCGGGGGCTTTCCAAGAGACTACGGTCTAGAATAAGATCATCGATCATCGATCATCGGACGGAAGTAAAGTACTTTGTCAGCGACTTGCATTTCTAAATCTAGCAGGTGGCCGCTAACTTGAGCGCCACAAGCTCTTACATGTATGACAAGGAATCATCACCTTCCCAGCCCGAATTATTTTCATCTGATCAATACCATTTCGGACGATCATTTTGCAATTCAAAAAAGATTCATCTCGTAGAAATCTAGATAGAAATGTATGTGCGTATGTGAAACTTGAAACATCGACAAGTCGTGAAACAAGGGTGCTGGGTTTCAAACGAAGTGATAGCGTTTAACAAAATTAAGTAGGACAGCATCTACAGCCGCAATAAGACAATAGAAATGCTACCTTAAACATAGGAACAAGTGGGTCAACTTGACAATGTTTCTTGAGGAGTTCTGCACTAGTCCAAGAAGCAACTACATTTTATTTTGGGACTTCCTTAATTGGTTGTTGCAACGGAGCTAGGGATAATGTGAAAGTGGAGGAGGCAACTCGGTACAGGATACAAAGGGCTGTGGAGGAAATATTTGCTGAATGGCGCACGGGAAGCCCAGGTCCCGAAACGTTAGATCCATCATCGGCGTAGCTCCGCGGCTGACCTCCTGGACTAATATATTTTACCATCTTGCGCGACATATTTCTTTGTCTTTCTTGATAAGTTATACCCAACATATCCGATTTTCTTGTTTGTTTGGACATTCTTTAGAAAAAGTATTATCAACTAGCCCCACAAAGATTTGACTGAGCCAGGAACACCGAGTTTCGTTCATGTATATGTAGTTCGATCTTCTATACCCAACTCATCCCGGCTCGGCGCAAAATATAAACTTCGCTATTGTGCGAGCTGCAAGCCCAGGTGCCACATTCAGAGGAACAAGCTCGCTGGAGTCGAGTGACACTATGATATCCTCCACGATATTCTTGCTGTTGGCTGCAGCGATTTTGTATGGTTTATTTAGTATAATATCAGGCCTCAGAGCTAACGTCGCCGCGGCAAAACAATCCGGTTTACCTTACTTCCTTGTCCGTAAGTTGACCCATCTCAACTGTTGTTCATCTTCGAATATATACTCCAGAAAACCTAACACTTCCTCATAGCATTTGCCCCGTGGAACCGAATAGGTCAAATATTCGCTGCAATATGGGTTCCGTTGTTTAAGTGTCTTCCACGTAAATATTGGCAAGACATTGAGGAGTAAGTAACTCAAGTATCTAACCCATCGTCAAGAATCTAATATCTAATAACATTTAATCAGAATATTGGAGTCGGGTTGGCAATATCAGCACAACCACGAATTATTCACCAAGCTTGGTGATGCTTTCTTGATTGTCTCACCCGGGAAAATCACTTGTTTCACAGAAAATGCAGAGGTTATCCACCAAATTACCTCTAAGCGAGAGGCGTTTCCGAAGCCGACAGATGTATACGCTATTCTTGGACAGTATGGCCAAAATGTGTTGACACTGGAGGGCTCTGCGTGGCGCATGCACCGCAAGATTACATCTGCATCATTTAATGAGAAGAATGCCAGCCTAGTATTTAAAGAGTCTATTAGCCAAACTCAAGGTCTGATCAACTTATGGCTTGGCCCTGATGGGCTCGGCAACAAAACGTTCAGGACAATCGAACAGGACACAGCGTCACTCATGCTTAACATTATCGCGAACATTGGTTTCGGTCTCAAAATTCTCTGGCCAGGCCAAGAATTCCCCGCAGATGCCGATCCAAGATTAGCTAAATACGCCACGCAAGAAGCACCCGAAGGACATTCAATGAGCTTCGTGAACGCCTTAGCGCTAACCCTCCAGTACCTCATCCTGCTCATGGTCGCACCAAAATGGCTTCTCAAAATCGTCCCCAGCAAGCGTGCAAAAGAGGCTTTGGAGGCAGAAAGCAACTTCGTAAAGTACCTCAATGAATTCCTACAGGAGAAAATCGAAGACGTGCGGACAGGAAACAGCACAGAAGAAGGGCTCGATATAATGGGCTCATTGGTACGCACAAGCTACGGCGAAGAAGCCGCCAAAGCCGCGAAATCAGATAAGAAAGGACCACGAATCGCGCGACTAAGCGACTCGGAAATCATCGGCAACGCTTTCGTTAACATCGTCGCGGGCCACGAATCTACCGCCAACGTGTTGCACTTCGCTCTTCTAGAATTAGCCACTCACCCCGCGTCACAGAGACGATTGCAGAAAGAACTAGACAGCATTTTAGGCAGCGCGGACCCGACAACCTGGGATTATGAAGCTAATATCAATCCCCTCCTGGGCTCTATGATCGGCGCTACCATCAACGAAACCCTCCGCATGGTCCCGCCCGTCGTCGATATCCCGAAAAAGGTATCGCCTACGCAAGACCAGCCTATTACTATAGACGGAGTGCGCTACCTCCTCCCGCGCAACTCGAATATCGGCATGGTAGCTATCGCCTCGCAGCGGAATCCTCGGTACTGGCCTACGAAACCTAGTAAAATCACGTCCGCGGAGACGGATATCGATGATTTCGTACCGGAACGATGGTTCCAGATAGAAGTAGGCCATAAAAGTGAGGCTGATGGTACGGTGGTTGAGGGCGCGGATACGGAACACTTTGGCGGATACGTGGGTTCGGATACTAGTGCGCAGTTGTACCACCCACCGCGTGGTGCGTTTATCCCGTTTTCGGATGGTGCGCGAGCTTGTCTAGGTCGACGGATGGCGATTGTGGAATTGGTATCTGCGCTTGCGGTTACGTTTCAGAAGTACAGCATTGAACTTGCGGTGGATGAGTGGGCTAGTGATGAGAAAGTGGCTACGATGAGTAGGGAAGAGAAGGCTGATGTGTATAAATTGGCGCAGCAGAAATCGCGGGAAACGATTAAGGGGGCTACGAGTATGATTACGTTGAAGCTACATGGGAATAAGTTTGTTCCTGTCAGGTTAGTTAGGAGAGGTGAAGAGAGGTTTGTGAATTGGGTTGATGCGTGAACGGCGGATAGGGGAGTTGTCATTTTGCATAAGATGGTTTATAGGATAAGAGGCACAGGTCACAAAGGGGGAACATTGGAAAGGCTTATAGTAGTGCATGAATTGATATATCATTATTGATAAAGTTAAAAATGATTATATTTAATCATAAGAATTGTGTAAAGACTAAAAGACTATACTTATGACTTATCACGAACCCTAAGTACAACTGAAGCAAACAACTCTAACGGCACACAACTTCACACTACATTTTCAACAACAAAATAATAGAATATCGAATTGCCCAACCTCCTGATTTTTTGAAGGATGAGATTTTTTAATTGAACCATGAAATCTCGAATTTGTCGTCTCCACACAAGTTAAATGGGACGATGACACCTTGATATAGCAAATCACATCTTGGTATTTCCCAATCGGTGCACCGTGCTCCAACTGCCGCCTTTCCCAATCTTGACGCATTTTAGGGGAAAATGTACCTAACTAATATAGGATGGTTAGGTACTTCCAAGGTTATGAAAGGTACCCCGGGGTAGGTAATAACGACCCCAGTAAGCTTTCCAAGGCTAGTTCTGGGGGGTCAGCTCAGGCAGACCTGCCTGCCCTGCTGGTCTGCTGGCGTATTCAGTTTAAAGCTTGCAGCTTTCTTGGGAGTGATTGCCGTATAGTAAAGTAACCCACCTGCACGTTAACAGTGGAATCATAAAAAATAAAAACATAAACAAGCCAGGGCACGCACCGCCGCGGGAAAATCAACCTTTCCAGCCTCTTTTTTCCCTCCACCACACAGGACTTGCCTTGCTTCTCTACCCTGCATTATCAACAACGCGCCACCCCTCCGTCCTCTCGACACGGTGCAGATTCAAGCCCCCCATCCCATCATCATCGCCGTCAAAAGACTACACAACATCAACACAATTTTACATACCCGACCCCCCCTAGTACGTCACGGGCCACTTACTGGTAATCTCGTGAAAATCATTGCACCTTAGTCGCCTCATCTGCGCGACTCCATTGATACCAATTCCCCCCTAATCGTTGAATATCTCCACGTCTTGCATTCGCATCTGCATCTTGCATAAATAACTATTCTCATCTTCCCAAAATGTCCGGCGCAAACAGTTGGCTGCAGAGGCAGCGAAAGACCGACCTAACTGAGCTTGCTCAGCATACTGGTTTAAAGAAGTATGTGCTTTTAATAACTTACTTGTTCATCTATCGTCAATGCCGTGAATTCCAATTCAATTCCCCTTGCGTCGGAATGTCGTGCTAGTTCCCCGCGAACTTCGGTAGCTGTACGCGATAGCGATAAAATCGATTATCGATTTAATTACATCACACTGTCCGTATCCGATCCCGTCTGAAGAATGCGGAACGGCGAGACATATTCTCCATTCCATCGCAAATCCCCATGCGCCACTCCGAGACAAGAAACCACATGGCTAACACGTTTTTGTTTTTGTTTGCGGGAATAGCTTCGAAGCCCTAAAGAAGCCCGAGCTCGAACTCGCTCTAGATGAATACCTAGCAGAGAACTCCACCCAGTTTTCATCCGATCCTAAGCTCGCGAATTACTACTCGAGTCGCGCTCGAACCGTTGGTTCTCCCGTCAAGAGGGATGCTCCCGATGGCGCCGTAGAGAGACTCAAGGTCGCAAAGCGACGCGCGACTAAGGCTGCCGAAGAGATCATCGCTCCCGAGTAAGTCGCGATTTCTCCGTGCCGCGCGTCCAAGGCATCACGCGCCATTTACTAACACAACCCCAAAGGTCGGAAGATGAACCCACTAGCACATCCACTGCCATCGCGCGTACTCCCGGTCGTGCCCTTTCCCTCGCGAGTCGCATTCCGCTCCCCGCCACCCCCGCGGATGTTGCGGAGGCCGTCGACCGCTCCACCGTAGCCGTGAGGACACGCGTTGTATCTCTATACAAGGAGTCGGGCATCACAGAGGCAACCCACGCGACGCGCGAAAGCCTGTCGACCGTGACCTCGGTACTCTTCGCTGTCGCCGCATTTGAGCTCTACTTCTTACGCCCTGAGATCCTAGCGGACCGATACGCGTTCACCATCCCGGCGATCTCGTTCCTCGGCACTAAAGACTTCCCTGTCTTCGTCCCTGACATGTTCCTGCTTCTCACTTCATCATTCTGGTCCCCTGCACTCCTATGGGCTTTCACAAGCTCCATTCTGCCAAGCATCACCGGTTACTTCATCAACTTGAGCGTGTCGCATCCCGCACGTGTCGGCCGTCGCAACGCTCACGCGTCTGTTGTTGATCCCTTGGCTTTCAGTATCGCCAAGGCTCTGATCTCCTACGTTGTTTACGGCCAGGGCATTACGTTCGGTGGCTGGATAGACGAGACATCCATCGCGCGCATCAACACGGCCATATACGGTGGCTACAAGGGCATTCTGACGGGTACCGCTATCACGGGTATCCTCAGCATCTACGATGCGGTTCTTAAGAAATAAGGGACGCGCGACGCGAAATCGTCTATTTAAGGTGACAAGCAAACAAAGGAAACATGGCCTCAACCCCACCCTATTGTTTGCCCGTTACAGAATGTGTTAACTGTCATACACAATACAACCTGTCAATAAGCCGCCTCTCACCCGGTTATTACCAACTTCTTATTACTATATTTTTTTCTTCTCGTGCGGCAAATCAACCACACACCCAGGAGATGGCGTTTCAATGGCGTTGGCGGCGTTTATTATATATGGGCGTCCGGCTCTTCTTCCCTTGATACCAGCCGATTTTCCGGCCACCCCTTTTTATCTTACCTTTACCTATATGAACGTTATTAAAGCTTGATGCTTGAAGGACTTTGAATGATGGGATGGTCTAGGGTCTTTCATCCAACTTCGTTGTGGATATGGGACTAGGGGAATTGATTATGTTCGAGATGTGCGATGAATGAGTTCTGCTTGTTGATTACTTTATGTCTGTTACCCCTCATCGATTGTGGCGCCCGCGTATTTGGAGATGAGGGGGAATATCTTCCTGGTTTTCAATATTGTGGGCTGATGAGTCGGGATGTGGTGGGAGTATGAGGGTTATTGCTTGTTCTTGTCTATATTGTGTTTGACTATCTTATTTTCGAGGTAGTAAAAGTGTGGAGGGGAGTAGGAAGTAGGATAGGATTAGGTGGTAGGTGGTAGGCAGGCTGGTTATGTATGATTTTCTCTCGTGCCATGTGTTCGTGAACTGGCTTCGGGTGAGCTCGTCTTTCTAAGCATCCGTCTTACCTTTATCTTCATCTCATTATTGCGTAACAGCACCCCGGGCTACGAAAGATGAAACGGACATGTATGTGGGATGGGTGGACATGGGTGGACGGCGCCTCGACATTAGGAAGGAAGTGTCCGATACATGGTATGATAAGAATATATTGCGACGTCTTTTTTGCCTGGTCAATTTACCTCTGCCAATTTTTTACGTTGCCGCGTCTACTCTTGGTAAAGCCCATCACCGAGTAAATTATCGCCACACAAGCTGGTTATCTACCTAAGGTACCCCCTACCCCATTGTACTAGGTGGCGCCACGGTCTTTCAGGGCCTGTATCACACTGTCGCTAGTAGGCCACCAATAAGCAAGCCCCAACACAGATCGACCATCATTGTCAACCGAGTCTGTGTCTGCGCCACACGTTAATAGTAACCGCACCATAGTGCTATTTCCAGACACAGCAGCATACGATAGCGGCGTCCAGGCATTGTTGTCTTTCACGTTTATATGGGCGCCGTTTTCAAGGAGTAACCGTACGGTATCAGGTTTATGGGCACTACCGAACTCATCAATAGCCGCCCACAATACGGTCCGTCCATAGTTGTCCTTCATATTAATATCCGCAGCCTCACCGAGCAACAGCCGTATAACAGATAGATTTCCCCTGAGGGCGGCGTTCCACAACGGTGTGCGGCCATCATTATCCCGCAAGTTCACATCAGCGCCCGCTTCAAGGAGTAACCGCACAGCATGATCTCCGCTGTAACGCCCTCCTGCGGCGCACCATAAGACCGATTGGCCGTCTACATCCCTTATGTTGACATCGATATTTTTGAGTAGCATTTGCAGCATCGACCACTGATCATTACTTACTTCCTTTTCCTGTATAATACTCCATACCACTTCCCAGAGTATTGTCCGGCCTTCAGCGTCCTGAGCCCCACAGTCAGTGCCGTTCTGCTGCAGCAAATCAAAGACATGTCTGTGCTTTCTTTCTACGGCAATAAATATTGCTTCGCGGCCCGCAGGGTTGACTCCACTGACATCAACGCCCCTCTCGATCAGAAGCCGTACAAGTCTATCGTGCCCCAAGGAAGCGGCTCTGTATAAAAGTTCGGCAAGCGACGGTATAGCCCAAGGGTGATCTAATAGTAGTCGTACAACCGATTCGCATCCTTGCATTACAGCCAACTGCAAAGCCGACCACTTCTCATGTGAGGTCGTTGGGCGTTCGAGTAGCCATCCTACTACTGCCTTGAATCCCCAAAAAGATGCGACTTCTAAAGGGGTTGACTTGCTTGATGGCGCCCATTCTACCCACTCACTTTCCCGTCCCAGATGCCGCATTAACTCATAGTCGAAACTTGGAGAATAAACGAAATAGTAGTTGTTGGATTGGTGCGTCATCCTCAATTTGAGCACGTTGCCAGTGCGTTAACCAATATTCGCTCGCATACTTGACGGCGTGACCTTCAGGTAGAGGAAATTTAAAATCTTCAAGTAGAAGTTGCCTTATACACGTCTCCGCAAGACTATGATGCGATAAGACCAGTTCAAATGAAAAACCCCACCAAAAATTATCTGGTCTGTGATCAAACCCGCCAGGGGGTTGCCGCCTAATTAGCAGTTCCCTTGCCGTTTGATGGAGCAAATAAATCCGCGAGTCAACGATAGTAACAAAGAGGCCGCAGATGTCTCTGATCGTCTTCCGGAATACCTCTTCCGTCTGTAGCTTTATTTCGCCAAGTTTCCGATGATGTTCTCTAATAGTCAGGGTCATTGCCATCTCCTTTAATGATAAAGGTCTTTCGGCGGTAACCACGATACGAAGGATATGCTTAGCTAATACTTGGTCGCGGCACCGATATAAGATCTTCTCGTACGCAGCTTCAACAGTTTTAGGGAGCTTGCGAATAGATGACAATAGATCGTCTTCTGTAATCCACGTGATGTCTTCTATCATTTCAAAGATGAGGTACACCCATAGATATGTGCGGTGGGGAGTCCGAGTAAGTTCCTGCTGTAACAAATATCGCTGAGCCCGAGACAGCTGAAGTTTTCCAGTCACGTTATCGAGCCTCGCTGTAATGACGATGTCGATTTCTTGGCAAATTTTGTCGACCTCTTCTTCATTCTCCCCATTCAAATGGATAATACGCATCTTGTTTTCTAAGACTTGGAAGCCCCGTTGAATAGGGCTATATGGTCGACTTGTTAATAGGAATTTTATGGAAGAGGAAGACATACTCGGCCTGGAATCATATAGTTCACATAAGGCTGCTGTTAGTCGACGACGCCCCTGCTCTTCGCATTCGTCGAAGGCATCTAAAATGCAGACCGTGTTCTTGGTATCGCAGTTTTCGAGTAGCTTGACGAAGACATCCTAAAGGCTGGTAAAAGAAGATAAGATATTGTCTCCTTTCGACTCGAACAAACTGAGGATAGCGTCAGAGAAAAGGACTGGCTTTTGTGTGAAGATCTGGTGTAAGAGACAGCACATTGCATTTTCAAGGCTCCTTTGGTCTTCAAAATCCTACTTGAAAAAGAAGTAGCAAACATTCAAGTTGGGGGTTTCTGTCCTTGCGATCTTCATAAGGCAAAGTATAAAAATGCGCGAGGAGCTTATTGCATCTTTTCCGGTGGCTCTCTCGCTCCTCTCCTATGTCGACATTAGTTTATCACCGGATAGAGTGCTATTATTTATAATTGGCGGATAATATTAGTAAACCTATGAGATTCTATACTAACTAGTTAATTCTGGCTGGGACGGATCTTTATCGATGGTATGCCTTAATATACCACATAGAACCCGATACTGCTGGTCGCTTCGGGCCTTACATCTCGCCATCTAAGTGTGGTTGGCATCAATAGTTTGTATCGTCTCAAAGCCTATCGGTAAGCCAAGCGTAGAAGAATGACCAGGCACAACCTACTTACGCTATTAGCAATGATATCTAAACTAGATAATAGGAGTGGAAATAGTTGATGAACCAACTTTTTCGTTTAACCCCGTTACACCCGAAATTCCGTGAGCCTCTTGGAAAGAGTAGATCCTGATTCTTCGGTTTACCAATATGTTCATGAACTTGAAGTGGATATTTGATAGGATCTCGCTATTCTCGTCCAAGCAACCAAAACCCTCTTATTAGAGTCCTGGAGGGCCAGTTTGGCTAAATTTGTGGCTATCTGCCCCCATCCGGCCGTCCGGCTACCATGGTGTGGCGTCCCGAGGAACAGAATATATTTCGTTTGCGAGCGTAAAACCTGAGATCTGTCTAATGCCTATGGTTTGATATTAGATTTCCTCACGACCAACTTGACCATCGTCGTCGAAAACTTACATCTTTAACAAGTACGCCGCCGAGACTATGGGCTACGAATATGATTGGCTCCTGGAATCGGCGTCAGTTAAAGGGTATGGCCTTAAGTAAGTTATCTTCACCTCATATTGGAAATAAAACGACAAGCTATTAGCTAGATCCTGATCATGCTGAGATATACTATTTTTGCTATTCGCCTGAAATAGCCCAGAAATAATGTCTGCGTTATACCCGTATGTCCACACTCTGGCCTCTGGCCAATCGGGCACAAGGAAGTCGCGTGGCCAAAAAACTTCTTTTCCTGAAGGCTCGTTGCTTCCAGACGCATACTGCGCCTTACTTAATCGATCCGATTTCCATTTCCATCGCTTTCGTCTGGGCTGACCAGTATCACCTACTGGACGATGGTCTGTCCATGTGTCTTTTGGATGGCCGTTTAGGCCATGGATGAAAACAACACTTTCCCACATTAGCTAAAAGTTTGCTTGGAGTGAGGTAGCATGCGCCTATTTAGTCGTACTTAACTTGAAATGCTTCCTCCCCATTTTCCTTCTCCTTGGAGAGTTGGGTCAAACCGATCCGATGTACCTCAGCCATGAAAATCAGGTTTCCTCTGGGTGGACATCAATGCCTGCTTATAAATAATCATGAAGAGTGCCAAAGCTGGATTTGTAGGGACAGATAGAACATTTTCACTAGAAGGGTACGGGCTGAGCTCAAATATTCAGATCCAACTCTGCCCAAGGAGGCCCAATTAACCAATCCGCAAAACTTTTCTGGCCAACGAGAGTATTTCGAGGGGAGCTCCGATGTAACGCATCATCAAGATCATGGGCTTTCTCTTGGCCGGGTTGTAAGAAAGCAGAGGCAGGCTATCGAAGCAGCCATTTTATACGCTGCCTTACTCGAAGAAACGGTATTTTTTTTTTTTCTACATTAAATTGTTGGCGGACTAACGTAGCGAGAATACGGCTAGAAAATAATTGAATGATCGGCTAGGCACCGCAATCAGTGAAATAGGATACGTGCCTAGATATTGCAGAACATGCAGCCACGATGGGGTTCAAATCCGATAGAAAAGCAAATTCAGCCTGCCTAATACCTATACGTCAGCCCCGCACGCCTACTTTTACATCTAAAATGTGTCGTTTTAATCGAATATCCTCATCGTCGATCACTACAAATAGCAGTAGAAACTCTGATGGTTTTATATAGCAAAAAGCTTTCTTTTCTTTCTTTCTTTCTTTTGATCTCCGATATTACACTTTATATACATACAGCTTCGGGCTCTCCACTGCACATCCATCTTCCATCTTGTGTCACGTCAGACACCTAACTCCGCGCGGCATACGACCCATCTCCGAAGCCCATTTCCCTCCCTCCTGATTCGATTGGTCGGATAGGTTGGTGGCGCCCAATAGTTAGGTTGTGGTCGGGTGTCGGCGTCATGCAGATGTACAAAATATAGTAAAAAAAAAAAAGGTGGGGGTACGTAGTAAAGTAAAAAGGGGGCGGAGCTTGCATTGTCGAAAAAATGCCGATTGCTCATGCCTCCTCAAACCAAAAACAATATAGCATATATCTTGCTTAAACAAGGTCAAGCCTGCTGCTGCTGCTGCACTGCATCTCCTCGTGCTGCGTAAGGACCGCTATGCCAGTGTGTATGATGCGAGATGATGTACAAGTGAAGTTGAAAAATTGAACCGGACTCCTCATATGCGAACGCCCCTAATATGCCATTGCTTCTTTCTTCTGGTAACCCCGTACCAGGCATGATGAATGGTTCGTCGATCTTCTGTTCCTGTTGATGAACCCCCCTTATTCCAGTATTTGTCCTATTCTATGTCTCCTTCTGGTGTGGACACTGCTGTGCTCAAGTTCCTCTAAAACTTTGGACAAAAGAAATATCGCACATTATTATTACTTCTATTCCTGCTCAGCAGGATTTTCCCACTTGATGGGATGTACTAGCATGCTGCGTAAGCACAGCCTTCCCGAGTTCTTCGGATCTTCCTCCTCCTTCTGTCCGCCTCGCTTGGTACCCTCTCCGGCACGACCGCCATTATCGCCTCGCCCGTCCATTTGAGCATATCCAAGCCAGCGGCGCCATAGGAGCCCAGCAAACTCACTATTGTAATACCAACTTGTCCCCTTATGGTTGTGTTCGTTGGTTAGATCGAATGGGGAGCCGTGGCCACTAGATGTGTGGTCTCGGCCACCGTTGAAAGCGTTCTCAATCTCTTGCTGAGGCCATTTTCGGTCCAAGTATACAGGGTGCGGCGCATACACAGCTTTCAGACCATGATGAAGAGCCATAGAAGGCGGGAACATCTCGCTGAACATACTATGGTGCAGACGCCATGTCTCCTCGTGCATCACGCGTAACAAACGACGCGATAATCTGGAAGCTGTCACGATAGCACACCTTCGCGGTGGCATCTGGTACTGCTTGTCGTACCCGGTCACATCACCAGCAAATACCCAACCGGACTCATCGGCATCGAATAGTGGGTTAAGTGTGATGAGGTCTGCATCTTCACCAACGCCACATTGCGTCATATCCGAACCGCTAGCGCAACTTGCTGGCAGAAAAACCTCACCCTCTCCAAGACCAGTCTTACCAGTAAATACGACTGGTCCTAGGATTGGTCGTTTTCCAGATGTTCGAGTTTCATGATCAACAAGCTCCGTGAAATTTTCCCAGCTTCCGTGAAGTCCGGGAATATAATATTTGCTGGCTCGTTCCCACATACCCTGCCGGCTCTGTTTCGCACCCCATTTGCCAAGCCTGTCAAACAGTTCATAGTATGATCCGGTCCAGCGCATGTCCATCTCCCAGTTCCAGAAGTGCGCGTATTCCGGATGCATCATAGCGAAATGCTGAAGCGGCATATGCGCGGATCGGTAAACTCCGTGGATATCACCATTGGAAGGGTTTTCGAATGTCTCGCCGAAATTGCCTGGGTAGTACAGCTTCATTTGGGCTTCGGACCACAGAGTACAGAGTCCATGGAACTCAGGTGGTACATTGACATCGAGGATGTTCTGGACAGTGGCGGGGTCCGCCCAGATAGGCGCATTGTTATCGCGAACATGCAGGAGAAAGTGAACATCATATTCACCACCTGATCTTAGACTGAGCTCATTGATCATCGCACGGAAGTTAAGAAGAGCATGGCTCGTCCATTGGAAGCCCACGTAAATTCGAATCACTATTGCAATTCGGTCAAGTCGTTTGCGACCGGCCTGTGCCAATTCGAAATCTCGGGTTTCGTTACCGGTGTAGAATCGACCTTTGTTGGATTCAAAGCATTGCTCTTGCGCCGCGGCCCAGTCGACACTTTCATAGTTGATTTGTCCAGTCTTTTCCCAGACGACTTCGCTACCCTCATGCTCTGTATCTAGAGCTTCGCCTGTACCACCAGATTCTAAGTCATACCCGAGACCATATGGGCCATAGCGACCGAAGCGATCGAAACAGACATCTTCTCGAATACCTAGTAGGTCATAGGATCCAATCGCCGCTTTGGGTTGACCCTGAGGAACACCGTTGTACGCATAAAGATCTGGAGCGGGTACCTCTCTATCTTCATCGATGTAACAGCGCTTCACAGGGACATAGGTCTTCTGATACTCCTCGGAATCGTAATCTGGATGAGGACGATATACACTAGGCCTGGGCGGCTTGTCGTGGAGCGTAGCGGATGAAGTCTCCGTGGCCCGTTGCTGAGTTCGTGACTGCTTAGGGTACTCGGGTTTGTACTCTGAGAAGGATACCAAGGACTTGAGACCATTGTAATAACCATCAAGACTACATAACGATTAGCAAACCGCGACATCGGTTTCCCTTAGTCGAATGGGTCTGTCACTTACTGCTTATACCTGAGCCAGTGCGGGCCGTTGGTATTATCCTCCAAGAAATCATCTTCCTCATTCTCCTGCTCTTGCGCCTTCATTTCCTGTCTCTGCTCTTCTGTTATCTCATGTATCGGGCTTTGGCTGCCCTGCTCCTGTAGACCGACATTTCCAAGGACCTGAGGAGCTTCCTTGACTCCGGTCTTACTTCCATGTACGAATCCTAGTACATCTCGAGATCTCGATGTCAATCGTGGATTGAAGAGGGTGATTGATAGCAGAAAGATGATGACGACAGTCCATATTACAACTCTTCGGTAAAGGCAATGACCTAATAGGGCTTTGACTCTAAATTTGGGTTGTGGTTTTGTAGAAATGGGAAGATAGACCTCGCTCTTTCGGGCCATCAAGCTAGGAAATGAGCCCGACTTTCGGGACACATAACTCGATACACGATCCATATTCCGTATGAAGGGTTTTTCGAGAACCGGGATTCTCAGATTAATAAATCAATGCTCAGCATCGAAAAGGTTGGGCTTTCAAATTCAGTACATTAGTATAATAGGGTCGACGATCTTTCTCTTGCGAGCCGCCCGTTACACCGTTTGCAGGTAGGTACCGGACAGTGAACCAAGCTCAAAGCTGTATGAGTTCACTAGTGTTGATTACCGATGCGAGGCTAAATATCAGACAGCTGCTGTCTTAGTGTTGCTTTGCGACCGACCAGTATAAAATAGTAGGCTTCGGGTTTAAATGACAGCTGACTTATATGGAGGCCTTGGCGTCGAAGGGTTCCAGTGTTCGACAGAAGCTTCGGCGGTAGCAAGCCAAAGATCGGATGAAAGAAAAGTTCAAGATGAATTATTGAGTGAATGACCGAATGAAAAAGGATTGTAGAATTATTTGTCTGGAAGAAAAAAGAGCGGATCTTCCACGACAAGGTATCTTTTTCGCGTTCTGTAGGCTGTAGGAATGATGAGTGTCGACGTGAAGGATGTTGCAGTTGATGTGCAAATGAAACACGCCGTTCCACAGGATTTGGATGAGAGGAGGGGGAAATTTCTGGTTAAGCAACAACTGGAAAAGACGGGCAAGAATAAAATAAAAAATTAAGACAAGGAAAGAGGTCAGTAATGTTGGTGGTTTGTCGAGGAGGTTTGCTTTGACTCAGTTGTCAGTTCCCAAGTTCCAATGACGGCTGGCGACTAGGGTGGACCACAGGGAAGGCACGACTCGCGAAAAAAAAAAAAAGAATTGGGTACTTGCTTTCCCTGTTGTCCCAGTTGTACCTGCCTGTACCGCCGTAAACTTGGTCAAGCCCGTTAAGAAAAGGAAAAAGGAGAAAAAAAGGAGACAACGACTGTCGATCTTTTAGGGATTGAATTTGGCTCGTCGCTCTGATTGAATTTCAAAACGTGGATCGATTGTGGGAATTACTAGAATAGAATACAGTATGCTAAAATGCATGTGTGTGATGCATACTATGTATTATGTATCATTACTATTAGTTTTTTTTCTTATTCCTTCCTTCATGTGCTCAGACAGTGTGATATGTAAACAGCTCGTTTGCCTCAGATATATGTACATATGTATTCCCGGGACTCCTAATGCATCGCATCGCATCTCATGTACAAACTCTCTCGGTATCACCTGGGATCTTGACTACGCATCTAAGCCTTTTTTCAATTCTTTAAAAGTGATGTGCAGTGTGGTGGTATGACGAGTCCACAGACGTATGGCATGTAAGGTCCGCATGTAAGTCTAACTAAATAGTCATCTTCATAAAGTGGATAGCCCCCCCGGGATACCGCTAATGGAGTTGAGGGAAACTTTATGATTAAGGCCTTCCGTAACCCTGATGAAAAAACGCCTGAATTGCACTTATGTCGTGACTTATTTACGCGCATTACTTACTCGAACCATCGCAAGAGTTACCATATTGAATTCTTGATGCCGACTCGTTATACCTAACACCAAGGAATCTACTATTCCCACGTGTATACCTTACTTATTGATTTGATCTAGGTACTTGTCCAAGATATTATAATAACATCATGTACCTAGAAAAGGTTAGATGAGGCTCGATTGCCAAAAACGGGCGTACAAGGATACGGAGCCCTGAAGGGTAATAGGGGTTATGCCAGATGGAGCTCTACTAGGGTACATATGCGGGCTGGTGGGGTCAAGTTCCATGTTCCCTCCATGTTTTATCGACGCCGCTAGCGTTACAGACAGTGTATTCTCGTCAAATAACGTTCACGGAAGTCACCATTGGGCACTTAGGGCCAAGCAGTTCAAGTCACTAGAAACGTGTATTGAAGGAAGTAACTGCACTGCCCCAGACTATTAGACTGCTCATATTCAAGTATTCAATCTTTTCTAGTGGATTCTTAGAAACGCTTAGGTGTCACCCATGGGACAGCCTTAATAGCGTACATGGTGTATTCGTTTCGAAGGAAAAATGCTTCCTACGTCATTGTCGTTAAGCAATCTCCTCTTCGTCACATGTTTCTATTAGAAGTACCTAATCTAGTTTTGTTCCTTATCTGGTGGCGCCTTGTTCATGTACGATATGCTACTGTATTCGCATCGCGTAACACTGCTGTGGAACTTCTGTTCAAGGCTCAGATTCGAGGAAATTGTTACACCGCAGTTATCCTCCCACATGGATGAACGGAAGAGGAGAGGCATTTAGAGACGTTTATAAAATGACGAGAGCGTTCCTGAGAGGTTGGCGTTAGCCTTGCCTACAATGTAGGGCTATATGTAGCTTCATATGGACTAGGGGGTAGGGCGTTAGTAGCGATCGACATCATCGTGGGGTTGCTAAAATTGCGCGGTAATCCAGCCGGTCCAGTACCGACGATCACCTTCCCGCTGCTGCCAAGCCCATAAGAATTTCTTGCCAGGGGAGAAGGGGGGGAATTCAATCGCCAAGGACGCACGAAGTGAGATCCGACTTGAAACACACCTAACGGTTCGGCCACTAAATTGCACCATTGCCCAGCTTGGATTAGGTCTGTACGACAATAACACCAAATAACGCGACAAAAACTTTTTTTAAGGTGTAAAGTTCATGTCGGTATTCTGGATATGGTAGGAACGCCTTCGTCAAGCGGATATTTGCGCTACATTACTTAGGTATCTAGGTACTTGCCTTCGGTTACCTACAGCTCGAAGTGGAAATGGCTTCTAGAAGAGGGGGTAACTGCTTTTACTGTTCAGATCTGTACTTCCCAACTTGACGAAGTTCGCTTGTCATACTTTTTAAACAGGTACGAACCACGCTTGATTTCGAATTTCAACTATAAAAATTCAAACCCAAGAAAATGGATCTGGTCCTCAATCCGACACAAAAATAGTGCAACTATACAACTTACGATCGCATCAATCGAGGAATAATAAAGTACCCAGTTTCAAGCCTCTCCAGAGATTTACGGACCCGTCAGCCTAGCATATATGACGATTTCCCAAGTTAAGCAAATGGTGGCCTATCGTAAAGAAAATTATAGATAAACATAAGTACAACTACCTAGGTACCTAGGTAATACATTCCACGCAACACGTCCCATTACTTAACACCTAACCGCTAGCTGACACACAGCCATCATTCTTTCTTTTTTTTCGCGCGCACTCTGGCACTTCATAATCTATCAAACCTTGTATTGGCATCACAGCCCCCGAGGAATTAATTATTAATTACGAATGATTCAATCGCATCGCGAGAAAATGTGCATTGGCGCTTACTGTAGGAATCTGCGACTTCGTTGGCTACAGACGTCCCGGTTATGAATCCATTATCGTCTTATCCTATCCTTCCGACACGAGAAAAACCACCTGCATACGATCCTTGGCATCAGCCCCAACCCGCGGGTAACGGGCCTGATGATCGACACCTATGACGTGGGATTGTCAAGGCGGAATACTGCCACGGCGGCCTCGCGACGGATTTACTCTTCATAACAACCCCCCGTTGACATAAATCCATCCGATGTGCACTTTTTGCAAGTGGGCGACAATAGCCGTCTCACAGATCGGTCGAACTACAGGAACAAGCCGTAGTGTCGATCGTGGAGTACTTTGCAGCACTTCCGAACCGTCCGATAGTGCTAGTGGACCGTAAAATCCGGTCCGGACCAAGATGAAACGATGGATGTACCGCATCCCGGATTTGTTTCATGCACACAGCAGGAATCGTGTGTCAAGGCACCGCCGTTGGTAACTATTCTTTTCTTTACTTAGTATCTCCTTTTTTTCTATAGTTGTAATCCAATTATATTATTTCGTATAATTCGTACAGTAGGGAAAAGCGAAATCACGTCATTAGAACATTCGACCAGTATTTGTCAAATATCCGGCACGGATTGATTATCACATCAATGGGTCAGGCATCCTAGGACGAGAGTTTGTCGAGTAAGACTTTCTAAGATTGTAATTTTACGCCTCGTTACCAAGAAAATAATGCGACCGAGTATAATGTAGTATGAAGTATCACGACTCCTGTCTCTCTCACTAGTCAAACTCTACGAGGGCTACATACGTCAACGCTGCATTTCGTTACACGATTACAGTACACCCAGGCACATGGTAATCGATTCAAAATCGCTTATGAAGCTGTCAAACTTAATGAATATTACGTGGCGTATCCGCGTACTACAACACCAAAAAATAAACTCTAGAAATTCTTTTTAAGCAATCAATCTGTCAATCTCGAATAAATGACGACCTATCGGAAGCTTCCAGAGCATCTTACTAGCGAACGGCTGGATGTCACCGCCAGATCACGCAGGGATCCGAGGATATAAGCTTTTTTTCCCTTTCTATGGACCTGTCGACATTAAAGGGATAAATGCTCCCTAGCTATGCCTGATTCATATAGATGGAATTGTGGAAATAGGGAGACGTCGTATATCTGATCAAATAGTAGAAAGAATATTATTCACGTTCCTGAGTATGAATCGGTATAATTTATTTTCAGTCACTTTAAGCTATGAACCCGTCCCAGGAATTTCATATCTAATAAACTCTATATTGTGTGAATAAGTCACCGTGTATACGTGTCCGTGCCTATGCCAAGACGAGTCGCGCGCGTCAGACCTCTTCTTTGTTCCGCGGCGTCGTCATCGTCGGCGCCTTCGGTCGAGTATTAACCGGACTGTTGTTACCACCCATGATCCCATCGTCGGTGGCGTGTAGATCGTCGCTGTTCTTCTCTGCTAGCATTTTCCTCGCAGCTAACGTTCTCCTTTTCCTACGCGCATCTACTTTCTGCCTCCACTCCTTCCCCCAAAGGATAGATGCCAATGCACATAGGGTTCCGATGACTAGGTACAAGGCGCTAATAGTCGAGAACCAACCCACGCCAATACTATCAATCGCGGGCAATACTACCGCGGTACCGACACACGCGAATAGGTACCGGATCGCGTAGTTTCCGGCGACGACTTCGGCTGATCGTCCTGGCATCACGTCCAGACAGTAAGTATTCAGCGACGGGAAGCAGAACAATTGCGCCACGCCCTGCAGAAATAAGACAACGACGGTAAGCGGTATACCACCAACATCTTTCTCAACACACCACCCATAGATAAGCACGCATCCCGGGATTATTATCCCCATAAAGGGCAGCGCGGAGTACATCCTATCCTCCGGGATCCGGACCCCGCGTTTCTTGATATACTTTTTAACGATGTAATCCGCGTACCGTCCCCCGCCAAATGTACCTAGTAAATACCCGCACCCAGGTGCAAGGTAGAATAACCCGCCCTGCATCGGCGTCGTGAGATTATACCGTGGGTTAAGCACGTACCGGATTGGCGTTAGTAGTGAGTACATGTTCCAGACTAGACAGGAACTAGCGATGCCCGTTAGGAACAAGTTCGGATACTCCCATAAGCGTAGCACGCGCCAGGGATTCACCATCTCGAGCACGACTTTGACTTTCGCGGTGCCGCTGTAGCCTACTAGGTCATCGATCTTTTTGTGGTAGATGGTCTCGGGGAGTAGGAAGTAGGAACCGACGGCCGCGGCGCCGGCGAGAGCGGTCTGGAGCCAGAATATCACGCGCCAGGATGTGTATGTCACGATGATGCCGCCGATGAAAGGGCCAAGAGCTGGCCCGATGAGGGTGGTTGATAGATACCATCCGGTGGCTGTACCACGTTCTGTCGGGCGGTATATGTCACTGGGTTTAGAGTAAGTGGTCTGCTCATAATATTCTGTATGTTATCTTGTAGTTTGTAGAGTAGGTAGGTAATAAGGGTGTACTGCTGACCCAATGACTGATGCTCCGATTAGGATAAATGAGGTGCCTTCAAACGCGGTAAGCAACCGGAAGACGAAGAAGGCTCCTAGGTTTGGCGCGAGGGCGGTGCCTATACTGCATCCCAGAAAGCCCACGGCTGTTATGAGAGTTATCTGGAGATTATACACGTGTTAGCTACTATCAATAGTGGGAAGAGTCAACAAGAGATCCTCACCAATCTTCTGCCGTATACTTGGCTTAGGGGTCCCCAAAAGATAGGCGATATGCCCATGAATAGCATGTATAATGCATTGACAAGGTTAACGATAGACCCAGTGGTCTCGTACTCGGCGGCTACCTCAGGAGTGGCTGCTAGCACGGATGTGCTAGAACTGTAGTAGAAGAGTTAACTAATACATTTATGGAGAAGGAAATGATCCTGGATCATCAAGATATGTAAAGATATGAGTCGTTCAACGATCGCATACAAAAAATACTTACATTGGAGCCAAGAAAGAGCAAAATCCTAATAGCACCACTAATACCAACTTCCGGTGTGGGGGTAACCGGTCATATACTTCGTCCGGGATGTCGATTACGGAATCTGTTTGCTCGACGGGCATATCCGGGCCCATAGAATGGTGCGTCGGGCACCGTTCGAGATCTCCGTCATCGGCATTAGGCCGTGGCGCCGGCCGGATAGATTCAGACGTGCCATCTGAGTGGCTTGAAGAGGTACTTGAACGGGCATTCGAAATCATAGGGTCCTGGGTATCATGAGTAGCCGTTTGCAAACGCTCATCTTTGGAGTCTTTGGAGTCAAGCATCACGAGAAGCTTTTCAGAATATGTCTTATGAAGATAAATAAGGTAATATAAGTGTCATTATAGGCAAATATAAATGTCTAGATTAGGAAGAGCAGTAAGCTTCAAGCCAGCACTGTCCTTTGTTACAAGAATTTTCTTGTCTGAGACCCAACGAGACACATCTAGCTATGATGCTGATTAAAAAAACGAAGAGTGAGTGAATACCCTCCATTTCAAAGTTTGCAAGGGGAGGGGAGGAGGGAGACTCCCCTTATTTAGCATTACACGGCGTACTAACCAAGCTCTACCGAGTAGTAATGGTATCAAATTGTCGGGTTCTTGAATTTTTTTCTCTTTGTTAAGATTGGTCCTCTTTTTGAGGTCTGGAGACCAGCTTCGCCGAGTATCGGTCGGGATATACGCCGAACTTGTCTCAATAAGGCATAGTGATACGATGCTAAATCGCAGTCCTGAGTGGATACCAACCGGCAGCAATGCCGATGATGAAACCCTATTGGTTCTTCTGCCGGCGTTTTCTGCATGATACTTAATCTGAAAATTTCAAGCTTTTTCTTGAGGGTCTGCAGGCTTGTCAGCAACCTGTTTGCCTCCAAGGTTCAAGATAGGAAGGTAGGTAGCCGCTAGAATAGAAATGTTCGTCGAATAGCCGACGACCTGCTTTAGTGGCGGTGAGAACCCGATCTGGGGAATAAGAATTGGTCTCGCCCTACGATAGTGCCTGAGAGGAGCGATAAGACCTATGACGATGCTTAGACTAATGGTGACTCTTATAGAGAAATCTCGATAGTATCCTTGTATCGCATCAATTCTGCCCTATTCCGGTGCTTATTCCCGCTTTCGCATCCACATACTTATCCGAACGAGGGATCGGCGTGGAAATCATATAGGCAGATGAGTTTATGATCTCCGTTGCCGCTGCGACTGTCGCTCCGAATAGAGTCATTGGGGAATAACTGACACCACAGAATAAGCGGTCATGTCGAATTGATGCCTTATCAGCTCATCATTGGAGAAAAAGACGTTTTCCCCGTATAAATTGGCACTCTTGAGGTCGTGTTAGGCGACCCACGGACAATACGAAAACGGATTTCGGAAAATGAGGCTACTTAACCGATCCTGTAATTTGATAGCAGATATTAGATATTACAGCATCCGTATGGTCACCGCATAGTAGGTAGTTGATGGCTTCTTTTATACTGAATGATTTATTGGAGTGAGTTGATTACATATTGTCACGTCATTTTGCCCGAGTGTATGGTCGTTTGTTTGTCTTTGAATTAACAATCGGTTGTTGTTGGAATTTCTTGGAAGACCAACCGATAGCCGACAGTCCAATCATGTTTTTTCCAATTGGGTACTTGATCTTTCTTTTTCCGCCCTTCTGTAAAGTGGGGTTCCGATTGGTCTAAATGCTAATTGTAGCTGAATTGAACTAGCCACAGTTATAACCGAGAAGGGTATAAACTAAGTAAGGTTACCTAATCAGCCCAGCCCACTCTTGCAAAAATCAAACCCCCTCAATGCAAAAATTAACCGTGGTTTAGCCCAAAACGCACACTTCTCATTCAACGCAAAAAAATCAATTTGACCTGAAGCTCTACGGAACCATCAACACATTCGACAACCGACACTTTTCGAGAGCGCCACCCTACAACCGCTGTCAAAATGGTATGTAAATAAGATATTCATTTAATGATTTGATACGAAAGCACCCGATTGCTATAGAGGTCGTCCTACCGCCGCTCCGAATGAAGCCATGACTTTTGCGCACCAAGATATTTTCGAGGGTATAGTTTGGCGGCAAGAAGTTCGACACGCGACGAGCAGGACGACCTTTAGCATATCGATTCTTACCACCTAAAATGCCGAGTTATATTTATATCGAGGATATCAGCGCTGTTGACATTGCTTTGCTTGACGGCGCATTTCGATTCGAGATTACATACAATTATGATCATTGCGGTGGTAGGCTAACGGTTGATATGATCTAGGTCAACATTCCCAAGACCCGTAAGACCTACTGCAAGGGCAAGGACTGCCGCAAGCACACACAACACAAGGTCACTCAGTACAAGGCTGGCAAGGTAGGTTCCCATTAAATTCCACCCGTCGACTTTTTTACGACTACGATATCGCGATTTCGTCTTCCGACCTGACCGATTTCTAACATACATATTAGGCCTCTCTATTCGCGCAAGGAAAGAGACGTTACGACCGAAAGCAATCTGGTTACGGTGGTCAGACCAAGCCTGTGTTCCACAAGAAGGCTAAGACGACGAAGAAGGTTGTGTTGCGATTAGAATGTGTTGCCTGCAAGACTAAGCTACAATTGGCGCTGAAGCGATGCAAGCACTTCGAGCTTGGGTACGTTTTAGGTATAATCTTATATGGTAGTATCCTCGCTAACGACCTTAAAGTGGTGACAAGAAGACCAAGGGTGCCGCGTTGGTGTTCTAAACGCACATTTTCTACATACTCAAGTCATTGCACACGTTCGTCATCATTCATGGAAATAGGGTGGTTCATTATGGCCGGGCATACTACACTGGCGACGGGAGTCTTGATCCTCGGTTAGGGAGCAGCATATAGGTCAATAGAACCAAATCTGCTCTTCTGCATTTGCATTTCTGCCCCTATGTGATACGTGCTAGGAGTCGGAAAAATAACGAGGGGGATATTCGGTGGCTTCATTGCCTTGAGCAATAGGGTTACTAGCTGGAAGGCGTCGTTACGATACGAAATCCCGACTCACATGATAATGCCCAATACCCGATCTTGGAACAGTCAATTGATTTCATTTTCCGTGGATATTGATTCCGCTTTTCTAGGTGGTCTTTTATTTGTTCGTGACATTGTTCTTGCTAGAATTATACGGGCCTTGATTACCTACCGTGGCTCCGCCCTCTCCCACGAAATATACGTTGCTAAGCTGGCTCTATCTAGACTCGAACGGCTTTGCTTGGCGGGAAACGTTGTATAACGACTATATTTATTTCTATATGTGGTTGAACGCTTTGCTCTAGGCTTACGTTCATGGATTATCAGAATCCTGAAGCACGATAATTTTCATATTTCGCTTGTCTACAACCTAACGCTTCAAACTATGCCCATGAATCTAGGTACTAGAAAGAAACCCCGTCTATCGCCGCAATCTCGATACCACACCTTTAGAACCCCTCACCCGTCATAACCGTCCTTCCGCCTCCATACCACAGCGTACCGACCCGAATATCTAACCCCCTCTCCTGACCGACAACCCACTCCCCAACCAATTTCGAATCGGCGTTATTCCACACCGTACTTTCCAACCACGCATTAATCTCATCAATCGCATCGACCCACCTCTGTCTCTGCTCCGGAGTAGCGTGCTCCTTATTCGTCAAATACCGACCGAGCGTAATATGCGCGCTGGGCACTATATACCGCGAGCTAACCGTGACACCGGCTTCTTTCGCCTGGTCCCACATGTCGCGGCGCAGGTGGTGATACGAGTACGTATCACCCTGTGCGAGGACCTTAACCGTGTCCGGGGCTGTTGGTGGTGGGGAAAGAGGGGGTTCACCCGCTGCGGGGAGGAAGGAGAGTGCGAAAGCGGACAGGTCGTAGGATATCATGGGCTTGGCGAGTCGGGACCGGTGTTGGTGCGTGTAGTTTGCGATTCGTGGGATTGCTGGTTTGAGCGTTTCCTTCAGGGCTTCGATTTCGTCGGCGGTGCGGGAGAAGTCGACTTCTAGGGTGGTGATGTGCATCCGGTGGAGGGGCATGAGCCAGATACCTGTGAAGTTAGTGGTATGTAAGTGGGGTGCGGAAGGATATATATTTAACGAGATTTCTCTCTTGACTTGCGATGCTATCGCCTTCGTTGTGTCAGGAGAGGAATCTCAACTTACTCGGTGCGACGGCTTGGAGCTTTTTCTGGATCACATCTGCGAGTTCCAAGATATGGATCGGAGGTCGACCCCAGAAGGTCATGCAGTACCTCGTATCTTTCTATTTGATGTCAGACAATTATTCCAACCAGCAACCCGATGTCGACGTCTAGCGAAAAGACTATGCGAGCTTGAAGCCCATAATCAAATGGATGCAAGGCCTCGGGGAGAAGGGGCATTGCGACATACTGTCGACACGTTAGCTTCGATATGAAAAAATGTGATTCCAGGGCTGAATCTTGAACTCTACTATCAAGTTCAGCCTGGAATTTCCTCGTACTGACCAAAACCAGGTTCTATCTGCGGATTCTCTAGCCGCAATAGATACGGATCAATTATCAACTCTTTGTAGTCTGGAGCTAAGAACTTCTCCCTTTGCTGTGCATTGCGCCTGAGGCGGTGCGCTGCATACAAAGCTTGGATTTTCTCCTGGTATTCTATTAGTCCCTATCTTCAGGATGCATGCATTTATAACTTTATATCCCGAATATTCCGCCCGATATGCCGCCTTTTCTACCGCCTACATACGCTCATATCCTTTGAAGCTAGGCCGACTCGAAGAATAGATATGCAGTAGAACGGAAGTAAGGGTTTACTCAACTGGTTCGTTATCACATGCTTTAATCAAAGCATTATATGGGTTCTCGCCCGGCTTCAGAACAACTCCGGAGAGATCCTCCAGCTTATTCTTTATATCGGTAGACTCGAGGACTGACGCCATATTGGGATCTGAGTATCGCAGGATGGGTTATTTTTACTAGGTAGGAACTAGATGGATTGCGATCGAGAATTTATTATTTCTGGTATGACAGCCGACAATTAGAAAGAGGAGGTGGCGCAGCTGAGTGAAGTCACAATATACGATGCGCTCCAGGAGGTTTGTAGACGCCAAGTGGGCTAGTAATAAAACATGGCGTCTGGCGGGGAAGTCACTGGGGATATCATGATTAGGCTCCTCTTCGCTCAATAGGCATCATAAAACTCGTACATTCATTCATACGATTAAAGGAACTAACCGATATACCTTTGATTTGTTATAAATAATAATTTCTAGAATGTAGTCCTTTTATTTGGAAGAAGTTGTAGGGAATAGAATTGCGATAGTAGATTAAGACGCTAGCTGACGTCTATGGCGCCGTTAGCGCCTATCTTAGCGTCCTTTTAACGACCTATTAGCGCTTCAGCTCGCTACCACGTGACAGACGCCTAACTTGACTTCACGTATCGAGTTGTTAACTCAATCGTCTTCTCTCTTCGACGTCTTTTTAACTCATGATACTCAACGTAATTGCGATATGATTTCGGGGTTTCCTTCGCCCCTTCCTAGCAACTATAATGAATCAAAGACATTTTATATACATTTCTAGATCCATTTGTCCCCCATGAAGTGATTGAATAGTCGTCGGACGAGACGCTTATTGGTCCCCCAAATGAAACTCTTAATAATACCATCCTCTTGATCCGTATTGAAGCTAACATGCTAGCTTCTAGGTCTATGAATACGGATAGGGGAAGTCCCTATCCAGGGCACTGACGCAGCTCTTGCAATCCATCTGTACTTGCCTCATCTAGGTCGAGGATGCTTTGGTGTGTTATTTTGGCGCCGATTCTCGCTTTGCCGCCTCTACTATCCTGAATTAATGGTATGGCCTAAATCGAGATGATATCTCCGACCCATTATCGTCAGTTCATGTTGGGGCTTTCCATGGCATATCTGGGTGAAGTCTGGTATATACTGGCATCGACTTTGCCATTTCGGTTCGGCTTTATGATCCCTAGAATGGATCTTTCAAGGGCACTCTTTTAACTTGGCCATCGGTACATATGTATCATGCGCCATGTGCGTGTCACAATGGACCTTCCCCTGACGGCGCTATAACTGAGTGGCCCCAACGCAATAGAATTGGCCATGAGACGCCGAATGCGGCACGTCGGTTATATGCCTTAACGTCGTGTCTAGAACGCCGCATAACGCATTATCGTGTCTTCACAACTTTGGACTCGTATCACGTCGTCGATGCCGCCTGCAAGGCTTAAAAGGATAATCTAATGGTCTACTAGTATGCTGGCGCACTCGGACAGTTGTTCATGAACTATCCTACGGGCTATCCCCTCTCATCACATGTCTTTGTGTGTGAACTCAAGATTGAAATCTGTGTGCGTTTAGTCGGTGACTCAAATGGTTATATGGGATGGGAAGCGGGTCCTGTTATTAGGGCTTTTGCTTGTTGATTATCTAAGGGTTGAGCTCGCCCTGTGAGTGCCTGTGCTTGTTTTTTTTTCCGCGGGTATTGTGGATATCAACGACTAATCGACTTACAGAGAAAGAAAGAAGTAGGTGCCCTACCGGGAGCCCTGAGAGCCCTACCTAGGTAAGGCGAGAGCTAACCCTTGCGGCTGAGGCCCTAGATAAGAAGCTACTATGCCACTGCCCTGTTACTTATCTCTGTAGTACCCACGGAAGCTTCCGCATGATGGCTGATTAGCTGGTTGTTACCCCTCGTGTTACTGTTCTGAGCGAGTTTAAAGCGATTCTGTAACAGTTATTGCCTATAAGACCCCCGCAAGCACTGGGTGATTTACTGATATTAAAGCGGTTCCTTCCACTTGCTAATCCTCGTTCATAACCTTAGCACTCGCCCTCACTGTCGATGCCTAGGCCTCCCGGAAGGTTCTTTCATTTCTTAGGGTTTGCACTGATTTTGATTTGACCTTGCCCTCTAAATTACTGCCCTTCCACACCTCTCATAATTTCTCCCCTCCAACACAAAACATCATCATTTTCATCACGCCTTTCCATCCTTCTTCAACCCCAAACCATTTTCGTTCATTCGTACTCTCATACGACATCTCCAAGCTTGCGACCCGTGTTTAATTCATCGGTTCTTCCGTTTGAAACACGTTTCGCATATTCGGCGCAGTCGTAAAAAAAATCTGTTATTTGATTCCCTTTTCATATTGCGTTTCTTCCTTCATATCGCGTCCAGACTTTGGTCTGATCACGTATACCTCCTCGTTCCTTCTACTTCATCAACCCCTCTTTCAATTATCACCTCACTGCCATCTGTGAATATGCCTCCCAAGAAGGCTGGTCCGCTACCCCAGGTAGCCTCGACCCGAGCTTTACGCAAGAGGCCCCCTTCTAGCACTGCCCCTCAGGAGTCTGAGACCGGAGAAAGTAGTCGCGCTCCTCAACCAAAGCGACAAAAGAAGAACTCCGAGACCTCCGAAGAGGATGAACCCCCGAACCCTAAGCCTGCGAGGAAGCCTAGATCTTCTGCTGCCAAGGGCACTAAGGGTAAGGGTAAAGGTAAAGCCTCAGAAAATTCACAGCCTTCTGCCGAGTCCCCCACCGAAGGTTCTCAGGGTGGCGATGATGCTGAGTCCTCTGATGAGAACCCTGATGATGACCCTAGCAATGGGCTGGACACGAGTCTGGCTCCTATTTCAAGCCCTGACGATGCCTTCTACGACATGGTAAGCAAGAAGCTGCAAATATTGGCGCGCGCCGATACTTTCTCACTCCGTGTCGCGACTATGTGCTCTGGCACCGAAGCCCCAATTGTCGCCTTGGACATGATTCGTGAGATGTTCAATCGTCACATGCCCGAGAAAGAAGCTTTTCGTTTCAACCACATCTTCAGCGCCGAGATTGAACTTTTCAAGCAGTCGTACATTGCCCGAAACTGCGAAGGCTCAATTCTGTTCAAGGATGTCCTCGACTTTGTCGACCCGAAAGACGGCAAAGCGTAAGCCTTCATAACCCCTTTCATATTGGTGACTGAACACTAACGGAGTTGTTAGACCTACCGCGATGGGTTCGATGGAAACGATTCCTGGCGACATTGACCTCCTCATTTCCGGTTGCTCTTGTGTGGATTTTTCTACGCTCAACACCCAGAAGCAGAAAGACTTCGTGACAGATGTGGTCGAAACAAAGAACAGACTCGAGAAAATTGCGGCCGATGGGTCCTACCAGGCAGATCGTGATTTCGAGATGGTCAAGGAACTGTGGGACATGACCACTGAATTCATCAAGGATCTGGGCTCCTCCGGCCAAACATTTTTTGGAATGATGCACTATGTCCGAAACTACCGTCCAAAGATTGTGATCCTCGAAAACGTTTATGGAGCTCCCTGGGCTAAGGTTAAGAATGTGTGGTTTCCATTTGTCGGATATGCCGCTAAACATATCGCTCTGGACACGAAGAACTTTTATATCCCGCAAACCAGAAAACGTGGTTACCTAATAGCACTCGACTTGAATGTATTCGGAGGCGAGTTGGCGACAATTATCCTCAATGAGTGGGAATGTCTAATGACGAAGGACCTTCCGAGAAGAGCATCTACTCCCATTAGTCTCTGGCTACTGCCTCCTGCCCATCCCCTGACGGAGCGAGCTCGTCAGGCTGATTCAGAAAAGGCACTAAATCGTTTATCCAAGGATGCTGATTGGGAGCGCAGCAAGGTCCGTCACGTACGATTCCGTAAGACTAAAGGGATTGGCAACGAGCGACCGCTCACACACTGGGGCCAGCAAGGTCAACCCTATGATCGCCTTGACCGACTTATGATCAGTTCACAGTCGAAACGAGTTCTGGACTGTATGGAAATAAACCAACTTAGGACCATGATCATTGGCAGATCAATGGTGGGGATATACCGCCGCTTCGATCTAAAGTTCAAGGATGTCGCCTTCGATCTCAGTCAGAATATAGACCGCTCCGCTGACGCGCCGTTTGGTATGGCTGGTTGTCTCACACCAAGTGGCATACCCTTTATAACGGGTCAATGCAGACTCATATCGGGATATGAGACATTGCGCCTGCAAGGTTTACCAGTCGACCGCCTTGAGTTTGCTACCGAAACCCAGGATCAACTACGAGACCTCGCAGGTAACGCAATGAGTACGACAGTAGTTGGTGCTGCCATGCTAGGTCTGTTTGGGGCCATCCAGCACGCGTCAGAATTCCGTGGACTGAAAAAGTTCTTCACAAGGGCTTTTGAAAACATCGCGAAGACCAGCATTCGGCCCATTGCAAACCCGCAACTGAAGCATGTCCCCGATTTCAGCACGGCCGCCACTTCGTCCTTGGGAAATACATCGATCATGGACCTATTCCGCAGATGCCGTCGATATTGTTTTTGCAACGGATCAGCTAAGTACAGTACCAACGACTTCTTGCAATGTACTGTATGCTCTACCATTCGTTGCCGGTGGTGCGCTAGAAACCCACCGCACAAGTTTGGTTCGGCAAAGAGACCTCCGAATTTCCTGGTCCTAAATGAAGTAGAACCTATGCTTATGCGCTATTTCCCAGGGAGGATCGTTAATCCGATCACTCCATACGGCCTATTCAAGCCAGAGAACACCCATTGCCCTGTTGGCACGCTTTTCGCCCATCATAGTGATCTCATGTGCGAGCTCCTGTCAACTACATTCTACTATCGCGGTATTCACGTCACAGAAGCTGTGACAATCCGATACGTTGGTCGAGCGGGTTTCGAACTTCGGGCTGTGATGTCGGACCATGGAATTGATTGGTACTTGTACCTTGACCCGTGGAGCGACCTTGGGGAAAGATTTGGCGCGGCCCTTGAAATAAGCCGAACAAAGAAAGGCCCGGCGTACAAGCAACTAACACAGCCCATCGCAAAGGCTACAGTCGAACAGGGCGCGCCCAGAGTTCTCCCAGATCCCGAATCATGGGTCTTCTGGTGCTTCCAGCCGCGAGAATATAATGTGCAAATTGAAGTGTCCAACAGCGCTCTAGAGATTACTGAAGTAAGCACTATCCCTGATGGCTTCGCCGGCGAGAGTATTTGGCACAGTGAGTGGGTGTGCGGGAAATACGATCATCAACCCCTTTGCGATGCACCCGAGAACAGCCTCCACGCCTGTAAAAGGAATGGGATGTTCCTCTTCAAGGACGTCGCGAAAATCGAGAAGCCTACTAAAGATGGCTATGTTATCTCTGATGAATGCCGGCCGCTAGAACCGCACGAGTATCGAGAGGTTTATATGATGTTCACGCCCAACGAGGATCTCCGTCCACGCGAAACCGAATCCACTAAGCTTGCTCGAGCGCGGACAAATGGGTATTGGTTCAAACCTGACGGTTCCGAGGCTGATGAATCCTCTTGTTATGAGAAGGTGGCCTGCCAAATTGTGGAGAGTGCCAAGGTCCCCAATTCGGAGAAGTTTACTATCTCCAAAGACGAGCCAGAACAGCATGTACTTGTGGAAGCATCCACTATGAGAGGAAGGGAATGCGACACTTTCAACGTCATGAGAAAATACAATTCCACGGATCAGAACGAATGGGCTGTTGTCGAGAAGTCTGATCTTCAACACGTTTACGACTTCATTTCCCATCTCAACGTTGTGCTCACTGGTACCGAAGGATTGGGTGTTGAGTTTGAATTGGCAGACATTGCAGATTCGATAAAACCCGTAGATGTATGGAAGGCTGGATATGACCATCGCGAGTACTGCCAGAATCAACTCCCACGCAAACGGTACATCCGAGCAAGCGAGACCAAATACATCCCTCATCATCATTCCGAGCCGATGGCTGCCTACGAACGAGACTTTAAGTCACGTACTCCGACCTTTGAAGTAAGACTTCAATGCTCAAGTGTTGACAACGGTATGCTTGCCGTAAGAGTTCGATATTTGATTAGTCCTGGCTTCCTCGGACGCAAAGCTGCGGCGTACCTTCCCCTGACTAGGCACCACTGCACCGACTTAACTGCGCATGTACAAGTCCAGCCCAATGTTGTCGTATCTGAGAATATACAGATTGATATTCGCGGATCAGACAAACATAAATTCGAGCCTTTCCGCAAGTGTTTGAAGAGCCTAGTTAAATCCGAATGTCACACCAAGCGTAAAGAACCGGGAAAGGTGAAATTAACCGACTCGCAATTGCGATCTCTCGATTGGATGCTTAAGAGAGAGAGACAGAATCAAGAATTCGTCGAGGAAGAAATTGAAGAAGAAATTCTGTCTACCCTAAAGCTTCGAGCGATTGCGCGTGCCCAACGCAAGATTTATCATCATGGCGGTATACTGGCCGATAATGTTGGTTATGGTAAAACCGTCGTTACGCTTGCGTTGGTTCTTCGTCAAATTGAATTCGACCAACAGACTATGAGCCAGCGAGAGTCCGAGAATCCGGATTGTATGGCCCTCCAGGCTACCCTCGTAATTGCACCAGATCATCTCGTCGCGCAATGGGCGAAAGAGGCCAACGAATTGTTTCTCGTTGCGAAGGGTGAAATAGTCCAAATTACGAAGTTGTCTGACCTCGAGGAGGTCAGCAGTGGGTGGCAAAAGCTTAGGAAACTCCAGAACGCTAGGCTCATCATCGTGAGCAAGAAGATCTTTCGTGATGCGTACTATATGAGGCTTGCGAAATGGGCTGGTTCGATCGATCCACCAAAGCTCGGCGCTATCGACGAAAACCCCCGGCATTATGGTTTTTCTGACTGGTATAACGATGCCGTTCCCGCACTCCAACGTCATGCGCGCAAATTAAGGCATCTAGTCGAAGGAAATTTTAGCTCTGAGGGTGTCGATGAGCTATACCGTGAGATCGAAGACCGGCGAAAGGAGCAACATGCATCTTATGAATCTCTCAAAACCGACTATGAAGATTGTAAGAAGAAGGTCGAGGATATTCAGCCAAAGCCCGTAACAACGATTTCTGCTTTCAAATCGCCGAAGGAACTAAGAGTCCCGGAGTCGGGGAACCGCTACCCACATCTTCTGGAAAACTTCTCATACTCTCGCGTGATATACGATGAGTTCTCCTATCGCGGATATCCAGTACCGGAATTCTTTGCTGGATTACACGCACATGCGAAATGGGTTTTGTCAGCGACACCTCCGACAAAGAACCTAGCGGATGTGCAATATATCGCAGACCTTCTCAACGTTCATGTCGTACGCCCCGTCTACGAACGACAAGGCATGCCCCGGATTACCGAGGGGCCTAAGTTCAAAGACATTACTAGAGCTGAAACCCTGCAAATCCGCAAGTTTATGTCCGACCAGAGCATCCGTGATAGATACGAGAAGACCAAGAACTTCCTAGAGCTCTTTGCGATATCGAACCCACTCGACTTTGAGCTTGCCGGCAACATCAAGGTCGAAGAGAAGGTTGTGGTGTGCGAGATGAGTACCAACGAGTTTAACTTGTATAAGGACATGGAACAAGACATGAAGGCCTGTGGCTTTGACGCCTATGCGTTGCCGAAGGGATCCCGCAAAATCCTCCATAGCTCTCTAGGTACCAAGGATTGGAGTAATGACGGCGGAGTACTCGCGCTTGAAGCACTCTTTTCCTGCTCTTCTTGGGGGAACTGGAATCGAAGGACCCACTCGACCGATGACCTCGTGGCTGAACGAACTAATGTTCTCGAGAACGCAAAGGCGATATTCAAGTTCAACGCCGAGAAAGCTCTCTGGCTCGCGGCACGCATCGGGGGCAGCGGCACCGAGAACAGGCCTAATGCTAAGCTTTGTAGGTTTGACGTCTGCGCATTACTCCAAGATATTTGGAAAAAGGATCTTGAAGCCTGTGGTGGAATCGATGCTTGGTCCGAGATGTGGAAGACAATTACCGGCAAAGAAATTAAGGAATATGATGACGCGTGTGAAAAATGTAAGGCCCAGAATGCCGACTTCCTTTCAACCGAGGACGAGTTCGAGGAGAACTTTCTCGAAGCTGTTGCCACCGACAGATCGACCACATGGCATGATTATTACGTGCTAGAGGAATCGGACCTTGATCAAATGGATGAACCTGAGGCAAATAGCCTCATCGAAGATCTGAAGCGTTTCCATGGGGCCAAAGTGGAGGTTTTGACTGGAACAATTAAGAACCCCAAGGAAAAACTGAGGCAGCTGGTTATTGATGAAACACGAGGTCTTGCATCGATACCGAGAGCCGAAATTATTCGAGTATTGCCTGATCCGAATTACGGAGGCCCGAACTTTCATAATCTCAAGAAGGCCGAGTATCAATCTCTGTGCAACGGCGTAGGCATCGCCTACAAGGAGGCGGACACGAAAAACGTCCTCGTCGATCGTTTGGAGCGCCACCGGGCAGGAGCGCTTGACGTCTCGGAATACTTATGGTACAATAACTTCCGAATGGAAAGACCTGGCAGGTACCCGAGATTTTCAACGACAACCAGCGCTCGAGGAGGAAACTTCACCTACACCGGAAATGACCTAAGCGATACCTCCTTAGAGCTTCGGAAAGCCTGGGACCAGGTAATCTATGCAACCAAACAGCTGCGCATTGCTGAGGCTCTTGTGTCGAGGAAGGAAGAGGGAGTTTGTGCCGGCTGCAAGCAATCCAAGCCTAGGGAAGAGCTGCATTTCGTCTGCGATTGTGGCCATTTGCTTTGCGCGAAGCATCTCGATGAAAAAACTTGTGGTGAGACCAACCACGAAGAACCCAGCTTTTGCCCGGCTGAGCTGGAACACAACACCGTTCCACTGGCGAAGATTAAAACCGCACAGCGATCCCTAGGTGGCAATTATAGACAGCCTGCTTCTTTCCCAACCACTTCTATCAGCTCCAAGTCGCAGATGATCGCCAACGTAATCAAGGGGACCCCCGAACAGGAAGGTGTAGTCTTGTTTGCTCAGTATGACAACCATATCGAAGAGCTGAAGCACACTTTGACAGCGAACAATATTAAATTCACAACTTCCGCTAACCCGCTCGAATTCACTGATACGAAGGTTCGACTTCTTAAGCTGAACTCCGACGAATCCGCTGGTTCGAATTTGCAAAGGATTGCGAACCACGTGGTTTTTTCGTGTCCCTTGTCGGAGAGGCTCCAACAGGACTGGGATGCGGTCATGAGGCAGGCGAGGGGTCGGTGCGTCCGATATGGCCAGAAGAAGACCGTCCACGTGTACCACTTTGTGACGGCGAACACTGTTGAGGTTGACGTCCTAGAACTCCGCAAACAGAGCCACATCTTAGTGCGTCCGGGAGAAGCCATTGGTCGATTTGTTCCTGCGCCGCTGGCTGATGCGCACATGGATATGCTTCAGCGTAATGGTGTCGTTCAAGATACTACTGCTTCTGATGTTACTGATGCCAACGGAGATACGGTAATGGCTGATGCTAGTACTGCTGCTGCGGCGACGACTAGCACTTCGAACGCCAACCAGGACGTGGAGGAGCGTGTCAATTCGACGCTCACACCCAGGGATATTTGGAAGGTGATGAGTGAGCAGAATTGGTTGAATACCGTAGGCATTGAGTATTAATGCGGCGGATACGTGGCCGCAATGTAAGTACGCTTATGGAGGGCGGGTGCGCATTAACCCTCCATCCCTCCCGCGCACCCGCCCCCTACGAAAGAAAAAGAGGTTTGAAGGCTAACTGGAGTAGGAATGAATAGTGATGCGTTACCGAAGGAAGAAAAATTGAGGACGAAACAATTGATTTCGGTAACCGGTTATGCGCACGTGTGGATGAGGTTCTGCGGTGATTGATGATGAGGTGGTGGATAAAGGGTGAAGGGGAGTGTTGTGGTAGTGGAGAGATGGGGAGGAAGTAATGGCCGAGAGGCGAGAGAAAAAAAAGGCGGGAGGAGGGTTGATTAACGGTTCCGATTGTTTCTACGGGCCTCCTCAATAGATAGTCCGGGTACGGAAGGACTCTATCTAGGCAACTCTTAGGGGGGTTTACCATTGTACATTTGTTTCCCGGCCGCGTTTTGCGCTAGTTGAATGCATCAAAAAATTCTGAAAAAGGCACCAGCACCAGGTACTATGATAAAGTGAACTTGCTCCTTCCTCGTCTAACATATACACAGGTAAATGTCGCCAATATCTCCGCTTTTCAAACTCTCCGGAAGCTTCTATCACCCCTGAAACGCGGCAACAATGGATATCACCAGTCATTCGCGCATAAGCGGGGGTATATTACGGGGTTACCCTCGCTGCACACCACAACGAATTCGGTTGAACCCGCTTCTATTAAACTTGCTACCTAAACTGCCTTAACTTATAGCTTGGAAAGCCTGGCTGTACTCGCCGACACTTTGACTAGTATCCTTGGGTCTTTCCCCTTTTCATTCTCTCCCCCAAGTGCTACCTCCTGACAATCCTCAACCGGCACATCATTAGCAAATTGCACAACCACAAAATCTATCGCAGACCCGCGCGGTCCTAAAGCTGCCATAGGCGCATGCCATGTACCCGCCCCGTAGGTAACTGCCTGCGCACCTGTAGCTATGAACGCGCGTAACCCCGTTAGGTCCGGTAGTCCCCGGCCTGGGAGTTGGGGCTGTGGTTTACTCGCACTACCGCTGGCACCTTCAGTAGGTGCTGGGAGGTCCTTGTCCGCGCTACCTGGTGCTAAGCTTAGTGCTACGGTGACTAAGTACCGCGTTGACGAGGAGGCGGGTACGCTAAGCGGGATGAAGGTCTGCGTGGTGAAGGGGTGGCGTTCGAGGATTTTTACTTCGAAGAAGCCACCATCGCTTTCTGCCCTCCCCTTATTATCATTGCTGCTGCCAAGTGATTCAGCAGGGAGTAAGTCCCGCGCTTGACATACGAACATAGTTGTTCGGGGTTCTGCTGCCGCGCGGCTAGGCGCTTGGGCGTATAAGTCTCTTAGTGGTGGCGCTAGGGCACGGTACTGGATGGCCGTGCCCTGGTTTGCGGACACGGCCCCGTGGCCCGAGGGGAGAGGTTTGGCCGGGACTTCATGGGGTCGGAGTGTGGGTGCTGGGTTTGTGAGGACGGAGCCGAAAGGGGCGAATGATGCGGGGGTTAGGGGCTCTGCTTGGAGAGTGAGGGGATAGGGGATGGGGACTGTGGTGACTAGCATTTTTAGGGGTATTATAAAGTTTAGAATTAGTATTATGGTCAAATTTTAATAATTTATTCCTCTTTGGGATTCTGAAGGAGATTGGATTGGTTGATGGTTGGTTTGGGAAGGGTTCATGGAAAGGTATTACGAGATAGGTAGGTCGGTGGAAAGTCGGAGGTAATTAAGGGTTGTTAAGGGGCCTGCGCCACATGCTAGCTGGTATAGGTACGATGGTGGCTGTTAGTATACTCACGATATATAGGTGTGAATACTAACATATATTAGCAATTCTGATAAATTGCCCTACTTCAATAGGACCTTGCTCCATCCAATCAGAGGCCGCGATGAGGGTGGTTAATTCATGCCTGCCTTGCTTACACTTTCTACCTTGACTTTTCTTTTTTTTTTTCTTCAGCCCGTTTCGCCTCATTTTTCTATTCATTCACTTACGATTTAATATTTGAATCTGCGTTTTCATACATGTTTGTCGCTCGCTATTTACAAGTTAAGGGCCAATTTGTTGAGTACGATTGATTGCTGGTAAGTCGCAAGCCCCACAATTAGGCAGTCCACCAAATCTGACAGGGAATACAGGCAGGATTCATTGTCGTGACTACCTAGGTACGCGACAGCGTGTCAGTGAATAGTTTTCACGGCTTGCGTCGGAATTTGACTCGATGGCTAATGGTTCAAATTCTTACTTATGTGGATTATTCCACTCAAGGCCAAGGCCTACACATGAGCCACCTAGGGATGATAGTGAAGGTCTGAGAGGGGTTGAATTTTCGCCCCGAGCGTCAGTTTCAAGCTCAATTGTATCGCCTCTTACGCCCGATCCAACGCCAGCTCAAATCGCATTTTCAAGAGCACAGGCACAGGCTACACCACGAGTGATTCTTCCTGCTACAAATCTTAACAATCCAGAGATCGCTGGGTATTATTCACCACCCGCTCCACCGCCGCCACCGAGGTTAGATCCTACTAGAGAGTTGAGAGGATACTATGCTCCTGAGCCAGCTCCCATTAGGCGAATGCCCCAACAGCATATTCCGCGACCTGTCGCACAGCCAGTTCCAGTTCGTCCCGAAAAGATGACTTACTCATGATTACATAATCACGATACTGTGGGGTTCACCCCTATCTTGAAGTTACACAAGAGGGCTTATTGCTAGGTGTTTGGAGAAGAGGACGATGAATCGACGGTTTATGGCGCTATTTTTTAGTCATAGGGATTGATGCGAGTCTTTTTTAGAGGCGAAGTCATGTAAATTTGGCGCTTGGGGTGGGTTGGTAGCATATTGATATCTCTTTCATATTTTTAATTCTCGCACTTTTCGTCAGATATACTTATTTTTTCATCAATGCTAATGCTTAATATTAGTAGGCAAACCCTTATCCCGGTCAAATCATTGCACGTGCCTATTTTAGCGCGTACATCTCGTTCGCATCATAATATGGTTGCTATGAATGGCTGACGATGATTTCATCTCGAATTTCCCCCAAATTAAGAAGATAGACTCTACCTAGGTAACTATATTAGACCAAGGTTTTAATATTAAACGCCTAGCAAGGCCATACGCCTATGATATGACGATATGGCAAATTGTATCTATAGGTATGCCCTTTTTTTAGGGTTGGAGGATACCATAGGCGTTGACCTACTTGTCATTGTACGCGCTCTATTCGTAGCTATCCGATCGCAGAGAGCAAACCCCGCCTTAAGCTCGTCCATAGGTAAGTTTTTCCTATCTCTAAATCCAATTGATGGCCGAAATTCCCTGGTTATGCGAACGTTCGCGATGGTGTTACCATAGGCTCTAGTCAATGCATTGCATCAGATCATATGGAATATGTTCTCCAAAGAAATTACCCTTTTTTATGTCCTATATAATGCAGACAGGTTCTCTCGTTTTTAGTTGCCTAAATGGAATCATCAAAAGCAGCCTTGTACAATAGGTATTGACGCGGATCCTGGATTGGACCTTGCTCACTCGAACGCAGTGATCGTTTATTGCCCTCCCACAACATGGCCTTCAATGAAAACCCGGCGCAGGACCCCTTCGACGCCGCTTATTCATCCGGAAGCTGGAGTGATAGTAGTGAGGACGAGCAAACTGCATGGGACAATTTTAACCAACCAGGTATCGACAACGGTGTAACTAAAACGCTGGCCGATACGTACTCTATACCCGCCTGTTCGGTAACTCTTCCGTTCAGGTCAAAGGCCCATGCATTTTCCACTACATCACATTTAAACCGCGAAAAATCCTCTTCTTCTTCCTCGCATAATCTCACCTATCCATTCACACTACCTTCTGACATGGATAGCGCGAACGGGCGAGAACCTGTTAGTTTCTCCGGCATTAACGCTATCCAGAACCCCAATAGTACCGTTTCGCAACAGCCTACCAACATGCCCGCCAATTCTACGAATACGAACACCGCGAATTCGAGTCAGCCACTTGAACCCCAGCCTCAGCCTGACGCTGCGGCACCACCTCCCGGTGGCCCCCCCAATAATCCTCCTACCGCAGCCGCCGATCCTGAGCCAGAACCCGATAACCATAGTACAGTTGTCCACGTCGGTTCGCCTACAGGTTCTGCCGCATCTTCAGCTACGGCAACGGGAACGACTCCGCCCCCGCCTTTCGTGCCCAACATCGCTCCACCTATCAGTGCCGCCTCCATGGCTCACCCGTATTATCCATCCATCCTTACTAGGCAGGCTCCGGGTTATGTGGAAAAGTGAGTATTCAAAATTGCCCTCCTTCTCTTTTACATTTGGTTTTCTAAGATACTGATCAAAACACAGTCCTGCGATACAGGGTCCGACCTTCGCTGCTTACCAGGGCCTACCGAGAGTCAACCAGCCCTACCTCTTGACGAACCCCCCTCTCGTTCAACCTTCTATACCCCCGCCCCCGCCGGGCAATACAGGTTCTTGGTGTACGTAATATCTCTATTACTGCTAGCGATTGTACATTTATGGTGGATTATAGAACACCTGTACTAACGATGATATGTGTATACAATTAGGCTACCCGAGCCAATCCCCCTTCTGGGCCGACCGATCAGCACCCCACGTCACCCCGCCTAACTTGATATCTCAACAACCACCGCAGTACCTCATGGCCGAACCGGGATACGTCGTCCAGAATACAATGACAGCTACAACCTATCCAGTGAGTCGCCAGCACCAGCAGGACCCGAATTTGACGTACTATATCGGTGGCCCAAATAGTTCTTATTCATACTACGGCTGGTAGATGGTGATGATGATAGGTAGGTATCTAAGCGGCGATATTTGACTACGAAAATGAAATTGAAAACGAACGAGGGGTAGAAAGACTTAACGGACGGGCCTCGTTGCGTTTTGCGATGGTTTTTAAGGGTGTTCCCGGTTAGGCTGGTGGTTAGGTCCTGATACCCCTTCATAGTGGCGTTGCGTTGCATTGCGTTGAGTTGATATATTCATAATACAGAGTTTCCTCTACCATTACGCTGTAGGCCTTCCTACGTGCTCCTTATGAAGATGCAATATTGACAGGAGACACTTAGCTGTTGGTAATCTACCGGATACTAACCACTCATCGGCCCAACTCCGCCTTGGCGCTCCCGGTGGCGTCGGAACGATCCGATAATATACGCCAATCGGAGACTTTCCGACGCACTAAAGGGGTAAGTGAGCACCATAAATATTGTATCACATCACATCCCACGTAGTTTCAAGCGAATAGATATATTTGGTATGCTAGATTTGTAATATATCGACTAGTTAATGCGCTCCTAAAGATGGATATCGAGCTTTAAACGCATCAATCGGCATTGCCTCCCACTCGATAGACGTAGGCAAGATAGGTGGTGCCTCCGGTCCGACTGGGCCACACGATACATCGCGCTCGGCGCGGTCGACGTAGCAAGTGTAGTTATCGAATCTACTTCCCGAGGCCGTGAAGACAATTCTGTATTTTCGAAGTTTAGAAAGGGGTACCTCACAAGGCGGGAAGATTCCGAAGGGAAAAGGGCAGACTTACGGATGATCCGGATCCTTATCGTCGCAATACCAAGTATGGTTGAGGGCGTAGTAACCAGTTTCTAGATCAAGCTGCCACTTGCAATCGATATTATACTGCGCCCATGCACTCGACGATTCCTCCCCCTTTACGTAGTCCTTACAGTCGTACCACTTCCCTGGCTTGCTCGCGGATAAGAAAGGAGTCGCGGATAAGCCCTTGAAAGCTACGTACTGGAAACCGTCGATTGCCATGAACTGGATGCCATAAAAGACTTTTGTTACGAAGTTATTGGCGAATGTTGGGGCTGAGAAGATGTTGTCGGTTGACCAGTGAGATCGCCATTGTGGGGCTAGGACGGAGGCGATGGTGCAGCTGTAACCAGCGGGGGCTAGTTCAAGGAATACGTCCTTGGCGAGCTCAGTCTTGTTCGTTACGGCCCCTTCGACTGTCAAAGGGTACTCGGTTTGATGACAATATCTAGCGGTTGTGTTGGTTGCAGCGTCATGACCCGAAGTGCATGTCAATTTCAAATCAGTACTTCCCTCAGCTACGATCTCAGCCCTGTCGGTTCACATTAGTCTCGTCTAACTGACGTATAAGGATGTGGACGATACATACGGTAGCTTATCGTCATGACCGTTACAGTACCACGTCTGCTTGATGGAGAAGATCTCCGTTTCGGGGTTAAGTTTTATCAACGAACTGATTCGGTAATCCTCAAAAGCCGACCTAGCATAACTACAGCCCCACCATCTATCGTTGCCATACCTTCCATCGGGGTTAAGCTCTTCTCCGTCGCCTGTACATGTTAACTGGAAGCCAGTTGCGGGGTTATAGAAGGTGACGGTTAGGTCACCGGTGTTGTATCCATTTCGCCATTTCTCGTTCCAACGAAGGGATGACACTGTCCATGATGGCGTTTCGGATGTTTCAATACAATCTGGGTGATTTACCCCCTCCGGAGCAACGTTCGGGGTTAGAGCGATGGGCTCGGTCAGCAATCCTTCAATTTTCATTAGTATTATCAATCTCTTTATGCAATTAATCTCTTACCTTTGATCAGCGTCGAGTTCGCTGAGTCTAGCTCAATGGCCACGCTGCCAACAGCTCGGAAAGTCACGCTGGCGATGTTAGCTATACGACACGTAGCAGGGGTAGCATGACATACTCTTTCGGGTACTTCTCGTCACCCTTGCATACCCACGTCTGATTGACCGAAAGTTCCCTAGTAGCTTTCGCAAATATCACCGTCGTCGAGTTGTCCTCACAGCTCGACAGTTCCCCTGCTTCGGCCGTGCAAGCTACTGATTGATTGCTGGCGTGATTATTCAGACGGAAGCTCACGGAGCTTGCGTCGTCCCCTTCCTTATAAGAGAAGTCTTGTACATCCCAGTATGGATAGCTGAAGGATGGGCCGATGCAAGGGGTTGGGTTCCATGGAGTCTCCGTTTTCTCTCCATGATTTGGTGGGATTATATCTATGGGGTCAGAACTCCAGATTGGAGTTGTATAATCCCCACCGAATGCGTCTACTGCGTCTTCGTCTTCCACGGTACATCTCGTTTGTTTAGGATCATCAACACATTTAAGCAGTTCTCTTAGGTCAATTTTTGCCGATGAGAAATAGGGATGACTAGTGAATGAATTAGAATCCGCTTGTAGAACGTAGAAAGTATGGTGGAACCTACGGGTGAGTCTTGTTCTCGAGCTCACATAACCACATCTGGCTGACTTCGAGTTCATTATCCAATCCCGAATATTTGAATAAAGTTCTCGCGCCTATAGGATCTTTCAAGTCATTTTCGCAATCATTCCATGCAGGGTTGTTTACATCCTGCAAATAGGGCGTTGTGCAAAACGTAGATCCATTGTTTGCAACGTCGAAAAGTTGGAAATGGGTCATGCTTAGATCTCCTGTCGCCGTCTTGTTGAATTGGAAGTCGGAAAATCGGTAACTCGGTTTCTCGAAATTTCCCGCACATGGGCTTGCATCTGCAGCGATGGCCCTAGCATCATGTCTGACCCTTGGATGTTGACGCTGTTTATGAATTTTTGAGTATGACAGTACATCCTCAAGCGCAAGGTCACCGTGCGCTGGGGGAATAAACTGTAGAGCGGCTACGCTGAGCACTTGTAGGTAATGCATATTTCCCCCTCTTTAGACTTACCTAGGTATATTTTGGGTGTCAGTCCTAGTAGTTGTCCGCATAAGATCCATAAACAGTTGAGAAATCCTTTAAAACGAGAGATTATATACGAAAAGTACCAGAGACGTCACCATAACTTAAAAAATTCTAGCCACTCGGAGCTATTTTGAAAGGTTGTATTGTCATTGCAGTTTAATATAGCCGAGATGCGGTAAGGTTACATTGAGATATAAAGACGTGGTAGAAATACGCTCAAGGCGACCCAGGATCAGCAGGCTGAATTTATAAGTGATTTAATCGACCCTATCTAGGTTCCTAAAGTATGCTACCTCGTTAGTCAGCCTCATAGAGAAGGCAATCTGTACTATAATTAGTTAAATTGGAGTTCGTGTTTGAACCGCCTACGAATACGCTGCAGGGTCGTATTATCTGTAAAAGAAACGTCCCCTCATAAAAGGCTAGGCCTTGCCAAGTTCCATTATAAGACTGTCGCAGATAGGGATAAAGGCGACCATGGAATAATCTTGGCCACTTACCTATTATGATAGTATAAGAAATTCCCCCGAGCGCTTAAAATAGGGTTCCATACGAAATGCGCACGTTTTCAGGAGGTTGGAAGACAAATCCAAAGCTGAGGGCCACTAGATACGGGCTTGAACTGGCCAATCAGTGATAAACCCTGTCGTAGAAGGTGGCTTTCGGGGGTATCACGTGACGCTAACATGAAATTTATCGCGCTTACAATCTACTCCTCGCGCAGCTCAGTATACACGAATATAGAGGTATCATTGGTCTATGGGTCCTGGAGCCATTTGAAAACCCCATCTGAAAATTCTCCGGAGCTGCTTGGTAATCTATATTATTCCATGTCTTCCTATTGCCTGTAGTTGAAAGCCCCTATATCTAGAGCTTCTACAGATGCATCACATGGTAAGCTGTTAATACTTCCCCAAGATTCTAGTCCATACTATAGGTTGGTATTTTGTTGTTTAGTTCTTAGGAAAGTACAACAAACGGTCTCAGACATCATCTCAGGAAACTAAACTCTTATAAAAAGACGCTCCCTAACTGGGAAATTTATTAATGATGCAATATTTAATCCATATCAAATAGGCTACTTCTCCTAGGCCCTTATTTGAATTACAGCAACCTATCTTCTTTCTCGGCGTATAAACAAGCCTGTTTGCAATCATGTCCGAGGCAAAGCCAATCGTTTTAATCTTCTTCCACCTTGTCATAATTCCAGAAGTTGCAACGGAAATTATGGGAAAGGCCGATATGTATGACGCCTCTCATGCCAACCCCGAAAACGCCATCAAGCTTCTCGACAAATACCCAAGAGCCCAAGCCATTTAGCTCATCGAACCTGACATCGCAGACTTCAAGCAATATAAATTTTCAGATAAGATCATCGGATATATTCGTATAGGGGGCACCGTTATTCTGAGCGACTTCTCTATGAAGATCACACGAACCGAGTTTAGTATTTGGGTGAGAGAATCGTGGCGCCTACGTTGGCGACTCAGCCATTACGATAAATCAATGGTATTGTTCCGGGACGCCGCCTCCGGCCCTCCTTATACCAATTGGCGTGATGGCCTAGTCGTTGTATGTACCTATAGAGGCGTATTTCTTGAGAACGTTGAACCTAATGAAGCATGGTACGCACCCCCTCGTCCTCATAATGGCGAGGCGGGTGTCGCGTTCACTCGAGTTGAAAAAGGGTATCTAGGTTGGACTAGTTGGACTAGTTACTATTATAGTCGGAAAGAGACCACTGCCGTGATCATGGCTATGATGGGGTTAAACAAGATAAAAGATACACTGATGCTGAGAGAAACAGAGAGTGATTAGTCCTAATATGGATATCCGATTCATAAAGCGTTAATGTACACACGATATTTCGGCTAAGATATATGGCTTTGCTTTTGAAACTGCGTGAGTTCAGTTGGCTAAGGCAGTCTGCAGCAAAAACGGTGCAAGCTGAACTTTTATTGGTTACAACGGTAGTGTTATAGCGAACCAACAAACATAAAAGTCTAGAATAGGAAAAAGAGTAAAAATAAGCCTAGCTACTATAATGTCTTATTTCGTATAGTCTATCAGTGTTGGTTCGAGTTGAAGAGTGATAAAGGGTGGGTATTACGTAAGCGTATACACCCTTAAACCAGAACCTCAGTCTCATTGGCGTAGCGTTGAATAAAATAAGACAAGTGCTTATAGCATGAGCTGTCTAATGTGTATAATATCAACCACACCGGTTTTAAGTATTCGTTGGGTTGATAGAGGTGTCATTGGGCTATCTGACAATCAACTACAACCAGGGATCTTAATCCGCCGAGACATTTGCCACAAGCAATAGACGCGGTGAGCATCGAAAGTGCTTGCTGCTAATATATCTGGCTGGGGAAGCTCAATTGGGGACTTATTTGGCTGTAGAAATAGGATTGCGCCCTTACATCTCTTAAAGGGCTGGAGGAAATATGAGCGAATCATAAAATTCGCCGTATCAGCTAGTGAAGAAAAATATGCACAACTATAAACTTCTTTTGGTCGCGTGGCAGCGGTATTATATACTTGATTGGGTTGATTGTCTGAAGCGTTCGTGGTTCGGATAACACTGCTTGGTTGATGTCCGACGGAGGTACGGGAGTAATTTTGTCGGAAACCGACGATGGTAACTTACCTCAATAACAAATATACTAGTGCCATCTTGACTAGAGCTTTCTGGGGGAGTCAAAATTGATGCCATAATCTGCCTAGGAGTTCCCGGGTTGAGTGAATTAAATGTTGAATTGTCATATTGTGGTTGCATTTGAAATGATGGTAAGAGTATTGTCATTATGAGTATAAGCTCATAAGCACGCAAAGTTAACTAACTCGTGGCCTATCCAGTTAAATTACTTAACAAGGGCATTTGTTGGGTAACATCACAGGCATACAGGATGAAAATTAGCATGGATATCGGACGAACCGGGCATAACGGAGTCAAGGTTCTATACGTATGAGCAGCACTGTGCTATACTGTCCATTCTAGCCAATGGCATAGTCTTTACAAGACAGTAAAATAACGTATGATTAGCACTTATGCGCACGGTCACTACCTAGTCCGATTATTACCGGGGTAAATACGGCTCAGCATACGGCTCAGCAAGTGGCTCTTCGTTTATTGGGAAAAAGGGATTGGTCACTGAGACAATTTGGGCCCGGATATAATACGCGTGTAAAGTCTGGGCACGCAGGGCGAAGCAGTGCGTTGTTGCTAATCTACCTAGGTATTCCGACGCCGACCTTCCGCGTCACTAAAGGAAATAAGCCGATGTATACGTAGACCTGAGTCCTATAATAGAGACCAATACTGATTCAGCTATACAGATAACGTATTCATGTTGGTAAGATTATAATTTAACACTTGGGACTAAACAATCACCGCCTCAGTCAGATGGATGGTCCGTGAGATCGTTCGTCCCATCCATACACTCATGTATAACCCCAGCTCACCAAACAGTTACATATATACATGTACCTGGGATGATTCCCAACTTACTTTCTTATTTCTACATATCACAAAAACAACGTTAATACCCTAGTAAACAGAAGTATGAACGAAAAGAAACCTTTCCGTGTCATTATCGTCGGCGGCGGCGTCGGAGGCCTAACTGCTTCGCATTGCTTGCAAAAAGCTGGAATTGATCATGTCTTGCTTGAGAGACGCTCGACTGCCGCACCTCCCGAGGGTGCCAGTATTTCCCTATACCCTAATGGCCTTCGCATAGTGAATCAGCTCGGACTTCGGAAAGCGATGGATGCCATTAGTACCCCTGCCAAGTATCTTTGGTGGAGACGACCAGATGGATCGTTCTTTCGGCAGGGCAGGTACTATGATTATATAGTAGAGAAGTACGATTCCTCTTCGTTAAAAGGGAGATTTCTACGGGAGCTAACATGAGAATCATAGTCATGGTCGAAGTAGCGACTTATTTGAAAGGCGAGAATTCCTTCAGGTTCTGTATGATACCCTGCCGAATAAAACGCCGATACGCACGGATGCCGGCGTAGTTGGTGTAAAGGAACTCCCCGACGGAGTGCAGGTCACGTTGAACGACGGTAGCGTCGAAAATGGAGATATCATCATTGGCTGCGATGGCGTGCACAGCTTCGTACGAAATGCCATGTGGGAGAACGCTAATAAAGTGGCACCGGGACTAATCACCGAGAAGGAGAAGACATGTGAGTATCTGACTATCCTATCTGATCACTTTAAGTTGAGCACATCGATACACCATCCATAGAAATGAAACTATGCATATACTAACACATACTTGCGATGAAAAGCCATGGTAACGAGCTGGAAGGGCCTGATTGGTATTGCTCCAGCCGAAGCTAAGCTAGGCCAGAGGGACGCGACAATAGTGTTTGGACAGGGTCACTCGTTCCTCCTACTCTCGGATCCGGAACGAATATTTTTTTTCGTGTTTATCGCGTTGGAAAAGCCCTTTCACTGGCCGGAGAGAGTGCGATACACGGATGATGACGTCGAGGCCGTCGCGGCGGGTTTGGCCGACAGTCCCATCACAGACTCCTTGACTTTCGGCGATCTTTGGAAGAAGAGATATCGCGGCACACTTGTGCCTCTCGAGGAGGGTGTGCTAGAACACTGGTATCATGGAAGGACCGCTTTAGCAGGGGATTCGGTTCATAAGGTAAGTAGCTTCCGCTACCCCTATCCTCAACCTATCGAAAAACTGATCACTACAGGTCACACCAAATCTTGGCTTGGGCGGGAACTTGACGATGGAGTCTGTGGTGGTTCTATGTAACTGCATACAGGAGATGCTGGTAGCCCAGAATGGTGGAAAGCCCAGTCAAGATGCTATAACAAACGCGTTCGCGAAGTACCAAGCACTGCAGATACGTCGTGCGAATCAAGTCTGTGAGATCTCGGCTGCGAATACGAGAGGCCAATCTTGGCACACAACGTTCTATAAACTCATGGTCATGTGGCTTGAACCGCTATTCTCGGATCGGTTCGGGGCCGATATGCTCGGTGAGATGTGGCGGAGAGCTCCGAAACTAAATTACGTTGACCTGGAAGATGCGAAGGACATTCGTCTATCTTGGAAAGAGATCAACTTGGCGAAAAAGCAGACCTGGTTTCAGAAGAAAGTGAGGTCTAGACTTTTGCGCAGTACTATCAAGATAACGTTGAGCGCAGCTGCAGTGGCTACAGTCGCTATTTCACTGTGTTCATGGAGGATCATTGACTAATGGGAGTTCGCAACCCTTCTTATATATGATTACGTTACTCGTCAATAATCATGACAATATGATGTAATACAGTTCAATTTGAAGCCGATCCTTTCGTTGAGTCGAATCCCATGAGCCTCGCAGTATGTTGGTAGCCCTATGAGGCGAGTGAGGAGAATGACAACACGCAGATACCGCACAATAATAGCAGCTTAAACCGTGAATCGGCGTCAAGTCGCGTGTTTCATCCCGCAGTATCCATTCCGACGGTTCAAGCCGTACATTAATCAGACATACGATAGGGTGCCCGATATTAGAAGATTAGGAGACGCCACTCTCCTCGGCATACCACAGACTCCCAACATAGCTGCAGGCCCCGTTCCCACTCCTCCGAGCGACTCCCACGGGGATATTTACTTGCCCAGTGGGGATTCGAACAGCGTACTTCGCGCATCATCGTTGAGAATGAGTGGCGTTAGAAAATAGCAAGAGCGGAGATGTGCCGATACCCCTTTTCGGTATGGTTACACAAAAGCTGACATAACATTTAAGGGGCCGGATAGTTGAACTCCTGACCGACAAGCTTCTCACTCAATTTCCACAATTTTTCAGCCTCAACGGCGCTCGTAGCCCATGGCTTGACCGTGTGGACCCAGGGGTCAGCAATTTGGCAGTCCTGTAGGTAGGCTCCGTTGTGACCTAATATAATATTAGCCCACTGTCGGCGTTTCACAAGCGGTACTCGCAGAGTAAGCTTACTATTAAGGCTTGGGCTGAACGCTGCGAAGGCATGGGTTGCCGCGCCTTGTTGAGGGGATTTCCACTTGAACTCGGACCACCCTTCCGCGTTTCCTAGAAGTTGGTCGGCACTCTCTGTAATGATTGTTAGCTGGAATTTCCGTGCTTAGTATTTTCGCGGGATAACATACTGAGACCCTGGCCGTCAACGGCCCAATCAACATCTCGGTCGAGGTTTGTCTGGATGACGCCCGGGTGTAGACTGTAAGCTCGCAGCTTAGATCCGAATTTCTGGGCGATGGAAACACCGAAGAGGATATTGGCGGTCTTGGACTGACCGTAGGCAAACCATCTGTTGTAGGTTTTACCGCCCTGTATGAGTCAGCACTGATGTCATAGGTGTGAATGAATGCGACATGACGAACATCAAAGTTATAATCATCCCAACGGATCGGATTCAAGCGGTGGCCGTCGCTACTAACGCTGACGATTCGCGGCGCCTTTGATGCTAGGAGTTTGTTGATAATTAAATTCGTAAATAGGAAGTGAGCAAGGTGGTTTGTAGCTAACTGGCTCTCGATGCCGTCACTAGTCAAAGAGTAACCCACAGCCATAATACCGGCATTGTTAACGAGTGCGTCGATATGGGGAACATCGGACCAGCTGTTAACAGTCGCAGCAGCCTCGCGGACGGCAGCAAAAGACCCAAGATCGAGTTGAAGAACGCGCGTCTTCACATTAGGATAAGCCGAAGCAATAGTATCAGCAGTCTCCCGAGTTTTTTCAGGCTTGCGGCCAGCCAAGATCAAAAGGGCTGGCTCGGCCTTTGCGACGCTCTCTACAAAGGTAGCGCCCAAACCTTTCGGAGAGACTCCGGTGGTCAAAATGACCTTTCCTTTAATCTCGCTGGCGAAATCCTTGACAAGTTCGTCAACCGAGGTTTCGGCGCCGTATTGTGATGCCATCGTGAAAAGCGGGGTTTAGTGTTGATTTGAATTTGCTATGAGCTAGTGGTTCTATGGTAGATGAGACAGTATGTAGGTGCCAAGTAGTTATATAGAAACACACTACAGGTAGTACAATAGTATTAATAATGGTTATGCTACCAGAATACCTACCTGGGTACTCTTAGGAGATAGGGGAATGACAAATGACTTGTTGGTTCGAACTTAGCGTGAAAATAGGAGTAAAATCCATTAAATCCGAAGGCTTCCGCATTTAGCGTCAAGTCGGGCAGACATGGTTTCGGCGATAGTAATATCACCGCATATATCGGCCAAAATAGCCGTTATTTCGTAGATACGGAACCGTTACGTCAATATAGCAACCTTAGGGGGGCCGTTTATTCTTGCGTAGGATCTCTATTTTCGGCACCCGGTCCGATGGCCCACATTTCCCGACCTGTACTGGTTACACACAATCCTGACACGGAGAGAAGCCCGATGGGATATTCAATTCTATAGTATGGAAACTAGGCACTATTACTAAGAGAATGTAATTTAATTATAAGCTGTAGTTCCGCCCCAACTGTTGCCCTTTGCGCTGGAAACCCATTCCTCTCCGAACAGCTTAACCATATCTACTTGTGTAACATTAGGACGAGACCCAATACTTTTCGGAAAGTCGGGCGCCGACTGATATTCGAATAGCTTGTCTCTTTGGTATAAATGTAGTTGGAATACTGGTTGTGAGATATCAGACCATATGTCGAACTTGTCTGACGCCTGCTGAGTTCGGATCCATCCGATGCCTGTGTAATAATGAACCTAGTGCCGATGTGGTCGGATTTAGTGCCGCAGTTTGCCTAGTATCTCAACGAACGTTTATCAACGGATTAAATATCCTGCTATAACGAAGGGGACTTCGAGAGTTATATGTGAGAGGTCAAGCGAAAGTTGTTAGAGAAAAAAGGGGAATGGTTGGCGTGTAACACGGGTTGTCCCTAACGTCAATCTTCAACCCTTTGTAGATCTATTAAGATTATAAGGCATCTTTCTAACCAATGACGTACTTGTAATGTTGGAATAACTGACTCGTCATGAATCAACAAGGTAAAGTTGAAGTAAGGGGGTCGATGATGCCGCCTAAGTGTTTCCTATTTTAGCAATCAACATGGCTAAGCACGTGTGTTACGTGAACATACACATGTGCAACATAGCGGTCTAACCACAAGTGCCAGCATCCCGTTTGGTTAAATCGAGCTAATATTACTTGAGCAATCAAAACTTCAGGATCATCTGAAGTTGCCGCTGTTCGTCATACTTTGAAGGACTTTATCGGCGTTCGTACTACACGTTTATCCTAATAGGTCGATTGTATGACGAGACGCGAAGCCGACTGTACTCTGACATGAAGATTAGGTGGGAAGTATACCAAAAAGGTCAAAGCTTCACATGTCCGTACTATTTACAAGCGCAGAAGAGGATAAGAGGGTGAAGGGGGTAGATGCACTGTTTGCTCCCCTCAATAATTCGTCATCGTCGCGACTTCCATCATTATACCGACTACCTAAACGGGTATCTCGTTAATCAGCACAGTACGGGGTTATACTTAGAAGTCCGCAACTTCCTCGAAACTAAAACGCAATCGCAATCGATCAGAGACAAGTTTTTGGAGATAATAAATCGGAAACGGAATTCAAAATGCGGTTTTATACTCAAACCAGCGCACCTTATGCACCTATGCGAAACAGTCACAACACCTTATCTCACAGTGCAACGAGCCCGAGCCCAAACTACTCGACCGTACCAGCACCAGCATTAAATCAGCAATCAAATGAAATAGTCTCGGGCTACTATCTTCTTAATCATCACCTAGCTAGTGATGATTATAATTCCACTCCTTACAACCTACATCCTGACCAAGATCAACTCTATCCTTCATTCAAGATGTCGAACCCATCGTTGACCGGCGATGCGTGGCAGAGCGCCGATGCGCAACCTCATTCTTCGACAATTGCAACACATCCTAGAGATAATCTACCTACCTGGAAATGGAGAGCATTACTTGTCGCGAACTGTTTTCTCACCATAATGCACGGCAAGCCATCACATCACCACCGCAATCCATAGTTACACACTAACCCCTAATCAAACCAGGCTACGATGTTAGCAATGTCGCCAACATCCAAGCCGCAATCTACAAGGCCTTCGGGCACATCGAGCTGCTATCCTGGGTCGCACTCGGCTACTCGGCTTGTAATATCGCATTGATACCTCTAGGTCGCAAGCTATTCAAATTCGGTGACTTCAAGTTGCTGTATCTAGTGTCTATGGTATTTATCATCGCAGGTTCGGCGCTCTCCGGAGCTGCCCCGGATATAGAGTGCATTATTGCCGGTCGCGCGGTGATGGCTTTGGGGACAAGTATCATATATCAAGGGTACAGTCCCGTCGAACTTATCTCAACCCCTGGTAAGATGACTAACACAATCGCAGAATATTGAGTTTCAACGTCATTTTCTCCTATCCTCATGAACTCGGCCTTGTACAAGGGCTCATTGGGGCTTGCTTCGCCATAGGTCTAATTTTGGGGCCGATTGTAGGTTAGTCTATCCCTAGATCATTGAGGCTGAGTGAGGTAAGGGGTTACTGACGCGCATTATAGGGGGCGCTTTTGCGAACAACGAACATACTACTTGGCGATGGGTAAGTCCACCCTTACTCACGTACTAGAAATGAATATTAACAGTACTAGGCATTCTACTTGGTAATCCCACTATGCGTCATCAGCCTAGTCCTCCAAGCACTCTTCTGCCCACGGTATCGCATGCCCACCGATAAATCCATATGGACACACATCAAAGAAGTCGACTGGATAGGCAACTTCCTACACATGGCCGTATGTCTCCTCTTCGCAATCGGCTGCACATTCCTCGGCTCCATCGAGGTGTGGGGTATCAACGCCTCCATAACCGTCTGGGTACTCTTCACCTTCGTCACGCTCGCATACGCCCTTCAACAATCCTACACCATCGGCACAACATCCGAAAACCGTCTCCTATCTCCATGCTCGCTCTTAAGCGATCGCACCGCACTTCTGACCTGGATATGCACATTCTGCGCCGCCGCATCTTACGGTGTGACGTTGTACTACATACCAATCTACTTTGCCTTCAACCGGGGTCTCAACCCCCTCGCCGCCGCAACACGCCTCCTACCCTTCATCGGAGTATTCATATTCTTCATAATCCTAAGCGGGGGCCTCCTCCCCGCTCTACGTTACTACCAACCCTTTTTCCTCATCGGCTCTATATTCCTGCTAATCGGCGGCGGTCTCCTCCAAGCCCTCAACCCATCAATACCCGAATCCGCAATCATGGGTTTCGAAGCCGTCGTCGCCGCCGGTCTCGGCATCCTCTGGCAACTCGGCGTCAGCGTATGCAGCACCTTCCTCCCACGCACCGAGGACCGTTTAGACTTAGCTTTACTAAGCAACATGGCACAACTCGGCGGTATCGCAACATCCCTCTCCATCGCCGGTATGATATACCAAAGCACGGGTTTCACATCCCTTAAATCCACCATCGGAAACCGAGGGTTCTCCGAAAATGACATCCACGAACTACTCTCCGGCGTCGATTCCCCGATCCTAACCCACGGCGATCGCGAGATTTTACGTCTAGCTGTAAGCGCGATAACCGACGCCATCAGATCATGCTTTATAACTATTATCGCGGCGGGCGCTATATCACTCCTAGCTGTTTTGAGTATGAAGTGGGAAGCACTAACTTTCAAGAGGCCGAATGGAAATGGTCAGGATCAACACCAAGAATTTGATAACGAGCTTCTACTTGATGATTTGATTATGCAAGGAGAAGCTGCTTCGAGGCAGACTACTCATCAAGCTAAGGATTCTACGCGCACTTAGGGTCGGTGCCCCTGAATACGTACTACCTTGGCATACGATAGCAGATCCTGAAATAAATTAGGTTCGTTTTATTATAGCAACCTATAGTACAGCGCAGGAATACACCTCGTATTTGGTATGCTATTAAGTTCGCGCCCTTTTCTCTACATAAAGGGGAAGATGATGTGGTCTTACATGTGCACATATTTAACTCCGAACCATAAACTCAGGGACGATATGACTCATAAACCAAACTGGTATCGCTTATATTTCTAACCAGTTTTTTTGTCCTAACTCCGGCCAAGATCTATGTAGATATGTCCGCTTCGTTGTCCAAAAGACCCCTTTTAGTCCCGCTCTAATGACTAAGATATGAGTACAGATTGGGGGGGCATGTGATAATAATCCTCCACCATAGCATGCCGAAGAGAAAAAAAATCTGAAACAAACGCTGATGCAATATTACAAATCCATAAGAAAAAAAGCACTCCAACGTTATTCCATAGGTATCGTGTCCCCATCCACCCATGTCGTTGACGTGAGCCGCTTTTCTTGGATCACGCCTTGGTACTGGTAGTAACAGCGGCGCATGTCGCTCTGCTCCGACAACAGCACCAGAGATGGCTCATCGCCGACTTGCTCGGTGAGGCACGCGATGTCGGTACCGGCGTCCGCTTCGCCCACTTCTTGGGGTCCCTTCCACTCGTTGTCGTCTCCCTGCCAGACGGCCTGAATCTTGTTGCTAGCATCTTGATATAGGATCCAAGAGTTCGTTGTATTGCTGTTAGGCCGTCCGACAGAGAGAGCGGCTATCGCTGTACCTGCGGGAATGGTTACACTAGGGACCCCTATTCATACATGTTAGCAAGGAAACCAGCGCACTAGAAAAGGGGCGAAATTCTACATACCAGAGTGCCATGCGACTCCCGTATCATCACCACCGAATGAGAACACTGATAGACGCCCATCCTGGTCCCGGTATGCGATACCAGCTGCGTACGGGTCATTAAATGCTTTGACGACGGGAATCACCGCCAACCCTGTCCCGTCGTCACCGAGGGGTACCACATCCGGGTTGAACCAGCCGTTCAAAGTGTCGTTAAACCATCCTGCACCACGCGAGTCGAACACTTCGCGGCGGAATGTTAAGTCATTGCCCTGGAATATGACGTAGGGCCAGTACGCCGACATCCGCGATTTCTCGTGCACCGTAAACGCTGGTCGTTCCGTCTCTATGCTGTCGGGATTAGGAGCCGTCTCATCCTCGCCGAAATTGATACCTCGGAAGGTTGACGAGGAGTCTAGGTAGAACACCTCGAACTGCGGGAACACGAGGTATTGCGTCGCGGCGATAGGAGTCCCAGGTGCCGCGTCGGTTAGATCAGTGAAGACAAGAGGGGATGACCAGGAACCGCCTGCGCTACTCGTATATCGCGACGTCCGGAGCAGGTTGTCAGATCCTTGCCAGAAGAGGCGCGATGTGAAGCCGTTCCCGGTGAGACGGCGACCCGTTACCGAGAGTCGTGTCAGGGGGCGCACGGCGGTAGTGTTGACGACGGGACTTGTGCTGTTGCTATCGTTATTATTCGATGATGGTCCAGTTACCGAGTCCGCGTCGGCGGCAGCAGACTTAGAATTGCGGTCTAGCGCCTTGCTTCCCAGAACGCCGCCCACAGTCGCCCCGAGTATTATTGCGAGTGCGATTAGGGCGCCAATCAAAATGTACAGCTTTCTTCGGGAGCCATGCTCGAGCTTAGCGAGACGTAGACCCTCCTTGTCCGCTGCATAGGTGGGTGAAGGTGCTTCGTATTTGGCGGGCAAGGGAGCAGGTACAGGTACGGTTAGCTCTTGGTGAGGTGCTGGGACGAAGTATTTCTCTGTCATTGGGTAGGTGGCGGGGGCAACCTCGAGCCCAGGCTGTGAGTATCTCCTATTATCCGCCATTGTGTGTGTATGTGTTTATATACAGCAGCTGTATTTCGTTACACGTTTGTAGGTCATTACTGAGAATGTAGGAAAAATGTAAAAGAGGTTAAGAGAAAGAGACGAAATGCCTCAATGAGACCGTCACCGACGGAGCGGGCGACAGCGAAGAAAAAAGAAGGACAAAAGTTGGGGTTTTTTCTAGCTAGACGTTGTTAGGAAGTAAACAGGAAGATTGTGCTGTTAATTTAGAAATAAAATATTAAAAGGCCCGTCCGACAAGGTACTTGATACCAAAGATGAAATTTGACAAATGATCAAATTCAAAAGAATCATCGATGGTGAGGCCAGCAGATGAACACAAACTGAAGCGACGACACAATAGCACAGATCTAGATGCCACCGATGCCACCTGATCTTGGTTGATGCGTGGGAGAGGCGTTGCTCGTACGGCCAGAACGTTGATCTGTGCTATAGCACATACCATGACCAATAACCACCACGGTTCACCTTGACTGCCTTATGGCTCAAGCTCAGCGCGTATAGTTGATGTTTTGGAAAGAGGTAAGGATGCGGCGTAGCTGCAAATTAACCAATCAGGGTTGTCATTTTACCATTATTGCTATGTTCAGCTTCTGTCATGGAAGCAATTCCGCCTTGGCGGATCGCGCTGGTCCCCCTTGGTGGCCTGGGGATGGTAGGGTGGATTGAGAGGTCGCATTTTTCTTTCGAGAACATTACCCTATATATCGTGTAGCATAGTAACTCGTTGGTGGTTATTAGACTGGTCTTCAAAATATTATATATTAAACTGAATACGAATAGAATTGAGCTAGATTTTTTTAGCAAACGCTGTTAAGATGACTGAAGTATCGTTGATGTTTAGAGTTTGAAGTCTAATTGAATTAAGTTTAAACCCCTGACTCCATGTATCCCGCATGCCAAGACTCATAAACGAGCTTCCTGGTCGATTGCGGTTAGATTATTAAGAGTATACTACATGGATGCTGAATAATGGGCTGACTGAATAAGATTATAATCACACTCAACATATAGCAGGAATGGAAGAAGATGAACATTCGACGGAAGATACCGTATATATTTCCCGCATGTCACGGAACCCAAGATCCCGACCCAAGAGATTATTTCCTTCCTAGGTGAAAAGGAGCATTTCCGATACTCTTGCTAAACATGGATTGACTTCCTTGAAAAAATACTTACTCATCAATCGTGCTATAGAAGTCAAAGGTTGACCAGCTACCCATATCTATATAGAGTCTTCTTGAATGGCGAAGATGTTGGATATCCCTGATTGTTAATTATGATATATTGTGTATAGTTGAGTGTAGATCTACCAAACGCGACTGCAAGTAGACATGGTCATCTTCAGACGTCTGCCCAGTGCCCAATACGAAGCTATGTAGACTTGGCGTATTTGAGTAACATAGGAACTTAAGGATTTATGTTCAACAACGCCAGTTTAAACACGACAAATCCCTGGCCGGCGGGGCTGCACAGGATCGTAGATCGCTCATGTGACTGAACGAATGGAAGGATTCACCGAAACGGCCAAATCCGAATGTAGAGAAGATCTCATCACCATCGCGATATTGAAAACTTAGTTTCAAAACTCCAAGGAGCCAGACTATCTTTCCGAGCCCGACCGAAAACTAAGGGCACGAAATCCAGTTTCCTTTCATCCGTATTAAATCTTGCAGGATATAACGAGACCATCGTCACTACGTAGAAAGACTCAATCCGATAATTCAAATGCCATTTTCAGCCAGTAAAAACATGAGTTATCATAAGTAGCAAGTTAGCATCGTACGTTTGCAGTCACAACGCGCACATACTAACTAGCGGTGACGCAAACACCATTCGTCACTTCAAATCAACCAATCATTAAATACGTAGATCAATAAATATGCTATTATTTTCGTTAAGCGAAGAAAAAGGGGTATCCGTACATAAGTCTTGAGTCGCGGAACATTAAAAGCCAGAAGAAAATAAAATCATCACACACCACGGTGTATGTGCGGTGTTGTCAGTGGTATCATGAATCGTTAAGCCAGAGCCCGTGATATATCCCACGAACGCCAAATCAAAGCAGACCCCGCCCGAATATTGCAATGTTACCTTATATCTTGGTATCCCAGGTTAAACTTGATTATCTTTTCCTATATTCCGGTTTCCTTGCCATGTTGACTACTGGTGGAGGTGCATCGTCGTCTAAGGGATAGGGTGGCGGAATACTTCCACCGGTTGGACGTCGAGCGCCTTGGGCTTGCCTCTCAGGTAGGGGGGTCTTTGGAGGTAGTGGGGGTGGTTCGATGCGATGCGGCTGGAGTGGTTGCACCATGGCTTGTGGGATCGGGTCTCTTTGCTGTCTTCGTGGATACTCATCCGCTCCAGTGATGGCGATCTTGTCGCTACCCGCAGCGTTGCGATATTGTGCTGGTGTTGGTGCTGTCACGACTAGGCGATCAGGTTCATCATCGGGAGGTGGGGGCTTTACGGCCGATAATAAAGCGGGTGGTGACGGGACTTTTTGATATGGGCGTGTTACCATTTGAGGCGGAGAACCCGGGCCAGTGGAAGGCCGGGCGGTATCGGAGCCGCGGGATGGTGGTTGACTGCTCGGATTTGCGCCGGGTCCTGGGAGTGTAAGATGATCTATACCGGACTCATAGGATTGTCGACTAGATGGTGTACTCTTTGGTGGAAATGACGTGGGCATATCGCCTGGAAGCTCAACAGCCAACGGAGCATCTATAGAACCCATAGTCGGCTGCGCTACAATCTCAGGAACGTTGTGAGACATACTGTTGAGCCTTTCGGATCTCAGCTTTGCTCTGTGTATCTTGGCTAATTTTGTCGAAGATTCTTGAACCATCCTCTGTTCAGCCGCTCGAGATAGATACCTCTTCGTACCTGTACTAATTTCTCCTAATCGATCCCACTCGTTCATAGCGAACTCGCCAACTCCAATTTCGACATTGAATCGGTAGTAATTTTCGATGTTGACGCCCCGCTTTATTAAGAGTTCGTTCTTCATTTTCTCGTGGATTTCTTCGCAACCTTCCACCTTAGCGACCAGCTTCCGTCTCGCTTCTGCGAATTCCCCCATGAAACCCTCGTACCACACGTGTTGATTTTGCTCGGTGCCTTTTGGTCGTTTTCCAGTTCCTAAGCTAACAAAAACACCAACGTCACGTCCTGGCCACTCATTTACTGTTGCCTCGTCGAGCGCATAAGGGGATGGATTATAGGTTCCGGCACCATCATCATGGAATACTGTCTGTCCGATTTTTATCGGTTTGAACGCCAATCCTATCGCGCACGTCGCGCGTCCGGCCTCCCAAATCTTGCAGTCGTATTCCGGAGCAGGTTCTTTCCTCGAGTCATATGATCGCAAAAGCGCAGGATCTCCACCCCATGTCGTTCCTTTATACATGGCCGTAACGGCGCTACAATGATGTTAGTTGTTAGGTTACTTAAAAATCTAATCTGGTGGAACACTACTTACGTCTTCGTTCTATTTTCTCTCGAGTCGTACAATTGCGCGTCGGGATTTCCCCAGCCACCACCATTCCTCGGAAATAAGGATCGGGCCTGGCTTGTTGGACTACGACCACTGAAACTGACAGTACTTGCATTACTCTGATGTCGTTGTGGAATGCTGCTTCTAGCAGCACTAGAGCGAGAGACAGCAGATAACGGGCTAGCAAGGTCTGATGCGCCATCGTTTCCCTCATAGTCCGAAACAGTATGATCTCTGACAGCTTCCTTGATCGCGCGCTCGAGCATCGATGCCTTGAAAAGTGTTGATCGGTAGGGTATACCAGCGAAAGTCTTATCCGTCTCGAATACCATCCTCGTTAATCGGACGTAGAGTTCTTTGCATGTTTCCAGATCTAGTCGGAGGCGTCCCAGCATAAGGGCTATTAAACCGCCGGTTCCGGTTCCAACTATTAGATCGAAATGATCGCATGGTTTCGGTATTTGATCGCGTCGCGGAGCTTTACCCTCGATTTCGACGTAGGTTCGAAGCATTAATTCTTGTATGATAATAAACATGGAATAACCACGGACTCCTCCGCCATCTTCATTGCGATAGAACGCCTAAGTTAGTGCCTGAATTCAAGGTGTCTCGGTATGGCGGGGTAATCAGCAAGAATAACTTACCCAAGCTTAGAATCCTCAACGGAGGACCTTTAGTGGTATCCTTTCTTTTTAGATGTCCTTCGTCCATCTTTTCGGCACTTAGAAGTATCTATTCTCGTCTGCGCAGAGTTGTTGACGTCAAAAGTGTTAATTTGCGAATGAGATCGGGAAGATGATGTAGAGAAAATGCGTTGAGACAGGCCCCGCTGAGTTCGCTAGCTACCCTCGTCCTGTGACGACGTCAGACTCGACTGGGTTTATCTAGGCGAATTGAGTGTGACCGCGACGCCACCACCAAACCGGGAATTGAAAGAAGCGAATTTTTGTAAAGAAAGGTATTGATCGGGATCTGAATAGTTTCAGCAAAAAACAATACGGAAAAGTTTTCGAATTGGTAATCTTTTTCAGTGAACCAATCTAGAATAAAATGTTGATGTTAGACAAGCGCTTACGGCATTTAGTCAACAGCTTTTTAGGAGGCGAGACGATTACCAGTGCTAAGAAAGGCGCAAGTGAATTGTGTGGCTGAGCTACCATGAGCCGTTCATTCGAGTCACCACAATGAATGTTACTACTACTTTATACCGTGCTCTGATTTGTGTATATCTTACAAGTACCCACTACTTTGTGGTCTTCGGCAGGTACGGTTCCTGATTCCGGGGGTTCCAAGATGACCTATTTTTTCAGCACTAAATGGCCAACTTTAAAAACAAACTTGCAAACCACGTGCGGCACGTTAAAACCAAGGGTTTACCTTTTCTATCGTCCGCAATTCCAAAGCTGAAAATGTTAACAATGTATACTGACCTATACAATCAATTCAAATCGAGATTCGGTATGATTCTATTCGACTTGAGCCGATGAAGAATGCACGTCATATCAAATATCTAGATGCAGCAAGAATATGCATAATGTCTCCTCTTCCTGCTTTGGGCTCCCTCTTTTTATACGGCACATTAGAACCGAACTAATGCATTCATTGGGTATCATTTCCTATTAGCTTACCAGCTTACCCGTACGAACAAATACATCATTGATTATTGTGGCGGTGCAAATGCTTTTGTTGATGGTTGGCTGAGATAAAGGAGCTGAGATGATCGCATTGCCACTCAAATCGCAGTCAGATTTCCATCAGCTTCGTGTCTCTTATTCCGATAAGACCGACAATCTTCTTCATTCTTAGGTAATCATCAATAAATTAAACACGACAGTGAATTGGAGTAGCCATGACTGTGTACACTCGCTTCTAACTGAGATGGAGCGTTGGTAGGGGTTTATTACATTCGCTTGGTATGGGGATCTATGTTTAGTACTCCAGAGTTCCTCGTTTGTCGTTTGATAATTGCTTACTGGCCTACCCACAAAAGTTTTCCAGAACTTTTCCATGCAGAAGAATTGGATCATCTACGGATAGATATGGTATCAAGGATATCAAGATCCAAATGGTCCCAACAGGGGCTAGAACATGAATACCTTGTTGAACCAAGTTCCCCAGGGATGAGCATCGAATTTATACGACGCATGTGATTACGAATCAGCGTATCTGTGAAATTGACTCTGGAACTCTCCGATTAATTGTCGGTCGCTTGTGACGCGTCTGAGGCTATATATCTGAGTAACGGTCATATTTGCTCCCGATCGCCGTGGTTTCAAAGAATAGCCCAGTTGACGACCGAAATTACACAGGTCTGCCAGGTAATTAACTTACCAGGCAGTACTTGATCACACCAATGATGGGGCAGCTTCAATGTCAAACGCATACGAAAGCCTATTGTGTGACTCAGCTAAAGCCCCTTACAACAACGTGGGATATTCATGATTATTGAGTGTATAATAGATTCATCAATAATAAAAACCCACACCCTCCATCCCCCGTGGTATGTAGTCGGAACTTGGCCCGCAAACGTTAGCTATCGAAGTGTAAAATGAAAATCTCAGTTCGGACAATCCGCCGAATGCCAGAAGGTGAGTAAAGTCTCAGTTATTTCTGGAGCGTTTGAGATTCGCACAATAGCATTCCAATGGTAACATGGGGTGATGGTAAATTTAATTAACGCCCTTGAGTAATGTGAGCCTTACGGAAACATTGTAACATATAATCCAATTTCGAATTCGACAGAGTTGTAAACACGTTGATGACACAGCATAATTTCGTGATTTGTCGTCTTGACCGCTAGTCATCCATTTTGTCTGGCACATCTAGGTATGTATCTCAATATGTATGTGATCAAGATGATTTGACGTTCCACCTATATAGAATGCTATTGGCTTCTTTTCCACCTTGCATCAAATACGCGCAAACGACGGAACAGGCCCGAAAAATGAATATACACCTAGGTAATTCGGTACAACTCGGCATTGGTGTCTGTCACTGGTTGTAACTCGATCCTGTTGCTAGCATCTTCTAGTCTTCGTCTTTCTGGTGACACTAAAACAGAGGAATGCACAAAGAGTAGGCAAATAGGGCTGTCAGGAGGTTATAGGACGAATGCTTCGAATACTTAGCCTATTGCGCACTAGCGTCCAGAAAGGAAGCTGTTGCTTGCATTGGATCCTGGTCTGCCTGGTGTAGAGTAGGACTTGGAGGATTCAGGTTGTGCGACGTCGCGTCTCATGTTCCGCACCGCTCATTGTCCCATTCAACGAGCGTCTCCATATTCCTTCGGCTCCCTTTCCACGTGGACAAACGTACTGGCCTGACTTCGCGTTGATGCGGCTGAGCTATGGATAAGGTAGGTGGCGATTGTTTCTTTCAACTGGTCGAAGCATTACGGGTTACATTGAAAGTAACACCGATATCATGCCAAAGAGAAAGGGAGAACAAGTCCTCGTGGCCCGCAAACTAGAACACGTCCGCCGCCAACCGCAAACGTCTTTCATGCTTAGGTACTCACCTCCGGCTGCCACCACTTCGGCTCCGAGCAGTAAAGTCATTCTGTATCACCTCAATTAGTCAGAATACGGTGCAGGTAGAATTTGTCCTCCGACAGCTGAGGTGAGGGATTGCTTTTGCATGTACTGTATGTACATTTTATTTTATTGATTAGGAGAGCTACCAGGATCTTGTCGCTAATTTTTTCCGTTCGCTAGAGGCCCGCTGCGATGCGCACCTAGCCTTCGGGCTAATATTACGAGAAGTTGACTATGTCTCACTGGGTAGTCCGTAGTTAAAATAAAATAAAAATAAAATAAAATGTTACATCGGTCACAAGCAAGAAAAATAAAAAAGAAATAGCACAAAATAAAATGCATTAGGGCATTTTTAAAAGCATGTTAACATAAATTCCACGTGTGACAAACTGGTTCTGGACTCGTCGGGTACATACATAGTGCATATACATGAAGTACTTATGAATGTACATACGGCGTGGGAAGAGTCATGAATAATAAATCCGAGGATGAAAATCTCCGGATTTAGCGAACAAAGAACAATGGAGGAAAAAAATGGAGGAAAATGGATCAAAAGCTCCAACAAAATTACGAATTACCCCGAGGCTTTCCCCAGGAGGGGACCAGGGGTCCCTAGCTCTCCCCAAGTTCTATTCGGCCCGTGGTGGGGCTGCATAAATGGAGAGGAGCGAAAGGGGCGTCACCACTCGCAGTTCTTGCTATTTCTTCATAGGCCGTCTCGGCCACTGACATCATCCCACTATCAGGTGCAGATGAGTACCGGAGCCATCGTAATCTTATTATCCGTTAGTACTCGAAGCAACCTTCCGTCTGCGTCCTTCGAGAAATTGGCTGAAACAAATTTCGACAGCGAAAATGGAAATTCCATGAAATGCGACAACACGGTTGAGACAGTTACATAGGTAGATATTAGTATTCTTTCTGTTTTCTATCACTTTATTTTTCTTACCCCGGAATTCAGAAATTCTGGGGCGTGACAGATCAGATATGGTTGCATCCTCAGATGGAATTAGCGCACCCTCGCGTCCAACGGCTGCGGAGGAAACGTTTCTTACTCTACTATGTATACATGTCGACTGCTGATCCATAACCCCGATCAGACGAGTTGCGGATAAGTTTGCGTGAGAATGATTAACCAAAACCTCGGGATACGGTTGGTCGATGCTAAGCTAGAGGCTAAGACATCTGCATCCATGCGCTTTTCTTTCCCACCCCATTGACATTCCAGCGAACCAATCGTCGCTATCGTTCGCTGTTCCTCTTCCCGTGGGTTGGCCTGTTACCCGCATATGGCACGACCTGGAGTGCTAGTCCGCGTGTGACCTCCAGAAATTTTGTGGACAGGTCCACTGTCCTGGGAAGCTCGCTGCCACCTCGATTGGGCACAGTATGTACACGTACCACACGTACACTTTACATAGTACTTACATAGTACACACCTACCTAGCAGCCTACCTGAGAGGTACGTTACGAGCTCGCTCGGGCATTATGGTAGTTTGGGGGAGAAAATATCGACAGGTCCCGAACAAGGACAAATTAACATGGATAGACAACATGCTTGCTTCCCCTTGCTCCTCTAGCATTCCTTGATTCCTTGTCTCGTGACGGGATGGCCGGTCTTTTTAGCTTAGGCTGGAGACGGGCTCGATGGGTCTGCGCCGATTGCCTCAAAACGTCAATTCACCGTGAGCCGAGCCCAGTCCAAGGTGGACCTATTACAATCCAAGGATCCACGAATCTGGCATTGTGTACATCGGGGAAAGTCCCTTTCAATCAATGGAAACCCGTGTTGGTTGGAACCGGGGTTTTTCGAAAAGTCCCAATGTACCTCTTCACCACTCACCATTTTCTCGGGCGCTGCACCGCAATCTACCCCGGGGAGGGACGCCACAGAACTTGGAAGGTCCAGTGACCACCAATGTGCTTTGTTCCTAGGTTCCTAGAAAAAAAAAATCAAAGGACTAGGATCCTGGGAAACTTTCACCACTCGAATCCTGGCCACCCCCAGGCGACACCCCTTTTGCATATAATAATGGATCGACCTCGCTTTCAACTCTTCGATCTTCCCTCTTGACTTGTTGCTTTTATTAGTGCTCCTCCCTCACCGCACCTAATAGATCCCTAATCACACCTAATTACTCTTATGTGTCGCTAATAGGCCACGCGAGGTCTTAGACATCATGAAGAAGTTTGGCAACATTTATCTCATCGCGGCTACGTCCGTCATAGGTAAGCTTACCTACCCGCCTTGTAAAAAGGCTAACTTTGTTATATCTGTAACCTCGTTGTCGTTGCTTGATACTAATATTATAACTAATTAGGTGGTGCGCTTTTTGGTTTTGATATCTCTTCTATGAGTGCTATCATCTCCACTGACCCCTACAAATGTCAATTTAACCAGCAAGTTAGTTTTACCTGAGCCGAATTCTCGTTTCTTCCGGCGCTATACTAACAGCAACCATAGGGCAACGACCCAACAACTGGCCGATGCCGTGGACCCGATGATGTCGTGCAGGGTGGAATTACCGCTGCCATGCCTGGTGGTTCTTGGCTTGGCGCTCTCATCTCTGGTATTCTGACTGATGCGGTTGGTCGAAAGACCTCTATCCAAATTGGTGCTATCATTTGGTACGCATTCTACAGTACAATCTAACCAGCTCCAGAATTGCTCTAACAATTTCCGTTTTACAGGGTTATCGGCTCGATTATTGTTTGCGCTTCCCAGAACATCCCTATGTTGATCGTCGGTCGTATCATCAACGGTCTAAGTGTGGGTATCTGCTCTGCCCAGGTTCCTGTCTACATTTCCGAACTCTCGCCGCCGTCGAAACGAGGTCGACTCATTGGTATGCAACAATGGGCAATTACTTGGGGTATCGCAATTATGTTCTTCGTGTGCTACGGTAGCAGTTTCATCAACGGCAAGGCTGCTTTCCGTCTGCCATGGGGTCTACAAATGATTCCGGCTGGTCTTCTATTCTTCGGTCTTATGGTACTTCCCGAATCACCCCGTTGGTTGGCGAAGCATGATCGTTGGGAGGAGGCCAAGGAAGTGCTCATTCTCGTCCACGGCCACGGCGACCCTCACTCGCAATTGGTTGCAAGAGAAATGGCTGAAATTAAGGAAGTGGTCGACTTCGAGCGCCAAAACGCCGACGTTTCTTACATTGAGCTATTCCGACCCAAGATGATTAACCGAACTCATATTGGTCTCTTCACGCAAATATGGTCTCAACTCACTGGTATGAACGTCATGATGTACTACATTTCTTACATCTTCACCATGACTGGCTCGGCTGGTGGCAACGACACTCTGCTTTCCAGTGGTATCCAATTCATTATCAACGTCGTTATGACTATCCCCGCCCTTATCTGGCTCGACAGGTGGGGTCGTCGCCCGACGCTCCTAGTTGGTGCGTTTTTCATGACCCTCTGGCTCTGCATCAACGCTGGTTTGTTCGCCGTATACTCCCACGACCCGGCCCCCGGCCAATTCGATACCGCCGCCATTTCCATGGTCATTGGTGGTAAGCCCGCCAAGGCTGTTATTGCCAGTACCTACCTGTTCGTGGCCTCCTACGCACCTACGTGGGGTCCCGTCTCCTGGACGTACCCGGCCGAGCTCTACCCGCTACGTGTCCGTGGTAAGGCTGTGGCTCTTGCTACATCTGCCAACTGGGCTTTCAACTTTGCCCTCGCCTACTTTGTTCCCCCTTCATTCGCTACCATTACCTGGAAGACCTACGTCCTATTCGCTGTATTCTGTTTCTCTATGTTCTGGCACACTTTCTTCATGTTCCCCGAGACTGCCAACAAGACTCTTGAGGAAGTTGCCGCTATCTTCGAAGACAATGGCCCCGGCTCCATCAAGAACATTGGTGTCCCGGCCTGGAAGACTCACAACGACCGCTCTATCGTTAGACTTGAGCGCAACCTTGCCAGCTCTGAGGAGAAGATTGGCATTGAACATACTGCCGAGGCTAAGATGTAAAGACTTGGGAGATGCATGCATTGGGAAAGGTGGTAGAGGGGATGGGTTGTTGGTTCGGCGCTGCTTGGGCATTTAAAGGATTCCTACATTATTAAATGGGAATTGAGCGAGACGACATAAACGTTTGGGAACATAAAATGTTTGGATTCCCCCGTTTTGAAATTAGTGTGTTGATAAGGACGGACAGCCTGGAACATAACTTTCATTCCTCAAGGAGTTGATAAGGAAGGTAAATAAGTTGGTGGTGATATTATACCCAGAAATGAATATGAATTATTCTCAATCATTTATCTAACTTTTTATCTACTTATCATTTATTCATTGCACAATGTCGAGTAAAATGCCTAAGTTAATTTGAGTTTGAAGATATGTAATGTATGTTTTAGGCTAGGTGGTTTTGTCTCTGGTGTTCGATCCTTCTAAACTACCCAAACCATCAGAACTCTGTTGTTTCTGCATAAAACAACAGCCCAACTGAATAACACGCCTCGGTACCAATTGCCAATTCGCGTCGGCTAGCTGGTCTTACTAAAAACAAACGAGGCGCGGGCTATTTTCCTTGAGTTTTCTTTAGTAATGATCGGAAGCTTAAGGAAGGTGGACGTAGGTGGCTCGGATATATAGATATTGATCTATAAACGCCTAAGTGTAAACGTATTAAGCATAGTAGTGGGGAATCCTGAAGCTTTGATTGGTTGACGATAAGGTTCATATGCACATAACAAGAAGGCTAGAGTAGCAGGGGTGATCTCCTAGAGATGGGCGCGGGCAAGGCTGATGGGGTAAAGTTGTATGGTGTAGCCTGACATTCCCAATACCTTCCCATCGCGCCTGTTCCATGATCTCTCTTTAGCATCATTGGCGTTCCTTATCACTGTGTATATGATTTCCAATTATTAACTTCTTGCGATTCATATTATTATTCCCATTCCTACTGCGAGTTCTCGCTGTCTCTTGCCGCCAATTGAGACTTCCGATGGATCAGCCGGCGGCTAAGAAAAGAAGGCTGGCTCCTAAGATCGATGCTCAAGCTAGTCCTCCCCATCCGCTTCCTTTTCCTCCCGAACCTGTAGGTAGACTCAAGGGAATGATTGTATAGTTGAGGACTCACGTCAATAGGCTCAGCCCGCGCAACCACATTACCAAATATCCGAGGCGCTTCCACCGCCCCCTCCTCCAGAGAGACATGAATTCGAATCCTTCGCGAGGCATCTCCAGGATGCCGCTATGCTTATATATGGACAAACACAAAAGTCGCCCTATAATAAGGCTTCCGTACTTATCCTGCGGTGGGAAGACGACAGTACCGTCGAACACGACCTCGTCGCTTTCGAGCAAGTCCTTCGCGATCGATATAATTACCGCACCGAACGTTTCGATATACCTACGAGCCCCAATCCTAGCGTTAAGTTGGGTGTTCGAATGTCGTCTTTCCTAGAGAATGCGGCGTCCGACCATCTCATGATAATATACTACGCGGGGTACGCTTACGTAGGAGTGGATAACCAAATTTATTGGGCAAGGTGGGTTGCTATTTACAAGTACGAGGAGGCATACTCTAACATATCCTCAGCGCATCGAGCAAAAATTCGAAGTTGAAATGGAATGGGTTTCGCTGTCTCTTCGACGAGGCGCAATCCGACATACTTTTACTTCTTGATACCTGTGCCACACCAGAACCGCCGACACCCGATAAGAGCAGTATTAAGCAAGTTATTGCAGCGAGCACCCCCGAGCATTATTCTAAGGATTCTAACTTACGATCATTTACATCTCATGCCACAGAAGCACTTGCTAAGTTTAGTGCTGGTAGACCATTTACACCTGAACATTTATATCACGAAGTTGCTTATCAGAGGCAACAAGAATTGATACAAGCATCGGGTTTAACTAATGGGGCCAGCAAGAGTATACTATTTACTGAAAAGCTACCTGTGATATATCATATAAATTCAGGCAAAAGCCAAGGTATACCCTTGGCTCCTCTTCTACGAGCTGAGGCGCAGTCGCGGTCCCCGCAAGTGGGCATTAACGGGGATGCCCAGCTACTGAGAACGCCCCAAGGAGAACCTATTATCCACCCAAGCGCAGTCGCCGATTTGATATTTGACGAACCGAGGGTTTTGGTATGCACGACTTTTGTTGGCGAAGCCAGTCCCGACATGTCTTCATTTAATCATTGGCTTCATAATACTCCAGCGATTGCTTCGAAAATTGCCGTAGAAGGCATATTCCTCGGACCACCTACAATGTTGCTTATATCAATGCCAGTTCCAGTCTGGAATGTTGTTCAGCATGATAAAGTCTGCTGCTTCTTAGGATATGTGAACTCTCATAATATGACGCATCTTTATAATCGATTGGTGAGATCCGCTTCTGTCAATAAGGCGTCGGCGAAGGATATGGAGGACGGATGGATGCTTCTTGAGGCTCGGGAGGTGGCTGTGAATACAACACCAATTGCTCGCCGGCACGAACTTCCTACCCATACACACGCTCAATTACGCCCAGAAACACCAATTCGTTCCGAAAGCATGGGAAGGATTGAACAGACGAACTTACCCCAATCATCTACTTCTAATATGCCATATACCAACTTGACACCTAGCAACACCATACCGAATAAGAACGAGGTTGAGGATTCGGCTGAGATGCAGGAAGCCGCTGAGCAGCTTAAGCTTCTCAGCCACGTCCGACATCTAAGTAACGACAACGGTTCTAGTGCACATTCACGATCAAAACATGGGGATCATACAGTACCCAATAAACATGACGAAAATTCATCACATGAATCTGGAGCAGACGAAACACCATATAATCTCGAATTTACACCATCGGCACGGCCTAAACAACAGCGTCGGTCAGTCCAGAAACAAACACCGAAACAAGAAACTCGCTGTAGTCATTGTAGTCATGCTCCCTTCAAAGATTATTCGTCATTACGTAAACATATCGCTGCCGCTCATACTCGACCATTTCCTTGCGCTTTTGCTTTTGCTGGTTGCACAAGCACATTTGGATCTAAAAATGAGTGGAAAAGACATATCGCTTCACAACATTTATGTCTACAATATTATCGATGCTCAGCCTGTCCACAGAGTACAGTTGAGGGTAAAGGTAACGAATTTAATCGCAAGGATCTATTTACGCAACATCTCCGCCGGATGCACGCCCCTTTTGCTATTAAGAAGGCCATTGCTAAGGGTGATAGTAAATTACAAGGGGATTGGGAATCGCATGTTAAAGACATGCAACAGACATGTCTTGTTACGAGAAGACAGCCTCCACAGAGATCCTCTTGTCCCAAGCCGGACTGCGCGAGTGTTTTTGAAGGACCCACCTCTTGGGATGAATGGACTGAACACGTCGGTAGACATATGGAGAAGGGCGAAGCGGGCCGGCTTGGCGTTGACAGCATGTTGGCAAAATGGGCCCTAGATGAGGGTATAATCGAGCGTAAAGACGGCAGTGAATATCGACTCTGTACCGGAACCAGCGCCAATGCCGAGCGAGACTCGACCGGCAACAATGCTGGGTATCAATCGGACGGAAATAAGCGAGATAAAGACCGAGACCGGGACGGTCGAGACCATGATCGAGACCGAGATCAAGATCAAGATCGGAACGGAGATCGGGACCAAGAAGACCGCACGATAGTAGCTGCAAGCACAATGGTGGATAAAATGGACGTGGACGAATGACATTTAGGTATATCTTAAGGGCTCTACACATATAAACCAAAACATACAGAAGAGGGAAAAAAAACAAATCAAAATTTAACCCGGGAGCGCATTATGGGGGAAAATTGACGGTGCCTCAAAAGCGGGAGGCGTAAAAGGGAGCGGGCGGCTAACTACTTAGCTATCTAACGAATTTCCTTCTATTTATCATCCGGATGTACCCAAACATACTAGAAGATGATGCGCCACGATTTCTTTTACCTACCTATCTAACGTTTTTTGACGTCCGAATCTATTCAAAGCGCAACGTTATAGGGACGAATGTACGACTATATACCACATTTTTATTATACTTTATTTTGAAGATAGCATGTATGTATGCCTTCTTATGGATCGGAAATGGAATCGGAAATGTTTATTAGGTATTGGTTGGTTTATTTGCTTTTGCGCGATAGAGATGGAGATGGGTACGGGTAACGAAGCGACGGGGAGAGGAGGGTAGCATAGTTTGATGATTATCTACGTTAGGCATTTAGGCGTGAAGCATTTACTAGGTTCGGATTGTGTATATATATCGGCTCGATCAACTCGAGGGTTATATAGTCTCTTTCTTGCCTATACTAGTTACAATGTATGTGATGATTTTGATATTTGTTCGGGTTTGCATATGAGCGCTAGAGAGCTTGCTACCTTGCTGGGTGCACTCGAGGTTTAGCGCCTATAACAAGGTATCTTCGCTAAATGACGGTCTGTTTCCGAGGCGCTTCTACACCAGATCAACTCGGGATACTCGGCGAAATTACACTCTTGACTTGGGACTTTTTGTTCATCAATAGCGTTGTGGAGAGGAGCCCAACCTGGTATAATTCTCCACATTATCATTTTAAACTGGGCAAACAAGCTTAAAATTGGGGGAGACTATACACGGACTAGACCGGCTCTAACCCGCGTTCGTGTTGGCACCGAAGCAAACCCAGGCCTGAACAGAATAGCGTGGAATTGCTGCGGGGAAATTCGGTGCGGAGATTATTATGGGGCGTGGTGAGGAGAAGGTACGCAGGTACTTTGGTCAAAAGCAAAAGGTCCGGGGAAGCTCCGCAAAAGCGCCGCTGTTGAAGCTGAACTAATTCTTTCTCATCTCCACTCCGCTCATCTTACTTTGGTACCCAGATTTTCTATCATCATCATACAGCACGACAGCAGGGCGGCCGAGGGAACGCCGAGAGCCGAGGACAGTATGGTGGTACTATGTGTTTATGTACTTGGTTTCGTACTGTGTGTTCGTTCGTTAAAGGAACCCTACAGCCCTATGTATACTGCTAGACGCCAAGCGCTCGCGCCCAGAACCGCGATATCGCCAGCGGCCTTATCTAATGCGCAGAGAGGCGCCGTCGCGATGGTTCGAGCGGAGTAGCCGTCGGAATGTTGGGGTAAGTCCAAGTGCTTGCGGGGGAGGGCCAAGTGTTGTTAGTTCGTTCACGATACTACGTCGTATTATGAGATAGGGATTCCATCCTTCGAGTGAAGTTTACTCTTTTTCTGTTATAAGTTCTAGAACGAAACCACATCTGCGGGTGCAAAATGTGATGTGATGTCCCTTACGCCAATCCCACGTGGAGAACGTCAAGCTTGTTGGTAACACAAACTGTGTTACGCGTCCGTGCTCGAAATGGCTGGTTACTTGTTGTTTATGGCCGCTGCGGCCTCGGCTGCTGTTGTTGCGAAAAGAGACTATCCGGGCGATGACCCTCTTGCGTCCTGTCCTGGTTATACCGCGTCGAATGTCATTAAGACGGCTTCGGGTTTGACCGCTGATTTAACGTTGGCTGGTGAGGCTTGCAATGTTTACGGTACCGACCTTAAGGACTTGACTTTGGAGGTTTCATACGACACAGAGACGCGACTTCATGTCAAGATTCAAGATGCTGCCAATGACGTCTACCAGGTTCCTGAATCTGTCTTCCCTCGACCACCGGGCCAAGGCTCCGACGAAGCACAATCTGCGTTGAAGTTTGATTATAAAGAAAGCCCATTCTCTTTCACCGTGTCTCGTTCGGGTTCGGGAGAGGTTCTATTCGACACGTCGGCCGCCAGCTTGGTGTTTGAATCGCAGTACTTGCGCCTGAGAACGAAGCTACCCGAAAATCCGAGTCTATATGGACTTGGCGAGCATTCGGACCCCTTCATGCTCAATGCGACTGACTATATCCGCACATTCTGGTCGCAGGATGCATGTATGTATCACCGTGATTCGGGATTCTGAGGTTTTCACTTATGGAAACGATTGCTAATTTGCGCAATTATAGACAGCGTTCCTGAAGGATCGAACTTGTATGGAAACCACCCCGTGTACTATGAGCACAGAGAAACAGGCACACATGGCGTGTTCTTCCTGAATTCAAATGGTATGGACATCATGATCAACAATACAGCCGAGTCCGGGCAATACCTCGAATACAACACCCTTGGTGGGGTGCTTGATTTCTATTTCGTCTCTGGTCCGAGTCCCGTAGAAGTAACGCAGCAATACTCTGAGATTGTGGGTCTGCCCGCGATGATGCCGTACTGGGGTTTCGGCTTCCACAACTGCCGATACGGATATCAGGATGTTTTCGATGTCGCTGAGGCTGTCTACAACTATAGTCAAGCTGGAATCCCGTTGGAAACAATGTGGACCGACATCGATTACATGTATCGCCGAAGAGTGAGTCCTTATCTCAATTGACCATGAATCGACGACTTGATTATTAACGAATGATAATTAGGTATTTTCGCTAGACCCCGATAGATTCCCGTTACACAAAATGCGCGAGTTGGTCGACTATCTACATGCTCACAACCAGCATTATGTTGTTATGGTGGATCCAGCAGTGGCTTACCAAGACTTCCCCACCGCTTTCCAACGAGGTGTTGACGATAACATTTTCTTGCTTCGTCAGAACGGCTCAGTCTGGAAGGGTGTTGTTTGGCCTGGTGTAACCGCATTCCCCGATTGGTTCTCGGCAAATGTTAGCGATTATTGGAACAATGAGTTCTCTATCTTCTTCTCGCCCGATAATGGAGTTGACATCGACGCTCTCTGGATTGACATGAACGAGCCGTCCAACTTCCCATGCTACTTCCCCTGTAGCGATCCGGACGCCTCTGCTGTGGGTTATCCGCCAGAACCGCCGCCAGTGAGATCTCCTCCCCGACCTCTGCCCGGTTTCTCCTGCGACTTCCAACCAGAAGGTACCAATTGTGCCAAGACTCAAGTGAGATTTTTGGAGATCCGCGACAGCACACCCCGAGCCTACTTTGACAATCTTGTTATTTCACCACGACAAACAGAGGGCGAACAGAAGGGACTTCCCGACAGGGATCTCCTGTTCCCCAAATACGCGATCCACAATAAAGCTGCGAATGCGGACAGCTGGAATGCGGCAGAGGGTGGAATCTCTAACAAGACCGTGAATACCGATGTGATTCACCAGAACGGCCTAGCCATGTACGACACGCACAATTTGTATGGTTCAATGATGTCTCTTGCCTCCCACGAGGCTATGCTTCAAAGACGCCCCACCGTTAGACCTATGATTATTACTCGTTCAACCTTCGCCGGAGCCGGTACTAAGGTGGGCCATTGGCTTGGCGACAACCTTTCGTCATGGCACCACTACAGACTTGCCATCCGAAGCATGATGGCTTTCGCTTCCGTCTATCAGGTACCAATGGTCGGTGCCGATACGTGTGGGTTCGGTGATAACACGACGGAGCAGCTATGTGCACGGTGGGCAGCTCTCGGTGCCTTCTCCCCTTTCTACCGTGTACACAACAGTCTTGACTCGATTTCACAAGAACTTTACCGCTGGGAAACCACTACTCAAGTGGCGCAAAGATTCATCGGCATCCGCTATCAACTTCTTGACTATCTCTACACGTCCCTGCACACCCAAACACTTGACGGTACACCAATGGTCAACCCGCTATTTTATCTTTACCCGCAGGATAAGAACACTTACTCCCTGGACTTACAGTACTTCCTTGGCCCATCGCTACTTGTAGCACCCGTCACTGAGGAAAATAGCACAAGTGTTGATGTGTACCTACCCGACGACAATTTCTATGATTGGTATACGCACGAGCAAGTTGTCGGAGAAGGAAAGAGTATTACAGTCGAGAACCAGGAATGGACTGACCTACCACTGTACCTGCGAGGTGGAGTGATCGTCCCGCTACGCGCCGAATCCGCGATGACCACCACCGAGCTACGAACGAAGCCATTCGAGATCATAGTACCGGTAGGCAAGGACGGCAAGGCAAGTGGTCAACTATACCTGGATGATGGTGTTAGCATCGAGCAAGCCGCGACAAGCGATATCAAGTTCGATTATGCCGACGGCGTGCTTTCAATCAATGGTACCTTCGGCTACAAGACGGACGAGCTTCGCATCACGAAAGTCACGTTCTTAGGTGTCGGCGGCAAGTCCAAATGCAAGCGCGCTGCCAAGAGCGTCATTAGCGTGGATGTTGATAGACCTCTTACCGAGGCCTTTACCGTCGAGGCTAAGGCCTAGTCAACGAAAAAGGGGAACGACCATTGAAAAAAATATAGAGCTATTCTGAAGTCAACTGTATGCATATTAGACCGATTTACATAATGTATATATTTGTAAATTAATTGTCAATGTTTTAAGTCTGCTAGCCTACCAGCTCTATTCCTTTGTACCTGAATATCTCCATGCATACAGATTTAGTCAAAGGATTTCCTAAAACATACACCTGGAAGATATTCGTTCGCTGACGCCGATTAATAGGGCGGATTAATTGCGACCCTAGGCGCGCGATAAACCGTTTAAGACTGCCGAAATTAGACATCCTCCGCTATCGCCTCCGATGTTATCGGAAATATGTACAGGCGGCCTCATCCGGGCAACATCTCGGTAGCGGAAACGGAACGAAATGACAGTCCAAGCCATCGGGTTCAATCCTGCAATCAGAGGGAGCTCCCCACGGGGTTTTTGCGTGATATTCCTGGGGAAGCCCTGCTTCTGACACCGAGACCGGTAGTACACATAGCCTGGACCGTCCGATACCGAATGTGTTTACGGATTCTAATACAGAATTTGGTTTTAGGTTAACTCGTAATTATTAATCATGAGATAAGGCATAGGAGCTTGGTATTATGTTATAGGATTTATCTTGGGAAAGTCGACTAGGCACCTAGACTGGTTGGGTGTCTAAGGTACCTAAGAGATAGGATGAACTGAACGATATTATTGAATAATCTGGGGAGATAATAGTTGGGTCATAAGGACCGATAGGATAACGGCATGGCAACGGATATATGGGAGATGGTCGTTCCTTTTATTTGCAGACTCGGTTACCCAAAGCTATGGAAGGGCTTTCCTGTGTAACGAAGCCATCTGACACGTAAAGTACCTTGCTACCTCTCCCAAGGAGTAAATCAATAATTTCCTTTCCTCACCGATTCGTGAAATTTAATCGCCACAGCGAAACCAGAAAAGGGAATTACACTAATCTGTGTTGCGGGGGTGATTGGCCCCGTGTTGCTCATTGTGTCGCCCAAGTGCCGCTGGCAAACAATTTTCGTGACGGGTACTCATTACAACTATCTAGCTGAGACGTCGTTTAAAAAAGACCTAGCAGTCCCCAGATTGATCGGGGTGTGGCAACCCTGAGTTTGTGGTCTTTTTTCTTGTTTCGGCCTGGACCTCTTCGCACCCATACTCTTTTGTCGCGTCCAGGGCAATCTATCCCTCGTTCTCGAGTCACTTACCCTTAATATCTACTCCAATATTACTGGAGTCTGACACATAAGACCCGGCAACATGGAAGAGGAACTAGACCTCGATATTTCAAATGGGACGTGCTACTATGGCCCAGATAAGCAAGCTCACGACGATTACATACCTTGTGGTAACGTCGCCGCCCATCATTGGCATTGTTGTGTCGGAGGGGATATCTGCTTAGAGGAGCTGGCATGCTACCAGAGGAAATGTAATAAGACCAAGCTCTCCTGTTAGATTCTCGCAGTAGCATAAATGCGCTAACAATAGTGCGTTCCAGATGATCTTACATACATAGCCGGCTGTACTGACCCGGATTACAACGATTCGGCATGCTTCCAAAAACAACAGTTCGACGACCAGCAATACGTAGGGCTTGTGCGTTGTGACGGATTAGATGCTGATGTATGGGTGGGATGCACCGAGACGGATAAAGTGGTCGGCGAGAAGACGCCAGCTCCGTGTACGTGTACCGACGATGACGACCGCCTTTTCAGAGATAAGACAAGGATAGAGGGTCTCGGACAGCTTCCGACGAGTATCAGCGGCACAATTTCGTGGTATAGTGGCATGGGGCCAAGATGGACGGTAGTAGGCACCGCTGCGACAGATCCAGCAATGATCATCTGGCCAACAGCTGATGAACTAACGACGGTCGGGCCAGTAGTATTGTCAACCTCAACATCAACTTCAACGTCGACATCTACCTTAACATCAGCATCAGCATCAACCCCAGAATCGACACCAACACCATCGTTTACTATAGATCCAGACCCAAGTTGGGACCCACCTAGTACCCCATTCTCAACAACATCCTCATCGAGCGGTAGCCCCGTCATCATCCCTCCCACAACCGAACCCGATCCGTCAACCGCAACCACCACATCCGGGCCAACCCTCTCCAAAGGAACACAAGCCGGCATCGCAGTCGGTTCAGCCGGCGGTGCCCTACTCATCGGGTGCCTCGTATACCTCTTCTACTACCTACGCAAGCGGCGCAACAAACCTCCCCATAACGGCATAGGCGAAGCCGGTTCCTCAAGCGACAACCCCCAAACCTTTCTCTCAGCTCCGACACAACAGGCGTTCTACTCACCAAACAATCACAGTCTAGCCGCCGCGAACGATCAACCGGCTACCGTCGGACCTATGCGAGATGATAATTATAACTCCGCGGTTGCGACCGTGAGGCGGGAACCTGTACGGCGCGAGAGTAGTACATTGAACGCGCCGTCGAGCATTTCGCAGGGCTCTAGGTCACCATTGTCACCTTCGTCGCAGTTTCACGCGTATAATCCGCTAGTACATGGGAATTACGCCGAGGGGCGTGATATGGTTTCGCCGATGAGTCCTGGTGCTACTACCATGACTGGGAGTGGGGTTGGGACGCCGGGGGGAGGAGTAGAGAAGGATAAGGAAAAGGATTCGGCGCCAGCGGTTATCCATGAGCTGGAGGGTTGATTGAGAGCCGACCTATTTTATGGCGTGACGATGCGATGGCGAGAAAGGTGGTTGGTGATGCACGGCTGGGATGGGAGATGAGTAGAACGAAAGGGATCATGGCTTTGGTAAAGACAAGCAGGCAAACGGCGTTGTTTGGTGTTTGGAGAGTTCAAAGCCGTTTTGTCTCTCATGAAACGGGTTTTTCGGTTTCTGCTTTTATCTATGTATTTCACTTACCTACTACGTGGGTCATCGTTGATTTTATTGAGAGTATTGTTGCTGAGGAGAAGGAAGAAGGGAAAGAAAGTCACTGTCGTTTGCTAGTTGATCGATCGGAGAAGTTCCGATACGGCCTATTCGCATAGGTCGTCTAAATAAATGTTTAAGCAATAAGTGGGGTATGCGTATATACACTCTATTATACCTTCTATGTGCATATCTTACATGCATCGGCTGTCGTCCGACGTGTTACTCGTACCTTACTGCCTAACTTTCTTCATCAAATATTTATATCTTGTCTATCAAATCAAACTGACTGGTAATAATGGCGGATATTATAGGAACGGATACTTCCCCTGCCCATCGGCGGGAGGTGTTCTATGCGGGTGGACAATACGTACCCGATGCCGATGGAGCACATTCACTACAGGGACAGATGTATGTCGAGCGGCTCATTCCCGTAGAAGTCAAAAGCAACACAAATAGACCGTTTCCAATAGTATTTATCCATGGAGCTACACGGTCGGGGATGGTCAGTTATTCCAAACGAAATCTTATTCTCTTGGGTATAGTATGCGTGTACTGACTTTGACTAGGACTGGTTGACGAAGCCCGATGGGCAACTGGGCTGGGCTTCGTATTTCTTATCTCAGGGGTTTGAATGCTATTTAGTCGATCTACCATATCGTGGTAGAAGTCCATGGTATCCGGGTAACGGGAAAATGATGGTATATCCAGCTGAACCCATCATGAGTTCATTCACAGCTTGCAAGGACCAAGGTACATGGCCTCAGGCGAAACTGCATACCCAGTGGCCTGGCGCAGGTGTCAAAGATGACCCGATATTCGACCAATTCTATGCCTCGGGACTCCAAATCCTGGACGACGTCACGGAACAAGAGAAGGTGTCTCAAGCCGCCTGTGCCGCGTTGCTAGATCGTATCGGAAAGCCAGTCATATTGCTCGGTCATTCGGCCGGTGGTTCAGTTCCTTGGCTTGCCGCGGATATCCGCCCAAACTTGGTGGAAATGATTATAGCTATTGAGCCGACCGGCCCTCCATTCTCCAAATGGGGTGTCAGGCCTGGACCAGGCGCTGCATACGGCATCACTAATGCACCTCTCATCTACGATCCCCCGGTGGCGGATCCGGAGAAGGATTTCGTGAAGACGGTTATCGCAGCACCAGCCGCTGAACTTACGGATTGTAACGCCCAAGCCGAATCCCCGCCTCCACGACAGCTAATTAACCTAATAGACAGAAAGGTGTTATTGGTAACGGCACAAGCATCGTATCACTCGCAGTATGATTGGGGCACTTTTCGATACTTAAAACAAGCCGGGGTCAAAGACGTAACTCACCTGAAATTGGAAGAGAAGGGGCTTTATGGGAATGGCCATATGATGTTTATGGAGAAGAACAGCGATGAAGTGGCTGCTGAGTTATTAATATGGATTGATGAATACCAGTCAACAGCATAAAGAAGATATTCGGTATATACGATGTCTGTTTTTTATGATGTCGTTTTGGTAAAAGGCTTGCCCTGTGATGTGGAACAAATATCGCTATCTTGGGTTCCGGCCTGCTATAAATAAAGATAATAGGTGATCGCTATGTGGCTCTAGTAGGTGATTCTAGTGAGCGAAACGAGGACATTAACACTCTGTTTATCTTCCACTAATTTGATATCTTAGCGGATATATCGCTGAAATATAGTGGACCTAGCGGGCGACTATAGCGCACCTATATAAGGCGCTCTGATAGAGCTATTCGGCCTGTCGCAAGCCTCGTAGGCTCCCTGGAAATCCTCCTAATGCTAGCGCCTAATTCAGTGCGGGGTTAACACATAGGTAGCCGGTAGGGCACGCTTCGGATTAATAGCGCATCAGTGTAAAGGCCTTGATAGCAGACCAGGCCCGCTCGTCTAAACACGCTCTCTACACTGTCATTACACCAGCTTATGGCGGACACAAGTAAGTGCTACAGTGGCTACATTAAATACCTAGGTACCTAGGTAGGCTTCACGCCGATATATTACAGGGAGTTTCTTGGAAAGTATGCGTCGCAACCCACTATATTTATAGCAGATCTTGGCGCAATAATCCCTCTATCCACAGCGCAACTTTGCCCCCCCTCTAACCCAAAAAACCAAAAACCATTATCTTATAGGGCTTACCGCTGAACCCAGGCTTCATTGACTTGCGAAGCCCCCGCTAAGGCACCGCAGAATCCAGACAGTAATAGACTATAGCTTGTCAATACGGCGACATTATAAATCATCAGCGCCTATTTCTCTATCGTATAGCGGTTTGAATGTCTAGCGCGGCTACTAGTGTTTTAATACATGCGCTCGCATATAAACGTCGCTTCATAGGTGTGAACAATAATTACCAGCTATGGGGTATAGTTGCCAAGGGTATATAAGTTATACGGCTCTGGCTACCTAATTGATCATCCAATATTATATTTATTTATCGGCGTGTTTCTATACGATTTGGTATACTTGTTCCTACGCCTACCCCAAACCATGAAGCTGAACCACTATATCTACAGCAGCCCCAAGCGCTAATCTCCAGATTTATAGTGACCTCTCACTGACTTGTGCGGCTATACCTACAACTTGACTACCTCTCGTAAGAAGAGTATCCCAGCAGGAGGCAAAACACGACAGAATGTAAATGCTATAAAATATGCTAAAAAGTACCTAGCAATAAAGAATCAAGCAGACTCCCCCATAGATTGTATCATATCCACCGTCCCATTCGCGACACCCACAAACGACTTCACAACCTTCTGCACGATAGAACCTCCATCCAAGCCATTAACCTGCTGCGGCTTTCCCCACCCACCACCTCCGGGCGACATGACCACTATTCTATCCCCAGCTCCCATCATAGCCGTATTCTTACCTCCTAGATTAATCGTCCGGCCATTCTTCTTAACCCAAACATTCTGACCCCTCTTTGCGTCTTCTCCGCCTTCTAGACCGTATGGCGCAAAAGCTCGTCTTTCGCTTAAGATTGATACTTTGATTGGTAGGCAGAACTCGATATCTCGGATAATTCCATCGCCTCCGGGATGTAAGCCAGCACCACCACTACCTTCACGTAGGCAAAAGCGTCTAAGGATAACTGGGTACCGGCGTTCCAAGATCTCGGGATCAGTAATTCGAGTATTAGTCATGTTGGTATGAACACCGCTCGCGCCGTCCCATGTAGGGCCACCGCCAGCACCGCCGCAAATAGTCTCGTAGTATCCGAAGCTGGTATCTTCATCGCCGTCAATGCCGAATGTCAGATTGTTCATGCAGCCCTGACTGGCCGCCGCAGCCGAAAATGCCCGGAAGATGACGTCGACAACACGTTGTGATGTTAGCACATTACCGGCGCAAACAGCTGCGTCTTCAGTTGGCTGCAATAATGAAGCCTCCGGGATCCGCACGTCAATGGGACGGATGGCTCCTTGATTGAGCGGTATTTCCATATTAACCATGCACCGCAGGGCAAATATGATTGAGGAGTGGCAGATTGCTAGAGGTGCATTCCAGTTTCCTGCATGTACGTTAGTATTCTCTTGCTTCGTCGCATTACTAATTAGATAAGAACATACCGTAGACCTCTGGACCAGTTCCCTCAAAATCGAAAATTGCACCTCCTGTTTCAGCGTTTATATCGACTCTAAGCTGGATCGCGGTGCCATCATCCATGTAATCAATAGCCTCGAGTGGTTTCCCATTAGTCATTTTCGCTATCCTCTTCAGCATATCTCGTACAGCGAGCTCAGCAGCTCCTTGAATTTCCTCCACTACGATAGGATCAGCCTTTGGAAACTTTCTCGACACCAGAGGAGCACTTACTATAAAATTGAACAACCTCTAGCCCATAATCGGCAATGAGCGAGTGAATGAGTTGACTGCCGCGGTGGTTTGCGGCAGCTTGTGCTTTAATGTCTGAGATATTATCGCGAAGACACCTCGTCCCTTGGCAACCCGGATACTTCGCAGGTTCCATAAGTAATTTAATCAATTCTTCTTCTTTGAATTTGCCTCCTTCGACTACTTTAAAAGCCCTCATGACGGCACCTTCTTCCCAGAGTTCTTTTGAGTTAGGCGGCATAGATCCGGGGAGTATACCACCAACCTATGTAGAAATATTAGATAGAGCAATATGGCGGTTTGTTTCAATTGGGTCAACTTACATCCGCGTGATGACCGCGAGACGCAGTCCAAAATATGATATTCTTCCCCTCGGCGTCAAAAATAGGGGTAATTACCGTAAGGTCAGGTAAATGTGTACCGCCGCATACTTAAATCTCTAAGTTAGATGATTTACGAAGGATAAATCTGAGTAAAGAGGAACCAACCTGGAGAATTAGACAGAATCACGTCGCCGGGACGAAGATCGCCTTTCCAATGGTCAATTTGCCATTTAACGGCAAACGCCATGCTTCCAATCTATACATGAATCAACCGTAAGTTCCTTATTTTCCTTTTTGTATCGATGGACTTACCATTGCAGGGACGTGAGGAGCGTTTGCCACAAGCCCGCCATCGGGTGAGAAGACAGTACAGGAAAAATCGAGACGTTCCTTAATATTAGTGCTCACACTCGTTTTCTGTAGAGCGCGGCCCATTTGCTCGGCGACACCCATAAACCTATGGCCGAAAATGGATAGTTGGATGGGATCAACTGTTTTTGATGATAAGAGCTCTTTCCTTCCGGTCTCGATATCTATTACTATCGTATTAGAAAGGATAGTCGCTATTGAGCCAGGTGTGACGACGAGTGTCTGCGTGTTATCAATGATGAGCGCAGGACCGTTGATCTTGCAGCCAGGTGTTAACGTATTGAGTCTGTGAATTTGTGTTTTATGCCATCCCAACTCCTTGAAGTATACTTCCTCGAAAATCTTGGCGTCTATTACTTCGCTTCCCTTCGCCGTGGTAAGTTCGGTTGTCCATGGGGTAGGCATCTCGGGGCCGCTAGCGCCAATAGACCGAACACGATAATCATCAACGATCACGTCTCGTCCGACTGGCAAGAATCCGAACTCCTTTTGATGCGCATCCTTGAAAGAAGTTAAGAAGCTTGTACCTGGGATTTCTTGAATCATTAAAGGCGTGTCGCTTCCTTGGAATCGCATATTGAGGTATCTCTCCGAGGTAATCCTAGACTCAGCTATTTGTTGACCTAATAGTGCCTTCATCGACTTTGCTTGTAGGTTGTCGAGTTCACTGGCGAAGGTACCGAGCTGATCTTCGGAAAATATTAAAGCGGAAGGGCTACGCTCCTCGTGAACAACATCTGCGAGGGCCATGCCGTACGCAGACAACACGGATGAGTACTTATGGATAAGCACACGAGAAATCCCCAGCTTCTTCGCAATATCGCAAGCATGTTGGCCACCGGCGCCGCCAAAAGAGGCAAGGTTATGGAGTCCGGCGTCATATCCCTTAGCTTCGGTTAGAATTCGGATTGGCCGACACATGGCTTCATTTGCTACATCAAGGAATCTGGAGCCTCTGTTAGTGAATGCTTCGGCGAGATTTATGGGGGAGAACATGCCCTGCAGCGACCTGTTCCAGAGTTAGCTCAACAGCGCTCTCCTTATTGACCTCTACTGTGAGATCCTCAAAGAGCCGTCGGCTGGCCTCAATGTCTAGTGGGAGATCCTCGTTCGGGCCAAAGATCTTTGGGAAAAATTCCGGCCTAAGGCGACCCAAGACGAGATTGGCATCAGTGACCGTGAGTGGTCCGCCTTTTCGATAACAGGCTGGGCCTGGATGGGCGGACGCGCTGTCCGGGCCGACCTTCATCATCCCTGCCTCCCATTTCAAGATACTACCGCCTCCAGCCGCAACTGTGTTGATGTCTAATTGAGGACTTTGAACTGTAACACCCGCCGTAGTTGTTTCAAACACCTGTTCTAGTTTGCCGGCGTATCTACACCCGTACGTCAGTGGCTAGAGTCAAGGCCAATTAGGAGTATGTTGCAATACCTGGAAACGTCTGTGCTAGTACCGCCCATGTCAAACCCAATGACCGGTGTTCTATCTCGTTCATCATATGCAGTCCTTGCATATCCTACACAGCCTCCCGCAGGTCCAGACAAGATAGCCCGCAATCCCGAGAGACCCGAAAACTCCACAAGGCCACCGTCGCTTTGCATGAATTCACAGCGGCATCCACTTAACCGTAGGTCTTCAAAGCCGCTTTCGAAACCATTGATGTATCTTTTGATTTCGGGGGTAAGGTAAGCATCAGCAGTTGACGAGTTGCCTCTGGGTACAATCTTGACCGTTGGTGATAATTCGGAGCTCAGAGATATATGTGTGAATCCAATCTCCTCAGCTAATTTTCCAATCGATAGCTCATGATCGCGGAATGTATAGCTGTACATAAGACAGACCGCAATAGAGCGATACCCTTCATCATATACCTCTTGAAGAGATCGTCTTGCAGCCTCGACATCTGAAATTACATTAATTATAAGAACGAGATAGAATAATGGTGCAGTTGAATACATACCTAAAGACTCCAGTATTCTTACCGGTTCTCCTGTTATGCCTGAAACAAGTGCCGGGTCTGACTTCACGTCAATTGGCAGGGGTGTTTTCCTCTCGGTCCAAGCCTCAAGCGTAACTCTTTCAGATACTTCGATGACCTTCGAATAGAGCACATCGGGTCTATTTATCATCATATCGAAAAGCTTTGGCCTGGATTGATTTCCGATGTGGAGCAAATCCTATTGATGGTCACTAAATCGCCATCTTTTAACCTGGGGATATGGTTGAAATCATATGTACCTTCAACCCTTTTGTCACAACGAAGGCAGTACGCTCTCCTTTTCGCTCTAGTAAGGCGTTTGTTGCAACTGTCGTTCCCATTTTGATTGACTCTTTCGCAAAGTTAGATGCTATTAACTATCTCTGAATACTATGATGAGATACTACGTACCGACTCCTTTCAGGGATATTTTCTGTCCCTTTGGGTAAGGCTTCCCGGTGGCCTTTTCCAAGACCCGGCGGATAGCCTCAACAGGAGCGTCGGCATAGTTACTAGGGTCTACAGATAGCAATTTGATCAAAATATCATCTTGTCCCGGAACGAAGGCGACGCACTAGCAAAATCCTATTAGTTATCATCATAGTACTCGTTCATAAAGAATTAACTAACGTCTGTGAAAGTGCCGCCACGATCGATCGCGATACGGATGCCCCGGGGATGCTCCGGTAAAGAACCCATCTTAGGTAAAATATCTCCGGCGTTTCGGGGTTCGTAACGCGGGCTTCCCTTTCGAGAAGAGATACGAAGGAATTGACAAGCTATAGCAAGGGATCACCTTTCATATAGCCCATTGTGTCGTATAAACTAAATGCCATTTCTACGGCGGCCTACTACCTAAGATAGGATGCCGAGTTGGAGGTTGACGGCCGGTCGCCATAATGCCTCCCGAACCAATCGGAAACTATCTCTTATGCTCCTCTTGGAGGACTTAGCAATCATCAGTGCCGTTTCCTATCTCGGCCTCCGCTGGATGTTGTGACCATGGCGGGGCAACCTGGAACGTTCTTTGGTGACAAAAAGATAAGGAGGACAAACGAGGGGAGCTCCTCCGGCTGACATTTATTGAGATCATCGCTTCTTAATTACATATCTATACCTTTTTGGTCGATTACTGCTTTACCACAGTAACCCCAGAGGTCTTTAGATGCATAGATTTAGAAAGGCGAGTGATTATCCCGCATTGGTCCATAATAATTTATTTCATGATAGGATTATGTCATCTTAGCATGATTCTATCAGATTAATGGATTAACGGGCCTTAATCTCCCTTTATAAGAATACTAGCCATCTCCTACTTCGTCCTTACTTCGTCCTTACTGCGTCATCCAAGGCCTTAGCGAAATACACAACGTTGCCCTCATTCAAGCCCGCTATGGAAATCCTAGACGTATCGGCCATGTAGACATGGTGCTCTTCTACAATATTATTAGCATCAAAAGAAAGATTCAATATTCGAATAGATTCGCTTACCTTCTAAGTACGCGACCTGCGATGAACTTATTCCAGTGTATCCGAACATTCCCGTCTGTTTGACCAGATGCGACCACTCCCCTGGCGTCTGTAGATTGATCAATTCATCGTATAATCTCTGTCGCATCGACTTAATACGTCCCGACATAGTAATAAGATCCTTAGACCATTGCTCCGCGATTTCGGGCGTGCCTAACACTTTCGCAGCAATCCTAGCTCCATAGGCTGGGGGATTCGATATCGTAGCCCGTTGTACATTCTCGAGTATCGACGACATAGTACGAGCCGTTTCCTTCGAAGATGTTACGAAAGATACGAGACCAATTCGCTCACCATAGAGACCCATGCTCTTAGCAAATGACAAGCAGACAGATGCTTCCAATTTCAAATCCTCCACGAAATACCGAAGCGCCCATGCATCCTCTTCCACCGATCCAGAGTTGAAACCCAGATAAGCAGAGTCGAAAATAGGGAATATTCCGTTCTTTTGAACTAGGCTTGCAATTTCTTTCCACTGTTCGCGAGTTGGATCGCAACCTGTTGGATTGTGGGCACAAGCATGTAGAACTACCGCCGAAGACGAGTTGGCATCCTTGAGGCCATTCATAAAGCTCTCAAAGTCGAAAGCTCCCTTTTTGTAGTAGGGGATCTTCTTGACTTCGAATCCTTGGGAACCGAATAGTAGCGCATGGTTGGACCACGTCGGTTCGGTGATGTATACCGTGGTGATACCGGTATTCGCTTTCTTTAAGGCGAGTCCGGCAAGTAGCAACGAACCCGTGCCCGACAGCGCTTGACATGATGCAACCTGCCAAATACTTAGTTGTTTTGCGACAAAGCTCTCACTAATTCGCTTACCCGGTTGTCATTGAATGCTTCAGTTCCGTGGAAAGCTAGCCTTACAGCCCCATCCCGGAATGATTTCAATCCAGCTATAGGCAGATATTCATGGCCGCAATCTCCAACCTTAGCTTCTGCCATTCGAACAGATGGTAAAACCCATGGATTTCCATTCTCATCGCGATAGGTTCCCTGGCCAAGGTTGACCTTGTTTGGGTTTGTATTTTCCACGTATCTTCTACCCACATCGAAGATAGCATCCGGTGGAATAAGCTCTGCTTTCTCGAACACCGAAGCCTGTGTTACAGAGCCCATAGTGAAAGTGTCGCTTCGAGTAATGCCTTAAGGACTTATACCGGTCGTGTCGCGATAGTACTTGGTAGGAAAGCTACCTATTCTGCGGCAATGGTAAAGTCAAGGGTCCTATAGAAACGCACTCCTTCGTCCCCTCAGTAATTCGGAAGCAAGTTACTTTACTCGGCTAGTTATTGGAATGATGCCCAAAATCGTCAACAAAATATTACCTAAATGCGCCTATCTCCTGCTACTGCGGCGAGTATACCCCCCGAATCCAGCTCCGGCGAGCGGAGCACCGTTTGTTCCACCTCCACTCCGCTTATTTTGGAGATTGCCTAATACGGCAAGCCTCGCCTCGAGCTTCCCCCCGTCCCTAGGATTGGCAGTCCCTTATAGAGCTTTGCTTCCGATTCGCAAGGCCTTGCAGTATCTGGATGTTGACGTTGTACCCTGTTTTCGAAAACCCGAAAAGTTATTGCCGAAGTCATGGCTCCAATCTGCCCCCCTCGAGGAATCTACGCGCCTGTTGTGGCTTTCTTTTTTGAAGATGAGACCCTAGATCTCGAGACGCTTAAAGTTCATGTTACACGTCTTGCGAAAGCTGGTGTAGCTGGTTTGGTTATACAAGGTTCGAATGGAGAAGCACCACATTTGCTTCATGATGAAAGAAAGCAGGTCATTTCAACCGCGGCAGCCGTCTTAAAGGAAAAAGGGAGGCCCGATGCCGTCATAATTGCTGGTTGTGGTGCGCACAGCACTCGCGAGACTATTCAATTATGTCAAGAAGCGAAGGAGTCCGGTGCTGATTACGCGCTCGTTCTGAGTCCAAGCTACTGGGGTGAGTTGTCCTGCCAAGTTATGAGTAGAGTAGAAATCTAGTTGCTAATACTTCATAATGTAGTTGGTGCCATGCAACCTCCTACCATTCAAAAGTTCTTCACCGATGTTGCAAATTCATCCCCCATCCCCATATTACTCTATAATTTCCCCGCCGTAACTGGTGGAATTGATCTGGACTCCGATCTGATTGCGAACCTTGCTTCCTCAAACCCGGGCAAGATCGTGGGATGCAAATTGACTTGCGGAAATCTCGGCAAGTTACACCGCGTCGCCCACGATAAACGTATCCTAAAACCTTTCGCCGCATTCGCCGGGAAATCCGAGTTTTTCCTGCACGGATTAGTGGCGGGCTCGAATGGGTTGATCGGTGCGGCTGTGAACTTCGTTCCTAGGGTACACGTGAAGCTGTTAGAACTTTACGATGCGGGAAACCTGGCCGCGGCTCAGGAACTACAAACTCAACTAAGCGAAACGGATTGGGTCCTCGTGAGATTAGGTGTTGCTGGTTTGAAGGCGGCACTTGAAAAATATTACAAATATGGAGGCGGTAGGAGTAGGCGGCCGCTCAATCCGGTGCAGAGCAGCGCCTTTTCCGGGGACAAAGATGCTATCTTACAACAGATAGTTGACCTAGAAGCGTCCCTCTGATACCTATAAATTGAATATCTACGATCTAATTATCTACGAGACTCAAACCGTAATCCCAAAGTCGACCCTAAAATTCTCGTTCACCTTTGGGCACAACACAAACAGGCTTTACAACTGAACTCATCATTTTCTCATTTAAGCTATGATAAAGAGCTAACTTGGCTCACGAAGTCAACCACGGTCTCCCTAAAAGTCCTATACTTGACGTTTGGGAAATCCTCTTTTACGAGATCCAGGTCGGCCTTAATATGAGTCTTCACCTCCTGTACCCCAGAAGAAACATTTTCTCGCAGTGACGGAAATTTTTCTTTTATGGTCTCCGAAGCTTTCTGATATGTAAATGGCTCCGGCGCAAGCGGGACGTACCGTTTACCTCCGCAAGTCTCATTCAGGAGCGATTGGACATGTATCTCAGCTAAGTCCCTCACATCTATCCAGAAATTGAAACGGCAAGGTGGCAACGGTGTAGATAGTCCGCCGGAGGCAACCCTCCATAACAGCCTGTTAGATTCATTAAGGTCCCGGATTGATGAGGGAGGATTGGCCATTGGGCCGAATACCATCGACGGGCATAATGTCACAAGGTCGAACTGTGGTTTCTTGTCCTCAATGAATTTCCAAGCCTCCTTTTCAGCCATTGTCTTAGAACCCCGATAAGCATCCTGCGGTGTCGCGCTAGGATTCACCGCTTCTTCAAAAGTAATTGGGTTCCAATCCTTGGACGAGTAGGTCCAGGGCAGACTTTCTTCTTTGGTCATGTCTAATACAGCACCAAAAGATGACGTTAAAACCACTCGCTTCACTTGCGATTGGAGGCATGCTTCAAGGACAGAGCGAACACCCCGAATAGCCGGTAATACGAGATCCCTCTCGTAATTCTCGACGTCGTATTTCAGGGGCTTGTTGCCTTGTCAGCTCGGGTTAAGAGGAATCTGGGGAACCCCGGAACTTACACTGGCGATGTGGATAGCCCCATCAATACCCTTGACCGCGTCTTGGAAGATGCCGGGGGTGCTAAGATCATCTATAAAGAAGAAATCCAGCTGCGAGGCGAATTCCTGTCTCGCGGCTAGGAGTGAGTCCGCTTTCTGTTTTGACCGAACGACAGCCCTGACTTTGATGCCTCGACGTAGTAAATTGTCGACTACGTGAGAGCCAACAAGTCCTGTAGCACCCGTCACTAACACATGGCTAATTAAAACGTTAGTTTTTATCACCAGTAAAAGGTATGATGAACCCACGAAAACGCCATTTTTCAACTTCACCAACGAGCTTCACTCTTAGAGGGCACCGTGTTGAACCAACAATAAATCCCCGTCATCGTGTTTGATATCATTTCTATTAAGCAACCCAGCCCCGCGACTCCCCGGCCGGAATACCTCGTTAGCTCCCAGAAGCTCATGAAGGTCCCTCGAGCTAGCCGAGCCAAGCTAAACGGAGCGCAGTAGAGACAGACGGCCTCATACCCCAATGTGGATCCACATGTATCACAGGCTTGGCGGAGCTCCTCCCACTCCTCTCACTCCTCCCGACAACCGAGACCTATTATTCATCAACGCGAACGCTAGAGCATCATTGGTGTCGCGAATACTTGTACGTGATATCTGAACTGGTATTAAATGTGATAATCGCGTCATGTGGCCGATATACCAAATGGCCGATCGCAACTCCGGGGGAGCTCTTAGATCGAATCTGCGGGTGACCGCCGACTTATCGCCGTTCATCGCAACGGGCTGATCGCGCAATCGAGCTCCTCGTCGGCAAGCTGCCCAAACTATCAAACATGTTCGGCTTAATTGATACCGTTCGCATCTATTCATAACCCCCTCCGCAGGTTGCTGCTGTTTCGCAAGTCTTCTACACCCCGCGCAATCTGAACACGAGCTTGTGAAGAAACAAAGAAACCATCACTATTAGAAAATTCCGTGAAGATGTCGTTCGGAAAGATATACACGTACCCGAAAGCACCTCGCTCGACGATGGTGCTTTTTGTCGCTAAATACAACAAGCTAGATGTCGAGATTGTCAATGCTTTCCCCATTAAGATCTACACCGAAAAGGGTGGTGTTGGTGACGAGTACCTTTCCAAGTTCCACACAGGAAAGGTACCTGCCCTCGAGACAGCTGATGGATTCTGCGTCTATGAGAGTATAGCGGTGGCTTGGTACCGTGAGTGCTTCTGGGGCCGTGGTACTTATTGTTATCACACATTCTGATTAGGAAAACAGTGGCCAAACAAGATCCTAACACCAAACTGATCGGATCGAACCTCAAGGAAGAGACCACAATCCTTCGCTGGTCATCTTTCACCAATTATGAACTTCTGCCTCCGATCATGGCCTGGATCAACCCTATCATCGGCCGAGCTCCATCAAGCCCCGAGATCTTGGCGAAACTGGAAGAAGGCTGCGAACTCACCATCCGCGCAATTGAGAAGGAGATCAAGGGGAAGAAGTACCTTGTCGGGGACCACCTAACATTGGCTGATTTGTTCGTCATCTCGGGTTTGGCGAGAGGATATCAATACGTAAGTGCAAATCCCACCGGATTGAAATAAGGTCCTTTCTGACAAGAAAATACACAGGTCTTTACGAAGAGTTGGGCAGAGAAACACCCTATTCTACATGATTACTATATGAGAGTCAGAAATGATCCCGATGGTATTTTTGACAGCATATTAGGGAAGCAGGTCATTCGGGATGAAGCCGGTGGCACGTACCCTGATTACGATGGTCTATGAGATTGCATCGGATAGAGTCCGAAGACGTCGCATTTGCGTACACTTACATCTAATGAAATAAATTCTTTTTTACAATCCCTCTCTATCACTGGAGCTTCAGACTGGAACCTCGGTATGATGTCTGCATAATGTCAATTGTGCTGTACCGGGTTGCTGTATCGGGGTTGAGGTTCATATCGCTATAAATCCAGAGGACTGTGCGCTGTATTATAGTTGACTTCAGCGCATACCTCCTTGTACCTAGGTAGATATAGTGATCGGATCTAGCCGATGAGATCGCGACGCGTCGTACCACCAAGTTACAGCGCCTCGCCCCTGTAATTATAGTGGATAGCTCTATGCACTATAATTACAGGACATCATTTGCTAATTATGACCGAAATTTAGCACTGGACGCCCTGTATCTTCAGCGCATTGCAGCGTAAAGTCACGAAGAATCAATTATCGCGGTACCATCCGTCATAACTGAAGACTCGTTACGATAAACCCTTTCCAGTCACAAAGTATTTGAATTCGGCTAAGACCTTGACTAAAGATATACCCATATAAGAAGCGACATTCCCATCTTATCCCGCGCCCGTACCCGCGGCCTCATGCCGTGGCTCATTGAATACAGCAACGATCCACTCCCCAAGAGGCCAAACATCTCTCATCGCGAACGTCCGTTCGGTCCACTCCAAATACTTCGCCTCGGTAGTACTTAAACCTAATCCTAATCCTAAGTCCTGGAAAGTGCTCCAAATCTGCCCCTTATCATTGCCCTGCGGGAAACTACTAGTTCCTAAACTCAGCGCTTCCGTTACCTTCGCCAGAACGACTTGCGCTGATATAGAGTGTATGTTTGGCTGTCTCAATTGCATAATATCGGTACCGGGGATGAGGGGTTGTTCGAGTCCCAAGGCCATGAGCCGGATAACGCGCCATCCCATCATACATGCTTTGAAGCCGAGCATAGTCACGAATGGATCTTCGATACAGGATGTCTCGTTGGTGGCTCCCATTGTATCGCGTATTATAGAACCCATTGGAGGTGAAGTCAACATCTTGATGACATGCTCGAGATTGTCGATGACGCGGACCACATCCCGATCTTCGTAAATATCACGGTACGCCTTGGCCCGTGGTTTACCAAGCTCCCAAGCGGTTGAGATGGCTGTAGGTAAGCTGTATTCCACGATGCCGCTCGACAGTAGGGCGTCTTGGTGTGTTAGGGATATCGCAGTATAATGCCAAGCCATCCACACAGGGTGCCATATAGTGCTAGTCGGATCGGTTCCGACCACAATCGGCCAAGTGTTAGAACCAGGTTTAGGCATCAATTCTGCTAAGTTGTTGAGTGCTTGCATTATAGGTGCTCGATTCGCCTCCGTGATAATGGATAAGCTATGTCGCGTGTCGTTGCAGCGAACATTGTTGTACAGAAAGGTACTCGCTAACGTCAACTCCCGAGTCATCATTTGAATTTGCATGACTAGCATCAGAGACGCGAATGACGAATACCAGAGTAGCCCGAGCGGACGTGAGCTCGGGTCGGGGTCCATTAGGTGCATCAATGTTTCATAAAGATCACCATATGCTGGTCGAGGATCGAAATTCGCATCGGCGTCGTCTTCTTCATTGAAGGAAAATTCGGGAGCTTGCACTAGCATGTTCCACGCGGCTGCCGTAGGAGCGCACCATACATCATCTCTACATGGCACTATAACATTCGGAGTTAGCCATTGATGTGTTAAATCACGATAACAAATCGGAAAAAGCGACCCAGGGCAGTACCCACATTCATACTTGACCTCAAGGGCCGTTAGCAATGGCCTTACATTGCAACAGACAGAAATTTGTGAATCTATGTAGTATAAGCAATACATGGTCCTGCAGAAAGGTTAGCAACGTATTTCATAAACCAGAAGTAACATACCGCTTTCGCGTTTCATTTTCAATGAACCGATTCCAAGCTTGCTCAGGGGTTAATGAAGGTGGTAAGAGCCCCTGAGGAGAGGCATGACTCTGGACTGGTGACGTCCCGCTTCCACAGTTATTCGTGAGAGCTCCATCCTGAAGCATTTGAAATTGTCTAGCGGCATCTACGACCCGACGATGAATTCTAATACCGGTGGAGTATGTATCGTCCCGGCAGCTATAAATGGCGAAATATTCGAAAAGGATGTATGCTTGTATAACCCATATTTCCCGAAACCTCGATCGGTCCTCTCGGACCTAAGATTAATCGTCAGCAGTCCATAACGTATCGGAAATTTTACCGACTTACGTATTTATCTAAAGTTCGAAGACCAGCTTCGAATAAGGCTAAGCTGATACTATGGTTACCGCCGGGTGCCTGATATAATGCACCAATACAAGCAACAGCCTGTAGCAATGGCTCTCTAGCAGTGGTCACATCAAACGTTGGTTGATGTATCGCCGGAAGAGAAGGATAGAACCTCTCAAAGAATGCTGAGATAAACTGTGGGAGTCTAAATAGCCAAGATATATTCTCCGGAGAGAAGACGTTCGAGGCCGAACTCGAGATCTGAACGCATGATAATCAGACGATTGGATATGGTGACCAATAAGAATTAGAGGATTTGTATTCTCACCGCATCACCCCCTGAATTCTGTGAGGGTTGTTGGTCGAACAAATTCCCAGGGGGGGCATGGGCTGACGATAAGGACTGTATATTATCCTGCCCCGATGGCATGAGCTCAGGGGGGTTGTGCCCGCCCACGGAAGGTTGCTCCACAGTGACCTGTTGAGGATGACATTTTCTTATGTGTCTTTTCCGCAAATCACTACATATAAGTTCAGCATATGTCGAAATCTCACTTCATAGTGATTTCAGACCTTCTCGAAAAGCTCACGTCGCACAAAGGGCAAGGAAACGGTCTTCTGTTTGACTTCCTATGAACTTGATATACGTCAGGATTTTCTGCGTTATATCCTGGGTATAAGTGTTGTACCTGATGCTGTATGGCGATTTAAATTCTCCTAAACGGCGGTCAGATATCATCTAACCAGATCGTTGGTTGTCATACTTGTCTTGTGAAGCGACTCGGGCAAGCAGGGCAGGAGAAGGGTTTATTGTTTTCAGTACTAGTACACTCCATTGGCATAACTTGGTTTTCGTATTACGTCTTCGGCGACTTCCGACTAACAATACAGGAGCTCAAAGACATGTGTTTCTGTCACTACTAATTGATTCTGATGAAAGTGATGGTAATGGCGATGGCAACAGCATCAGCAACAATGGCAACACCGCGTACAAGGAAGATATGACAGCTTAACAACTATGAACAACCATCTTAGCGTGTTATTGTAATATCCGCGGCTTGAGATAGCGTTGGGGTCTTTGTGGGGAAGTCAGAGATACCGGACAAGCTACCCCTGACAGTTCGGGTTGATAAGACTGGGACTAGCGTGACAAAGATGACAGACTTAAGACCTTAGAAGACCTTTAGTTGATTTTCCATAGGCTCTACGATTACCTAGTTGTATTAAGTCGTAGTTTTCAGTCAATAGTTTGCTTGATTGCTCGTGTAAACTGGTTCTGGGATTTATCGTAAGGGGGGGCGTGACCTACTTAGGTACAATCCGAACCCCTCGCCTAGATTGAACGGAACGAAACGTCATAAGGAAATAGGCGTTACTGTTATCAGTAATTCTTTGTTCGCGGATTGGACGCGAATACATACCCCAGGATTGAGGCTGGGCAGGGAGGATCTCTTCCCAGCTTCCCCACAGATTAGTCGGACCCATCGGGAGGAGCTCCTCTCATTCATCCCTTAGCATGGTAGCAATGAGTGTTGGAGCTCCTTACAACCTGGAGCCTTAATCCAACGTCGCCTCAATGTGGATGGCGCCGTGCAGTATCGAAATGGAAGACATGTTTGAGATCCGATCGGCACTCCTGCCAAGTTATACATTGGTGCCTTTCGGCGCCCGGCGTAAAGACGCAATGAAGAAATATCGCTGCCGAAGAGGTATATCTAGATTCGGATATCTCGAGAATCCTGATAAGATAGATAGATAGATACCTTAACAGTCAACGCCCATTCGACTCGAGATAGCATTGCAACTTGAAGAATTAGCATTGTTACGAATATTACCACCATGTCTTTACCACCTTTCACCCCGGCGACCCCCACTAAAGAGCCCTGTAAGTAACCTGCCCCCAGGTGTTGGTAGAATGTTCAATCTAAGACAAGCAAAATAAACAGTGGACTATGTGAAGCTTGTCAATCTTGACCTTTCCAAATTCGATGACCCAGTCGGACGTCAAGAACTTGCAAGAGAACTGTACGAGGCTGCCACTGGATATGGCTTCTTGACACTTACGAATCATGGCATTTCCGATGAGGTTTATGCCCGGCAAATGCAGATCGCCAATGCTGTTATGACTTTGCCGCCGGAAGAGAAGGCTCCGTATGAAGGTAAATTCTCCATCATTTCTAGAATGCTCATAACGCTCATATAGCTAACTTAGATGATAGTTACCCCCGAAGAAGATGCTCGAGGTCTTTACGTTGGCTTCAAGCCGGCTGGTCCTCTTGGCCACAAGGGCGGTTTCCCTAAGCAACTCGACCACTACAATATTCTTGTCCACGACCCCAAGAACCGACCGCATCCTGAAATCATGCGGCCTTATTTGCAAGAAACATACGAAGTGATGCATTTCATCCGAAACAATATCTTGAAGAAACTGCTCACTTTGATGGCCATGATTCTACAAGTCCCCGATGAAGTTGTGCAGGCCACACACGCACCGGGCGGTTCCAAGACGGAATACATTCGCTACATGATGTGCGAACCTCGCCCTAAGGAAGAGAGCGAGAAATACCGTGACATCTTTCTGTCCGGCCACACCGATTGGGGTTCCTGGACTTTCCTCTTCTCGCAGCCTATTGCTGCGTTGCAGGTTCTAGACCACAATGATGGTAAATACCGATGGGTTGAACATCAGCCTAAGGGCCTAGTCATCAACTTCGGCGAGGCGACTGAGCGTCTTACTGGTGGTCTTTTCAAGGCTACTATCCACAGAGTCGTGCAGCCGCCCCCTGACCAACGCCACCTCAGACGTATTGGTGTTATCTACTTCGCTCGTCCGGCCGACGACCGCGAACTAGTACCAATCGAGGGCTCTCCCGTGCTGGAAGCAATGGGGGCTAACAAACCTATTGATGACCGAGTATTCTGCATGGCTGACTACTTGGATGCTCGTAAACATGGCTGGAAGCGCTATGAATATGACATTGATAGGCCTGCTGACCCCACAAAGCACGCTGACTTTTTCGCTGGAGAGTATCCGGACCCAGATGGTCACAAGAGTCTTGGAAAGTTTGATAACGTCCCGAGAGACGTATATGTGCCTGTCCTGAAGACATAATGAATTGGCTAGTTCAATCCATTGGGAGAGTGATCTTGGTTTCCTGGGTGTTAAATTGTGCTTTTACCCCTGAAATCTAGTCTGAATCTATCTACATATTGATTTAATGAATATCTACGACTTCTTCTAACCAATTTCCCCATGGATTGAAATCGGCATTATTAGCACATATTTCCTTTTAGATGTAATATTTGCGGTCTAGATTCAGTTCGACGAAGGCCTCATTAAGTAATACCAATTGTATACCATGTCGCCACATCAACCCGAGTATTCGGTCCTAGGTAACCAACATTGCATGAATCACCTCAATTAACAGGCATAATATGCATCCTCGCCTAGAAACATGTTCTAAACCTGCTTTAGACACCATTGGCATTATTCCAACCGAGCTTCATTTGGTCAGCCGGACGAGAGATACCCCAACCTATGACCTAGACTACAAAAGACCGCATTGACTATTACCACCGTAGATCACCAAGGGGTATCCCTTTGTTCGGTACATATCTTGGATTGCTGACGAAAAGGTGAGTGATAAGACGTGGAGCTCCCCCGAGTTCCCCACTTGGCGATATCTTAGCCCACCAAGGATCCGGGGGTACCTAGGTAGTAGTTAGATAGTGGTACGCATACCCCATACCTTAGCATTTTAGCTTATCAGAAAGCGCGCGCGGCGAGGTTATTCACTACTACCCTTCAATAGGCAACCCGTATCTTCCGTAACCATGTCAATACAAGTCGTCGGGGTAGCTGAGGATCTTCTTGGGTGAGGCTAGCTTGTCGGTTGTCGGATTGGAGCACCACGCTCAGTTCAAGGTTTATCATAAGTTGTTGGTATTAATTCCGAGACGAAAGACACTTTGGTTATTTGAAAATTCCAACTGCTTTGTAGATCAGACTCAACCCCTATCTTTCTCAAGGAGGTTCACAGGAGGTAAACGAGTCTGATACTGCACACGTTCATCAAGATAACATCTACCTCAACACCAAGAACCCTCTTTCCAATCTAGATATCGACAAAATGGCGGCTTTCTCGAAAATAATACACTACTTCCGTGGCGAGTCCACCTCGGCGCTGGAGAAGAAGCTCGTCATGAAAATGGACTTCTTCATTCTTACGTTCTGTTGTTTGGCCTATTTCATGTAAGTTTCGCGATAACAACTTTCGCGTCTCGCCGGATACTAGAAACACTACTAATCTGTTGATATAGGAATTACTTGGATCGAGCGAGTGTTGCCCAAGCCTATGTTTCTGGAATGAGAGAGGATCTCCATTTCGTAGGAGCTCAGCTCACCGAGGTGAATACCATATACGCGGTGGGGTATCTTTTGTAAGAATAAATATTTCGCATGGTTAAAAAAGGATGCCGTAAAGCTAACAAGTTGTTTAGAGGAATTATCCCGAATAATATGCTTCTCACCTACTTCAAGCCCGGAAGATTTTTCCCATTCATGATTGTGGCTTGGGCTTTGCTTACCATTTGCAACGCTGCTGCCGGAAGACCCCAACACTTGATGGCAATCCGCTTTTTCCAAGGATACGCCGAATCTTGTATCTTCGCAGGAACTCAATATGTTCTCGGGTCGTGGTATACCAAGACAGAACTAGGAAAGAGAACTGCCCTCTTCACTGCTAGTGGATTGGCTGGTGGAATGTTTGGTGGATTCTTGCAAACTGGAATCTACCGGTCGATGAACGGACTTGCTGGGTTATCGGGATGGAGATGGCTTTATATCGTAAGTCCTCTAATCCTTCCTTCCAATAGTACAATTGTAAATCCCGAACTAACTCGAATACAATAGATTGATGGAATCATCACCCTCCCGGTAGCTGTTTATGGTTACTTCTTCTTCCCCGATGTTCCCGCCACGACCACAGCCCCTTATTTCAACGAAGAGGAAAGACGGTTAGCGAGAGCTCGGGTTCCAGAAGTCGAGGGAACTCGTATACTCAGTATGGAATTCGCTATGAAGGTTTTCACATCGTGGTACTTTTATGGCTTCGGATTCCTATGGATTCTGGGGAATTGCTCCGAGTCTTTAGGTAATCAATCACTCATGAACCTTTACATGCAGGGACATCCGGAAAACCATTGGTTAGTACATAATCCTCCTATTTATATATAGAATGCTAACAAGTTTCTAGTACGTATATCTAGACTTTAGTGTGATTTGGGAGTACGAAATTGTATGCTAACCAGAATTAGACACCGTCACCCAACTCAACAACTACCCCACAGGTATACAAGCCGTCGGAATAGTTAGCACACTCATATGGGCGCTTTGCACCGATATCTTCGGTAGACGATGGATATCTGGATACTATGTAGCGGTTACAGCAATCTGTGTTGGCATCCTTCTCCTCGTCCCCAATGTTCCAACAGCAGGGAAGTTCGCCGCATACTACTGGTCCGGTTCGATTTACTGTATCCAAGGGACCTTCTTCGCATGGGCCAACGATTCTATGAGATACCAGCCAATAGCTCTTCGAGCAGTCGTTATCGCTTGCATGAATTTCGGAGGAAATGTGTTCCAGGCCTGGTGGCCGTTGGTATTTTATAGGGCTGATGATGCGCCGAACTTCACGGTAAGCGACTCCTTACATAACCTTTGGTACCCGTTGATGTACCTATTTTACTAACTATTGGATAGAGGGGTATGTACGGCCTAATCGGTATCGGAGCCGTCATGGGTATTTGGGTAACAGTGATGTTATATATGGAGAGACATCATGCTAAAAGGCAGCTGGACATGAACATCATCGACGCTGCCGAGACGGCTAACAGTGATATTACGAGCCAGCGGTCTGCTACTGGGGGTAACAAACCTGTGGATAGCAAAGTTTAGGGACCCGGGAAGAGATACGGTATAGGAACGAATGTTTTCGGTATAGGCTATGGGGTTGAAAGGATTTCTAGAAAATTCAATATTCTTGATAATATCTTGTATTAAAGAGTTGAGCGTGTTAACAAATGAGAAAATGGCCCACTGTCGCTTCTAGGGGGTACCATGTGACATGGAGGGGTCTTTGATGACATAATCATTTCGGATGCATCCGAATTTTTCTTATTATTTTCTAAATTATTTTCGGAGTTTCTCCTTCTCTTTTGGATCCATCCGAAAATATCCAACTTATTTATCATGTTTCGGAGCCCATTCCGTCTCGCTTTTTACAGACGTCCGAAAAGAAATCCAAGTCTGCTTCGGTTCTTATAGCGCCATAGATTGAACTACTATCCAGCGGGCGATCGCTCACCAAACTCTTCGCCTTTTGAAGGTGTTTCAAGGCGATTTCGCTAACTTCAAGGGACGTTCCAGCAGCTGTAGCGCTGTTCAGCGCATGTTTTATATCCTTAATAGCGAGCTGCACGTCAAATCCAGCCTTTCCGCCCGGCTCTGGCACGTACGCACCAGTTGTTACCCTCTTTGAGTAACTTTCTATTATCGGCCCAAACATGTCGCCCAACATCTTTTCAAGAATTGCAGGGCCAAGTCCCGTCTTTTCGGCAAAGACATGAGCTTCGCAAATAACTTCCATGAAGGAAATAACGCAGACATTGCCTGCGATTTTGAGTAGACTCGATTTTGACACTTCGGTCCCCATATCTATGACGGAACGTCCCATAACGCCATTTAAATAGGGCACGATCCTTGACGTAGCTGTTGAAGGTCCCGCTGTAACGAAAATGAGCTTTCCCGCCTCCGCCACGGCCGATGCACCAAATACAGGAGCTATGATAAATATCAGCATCCCGTACATTTAAAACGACACCCTTTGTCTTACCCGCGACGAACTCCGCTCCAGATTCGGAAATTTGTTTTGAGATTGCGACCGATGTGTCGGGATGCACAGTTGAGCAATCGACGTACACCTTTCCGTTAATATTGCCCGACGCCACAATCTCATCGGCAACATGCCGAAGGGCTGCATCATCACTAACCTGAAATGCAAGTTAATAGTCATTATTGCGGATATATGCCGACACTTTACATACACATGAAAAGATGATGTCGCTCTTTTTAGCCACCTCGCCAACGCTCTCCGCTGCGACTGCTCCTATTGCCTTGAGCGGGTCGCCACGGGAAATCGTACGGTTCGTGTAAATGAGTGGTGGTGCCGAAGTGCTAGAAAGGTGCTTTTGGAGGTTCTTTGACATCCCGATGCCCATAGACCCCAAGCCAATCCATCCTACCTGAGTTGCAGCCATTTTGGTCGTACTGAAACCTTTTGATCGTCCAGTTTTAAGTACCAAAAATAGGCGGTTAAAATAAGATGGTAGCGTTTTCTTCAAATACATCGTAGGGAGGAGGCCGATTGCGCGAGACTTCGCGCGTCAGTACCGGATGCCGATCCGAAGCTCGCTCCTCCATCACGATAAAAGTGGGCCATTAGTAAGGGGGGAGCTCCGCTGGCGATTTTCGGAACGATCCGACTCCAACATTAGTCACGTCGATAGCAATCGTAGGTCATGAAGCTATCTCGAGTTGATCTGGCTTCTATATAATAATCGGATTCAACAAAAAACTGCGATAATGGCTTTACATACTAATCAGAGGGTTCGAGTTCTAAGTATAAAATGAGTTTCGGCAAGCTTTATTGGTATCCTAAAGCCCCTCGGGCCACGATGTGTCTCTACATCGCCGAGCTTAACAAGTATGTTCTGATATTCATAGTAATTCGTCAATGTACTAACTTTATGTGAAGACTCGATGTAGAATATGTTGAAGCCTGGCCCATCAAGGTTAACCCCAGTAAGGGGGGCGTCGGAGAAGAATACCTATCCAAGTTTCCCACGGGAAAAGTCCCGGCACTTGAGCGGCCGAACGGCTTCACTCTTTTTGAATGCATTCCCGTTGCGATATACCGTAAGCGACATATAGCACCAAGGCGATGGTCACGGGTCAAATCTCATAAAAATCACAGTTGCGAAGCAGAATCTAAATACGACCTTACTAGGATCCAATTTGGAAGAAGAAGCTACAGCTATAAAGTAGGCACCAAGCTAGAATTCTGAATACATTGCTGACCCCTTCTGAAGGTGGGCTTCATTTGCCAACAGCGAATTGCTACCGACAATTATGGCTTGGCTTAACTCCGCTCTGGGCAAGAGTCCCTCATCTCCCGAAATCCTTGCGACAGCAGAGAATAACTGCAACAGCACGATCAGCGTCGTGGAGAGGGCATTAGAAGGGAATAAGTATCTTGTCGGCGATCAATTGACCCTCGCCGACCTCTTCGTAGTGGCTGCCCTATCGCGGGGATACCAAGTCGTAAGTTCCCTATCTACGCTGCCTAAATATTGTCTGTATATCTGAGTAAGCTAACATGTACTAGGTTTTCGCGAAAAAATGGACAGAAGTCCATCCTGTAATCCACGAATGGTATATGAGGCTTAAGAGTGACCCGATTTGGAAGAAAATTGACGGTGAACCATACGTCCTGGATCAAGTGGGAGGCAAGGCCAACTAAATCCACTACCTAGGCATTTATAGGAATGTGGCGGAAAGTTAAATAAATTCATAAACCAGTCGCTCTATCTCATTCGTGTATCTATCGACTGTAACAAACCGTCTATTTTCCCAAAACTTTTTGTGGTACCTCCGCCCCTATACATCGTCTCTCCTTTTCGCCTGTTCTAGAGGTCACAATAGGCGCAAGTAAGCCCCAGGTCCGGAGGCTTTCGGAAGGAACATCAGCGACGCCATACGCTTCCAACCCCTTTCATCACCTTCTTCGGGAACTTCTGGAAGGGAATATTCCTGTTCGATCTGCTCCTTGGGCTTCACAGCGAGGCTTAGGCCCAGGACGTTGGCAACTTCAGAAATGCATGGCCTATCCAAAGAGATAAGCTTCGCAAACATGATCTCATAAGCCTTATCAGAGTACATGACAGACTTGTCCATAATCTTCCCAACAATCCGGACCCAGTTCATGATATCTATCACATCCAAAGACCCTTGCATATGGCGGAACTCGATGGTATTCAAGCGCCTGGACTTTATGACGTCTTTTCTAGTCGTAATCAAGCCGTGGAGTGCGAGTGCTCCTCGTCGACTTCCTTCACGGCATGATAAAAGCCAAGCTAATTGAGTCAGGCCATTGGCTCCCCAGATCAGCTCAGTTGAGGATTTATGTCTTCCGGGAGGCATTCCCATGCCCAAGCATAACTGCATGTTACCAAGTTGAGCGCGACTCAGGTCGAAATCATTTGGCTCATATGCCGTATCCTCTGGGTTCATTTCCGCGTCAATAGGTAGGTCTGGACTATTGACGTCTATCGAAGGTGTGCACAATTCCCCAAGATGGGTATAACCTCGAAGGAGTGCGGCGTATCGATAATTCTTCGACTTCCAAGACGCGTGCATTTCCATCAGGGCTGGCTCCAGAAGATACATGATAGTGGCCGCCTTTTTGGCCGAAACCAAGTTGAAAGGTTCATAATTTGGATTCCAATACCCTGTTCTGCCAACGTGAACGTGAACACTTGACATGTTATGTTTGCGGCCGCAATTGACAGAAACTAGGAATCGCGAGCGAATTCGCTCGCAAACCTTCTTCAGGCCATCCTCCAAGGCGGAAAGCTCCTCGTATACTTTGCTTTTGATTTCAATGCTGAACCAAGAGTAGCGCTGTGGGCCTACGGGTGGTAGTTTGGCCTCTTGAAACAAACTACCGTCAGATCCCCGATACCAACAACCGCTCTCGTCCTTGCAGACAGTCCATTTTTCATAAACTTCGAAATGCCCATCGATGAAATTCCCCAATACGTTGTTCTCCATGTTCAATGTGCTGCTCGTAGCCTCCAAAGGCTCGAAAGTGGCCCTTGGGTGCTCGGTCTCCGCAGTAACAACTTCAATATCTTGAGCGCTACAGCCTGAGGCAGGCCTTTCAATCGTCTCTTTGAAAAGCACGAGAAGCTGATCCCATACAAATCGACGAGCTTCCGAGCTGACCTTCACGTCATCTCGAACGACGGGTATTTTTCTGCCATCCTTGGAGCTATAGAACAGACAGTTCCTCTTATACCAATCATCGGAGGGAAAGCCTAGCCGCTCCTGCACGGAGTCATGCTCCGGTGCTTGAAGGACCGGAATATGGATCTCAATTTCAATGCCGAATGTTAACTTCCCATTCTGAGTGGTCTCCATGGCTTCGGACCTTGCTCCGATTGCTTTCCAGCCTTAATGAATACAGGATAGTATCGAGTATTATCGAATAAAAGTTATTGCCGTGCTAGAGGACTGTTCGGCCTGAGACTCGCTATTGAAACTTGCTCTTGCTAGGTTAGAACTATATAGACACACAAAACTTCAGAGATCAGCCTTTTCATACCTAATTGTGGCATGAGGTAGCAACTGTTGTTGTGTATGACACTGCATATGACACGGAAGAATAAGACTGAGAATGCGAGGTCTCGTTAGATGTGATTGACCGCTGAATCACCATGAAATAGGCCCACACTCACGATCTCAGCCAATACGACTACGAAGAATAAAGCGGCATGGGAGGACCAATACAAATTTCATTGCTAGGTACAATATTGTTTTTATGCGACAATATCCAGCATTCATCTTCTTGTACTCACCATTTATTGGCCCCCAAATTACGACATAAGATGGTGAAACTCCAGCAGGAATACCTTGCAAGACGATCGCAGTCAGGACAAATAACAAGACAAAAAACAAACATTTAAAACTTGGAAGACATAGCTTTCTCTTTAACAAAGACCAGCAATCAGTACCGCATTTAGTGTTATTCCACGTTCGAAATTCGTAGTCCCGATAAATACACGAAAGGATGTCACCGATATGTGGCTAAAATCTCCAACCCGAAGGAATCCATTAGGGGGACATGGCGGACGAATGAGATATCAAAGTCGCGTTATGCAGTTAGGTATCCAGACATGTTACTGTTTGTCTGAGTAAGCCCAAGCAAACATTTGAAATATGTTTCCTTGATAAGGCTTTGTATTTACCCCATGACTTTGTCTTTAGGTTCTGCCGCGACCAAACTTCATCCCAGTTGGCCTTCCATACACCTCGTGGCCCAACCGACTGACGCGTGATGGTTTAATCATGTGATACAAACGATCGAATTATAGTGCAGACGTAAGATTATTGATTTCATATTCCAGAAATTCTATATCACTCAGTCAGGGGGTTGTGTAACACATATCGAGGAGGGGCGAATCGCCCTGACAGTGGCATATTATTCGGGCAGAACCACCAATCAATATTTCCTTGTATCTTGTATGGCTCGCCTTATCTTTCATGTCTGTAAATCCTTTCCCACCTTCCCCCGGTAGCCCCCGCCGTCTCACCGCTAGAAATTACAAGGCCTCGGAGTTCAAAGCCGATTCGCCCTACAGGAGAATATTACCGCATTAACTAAAGAATCCGGAGATTTCTCATAGTATTTTCGATCTTCCCCATATAACATTTATTTGCAAGAACTATGACGCATCTTACGATGATCTCTTCAAGTCCTTGATTGGCGGACTTATGGTTGTAGATAGTCCACCCGGAGCCTCACCCGACCTCCAACAAAGTTGGGCAAGTTAGTTCAGTAATTGAAAAAACTTGAACACTCATAGGACTTGTTTCATTCTTGACAGTAGTTCTCACTCCTACACCGTGCATTCCGTACCACGGAGGAAAATCAAGAGCTGCAGGTTAAAATTATTCCTCGTGACCTTGTCTAGCTCCAGATAGGCCTCAGACTCCTCGCCGATGCATGAAAGATTAGGCTATTGAAAAGAGGCAATGGTGATCATGACGGCCGATGTCGCTATATCCTGCTCCCTGAGCAAGGATTGAAAAGGACCGATCAGGTATGTACATCGCTCTGATGATACCAGAGAAGATGATACTGGTAACACCAGTATGTGCCAAGGTGTGCTTATATAAGCCCCCTATTAACCTTGGCTGGGCTGGCTTTACACACGGTAATAAACACGGAAATATTGTTAAGTACTCTTGGATCTGGCAAATTATTGGAAACTAACAGATGACAAGGCTCCGATTTTACGTCAGTCCGGGCGCCCGAATCTACGATGAGCTTGGCTAGATCAGCTCCACGATACAAAGCCATGCGTTTTACTGGAGTACAATCTACCTACGACGAGCTAGCGCAGACGAACTGCAACCATAATAGCTGCCAGTTGTGCCATTTTCTTTACAGTCGATACCGTACTGGCGCGGCCGTCATCTTCGTAACTGGCCGCCGCTTTGTTGGTCCTAGGGTACCAACCACAGCTATTGCTAAAACATGACAATTAGAACATATCCTTGATCGGTCCGCAATGTGCAAATAATTCGACAAAGCTCAGCGGTTGGGAATGATGCCCTACTTGGTCGTCCCACCCCAACTAATAAGCAACGTTTCACGGCATCTTTGAAACTACCTAAAGGCAGTACGGCGGACGCACCGGAGACACTTCCGGCCGGGGACTCCCGAAGAGTACCTCCATCTCCGCCGGAAACTTATACCACTAGGAAGGGACCCCTCCGAATGAGCACTTGCTCTCCCATTACTTCTAGAACCGCGTCTAAGACATCGCATGAGCCGCTGCTACCCGAGCGCGGAACTATTAGCGTCGTTACGCGCTAAGAGAAATGCCTCAAGAAAGTTACTAGGATAAGGAGAGATTTGATCTACTCGGATATGTCACACTAGGTTCAGGTCTAATTTGACCGTGTTGGTGTTTTTCATAGCGCTAGGCATAGAGGTAGAATAGATCGAAAATGGAGGAGAGGAGGGGAAAAATCAATGAGAAAATGAACTTTTTATTTACTTTTTCGGAGTAAAGTTTCTGGTAGCTTGGGTGACACAAATGACGTAAACAAATATGGTTATGTAATGTTAGGATCTCCCCAAACTCGATGACCAATTCTAAACACAAACTTCTCAATAAAAAAACCCATCAATAGTCTACGAATATTAAACTAAGATGCCATTATTATCAAAGCAATATCAAGCTATTACAAACCCTGATATAGCTTGGACCACTTCATACCCTCTTACAAGCATTCCTCTAGTATAAGACACATCATTCTCGGTCGGATAAATACCCGCACAGCAGAGATGGCCCCAATACCACGCTTGACATCGCGTAAGCTACCATAGTGTGGTATAGTAACTAACGAGCACCGAACTCAAAGGAAAAAAAATTAATTTGCAGTTACATCTGGAAACTCATAATCGACACTAGCTCTCAGCGAGCAGAGAAAATTGATAATTACCAGGGAGGCACGCGAGTTCAGTTCAGCTACAGGGCTGTCAGCGCTAAATATAAACCTACATTAGTGCCAAGCGGCAGGTTTCAATCCCTGATGGTCCCCTGTTCTAGCTATATTCCTTTTACATTTTCATCAAAGATCACACTCCGATCTTTCCCAACACAGGAATATCTTTCTATTCTCACTTTGGTTCGGAACCGATCATTCCATCGATAAGATCGGTGTAACGGCCCCCTCCCCAGCTTTACATGTTATCATAGTAGCTTTAGTATGCTCACAACCAAAACAACAAACACGTTCAATGTTAAGGTGCTTATACTATCCACCGAAGCATATAGGGGACCTGCCTAATAGGGTTTATAATAAGGCATAGCGCAGCGCGGCGGCTCCCTTATGGCGATAGCGCGAATATAGGCTTTTTTAAACCAGACGAACCCTTCAATATTCAATTGCACCATCGAACCCATGGCCGTGGAACGTTCTACTCTCACAAGACGCCGCAAGATGTGACCCGCTAGCGACGAAACGCTCTTGAACGCCGCTATTGCGTGATTGGTACTAACCTCTTTTTACTGATCGCTTACAGGGTACGAGCTATGTGTGCATGGCAATCGGCCCTGTAAGGATAAGAAGAAATACAATGGGCGAATGTAAAGCGTAATAGGGCGAACCGTATATTTGATGTGGTATCGGTCGAATTGGAGAAAATAAATAACCAACAGGGCCCTGATGATACCCGGGCTCACCATACCGCGTGACACTCGTGCCGCATTCACTCGTTAATCAATGGCTTGAAGTTTAAAAAGAAGCTTAAAACTATCGCCAAGTATTTCCGACTTTTTTTTTAAGCATCATTCGAACCACCTTGGGTTAAGTCTCGTCTTGGAGCTGCAAACTAACAAGATGTCTTCCCGCGATTCGGATGCTGCCGAGAGCGAGGCCAAGGTCGCTAGCGCATTACCTACAGCTGAGCCTCCAATTAATCGACGACCTGAATCAATTCACAACAAGGACGCGCTTAATCAAAACAAAGAGAAACTTGCTATTGAAGAAACCGTCGAGGCCGACGCTGATCTCGAAAATGAGGACGATCCCGAGATCAGCCAGATTCCCTACGAGGTCAGGCGAGTCGTTAGTCTTCACGATGATACGACTCTACCTACTTTGACCTTCCGGTATTTCCTGCTCTCCGTCATCTTCGTTATACCCGGAGCCTTTCTGTCTGCTATGAACAACTTCCGAACCACATACGCGCCTTACTCCGTCTTCTTCGTTCAAATTGCTACCAACTATGTCGGTCTATGGCTTGCACGCGTCCTCCCCGCTCGCCAAATTCAGATTCCTTTCACCAAGCGCAGCTTTTCCCTGAATCCTGGGCCATGGTCGATAAAGGAACACGTTCTTGTTACCATAACAGCAGCATCCGGCGCGACTGGTAACCTGGCTGTTGGCCCTATCGCCCTTGGGGATCTCTACTTCAACACACGACTTCACCCCGCGGCCGCCATCTTTTTCATGTGGTCCATCGATGCTGTGGGCTATTCCTTCGCCGCAATCGCCCGCCAGGTATTACTATACGAACCTGCATACCCGTGGTTCCAGGCGCTGTGTCAAACCGCTCTTTTCGAAACACAGAGCAAGCAGAACAAAAACCCGGGTCCCACCGCTCGAAAGCAGATGCGCGTTTTCTGGTTGGTGCTCCTTGGCGTTACTCTATGGCAATTCTTGCCCGAGTATGTGTTCCCGATGTTAAGTTCCATGGCATTCCTATGCTGGGTTGCTCCTCACAATCCCACCGCCAATTTCCTTGGGTCCGGCCTCGGTGGTATGGGTTTCCTTAACCTAAGCTTCGACTGGGCCAATATCTCCAACTACCTCGCTGGTGTCCCGCTATTTTTGAGTCCCTGGTGGTCGCAAGTCGTTTTATTCTTTTCCTTCTTCCTGTCTTGCTGGGTCTTACTTCCTGCTGCGAAATGGGGAGGGCTGGGCAACTATCCCCACTGTCTTATGACGAATCGAGCTTGCACGGCCGATGGTTCTAGATACCCCGTCACCGACCTTGTTACTGGCCAGGATACCTTCAATCAGACAGCTTACGAAGAGAACGGACCGCTTCATCTTGGTGTCCATTACTTATGGGCTATTTTCTTCGACTACGCATCATACGTTTCTGCATATGCCTGGATTGCCTTTTTCGGAGCTAGCCAAATTAAGGAGGCATATAAGAAGTTCCGTACCCGCCAGAAAGTCAAGGGGCAAGGAATCAATCATCAATGGTATGTTCAAAGATATCCCCCTTTATCACTTCTTCAGTATAGCCGAGAAGCACATCCGTTCTGTATCAGAGCTAACTTCGCTATAGTATGTTACCTCTTCATTACGTTATCGCGTTGAAATTTCCCCCGATTTCAGCGGGGATGCAAATGCACGCATAACGGCAATATCCAAATCCACCCATCGTATGAGTTGCTAATGCGGACATCTAGACACGGATCGACTCAACGTACTTATGCGATCGTACCCAGAGGTTCCTCTCTGGTGGTATGTCACGTTATTCCTATGCAGTTTCGCATCCATTATGACAATGGCCGGTCTGAATTTAATCTACGTTCCCTGGTGGACTGTGTTGGTGGCCTTAGCGACAGGAGCTCTGATCGTCGTGCCGCTCGGCTGGTTATACGCTATATCGAATTTCCAACTCCCGATCGGAACCTTCAATGAATTGCGTAGGTTGACCCCCGATCACCGCCTACCTTATATTTGGACGAAGCTAACAATGTTCAATGTTAGTCTACGGCACAATGGTGCAAAATATGAGTACCCACCGTAACCCAGTAGGAGCTGGTGTAAGTCTACCTACAGCTTTGATTGACGTAATATGTACTGATTTTATTTATTAGATTTATGGTGCGATAGCAGGAGACGGTACGTAATATGCACTCGAAATGCACTCAATTTGAACTATACCCCTCTACTTATTATTACGTAATCATTACTGACTCTCGCGCAGCTTGGTATAGGTATGATCCTTATCCGTCGAGATTTATTATGATTGAAACCAGTTAAATGCTATAGAATTATAAGAATCTAACCCGTTTGAATCTAGGGCTCAGGTATGTTAGAATATGCTAGCCTTAATTTCTACCCCTATTATCCACCCCTTTTTATGCGTTCAATATGAGGAATTTCTAGCTAACTATTACGCAGTACGTTAAAAAAAACCCTTTACTACACCCCTAGCTGTTGGTTTCGACCAAGAGTCGAGAAGCAACACCCCTCCAAATCCACAGCATCGATATACTAATACACATGTTTTAAAAAGGTACCAATTACAAGACCAGAAGATCGCACACTACATGCACGTCCCACAGCGAGCCGCATTTTTCTCGCAAGTGTTTGGTATCGTTCTCGGTGTACCAGTCAACTATGCCGCGATGCGTTGGGTCGTCGATGCTAAACGCGATTACCTAACCGGAGCCGTTGAGGATGCTGCTCACATCTGGACAGGCCAGGCCTTAACTAGTTCCCTAACTACAGGTGTCCAATACGTTTTAGTCGTGAGTGCCCCTATTGTCATTCCATTCAGAAGTTCTAGATATCTTAAACCACAGTACTAATACCAAGTGAACAGGGACCAACCCGGCTCTTCCAACAAGAACAATTCCGCCCTCTCCCATACGCCTTCCTCGTCGGCGCCGCCTGCCCAGCCGTCATCTACCTCCTCCATCGCCTCTTCCCCCGCGCGAAGTTCCACCTCTGGAATACCACCATTTTCTTCAGCGGCGCGTCTATCTTCTACGGTAACGTATCCACGGGATACTTCTCGCGTCTAATAGGCGGTTTCGTCGTCATGTACTGGGCATACCGATACCGATACCAGCTCTGGGCTAAATACAATTTCATCCTAGCCGCTGCCTTCGACGCCGGGTTTAACTTAAATATGTTACTCATATTCTTGATATTTGGAAGCGCAAAGGTCATCGGTATGCCGAATTGGTGGGGTAATGATGCGGGGAATGTTGAGAAGTGCTATGCTTTGGATTAGGACTTTCATTCCACTAGTTTTGCACATGGATATCAGGCGAAACGCGGATTGGAGATAGATTTTGGGTCTATTAGACGGGTTAGCTTGGGTTTAGCATATAGCGGCCTGTGTACTGCAGCGATTTAACTCGGATAGCGGCGTGTCATTAACACACTTAATACCAACCTTAAATTCATTACCCTTTAGTGGACAAGAACACGTTACCCCTTGTTTACATAATCACTCACAAATGCTCAGATGCCTTCGCACGCTTAAGCCATAGGAACTAAACATTGACGCGTCGAGCATCCTGCTAAAAGACTCAAGTGTCGGTAGGTGCCTACCTAGGGAATCAACCTTCAAGCCCCTTTTACTAATGTACAGTGTGAAGAAACAGTACGTCCCCACCAAGTTACTGTACCCCTGACGTCCCACCTCAACGAGAATGTATTTTCTTCTTCACGTCCCGAGAAAACCTCGAAGACCGCAATGGAAAAAAAAAAAAAAAAAAAAAGTAAAAAAATGAATCGCGGCTAGGCCACGAAAGGTCTCAAAAACTAAAGTAGTAGTAGTTTATAGTCAAAGGAACCATCGATAACCAGTCACGCGTCCCAAAAAAGGAGGGGCATCATGGCTACTGATTCATCTATGGACTGTAAGTGTAAATCCTGTACACGGTCAGCAGACTGGGCACAGAGGAAAAGGACCAGATACCTCTCATTTTGGCGGAGAGGGTGTCGTGTTGTTGTTGTATGTTGTTGTTGTTGTGTCGTCGGTTCGCGTAATAGCCTCCCGCCCGCCTACATCAAAGTGTTGGAAGTTGGGACAGTTGAATGATTCCCACCGTCATGGTCTATCAATCCCAACCCTAAAATCGAAAGAAAGGATCGTCCCACCGACCCCCCTTCAAACAGACCGGACTTGCAAATAGCACACCCGCCCGCCTAAAAAAATATAGGTAGTTAGGACTGTTGAGTGGTTCCCATCGCCATAGTCTACCATCCTAACCCCTCCTTATGGAATAAAAAATTTCCCACTGTGCCTGTCTTAGGTACAGCAACGGCCTAACTCTTTCTATCACGATGCATGAAAGCTGTTGCTAAAAATATTAGTTGTTAGTAGTGTTGAGGTTGTCGTCGGAGGTTGTCGGAGGTTCGTTCGCCGCCCACCCTCCCACATAAAAAAGTCGAGAGTTGGGACTATCGAACGGTTTCTATCGCCATAGCCTACCAGTCCCAACCATCCATTTAAAAAATAAAAATCCCACAGCATGTCGACCTGGTTTGATGAACTTAGTGGGAATTCGCAGAAGTCCGTGAACTCGTAAATTGGGAATGATAGCCAGCCCCACTTGAGAAATGAGATAGTGATGGTGGTCATGTACAATGGTCGGTTTAGGATATGAGGATTAAAGATGAATAAGAAGATGGGGGCAGGAAATGATGGGATGGAATAAAAGCGTAGGGTATCAGTGTATGCCATCGACATCTGCAATTAGTGGTAAAGATAGGAGCAAGTAAGATGATGTGAGGTGGAAGAGTATGGTGGGGGATAGGAGACCGTAGTAGAAGATGGTAAAGCGTTATGATAGAAGATAATGGCGATGATTGGGCGGGATGATTGAATTGATGGAGTACGATGATTGGTGAGGGTGAGGATGATGGAAAGTAGGAATGGAGCAAGAGGTAGTAGAGGGGCAAGGTGGATGGTTGCAGAGGTAGATAATAATTAAAAACAAGAAAGGGAAAAAAATGTATGAGTAGGTAGAAGTATGACTTACAAATGAAAAGTGTCGTAGTGTTGTTGTATTGCCATTATGTTGTGTTGTGTGTTGGTGTGGGAGGAAAGAAGAAAGGAGAATAGAAGTGGTGGGAAGGGCAGATATATATATGAAATGAAATCTCAATTGCTGATTAGAATTTACTGATTGTGAATGGTGTTGATCCAGAAAGCAGATTTTAACTTTTCGCGTTCACAAGAAAAAAAATAAATGACTGGCCAGAAAATAATTTTGATTTGGACATTTAGAGTTCGAGTGCCAAAATACACGCGTATAGACAGTGTACATGTACCTAGGTATTTTAATCAGGCACTGATCTAAATCGTGTAGGGAAAGTACGGGGGATGCCTAGTTGCTACACTGTATCTACTAATAATATCACAAGTACAAGGCTGATTTGTTCCTTCCCCCTTTCAAAATTCGTGATTGGCCCATAAATTAGAATCACTCTTAAACCCAGGAGGCTGATCGAGTTTATTTTCACCTTAAAATTTATGATTGGTCCATAAATGGTGCTTGCCTCTGAGACCACGAGGGAGATTTAACTTCACTGCCAACTTAAATTCATATTTGGCCAAAATCAGTAGAGTCGAGTTCTTGCCTTGTGATTTAATCAGGCAAATACCATGTAACAGTTAAAATACATGTTATTCACTTCTTCAAATACCTGGGTACATAAATAATGAACTTTGTGAAGGGGGCAGTGGAGTGTACATAGATACATATAATATGAATAGGGGGGATGTTCGTACCACAAGTACTTCGCCTACCCTTTAGTCAGATAAATGTATGTGTTCACATAGGATAATATAATTACGTAAATACATTCTTAATTATAGACAAATAATTGCCTACAAATGCTGTAGTAATTAAGATTACAGTACGTGTCCTACAATATCAATATCGCGGTGCCAACCACAAATCACACTCGTCTCTGCTGAATGATAATATGAAACTACTCTATATAGCGCTACTATGGAAATTCTGGCGATGCTACAGGTGCGCCAACGTAGTAGGTGGATATTAAGGTTAGTTAGTCATCAAAGACCTGAAAAGTATCATGACAAGCTACAAACTTAAAAGGAAAAAATGGCAAACTGGTTGAACTCTCACTCTAAACCTTTAAAATCCCTCTTCGGACCACCCTAACATATTTTCGAGGTGCTCCTCGTCTTCTCACATACATACATACACGACAAACATTTCAATAACAAATTATTACGAGCTCCCTAGTTGCGCTCCTCTTCCCTTTATTATCTTGCACAGAAATTTAACAATATTTCCTTTGGTGTCTAATACAGCCACTATGGCCCCTTTTCTACGCCACTATATCTTTTGGGCTATACCGACGGACCTTAGTGATAAGCATCTTGGCGACGCAGATAAATTGGTCGACTGTGATCCACGATACGGCCGCGATAGCGATTTTTACGATCAGCGCTACGCCCAATCACCAATAGCTGAGCCCCTTTCCGATAACATGGTACACCTGGTGCGGTCTCAACTAGTTACCCTGTTCTACGAATCTATCGCATATGGCCACCTACAAACCTTTGATTTTAAGTACGGATGGTACGAATATATCGGTAATGGTATGCGATCTTACGGCCAACCCCGTTTGCACCCTAGAATGTTCGTTCCCCGTAACCCCAGTGTTCGGGGACACCTATTGGAATACGCAGACGTGCAAGTTGCTGTTTATTTCGATCAGCTTAACGACTATTCGCCGTTTCACGAGGGGTTTTCGAGTAGAACGCTTGGCAGGTACATCTGGAGAAAATGGTTTCAATGGCATGACGGCCGCCCGCCTTTTTTAGGTTTCAGCAGTTTGCTAAGCCCATCGGCTTAACGGGAAGCGAGCCCAGGGACATCAAAGGCATACGAGAGTTCCACAGTAGCCTTTGCGATGTAATTTCCATTGGATTAAGCCAACAGATGCTCCCCAAACCAGGTTCACCGACGTACCACCCTGTCCAGCCGTGCCTACAGCCTGGGTGCCCGGAACAGCCACAGCTCATCATCCGGAGGACGTATAAAGAACAAGGCCAAGAAATGGCGCACTTGTTTCGAGCAATCGTCATCATTGTGGATAATCAAGTGATACGATATAAAGAGCCCGAATTCCTTGCTCTTATACGTACAACCGGCTGCTATGAGACGAGACTCCCAGATACCCAGGGACGACGGGATTGGAACGTTTCCCAGGATGCGGTTCTGTTGTTTAGGACGGGAGACGATGCACATTTAAGTTCTCCCATTAGCTTCCAGTCCTTATATGACCCAGGAAAAGCATTGCCGGTGAACAGACGAAATTGCGATGATGATGGCACAAATGTAGTCCGAGTCAATATCGATATAGCGCTCGAGTTCATTTTGGACCTAATCGTCCGGGAGCGGGAAGCGATACCGTCCGTTGGTTTGGCAGCCGCGACAGAGTACAGACAACACCTGGAAGTCTGCGAAAAGTGGGTTGATGGTGTTATGGATCATGCTGGAAGAGTTGGTATCGACACAAACGGCTTTACGTGGCACGCTGTTCGTCGAGCTCAGGCCGCGCAGAACGGGGAGGCTTTCGATTATTACCAAATCGAGCCGACGTGGAACCATCTCGGTGTAATTAATCTACCATCCGGCTAGGCGATAATACCTAAGAGATTATTCCGGTACTAACCACCCCCCCGAGCTTCACAATCCACGATGAAACATATTACTTTTTTTGTATCCTATGGTTTCCATGATATTACGCGGAGATGAACCCCCCCCTTATCTGCAGAGTAATCGTAGATCGCTCGCCAGGTTTGCCAGTGACCCCTTCTAAGGTATAGTTTCTTTTCTTTTTATTTTCCTTCCTCCTTTTCCTCTTCTTCTTTTTTTCCTTTTTCTTTATTCTCGCTCTTCCTTTTTCCCTCTTAGATTACTACCTACCTATACAGTTATATACATGACAGTACCTGATTTCCATAGTTACATGCTCAAATATCTATGAATTGTGTAAATAATATCACATTGATTAGTAGCGAGTCTAGTTATTTTTGTACTTTGAAATTAATATAGCTATTCAATATTGGTGAGAGTTATCGAATTATGTTACTACATTAACACAAGTTGCGTTACTAGATGAAGCATCTACATATATACATTTTGAATTATGTAAGTAGCTGGCTTCGTCACATAGCTTATAACACAGGTTACAAGAGCCATTAGACATCAAAATAAACTCCTTTAGACCACTCAGTACAGGTACTTCACAAATTCCGATAGTAAGGTAGAGTGGTACGACATAAACACGCCAGTCTTGTGATTAGCGACGGAGGACGGGAGAAAGCCATCTCAGTGTTGTTGGCGTGCCCTAGGCTTCCGCTAAGTATGTAGATAAGACGTAAATTTGGGTATAGAATCAAGTAGGTATGCATACATTCAGATCCGTTTGTCGCACCAAAACCAACTACCCACTTGGTGTACCAAAAATCGACACTACCAGCTTTGAATATCATCGTCATATAGGCATATATAGTACTAGCGACTAGTATACTCCTCAATGAGGAGTCTTTAGGCTTGACCGCCGCTTATTAGTATCGTGAGCTTAAAGCCTATCGAGTTGTTTACTGCCCCTCTTTCATCGGGTACTATTCTTCGTTAAGGTACCTACGCAGCATTGGCTTTGGAAGTACACGATCCGGTCTAACTTGAAATATGACATTGGCTTGGAGTTTAGAGGTTACAGATAGAAGATCGTTGATCTACCGGGGGAAGATCCGGAGATCGTTGGGAGGCTTATTTCTCGTATACTGATTTTTATGAGGATGGTATCCATCTAATGCCAAACCACTTAACCTAAATACCATTATGTCGCCATAATACTTGTGAAAAAGAAAATATTCTCTCGTGGGGATACCATTTAGGTCTCGTGATACACTGAAGAAGAATGAACAACTCGCTTCATACCCACACATGCAAATCTCCAGAAAGAATATGTTAAAATATTTGGAGGTCGAATAGAAGTTTTTGTGTCCTGGTACAACCCCTCGATTTATGGGAACAGACTTGACGCCGCGTCGGCGACGGAGGAGAAAGACGAAAAGCTAGCGTGGCACCAGTCGATCACGCCGCTATGGATACTAATGCAGCCCAACGAGCCCGTTACTACGTACCGTGCTTGAAACTACGCGATGGAGCTGGTGTTGTGATGTTAGAAACTTTCCGTTTAAATCTACGCGATGGGGATCCGTCCTGGTGGGTTTGATGCGAAAAACAACCGCTCAGCCACTTCGCATCTGCGTTTACGTGGCGAGTGAAATGATGCCAGCAGTGTCGTGCGTGCTTATGTGGGGGAATACAATGGGCTTGGCGGGTCATTGAGGTTATTGATGATACACTAAATGAAGCGAGGGAAGCATAGTAAGCTGGACGGTCTCGATGGGTACAATACGCGACAGCCAGCAGGCGAAATATGTTGGATTTGTAGCACTTCTGGTAGGTTGATACTATTATTGCGGCAGAATTGCAGCAAATTCCGACCGACGCTTGTATGCGGTACGCTTTTCCGAATTGATGAAATATTTTGGAACGAAGGATCGCCGGAAATGTTCTGGTGATCACGATGGCAACAGTGGGATGAGATGGAGGATAGGAAATAGAGAACCTTGGAAGGATGATTGTTGTGTCAGCGAATCGCATGTCTCAATCCATCGGCCAGGATCGTGAGGTTATTCGTCGGGTCGGTCATCTAGAACCTCGTAATCTATGACGAGGCTATTGAACGGGATGATGATTGTGGATGATTCAATTGCCCCGCGTGTACGTGAGCTGGGTTAAAATGGACGGATGAAAAGAAAATTGATAGAATGATTGATAGAATTAAGATAACGATTTGATTTTAGATTCTAAATCAGGAGTTTCAACATTCGGATCTCGGAAAGCGTTATCGTGACCAACTAGGTACCTAGGTAACGGTCCGGATAGATCCTTTTTTATCAGAGACACTCGGACTCGAGATGCTTTCAGAAAGGACACGGACGCTGTCGCAACAAATGAGGGGATAATGAGACCCGAAACATTAATAGACGACTTATTACTATTGATAAGATTAACTGTAAAACTCCAATGATACAATTGGCGAAGGTGTATAAGCGAAGTCGAAATATCGAAACATTGACAAATGTTGTAGCAAGAGCAGTCGCAGGATTAGTTAACTCGTTGCCCCACCGAAATGAGTTTTGTTTACTTTCGCGGGTTGTCGCAAAAATATCTAGAAAAACAATCCTTTCCTTCCTTAACATGGATGACAATCGCTCTGGACCTGGTCAGAAAGAGTTATGGATTATTACCCCAGACTCCTTCCTGCGAGGATTGACTGTCGGTAATTGGGAGATTTATCCATCCCATCGCGACTACCAAACCTAGTACGAGAGATATCACACCTTAATTTTATTTTAAGTTAAGACCCTTTATGCTGCAAGAGGCCATCACCTGACGCCTGCGCAAGCTGCACGTGGGGAACGAGAAGGAGCTCTCCAATAGGCATGTGATGATGTGAGATCGCATCTTAAAATAAAAGACAAAAAGGAAGGAGGGGGGCTCACCTCGGAAGGAAAGGAAATACTTATGGTCCGAGCTTTTCAAGCAAAAGGTCTGGGCAATTCAAGGCAATTCAATGGAGCGAAGATTCCGAGGGGCTGCGGAGGGAATCATAAGCCATCCTGCGATGGGCGCATGAATCTCAATAATGAGATCATAATATTAACCCATCGTATTAAGATTATTGTTTACTTGACACACTATTTGTTTATTTCCGTTTTTGGTATATTTTTCATCTTTTTCATTTATTTTTTTATATCTCCTACAATGCGCTTAATAAGGGGAATGTGATGAGTTTCGTTGGGATGGTTATTAATTCCAGATTTGTTCCGATACCGACTCGCGAGACGTCAAGGAGAGAGGAGTTAAAACCAAACAGAAAAAGGGGAAGGCTACGGTGATGGCCGGCGTCTTTTTTCTGCTACTACTTGTCTGAACATCCCAACGCTGCGGGCTGACAACTGGTGGGGGTTGTTTGAGGCTACGGGCTATGTAGCCGCAACTGGGACACGACTGGGGGGTACCGGGTGTACCTGCGAGCTGCAGGCGGGATGGGACCTCAGAGAGAGAGTTTGATGGGCTGGCCGGCTGGATGGGCTTGGATTGGGTGGTCGGGATACCTCACACAGGTACATTATGTACCCTAACTTAGGGCGAGATGGGTAGTACAGGGTCGGGATCAGCGCGCATCAGACGACATCCACCATGTGGCTTGTGTTCCCACTGACAGATCAATACTTACAGACGTACCCTCCAAGGTTTCGTATTTGATTGGACCAAATCTACACGTACATGGCATATGTACTTTTAAACCTACATGCATGTACATACATACACGTAATTGAGTGCGTGGATACTTGATTTACCTGTACCTAGTATTTCCAATTGTCAATGTCCAATACGATTTGGTGGTTATCCGAGCTGGGATCTCACGTTGGACAATGTTATTGAATTTGACGCAAGGCGAGCGAGACGGATTTACCAACACAACTTCCCCCCCCTAAGTTGGTTCCGAATTCACAGCCAAGCACCATACGAGAAACATAAAAAAATCTCCATTACTTTGTACTAGTGAATTCTAATTGTAAGGGGGAATGCATCTGCAACCTTTTATATAATCCCATGGTTAAGAGGCAGGAGGCGGGAGGGAAAGAAGGCGGTCAATGGATGATGAACAGAACGACGAACCATTGATGTGCGAGTACAGTTAACTTTCCTTGACGCACGGACAAAATTTTAGACTAGGAACAGGGAAGTACCTGCCAGGGTACATGCTTTGTGGCGCACTGACTCCACCACACGCGTCTCGAAATAAACAAAAACGCGCTTCCCGGGACCCCTGTCAAGTGCGTCCCTTCTTCCTGCACGATCTAGTGAACCACATGTACTGTACTTTCCCACTTGGCAGCCTGCCGACCGCTCCTTTTCTAAGAAATCCCCATCTCCAAATCCAACCTCTCGCCGACTCCTGATCTCCATCTTTTTCTCTAGAATTTCGCCACAAACAACAGTTGATCTGTCAGGAGTTGCGCGCGCCTAGCCCAACCAGCCTAATTCGCACAACTAAGCCGCGTGCATACATACATACACCCGTAGAGAACCTCTTCCGTTCCCGCTCGTTCTTTCCCACTCGACGCTTCCAAACTATCAAACTATCAACCCACACGCAAACTCAATTCGCCCAAGGTTTCGACTACTGCGTTGAACTCGATTCAGACTGAATGGCGGAGACAGCACCTGGTGCTATTAGTGTGTGATTGCTGGAGAACGAACTTCGGATATTGGAGAAGGAAGTTATCAAGGGAAGGAAGTGGTGATCCCTTTAGTCTCACTTCGAAGTCGAACTTTGATCCAGCATGAACCGTTGAAGAAACAACTCTTCCACTGCCCTTGCTTGGTTTGACATTCCACATGTCCTTGATTGATTAGTAGCACTGCGTTGCATTCCTGAACTGACAGCACCAATCCTCTTTGCCTTACGATTTTCACGATTATCGCTTACGTCGCGAATTAATATCTAAGTCGGAGCCTGGTTTCGAGTCTCTTTTCGGCAGTTTAATCTCAACTCCACGCCACCAGGTCTTCCGCTACTATAATATCGCCGACGCACTCACTATCGCCGACCTTGTCGCCAACAATATTGACGATCACTTGATTGTTAAACCCATTACGACAAAAGCACCTTCCGCGCTCGAGCTGATCCGCATTTTTTTGCACATGGTTTTGACTTTCCCAAAATGTCCAATAGTGGTGGTACTTTGACTCTTCCGTCACCTACGCACCCACATCATCATCATGTGGATGTACAAGCTGGACTACGATCATTGAGAAGGTCACTTTCCCGATCACCCTCAAAATTTTCTCTGGCTCGGACTGCTTCTCAAAGTAGCTCTGACGCAGGGTCCTCACCTTCGTCCCCGTCAATTAGGCGCGTACAGTCCCAATATTTTGGGCAAAATACACCTTCCGGAAACCAACCACACACTCAGTCGCCATTGGCAACGCCTTTTAGACCCAGTGTGAGATTGTCATTAAGGTCTGGAAAGTCAACAAAGAATCCCGCTGCAACTTCTAACACAAACAAAACATTTTCTCGACATCGCACATCTCCCCGGAGCCCCTCTCGAAGAGCTCTGAGTCAAGTTTCCACTTCTATAAATTCCGTCCCACCTACATCATCATTATTAATTGATTCTGTGTCTTCTGGACAAGAGAATCTAAATATCGCTCGTACTCGCAGCCCTGCGACTCGTAAGGCTGCTGAGAAGGTCGCGAATCGACATAGTATGCACCTTGATATGACCGGTTCATCTTCCCAATTCAATATGGCGCGATTTAACGACGCGAATAAAACCAACAGTAATAGCGGCGCCGCTTCTAACATTTCGAGTACTTCTATTGCGAGTCCGCTGAAGCGCAGCGATGCTACTATGAACCTCGATCAGTCTCTTTCGGGAAGCCCGAAGGCGAAACGTCGTAGCTGTGGTCCTTCAAGCATGACTCTTGATTTTAATGTCTTCGATCATGGTTCTTCTTCACCAGGCATGGAAACCCAGGATGACTCGGCTCGCGAATACGATTGGACTACTTCTTCGACCCATGTTTCTGAGCCATTAACACCATCGCATCCAGGAACGCGTAGAGCTGGCTCTCTTCGAAAATCAACACTCCAGCAACGCGAGCGAATATCATGGGGTAAACGCTATGCTTCCCAGCAATTATCCCAAAATTCAGGAGATGCGACTACGCCTCAACGTGAGCGAACATCATTAGGGAGACGACAGATGGTGCAACCGCTTGGACAAGGTCCCACCGAGACCATGACGCCAAATGCAAAGAATCGCCCGCGATTGTCCCTGGACCACTTCGTACCTCCCACTTCGCGGGAAAGTCCATTCGGCACACCTGCCGCGCTGCCGAATCCATCGGCGCACATGCTAAATCAACAAGCCCACCAGCCGCACCCGCTTTCCCGTGCGATGACTACTTCTTCCTCAAATTCGAGTATGTCTCATGAGTCACCGACGCATTTTCCGATGCCAGTTGCTGAAAAGTCGAGAGCTCCCATGAATTTCTCCAAGAGTCTGCCTATTGGTTCTCGCCCACAGCTTGAGAGGCCAAGTCAAGCCAGCGTTTCGACGCCGGATTACAAGCATGAAAAGCCATATGAGGGAGCTTTCGCATCGACTGGCTTGGTATCAAAGATGAATCGCAACCCGGAGTTAGCACTCCCTGGCCGAGGATACGGGAACGTTCCCGACACGCCCTGCAAGAAGCATCCAAGCGGCTTCGCTACTTACCCGCCGCTTCCCTTAACGGGTAATGCCAAAGCCAGAGGTAGGCATATTCGACACACATTCGGCATTCCGTCGACGCCTTTTGACATTAGCACGCCGAACCGATCAGCGAACCTTTTCAGCGACCAGACACGACCTGTACTCTTCGGTGGATTTCCGGGCCACTCCCGAAAAGGAAGCGCCTTGAGCTTATGTAGTGATGATGGTCGAAGCCCCTCACGATTAATCGGCAGTAGCGATACCAGTAACGATGGCGATTTGCCGCCGACACCTACGAAACAGCAGACCGTACCGCGAACTTCCAGCCGATTAAACCAGCTATCGAATGAGAGCCCTACATTCAATCGACGACTTCCCCCGTTATCCGCAGTTGGAGCTAGTGCAGCATCGCAGCAAGATCAGGTCACTAGTTGTAAGTCGAGCCCCTCGATGCAATGTGATGACAATGCCAACCTAGAGGACATTATCGCTATCGATGATGCTTCCGACTGGTCAACACCTGGTTCCCAAGGCACTCCCACCCCTATTTCCCGTTTGTCATCATTCAACCAGTCGCGCAACAAGTGTAACCCATCCTGCGCTCCCGCATCGCTTGAGGCCAATCCAACTATCACCTGTGATGAGCACCCCTCCAATATTGATTTTGCTAAGAATAATTCCGTGTATCCAGCGAGTCCATTAGACCGATTAGAATTCGCAAAGCAGGCATCTTCTCCTCGAACTCCCCAGGGAAACATCGTCCCTCCTGATGCAAGCCGCTTGTCTATCTCTAACACGGCTGATAACTTTTTGTTCCCCGGTACCGCCGACCGAAGCCTCAGTATCCCCCCTGCGACTCCGACGACAAGACAGGACAGTGCCCCTATGTTCCTCGAGCGACGCGCGATTACACCTATTAACGGACTTCCTTCTCAGGACCTGGATGAGGGGCTGATGTCACGCTTCGGCAAAGTTGAGTTTCTGGGCAAGGGCGAGTTTTCGCAAGTATTCAAGGTTACCGAGACGACTCAGGCGAATAGAGCGCCCCAGCAAGGTTTCTTTAGCACCCCAACCCATCGTGTATTTTCACCTTCATCTGCTAAGGTGTATGCGGTCAAGAAGCTCACCCTTCCTATCCAAGGTAAGAAGGACAGGGCTCTTCGACTTCGTGAGGTTGGCGTATTGGAAACCTTGAGAGGATGTGATCACGTTTTGCAGCTCATCGATAGTTGGGAGGATGGCAATTGTCTCTACATCCAGACTGAGTTCTGTGAGGAGGGTAGTCTTGACGCGTTCTTGTCATTCGTTGGCACAAAGGGTCGACTGGATGATTTCAGGATCTGGAAGATCATGCTGGAAATTGGCAAGGTATGTTATAAACTGACGAATTCTGGTTATTATTGTACTGACGAACTGGATAGGGATTGAAACATATCCACGATGCCGGTTATATTCATCTTGACTTGAAACCCGCCAATATCTTTATCAATTTTGAAGGTACTCTGAAGATCGGCGATTTCGGATTAACCACATCGTTACCGCTAGAGAAGGGACCCGACCTAGAAGGAGATCGCGAATACCTGGCTCCTGAAGCTCTCCGATCGGAGATGGGCCAACCGGCGGATGTTTTCTCCTTCGGTTTAATCATGTTAGAGATCGCAGCCAATGTTAAGCTTCCCGAAAATGGAGCAACTTGGACTGGATTGAGAGAGGGCGACTTTTCCGAAATTCCGACTCTCACCCAAGAAACGGCACCGATTGCGCGAGATGCGACCGGAATGCCGATTGACGATGGCGAACGTAGCACAGGCCTATTTGGCGATGATAACGCCACGAATAATCGCCGCAGCTACAACTTCCGAAGCACAACTCGACAGTCTGGCGATATTTTCGGTCTAGGCCGAAAGAGCGAGTTGCAACAACCACCCGACTTCATGAAGGATCCTAACCATCCTAACTCTCTCGACACGGTTGTGAAGTTGATGCTTGCACCAGAGCCGGTGGCTCGTCCCACTGTCACTCAACTGCTTGGCCTGGATGCAGCCTTTTGGGTCACATATCGTCAACGAGCGGCTGCAACGGTCTTTGAAGGAAACTGGGGCCCCGCAGATGAGGTAGCAGCTCCCATCTCGCTCGATACGGAGATGACCGATGTTTAAGCACATTACCAAGGTTGCCAGCCATTTTCACAAGTTCAACAAACTTGTTCGGTCTGGCATGAAACCTGGATATGCAGTAGTAGTTTGACACAGTGGTGGGCGGTTGGTCTTCCAGGTGTATATCGGTCAATTTGGCTGGATATATCAAGGTTATTGTACAATTCCTGTGAATTTGGCCAAGGTGTATTAAAGGAGTTACCGGAGATGGTTGGCGAGTAATTTTGCGTCCTGAAGGACGCATAATTCGATTTCTTATTCGTATGACCCCGACACAACACGTTCGACACGCCTCACCCGCTTATTATGAAGTCGGCGGTGACTTTGGACCGTATTTGGTCCTCAGCACCTTGATATATCAATTACGGACTGATTTGCTCGCTCTAGACTTATCATTCGTCAGAGAAAAACCCATTTCGAAGCTAGCACAATTCGAAGGGCGATATATTACGTACAACATCGACAAGATATTAAATTCGGGGTTGCTTCCAACGGCGTCTTGTGTTGGCGGTCGATTGCATTTTTCCAACGGCTTTGCGATGAGTTACTCTTTTTTCAACTTTGATTTCGGCGGACGGCATGGAAAGGGAAAAGGGCGGTCGTAATGAGGACACGCGGGGCGTCTATTTGCTAGACCGGCATTGCAACAATGTAGATATAGAAAGGAAAAAAGCTGCCTTAAAGAGGACTCCCTCTGCAGACTACTGGATCGTCATCATTTCGATAGGACAGGAAAGGGTCGGACGTCCTCGGTTTTATGAACCCCACGAATGAATGACGATATGCTATGATTTTGCTATTGCAATGTTCTGTCTTCTGTCTTGTTTTCGATTGTGATTTGGTTGAAGTGGTGGCCGGCTCTATCCGGTCGTAGGTCAGATTTTTTCTCGGTGGGATGATATGTTATCCTCGTGGGGTTTGCTTCTAGTATGTACTGAGTATGTACTAGTGGTTTACAATATCAACTAGGATCGGAGTAGCGATCGATCAAGAAGTATAGGAATAAAATCAAGAGTGAAAATGAGTATTCTTATTGGAATAGTGACTTTAATTTTTCCATTTGATGGGCTAACCAGCCTACATTTTGGCGTTTCTTGGACTATATAGTATCTCGACTGCAGTCGGTTGGCTAATCCACCATCCCGTCTTCGAAATATGAATATCATAGGTAACCTGCGCACAACTCTTCCCCGAGGGTTTCGCAACTCCCCGTCATTGATCTAGAGACTGGTCTTCGGATTATCGTGATATCGTATATAACTCAACAATACCTGACTCTCTTGGGTATATACATCTCGCGTATCATCTTTCCTCTCCGTGATCGGCTTCAACCCTAGTATACGGACATGAAGTGATCGTGAAAAGCCGTCATGTAATTCAGCGTTTCTGACCTCACGCGCCGTTATCACCGTTCCTATTTAATATCCATCATCATACCAACTAGACTTAATACTTTCATCCTTTACTCGCTTTACTAGACTTCGTACTAATCTCCTCCGCACTCCCCGCATCCCCAGCCCCTCCCTTCGACGACGCAGCCGTGGATGAGGGAGCCGGCGTACCCTTTAACTTGCGGCGCACGGGTTGGTACACATCATTGAAATTCATGGCAACGCCAAGAAATCTCAGATCTACATCAGCTTGATACGCCAAATCACCTAGTAGTATCTGGAGTTTATTCCGGAAGCGTTCGCCTAGATGATGCAATCGCTCTTGTAACGCTGGGAACTCGCTATGCGGACCGCCCGGGATATCGTGTTCGTCGGCGGAGGGAGGTTCGATGTGTCTTAGATCAGCTTCTTGTCTTGCGGTGAAATCGGATACGGACCAGGAGTATAATCCGTCGACGCAGTCGCGGTATGAAAGCATGGTGCGGAGGAGTTCGGCGAGTTGGATCATGTAGCTGTTGTCGTCTTCTTCTGCGGCACCGGCAGTCGCGGTAGAGCCGGAGGCAGTGGAGGCGGCGCCTGAGTTACCGACGAAGCGGCGACGTCGAGCACCTAGGAGACCCTTGTGCGTTATGGAGTTTAGGTAGTTGGTGTGTGCCGTGATAACATCATCCAGTGTGGCGTCTTCCCTGCTTAACTTCTGCTGGAGCTCGGTCCATGAGCTCTCGATGACTTCGAAAAGTATGTAGTACTGGAGCTGACCGACGAAGTGGACCATTTCTGCTAGAAAACCACGGGTCGTCTTCCAGGCCTGCCGGACAGCGGGATGATTCGTCTGCAGGACGCCACGGGAACCCGTAGTCACCTTGCGCCAAGCAGATGATAGGGCGAACTCGACGCGTTTAATGCGCCACAGGAAATTGAAGACTTTAAGGTATTGTCGATTGCCCCAATCGGAGACGACGACGTCTACGGGGGCGTCGATCTTGTACTCGAGCGTGAAACAGTCCCACCCGATATCACCGTGCGAGAGCTGCAGCATGCGCGCGTCTAAGCGGCGTAGGACTTCAGGGGAATCGTACTGCGCGTTGGACCCACGGATGGCGTGCTCAAGCTGCGCCGTTAGGGTATGCCGATATTGTGCTCCAGCGGGGCGGTCAAGATTTGCCGCGAGGGACTCCATCAATAGTGCGATGAAATCGCCTTGCCCAAGGAGGATGTAGCTCTTTAGCGCCTGCAGGTGCTCGAAGAGATTAAACTTGTTAGTCATCAGATGCAGTAACCTGCGCATGGTGGTCTTGTACGCCTCGTCGATCCAAGCTTCGAGAGTGGCGGTGTCGCCGTAGCGGAGCTCCTTGGAGGACTCCTTTGAGTACGATTCGACCCACTGAGCATCGCCGCAACTGTGGCGGATGAAATTGAGAGATTTGCCGATTAGGAATACTTTTTCGGCGAACTCCTGAGTGATAATAGAGGGTATCATGTCTACCGCCAATATGTACTTATCCTCCCACACATTGATAGACCCCGATTTGCCCTTGGGCATAGCCTCTACTGATTGTTCCTGCACGAAGAATTCGAGGTAGGGATCTGAGAGCTCTCCATCGTATATCCATCTTCTTAATATGCCATAGAACGGGCTGGTAACAGGGCTTAGAAGACGTTCAGCGAACACGCCTACTACTGGGTCGCCGTACGACGAAGAAAACGAATGAATTAAGGATATGATTTGACCACCTTGTTTACTCTTGGATTCTTCGGCGATTATACTCATAAGTCGTAAGCCCATCGTGGGTTCACGTACCCAGACTACGGAACGTTTTAACGTCACGCCCGCCTTTCCTATACCATATCGCGGAGCGCTTTCGTCTATCGTGGTTAACGCATGTCGAACTTGACCTTCTACCGTTGCAACTAATGTTAAATACGAACGCAATTCGTCGCCTAGGGCTGCTCGGAGACTTTGACCAAGAAGTCCTCCAGCTGGGGTTTTAACAAATTCCTCGAGGGTACGATAAAGCAGCGAAGGTTCGGCAAGTGTGTGAAGGAGGCCAATTATAGGTGGAGGAAGGGTAGAAGGTAGTTTAATAGAGTATTCTTTGCCGAACGGAAGAGTAGTTGAAGCAAGTCCTTGGAGGGTATAGGGAAGATCGCGAAGGATAGCAGGTTCGGAGGGTTCGATCTCATTGTAATTATTTGCTAGAAGCTTGGACTTGATAGAGACGTCCCTTTTAGGTGTGGTTGGAATTTCATTCTTAGAATCCCTATTACGCCTATGGCCACTAGCGGTAGAAGGCCGTTGCGAATCTCCGTCGACGGATTTCATATCTTTCGGGTTCTTGAGGACATCTCGGAGTTCGGTAGGACGGTAGTCTTCAGAGTTTTTATTTCGTCTGTGCTGTCCATTACTCTCTTGGTTGGAAGGACCGCTCGAGCTAAACTCTTCTCTCTCCTCCTGCTTCCTTCGCTTTTGCTCCTGCTGGAATTCGGCAAATGCAACGGGGTCAGGCTCGGCCGGGTCTGGTGAATCGGCTAGTTGATAGAGAAGGTATAACATGGCCCATTTTTGGTTCAGCACAGGCAGCGCCAATAATCTCGAATAAAGGTTTGAGTAGCGCAGGGCTTGACTCGGGTTCGTCTGAACCAAATTTCGCCTGATGAGTTCGGAGGCATGATTTTGATCGGCTAAGGGAGGTGGTCGGGGTCTAATGAATGATAATGTCAATAGTTGTATGGATAATTGATAGGTATTTACATGTAAACAATTCATTTAGCCTTACTGATTTAGTTGTTGTTTGATTTCATCAAAGAACAAATCATGTCTCTGCTGTGCGTCTTCATCATTCAAGCGTGGATCGTCTGGTATCAACTGGGAAATCAAGCGATTGATGCTCAGATCAACGCGCTTGGTCCGGTCTTGATTCGACCCAGACATTGTGTCATTTTGATGCAGGTGTTGTCCGTGGGAAAACAGCTAAAGTTCATTAAAAAATAGATATTAGCTCATTAGTCGTAGAGTATAATATGAGCGTAAATAATATCCAATGCCATATATTGTATTGTAAGAGTAGAGTAAAGACGCGACGCGATGAATTAATTATTATACATATCAATCAATTGAAGAAGGGCGGGTTGCTAGGTTTGTTTGGAGGGGTTATTGAAGTAACACTTGTTGTACTCAGGTAACAAGGATTAAAGTTTCTTGGTAACAGTTAGTGAAAAGCTATAGGGGCTAGACCACTCATAGCACGTTACCTGAAGTGTACTAAGGCTCTTATAAGTACTCGGTACATTTATATAGGATTGGACTCCATGCTACTTACGAATAGCATAAAGTACCTGTACATTAAGAGCACTCCCCAAATGATTCAAATGGTTCCCACACCGACCCCAGAGTCCCCAATCATATTTCCCCCTCTAACTAAACTCATCAGCAACAGGCTCTAACCACTGATTTCCAATCGAGCCTGGAGACGACATCCCAAAACCTCCCGCTTAATGGCTAGCAAAAGGGTGACGGAGTTTTCATCAATTATCAACATACTTTGTACATTTTTTCATCATTTTGAAACTACCATTTGGATCGCATTGGCTAACTGCCCTCGATGAATGGGTTTTAAACCCTTTTTTCGAGCTGCGCTGTGCTCATAGCCCGCACGCGACATCCCGCGCATAATCCGTAATCCGCCCAACTTCGCGCGCTGAGTTGTATCACCAACTATCAACTTTTTTCCGCATATTCTACATCACAACCGTCACATCGATAATATACCGCGCTACCCGCCCAACTCCAACCCCCCCGGCTCTTTAGCCACCCCCTCAAGATGCCCGACATAGATCCTGCGGCCTTAAGCCGCCCTTCCGTCACGCTTTCTACTACGACTCTCAAATCCATAACCGTTTCTGCGCAACCCTCCCAAAAAGTTCCCAAGACTAGCCAAATCATCCCCGCCCGTATCGATCTCGAGCCCCTATACACGGCCCTAAAATCAGCCATTGGAAATGAACAATGGAACGCCTACAAAGAAGCTACCACTCAGTTTGTGCTAGGTGCGTCTTTGTCTACACTTACAAACCTCAGAATCGCGCATCTCCAAGTGAATATAAATATACCTTATCCTGCTTACACGTTGTAAATAGGGCGATTAAATCAAGTAGAGTACTCCGAACGAATCGATCCCATATTATTATCTCCCAATGGCGACAAAACCCATTTACATAACCAGCTCCTCGCCGCCATATACGGAAATCTTACGAGGGAAATGCCAGATCAAGGGGTTGCACCATGGGTTTCCGCCAACGACAAACCCACTACCAATGTGGGTGCCAAACCTGTAACAGGCGACGCCGCCGAACGTAAGTTGAAGGGAGAAGTCATGCAGCTCCCCAGTCGCGATAGGCGGCGTATCAAAGAGCTAGCTCAGAATGATGTCAGTGTAAATATTCCCATGTACTTCCAACTTATAACAACTAACACTATACAAAGTTCGACCCATTCGAATCAATGGCGAACATGTTCACGGAACACCATCGAGGCAGACCGACCAAGGTACCGGATGCGCCCCAAAGTGCCAGTGCTAACGGTTTAAATAAGATGAGTAAGTCTTCTCGACACTCAAAGGTATCCTTAACCCTCATACTAATTGGAGTAGATTGGGACCTTGAGATTCGTAAACGCTTTGCGCAACCCCTGGCTGTAGAGTCGGGTGAATTCCCTGATATGGCGAGCATCGAATCAAGGATGTTACCTATTTGCTACGAAGTAGGACTTGTCAGCGGACATGCTTCGGATGCTCCTTCATTTATGACCGTCGCCGCCGAAACATTTATTAAAGAATTCCTCTCGACAGTCTTCAGCCGAACGAGAAGCAACGGGCCTGGGGACTCTGGAAGTGCTGGATTCGGATCCGGAACCGCTTGGATTCAGACACACAAATACCGACGACAGTTAATGAGGGAAGAGTCAGCTTTGACAAGAGGAGAGTTGTCTCGAGACAAGAGCGGGCTCTTGCCTATCGAGGCAAAAGCTGCTAGCGAGCGATCCCCCTTGAGTATGGCCGACTTGCGACTTGCTTTAGAAATAGGGGATTGTGGAATAAGCACGTTCCCTATAATTAGGAAGTCGGTCATATATACCTACAGGGATGGTGAGCTCGAGCACTATAATAATTACACCTGGCTCCCTGGTCACAAACCAATGGATGACGGGGATTCCAATACGAACAAAATTAACGGTGGTTCGCGTGCTCTCACGAATGGCGACACCCATCCAGAGCCCATGGATATCGACGAAGATCCCTTGTCGTGGGAAGGTGCAGGTAATCAGGATACGTCAATGCTTGACGGCGTTTTAGACTCGTGTTTGGCGGCCCCTTAGGAGTGGGAAGGAGACCCGCAGTCATATATGACGATTAATGATGAACCAATGGCACCTGGGGTTGACGGAAATCTTCCGCGTCTGGGCCAAGTTGAAGAGAAAAGGACGCAGACCTGGCACCCCCAACCCCAGGTATCTGCAGTAAACTGAGAGCGCCAACCTATATCGCTTTGATGGTTTCTATATGGCGCCCAGAGAGAAGGGCATGTAATATGCTCTTGAAGGTATGATATATGTACCAAGAAGGGTTGCTCGCCCTAGGAGGCGCCATACGGAGTTAGGATGAGGAGTTCGATATCACTCCTGAGGCCGTCTGACGAGGAGGTAGCACATACCTTGGCTCGTCTATTTCCCTAGGACTAGGCGATTTGCATCAGCATTGGCATGACGGCGTTATTCTAGGTGCATTGCTTCGGTTTGTATGAACAGTCAAAAAGGGGAGGAGGGGGAAGGAGGAGAGGTTGACTTCTGGCGTTTGCTTCTTGGCGGATATGTACTGTATTGTATGCGATACCCCCTTGCGCCCCCATTCTAGGAAGCACTCTCGTATTTCTTACTAGATCACGACATATAACAGATTAGCAAAAGTATTACAGCTAATTGTAGGCAACGATCATGCTCATAAAATAAATATAGTATTTAACTCCTACATGGAAGATGAGTATATCTAATTATCCGTTTATGAATCAAACGAGAATCTTTAAACTACGGTTAAGTGCATTCCAGCAGGAAAAGTGACGTGACACAGCTCCATAAAATATTGTTTTAGTGCATATAGTTTGTGGAACTTGACGCGAAAGACGCGTCCTGGCGGCGTAACGCGTTGAGAGGGCTATCCCGTTAATTGATTGCTCCAGCCCCCACTTACGCTGCTTCTCTTCTCCCTACAAGCTTGGACGATTAATTTAACATTACAATACCAATGCTCAAACGTTGTGTATTCTAAACATTTAACCTTTTCCCCAACATCTTGTTTTTTTCTAACGTTTAAGCATACATTAGCGTTGGTATTCATAATGGCATCTACCCGTTCACCATCACCTGCCAATGGCGAATCCACATCTACACCTACATCGCCTCAATTGTCGCCTCGATCTAAGATTCAAGCTTTACTTGCCACAGTAAATAATGCAGATTCGGATGACGAGTCTGGTGGTCCAATTAATGCAGCGATTCTCTCTAAACCCGCAAAGATCACAGATACTGAACTAGACTCTACACGGGATGCAGAGAACGACGATGATGACGAGGAGGAAGAGATCGTTAGGCCGCGAGGTCGACTCGCCGCCCGAATGAGAGCCAACGATTCAAATACAATAAAGGATACTCCAATTTATATCCGGAATAACGCGACCAAGAGCCCTTCCACACAAGCACAACCTACCGCGCCGGACACAGATGATGAGGAGATAAGCGCTCTCCCACGGAGGCGGTTGACGAGACCAAATCGAGCATCTACACCAGAAACCACAGCAAATATCGAAGCACCTTTATCACCTGGTCTCTTCGTCACGCCAGCTCCTGAGACCCCAACAGCACACCGACAACAAGCGGCCGAATCCGGATCGGATGATGACTTACCTAAGAACCTAGCAAAGAATGAGCGCTTCCTCGCACTAGTGAACAGGAAGCGAAAGGAGAGGCTTGCTAAAGAAGCCGAGGAGGAGCAGAAGCGAAAAGAGCGTGAAGAACGAATGGCCAATCAGCAACCCGCCGAATCGGATATTGATGACGATGTATCTGATATCTCGGATGATGATGGCGGCCGCAGGCTTACGCAGGGGGGCTCTCGCCCTGCTCGTAAGGCTAGTAAGAAAGCTCTGGAAGAGATGAACCGCGAAACACAACGGATAAGTCGAAGTTTACAACTCGCCCACGAAGCCAAGACAAAGAAAAAGATCTCGAAAGCTTCGCTATTCGAGCGCTTTAATTTCAGGACGGAAGCAGCACCTAGTAACGAAAAACCTCCAAGCTCAAGCAGGCCTACAACTCCCGGTTCAGTACAGAATACGGATGTTGACATGGCGGATGCTGGAGCAACTCCGCCCAGTTCCCCGCCTGTTGCCCCGAAGTCCTTTGAGAACCCCCTAGTTCCCTCCGCAGCTCCAGATACTATCGTCGAAGTAGATGAAGATGACGAGCTGCCGAGCCTAGAAGACGCCTTGGCACAAAGCAACAAAGATAACAAGGGCAAAGGCAAAGCTATTGAAGCCCCAGCTGACAACACTGAGATCAAGAAGACGGCCATAAGCAAACCTAGGCGCCAAGTCCGAGTTAAGCTACCCCAAATACAGGCAAATCTTGTTACAATAGATTCAGATGAGGAACTTGAGATCACCCAATCAAAGAAGGGAATAATGGATAAGATATTTGACAAACTTCCCGAGAAGAAAGCGCAGGAGCCGATGTCAATGAACGTATTGCGTCGGCTAGCCCATCTTTCGTCACCTACAAGAAATTCTTCGCGAGGCCCTAAGGGCAAACCATCAATGACACCCGCCGAGCTCCAGATGACTTTGCAGCAGCGCGCCAGAGCGCAAGCTAAACTAGAACGCGAGCGACGTCTCGAGCTCTTGCGATCCAAGGGTATAACTGTACAAACCGAAGAGGAGCGCCGACGCGAAAGGGAACAGGTTGAGGATATTGTTGCTCGAGCTCGTCAGGAAGCCGAAGAAATCATGCAGCGAGAACGTGAAGATGCGAAGAAAGCACGGAAAGAGCAGAAAAAAAGCGGTGAAAATGACCCTCTAGCTTGGGGCGATAGTGACGACGATAGCTACGAGGAGAGTGTGGAAGATCCCGCCGAAATTGAACTTTCTGGCTCTGAAGAGGGGGGAGATGATGAGATGGGCGATGCTGAGGACGAAGACGAAGATGAGCCTGCAGCAAATCCCTTATTTGAGGATGAAGCAGAGGACGACGGAGAGTCCGAGGAGGAACGGACACCAAAAGCTAAGACGAAACTAGGCTCCGATGACGAGGCAGATGATGAGCTTCCAGCAATGAAGTCCCGCCGGTCGAAGAAGCACGTGCATATTGTCTCAGATGATGACGATGAAGATGAGAACGATATTGAAGCGACTCCGAAACCCAAGAACAGGCAACCCAATTCTCCATCCGCTCCCAATTCAGGCTCTCCTAAGATTCCGACATCCGTTTTACGATCCGCTACTAAGACCTTCATTCCCGGGCTCCCGGTCCCTAAGGCGGGTCCAGCTGGTCTAGGACTTACTCAGATATTCGCTGGTACCATGGACGACAGCCAAGCTGGAGCAGCTAGTGGCTCCCCAATGGAGTTCATGCCTACCATTGATGACTTCCCTGATTCCCAATTCTCCGCCACAGCAGGCCAGTCCCAAAATAATATGATCCTTGACAGCCAGAACGAGGATACTCAAGCTCATGAAACGGAAACCCAAGGGGTTCAATTACACTTCACACAATCACAGGTTCACGGGTTTGATAGCTTGATGCAAATGGACGCAACGCAAATGTCGGAACTTATCGATCCTACCCAGGATGGCGGCTTCCAAGACTACTCTCCATTAAAACAAAGATTTGTTGAAGCGCCTCAATCAACAGTCGACACCGTCTTAATGAACGGAACCCCTGACTACGAAGCCGTTCCGGACTCCCCTCTTGTGAAGAGGGCAGGCAAGTTACGGCGAAGAGGCGAGAAGCCCGTCTCCTTTTCTACTATGACTTCAACAGACTTACCGGGAAGCCCTAGTGCTAAGCCAAGTGCTCCCCAAACAGATGCTGAAGTAGATGCGAAGGCCGCGGCTAGCGCATTTAAGTTGATGGAAAAGGCGGCTAGAAGGAAGAAGCGTATGCAAGAAAAGTTCGATAAGAAAAAGAGCAAGGCTACCGAGATGGTGGAAGAGCAGGCCGAGGAATCCGAAGACGAATATGCCGGCCTTGGTGGAGCTGACGGCGAAGACTCGAGCGATGAGGATGAGGAGCTCGTCAAAGAGATGATTGACGATGCCACCGGCAATGACGGTGATGATGCCAAATTGGCTGGTTTCTTTGCGTAAGTTACTATCTTTTGTTATTTATTGAGATAGAAACACTAATTGTTTTATAGCGACCGAGAACGAGCGGCCGACGCAGCGCAAGTCGATAAACTGTTCCGAGACATCACAACGGGTATGCTGCGTAAGCGACGCCGTGGTGGTGGTGACAATGATTTCGACCTGTCGGACTCAGATGACGGAGGGGAAGCCCGACGACGAATGAAGAGGCGCCAATTCGCAAAGATGCAAAAAGCGCTATTTGCGGACGAACGTATCGGCAAGATCGCCGAAAACCCTCGGAATGCAGCATTCCTAAAGAGTATAGAAGACCGGAATAGCGATGACGAGTGGGATTTCGACAACAATTTTGCAGATGCAGCGCCGGATAGCGGAGATAGTGAAAGTCAAAGTCAAAACCAGGGACAAAATACATCAGCAGCAGAGGAATCAATTCCAGACAGCCAACCCGAAAACAGAGAGCGCAAACGTTCTCATGAAGAAGATCACGTCGCCAGACCGCCCCCCAATGCCCGACGTACAAAAGGAGGTGCTCGCCCCTCGTCACTTACCGATGTGCGTCGAGAACTATCCAACTTGCTAGATGAGCCTAACGGTTCTGCCGCGTCTATCATACCGGCTACCGACGTAGGCTCTGACAGCGAAGGAGAGGAACATCCGACCGCTTCATCGGCATCGGCCAACAAGGAGAACCGCCGACCCGATGTTGCCGTCGTAGATCGCATAAAGCTGAAGCGTGATTCATCCTCTGTATCCGCGAATGGCAGCGGGGCGGGACGTCTTGCGTTCGCTGCACCGGCGTCCACAGGGGGGTCATTCAGAGTACCCGCACTACTACGACGAGCGACGACAAATTCGCTTATGTCGAACTCCTCGTCGACTAGTACTTCTAGTGGACCTGGTGCTTCTGCCACCAGCAGTCTAGGTACGACCAAGCCCAGCGCAGGTCTCGGAGAAGGTGGCGCGGTGCTCAAGAAAACTGCAGGCAAACGTTCAGGTATTAATTACTTTGCGCGCGAGACGGAACGCCGTGCTGCGGTGGCAGATGCGGAGAAGAGGCGTGAAGCGAAGAAATGGAAGGGTGCTGAGGGTAGGAGTAAAGCCGTTGGGGGCTTGTTTGGTGGAGGAAAGTTTGAGTGATCTTTATGTATAGGTTTTTGTATTAAGGGATAAGGCACTTTGTTCGGTGTTGGTAGGCGTTATCGTTCTGCTGGGGACTGGATGAAACCATTATGATTTAAATCTACCTTGATCAATCGTGATAGTATTCCGTGTTAATTACAATTATACCTAAAACTTCCGAGGTGTCAAACTTCTACTCAAACATCGATACGTAGGCTCTTGTATATAAATAGGGGAGACATATTACGTAATGTTTAGTATCGTTAGGTAACTTTCTTATTACATAATCCGACTACTACACAACTTCAATATTACATAAGCTCTATACTACATAATGAGCTTATCTAATCCAATTCCATCATCTCATCGACGATTATCTAATCGATCTCACCCTCATCATCACTTCGTCTCCATGACATGAACCGCGGTTCTCATCCGATATGCTTAACCATGGTAACGAAAGGACTTGATCCCTGCTCTTACTTAGCCGAGGATGGAAAGATTGCTTCCTCTTAAGACATTAAGGCTCGGGTCGCGCGTCATCATTTGCGGGTTCCCGGATCTCATAGTGGGGGACTTTGCCGATTGAAAGATGCTTCAGTGACCGGTTGATTGAGTAGATATGGCGCCTCCACCGGCTGTGAGTCCAAGGAAATTGCGCTTTTCACGCAGGCGTAGTTAATAATTAAACACTGAATGCTGACCGTAATAGACTCCGACTCCTCATCGCTTCTTGGTGCCGAAGAGGTCGCAACCTAGAAATGAGACGCCTAAGGCATTCCAAAGTGGTGCGCAGCAGTTCCAAGCAACCCCACGGTTTTCGCATCATTCAACACCTAGGGGGACTGCCGGAACGGCATCATCTCACCACCCGCCTTCTAGCTTTGTTACCCCCGCTCCAACGAGAACCGGGGCTGGGCCTTTCTATCGTCCTACACCGCGGAACACAGATCCGATCCACGATATCGTTGACAGCTCTCCACCTCTCACTGAGGAACAAACTGGCGATGATAATAACCGGCATGATGCTATTGAATTTTATGATATAGACTCAAATGTAGACGCCGTCCCGGAGTCTTCGCCAGTACGACAAGGGAGCAGTGACCATGACGACAATAACAGTGAAGAAGATTTAAAACATCCGTCTCCAAAACGTAGACGTATTTCTATTTCTTCTGACTTCGGTATCCACGATCCGGATCTTTCACAGCTTAAAAATGAGGGTGAAGAGGAAGATCTCGTTATGCACGACGAGGCTATTCTATCTTCCTTACCAGACTACGAACCTCTTCAATATGACGAAGAAGCAGATACCGCCGCTTCAACCTCACCTGTCCTTATTAGGCCCCCGGTTTCTGCCCCAAACCATCAACCTACCTTCCAGAAAGCGCCGCGCTTTAAACCTACCGAAGTTCCCGAGGGTTCATATCGCGGCGACCCGCTACCAGATGCCTTTTCTCCCCATCGCAAGGGCGCGAAATACGTGCCAGGCGGTCTCGCTGCTGAAGTCCGCGACTGGTTCGTTGATGTGTGGGCTAGTGCCGGCGCCGGAGCAGTAAAACGTGACACGGGGGAGTGGATGGCGCGGATTGTAGCTGATGAAGTGCGCGGTGCGCCTGGTATGACGCTTATCGTCGGACGACACATTTCGCACGAGGATATTATGATGCAGAGTACAAGAGTTATACTCGCCGGGAGTCCGAAGATAACCGGACTAGAGAAGAGGAAGGAAGTACACCCCGGTGCGGTGGTAGGTGTCGGGAAACCGACTTGGGAGGTTGATATCCCGGGGCAGGGACGTTGGGGTGTTGTGTGTGAGTGGACTGTTCTGAGCTGAATATGCTTGAGTATGTGGTCTGCGGCATTCATTAAATTGAGGTGATCGAGATAATCTATTATATGGAACAAGGATCCAGGGAGCGTAAAAAATGTCCAATTCTTTGATGAAGTTATTCTGTTCGGTAAGTTCACGTCCGGGATCTACGGATTTACGGATTTACATGTTCCACAATTCATAAAGTCTTACATTTACTTAGGGGTACTATCAAACCATCGAAACCTTAAAGCTCCCTCTATTGTTTTAAGCTCGGGCATCTTATGAAGTCAGTATATTTCAGTGTTAATGTTAACCCAAAGCTATTCAGGTTTATCCTTGCCACAGGTCCTACATAAATACTTTCCCCCGCCCTCTCTAGACTCTACATGTAGACGAAGAACCGACGGAATCACTAAACTTCGCTAAGAATCAAATATTTTTAAAAGACCATCATGGCGACGATGGACCATAATCCGCAACAAGACCCCAATTCACGAATTCAATAGGTCGGCGTGTATCCCATGCCCATTCACCCCATCCAAGCCACCCTACTTGACTTCTGGTAAAATCTATTCAAATAGTCGATGCTTGCTTGTCATCTAATAGTGATATAGGTTCTGGGGGCCGACACATCTATTTGACATGGATGTCCCACCGCAAGCAAAAAGCTTGTGGGACGCCCTGTTTACGAAACGATCGCGATGTCCTGTGTGGGACTTGATAATTCGAGGCTCTCTAGTTTGCCAATACCTAGTATTACTATGGAATGACTTCTGCGTCTGGTCTAGGGAGCGCCACGAGCACTGGGGCGCATGGAGGGCACAGATCGGCTACGAGGACGAAGAGTCCGATGATCCTCAGTGGAGAATTAAATATTCTATATATATAAAACTTTATTTATTTTTTTATAAAGAAAATTTATTATAAAAAAATAATAAATGTTTATTATTATTCAATTCTTAAATAAAATTATTGTTATATAATTTTAATCTATTTTAGAAAATTATTTTAATATTATTAAAAAAGAATTAAAAAAATCTTAATATATTTTTAAATTATATGAATATTTTAAAAATAAAATAAAAATAATGTTTAATAAATTATTTAAAAAGGAAGAAATATAAAAAACCATTTATTATTTTTAATAAAAAAAAAGAATTACTTTTTATATAATAATGTAATAAACTTATGCCTTAAAAAGATATAACCATTATTAAATTAATTAATCTAAGATATCTTAATTTAAAAATAATAATAATAATAGTAGATTAAATAATTAAATAAGTTTTATTTATTAAAAAAGCTTAGAATTCTCTTATTATATTTAAAAAAATAATCTTAGTGTGATGAACCTATGCCTCAGAAAGGTATAATCATTACTGAATTGGCTAATCTAAGATATCTTAATTTAAAGATAATAATATCAATAATAAGTTAAATAATTAAGTATATTCTATTTATTAAAAAGGCTTAAAATCTTCTTATTATATTTAAAAGAATAATCTTAAATTAATAACTAAAGAATTATAAAAAAAATGATTAAATATATAAGAAATATTTATAATTATATAATTATTTATGATGAACTTATCCTTTAAAGAGGTATAGTTGTTATTGGATTGGTTAATCCAGGGTTTCTTGATTTAAAGGTAATAATATTAGTAATAGGTTAAGTAGTTAAATTAGTTTTTATTTATTAGAGAAGCTTAAAATCCTCTTATTATACTCAAAAGAATAATCTTAGATTAATAATTAAAAAGCTATAAAAGAATAATTAAATATATAAAAGAATTATAGTAATTATATAAATATTCTTTATTATTATTTTCTTTATAGATAAGGTTAGATTTCTTTATTTATATTTATTTTTTATTACATTTGCTAAATAAGATTAGATATATTTATTTATATTTATCCATATTATATTTACTAGATAAAACTAGATATCCTTATTTATATTTATTTATATCATATATTATACATTCTTATTATTATTATTTTATTTTGGTAAGGAAAAAGGTTTCCTTTAGGGTTTTATATCCTTATAGGTCTATATGGTTTGTAACACTATTTCTCCCCTCTTTAATTCCTTTATCTTTAAAGATCCTTTTTCTTGGTAGGTTCTTTTTAATTTAATCTTTATTATATCCACTAATCCATCTATAAAACATAAACATATTAATTAGGAATAGGAGTATACAGAATTTTTAGAATAGATTAATAAGATTAGTTTTAATATAGATATTATACTATATTTATATTATTTTAACCATAATTTTAAATATATAATAATAATTAGGATATTTAAAAAATGTAATAAATATATTTTATATCACCATTAATATAATAAAATAGATATCTTTATTAATTTCTTTTCCAGATTTAAGAATAAAAAAAAACAATTATTTATTCAAGAATATTAGGTTAAAAAAGCCTTTAAATATTTTTATATTAAAATAATTAAGGTTTTAACTCATATTAAACAATTTAAGCAACAAAAAGAACTATTAAAAAAAAAAGACCTAAAGATGTTTTAACATGATCTCTAAAGCTTAGAAAAGTTGGAAGAACAGGAATAATCAAAAAAGAAACAATATCCAACAAGGGAACAATAATATAACATTAAGATATAAATTAATATAACTTCCGTGGTTAACCCTTTTTCCAATTTTTCCTTTAAGAATATAAACTTTAATTTATTATCATTAATTAATCTAGATTTTGATAATAGAAATCCTTAATTAATTTTTAGATCTTTTTATTTATAAGATATTCTTATAATTCCCAGGTATTATTCTTTTTTAAATAATTAAACCATTTAATAAAATATTTAATTTAATTATTAATGATTTTAGAATCCTGAATAGCTTTAATATTATATTTTTCTAAATTTTTTTTTAATTTAATATTTCTTTTAAATTTAATATTTTTAGATATTAATTTAAATATAATAATATAAAATATATTAGTTTTTAATTTTATATTTATTGGTAATTATAAATAATAATTTATATTTAAAAAGACTTTTTTAATTAAAAAGGATCTTAATCTCTTAAAATTTAATTTCTTATTTAGTTTTTTAATTTAAATCTATAATGTTTTTAATATTAAGTATTGTTTATTTCATAAAAGATAGACCCTATCTCCTTTATGTAAAATTAATCCTTTAATTCTTTTTTTATTATAATATATTATTATTCATTTTTATAAGAATTTAAAATATTATTTAAACTTAATTTATAATGTTAGAATTCTAATAATAAATATTTTTATTTAAGATAATATTATTTTTAATTCAAAGGCAACCTTATTTATTAATAGTTTATATTTTATGTTTATTTATTATTTATATAATACTTCTTATGGTAATATTCTGGTGGTATTATTTATTAAAATATTATATAAGGATATAGTAAATGGTAGGAATTCTATTTAATTATTTTATTTATAATTAATATAGTTTTGTAAATATTATTTTAATATCTGGTTTAGTTGTTTTGTTTGGCCATTAATTTAAGGGTAAGTTATTATAAAAAGTTTCTATTTAATCTTTAATTTCTTTATTAGGTTAATCCAAAATTTTAAGATAAAGAGCTTATCTTTATCTAAAATAATCTTTTTTGATAATCTATATTTATTAAAGATTTTTTTGATAAATTTAAAAGTTAAATTTTTGGTTATATAGGTTTTTTTAAATGGTATAAAGTATCTATATTTTATAAGTTTATTAATAATAATCTATATGTTATTATATTCTTCTTTAATTATTAGATATTATGATTTAGGTAACTTAATAATGAAATCTTATATAATAATATTTTATAATTTATTTGGGATTTTAATAGGTTATAAAAACCTATATGGTTTATATCTGGCTCCTTTAATTTTGTTACAGATGTTATAATTTAAGATAACCTTCTTGATTATCCTTTTGATTCCTAGAAAGTTATATATTTTCTATAATTATATAATTATTTTAAAAATTCCCAAATATTTATATAAAGGATGTTTATATATTTTTTATATAAATTTTTTTTGTAGTATTGATGATATGTAGGTTTTCTTATTATATAATATTATATTTTTAATAATAAAATCCTATATTGATAAAGTATTTTTAATTTATAAGATTTCTTCTTTGATCTTTTATTCCTATTTGTATTATAATTTGGTTAGGTATATTATCGATAATATTAAGATGTTATTAGATATTTCCTAAAATATTGTCCTTTCTTTTTTAATCTTTTTTGTATTAAAATCTTTTGGTTTGTTGAGAATATCTATCTAAATATTCTCTTTTTCCTTAATATAATAAATTTTAAAATTAAAATATGTAAGATTATTTATTTATTGTAATTATTTATTATTAAAAACCTTAATAATTATAAGAAATTTAAAATTATAATAATCTGAATAGATTTCCAAAGGTTCAATAATTTTTGATACCTATGGTTTCCATTTCTTTAATATTTGATAAATGATTATAAATTCTTGATCATATATTTTATATCTTATTTCTAATCTTTTAAAGATTTTAAAAAAATAAATAATTAAATGCCAATTTCCATCATCTTCTAGTTACTCCAATGTTGCTCCTATTATTCCATTTGAGATATTGGTATATAATTATTTTTTTTTGTTTGGGTTAGGTAGTCTTATTATTAGATCTTTTATTATAATTTTTTTTATTTTTTAGAATACCTTTTTTACGTTTTATATCTATTTAAAATCTTTTAGATTTTTAATATATATTATAATCATTATTAATTCCATAATTTTCCTGAAATCCTTAATTAAGATTCTATTATAATTATAAAAACTATAAAAGGTTTATATTCCTATAATGATTTTTGGGGTTGGCTATTCCTTTATTATAGATATTTTAGATTTTTAGATTTTGATTTTTTTTAAAAAGATTATATATCGAAAATAGTCAAGTTTTTAGATAAAAAAATTACTTTTGTTTAGGTCTATAAGAAACTTAACTTCTCCTAAGGTTTTAAATATTTTATATATATCCTTTTTATATTATTTTTTGGTTTTTAAATAGATTAAAATATTATCTAAATATATAAAAATATTTTTTCTAAAGAATTATTATAGAATATCTTGGATCATTTATTAAAAAATAGTTAATATATTTATAAATCTAAATGATATTATTAAACATTCAAAATAATCATATGATATTCTAATAACTATTTTCCATTTATCTTTTTCAATAATTTATATAAAGTTAAAAATGAATTTTAGATTTAATAATATAAATTATTTATTATTATTTATTTCTTTTTTTAGGTTTTTAATATATGGTAAAAGATGCCTATCTTTAACCATAATCTCATTTAATTATCAATAATTATAAACATCCCTCCATATTATTTTTCCTTCTTTATTTAATTTAGATATCTTATCTTTATTCTTTTTAGATACTAAAAAGATTAGATATCCTATTAATGATTTTGATTTTCATATAAACCTTCTTACCTCCTTATTTTAAAATATAATATATAAGGCTTTAGATTTATTTTAATTTAATTTATAAATCTAATATAGTTTTAGATATTCCCCTTTCTTTAATATTATTTTATGGTTATATTGATTATATTCTAATATGTCTATATCCATATCTAGAT